CCCAACCCCAACCCCAACCCCAACCCCAACCCCAACCCCAACCCCAACCCCAACCCCAAACAAAAAATTATTAAAAATGGTACAGTTTGATTATTTTTTTTTTAATGATCTTTTGCTTTTGGAAAGATTCTACAATAAAAGGAATCCATTTAGAAGGTACCATTCTTTTTTTAATTTTTATTAATTGTTGATAGATTTCAGACGCCTTTTAAAAATTGTTCTCTTCTAAATATTTTTTAGCTTTTAAGTAGTTTATTTTATCTTTCAATTTAGGTTATTTAATGAATCCTGGTGTTTCAATAGATTAACAAATAAAAGCGTTTTTGGATATTAATATTAGATTAACTAAAGAAATCTTTTAATAGAATATTTGAAATAACATTTTTGTATCGTTTGTGTTACATATAGTCTACATAAGATATTGATATTTGTGTTAATTAAAAAAAATAAATAATAGATAAGAAATTGAAAAAAAATATAAGGTAAAGAGAAGAAGAAAAGAAAACAAATGAATTTCAAAATTAATTACAAGCTATTATTTGTTTGCATGTCTGTTTTAATATTAATCTAAGGAAGATTATTAGAATAAAATAAATGTGAACCTTAAGGTGTGAAGCTAAGTTTAGGAGATAATTATGGCAAATAATAATTCTATAAAAACTACAAATAAATATAATCTAATCCTCATGATTATACTATAACATATTTTACAGAAGTATTTTTTTTGCTTTTATTAACTCAATTTCAATTTTTTAAAATTTATAAATAGCTTAACTGCACTCTAAATTACATTATTGTTTATGGATCAAAAGGATACGAATTAAAAATTACTCCAAATATTACAATATATAGTAAAGTTTATTGCCATATTATTTTTTTAATCATTTGGAATTTTAATATATGCAAGGACAAGAAGTAGATTAAAGCGGAGACCCAAAAACTCTTACAAGAAATTAAACATTTTTAATATATGTCTATGAATATCAACTTAATCTTGAACCAAGCAAATTTTAGACAGATTCATTGATTTCTTATTCTTGTTTTTACTCAGATAGTATTAATATTTTACTTGTAAAATTTAAATTTAATTAAAATCAACAAATATAGAAACCAGTACAAAATACGAAGAGAAGTAATTATTAAATTTGTAATCGATATTTGCAATAATATCAAAATAGAGGACAATTTCAATTCTTTCACCATGACCGATCCAAGATGAGTGATAAAGAGTTTAAATTGGTTTGGATGGCTGATTTTGATGTTAATGAAAGTTTAGTACCTAAATATAATAAAAGAAGGTTTGGCTATGATAATTTGAAAATCATTTCAAAATTTGTAAGCAAATAAATTTTATCATTTTTAAATTAGGATTTTAATTGAAATAAATAGATAAATAGTGGAAGGGATAAATTTGTTTCTATTATAGGTGGTGGAGATTATGCATATGATATGAATGACGACAGTGGATAAAGAGGAGCTAATTTTTTAAAAGAAACAGAATTCTTATTTTCTTCTATTCCTTTCACAGTAAAATAATTTATTTTTTTTAAAAAATGTTTACTTGTCTAATAAATATTTATTTATTAAGTCTGTTGCTGGAAATCATGAATTGTGGTATAACATGTCCTACTATAAATCTCTTTTTAGAAATCCAGGTTATCAATATACTTAAAGTGATTACTACTCTTTAAGTTTTGGAAATTTGATTATGATTGGATTGAACACTAATCGCTTTGCTGTGGACTAAAAAAAAAATTTTATCGGATTGGAGTAGCCATATTTTAACTAAATGCTTGAATGGTTGAATAATACTTTGAGTTGGGCTAATTAAAATTATAGATGGATAGTAGTTTATTCTCATCAAAACATTCACTGCTTTGAAGATCTTCCAAAAAGTAGCTGTTATGGTCGCCAAGATATTGTTGCACCTGTAAATAAATATAAATATTTCTATTTTTTTTAATGTAATTAAGCAAGCTAAATAAATAAATATTTAATAATACAAAGCTAGAAAAATTATTAGTTCAATACAAAGTTGACATTTATCTATGTGGACATATTCATGCTTATGAAAGAGTACATCCTTTGTATTAAGGAAAAAAATAATTTGAAGAAAACGATTAATGTAAGGGTAAAAATTGCTAATTATACAATTCTCCTAAAGCCCCAGTTTATGTTATTGATGGTACTTCTGGTACAAACCATTAATTCCCCTAAGACTCTGGATGTAAATAGTATAATTCATTTTATTTTTACTAAAATACTAATTATTATAGACAAAGGCTCTGAAGAATTTACTGTGACTTCTGATGCAAGCTTAGGGTTTAGCACAATTACAGTAAAAAATAATACTCATCTTCTTTTTGAGCACTATTCTTCTGATTCTATGAAAGTATTTGATTCTTTTTATATCCATAAACCTGACAATGAAAACGATGATACTACCAATAATAATCAATTAAACGAGTATATTATCTTGTCTATAGCTATTATTGTGCTTTTGATAATCTTGTTATTGATTTATTTAAGAAGAAGATAAAGATTAAAGTAAGAGTTAAAATATAGTGATTAAATTGCTCTCGTGTAATGACTTTAAATCTTATTTAAATACTTCTGTACTTTTAAATAAATGTTGTTTTATTTTTAAAACTATGTACAAATACTAATTGAAACAATTTAAGAACAGTTTTTAATTAAAAAATTCTTTTTTTTAAAAAAATATTCTTAACTATAATAATATTTTACTTATTTATTATCAAATATTTAATTGTTTTCATGTTAACATTTTAAGAGTTTTATTTCATTTTAAATTAATTTTTATTCTTACTTTATTATAAAAACAAGCCAGAAATTAAGCATTTAATATATTTTTTTATAAGCAATTAAATAAAATAAATATCATTTATTTACCATAAAAATTTTTAATTTATAATCTAGTTTTTTATGATAAAATCCCAAATATTTTATTTCAAATTTACATTTTTAACTGAAATTTTAGAGAAAAATATTTTTAAAATATCATTCCACCCTATTTTCAATTTTTAAAAATATAAAACATGTTTCAATAGCTCAAAAACTAGAATATTTTTAAATGCTTATGAGTCAACTTAAATCATCTTATGAAATTTAAATTTGAGGGAAATATTTTTAATTTATTAATTGAAAGAGAATAAATACTAATATAATTTTAAACATAATTAGTAATATGATTTAATTTAAGTATATTTTACAATTTCTTTTAGGGTTTTAAATCTATATATAGACTTCAAAAAACATTTAATAATTAAGTTTATTTAGTTAGCATATTTTTATTTAGACTTTTTACATTTATTTCAGTTTTTGAAATAAAAATTTGAATTTCTAAATAGATAGATTGATTGATAGATAGATATATTCTTTCAAATAAATTTTACAAATATTATATTATTGATTATTAAGAAAATTAATACATAAAGAAAATTTTGTTTGTGAATAATGAAACTCAAAGTAGTTTTTATTCTATTTTGTATAGTTATCACTTACGCTTCTGAACAAGAGCTAAGATAATGCGAGCCTTAAGGTGTTAAAATAAGTTTAGGTGATAATAGGGATAAAACAACTAAATTATATTCTTTCAAATAGAAATCATCATCTCATGATTATACAATAACTTATTTCTCAAAAGTAGTTAATTAAAAATGTTTAAGTTTCATTCAGATGTTTTATTTAAAACACAAAAGGAAAAATGTCCATAGAATTATATTAAGATTTATCAAACTTAAGAAACAGAATTCAAATTGTATCCCAAAATAACATATTTTAGTAATATTTTTCTTATTTTGTTTACCTAATTCAATTCAACATGTTTGAATTGACAAAAATAATCAATCAATCAACCAAAGAAACTAGAATTGTAAAATTTAAAATAGGACAAGACCCTGATACAATAACAACTCCTGAAGACTAAACAAGAGATTAAGTATTTGAAGTATACATTTATGAGTTTTAAATTGATGTGAAGAAATTAAATTTAGAGGTGGATAGTTTCATAAATTATAGTTGCTTCTACTCGACTAGTAAATAATATTATATGTTCTTTAATGTTTAATAGCTTAAAATTTTAAATTATAGATAATGGAACAATCTTCGAGCAAAAGTAAATAATATTCATTCTTCATAAAAGTCAGAGAGTTAATTTGCTAAATTTATAAAATTTTTTAAAGAGGAGAGTATAAATTCTACAATACTGATTTTTCTAAGCTCTCAAATAGAGAAGTAAAGGTACTTTGGGTAGCAGATTTTGATATTGACAAAACATAAATTAAAAAATTCAATGGTAGAAAATTCGGATATGATAATATGAAAAGAATAGAGAAATATGTAATTTTCATTGAGATAATTAAATAGATTAATAATTAGTCTATATTTAAAGATCAAAAAGAATAGAAAGCAATATGCTTCAATCATTGGAGGAGGTGATTATGCATATGATCTTGTTGATGATAGTGGATAAAGAGGTGCCAACTTTTTAAAAGCAGGAGAATTTTTATTCTCTTAAATACCATTTGTTGTAAAGCAATTCATAAAATTAAGTAAAATCTTCAAAACAAATAAAACTAATAGACGATTGCAGGAAATCATGAAGGATGGTACAACTTTTAGTACTACAATGCCTTTTTTAGAAATCCAAATTATTCTAAGACAAAAAATGATTATTACACACTAGATTTTGGGAATCTCGTAATGATTGGGATTAATACTAATCGCTTTATTAGAGATGAACAAAATAAAATAATAGGCTTAGAATAGCCTTACTTTACAAATCTTGTTAGCTGGTTAGACAAAACTCTTTATTGGGCAAATCAAAATTATTAATGGGTAGTGGTATTTACACATCAAAACTATTATTGTTTTGAGGACAATATTTTAGGCTCATGCTACAAAAATCCATAATAAATGGCTCCTGTAAAAAAATCTTTTCACTTTATTTATTTATTTAACTTTATTTAGAACTTAATTACTAAATTTTGGAAACGTAAATTTCTAAATAATTAATTAATTACTTAATTAACATAACTAACATAACTGATGATATATTTTTTTGAAATTTTAGTTAGAAAATGTATTGTTGAATCATAAAGTAGATATTTACCTTTCTGGACATATTCATGCATATGAGAGAATCCATCCTATTAAAAATGGATAATTGCAATTCAAAGAAAATAGTTAATGCAGCTTCAATAAATGTTCTGTTTACAATTTACCTCAAGCTCCTGTCTATGTAGTAGATGGAACTGGTGGGACAAAACACTCCTTCTTTTAAGATTCAGGATGTAAGTATTTGAATATACTACATTATATGTAATAAATTATTTTTAGATGAAGGACATCCTAAATTTACAGCATCTTCTGATAGGCATTTAGGCTTTAGTACAATCACCGTTAAGAATAATACTCATTTGCACTTTTAGCATATATTGTCTGACACTTTTTAAGTTTTCGATGAGTTTTACATTTACAAACCTGATTCATCTAACAATAGTCAGCAAATTGATACACCTGAAGTAAGTTATGAAAGTGAATTCGTAACTAATAGCAGTGCATCAAATATGATTTACTTTATATTTATATTCTTAATATTCTGCTTGGCATTTTTAGTAATATATTTGTTATACAGAAAGAGAAATAACCCTTCATCAACAAGCAGATAGAATTCATACAATCCAAATAATGCTTATAATTAATAATTCAGCATGAATTAGTAAAGAAATTCGGATGATAGTCTCTGATTGATAAAATGCTTAAAATAAATAATTTTGTGAAGTTTATTCTAGTAAAGTTATAAAGAAAGAAAGAAAGAAAGAAAGAAAGAAAGTAAGTTAATCTAACCCACTAATATTTAGATAAGATGCATTTTAAATAATTTTTTTGTAAAAATCAAAATATTAATTACTTTTATTTTATCTGTGTTTCTGTAAGTTTAATTTAATAAATTGTTTAAATCTGTAATTAAAATTATTATTTTTTTAATTTAATATTTAGATATATATGATTAATTTCCATGCATTTACAATTACTAAGTTTAAATTTATAAAATTTTTATTTTTATTATAAAACTTATAAAAATGTGATAGCTATCTATGTATATACTATAAATTACATTAATAAAATAAATTATTATTTTTTTAGTTTTGAGGTTAAAACCTTCGTTCAAAATTTTTAAAAAGAGTAAATAAAAAAATTGTTTGTGTGTTGAAATTAAATGTTTACGTTTTATCAATAATTTAAAAATAATTTGAACAAACGTTAATTTATTATTTATAAGATAAAATGAATAAATTAATGATACAAAATAGATAATAAAGTAAATCTATGTACAAATTTTGTTAAAGCCTTAAAAAGAATTAGCTTTTTAAGATATTTGTTAATAGTAAGTTTTTTAATCTAAGAATCAACTAATAACTTAGACTTATGAATCTTTATTTTATTATTACGAAGTTGTTGTTGATTTTTTTTGGAGTTATTTGAAAATTTATTGATAAAGCATTTTAAATTGTTTGAAAGATTTATAGATAAACAAAGCAATAATTATTATGATTGCCAAGCTTATGCTAGACATAAAAATGCCTATTAATTCAAGCTTAGGATTGAAAATTTGGATCATCTTTTTTATTTCAGTATTTTTATCTACACAATCTGTATCTATGAAGGAATTCAATGTAAAATAAAACTCCAACTTTACATAATATGTTAAATATACAAAAGCAACATCTATCAATAAGCTTAAAGCAAAAGACTTGATAGGAAATTTATCAGGGGGAGAAAGGAGATAAGATTCTAAAAAAACAATAGCTAATTTTGATATTGTTATTGTAATAATAATCCAGGAATACCTATGAATATAGATTACATTAAGATTGAATAGATTATTTCTTTTTTCAGAGCATTCATTAGTTTGCTTAAAATATATGACTGATTCTTTAAAAACCCACTTATTAGAAAACTAGTCTTTAATTTCATCTGCTCTCATAAATTAATCAAACTAGTAAAGTAAGTTAGGTGAGAAAGAAGTTTAATCATAAAACTCATCTTCTTCATATTTGTATTAATTTTGATATAACAAATCCAGCTTGTAGTACCTTTAGTTTTCTATGCTTTCTGATTTATAGTCACAAACAGAGACTTAAACTAATGGATTAAATTCCATACTCTATCTCTTAACTAGCAAGTAAATGTTCTCTGAATCATAAGAACCAACTAGTTCATAATTATCTTTTTATTTTTAACTTGAAATTATGAAATCGCTGATTGGACACCTCTCATTTCTAGCAACACACATAGCCATATTTTTGTAGTAGCACATCTTTTAACTATATGAGCATGAAATCTCCTATTTTTTGGTTTACATTATCAATCTGCTGTCAAACTTTCTATGTACACATAACTAAGTAGAAGTATGAGACTGGTAATTCTCGCTATAATTTAAAATTATAGTATTGTTTACGATTTATACTTTTTAATATCCTTTGTCACAAAAGTATTATCCTTAAGGAGTTAAATAAATGTCATCTATCAAATCTAAATTTTGATTGATATAGATGTAATTCATTTGATCTGTTATAATTTGATCCTAATTGAAAAATATTTAGTATATTACTAAATATAATATAGGTAGGAATCCAAAGTAAACAGTTGCTACCTTTGACGCCTTTATTAGGTTTATCATATATAATTTGTTAAGCTTTTTTTTCTTCTAGTTATTATTAGATGATATATTAATTTATATGATTATCTATCTTTATTTGGTTTCTGTAGATTTTATGTAAAGTTATTAGTAAATGATTATTTAATCAGAGTAGTAGTAAATTTAAAAATATATAATTCGATGTTAATTAATTAGCCAGTACCTGATTATTTTATTTTATTAATTTTTTGCAATATAACTTTCTAGTGGTCATAGATTTTTGAATTTGTTTAACAATTAAATATGCAAAAAATAGAGTATATAAATTTTACGATTTATATTTTAATATTTGCATCAAATATGTTTTACTAATTTTATTTGTAAATTAGTTAAGGCTTTTAAAAATAGAAAGAAGGGGAATAAAAGAGTTAAAATATCAAAATGATTGATAATCAAAGCTCTTAATTTAGTCTTATAAGCTTACTTCTAATATTTTTTACTTTATCAGTTTATAATTCACTCAAAAAAAAAATATAAAAAAGCAATAGTGAAAAATATCCTTTAAAAATTGACAAAAAATAATTAAATTAAACTTTAAGTTGTAATGCTAGATAATAAAATATTTTATTCACTTAAAGAATGATATTAGTTAAGTTAAAAGATATAAAATAAAATTTTTATGTTCATTCATTTTGAAATTTACAACAGCTCTAATTGTTAATAAATTATTTATTGAGTAATTAACTTTTCTATTCTAACTAACTCTAAATAGATAATTTTTAGCCTGAATTTGTTAATAATTTAAATAATTGTCTATTTTATTGATCAAAAATTTACGTTTCTATTAATGGAGCATAAAAAAAATCTTTTTAATATCCTCATTTATTTATTTATGTTTATATATTTATTTACAATTTCTTTTTTGTAGATAATTTCATTATTATTTATGAAACATGAATATACTTATTTCTTTGCCAATAATTTTACAAAAAAAGTCATTTGAAGCACAAATATTTGAATATATTAAACTAAAAACAAATTTTTATAGTCTTTTGTACTTTTGAAAACTTTACAAATTTTTTTATGTTGCTTTTTAAATTGAATTTTCTAAAAAAAAAAATTATATAGAAGTAAAGTAAAATTTTGTAGGGTAAAGATATGCAAAATATGTATAGACGTTTAAAATTAATTGATATATACTGATTATTATTTTTTTTTATACAGATACTAAATATTATGAGCAAATAAAAAATTATTTGATTATTTTTTTGTAAAAATACTTATTAAGATTAGATTTTTTTATTTTTTTTAAATTTTGTAGAGTATATTTAATGTAAATTTGTTTTTTTTGAATAAGTATTTTACAAATTCAAGACGTTTGTTACATTTATTATTTATGTTAAATAGACTTAGAAGCGAATTTACTTTTTAAATAATTAAAGGCTTTTTTAATCATTATAAAAGCGAAATAAAATACTGATCCAGCAATCAATGCTATTATGAGAGATACGCTTGAGAAAAAAAAACCAAATATTTCTATTTTAGTATCTAGATTTTATTTCATGTTGTAAATATCTCCATATGCGTCAAAACATCCTTTAGACAAAAGAGAATCTATATAATTGTAATACTCAATCCTAGAGTAAAAGGTAGAATAAATGTAAAATAAATCTGATAATAAACACATTATCATCATTGAAAAATCGCGTTTATTAAACGGAGAGAACTCTTCAAAGAAATAGTGCATCACTACAATACATGTCTTGTATACTTAAACAAAAACAGAAACCAATATTAGAAAAGAAGCATTTACATATCTTAATTAAAATAAGTCATATACGAACTATAAACAATTATTTTAGATGTCTATTATTTCTTCTTTGAAAATAAATAATTAATTTTTTGAACCTTAACTTATTTACTCAAATTTTTCTATTTTATCAGATTTCATTTGCAAGTCTGATTATATTATATCAAAGTCATTTTGTTTAACCTTATCATTTTATTCCAAACTCTTATCATAATAATATTGATCATTCTTTAAACCTTTAAAGTTTTCGTTTGAAATTTTAACTTAAGCAAGAGGTTAAAGTTGCTGGTTTTCTCTAGTTATAAAAATATTAAAGTTATTAAATCTTTAATCTAGCTTTTCATAGCCTTCTAAAAAATCTTCATTTGAAAATTTAATATCGCTAATTGGACATTAATATTAATAGCCAACACAAATACTAATATTTTTATAATCACATAACCTTTGATGTTTAAAGCAAACCTTTAACTGACCAAAATCAGAAACTTACTAAAATATCTTACTTTCGTGCAATCTTCTAATACAGAATAAATTATTGTGTTTAGTATCTTCTTACATTTATAGAAATTTTTTATTTTAAATATATTAATTTTCAAAACTCTGAGGGCAATTATATAAAGAGCTATTTTGTACTAAGACTGATTCTATAAAATCAGTGTTCCAGCTATTATATATCTTAATAATTTAATCTACGATAACTATGCTTTAGCTAAAGAATACCTCATAAACAACTAAGTATGACAAAGGTAATAACGAAAAGTATAATAATGATAGTTTAGTAAATTTTTTAAATAATGACATTTCTTTTCTATTTATTTATATTTTTTTTTATAGATTAATTAATTAATTATAAAGAATCTTACTTATCCAAAATCTTATAAAGAAAATAATTAATTTGGTTATATATAGAATTAGGGTACTAGAGATTTCAAAATTAATTCTTTTATTATTTTTTATTATTTTTCTATATTATTACTAAAAATTTTGCTAAAAATCTGGGCCATAAATGAAAGGGTTTTCTAGTATTTTCTTATATATAATATATTCAATAAGAGACAACAAATTTACTAAGAATCAAAATATTTACCTACTAAAATTAGCGGAATTTTGGTTAAAGAGCTTACAATATTTGATAACAGCTACTTAATAATTGTTCTATTTTTAGGTATTAAAATTTAATTTGCAATTTTTCGTGACGCATTTCAAATGTCCTTAAAATATAGAAAGATAAATTGCTTAATTTAAATTTTTTAATTTTTATTTGACAAAAAAAGATAAGATAAATTTATAAATTTACACCTTCATTTATTTAATATTTTAGTAACGCTTTAATAAGAAATAATTTTGCTTCAAATATGCAAAATACTATTGATATTTAATTTGATAAATTAATCTATTTGATGAAATATAATTTGTTACTTTTATTTCCTTATTAAAAACGACTTAAATTTAAGATATTTGAAAGAATTTCAATAATAAGCTCTATTAACCATTGTGATTATTAAAGATAAGCAATATATTAGTTATACATTTATACTATCATTTGAGACATAGAACTCATAATAAATTATATTAAAAAATGCTGTTATTGGAAATTTTCTCAATTTCAAATTATTTATTATACGAATTAAATATTTAAAATATGTTACATTTTATATGCCTTAAAGCGCTCTATTCTTATACAGAAATTACAAAATTTGTTTTAATTAGCAATATTTTTTTAATAAATAAAAATACCACTTGATTTATTAAGTTACAGGAGAGATAAAAAAATTTTCATCAAGGTATGCTTTTTTTATAAAAACATATATAATTTATATTAAATAAATAGAAAATCTTATATGCTTTGAAAAATTACATTCCATATATCGCTTAAATAAATATTCTATTTAGTAGCAAAATTTAACATTTCACAATTTTAAAATCTAGTTAAGGAATTTTGAAATTTTCTCAAGATAAAATTAAAATGATCAAATTTTAATTTAATTTCACAAAAAAATTTGGTTTTTCTTTATTTTATACTGGCTCAATCAATAATTTTCATACAAAAGTATTTTGATGATTAGAATAACAATTAATAACTTAAACATAATTAAATTTTATTTTTATTATTCATAGCTAAGCCGCTAGAAGAGTTAAAATTTAAGAGATATAGAATCCTTTACATTTAAAAGTGTTAAAAAACATTTATTTAGCTACATACAAAAGATTATTATATCATAAGAATATTTTTTAAGATACGAAAATATAAATATTTGAATTGAAGTGTTTGAGAAAATAGTGATAAGTATTTAATCATTTATTTATTTAGGTTACATTTTTTAATTTGAAATGTAATTTTGGTAAGATAATAAATAATAGGTCAATAACTACTGTTAAATTTGATATTTTTAATTTATAAAATGACAAGTCGTGTTCAATATTAATTTAGACAGACTTAATTTTAAAATATAAAATTTAAAATTTAAGTATCATATAAAAATAAAATAGATTTATGCTTAATTTTATTATATTATTTTTTGTATTTTTGTTGTTTTTATTTTACTTCTAACTTTATTTGATTATGAAAAATTAAAAGATATTGGATTTTATCTTATATACCTACTTATTAAAATTTTTTGATATTTTTACTAGCTTATTTTTTTTAAGTTTAAATTCTTATTAATAAAAATGAATTTTTAAAAAAATTAATTTGCTTTAAATTATGCAATATAGATGGATTATAAAAATTATATATGAATAAAATTTGTTTTAGTTAGTTAGTTAGTTAGTTAGTTTGCTATAAAGAAATTTTTTTAGCAAACGAATTAAATTTTAGACAAAAGAATAATTGTAAAAAAATAAATGTGTTCTGCTGATTCAGAAACAAAAGAATATGTTTTTCAATTTAATTATTTCATATTTAATCTTAAAAAGAAATTATTAGACTACGATTCTTGATTGAAAGATCAATTTTTTATTAATCGAAATTGATGAAGAAAATGGTAATAGGCTCTTAACTCTTTATTTAATTAAATACTACAAAATAAATTTCAAAGCAAGTATTTACCATCAAAAATTGTCATATTTATTAAGATTTCACAATATTATTATGTAATATGAAAATATAATTCAAACGTACTTTGAGTAGACAAATAGTTAAATAATTTATATATTCGAGGATATATTTAAGAGAATATTTTCACTGAGGGAAAAAATAAGTTTTTGTAGATCAAATATAAAAGATTATTTATGGTTATCATAATTTTTAAAGCAAATAAGGTTAAAAGGATTTTTAGACTTATTTAATAATATATTCTTAGGCATATCAAAGATTTTATTTAAAGTTTATAAAATTAGTTAAGATCAAAATTAATTTTCTAATTTTAAAAGTAAATATGATCATTTTAAAAAGAAAAGGTTTAATATTTTTAAATTCTTTTCGAAAATGATTTTTATATCTTTAGTTAATATACTATTTTTTATTGAAAAAATTAGAGTTATTTATAAAATATAAATAATTTTTAGTATAGACAAAGTAAAAAAATAACTTATAAAAAATTTTTAAAAGGTAATGATGCCAAAAGTAATTAAAATTATTTATTTATTTTTCCAAAAATGTATTCATAAAAAAATTATTGTGCATTTTTATCTTTAGAAGATTAAATTTATTCTCTTTTAAAATGTTTAAAAGAAAATAATAAATTTTATATTTTAAAATTGCTTTTTATAGCTTTTTACAATTATTGATCATTTAAATAGTGTAACTTATATTATTTTAATTTTCATTTCTAAAATAATTTTTTTATTTTAGATTTAGTTTATTATTGTAATATTCTATTCCAAAAATATTTTTATATTTTTAGTTAAGATTTATTCAAAGAATCATCGTTATATTTATGAAATATAAATATTTTGTTGAAAAAATTGACAAAAAAAAGTAAAAAAATAAATTATTGTGTATCAATCATTATCATTTAGAAGATTAAATTTAATTTTCATTTTAAATGTTTAAGAATCAGATTATACAATTATTTAAAAATTTTTTATAACTCTAAGCAAGTGAATATCATTTAAGTATATAGATAGAATAATTTTATATTAGTTTAATATTCTTTTGAAAAGGTATTAAAATTTTTAGTTCAGATCTATTTTCTTATTGAAAGAATTATGATTTTATATTTGAAATATAAATATTTTATCAACTAATTAAAATAAAAATAACTGATATAATTGTTTAAAGTAAAAAAAATATGAACAAAGTTTATAAATTATTTTATTTATGTGATCATTAATATTTTTATAAAAAAATTATAATATGTTTTAATTATTAAAAAAATCAATCTAATTAACTTTTAAAATGTTTAAGGATCAGAAAATATATTTATTTAAATCAGTTTATCTATTAAAATAAATATTTTTAATAAATTTATTTTTATTAAAATATAAAAATGAATTTGTTTTTATTTGATGTAATTAATATTTAGTCATAAAAATTTGTAATATAAATTTTGTAAAAAGATTTTTAATATTAAAAAAAAATATATTTATTCTATTAACTTTAATTAAAAATTTATTATATTTTATCTATTTCCTTGTTGTTAAAGCTCGATTACTCAATATATGCTTTTTAATATTTAAGCAGAATTCCATCACCAAAGTAAAAATGAAGTTGATAGATTTTAAAAAAATTTTTAAAATACTGCTTTTAAAATAAAATTAATATTTGAGTTTAAATTCTATAAAATTTATAAATAATTTAATAAAAAATAAATATAAAATTATATTAATTTAACTTATTTACCTAAAGTATTTTGTATTCAATAAATTATTTAATTAATTTAAAATAAAAATTAAATTACTTAAAAGGAAAAAATTAAATTTATCAACTAAAAGTTTTTTAAATATGTAAATTTTTAAATAACATTTATTTAATTAATTAAGTTCATAAATTAGAATTAATTATTTTTAAATTACTTTCAAAGCAATTCATTTTTTAATTTAATTTACTTAAAAACGGTTATCAAAATCAAATAAACAAAAACTAAATAACTTAGAATTTAAAAAGAAATAAATTTAATACAAAAAAAATTGTAAGACTAATAAATATCTTATTGATTTCTTTGATTAGTTAGCTAATTATTTTTAAAAATATTATTAAAAGGCTTATTATTTAAAAAAAATAGACTAAAGTATTTTTGAATTAATTCATAAACAAAACTGGTTTATAATTTTTAAAAAGTTGAATTTCAAACATAATTTTAAATGCTGATAATTTTTATTGAAAATTAAATAAATAATTTAACAAAACTGTAAGCAGGAATTATTCAAATTATTAGCTAAATCTGATAATAAAATAAAATTTTTATTAAAAATCATATTCTTTTAATATTAGAATCAATAATATTTTTTAATGAACTATTTATTATTGAAGTAAAATTGTGTTATTAATGAAAATAATTAGATTTTAAAGTCCACTCACTTCCTATATAAAATTTATTTGAAAATAACTGGATACTGATTTACATAATGCTATAATTTCTTAATAAGTTCTTCTTTAAATAATAAGTAAAAATTATATTTAGCTATTTCTTTAAGTATTAAATCTGATAATAAAATACAATTTTGATTAAAATAATATTCTTTTAATATTAGAATCAACAATATTTTTTAATGAACTATTATTGAAATAAAATTGTGTTATTAATGAAAATAATAAAGTCCACTCACTTCCTATATAAAATTTATTTGAAAATAACTGGATGCTGATTTACATAATGCTATAATTTTTTAATAAGTTCTTCTTTAAATAATAAGTAAAAATTATATTTAGCTATTTCTTTAAGTATTTTGTAATTAAATAAATATTTAAATTTTTTGTTTAATAAATTTTTATAATAATTAAATTAATATATAAAAATGAATTATAATTGTTATAATATATTATTATATTCTTTTAGAATAAAAGAATAATTAGTTTATTACAAATTTTACCTCAGAAAGAAATTTCTTTTTTACATTTTAAAAAAAAATTTTGTTTTCTTCAAATTTAAAAAAAAAAAAAAAATTAGAGCAACAATTCAAATTTTTTTTAAGGAAAGAAGATGTAAATTTTCATTTAAATAATGACATAAAATTTTTTAATTCTGGGTAATTAATTAAGTTTTATTTTACTGATTGATTGATTGCTTGAATAATTTTTTGTTCCAGACAGTTATTTTATATTTTAGATAAAGGATATTTAAGAATGTTAAAAATTTTATTTATTTATTATAATGTATTTAAAACTAAAGATTTTGATACAAATATGAAATGTATGAATGTATGTATATATATATGGGAAGTGTACTTATTTATGTATATTTTTAAATATATTTAATATAATAATAAATTTCTTTTTTTATAATAAACTTTACGTTATTTACAAAAGAAAATTAATTTTTAAATTTATTATAAAAGGGATGAGTGTATGTATGTGCTGTGTTGTGTTAATCGATGGATGGATTGATTGATAGATAAAAAATGATAAATTTTAGTGTAATTATTTTTTGTGAGTTGCTCAATTCTAATTATTTTAGTTATTAAGCCAATCAATTGATAAATCGATAAATCAATCAATGGCTTTTGGTTGTTAAATTATGTGATTTTTTATATTTTTTTCTAAGGTCTTAATCTTTTTTGTCTCTCTCTTCGTACATTAATTTTTATCTTTTATATTCAAAATTTTTAATAAATCGATAAATGTATAAAATTAATTACTGTTCAGCTCTATCAGTCATTCCTTTTGAAATTAATTATCTGTCTATTCTGTAGGTGCAGTCTGATTCGAGCAACTTTTCGCTATGGCTCCATGGTTATTCTTTTTAGTTTACCTTCCAGTAGACAATACCATCAAACTATATAAATTCTAACCAGTTTCCGCATCCTTTTGAAACAACAGCTCTCATGACATCACCATCTATTTCTTAAACTTTTTCAATGATAACATCGAAATCATCTTGCTTTCTCTTTTCAGTTGGTGCTTATTTTTTGCCTACACCAAAGAAACTGCCAATAGTACTAGCAACTTTAGATACTTAACTGGAACTCTAATTAATAAGTAAGGTAATTTGTTAAAAAAATTAATTAGTAATAGTCTAAAAAAATTTACATCATAGTAAAACTTGATTTCTGCTTCTAAGCTTGTTTTTTTGTTTTTTATCTTAAATGATTTCTATTAATGCATAATTCTATCACCAAGGATTATACCAACTATTTATCTATAATAAAAGAAAATCAAGTTAATTAAATTATTATTTTTCTATTTTTCAAATCTAATATCTTTAATAATATATTATTTACATTTATGAATATTCAATTTCAAATTTATTTCCATCACCAAAATCAACTATTTTGTTTCCGTAAGCGATACCGTTTAAGGCATTTAAAGAAGGAGTTACGCTTGCTCCTACTTTATGTGAGCCATATATTTAGAATTATTTTTTAGGTGTTGAAACTTGGTATCTGACACATGGGGGATTAACGCTAATACATTCTCCATAATATTGAGATCCATCTTCTTTAAACATCTGTTAATTTAATTTATAAATTTTAAATTCATTTCTTGCTCTAAAATGTTTTTAATTACTTGGCATGTTTCTCCCAAGAGATTGTCAATGGGTGCTTTAGTGTAGAGTATTTCGGGACTTAAGCAGAGTGAAGAGATCTAATTTAAAAAAATATTTAAGATTTAGATTGATTGACTATTAAATTGATTTGATTACTGTATGAGTGATAACGCATTTCATTTAAAATACTGGATCATAAGGTTTTAAAGCTGCTAGTTTTAAAATATCTAAATTTTGTTAATCGCTATATTTATAATAAAATAGGTATTAGATTAGCTATATGGAGATGGTATGCTTGTTTGTTTGTTTGGCAATTAAAAAAACAACTAAGAATAAATTTGTTTCTAAAAACTTCATATAAAAACTTCAAAAAAAAGCTTACGTAGCAATAATTTCTAAGTAGGTGAGGTCTTTACACAAAGCAGCAGGCTTGCTAATAGTCATAATATTTTAGATTTCACCCTTAACGATTTTAGTTCCTACTTGCTTTAAAACACTTTTTACAACTTCGTTTGTCTTAGTGTCGTTGATATAGCTCATATGAAAACCACCTGTTGATATTTTATATTGAAAATAGCTTAAAATTAGAGTCCTGTTAATTAAATGCTCATGACAATGAGAAATAAAAATAGTGGTGTTTAATTTTGTATTTACCTTTTGCGTGGGCAGCGGGATGGCGAGGATAAGTTCTAGCCTTTTCATAGACTTCGCTTGGTTCTTCAAAATTTTTTGACATTGCTTTAATTCCAGTGAAGGTTTTTTCCGATTTATTAATAATATTTTGTTTTAATTAATTAATTTCAAATTATAATTTGTTAAGAAATAACTATATATTTTTTGTATGCCTTTAATCCAGCTAGTTACTACATCTTAATTTCAACTCTATTATAATAAGAAATTCAAAAGAAACAAACAAATATTTGGATCAGGACGTCCAATGGGAAATAAGTAAGGGTGGGTAAGATTAAATTTAACTTCATTCATTTATTATTTATTGTCTATACTTTTCTTATGCAAGCGCTTATATGTTATAATTACTCACCTTTTTTTTCTTCGACTTTGCTTTCATAATATTATTTATAATTAGATTTTATCATATTTATCTAATCTTTGATTTTCTTTACTTCTTTAATTTACTCTCAAACAAATAATAAATCTAAGTCGTCTCTGCTGAAATAATATTCTCTTGTCTATTCATTAATTCATTCGTTCAGTCACTCATTTTTTCATTCATAAACGTTTCTACTATTGAATTGTCAGTCTCCATAAACAACTAGAATTATCTCACTACTATCTTTTAATAATTTCAATTAAGTAAGCGCAGCCAAGTACGCACTACACTTACCTTGTTTAACAATGGATCTATTAACTTACTGTCAAAATTAGAAATTTCTCTGTAAAGCAAATCTATATTATTTCTATAGTAAACAATATAGTGTTTCTAATTAAATTCTGGGCACAAATAAAATTTACATAAATAATATTAAAATTAAATTTTTGTTAACTTTTTCATTTGGTTTGAATGCACTGCTTAAATTATATCTTTGCATAGAGCCTTTTTAAATTTACAAATTTATGATTATGACTCATATCTGTTATTCAAATTTACTGGATTACTTAATGTCTATTATCGTGCAATTTCAATTAATAGTATTTAGAATTTTAAATACTTCATAAAGTCATAAGAGTAAAGTAAAGCGCAGTATTGATGCATAAGAATGAACAAATTTCTTTAATCATCTTTGAATTTTTGAAAATTGTGTAAGATTTCTTTAAAAAGAGGTGAATTTTTATTAAATCAAACTCCTTTTAATAATCAATATAGATAAAAATTATAACTTAAATTATGACTGTATTACTACGAAAAATTATGCTATTTTATAGAGAACAAAAGGGAAATTCATAATTTGGCTAAATTTGAATAAGGTATTTTCATATTTAAGCAATAAATACTTACTATAACAAGCAATTAAAGTATTATAAAAAGATTTGAATTAAATGAAAAAAATAATACTAATCAATTTGATTATTACAAACTTTGTTATCAATTATTATTGTAAGGTGATAATATAAAGTATATTAAAAACTAAAACGAATAAGCATTATAAATAAATAACAAACAAGCAAGCAAACAAATTAAGAAAATTAAATATCAATTTATGTTTTTATTTGCTTTTTTCTTTTTTTCTTTCTTGTTTGTCAGTCCGTAAATATATAATTGGCAAATCATTTCTTAAAGATATCGGAATGAAGAGTATTCACTCTTTCTTTCAATCCAAAAGTAGATTACTTTTAAAAAATTAAGTTGAAGAACGAAGCAAATTTCTATCAATAAAAAAACATTTTATTAAAAATTAATTAATACTTTCTTTTTAATATATTTTACTTTTGAGCTCTAATCAAACTACTTCTGTAATTCTAAAAGCCTATTTAAGTACTTGTCTTCACTCAGACCTATGCTCCAATTATACATATTATCCATATCCTTCTGTATTTCTTCTATTTTTCTTTCAATCAGCTTTAAAAAATAAATAAATACATAAAGATTGTTTTAATTCAAATTTATTTATGAAATTACTTCATATGGTTTTTATACTATTGAAGCATACTAATCATTTTTACTTTAGTCTGTTACTGCCTTTAAATGTTCATTGTAGCTTTTTAAAGTTGTCTTGTCAAATATCTATTCTGCATTTTTAGTAAAATCATTCAAATTTTGCTTTATTTGTTTTAACACTAATTCATAGTTCTTTGGAAGATTCTTACTAAATGCAACAATAATCGTAACTATTTTAAATATCTTTAACCGATGTTAAAAAATTCTATTTCTAATAAAAAAAATGATTACATTTTATGGAGTATCTTGGCCACAGAAATCAAAAATTAAGCAGCTCAATTTTAGCAGTATCAGGCTTAAATTAAAGTCTCCGAAGGATCTAAAGTATGCCTACTCTGGATTATTCTATTTCATTCACATTTTTCAAAATTAAAAAAATCTATGATTTATAAAATACCAAAATAAAAAAACCATATTTACAATTTTTATTAGCTTGTAGATAGCTATTAAGCTATTTTCCCAATCTTAATTTAAAGCACTCTCCATAATTATACAACTGATTATACAGCATTTCACATTCTGAATGTATTCGGCAAATTTCATCTCAATAAATTGTATTTCTTTATTTGAATAATTTAAATTGAATCCTCTATTCTATAATAAAATAAGTCAATTATTTATTTATTTATTTATGCTACCAGTTTAGATAAATCTCATCTCCCTTTATCAACTTAAAAAAGTTGAGCAAGAAAAATAAAGAAGTCTTATTTTGCAATAGGGGAGAAAAAAATTTATCGTTGATTGTAATTTGGGAATAAGAATTACTTAATATAAATTTCTAATCTATTCTTTTAATTTTAATAAAAGTTTTTAATCATTGAGAAGATCATGAAGTCCATATGATGGTGATATTTAAGCCTTTAGGCTGGTGTCTAACAGATGCAGCTAGAAATAATTTAATAAACCTTGATAATATAAAAAACCTCCAAAATTAATTAGGCAAGGGAATTTTTTGTCAATACTCATTTTATTAAACTTTCTAATGTACTACTCAATAAAAGTAAATCTCTTATCGTATTCTCTTATTATTAAACTGGCTTGCTAAGCTAGGTGATATTCTTCCAAATCAGTTTAGAATTACTTATTTTCTTTAATTAGTTCTTCCTTTAAATTTTATGGGAGATACTATACTAAATTAGTTGAATCTTATTTGTAGATTGTTTCCCTATTTTTTTTAGCTAAATCTTCATTAATGTAAATCAAACCGTAAGCACTTTAATCTGCAAATCCTTTTGCATTTCTCAGCACTTCAGACTCTTCTACTTCAATACAATTAATATCATCATATTTAAACCACTTCTATTAGTTTAAATCGTAAATATAGCTGAAGTAATGTCCAAACTCTATTTTAATGTAAAAAATAAATATGACTAAATATATGTATGATCAATAAATAATACTTAAGAATATTAAATTAATTACCAGCAGAACTACCCTTATGAATTAGAATAGACTGTAAAATATATTTTTAATTTTTCATTGATTAAAATAATAGGTCCTCTTCATCCTTAAATTTAATTAATTTTTATTCATTAATTTGTGACTTCACAATATTTAATATATTTTACTTTGATTTTCTTAAGTTGAGATTCAAGAGATTATATTTTTTCAAGGCATTTAATTTTGCTTTGGTCTAAAATTGATACAATTTTCTCTTATGCATCAGCTGCAATTTACAAATCTTTCTAGATGGGGTCTTGGTAAAACTTTTAAGTTAATTCTAGTATTTATAGAATACCTAGCTAACTCTAGCTATAATTTTAGTAATATTCCAGTTACTAAATCAAATCGTCTTTCTGTTCAATAAGTCAATTATAATATTTTTAGATAAAATGCTTTTCATAAATCTTTTTTTTGAAATGATAATATAAATTTTGAATATTCAACTTACTTATTTTTTCAAAGATTGCTGCTTATTCTAAATTTAGAAATACATGTCTTTGTTGACTTCTAGGAAACGATCAACATAAATTTCCTTATCAAAGCTGAATTCGGTATGAATTTTTACTACTTCTTTAGTTTTTTGATCGTATTACATCCTTTGAATTTAGAATAGAAGAACTTCTGGGATTTTAGAAATCCAAAATTGCATAGATGCAATAACTTTTTCATTTTTATCATTCTTAAAGTCATCGACAGTGTAATTTCTCTGCTCTTCCCAAGCTGAAATTAAATCTTTACATTCTGTTTGTAAATATATTGACGAGAATTATTGGGATTCCTAATGCTTTATTTCCTATTCATCTTGATAAAAAATACTTACTTGAGTACGTTTTCCAAAAAATAAGCTTTTAATTCTTTTATCTTCTTCAAATTCTTCCTAATTGCTTTGTGTATCACAACTAGCTTAGGAATTTTGAGAAGATGATTCAGCAAGCCACTTATCTTCTAGTTTTGTAACATTATTTTCTGAATAAATTAAACCTTCTTCTACTCTACTCAAAAATGTTAAATTGAATTCTCCAATATCTTACTAATCACCAATCTTTAACCTTTCACCTTTTTGAAAATTATTATAATATATTTTTCATAAAAAAACGTAATATGTTACCAAAATCATTAACTATGTTCTTGAGAAGATTAGTTGGGTTGAAAAATTTCTTATCTGATAAAACCATAAATGAAAAAAGTCTTTGCAAATGTACAACAAGATTGATTGATGCAATAACCCTTTTAGATTTTTATTCTCCTAAATATTTGGTTAGTTTGTTGAAATCGAGTCGTGATGGGTAGCGATACTTTAATATATACTTACAGAATTCTGAGTTATTAAAGTAAGATTAGATTAGAGAATTAAAGTAACAAGCTTTTTTATTATAATATTTTTAAAATTAGTTATGCTATTTTGAAGCACTTTTTGATTAAATCTATCAAAAAAGTGTTTATTTAGTGACATTTTTAAATAGATTTTTACTATTTCCCACATTCATAAGTCCAACTGGATGATTCTTTTTTCTAATCCTATCAGTAAGATTAAAGTCCTAATCGTAATCAATATGATCCATATAAGAATCCTTGCAAATAAATAGTAGAAATTAACTTAAAATTATCGATTGAAATATATTTTTACTGTTCTTTTATGGCTTAGCTATGGAGATGGTCCCATATTCTATATTAGATTCTGATTTTAATTTTAATTTGACCTGTATTAAAAATATTTTAAATTTTTTATTGCTTTTAAATGAATTAGATTACTAAATTTCTAAGCACAAGTCTATCAAATTATCACCTTTCGAATACATTTACTAAGCTCTTTCTATAATATCGCTTCTAAAACCCATTTCCTTAGCATTTTCTACTTGCTATTTTAAATTTTAGTTCATTTTACTTACTAGCTTACCTAATTTGTACTATATCCTAAACTTGCTTTAAAATTTTTCTACTAAAAATATCTTTGTTTGTTTATTTATTTTATAAATAATGCGTTTATAATTGAGAATAGGTTTATAGCAATCAAACAAGTTTCTTAACTAATTTGTTAATATGTGAAATTCTATCTAATTGAAATTTTTTTTATTTCAAACATTATCTAATAAATTACTGATTAGAAAGGTAAAAATTAAAATTTTTAAGGCTTTAAAGCAAGCAGCAGCTTCACTCACCTACATTTAGATTCTACATCCAAAAATTTTTGATAATACTTATTTATCAACATTTCAAAAATAAAACCAAATAAAATATTTGTTTATATTTAAAAAAAATATTTTGCATAAATCAAATTTATCATAATCAAAATTAAAAAAACATTTCAAAAGTTTTTAAATTAAAATTTATTTGCTTTAATTTAAAAATAATTAGTAAATTTTTAAATCTCATTTCAATCTTTTTTATTCTAAAATCTTTTGATGAAAATTTGCAAAAATCAATTTTTATTAATTCGTTTAGATATTGTTGATGGATTTATTTTATTAGATATTTAAACAAATCTCACATTTATACTACTGATATTGGATAAAAAAATAGCAAAAAGAAAGAAGCAAAATAACTTAATATACGAAATTATTATCGAATTTTACGGCAAACAAATACCCTTTAATGAAATAAGAAAACACAATAAATCATAAATTTTCCTATTAAGAGTACTAATAATTTAATTTATTTATTTATTTGTTATTAACACCTCTCTGCAAGTTGTAGTAAGTAAATATTTACATTTGGTTTTCAATATAAAAATATCTTTCACAAACCAAAATTAAACAATTAATTGACCAAGAACAGGTGAATAACAATAACTATTAAAATAAGTTAATTAACTCAGTAAGTGTAAGTTTTTCTTTCGGCAGCCTTAGGGGTATCGTAGAAAGTAGGTAAGGTGGTGAGTTCGTGACTGGCAAAATCGGATTCGAAGTTATCGGCAGCTCTTCTAGCATAGGCCAATTCCATCAAGAAATCAAACATATCATCTTAGCAAGCGTATTAAGCTTCATAATATTCTCTATAGCAAGGATAAGTTTTGTAGTTCTTTTGATTTTTAACTTGATCGAACTTAGTATGTCTTTGATCATGATAAACTAAATCACATCTGAACCATCTTTCAAATCTCAAACCGCACAACATGTAGTAATCCTATGAGATTAATAATTTAATTTTTAATATTTTTAATTATTTAAATAAAGCACTTTTTAAAAAAGAGTTAATTATATTCAAATTAGTTTATTTAAATAAATTCGTTGATAATAATAAATGCAAATTTAAGCATGATAAATTAGAGTTAATTGGTTGATTGGTTGGTTTTTTTGATTGCTTTATTTGTATTTTTTTTATTGTTTTATCTGTATTTTTGTTTTCATGAAGGAGATAGATGTGATATGAATTAAAAATTGTATTTATTATTAGAAAGTAATTCCAAAAAATGTCTATGTAAAAACACTATTTGAAAAAATGGTGTTTAAAAGTTTAAATAATTTTAAAATAAATGATTGATTTTTAACTTTTCATTTTGATTTCCTTGGCTATTATCATTTATTTTTTAGATATTTATTTTTTTATTGATAATATCTTATTTAAGACTAAATTGAGTATCTTTTTTTCCACTTTTTTTTGAAAATGCTTGATTTCTCTAGACTAAAAGATACATATTTTAATGGCTATTCTATGCTTAATATAAAATAACATTTGTATTCTAAAGTGACGGGCCTAAATATCTATGCAAATTGAGAAAATGAACTTTTGAAACTATTTTTGGATACTGACGTCTGTCTAACTAACTCTTGCTTTTGAAAACTACAAAAATTTCTTTACTTGCATTTGATAGAAAGTTTAAGTGGGAACAACAGTTCTTTATCTAGGAGAGAGACCAATTTGATAGCTGTTGGTTCTGCCAGTAGGAGTAAAACCGGGGAAAGTAATCAAATCATCCAAAGCCCCTATTATAGTTAAAATACGAAAGATCAGTTTAACATTACAAGCTAATATTTTTAATTTGCATAATTACATCCTTCAAAGACAACAGTGTACATATCTTCAGGTTCAAACATTTAATACTTTTTAAGACCATGGTCAAAGAAGAAACACTATTTTTTAAACAAAAACGATTTCAATAAACTTTCTAACTATCTAAATTGGAACACTAGTCCTTTTCATAATAATTTAAAAAAAAAAACTGCTTGCCTTCATATAGTTTCTGAAGAAGTGTTCTAATTAAAACTTTTCCCAAACTGCATCAGTTCTTAAGATAAAATCTTTGTCGTATTCTCTCCAGTCCTTACCTACATTTATTAAAATTATTTTAAATAACATCCATGGGAAGTCTTCCTCCTCTGTCTAAATAATTCATTTATTCAGCTAGAAATTAGGTTTTATGATATAATTGCTTCCTAAATTTTATATTTCTTTCATTTTGGCTTATTTTAATTTCTAAATTTCGGCTATAAAAAATGATAACTAGCTTCCTTCAAAATTCACTAAATTTTAGGATTGAAATCGCTGCTAAAAAGCTATAAGAATAGAGGAGGACAAGACTTTACTAATCTATTTATTGTGATTAACTAAATTTGTTTTACCTCTAGTGAGGAAATTGTATCCAGCGGGCATTTTGCCGTAGTCAGCAGGGAGATCTTTCTTTTCAACAGCAGAACTCATTGTAAGAATGATACTTTTTTCTTCTTCTTCTTTCTCTTTTTATTTAATTAGCTTTGTACTAATATTTTTTATTAAAAAAAAGAATCTAATCCTAAAAAGCAAATCAATAATTTAATTATGATCAAATAAATTTCATGTTAAAATGAATTAGCATTATCCTTCCATATTAATTTGCAAGGAAATTTATTTAAGAAAGGCAACATTAGAAAGAAGAAATCATATTAAATAAATCAATAAAGTCATTTAGCCTAAATAAATCAAAAAATAATAAATAATCTTCACATCTCATTATTCAATTCATACATACATACATAAATACATTTATTTCCTATTCATTTCAATTAAAATATCTTGCTTTATTCCTTTTTTATTTATTTATTTATGTTTGCTTTCAAATTAAATTATAATATTTATCATTAAGATATACTTAATTAATAATGCAGACATGCAGAAACAGATATACATATTCATTCATTCATAAATACATGTAAGAATTACTTCATTTTTATTGAAATACTTATTCATTAATTAATTCATTCATTTATTTTACCATTTTATTCATATATTTCATTCATCTAACCTCAAGCAAAGTATCTTCAAAACAAATTTACTAATTTAATATTTATACCCTTTTTAATCTTATTTAAAATATTTAAATTGGCATTTATCAATTCAAACATTAATATATTGGAAAACCGATAAAAAAACATTTTCTAAATAAGCAAAATAAAAAAAATACTTTAATTTTAAAATATTGCATATTTAGAATTTACATTTGCTTTTGATTTATTTATTTACATTAATAAAAATAAAGTAAATATATGTATTAGTGAAAAAATACTGCTTTCTACTTACAGTTTTTATATAAAATTAAAAATATTTATAAAATTGATTATTTTCTATTCATTTACAAGTTAAAATTTAAAAATTATTTATTAATTTTTAATTCAAACAATTATATTTTATTGATGTTGTTTTGGATTTAAAAATATTTTATCTGTTTGATATTTTATTTTAAAATTTTATATTTAATAATTATTTAATTTACTGAATATTTTTTTATAAATAAAGTAAAAAGTTTTAAATTTTAAATAATATCTTTTATTCAATAATTTAATTAAAATTTTATTATAAATCTAACTTTAAAATATTCTGATTTTGTTCAAATTAAATATGTAGTTAATGGAAATCTAAAATATATAAGCTTAAATGTAAATTAATATTTTTTAATTTTAATTGTAATTAATCCTAAATTTAAAAAATAATAATTTTTTATAAAATTAAAAAAAATGATTTTCTTAAAATTTTTATTTTTTATTATTCTTTTTATTTGCTTTTGTAGACTTCTTTTCATATTTTTTTATTCACCCTAAAACCAATTTTATTGCTTTTATATATAAATTATTGCTAATTTTCTACAATGTACTAATAATTAGTATCTAGCTATAAGAGTAGGATTAAAAAAATTATTAAAAATATACTATTTTCATTATCCTATAAAAAATAATAGGAATTTACATCACACTTTAGAATGATCTTTAGAATGACTGTATGTATTTATTTAATGTATTTTAATTCATAATTTTATTATATTCTTAATTAAATTTTAAGTAGAAATTAAAGAAGCATCATAAATTAGCCTAAAGTAAAGCTTATTCAAATTAAAGTTTACTGAATAAATAAAAGAAAAATGTACTATTCCCAACCTAAACACAGCCAAAATAGGCCGTAAAGCTTGATTTTAATTTTAAAATATTCAAATTTATTTAAAAAAATGATTAGATATATGTTTAGATTTGTATTTTAAAAAATAGATTTTTTAATGGTATACAAGATGAGATTAAAAATTTAGTTTAGAGCCCATCTCAAGTAGATATGGCTGAAAGCTTGGATTTGATTTAATTTAAATGCTATCAAGACATATTGAAGCAAAAGAGTGAACAAAAAGTTTAGTAAACTCCTCTTAGTTACTCATAATCTATACAATATCTTGGTAAAGAAGCAAACATAATGTTGAAAACTACTAATTTTGGAATGAATAATTTAGAAAATAATTAGTAAAGATAAAATGAAATTTAGCAGAAGAGCTCTAAATACACTCTCAATGCAAACTCTTTGAAAAACAATATAATCAAAAGGCCAATCTAGATATAGCAAGATTATTGGAGTCCTGTAGATTCAAGAGTTAAAAAATTAATACAAAAATCAACTTTAAAACAATAAAAATGTTAGTAAGAATTGGAAGACAACTTCTTAATGTACTAAAATTCAAACTAATGCTAGCAGATAGAAAGTGATTTTTTAAATACTAATGATAGCTAATTTTAATACAAAGCACCAATAAACGCATAATAGGATAAATTTTGCTAATATAAACACTAAGATGATTAGACTAAAAACATTTCAACATAATCAAATGAAAACTAAGCTTTGATTTATTCATCAACCAATAAAAATAACTTTACAAAAACGCCCTCTGTCTATCAAAAGAGGGAGAATCTATTAATATAAGAAAAATTTGCACTCAAGATTCCTAGCAAGTTAGAATTGAAAAATCTTGAAAATCCTTAATTAAGATTGTTTACGCCTCTAAAAATAAATCCTCCGTTTGTAAAAAAACCATACACAGAAAAATCTAAGACCTACACAATGGGATTTTTAAAGGCTTAGATCAATGAATATACTTAATAACCTAACGTGATTCATGCAAATAATAGATTAAGGTAGTCTTGGTAGAATCGTATTGGTAACTCTCAGTCCAAATCTAGTCTTGTTAATGAAGAAATGATGTAGACAAATGGATGGAAGCAATTTAGAAAAACCACTTCAAAATTATTTTCTTAAATGCCAAGTTCTGAATAATAACAATTACAAGAAAGAGAAATCCACAATAATTTATAAATGGACGTCCCAGATAAAAACTAGTCAAAGAGCAATTTCGAATAGCTAATGGCCTATACTAATTATAAAAATTATAGCAACTATCAATAATAATTAAATTAAGTAAATCATTAAGAAAGTAATGATTAAATGATTTAAAATGAAATAGTAGGCAGTGACTTAAACATGCAGTGTCTAAGTAATAGATCTAATTTAAGTCATCTAAATTATTAAGGTTCAACACAGTATTTAAATAAGACAAAATCAGATGGCTTCAATCACTTTTACAAATCTAATATGCTTATGAAAGATTTAGAAAAAATTCAAACTTAAAAAATAAAGGCTCAACTTAGCAATTAACAAGGGTTTAAATAATAGGCTTTGATATCTGATAGAGAAATGATTATTTAGAATCAATTACCAGGTAGTAAAATTATTTTGAAGTAAGTTCATCAAAGAAATCTTTCTCAAAAATCTGATAATGATAGTAATCATAAAGTATATTATACTCTCCCTGAAAGAGTCAACTTTTTCAAGAGTAAAAACTTTGGAAATTAAAATCAGTAAAATGATCGTTTACATAATTAAAATCTATCAGTAAAATGATTAAAAAATCACTAACTAACTAAACAAATTCTTTCATAAAAAATGAATAATTATTTATAATTTGATCAATTTTTAAAATAAATTTTAAATTATATTTTTTTACTTATTTTATGTGAAAATAAATTATTAAATTTTATTAAAGTGATAACAATATCTTTTTTTTCTAAGCAACCAACGATAATGTTATATTTTACAATGGTTTTAAATGAAATTTTTGAAATTTTTTAAGCAAATACATTTTTTTTTAAATTAAAAATTTTGTAAAGAGATTGTTGTAAACTAAAATGAACTTAATAATTCAAATAAATATTATTTTGTTGATTTGAATATGGTTGACAATAAATAAAATTGGAAGTAAAATAAATTCTTAACAATAATATTTTTATTATAAGATTTAGTTTTAAATATTTTTAAATGTGAAAAACTTTTTTTAGATAATTTGTAAATCCTAAATAAAATTAAATCCAATATTAATATAAAATTCCCTCTTTCTAATAAATAAAATATTTATTTTCTAAAAATTTGTTTCCTTTTTTATTAAATTTAATTAAATATTCAAATCATTACTAAAATAAGCCATTAAATTTCAATTATGGCATTTTTTTTTGATTTAGCAACTCTTAAAACATTTTAAGAATAAACTTTTTCGATGCAATAAATAATTTTTCTTCAAATTTGGTTAATTTAATAGTGAATAAAAAATTCTTTTTATATTTTTAAAATATATTACATTAATTTTAATTTTCCATTTTTATTTGTGAATTTTTAAGCATCAAAAATTTGATTTATACCAAACAATAGTAAAATAAATGATAGCTATTGAAATTATTTTTGATGTATTTGACTTAATTTTTTGATAGCTTTTTTTAAAGAAAGAAAACAAAAACAACTTTACTTTATTAATTTTTTAAACAATATACTTCTAAGCTAAAAATAAATGATAATTTAATTTTAATTGTATTTTAAAACTTACTTTTACTAAATTCTACATATCTCAAAAACCAATTTCAAAATAAGTAGTTGCTGTATCAGTTAGTTACATGTAATTAAACAAAAGGTTTAAGGAATATTGTAAATTTAACCTTATTATCATTGATTTTTGATAAATAATATCATAATCCTGTTACACTGTACACTTTTTATCTTTTTAGCTATTTCAACTAACAATTTTCATGAATTATTTTTAAAATTTGGCATTTAGATTTGCAAAAAAATTAGTCATAATAAATTTTGTTTAAATTTGATTAAAACTTTTGATTTGATAGAGAGATAGAAAATAACAACAATTTGTTTGGAACATCATTTATTTATTTTAAGCTAAAAATTTAAGTAATACTAAAATATTTTTATGGGAAACTGCTGCCAAAATGAGAATACGAGAGATTCTGAATTGGAGAGAATAGGTTTAAATATTCCTGCTCCAATCCCTTAAGATTCTAAAAAAAATTCACTTGTAGATCCTAATTATAGCAAAATGACTTAAAGCAAAAATCAAAACAATTTTATTAATATGAATGGCCTAACACAGCCTTAAACAAATAGAAATAGTTTAGCATCAACTCCTGCTTAAAGTGGGTCTTCTCCGCATGAAATAGGCTTTCTTTCAGGTTCTAAGAACAATGTTACTGAATGCAACAGCTTTATTTCTGGGCTAGTCCCATATAAAGAAAAAGATATAATTCAAAAGATGTAATAATAACATGAGAGTATAGGTGATTTTGTTGGGAGATCTAGATTCTCCAAAGAAAGCAACTTGTTAAGATCTTCTATGAAAAATTTTTATATCATAACTAGCATATACACACCGACTATGAGTAGTCAAAAAATTGACTTGTATAATTAGTTTGTTTAAAAGATGGAATTGTCTGGATGCAGAATTATTACTATTGAATTTGCATCTATTTCATCACCTTTTTTAGTAACAGAAGAGAACTTCTAACCATATAATTTCTAAGTAAGACTTGAAGACCCTATCTTCATTAGATTTAATGTCTTAAATTAAGTAAATAATATTATTTAGAATAAATAGAACTTATTATTTGAATCAACTGAATTTATATTTTAGTTTATACATTTTAAAATAAATTAATTAATAAACAAATGAAATGTATTTATTTAAAAAAGGTTTTGAAAAAACTCCCTGAGTCATGGGAATGGATAGGCATAGTTGACTATAATGTTTAATTTCTAGATGATAAATGGGTAGAAAAAGCTTAGGATTGTTTAAGATAAAGTAAGATAATTTAACTATTTGATACTTGCAAAGAAATAACGTCAAATAGTCGGTAATTATCTTACAAGTATGGAATAGTAAATTATTTTGAGAATATCCATAATGGCTAGCAAATTGATCTATAATAATTTTAGCAATACTTTGAAGGAGGCAAAGCTTGGGCTTTTAGAAAAGATTTTTTTACTGAATACAATAATTTAGTAGATATTTTTGTTACAGGTTTTGAAGAAACGTTTTTATCTCTCTGTTTATACGGCTAATTCACAAATTTATTTTCTAGTTATCTTAGTGAAGAATCAATTAGAATTTTTAAAAAAATTGAATAAATTTATTTTAAATCTGATAATTAATAATCATATATAAATTGCTAAATTTAAGTTGAATCTCTAAACTAAGAAAATTAAACTTAAAATATTCTTGCTTCAATATAAATTTTGAATCGTTAAATATAGAATTTATATATGGATTCTTAAGGGTAAATTCATTTAAGAAATAATGATAGTAAAGAATCTAAAGATGAAATAAAATATTTTAATAAATTCCTTCTCTGACTAATCAATCATATTCTTTAATCTAATAATTGTAACATTTTTCCTAACAAATACTAAATTAACTATCTTAATTATTCCTATCATCAATAAAAATCTATGTAAAATTGTATTGTATTCTCATTTTCCTATTCATAATTTCTAAATTCAAAACCCTCTCAAATTATTTAATTATATTTTTAATCTACTTTGAAATTTATCTATTAAAATTGTTTAATCTTTACATTTTCTCTATAAATTCTGTAATTTATTTTAATAATTCTTTCTTATTAAAAATAAAATTATTACAAAAATAATAAATAAAATAATTATTTTTTAAAGAAATAATTGAATGCTTAAAATAAAATTTTAATTTTGTAAGTCAAATAAAAATATTTAATTAAAAAAAATGCGATATATTTTAATAATTAAACAAAAATAAATTTTATATTTCATGAATTAATTTAAATTTTAAATAAAATAAAATAAAATAAAGATAAAAGTAATTAATTATATTTTCATTTGATTTGATTTAATATTTGCCTAAAATTAAATTTTAATCTTATAATCTAATTAAAGTTAGCAAAAAAAAAATATGAAAGATTTTTGAATGAGTAAATTTTAAAAAATAAATAAATCTCTAATAAATAATAAAATCTAATATTTGAATTTGCTGAATAATTAAATTTTATTTTAATAATATATTATTAAAAAGCAATTTAAAAAATAAAATAAGATAGATTTTTAGGAGAACATAAATATATTTTATATTTTCCAAATTCATTTTTGGTATTAAAATTTTTTAAATGTAGAAATTTAATTGTAAATGAAATAAAATTGCTAAATATAATTGAAATTTATAAACCATAGATTTATTTACATGAACTTATTGATTGATTTATACATTCCTTACTTATTTTATTTATTTATGATAAATTACCTATATCAATATTATATTAAATATTCTTTTCTAAAATATCTCTTTAGAAAAGTCAATCAATAAGTAGTTCTTAGAATTTATTAATTTATTGCTAGATTTTTTTTTTTGAATAAGGAACGAAGGTTGTTTCACTTTTTTTGTTTTTTAATTTACTTTAAGAATACAGACAACTTTTATTGGTTTTTATTTTCGTTAAAAATAGGATCATCTCTCTTAGCCCAGTATTACTCATCATTTTTCAATCTTAATAAATATTTAACTTTGCCTCTATATTCTCTCATTCCTAATATGTGTGTGATAATTTTTTCTTGAACAAGTTTTTATTTTTTTTGAACAGTCTCTTCGATATCTTCTTCTACTTCATCATCTTGTGCATCTCTATCTTTATTCTTTCTTTTTAAGATTTTTATATTTTTTAAACTTTCTCTTTAAACTTCTTTTTTCTTTTCATCTTTCTTTTTATCATTTTCAACCTTTTTTGATGCTTCTTTCTTTACATTGAGCTTCTACTCTTTAATTCTAGTTGAAGATCTGGATGCTTCCTAATTCTTTGTTTTTTTTTGTTAACTATCTTTAGAAGTAACATTTTAAGACTATTAAGATGATGATCTTTTAGCTACTTATGGCACTTATTTACTTGATTCCTCTTTTTCTTATTACTGTTTAAGTGCAATTTAAGATCTTGATCTTTTCATTTTAGTATGCTCTTATGCTTTTTTAGAAGATGATCTTGTTTTTAAGGATTTAGATACACTTCTTTCTACTTATTTATTTTCATTTTCTTAAGTTTTAGTTTATTTAGTTGCTTCCCTCTTTCTTAATCCTGATCTGCCCTCTTCTTATGCTGCTTTAATGGCTTTATCTATTTTATTATCTGATTTTTCTTTTAACTTTTACTCTTTTTACTCTCTTTTATTATTTGAAGCTTTTTAGGTCTCCTTTTAAACTTTCTTACTTTTTGATTTGCTTTTATTTCTTTTTTAATCACTTTCATTTGATAAATTTTCTTCTTCTTCTTATCCTTCATCCTCATCTTCTTTATCTAAACCTTGTTCGTCTTCTTCTTCAATTTTCACTTCAAGATCTTCCTATTCTTGTTCGCTTTCATCCTTCTATTGTTGTTTTTCATCCTTTAAATTTTATTTATCTTTTGAATTCTATTTCTAATTTTTCTTTTTTGGAATGGTTGATGCAACTTTTGGGAATTTAGAACGGATATTATCTAATTCTTCTTCTAACTCCTTTTCATAATCTTCTAGTTTTTGATTATAGTCATCATATTTTATATAGTTATTTTCTCTTTACTTAAATTTTTGTAACTAGACTTCATAAAGTTGCTTCTATTTTTCATAATCTTTTTTCATCTCACTTTTTTTTTTGGAATCAAAATTATTCCAATCATCTCCAATCAATTTAGTGATTTCATTATGCGATTTTTCAGGGTAATTCTTTAAATATACTTCAATATTTTCAGAAAAAAATTAAAAATAAGGAGTAATAGGTTTCTTAGGTTTAAGAGTGAGCTTGTTGTAAAGGTCAATTAACTTATTATACTTTTTAAAATCCTATTCGTAGGTCTAGATATATCTTTCTTTTTAAGCCTCACTCATGCTCTCCCATTGCTTCTTTAAATATTGAGTTATCATATTAGGTGTCCAATCTTGATTTTTCATTTTTATTTAATTAAACTTCTCCATGTGGAATCTTAAAAAGATAGTTAATGGCTTTTTGGGCTTGCGAATTTCTTCGCTTCCTCCCTATAATTTCACTTTTAAATGCTCCTTTTTTTCCTTCAATTAATTAATGAAGTCATCAAATCCATCATCATCATCATTGCCTGGCATTTTTTCAATATTGTGTTACTCTATAAATTGTTTCTACCTCTTTATTTTCCCACTCTTTTTTTTAATATTTTAAGATTTGAAATTTAAAAGATCTTTCCAATTATCGGGATAATTAAAGCACTTTTTAATTAATAATAACTTTAAATTTTATAAATACTGAAATATTAAATTCTTTTTATAATAACTTTTTTATTCAAGTCCTGTTAAAATTATTATTTCTATTTTATTCTCGTAGATAAATAAATATCAACAATTTAAAGATTAAAATTTAATATTTAAAAAATAGATAGAGAAAAATATTAGTTGTAGGTAGGTATTATAAACTTCAATAACTTTGAGAATTAGATTCATTTTAAAAAAATGTTTGAAAAAGAAATTTTAATTTTTTGCTAAATTTGAAAAGGAAACCTCCATTTTTAGTTAAAAAACAACTAATATTAATTAAAAATTTTACTTACCCACCATAAGCTGTAAATGTAATGACATTAAATCCTTTATAAAGATGTGTCGTATCCTATTCAACCTACAATAAATTTTACATGAATAGTCCTTAAAAATTCAATTTTTCAACAAACATATTATCATTAAAAATTTCATCTAATTAATCAAGATAAATAAAAAATAAATTCCTTAATATGATATTAATTTATTAAAGTAAATTTAATTTTTTTGTTTTTTGTAAATTATTTATTAATTTATATGGTTTTATTTATAAAAATATAAAAAACAATAATAAAATCTATCTATCTATTTAGGTATCTATATTTTAGGTTAAAAATGCTTTTTCAAAAAAATATATAATAAAACATATTAAATTCTATTATTCAAATATTTAATCATCCTTTTTTCGCCACTTATTTATTATCAGTCGAATTATATTTGAAAGATAACTAATCTTTTTGATTTAAGACATTTGCTTATTACTTTGAACTTTTATGATTTATTCATTAATGCTGGCTTATGACTTTTATTAAAAATTAGTGTAAATTTCAAATAAATATGAAATAAAATTAATTTTTAGTTAATAATTATTTCTTAAATTAATAAATAAAAAAAATTAGAAGAATAAAAAAGATAAAGAAAAATAAATAAAATAAAATTAAAAGATATTTATTGTTTTAAATTAGTTTTTATAATTAAAAATATTACAATTAAAAAAATTGTCTTTAAAGGTTAAGTTTCAAATTTGAGAGATTACAGCAATTTGCTAAAGCAGAACCTAAGCCTAATGCACCTTCAACACCAATTTTATTTTCCCTTTTTAAATATTGAACAAAAAATTAGTGAGTTAGAAGGAAAAAATGAAGAAATAATATGAAATAATAAGAAATGGATTAATTAATAATAAAAGCAAGAGTTAAAAATGTAAAAATGAATTAAATTAACAAAAAGAAAAGAAAAAATACATGTAAAATAAAAAATAATAAGATAATAAACAAATAAATAAATCAAATGAGTTAGTTTTTTTTAATTTAGTTTTATAATTAAAAAATTTCAAAATCAAAAACAAATAAACAGTTTTTACTAAAGGTTAAGGGTCAAATTTGAGAGATTAATACAATTTGCTAAATCAGAACCTAAGCCTGATGCACCTTTGTTGCCAATTTAATTTTGACTTTTTAAAATTTAAGAAAAAATATATTATTAAATAGTTAATTAGAATAGAAGGAAAAAATGAAGAAATAATATGAAAAAATATTAATTAAAAATAAAAGCTAAAGTTGAAAATAAAATGATGAATAAAATTAACAGAAAGAAGAAGAAAAAAAACAAGCACAATAAAAAGAAAAAGGAAAAAGAGCTTTATTGTTTTATATTAGTTTTTATAATTATAAAAATATCACAATCCAAAACAAATAAACTGTTTTTACCTAAGATCAAGTGTCAAACTTGAGAGATTAGAGCAATTTGCTAAAACAGGACCTAAGCTTTATGAAACTTCATTATCAATTTAATTCTGACTTTTTAAATATTGAAGAAAAAATATATAATTAAATAGTTAATTAGAAATAAATAATGAAGAAAAAATATGAAATAATAAGATTAATTAATTAATAATAAAAGCAAAAGTTGTAAATATAAAGATGAATTAAATTAACAAAGAAAGAATAAAAAAAGCAAGAAAGCACAATCAGAACAAAAAAAAGCTTTATTGTTTTAAATTAGTTTTTATATTTAAAAATATCACAATCCAAAAAAAAATAAACTGTTTTTACTCTAAGTTAAGTGTCAAATTTGAGAGATTAATGCAATTTGCTAAAGCACAACCTAAGCCAGATACACCCTTTGCACCTATTTAATTGCGACTTTTTAAATATTGAAGAAAAAATATATAATTAAATATTTAATTAGAAGGAAAAAATGAAGAAAAAATACAAAATAATAAGATTAATTAATTAATAATAAAAGTAAAAGTTGAAAATAAAATGATAGTTAAATTAACAAAAAAAGAAAAAAAACAGCAAGCAAGCACAATAAAAAGAAAACAGAAAAAATAGTTTTGTTGTTTTAAATCAGTTTTTGTATTTAAAAATATCACAATCCAAAAAAAATAAACTGTTTTTACCTAAGATCAAGTGTCAAATTTGGGAGATTAATGAAATTTGCTAAAGCAGAACATAAGCCTGATGCACCCTTTGCGCCCATTTAATTGCGACTTTTTAAATATTGAAGAAAAAGTATATAATTAAATATTTAATTAGAAGGAAAAAATGAAGAAAAAACATGAAATAATAAGATTAATTTATTAATAATAAAAGCAAAATTTGAAAATAAATAATCAATTAAATTAAAAAAGAATGAAGTAAAAAAAAAACAAGTACAATAAATAGAAAAAGAAAAAAAAGCTTTATTGTTTTAAATCAGTTTTTATATTTAAAAATTTCTCAATTCAAAACAAACAAACTGTTTTTACGAAAGGTAAAGTGCCAAATTTGAGAGATTAATGCAATTTGCTAATGTAGAACCTAAGCCTGATGCACCTTTTGCACCCATTTAATTTTCACTTTTTAAATATTGAAGAAAAAATATTTTATTAAAAATTCAAATAGAATGAAAAAATGAAGAAACAATATTAGTTAAATTAACAAAAAAAGGATAAAAAAAAGCAAGCAAGCACAATAAAAAGAAAAAGTAAAAATAACTTTATTGTTTTAAATTAATTTTTATATTTAAAAATATCACAATCCAAAACAAATAAATTGTTTTTACTTCAGATAAAGTGACAAATTTGAGAGATTAATACAATTTGCTAAAGCAGAACCTAAGCCTGATGCCCCTATTACACCAATTTAATTGCGACTTTTTAAATATTGAAGAAAAAATATATAATTAATTAGTTAATTATAAAGAAATATGAAGAAAAAAATGAAGAAATAATATGAAATAATATTAAGTAATAATAAAAGCAAAAGTTGAATATAAAATGATGAATTAAATTAACAAAGAATGAAAAAAAAAAAAGCAAACAAGCTTAATAAAAAGAAAAAAAAGCTTTATTGTTTTAAATTAGTTTTTATATTTAAAAATATCACAATTCAAAACAAATAAACTATTTTTACTCTAGGTTAAGTGTCAAATTTGAAAGATTAATGCAATTTGCTAATGCAGAACCTAAGCCTGATGCACCTTCTGCACCTATTTAATTTTCACTTTTTAAATATTGAGGAAAAAATAAATAATTAAATATTTAAATAGAATGAAAAAATGAAGAAAAAATATGAAATAATAAGATTAATTAATTAATAATAAAACTAAAAGTTGAAAATTAAATGATGAGTTAAATTAACAAAAAAAGAATAAAAAAACAAACAAGCACAATAAAAATAAAAAGAAAAAATAACTTTATTGTTTTAAATTAATTTTTATATTTAAAAATATCACAACCCAAAACAAATAAACTGTTTTTACGAAAGGTAAAGTGTCAAATTTGAGAGATTGATGCAATTTGCTAAAGCAGAACCTAAGCCTAATGCACCCATTACACTAATTTAATTGCGACTTTTTAAATATTGAATAAAAAATATATTATTAAATAGTTAATTATAAAAAATGAAGAAAAAAAATGAAATAATAAGATTAATTAATAATAAAAGCAAAAGTTGAAAATAAAATGATGACTTAAGGGGGGGGGGGGGATATACAAATATTTTTATTTCAAAGAACTATTAAAAATCAATTTACTAAGTTACGATTTTTTTTAGGGAAACTTTTTTTAAGCCTCCCCCCCTTAAATTAACAAAGAAAGAAGAAAAAAAAGCAAACAAGCACAATAAATAAAAAGAAAAAAGAGCTTTATTTTTTTATATTAGTTTTTATATTCAAAAATATCATAATTCAAAATAAATAAACTGTTTTTACTCAAGGTGAAGTGTCAAATTTGTGAGATTAATGCAATTTACTAAAGAAGAACCTAAGCCTGATGCACCTTCGTCACCAATATAATTGCAACTTTTTAAGTATTTAAGAAAACATATATCATTAAATAGTTAATTTTAAACAATGAAGAATAAAAAAATGAAATAATAAGATAAATTAATTAATAATAAAAGCAAAAGTTGAAAATTAAATGATGAGTTAAATTACTAAAAAAAGAAGAAAAAAAAGCAAGCAAGCACAATAAAAAGAAAAAGAAAAAATAGCTTTATTGTTTTAAATTAGTTTTTATATTTAAAAATATCACAATCCAAAACAAATAAACTGTTTTTACGGAAGGTAAAGTGTCAAATTTGAGAGATTAATGCAATTTGCTAAAGCAGTACCTAAGCTTGCACCTCCTTCATCAAATTTTTTGATATTGCTTAAATTTTGAAGAAAAAATATTTAATTAAATAATTAATTAGAAGGAAAAAATGAAGAAAAAATATGAAATAATAAGATTAATTAATAATAAAAGCAAAATTTGAAAATAAAATGATAGTTAAATTAACAAAAAAATGAAAAAAAATCAAAACAAAATAAAAAGAAAAGGAAAATAAAATAAATGAGCTTTAATATTTTAAATTAACTTTTATAATTCAAAATATTATATTCGAAAACAAATAAACCTGTTTTGATCAAGTGTAAGTGTAAATACAAAATATAATATAAAATAATAAAAAAGGAATGATAAATAATTAAAAATAGAAATTTAAATTAAGTTAAAATAGCTAAAAAATTTTGAGAATTTCTATTAGAAATTATTTTTTTAAATAAATTGAAAGTTAAATAAACAAAAAATATTAATAATAGTAAAAATTATATTTATAAATTAAATATACTATAGATCAATATGAAGAACCTAATGAGATAAAAATGAAGAGTTTAAAAACTTTTTTTATTAATAAAAATAAATGAAAAGGATAATAATAAAAAAATAAATATTTACTTCTTCGAATTTGTAATATTTTTTAATCTATTATATCATTTATTTTTTTTTCAAAAATACTGAATAGTAATTTAATCAAAAGAATTTAATTAATAAATAATGGATAAAAAAGAATATAATAATTAATTATCAAACATTAATTTATAAATTTGCTTTTAAGAAGAGATATCTCAGAAAAATTAATTTAACATTAACTATTTAGTCTTAATATTTTTATTTTAAAATAATACTTAAAAATATAGTAGAAATTAGAGATGGGAAGTTAGTTAGTCATATTTGAAATAACTCTAGTAATTAATTAATTAATTTTCTTAAATTTTATAAAAATAATTTTGATAAGTATATTTTTCTGTTTTAGCTCAGTAATTAATTATAAGAATATTAATAATATCTTTAATTATTCTCTAATCCTATTTGTTCTTTTGCAAGCACAAGTTATTTAGGTGTATATATTGCATCCACCAAATAAATGCATTTATATTTACTAAAATAACTTTTTAATAAATAGAGTACAATACTTTACTCACTATTCCTTTTAAAATTCAGAGAATGAAGGTAGTAAATATAATCATATGGGATAATTTTTGGTTAATATTAAAAAATATTTTTAAAGGTTATAACATTATATAATACATTTAATATAATAAATCAGAGATTAATTTTGAACTGAACTATTTTTAAAGAATCAAGGCATTAAATTTCAGTTCATTTCATATTTTTTTAATACTGAATATTAGGTGATCAAAACAAAATTTTCTTTATACTTCTTTACCTATTCTATTATTTTTAATTAATAAGTTTGAAAAATTAAATTTTAATGAAAAAGAAAACTTCAAAAATATGGATTTATTTTTAGTAAAACAAATTCTAAACACATATTTTAACCCAAAAAAAAAGCAATTAATTGAGTTTAAAGTTATTTTAGATAATTTTTATAATAAATATCCAAATCCAGATTCAAAAAAATTTAGTGTTTTTATATATTTCTTTTTTTTAAAAGAATAATTTTAAATTTTATTATGTTTTATTTTGTATAGATAATAAACCAAGTAATAGCCAAACTTGTGCAAATTAAACTGCATAGTTATATTTTTATTTTTTCTTTCTTAAGTGATAAAATTTTAATATGTACTTTTATAAATATATATTTAATTAAAAAAATAATATTTTAATTAAATTGATGAATTTTATGAAATATTTTGATGAAAGTCTTATTATTAAATGAAAATTTTATATTATTTATAGAATAATTAATTAGATTAATATTGATTTTTACAATAAAAAGCAGCTACTATAAAATTTAAAATGGAAACATACTAAATTCTTATTTTAATATTTTAAATTATATAATATATTTTAATCATAGGAATGTGTCTAAAGTTACAGTAACAAAAGTATTTTTATCGCTGTCCCATTTTGTTATGAATTATTCAGGTATAGGTGTGTCTTTCTTTTTATTTTAAACGAATTTTAATTTAAATCAAAAAATTATTTTTAAATTACCTCCATATCTCCTTCTTCATTAAGAGCATAAGTAACATTAATACCGCTACTCTTTGAAGTGACAATATCGCAAATCTTGCTCTTTAAAAAGATAACACGGATTGTGTCACTCTTGTCAATTTATATAGAAGGAACTCTATTTTTATTACAATAAGTTAATTAATCTAAAAATATCTTTTTAATTTCATACCCTTCAGCAATATAAACTTCACAAGATTAGCAATCAACTGTTTCAACACCAGATACTGCATTCTTTTAATTTAAATTATAATGTTTATTATAATGCTTCTATATTAATATATAATAATTACAGTAACCAAAACTTTTGTTTTCTTGCATTTATTAACGAAAACAGATTTAACCTTGCCCTTCACAATAATTGTGGAATTATTGCAGCCTTCAATAAACAAAGATTATTTAAGAGAAATTTCTCCTTCATCAAATTAAATTCTTTCATTTACATAATTTTCCTAGTTTTAGAATAATAAATATATTTATTTAACAAAAGAAAACTTAATGCTTACCACAAACCAGTTATCTTTTTGATATTTTTTAGGTTCTTTTACTTATTATTATGTTTCTTTCTTTATTGTGTTAGAGCTAGGAGCTGCATTAGTTGGAGCTTATGTAGATTTCTTTTCATACTTTTCACCTTTTTTAACATGCTTCAAATCTTTATTTATAGAAAAATTAGTTTTAATAATAATTTTTATAAAATATTTATTTGGTCAATTACGAGCTTTAATAGCATCTTCTCCTACATTAAGAGCACTTAAAAGAGCAGTTCTTGATTCACCTGATTCTTCGTTAGAGCCTTTGAAATCTTCTAATTTAATTTGTTCAATATTAAGCATAGGAGGAGGGGGAGGTGGTGGCATGCCAATAGGAGGAGGAGGTATGTTAGTAACTTAAGTAGGTTATTCAACTTTTTTTTCACCTTTAAGAATTGAGTACAACTCGCTGTAATCATCTGTACCATGGAAATTCCACAATAGACCAGTACTGAAATTCATTAAAACATATGCTTTTTTTTAAAAAATATATTAATAAAGCAAAATATTGCAAAGTGATTATTATACGAACGAGAGATTTAAGAGAAGCCTTAAAAGTGTTATACCAAGCTGTGTGCTCAGGTTGTTTCATAAGTAGGATTTTATTTCCATAGAATTCTGATGATTCAATACCATTATCCAATGAAAGCTTAGGTGTTTCCTTTGATTTATGTAATATAGTTAATTAAAAAATAATTTTATAATTTATTTACACTAATGACCCAAAGGACAGCTGAAATACCTTAAAGTGCAGTTTTAAAGTGGTTAGGGAATGAAATTCCTGCTTTACTGGCATTCATAGGTTTAAATATTTTATCATTTAAAATTGTTTATATTTGTTTAACATTTTCTGGTTATGGCTTTTTGAGTTTTTTAGCAAAAGTCATAACTGTTTACATAGATTCAAAAGATTAGACAATAAAATCTGATAATTCCTTAATTAAAGGGTCTAAATTTTGATAGGCAGCCTTGAAATCAGATAAATGTTTTTCAAATTCAGTCATAGGAGGATAAGCATCTGATTAAGGTTAAGGTGCACTTTATAAAACGGGTACATGAGATTGTGTTTATTGAGCTCCGCTCTTAGAAGCAATAACATCTTCTAACTATTTTTCACCTTTTAAAACTGAATATAATTCAGAGTAATCATCAGTTCCTTGGAAATTCCATAGTAAACCAGTAGAGTAGTTAGTTAAAACATATGCTAATTCATAAAATTAGTTAAATTAAATTTAATTAGTTTGTAAATTTTATTCTTACGTAAAAGAGACTTTAATACTGCCTTAAAAGCATTATTCCAAGCAGTGTGCTCTGGTACTTTCATGAGCAAAATTTTGTTTCCATAGAATTCTGAAGATTCTATACCGTTGTCAATATATATTTTAGGAGTGTCCTTATTTTTTTAAATTTTAATTAATTTTTCAAGTTTTAAAAAAAATGAAACTTACACAAATGACCCAGTTAACAGCAGAGATACCTTAAATTACAGTTTTTAAGTGGTTAGGATATTTAATTCCTGCCTTTGCAGAGTTGATTGGCTTAAAAACTTTATCATTTAAGATACTTGAAATTTATTTTATGTTATCTTGTTATGGTTTTTTGAGATATTTTGAAAATTGCATGACAATCTTCATCTACTCAAAAGCTTTTACAGTGAGTTATGTTAATTCTTAGAGCTCAGAATCCAATTTTTCTCCTGCAGATAGGTAGTCTTTCACATGTTGGTCAAATTCTGTCATTGTAGGGTAGTGAGATTAGAATTATTACTTTTATGCATGAACTTAAGGCTACACAGAAGGAGCTTAAGTTTATTATATTACGGGTGCTTAAACTTATACTGGTGCTTAGGGTTGCTATTATTATTAAATAACTGGTTCTACTACAGTTGGTTGCTATTATTGAACAGGTTACGGAGGAGGAGGGAGTTGAGTCTAAGCTTACACTTAAGTTTATTGGCTTGTTTCTTTAACCTAAGTTGGTTAGCTTTATGAAGGTTTCTATTAAAGAGGAGTAACTGTGTCTGGATTTTATGATAAATCTACTAATTATCTATCTAATGTAACTCTAATTTCTGCTCTCAAATGGCTAACTAACTCTGAGAAGTCTCCTTCACCCTTACTGTTCCAGATTAAACCATGAGCATAATGTTATTGAACATAATCTAATTAATTTTAGAATGAATTATTAAATGAAAATAATACGAAAAATTAACATCTAATAATATATTTTAATAATATTCTAAAATAATTTTGACCATATTTATTTTTTAATATGATTTAAGAAACAATTAATATTAAAAATTATTTTAATTATGCAAAGATATTAAATTATTATATTTCTTTTGAGCTTTTTTATGAAAAGTGTAAATAAATATTTACCACTGAGAGCTTTAAGTGCTTTGTTAAAGTATGCTCCCCATTAGGAAAGAAGCTCGTTACCATGTTATTTCAATTTGTTATATCCGTAAGCAGTATTTTCAATAGCAGTATCTATGCTAGTCTTAGGATTTTCCTAAAATATTTTTATTTTTCAAATTACAAATATTATTAAAAATAAGTAATAATTATATAAATATAATCAATATTACACTAAAAACCCAGTATACTGATGAGAGACCATCTTATATTGTCTTAGTATGAGCTAAGTGATTAGGGAAATTCTTGGAGATAGATTAGATTTTGTTATTTAGAATTTAGTTAACACTCTAAACTTAATTTTGGAAGGGCTTTTTAGTAGTAGCAGCTTATTCCATAATCATTTTCATCATCTCAAAGATTATCAATGTGGTTTAAGTCTTTATAATACAAAAATATAAAATGAATTAGTCATTTTTTGAGTTGTAAATAAATAAGAATTACTAATTTTGCAACATCTAAGTCACCTAGTTACTCGGAAACAGCCTCAAAATTGACAAGAGCCCTATCGAATTCGATCATATCAGCAAAAGAATAGCAAACTGATTTTTTACGCCTTTGCTAAGAGCGGTGTAATACAGTCTATGATAACTGTTCTATGATGACATTGAGCTCTGGTTAAAGGTGCTACTTTTGACTAACTGAAACTAGCTATTCAATTAATTCTTAGATTTGAACTATTTAAGACATTAATAAAAATCTTAGTAGATATTTTTGTATTTAACAAATGTATTTGATTAATAATACTATATTTTTTTATTTAGTAAAATTTTATTTTTTGTATCACCACTTTTCTTATTAACAAATGAAAACAAACAATAGCTTTTCTGATGATCAGTCAAAGAATCAATCAATAAACAAATTGATTAATAATTAATTAAATAAGAAGATACGCGAATCAAATAAAATTCATATGTTTTTTACCTAAAAATAAAAAGATATTTTGATATAAATTAATTCTTTAATAACACCAAATGTTTAACAATAATTAATATTACCTTAAAATACTAATTAATTAATATCTGTTCAGATATTATATTGAATAATAAATATTTTTTATTCACAAGCAAAATTAAGATTCTGGATTAATTAATTTTTTTAGAGTTTCAAGACATATTATCCATCTCTTTCTAAAAAAATTACTTACTCAAAAGAGTTATTCTACTTATTAATTAAAAAAGAAATATAAAGAAAATGAAAGAATCCCTCTTAAGGAAATCAATTAACTAAAGTGAAGATAGCAAAAATCATATAGAAGATGAAGAAAGTGAAAAAAAGAAGTAAATAAATTGAAATAATTAATAGTTTTAAGATTAATAATTATTTTATTATAATTTTAAGCGAAATAAATATTATTAGAAATTTAAATAATTTACTATTATAAACAGGTTATCTGATATAGCAAATAAAGCTAACGAAAAGAAGAAAGCAGAATTCATGAAAAAATAATTAATAATAAACTAAAATAAATTTGCAGTTATTATTGTATTTATAATAATAATATTCTTAGTTTTAAATGGATTCGCAATATATTCTCACATAAACAACAAATGAATGAGTAGTATAAACATAGCGAAATCTACATAGATGGATTAATTAAATTATTAAAAATATTAACAAAGTATTCAATAAATTTAACTAATTAGAATTACTAAAATTACTGTAAAAGTTCAATTAAAAATTTAAAGAAATCTAACAAATTATAAGAAAATAAACATAAAACTTTATCATATTAATACTAATAAACATTAAAATATAATAAATTATCATAAAAAAATTAAATTATTCTTATTTGTATTGAAAATTTTTATAAATTTTGATTTAAACATTAATATCATTATGCTAAATTAATTCATTCTTTTAATTTATTTTATCTGTTTTAAATATTAAATATATGCATCAGATATTTTGTTATTAGCAACTGCATAAATAGCTAAAACAAATAGTGAGTACTAGGTATACAATAACTTAAAAAAACTACAAAAATATTTGTTAAAAAAATCCAAAAATTAAAAATGATCAAAATATTAATTATCCTTTCATACTTTATACTAATTTTCTAACTTCTTTTTTGATTTTTTGAGAGTTTTTCGAAAAACATGTAGTATGTATTTCTTATTAATTAATTATTTGATATTTTTTTATTGATAAATTGATCCAACAAATTTTTTACTAAATATTTTAATTTAAATAAATAGATATTTAAAATTTTAAAGTTATATTAGAAAAGGATTGACATCGATTGACATAAATTTGAATTTAAAAATACTTTAATTATTAGTTCTTTATTAATTAACTTTATTTTGAAAATTTAGTCACTCATAACTCTTTGAGTATAAATATTCAGCCTTATTATTTTTAAAAAAATTAATTGTTTATTTATTTTTATTAATTTTGTATAAAAGTTTACCAAAAATTCAATTGGATCATCAGGAAGCATATTACTGACTTCTAACAAACCCTCATTTAATTCTGGAACTATATACTCCATAAGGTAGTTTCTGAAAGGGAGATTCTTAATCTTATCGATTTCTAGCTCATTTTTAATGATATAATTTATTTATTCTTATGCAAGATCTTCTCTATCTTGTTTTTGCTTTAAGACTACTTTTTATTCTCTTTAAAATAATTTAAATTAAAATCCATAAATTGAAAAATAAATTCATACTCTTCTTTCTTTATTAATTTTTATTCTTCATTTCTTTTATTTACATCATCGTAGTAACCTTGATGCTTTTTAACTAACTCGGACTCATCTACTAAATAGTTATATGGTCTTCCTTACTGTAAATTAATCAAAAATTTTGTTAAAAAAAGCACACTAAAATTTCATAAAATAAATCAAAGTTTACTCTTTCAATATAAATTCTTTAGGATTCAAAAGCTTCAAATAATGTCTTGCCAGTTGTGTCAGTGATATATGCTTCTACATCATTCTTAGAGAAGTAGTCTATTATCTCACATTTCGAATTATTCAATACAATTTCTCTATTTTATACTATTCCTATTTTATTTATTTATTTATTTTGATGTTAACCTATTTTCATTTAAAAGTCTCTTTTTACTTTTTATGAAGATGATTGATTCTGGATGATAAGGTTCTACTTTTGGTTTTGGGTTATCTGGATCTTCTTCTTCCTCTTCTTCTTCAGGAGGTTATTCTTCTTCTTCAGGTGGTTATTCTTCTTCTTCTTCCTCTTCCTCCTCTTCCTCTTCTTCTGCTTCAGGCTATTCCTCTTTTGGGAGTACTTAATTATTATTGTTTTCATTTTCTTCTTATCCCTCTTCTCCTTCATCTTCTTCCTCATCTTCATTTTCCTATTCTCCCTGGCTTTTTTCTTCACTGACTTTTTTTTGTTGTTCTTATTATTCTTGAGCTTAATTATCTTCATCATCTTATTTCTTTGCTTTCTTTTTCTTTATTTTCTTTGGCTTTGGTCTTACCCTATCCAATTTCTTTTTTTCTAAATATTTAATAGAATTATTTGATATAAAATTATTTGATTTTTCTTTTTCATGAATATATTTTACATGGATAAAAGATGAAGCCCGCCTCTTCACCAAAGAGAGGATAGTTATCAAGAATATATCCTCTATTGAAACAATCATTTTAGCTCAATCTCCATCTAATTACTCTGTACAATACTTTCAAAGTCTCATCTAATTTTCTTGGCTTTTAATACAAAATTGAAATGAAATTAATATAATAAAGAAATTAATTAGCTACTTATTTTGAGTCTAAATATTCTATAATCTTGCCATACTCTTCTCTTAAATCTTCTCCAAGAATATCTTGTTCTTTGGACTATCAGTAATAATTACAAATATTTTAGATTTTTATTAAAACATCAAAGCTACTTACGATATTCTATTTCACCCATTCGACAACCTCTCTGATTTTAATCACAGGTATTCTGTAATGCTAGGAGATTCTAAAAAAATTTTATCTTACTCATTTCAATTTAAAATAAAAAAATTTACTCTTCAACACATTAATCGAATCTTAAATCTTATCTTTCATTTTCAGGGGTAAACATAATAACTTTTATAGGTCTTAGCTCTATTATTTTTGGTACATTTGACATTATATAAATTAAAACTAATAATATTACTATGTTCCCTTTAAAACTCTTAGAGTACTTTAGCATTGTTAATAGGATCAGTTAATCCTTTCTGTTAATTAAAATAAAATAAATAAATAATTATTAATTAAATATTTTATTTTCAATATAAAGATCATGATACCTCACAAGTCCAATCAAATTCAACTGGATTTTCCTCATCTCCAACAAGAAGAGGAGATGGTGTCATATCAACATCTAAATTAAATATATCAATTGTATGTTCATCAATCAAATTAGTGGAATCATCTTATACAATTTATTTGGAGCCAACTCCATCTGAAATACTTTAAATAATTGCTTTCTATCTTCTATCCTTTGTATTATCTATGGCAAACAAATAATTGTTTTCAGGAGGATTTTCAGCTACTTTAATGACAAATTTAGCTAAATCACTGATGTGGATTGTTGGAATCAAATTTTCTCCTTCTCCAACATAGGGAAGAGCTTGTGGATTCTAAAGCCAGGCTGCTTTGAAGTGATTTCTAAAGGCAAGTTCACCTAATCCGTAAAGTATACCTGAACATACAACAATAACTTTCAAGTTTTCTTTATTTAATCTTAGCATTAAGTCTTCCATAATTTTCATTTTTTTATATTTTTCAGAACACTTTCTCTTTTTGTAATCAGCCTCATTGTAGGAAGTATATTCAATAGGTTCTTCTTCTTCTTATTAAACTTCATCTTCCTATTTATTTTTATTTTATAAATATTAAAAAACTAAATAAATTACAATTTATTATCGTTTCAGATTTAAAGTTTCAAATTATTTGCAATTTTTTGCATATGAAATTTATATAATTTATTATTACTTGCTTTTAATTATCAAAGTCTCCTGCCTATGAAGAATTTTTTTCACTAGCTGCTTATGAGTTTTCATTTTGTTCTTCGTTCTCTTCTTCCTATTATTCCTCTTCTTAGGGTTTTTCTTACTCAGCATTCTCGCCTTCTTCACCTTCTTCAGGCACAACAGCTACTTTTTCTTTAATTTTTTTTGGTGTTTAATTCCAAACCATTACATCCGATATTATTATTAAAGTCTATTATAATAAATAAAATGTAATTGTAATTATTGTTCCAATTTAAAAATCTTAATTCTCTCAGAAAATATTGCTAATCTTCATTTATGCAAATATTAATAATGCAAATCTAAAATATTGATCAGACATAAATCAATCAATCAGTCAATCAATCAATTTATTTTTTAAGAGATGAAATTAATCTTTGAATTCTATAAATGAACTACTTTTTATTCTTCCAATGTTGCCTTATCTAAAATATTTCCTCCAAATAAAACATCATCTAAATCGCCAAAATGAAGATCATAAATGTAAACATCGCATTCTTCAAGCATTTTTTTTCTCATTAATTTAGGCTTTGCATGTCTATTTAAAACTTTTTTGACTCCTTTTGGACGATCTCTTTTAGACTGGTCCATGTAGGTTACCATATGAACAGGGTCTTCAGTTTCTTCTTTTGTAAGCTCCTTCAAGATCTGCTAACCTATTATGGAGTCATGATTATTAATAAAATATCTTTTGGACATCAATCAATATAACTAACTACTATTAATATTGAATATTGTTTTCAAAAGAATAATTAATTATATATCTTAATCAAATTAAAAGAAATAATTAATACAAAAAATCAATAGAATTTTAATAAAAATTATAAAGTATTAGCTAATTAATATTCAATAAACAAAATAAATAAATAAATTAATTAATTAATTACAAATAATCTTGAATGCCCAAAATCAAGAAGTTATACAAATAAATTAAAAACTCATTAAAAAACTAATCTGATTTCAATGCAAATAATAACAGCTATTTATTTAATTATTTTATAAGCTCTAAAAGGCAAAGATTTAATGGTTCTTTATTTAAAAAACATGTCCACTTTATCTTTTTAACAAAGCTTATTAAAGATATTGATCATACAAATCATGAGAATATTTTATAAAAACAAACTTTTGCAATAAATAAAGCTGAAAATTGATTAATTACTTGTCTTATGTTATTAAAATAATTTAAACAAAAGTCTCTAAATAAATTTAAGGCTAAATATAATACAGATTGATTGCATTTATATAGATAGATTCTATTTACATTAAATTATTTTTAATTTTTATATTTCAGTTTAAATAATTTATTTTTTTTTGTACATTTTTAACATTTTTTCATATTAAATTTAAATAAGTTTAGTTTGTTGGTTGAACTTCTGCAAAAGTATAATCTTTCTAATTTTTTCTATGGAATTATTCATTTTATCTTTATTATTATTTACCATCACTTTAATTTTAAGAGGAGGGATATTTACTGTTTTTAAAAAGAAAAGAGCTGTCTTAATTGCTGATATTATTGATTAAGTTATTTTCAATGATTGAGTTACTATTTTAATCTTTCTTTGACTATATTGTAATGTAAAAATTATAAATTAAATTATTTTTTTATGACTGCTTGGAATAATTATATTATTCGTTTTCAGAATTTTTCACCTTTTTTACTTTATTAATTATGTTCTCGAAAGATTCTTCGATACTTTTATTGTTGTTGTTCAATATTTGATCATTAACGTTATGTTCGTCTGACTTTTATATGCTAATAGTTAAACGTAATTTTTATGTTTCTTCCTTAAACTCAACATTTATCTTTTGGTAGTAATTTATAAAAGATATAATTGTGTTAATAATTATGTGGATACTTGTCAAGTAGATTTCTTTTGTGAGTATAGAGTTTTTTTAAAAATTTATTGAAAGAAAATGATCCTTAAGTTTCTTTTATTCTTTGTAGAGCTAAAAAAAGGTAGTCATATTCTTTTCAATCAATTAAACTGTGTATTTGATTTGCTAATTATTTTATTGTTCATCATCATAGCTAGTTTCTATTATCTTCTCTTTTGGATATGTCAGGATACGATACAAATCTAACTCATTTTATATTATATGACAATAATCTTCATAAACATTTATTATTTTAATTCTTTAAGGATCGCCTTTTGCGAAATTTCTGATAATGTTGATAAAATATTGCAGAATTATAAATTTTCTACTTATTTTCAGAAAAAGCCGGTCATTTTATACTATCTAAATTGCATAATAATTTACAGATTTGTCCAAATCTATTTGATTGTTTTTGTATCTTGCTTAAAAGTCCTAAAAGCTAATAAAGTTAGCTGAAAAAGATTCTTAAAATCCTTATTTCAATTTAAAAGTGAACATTTTAGGATTCTTCTAAATTTCTCTTCTAGATTTGTTTTACAATATATCTATAAATTTTTTTTTGTCCTCTTCTGTCTCGTAATTCTAAATATTAAAAAAAACTCTTTGCATCTAATTTAAGTGTTCTTTAGCATTTTGATTAGCATTAATAAGCTCATTATCTAAAATTTATTTGCTCTGATCTATTTTTTAGTTTATGAATAAATAAAATAAATAAGCAAGCATTGAATTAATTTTAAATTCATAAAATATTTGATTTTAACCTACAATAATGCTATGAAATTTTATTTTCTAAAGTTTTCATATAATAAAAAGCATGATATTTTTATATATTTTTAAAAAAGTATTTTTTGATTAATTTTGAATGTAATAAAACAAAAAAATCGCTTATACTATTTATTAAAGCTTTGAAATGTAAAAATATTACTTGCATCAGATTATTTGTGCTTAACTAGAATTATTTCTTAATTGTCTAAAGAGGCTATAAAAAATTCCAGCTTTTTAAACTTTTGTTCATTTAAATCTTTTTAGTAAGAGAGAAATTTACTAAAATTTAAGTTATATGTTTAGTTAAAGTAGAGGCAATAGTTTAGAAATAAGTTACTTAATCCAGCTAACACGTCTAAAACACAGTTTTAGATGCTAACATCTATTTATTAAGAATACTTTTAGTAAATAATTATTGCAATATAAATAAAATTTGCAACTAAAACTGATAGATAATACAAGTCTAGCCTTCCAATACTTCGAAATTATGGTGCCAACCCAGAAAAAATGGCAGTAATATATGAGTGGAAGGCAATTTACAATACAACTTTGAAAGAATTTTCTGATGAGCTTGTTATAAACATTTTAAGAAGTGTGAAAGTGTTGTATGTTAGTACGCATATCACTATAAACAAAATCAAGAAGACTATGTTGTATTTAATAGAATTCTTCGAGCTATGCTTTTGCAGCATAAAATTTAAAAAGATATAAACTACTAAAAATATAATCCCAATAATCAAATCAATAACTTCATTCTCTTTGCTTGAAGCTATAATCAAGATAATCATTATATGATAGACTGTGTACAACCAATATTCGCTGGGAGTTTTATGTTTAAAATTTTCCTACAACAAATTCTCAAAATTCTAATCGAGCTCATGTTTATAACTATAAATGCTATCTTTCTTAGCTTATTATTACATAAAATAACCTATATCAATATTTGTAGACTTTAAATTCTTTATGTCAAAAAGGGAGCGCGGTTAATTATTATTATTCGATATATATTTTATTGATTGATTGATTGATTCTTTTGCAAGATTAAATACACCTTAATTTTTAGAGTAATAAATTAAAGTCAACAGATTTTTGACAAAATTAAAAGGAATAAATACTCTTATCAATTTGTACAGTAATTGAAGTAATGTTAAAAATTGCATCTATTTTTTTAAATTTTTATAATTTAACCTAAAAAGATTGTTTTAACAAATATATTAGTTATAAATAACTATTACAAATCTATTTTTGTATTTTTTATATAAATTTGTCATTAACAAAATAATTATAAAATTGGAATCTATTTCTTTAATATTGATGTAAAATAGTCGTTCAAATTAAAACAATTATATCAAGGCAAATTATTTTTATTATTTATTTATTTTATTTCTTCTCAAAACTTCTATTTTTAACTTATTCATAACATTTAAGTTAAATAATTAAAGGTTTTATTAATTATCAAATCAAACAATTTAAAATAATATTTTTTAATTTAATCAATAAGTATTTATTACTCAAGTTCTTAGTTAATAATTTGTCAGTTACAATTTTAATTATTCTAAATAAATTTATTATTATTACTAATGCTAACCAATATAACTGTTAAAATAATAAATGATATTACATTTTTAAAGAGGATTTTCCATTTGAATTTTTAAAAACAATTTTAATTTATAAATTTCTTAAAAGTTTAAAAACAGAATCATTTTTTTTATGTTTGTTTTTTATTTCTCCTCAAAACTTCTATTTTTAACTTATTCTTAACTTTTAAGTTAATAATTAAAGGTTTTATTAATTATCAAACCGAACAATTTAAAATAATATTTTTTAATTTAATCAATAAGTATTTATTACCCAAGTTCTTAGGTTAAATAATTTGTCAGTTCAGTTTCAATTATTCTAAATTTATTATTATTACTAATACTAATCAATATTACATTTTAAAAGAGGATTTATTTTCCATTTAAATATAATTTTAATTTCTAAATTTCTAAAAAGTTTAAAGACAGAAGCATATATATATTTTAATGTTGTTTACTAATAGTTTATGAACTACTTACTGTTTCAATAATTAGAATATAGGAATGGTAACTATTATTTATTATAATATATATAAATAATTACAGATGATGCTTAATATAATATATTAACTGTTAAAATTTAAGAAAGAATTTTATTTTCAATCTATATCCATTTATTTAACTTTATTTCTAAAAAGCTAAAAAAAATTCAAAAAAATGTAAATTTTAATAAATAAAACTTAATAGTTAGTTATTTATATATTGTTTATAGAATATTAAAATGTATTAATGTAAAAGTATTATTTATATTTATATTTATATTTTTATATTTAAATTTAATTATAATTTAATAGTTTTATATTTTAATATAAAATATTAATCTAGCTTGTTAAATATTTTTAAATAAACTAAATTATCTATTTATCTATGTATGAATTTGAAATCAAAACGTGATTAAACAAACTTGCTAGAAATGCTGATGATTATTTATTTAATTATTTATTTATTTTAATAATTACTTTTTTATTTACTTATTTTTACTAATATTTGACAGATGGAATATAGAGTTAAGAAATTTATAGGATTAAATAAAGATACTGAGAAAATTTATCAATTTTTAAATTATCAGATAAAATCAAATATATCTTTTAAATAGATATTGTTGAAAATGATTATTAATTATATTTTGAGTGAATAATAAATTTTTGGATAAAAAAAATATCACACGTAAGCTTATTGCTTTACATAAACTGCTATCAAAAATAAAAATATTTACTTTTGTTGCAAAAACTAAATATTTATTTAATAGAATGAAAATTAAATTGATCATTCTCTTTTCTTGGATTTCTTAGCATTATCTTCGTCAGATTAACGGGTGGTTTATTCTTTCTTATCATCAGAACCACCACACATGAAACTTAAAACAACAGCCAAGAGGACGAAGGCACCAAGAACACCAACACCGAAAACAGTCTATTTTTATTGAATGCAATTTAATTAAAATAATAATTTATTTCTAAAAATCTTACGGGACCACCAACTGAGTCAATGAATTTATGAACTTAAGCAGAAATACCAGAGCTAGGAGCAGAACTGCCACCAGAAACGGTCTAGAAAGTGATATCAACACCAGTTTCTTACTTGTAATCATTAGAAACGAAACTTTAGAGAGATTCGAGAGTTCTAGGCTTATTAAACTTAATTTGCTTGTTTTCAGTGGTGAAGTAAAGTAAAGTGGGATATCCCTTAACATCTAATTAATCGCAGATGGCTCTGTTGGTTGTGCTATTTATAATATCAAAAAAAAATATATAATTTATTATGCCAACACCTCTAATTATATAATAAAATTAAATTGTTAAAAAAGTAAATATGTTATCTTCAACATCCAAATTTATCGAAAATCACTAATCAAAAAGGTAAACTCTAGTTAAAGATAAAATTTTAGGTCTTTTTAATTTATTCTAAGCTAAATATTTACCAGTCAACAGCAACAACATTGATATCAGTAGCCTTTTCAGCGAATTCATCATAAGTAGGAATAAGTTTCTTGCAGTGACCGCACCAAGGAGCGTAGAACATACCGAAAGTATTCTTTGTAAGTTTTCCAGAACCAATACCAGTAACAGCGGTGAAATCGTCAACAGTTAATTACTTAACTGCACCTCCTTGCTTGAAGGAGTGGGCTGCACATAAAACAGCTAATAAACCTAAAACGATAACTAACTTTTACATTTTTTCTTTCTTTTTTTTGAATTGTATTGAATTAATTTTTTTATATTTTAATTAATATAAAAATATTCATAGCAAAATTTCTTTTTAATCAAATCACTAACAAATCATTATTTGATAGATAGATAGATAGATAGATAGATAGATAGATAGATAGATAGATAGATAGATAGATAGATAGATACATAAATACTCACACGAATCTGTTTTAGTTGTTTAAGTGAGCAAATTTCATTAAGATATATCATTCCTATATTTTTCTAACCATTTCTATTTATGTTTTTCAAATTTTTTCTGATTTTAAAATATATTTTGCCTCAAAAAGACAAAATAAGAAGGAAAATTAAAAAGAGATTTTAAGAGTTGGACATTTGTGATAACAAAATCTATCAAAAATTAAAATAACTTTTTACAAACTTGATTGATTTTTACAATAAATTAATAAATATCAAATAATATAATTTTCTCATATTATAAAATTTGTTGCTTTATTTTTATATTTTTTTTAATTTATTTGAACCTTTTTTTAAATTTAAAGTTTGTTTTTGTATCGAAATAGTAATTCTAAAGTGTATGTATTTTCAATTACACTATTTAAGAATATACCTTTTAGAGTTACATAATTTAATCCTTATTTAAAATATTATATATATATAGTACCCTAAGGTACTGCCTTTTTTCAAGGCTACATACACGAATACTAATTTCTTAAAAATTTAGATTGTTTAATTTTATTAATGAAAATAATAAAAGTTTTTATTGGAAAATTCTTTAAAATAAATTTATTTTGATTTAATGTAATTTAAATGGCATGAGAAATTATAAAAATTTTTTAACCACTGATGAGTTTATAAAATATTGACACTTTAACAGCACTGTAATTAATACTTATTTAAACTAATCCCCTAAACAAAAAGAAATTTTTCCTATAACCACTGGTGAAAAAAATTATAGAATCAAATAAAGGATTAAAAATTTAAATTAATTTTCTGAATTAACCAAATAATAAATATTGTATTGTGTTTATTTATTTATTTACTTACATAATCATAGAAATTAACTTTTAGTTATATGATAAATTAATTTAAAATAAATTTTATATAAAAATAAACAACATTGAAATAAGTTATATTATTATATTAAATATCATTTTTAATATTATTTAATTGCGTAATCATTAGCTCTTTTTATTGAATTAAATTTGCCAGGATTCTATATCATAACTTATAGTCCTTCTTTATATTTAATAATTTCGTACATAGTTTTGTAATTTTTAGAATTTATGGCTTTTTTTATTAAGCTTGTATTGACAATTTGTATGAAAACGTTTATTAAATTTTGTTAATCATCATTTGATAATTTGTTCAATTCTTCAATTAAAATATTATTAAATTTAGTAAATCCAATGCTTCCTTTTCCACTATATTCTATTTTATAACCAAATTCTTCTACTCTTTGAAATAAAAATCTGAAAATGATATTTGCTAAATTTTTTGTTTCTTAGCACTTATCTCCGCCTAGTTAATTTTATTTTTTAATTCTGTTTCTTTTTTTTTTGATTTATTTCTCAATTGGAGCAGCACATTTAGGGGGAGTTTCTATATTTTATTCATTTTAGTAGTTGAAATCCATCCGTTAATAAATTTAAAGTTCATTTTAATCTTCAGAAGATTCTTAATTAAATAGACATTCTTACTATTCAAAATCATTTTCTGCGTTAATTGGGTAGTTTAAATAATTTAATTATTAATTTGCGTATTGTGGATAAAAAGGGTTATATTCTAATTATTTAGCTGGATTATTATTTTATTAAATTTAAAATTAACCATTCAATTAAATCTTTAGGTTTTCTTGATCTTCCTAGAAAAGGTTTTCATCGTTATTCACGAACAGTTTTTCTTCATCATTCAAGAAAGTATTTTATTACATTTAAAATTAATCATTATTTTGAATGTTTAGGTTTTCTTCCTCACTCAAGAACAGGTTTTCATGAGTTTGTTGATATTTATTGTAGTTAGTATTATCAAAGAAAAAATTTATATCATTTTTTTGCAAAGATAGATCTTCCTAGTAAGCTTTAATTTATTCTTCGAAGCTATCATCATTAAAATAATTATCAGTAACAGCTAAAAGATTTAAGTATTCATTATGAATTTCTCTTTTATTTTCATCTTGTTTATCAACTCTTAGCTTCTAAGTAGAGTTTTCTGATCCATTAAAGTTATTTAGATTATTATGGTCGTGTGTTTAAGTAGAAGTCATAGTTCTAAGTTAGGAATAATCTAAACTTTCATTATCTTGATGACCATCAATCAAATAATTTTTTGTTGTCAACATTATTTCTGTTTAGTTGATGTTTTGCATTTTTTAGATTTTATTTTTGTTTTTTTTTAACTTTAATTTCTTTATGAAATATTGAAAACAAAAAAAGTTCACAGCCAAAAAAATTATAAATCAAGATATTTTTGGAATTGCTAATATTAATTTAAATATTGCATACAATCTAATCTGATTTATTTCGATATTTCGTCATTTATTTATAATAAAAATAAAAGGATTATTTATTAATTATTTTTTTTTATTTCAAATTTAATTGATATAAAGAAAAAATAAGCTAATTTCTTATATTTCATATAAATAAATGTACAATTTGTAAGAGTTAAACATTATGATAGTCTAGGATAATTAAATACTATAAATTTATTTCATTAAATTATATTATTTATTTTTCAAGAAAAGCTTTCATTTATAAATTAGATGCTATGCCATCTGTAAAGAATTCTTAATTTATAAAAATTTGGTTGCTGGTAGAGTTAATATACTGAAAATTTAAAAGATAGATAAAATTTTTAGAATACAGTGAAATATTTAGTTATATATATATATAAATTAATTAATAAATTAAACTATTTTAAAAATAATTCTTTTCTCTTGAAAGCTTTAATCTAATGTAGAATTATTAAGATGAATGAAACAAAATCATAAAAACTAACTTTAAACTTATAACTAAAGTTTTATACTTCATTTTTTACAAATAATAGATAGTTCACATAACTAGCATTTAGATATTTATAAATAAATTAATTAGTGGATCTAATACTAAAGATACAAACAGCAAATAATGATTAATGATATAGATAAACTATTAGAAAAGAAAGATAGATACTTAATTTTTCTTTTAGTTTTTGATATAGATGCTTTTTAATTAAATCAAAATAGGCTCTAAATTTTTTTGATCAGAATAAATTAGAAATTATTAAAAAAGTAAAATTCACTTTTAACTATTACATATTATATTTTATTTATCAATAATTTTATTAATTTATTTTCAATTTAAAATAAATTTAAAGTATTTACATACTTACTATGTAATTTCATAATTAAGCTTTTATTTTTATATTAAGGAGTATTTTTATTTTTTTGAAATTGTAAAATTTACTCTTAATCTTTTAAAAATTTTGATTGTTTAACTTAATTAATGTTTATAATAATATTTTTTATTTGAAGATTATATAAAATAAACTTATTTTGATTCAAAATATGATCAGATTTTGTAAATAGTCTACTTTCAAGAACTTGAGAAATTTTTTTTTAATCTGGTGCTTATAAAAAAAATTGACACTTTACCAGCATTGTAATTAATACTTATTTAAACTAATCCACTTAGAAAAAAGAAATATTTCCTAAAACCACAGGTGAAAAAAATAATAGTATCAAGTATAGGATTAAAAATTTACTTGTATTTTATGAATTGACGAAAAAATAAATATTGATTGTATTTATTTATTTATTTATTTACATAATAAAAAAATTAACTTACTTTTGGGAAGAAAAAGAATGAATAAAATTAAAATAAATTTAAAAGAAAAATAAACAACATTAAAATAAGTTAAATTATTATATTAATTAATTAATTATCATTTTTATTATTTTTAAAAAGCATAATTAGTAGCTTCTTTTATTGATCTAAATTTGCCAGGATTCTGTATCATGACTTCTAGACCTGCTTTATATTTAATAACTTTGAACATTGTTTTGTAGTTATTAGTATTTGTTGCTTTTTTTATTAAGCTTGAATTTACAATATCTAATAAAATTTTCTTTAAATCAGGTTATTTTTTCAACTCTTCAGTCAAAATTTTATTAAAGTTGCTTATAGATATGTAGCCTTTTTAAGTTTATTTTATTTCATAACCATATTCTTTTATCTATTCAAATAAAAATATGAAAATGTTATTTGCTATATTTTTAGTTTCTTAGCACTAATCTTCTCCTACTAAGTTTTGCTTTCTTTTTCTGTTTCTTTTTTTTATTGTTTTATTCTCAATTGAAACTATTGTTTTATTCTCAATTGAAACTATTGTTTTATTCTCAATTGAAACATCAAATTTTTAGAGATCGTTTTGAATTTCTTATTATTATTCTAATTATTATTAATTATCTTCAAGCTAATTAAGTTGTATAGGTTTAATTTATTCAATTTAACAGTTATTTCGAGTATTTTAGCCATTAATTAATGGTTATAAAGTTACTGTTTATTCTTATGTTTATGTAAAGTTAATAGGAATAAAGTTGTTATTGTTAAACATTTTTTAATTCATCTGTTAATAAATTTCAAATTGACTATAATTTTATTATTAAGAAGATTCTTAATTAAATAGACCTTCCTATTCTTCAAAATCATTTTCTGTATAAATATAATTGTCAAAATAGTTTGAATATTTTTATTATTTAACTTGGTATTATTAATTGGCGCATTGAGGATAAAAAGAATTATTTTCAAATTATTAAGCTTGATAAGTATATTAATTCATTTAAAATTACTCATTCTTTTAAAATTTAATGCTTTCTTCCTCATCGAAGAGCGGGCTTTCATGAATTTGTTGATATTAATTATAGTTATTATTATCAGTGAAAATGTTTGTTTCTTTTTTTTGCAGCAGTTGATCTTCTTAGTAAGCTTTAAATTATTCTTCGAAGCTATCATCATTTTAAAATGAAAATATATCAGGAATAGCCAGAATTTTTAAGTATTAATCATTCATTTCGTTTTTATTTTCATCTTACTTATCTACTAAAAGTTTCTTAGTGGAGCATTCTGATGTATCAGAATTTTTTAGATAACTATGATCATTTGTTTAAGTAGAAGTCAAAGTTCCAAGTTAAGAATAATAGGAACTGTCATTATATTAAAGATTATCATCAATCAGTAAATTTTTGGTTGTAAGCATATTTTCTTATTAGTAGATGTTTGCCATTTTTTTTATTTTTTTATTATTTGTTTTTTTTCAACTTTAATTTCTTTATATCAAATATTAAAAATAGAAAAAGTTGACACACGCTTTTATTCCTTAACCAAAAGAATATATATAATAAATCCAGATACTGAGATTAGTATTATAAATTTAAAAATGATCTATTTTAAATATTTCGTCATCTGTTTATATATAATTCTAAATAAAAGGGTTTTATTTAATTGTTTTTTTTTTTATTACAAGTATAATTGACATTAAAAAATAAGCTAATCTCTTATCTATTAGAAAAAATATATGAAAATAAAAATTTTTGATTAATTTTAAAAGTGAGAGTTAAACATACATATTGATATTCTAACATAATTAAATATCATAAATTTATTACAAATAATTACATTTTATCTTTATCAAGAAAAGTTTTAATTTTTTAAATTAAATGCTAACTTATCTGTAAGATATAAATTAATTATAATAATATTAAGAATATAAAATATAAATTTTTGAATACATGTAAAAAGTTAGTTTTTATATATAATGTATTTAGAAGAATATTTATCATAAAGTAGTTAATTAGGTTTTTTTATTTATATTAATTATAAATGTTTTTTTATATATTTATTTTAAGTAAATTTTTATATAAGTTTTTTCAAATGAGTTAAATTACCAGAATAATTTTATTAAAAAAATCTATTACTTTATACTTTTTTAGTAAGTAAGTTAATTAGTTAATTAGTTAGTTAGTTAGTTAGTTAGTTAGTTAGTTAGTTAGTTAGTTAGTTTATTAATATGAGTGAGTTATTAAATTAGTATTTTTAACCTTTTAAGAAATATTAAGTAATAATTAATTTATATTAAAGAATAAACTAACTCATTATGAAATGAGAAAATAATTCAATTTGATTTTAAATTAATGAAGATTTGGCTTTTATCTCTTTTTAATTTTGTTATAACTAGTGCTATTTTATCTTTAAGAAATTATTTTGTTCTTGAGATAATATATATATTTCTGTTGTTGTTGAGAATATACTAAGATATTATAAATTGTGTTTTTTGTTTTCTTTTTTTTTACTTCAAAATTATTCGTTATCTTCAATGATTCCATTAGTCAAATATATAAAATACTAATCATCATTACCTATTATGGTACATTTATTATCTTGATTAATGTTGTCTAAGTTATGACTATATGATTTGCCAACATTTCTACATAAACTTTTATCCTTTTTTTTCTCATTTTCCTCTAAAGTAATATTATTTTCATTTGTTTCTCTATACGTTTAGGTTTCCAAGATTTAATAAGAAAATTCAGTTTATTTAAAGTTTAAAAATAAGAAAAATACATTTTGATTTAAAGAAGAAACATCATAAATAAATTTGATTTTAGGATTTTGTTGTTGGTTGGATGTATTCTAGCTTTCTTGCTGAAAATTATTCTACTAATTTCCTTCTTAAATTTAATTATCATCTTATTTGATAATTTCGATACTGTTTTAAGTAATTCCACTACCAGCAGGATAAATAAAGGATTAATTTTATGAAGGAGAGTTTGATTAATTATTTTCATGAGAAGAGTCGTTTATAAATTCATTTGCATTTGTTTAAAATTGCTAATTTTAGAAATCGTTTTATTAGTTACTATTTTCATTAATCAAAATTATTATTGGTTCATTTAAATTTTTTGAAAAATCATATTAATTTTATTTCGTTTCATGATTTTGGTGTTGGAATGATGTTTGATTTTCTTGATAGCTTTCTTGCTGTAAATAATTCTACTGAAAATTATTCTACTAATTTCCTTCTTAAATTTAATTATCATCTTATTTGATAATTTCGATACTGTTTTAAGTAATTCCACTACCAGCAGAATAAATAAAGGATTAATTTTATGAAGGAGAGTATGATTTATTATTTTCATGAGAAGAATCCTTTATAAATTCATTTGCATTTGTTTAATATTACTAATTTTAGAAATCGTTTTATTAGTTACTATTTTCATTAATCAAAATTATTATTGGTTCATTTATATTTTTTGAAAAATAATAATTATTTTATTTCGTTTCATGATTTTGGTGTTGGAATGATGTTTGATTTTCTTGATAGCTTTCTTGCTGTAAATAATTCTACTAATTTTCTTCTTATAATTAATTATCATTAATTTATTTGTTAAATTCGATACTGTTTTAAGTAATTCCAATACTAGAATAATTAAAGGACTAATTTTATAAAAAATTTGTAGCCTTTTATTATTTATTTTCATTAGAAGAATTATCATTAATTTATTCGATTTCAATTTCATGATTTTCGTATTGGTTGGATGCTTAATTTTCTTGCTAGCTTTCTTTCTGTAAATTATTCAACTAATTTCCTTCTTAAAAAGAATTTTAATATTTATTGGAATCATATTCATAAGAATAATTGTTTGTATATACATTTGCATTTGTATAATTTTATTAATTTTAGATTTATTTTTATATGTTACTATTTTCATTATTATAAATGGTTGGTTATTCATTTTAATTTTTTTAAGAATTACGATAAATTTATCTGTTTTTATGATTTTGTGATTCATTAGATATTTCAATTTATTGCTAGCATTCTTGTTGTAAATTATTCTATTAATTTCCTTCTTAAAATGTATTGCCATCTGAGCTGATGTAGTTATTATTTTAAGTAGCTCTAGAGGTCAAATTTTATGAAAATTAAGCGCTTGGTTCATCATATTCACCATATAAAAAAGAAGTATCTTCATTAAATTATTCTTACGAATTTTAGATTTCTGCATCTGAAGTTTTAAATTATGTTACCAAATATTTTGCTGTTTCATTTTATATTCTAGATTGATCATTATTTTATTAGATAGTAGAATTTTGGTTTTAATTGGATATTATTTTTATTTAATCTACTGTTTAAAATTTATTTTTATCTTGTTCATTATAGTTGCCATTGCTTTGAGCATCTTCATTTTTAGATTGAGCTTCTGAGAAAGAGTTTTATGAAAAATTTGGAGTTGTAAATTCATTTGATTCACTATTTTTTTAACTTTACAAAATTTAGCATACGTTGTTTGATTAATTAAGATCGCAATCATATTCTCCACTGAATTAGCTACCTTCTTAGGCATCTTAAATTAGAGCATTTGAATATAAATGATTTTTGGTTTCATCACTGTTAATTTAAGTTGACTCATCTTGCTAGGTTAAAAAACCTAGTTAATTGCTAGAACTATTTTAAATATCAGAAGATTTTGCATTAAACTATTCATAATCCTATGATTGACTACCTTAATAATCAGTACAAGTATCGCGTGTGCTCATTATTTGCTTTAATACTTTTTATTTATTTCTAAAAGTCTAATTAATTTGATTATAATATCAAGATCCGAATTTATTTAAATAAAATAAAATAAAGATAAATAAATAAATCAAATAACTTCTATTATTTTAATTGAATTGTTTTTTTCATTAATTTTTTTTATATTATTGAAAATTAATTAATAAAATAATTGCTCAATTGTAATTTGAAACATTGTTATTTATCTATCTAATAAAGATTAATTTTCTACTATATTTGCAAATTGCTTTGTCTGTCTATAATACCCATCAAATAATTTTTTTAATTATAAAAACAAAATATATAAACTTTTTAATTAAAATATTTTAAGTTATAATATTATATTTTTATGTTAATTTATTATTTTAATATTAAAAAGTTAAAACTTTGTTATATTAAAAATAAAATTTTTAAAAAATATTTTTTTGTTAATTTAAAGATAGTGTTTATATATATATATATAATAAATATTTTAAAATATAATATTTTTAGAAATTATCTTTAATTTAATTTATAAAATAAATTTCATTTGATTATAAAGTTAGAAAGTGGTAGGTAATTTAACATTTAAATAAACACTTTGAATAAATTAGATTCATACAGAATAAAAAGTAATCGAATCTATTAAAATGTAAAAATAAATATAACAGAGTAAATTACATTTATTTATAGAACAAATTTTATCAGTAATTTGTCGTGTTTGGAGTATAAAATAAGCATTTAGGCGGTCTCAAAATTTAATAATAAAATTTAAAAAAATAAAAAAATATTCTGATAAAATTTATAAATTCTTTGAATGTTAAATTCTGCTGCTTAGTAAATTAAATAAAAGATCTAAGAAGGATTAAATCTTAGAGAAATACAAGGATGGAAAAAAGAAAGCAATGGAAAAGTTTTTTCTTTAGAGACCATCAAATACAAAGATTACTCTTTGAAACTTGTCAAAATTTAAGGAATAATCAATTAAAATGCTGAAAAGGTCAGAAAATACTACTAAGAAGATTTTGAATCTCAAAAAAAGGCAAGACCTTCAATTGATATTCTCTAGCTCGTTGAAACTATTGATAATGATAATTGCGTAGTTTATTACAAGAATAAATCAATGTTTTTAGTGAGTGCAAGAGATTTATTATATCAATAACATTAAGAATAGCTAAATTAAAATCTATCAGTCATAGTTTGTGTTGATATTGACAATCATCCTAAGGCTCAAACAGTTAAAGGATGTGTTAGAGCTAAAGCTGTAATCAGTGTTTAATTTTTTGAAAAAATATCTGATAACTCAACTAAAATGGAGGCATACTTGCTTGTAGATCCTAAAGGTAGTATTCCTGATGCCTTTGTAAATAGCACAGTAAAAGAATAACTAGATGAATATGAAAGAGATATTCCAATAATCTCTTAATTGTGAGTTTACAAAATTATAATCAGAGAATATTTTTATAGTTATTTTTATGTTTAAAATGTTGATTGATTCTAAGATATGTTTGTTTTGCTAACTTAAAGCAAATAATATTCTTTGATTTATTCAAAATTTGTTAATATTTTTTTTATTTTGTGAAATAAAATTACTTCTTAAAACATTTAAAATCATTATTTTCATAGATAAATCTATTTTCTTGTCTATTTATTTATTATTAAATCAATTTGAAGTAACTGATAAAACATTTTACCTTGATTTGAATTAATTTTATATTGAAGTAGGAATTCTATTTTATAGCAAGAATTAAAAATAGATAATATATTCGACAATAATCATAAATTCTGATTTAGATGAAATTGGATAATATTATATTTAATTAATAAATAGATAGATATATAGCTAATCCTGTAATTAAAATACCACTAACTGAGTAGGTACAGATCGTGATATTTCATTTAACTTTTATGATTTAAAGCTAATTTTACACTTTCTATTTTTTAATTTTTTTTATCAGCCTATTTTTATTAAATTTTGAAAAATTTTTTTGAAAATTGAAAACCTTTTGTCAAATTTTGAGTAAAAATAAATTGTAATCAAAGAGAACGAACACATCAGAACAGGAGGTAAATTACATTATATAATCAAACTGGAAAGGACCAACAGACGTTGATTACAGAGGTAAAAAATAAAAATAGGAATTTTTAGAATTAAATAAGTAATCAAAAACAAGCAAATCAAATTACTAGAAAAATTGAAAATCGAAAATCTTTTTAACTTATCAATCAATGATGGCCGATTAGGATTCTTTAGGAAATAAAAACAAAGAATGCATAGGTATAATTTTGATTAAAACAAAAATATTAAAGAAAGTTCAAGAGAAGGATAGAGATACATGTTCACGCTACTAATCAATACAGGATACGAAAACAGATACTTCGTAATTGAATAATGATGAAAAAATAAAATTTCTTTTGTCATCAAGCTGAGATATGGAAGGCCTCTTTTTTAAGATTGGTAAGATGATTTAATTAAAATGAAGAAAAATCTAAAAAAAATATAAATTTTAAAATTATAAAAATTGAATAGAATATAAAATAATATTTAAATGGGATAATCCTTTGATTTGTTGATTGATTTAAAATTAATGCATGAAAGAAATAATCTTTAAAGATATGCTTTAAAAAAATTAAAAAATACAATTTTAAACATGAAAATTAAAAAATACTTCACATTTATTCTACAGTATAGATAGGAAGATATATTATTAATCAAGGATGACGCTTTTCTGAAATGTAAGCAGCGATTTAAGGAATGGCTTCAAGTCTAGTTACCAAACCATCAAAGGTTAGAGCAAATTCTTAGTAAGTCTCAGGGTAAAATTTCTTTAGATTTCTAGCGAAACTTAAGAAGTAAAGGTCAGCAGCAGTGAAATATCCTAAAAGATATTCCTTATGTCCTAAGAATTTGTGGATATCTTTAATCTTAGGAAGAACTTATTCATTTAAGAATTTAGTTTTGTCATCTCCTTCCTTTTAAGTAAGCATTTACAATCTAGTACCAATATCACCAATAAGATTTCTGAGAGTATCTACAGTGTACTTATCATTATCCTAGCCTAAAAGTTATGTTTTGTTGAGTTTATGAATCAAGTAATCAAAGATAGTTTCACTTTCAGTGATTTTTACATCTCCATCTATAAGGTAAGGTAAGTTGGGGAAAGGTAATCCTAAGGCATACTTATCTTTTCCAAACCAATCAGCAGGTTTAGAATATCTGACATCTTAGTATTTAACTCCTGAGATTTCAAGTAAATATCTAGCAGGTTGAGCCTTACCAGGACCAGCCCAATAACCAAGAACAATTTTATAAGCCATTTTATTTTAAAGATTAGAGTGTTTTATTTTTATTTAATTTATTTTGTTTTATTTATTATTAACTATTCTAATATCTTTTTGTTGGAGTATTTATAATGATCAGTAATGATTTTGATAATTAAATAGGATTATCTGAATGTAAATTGTTAAAATCTCATTTTTTCTAGAAGATCTTGTTTCTTTCTTTCTTGATTTATTTCAAATATGATACTCTATTAATAGAATTTATTGGAAAATTTTTGATAGATTCTTTCATTTATAATACTTAAATTACTTATTTTTGAATTAAATTATTAACCAGATTTCAAAAGAATAAAAATTAATTTACTTCTCTCAATATTCTGGACTTATTCTATGTCTGCTAAATCAATACAACTTTTATTATAAATGTTTAGATTTTACTAGAACCTTCACTTTTTTAAAAATACCTTACTATCAAAAACTGAAAAAATAAGTCAATCTATGAAATGAAACTTTTTATAGACTTTAAGCAAAATATTTATATATTAAATCAAATCTATTTTTACCTTGCAAATATAGAAAAAATTAAAGCCTAACTAAACATCTCATATCAAGGGATGATTGTAAAAATAAAATAAAAAATATCAAAAAGAAGATTTTAATAAAAGAATAAAATAAATCCTACAAAAATAACTATTATTTTGAAAATCTATTTTAAATTTAATTATAAATGTAGCAAATTAACCATCTATATTTTAAAAGTTTAAAAATTAATTTACTCAATACTTCAAGCAATTATTTATGCCTGAGGCTAAAACACAAATTATTGATGAATATTCTGGACTAATTCTATATCGGCTAAATCAATCAAAAATTTATTTTAAATGTTTATGTTTTACTAGAATCTACACTTTTTTAAAAATATCTTACAATCAAGAATAGAAAAAATAAAATAATCTATGAAATGAAACTTATGATAAACTTTAAGCAAATGATTTATATATTAAATCAAATCTATTTTAACCTTGCAAATATAAAAAAATTAAAACTTAACTAAAAACCTCATAACAACAAATAATTGTAAAAATAAAATAAAAAATATCTAAAAGAAGATTTTAATTAAAGTACAAAATCTACAAAAATAACTAAAATTTTTATTTTGAGAATTTATTTTTTATTGATAATTGTTTTAAATTAAAAATCATATTAAATGATAATGAATTGAATATATATTTTTAAAATTAACTAACTTTTGTAAAAATATAATCAAAAAAAATTTAATAGTGAATTTATCTAATAAAAATATAATAATAAAGTTAAAATTATTTAAAATATTAGTTTATCTAATGAAATAAATTGAAAAATTTTAGTGGAATTTTTTTTATCTTTCATGGCATAAAATATGAAGAAAAAGATATATATTTTGAAATACAATTCCATATATAAACAATAAATTCATTTATCATATTCAATATTAGTATAGGCATTTAGAATAAATTCGAATGCTAACTCTAGTGTAAATGTGCATACATTTTTATGATATCAGCAAACTAATATTCTATATGAGAGGGCATTTGCTAAAGCTGGTATCATATATATTAAATTAAGGACAAGGTTAGATAGTTTAAGTATTAATAATGTAATATTTTTAAATAAAATAAAATTTAAGACCATCAAGAAAAAAAAGTTAAATTAATTTTGAGATAATTAATTAAGGCTTAATCAAAAAATATTGTTTTGAAAATAAATGAAATGAATGAATTTAATTATTAGATTAAATTTAAAAAATATAAAAAAATAACTAATAGAATGTGCAATTTCATAATTTAATTTATTTAATATTGAGCTCATTTATTAATTCATCAAATTGTTTTTTGGATTCTTCTAAACTTAGCTTTTTAATGTTTAATATGTAATAACTTAAGTTAAAATCTTCTTATTTAAACAGGGATTCTTACTTTAAGCATCCTGAAACCAGTATAAATGATTAATAATAAACAGCTAATAAGTTGGAGTTTAAATTTTTTAAAGTATCTAAATCTGAATTTATATTGGAGTAGCTATTAGCAATTCCTAAATTAATTAAATCGGGGATGTTGTTAGAAAGGTTTTTTTAATTTATTTCCTCGTTGATAACCATAATTAATTTTTCTTTTTTCTATTATTCTACACATAAGTTTTACAGAGTCTGTTAAATCTCTTGCTTGCAAGCTAAGTATAATCTTTCAAAATCCATTTCAGATTGAATAAGTTCAGCTTTTATTTACTAATAAAAAGGTAGTTTTAAAAATTCTTCAAAGTATTGAACTTTAAAGAAGTTTTAATCATTTTTTAAGCTTTTACTAATATTTGAGGCCATCATATATGCTTGTTTAGCTAAAGCCAATTGTATAATTCTATTTCTTATTGTTTTTACTATTTAGCAGTTGTGCATAAAAGTCTAAAATATCTATATTAGCTTCTATTTTAATTTTTATAAGTGTTTAAAAATATTTTAAGAAATAAAAAAAATATTTTAATTTAATTTTTTAAAATTTTACTAATTTATATTGCTCATATTTTTATATAGTATCTTCAATACATTTAGCTGTTTATTCTTGCTCTTCGATTTTCTTTTTTAATTATTAATAATCGTTGGAATCGTCAGATCTTGATGAGCTAACTTCACTTATAGTAGATAAATTTAGATCTTTTTGATATTACTTTGCATCAACTTCTTTTAATTCAGTATTTTCATCTGTTATCATCAAGTTTTTAAATTTTCGGTAAAGATCTATAGCCTCTTACTTATGGTTAGGCATTTACATAATACTTCCTGGTAGAACTATGCTGTTTGCTTAAGAATCTTACTATAATAATTCATGCTAATATATTTAATCCCATCTAATACGCTATCTTCTATCATAGCAAATCATTCTTTAGAGAAGATTTCTCATTTCTTTGGAAATTTTAACACTAGGATCATCAAAATTAATATTCTAAATACTTTTTTTTATGTTCCTTTTAAGATCATCATAATTATCACATCTATAAGGAAGATATCCATATAAAAGCTAATACAACAACACCCCTAAACTTTATATGCAAATAATTATTTTTTATTTAGGTTTAACAATTTATTGAAATAAAAGAGAAAATAAATAAATAAATAAAACACAAACCTGTAAACATCAACTTCCATACCATAGGGTTTCTCTTCCAAAACTTCAGGAGCCATATTTGTTTAAGTTCCTAAAGTAGTTAGAGTTACTTCTTTTGTATTATCAAAGCTTTTAGCAAAACCAAAATCAGCAATCTTTAAACAATTTTAGGATATAAGAATGTTATCTAACTTAAGGCTAGTTTTATTTTAAAATTATAGATAAAACACAATGCTATTATGATAATTTTTACTCTCTATGCACCACTAAATGCTTGTGAAGTTCTTAAAGACCGCTTAATATCTACTTAAAGTAACCAATAACTTCTTATTCTGAAATATTTTCCTTTTTATCTTTTTTTCTAGTTAAAAGTTAACCAAGGTCTCCCTAATTACAGTACTCTAAAACTAAGAAGTGAGAATCGCTATTAGAAAAATCATCTATGTATCTTATTACATGCTTGCTATTAAGTTACTTCAGTATTTTTAACTCTTGATTAAAAAGCTATTGTAACTTAGGATTATCTATAAAACCTTTAATAAGGTATTACTTTATTGCAACTACCTCATTAGATTTTTAATCTAAAGCCTTATACACACGCCCAAAAGAACCCTCGCCAAGTTTTTTATCTATAAAATATCTGTTATTAAGCAACTTACCAGGTTAAAATTCAATAACGTTTTAAAAATACATTTCTTCTTCTAAATAAACTTGATTATTCTTCTCTACTTTAATTAATAATTTTTTAAGAAATTTAAAAAATCTCAAAAATTTAGAAATTCGATGAGTCCGTTTACAACTTTAGAATCGTTTTAAATGAAACAAAAAGAAAGCAAATAAAAATATATTCATAACAATAATTTAAAAGTAATTCTCTTTTTTTATTTTTGAGGTAATACGTATTATAAGCATTTAAGCTAATAACTATTTCTCACAAGGTTTAAATTTACTACGTCATTTAAAATTTCATAAGTTAAGTAAACAATAAATATTTATATATAACCCCTTATATTTTTAGATTATTTGTCATGAATTTACAATAAAGAAACCAAATAAATACTTTTTTATTGTACTAAATATAAATAATTGCTATTTTCTTTAAATTTATCCTCATATATTTGATAATAAAAAAAGAAGTTTAAAAAGTAAAAGCATAAACAAAAAAACATTAAAATAAAATATATTGATTTGAAGGGTTTAATTTATTAATTGAATTATAAATCTTTGAAATATATCTTATTATAAATAAATTATCAAAAAAGAATAAAAAAAGCTCTAAAAAATATTTTGTTATTTTTATAAAATAAATTTAACTGAAAAAAATTGAATAAAATAGAAATACTATTGAAATTAAACAAAATAAATTTAAAATGACCTTAAATAGTTGAAAGATTTTGTTATATTCAAAATAAAAACTATTTGATAATTAAAATCCTAAAAATAAAATAATTTCTATAATTTTATAAGTGAATCAACTATATTTTTAACAAACAAATCAAATTAGATAAAAATTTATGAATAATTAAAATTAGAATTTAATTCAAATTAATTTCTTTAGATCATGAACATATTTTAATTAAGTTATTATATTTGTAAATTCACCTTAAAGCTAATTTCTAAATACAAAAGAATTTTATAAAAAGTTTTTAAATTAAATAATACTATTAAATATAAAAAGTATTTTAATTCATGGATGATGGATGACCTTCTGAAATATACTTAGCATTCAATTTAGGGGATATTCTCAAGTCTTGATATCAATGAATTAAAAGTTACAGCAAATTCATTGTAAGAATCAGGAAGAGTATTTTTAAATCCTTTTGCAAAGCATAAGAAATACAAATCAGCAGCTGTAAAATATCTAAGTAAGTACTCTTTTTTACCTAAAATTTTATGAATGTCTCTTATTTTAGGAAGGATTTACTCACTTAAGAATTTAGTTTATTCTTCTCCCTCCTTCTAGCTATAATTGTACATTCTCGTTCCAATATCAGAAAACATATTTTTAAGCTTATCAACAATGTATATATCGTTTCCCTAACCTAAAAGCTCAACTTTATTTAATCTTTAAATTAAATAGTCAAAAGTGGTTTCACTCTCAGTGATTATTACTTCCCCATCTAAGAGATAAGGTAAATTAGGAAAAGGTAATCCCAAAACATATTTGTCTCTACCAAATCATTCTACAGCAGGATAAGAGTATCTAAATTCTTCATATTTAACTCCCGATAGTTCAAGTAAGTATCTTGAAGGTTGAGCTTTGCCAAGTGTATTCCAACAGCCAAGGGTAATTTTTTCTGACATTTTTAAAAAGTTTTTATAATAGTCACTTAACATTCTTTTTTTTAGGGTTAAAAAAAGTAATCATACTTAATTTATTTTGTAATCTAAATTGTAAATATTTAATATAAGTGTATTGCATAATTTATTACTATTTCATTTGATTAATTTAAACCAAATATTTATTTATAGAATCCAGAAATTCAAAATATTTGAAAAAGAAAATTATAAATTTTATTAAGAAATTAATTTAAAAATGTTCGTTTTTTTTGTTACAATACTAAAAAAATTCATACAAATTTTAAATATAATTCAATTATTATCTACTTAAGAATAATCTATCAATATCACAAATAAAATAAAAGAAAAACAATTGAAATTGTTACATTTTTTTTCAATTTTTAGTTGTTAAAAAATACCTATTATTATTGATATTTTGAAATTTTTTTTTATTTAATTTAAAAAAAGAAAATTAGCTTATTCAATAAACAAATAATTTTAATCACAAATACATTAAAACCGAAAGATAAGATACAATTTTATTTTTTACATAAACAAGCAAAAAAAAAAATTTTAATTAAATAAAAATAAAGTAATTTAATCCTAATAAAAATAATTACCATAACAATTATTCTTTGAAAAATAAATATAAAAATGAGATTTTATGAAATAAAATGAAATTAATAATAACTTTTAATTATAATTAAATAAGATATATATTTTCTTAATTAAAATATTTTTGTATTAACACAATGAATTGATTAAATTATTTTTTAAATCAGCTTAATTATTAAGTTTTAAAAATAAATTAAGTTAAGTTTAATTTTTTTTATTTGAACAGATGTCTTTGATTAAGGTACCTTGAGAGATTAATAAAGGATTAATAAAAAAAAACTGCAAATGGCAATAATTCATTTAAAATATGTTTCATCCACATCCTCATTTACTTCTGATAATCATATTTCAATTTCATGAATAGCAATAGATAATTTTTAATATTAAATTATCATTAAGTTATTGATTAATATTTTTAAAGAAATTTTAATTTTTCAAAAAAGAAAATAATTTTGAAAATTTATCTGATTGCAAATTTTAATTTTTTGAAATTTTTCTTAATTATTCTTAAAAAAAGAAAATAAATATTGAATTTGATTAATAATTGAATTAAAATTTTTTTTGAAATTAAATTTAAGAAATTTCTATAAATTTCAAATTTTAGATTGAAACCCAAGCTGATATATCAATTTTAAATTTGAAATATTTCAAAAACTATTATAAATTATAAATATTCTATGCTTTTTAAATCAATTAAACTTTAATTCAAAAAAATTAATAATATTTTTCATAAAAAATAAAGCTTTGGTAAAAAAAAATAAAATTTTAAATTGTAAATTTAATTTTTAAGTAATGAAAGAAGTTTCAGTCGAATATTTTGATTAAATTCATAGTTTAAATAGGAATTAAATAAATGTGCTATATTGATTTTCTATAAACCAATTTTTAAAACAAATATCAGCTATTTTGTTAAAATTTTATTAAAAGTTGTTATTTTTAATCTAATAAATCCTTAGCTTAAAAATTTAACAATAAAAATTAATTTAATAAAATTATAAACAAGCATTTTAATTTAGCTATAAATCTATTTAATATAAGCAACCTTTATCCCTATTACTTTCTAACTTTAAATTCTAGATAATATCCTCACATTTATTTTATTTCACTTTGACACAGATTAAAAAAGAAATTTTTTAAAAATTTCTTTTTGCTAATTTAAAGATAGTGTTTATATTTATTGCAAATATTTTAAAATATAATATTTTTAGAAATTATCTTTAATTTAATTTATTAAATAAATTTCATTTGATAATAAAGTTAGAAAGTGGTAGGTAATTTAACATTTAAATAAACACTTTGAATAAATTATATTCATAAACAATAAATAGTAATTGAATCTATTAAAATGTAAAAATAAATATAACAAAGTAAATTACATTTATTTATAGGACAAATTTTATTAGAAATGTATCGTATTTGTATTATTAAATAAGCATTTTATGCATTCTCAAAATTTAATAATAAAGTTTTTAAAAAATAAAAATATTCTGATAAAATTCACAAAGCCTTTGAATGATAAATTCTACTACTTAATAAATTTAATAGAAGATCTAAGAAGGATTAAATCTTAGAGATTTACAAGGATGGAAAAAAGAAAGTAATGGAAAAGTTTTTTCTTTAGAGACCATCAAATACAAAGATTACTCTTTGAAACTTGTCAAAATTTAAGGAATAATAAATTAGAATGTTGAAAAGGTCAGAAAATACTACTAAGAAGATTTTGAATCTCAAAAAAAGGTAAGACCTTCAATTGACATCCTCTAGCTCGTTGAAACTATTGATAATGATAATTGCGTAGTTTATTACAAGAATAAATCAATGTTTTTAGTGAGTGCAAGAGATTTATTATATCAATAACATTAAGAATAGCTAAATTAAAATCTATCAGTCATAGTTTGTGTTGATATTGACAATCATCCTAAGGCTCAAACAGTTAAAGGATGTGTTAGAGCTAAAGCTGTAATCAATATTTAATTTTTTGAAAAAATATCAGATAACTAAACTAAAATGGAGACATACTTGCTTGTAGATCCTAAAGGTAGTATTCCTGATTCCTTTGTAAATAGCACAGTAAAAGAATAACTAGATGAATATGAAAGAGATATTCCAATAATCTCTTAATTGTGAGTTTACATAAATATAATCAGAGAATATTTTTATAGTTATTTTTATGTTTAAAATGTTGATTGATTCTAAAATAGGTTTTGCTAACTTAAAGCAAATAACATTCTTTGATTTATTCAAGATTTGTTAATATTTTTTTTTATTTGTGAAATAAAATTAATTCTTAAGATAGTTAAAACCATTATTTTCATTGATAAATCTATTTGTCTTGTCTATTTATTTATTTTTAAATGAATTTGAAATAGACGATAAAATATGATTTGATTTAATTTTATATCGAAGTAGGAATTCTATTATATAGCAAGAATTAAAAATTGATAATATATTGGGCAATTATCAGAAATTCTGATTTAGAAGTATTGCACAATATTGCAATTAAAAGATAGATAGATAGATAGATAGATAGATAGATAGATAGATAGATATATTTCTAAATTTAAAGCATTATGACTGAAAAACGTATTTTATTTAATTAATTAAGATCTTTTTTATAGAAATAAAATACTTTGGTAAATAAATATATTTTTGAATAATTCACTTTATTGTATTCATACTTTATTTTAATTGACATCGATTTATATTTCTTTTTTGGGCAAGCTTTATTTTAAATTTCTTTTACTTGTTTTATTATCTATTAAGTATATTTAAAAGGGGGGTAATCCTTTGATTTGAGGAGTGAATTAAAATGAATGCATGAAGGAAATAATTGTTTAAAAATCCTTTTAAAAAATTAGCAAATACAATTTTAAACATGAAAACTATGAAATACTTCACATTTATTCTATTATATAGATATATTATTAATCAAGGATGACGCTTTTCTGAAATATAAGCAGCAATTTAAGGAATGGCTTCAAGTCTAGTTACCAAAGGATCGAAGGTTGCAGCAAATTCTTTGTAAGCTTCAGGGAGATTAGCCTTAAAACCTCTAGCGAAACTTAAGAAGTAAAGGTCAGCAGCAGTGAAATATCCTAAAAGATATTCCTTATGTCCTAAGAATTTGTGGATATCTTTAATCTTAGGAAGAACTTATTCGTTTAAGAATTTAGTTTTGTCATCACCTTCCTTTTAAGTAAGCATGTACAATCTGGTGCCAATATCAGAAAAGAGGTTTCTGAGAGTATCTACAGTGTACTTATCATTATCCTTGCCTAAAAGTTCTGTTTTGTTGAGTCTGTGGATCAAGTAATCAAAGATAGTTTCACTTTCAGTGATTTTTACATCTCCATCTAAAAGGTAAGGTAAGTTAGGGAAAGATAATCCTAAGGCATACTTGTCTTTTCCAAACCAATCAGCAGGATTAGTGTATCTGACTTCTTCGTATTTAACTCCTGAGATTTCAAGTAAATATCTGGAAGGTTGAGCCTTACCAGGACCAGCCCAATAACCAAGAACAATTTTATCAGCCATTTTATTTTAAAGATTAGTGTGTTTTATTTGTTATTTAATTTATTTTGTTTTGTTTTATTTATTATTGACTAATCTAATATCTTTTTGGTGGAGTATTTATAATGATCAGTCATGATTTAGATAATTAAATCGTATTATTTTTATGTAAATTGTTATAATCTCAATTTTTCTAGAAGATCTTCTTTCTTGATTCATTTCAAATTAGATTCTCTGTTCATGGAATTTATTCGAATATGTTCTATACATTCTCTCTTTTTATTTATTTAACTATTCTATAAAAGTTCTTATTTTTAAATTTAATTGTTAACGTAGCAGATTAATCAGATTTCAAAAGAGTCAAATTTAATTTACTTCTCACAATATTCTGGACTAATTCTCTTTCAGCTAGATCTATAATACTTTTATTTAAGATTTTTAGGTTTTACCAGGTTTTATACTAATCACTTACTATAGAAAATAGAAAAAATAAGACATGCTATGAAATGAACCTTATTTATGATAAATTTTAAACAAAAGATTTAGATATTAAATCAAACCTAATTATTCTCTGCTATTTCTTTTTTTACAAAGATAGAAAAAATTAAAACCTATCTAAATACCTCATATCAATAGAAGATTTTAAAAATAAATAAAATAAAAAAATATCTAAAAGAAGGTTTTATTCAAGAACAAAATCTTTCAAAAAAAAACTACCATTCTATTGTGAATTTATTTTATATTGATCCTTGTTTTTAAAAATCATATAAAATGATTATTTATTGAAAATATATTTTTTGAATTCATTAACTTTTGTAAAAATTAATCAAACAAATGATCATATTAGTGAACTTATCTGATAAGAATAAAATAATAAAGTTAAAATTAATTAAAATATAAGTTTATCTATCGAAATAAATTGAAAAATATTTGTGGAACTTTAACAATATTATCATACAGATTTTTTAAAAATTGAAATGTGAACTTTAGTTTAAGCATAAATTTTTTATCTTATCATCTAAAATATGTTCTATATGAGAGGCTATATGCTACAGCTAGTTATAATATATATTAAATTAAAAACAACGTTATAGAGAGTTCAAGTTTTGATAATCTAATATTTTTAACATTTATGAAAAAAATTGAAATGAATGAATTTATTTATTGGATTAAATCTAAAAAAATATAAAAAACAATAAATAAAATGTGCACGTCACAATTTAATTTATTTAATATTTAGCTCATTTATGAATTCATTATAATATTTTTTGGATTCTTCTAAACTTAGCTTTTTAGTGTTTGATATATACTAACTAGCCTAAGTTAAAGTCTTCTTATTTCAACAGGATTCTTATTTTAAGCTTTTTGAAATCAATATAAATGATTTCTGAATTGATATTTGTGAATAACTATTAGCAATTCCTAACTTAATTAAATTGGGGATGTTTTTAGAAAGGTATTTTTAATTTATTTCCTCAATGGTGATCTTAATTAATCTTTCTTTTTGCTATTATTCTGCTCATAAGTTTAACAGTATCTCCTAAATCTCTTACTTGCAAACGATTTTTAAATATTAAAATTTATTTTCAGATTGAATTAGCATGGCTTTTATTTATTAATAAAAGGTACTTTTAAAAATTCTTTAAATCTTTGAATTTTAAAAAAGTTATAATCATTTTTTAAGAATTCTCTAATATTTGAGACTCTTATTAAGCAACTTGCCAGGTTAAAATTCAATAATGTTTTCTAAATTCATTTCTTCTTCTAAATAAATAAACTTGGTTATTCTTCTCTACTTTAATTAATAATTTTTTAAGAAATTTAAAATTCTCAAAAATTCAGAAATATTTGATGAATTCGTTTATTATTTATTTAATGATGGTTTAAAATGAAATAAAAATAAAGCAAATATAAAAAAATTTAAATATAACTTCTTGTATTTTTTAGAGTTATTATTGTGAATTAAAACCGAATTTACAATAAATTATTAATAAAAACCTAAAAATTAGTTTTTAAAAGTACCAAAAATAAATAACTGATATTTTCATTAAATTTATGCCTAAATATTTGATAATAAAAAATGAAGTTTAAAAAATAATAGTATAAAAAAAAACATTAAAATAAAAATATTGATTTGATTGGCTTATATATATAATAGAGTAAAATATCTTTAAAAAATATCTAGTTATAAATAAATTATCAAAGAAAATAAATATCTAAAAAATATTTTGTTATTTTTAAATTATAATTTTAACTAAAAATAATGAATAAAATAGAAACATTTTTGAAATTAGATAAAATAAATTTCTAAAGATTTTAAATAATTGAAAGATTTTGTAATATGCAAAATCAAAACTATTTACAAAATTAAATTCCTAAAAATAAAATAGGTTCTATTATTTTATAAATGAATCAACTATATTTTAAACAAATAAAATTAGATAAAAAATTATTAATTATTTCAAAAGAAAGTTTTTATTTTTGAATCAATATTAGAAAAATTAAAATTTAATTCAAAAAAATTTCTTTTGATCATGAAAATATTTTAATTAAGTTATTTCATTAGTAAATTCGCCTTAAAGTTAATTTCAAAATACAAAAGAATTTTATAAAAAGTCTTTACATTAAATAATACTAATAAATATTAAAAATGTTTTAAATCATGGATGACGACCTTCAGAAATATACTTGGCAATTTAGGGGATATTCTCAAGTCTTTATATCAATGGATTAAAAGTTGCAGCAAATTCATTGTAAGAATCAGGAAGAGTATTTTTAAAACCTTTTGCAAAGCATAAAAAATACAAATCAGCAGCTGTAAAATATCCTAGTAAGTACTCTTTTTATCCTAAAAATTTATGAATGTCTCTTATTTTAGGAAGGATTTACTCACTTAAGAATTTAGTTTATTCTTCTCCCTCCTTCTAGCTATAAATGTACATTCTTGTTCCAATATCAGAAAACAGGTTTTTAAGATTATCAACAATGTATTTATCGTTTCCCTAACCTAAAAGCTCAACTTTATTTAATCTTTAAATTAAATAGTCAAAAATGGTTTCACTCTCAGTGATTTTTACTTCCCCATCTAAGAGATAAGGCAAATTAGGAAAAGGTAATCCCAAAGCATATTTGTCTCTACCAAACCATTCTGCAGCAGGATAAGAGTATCTCACTTCTTCATATTTAACTCCCGATAGTTCAAGTAAGTATCTTGAAGGTTGAGCTTTGCCAGGTGTATTCCAATAACCAAGGATAATTTTATCTGACATTTTAAATTTTTATAATAGTCACTTAATTTTTTATTTGTTTATTTATTTAATATTATTTGATAGAATGATAATTTTTGGTTTTAAATAAAAAATTTTAAAATTAATATCAATATGAAACTGTAATTAATTATATACTATTATTCTAGAAATCTTCTAATTTATTTAAATTTGAATATCTTTTATTAAACAATTTTTATCAAAAATTTCGGAAAACATTCTTTTTTATAGGGTTACAAAAGCAATTATGATTGCTTAATTTATTCTGTAATCTAAATTGCAAATATTTAATATAATTTTAAAGCATCATATTATATTAATAATTCATTTGATTAATTTAAACCAAATATTTATTTACAGAATCCAGAAATTCAAAATATTTCAAAAAGAAAATTATAAAGTTTAATAAGAAATTAGTCCAAAAATGTTCGTTTTTCTTTTGTTACAATACTAAAAAAATTGATACAAATTTTAAGTATAATTCAATTACTATCTATTTATGAATAATCTATCAATATCACATATAAATTAAAAGAAGAATTATTGAAATTCTTACATTTTTTTCAATTTTAGTTGTTAAATACCAATTATTATATATAATTTGTTATCAATTATTATATTTAATTTTAAAAAAGAAAATTAGCTTATTCTTTGAACAATTATTTTTATCATAATCATATACCGTAGTTTCTTATATATTAAGGAAGCCATATATTAAGGACTTTTTTCAATAAACTATGAATTAAGGATTAAATTTGGTAAAAAGTTTTTATCTGAATATGTCCTTAATATATGAGAAACTACGGTATATTAAAACCTAAAATAAGATACAATTTTTTTTTACATTAGCAAATATAAAGAAAAAAATTTTTAATTGTAGAAATTCAAATAAAATTTTAAATAATAAAGAAATTTAAAACTAAAAATAATTTCCATGGCCATGGCAATTATTCTTTGAAAAGTAAAATTAAAATGAGATTTTATGAAATAAAAAGAAATTAATAATAACTTTTAATTATAATTAAATAAGATATATTTTTTCTTAATTAAATATATTTTTATATTAACAAAATTAATTATATTTTAAATCAGTTTAATTATTAAATTAAAAAAAAAAATTAAGTTAAGAAAGTTAAGTTAAGTTTAATTTTTTTTATTTGAACAGATGTCTTTGATTAAAACATCTTGAGATATTAATAAAGGATTAATAATAAATATATTAGTTGTTATTCGTTTAAATATTTAAAATATTTCAATCTGAATTAATATTTGAGTATCTATTAGTAGTAATTCCTAATTTAATTAAATTAGTACTATTTTTAGAAAGGATATCTAAATTTATTTTATAGTTTATGAGCTTAGTAAACTGTTTTTTCCTTTATTTTTAACTTAAATTTTATTTGAGTCTTTTAAATATTTTATTTTTAATCTTAAAATATCTTTTGAAATTACTTATAAATTGAATCAATTCAGCTTTATTAATTAATAAAAAATATTTTGTCATTTCTTAAAATCTCAATAACATATGCCTCTAAAGTCAATTAAAATATTTAGTTTATTAATATTTTACCTACCTATCAGTTATCTTTAGTAAAATAAATATTTTTAAGAACTTTATCTAATCAAATAAAATATTTGTTTGTTTTTAATTTAAAAAATATAATAATGAAAATTTTCAAATAAATTATTTGGATATACAAAATATCAAATTATTTGAAAGGAATAAAAAATTATTTAAAATAGTGTCATAAACTAAAATCTATTAAATTAGGTTCCCTTTTAAATTAAGCACTAGTTAAAGATGATTAAAAGCTTTATCCCAAACTTAATTTTTTCACTGTAAAATCAATCTTTAATCTGGATACATGTATATTTTGGTTAAAATTTTATCCCTGTAGTGCCCACTTTAGATAGGTTTCTTTTATAATTAATTTTTTTATTTAATTAAGTAATAGTTTATCACTCTATCTGTGGTGAGATAAAATTTTATTTATATTCTTATTTAAGCAAATTTATAAACTAAAAACTCATCTTTTTCCTCTTTGTTTAATAAATTATTATAAATTTATATTTTTTAAATTTAAAATTGATAACTGTTTTATTTTAACAATTAAAAAACTAAATTTTATATTAAAAGAAAAATATCTAGTAAGGATTATTTTGAAAATGAAATCTTCATATACTTTTTTTAGAATATCTTTAAATGGTATATTTAAAATTTGTAAAAGGGTTAAATTGTTTAGTATTATAAAATTAGAAGAAATCTATAATGAGCATTTTTGAAAAAAAAATCGAAGTATCTATTTAAACTTTTAGAAGTGTATTTTTAAATAGTATAATTAAATTTTCTTAACAAATGGATTGAAGAAAATTTATCAAAATGAGAGAATTTCAAGAAAATAGATATATTTGGAATATAATTTTTAAAAAAGAAAAAAAAATTAAAGGCTTAGTTTGAAGGAAAATAAAAATTTATTTTGTATTCAAAGACTTAAAAATATAATTATTATTCTTTTCTAAAAGTATGAACAATAAATATTTCTTTTATACAAGTAAAAGATCAATAATGCTTGTTAGTTTATTTAATTTTTTATTTATTTGCTCGATTTAAAGAGTTAATAAATAAAATTGTGCTGTTACCGTAAAAAATAGTGTGTGTTTATAGATACATATTGAAATTTCTGAAATAATTTTTCCTTAAAACCCAATTAAAAAGATAAATTTAATCTACTCTTGAGCGTTAAACCCATAATTAATTTTCTTTTTCTTAACGCAATAGATAAAAATACTTATTTTAAAAGTAAACAAGATCAGATTAATTTTTTTTCTTAAATTTGGTTACAATTTGGAAGATACGTCAAAGTATGAAAAAAATTGGCATAAAACAATTATTTTATTGTATTTTATATATTTACTTTGTGTTGATTACATCCCAAAAATAGATTTATCAGAAAATTAATAAATTACAGTAAGAAAAAAATTTTTTAAAGAATAAACAATTAAGTTACTACCTATCAATTAAAAGCAAATCAATAAAACTCAATTAAAGGTTGAAAAAAAGTATAGCTAGTACGATTAAAAATTCACCTGATAATTTAATAACAATTAAATGAGCTTTTTTTATAACAAAACTCTAGAAATAAATATTTTAAAGCTGAAAATATTTTTTCTTAAATTAAATTTAAGAATTAAAAAGCTAAATTTAATTTATTTTGGAGCGTTAAAGCCAACTTTTAATTTTATTTATTTATTCTTAACGCATTTAAGATCAAATTTTTTTCTTAACTCCAAAATAAAATATGAAATAAGTTTATTTCTAAAAATAAAATTCAAATAAAAATAATTTAATATGATAAAATATTCATTCTTTTAGCCTTTATAAAACCTTTAAATATTATTTATTATAAAACACTATTCATTGATTAATTTTTACTAAAAAATTTATTTAGCTCCATGGAATTTACAATTTTTTTGTGTAAAAAAAGAAAATAGAAATTAATATTTTTTTCAAAAATATTGCTGATAGAACTATACCTTAATAAAGTATATGATTTAGAAGTAACACTCGAATTATTAGCTAAAAAAATGATATTTTAATTAAAAATACGTGGTTTTTTAAATATAATAAAATTTTCTAAATCATTAGATTTATATTTACTAAAAAAGAGTACAAATTTTATAAAATCCTAACCACTAATTTTTAAAGACTTACTTACTAGCTTATTAAAACATAAAATATATTTATAGAAACTGATTAGGTAAATTACTCTGAATAGTAAAATTAGGCTGGTTTAATCATTTTTTATAATAAGAAATAACTAATGTAAATAAAAAAGAATAACAAGTATTTTGTAAAATAGAAGAGTAATATGTAAATTAAAAATTGATTTGATAAAATAAAAGCTTAACTCTTATTTCATTATTAGCTTTTATAGGACTTTAAACCATTTTAGTTTATATTATTTAATTCGTTCCAGAATAATAAAGGAAATTTTTTAGAATTTTAAGTGTGTAAATTACACAGTAGAAAAAAAATTTTTTTTATCAATTCATTCTTGACTATTACTATCATATTTTCTGATAAGTTTTGAAAAAATCTATCTAAGTAATTCACTATCAATTTAATTTACATATTAAAAATTCAAATATTTAAATTAATTTTATAACATTTTTGCTTTTTAAACAGAGCAACAATATTCTAAGTGAGGATATACATGGCTAAAATAATTTTTGCTTATTTTTAACCTTAGTATATTTAAAAAATGAAAGTTAAGTGAGAAAAAACTTTTTTTCTTAAAATTAGAATAAAATTAAACTAATAAAATGAAATAATTTTTATTCATTTTTTTATTTTTTTGTATTAAAAATCAGCAAAATAGATTATAAATTTATCTCACTATCAATTTCTTTTTACCATTTTACTCCTATTAAAAAATAAGCGTATTGTATAAATCGAGATAAATCCATAAATTTAACAATAGGTAACTAGTTATTAAAGAAATTTAATAACAAATTGAACAGTAATATTTATGGCTTTGCCAATCAATATATTTTTAATTTATTTAATTACAATAAAAAAATCCAATAAATTTAATTACAATAAACCAAATTCAACTTTTTTAATTTAATTTTTTGCTGCCAATCTGTAAGAAAATGAAAAACTCATTTTTATGTATAAACTAGTATATTCTACACTTTGATTTATATAAATATCTTATTAGTTTGATTCATATAATATTTTCTTTTCAATTTTTATTCAGGTTTTCTAACATTAAAAAAATATTATTGATACTATTTAATAAACAAATAATTAGTGAAAGCTGTTTATAAAAAGCAAATGGTTAATATTGGCTTATAAATTTGTCTTTTAACCGCTTTTGCAAGTTTACAATTTGTTGCTTGCTAACTTATAGATTGAAAGCAAAAATTTGTTTTTTTTATTTGATATGGGGTATGGAATCTGCACTAGTATTTATAAAAAACAAACAATATATTTTATTAGACTTTAGTAATCAAATTAGTGCTTATTTGTTATTAATAATCCTTTTTCTTTTTAAAGGTAAACAAATTTTTTATTAATTAAAAAATATTTAACTGTAACATAAATTTGCCTCTAATAGTTATTCGCATGCAATAGTTCTTTGAATTCATAGTAAGGTCTAATAGCTTGTTTAATAATTTTATACTTTCGATAATGCTGACGCATTTATGAGTTCAAATTTAATTGGGGCTTTGTTTTGAAATATTTGGATCCAATTTATTCAGAATCTTCCTATCTTATTTTCTTATTATTTCATTCAATTTCTAAATTCTTAAGGCCATTAAGAATAAACTAAATCAAATCGATTATAATAAAATTAACTACTAAGCTTTTGTGGTTTAAAATTATAGCATATATTCGTTCTATAATAGTCAAACAAGCTTTAAGCTAATGTTAAAAAAAATTCCAAACAAGGATATATATAATAAATTTTTAAATTGCTCTAAAAAATTAGGAAATTTTTCTTGTAGTTTCTGTGTTACTCCAAACTTCAATATTAAATTTTATAAATTATTGTTATTTAATTCAAGAAAAATGAAGTAAATAAAAAAGCATTTATTTAATGTTTAGATAAAATTATAAAAATTTAATTTCTTTATTAATTATTTATTTGAATAATTAATTAAATGTATTTCATAAAAGGATAGTTTTTATTTATTTATTTATAATATTTAGTCATTAATTTATTTTTTTGATTAGAATATAATAAGTTGAAAATTTGTATTTTGATTCTTTTTTCCACGTATTTATTACAGTTAGAAATCACTTTATCCTTTAAAATATAAATTTTTAAAAATAGAAGTTCTACTTCAAACATTAAAAAAAATATTTATATATGATGGATGATGTGTTGGTATATAGAGCATTGATTATGATGCTTTAATTAATAGAAAAAGTTGTAATTTTAAAATAAAATGCGTCAATTTGAGTGTATTAAAAGTAAAGTTTCTAATATAAAAGAATAATTAAATCACGTATCGTAATTTATTAAAGTTAAAAGATGTATTTTTATTTTTAAATTATTGTTGTTATCATGGTTAAATTCTTCTTTATAACTTTGGCTTTCATGAATTTTAAAATATTTCTTTATTTGTAAGAAGTGTAAGATTTAAGAAAGTATTAATCAAGAAACAATTTTTTATTTCAACTTACTGAGATATTATAAATTATGTAAAGTAATTATACTAAAAATTTACAGATTATTATCAAAAATCAATAAAAATTAAATCAAAGAGCGAAATTATTTGCGTTATGACTAATCGAAATGAAAAATGGGTGGATAGGATAAAAAAATAAATATATCCTTACTAACTACATTCCTAAATAAATTTTAAAAGATAAAAATATCCAAATTAATAATTAAAATCCTAAATTTTATTTTTACTATTATTAAGTAGTGAGTGGTTAATAAATTATATTTTCTAAAGCTGGCTTGTTTATGTTTGTTTTTATTAAAATAGATTGTGGCAAAGATTGTATTTCGAATATTAATTTAAATGCAAACTAGGTCAATTAAATTTAAATTATTGGTTGGAAATCTTTTTGAATTATTTGTTCAAGCGCTTTAAAAACACCGTTCACTTATGTCTTTCAGTGTAAGAAAAGGAATTTAACACCAATCTATACTGAAATGTCTATTTAAATAGAATTTATAGGGCTTTAGCTCAAATCTTAATTAAAAGGAGCATTTTAGAATCAAAATTAATTGAAGATTGAATTTTTCTCTTTTATGTGTTTCTTTGAAAACAAAAATCTTTCTTTAATTATAATCATAAGTTTTTGATTATGTTTGTATCTGTAAGCAAAGATAGTTAATATTCGACAAGTTTTACAAATATTTTATATTTGAGTCAGCGGGCTAGTAAATTTTCTGAGGAAATTTAATATTTTGATTGAACGAACAGTGAATTTTTCATTTTCTAATAGTTTAGAAAATTTCAAAAATCCACAAGTAATAACTTGAAACAAAAAACGATTCATGTTTTTAAATTTATTTTATTTTATATTTTTAAGATGTTCGTCGTCCATGGACGTTAATAATCGATTGGTGGGTGGAAAGGCTAAAATTAATTTGAAATGTATTATTTGTTAACATAGAAAAGGGAAATCCTTAAGAGGCAGCTAATATAAAATTTATTTAAATTTGTAAAGAAAATTGATTGAAAATTAATATTTCTTGATTTTCCCATCAGAAAATAAAAGTTGATTAATAAATTTCTTAGATTACAAATTAAAATGTTAAAATCCTTTCAATAACTCCTAATTGGCACTAAGACTTTTTTCAAAAGGTTCAATTTTGCCATTCATTATCAAAATTAATCTATAAATTGATTTAATCATAATCATACGCACATTTTAAGTAGCCTTTCATATCCAGTAGATATTTTATACAAATATCTGACCTTGCTTAGATAATTCTTTCTCCTCTTTTAGCTTCCCCCAAGTAAAGCAATTTACTTAATTTTCCCCTACATTTTTTCAAAAAAAGTAATCTTCATTCTATTTATCAATATAATCAAATAATAAATTGTGGGGTTTTTTGCTTTCTATTTTTACCAACAAACTGCTTTTAAATATAAGAAAGAATAAGTGAGAACTTCATTCAAATAACTGTGGTTATTAAGAAATACAATTAATTTTCTTTTCACTATTTAAGAAGGGGACTCTTACTATTCTTTCAATTTATTAGCATAAAATATTTTAGTTAAGATGGATGGCCATAATAATATTTGAACTTGCAAATTGGAAAACTAAAATAAAATATACCTTATTTTTATAGGAAGGTAAAATGTAAGAAATAAAGACCAACAATAAAATGAAATTGTTAAGAATATCCAAAGAATTAATTTTTTTATTTATGACAAATACCCTAACGCTAATTAGATAGATAGATAGATATTGGCATATCCAACAATACAATACAATAATTAATTTTACTCCCAAATCTATTTGGAAGGGGTCCGATGTAATCAAGTTAAGAGCTATTTTAAGGCTGAAAGAAAAACATTTATTTTTTTTTTATAATCTTTAAAATATGGTGATAAAATAGGTAGAATGGATTTGTTAGATGGTCTGCAAATCACATAATTTAATTCGCCTGAATTTAGTCAATTTTAAATTAATTGAACATAGTAGAGTTCACATCATTTTAAATAAGTTGGAAATGTAATTATAATCCTTATTAAATTTTTTTATTCACACCTAAAAAATAATTTGAGCAGAAATGATAAGAACAATAAAGCAGAATTTAATGTACTTTGGAAAAATTTTACTAGTGGTAATTAAATTTTGCGGAACTATAGAGTGGGAAGAAATTCATAAAATTAGCTTGCTCTATAGTTTAAATATTTTACAGATGCGTGAGCTAACAAATAAACAAACATAATAATAAAGAAGACACTAGATTATAAAAACTGCTTGGTCTCTCTGATGCTTAAATTACAGAAATTTCCCAGCAATTAAATTATAATAAATTAAAAAAAATAAATTAAATAAAAGCTTCATAAAAGGATTTTCAATTCTACAGCTACGCACATAAAACTCTCCATTGAACACCTCCATACATCTGTTGAGTCTAAACCTATTCATTACTCTTACCTATATTGCTTATCTTTAAAAAAAACCCGCCTCATTGTGCTAATCTTAAGAAAATAAAATGACTGACAATAAATATTCCAGAAGAGAACTCTACACCATGATCAAGGATAGAATAATGAACTAAAAGGAATTTAATGCAACTATGATGAGTAGTTCTCTCCTTAGTGACTCAGACAGTCTAAGCAGTTTTTCTCCTCTCAAGTCAATGATTTCTGAAGAAGATATGGTTGAAATAAACTATATGGATGAACTTTTTTCATTCTTTGAAAAAGACTGGGATAACTACACAGAGGAGCAAGACAACCAATTTTAAGCACAATACAAATTCACTTTGGAAAGGCTAAATGTTTTCAAAAACATTCTTCGTGCTTTCAAGAACTATATGAAGACTAAGGGAGACTCAGTCGTCATCGAGTGCATGGATTCTCTACAAAAACCCATTAATATCATCAAGAAGCAATTTAATTTCTTCTCAAAGCGCCATGCTCCCAACAGCCGTTTACTATCATTGCTCTTTTGCTACGATAGATACGGAAGACAATTTGAATACTTCCTTAATCACTACTCTCTCGAGTGGCTTGCTAGCAGCAAAGTTAAGGACCTGACTTAACACATCTACACTATTCTTTATCTCTGTCGCTGTTTCAAAAATGAGAGTATGCAATAAAATATCAAAGTTAACAAGAAATGAATGAAGTCTTGTTTAAAAATTTTTTAATAACAACAATAACCAATTTGATAATTCCACTCTAATATTCGGAATATCATAAATACTCTATATTCATTTAGTAAAACAAATGAATAATATTTCAATTTCATATATATATTTATTAATTTTTCTGATTTAAGGGGTAGGAATAAATTCGATAACAACAAAATAAAAATTAAATAATAATAAAAACAATAAATTTGTAGTAAGCTTGCTTTGTCAGGCATATCCTGTGAATACCCTTACGCAATCAATCAATCAAACAATCAATCAATAAACCCTACCTAAATCTAAGAATCAAAAATGTTTCTAAATTATGAATGAATACTCTTTACTCCACCAACTACTCTACTTTAATCTTACTTTACTATATTTATCAATCATATAACGAATAATAAAATCATATTTTTTCTGAAAACTTTTCAGAAAATATGTAAATAATCTCGTTTGTTTGATATTTAAATGAAATAATTTCTGTAAATGTTTATATATACATACATATAATTTATTTAAGTGTTTTATATTCTTATAATTTTATAACTTAACAATTACTTCTTCATTATATTTTCTATTCAAAAATAAAGCACCAATAAATTTCTAAGATAAGTTTTTATTTACAAAAATAAACCAATGAATTTACTTAACTTACATTCATTCATTCATTAAAAAGTCCAATTGCTCAACTAAATATTCAAGAAGAGTAAATTATTCTACAAAAAGAGAAATTCATTATTTTACTTGATAATTTATGCATTAAAGAAAAATAATTTTTATTTTTTATAGGAGGCAGAATGAATACTAAAGCTTACTCTGATTTACCTTGGTCAAAATATTTAATTTATACAAAATAGCTGTTAAAATACATTAAACTTTTTTGAATAGAATTTTCAGAGTAACGTTATTTTAATATAAATAAATCTTTATTTCTTTGAGAAGCTAAAACTAAATTAATGATTAATATTAATATTTATAATTATATCTGTTAAACTTACATTTTTATGTAAATTATAAACCACATTCATTTATCATTTTTCTATTAGGAAATTTACAGGAAAACCAAACCAAATCAAATCAACTCAACTCAACTCAACTCAATTAATTGAGGAATTTAATAAAATTAATTTTAAAAAAATAAATGAAATATCTCATTAAAAAATTTTTGATAGTTTCTAATAAAATAAAATAATAATAACTCTTTTACAATAAAATTTATGATTCTAAAAACTTTATTTTTAGCTTTTAAATCCAAAAAAAAAAAATAAATTAAATTAAATCCAAAAAACCAAGCATATAAATTCCAAAAAAATAAAATAAATTAAATCCAAAAAACCAAACAAATAAAATCCAAAAAAATAAAATAAATAAAAAAAAACAAAAAAATAAAATCCAAAAACTAAACTTATAGCACTTCTGCAGGTTTTTTCTTTTTTTTACCAAAAAAAAGCAAGATTTGCGTTAGCAAAACTTGTTTGCTTTAAATATAAAATAGAATATAAATTAAAATTCTTGAAGTTTACACTATAAATTTTAAGAGCAGTTAAGCTACTACTGATATATACCAAAATTTGTTTTTTATCAAACCTATTATTTTCCTATTTAAATTCAATAAAATTAATTTGAGGAGATATTTAAAAATAACTATTTAAACAAAAAATCTTATCCACATTTTTATTAATAAATAATGTAATTTACAATTAAGAAATGGTTATTGAAATTAAGAGCAATTTAATTTTTGTAACAACCCCTTTATTAATTAATAAGTATTACAAGATAGAAAAAAATATCAATGTATTTAGTTAGAAGATATTTACTCAAAGTTAAGTTAAAAAGTTAAGAAATTAAGCATTTAAGCCAACCTTTGATTTCTTTAGTCTATCTTCAATTGTATTATTAAATGGGAAATTTTAGTTTAAATCCTAAATTATCTCATCAAACATATTTGCTCCAAAAAGTTTCAAACAAATTATTAGTGATTATCAAAATAATGTGCTTTTAATTAGTTTACACTTTGACGCATCAAAGAAAAAAAATAATTAATAATTTGTTTATTGCATCAATTTCGTAAAAGATCCCTCTACAATAATTCTAATTTGTAAATAAAAATCAAAGTATTTGATTAAATGTAATATATAAAGTGAATAAATAGATTTTTAAGCACTGATTTTTTATAAATAATATAGAATATTTATTATGAAATCCTAATTTATTTATTTTGTTTGTTTATTAATTCATTTGGGCAATCAAAAGTCCTTAGAAAAAAATTAAAGTGTCTGAATTATATTTTAAAGTTACAAAACTGATTTAAATTTCAAAACATGCTCCATCGAACTATATATAAAATACGCTCACTATTATTAGTTCTTGCAAGTTGAAAAAAACTTTAATAAATAAAAAATTAAATGAATATATTATAATGAACAAAGTTAGCAATTACCTATAATCAATATTATAATATCAATAAATTTGTTACGCTATCGTTAAGAGATATTGAAAGCATTTTAAAAAAGACTTTTTAAATAAGAACTAATTTTCTTATATATTCGAATAAGACTTACTAATCAAAAGAAGCAATTATAATTAATTTACATTAAAATTTGATGTTGCTTATTTTTGAAATCCAATTTAAATTATTGGATAGAATAAATTTCTTGACTATCAACTTTTACCCAGAAATAATACAAAGTAAATGAATGAACACATAAATCAATGATCATAAATTACTTTATATTTTTAAAATGAATATCCAATCAATAATAAATGTAAAATTACAAGGTTTTTTGTGAGGTAGATTATTATGGAAATTTATTTTAGTTTTACAATAGAAATTAAATAATATTTCTTACGTGATTAGTTTTTTGATCGAAGGATATAAAATTTAGTTTACACTAATTAAATTAAACATTTTTTTTTTACTTCTGAAGAATTGTTCAATAAAAATAAAAGTAGAAATAAAATAAATTATTTAAATTTTATAATACAAGTTTGTTAATAAATCGTCTATGTAAATAAAATTTAACAATCTTATTATTTATTTTAATGTACTCCCTAACCTTAATTTACAATTATCTGAAAGGAAAGTTAAGTAAGCAAGAAAAAAAGTATTTAATAAAAAAAAGATGAATAAATGAAATTTAATATTCAAAATATACTTCTGATTGAAATAGTAAACTGAATAAATTCTTTTATATTCAACTTTGCTTACAGAAATTAAAACGATCATTTAAAAATTATGTAAATCTTATGCTAATTTTAGAAAGCCAAGCTGTTGTGTTATTTAGATTTTTTAAAAATATCAAAAATAATTTATATGAGAATGAATAGCTTTGTATTAATGAATGTTTTTATTGAAACATAAACATAATTTACATTTAAGAATGAATAATTATGCAAGAAACATATAAAAAGATTGAATAAAAATTTGAATTATAAGTGAATCTTTTTTCTCATTATTAATTCACTAATATAGGTCGTTTTACTAATTTTCTTAGTCTCTATTTTCTTAATCGAAAGTAGAATATTGAAGACTATTCTTTTTTATACGAGTGAAAGGATTAATTGGACAAAACCAGAATATTTTATTTTCACCCAAGATTTCACTTATGTTTGAGACTGTGCCCTTGTCAAAAGGATTCTAATAATTAATTTAAATGTTTTTGATTATTAATCTGAAAAATAGAAAAATTATAAGTTAAATTTAAGATGTAAACCAAATGACATCAGCTTTTTCATTTAGGTTAGTCAATATTAGAAATTTTGGATATTGGGAATTTATTAAATTTCTGAAACAAATTATCCGAAAATAAAAAAAATTGTGTAATTAAATTCGAAGCTAAAATTAATTTTCAATCATGATTATAAACTTTGCCTTTTCTTCAAAAAATGATTAGTTGAAAGAATGATCTTTCTTGTTACATTAATAAAAATTATAAATAAATAAATTATTTAATATTACTCTTTCATTTATTTCTTCGATGTGATATTCAACTGTTGTTTAATTTTTAAGCATTCTTATCACCTAAAAAATGAAAAGAAACCCAATGCACATAACTAAGCCAAAAGTCATAACTTAATTGACTGTTATGCAAAGTCTGTTAGCCTTATTTAGTGAATGCTTGATAGCTCCATCGTTAAAAATGTAATCAGCTGTGATATTAACACAACAAGTGCCTACACTCAAAGTTGCATGCAATAAAAACAAGATAAAATATTTGTGATTTTATATTCCAACACAATTAGCTACCCAGGGGCAATGATGATCCATCCTCTATACACATCTTTAATTTAAATATAGGGTTAAAATGATTAATATTCAATTCTGACACTTAATTTAATTAAAAGGAAAATTTACACTTTTTACAAAAATTAACTTAGCAAATAAATTAATTGTATTTATTAGTATGAGATTAAAGGAAAAGGATGATAATCCTAAATCCACACCAATAAATCCATCCTTTTTGAATTTAAGGTGTGGTAAAAAACCATATAATAAACTAACTAGCTAATTAATAAATAAATCTATTTTTATACCTATTACATTCCTTACAGTGATGTGTTCTGGGTGGTTTAATTCTGTCGCATTTTACACAATAGCTAACTTGTTAAATACTTCTAATGATATCACTATTAATAATAATAGTTTTTAATACTTTTAATTAATTCTTATTAAAACCAAAAGTAGTGGGAAATAATTGTTTTTTGTAATATTCTTCAAATTATTAAAATAGCAAAATTGGTTAACTGCTTATTTTCAATAAATAAATATTCAATCAATTACATGTTTATATTTTAATTCAAAAAGATATAATTTATTTTTTCTTAATTTATTATTTGTTTTCAAAGAATATGCTTAAATTTCATAATAATTGCAATCAGCAACAAATTTCTTTACAAATTTAAAATAAATGAGAATCTGAACTCAATTAATTTAGTTGAAATGAATTTTGCAAATAAAATAAAATAATATATTCGTTGAATGAATGATTGATTGAGAGAAAAGATACTAATGAGTTATATTTTAAATTCTAATTTAAGAATTAAAAATTTTATTTATCAGCCTAGATAAAATAATTTCATATCTTTTATTTAAAAACGATGAAAAAATTTTGGTTTATTTTTAATAATAACTTTTGTTTTAAATTAAAAAAAATAATTTCTTAATTTTTAATATTTTTTAACAAATTTTGAAAGTAGTGTTTTAAGATTTATTTTAATTATTTTGGAAATTAATTGATTTGATTATTAAAAAGCATTTTTTTGAATTTGTATTATTCTTACTCATTTTTAATAAATATATTTCTACTGATTGATTACTCAGTAAAAAATAAACAATTGCTTTGCAATTAAAATATTTGTTAAATTTATTTTAAATAAGCATAATTGTTTTATTAGAATTTGCTATTAATCGAATTAAATAAATCTTAATAAATTACAAATTCATCATTTCATTTTTAAGTTATTCCTTTTGGTTACTTAGCTCTATATCAATTGTATTTTCGTGATTCTACAAATTGTTATTTCCAGTCTTCTTTTTCTATTTTTTTTCCTTTCTCAAAAGTATTTTTATTTTCTACTCTTTTGCACTACGCTCTTTTATTTGTTCTAAGTTAGGATATAATTCATTCTATTGATTTTTATTTTAATAATAGGTTAGTTAGCATTTTCATTGATTTTCTATTTATTTAATTCTTAATTACAATATCTGGTGAAACACTTCCAGGAGGAGTACAAATGCATTAATAATAATTTGCTAGCATAAAGAAAACATTCACATTTAAAAATATTGTAACAAATAACCCTGCTGCTGTATATTCCTATTAATTTTTTTAAATATTGAAACTCTAATTTAAATGATTTCATAATAATTTAAAAGTTTGTTTGCACAATTGATAAATAATAATTATAAATGCTATTTACTTATTCAAACATCTACTAAATAAAAATGAATTGCTAAAAATAATAGTTAGTTCCTATTATTATCAAGACTAATATGACAGGTATCCAGTTAGGACTGCTGCTTTTTTGCATTTCTAATGTTCTATACTTTTACTTTTGTAGTTTCTAACTCACTTTTTAAATGCTTACTTAACTATTCAATTGATAATTTACGTTGATATTATTTAACAAAAAGACAATATTTTTTTTATTGTTCAATTGACTAACATTCAATCTTTTGAATATCTCTATTAATGTTTTTATCAGGCAATTTAAATTTCTATTACAGTTTTTGTGATATTATTTTGATGACTTTGAATTTTACAATTAGCGAAAGAATTTTATTCTTTATATAACTCTAGTTTATGTTTTAAAATAAATTTTAACATTTAAATTTAAAATATTTTCATCTTTTCAAAGCATTCATAAATTAATAATTCAGAATAAAACTTAAATATATTAATTAAAATTGTATTTTTTGATTTATTTAAAGAAATAATTATATCAAAATAGATATTATTTGATAAATTAAATGATTTTATTTCATCAAACATTAAAAACAAGCTTAATTCTTTTTATTTATCAAGATAATTTTCAAAAAATACCAAAAAATTTAAAATGAATTAAAATAAATTTATTTGAAAGATATTAACAAAAAAAAATTAATTTTTAAAAAATATTAAATAAGAAAGAAATTTCCACAAAATATTTATTAATTAATGGTTAAATGAGCTAAATTTTTCAATTAATTAAAAAATAATAAAATTAGTTAGTACCTTCAATATTGTATAAAAAATTTATTTACATAAAATTAAATTAAGGAGACATTTATTTTTTAAAGTATTTAAAATTTTTAGAAGTATGAATATTATTTATTATAAAGTGATTTTTTTAGATTACAATTACAAACTTTTATTCTAAATATTGATTGGCTAATTATTGAGTTTCTTTAGATCTAAATCAAAAATACTAGTTTGTCAAGATTTTATTAATAACAAACTCCTAAACTTGCTTTTAATTAAAGTAAATTTTGATTTGCTTAAAACTTTTTAATAACCAAAATAGATAAATGGAAGATAAATATAAAAGAGAGAGGAAAAGTTATAGTTTAGATGCCTAAGAAATAGCTAATAATGTACGGAAATTATCCTTAGCTGAAAACAGAAATCTTAAAAGTGATTAAAAGTGTAATAACTCCTTTAAAAATGCTGGAGATAATTAGTTTGATGAAAATCGTAATCTTAAATTGATGCTTAAAAGAGGAGTTGAGGAAAATATGCTTTCTACTATTTTGCATAGTTTGAAAAATAATAATTTAGAGCAGTCTAATATAAACTAAGACATGTTGAAAAAGGCAAAAGAATTTTATAAAAAGCTAAATGTCTTTGACTTTAAAGATGAAGACTTTTATTTTTTATTTACAGAAGAATTGTATAAGGAAAAGAAAGATAGATTCCATTCAGGTTAAGAGCCTGTAGAATACTTTAAAACTGTTCTCAATGAAGACTACTAACCCTTTGCAAGATGCACATTAAATTTAAAAGCCAATAACAATAAAAAAAAGTATGATTTTAAGTATATCAGGGGAGGAGATAAGTAAGCTTTAATTAACAACTCTCATGATGATAAAATGTTTAGCGATTTACTTGAGCAAGATGCTCTCACTCAGCTTAACCACATATCTTAGCATCACAGAAGGCCATCATATTAGCTTCAGAAGTAATTTATTCTTGTAAATAAAACAATTTTTATTTCATAAATTGAATAATGTAATATATATACCTTCTCATTCTAAAATTCAAAGATTTTTAATCTTATATTGTTAGTTTTCAAACAATTTAAGACGGTGCTCATTTCAATAAAGAATAAATAAAATTTTTATAGCCACTTAACAAATAAAATCATCTAACATCAATCAATAAGGGCGAATATATTTACAAAATAATTTTGTTTAAGGATGAAAAATTAATATTTGTTTTATTGATTATTGAGATTAACATATTTAGGAGTTTATAATTAATAATAATATTTTTAAAATGAAGAGAAGAAATAGGAAGAATCAAGACGTGATAAATTTCTCTACTTAGGTATATACATTATAGGTTGATATATGTTCTTTTACTTAAATTTCTATTGAAAAAATAATAAGGAAAAAGAGGAATTAGAAACTCAAGAAGAAAGATGGAATAGGATAAAATAAAAAATAAAGGAAAATAAGATTGTTGACATCATTCGTAACGCAAAGGAAATGGCAAATTAGAGTAGTGTTTATTTAACATACACTGAAGCAGCAGAATTAGATAAATAAGAGGAGGCTGTCTACCAATATTTGAAAAGAAGGGGTAGGATATTAGATAAACGAGTTTTAGATAACACTAAAATAAAAATACTCAATGACGATAGTTAAGCTTCTTTGATTAACCCTTAATCTCCTGATAAAAGCTATAAGCCTAACAATTAGCAAAGAAATTCTTTATCAAGTATCAGAAAGAATGAAAATAATGGTTCTATTTTACTTTAAAAGAGCTTAAAATCCCAAGGAAGCTCCCCTAAAGTAGAAGAGAGAAAAAGTGTTTCCTTATCTGTTTACAACAATTCACCAAATAACTAATACAACATACCAAAAAAAAATTCAGTTTTTAAAGAAGAATCTTTCGATCTAAAAAGCAAGCTATCTTAGAGCATAGATAACTCACCTTTAGCCAAAAGATTATCACAAGGAAGTGTGATTAGTGTTGCTTCATCCTCCAAAAACTCTTCAAACAAATATTCTAAGCAGAATAATAGAGATTCTTCTTTTGAAAAACAAAAATCTATCTTTAAAATATCTCAAAGCAAGCAAATTAAATTAGATAAAAATAATCTTTAACTAATTTAGCATTTCAAAGATATTTCGAATAAATGCAATGAGTAGTACTTTTTTCTAGTTGTCTTGAACAGGAAATAATTAGAAGAGTATTTGAATTTGAGATACCCAGAATAATTAACGCAGAGAATCCTAAATTTCATGGAGTGTCCTCAAGAAATGAATTTTAGACAGTTTAGAAAGTGGATTGAGAGATTTAATTCATGGACAATAAATGACATATTATTTTTCTGCTTTTATATTTTTGACTTTAATTAAGATGGACTTATTTGCTAGACAGATGTGTTTGACATATTAAGAAACAAGCAAACATAAATGTTAGAACAAGATTTCAAACAAATTTCAAGATTTGTAGGTAAAAACTTTTTAAATACTTAGAATTTAATAGTAAAACAAATATTTGAAATGAGTTAAAATAAAATAAATCTTATCCCCTAAGTGTAGAAAATTTATTCTCCTTCTATTTCAAATTTAATATTTCAATTACACATCAATGTAATCAGGCTTTTTTCAAATAAAAAAAATTTGAGATCATATGCTAAAGCATTTTTATTAAATTCTTTAAATGATCTTTTGTCAAATGTAATTCATCTTTTAATTTATTTTTTTATAATGTAATTAAGCTATTAAGATCAAATACACAAAAAATTTGGAAAATCTGATAGAAGAACCTCTTTTTCCTGAGTTATACTAATAAAAAAATCTGACTTATATGACGTATAGAAAAATAGCTGAAAATGAGGATTTTGGAGAGAAAGAAAAATTTTTGAAAAAAATAAAAGAGCACAAAGAAAAGGGGGTAAATTTGACTCTATTCAGCATTTGGGATTAATACAAAGATAGGTTCTTAGATTAGAAAGAAATAGAAGAAGAAATTCAAATGTAAGAAAGTCTCGAGTAAAATGAAAAAAAGAAGTTGAAGGGAATTATGTCTATAGGAAAGGGAGAATACACTAAATACTTTAAGAGTGACAAGAAGTTTAAACTTAACTTTAATCAATTTAAAAGTATTTTTATCAGAGAAAAACCATTCTTTTTTTATGACTTACTTGCCTGTATCTCATTATATAGATAAGAAGATATTGAATATCCTTATGATATTTATGCAGAATTTACAAGTTAAGTCTGCAAATTAATTTAAATTAGAAACACTAAAGAGCAGCAAGAAAAATAGCAAGCTATAGATAATTAAATGACTGCAGAAAAAATAAATAAAATATAAGTCTAAAAAATTTTAAATTTTTACAAGAATTGTGGTGGGGCAAAAGGTGCTAAAAATGCCCTCTAAAAATTAGAAATTGTGCCAAATATCTAATTTTGATAAAAGATATCTAAATTATAACTATAATTATAAAATTTCAAATCATTTTAAAATATTAATTTTAATTTATCTCATTTTATAAATAAATTATTCTTTGTTAAGCTTTTCTCATTATATTTGTTTTTCTACTAATTTATATGAAAATTAATTTAAAAATATTATTTTTTTATTTGGATTTTGTTTTGTTTTTTTAAATCCATATCAATTGATAACTGTATTTGTTTGTAATATTCAAAGAATATTGCTTTTGTTTCATTAAACGATATATTACTACTTTTTTAATTAAAAAGTTGCAAAGAATTATTTTAATTGCTTAAAACATCTTCTTTTTTTTTAAATTTAATTAAAATAATTAAATTTTTTGGTAATATTTTCTCATTTTTGTAACAAATTCAACAAAATAAATTATTGGAGCTCTATTTTTTATTTGATTTATTCTTTTCTTTTTTCAAACTAATTTTGATTAGATAACCATTTTATTTATTTACACAAAAAATACAACTTTAATTTGATTAAATTAGATAAAATACATTTTAGCTTGTAAAAAAAATTATTGTAACAAGTAAAGGAGGTATATATAAATTCCTGAAAATATTATTTTCAAAAATATTTTTTTACTTTTTTTATATTGATTTTTCTATTGTTTTTCTATTGTTTTTTCATCTTTTTATAAAGTAATAAATCTGTTTTTTTTTTTGAAATAATTTGAGTGAATTTAAGTTTAAATTTTTTATAAATGAGAAATAGAAGCTAGATAGACAAAATAATTATATTAGATAAGAAATAAATTATGGAATTTGTATTTCATTGTGGACATATGCTAAAATTGTTATAAATTAGTTGAGTATTTTTATAATTTTGTAAAACTAGAAGGAATTGTTAATTAAATACAGAAATATAGAGGGAGCATCATAACATGAACTTTAATTTCGCTTGTGCATATAGTATAATATATAGTGTCGTGAATTTATAACACAGTAGGGAGATATGATTCAATTAATAGTGTCTTTTTTAGAAGTAATATTGGGAGCTTAAAAATAAAAAGAAATAGATCCGAATTTAATAATTTGTAATTATCTAAAAAGAATTTTAATAGAAATAATTAATTAATTAATAAATAAATAATAAGAACGATACAAATAACATTCAATTAAATTAAGAAAGATAAAGCAGTACATCAAAAAAGTAAAATGTGGGGAAATAGCTACAATAATAATAGTTCTAGTAATGGATACTCAAATAACAAAAGCAACGGATATTCAAGCAGCAATAATAATGGAAACTCCTATGGAACCGGTGGCAAGTAATATTTCTATTTCACTTTTCTTAAATTTTCTTATCTCTCTTAGCTCCTTTTAGGCTAAGAGCTTAGCAAGATATTTAAATCAAAGTCTGGGACAATGATTTGAAACATTTCTATTTAAAAATTAGGTGGAATGATAACGGAGTTGGTTAAAATTTGGCTGCAATCGATTGGACAAAAGAAAATCTTACTACATTTTAGAAAGTTTTTTATAAGGAAAGTTAGAAAATAAGAACTGAAGAAGAAATCGAAGAATTTTACCGCCAGAACCACATCTCAGCCAAATCACCTCATGGAAAAGTACCTGACCCTTTTTTAAGCTGGACAGATACTCACTTCCCTTAATATATTATGAATGAAGTTACTCACGCTAAATTTGAAAAACCCTCTCCTATTTAGTCTTTAGGTATTGTTTGATTGAATTTAAACCAACAAACCAACCTACGATGGAACATTTTGAAACATAAATAAATAAATAAAAACCTACACACATAGTTTGTTTAAAATATATTTGCAAAAAATAAACATTTAAACAAGCCAATTTCTACACTTAGCATACAAAATTCAAATCACAAACGAGTGTGTGTAATTTAATTAACAATATATATCAATGCGGGAATCAATCAATCAATGTTAAGAAGAAGCCAAAGGTTATTCCTTAAGAATAAGCATCGCTCAATGTTTCCAAAGAGACCAATGTATTTATTCAATATGAATCTACTTGAATAAAGGTGAATTTATTCTTTCTGAGGGAATTATTGATCGAAGTGCTTATCATCCTCATTCTTAATATTGTTTGTACAGCAGATTATTATCAGGAGGAGAACGAAATGGATCCAAAAAAGATAATCAGAGCTGAATGTAACTGTACTGTCATTTATCTTTTTGATTCATTTCAATTCTCTTGAAAAACTGCATTTTCCCTTCAGAATTTTGATTTTCAAATCAATCATCCATTCTATTTCACATTTCCATCTTAAAAAAGAAACAATCATCCCCGTCATTTATTTATTCCTTACAGCCAACAAATTTCATTTATAAACTTATATTTATTTTAATAATCCTTCAGTATAACCATATAATTTGGCTTTTTTGCTAAATTTTAAACACAAATCAATCAATCAATCAAAAATAAATTTAAATAGGATAGACAGATGTATCAATTTGCATATATTTAAAATAAATAGCCTTTGCAAATTTTCAAATTTGCTTTATTATATAATTAATTTGTCTAATAACTTTAATCTAATTTTTTTTTTTTTCATTATTGATTGATAGAGGATTGACAAACAAAATTATCTTTTTTTTAAACAAATAATGAAATTTACAAGAGTTTGAAAAATCAAATTCTAAAGGGAAAATTATTTTTATCGCTCAATATTGTTTCTTTTCATTATAGATTATTTTATCAAAAGCTCTATTTATTGGAAAAATTTACTTACCAATTTATAGCTGATTAATAATTACTACTCACAAATGATTAAATATTTATAAGTTTGATTTTCCCTAAAATTAACTAGCATTCCCTGTAGTCCTTAGTGGTCACGATTTGATTGGTATTGCAGAAACAGGTAGTGGAAAAACTCTTTCCTTCCTTTTACCCTCAATAGTTCATATTAATGCTCAACCAACTGTCAAAAAGGGAGATGGTCCTATCGTCCTCGTTCTTGCTCCTACTAGAGAACTTGCTATGCAAATCGAAAGAGAGTCCGAAAGATTTGGTAAATCCTCTAAGCTTAAATGTGCTTGTATCTATGGTGGTGCTGACAAATACTCCTAAAGAGCACTTCTCCAATAAGGTGTAGATGTAGTTATTGCTACTCCTGGTAAATATATATCAACATTTGAACACTTTTAACCAACTTTCAAATAAATTTCTTAAATTAAACTTTTTTTTAATTTAAATTACAGGTAGACTTATTGACTTTTTAGAAAGTGAAACTACTACTTTACGTAGAGTTACTTATCTCGTATTAGATGAAGCAGATAGAATGTTAGATATGGGTTTTGAAATTTAAATTAGAAAAATCTTGGGTTAAATTAGACCTGATCGTTAAACATTGATGTTTTCTGCTACCTGGCCTAAGAATGTTTAGAATCTTGCTTAAGATTATTGCAAGAATACTCCCGTTTATGTTCAAATCGGAAAACATGAATTAGCTATTAACGAAAGAATTAAATAAATTGTTTATGTTACAGATCAATCAAAGAAAATCAATCAGTATTTAAATATTTTAACAATTATTTTTTCAATTATCTAAATATTCTTTTTTAATTAATAGACTTATCAAGCAATTAGATTGTTTGACTTAGAAAGATAAAGTATTGATTTTCGCTTAAACAAAGAAGGGATGTGAAAGCATGAGTCGTATTTTGAATAAAGAAGGATTTAAGTGTCTTGCTATCCATGGTGACAAAGCCTAAAAAGACAGAGACTATGTTATGAACAAGTTCAAAAGCGGAGAATGCAGAATCCTTATTGCTACAGACGTAGCCAGTAGAGGTTTGGATGTTAAGGATGTCTCCCACGTATTTAATTACGATTTCCCAAAGGTTATGGAAGACTATGTCCATAGAATCGGTAGAACAGGTAGAGCTGGAGCATATGGTTGTGCAGTATCTTTCCTTACTTTTGAAGATGATAAAAAGATATCAAGGGAATATGTCCAAATGCTTCATGACGCTAAGTAAGAAATTCCCATTGATCTTCTTGATCTTGCTAGTATTAGTAATTATTTATTAATATGAATTCAATTCTAAATTTTTTACTTAAATAAAATAGATCCCAGATACAGAACTTAATATAAAACTGTTTCCTCTTCATACTATGATATTAAGAAATTTAACAGTGCTGATACTTCAAAGCCTTCAGAAAATCAGAATGTTTCAAATACTGCAAATAGCAGCGACAAGTACACCAGCAGTAGCAGCTACAATTAATATAAAAGCAAAAAAGATGAAGATGACAAGAGAAGTAGAAGTAGAAGTCCATATAAATCTGAAAATAACAACAGATGGGATAAATATAATCGCACAAAAAGCCCAGAATACCGCAGTTCTAATGGATCTTCTCATTATAACAACGTTAACAAGTATTCTTCAAATTCTAATAATAATTCAAGTTCATATTCAAAGAATTAATCCTCCACATCATCATCTTCTTCCTATGGATAGAATAATTAATCATCCAATTTAATGAGTAAACCATCTAGTAAATTCTCTGCTCCTACAAATGGTAGTTACACAAATGGATTTTCTTCAGTCTAATAAAATTCTCAAGTTTAAAATCCATTTATGCCAATCAATCCTTTACCTCAACCTTTTATGTACTAAATTCCTGGATTTAATGGTTTCCCTAATCAAGGTTTCAATAACTTTTACACTGGTATGGTTCCTCCTCCTCCACTCCCTACTGGTGCTCCCTCATAATAATAAAATGGATTTGCTTAAAATACAACAACATCTTCTTGAAAACAAAAAATATAATTTTTTATGATTATTAAAACTAATTTATATATCAGCAATTATTTGAAATAAATAAATAAATAATTTTTATAAATTAAACAAATATTAACTGGATTTTAACATAAATTTCAATTACCTTTTATAAAAATATTCACTTTGTATTTCTTCTTTAAATGGTTAACCACTAAATTTTTAAAATCAATGCCTAGAAAAGAAATAAAAAATTATATTCCAAACAAATTTTATTTGAAATACAGTTTTTATATTTTATTTTATATAGTAATAAAAAATTTATAAATGATATATAAAAAGCAAATAAATTTAAAAAGTAATTAGAGTTTAAAAATAAGAATCTAAAAATCAATTTTTTTTATTTTTTATAAAAAATAATAATTTTTCAAATACTTAAAATTAAATTCATATTAAATTAAAAAAAAATTGACTTCTCTCAAGCTTCAAATAAATGACCATATTTCTTAACTTTTTATTTCATATTGAATATAAAAAAATTATAAAAATAAATAAATAAATACTGAATTAATTAAATAATAATTTAGAATTTATTTTAATAAATAAAACAAAATTGTTTGTTTTTTAGTTTTATAATAGAAAATTATCAACTTTCTATTATTTAAAATTAAATAACTTCATATTAAATTTTAAAAAAAGTTGGTTTTCCTTAAATTTTCCTTTAATCGTTTGATGATTTTTTATTTCATAAAAAAATTGGATCAATTAAACAATAATTTAGAATTTAATAAAAATTAAATTGTTTTTTAGTTATATCTTACAAGTTTATAAACTATTAATTATATAAAATTAAATTCAGCCAATTATAATATATATAAACAATTATAACTTTCTTTTCAAAATATAATTAACTTAAATAATTTAAAAATTTTGATTATCACTAAGTTAGTCATATTATTTTATTTTTAATAGATTAAACAGTTTATTTTTAATTATTCAAATATCACATAATCATTTTTTTCCTAATTGATTATTATGGTGACTTAAAATCCTCTTTTAATGTTGTACTTTTTTAGTATTTAGAAGTTTATGAGACTAAGTTTGCCGAAGGGGAGACTGCTCTTGCTTAAGTGTTTATTTAAAGACCCTTTTCATTTGTCTTAGTATTGAGATAAGTATTCTTTTTTAAGTAGTCTACTTTTGAAGAAGTATTTTAATTAATTTCGTTATTCTTGTTACTGTTTTATTCTATTTTATTATTTGTATATGTTTTATTCTACTGTTTGTCATTTATACCATTGTTATTATTTTAGTTTTAAATTCCTTTACTTTAACTGGCAAGATTGTTTATGGTTTATCCGCCTGTCTTCGTGATATCATATGAATTTTTCCTTTTAGAGCTTTATATAATGTAATTCATCATCCATAGATCATGGGACTTTCTTGATTGTAGGATTTCTAGATTATTAGAATTGTTAGAATTTACTACTGTTTGTTTTAAACCTTAATTTTAAGCGTTCTAAGAGTTGGAATTATTTGATGTTGAAACAGAATTTGTTTGTTGATTAGTTAATTAATTAGTTTTTGAATCATTCTAAATTTAATTTTCTTTTACTGATTAAGATGATATATGTCTTGGACTTATGACTAAATTTAACTTTGGTGAAGCACTTGTAATACTTTATGTAATTTTTTTTAGAGAAAAATGATCTTAGCTAGTAGTGAGTCCATTATTTAAGACCTTTTTTTTATCTTAAGTATTAATATTTGAAGAAGTACTTTTGCAGTTGCTATAAAGATTCCCTTTTTGATTCAGATTTTATTACTCCTTTTAATCATTATTTACATTTTAATTTAATATCAAATTTTTGAATTGAGAAAGCTAATTCTTGCTACTAAAATCTGTATTGTTTGTGGCTGTGCCTCTATGGAGATTTAATTAGAAGCTAGAAGAAGGATTAGTAGTTTCTCTTGTTGATTGGGACATTTATAGATTATTTTTAATCTAAGAAGATGAAATATCATTTGATGATAAAATTTCATTTTTTTATTGCAAGACTCTATTGTCTTGTAGTTTGCTAGTCTTTTTTATATGATTTGAATCTAAATCTGTTAGCTCTAGTTAAATTGAAGTTTGCCCATTTGAAGTTCTTCTTGGTTTAGTTTAAATAGGAGATTTTTGTAATGATAGCCTATATTTTATAAAATATTAATTTAGGATTTAATTTAGTTGTTATCAAGAAAATTAATTACCTTATTTCATTGTTACTTGAGTTAGAAATGATAGAAGAATAGATATTTATTTAGGAGTCTAGAGATGTTCTAAATTGGCTTAAATTTGGAATTAATTATTGAGTTTCTTTTTCTTGAAATTAATATTCATTTTTATCTACATTATTTGTTTCTGTTTTTTGGTAAGCTTCATTCATATTGTATAAATCTTTTACAAAACTTCCTTAGATGGAATTATTATAACCTGTTACACTCTTGAGATAAGTACTATCATTGTTGCTAGCATTATTACTTAATTATTTATAAGAAACAAGACTAGCTTACTTAGAAGTTTAAAGCCTATTTTGTTACTCGTTTATCTTGGACTTTGTATAAGTATGCTGTGATTGACTATTTGTAAAAATATTTAAACCTTGTTCGTTTTAGTTAGGACTATTAATGCTTCCATTCTTAGAAGAAACTAGAAAATTGGAAGGATCATCATTCTATTTCTATGCACCATTCTTCGTTTATTATAACCCTTGAGTAGTTGTTTACTGTTTTGAATAATTTGTTTAATTATTAATATTTCCACTTCCATAGTTATTGCTTGCTTTTCCGGCAACTGATTTACTGGTGTATTAATGGGTGCTTAAATGATTATGGTGATGTTGTTATTGTGAATTAATAGAGTAGAAATTCTAAGTGTAAAGGGAATTTGGTTGATTATGACTGATAATATTTTACTAATTTGTAGAATTTGAAACGCTATTGTTATGGGCTTTTTATTCATAATTATGATCTTTGCTTATGCTAGAATTTGTTTTTTTAGGTTGATTACTTCTTTAATCTGGAGAAATGAAGTATTTATTAACCTTATTTGATGAATTTTTGAATTAAGGGCTGTATCCTCTGTAAGCATTTTCATTCTATTCTTTACTTTGATTTTATTATTAATTATATTTTAAGTTTAGTTATGAATTACTTGTAAATTCATTTCCTTTTTAGATACTATTTACACTAGTTTGATGAGAAATACTTTCCTTCTAAGTAAGTATACTTTGGAACAAGCTTTCAGGCTATTGAAATTATGACTCGCTGTTTATCTACGAATTTCTGTAGTTTGTTGATTGCTAAAATTGATTTGATTCTAAAAGAGATTAAAATTGCAAGTCTCTTTAACTACCTAGCATTTCCTAGCCATTTTACTATTAATATTCATTCTAAATACTAAAGTGCTTAGTTTATTTTGACTATGAAATCAGCTATTTGCTGTTTGAAACAGAGGCTGATAGTTCTTATTGTTATTATTTATTTCTGTGAGAATTGAGATTATCTATTCCTTCAAGGAGGTTAATTTACTAATGAGGAATGAAATTATAATCATAGAAGGCTGCTTATTTGTCACCATTTTAAGATACAAATTTTGTCTGTTGCTTATTAGCCAGTAAACTTTGATTATTTAATTAGCTAAGTTGAGAATTATTTACACTTAAATTATTATTTTTTGGTGAAAGACTAGAGCGAAATTTGTTAAATGAATGGAAATTGCAGTCTAATTTAAAATTCAAACTCTAAGAAACCAATGACTACTCGCTTTGCAACCCAAATTAATCCATAGAGCATCTCTTTTAATCATAGATAGCTAACCCTTATAAATTTTACACCTGAAGTGAATTTCTGACTTAATTCATGAAATTACCATCAGAGTATTTCTTAAAGTTATGAGGCGAAGCATCTTTTCATAAAATAAAAATATGTTTATGGCAAATAATATTTGAAAATAATTAATTTATATCTTTCTTTTTTTATTAAAATAAATTTGTAATAACTTCACCTTTAAACATTTTTATTGCAAAGAAAAAATTCAGATAAAGGTCATTAAGGAAAAATAAAACTGTTTTTTAATCATTTTATAAATTGAAACAATTATTGAAATAAAATAGTTGATTTTTTCTTATTTTTAATTTAAAATAGCAGGTTGATATATTTAATGAATAAATTTTGTTAATTACATTTAATAGGGCTTTTTTCATGAGTTTCAGTTCTTTTGAATGTATTTACTTCAATAGATTTGTTAAGGTTAGACATATTTTTAGTTGAGTTAGAATGAGGGAGAGGAGTTATTTAGTTAACTGAATTATCTTCGAGCAAGTTATTTGCACAAAAGCTATTTCTCGAACTATTTTTAAAATATCTAAATTAATTATTGTTAGTTAAATTGCATTTTTTATAAAATAAAATCAAACAATTTTAATTTATTCAATTTTAAAAATATTTTCTATAAACCTGCTTGATGGTGGTGGGCATTAGTTATTAAAAATTGAAATTCCAAAAATAGTTGTTTCAGGATCTAAAAAGTCGTTAATTATATCATCTATCTACTAGTTATTCTTTTTGTAGAAAAATTAAGGTTCAACATCTTGTGTATATAGTTGCTGAAGAGTTATATACCAGCAAAGAGGACGCTCGCTGTTTGGCTACTCTTTCATATTTTCTTGAATAAAATTTTATTTGCTCTAAACTATGTCAAACAAAGTTGGATTTTATCTCAGTATATCAACAAAACTAGAAGGAATCTAATTAATGCAAATCTATTTAATTTATAATTTCCATTCATTTCTATAAATCGTTTCTGAAAAAACTTACTCCTCCACTTATTGTGGTTATATCAAGTAAATTACAAAAGCGGTGCTAATTTTCTACACTATTGTGTAGCAACTCACACAAGAATCTAGCTGATACTTTCCTTAACTCTATTGTTTTTATTATTATTTATTTAACTTATTATAATTTGTACCCAGAATAAATTTATAAATGATTTTGCAAAATGAATGATTGATTGAATTACTTATATTTGAATCTTCCATATTTTAAAGCAGTTTTTGGAGGTCATCTTCAAGGAAGCTATAAAATATTTCTTCTTAATGCTCTTTGTTTTTATAAATATGCCTTTATTTTTAAATAAGTTTTTATTAATATAATCTCGATGAAAAGTAAGTATCAAAAAAAACCAATTTATTAAGCATTTTTATTGCTACTTAAAATCTGTGTATTTAAAAAATGATCTAAAAATCAAAAGTCTACTCTAATAATTTAGCCATGGAATGAATCAGCATTTATTTATCATCATTTAACTATTAAGGATTCTAATTTTCTTGGAGCATTTGATGAATATTTTCTAAAATGGTTATTCGATTTTAAAGATAAACCTTATCCCTGTTGTATATATTATATTATACTGTTTGTATATTTGCTTTTTGCTTTGAATTTGATTGTTACTTCAATGCACCGTTTAACTATATTATTGATAATTTTTAAAAGTAAAATTTTGATTATTATTTAACCAAAAGCTAACACTCAAAATCATATTCTGCAAACTCTAATAAAATAAGTGTACAAATTATCAAACAAAGTTAATATCCAATTCAAAAATTAAAAGATTAACTTAGACCTAAAATTCAAAATTCTTCTACACCAACCTATTTTCAAATTAATATTTAAAAAGCTAATAATTTTAAACAACTAATAAATAATTATTTATATATGTATCTCGTATATAGGCCCTGCCTCAACAATTATGTTATTATTTTCTTCTTTTTATTTTTAAAGCATTAAAAAATATTTTACAAGCAATTTTATTTTAAATAATTATTTATTTTTTTAGATTTATTCCAATATTTTTAAATTTAATATTTTTTAAATCAGTCATACATTAAATATGTTGGCTGGCAAATAATCATATCATTAAATCGATTTTTTTAAATTCCTAAAGAAAAATAAGATGAAACTACAAGCGCTAAATCTTTAAATATTAACATAAAATAATGAAATAAAACTTTTCTATCAAAACAAATTAATTTTTTCTCAATTAAAATTAATTTACTTTAATATTTGATTTTTAAAATTTAGATTAATTAATTAATAAAAATATTTAATATCCTTTGACATTTCAATTTAAATAAATAATGGTTTTTTAGCTAAGAAAAACATTTTTATATTTTAAAAAATCAATTTATATTTATTAGTTCTAATCTGAATTAAAAAGCAATTAATTAAAACTAATCAGTTTGATCAGTTTGATATTATGGTTAATAATGACAAATGATATTATATACTATCTATTTTTTTAATTTTTATTCTCTTGATTTTTCGAATAGTCTTCATATCATGTTTTTGTACATGAAAAAGATTTAGATCATTTCTTTTAAATCTATAGAAGATATGTTGTTGAAGATAACGCTTTATTTTAATTTTTTAAAAAACTTTTTATATAATATTAAAGAAAAACAATAAAAATGTTGATGAAATTAAAAGTGGAATTACTACTTATAAATTTTAGATTTTTGAAATTAATTTTGCTGATTTTATATATTTATTTATAAACATATAATTGATGAATAATTAATTAGTGTTTGATATATATTATCATATATTTGGATTAAAAGGAATCAACTTTAATGAGAAAAATAAAAAACACATAACAAATATTTTTTTAGAACAGATAATTTTTTTATTTTATAATATCTGATTGTAATTCATTTATTTTCTAATAAAAAGATATTTATCAGATTTTAAGATTATATTTTTTGCAAACAGTTGCAACCAAAAAATCTTCATAGTTGAATTAATCAGGAATAGTGATTTCATTTTCTTTCAAGTAGAAATTTGTTCCTTCTTCGGGAAGGTGAGCAGGCTTGTAAGTGACTCTTTAGAATTCTTCAAGTTTAGAGGTGAAGTTAATGTAGGTGAGGAATTTTTTTAAAGCAGCATCCTCTTCAGCAATAGTAGAGCTAAAGACGTCTTTTTTCAAAATGAGCTTGCTGAGTAAGTAAACTTAGTAAATGTTAGAGAAGAAACCAACATCAAATAAGGAAGGATGTTCTTTGCTTCCAAAGAAGAATGAGTTTTCGAATTTGTATTCCTTAGCCAAAGAAACTAAAACATCATGTAAGTTTTTGTATAATTCATCAAGACTAGGATCATTCTTGTTTTCAGCTTTTCCCCAAGCGTTAAGATATGTCCAGAAGGCCTTTCCTAACTAAGTTGAGACAATTTTTAAAGCTGTTTCATAATTTTCTCCGTTTTGTTTAGAGAAAACATTGACATTTTCACTGTCTAACTTCTTAATGAATGGGAATGATTCAAAAGCTGGTGTGTTATCAGTGAGGATCAAGGCAGGAACAGTTTATTCAGGGTTGATTTGCTTAAACCATTCTTATTCATGTTCGAAGTTGGCGATATCAATTTCATACTAGAAGTAAGGAACACTTAATAATTCCATAGCTAACTTAACCTTTTAGCAGAAAGGGCAAGAGAGAGATTAATAGATTTTAATTTTCTTTTGAACCAAATCCATTTTTACAAAGTTTTTTTGCTATTTTTCTGATTTAAGATATATTTTAATTTTTGATAGATATTTTGATTTTATTAAATGTTCTTAGTTAGCAGTGGAAATTAATAAATATAAAGCAGCAGACTTTCTAAATTTCTTCTTTTCGAAAATAATTAATAAAATCGACATACTTATATCTTTCTAGATTCTTTCTATTAAGCAATGTATGAAATTTCGGTAGGCCAATCTACTTAATTTTCTAATAGAAATCAAATTATGACAAATAAAATAATTTATAAAACAGCTGATTAAATATAACTGAAATAACTTTCATTTTGCTTTCTTTGTTCTAATTTTCAATTTGTTTAAATTCATTTAATCTTTTCTATTTTGATTTATCTCTAAATATTTTTAAATTGATTTTAATTATTTATTTAATTGGAATAAAATGACAAGATTAATCTTCAAATATTTCATCCAACAAAAAGGTAGATAGACTAAAATCTTTTAAATTTTATTATATTTACATATTTCTGGGGGGCATTTATTTATAAATAATCAACATATTTTGTTTACAACTCTATGAACTATATGGAACTTATTAAAATCTATTAAATTTTTTGTTTTAGAACCTTTGCAGTAATTAAATAAAAGGGGAATTAATTTGCAATTAAAATTCAATAATATAAACAATATTTAATTAGCTTGTTTTGAAAATAAATATTTAAGTATATTTAGGATTTTAATAAAAATCTTACAACATTCAGTAAAAAATCTAAATTTAAGTTTACTTATTAAAAAATAATAAATGATGCTTACTTAAAATGGTATAAATAACTTAATAGGTTTCAAGTTGATTACATTAATTAAACAGTAAATTATCAGATAACTAATTTTTTTTTCGTTTAAAGTAAAACAAGTACTAGTTTTTTTAATATATAAGTCGACTGACAAATGTAGTTCATGTAAAAGTAGTTTGTGGTTGAATTATATTTGGATTTAATGCATTATGACTTCTTAATTCATTCATAAATTGTATGAAAAATTAATAACCATTGTCTAAATTATATTAATTCAATGAAAAAGTTGAAATTGATGAAAAAATACAATTCCTAAATATTAACAACTACTTTTAATCCAATAAACTCAATATATAAGAAATATAAAATATAAAGCAAAATAATATCAAATACTAGAGGTTTATTTATATTATTTTTTATAAGGTTTAGATGAATCTTAGGTCGTGCTTGTACTTTGCTTTTAAAATTAAAGATGGATTATTCATAGGCGATATAAACTCTCCAAATGTAAAAATAGAATTAGACTTTCATTTTGCTTTTTGTTGTTTTTTGAATATATTTTGCTAAATAAAATTACTTTAATAATAATATTTTAGGAAAGGGATTTCTTAGTATCAAATAAGATTACTTGTATAGTGAATTGTGCAGCATCGCAAATAAAACCTATAAATCTAAACCTTGGGATCAAATTTATAAGTTTTGATTGGTTAGATAATGATGATTAAGTATTTTATTGTTTTAAATGAATTATTTTATGATAGAATCTGTAATTTATAAAAGCTTACTTACTTAATAATGAAATAAACGAATATTATTTTATTTCAACAAATTAAAGTTTGCATAAATGAATAATATCACTTAAAAATTAGATTATAATAGATGATAACAATGAAAATATGTCTTTAATTTATGAGTTCATGAGCAGAGCATACGAAAATTGTGAAAGCGTTTTGGTTTGCAGTGTCAGAGGATAATCAAGAGCTTTAACAGTCATAACAGCATTCTTGATGAAAAGGTAATTTTATTTTATAGAAATAACAATCTTCTCAATATTTTTGTATAAAATAATAATAAAATTTAAAGATATTAATGGAGTCTTTACAAAACTTTGGAATATATGAACTCTAAAAGAGCTGACTTTGAAATAAGGGCAACTTTTTTGAAGTAGCTTCTTACATATGAACAAAAATTATTTGGATAGAAAGGATGCTCTAGAAATTGGAAAGGTAAATAAATGAATATGAAGAATTATTATTGAAATTAAATAATATCTAAAAATAAAATAAGATGATCATTAGCACCCAGATCAAGAAGCATCCCTTGTTAGGAACACATATGTTAATTCTTAGATGATTTCTTTAGAAAGTAGGGATTTTTTTATGAGAAGTTTAGCATCAAGAGGTAACTAACGATTATTTAATATAGAAATCAATTTAGTTTATTAATTCTCAAAAATGAATAGAATATAATTCAGGACCAAGGACAACCAAGCTAAAATGGTCAATTTAACTAAAAATGGAAATACCTCATCATGAAGATATTTAAAGTCTGAATAGAAAATAAAATATTAATTAGTAAAATCAAAGCAATAGCAATAATTAAAGTATTAACAGTAGTTAAAATAATTCTGGAAGCAATTAAAGCATGAAAAATAACAGCAATTGCACAGCAAGCAACTCAAGTAACTAAATGGATTCAGTTGAAATTCTTCCTATAAATTAAAATGCATTTTAAGTACCTAAAAAGTCTATTCTAAAGGCTGTTTCTTCATACGATAAAAAAAATATTAACAACAATAGTACAAGCAGTTAAGGATAAAATAGTATATCTAGTCTTTCTGAAGATAGCTTATAAAATAATTAATCAAATTAGTCTTAAAAAAAGAAAGAAGTTAAAAAAATATCATTGTAAAAAAATTATGATTTGATTGAAGAGTAAAATGAAGAATATGAATAATCATCTAGTGAGGTTTTTTTAACAAAGTAGAATCAAAAAAATAGTTAGATATAATAATCTTCTCTTCCTTAAAAGCCATTAAATGAGTTAGAGAAGGAGCTTCTTGTAGAATAACAATAAAGTTCACGCTCATACGAAACTAATTCCTCTGGAGAAAGAGTAGAATAAGGAATTAATATAATGCTTGAAAGTGATGCAGTCAAAAATTCAAATGATTTCGAGACAAATAGGTTGAATTCAAACTAGGATGAAGAAGTTCCTCCCTTAAAATAGCCAATTAAATAAAAAGATAGAAATGAAATTAAAATATTTGAATAAAACAGTGATCGTTTTCCTAAAGCTCAAATTAATCCTCCTGCAGCTCCAACCTATGCTTAAAATTAAAAACCTGATTTTTAGATATAAAAAGAGAAAATGAAAAACAACTATTTTAGAGAGGAAAATACATTATAAGATTAAAATAAAAGCACTCCACCTTAACAACCTGAAAATTCCTCTATCAAAATATCATCATAAAAAAATAACTAAAGAGAGGAAGTAAGGTAATAAGACGATTTTAAATATTTTAATTTTATTTAGTTTTTTACATTTTTTAGTTTAAAATTAAAAAATTAATTATAAAATTTAAATGTCATTAAACATGTTTTTATTAATATTTTAGAGTAATTGCTGTAGAAGAAAGTGACAACAACTAAGATGGAGTTTTAACAGAATAATATAAACTTAATTATTAAATTAATGAAAGTAATTTAGATAAAAAAAATAACAATTTGAATAGCATAGTCAATAAAAATGGTAGTGGAGGCTACTAAATTCTCAACGATCAATAAATTAAAAATAGTATAAATCTGTCTCAGTATTAAATTAATAGCAGACAAACTTAGAGCTTAGTAAGTTAGCCTGGGTCAAATAGCAGTAGTAGATAAACAACACCTTCAAGAAAATATAGGAAAAGTCCTTTCCCAATGGCAATGCCACAAAGGAAAATAATTTAATCCTAAACAGCGCCACAGTCAAGGGATAATTCAAGGAAAAATTCAGTTGCTCAAATTGATCAAGGTTTATAAATACAACAACAATAAGGAAATGAAAAAAAGTAAAATGGTGTAAAATAAATAGTTAGTAAAAGCCCTGACTCTTCTTAAGTCTAAGTTAATATTAATCTAAACATAAATTCTGTAAATATCTTAAATCAAACTACTAATCCTATCTACTAAAGATAAAAAAGTCCTGCCGATTCTGAAACTCAGAACAATTGTATTCTTTAACCTAATTTTGGAAAAATTTCTAGAAAATCCTCTCGCCCTCCTTCTGAGACTAAAAAAAGACCTGTTACTGAAAAAGTTTATACAGAGGGAAACTAGATAAAAGATTTAGAATTAATGAAACCTTAAAGCACAAAATTAACTCGCCGTCTATAAACATATACTAATGGTGATCCTTTGAATTTTTTACCAAATATAACTTTTATGAGACAAAGAACTCCTTTGAAAAATAACATCAATTTGCCTAACACATAAAACTTGGTTCCTAAGCCCCATAAAAACTTAGAACTTTCTTTTTAAGATATCACTACTACTCCTAATAATTAAGCTTATTTACAATCATTTACCAGCAATAACCCTAACAGTCAATAACTTTACACAAATTACCTTAATGATGTCGATATTTCATCATAATAAAACACCGTAAAAAGTAATACTAGCAAATTAAAAGGATTTAAAAGAGATAACACTCCAGTTACTAGAGTTAAGATTCCAGTAGCAAGTCCATACAATAATGAAATACGTTCTAGTTCTAAGTAATAAACATTTTTACAAAAGTTTTGTTTCTTATATTTTATAATTTTGAAAATAAATTAGCTTTGATTAAAGAAGAGTTTCAACAGAAATTGGGCAAACAAGAGGTAGCTCAGAAATTAGAAGCAAAAGAAGTGTTAGCAGAGGGAAGGAGAAAGATTTAAATAATACATTTTCTTACTTAAATACACCAATAAATAACAGTGGTACCAATACACCTATCAGCACTGGTATAAATCCTTAATTAATGGCAAAATATATAAAAAACGGCATAAAACCATCATATAACAAGTTACTCTATTGAGAAACTAACTAAAGATTTGAGAAATTAATTTAATTAAAAAAAATAAAGTTTGAAGCTTATTGAGTAAACAAACAAACAAGAAAATACTTTTTTTCACTTAAAAATTTGTAAATATATTTTTCTTTAATTACTTAAATAGCAAAAAAGATATTTAACAATTGGTTCAATATAATTAAGTAGTAAAAAATCAATAAATTATTTAAATTCTAATTAATTATATGAAATAAATATTAATTTATTTATAAGTAATTTCAAATAAAATAAATAACTTTATTATAAATAAGTTAATTATTCAATAAATATCTTTATTAATATATAATATATATGTTTTAGTTCAATCTCACATCAACAAATTTATATTAAAAAATATATAAATGCATAAAATATAAAAAAATTATTTTAACAAATTTCAATTTTTATTTTAAATTTTCTTAAATATTTTTATCCATTATTTTATGATAAAATTAAATAAATAATTTTTAATAATTCATTTATTTAAAAATAATTTCTTAATTTCTTATGATTAAATCATCACTTTTAATAAATAAATAAATCAGTTAATAAATAAAATAATAATTTTTTTATTATTTTTTATTTTAAATGATATTGCTCATTTTTAATTATTCCTAATTAATACATTTTTTTTAGTGTATTCTTTATCCATTTACTTACGATATCTTTTTTTTATCAGTACTTATTTTTAAATTTAAGATTTTTTTTTTTTCAAATATTGTAAGCTTAAAAAATTTTGATTAATTTCTGTAAATAATTTCTACAAAAAACTAAAAAAAGCGCAATTACATCAACAAAATAAATAGTTAGATGAGCAGAATATCTAAAGAAAGTATAATATTTTTAATTTAAGATAATAGTAAGCTTGAGAAAATAATATTTTTTTCATTCTATTACCATATAGTTGAAGATGAAGAGTCAATAGTTATTGGAGAAGAGGAATCAATGAGACTTTCATATTTGAGTAATTTAGAGTAGGAGTTTTATAATAAACCTTATAAGGTAAGTTGATTTAGGGATGAAAAAATAATATCATAAATAATAATAGGAATACAGCATTTAGCTTAAGAGAGGTACAATAGTTCACAAGCGTATTAAATACACAAATGTTCATAAGAGAGTATTACTATTAAAAGCCATCACAGATTAGCCAAATCTCATATAATTTAAAAGTTAAAATAATTCAGGCATGATTATAGAATTAAACTGTAACAAATTTAAACTAGCTTGACAATTTAAAATGAATTTTTGTAAAAAAAAATAGAAAGCGACTATTTAAGATTAAAGTTTACTCCACCAAATAATCCTTGTATAATTATTGCTAGAATAGCATTATTAGATCATTTAGATACAAACTAAGTTGCAAATAGTTAAGAAGATAAAAGTCAATATGCAATAAATAATTTAAAATAAAAAATGTTAGAAGGATTAGAGTTTAGAGTTGAAATCATATGATAAACATTTATTTTTTTATTAGCTTGATTTATAAATAGCCTTAATTTTATCTTTGTATAAATTTAGAGTCATTTTTATGTTATGAGTGAAATTCTTTATTAAGATTTTGAAACAGGGCAATAATAAATAATTAATTATTTATTAAGCAAGTTCTAAAATTGTGTGATAAAAAAAATATTATTTATTTTATTATAATTTGAATATCATTCTAATTAAAATTATATTTATTTATTTAATTAATTATTTTAAATAGTTTTGAAACATTTTTGTAAATTAAATTTAATTAATATATAACAAAGATTTATTTTTGTTTTGTATTTTTAATTTCACATATAATTATTTATCTTAATTTGTTGTAATTTATAAAAAATTATTTCAATTATGTTTAGCTAAAGATGCTCTATTTTTAAAGCATAGGTGAGCTTTTTATTAGCGTTAAATATCATCTAGTTACTCTTCAATTAAAACTTTAAAGTAAGAGTGGTCTTCATCTAAATTTGATAATAGTTGCTCAAGATTTTATATTAACCTCTAAAAATCTTCAGTCACAGGTAACAAATATGAGAAAAATTCAGAAGCAAACTCTTGAGATTTGGTGTCTATTATAGTTTTTATAACACCAAAAAATTTATCAAAATAGGGCATAAGATCTGTCCTATTAAATGTGCTGTTAAAACCGCTCCAAGAGTATGTCAAATTCTTAACAGAAAGTTTATTTGAGCTTGAAATATAAAACTTCCATAGTGTTTCTCTTTCATCAGGGCTTAAATCAAGTGCTTTGCCTTTTAAAATTTTAAATTAATTTTTTTTTTAAATTAACAAAATTTGAAAGGGAATTAAATTTTTTGTAAATTAAATGATGAAAGTTTAAAATCCATAAAATTTAATTTAATTGCCAAAATGTTGACAAGCTAATAAAAATGATTTTTAAATTATCATTCTTTTATTCTTAATTCTCATATAATAACATAGTTAAGTTTATTTTTATTTTTAAAGAATCTTTGTAATCAAATTCTCAATAAGCTTCGAAATCTTTTTTTATAACTTAACATATAACTTTTGCTTAAAATTAAGTTATTAATTCAATATAATATTATCTATTTGACATTTTTTTTGCGAAAATTTTTATAATAAATAAATTTTAAATTTGACTTGTTTTCCATTTATTTTGTTTCTAAAAAATAATAAATTACATAAATGTTAGTTGTATTATGAGGTGTCTGATGGATCTCTTTCTTTTTGTTTTTAGAAAAGAGCATTCTTTTCTTCACGAGTGTATTTTTTGCATTTATGAGCTAGAGCTACTATTCTCCAAGATAAAGCTAAACCTATTTCTATGTGCTTTAAATCTTAGTCTTCTTTTTTAAGCCAATTAACTAGTTTTATTATGTGTACTTCAGATCTTGCAAAGCTATCTAAACTATCTCTTACACATATTATCCTATTTTTATTATCTTTAGGTATGCTAAGGAGATACATTAGTAAAAAGTTAAAAATTCTCTCTCCAAGTGCTAGTTTATACTTTTCTGGAGTGTATTATGAATAGAGTTGAGTAATATTTTCTACTTAATTGGTTATTATATCTTCTGATTACTCATTTGGAATGTTTTCAATAAAAATTTCCACAAATTCTTCTGAGGAGATTTTACCATCTCTAACTAAGTCATAAAAAACTCCCCAAATTAGAGTTCTTGTTAAGATATCGTTTATCTTACACACATTCTTCTTAAAGAAATTAAAAGAAACGTCATCAAAGTTAATCTTGATATATCCTTGGTCTGCATAATTAAGTAACACTGCTTTGTACTCAGTTTTACTTGCATCATATGTCAAAATAGTTTCTTAGTAATCATTTATAAGTATTGGATAGGTGGTGATGTTTGCATTTTAGTCAAAAAAAGCTACCTAAATCTTATGCCTTCTCAAGGTTTAATGCTAAGTTAATGTTGATTTTTATATTATCTTAAGCTTAGCATGATCACTTCTGTCTTATGGGTTGAAAATAGGTTAACACTCATTTAATCCAGCAGTTTAAATCCACTATCTTTGCCATTCATTAATTGTAAAACCAAGATGCAATTTTTTAAATTCTTATTCTAAATGAATGATTAAATCATTTAAAACAGCATTTTTGAAAGCAAACTTCTTGAAATAGGTTTTGAGTCCATCAAAGAAAGGTTTTTCACCCATCAGGCACATTAACTAACGTAACACTGCACTTCCTTTAGAATAAGATATTCCATCAAATATTGATAGAGCTATTTCTGTATTCTCAACATCACCAGCTATAGGATGGGTAGTTGTCTTTTAGTCGGCTTAATAACTTCCAAAAGATGATTAATATATTTAATATGATTTATATTTTGATTTACCCCCACTAAATAGAGTCGTTGAATAATACCCAAATGTTACAAAGAGGTTTATGGTTAACATTCATCTTAGAAATTATGTAATGAGAAATAAATTCTGCAAATGACTCATTTAGCCATAAATCATTCCACCATTTCATAGTAACGAGGTCCCCAAACCACATATGAGAAATTTCATGAGTAATTGTTATTAGGAAGTATGTATACTACTTTGAAGTCTGTTCTTCTCTAAATAAATACTCATCATCATAGGTAATCAATCCAATATTTTCTTTTTAAGTATATTTTAAATGAATGTAAAAAATTAGCTTAAAAGAATATTTCGCTTGATAAAAAAGTATATGAATAAACAACTAATTATTTACCCATTCCACCAGAATTATACTCAGGACAAAAGATAGAATCTAACTTGCTATATGGGAAAGGATAGTCAAACAGTTGCTCATAAAGTTTAATAGCTTCTATATTTGCTGCAAATATCCAATCAGTTAATTTTTCTGCATGTGTAAGTAGGGATTTTCTACAATAAATGCTCATGGGTATATTCTTTTATTATATAAATTATAAATGTAAATGCTTTGTTATTTTTTAATTATTATCAACAAAAACTAAAATAATTTCATGAATCTTGTAATGAATAAAAAAATCATAGTAGGTAGAATTAAAATTGAATACGTTGTAAGGATTTTTGCATTTTATCTCCTAATACGATCCTGCCGCAAAACAAAACAAATAGCTTGGACAAAGCTAAGTTTTCTTAAAAATACCAAAATGATAATCATTTTAGTCAGGAATGTTTCCTAAAATCTCACAAGATAACTAAGCATCTGGATTATATGTTTTGTACTCTGCTTTAGTGTAAGAGCTATCTTTTACTTTAAGTTCATTTGAGACGATCATCCAATCTTTAGGAGCTATTATTGTGACTGATAAGTTTGCTTTCAAGTCAGGTTAATCGAAACAAGGGAATATTCTATTACAGTAGAATGGTTCATTATCAGAATAGATATACTAAAGCTAATCAGTATCGATAAAACTATGCAAGCCATAGCCATCGTTTGAATACTTATTTGAAAAAACAATAATAATTCTATTTCTACCATTATTGCAATACTAAAGTGGTATAGTCAAAAAAAGTCCATTCCATATTTGATTTAAGTAAGTTTTCTCAGACTAAGGAATCAATTAACTATTGACTATTATTTTATCAATGTTTTGCCCTGAATAATCTATAAAGATATCTCCTTGCACATGAGAAACATTAAACTCGATTTCAACAATTCCTTAATAGCTATCGCCTTTGTTTAATCTTAGTTATAAATTGTAGTTAATGGATTCCTAAACAATTTATTAACTTCTTTTCTCAGCCTATTTTTATGTCAAAAAGGTTGGCTTTGATATCTCATATTCCTTTAACTGTTCTTATTCATGTATAAACTCTTCACTTTCTAACATGGCTTTTATTACTATTTTTCTATACTATATTTTAATTCTTTGTAAGATAATTTTTATTTTTTTTACGTTTTTGTTTATTAAACTTTTTATTATATCTAATCTGAATAATCTGATCAAATTTATTCAATTTTATAAAAAATAGGATTAAAAAATCCTATTATTTTAATAAAATAAGTTGGAAATTAAGTCACATGAGATTTACTGAATCTTGATTTTTTTTGTAATGAAATATAAATAAACTTCATCTCTCTTCCTAAATATTAAAAAAATAACACTTACCTTCATTTATTATATATTAAAAACCAAAAGATATTTAATTTTTATATGTATAATATTTGATTTCTTTAATATTTATTATGAAATAATTATAAATTTCTTTAACTTTTATATGAATAATAATTTCTTTAATATATATGCTAATAATTATAAATTTCTTTAATTTTTATATGTATAATAATAAATTTCTTTACTATAATTGCTTCCCCAGCTATTGTCTTTCTTTCTATCAAATTTTTTTCTTTTCAAAATATGAAACAAGAAATAATTTATTGAAAATTTGAAATGTAAAATTCTTCATATTTTTTTTTATAAATTGTTTATTCATTAAAATGTTAATAGAAATTAGGATAAATGAATAATGAATGAATGGTATTATTTTTGGCGGTACAATTTTGAAAATGGTAGAATTTTGAAATTAAAGCTCGAAAATATTACTTGAAATCAGTATATTATAATAAATCAGACTGTGTAATAATTAATTAAATTCAAAATCTATGTTAATCATATAAAAATTTATACAAAAAAATATATTCAAATAAATATATGTGAAAAAATATAAACAATATTTAGAATATTGTTAATTGACCCTCCCTCTCTTATTTATTGATTGTTTTTAATACTATTTTCAGCTTTTAAATAATTATTCTTTAATGAATGATAACGGGAAAGTCATTAGTAGAGTTTATAAAGTAGATTATGCATAGACAAGCTATTAGGAGTGTCCTATTTGCAAAAAAGCAATATAAAAATCTGATTTTAATATTATAAACGAAGAGATAGTTTAATATCCTGTTAGTGCTGTAACACTGAAAAAGTATTTCCATTTTTAGTGTTATAGCTTTAACTAGTTTATGACTTGCGATAATAAAAGTCAATAAATTGAATTAGCTGAGGGTTATTAAAAGCTTTAGTAATAAGACTAGGAGCGCTTTTACTCTTTGATTAGCAGTTATAAATCTAAATTAAATAGTAATGTAGTACAAAAAGTTTTTAAAAATGTATCTCATGAAAGCGCATAAAATTAAAAAACTTTGAATTAATTCAAAACAGTTAAAAATGGATAATAAGGATTGATATTTAGGGATTTAAAAGGAGACAGCAAATAAGCTCAATTAAATTCTAATCTTAAAACTCAATCAAATCTTTAGAGTTTTACAAATCAAAAATAAGAAAAACTATACTCAAGCTCTAATTGCAATAAAAATTTTATTCACATCTCTAGTGTACCTGAGAATCCTATGAAATAGTAGATTTTAGCTTTTAAGCCAACCAAGATAGATAATTAAAATAAGCAAAAAGCACCTACCCCTGACAAAGGCAAAATAAATATAAAAAAAGAAACGAAAGCTCTTTAATAAAAAATGGAATATTTTAAGTTTGATAAAAACTCAATAAAAACAAATAATTAAAAAAATAAAATAGTCTAAGATCAAAAATAATAAGCAGAATAATATTCATCATCATCATCATCAGAAGAAGAAGAAGAATATTTTGTTCCTTAAAGTTTAAATATTAAGAGGACTTACAAAACACTTATTAATGAAGACGAAGATGATGATTCTGAAACAAATAATTCAAATAGCGAAACAAAAATAGACTCTACTTCTTAAAAATTAGCATAATACGTTTACTAAAAAGATGCAAAAAAAGATAATATTAACAAAATTACAGCTAAAAGTAATACAATTATCAAAGATCCTAAAACAAAAAAAATTAAAATAACATTTCATTGAAAACAAAATAAACTTAGAATTAAAAAAAAAATATTTTTTCTTATTTAAAACATCTTAAAATATATTTTAATTAGTGTATATATCGATTTGTAATACTAGATTCATTTTAAATTAACCTTATCTTAAACTATTTCAACCTTATTTATCTTGCTTGATACTTTTTAGTATTTATTCCTTAATTCATAAATTCCTTTTTCTACTTAATGAATCATTCATTCATTTATTATTTTAAGATTTATATTTTTCAAAAATTTGTACAAAATAATAAAATCTATTTTTAAAAAGGTTATCGACACTGGGACTTCCCAAGCGGTCCCCCACCTTAGTACTAACCCAGCCTTAAGGCGCTTAACTTCGGAGTTCGAATGGGATCCGGTGTTTTCACCTTAGTATGGCCGATAACAAAATTTAATAATATGATATTGCTTAAAAATATAATTTGATTTTAATAAAATATCTAATAAAAGATAATTTATTAAAAAAAATAATTGATAAAAATTATTTTCAAAAAGGTTATCGACACTGGGACTTCCCAAGCGGTCCCCCACCTTAGTACTAACCCAGCCTTAAGGCGCTTAACTTCGGAGTTCGAATGGGATCCGGTGTTTTCACCTTAGTATGGCCGATAACAAAATTTATTATTTCTTTATCCATTATAATTATAAGCATAATTATTTATTTAAAAGAATATATATATTAAATCTACATACTTATTTATTTATTAGGTTCAATAAAAATATGTTTTTAAAAAAAGGTTATCGACACTGGGACTTCCCAAGCGGTCCCCCACCTTAGTACTAACCCAGCCTTAAGGCGCTTAACTTCGGAGTTCGAATGGGATCCGGTGTTTTCACCTTAGTATGGCCGATAACAAAATTGATTGTTACATTTTCTATTAAATAAACATATTAATTAGATCAATTTAATTTACCAAAATTTTCATATTTGATTTATATATAAGTTCCATAAAGTTATTTTTTTTAAAAAAAGGTTATCGACACTGGGACTTCCCAAGCGGTCCCCCACCTTAGTACTAACCCAGCCTTAAGGCGCTTAACTTCGGAGTTCGAATGGGATCCGGTGTTTTCACCTTAGTATGGCCGATAACAAAATAGTTAAAATATTAAAGTTACTAAAATAAATATAATATTAAAAAATTACATATTTAATAAAAAAAAATGATAATTTAATTATTTATTCTTTATGAAAATTATAGCAGTAATTAATTTGCCAAAAAAGGGACCTGCCGGGATTGAACCGGCGACCTAAGGATTTGCAGTCCTCCGCTCTGCCACTGAGCTAAAGCCCCGTTTCTGATAGATATGAAATATTTTGGAAAAAGAAAATAGTTAAATTCATAAAATAATTAATTTAAAATTAGAGTAAACTTAAAGTTATATTAATTTTTTTAATTGTTAAAAATAATTTATTTAAATTAAATTTTAAATATATATTTAGAAAAAACAAAATATAAAATTATTAAAAAAATAAGGGACCTGCCGGGATTGAACCGGCGACCTAAGGATTTGCAGTCCTCCGCTCTGCCACTGAGCTAAAGCCCCGTTTCTGATAAACCTAAAATATCCATAAACTTAGTTAACGTAAAAGAAATAATGAGAAAATATTTTCTAAAAAAATAAATAAATATTTGAAAGAACATTATTGAGTAGAAGATAATAGAGATTAAAAAACTAGGCAATAAATAATATAAAAATAAATAAATTGATTAATATAAATTTAAATTTTGTAGTATTATATATAATATTGATTAAATCAGTAAATAAATTTATAGTGTTAGTCATAGCTCATGCTAAAAAGGTATTGAATAATATTTTTGAATTAATTTTTTGTAAATTATTATAATCAGGAAGGCAGCTTATTTCTAATATAATAATTAATGAAACTATTTATTAAATTTTAGATCTGTTTCAAGAAAAATTATATCTGTTTTTAGAGCTAATTCTTTTTATATTTATGAAGGTATCAGACATGAATTTCTTAAGTTTTAAGAGAAAAATTTAATTCTTAAAAATGTTAATTATTCACATTAAGTTAAGTTCTCAACGAATTTAGTGATTTCATGATCTGAAAATTTTTCTCCATGACAAATATCTTGTTCCAAACTAATTAAATTTTACAAATATCTTATTCCTCCCCAATTTTTATAACTTTAAACTATTTAAGGGCTGTCATTTGCGCATATATGTAACTAACTAATTTTTAGCAAAATATTTGTATTTTATCCTAGTGGTAATAATTCACTATAATAGAGTGTTTTAATTTCAACTAAACATCCTTTTGGAAAAAAAGGTATGAGATTTAACCATTTTACATCAATTTAGCTTAGCTATGGTAAAATAATTAACTTTTTGAGATTTTGTAAATATTTAAAATCATCAAAATATGTAAAACCAGTAAATTTTTCTGTTATAGTGAGTTTTTGTAAGTTTATTAAATTATTTAGTCTGACAAAATTTATGGATTAAATGGTGAGTTCTTACAGGTTTTCTAATTGATTTACTAAATTATTACTGAATTTGAACTAAATTTTATCAGGTTTTAATTAAATAGTTTCTAATTTGGGAAATAAAGTTAGATAATAATCATAAATTTTTCTTCCTCCTTTAAGTTTAAAGTTCTTTACGCTATTTATCAGTTTAAGTGGTTTCAACTATGGTACTTATTCATTTTCGTTGAAGGATAGCATTAAATATTCAAGTTATTCCATATTTTGTAAAGCTCTTAAAATTTTTATATGATAAGCAGGTTAGTCTGTATATATAGATTCTATATTAAAAGCTAATTCCCTTATATTTCTGTGCGATATTGCCTCCAATATAAGAAAAGCTAAATCAAGTGAATTTTCATCTATACATATTATATCAACCTATTCTATGCACCTAAGCTAGCTCATGAGCTTAAATAATCTTAGCTCATAAGCAACTTTATTGAGTATGAGCTATAATCTGATAAGGTAAAAGCTTTAATATGAAATTTCTTAGAACATTCTGTTTATAATTTCTACATTTTGTTAATGATGCGATGATAAGTCTATGTAAAGAGCATTTTACTACAAAAAATCTGCCTACTTCTTTACGTTTTTTAATACACTGTTGTTCTGGTCTGAATTTATTTTTCTAAAGCCGTAATTAGAATCATAAATCTAAAACATTTTTGTTTAAGTTAATGAATACCTGATGCTTATTCAACAATTTGATTTATTCTTCCTTATAATTTTTCAAATTCATAAAAATTTGATAAAATAAATTATAAATTTCAAAAATTTAATGGAATTGCGCTTATATTTTCATTGAATTATATTTTATCAGGAATTAAAAAACAAAGCAAATGGGATTAATTAAATCTGATTAAATAATTCATTTTAGATTTCAAAATTTAATAATTTATTTTATTATTTTTTTAGAATTTTTGAAAAAAAAGAAAATAAATAAATATTATTTAAAATGTAATAAATAATTTTATTAATTGGAGAGATAATAAATAAATTAAGTTTTTATTAATTTTCAAACAATATTTATAAAAATATCATTTAATATATATAAATTCTAAAATACTTTTTAGAGTTTGTTTTGAAAGGTTTTATAAAATTTTGCTGTTTAGTTAAATCTATCTTTTAATATACAAATTTTGTAATAGAATTAACATATAAAAATTTATTGAATAAAATATTAATTTTAATTGCATTTTATTGAAAGTCAATTAAAATAAAAATTAAAATTTTTTGATTTTTACAAATTTTATTTTTTAAATTAAATAATAAAGAAAAAATTATTGTAAATATAAAAAATAAATAAAGATAAAATAGGTATGCAAGATTATTATGTAAAATTTTTAATTTCTTATTTTATAATGATTTTCAAAATAATTTTTTTCTATTTACTTAAAAGTTTCTTTCTTCAAACCTTTTAAGTGAAAATTGCATTTTTTTAGATGCTAGGTAACTTTATTTTGAAAAAATATCACATTTAAATTAGAATTTAAATCTTTAAGCAATTTTTAGGATAAAATTTAACATCTGCCTATCTTAGGGAAGGAATTAGCATAATGTCAAAATTTAACTGGCTTAAAAATAGCATTCGAGTAAATATTTTATAATTAAATTACTAAATAGCTTATTTATTCTTTATGTGTTATAAAATATACATATGTGTTATGGATTTTTATTGAATTGTTTAAAAATAAAAAATAAATTAAAAAAGAGGTCTTTAAATTGGAGATGATGGGTTGAAAAATCTAGGATTAAGCTTAGAATACTTAAATATAAGCATTTTAGACTTATCTTTAAGGTAATATAACAAAAAATTAGCAATTATTTATTATTTTCATGGTAATCCAAATTTATAGAGGAAATAATATTCAAAAATAAGGATTAAATAATTTACTATAAGGTTTAGTAAAATGTTCAAACCTCACTAATTTAAAAATCAATCTTAGGTAATCTAAATTTTTTATCAGCTTAACATATTTTGCTTAATAATTAATATTGTTAAAATTGGTATAGCGGGAATTAAATAGAAAGTGAAGGGATATAAAACATGAATAATTAACTATCTCAACTTAAGAGTCTAACAAATTTAACTTTGTACCTAACGTAATACTTAAAAAATTTTGACTAATATTTATTTTTATACAAAAATAATATATATTTTAATTAAAGTAATACTAAAATCGGGAATGAGGGATTAAGTGTATTAGGATAATAGCTAGCTTTATGTGAAAAAATTGAATATTTAGCTCTTTTTCTGAGGTATATACTATATTTTTATGCAGGATAAATATTAAAAATAATTATTTTTTTAGTTTTAATTAAATAAATTAATAAGGAGCGTAAGATCTATGTTAAGGGCTTGCTCAGTGCAAATAACTAAAGATTATTTATATTTATCTGAGGTATATTTTTACTTTTAAAATCAGAAAATTTTATTTTTATTTTAGTTAAATCTTTGATATTTACTTTTAGTTTTAAAAAAACTGTATGATATTTATTAAAAATTTTATCATTTATTTTTAATAGTTTTATAAAATATTTATTTATTTGAAATTAGATAAAATGAGGTTGAGTCAAAAGGTTTATAATCTATGCTTAAGTAACTTTCATAAAACAAAGAACTCAACTAATTAACATTAGATTTAAGGTTTTTTTTAATTAAATTTTTGTTTTTTTATACAATTTATTTTTTATAGTGCTTGCAACATTTAAGATAACTACCCTATTGACATAGATTGTTTCTAATAAATGACTAATCTTCAGTTTTTGAGTCTTTAATTACAGTATATAACATTAGCTTTATTTTAAGATAAAAACAAAAATTTATTTAAAGAGCTAATAAAATAGGACAACAGTGGATATCTTAATTAGCTTAACAAATACATAAATGCCCTCGTCTTTAGCATCTAGAGCTTTATTTAGGGTTAAATTTTTTAATTTATTTCAAATTTATTAAATTCATCTTAAAATAAAAGCGATAATTTTATAAACGCTGAAGGATTTGCAGCTCTAGGAAAAGGATTAAAAAAAATTTAAAATCTAAACTAATTAGAAATAAATTTAAGGTAGAAAAATACATCTGTTTTTTATTTTTTAAAAAAATATTTATAGTTTTAAATATATTTAACATATTATTTATTTAAAAGGGGCAACTCAACAGAATTTAAAGATCTATCTAGCTTTATTTATGAATTGTCATAATGTGGAAAGCTTGTTATGTTAGATATAAATCATCAGTAAAATATATTTTATTTTATAAAAATTAATCTTTTTATTTTTTGCTTTCATAAAAAGGCTTGCTACATAATGCCTTAAAAAAATTAATTCTTTGATTTAAATTGTGGAATTGTGACATAAAATAAAGAAATAATTTGATAAATGACAATTATTCTTTAACTTAATATATTTTTATATTATTTAATCAAATAGTTTATTTAATAATTCATATAAATGTATCTCTAAAATACAAAAATGTTATTTTTGTTATTTTAAATTAAATATTTTAATAATTTAAACTTAAATATTAATTTGCTCATTTAATTTATTTTATCAAAATATTTTTTTTAAAGCTAAATAAGCATGCTTTAAATCAATTAAATTTTAATTTAAAACAAAAAATTAAAAATTCAGTGTAAAAACATATTTAATAATTTAATTTAATTCAATCAAATCATTTATTCATATAAATCGTAGAAGCAGGCGGACGGATTTATATTTAATTATTGCTTTATGAATTTATCAAAAATAAAAAGTTGGTAAAAGATAAATTGTTTTTTATCCAAATAAGCATTAAAAAACTAGCTTGTAATCAGATCAGTTTCAAAAAAGAGTAAATCAGTATTTAAACCTAGCTATAATTCTTATTCCTGAGTTAGTTTACATGGTTGTCTATTTCTTTTAGTAAAAAAAGTATAATTTAGTGCTAGCAATCTTGGGCACTTTGCCAGTTGAGTTATCATGTCTAAAATCTAGACGTCTGTGAATTATTCTCCATGGCACATAAAGAGACTAAAGGTGATTAAATTATTAAGTGCAGAAACGCCTTACCAATATGGATAGCTGTTTAAGATCCAATCGCTTTTAGTAGGACATAGATGGCTATTTTATATGTTTAGAGTAATATTTTCTTGATAACCTAATTATTAAATGGCTGTCAAGTAAAGTGTTTAGATGTATAATTAGCATTTGTTTGGTATCAACTTTAGAAAGTTAAGACTTTAAGTTTAAGAAAGATTAAGCTAACAATTAATTTTTAAAATCTAAAGTCTATTTAAAAATTAAAAATCTTAAAAAACTATCTTATTGCTAAAGGAACTAGTGACTTAAAGTTTTTGAAGATCAATTAAGTCCCTTAATCTTAAACCATCTATTGACTAGATAGACAAATCTGTTAATTTAGTCAAATGAATAAGAGTTTTAGGAGCAAAATCTAAATTCCTATAGCTTGGCTCAAAAGATAGCTTTTTCAAGTTAGAAAATAGTGGAAGATAGAGTTAATATAATTGTTAACTTCCTTCAATTTGAAGCTTAGTAACACTAGAAAGTTTAGTATTTTTAAATTATTAATTTATCATAATATCATGATATTAAAATTCCAGATTAAGACTATTTAGTTTTTTCATATCACATAATATTTTTATAAGCTCCTCATGGAAATTAGAATTTCTTTAAGCAGATTATCTCAAAGTTAATACATTTATCTAATCTAAGCAAAAACACTTTAATAATATTAGTGAAAAATCTTCTTATTATTTATCATAGCTAATAATATCTAGTAATTAAATATCTTTTAATTAAGAGCAGAATTCAGCTAATTTGTACGCTGTTAGAATATTTTTTAAGATCAAACCTATTCTTTAAATGTTTTTAATAATAGGAAGTAGCTCTTAAAGGAATATGCTAACTTTATCTTATTAGTCGGTTGCAACTGTAGAAAAGTCTATGTAAATTTGCGCTAATTATTACTACTAAATTTTATTTTTTACATCATTTAAAATTAATTCTTTTTTCTAAGGTTCTACAACAACCTTATAGATTTAGTTTCCTAAAAATTTGATAAACATTTATTTTTTATTTGTGTTTAGATTAATTAATTAGAATTTTTCTTATTAATTTTTTTTATCAATTCAGAAAACTTTTTTTTTAAATAGGTATTTAATTATAAACAAAATAAATCAGAAATTGGTATTATAATTCTTATCTAATCAATATCTTAAATTATGATCAGAGAGCGATTAAATAATCTATTATTAATTAAATAAAAGTAAATATTTATATAAAAATTTTGTAGAAATATTCTAGAATTATTTTACAAATAATATTTGAATTTTTATACTCATTACTTAAAAAATGTACAAAACTATAATTGGTGCCTTTAAAATTTTATTTTATTTGTTTATTTCTCAAATTTATATTTAATTATATTTTTTTTACATTATTTTTTGTAATCAAATTATAAAAAATAAAAAGCATTAACTTTACTTCATGGTTTTTATTATAAATGTATTTTAAATAATTTAGATATATTTTAACTTTGATGAGATAAATTATAGACTGATCTATTTTATTTCAAATAGAAATTTATTAAATAATATGAAATAGTTTTATATTAAATTAAATATTTTTTTGAACAAAATTAATAATAAATATTGAGTAAAAATAATTCATTATTAATTAAAAATTATAATAAAAAATAAAAAGTAAATTATTCTATCTAAAAAATTTGAAGAAAATAACAAAAGTATTGCAAAAATTAACTATAAATAATATTAAATTGAATGTAAGAATAACTTCGCACTTATTTTTGTTAATTCTTTATTAATAAATTTATTTTTGATTTAAAAATGTTTATTTATTTATTCTAATTTGAACTTAAAAGCTTAACAATAAATTAAAAAATAATAATATGTATGTTATTACAATTAACTAAATCATAATTTAATTCCTTTAAGATTTCTTTCTAAAATAAAGTTCTTAATGTTTTCTTCAACTTGAGCTGTATCAATTTTAATACGAGCAGCTCCGGTTTTAATTGCTGCCTCAGCAACAGCTTTAGCAACTGCAACTGGCACTTTAGTGTCTAATGAACTAGGAATGATGTAATCAGGGGTTAATTCAAAGTCAGGAATCAAATAAGCGATAGCATTTGCAGCAGCCATTTTCATTTCCAAATTAATATCTTTAGCTCTTACATCAAGGGCACCTCTGAAAATACCAGGGAAGGCTAGAGAATTGTTTACTTGATTTTTAAAGTCAGATCTACCAGTACCGACGATATAAGCACCAGCTTTTTTGGCTTCATCAGGCATAATTTCTGGGATAGGATTAGCCATAGCAAGGATAAGAGGCTTTTCATTCATAGTCTTAACCCACTCAGCTTTAAGAGCTCCTCCAGCAGAGACACCAATAAATATATCAGCTCCCTTAACACACTCTTCGAGAGAACCTTTAATATCGTTAGGATTAGTCAATTCAGCAAGTTCATCCTTTTATTTGTTCATATTAACTGGTCTGTTTTTGTAAATAGCACCCTTTGTATCGCAGATAATAATATTTTTAATACCAATTTTGAGTAAAAGTGTTGCTATTAATAATAAATATAAAATAATTTATTAATATTAAAGAGATAATCTTTTTGAATTTTTACTTATAGAAAGACCAGCAGCACCACCACCATTAACTACAAGCTTAACATTTTCAGCCTTCTTACCTGTCAATCTGAAAGTATTTAAGATAGCTGCGACTGTAACAATAGCTGTACCATGTTGATCATCGTGGAAGACAGGAATGTCTAATCTTTTATTTAACTCATTTTCAACTTCAAAGCATTCAGGAGCTTTAATATCTTCTAAGTTAATTGCACTGAAAACAGGAGATAATCTTTCAATTACGTCAATTAATTTCTATTATTATTAATTAAAAAATATATTAAATAAATCCTAATCTTTTTCTTTAGTCGATTTACAAACAAATCGAAAATATATCCACAATAGATTTTTTATATTAATAAATTTTTTTTCATCTATTTTTAGAATAATTTATTTATTTTTTAATTATCTGTTCTGATTTTTATTGTAAGTTTTTGCACTTAATTTAAAATACAAAAAAGATAGAAAGATAGATATTTCAATCTGAATTAATTTTTTATTTTATCTGACTGAATTTTAATTATTTATTTTATTTACCTTTGGGTCCTTTTCTTGAATGCAAATAGGAACAACATCAATACCACCAAGTTGCTTAAAGATACAGCTTTTTCCTTCCATGACAGGTAAACCAGCACCAGCTCCAATGTCACCAAAACCCAAGACTGCAGTACCATTAGTAATGATTGCTGACCAGTTGCTCTTGAAAGTTAGCTCTCTAACAAGAGAAGGATTTTCAAGTATTTCATCTTCGATTGCTTCGTATGAGGCACTGTCGATAATTTCATAGACATCATTTAAATTTTTCATTTTAATCTTGGAAGTAGTCTTAATCATTCCTTAGAATCTAGCATGAAGAGCAAGAGAGTTCTAGCCCAAAGTTTAGCCAACTAAACTGTGGTCATTTGGCCATCTTTGCAACCAAGCTCTATTTCCTTCAAACCTTATTTAAAAAATAATTGAATTCATTTCAAATTCATTATTTTACCATTTATTAGGTAGGATTTAAGATGTTATTTTTATATTTTTAGAAAAAAAATATTTACATGTAATTTTTGAATCTTGCTTCTACTTATTCTTTTGTGAATGAAGTGTTTGCTAATTGCTTAGCGAAGAAATATTCTACAATAACTCTTTAGAGACTAATGGAAGATTGAGATTTGTTAGAAAGTAGTTCAGGATTTAAATCTATATTCTTGAAGATTAAATCAATCAATTCATCAGGGATTAAACCTCTGTATAAGCAATCTAAACTTGCTCTCAAGATTATAGAAGTTATGTAACCATCTGGGAATTACTAGTCTAACTTTCTATCTTCTAAGAGTTTTTAAATTCTTAATCTTTAGTGTGAACCTAAAATAGCTTAACGTAACTTTTACTATTTAATAAAACAAAAAAATTGAGATGCTAAATTGTTTTGTTTAAAACATTTTTAAATCAGTAGTAAGTAACTAAGATAATTCTTAAATATTCTTACGTCTTTGAGAATGCTGAAAACTTGCTTGCTTCTTTCTTCAGAAACATTGAAGAGTTCAACAGCTGCGTAGGCATCATTAAGGTAGAGGAAGGCTTCAATGAATTCATTGAGAGTAGGACACTTATTGATGTTGATAACAAAAGGATATGAATCTATGTTGGTGTGAATCTTGTAGAACAAAGAGTTGGCTTCTAATTATGGGATAGCAGCATCTAAGTTCCATCCAGGAGTGTTGAATCCATGATAATCAGAGCAGTCAGTAACTATTGCCAAGGAATTACCTATATTAAAAACAAGGACATATGTTTTAAAATTCTTTTGTATATTTATTTGATTTAATATCTTACCTATATTAGTGTATTTGTAGATTTCATCATAATTCTTATTAATCTCTAAACAGCTTTCACCAACACCAGGAGAGTAGATTAATGATAGAGAGAATGAATCATAAATGGGTACCTTAAGCTTAATGGAGAGTAAACCATGATACTTCTTCAAGGCTTATCTCAAACGGATGTTGCACTAAGGTGCTTTTTATTCTGATTGTCTTTTAATTGAGTGTTTAGCTCCCATTATTAATATCTATTTGTAGGATAAATTATTTACGTTTTCCTTAATATTATAAATTTATTTAATTATTTTAATATCAATTTTTTCAATATTGATTGTTAAGCCTTTATAGTATCTAAATAAAATAGCTAATTTATTAGAATAGATCATAGATTTCAAGAAATATTATCTATAAATCATTGGTTCAATTCGATTACATATTATAACATTAAGTGCCAAAATATAGAAAATTTCTAGAAAACATTATTTATCATAAATTGTGTAATTTGATATATAAATTAGATTATAGAGTTAAGTAATCCAGTAAAAATTGTAAATTTTCTTTTAACCATATAAAAAATCCTCAATATTCTTTGCTGCTATTTCTATTTATATCATATAGTTGAAAGTATTGATTTGAATATATATCGCTTATGCATTTTTAAAAGATTTTACAGATTGTTTTTCATTTACTTTTTTTTAAGAAAAGATATTAACTTTACCTTTGCTATGCAAATTAATCAAACTTTTTTTAATTCACTATGTTTATCTTTAGGAATAAATAATACGTCAACTCTACTTTTTTTATTAAAATTTTAATCGTTAGCAACTATATATATCATCAGCAATTAATTAACCAAAGAGAAAATTGCTCATAAATCTTCTGTAATGATGAATATTCTATCTCAAACAATAAAGATTTTTAAAAAAAAGATTTTATCTTTAAAGATTTAATTTAAAATAGTTATATTTATCAAGTTCTACTTTCATTGTAAAAATTTAATGTTCTAGTTTGCGAAATATGCTTCAGTAAATAAATGTTCTTTTCTTCTATTAATTTAAATTGAAGAATAAACTAAATGTGTAAAAAGAAGATTTTACAGAATAATTAGATGGATATCTTCTATCATAAATAGCTATTAAAAATTCCAAAAAATAAATTTTATAATTTGACAAGATATTATTTATTTATCTTAAAAAGCTTATTTAAAGTCATTCAATTTAATTAATTCACACTTCAAAGATAATTAAAAAATTTTCTTCATATTAATATTTATTTCTTACACTTAATAAAAAATATATTTCATAGAATTGTCAGTATTAAAAAAAGTGCAGGTTTATTTTAATGGTTTTTCTACTCTAATTTTTATTTATTTTATTGAATAATTATTATTTACTAATTTTATACAGCATTTAAACAAAAATAAACTGATTGATATTAGATTAAAAAATTTAAAAAAAATAATTAATCACTTAAAATATTTATAAAATACATATTTTTTAAAATAAATAAATCATTTACATTTATTTTATTAAAATATGATTGAAAGCAATAAATAATAAAGAATAAAATTTTTCATATGAAATTGCATATACTACTTAAGCAACAAATCAGCCTTTCTACCTAAAATTTATTTTAGTAATATCGTTAAATATAGTTCAAATAAATATTCTAGCTAAAAGGAACATTTTAAAAAATAAATTCAAGAAATATTTAAATTAATACAATTTTTAAAGCTTAAAATAAAACCCAAGATAAATAAATCATCATATAAATTAAATCTATTATTTTAATTATTTGAAAGATGAAAAATAATAATTTCTAAGAAATTAATTAAAATATAGTAAACTATCCTTTATTATTAACTCACGTATTAACACTCATTTTTTGAAAATTTTTACTTTAATCATGTATATTTTAAATTTGAATTAAGGAGGAGGGTTTTGTTAATAATATATAAGAACCTATAGTATGAAATAAATGAAGGAAATGATATTTTATCTTAATACTTAAAGCTATCTAAAGTTTGTAATCTTCAAAAATTTCAAGACATATAAAGCTTATCCATATAAATAACTATAAAACTTCAACTCAATATTTTTGAAAGCAAAATTATATTTACGATACTTAGTATTAATATAAAAACTCTAATTTTAGCTTGTTTAAAGATTATAATTTATAATAAAAGTATTACAATAAATAAAATTTTATTTCAAAAAAGCTATTGATTGATCGGTTGATTGAATTTGAGTGAAGAATGTTTAAAATTAATTTGTAATATATTTTTTTTTAAAGTATGCTTTGACAAAAAGAAAGAAGTAAATTCTTTATAGAAATCTTCTCATAAAAAAATTAAGAATATGATTAAATAATGTAAAAAACTAGATTTATTAAATTTGAAATAATATAAACTTTTAAATACTTTTATGTAAAAAATAACAACATTGTGAACTTTATAAATTTTTGTCTTAAGGTTACATTTTTATGTTATCGAAATTTTAGTTTATCAATATTTAAAAGATTTTTCAAATAATTGATTCATTATTGCTTAACTTTTAATTAGAATTTTATATTGTTGGAAGTATAATTATAAAAGTTTACTTCCTTCTTTTGAAATATGTAATAAATACATTTTCCATTTTTTTTAATTTTAAAAATAATACATATTTTTTTAACCCACTACTTAACATACCCATTAAAAGGTATATATCACTATTTTTTTAAATGCACTTGCTTATACAAAAAATATAGTAGAATTTTTAATATTTAAAAAATAACTAAAAATATCATCATTTTTAATAAAATTTATCATTGATAAGATTACGTGCAAAATAAAAATATAATGTAAGAGTTTTAGATTGCATGGAATTACCATAATCCATTACAATTACTTGAACATAAATTAAAAATTTGATAAATTCTAAACAGAATTACTTTATTAATTGTTTAAAAATACCTATTTTTAATTTCTATTTTCGAGCTCATTATGTAAACAGATATTTTTATGATGGTAATCATTCAAGAAAAATACTAGAAAAAAATCAGAATCTGAGAGATTATTTTTTGATTCAGCTAATTTTTTAAGATAAAATGGGTTTCACTCCACCTTTAAATATTTTATTATAAATTTTATAATTAAATATTATCATATAATAAATAATAACTCCAAAAAAATAAAACATGAAAGCTACCCAATTCACACTCTAAATAATATTGTTGCTGAGCTTGTGCTTTGCTGAAAGTAATAACTTCAAAGGTTAAGGATAGACTAACAAAAGACCTTTCTAGACTTCATCAGGCAGTCGTAATTTTACCTCTTGGTTGAATGGAGTAAATATAGCTAAATCTTTAGAGCATATTGCTTATGTTTCTCAGTAGAGTATCAACTAATGGTTAGTAGATATCACGAGTGCAAGCTAAAAATATCCAACTTTTTGCAACACTGGTAACGATTTAGCTGATAAGCAAGAGTTTGCTGCGTTTTTAACTATTATTGGATCAGAAACAGAATTTTCTTATGGTTTCCCTTGTAGTCGTGAATCAGGATGTCCTGATTGCGTGCATTGCTCTTACAATAGTAGAGGATTATAGTGCATATAGAATTAAAATCTCTAGTATTATGGAAGAGGACCAATCTAACTTTCTTGGGATTACAATTACAAAGCCTTTAGTTAAAGCTACTTTGGTGATGATAGACTATTAAATAATCCTACTCTCATGGAAAATAACCCTGAAATTTGTTGGGGATCAGCTATCTGGTTTTGGATGAACTAACAAGGGTATGGAGGATGGTGTATGCCATAAGCAGCATGGAGTGAGCATGATAACTGTAGTGCAAAATGTCCAAACGGTCCCGAAGGCTGTACCTTAACTTAGTGCACAAATAATCACTGGCTACCTTAAAAGGTTGCAAGCTGTCATGATGCTATGCATTCTTCAGGATCTATTGGACAAGTAATAAACATAGTTAATGGTGGTTACGATTGTTGCCCTACTACAACTTACTTCACCAATTTTGGACACACTCTTAAGAGAGTAGAATGGTGGGGAACTATTCTTTAAAATTGGGGTTTAGGGTTACCATGGAATAATTTGAAACCAGTACCTGTAAACGAATGCCCAAGAGCCGTAAATCACATTGACTGTACTTAACTATTAACAAACTAATGGTGTTGGGGTTGTTGTAGTGAAATATGAAAACATTAAAAAAACTTTAATTTCGATAAAAATAAAAAATTAATTAATTTTTTTAGAATTTGTTTGATTTTTTTATACTACATTAGTAAGATATAATATTTTATCCTTTTTTTTATCTTTACTTATTCATTACTCTTAATAATTATATTTAAATATAAATAAACTTTACTTATTATTAACTATTTTAAAATATACATTATGAAAATGAATCTCTTAGAAATAAGATTTAGGCTAGATATATACTAACTTGAAATAGCTTATTCTATATGAATTACCAAAAGTAGTAAATTATATTTATTCTTTTTAAATATTAATTAACTAACTAATTGTAAGTATTTTGTGAAATATGAACAAATTTCAAATAAACTTTGTTATTCATAAAAATTATATTTATGATTTTGTATAATTATATTATTTAATAGTATGATAAGTTGATATAATATTTTATTTTTTTTTAATACCTTTAATGCTCTTATTTAAATAAATAAATAAATAATACTTTTTTAATTATTTTGTAATACTAATTTTATAAACCTTAAGTGATAAAATTTTTATTTTTATCAATCACAAAAATAAAATTTAAAATTAAAACATTTTGGTTTAAGAAAAAAATGTTTAATTTTATGTAAAATGCTTTATAATAAAAGGAAAATAAAATAACAAATTTGTTAGATTTTATTTAAAGTGTTTTCATTCAAACGTTTTTATTTAAGCATATTTTTTTGAGCAATTTCAAAAAATAAAAAGCATTCTCAAGTAAAATTCTGAAAAATATATTAAAGTAAAATAAAATGAATTCATAAATTAAACTTTTTTAAAGTAAAAAGAAGAGTAAAAAAAGCTATTATATTGATTTAAAATTTTTAAAAACATTTACTGAATATATTAGATATAAAATTGAATAAAATCTAATCAATTATCCCTTTTTTAAGGCGCTCTTTTTAAAAACTTGAATTTAATATATTTTTATATATTTAATTAATTAACAAATTTTTATAAATTTGAGAAGAATTTCTTATAAGTAAATATTTCCCACTTAAATTAGTTTGAAAGATTTGTTATAAATTCAATTTTAGGTATCATTAATTTTGCTTTAAATTATCAAAAAATATATTTGTTTGATTTAATAGAATTAAGGCAACTAAAAATGTCAGATAAAATGGATAAAATTTTGAAAGACTTAGATCTCACAAGTGGTAAAATAATTTATAGATTAATATTATTTTAGCTGATATGATAAATATAATTATTAAGGGTCTTAAAAGAGAAAAATGAAAGATAGAGATTTAGAATAAGAATAAGGCGATTTAAGTAAAGAAATAATGTAAAGCGCAGATAATTCATTCAAGATTGAGGATTAAACTTAAAAAAAAATAAAGATATCAGATGATATTTAGGGAGATTATAATAATAATTAAGATGTAAATTAACAAGATGGTGTTTTAGCAGAGAAAATAGGCGAATAGATAGTTTTTATAAACCTTGAAGAAAATAAATAGCAATACTAAAATAAACCTGTAGAAATAGATGACTTTTTATAGTTTGAGGAAAAATTAGATAAAAAGGAAGCCGAAGAAGGTGATTTAAATATAGAACCAATTATTGGAAAGCAAGCAGATGAATAAAAGGTAGCACCCTGGGCTTCTCTTAGAACTCTGCGTATTAAAAATCCTCTTTTGAGATTACATAATGAAATTATTGAGCTTACTGATTATTTATCACCTACCAAACAAGAGCATGAAATAAGATTAAAGTCAATGGAAAGGTAAAAAGTGACTGTATATTTGTATTATTTTGTTAGTTGGAAAATAAATCCTTTTTTTAGCCTACTATCAATTCTTATTACTTAATAGTATAAAATCTTAAAATTTTAAACTGTGTATGATATTAATTAAAAATAATTTGCTTAAAGTAGAAGAAAGTAAATAAATAAACAAAAAAACAAAAATCATATGTGCTTATTAAATAATCAATCTAATCCAATTTAATTAAAAAATTTTATCCTATTTTAAATATAGGCTCAAAAAAATTTTGTTAGATGCAGTTCCTGGATGTGAAGTTAAAACCTTTGGTTCTTTCAGCACTGAATTATATCTACCTAACTCAGATATAGATATGGTAAATTTTAAAATATATTTTAAGTTTAAAATAATTCACCTCCAATTAATTATATTGAATTAATTTGTCGTCTAGAAAATATTTAGTGATTACAAATAATATGAACATTAATTAAAATTTAAAAATAATTTGAATGTGATTGTAATTGATTTATAACTAATGAAATTATTTTTTATAATAATATGAAAGGTTATTGTGAAAGATGATATACAGAACAAATCTCTGTATAAAAAAGTAGCTGATAAAATAATGAATTGTGATGATATTTATGAAAATATAAATTTAGTTACTAATGCTAAGGTGCCTATTATCAAATTTGTTGAGAAGGAAACTTAAATCAATTTTGATATTTCTTTTAACAAAGAAGATGGTGTTAAATAATTATCAGAAGTTAAAAAAGGCTTAGAACTCTATCCTGAAATGAAATACCTGATTATGGTAATGAAATGCATTCTCAGATAAAGAGACTTGCATGAAACATATTCAGGTGGTATTGGAAGTTTTCTGCTTTTCTGTATGATTCTTGCATTTTTAAGGGATCTTCGCAGACAATATGAAAAGGAAAATAGAGTTTAAGAAATACAAAATATTACCTTAGGAGAATATTTATTAAAAATGTTTAAATTTTATGGATTTTTTGATGTTGACAATAAAAGAATTATCATGCATGAAGGAGGTGAAGCACAATTCAAAATTTACATGATTGTTAATTAATTTTTACTTAAAATATATATTTAGGTGCAATTGTCGAAAAGGATATTAAAGATAAAAGATTTAGCTTACTTAGCCCCTAGGATCCTACTCACGATATTGGAAATTCATCTTTCAAAATCAAAGAATAAGTTTTCCCACTATTCAAAAATAGATTCTAATTCTTTACTAATTATAACTTCAAATAAGGCGAAAGCACTCTTAAATATTTAGTCAATCCATCTAACTCAACATTTACTTTCTAAAAGGAAGAAAAGTGAAAATAAAAAATTTATCTATCCTCTAAACAATAAAGCCTTTTGATTTTGCTTTATTTGTTAAATAAATTTATGTTACATAGCTAATTTATTCGTGTTTATTAAGGTAATTTAATTTTATTAAATATTTTCTAGTTTTTAATCAAAATCAATAATAAATTAAATTACATTACATTATTGTTATCTTACAAAATTTAATCTACCCTAATGTTAAAAAATAAAATTCAAATCATTCTTAAAAATAATAAATAAGCAAAATGTAATTTTAAATGTGTGTTTATTCAAATATTTAATGAAATAAAATGTTTAAAAGTCTTTCAAATATGTAAAAAAAAATAATTTAAGAAAAAATTAACAACAAAAAATTAAAATATTTTGAAGAGTTTATTTGTATTTTTTTGTTTTAAAACTCTAGATAAAGCCAAACTCTTAAAGTGGAAATCAATGGTTTTATTATTTTTTTTTTCATTTAAATATAGAATTACTCATTTAAACTTACTTTTTATTAAAAGTAGAATTTAAAATATTGTATTATAATAATCGATTCTAAAAGAAACATGAAGAGCTAAATGAAAAATTAAATTTCTATCTATTTTTTAAATCATTATATATTTAAATTTTATTTATTTATTTGCTGAATAATTTATGTTATGTAGCTAATTTATTACACTTGTTTGCTGAGGTATTTTATTTAATTAACTATTGAAATCAAGATAAATTACATTATTATTATCTTACACAATTTGTTTAATAAACTTGCATTAGTATTTATTAAAAAGAAAGATATATATAGAATATTAAATACTAATAAGATCTTATTGATTTTAGAAATAATTATAATTATTACTATAAAAAAGCTTATATTTTAATTTACAATTATAAAGTGTAATATGCTTGATTATTATATTTTTTTAGTAGAATAAACTATAACTAAAGAAAGAGTAATATATCTTGAAGCTTTTATTTTTATTTGTTGATTTTGTAATATGTAGAGAAACTAAAATTCATTTTTTAATATATGATGTAATTTAGTTTTATAAGAACTAATTAATTATATAAATGATAAGAATTATTTTGACTAATAAGTTTATATTTAATTTACAGATATAAATCAAATATGCCTACATTATTTAGTAGAAAAAACTATAACCAAAGCAAAACTAAAAATATCTAGATTTGGCATTACAAACATTTAAATAATAAAATCCAATTATTAAAATAAACTGGTTTTATATCTTTATTTAATTCAAATGACATTTAATTCATTTAAATTCTTATTGCAATTAATAGGAGCTAAATAAAATTTATTAAAAAATTAAGTTTTATTAAAAAAATGTGTAATAGATTTTATAAAAAGTTGTATTTATTTTGACCAAAACGTTTAAGTTTTAATTTGCAGATATAAATTCAATTATACTTACATTTATTAGTAGATTTTAATTGTAAATTAATTCAATTAAGCGAGTCTGTCAATTGTTATTATTTTATATCTAATTTCCTTAATTTTGTTGATTAAAAATTTCCAAGTTATATGTGATTTATGTTAACTTACATGTGAAATAATTTTATTTACACTCTTTTATTTTTTGTTTGTTTGTCTTTTAATTCTTTATAAATCTTTTTCTTCATATTTTTATTTATATTCAATTACAAAAAGAAATGGTTCACTTAAAATTGTGTAAATTATTGTGAGTAAGATTTATTTGGTGGAAAATTTGTAATAATTTAAAATTAATAATAGGCAGAAAGGTTTATAACCAACAACTTTAATTTATTACAAAGGAGATGTATTGATTATTATTGGTCCTATTTCAATATGCAAATTTCTCATTACTTCTATATCCGAATTTGTGTAATTTAAAAAATTTAATTCAAACATAAGACTCTAATAAATTTTAGTTTGTGCTTTGTGAATATAAATTCCTAAGCCTGCCTAGTTGAATTGATTATAAAATAATTAAAAAAAAAAATTGAAGATTAAAGTAAATAATGAGAAAAATTGCAATCCTTTTAATTGCTTGCGCAGTCATTTGTACTGCAAGCTCTTTAACCGAATTCACCAACAACCTTTTATCATTAAAAGGTACTGGTAACACTTAAACCGTCCTAGCTTCCTGCTTTACAGACCAAACTGGCATGAGAGATAATAATCTCTATGCTGGTAATAACTATGCTGAACTCTCTGTGAACCCCAAGAATAAGGACTTCAAGGCTCTCGGAGGACTTCCTTTTGGCTACAAGCTTAAAATAACTTACAAAGGTAGATCTGTTGTTGCTACTAAGGGAGATGTTGGCGCTGGTGGCCCTAGCCATCCTAAGATTGATATTCACAAAAAAGCTGCTCAAGCTTTAGGTATCAATAACTGCGATAGTTTCCTAGAGAATGTGCAAATAGAATTTCTTGGCTGAAAAAAATAATTAAATATTTCTTAATCACTACTTAGTATAATATGTGTGATTCATTGCATGTCAAGTGTTTTAGTATTATATAATAAAATTGAACAATCTTTAAGTAAAAACTTCTTATTTATTATGAAGTGAATATTTTATTTTTAATTTATTTGAATTATAATTGAAATGATTTAAAAAGTGTAAAACTGACTATAATTTTCTAGAGTTTTTAAAAATCTCAATTTTCAAACTTTGAGAAGTAATTTATTGGTGAGGCAAATTTTTTAGCTTTATTTATTTTATAATTTATTAAAAACAAAATTATTATTTTACTATTTATAAAAGTGATCTCACTGAAAATATTAAAAAATATTCTAATAAAAAAATGAAGGTAATTTGAATACTAAACAAGAAAAAAAGTAATTTACAATTATCTTTTAGTCCTACTTCTACAATATCAATAGGCAGCTTAAGAAAATTTAGATGTATAGGACACAAGATATGTGAAATACTAATCTGAACTGTTTTATATTATAAAATCAAAAGCTTTGAAATTAAACAGATTATCTACTTCTATTTTTTGAGATTACTTTTATTTATAATTTTAAAAAATGATCAAAAACTATGTTAAAATCAAGAAAAATATTATTTTTCAATTAATTTAACTTTTCTGCAAAATTTTTATTTTTGAGAGAATTTACTTTTACTTATTACTTTGTAAAGTTGAGCAAAAATTGTATGCTTGAGTCAGCAATTTTATATTTTTTTAAAAATATTTTATTTAAGTAATTTTGATATATTTTTTATTCTTAGCTGTTTTAAAGAGTCTTCCATGCCTTTTAATCTCTGAGAAATGATAAATTTTGTAAACTCTTAAAATTCTATTATTAAAAAAAATGAATAATATTAATAAAAAATTGAATTCATGTTAAATTTATAAATTTAGCACCTAATAAAGTACAATTTTTTTTGGAAAAGATAAATAAATAAATCGAAAGATACGAATGATAAGATAATTTTATGTTCAGCTAGCTTGTAAAATAACTACCTACCAGAAATAATTTAATTAAAAGGACAAATTTAGTTTTTTTAACTCAGATATACATATTAATTTGGAGTAATTTTAAGAGATTAAATAACCATCAAAATTAGTGTTTACAGTTCATATATAGCTGATTATAGAAAATTAAATTTTATAAAAAAAGTTGACTAAGTAAAGCTTCCTCAACACTTATGAAAGAAAATTAATTAAATGATAAGATAATTTTATTTTCAGTTTGTAAAATAACTATCTATCTACCACAAAAAATTTAATTAAAAGGGTAAAATTAGTTTTTTAACTCAGATACGTAGATTATAATATATTATCACTCATTATAATTTGTATAAAAGTTATTTATTTTTGTTTTACTATCAAAATATAAATGAAAAATGAAAAATTAATTAATTATTCTTTCTTTTCTATAATTTAATTAATTTTTTAAATTAATAAATCTTAAAATCTCTCCAGAAAAATCTTTATCTTATTTAAGATTAAAAAATATTGATACCTTTTATTTTATAAGCAAATCATCCTTAATTAATAGTCAGTACCTTTCATTTCGTCTTTTAAGTCAGCACAAATTCTATTGGGCTGATATCTGCCCTTTAAAGTGGCCATTAAATTCCAGTGATTTCATTATCATCAAGTACTTTGTTTGCTTAAATGAAAATTATTATTTATCTTTTGTTTAGATTTAAGGTAAATTTTTTAATTTTAATTTCAATTAACCTCTGAATTTCACTATGTGGAAGTATTAAATTGATATCATAAATTTGCATCTGTTTTTGTCATTATAATTAATAAAAAAAAAGCTAATAAAGATAAAATGTAATTTTTAATTTAAAAAAATAATTAAATAAAATGCTTTGTTTATGATATTGTAGAAAAACAAAAAAAAATTCTAAAATTTAAATGAGCTAAAATTATATTTTATATATTTATAAAATATTTAATAAAATAAATATATCTTCAAAAACATTAAAATTAAAGTTTTTTAATTTTAATATTCAAATATTGTTTAATAATTATTTATACTTTTATTAATTTATTTTCTAATACAACATTAAAAAACCTTAGACTACTTAACCAAAAATTTTCAATTTAATTATAATACCACATTAAATAAAATATATAGTGTGTTTAATGCTTAAAAAGATAGATATACATTCTCACTAAATAAAAATATAACAAAAATATTAACAATTATTATATTTAATTAAATATAATTTGGGAGAAGTAAATATAATTTTCATAACATTATTGAATTTTCTATTATTCGTTACATATTTTTGAAATAATAGAAGTTCCGAATGTCTTTATAATAAACTCTTAATCCAGTAGTTCTAATTGACTTTATTTTTTATAAAGTTGAAAATTAAAATATTCTATTCTATTTAAATAAATAAATTTTATGATGAAGATTTTGGAATTTTGACTTTTAAATTTGTAAGTAAATTGTAAAGCTACCTTTAAAAATTATTGATTTAATTTACTCTTAATTTAATGACAATATTTATAAAAATATTTATTTTTTTATTTACAATAAACTTGATTAAATACATTTTTAATTTGACAAAATAAATTAATTAATAAATGTAAATATATTTCAATAAAAAAAATTAAATTACCAATGAATTTTTAGTAATAAAGATTAATCAAAATAAAGATTAAAGATGAATAAATAATAAAATATAAAATTTAATGAAAATTAATTATAAAGATAGAAAACAATTAAATAAAATTAAACTAATGTAATTACTTAGAATTAAAATTTATTTTTTATCATTTATTTAGAAAAAATTTAATTTAATCACATAATTTCTTTATTTGAAATTTAAATAAATATTTTTAATTTAAATTTGCTTTAATGTAAAAATACTTTAAAGATTTAATATAAGAATTGTCTCATTTAGGAAATAAATTATCTAAAATACTCAAATAAACAAATAAATAAATAATTTTTTACAAACTCAAATATAAAAGAAATAAAATCGTAGAATAAATATAAAAAATTGAATATTATAAAATTAATTTATAATTTAATAAGAAAAATAGTATCAATTTAGTTAGAGGTTTTAAATAAATTTTAATAGAAAGAAGGTCTGTTTGTTTCTCTATTTTTAGTTAATTATTTTTATTTTTAAACATTTTAATTTAGAGATTTTATAAAAAGGTAGTGAAGTAGTTAGTATTTATTTTGTTTTCTATTTTGTTAGTTAATAGTCATTTTATATAATTTTAAATTTATGTTTGCATGGATATCAATTTTCACCTGTTATAGATGCTACATCAATATATCTTGCAAAGAGTTATTCTATAATAGCTGTGCTTATTGGTTTTCCTGCATAATCGATCATATTACACTAGTTCATTTCTTCTTAGACTTCACTTCTATCAAATGCCGTATGGGCTATAATTGGACAAAAGATGTCATTCTTTTTAAAAAGCTCATTTATTTTATAAGTTGCTTCATAACCATTCATTTTTGGCATATCTATATCCATAAATATCATTTTATATGTTAGGCAATGATTTTATGTATTAATTAACTATTCTACTTTATCAACAGCTTCCTATCCATTTGTTGCTTCATCAATAATAAAGGGGAGCTTACTTTAGATCATTAGTCTAAGTGTATGTCTATTCATTTAAGTGTCATCTACAATTAGTATATCAGGACAGTTGCAAAGCTTATTTTTAAGAGCCACTTTTATTTCTTAGATATTATTTTAAACAGCAAACTCACTTTTTGTTCTTTTTCTTGCTACTTTTCTCTTAATTTGCTGATGGATTTAGCCTTGAATTTCATCTTACTACGAATTCTAATACGGGTTAGAAAATTATTCCTAAAGAGTGTAACACTTCATTCTTAAAGGAGTACTCAGCTCTAAACTTTCTTAATTCACTTAATTGCTTTAAACACTTAAAATGTTTTATTTCGATTTCATAAATTTATTCTATAGCTAATACTAAAAATCGTTAATCGGGATGAGTCTTTCAGAATAATGTTTTTTTACAGGCTGGCCATTATTAATTGGTTTTTAAATGTAGCTTGGCTTTTTGAACTTAGCAAAGTGAGTTGGAATAATCTTTTAGCTGGAAAGCAGCTCCGATCCTCTGTGGTAAGAGTGAGAGTAAGGCTAGTTTTATTATATTAATTTATTTTAAAAGGGTTAAATGCACAATTCTGAGGTAGCTCTAAATGAATGAGGGTTATCAAAGCATGCTTGGAGTTCTTAATTTTTATGAATTTCATGATCTTAAGAAGATATTTCAGAGTTTTAAATCATATTTTAATTCTTTAGCTTTTCTCTTAAGAAGAATGAACTGTTGTTTAAATCTTAATTATTTAGCTATAAAAAATCGTATTCTTGTGTATTAGGAGATACGCTTGGAGCGAGCTAGGGAGTAATATACTTTTAATCACTATCACCAATAAAAATGGATCCGTCTAATTCTTAAATTTATTAGGATTGATTTGTCAATTAATGGCTTCTATTTTAATTATCCTCACCAGAGCCAGTAATAAATCTTTAATGAGGATTCATTAAAGCTTCACTGCTTTTAGAATCTTCAATAAAAATAGGTTTCTATTATTAAATTAGGTAGTTATTTTGATGGTTTTACAAGCAACTTGCATCATACTGGTTAATTAATTTAATACTGTTGAGGTCATTTGTAGATATTTTTTAATTAATGATCTTTATTGGAGAGATAATTTACTTTTAGCTGTGCTGGATGTACTTCAAACTGTTAATTTTGTTGTAGTTGCCTTAATTATTTATTTCAAAATTTTAAATTTTCTCTTTTGAGGTGCCAGCATTACTGTTTTCCAAAGCTAAATCATAAAGATTTCCATAATTATTTATTTAATTTTTAGCACTGAATGTCAATTATTTCTTTTTTTAAACTGGAGACGATACCTTTTTGTTGTACTACAATATACCTCCACAAATTTTTTAATCATTAATGACAATAATTTAATCCATTTAGCCTTCAGAGAATTTGTCTCCTTCTTTAGAATCTTTTGATTGCTAATTACTTACTACCTAAGTTATAATACTATCCTACGTTAGGTATTAGTCATCATTTGTCTATGTGTTGAAATTACTTTAATTTTTAGGACTTCCTTGCTTATCTTTTTAGGTCAGCTCATAATGTATTATTTCAAGAGTATCTGAATTTGGTTCTTAAGTTTCAATAATTTGCTTTGATAAGGTATTTGTGCCTTATTTATTACAGTTAATTGATGTGTTAGAAGCTAATTATATGTTCGAATATTAAGAATTCAAATGATGCAGTGAATGAAAATTTTTTTCAAAAGAGTGTTTTTTACTTGTAACACGAACTTCTTAGTTATCATACTTATCATAAATTTTTTTCATTTCATCGCATAAATCAATACTCATCTTCCGATTACAATCATATTTTAAGCCTTTGTCGATGTTTTAAATAAATTTAGCACTAAAATAGAAATTTTTAGGGTTTTGTTTTGATTAAAGCAAATCATCAACTACGCTTGCATTATTAAAACCCTCAAAACTTTTTTTATTTTAGCTTTCATTTTAATTTATTTTTTCTTCATCTTTAAATAATACAATTCCATCATCCTCTGAGTCTTCCTATTATTAGGCTTTCTTATTTGGACTAAGATTAAATGAGGGAGGAAGGACTATCTATTTTTGATCTTTTACAAACTCATTTATATTTAACCCTTCATCAGAAATTTCAGAAGATGAGAAATCAATTTTCTAGCTAATTGGAGATCTTTACTAAATTTCATATTAGTTATTTTAAATCATTGAAAAATTTTTGCTTAGCTACTCTTGGCTTTTATTTAATTCAACAATTTTATCGACAATCTCTAAACTTTTGTTCAATTTATTGCTAGAATTGCTTATAATTATCTTAGGAGGAGGAGTCATAAGACTTTGCTAGTTAAACAGCTAGATATTTTGAATTTGCGTATTAGAAGCATGATTTAATTAATATGGAAATATTGACTGAGTAAAATCTGAAATAGAGTTTTATTCGCTGTTAGATTAATTCTTTTAAGTAGTGTATCTTCTGTTCAGATCTTATTTTTTATTTTTTTCACTTTAGCAATTTATATTTATATTGAACGAAAACAAGCTTCCTTCACCTACCTTTGATTGCAAATTTAATCCTTAGCCTTAATAAGACAACCTCTATGCCAAAGCATTTGATATGATTAAACCTAAACCACTTGTTTCTTACTTCTTGTTTTTTATTGTCTTTCTCTCAAATAAATTATCTTATTATTCAACTTGAATACCAATTCCAGAATCTTGAACAGAAATTTCTATTTCATCTTCACTTATACAAGTAGCCTTAATCTTAATGAATCCTTTTTAAGTGAATTTTAATGCATTAGTTAAGAGATTAAAAATAACTTGCATTATCCTCGAAGGATCACTCATAATATACTCTGGTACCTGAGAATCTTCTAAGAATATCAATTAAATTCTTTCTTTTCCCTGTTTTTATGACTCCATCAAAGGCTAGAAGTATTCAACTACTTTTTTCAGTAGATGTCTTTAAATATTATAAAAAAAATATACTCAATTAATTTAGTATAATTTAAAATGTTTAATGAAATATATATGAAAATTGAATTATAAATTCAACCTTAAATCAGTTTTTCTTATATCCAACTTAAAGCAGTTAAATTAAATTTTGGCATAGTCTATGAAATCGCTGCAGGAAAATTTCAGTATTCTAATAGAAGAAAGAGCAGGCAGTATATAATTAGAATTTAATTCTTTTTCAACTTTGAGAGAACACATTTTTAGCATATTAATAGCGCAGTTTAGAGGAGTTCCAAATTCGTGAGAAATAGATTTGAGGACCTTAGTTTAAAAACTTTCTAACTCTTTAAGAAGCTCTTATTCTATAACTAATTTGTCTTCGAAATCTAAGCATTTAAAAAAAAAAATTAATTAATTAATTGGTAGATAATTTTAAGCTGAATAAAATTTAATAAATAAAAAAAAATTATAAATATATTTACCATCAAATATTAAATAAAAGGATTGATCGCTTTGTTTAATTAATTTTACAGATGTAAAATCTCCAAAAGACTCACTTAATTTGAGTGAATAAGACATATTGTACTGAAGAATAGGAACATTCATAACTTCATCCAGAGTAAGTATATTTAAATTTTGAATATCTTAATCAATTAAATTATTTAGTTAACCTGCCAAGCTATTTGAATTGTAATTATTTTGATTGAAATTTAGATTGTAGGAATTAGTGGTGTTGATGTCTTTCTTTTCATTTCTATAATAATTCATAAATTAACTATCTCTTCTTATTTGAGTCAATACATTATCAGTGAGTACTCGCTTTCTATTTACTTCCTACCTTATGGACATTCTTTTTGCATTAATTTAATTCAAATTAAATTGATTTGGTTTAGCATTCACTTGCATACTATTGTATTTAGTTTAAAATCTATCAAGCTTACTAAAATCACTGCTCTCTTTATTAAAAAACTCTCTGTTATTGGATTTATTATTCTAGAATATTTATTATGTTTGTTAGCTTGACTACGGTGTAAAATCTGGCGCTTGTATTTGTGCTTTGTATTAATTTTCTTGTGTGGGATTTTTATTAAGAGTCACCTTTTATTCTAGAAGATTGAAATTGCTACTGTCAAACTCATTAAAATTAGGATTGTTACTATTATTTGTTTAAGATATTTGTTTGCCAATAATTTATATTGGATATGATGTTTGAAGTAATCCATCTTCAGTTCTTTCAATAATTGCTTAATCATTTTAGCTAGTATTTAGCTGCTTAGTCTTTTATGAACTGTTAAAATCGCTCTGTCTTACATTTATTTTTTATAACTAAATAATATTTTGAGTCAGATCTCTTTCAAGTGGATGGGAGTACCTATTATTCTGCATTGGAGACGCCTCAAAGTTAGAGAAATTAAAAGAGCAAACATCGCTACTCGGAAATTACTTATCATTATTTTGTATGAAGTTTTATTTCATTAAATGGATTTAATACTAATTGTCTTACTAAAAGGATTATTGTTGTTATTATTATTGTTGTTGTTGTTACAGATGAAGATTGTTGTCATCTTAAAATCCTGATATTTTAACAATATTTTCTTAATTGCTTGAAGTTTATGCATTTTGAGTTAAATTTCCTTAATTATTGATATGGAACATATTACTTTAATTTGCAGACAACTTAACTTAAGTATATTTTCCACTTTTTTTGCTCACATCAGAAATTCTTTTTGTGTTTACATCTTCTAGCTGTGAATATTAAGTTAAATGAAAGGCATTTATGTTATTTTAAATATTATTTTGATTCACAGAGGCATTGTCATCATCATATTAGTTATTAGTGATATGGATTTATTATTCTAACTAAGAAGCTTAGCTTTAATTTTATTTATTATTTGTGATTAATTAATTGTTCTGAAGTAAATTATTGTTTAAATTAAATTACAAAAAGGGAAACAAATTATTTTTTTTCTAAAATGTATTAGTTGATAATGCTTTGTGTTAAGATATATATTCATTTAACTTCTCATTATTGTTCCTTGAATTTATTTTTTGATTGATTTTAGTCTGTGATTGCTGCAACGGATTGTTTTAATTAGTGTTTGCTGTTTCTGTTTAGGAAATTATATTTGCTATTTATATCCGTAAATCATTCAGTATCTTGTAAAGAGATTCTTTATCAATAATGTTAGTCCTATTAAGCATTTGATAATTGCAAATACTCACTTTCTTACTTTTTTTATCTATTTTGCAAAATCCTTGAGGGAATTAGTTCAAAATAAATTTGAGGCTATCATTTTCTTCAAGCATATAGACGATCTCTTATTCAATTTAAGAAATATTCTCAATAAAAACCTTATAAGGTCTTCCACATTTAGTACAGGAAATGCCCTTTTTAATTTTTAGGATTTATTGAATTAGTAAATTGCTTGATATTTCATGTTAACCTTTATGATGGTTTTCATGATACAGAGCTTTATTTTCATCCATTTAGCTTTTTACCTTTTTACAGGTGCACAAACTATGACTTTATTTACATTTTTAGTATAAAATGATTAAAGATAGAAGCAAAAATATAGTACATATTAAGTCTGAAACAGTGTGATTATTTATAATTAGTTTGATTATTAAGAATATAAAAATTAATAGCTAAAATAATTTTTAAAAGAATTCAGATTCTTCCTAGCAATTTTAATACACTAAAACGCATACTAAAACTTCCAAATTAGCAATTTAATGGTTTTAGTAGAGGTATCCTTTAACCGCTGCTAAAGTAACAAAAAAAAATAAAAACAATAATTGAGTGATTATTGGATTACTATAAATAAAAGGCGGTTCACTATCTATGTCCTCAGCATTATATTTTAGCAAATGCTGAATTAAAACCACTAGGAAAACCATTAAAACATTAAATAAAGTAAATAACAAATAAATATTGCTGCTACTTTGATCTGACTATTTTTAAAGATTATCCAGGTAGAAGCAAGAGATAAAAATCGCTATTTAGCATATTAAAAATAAACCATAGCATATTATGATTGATCTTATTCGTGCTTGCTTATTTGCAATCTACACCCATGATTTAGAAGTTTAATTCTCATTTAAGCTAAAAGACTTTAGCTTATCTTATAATAAAGTGTTTTTGTTTGCATTTTAGGCATAATAGAATGCTTAAGGAGAAGATGAAGACGATGTTTGGCCACTTAAAGAGTTCTTAAAGCAAACAGAAAATATTTTCTTTAATTTTGAAAGAGCTTCAGAACATAATGAAGGTTTTTATTAATCTTCTCGAAGCATTTAAAGAAAGTATTTTTTTAACTAAACTAGAATTATTTTTGTTTTGCTCGTCACCTATTCCTTCTTATTCTAAATTTAGTTAGTTCTTCTTTTCTTGATTACTTATTAAGAGTAAAAAAAGTTAAAAAATCTAAAGTTTTTTTTAATTTATGATTGAAAATCGCTTTTGCATGGAGCTAATCAAATTTAATAGTCTTTCTTAAAGTAATATCTTCATTAATTATTGAGTTAAATTCTATTTACATTCTTCTTCTCCTTTTATGTTAGCATTAAAATTAATATAAGAGTCCTCCTGACTAAGTTCTTTCAGTAATTAATTTTCATTCTTCATTTATACAGTAATTTTTTAATTATTAACAAACAATCAAACAAAAAGAAAAAAGCAATTAACTAACTAACTACTAATTAATTAATTATCTCTAGTTTATTTTTATTCACAAATTAAATTAATAGTAGTTACCTCAAAACTCATCTCTTTAAACTAAATTTTATTTTTTAAAACTCCAAAAGAGTAAGTGACTATTATTTAGCATTTAAATAAATTAACTTTAACTTAGTTAAATAAATATAAATTATTTTAATTCCAAAGTATCTAGTTAAATTTTTATTTATTTATTTATGATTTTAAATTAAAATGAATAGGTTTTATTTCATATCATTTCTTACTTGTTAGAAAGTTAATATTTGTAAAAACCAATTCTATCAATCTACCTAGTCATTATTTATACAAATTACTTTACATATTTATTTAAATTACATACATACCAATATCATAAAAAAACTTTTGAGTCTATGATAAAACTTGAAAAACTAAAAAATATTTTCTTTGAAACAAATATTTTAATATTTTTGAACCATATTTTTATTTAAAAACATATTTATAAAACTGATAATAATCAAGAACTAAGTTAGTTTGTTAATAAATAAATAAACAAATATTAAAAAGTAATACTTACAAATTAGAGGTCTTCTCTATTTAAACAATTTTTAATTAATTTAAGCAAATTTTGAAATGAAAAAAAAAAGCATTTACAATAGTAATATTTGTTTATTTATTAAGTATGGTTTTGTTTTTTTTTTTCAACTTTTATAATATTGAATTATATAATCTAATATAAATTTGCAGATTATTGATAAAAATATATAACTGCAGCAAGAGTCATAGATTGAATCTTTTTTAATTCATTTTTCTGGCATATTTCTACTAAACAATTTACTAAAATTACTGTTTTATAAATAAGAATTTAACAATTCATATTGAAAACTTCTTAAAGTTCTCATAAGAAATTCCATTTTTGTCACCATTACTCATTCTTTCATAAATTTCTTAAATATCTTTTTCATTTATATTTTCGTCTTTATAATTCTACATCAAGACTCTAAACTCTAAATATTTATAAAAACAAATGATTTTTTCTGCTATGCTAGTATATAAAAAAGATAAATTGTTGAAAAAGTATAACCTTCCTTATTAAGATAATTTTTATCTTGTTTTGAGTGTCTTCTAAATATTTTTTATAAGAATCTATCATTAGTTTCTTCATTCATATATTTCTCAATTGAATCCTTTTTAATTGAAGTAAAGAATACAAATTTAAAATATACTTTGTTTTTAAATTACCATAGCAGAGCAGAATTATTACTCTGTGATTTCTTCCTTATTATTGACTGTATGAGATTTAAATGCTTTTTCTATCAAGTCTTTAAATGCTTTTTTTGCTTCTCCGGTAACATCATTTGGATAGAAAAGATTGCTAACCATTTCTGAAATCAAACTAATTTTAATGCCTATCGAATCTGATTGTCTGAATTCAAACGCCAGTATTCTGAATATCTAATTAATTGATTTAAAAATTCCCTATTTACATTTTCATCCACTAAAATTTATAAAAGCTTACTTCTTTATTTGACATTTTTTTATATTGCTTTTCACCTTTTTTGTTGTCCTTTAGCAAAATATATTTTACATAAATACCAACTCAAAAAAGAAACAAAAGTAAGTGATAATTATACCATTTGTGTCTTTAAACTACTCTGCTATAATATAAATATTCAATTATTTCCTAAAATGTAGCTAGGTTTTGATAGCTTTTAATGTTAATCTTATTTATCTGATTCTGCCTAAATTAATCGAAATGAATAATTTTCAAATTATTATATACTTTTTTGATAGTGTAGCTAGATATTATAAAATAATAATAAATAATATTTTGTTTCAAAACAAATGCTTCTTTCTCTAAAATGCAAATCAAATTAAACATGTTATTTATTTTAAATATTTAAAATAATTTAATCCTTTTTTTATTTTTAAAAAATCTTATTTGCTAATTCTAGCTAAAAATTTTTAAGAAAGCGCATCAATAAAGCTAGCTAATCAAAATTAATTAAATAGAATTTGCAATTTAAATATTTCTCACCTTAAGATATTTTTTATAATTATTTTGAAAAATTCTAAAATCACTAAAAAAAATTTATAAATTAAATCAATTTATTTATTGTTGACTGACTATCTTGAATGTCTCTCAAAAAGATTTTACTTCTGGTTTTTTTAAGCTAGGGGTATGGAATAAAATAGCTATTGTTTTTTGAGTAAATTTTCAGTTTTCCTATTAGTTAAGAAGAAACAATCCATAATGGGATATATAAGCCTTAAATGTAAACTCGTAGATTTCTTGAGAGCTAAAAAAAAGTATTTTCATAAGTTTAAGAGCGAATATTAATTTATTTAATTTTTTAAAAAGCACTTTAGATTTTATAATTATACTGGTAATCGCTTTTTACAATCTAACTCCAGTAACTTCAATTATAGCGGTCTAGATCCTGTTACAGGTTACAAAATAAACTGTATAAACGGCTCTTACAATACAACTACTTAAAGATGTTTATGCAACAGTGGATATAAAAGTAGTGGATAGGTAATTTTTTATAAACAAGCATTTAATAATATATTATTATAATTATTTATTTAGATAAACAACGGTATTCTTTAGATGTGTGACCAATAAATGACTAGCTCTGACACTCCTGTTGACTATTCAAATTAAACCTAAGTCTAATAGCTTACATAATAGTTTATTAACTCCAATACATCAACATTTCTTGGTTTACCTTTAGTAAAACTTTATTATAATTTTATATTGAAAAATAAATTTATTTATAAATAAATAAATATTTTAAAGTTTTCATGGATCCTCATAGGAGTTTTCCTATTTATTACTATCTTTATAATAGCTGTATGTGTTATAAGAAAAAGGAGATAAAAGCAAAAAGAAAAGCAACATAAAAAGGATAGCCACAATTCTTGTCATAGTCATAGACACCATAAAAGCTTAAAAAAATATCATAGCCATCACAGAAGAAGCCATTCTAATTGAATTATAAAAAAATATAATCATAAAATCTATTTTTTTATTTTCATTCATATACTGTACATAATCTTGATTTTTTGCTAAAATATACTAAATAAAAAAATTTCGATAATAGTTTAACTAAATTATTTAAACATATAAAAAAAAATGAAAATTTTAGTTGAGTTAATAAAAATTACGGAAAATATTTTATAAATAATTTTTTGATTTTGTATAAAAATTCTTGAATACTTTTGACAATTTATTTTATGCATAATAATATGTAAATTTTATTACAAAAATCTGTAATTTTATTTGATTAAAATATATCAATTGAGAGGAGCACCCATTTGAGTGACAATAGATTTTGCTGTATGTCTTTTATCAGGTGAAGCATTTGTAGCATTAATAAATTCAATATTATTCTTCAAACTATTAACTGAGTTTTAGCATGCAAGATACTCTTATTAAGCAATTTAGTTTTATATATCAATTTCTCTATCTAATTATTGCTTAGTTGGTGAGCGCTATACTATCTTACAAGCACTTGGTGATTTGTTAGGAGTTAAGAACTTGATATGTGCGTTAGAATCTTACTTAATTTAAACAGAGCGATCAGGAGTTTGATAGTAACCCAATCCACCTGCTCCACTGAAGGATGGTACACTCAAATTTGTGCTATTAACTAGTCCGCTTTAGCTTTGAGAAAGATAATTTACATACTATGAAGGCTATTAGTGTAATGACTATTATTACTTATTAGGATTGAAAGAAGTATTTAAATTACTATCATAAGGGACATATTAGCTACTTACTAAAGTACTGTTTCCAAACTTTTAAGGCTCAACAATTTACTGTTTAATAAAATTTATTGATTTATTTTTATGATATTTATATTAAATTAATAGTAGAAAAACTAAATTTTAATGAATGAATGAATAAATAAATTATTTCATATCTGCTTTGTTGTATGTATTTTTTTCAGTGAAAATAAAAATTAATTAAATCGCTTTTCTACTTATCAAATAAATTATGATTAAAAAACCATTTTATAATGTAATCATAGCGTAGAATGCAAAATTAAAAAATTAAGCTTACAGGTTGCTAAATCTGGGATTGTTATTGTTGCTAAGATTATCTTAGAGCTGCACTTCTCTTGACTGACTCAATAACATCTTGAATATTTGAAGTATCAGAAATATATTGGCTCTGTAAAGGATTTGATACATTACCATAGTTTAATGTAGTTGTATAGGTATTAGTTTGAGCAGGTGATTGATAAACGATAGAAGTAAGGAATTATTAGTTCGATTAACCATGAATAGGTTCTGATTAATTAATAGGTGGATGTTATACATATTATGATTAGTTGTTTGATCTTGTAATGAATTAGCTCACTGATTAAGTAAATTGTTATTAAGGAGGAGAACTGCTAGAACTAGAATATCTGGGGTCAACAACATTGGAAAAATGGCTATTATTCATTTCTATTAGGCTTATACTTTTTTACTAATAAATTTTATAAGATGGATTAAATTTATGTTTGTCTTGATGTACTTTATTTGTTGCTCTTTTGAGAACTAAAGCTATTTTTATTGCTTGAATATTTGTTTAATATTTAATAAAATTTTTATGTAAAAAAGAAATACATTGAAATTTATTGATCTTTGTAATATCAAATAATCACACACATCACAAACTGAATAAATATTAATTTTTTATTTATTTCAAAATAAAACAAGAAAAAAAGCTGTCTGAAAAGGCAAATGTTATAATAATAGTTGTTTACATAATCTTCATAAAAATTCAAAAGAAATTGTTAGCATATAAACAAATAAAGAAAGAAAGAAATAAATAATCTTTCAGGATCATTATTTATGAATTAAATTTTCTTGTTTAAGAAAAAATAATCTATTTGCATTTATCAGTAGATAGATATTCTTCGAAATCTTAATGAAGACAAAAAAACAAATAAATAAATCATGCTTGAATCAGATAGATTAGTTTCTAGATATTCCTAATTATTTTGTTTTTGAATTTAATAATGTTTGAAAATTTTAAAGGCATTTTTCATGTTCTTAAATAAATTAGGACTTATTTATTCTATTTTAAAACACAACAGTTTCTTATTTAAATAATTTTTAAAATTGAAATTATGTTCATGATTTTTTATATCTTATAAATAATAAATTTTAATTTTTGATCAACTTTGATATTTTTATTGGTTGCTTGCTTTCTTGCATAATGTATGTATCTGTTATTTACATCCTAATTTGATTAAATTACCCATTTAATTTTAATTAAAATTTTATATATTAATTGTCAGTCAATATTTTTCTAAGAAAATAATATTATTTTAGCTTAATCTACTAATAAACTAAAGAAATTAATTTAATTGCTAATAAATTTAATTAAAATTATCTATTTTTCATTGTTAAAGGTAAGTAAAAAAATATAAAATAACAAAATAAATATTTTAGATTACATTAATTCTAATCTAATTAAATATAATTTAAATATTTTCAAAAAACTATTTTAAATAAATAATATTAATTAATTAAAATAAAATTATTAAAAGGATAATTATAATAAAGAAATTTAATATATAAATATAAAGCTGATAATACAATACACCTATTTATATTGATTAGCAAACAAAAAACAAATATCTTAATAATGAAGTTAAAATATTCATTTAATATTTTTTGTTCAAATTATCATTACTAAAAATTTAATACCACTATTGAGGTGTAAATCGATTCAAATTTATTAATTAAAATTGATTTTTTATAATATCTACTATATTTAACTGGAAAATTTTTTGTTTTTAAGATTCTATTTAGAATAAAAAAAATATTAATATATAAAGTAATCTATTTTAATTGATCATCTTAAAAAATTTTTTTTGCAAAAGTTTTACATTTTTTATAAAAACTTGGTTTTGGGGTTATTTTCTAAATTTTTAAATGCATTGAAGCTTTTTTTTTCTACTATATATTTAACAAAATTTTAATTTAAAAATTTAATGATATTATTTTTTGTAGCAATTTAGTAATTAAAATTAAATAATTGTGTTTCAAGAAAAAATGTTTTAATTTTGGATATTTCTGTTTGATTTTAAAAAGTATAACTCATAGTTGAAATTTTAAAAGTAAATTAATTATTAGTCACTCACCCAACAAAATTATATAAAAAATACAGCAACCTTAAAATGCTTTAAAATGGTTTAAAAAGGACATATTAATTAATTGCTTAAATGATAAAAAAATATTTATATATTCATAATTTTTTTAATCTCATTTTTTTTTTTGATTTTGCTTTGAACTCCATTAACAAACAATATTATTTAGATAATAAACATGCTTTTGACTATAATAATATTCAATTTTAATTCATATTTGATAATACTAATTTTATAAAATCTTCTATTTTAAATTCAGTTTAGCTTTCTCCTCCAAGTTCTTTTATCATTTCTTCAGCTTCATCTTCAGTGAATGGCTCTTTCCCTTTCATTACAAGATGCTTCAAAACATTTACAAACATAGTAGGTTTTTCTTTCTCCCATACTTTAAATGCTTCATATAATTCTTCTTCTGGATCACAATCATCCTATCTACTTGCCATCATACTTAAAAAATCTGGAAATTCTACTTTTCCTTTTCCTAAAGGGTCTACTTCTGATGCCATTTCTTCTAAATCCTATTCTGTTGGGTTTTTATTTAGAGATCTCACAAGTAACCCTAAATCTCTAATATCAATAATACCATCACCATCTTTATCAAAAAGAGAAAATGCTTCTTTATATTCTGCAATTTATTCTTTTGTTGGTTCTCTAGATATAGCACCATTATCACCCATTTTAATAGTAGTTAATTATATTTTATAAGTAAATTTTTAAATTTAAATGCTAAATCCTTTATTTGTTGTTCTAATATTAAAATAATAAATAGATAGATAAATAAATAAATAATATTTGATTTTGTTAGATATTATTTGATGTAAATAAATAACTAGCGTATTTGATTATCTTTTTTTAAATGTAAATAAATATATCAGCTAGTTGAACCATAATATATTTCTTTAAAATAATATATTTTTAAAAAATGAGGGTTATTTTATTATTTATACCTTTTAAAACAATTAAATCCTTTAAAAATATTAGCTTTATTATAAAATTATTGTATGGATCTTTATGAAATTATTTTTAAAATTAAGAAATTTGTTTGTTTATTACATCTAATTAAAAATAAATTATTTTATTAAAAGCAATGTTGCTAATTAACATTATTAAAAGTTTTAATGTAAAGAAACAAAAATTAGTTTTTACATATTTAAATATTGTTTACATAAATGAAACAACTTACTATTTATTAGTTATTTATCTTTTAAAAATTTAGAAGGGATTATTATTTAAGCTATTGAACTGTTAAAAATAACACAAACATTATTTATTTATCAGTTTAATACTCTAAATAGCAATATTGTAAAAGATCTGACTAAATATTTAGTAATTATTTTAGAAAATATTTCTAGAAGTCATTAATATTTAAACTAAAGAATTTGTTAAAAATCATACAAAATCATTTATTTATTTTTTAGTTTGTTAAAAACATTTTTCAAAAAAGTTAATTAGAAATAGATAAAAAATAAATTTTGCTATTACAATTAATTATAACTTTAAAAATAATAAAGATACAAATTTTTTTAATATTGATCTAATTAAATTTCATAAATAAATAAATAAATAAAAATCTAAAAATAGCAAATATATAATCTTTTTTATTCTGATAATTCATATTTTAAATTTGATAAATAAATTACAATTTTACATATTTGAGAGTAAGAAAGTGAAAAGAATTTCTATTTTTTAACAGCTAATTAAAATATATTAAAATTATATAAAATGCATATATTAGTATAGAATAGATAAAATTATTTGCTTGATATTAGTAAACAAATTATGTAATTATAATTTTTATCTTTGAAATGAAGGACACTAAAATTTTGACAGAAAGATTGAAGATTTTTTAGGGATATATAAAACAGGATAAAGAAAACAAATAGAAAGTAATTAAGGTTGTATCTAAGTATGCAATAATTAATTTATTAATATCATATGAAAACAGAATATTATTTTGCGCTATCTTATATCATAAATTACTTAAAATAAATAAAAGTAAATCTCCAATATTTTTTTGTTTGCTTGTTTTATTAATTGATTGCTTGCTTGCTTGCTTTTTTGTTTGTTTGATAAATAGAATTACGAAATCAACCTAACAAATAAATAAATAAATTAATTAATAATTTATTGATTGTATGCTTGTTAATCAAAGAGTAAAAAATAATTAAAGAATTCTTATTTTTGATATATAAAAAATTAAAAATTATATATAACGCTATTAGCTATTTTTTCAAAGAGAAAGAATTGATTGATTGAATCAAGAATTAAGTTATTATTTATTAGTCCTTTTAGATTTAGATTTATATATAGTCAGCCAATTTTCAATTCAAAACCAAATTAAGAAAGACTTGATTGATTGTTCTTGCTAATTAATCCTTTAGACATGTAGTAAATGTAGCAGCCAGAAGAAAATCTATAGCCTATTTAGATATACCAAGATATTTTGGGTAATTCTTTTGAAAAGATCAAAAAGAATCTTCCTAAAAAATATCTTGGAGTCAAAGACCTAGTTCAGAAAATGCAAAGTAAATAGTTTTTGAGCAATTTGTTGAAAAAATGTAGCACTGTGGATGCTTAAAATTATAAATGAGGAAACATAAATTTTGCTCTTAAATGTTTATTATTTGAATTAAATTGATATTTTGTAATATAAAAGACCATGTGATGTAAGACCCTGCTCATAAATTGGATGCAAACAGATATTTCATCATTTATAAACTAGCAATCAATACCAAATAACCAAAGTTGATAGAAGTTTCTTTAAAAGCAATTCAAGTAGATAAAAACACTCATTTTATTTAATCAGCATTAATTATATTTTCTATTTTACCATGTTTAATCTTAGAGTTTAAACAAAAAATATCACCAAAAAGTATCTAAATAAGTTTAAGTTAGCTCATATCATTTTCAAAAAATACACTACTTATTCGTAATAATTTGAGTAGATGTAAATAATAGTTTGAAGGTGTGTACCTAACTGACTAACTCAATAAAGCTTATGAAAATATTTTGCAAAAAACAAGTTGATACTTATTAAGTTTAATTAGTTGATAAATAAATGATTATTGCAAAACGAAATTGATTTGAAAAACTTAAATAAAACAATAGAAAAATCAGAAAATAATATTTCAGATATTTTAATTAAATATAAAACATATTATTTTATTAAAAGCAACTAATTAGCTATAATTTCTTGAACGGTAATTGTCCAGATTACACTTTAGAAGTTAATTTAGAGGAGTTTAAAGATCTCCATGACCCTTTCCCTCTCAGAGATTAGCTAAATACGAGAAAATTAATATCTACAATAATGGATATGATGGTTTCTCTTACGAATGAAAAGGATGAAAATCATTAAATGTTAGTTATTAAGATATTTGTCCTATTAGCAACTCACATTCATACAGAAATGCATGGAATTCATATATCAGCTGCTATCCAAACAATCATCATATATTACTCTCGTAATATTTATTTATTTACTTGTAAAAATCTCAGCATATATGCTTGCTTGCTTACTTTCTTACTTACTTACTTAATTACTATCTAAGTCACTAAAATATTATGACAATATTTTCAAAACATTTACTTCTTTCTAAAATTTTTTCTAATTAATTTTCTCTTTCCCTTTTAATTTTTTCAAAAAAAATTAATAGTTTTTGAATAGCTTAAAAAGCAAATTATATAAAAAATAAAATAATTTTTATTAAAAATAGAAACTAGAAATAGTCAAGTAGAGAAACTTGCTAAATAAGCACTTTAGCAGATCATAAATTATAATTATTAGAAACTTTCCTTAATAGAAGGAGAAAAAATCAAAAAATAGTTGTTTGGTAATGGTTTTTTTATAGGAAATGCATAGCAATTGTAATAGCAAAGAGAAAGAGGGAGAACAACTTAGGATTAAAGTGTTATTTAAAAAGAAAGATCTCCTTCTCCTAACCAAACAAATATGACAAAATAATTAATATCTATTAGAGGTGATACAACTCTAATGCAGCAGAATCAATTAAATTAAAAAGAGTTATCGCCAATTAACAATATCCTCAAATCATAAGAAGATGCTTAAGATGCAGATATGAGTGGATATTTTGATGGTGTAAACAGCTTTTCTAAAAATCAAAACTTTATGTTTTAAGGAATTAGAAAGAATAATGATAAAAATTAGCCTACTTTTGATACAATTTGTCTAGATACTCTCATCAATATAGTAGACGATGTTTGCATTTATGAAGCAAGGAAAGATGCTATAGTTGAAAAAATTAACCAAGATGAAAATATTCCAAGCGATTAGAAGTAAAATTACATATAGGTAGAATTATAAAATATTCCAACAAGAGTTGTGCCTACACAACTTGATCCTAATGATCCATAATATTATAGAGTACTACCCATTAACTCAGACCAATTAGTAAATGAAAACGATTAACCTGCTGGATTATTTGGTTGGTGCTCAAAATGTAGAAATACTGCAAATTATTATTGTAAAGATCTTCGTGTACCTGTATGCTCTATTGAGTGCAAAATTAGCTACTAATAAATGAATGAAGCAGTAAATAAAAGATTCTATGATTATTAAAAGAACTCCAAAATAGCATTTGAAGATTGTCTATCAATTCTTCAATCTCTTTCATATCTCTTAATAGCTCCTTCAGAATAAGTGTAATTTATTCAATAATTAAATGAATCAATTAATAAATTTTTAATTTACTTTAGAGATAAAATAATAAATTTATCCAAATTTTATTTTCACATAAAAATAAATATTTAATTTATTTAAAAGTTTTTTAAATAATAAATATTTAAATTGAACATAAATTTCTAAATAAATTTCTTAAATTTTAAGTGAAATTTATATCAAATAAAGGTAAATTTGAATCTAAAATTAAAAAATTTTTTTAAAGATTCTAATTTTTTAATAAAAAATTAAACTATATAAATTTAATAATATAAAAAAATATTGGATTTAATTTAAATTTAAATAAATAGGCTAGGTATATCTACATCTTCATTAGAAAATGCTAAAAGTAGTGTAAGACTTAAAGTGATTACATTGGAAATGATTTATGCAATTTTCGATTTAAGAGATTCAACTTTTTTTAGAAAAGAGCAAGCAATAAAAGTTATTAAGGAAAAGCTATTTGATGGAATATTAAAATGTTGTTTAAACAATGAAAAGAGCATCTTTTCTCTTTCATTTGGTATTTTCCTGTAGCTTCTTATTTACCATAAGGAAGAATTTAAAAATGAAATATCTATATTCATTAATGAAATTTTCTTACAGCTACTTGAAAGCCCTAACTCTAGTTCAAACCACCGCCATTTAGCTTTATAGGTTCTTAACAAAGCCTTTTAAAAGACAAGGGTTGTTTTAGATTTTTATGTCAACTATGATTGTTCGTTTAACTAAGTTTAACTTGTTGATAGAATTGTCTCTATTTTAAGTAATTAATTTACTAAACTTACTCTATTTTTATATATAATTTTGTTTTAATTTACTTTAAATTTAAAAGGTAAAATCGCAACTGGATTGTATTCAAGACCAGAATTTTAAATGATGATTTAGCCAAATTAGGAATTGTTACTTAGACAGTATGCTGTCGAAACATTAGCCCTTATGATGAGATCAATATATGAATATTTTGATAACTACACTTAATAATAAGATAGCTAAAACTAGAATTAAATTAATGGATAAAGTAAAAATGATGTGCTTAATGGAGGTAAAAATTTAGATGAGACAACAATTATGCAAATAGAGGAAAACAGAGAAATTATAAAAATAGATTTAAATGACCATTAAAATTAGTAAATTAAATAAATTTCAACATTTTTTCTAATCTAAATCATTTATTTTATTTAAAAAAAGGATCGAAAAAGAACATATAATTAAAATAGAAACTCAAAGAGCTATTCAAAAGTTTAATAAAAAGCCAAGTCTAGGTATAAAGCATTTGATTTAAACAGGTATTATTCAGCCAGATGATGCAGTAGGAATAGCTAAATTTTTAATCGAAAACCCTTCAATTAGTAAAGATCAAATTGGTGAATACATAGGTGGACACCATGAGTTGAATATAAATGTTCTGAGTGAGTTTACTGACCTAATTAACTTTTAAGATCGTAGGATTGATGTTGCTATGAGACAATATTTAGAAACTTTTACTTTACCTGGAGAAGTAAGGCTTAAATACACATTTTCATACATATATAAATAAATAAATACATTTTTTGTTAAAAGGCATAAATTGTTGATAGAATTCTTCAGAAATTCGGTGATAAATTTTAGAGAGATAATCCTTAAACTTTTTAGAGTGCAGGAGGTGCTTATACTCTTTCTTTCTTGCTTATCATGCTTCAGACAGATATGTACAATCCTTAGGTAAAAGATAAGATGAAGTTGGAAGATTTTATAAAAATAGCTAAGAATATAGAAGGTGAACATTTCGAAACTGACTATTTAACAGAGCTATACAGAAGTATATAAAAAGAGCCTTTAGCTCTTCACGAAAAAGCAAAGACTGTAAAGAATTTATAAGATTCTATCTCCACTACTATGAGAAAAAAACAAGACTTGTTCCTTTAAGAGACTTAAAAAATGATCGAGAAAGGAAAAAATTTGATTTCTGAGAAAAATAAACTTTCGAGCAAATTTATTAAAGCTAATTCTATGTATTACATAGGCCCTCTAGTTGAAACAATAGGACCTAAGATTTTAAGTGCTTTTAAGCATGCATTAGAAAACTGTGATGATGATAAGACAGTCAGATTTTCATTGGAAGGCTTCAATAGCACTATTTTGCTGAGCTGCCATTTTAATTTAGAATAAGAAAGAAACTCATTTGTAGAAGCTCTTTGCTAACAGTCAAACCTCGAAAACTTCCCAAATAGTTTTAAGAAAAAAAATTACTCAGTTATTAAGCAAGTATTGCATTTATCTTAAAAAATTGGAAACAGTCTGCATCAATCATGGTTGCCGATTTTAACTTTAATCAGCAAGTAAAAAAATAAATTGGTCTTTGATTTATATGTTATCATTTTTATTTAATTTTAAAAGGTTGAATGAAAATAGGCTTATATAAAACGGAGCAGATAAAAGACCCAGTGGTAGTGGTAGGAGACCAAGGTAAATTAAATTGATTCAACAATAATTTTTTATTTTTAGATATTTTGATAATTTTTATGAATCTCTTTTCTAAAATTATATAGCAGCTTAGTCCTTACTGATTCAGAGTGGAGTCTTTAGCAAAGCTATGTAGAGAGCGATTACATAGATAGAATATATGCTAAAAGCACACAACTTGATGGAGAGAGTATTTAAGACTTTATTACTGCTCTTTGTCAAGTTTCTAAAGATGAGCTAACTAGTAAAAGTTAAACTCCTCGTATTTTTTCTTTGTAGAAAATAGTAGAAATTGCTGAATTAAACATGGATAGAGTTGTTATTGTCTGGAATAGAATATGGGCAATTATTAGAGACCATTTTGCAGAGGCTGGATGTCACTAGAACCCTTAGATTGCTATTTTAGCAGTTGATAGTCTGAAACAGCTCTCATAAAAATTTTTTATTAAGGAAGAGAGATTCAATCAATAATTCTAAAGAGATTTCTTAAAACCTTTCGAAATTATTTTTTAAAATGTCCCAATCTAAAACTTATTCATTAAAGATTTTATCCTAGACTGCTTTAAAAATTTTCTTGGAAATAAGACTATATATAAAAAAATCAAATCTGGCTGGAGAATTATATTTAATATTCTCGGATTTGCTTTGCTAGAAGAATCTGACGAGCTCTCTCGCAATGCTTATAACGTATTATTTTATTTGTGTTTTCATTTTAATTCTAATTTAAAAAAACAAAAGCAATTAATCTAAATTATCTAGATTATAAAAGGAATTATGGAGGAAAATCTGGACACGATACATGATGTCTTTGTTGATTTGGTGCAATGCCTCAATAAGTTGAGTAAAAAGAGATAAGAGGATTTAGCATTAGCCTCTATTGAGCTAGTTTAGAAATGCTTGTACTACTTAGCTGATAAATCTCATGTAGTTCCTAAGTCAAAATTATCATTTTCTTCCCTTCAATCTTAATCATCCGATCCTAATATTAATTCATAAACAGGTGAGCATTCTAATACTCACCAAACTAATAAAAAATCAAACGAAAGTAATTAATTAATAGTTTAAAATATTCTTTTAATTTTTTCAATTAATTTTTTTTTAGGCTACTGGGTTCCTCTACTTGGTGTTTTATCAAACTTATGCGGAGACCATAGACCAGAAATTTAAGAAAAAAGTATGGAGTCATTATTCAACATCCTTACAGAATACGGTTACACTTTTTCAATAGAATTTTGGAAGATGATATTCTAAGGAGTATTGAGACCCTTATTCGATGAAATTTAATTTACCTTCCAAACAAAATCACAAAAGTAATTGAATAACACTCAAAATAATAGAAAGTTTAACTGGCTCAAATAATCTTGTAATAAGGCATTCCATCATATCACAAACTTGCTCTTTGATTATTATGATGAATTGCAATCACTTGTGATTGAGTTTATCAAGACTTATGAAAATTGCATAAACAATACAAATGAATAGCTGATAAAGTAATCTGTAACAGCTGCCAAAAATACAATCATTTAACTAGGTCCTAAATTTAAATCAGAAGATTGGGATATGATAATTGGATTTTTTGAAAGAATGATCAGATTAACTACTCCTTAAAAGGTATTGAATTATTTACAAACAAGATACCATTTTAATTATTTTTCTTTAAAAATAATAAGCTTTTGAGCATTAATTCAGACGAAAATGGATAAAAGATAGCTTAAGATGTCAAAGGAAAGAGGAAAGAATCTCTCATGTATTTTTATGTAAAACAAATTATTTTCTTTTTTGGTTGTAAATTAATTTTATTTATTTATTTATTTTTTATAAAGAATTAAAAAATTAACTTTGATGATGCAAACGCTTAATCAAAAGCATAGCTTTTACTGATTAAGGTTATCTAAGATGTTATAAATTCCTTTTAAGATAAACTATCTTCAAATTAACTTGATAATCTCTGCAACATCCTAGACAAATCCTATCTTTTTGCTATTGAATTTAACTCTCAAATATTTTTGAGATACTGCTTATGGAAGACAGGTAATATATTTGATTAATTTAAAAAAGAATGAGTAAATAAATTGTTTATTAATTAATTAAAAGGATTTAATCCTGAGTTAAAGCAATTACCAGGAATACTAAGATAGGAGAGATAAGCTTAGGCAATGAGTTTGTACATCAAATATACACATTATAGAAAATAAATGAAGTCAGGATCTTGCTTTAATTATAATGACCTAATAGAGTAAGAATATAAAAAAAATTACAATACTAAAAATATTTTATCATATCAAATAGTAAATTAGTGGAATACATGACACTCTTCTTAAAAAAGCACAAAGATTTACTTAAGATTATTGAAAGTGAAAGAGAAAAAAGAAATACAGATGAAAGGAGCTATTATGATAGCTATGAAAGATTGGATGTTCCAGATTTAAACGAAGAAACTATCGATCTTGTTGTGCACAAAATAAAACTCACCGAAGTAGAGAGAGATGTTAACAATCATCGCACTATGATATCAGAGACCGTTCTTCCTATTTTAGAAAAAATTGATTTGTCACATGTAAGTTACAACATATTTTACTTATTTATTTATGAGTATATAAAATTATTTATTATCAACCAACAGATGAAAGAAAGAGTAAAAGAAATATACTGTATTCTTATAGATATGACTTAATATAGCTAAAATAGAAGCTTTAGTTAGATGGTTTGCTAGCTTTGCAAAAATTGTAGTAGATGCTAGAATTTAGATGAAGATCTAGATATCTTTATAAGAAAAATATTAAAAAAGCTATTTAAGTTTATTTGCGACAATCCTTTACCTGCTTAAGCTCCAGTAGCTTAGGTTGTTTTAGAATAAAGTGCTTTGCTAAAATCAGTAAATTAAAATCCTATAATTATTGCTAATTAGGAGAATGATAATGATAAACAGTTGAATAACCAATAAATTACTAATTAGAAATCAATTAATTCAGACTATGTAAAAATAACAAATAGCTCCTCTTCGATACCTGAAGTAACAAATGAAATAAATGCTGAAATTGATGAAGTATAAAATGAAAATGACAAATAAAAAGTAAATATAATAAGGAGTGAGTAACATTATCAAGACGATTCAGATAACTAGCTAAAAATTGAAAAAAATTTAATTAAATAAGTTGCAGGAGATTATGATGAAGATGATTTAAATGGATCAGGAAATAAAAATTTAAATTAAAATAATTAAATAAATATTAACAGCAATGATAATAGTAAGTCCAACAGTGAAAACAATATAGATCAAAACTAGTAAAGCAAATGAAAAGATTATATTGATAGATTAAATAAATAAATAATTAATTGATGCAAATTTAAGAGTATTTAATCAAAAAACCTTCTTTATTTATAAATATGAATTCAATCTAATCTATCTAATAGCAACTAGAAATTTTCTTTTTTAATAAGGTATGTCTATCTGCATGTGTTTATGCAAACACACACACACACACAAAAACAAACAAACAAACAATTAATGGGCTTTAGTGTATATTTTACTTTAAAAAAATTAATAAATATCCTTATAATATTTAACCAAAAAAATATTCTACAATATTTTAATATTTCAAACCACCAAATTAGTATTGTTTCATGTAATTCTTTTAAATTTGTATTTATAAATAAAATATTCCCTATAAATTTTCTCATTAAATTGAAATTGATCATTAATTAAAAATAATTTTTTTATTTTAATTTAACAAAAATTTATTCTTAAATTAAACAAATTTTTGTTTGGCATTTTTTTTTTAAATAAAATAAATCTCAAGAATTTGAAATACAATTGAACAAAAATTTTTCTACTTAAGGATAAAATTAACATTTTTTTAAAATTAAATAAAACTATTTAAGACAAGATAAATCTATTAAGTAAATATTTGAAGCAATTTATTTAATTTACACTATAATTGTATTTAATCAAAGATATATAATGGGGATTTATTTTTAAAAGCATGAAGAAGTTTACTTATTTATAATCTTTTTATCTAATTACTTCATTTTTTTCTTCTAAAAGGTAAAATGATTTTTATAAATTTAATGATTTTGCCCAGAAAAAATACAATAAAAAACAGAATATTGTTTTATTTTTTTTAATTTGAAAAAGTTTATTTTCAAATAATTTATCAATTTATTGATATTTATGAAATAAATAAAACTATTTTTTGAATTAATTAATTAAAATAGCATAGAAAATAACTCTATTTATTACCAAATGTTGTTTTGTTTTATCTAATTCTTTGACTTTTAATCCAAAAAAATTTTAAAAATAAATTTTTTATCGATTTATTAATAATTTAGTATAAAATCGACATTTTAATTAAATATATATTTTTTTACAATTCACAAAAAAAAAAAAAGAGTATTTAGATTGTCACGGTTTGTTAAAAGCGGTTATATACCTTTATTCTAGATATTCTTTACACTTTTTTAGGATGATAATTATCTAACTTAAGCAAGGTCTATCCACTGATTTATTAGATTTAAAAATTTATTAAAATTAACTTGATTGAAAAAAAATATGATAATTTATTTACATTTATAGCTTTTATTATCATCCTTATCTTTTTCTAATTTGCTGGCATTTAAACAGAGAAGTGCGAGTTTAAGTATAATTTTAGTTATTTTTTCAGGTCCTTTGTGTTTACAAACATATTCTTCTGGCAAAAAGGATTCCCATTTTTGTTCCTTGAACTTCTATTCAATAAAAGAGTATTTTGACTTTTTGAATTTGAAGGGAAATTCGTCAAAAAAGAGTTCACACATCATGACACCAAGTGAAAAGATATCACTTTAGTAATTGATTTGCAGCTTAGAACTTAGCGCCTCAGGAGGACAATAAGGCATAGTTTTAGCTGGTTTAAATTTTATATCAGGATTTACCTCTTTTGGAGTTTTCATTTTCCATGGTATTTTTTCCAGATGAGCAATGTTTGCTTCTTTAATTCTTTCATCCCAATCACATAAATATTTATTCTCACATATTTCGTAATGATAACACTCACCAAAATCAGTAATTTTAATTTAATGTTTATTTGAAACCTAATTTATTAAATTAATATTGTAATATTCTCAAAAATAAAAAACTAATTTCGTCAATTTTTTATAAAAACTTTTGCATATTTTAATCTTTATGATTTTTTATATTTAAATGTAAATAAATTATCTTTGGATTTTATTTTAAAATTTATGTATTTATTTTATCATGTTCTATTTTTGATTAATCTCTTTTTTAATTTCCTCATATGTTTTTTGTGAGTAATATATTTAAGAAAAAAAATAATTTAAAAGGTACCAAAATATTAGCTGGTTTGATATCTAAATGATAGAAACCTCTATCATTTAAAAATTTAAGACCCGAGCTGAATTAGTACATTAACTCAATTTTAGAAATAAGGGATGAAGTGTTAGAAAAGTTTCTTTTAAATGTATCAAGATCTTTATTTTTGTAGAATTCTATGATGAGATAACTAGAATATTCAGCTTATTTCGAATAAAAATATTTAGCAATATAAGGGCATTCGTAATCTTCAAGAAGTTTACTATAAAATATTAAAAAGTAATTAGTTAGTTAGTTAGTTAGTTAATTTTTTGAATAAAAATAATAAATCAATTTACAGGATATCTATTTCATGCTAAACTCTATTACGATCGCTTGAATTAAAATCTATATTTTTTTTCAATACATATTACTTAGTATGTTCTTTAACCCCTTCTTCTTCTCTGATACTTTAAGAGTTTGATATATTTGATGAATTTTATATATCTGTAATGCTGCTCTGTGAGTTAGAAGAATTTTAAATTGAAGATAGCTATTAACGTTAGCTTTAATTTGTTGCTTAAGAAACATAAATATTATTATTGTTTGAGGTCAAAATTGTTTAATTTCTTGTATTTTGATCAGTATTTGAAGGATTTTGTAAACTTGATGATTGTGTATGTAAACTTTATGAGTAATTTTAATTTTAGTGGCTCATTGTAATACTCTAAACATTTTAATCCATTCCACTAACTTTTAATTTAAAGTTTTTTTAAATTTTGAATGAATATTAGTAATAAATTTTTACACACAATATCAGCTTTAAAGATTGTACCAAAACCTCCTGAACCAATATTTTCTTTATTTTTAATTTTCCTATTTTATGGTGAAGAAAATGATTTGAATTAAATAATCAAGAAAGATTTAATAAATAAATAAATTTTATTTTTTAGTTTTTTCATGAATTTATTTATTTTCATTAAAATTTAAAACTAAAAAGAATAAGATCTATTTATTTTAATAATCAAGCATAAAGAAAAATAGCTGAAAAAGTTACTTGATATTAATTTCCTAGAGAATCTTGGTTTTTAAACCTTATTCAACTGTTTGTGCAGGGTTTTAAAATGCTGATGTATCACTGATTTCTTCAACATAAATTTTGTTGGTGTTAACTGTTTCTTCTATTGTCTCGTGAATTTAGTCCAAGGCATCAAAGAGTTTTTAACTTTCTTAAGCTCCTTATCTTTCTAATATATCAAAATATTCGCGTTCTAATTCATCACATAAGTAAAGTATTTTAGCAATATTTATATTCAGCTAAGGTAAATGAGCTTCTATGTTCCTTTGAAGCAATGTGATTATCCTTTTCTAAGATAAATCCTCATTTAAATTTTCTTTTATCAGTGTATCTACTGTTATTTCAGCAATTTATTTGTACTTTTTTGTTTTTAGAGAAATCTAATGTGTTTAATACTATTCCATCATTTCATCAAAAGTGAATTCATCAAAAAATATATGCTGCTTGAATCTTATCTATATTAATTTTATAGATAAATTAATAAATAATTAAGTATCTTCTTTTAATTAGTTTATTGATTTGAATTCGCTAAAAACGTGAAAAATATAAAAAATGCGAATACACTTTTAAAAATAAATAGCGTATAATTTAATAATAGGTATTTATTACTCCACCTCTATTGTTAATGCAGTAGACACCAACATCTGTATTTTAATTTAATTTATTTATTCCTCTCATAATTAGCAATCTCTAAGCCTTAGATTCTATAAAATACTACTATCCATTTTCTCTGCTAATAACGTAAGACAATCTGATTGCTTTGCCATTTAAATCAATAATTATCTCAATCAAATACTTTATTGTATCATTAAACCTATTTTTTAATTCAAAACAATTATTGAATGTTTACTTTTAACTTTTTTTCATTTTACTAACCAACCATTGATACTACTTTTAATTGATTATTTTTCAATTTACAAGAAATGGGGCTATATGTTGAGAAATTTATTCTAAGAAGCTTTTGTATATCATCAAATAATGCTTCTTATTAAAGTGATTTAAAGTTGCGTTCTTTTTAATTTGTTTTAAAAGAAGTTAATGGTGTTTCTAAAAAAAAAGGAACGTCTTTTATACTCATAAATATTATTTTTATTTCAATAGTTTTTCAAACAATTTCTACGTGTATTTATACTAATACTAAATAACAAAAAAGGTAAAAAATAAAAGGGTTTTATTTTATTACTTTTTTTTTATATTTATCCTACCCTATCCCTTCAAACAAATAACTCATAATAATGAAATTTTAATAAGTAATTCAAATAAAACAAATATTTAAATAAATAAATAATTAATTTATTTAATTCTGTTAAATAATTAATATATATCAAATATAAACTTTAGAAATATGCAAAACACCACCATAATTACTAAATGCTAAGAAAGATTCTAGAGTGTAACTATTTATTTGTGCATTATTATTACTCTTTTCAGATGTTTTAATTTGAAGTGAGATGATATTACTTTGAGATAAATTTATTGAAGTGACATATGATTAATTTTAGAAATTCTATTTATATTAAATAAAAATTAAGTAAATAAAATACTTTTCAATAAATGTTTACTTAAAATTCTTTCTAAATTTTTTGTTTAGAGTTCTTTTATTTTTTATTTGTTTCTTCTACATCCATTTCTTCGTCTAATTCTTTCCCATTACCCTCTTCATCATTTTATTTGCTTAAGAAAAAGGAGTTTAAATCACTTAATTACAAAGCATAATGCCTTTTTGAATCATTTTAGCCTAAAAATGAACCACTGCATATTTCAAACCCTTCACATTCTGGTGATTTCTTTTTAACTTTTTTAACACTGATTCTTCTATTTTATTCTGTAAAATTTGAAAATATTTTCCCACTTTCGTTAGAGCTAAAAACATACGAAGAAAAAAAACCACTAGCAGACGTCTATTCATTAATTAATTAAATAATAAATAAAGATGTTAGAATATTTTAATAAAATATTTAATTTACTGTGACGACAAAGTCTTAATTAATTTTTTACAACTATCTTGCTTCTGCATAGTTATTAAGTTCTATGTTTTTAGAATTTGAGGTAGAAAAAAAAGATAGTATCAACTAAGAGAACTGCTATTTATCACGATTAACTAGTAAATATTTTCCTCCGATATCCCATTCAATACTTTTACAGCTTTTCTGTTTAAATTAAAATATGAGAAAAATCAGAAAAATTATCAAAATTATTAAGAAATTTTTGAATGAATAAATAAATAAAAGCTATCAAAAATATTTTATTTTTAAAATGAGATTTCTATTTTTTGAAAAATTTAATTCAATATAAATGGTGAATTAAATTTTTTAATATTTTATTATATTTTATGATTAGAGCTGATATTATTAATTAACAAAAGAGAAAAGTCATTAATTTAAAAAAAATTCTTTTAGAATATAAATTGAAATTGAAAAAATGGAATATTTTCAAATTTTTTTAAAGAGTTTTAAATTAAAATTCTAAGAAAATAAAGTATTTTCTATACCAATTTGAATTATTAATTATTTTAAGGGTGGGGTAAGTAAGGTTAATTATTTAGAATCTAATTTGAAAATAGAAAATTTAATATAAGTATCCTATTAAATATATCTTAGCTCCAAAAATAAAGCAGATTTTCTACTATTTTTACTAATTAAACCAAAAATAAAAAAAAATTTAAATTACTAAGCATGACTCGTAAATAAACACAGGGAATGGAGAATCGTATACGTCAAATATTTTTACTAATCCATCATACCCACATGAAGCAAAAATTATTTGTTCTTATTGATTGCTTTATGGGTAGAATTTAACATCTAAAACCTATCCTATGTGAGCATTATTATAATATTAAGCTATTTTAAATGAACTATTTTAAATTTCTATAAAATAAATATTTCCAACTTAATCTCCAGCTATGAGATAATTACAGTTTTCATTGTTTAGCCAATCAAAACATGATAAAATCACATCTTGACTTATAGTTATTTTCATTAAAGGAGACTGCTTTTAAGCTTGTCTAAAAAGGAGACTTTAATTATTTTACCCACTTATAGCTTTGTTGTTTTTTATTTGCGAGACACAACTATTTTCATTGTTTGAAAAGTCAAAAGAATAAAAATAAATAGATCCATTTGAAGTTAAAACAGAATAAGAGGTTTTTGAATTTTAACTAAATTTTGGCATCCATTTGATAGAAAGTGGAGTACCTTAAACAGCTATATTTCTTATTAGAACAGGTTCTTTGAAAGTATTTGAAAGCTTATCGTAAGGTATTTTATAAATTAATATACACCCATCACAGTCATATTTTTAACCTACTCTATGACATCCAAGAAGGTTGTATGCCTCCATTGTACGAAATATTTCAAGTTTTTCTTTATCTTAGCTAACTTCACTTATATTTATCCCTACCGCCAAATACTAATCCTTCCACTCACTTTCTATGTTTGTATAGCTCCATGAAACACAAGTAATAGGAAATCCAATGTTCATCAAAAAGAACCTCCAATCATCACCTTTTTGTGATAAAAATAAATATTAAAAATTTTTTCAAATAAAAAATGAAGTTCAAAACAAACGGTCTATTCATTTATTATTCAATATATGATTCATTATATAATGTATGATTGTTAAAAAGGTGATCTGTAAAAATTTATTTTTAATATTTAGAATAATCAATCACATCAGAATAGTAGGGGAGATTTTATTATTCTAACATCTATTTCTAAAATAATTATTAAATACCTTATTTTTATTGCTATTCTTCCTATTTAATTGAATTACTCTGTTTTAACTTTTCATTGTTGCCCTTTAAAAACTGTGTAATTTTGCTTTGAGCTCCTTGCTATTCTTTCTAGTCATCTTAATCCTTTTACTATTACTACTGGGGTTGATTAAAAATGCAAAAGTGACCAAATTATGGAATATCCACTGTTTCTTGCTTGTTGTTAAAATTCATGTCCACCTTTAAATCGTACTTATTATTCTTAGGTATCTCTAAAATATTGCTTTCTTCATTTTTCTTTTATCCTTAAATATTTTAGTCTAATTTTTCTTGTACTTTTGATTCTTCTTTTTTTATCTTTTTTGATGGCTTTGAACCCTTCAAGCTACTTTCTTCAAATGAGTCTTAGTTCCTTATTTTCTACTCCTCTTCCTAGTATGTAAATAAAGAACCTTTCGGCTCTTTAAACATTTATTTTAAGTTTTCTTGATCAATATTAAACTCATCCTATTTCATATTAACAAAAATGTCTTAACAAACAAGTAAAAAATAATTTTATAATATTACCAAAGATAATGCATTTTTTTTAATTTGCTAAATAGGTAACTGATCTTTCTTTTTAATCTTTACTTTTTTATTTCCTTGACTACTCTCTATAAAAGCTTTTAGAACTTCGAATGTGTTTGAAGACTTTTCTTTTTTATCCTTTTACTTTTTTTCAAGAGTTTGTACTGACATTTTATGCTCAAAGGAGCAATGAGGGCAAACTTTCTAATGGATATAAATTAATTGAGAGCAACTTTCATTTTTACATCTTTTAAATCCTCTTTTACCTTTCTGTGCCATTTAGGAAGTTTCTTAATTATTTGATTATTGTTATTACTACTCTGAGTCTTCTGAGTTATCTTATTCTTCCTTTTTTTATTAATTTAAAGGCTTACGTCCTCTTTTTTTCTTAATTACTTCTTCTTTTTATTCCTACTGTTCTTCTCCTTCATTATTTTCATCTTAATTTTTACCCTCTTTTTCATCCAAATCTTCTTTTTTTATCTTTGCAGGTCTTCCTCTCTTTCCTTAAACTTTATTCCCAGTAAGCTAGCTTTGAGATTTTTTTTAAATCTCTAATTTATTTCTACCTTATTTTTTATTAGCCTTTTCTCCATCACTTTCATCAAACTCCTCTTCATCAGAGTCAATCTCTTCTTTTTTAATTTAACTTTTTTTTGCTTTAGATTCTATTTATTTTTAGTGATTAAAGGATTCCTCTTTATCTTCTATATCATCATAATCTTCTTCTTCATCATCGTCATCTTCTGCTACATCGGCTTCAACTTTAAAATATTTTAGAAGTCAAAATATTTAAATATTTTATAGCCTTAATATTTTAAATAATAACCTTCAAAATCTTCATCTTCTTCGCTATATTCTTTAGAAGATTTTTTTTTTCTACCTCTTGTTGACTTTTGTGCTACTTTAGTTTCTACTTTTACTTTTTTATTTTTTTTAGCATCATTATCGCTTTCGTTATCAGCTGCTTATTCTGAGCTGCTATCTTCAATGATGACTTTTCTAGACTTAACTTTAGAGCTTCTTAAGCTAACCATTATGAAAAAAATATTGAACGATTTGAATTTATTTGAATCTTTTTGATAAAAACTCTATAAATCTGTAAGATATTTTAAACTACTTTATAAATAAATATATTTCAATAATTTTTAATATAAACTATGGATAGATTAAATAAATAGAATATAAGAAAAAAAAATAAATCAAGTATATAAAGTAAAGATATTTTTCAATCAAAAAATAATAATGTCAAATAAACAACTTTGCAAATAATCTATTTTTAACTTATTATTAGAATTATATGGCATCTTACTTATAATTTGCTTATCAAATTTTATTTTATTATTTTAAAAAGATTTTAAATAAAAATTTAAATTAAGAAAAATATAAAATAATTTATATTTACTAAATAATTATTTTTTATTTCAATAGTTTAGAAAACAAAAAAATGTGGATTTAAGTTTTAAAATAAATTTAAATCCTTTATTTTTATATGATAAAACTTAAATTTTTAATTAAAATTCACAAAAAAATGAAATATTTACTCAATTTTCAAAAATAATTTCTTTAAACTTAAATTCTTAAATAAATTTTACATTTCAATTAAATAATTGATATTTTTTTAATTAAATTTTTAGATCTTTATCTAATGTTTTATATTTTAATTATTTTTCTATTTTAACATTTTTTATTTTTATTTAATCATAAACTCCTATTAGTTTTTTAAAGCATTTTTAATTATTTTATGATAGATTGCTAAAAAAATGTTTTTGAAAATTTTTAAATGTTAAATTAAATTAATTAATTAAGACTTGAATTTTAAATAATTAGTAATGAATCTCCAATAGATTGAAATATTAAAAAAATATAATTTTTTAATGTGAATAGTAAAATAAAATTGGCCATCATTTAACTTCAAATGTCTTTATACAATCTAAATACTTTGATTTATGTATTTTTGAAAATTTAATAAATCCTATTTATTTAGATATAATCAAATCACTCTTTTTTCGAAAAAAATTTAGTAATATGTAAAATAATGAAAAGAAATTTATAAATAAATACAGGAAGGTACAGTCATTATTCACTTAATTTGCCTAAGTTTATTTATTTAAAAATACTTTTAAAAATTATATAAAAAAATTTAACAATTTTTATTAAATAAATTATAATATTTATTTTAAATAGATTTGTTTGAGATAATTGTATCTTTAGCTTTTGTGTAACAGAGCCCAATTTTGAAAAACTAATTACTCAAAGCAAATTTATAAATGTTTGTAAATAAAGTATTTTTGAAATATTTATTTACAATCCAAACAAAATAAAACAAAGATGGATCACTTTTATTATGAAATAGAAATGAATAAAATTAAAAAAATTAAATATCTTCTAAAATGCGTAATTAACTTCATAAAGAAAAAATCCACATAAAAAGCAAGCAAACAGAGTAAGATATTTATTAAAATTAAAAAAGATTTTAAAGTAGGTATATTTGTTAAAATTAAACTAAAGAAAAAGAAAGAAAGAAAAAATAATGCTCAGATAAACTATTAATATTATTGAACAATAAAAGGCAATGAGAATGATGATCTTGCCTAGATTGGTTGTGAGCAACAATAACATTACTTAGTAAAAACAAAAGGCAACTAATCCTTTATAAAATAGCTAATCTTAATCTGCTGCAGCCATTCCTAAATTTGATTGGAATCCTGTTAAATATAATTTCAATTTTGAATTACTTCAAAATGAATATGCAAACTACTGCAAACAATACAATATAGTTAATAAATTTGATAAATAAAGTAAATAAGAAAGTAGCAAGCCTGTTGAAGCTCAAGCTGATTAATTATACCTTTAAACAGTTGTATTCAATCCTACTCTCAGTTTTAGCTCTTTCCCAACAATAGCTGAATCTGAGGATATTATTTTTGAAATGTAAAATAAGCGCTCCAAACAAGCTAAGAAGAAAAGAAGTAAAAGAAAAAATGGTGGACACTAATCTATCAGATGTTGATTCATTTATTTATCTATTTAATTGATGGTATCTATTCTAAGGAAATAATTAAAAATGTTGTATGAAATTCGCTTACATTCATTCAACAATCAAACAAAACACAACAGCAAACAAAAAAATTTGCAATACCAAATAATGCACTCATATAAATATATTAATGATTTAATTTGAAAGAGAAGATTGATATGAAAAAGCAATAAAACTATCATTGTATCATTGTTTTTATATTCTTCTTCTTTGTATATAAATAGTTAATATGTTATAATCATGTAAGTTAGTTCGTTCAAGCACCTAAAATCATTTAAAATAAAATGTATTTTCTCACTTTATTTTTGAAAGATATGAATTAATCATATGAAAAAATTCATTAATTATTTGCCACAGACAGATATTGCAAAATCTAATTTTAATTATTAAATGCAAAATTATCATTTCAATCAAATTTGATATTATAAATTAAGGAGCAAATAAATTATTAACTGTTTAAATTATTTCTATTAATAAGCCTAAAAAAAGTTATATATTTAAACATATTTAAATTTTATTTTATTTTTTTCTATTTGATTAATTAGTTAATTTTTATTTCTGTATTTCAATTTTGAAAACTTATTTATTTTTTTTTCAGTTATCACTATCTATTCTAGCCTGAATGTTATCCATACCTACGAGAATCTTTGCATTTTTCTTTTTAATAAGTGATGTATAATAAATGTAGTCATTGAGTTCATCATCATCTAAGTCTAAATTATTTTACTAAAATAAAAATTATATATTTTTTCACAACTTTATTTTTAATCAATTTAAATCTTAAAAAAGTCTTTATGCCAAATATTTTAATTGTTTTTACTAAATAATTTTTATAATTTAATTATTTTGAAATATTTCACTATAAAAATATTGAAAAATAAAATTCATTTATTCAAAAATAAAATTCTAATACATTTGCTGCATCTGAGAAGGAGTCAATTTCTGCTTCTAATACATACTAGTTAGCCTTTGCCTTTGTTAATATCATGAAATATTAATAAAAACTAAAACAATTTATGGTGAAATACTTCAGAGTTTTTAAGGATTTAATATGATTCTGATTGGGCTTCAGCATTTAATGTTTTGATTTCTTTTTCTGTTTCGGATCTTAAAACTTCTATTTCTTTCAATATCCTTGTAGCTTCTTGTTCAAATTATTTAGTTCTTTTATTTTACATTTCAATCTATTTTGATTAAGTATTATATTTAAATATTCTATTTTTGATAGAACAAAAAAGATATATTTTAATTATTTCAAAATTAAAATCTTATTTGTAATAAATTAAATCTCCTTACCTGTGTATTTACAATTGACATTTCATATGAGTCAGGTAAATCGATTCTAAGTAGTTAAAAAAATACACATTTTGCATGAGCTTTTTTCAATTCTATTGTTAATTCATTTTTCATAGCCTATGTTACATTATTTCTTTTTGTCCAATATTCATTAGCTTCGAAAGTACTGGCTATTTGCACTATTGTATCTCTTGCTATACGGATAAATGTTCTTTCATATTCTAAATTATTCATACTATAAAGTTGAGGAATCTCTTCCCTATTTTTTTAAAATTTAAGTTTAAGCAATTCTATTTCTACTTCTAATCAATCAGTTTTTTATAATCAAAATAAGATAATTTAAAAATAATTTTTATTTACTTAATCAATTAAAATTCGAAGGATAAAAATAGTTCTAAACTTAAACCTTCTGCTGTTCTTGTTTTTAGGGGAGGATTTGCATTGGCTGAATCAGAGAATTCAATTGTAAGTAAATTTGATGGAAAATAAATAAAATAATATGTAGGCCAAACCCAATGTCTCCCTGCACCATAAACAGACTTTTGAGAGCAAGCTTTACTTATTGAATTACAAAGTAGCCCATAGTGAACAACTTCAACTGTATCCCAAGATATAAATAATATAATTACAAATAAAACAACTGCAAATATTGAGCAGCATTGTGTGATTTATTTCCTTTACTGATCTGGGATATGCATTTATATCTTAAACTTCTTCTATTTATAAATATTTTAATATCTATTTATCTATGTATTGAGTTTGATTTACTTTAACAAAAATTGTTTGATAAATTCTTAATTAATAAATGTTCCTCAATTAATACCATCACAAAGATTTTATTTTTTTCTATAGTGAACAAAATATATTCTTATCAACAATATTTTAAAATATATTTAAAAATATAATATATTAATTTAATTAGCTTTAATCTAATAAAATTCAAATTCCCTGAATTAGATTTTCTAAAAATGTTTATATATTTTAATGTTTCAGAAATTAAAATTTATAAGATGTATTCAATTTTAAAATTTTTAGCAGACTTTAACCAAAGAATTTGCTAGATAAAAAATATTTAATAAACTATGTATTTATTTTAAAAATTACATTATAACATAAGTTATTTATATTTATATGTAAAATATTTAATTCTATTGAAAACACTATCTTTAGTAACAAATTTCCTGAAAATCAAAGGATTGTCCTTTTAAATGCTGTTAGCTGAGTTAATGTTATCTTAAATTCAGTTTAATTTTTTTTACTTCTTAATTCAAATATCGATTTTAGTTTTAAATATTACTAATCTTTTTGTTTTGAAAATATGATTAAAAAATGTATAGTAGTATAAAGGCGATAAAGGAAAAGATTAATTAGTAAATCTGCAGAATAAATTAAAATATTTGAGGTTTTAAAACTTTTGCACAATTGCTCCAAAATTAATTATATTCTCTTGTGTTAATCCATTACGATCGAAATTGAGAGTCAAAGAATTTATTTTTAGACACCTCAGTAAGCTCATTCCAAAATTTATTATTCCTTCATGTCCAATCAAATTGGATTGAAGATTGATATTCAAATAAGAGATGCTTTGGCACTTTTCTAAGCTTAATCCAAATTTATTTATTCCTTCATCTCTAAGATCATTATTCTAAAGATTGATAGTCAATGAAGTAATGTTTTGAAGAGCTTCTAAGCTCATTCCAATACTTTTTGCTCCTTCTGGTCCAAGTTTATTATCAGCAAGATTAAGATACAAACAAGCGACGTTTTAACAATTTTCAAGGTTAATATCTATATTTCTTGCCCTTTCTGGTCCAAGTTTAGTATCATAAAGACCAAGACATAAAGAAGTAATGTGTTTACACTTTTATAAGATAAACTCAATTAAATTTACATTTTCTAGTGATATATTTTGAATAATCAAATTTGTAAAGTCTTGACACTTTTCTATAATCATCCCAATATCCTTTACAGCTTATTCTTTGAATTATTTATATGCTAATAAACTCTTAAAATCCATTTCTATTATTTCATAATTTCTTACTATTTTAATATCTTTATCTTCAGACATTTTATACTTTGTAATTTATTTTGACAGTTTAAGCTTTTTTAAAGAGCTCTCATTAACAAAAAATGTATTTAGATTTTATATTAGAATATTTAGCATAAGTCTTATATCTTTATTTGATTCAAGCATTTTAGAAAGTATTTTGTTTATAAATTCAATGTTTGAAGATTACTACAGAAAAGGCAATACATTCAATAATGTTTAATTTTTCAAATTCTACAACTCAATATTATTAAGGCTTCTTTAGATATATACTTCAGTTAATATTATTCCTATTGAAAATAAATTATCACTTGTTGGTTCTGGTTCATATTAAGATAGCACTTCTGTAGATTAATTTATAGAATTAATTTTAAGGAAATCAGATATTTTTTTAAAGAAAGTGTTTTTTGTTGTTTTAAGTTATTGATAATTAGCTATAAAAAATTAATTTTTAGATTTGCTAAAAAAGATGCTGTCATGTTTTATATCGTGGTAAATTATACCCTTTTCCTAATGTAAATTTAAACAATTTAACAACTAATAAGTCAACGCTATGATTTATTCAAAGTTAAATCTATTGAGCTCAATTATTTAAGTTAAATTACAATCAACAAACTCTGTAATAATTGTTGTCAATCCTTATTATGTATGCTCTATTTTTTCAATTATAGACAAGATATTATTTTCATTTTAAAGATATTAGAGAGCCTTAATTATTTTTTCGAATTCATTTTAATCAACATCTTTTTAATCATAGATGCTTTAAAAACTATGACATGCAAATAATTCTTAAAAATCTTTAGAGCATACAATAGCAACTTGATATAAATCTTGTTTGTATATTATTTGTTATTAAATATAATTAGAATTATATACAGGATTATCAAAATTAAACCTTACTTATTTTTAGCCCATTTTTAAAATTGAAATAAAGGACTTAAATGATAAAATTGAGATTTTTAATTTATTAAATTATTAAAATTCTATGAAATTTTTTGATATTTTATTGTTTTTAAATTATTTTATTTTTACTTTATTTATTTTTTTTTAATTTTTCAATTAAAATATACGAATAAAAAATGTCTATTTATTTAAAAGAAACACATATATTGTCATGAATATAAAACATTTAAATTAATTCTTATATTTCAATCATTTTAGCTTATGTTATTAATAAAATTTACAAATAAATATCTAAAAATTTTAAATAAGTAATTATTAAAATTATTTTTAAAGTTTTAAAGATCTATCTACTTTAAATGGTTTGATAAAAGTCACTTTATAATAGAAATCTTAATTTTTTTTTTTGATTTTGCTAATTATTTTAAAATAAACTTTATTAAATCTTTATTTTAAATTTAGAGATATTAATTTTTATCTTTTTATAACTTTAAGATATATTTTATCTCTTTAACTTATTTTATTATATATATAATAGTTTTAAACAAAGTATTTATATAAGATAAATTGTATTAATTGAGGCTCGATAACACCATTTAGCATTTTAAGATTTCATTAAATTCATATTTTTGGTTTAATAATTTTTCACAAGATTCTCAGAATTCTTATTTTGAAAATTTTAAATCATCAAAATCCATTTGTATTTTTTACTTAAAATGTTAAAATAAATAATTTTAATCAATTTTATTTTGATAACCAACAAAAGAATAAGTAAAATTAAATATATTTTATTTATTATTAAGATAATTAATATTTTAGGAAATTAAATTTTTTTGTAATTTTTCAAATTTTTCAAAATAATTTAACCTTTTTACTTCATTCATCAAAATCAATTTTAAAATATATTTTATTAAATATTTTCTAAAATTAAATATAAGTTTGCTTGTCTTATAAATAGAAAAATAAGTTGATACAATTTTTTAATTTATATCAATTAATTTTTTTTTTGAATGGAGAAAATACCTTTCTAAAAAAACTAAGAGACCATTTAAAATGATTGAATGTATTTAGTTTAATTAAATTTAATAATTTTTAGAAAGGTATTTTCCTTCTATAAATAAAAAAATGAATAAAATCTTATTTTAAAAATTGTATCAATTTATTTTTTAAATTTTCTCAGTCAAAAAAAATGTTATTTCACATTTGAAAATACAGCAATTTTTTTATTAAATATTTTTTAAGCAAAAGCATGAATATGAATTCAATCTACTCTAATTTTCATTGAGATAATTTATCTAGTATTAATAAATATAGATGAGTTATTTAAAATAAACTTAGTATTTTTATAACTTGGATATTAAACTGAATATTTAAGCAATTTTCAGATATTTATGATTTGTGTATATCTATCTATTTTAATACTTAGATAAAATTTAGATTTTAACAAGAAACCTTTTCTAATTTAAAAATAAAAAAATCACATAATTTTATAGAAAATAAGTTATAACGGTGTTATTTCAAATATTACTAAATTATAGTAGAATATCAAAATCTAAATGCTTTTATTTGATAATAAATTTTCTACTTAGAGTAAATTAATTATTATAAAAACACAGAGTATTTCTAAAAATACAAAATTATGGTCTGGTTTGATTTTTTGATATTTAAATTAGTAAATTTTAGATTTTAACATATAAGTTTAAGGAACCTAATAAATATATATTGTTTTAATGAATCACGTAAGCTTATTTCAAAAAAAAACCTTCTGGTAATCACTTAAAAGCATAACATTAATTTAATATGTCAGCTAAATGATTACGTAATACTTTTTTTAATTCAAATAATTTTCAAATTACTTACAAACACTTATATCAAATCGAGTGTAAATTTTATTAATGTAAATAGAATTCTGTATATATATGGGTTTATTTTGTTTGTTTACATGTAAAATGTGTATTTCATGTAAATTTAAAAAAAATTTTAATATTTGAAAAAAAATATATTAGCAATCTATTTAAATAAATAAACTCAAGTTTTATCAATTTGTGTGCAATAAAACCTGCTTAACTTAGTAAATCAGATATTGAATATTATGAAGTAGATTTAATTATTCATCCAGTGGAAAATTAAACTGCTATCAATTTTTAGTTATCATCAACAGCTGTTATATCTAATTATTTAAGGAAGAAGTCTCGACAATAAATATGACATACACTTGGTAATATTAAATTTTAAGTGCTTGTAAATGGACAGAATAAATTGAAAAATAATTAGAAAAAATTTTTTGTTTGTTAAAGAAATAAATAAATAAATAAATGCATGTTTAAATAAAATTAAGAAAGCGAAAATAATTAGACTGAGTTATCTAATTACAAAGCATTAATTCATTAATAATTAGTTTTTTTTAACAAATTAAGAATATTATTTTTGACGTGTGTGAGGAGCGATAAAGAGAAATAGAAAGATGGAATGATTGAAAGCGATAGGTTTGATAAATTTCATAATTAATAAATTAATCAAATAAATAATAAAGAAAAAAGAGGATCTATCTATCTATTATAATTTCTGCATTAATTAATTTCTTCCTTTCTTCCTTAGTTGCTTAGTGAAAATAATAATAAATTTCTGAGAAGAAAAAATTGAATTTAACTTTTTAAAATAAACACAAATAATAATTATTAAGTAAATAAATCATTCTATTACAGAAAAAGAATATCTTGCTTAGTTTTTCGTTTAGAATAAATATCTGATTAATAAACTAAATAAAAAAGATAAATTAATTATTCATTCATTCAATTAATTTAATAATTAGTAACAAAGAAATTGATTGATTGATTGAATTTATAAACAGAAACAATTGATTAATATCAAGCCAAATAAAAAATTAATAATAATAAAAAACAAAAAATCAAAAAAAAGAATATTATTAATTTGAAAATAGTATTAAGCTGAACATTCTCAAAATACTTCTTCCATTATTTTCATTTTCTCAATATTCATCTACTATTTACTTGGTTACTTATTATACTAGCATTCTTATTCAACAGAATCATATTTTATCAATAAATCAGAATAGTACATTGTTCATAGTTATTTTCAAATTGAAACAATAAATATATCTCAAATATCATCCATATCACTCATTAAACTCTGTCAACTGACTCTTATTCATACTAATCAAGAACTTTTTCATTATAAAATGCAAATAATCAAGAATTACTAGTCTAAAAATACTTAGAGAAGAAGCTTCATCGTAAAGAAGAGATTCGCAGCACTTCTTTTCGGGTTAATGATCTCATACCTCTATTTACCTCGAGATTTCTTTGGTACTCTCCATTAAGAGACCCATATGGAGTTCGAGGACTATGTTCGCTATTACAAATATCCCATCCAACGTCATGAAGTCGCTACTCCAGATGGATACATATTAACTGTTTTCAGAATTCAAGCTAAGTATTAAAAAGAGTTTAAATAAGGTCTACCTGTAGTTTACCTTCAGCACGGTCTATTGGATTCCAGTGATTCATTCATAGTCAACTAAGAAAGTAAAGCTCCTGCTTTCATGCTGGCTAATCGCGGGTATGATGTTTGGCTCGGAAATTTCAGAGGAAACAAACATTCTCGCAGCCATGTCATTCTTAATCCTGAATCTCCCAATAAGGAAGAAGTGCGTCGCTTCTGGAATTTCTCTTTTCATGAAATGGGCGTTATTGATATTCCTTCTATATTTGAATATATCCATAACTTCACTGATCGTAAAATAAACTTTATAGGCCATTCTTAAGGATCTATGTCTATGTTTGTAGCTCTTACTGAAGAGCATCCCGTAGTCAAAGCTTACATTAATTAGTTCATAGCTTTAGGACCTATTGCTTATATCTAGCATGTTACTTCTATACCTCTTTAACTCTATAATTTTGCACGCTAATTTATTGATTTAACATAACTTCTTTACAAAATTGAATTTTACGAATTCATTCCTTCTACTTGGTTTACCACTGAGGTTGTTTCCCGCTTTTGCAATGTCTTCCCTCTTGCTTGCTCTTACGCTTACGGTTTAGTAGGATCAATCGACCCTATGCTAGACTAAAATGACCGCTACGATGTTATTTCTGCACACATACCCTCAGGAACTTCTCTCAAAAATATGATGCATTTTCATCAACTTATTTCTACTTACGAATTCAAAAGATTTGACTATGGCCCTGAAAAGAATATGAAATACTATGGATAAAAGACTGCTCCTTTCTATGACCTTAGCAAAATAAATATTCCTGTTGCTCTTTTCTTAGGCACAGAAGATAGATTAGCTGTCAAAGAAGATGTTCTAAGATTAAAGAGAGAACTATCTAACGCTTCGGAGCTTTATTTCTAAGAAATCCACTCTGGACATACTTCTTTCATGTGGGGCAAAGATATGAGTTATTTCGAAGAAGTTTTTAATTTACTTGAAACTCATGATTTTCATGATCTGAATTACTACACATAAAGTACTAAATTGACATCTGCATCTTAAAAAAATATCACTAACTCATCATTAACAATTGAAAATTAATGAATGAATGAAGAATCTTGAGAAATTATCTAAAAATTGATAAAAATCCTCATTTTGAAAAGTAGAAAATTTACTAATTTGTAAAAGAGTAAAATTAATTGAAAGATATAAAATTATCTCTCTATTACATTTTATCTGTTTTCCTGATCAGATTAGTAAATTTGATGACATATAAAACAAAAATACTGCTCATATACCTAATCAACTAATATAATTTCAGTACATTAAATCTATTTCAACTAATTTTAAATATTTTAATTTAATAAATAACAATAAGTTCTAAATCAAATTTATAAAAGTACCTAAATACATTCATACATATATCATGAATTTCAAAATATCTGTCACCCTCATTTAAAAACTTTCATTCAGAAGAGTTGTAGAATGTCGGGTATTGAATTTTATAGGGTGGTGACAAATATTTTGAAACATATGATATACATACATACCTACTTTTTGTTTATTACGTATTAAATTTTATTTTATCAATTCAAATAAATTTGCTTTCAAACTGATATAGTTAGTATTACCATCTAGACTAAAATAAAATTAAACACAAAATTAGTCTACATCCAAAATTAAAAAAGTAAATTATGAGTTTACGTTTATTTCTTGTTAAATCAGTTAGTTACTTGATTTACTTATTTATTATTTTGTAACCAAATTCAATCTGCCTTATTTTAACTCATTTAAATTCTTAATTTAATTTCATCGATAAAGATAATTAACTAAATTTGTACATAGGCTAGATATCTAAGTTGAATAAATAATTTTGCAAAAAATTGAATAAATCGTCACAAAAATCAGCATTTTGACTTTCTTGGCTAAATATTTGTCATAGTTTATCCATATTACGCATTAATTTTAGTAGGTGATTTTAAACTAGTCAGATTGGCTTAACTTTTATTTTTTCTTATTAAAGTAAACTGATTAATTTTCAAAATTTTAGTTACAATTAATTTAAATAAATAATGTATGTGTGTATCTTTGAAAATTTTATTTTAGCTTTTATTAATAATCTTAGTAACATTAAAAATATTTATTATAAAAAATTTTTTATCTGGAGGCATATTTTTATAAAAATAATTTATAATAATTATCTACTGTTATATGCCTAAAGTTTTTTAAAATACTTTTTGTGTGTAAAATAGATAATTTTTATCAAAATAAAGAAATACATTTTAACTTAAAATTAAATTTGTTATATTATTCTATTTTTATATAATTTTTATTTTCAATAATCATCCTATATCTTATTCTTTGAAATATTTAAGATTTCATATTTGCTATTTCTTTATTTTATTTCTTTAAATCAGATAGTTGATTTTTAAATTTAAAACATTTTTTGTATGTAAAATAGATAATTTTTATCAAAATAAAAAAATATATTTTAACTTAAAATTAAAATTGTTATATTATTCTATTTTTTTATAATTTTTATTTTCAATAATCATCCTATATCTTATTCTTTGAAATATTTAAGATTTGATAATTGCTATTTCTTTACATCAGATTGTTGATTTTGAAATTTAAAACATTTTTTGTGTGTAAAATAGATAATTTTTATCAAAATAAAAAAATATATTTTAACTTTAAATTAAAATTATCTTTTTATTCTATTTTATATAATTTCTATTTTCAATAATCATCTTATATCTTATTCTTTGAAATAATTAAGATTTAATTATTGAAATTTCTTTATTTTATTTCTATACATCATATTGTTAATTTTTAAATTGTTAAATAAGTTTTTAGGGAGGAAATGAAATGTTTAATAAAATTTAGAAATGTCACATAATTTATTAAACAAATTAAAATAAAGTATTTTTTTGTATTATGGATTAAAAGATTTATTAAATAAAATGAAAAATTAATATTTACTTAAAACTCGTTTTAAAATATTAAATATTAAAATATGTTTTATATAAAAAATCAATAGTTTATCCATAATTTTCTCAAAATTATTCTTTTAGTTGAAATTTCTTTGTAATAAAAAATTAACTATTTACTTATAGAAGTATCCTTATCTGAGAGTTGATCATTTTTACATATCAAATATAATTAAAAAAAGTTGAATTCTAAAATTATGAAAAAAAATTTCCAAATTAAATAATCAAAAAATAAAAATAAATTGTTTTAAAAATTTTATTAAAAAATTTAAAATCAAATAAAAAAATAAAGGAAGATTTGTTAGAATTGAAATAATAATTCACGTTAAAATCTAAAAAGAAATAAATTCAATTATTTATTTTGTGATATTTAATTAATCTTCTACTAAATAGATATAAATCCACTTAGATATTAATGTATTCATACTATTATATAAAATATTTATTTTCTATAAGCTTGCAAATATTTTTTTAGTATTTGACCAGCTTCTTTCAAGAGAAACTTAATGAATCAATGCAAGGAATAGTCTCTTTGAAGGTTATTGATTTTCCGCTATAGTCGCTTTTTTCATAAAGAGTAACTCTGCTGCCATCAGGGATCCAGACACTATGAATGGTTTTAATATCGAATTTAGGAATTTTATCACAAAGCTAGATTGGATCTCCTTTGAAATAGCATTGCTTGTAAAGAGTGGGGCATACTTTTGGTGGTAAAACAGGAGGTTCTTCAGGTTTTGTAACATCATTAGTCACTTTCAAACTCTTATAAACTCCATCCCATTGAGCAGGAGTAACAACAGGATCTACAGGTTTTTAACCAATATCAGTCACTTTCAAACTTTTATAAACTCCATCCCATGTAGTAGTATCACCTTATGGCTACCCTCCTTTGGTGATCGTAACACTCTACATTGGATTATTATTGTTGATTGTAACACTCTATGTTTAACTTTATTTTGCGCCTATCTTAGAAAAGGCTAATCCTAAAATAATAAATACCACCAAAGTAGTTTTCATTAAATAATATCGCAAAGTATTTGTTTTGTAATTTTTGTTTTCGTTTTTAATATCTTTATAAATTAATCACAATATTAGCAATTTAATAATCCTTTTTGCTTATTATACTGATCGTTTTCTCATATTTTATGTTTATTTATTATTCGTTTTTAATATAATTATCCGAATATTTTCCAAATTGAAAAAATAAACAAGACAAAAAGTGTAAAAATGGCCTTTATATTTTATTTTCTGAATATTATTTTAATTGCTCTGATTAATATTTATCTCTCCTGCTTTTGATTTCTTAGATTAAAAATATTGCTTTGAATGAATAACCATCTCAAAATTTTAGTAATTTTTAAATAAATTAAGAAAACAATTTTAAGAGTATATATATAGAAATAAATTTAATATCATTAATTTAAAAAATATTTTTATAATTATATGAATTGTAAAAACATTATTACAAAATATGAGATATCATGCTTGATTCATAAATGTTTCTAAAGAAACATTTTAGCACAGAAAAATAAAGTTATAAATTTAATAACAAGATATCCCCATAAAATAAAATTAAAATATTTTATTCTTTGATAGAATTTAAAACAAAAAAACTTATAGAAACATAAAAACCTGTAATTTTATGGTAGATTAACTTATTTTATTATGTAAAAACAGCAAAATTTCTATATAAAATACTAAAAAATAATATATTTAATAATATAGCTATATTATTAAATAATAGTAAAGTAATTATAAATATCAAAAATTAAAAAATATAATAAATGATAAATTTAATAATATATTTACAATTAATTTATTTTTATAAGAAAAAATTTAAATTATTTTTTTTTTCTTTATTATTTTAATACAATTTTATTATTTGTTTTTATTGTAAAAAAAATATTAATTTAAAAATAGATCAAAATCTTTAAAAAAATGTTCATTTAAAAATAGATCAATATCTTAAAATAAATTTTATTTAAAAACTAACCTTTAGTTGGGAATAATTGCCAATAATAATTAATTCAGTAATTCAAAAAGCATATAATTATATAAACGCATATTATCTTTTCACAAATATCAGGTAAATTAAAATATAAAACGCATTACAAAATTACATAATTAACAAAGCTAAAAAGATAAAAATAATAAATAAATGTTCATTTTATTTTCTAATTACATTTAGAAATAATGTTTGATAAGTATTAAGATTATTTTGATATTTCATGATTGAGTATTATAGTCAAATATTTCAAGCTTGAATCATGTACTTATGTTGAAATGAATATATATTCTTATGGAGAGTATATACATACTTATTTCAAAACTGATTTAGATAAAAGTAAATTTCTAGCTTAGATAAAAAACATGGATTTGTAAATTTGGTATTTACCATATTTTTCTAAAATAAAAAGCAAAAGTTAAAAAATAAAAATTAGTTAAATTATTCATAAAACCTCAGTCAAAATAAAAAAGGAAATTAAATCAAATAAAAAGCTAGTACATAAATAAATAATAAGAAATTTATTATTTTAAATTCATTTATATATAAAAATTATAACAATAATAAATAAATTATTTTTTAAGAAAGATTAAATTTCATATTTAAGATATTAGTGCACTTTGCTAGGGTAAAAACTAAGTGTGATGCATCACCAATTTAATCTCCACTTTTTAAATATTGAAGAGAATAAAATAATTTATTAGTTAAATTAATATAGAAAAAAAACAAAACAACAATACAAAATTAAAATAAGTAAAATAAAAAACTAATAAATCAATTTTAAGAGCTTTATTGTTTTAAAATAATGAACTTTTTTTACCAAAAATTAAGTTTAAAATTTGAAAGATTAGTGTAGTTTGCTAAAGCAAAACCTAAGGCTGAAGCATCAATAGCATCAATTTAATTTCCTCTTTTTAAATATTTAAGAAAATATATTTTTTTACTATTATCTATTAATTTAGAAAGAAAAATATAAAATAATATGAAAAAAATTATTAATAGTCAAAGTAAAAGTTGAAAATTAAAAAATAATTGAGTTAAAATAATTAAAAAACATATACATAATATAAATAATATAGAAGTTAATATTTATTAGAATTTTAATATTGCAATTAACTTGATAAGTAATTATAAAAAAAATTAATAGTAATAAATTTAACTTATATGAAAGTGGAGAACTCTATGAGTTAAAAAGTGAAAAATTTACAAGCCTATTAAGAAGTAAAAAATATTCAAAAAATAAATAGTCATTTAATGATAAATAATTACATTTTTTTAATTTTCATAATATTTCTTCTATCAATTATTTTTTATTTTTTCAAAAAAAATATTGAATAATAATTTATAGGAATTAAAATAATTTTTATAATATTAAGAAATTTATTTAATTTTATGTTGAATTGAATTGTTCTATAAATATAAGAGATATCAAATATAAAATTTTATTTGCTTTTAGGAAGAGATATAATAAAATAGTTAGATTTTTGTGTAATTGATTATTAAATCTTGATATTAGGTAAACCAGATAGTATACTTAAAAATATATTAGAAATCAGAAGTATGAATAGATTGAAAAAATTAAAATGATTTAACACTTAAATTTTAAAAATTTTTTATTTGGAATAAATTTTTAAAATTAAATATTTTATTGTAATTTTTTTAATTGATTCTAATATATTAATTTATTTCAAATTTTTTTTTTTAGTTTAAATAATAATATTTCAATTATTTGATGTAAAAATAATTTAGAAATATAAATTAATTTTAAATTAATTTTTTTAATTTATCTTTTATAAAATAAAATGTTTCACATTCATTTCCAAATAAAGATATTTATTTATTTCTATTAAAAAATATTGCAATAACTTAATAATAAATAAAAATAAAATTATTTTTTGAATTTTAGTTTACGATCAAAATAGTCAGTAAAGCAGTAGAGAATCTCAATAAAGTTTTAAAAAATATTCAAATTTTCATAGATCATTATTCAATAATTTTCTTAACTGAATTAATAATATTGATTGATTAATTCTAAATGTTTTAAATTTGAAAAAAGTTGTTATTTAAAAAAATGGACTTGCTAATTAAATGAATCAAGCGCCAAAATAACAATCAATTAAATAATAAATTATAAATTAACTATATTATAAAAATTATTTATAAAATTATATAAACAAGTTGGAAGTTAAATTTCTTACCGCGGAATTTTTTGAAAATCTTTAGAAGATAGATCTTATTTAGCTTGGATAGTCAATAAATTTGTTAGATCTTTAGAGTATGAGATTTAAGATGAAAATAAATTATTAAGATGATATTTAGTTATTTATTTATTCCAATCAAAAAAGATCTGGATCATTTTGAAGAATTGTCCAATCAGATTGAAGATTGCGTTTAAGATTGAATTTTTGAAATTTATTTAAGAGAGGCAAGAGAATGAAATTTGTATAATTACTTAATTTAAAAGAAAAATTAATTTTAAAAAAGATAAACTCATTCATTATACAAACTAATAAAAATGGCTAGAACTAAATAAACTGCTAGAAAATCAACTGGTGCTAAGGCTCCCAGAAAGCAACTCGCTTCCAAGGCCGCCAGAAAGTCTGCCCCCGCCACCGGTGGTATTAAGAAGCCCCACAGATTCAGACCTGGTACCGTCGCCTTGAGAGAAATCAGAAAGTACTAAAAGTCCACTGATTTACTTATCAGAAAGCTCCCCTTCCAAAGATTAGTTAGAGATATTGCTCACGAATTCAAGGCTGAACTCAGATTCTAATCTTCTGCCGTTCTTGCTCTCCAAGAAGCTGCTGAAGCTTACCTCGTTGGTCTCTTCGAAGACACCAACCTCTGCGCTATCCACGCCAGAAGAGTCACCATCATGACCAAGGATATGCAACTCGCCAGAAGAATCAGAGGTGAAAGATTCTGAGGAGTGTTTTGACAAAGATTCTTTTCAAACAATCGAGTTAAATTAATATTAAATAATTGCTGAATAATCAATCGAGTTTGTAGTTTAAGATTTATGAAGAGTTGGCTTTGATAGCAAGCATGTTTTGGAATCAAGCATAGAAATGTTAATAATAATAATAACAAACTAAATAATTAGCAAAGTAATTTGATCTGATGAAAATAAAAATTAATAAAATAATCATATAAAAATGCATATAAATTTGACTACTTAATTAAACAATATTAGATTAAATGTATTTCAATTTTGTTATATATATTTTTCATTTCTCGCTTCCATTAAATGCTTTTGAGAGGCTTCTCTCTCATAAATTTATAATCATTTTTCCAATTCTTTATTTCAAAAAACTTAATATATTTTATTTAAATTTCATTTACTTCCCCCTTTTTCCTTCTAACGATTCAGTATTTGTCGTCTATTGACTTCAAATCTTTAATTAAATTATCTTAATTAATACTGTTAAAACAAATAAATTAGAATCGCGCGCATTTTTCAGATTCAATATTTTATAACATCTCTCAATTACCAAATCTAATTAAATTAATTTTCTTAAAAAAAATATTTTTCACCAATAATCATTTTTAGTACATTTATGAGATACTCATTTAACTTTATCAATACATTTTTCATTTAAATATTAAATTGATTATCATTTTTTTTTAAGTGCATTTTTTAGGTCATATTTTATTTATCAAATGCATAAATTTACCTTTATATTAATTTTTTTAATTTTAAAGAATTTTTAAATTTAAAATCTAATTCATAACTAATTTATTTATATGGACTTAATTGAAATAAATTTAGGCTCTTTTATCAGTATTTATAATTATGAATAATTTGTTGATATTGTAAATGGTTTTTTCTTTAAAACTTTTTGATTAATCTTCACTACTCGTTTAATAAGATACAATTTATTTTATAATTTTTTTAATTTATAAATTATAATTTTTATCATTTAAATTAGAACTTTCTACATTGCTTGCTAATAGATTTAATTTATTAAAATAATCTAAAGAAGAATGATAAATATTAATTATAGGTGTTAAACATTCCAATTAATAGTTTTTCTAAATTATTTACAAAATAATATAAAATTAGCTTAAGCAATTACATAAAATAGCTTAAAGTAAAATTACAAAGCAAACATACATACATTCAAATACTTCAAATAAATTTTATTGACTACAGCATTTTAATATCTCAAAAAAGATGAATCCACACGAAGAAAAGATTAAGCAGTATTTAAAAAAGAATATCAAAGTAGATGTTGACAAATAGCTATCATAAGAATAAAAAGAGGAGTTTGTCAGGAGAAAACTTTTTACTGAATAGACATATTAGCATAATTTTTAATAGAAAACTTTGTTTTAAATGATAAAGGATAAAGTAATGTAAGGATATGGCTATTTTTAAACTCGTAGATTCAGAATGTTTATGAAGGAGACTTTCCCGTTTTTGGCTTTTGTCTCATTCTCAACATATATAATTTATAAGATGGAGAATTAATTCGATAAAATGAATCAAAGTGTGTTCAAGGTAAAAACTCTTAAAGAGTAAGAAATCGAAAAAGAAAATGAGGTATTTAAATTTATTTATGTTTATATTTTATCACAGACAGTTTTGTAAATTAGTATATAGCAAAAGCATTAAGAGGAGAACCATTCTCAAATTAAGATAATTAGATTACAGATGTACCTGATAAAAGAAATAAGTAAGCATTAAATAAAATAAGAATCAGTTAGATTCAATAAATTTCAATAAAAAAATGATAGATACAAATTTGAAGAACTTGAAACTGATGAAGGAATCGATTTTGATACAAGAGAAGATTTCTTAGATGGATTAAGAAAAGATTATAATTAGGGTATATAAATAGCTGAGGAATATAAAGAAGAAGTGTTCTAATATGCTAAGGAAAATAAAAAGAAAATAGGATTTGGTATAGGTCTAACAAAAGAAGAGGAGGACGAAGAATAACAAGATGACCCTACTTTAAAAAATTTACTTTCTAAACCAACTTAATAACCTAAAAAAGAAGTGTAATAAAAGAAAGTAAAAACTATCAAAAGATAAACCAAAAAGCCTGTATTTGATGAAGATGATGATGGATATGAAGGTTTTGGTCCCTCCACAAGAGATTGAGTTAAGAATATTCAATGAAAAATTATTTCTTCATATAGAGTATAAGTAAAAATATATTTAGCTACTGTTAAGAGTAAGTATGAGAAATTAGTTTCATTAAAAATAAAAATGTAAACAATAAATAAATAAATAAATTATATAATCTACTTCCATTGCAGTTTATTAATATATTAATAGCATATTTGTTTCTAGATATTCATAATATTTTTTTGTTATGCAAGTTAAATTAAAAATAATGTTTTTGAGTGAATATTCATACTAAAAAATATTAATTCATTTTTAAATCAGTGACTCACATCAACTATTTTTAAAAGTTTTATCTATAAAAGAAAATCAGAATTTCAGGAAATTCAAATATATTATTGCATTCTTATTCATATTATAAATATTCTGTAATGACTGATTTAAATATAAATTGTTTTAATTTAAATTATTTTTTATATTTTTTTTCCTCAAACAAACAAACAAACAAACAATTCAATATTTTAAGACTAAGTTGATCAATCCCTTATAAAATAAGTATTTATTTTTTTCATGTAATTTTAGTAGAGTAAATCAATTAAAAAAATTTAAGTTAATTAATTTATTAGTTTTGAAAAAGCTATTTATTTATTTATTTATTATTTCTTTTAAGTTATTAAAAATTAAATTTTAGATTTTGAGATAGAAAAAATTTTATTTTACTAACAATAATTTTAATTTATGCGCTTTAAAAATGAATGATAAACAATGATTTAATTTATAACAATTTTAAAAATAAAATTAAATGATTCTATTTATAAATTATTTTTTATTTAAACTATTAAGAATTTTTATTTTTTAATATAATTTATGATTTTTCAGCATTCTAGTGATAGTTTATCGAAATCAATTTCTATGCTAGGAATTATATTGTTCTAAGTGAAGAATAATTTGGTATGAGGAGCAAAATCTATTTTTCTAAGTTTATCTTAATTCAAATTCTTTGTTATTTAATTAGCACGATCAATATTGACTTCTTGAGGATCAAATATTTCCTCGTTCTTTAATAGTTAACGTAAATTAACTAAAATCCAATGCTCATCTTAGGAAATAGATTTATCGTAGCTTTGTTTAATTACTTGAAGAACCTTTTCTAATTCCTACACATAGGTATCGATAAGAGAACGAATTTTTAAATCTGTAATAGAATGTGCCTTACCTTCTGCATTTGATACTTTTAAGAGTATTTGAATGACAGAAAGCATACAACTGTACTACATTCTGTAGAAATATAAATCAGGCTTTATTTACTCTAAAATTTTTGCTGTTTCAAAAAGCAAGTTATTTAAGAAATCAGGCTCTTGGAAAGCAGAAGCTATTTTTTCACAGAGAGAAGTACCTACTGAAATATTGTTAAAGAAGGCACGACCTATAATTCTAAGTACATATAATTTCATTTAATTGTTAAATAATCCTTTATTAATAGATTCACTAATTAAATTTAAAGTAATTTATTCAACTACTTGAGCAGTAGATAAAGGATAAACAATTTATAAATATTCTAGAGCATCAAAAATATAGCAGAAGAGCTCATCTTTAATTTCATTTAAGTTATCTATGATTCCTTTCTAAAGAGTGTTTCCTATGCTTTGAGCAACACTTTCAAATGGGGAATTTATTAATTCTATAAGGATAAGAATACTAGTGTTATATAAACTCTACTTATTCAAAAATATAGATTCAATCCTTTATACGAAATTCAAAAATACTTTTTCTAAGATAGCAGCTTCTTTAATCAGCATCTCTCTTTCACGTATAGCCTGTTCATAAGGAGTATAAATGTCTGCTGGCTTTAATTTTAAGATATTCATCATAGAAGTTGGATAGTCTTCACTGAGTTTTTTATTTAATTCCTTTGTGAAGAAATACATCAATCTACAAGCATTCTCAATCAAGTAAATTTCTTAAAGTTCATCAGTCTAGGTTCCATAGTTTATTACTTCAGTTATAAATTAGATTTAAGTGATGTCCAACCCTTGTTTTATTAAAATAGAAGAGAGAACCTTAGTGATCTAAGCCTTCAAAGAAAGTTGTTAGCTGTCTTCATTGTCACAAGCTTGTTACCACTCTTTATACAAAAATTAGAATACAGGAGTCATAAATTCAGGAGAGGTATCCTTAATTAAATCAATAAGATTTTAGACAAATTCAAGTAAAAGCATTTTTGATTCTGATTCTTCACATTGATTGAATAATTCTCTAATTCCACCCATTATCTAATCTATATTTACCATCAAATCTATGCAGTTATCCATGAGTGGTATAAAGCACTTCATGCTCATTAATCTATTTTATAAAATTATTTATTTATTTATTAATTTGCAATTATGTTTAAAATTTTTATAATTAGATGCAAATATAATTATTTAGCAAGAATTTCAAAGGAAATAGATATTTCAACAGAAAAGATAGTTTAGTTAAGAAAATTTACCTAATGTAAATGGATTAGTTGCTATCAATCATTAATGAAGCTATAGTTTAAAATAAACTCAAAGCAGTTTCTTCAGGAATTTGGTAGGAATTAGATAAGTAGCTATAAATAAGATTAAGAATCTATACTTTAAGGGGAATTAAATTATCATCATCAATAATCAATTCAGTAGATAGTACACTAACATACCAATCTTCAAATTCAATAGTATTTTTGATATCTTTGTAAAGGCCGTTCATTATGAAATAAAATGCTTCTCTTTCTAACATTTCTGAATAGGCTTATTTGCCAGTGCAAATACTAGATGTAAATTAAATCAAAAGTTAGTTAATTAATTCTAACATCTTTTCTTCGTTAACACTTTGCATAAACACTATCAATAAATTTACACCAGCTTTACGAATTCCTGTCATATCTGAACCTTTATCTTCAGAAAATGCTCTTTCAGGTTCTAAATTTATCATAGCTAACTGACTCCAATTAAGTTTGAGAACCTATTTTTAAAATTAATTTTAAAAGAGCTTGCTAAAAAAATATCTTATCTATATTAGATGACATTTAAAGAAAATATTTTAGAAAATAATTTTTATTTTAAAAGTGCTCATAAAATATAAATTCTGAATGAACAGCTTACTAAAAGCTTCTCTTTTTAGATGAAGTTGAATAATCAAATACATGAAGTAAATTTTACCTTTTTGAGAAGAAATTCTATAATAATCTAGAAATAGTGTTAATCGAAATACTGACATATGACTACTTCATCTTCACAATTTTCTTCTAATGATTTTTGATCTCCATAGAAAAGATGCTAAGTAGAACGAAAACCTAATACTTATATAAGTTCACTGCAAAAATTGAGAGATTGAGTAATTAGATTGCATTCATCTTCGAAGAATTAGACTAATTTAGGCTAAGAGTTCAGCTTATTGAGTAATGAGCTATCGTTTAATTATTGAGAACTGATAAAACTTTCATTGTTTAGAATAAGATTTTAAGAGTTTACAAAGTATGTGCCTTTAAAGTATTCGAGGACTGCAATAGATTTATTAGCAGTGGTTCTTTTTTCTTAAACAGCACCAATGAAATATTTGTGATAGCTGTAAATAACTTAACGTAATGAATGGATAAAATCAAATAATTTCTCTTGTTAATCAACAGATTCATGGAGATTTACAAAGCTACTGAAACTAAGCGTAATTTATTAAACTACTTATACTTGATTAACAAGCTCACTGAGTTAAGCTTAGTTGTTAATTGAGAGTAAATTTTCTATATTTAAGAATTTAATAGCGTATCTTAGACAAGAAATACTTACTTGATTATTCAGTTCATTCATAGCCTAATCTATATTAGCTATGCCATTCTGATAAGAAGCAGCAAATAGCTTAAGTTTTTCTACTGAAGCAGCAATAATAGCAACAAACAAATCGCGTTTTTAATTAAAATAATTGACGACATAAGATTTAAGCTTATGATCATGCTACTTGTCTTGATAGAGAGCTTTAAAAACAAAATAGTAGAGTGTTGTTATTGTTGTAATTTACTCACTGCTCATTTAAAGTAATTTCTCTTTACTGAGAGCTTAAATCAGTAATTCTAATATCTTGCTTTTAGGAAAATCAGTAATAATTAAACGCATGATTCCTACTCTAAGCTAATTTCTAACTTTTGAAATGCTATGATTAAGGAAAGACTAAAGCATTGCATCTTATAGGTCGAATTTGAAAGTTCCTTCTAAATTTACGTATTCAGTTTGTATGAATTTTGTTATGTAAATTGCTGCTTATAAATTTTGAGTCTCTCCATACTCTTTATTGTTGATGATCTCAAATAACATCAAGAAGAACTGCTAATTTAAATTCATTTGCTTTAAAAACTGAGTAGATTCATCTCTAACTGATTTATCAGTACTCATCATAGATAACTAAAGTGCCTCCCTGACTTTCAAAAGAATTGCTTGATCCATTTGTAATAACTTAAACTAAGAAAATATTAATAAATTGATTGATTGATTTATTTATTTAGTTGATTGATTGATTGATTCCTACTTTATTTATCTATTTTGAAATATATATCTATCTTAAATTAGTAAATTGAATAAATGAAATTTTAATCAAAAATATAGATATATCAAATTACATCTAATTAAAATTAACTTTTTTTACGATATTTTTAGATTTATAGATTTTACATTCATTTAGTCACTCATTCTTCATTCACTCATCAATAGTCCTTTTTTATCTTCTTCTTCTTCTTCTTATTGCTACTAAGTAGATCTCTACTTTTACTTTAATTATAAAATACTCTTACTACTATACATGAGAATTTTTCAATAATTTTAATCAAATACAGAATATCAAAATTATAAAATTTTTAAAAAAATTGAAAATAATTTTCTATGGATTTAATTTTATTTATTAACTGAATAAATAGAAAGCTCTTTTAGGATTAAAACATAAATAAAATTTCATTTAATTTATTAACTTATCACTCATTTGACACAAATTAGAATTATTTATTAATGACAAAAATATTATTTATAAGTATAAGAATATTAGATATAATATTAATTAATTAAAGTTAATCGTATAAAAGTCAGAAATCATCATCACTAAACTTTTATCCGTATCTCATCGTCGGGGTGTTATCTCTATATCCTCCTTTTCCTAGACTTTCTTGAGTATACATATTAGGTTGTGTGGACTTTTTATTGGCAGGATGATCTATAAAATTACCATTAATTCTATCAGTTGGATCAAATTGGCTTTGCTTTTGTATATGAATATTAGTCCTATTAGGATTATATGAGCTATGAGAACGCATTCTGCTTTATGTTATTGATACACCTTTTTACATATCATCTTTCAGATCATTGATTTTTTAATCATAGACATACTTCTTACCTAATTTGTTATATAGTATCTCAGATTTCTCTCTATCATATAATAAAGCATAATATCTATCATAAAAGTGATCGTGAGTTCTAATACCACCATTTTTATTGCTATTTCTAATCATGCAACTATTATCTTTGCTTGGATTAAAATAGGTCTAATTATAATGAGTTAATTCAGCCATATATCCTTAATCTCTGCTAAATTCTACTTTTCCAGTTGAGTAGGGATCAAAGCATTTTCTGAATGGATAAAAATGCTGCATCATATTTTTTTTCTCTATGGGCGGCTTTTTCCCAAACGATAAAGGAGTTACATCAAAATTGAAATCCCCAGCCTTTTTAAGCATATATTTTTATATATCATTAGAATTAAATGTATTTTAGTAAGCCTTGAACAAGAAAGGTTCATTTGGAATGATGCTCTAAGCCAGCTCTTCATATGATATTTCCTTTTTATGGTTATCAATTGCACAGCATCTATAAAAAAATCCTAAGCATTCTTCTTCATTAAATAGGATATTTAGTTTCTTCATGAAATTCTTCAACCTAATAAATTTACAAATAATTATCAAAAAACCTGTCCTAAAAAAATAATTTAAATTTTCATATTTTTAATAATAAACAAGCTAATTTTTGAACAAAATATTAAAAATAAATGTACCCTTAATAATCAAATAAGCCATTTTCATTAACTTCAATACACTTAAAAATGTCATGTATATTATAGGAGTGATCTTTTACAAATTATTGCTTTAATTTGTCAATATCTCTATAAAATCCAAGCTCAGACCCCAATATTTCAGATGCTTACTTTTAAGAAGTCTGTTTAACAACATTATCATCCATGTTATGAATACGTCTAAGTTGCAAATTATTTTCTCTTCTTCTTAATGCGAGAACTTTTAAGTTATAATTTGTGTAAGGCAAAAACCATTCTATAAATCTTTTAGTTTAATTTTGAAAAATAGCGAATTAGGTAAAGTTCAAAATTTAACGATGTTATTAATCTAATAAATTTGATTTTTAAAGTAGCATTAATTAATTAATTAATTAAAAGAGATTCCTTTTTATAATAATCTATTTTCAAATATATTTTTACTCTTATTCTTAAAGCACTTCTTTGCCTTTTGAAATCAAATTGATCAAATACATCGACTCGTATTCTGAGCATGGTGTGTGGTTCTTACTAAGATTTCATTTTTATAATATAATGTTAATACTATATTTTAGGTAAAAAGTGTGCTTAATTCGATAATACAAAAAATTCTATTTATGAAATAATAACTAAGATATTTTTATTTTAAGCATTTACCCTAAAAACAAAGAAAGCTATGGCGGTGTAATTTAACCTTTTTTATAGATATCAATACATTCCCAGGCCATAAAAATATCGAAATGAGGATCTTCGGCTGATTTTATTTTCAAATTCTCTATCTAATGCATTATAAAAAGTTTTGATATAAACATCGAAAAGAAAAGTAAATATAATTGAAATTTACAGATATTTCTGAAAATGCTATTCCTTTAATAATGTTAGCTAAATCTAACTCAAACTACTTTCCTATTTCAAACTACAAATAGGATTAATTATGAGTGCTCATTACTACTTTAGTCAAATTTGTATATTTATTTTAATTGGAAATATTTATTACAATTATTAGTAATCTACACGCAGTTTGAAGTTATTAATATTAACTCTTTTTTTTACCAATTATTTTGAAATTTATAAACTTCAATAATTATTCAAAAATTGTTTAAATTAGAATAACGAGATTATTGATGAATGATCATAATAAAAATTATTTTTGGTTTCACTCCAAAGCAAAAAATAAAAAAAAATTATATTAGATTATAAATAAATTTATCAATTTAAATGCAAATAAATAAATCCTCTCTACTATTTAAAATTTTAATGCTATCTAGATATATAATGCGTTAAATATAAATTATGCTTGTAAAAAAGAAGATATTTATAAAATCAAGACAATTTAGAGGAAAATCAATAATAAAAAGAATATTGTTTTGTAAATTTATTGAACAATTTAATAATTAATTGTATTTAAAAATTTAAAGAAGATACATACATATATAAGATGAGAAAAATTTTATAAATTTTAGCTATTTTAGTTATTTTAGCAGTATGTTATGGCGAATTTGAACTCTAAAATACCTTGACTATCAGAGGACAAGTTATCAGACAATGTACTTACTTTTTTTTACATATTTAGTTTAGTAGATCCAAATTTGCAAAATTGAAAACCTAAATCTAATACATTTACATTCAAAATAGTTTTTATTTATGCGAAAATGAAAAATATTTAATAGCTTATATTCTTTTAAAAATTAATAAATCAAAGTTGAAAAATCTTAGTTAAACATGAAAGATTCTATTTAAGATCATTAAAACTCCTACATTAGTCTTGATGATGGCACATAAACAGCATTTTTGACTGAAGATGATCATTTTGTCCTGTAAAATTATAAAATGAGCAATTTAAAGTTAAAATTAATTAAAAATTATAATAAAGTAAAGGAATAACACCTGGCAAACACACTATCGAATTTACATCCAAGTTATATTAATATTTTAAGGTATTTTGTTTGTAAATATGTTTATTGTGATATGGAAATATATTTGTTTATATCTAGATCATTGTAATCTACAACCCTTTAATTAGTGATGAAGATAATCAAGTAACTATCTACTCTATTGATCCAAACACATACGAAAGAGTTTAGGAATTTACTAAGCCTAACTAAGTTATTATCAAGCCTCTTTAATCTAAAATTATAAGATATTTTGAAGTAATGATTATTAATTTAAATCAGTTAACAAATAATATATAAATGAATTATTGACTTAAGTAAATTTTATAATAGTGTTAGAATGCTAATAGCACAATAAACAAATAATTATTTTAATTAATTAGAAACAAATAACTTTTAATATTAAATATTTAAAAAGGAAGTTGAAGGCTTTAATATTATGTCTTTATTAAGTGGATAAGGTATCTTTATAGTAGTAATGATTCTTATGTACTTCTGTATGAAAAATGTAGATATGGGTAAGTTTTTAACTTAATAACTAACTTTTAAAAATTTATTTTAATAATAGAGAAGCTTTAGTAATAAGCTTAAGAAGCCTAATAATCATAATCAGTACAAAGTTGATTCAATATTGCCTGTAGAATAATTTATATTTCCAAATATTATAATGTATTCGTAAAAAATAAATAAAATCTCAAATAAATAAACAAATTAATCAACTAATAAATAAATTGATGTTTTTAAATTTTTATTTAAATATTAGAGAATTGTTATAAATTTTTTTATGAGTAGAAATTTCTTAACCAAATTATTTATTTTATTAATTGCTAATTAATTAAATCTATTACTTTAAATTAAAAACAAGATACCCAAAAAAATAATATTATTTAGTTTTGATTTCCATCTTAGTTGAAATTACAAATAACTTTTACCTCTAAATATATATATTACAATTCAAGATTATTACTAAATTTAAATAAGTTTGTTCTAATTTGAATATCAAAATTATCATTATTTATAATTTTGTTCAGTTTATAATTTATATTAAACTTTCAATATATCTTAAAAGTTATTTTCTAAAATTAAATCTTAGTTTTCTTATTTATTTATTAAATGGTAGTAAAATTATTAAGTTTACATATTTTATCTGCAAATAATTTTATCAATTAAAACCAAAGAAGCATAAAATAAAACTTTTAATAATATTTTTAAAATTAAAACTTAGATTTTAGTCGAAGTAAATATATTTTATTAAATTGTTATTTATTTTTACTTTTTTATTTACTTCTAAAAAATGCATTAAATATTGTTTTTAAAATATTTAGATTATTTAAATATCTAAAAACGTACAAAAATTTTAATTAAAATAAAATTATCTTTAATATAATTAAAAAAATTCAAAAAGAAATCAAAATAAAAAGAGAATATCTTAATTGTATAATTTTAACTGAAAATAATAAATATTTCCTTGTGTTGTTTTTAAAAAATAAATATAAATTTATTTATGATTTTTAACATAAACTTGTTTAAATATTTGAATTAATTTCTTCAAATTATTTTAAATAAATATACACTCTATATTTTTAAGATAAATTAAAAATTTTTATCATCCATATTAACAATATATTTTCAAATTTCTTCTCTCTAAGCTAGTAGCATTTTTTTCAAAAGGATTTAGTAAATACCAAAGAGTATTAAACCATTTTAGCACTCTTTTTAAATAGATATTAATATTTGCTTTTTTTGAGTTGAAGTTATGTCAGCCAAGACTACCTGAAAATTATCTGAATAAGATATACTATTTGATTAAATAAAAATTTACTAAACAATGCAATAAAATTAGCTAAGATTTAATCTCCTCCTAGATTCCAAAATAAGTGATTCAAAGTCAGCAATTGAGATGTTTGTTTCTCTAAGATAAAATATATATCAAATATAATCTAAATTTTAATTTTTTACATCAAACTAAGCTAGAGAGTTATTAAATTTTTACATTTAAGCAATTCATTGACCAATAGTTATCCTCCTTAAGTTCCAAAAGTGTAATTTCTAAAAGAAAATTTTAAGATATTATATGGTAAATTAAAAATTAAAATTACTCTATTTTAAGAGAAAGATATGTTATGTAATTAGCTCTTTCTATAACAAAATAGAACTAATTCAATTCACTTTTTAATTAAAACTCCGTTGTTTTTGAACTTAAAATAAAATTTAACAATATTTAGATGTAAATATTGATGCAATAATGTACTTAAAGTCAAACTACAAATGTCTTAAATTTGTGCAATTAGTTAAAATCGGTAAAAGCTCATTGTAGCTAGAATTTGAATTTTAGCTTTTTTTTACAATCATAGAGAAATTAATAAAAATTTTTTAATATTTCTAATAAATTAAGTAAAAAATAAGTTTAATTTAATTACCCTAAATCTAAAACTAACTTTTTTAAATGTCTGCATTTACTAATTTAAATACCTAAAGGCTAAAGTCCGTATTTTTATTAATCGTAAATCAGGTAAATATTGCTTTTATTTTAAGGAATAATAAGAATTTTTAAAATAAATTATAACCACATACTTAAACATCAACACTAAATCTTTGATTTTACTACACTTAGATATTCCTTTACAAATTTAAAATGCACCTTCTGTTTTAATTTTGTTATTACTAATATATGCGAAATAAATGAGAAAAATATCAAATTATCTTTAATAAAATTACTTAAAATTGAGCACTAAAGATTCTAATTGTTAGGTTTATTCTAACAGTTTTCCAAATTCTATTGCTGCATCTGACTCAATTTAATTTTTCCTAATATATTTTTGAAGTTTAAGGAAAAAATTAAAATAAAAACTTACTCCAAGCTAAGCTCTAGTTAAGTTAAATATTTAAGTTCCCTTAAAGAGTTTGATAAACTTTTTAGTCCTTAACTACAAATCTAATTTTTACTAAAATATTTTAAAGTAAAAATAAAAATAATTAGTTGCTTACTCAAAATTCAAAGAAATTGACTACAAATTTAAATTTCCTCTTATTCCCTTAGCTAATATGTATGCTCCTTCCTTTGTAATTAGATTTTATCTATATTTAATTTGATATTAAATTTAAAAAAAAATAAAAACATTTATTTACGATAGATTTAATTATAGACACTTAATTTTTAAGGAATTCGAGAGTAATTTCTAAATTGAAACCAAAGACAAATCATTTATTAATGTTGAACTTATTAATTAAAATAAAATATTTTTAATAAAATTCAGAATGAAATAAAAACTTACTCCAAACAAATACTTAATGATATTAAGCTTGTGCATTTCGAAGATAATTCATAAAGATTTTATAAAAAATAATCTCCATCAAATTTCAAAGAACTAAAATATAAAATGTATTAGAAAATTAAGATTAACAATATTAATTAAATTTACTTAAAATTGACCTTAAGCAACTCTATTTATTTATAATCTTTATTAATTGATTCATTAATATTCATATTTTAGTTTTGAAGTAAATAAAAGCTAATTTAATAAAAACAAGACTTTTAAGTTATTAATACATTCTAACTTATTTACTTATCTAGATCAATGGTAAATTTATTTTCATCTTTTATAAATAAATTCTGCATCTACTATTAAAAAAAATAATTCTCATAAATTAAAACCAAATTTAAAATCTAAATAAATAAATTTTTATTAAATTTATTATTTTACATGAAATTCTATTTCTTTGTGTTTATTTATTTTTATAAATTTCAATTTTAGCTAAGAATTCTAACCTAATCAATATTTTTTATCTTAAAATTAAATAAATTTTGATAGATTATTTATTAACACAAAAACAAAGAGAATTTTGATTTAACTTTCAAATTTATGGGTAAATTCAATTGACTATTAAAAACAATTAATATTAAATTAAATTTTGATAAAATAAATGTGATTTCTAATTTAGAAATAATAAATTTATTTTCATTTAATTTCAATAATTTTTAGAATAAAATTCTTATTATTAAAACTTAATTTATAATCTCAATAAATTGATTCATATTAAATTTATCATTTTACATTAAATTCTACATTTATGTATTAATTTATTTTTATAAATTTAAATTTTATCTTTATCAATTAATTTATCTAAAAATTAAATTAATTTTATTTTGAATATTTGTTAAATCAAAAAAAGAAGGTAATTTTTATTTAATTTTGAAATTTATGTAATAATGGTTTTTAAAATAACAAATATACATTAATTATTTATAAAATAAATGGGATTTAATATTATAAAATTGTAAATTCATCTTTTTATTATAAATTTAAATTTATTTAATATTTGTTGAAAGAGCATTCAAATAAATATATCACATCCATTATAGTCAAATATTAATTACAACTAATCTCTTTAGATGCCTAATAAACAATTTTTTCAAAGACTATTATTTTATTCCTCTATAATATTGACTAAATTTTAAAAGTTTTTTGAAATTAGTAAAGTATTTTAAAAAATTTTTTGGATTTGTTTGAAAGGAAAATTAAATATTTAATTCTATTAAATTCTTTAAATGACTTATTGCATGGAATATAATTTCTTCTTAATTTTCTTAATTAGTAAAACTAAATTCAAAGTGGGTTATATGAGAATAATATTCTAAAGCGCGATCCAAGCCATAAAAATTATAAAAATTTCTTCCATTATATTCATTATCTAATATTTTAATTGATAGTTTTTATACTCTACTTTTTTGCAATAAATATTCATTAAACACGTACTCTCTTTGAAATTAAATAGCTTAAAAATATTAAAAATCTATTTAGTTTTGTTTAAGCTATGGCAATTCTTCTATTAATGTTAAAATCTAAAAATTAAGTTTAAATGGTGTATATATTTTTAGCTTTTAAAGATTCTTTAAACTTTTTATTTAGTCGTAAATCAATTAACTGTCTAATTCTTATAGATTTTGATCAAGAGGCTAAATAGTAAGTGAAAAATCTATAAGTTTAGGTAATTAATTTAGTGCTTTTATTAATTATAAATAGCTATCAAAATGATATTTGTTCCTACTATCGATATTTAAGCTAAACTTTTTTAGATTGATTAAACTCTACAAACCTATTTCTAAGTTTAGATAACTTCTAATAATATGACTATTAAAACCAATACATAAATTCAATTCTTCTAAAATTTATAAAGACCTAAATGATTTTGATATAGTAAATATAGAATCACTATTGATGAAGTTATCATAAAAGAATAAAGACAATTCCTTTAAATGAAGAAGCTAAGCTATTCCTTATGAAAGACCCAACGAGCCCTCGCGTTCGACATAATTTTAACTATTGATAGTTAATTAAAGCTATTTTAGTTCTTTTTAATAACCTATTGATTCACCAATTTTCTAAATACCAATGCTATCAATGTAATTCTTAGAACCAATATCCAATTACAAATAATTCAATTTTACTAATTGTTTTAAGCCTGATGCTACATGACAAGCACCCTCTTACTAAATGTTATTTTCTAGAATAACTAGTTAAAGATTTATCAAATTAAATAATTAATTAAAAGAATCACATAAAACATACAGACCTTTAATATTTGTACTATTGTATGGAATAGTAAGGGTTAAATCAGATAGGTTATGTAAGGAATTAAAATTTTGACTTAATAATTCTAGTCTTTAGTTATTATTTTCAATTGTTGAGCTAGCCAAGAAAATATACTCAAATCTTTTTAAAAGTGTAAGATTTTTCAAATTCTACCCTAAAATTCTGATTGAAGAAATAGGAACAAGAGTGTCGTAAATGTATAATTCTAATGTGATTAGTTATTTAATGCTTGTTATGGCTTCAAATAATGTATTCCAACCTAAAGCATATAATTAATTATCTTAATTTATTATTAATTTAAATTTTTCTAAAGATTATAATTAAGAGAGACCTTAACTAATATATATTATCTCTCGGTTGGTTATTTTATTTTAACTACCTATCAATAAAAATAAATCCCTTAAATTTACTATTTTTTTAAAACTATTTCTAATATTTAGAGCTGTCGTGTCGTCTATTTGATTTTCATCAAACTTTAAATTGAGCTGTTTAAGCTAAGCAAGGTAACTTATGCTCTAAAAAATATCATAAATTCCTGTTAATTTAATTTAAAATTAACTAAAATCTAAAGTTAGACTAAGTAAGTTGTTTAAGTTTTAAAAGAAATCATTAAAAGCAAAAGTTTAATTTAGAATATATTTATTAACTCCAAGTTAAAGAGTTAATAAGCTTAAATTAGTAAAATATTTGAAACTCTATCCAATAAGAAAAAGAGATTAAATTGTTATCTACTATGACTTTATAGCTATTTTCAAACATTCTAAGTTTGTTAACTTCTTAAGACTGTCACATAAAATGACGATATCTTAATCATCAATACTATCTTAAATAATACTTAACTATAAGAGTTTTAGTTTTTAAAAATTTTAAAAAAAAGAGAATAATTATAAAAATTATCCATCACCAAAACAACCATCTTTCATGAAAATCTTTAGTTATTTAAGTCCTCTGAGATTAGAAAGAGCCATCATATTTTTATAGACGTAGTTACCACTAAAATATAAAACAAGCTTTTCTAACAATTCTAATGAGCCAATTGATACAATAATATCTTCTAAATTAATCTAATTACTATTATGAGGTCTTATCTTTATTTTTAATTTTATTAGTTTGCTGAATTATTTGATGCTTTAAGCCAAAAGATTTATGTTTTCAGTTCTTTAAGGAAAACAACCTATGATATCAATTTCTAGGAACTCTAGTTTCGTAAGAAATTCATGAATTTAGTTTAGATTATTGTTTTTATAAATACAACTTTCTTCTAAAGTAAGGAACTATTTTATTTCTATGGGTATTTTATTTTATGAATTGTTATTTTCTAAATACTTAAAAAAATTAACTAAGATTTCTATTTGTTTTTTTAAATAGAAATATTAGCTGCTTTCTAAGATTTCATGATTTACATCCATAAGGGTATTCATTAGACGAGAGTAATATTTAATTGAATAAAATTATTCTTTGTACTTTTTTTAATACACAGTAGGATATTTACTTAGAATTATATATTATTGTGAAATTTATTCTATTGTATTTTTTTACCAGCTAAAACTAAAATAGCAAAAAAGTAAAAAAGGAAATGTTTACTATTATTTTTATTATTAATAAAATTATCTAAAAATTACAGTTATTGAAAGTTAAAATTTAAAAATATTTTAGCTAAAACTTTATACTTAAAAAAAAATGTATTAGAATTTATATCTAAATAAAAACGATAATGATCTGGAATGAAATTATAAGTCCATTATAAAAGATTTGCATTAATTTAATAAAGTATATTTTTGGCACTAAATATGCGTTGGATTAAAAATTTTCAAAATAAATACAAAGTTTGATCTGTAATTAAAATGTCTTAATTATAAATTATCAGCTAGCACTAAATTTTAAATTTATAGGTTAAAAAACAAACATTATCTAGAATTAGATTTTTTATCTAAAACGAGCACAGCGTTTAAGCAAGTAATGGCTGCTATCATAATCCAATAAAATATTCTTTACAAAAGTATAAGCAGTCTTCGTTTTTTATCAGAAACTCTATAACTTAGATTATTCCAACTGAAAAATACAAAGATTACTTAATGAATGGTAGAACTAAATCAAATAATTATAAAACACATTTATAATATTTAATTGTAGTAAAAAAATAATTCCAGAGCACCCAAATTAATTAATGGATTATTAATTTTTAATTATTATAATTAAATTGTATTTTTTAAAGTCATTAAGAAGTTGTTATTTATAAATAAATAAATAAATAAATAATCATTTTTAGTAGAGTAGAGTATGTATATTCATTCATTAAGAAGAATTTAATAACAACTTTTTAAATTTATTTAAAAAAAACAAAATATTGATTTTTATCAAGTAAATTAGATTAATTTTGTTAATTCTGCTTACTTTTAGCATATTTTTACAATAAATTTTTAAATTATCAACTATATAAAGAAGGATTTTATATTTAAATTTTGTATTCATTATTTGTTACAAACGCAAATAAAATTTAATGATTACTAGTTTTACAGCATGGAAATGCCAATTAAAATTCTTTGATTCAGGCTAAGTAATTCTTAAAAGTAATCTGGAGGATCTACTTTCAGTAACAGTTTTTATGGATCAAATGAAAAAATAATATGCTACAAATTTTTTGAAAACCATTCAGTATTATTTTCATTCTAGTTAAAAAATTTTTATTTACTTTAACAATTTATTTACATTAACAAGAGAAATAATGTAAATAAAAGATAATAGAATCAATGTTTACCTTATTTAGAAAAAGGCCAGTCTTAATTACAGTCAAACAAAAATTTTATTTTATTTTACTATTAGGATGTACAAATCATACTTACTGTTCAAATAGCATAAACTAAGAAAATAAGCTAAAATCTTGAAAAATAAATAACACTTAAATTGATAAGCGTAAATGCATTTCTATTTTGCTTTCACTTAATTATTTTCTTTGGCATTTCTTTTATTAACTTATAAAAACAAGGCAACAAAAAAATAAGGAATTTTATTGAAATATGTAGATAAATATTCAAATATCTAATTATCAAAATCTATGAAAATATTGTTTATTTTTGTGAAAATAAATAATAACAATATCAGTTTTTTGCACAATTTCAATAAAATATTGAAAATCTGTAGAAAATTTGTTAAGAAATAGTTATCTTGTATCACATTCAAAATCTAGTATATTTTATTTGTTCGTAAACAGCTATATTCAAATAAAAAATCGATGTAAGATAAATGTTTTTATTTAATTATTTTATATGAATTTAAACAACCAATTTTAAAATGTTATATGGATGTTTTGTAATATTTTAAATTCTATCTTTATCTTTTGATAAATTTTAAAATCATTTGGAGATCTAAAATTTAAGATTGTATTACATCTTTGAGACTATCAATTAATAGTAGCAAATAATTAAATAAATTTATTGAATTGTATAATTATAGTTAAAAGTAACATATTTTATTTGGTAAATTAATATCATCTATAATTTTTTTAAATATTTCGTAATTACTTTACTGGCAGATTTCCAAATATTATATTTATTTACAACGTATTATATCTAAAAGATAAATACCATCCGTTCGTCCGTCCATCTATTTATCTGAATAAAATTAAATTACAAAATTTAAAAAAGCCAAGAAAGACCTAAAATCTTGTATAATTTTTCGTATTTTTGAGTTATTACAATTACAAATTTAAGGTTTTTATTGCTAGCTTTTCCAAAACAATTTTCATCTTGATTATCATCACTAATGAGTATACGTATATACATTTGTTCATAAGATTATATATTTTAAATTTTTTATTTATTACATGAATGTATAAAAATACCACTATAATAAGAAAACTTTAGTATTAATTGATTATTCGAGTATGTATTTTAAGCATTTAGCACAATAAATTTTTAAATTTTAGAAGAAAATTATTTAGAAAAATATTAATTCATATTTTTTAAAAAAGCCTACTTCTCCAATATTTAAAAAAGTTTTAAGATATTAGATTTGATTAGGTTTTGAGAGCTTAATTGAATCTTTAATGCTTTACCCAACTTTCTTTTTATTGATATTTAAGATCAGGTTACTTTGGGTAAATCAATATTAATTATCAGTAAAGAAGATATTTAAATCCCCAATATAATGTAAATAATTTTGGTTCAATCCCTAATAAAGCTAAGTTATTAGTAGCATTTTAAAGATAAATATTTTGTCAAAAAAATAAATTACACTGGCTCCTAGAAAAAACCATTTGTTAGTTTGCTAAATTATATTTAAAAGTTAATTAAATTAATCCTACTAAAAAAGTGTACATATGTACGCGTATTTCAGATACTAAAAAGAAAAAGAAAGTGATTGAAATAAGTAGTTAAAATTGTAGCCTATTTTAGAAGGATAAATATCTGAACCACTTGAATATTGAGTTGTGAGGAAAACTAATTAGAAAAAATTGCATTTTTTTAATAAATTAATTGCATGTATGTAAGTATGTATGAATATTTGTATGTATATAGGTTAAATAAATATTAAAGTAAATCAATCAATCAGTCAATTAAAAAAAATTGTTAGCTTTTTCGTAGTATTTTTATAGCTTCAAAGTAATCATGATATTATTTTTTAATTTATTGTATACTATTTGTCTAAATAATCTAAAATATAATCGTAACTAAATACAGATATAGAATTTTATTATTATCTTCAACTAGTTATGGATGAAGGGGTATGAATGATATTTTGCCTATCTTACTTATATCTCAAACACTTAAATACACATTAAATTTTTTGAGATTACTTATATCAAAGAAGTGAAATACATAGACGCATCATGTGTTAAGCAATTAAACCTGATTAATATTTAATTTTTCCTTTTAAAGCTTATTTTATGCAATATTGAAATTGGTATCATTTAAAAAATCAATTTGATAATTTTAATTTCGAGCTTTCTCGAAAATGCTTGACATTTATTATGATTTTGAAACATTTGTTCTCTTTGTAACAGTCTACGAAGCAGTTATAAAAAATAATTTATGTTGCAAATTTACAATCTGGAACTCTCTTATCAAGTTAATTTTATTACGCTAAATGATGTCACATTTCCTTAGAGATAATATCAAAATATTGATTAATTATTAGAATATATTTAAAAAAGCAGCTATATTTATATAAGCTTTTTTTAGAGTCGAAGGTAAACTCATAAATTTTAAATCAATATAAGCAGAAAGGTTTAGCATTTAACACTAATAGAGTTATTACCGATTCAGCTCCTGTAAGATAGACAATATAATTATTTTTTCTATTTTTTATGTAGAACAAATGCCTAAAATACTTTTAAAGTATTCATTTATTAATTCTCAATCTATTCCTTTTTCCATAAATGAGCAAAGGGAAGAATAATGAAGCAAAGAATAGAAAAAAAGTAAAAACCTAATTTAGACTTCAGTTTTTGAGTCGATCTAAATAAAATAGATTGAGAAATTAAGTTATGTCGATTAATGAAATTTACAAATTCTTCTTTTAATTAATTAATCAGACATACAAACAAACATAGATACATTCGTGATTAATTTTCTACTATGAATATTTTTACTGGATGTGGAAAATTAAGATTGGGTCATTTACTGATCCTTGATGAAGGATTTTTAATTTCAGTAAAAAAGCACCAGTTGGTGACGACTGCAACTGAAAATGATGATTTAAAAGAATTGAATTTATTAGGCAATATATAAAATAAAATTGATAACTACCACACTTACATGTCCATATATAAGTTGAATGGTTGATTAATAATATTTGTAAAATAAAAATAAAGCGATTTAGATGATAGTAAATTTTTAGAATAGAAGTAGTAACACAATATATAGCAAAAAGCAGTAAATTGAAATAGGAATATAAAAATTAGATGATATTTATTAAGTATTTTTTTTATAGATATAAGATTAGTGATTTGTATGTATCTGGTGGGTGAATTATAATTTTGCAGTTGAGAGAGTTAATTAATTTGGTATTTATATACATTTTGGTACGCGAATTTTGTTAAAGCTAAATAAATAAATAAGGGAGGGATGGATGGATGGAGTAGTTGTATTATGATTATTATTTTTTTTATTTATTCTTTTTTAATTAATGCGCCTTAGGAGTTTTAATTAAATTTTATAGTAAGGAAAATTTAAGTAACATATCCTATTAGACATTTTCTATATACATTTTTAGATTCTATAGGTTTATTGATTTCTGAGAAGAAACTATTAACTAGCTTTCTTCACATAATAGAGAGTCTACTGTTTAGTTTGCAGTCTTAAAACTGTTCTCTCTTTCTTTGTTTAATAGCCCTCACTACTTCCAAGCACAAGTCAGCCGATTCAAAGTATTCAGAGACACGGTGATTCTCAGGGATTTAATGGTTCATATCAACAGTTCCTGACTTCTGATAGTGGGAAGGTTGGGTATTTTGAGAGCAAAAAGTTCTCTTCTTTTCAGGTTTTTCAGAGTTAGGTTTACCAGCAGTGCAGCCCATTTATATTTATCAATATATTTATTTATATTTTTGGTAATAAGAGATGAATTTAAAAAGCTGATTTTTTTTTTCCAAAGATTTTTCTCTTTTGAATTATTTTTAATTAATTAATTATTATTGATATTTTATGACTGGATTCGTTTGCAAAATTTATATAATAAAGACTGCCAGTATAAAACAGATACTTGGTAGGTTTTTAGAAAAGAATAAATAATCTAATCAATCTTAATTAATTTATAAACCAAAAAGAATTTTGAGTGATTAATATCAAGCATTATGTAAAATAAATACTTACAAATTAATATCTGATTGAATCTACTTATCTTGTGGATATGTAAACATATTTACTAATCTTAGTATTACTATTAACAAAATATAATTTTATTTTTACCATTTTTACAAAATCTAATTTTGCGGAATTATATTGTTTGTTTTTTTAATTTTGTTATATCATGCATAATCTTACCCTCATTTATTATACCTAGTGTTTCGTTAGATTCAAGCTTTATAAATTTATGTAATTTCACTAACTTTTATGAATATATATATAAATATATTCATTTTTTAAATTGATTCTAAATTTCATTTATCAACCTGACAAAATATATTTAGAATTCAAAGACTTTATTTACAATTCTAAAAAATTTTCAATATAATTTAAATATAAAGCTATATTTAACTCAAAAATCAATAAGAATCCATTTTCTTAAGTTAAGTCAAATAAACAAATAAATAAATGATATTTTATTTCAGTAATTACCTAAAAACGATTTTTGATTAATCAAATATTTTTAATAGATATTTATAAGATATTTTAAATCTATTTATAAATCTTAATGAAAAATTAAAATTAAATTTACTTTCCTTTTTTTCAATAGAAAGTTCAATAAATTATTTTGGTAAAAAATATGAAACCACAATCATAGAGAAAATTTTTTATTTTTAGTTTCTCTAATGATAAAATGTAAGTCAAAATCAACAAAGTCGGAAATGTTTAATGTAATTTTAAGAAGAATTTATGCTTTCCAAATAAATTTATATATTTGCTTAGTAATCTATCTTTTGAATATTGAAAATAAAGGCAGCTGCATTAAATTTATTTATTGGTGATATATTGTTTTATTTATTTTGATGGCTGATATTCATAAAATAAAAAAAGTTAACCATTGATGAACTGGTTCTTTTTTGTGTTCCTTTAATAGCAAACAATTTTATGTCTTTACAATTAATTTTGTTTTCAACTTTTTAGAGCTTTTGTATGAAATATTGTAAAATATCTCAAAAATTGAATTTTTTATTGTAAAAATCAATTAAATTATTTTTTTGGTTTGAAATTCTATTGAAAAATCAAATAAATTTACATTTGTCTTTATTTCTTATTAACTATTTTAAGATAATAATTAAAATAAACGAGCTACTTTATTCTTAACGAGTGATAATGTTTTAATAGAATAAAAATAAAAAATTTTCAAAATACATTAAAAATATTTTTAGAAATTAATTCCATATAAATATATATTTTTTTTATCAAAAAAGAGTATTGTTAAAATAAATATTTCACATATTATTATTGTAAAAGCAGACTTTCAAGAATCATCAACCATAAAGTAGAATAATTTTTTTATTGTAATGCATTTTTTATTTTCTCTATTTCAAAGAAAGCATTCAATAAGCTGATCTTATTTTATTTTATGTTTGTACCATTACTGAATCAATAATTTTTAACAGATCATTATTAAAAAATCCATATAGTATTAAATTTTGAGCTCTTCTACTTTGCAGTAAATTAAAAAATAAGTAAGTATTGTTTAAATATTTTACCACACAAATATGTATTTAAAATCTAAAACTTTGAATTTATTAATTCAGTAATCAAACATCTTATTTATAAAAAGAAGTATCAAAATTTATTGATATTTATTTATCTTTTTAGTCCTTTTATAAGTAAATAAATAAATACATTTTTTTATTTCTAATTTACTTTCAATTGCTCACTAGTCATTTTTCAAAAAAAAAAAAAAAATTGAAATAACTTAAAATTAATTAAAAATGTTGTGAAAGCGAATTCTTTTAACTATTGCTATGATACATCAATAGCTTGTTAATTGTTTTAAAATAATAATGATATAAAAGTAAGTCAGATAAAAATGTTTTGATTTAACATATATGTAATATGAATTGATACAATAAAATAACTGAGAAAAAAATACTCCTTCGCAATTTATCAAAATAATTCTTGAACTTTTAAGCCTATTGATTTTACTTAAATAATTAATTAATTAATTATCTATTTAATAGATCTTCTATAAATCATATTATTTATATATTCATCAGTTTTTATACAAGTGATCAATAATTTATGAGTTATTTATTAAAGGAATAAGTAAAAGCAAGAATTTTTTTTGTTCGCCATGCAGAAAGCAGCAACAATGTTATAAAAGATTAAACATCTGAAAACTACGAAAATGCTAGAGTACCTGATCCTCATTTATCTGAGGTAGGTAAAAAATAGGCAGAAGCATGCGCAAGATATCTAAAAAAGAAAGGCATAAAACCAAATATTGGTAAATTAATATTACAAAAAAGATTATATCAGCAGAGAAAACATAATTAAATTGTCAAAAATAGTATTTTCAAGCTGCTTTTCTAGAGCATTAGACACTGCGAAATATATACAAGATGAATTTAATTGCAAAGCCTAAGTATTTATTTACTTACTCTTTAAATTATATCATTGAGCATTATTTATTTTGTTTATTCATAATGATTTTTTGGCTAGCTCAATTTCTTTAAAAAAACTGAATTAATTGAATCACAATTAAAAATAACAGATTTTCAGAGAACTACATGAGATAGGAGGGTTACAATATAAAGGAAAAGGGTTTAGAGGAGAAGGAAGAAAATATGTAAATACTTTATTTGATTTACTTAGTTACTATTTTGAATTAAAATTGAATCGATATAATAAATTATTCAATAAATAGCAGTCTAACTAACTAATTAACTATATTTTAAATTATTTACAATAACATAATAAAGTTCCAAGAGAAATATCCCTCATTTGTTATTGATGAAAGCATAAAAGAAGATGGTTGGTTTTTTCATGAGAAAAAAGAAACAAATGAGTAGGCATATGATAGAATTAAAAAGGTATTGATGCAAATTATAGAAATAAGCCATAAATATTACGGTAAAAAGCATATTTATTTATTCATTTATCAATTTTATACATTTCAAAAATAATATTTGCAGTTAATTTTTGAATAGTGATTATGAAACTAAGAATAAGGCTTAATTGATTATATTACTTAACTATTTTTATATAAAGAGGAAAATTAAAATGGTGCTAGGCCTGATTTTATATTTATTACACATGGAAATTTTTTAGATATGGCTGTTGGTTAGCTTTTATTTAGATAGCAGGGTATAGGTAAATAAATTAATTAATGATGTAGATATTAGACAAATTAAAATTTATTTTTAAAAGAAACATTTATTTAGCATAATAATACTGGCATTACTGCTTTTGATCTCACTGAAAAAGATAGATATCTAATAAAATATTTAAATGAGTCTAATCATTTGGAAGAATTGAATATAGAAACAAACGAAATGGAAAAATCTGTTACAAAAATAGAAAATCTAACCTTAAAAACTCATCAATCTCAACCCTTAATAAAAAATCACAGCTAATAAAATTATTGATTCCGACTAAAATAAAATGCTCATTTATTATCTATACTGGTATACTTGAAGGTTTAGCTAGCTATTTTATTTAAATTTACTTTTCTAAACACATTTAATAAATAAGAATCATTAATTACTCATAAACTAATATTATATTTAAATATATTATAACTATATGTGTATTTATGTTAACTATTTTTCCTTTTTTGTAAATTAAATTCTTCAAAAATTTAATTATTGTTTTTATTTTTTTCTACTTTTTAGTAACTTTATAATGAGTATAGGAAAAAAAGTTGATACATTTTTGAAAATTTTTTTTAATTTAGTTACAAATGTTTTTAATATCTCAAATATAATTTTTTTTCATTATATTTACCATAATTAATGTTTTATAAGGGCTACTTATTTATCAGGAACAAGAATTTTTAAATAAAATTTAATAAGGAGTAAAAAAGTAAATAAATGATTTTTAGAACATCCATAAAGAAGAGTACTTATAGTAATTACAATTTTAATTATAAATAAAAAAGGTGAATTAAATCTTTAAATTTTATCTTACAAAAGATTATAATTTAAAAAAAATATTAAATTTTCATTTTTGTAAAAATCTTTATTTCAAATACTTAAATTGTAATTACAAATACATTTCGAATATTAAATATTTGGTTTTAATTTTAAGTTAAAATAAATTTGAAATATGACTGTTTTATATTTTTTCTTCTTTTTTTATAATTTCAATAAATTAATTCTAGATCTAATTTAATAAAAAATTTAAAGAATTAGTAGATATTTAATTGTGGTTTCAATCAATTTTAAACTAAATAATATTACGTAACATTTAAATTTTGTTTATAATTTTACAACTTAAGTTTAGTTAGATGAATAAAAATAGTTATAATTCAATTTTTAAAAATGTAAATTTATTTAAAGAGTTTTTTAAAGCTTATTATTTTAAGTTTTATTAATTTTTCAGTTAAAAAACTCATTCAACATTCATAATTTTTATTTTGTTGAAAAATTAAATAATAAGACAAACAAACAAAAATTCTTATACTTGTTAATTATTTATTTATTTTTTATATGAGTTTGCTTTTAAATAAATGCTTAATAATATCATTTAGATAATTTTAAGCAAAGTTTGAATCTTGAAATACTATAAATGTTAAAATAAATAAATTTTATCATAAACAAAAATTATTTTTTTAATTTGATTTAAAATTTCAAAAATATACTTTAAAATAAATAAAAAAAATTAAAATAATTTAAAAATTAAATCACCTGCTTTTGTTTCATCTTAATTTCTTAATTGTTGATTGTAATATAAATATAAATATTTTCTTGCTTTTAAAATAATTTGATTGAAAATGAATGATAATCGATAAAATATTTAATTAATTAATATCCTAAGTTTATAACATTTAATTGAATTTTATTTTTTTTAAATAAAATAAAGATTATCAAATTAAAGATAGTATTCTGCTAAATGCTAAAGAAGATTCTTTTTTAAATTAAACCTGCCATATAATAACTTATAAATTGAGGAAATAAGAATAATGATTTTAATTTTAAATCTGAAATTCCAAAACGTAAAAAATGCATTTAATTTGGATAGATTATAGCAAAGAACTTCATGAGTGTCTTATAAAACATTTACTGCTAACTTACTTGAAATAATGAAAGTAAGTAAGTGGGTATTTGGAAATTTTGAACAAAGATAAAGAATACAGAGAAAACAAAAATTCTATAATAAATTATTATATTTTCCTAATTTCTCTATTTCTAAAGAAATACTCACTCAATCAGACATTAATTTAAAGTATGTAAGAATTTATTTATTTATTTTAAAGAAGATATGCTTGCTTTTTATCTAATTAATAAATATCTCACAAGCAGTGAGCCCAGTGAGAAAGACCAGTCTTGATCTAGTAATCTTAAGTAGAAACAGAATTAGGTTTATAGAATTCTGAGAATTTAACAAGGTTATTAACACCAAGATTAGTTAATTCGTGGTGTTCAGTTTGCTTAGGTTCCTAATATTGATTGATGAAACGAGTCAAGTTGAGGTAGTGGTGGTGGTGAACAGTTTAGCTGACAATGTTATCAGAAAGAGGTGAGATTATATTTTCAAGAGGGTTTTAGTTAAGATTAGCATTTTTACCGATAGCAGCGGCAAGGGTGCTGATAATGGTATTCCAGTCGAAAGATTCAGTACCTCTAGCGACATATCTGAGGTTTTAGAGAGAATTATTTTCCAAAATTCTTTGGGTAGCTTCAGCTACATTCAAAGTGTGAACAGGAGAAATACGATGAGCTGAAGGCTTAAAGTAAATAGATTTTCCGTAAGCAAGACGGGTAAGTAATTCAGAAACAACAGTGGAATCTTAACCAAAAGTCAAATCAGTTTTAAGTTCAACTAATCCAGGGAATGCTACTCTGGCTTCGTTTTCTGATTAAGTAGCTGCAAGAACGGCTTGAGACTCGCCATAATGATCGTTTTCTACAGGAGTGACATTGACTAATCTCTTAACTCCGGCAGATCTACTTAGAGTAGCGGTATGCTTGATCAAATTTAACTTGCTTGGAACATTGTAGTAATAATCGTGGGTAACATAAACTACGTGACTGGCTTTCTTGATGGCAGACTCTAAATCGGTCTTGTCAGTCAATTTAACTTCTTCAAGCTTGGTCTTATTTTGGGTTAAGGTATCCTTAAAACGCAAATAGCGTTCGAGATAGTAGTATTTAGGGAATACGTCTGCAACAACAATCTTTTCATATTTACCGGAACTGTGTAATCCACGGATGATACCCTAACCAACCTTATTTGCACCTGAAACAACTAATAAACTCATATCTAGTTATGAATCTTTTCTTTAATATACTTTATGCTTTTTTCTTCTTTTTCTGCCTTTATAATTTTTTCTTTCGAAAAATTTCTTTGCAAAACTATTTGATTTATATTTTATTCAGATTTGCGATTTGCTTGCTTGCAAACGCAATATAATTGCAAAAGGAAATCAATCAATATAAATGAATTAATAAATGAATGAATGTATCTATATAAGATTGAATGAGATTGATATATGAGAGCCTATACTTTAATATGTTTTTTTTTTTTAAGTAATTCATTATAAAAACAATAGATTTCATTCATTTGCAAAACAATTTATTTATAAACAGAATCTTAATTGAAATTGTGATTTCATTCATTCATTCATTCATTTATTCAATTAATAAATTATTTATCAAAAAGTGAGTTATTAAGTTAAGATAAAATTTTATATAAATTGATAAGTAGTCAAGTAATACAAGAACATTAAAGATTTATTCAACTTTTTTGATAAGAAAAGTCTTTTTAAATAATACTCATTAGTATCTAATATTTATTCAATTTTTATTATGATTTATTCTTAGATATGCGTAGAGCTTTTTTATATAAAATTTCTATGTACCAATTTAATTCTAAAAATAAAAAATCTTAAGATTCTCCTAATTTTACTATCAAATAGTGATTTCTCTTCCATCACTCACTCAATAATTTGTTAGCAAATTGTAAAATAAAACATATTGGATAGCTAAGCAAATTTTTTGTGTGCTTTTTTGCAAATTGTTTAATATTATTTTTTATGATTTTGATAAAAATTTATTAACTTAAATATAATTGTATTATTAAAAATATTATTTATTATGGATTTTTGCATGAATTTTATTTACACATTTGATAATTTTTTATTTATTAATTGTGAAAAATAAATAATAAAAATGAAAATTTTGAATGTCTCGTTGAAAAAATCAGAAATGACAAAACGAATATTACGATCACACATAAAATTAAAGAAACGTGAAGAATAAATAATTAACGATTTTGCCACTTTATTAAACTTTAAAAGCCAGTAGAAGTTTAGATTTTAAAACAATTAATTCTAAAACTCCCTTGAGAGGCTACTTAAGTTTCGATAATACTTATTTCTCAAGCAGGTAAGATTCCCAACTTCTTTCTCATTTCGAAGTAAAGTCTGTAGTTTTGGTTTCTGCAAGGGTTAACAACGATACTGTTACCAGGTAATTCGTAGTACATAAGTTAGAACATAGGAATAGCAGGCATGCCCCATCTTTTTAAAAATAATTAAGTAATTAAGGTTAATTACAAATTTTTCATTCACATTAAATTTTAAAATTATTACTTTTGATCGTGATAACCGAAATGAACTTGACCACTTCCTTCAATATTCTTACCAGCACGTAAGGTGGCATATTGCTTCTTGGAGTAGGCAACTAATTGTTAATAAATATAACTTTAGCTTAATTGAATTTTTTCAATGTATAAGCTTACTGGATTAAGCTTTAAGCTTGATGAAACCCAAAGTGAAACCAATGAACATGGAGGTAACGATGAGACTATTTTAATAAAGGTATAATTAGTTATTATCAAGCTAAATAAATCATGTTTTCAAAAATAATTACGAAGGCTTGGCTAATCTGGCCTTGTAAGTCTTCCAGAAAATGTAACCCATAGGGTTCTTAATCAATCTGAAGAGATTCTTAAACCATCTTCTCTTGTTACCTCTATCAGGGAACTTCTTTCCTAACTATAGTTAAATTAAAAATTAGTAACAGCAATAATAAAATATGTTAAAGCTTCTTATTCTCATAGGGATTTGAAAAAAATTATATTGTTTTTTTTAAATAAAGCAAATATCTATTTGATGGAGAATTTTAATCAAAACTATCTCTCTTAAGGGGTTATATGATTGAATGAATATAATATTTAGTCACATAATTTAACTGAATTATTTAAAAATATCTTAAGATACCATTATTAAAGATTAGAACAGTTTTAATCATTTATTTCTCCTTTAAAATATATTAAGCCATTTAAATAATTGTTTATTTATTTTACTAAAATTAACATTAAATCCAATATTTTATAGCGATTTTTACATTTAAATTATTTTATTTTATATTGTTTATTCCCAAATGAAATTAACGAAAGTGGGAACATTTCTATTTAAGATTTAAGCATTGAAAAGAAAGATTTTCTTTTTTATTGTATCTGCTATAAATTTTTATCTATTTATCATTTCGAACAAAGTAAAAACACTAAAGATATTTGTAACAAATAAATCCTCCTATATGTTTGCTTGATTGTTTATAATCTTGTTTGACTTTTTAATATGCAAAAGCCTATCTATATCTTTATCGTTTTTCTCATAAAAAGATTCCCTAAATAACTTTTAGTGAATTTGCTTATGCAATATTTTTGATATCCCTTTGAAAATAATGTTTGATGCTTTAAAAATAATTGCAAATAATTTCTTACTCTGAACTTTTCAAGTTCCCAATCGGTAGATTTACCCATGCTATTTTGATATTAATAAAAAAGAGTGATTAGTAATGCTATTGAGATAATATTTTTGTAATTCTAGTTTTATTGATTATTTTAAACTGCTTCAATCTTTAAAACTTCCTATAAATTGTAATCAATTTCTATAAATAATATTTGTAATTATACCTTCTCCAGATCATTTCGTATCTCTCCTTCTTGTTAGGAACGGTATGAGCTATATTCATATTTAAAAGAATATTAATAACAACCTTTTATCTATAATTGCTGTCATAAATGATAAATAAAATCTGTTTGAATATTTATATTTTTTTTATCTGCAAGCTATTTATTGTTCTATATTATGAATTTTTTTTATTTTTATCAGATAGTGAAAATGGTGAGAACGAAGGATCTAAATCTCGTATCTTTCTCTTTATCCATAAAAGGTTCTTTGTTTATTTGTCCTAAAAAATTTACCAATATAGTTGTAACCGTGAGTTCTAGCCTTAGCCCAAGAATCAGCTTGAGAGTGGTCCTTTACCCAAAGGTAATCGGTTTACATCTTTTCGTGGAGTGACATTTCTTCTCTCTTTTCTTTTTAATTGGCTTTTTGTTTTATCTTTTTTGATTTATTAATATTTACTTCCTTTGTTTTTCTTTCTTTTTTTTCAAAATCTCAAGTAAAAATTAACTATTAAATAAAAGAAGAAATATGCATAGAAGCAAAAAAAAAAATAAACAAATATACAAGCAAACAATAAAGCTAAAGAAAATAAAGCGAAATAAAAATATTTAGAAATCATTATGTTTCCTTTATCTATTTATCTTTCTTTTCTTCATTCTCTGCAGTACATTTCTTTTCTTTTTCTTCTTCTCTTTCTATGAATTAATTTCATGTTAGAAGACTACCTGCTAAATAGATAGATAAACTCACTGTGTTGTATGTATATTTGCATATCTCTTAATATACAAATAAATATAAACAAACAAACTAACAAGTAAAAAAGCATTCTTCATTTTCTTTGTTTTATTTATATTAATAAATTTATATAAAAAAAATTAAATTTTGTTTATTTAATTTTTTATAATATTTAATATTCTTTTTTAAGTTTTTGGTTTTATGATTAGTTTTAAAATTTGTATTAGAAATAAATCCTTAAATTTTACTTCTTTAAAAGAAATATTTGTCTAACTCAAATTTTAAAATAAATTTAATAAATCAAAAACAAATTTTAAATTTATTCAATAAAATTATGTTTGGTTAAAATAGTAATTTTCTTTTGCCAAAATCATTTATAACAAATTTAGAATCATGCAAAAAAATAAGTATTTAGAAAATTAATAACTAGATAATTAACACCAACAAATTAATTTTTTTATTATTTATTTCTAGTCATATTTTAATGATTAAGAATATGCTCGTGAATTTAATTCTCTGTTAAAAAAACACTATAAAATTTAATTAATTAAGTAAGTAAGATAGTTTTATCAAAAGTTGATAGGAATTTTAACGCTTAAATGGATGTTAGAAAGCCTATTATTGATAACTTCTCTCACCATGGCAAGTAAAATGAGTTTAAAAATTATAAAATATTTTTATTTTTATATACTTAATTATTTTTTATTTCACTGAGTTTTAACTGAAAAATTATGTTATTGTTAGGTTTTTTGATTGCGTAAATTCTAGCAGAAACCAATCCAATTTAAGATAAATTAATGTACTTTAAGAGATACAAAAGCAGTCTCTGGCATAGTCGAAATATCAAAAGCTCTTAGAAAACATTAAATCAAAGACAATAAATGAAATTTTAGATCAAAATAAATCAACTGACTAAGAATTAACAAAAGAAGTTCATAATTATTATGCAGAAATGTAAAAAATATTTCCTAGAGCTATCAATAAAAATAGAATTAGTTCATTCGATAAAGGAGCACTGTCACGCTCAATCGAAGAAAACGAATATAAAAAATAATAAAAATGTGGTTAATCTAATTAATAGTCAGTTTTGAATGAATCATAGGTAGGAAAAAGCAAAAATATTAGCAAATAAAAAAGCTTTCTTAACGATTACAAATCTAGTCAATAAACACTAACCAAATCATCAAAAAAAGATGAATAGTAACACTCAAAAGTTAAGTTTAGTATAGATAATTAAATAGATTCTATAAAAATAAAAAACAATTAAAAAAACAAAAAGGGCTAAAAAAGATCTATTTTTCATATTTTAAGTGACTCTGATGACTAACTAAGTTAATCCTCAGATAGAGGTAAATTTGTGAGTGAAGAATATGCAGCAAGCAAATAAGTTTTTTCTGTTAATCCTAGTTAATAATAAGATGAAGAAAGTAGATAAACTATTGATAAAGTCTGTTAATCAGATTTATCAAATTTAAATTCAGATATTTAAGTCCAATATAAAAGACACTCTATAATTAAAACACCTACAAAGAATAATCATTTTACTCCGAAATCTAACAATTTTACTTATTCTAATGACAATAATTTTATTTCAAAAGATAGCAATTTAAACTTAAAAGATAACAATCTTAATTAAAATGATAGTAATTGTATAAAAAATCATAGAAAAATATTGTAAACTGAACCAGAGAATTCACCTAATGCTTATAATATACATACGGATTTATCCTCGTTATATGATGTAAGTGAAAAAGGTTTAAATTTAAATATTTAAAAAAGATTCAATTAAAAATACAAACCAATAAATTCTTCTCTGAATGGATTATAAATAATTAAAAATAATAGTGGATTTGCTTGTAAATATCAAGCAAATCTCAAAAATACATAAATCCTTGAACCTTTAAATATTTCTGAGAAACAAAATAAATCATTCTGCTCTAAATTAGAAGAAGATTCATCTGCTAACAATAGTTTATTTGATTAGAGAAACCAGAAATACAATAGAGATTTTAATTCTCGAAATAGTTCAAGCTTTTCGATAAATTATGATAATGGAGAAACTTCACTAGAAAAGAAATCTAAATTTTAAACACTTTAGTAAACTTAAAAGTAAAATAAAACAGAATTTTATTATGGCTGTATAACTCCTATTAATAACTAAAATAAATTAAATTAATTACCAAACTCTTAGCAGAAACGATAAAAGAGCAGCTCAAATGAATCCAGGTTATATCATTTTGATTTCATTAAATAGGATTTATCACCCACTATGCATAAAGAAAAAAAATCTCTTAGAATAATATAAAGGCTTTTTGAGCAATCTCAAGAAATTTAAAAAGTTTATAAAAAGTAACTCAAATATTTTTTGTCATTATTCAATTTTCATTTTCGATATTTATTAATAAATAGCACAGAAAATAAAATAAGTAAAATACAACACTGCATCTATGACAACTTGTAAAAAACTTTAGAAACAATGGAAGATGACACAGTTTAATTAAATTAGATTGACGAACCAGAAGATAATTACTAATAATTGCTTATCCACACTGGGCTAACATCTAATTAAGAAAACATTGATAAATTCAAGGTTGAATTGAAAAAAAATTAAAGTTAAGTCCTCTAAGAAGCAAGTAATAGAAATATGTAAAAATTAAAGAAAGGTAACTCAAATAACAACTAGCAAAACTAAGTAAAAAAAGAGTTCCCTGTATAAAAAATGCCATATTCTATGAATAAAAGTGGAAAATTTTAGGCTTTAGTTTAATTAAACAACATCAATCTTGTGTGATAAAAAATATGACTCTTTAAAATTTAATAAATAAAAAATAAAACAATCTTTCTCTTTTTCCAATCTCAAATTAAAATGAGCAATTTTTATAAAAACTTCTCAAAATTAAAATCTTAGGTACTTAAAAAGCTTTCATCTTTAAATTCAAATTAAGGAATATTTATTTTTCTATTTTAGTTTATTAAAATTAAGAAATTAAAATAAAAACTAAGAAAAATAATTATTTGATTTTATTAATAGATAAATTTTGTTCTATATACCATCAATTATCTTTGATTATGGGTTTTTCCTCCTAAATATTGATGAAAAAAGTGCCCTATAATATATAGTCTGTATACAGTAATATCTTTCTGTTATTTTTTTTAATTGAAGTTTATACGGTATTATTTAATTGTAACTATTATATTCATATATAATTTATTTATTTTAAAAAATAATAAAACTTTTTATTAAATTATATTTAAAAAAAAGAAATATAATATTTTAAATTGTTTCTTGTAATTTCTAAAAAAAGGCACATACTTTACTACATTTTTTCATACTTTAAAATTAGTTTTAAATGTAAAAAATATTGCTTATTTATAAAAGAAATAGAATAGCTGAGCTCCATCAGAATTAATATCTCGTTTTCTAAATAATCTTTTATTAGAAAAAATCAAAAAATTTATATTGATTTAATTTAGAGTAAGAAAATAAGCTTTGGCTAAAAAAAAAAATTTATTTATATTTTACGAATATTTATATGAATATTGTTTAGAAAAATGAAACTAAGATTTACATTATTTCTACAATATTCGCTCTGTTACTTAATTTAAAATTATTATAACAGAAAGTTTTTAACTTCTTAAGGATTTCTAAAATTTATTAAATGTAAATAAAGAATCAAAGTGAGAGAGAAAAAAAGTTTGTAACTTTATTTACAGAGTAAGTAAGTAATCAGTATGTATAGGAAAAAAATATAAAAAAAGATATTGAATTGAAAATCAAAGAATAAATAATAAATTATTTAATTAATTCATACACTCATATACACATAGATATTTTTAATTAAAAAATGTGTAATTTTAGCTATCAAATTTATAGGTTTGATTAATAAAAGAAATTTTATAGTAAAAAATAAAAATTTGTCAAATTATGATGGCTTGCTAACTATTTTAATTATAGGACATGTTTTGAATCTTTAATTATAATTAATTATCAAACAAAAATTAATAAATTAGGTTAAATATTAAATGAAAAAATTCACTATTTGCTTATTAGCTCTTGTAGCTTTTGCTTTGGCTCACCCAACTAAATATTAAGTTGAAAGAAATATCACTTGCTTTGAACCAACCCCTGCTCCTATAAAATCCTGGCACATTCACATTCTTTACTGGTAAAATAGCCAAAAGAGTGTTGAAGGAGCTTTTAAAATTCGTGACTAATTCATTAAAGACTTCGCCAACGTTCTTGGTGCTCCCTGCACTGACCTTTTCCACTAAGATCACTTATGTATGTTTGATCCTGATAACGAACCTGCTGGTCCTTTCTTGACTGCTCAATGGTCAGCATTTGTCCCTCTTGAACATTTCTAAGCTGTTACTCAATGGTCTATTTAAAATAGAAATGGATATGATTTACTTATTCACCCTAATAGTGGTTGTGAAGTCGAAGATCATACTTGGTGGGCTATGTGGAGTGGTACTCCTTGGTAACTCGACACTTCTATCTTTTCTCATGATTAACCTTTCCCTTGGCCTGAAGATAAGGAATCTTTGAAAGCTCACTAAAAGTAAGCTGAAGAAGAATCCCTCCTTATTAAATTATTCAACAGATACCATCACAACAATAACTGATTAACCAATAAAAATAAATTTTGAATATATAAAATCTTAAGTGTTTGCTATTTATTTTCATATAAAGTTTTCAAATTAATTTATCGGATTCTTTGTTTTATTCTTTTAATCTAACCCAAAAAAAAAAGTTCTCGAAAAATTCTTCAATCACATGAAAAAATAAAAATTAATTAATTTTAAAAAAGCTTTAGATCTATATAGATTTATTTGATTACTTATTTAAAGTGCTCTTACACTCTATATTGATTATGTTTACTCCTTATCTTGATAATTATAATCAATATAAACTATGTATATTTTTATAAAATACTTCTGCTAGACAAAAAATGCCAGTTTAAATTGTGTAATCAAGATTTCAATTAAGGTTTAATTAAAATTTTCTTAATATTACTCTCACCATAAAATAACTCTTTAATCTCAAATCAATAGATTTGTTTTTTTGTTTATGAATATCTTTATCGAAAAAAAAATTTATTAAACCGATTACCTATCTGACATAGAAATTAAATCAAAGTTTTCTAAAAAAATCTTTTATTAAAAATTAATAAGTGCAATTATATAATAAAGAAGCTGAGATAATTAAGTCAATTCTTGTTTTTAAAATTAAAACAAATTTTTACTTTATTTATTTTCTTAAAAATCTAACTCCTAATATTTTCGCTTCAATTTTTATTTCTATTAAACAAAATAATCTTTGTAAATAAATTTAGTTCATAATAGAACTTTTCATTAAATCATCAAAACTTTTTTTAGTGTTAACTCTTTAATTTTTGTTTTTAATTTCTGCTTTTATATATGAATTGAAATAATAGTTATTTTGTTGGAGCTTAATTAGTTTAATTTTAATAATTAATTGTAAATAAAAAACTAGTTCAATTAAAATAATAAAATTGTTTTTAAATAAAAAAATTAGATTAAAAATATTAAGTTAGAAAAAGAAAATATTTTAATCAATAAACAAAATGTAATCAAACTTAAAGAATCAATCGATTGTTTTAAAATCATTAAAAGAAATACATTTAATTGAATATAATAAAGTAATCAATATATAATTTCAGAAGGATTTATTTATTGGAGATAAAGGAGCTACAGTTATTTCGAATTTCATTGAATAAATTTAATAATTAGAAAGTTTAAAACTTGTGTTTAGTTAGAATAATAATCTAAGTTCCTTAGGATTATCAAAAATAAGTTAAAGTATTGGTAAATAAAATAATATAATAGATTTATCTATTGAAATACAAGGATTGAATGAAATTGATACAAATGGTATAAAATCATTTGGAGAAATCTTTGAAAAATTAAAAATTTTGAAATCTTTGTCTTTTTGTATTTGTAGAAATAATATTTTAGATGGAATATCATTTCTGATGGAAGGAATTAAAACTTTAATAAATTTGGAAACTCTTATTTTAAGCTTTTAAAGAAATGTTAATTTAGGTTCTTCTTTCATGAAGAAAGTAGAGAGTGCTTTATAGTTCATACCAAATTTAAAATAATTAAACATTTCGTTAGGATGGCAATCTAAAATAGGTAAAGAAGGTGCTTAAAGCTTAGGTGTAATACTATAAAATTAAAAAAATTTAGAGTTTTTAATCATTAATATAGGCTCAGATAATAACATTACAGGAGATGGATTAAATTACATAAGTTAGGGCTTAAAATTTTTAACAAAATTAAAAAATTTGAATCTTTATATAGGGTATTAAAACTATATTGATGATGACAGTTTAAAAAATTTAGGGTTAGTTGTCACATAGCTAGACTAATTAAATGAATCTCATCTTTCATTCAAATCTGAATTATCTAATAAACGTTTAAAATTTGGTGGAGGATTTTATTACTTTAATAAAAAAAGTATTAATTTAAAAATTGATATAAATAATGTAGACTTAGTTCAAATGTTTAGGCTATCAGAAGGTTTGAGATACAATAATTAAATTTAAAATTTATAACTCCAAATAAAAAATTTGAATTATTGTAAAGATTTAGAATAACTATTTACTAGGTCTTTTTAAGGACTTAAAAATCTAAAATATCTTGACTTATATATATGCAGCAAATTTGCTTCTTTAGGCTATATCGGAAAATGCTTTGCTTAATTGCTTACCTTAAAAAGTCTTAAATTAAAGTTTCAAATTAAAAATAATATTACTACTCTTCAGGATGTTTATTAGCTATAAATGGGAATTTAATAATTTACCTAATTAGAAATATTTAAGTTAGATCTTTCTTCTGAGAATTTGATAAGTTTAGTTGGATTAAAATGTTTATTGTTGGCTATTCAAAAATTGACTTAATTAAAGATCTTAGTATTAATTGTGAGAATAGATTAATTTGAAAAAATAGAAAATTTAGATCTCATTTAATATTTGAGGGATATAAAAAATCTAGAAAAACTATCAGTAACATATTTAGTTAATAAAAAGTTTGAATAGCCTTGCTTGGAAATATTAAATTAGCCTTTCAACTCACTAAAAAATTTGATCAACCTCAAATTAATATTAGAGCAGAGTTCTATGTACTAAAATTTATGTTTGATGCAACTTGGTTTACTGTTTAAGTAAATATAATAATTAGAATGCTTAAAAATATCGTTTGCAGTAAATAATTTAATTAATTTTGATAGTTTTTAAGCCTTTTCAGATTCCCTTGCGAATTAAATAAATTTAAAACAACTATCTTTAACTTTCAAAGAAGGTAACCTTATATGTTCAAAAAGTGCAAAATGCTTAGGACAAGCTTTAGTAAACTTAAAAAATATATAAAAGCTTAATTTTATATTTGAAAAATCATAAATTGGATAAGAAGGATTTGAGTATTTGCAAAATGGAATTAAAAACCTAGCAAAAATTTCTGAAATTAAACTCTACTTTACAGAATTAGCAAGTGTTTATTTAGTTTCTTTGATATAGAATCTTCCTTTAATTAATTCAAAAACATTTTAACTATCTTGCTTACCTTCACTGTACTTCGTAAAAAATATCTAAGATCACTCAGTTTAATCTATTCATTTAAGAACTAACAATGAATAAGTTGATGCTTAATGTATGCTAAAAGGTATAAAAACTTTAACTGATCTTAAAAACTTATAATTAAATTTAAAAGATTTTCTAAAAGATGAAAATTCAGTAATAATGTTTGGATAATTTTTGAATGATCTTACTAACTTGATTCAATTAACAATTAACCTTAGAGGATAAAATAAAATAAGTGAGAGTGGTGCATTAAAAATAGGCTAAGGAATAACTAATTAAATGAATTTAAAACATCTATTAATTAAAATTGATAGAGAGAATAATTTAAATATCAATGGAGCCACGATGCTTGCTAAGTCTATTTGTGCTTTAAAAGACCTTGAAATTTTAGAATTTAAAATTAATGAAAGCAATTAATTTTTTTCAGAATGTCTGATATAATTATCTGAAGGGATAAAGAACAATTTTTTCCTTAAAATTCTTAAAGTTAAAATTATGAAGGGAAACACAATAAATTCTTTAGCTATTCTGTCTTTTGCTAACTCCTTAAAAGATTTAAATAATTTAGAGTAATTAAATTTCCAGATTGATTAAACTACTGAACTTAGCTTAGATTGTTTTAAAGCTTTTATTGAAAATTTAAAAAGCAAGTAAAAAACAATGAAGGAATTAAAATTAAATATCAACTCTCCTTACAAATCCTTTTTTATATCTTTGTTTCAAGAATTTTATGACTTAATTAGTAAAAAACAATTTTAAGATTAATTTTAAATAAAAAATATAAATTCGATAAATTAAAACATTACAGAATTAGATATCGAATTTTAGTTCCACAATTAAAAAAATTTATATCTATAAGGATTTAGTGTAGGTTTACAGACTTTCATTTATTTAGAAAATTTAAAATTATATTTTAAATGTAATATTTTAGACCTCGAATCATCTGGTTATTTAGGTGAAACTTTAAATAGTTTAAGTAATTTGAAGAAATTAAATTTAGAATTTAAAGAAAATAATCTTGATTCAGAAAGAGCTGTAAGAATATTTGAAGGATTAAAAGATTTAAAGTTATTAAATGAACTGAGCATAGAAATATTTGAATAAAATAAAATTGATGAGCAAGGAGCTTTTGTTTTAGGACAAAGTATTTAAAATTTGACTAATATTTATGCTTTAAATTTATAAATTGGAAAAGCAAATAATATTTAAAGCAGAGGATGTTAATCGATAGCTGATAGCTTAATTTATTTAAATTAATTAAAAAATATTAACTTAAAAATTTAAGAATAAAATTTTATTGGTTTTTCTTCTGTTTAAAAGATAAAAGATAATATAAAATAATTAAAATATTTATAAAGTGCATCTATTTCAATTGATGAACCTAGCACAATATTATTGCTCTATTTTTTACAAGAGTCTTTGAATATTAATTTTAGTTTTGAAAATTTTATTAAAGATTTACAATATGTTAAGCAAGATAATAAATTAGTTAAGCTTAGTCTATGTGTTTAAAAATTAAATTTAGGATCTGAAGGAGCTTTTTATTTTTCAGAAATTTTATAATAATTTGCTCAATTAAAATAACTTAATTTAGTTATTTAACAGAATAATTTAGGTTATTAAGGAGCTTTATACATAGGTGAAGCTATTTAATACTTGAAATCAATTGAATAGCTAAGTATTTAAATAGGCAATAATAACATTTAATGCTAGGGTGCTTAAAAAATTAATAATGGAATAGCATAGCTCATAAACTTAAAGGAACTTTCTCTTATTTATGAATTCGATAACAACATTAAGTAATTAGGAGGTATTTCTATTGGGAATTGCTTGGCTAATCTCACAAAACTTACTATTCTGAAAATTAAAATATCAAAGGGAAATAACATAAAAGAAGAAGGTGGCTATGAGATAGGATAAAGTTTAAAAAATTTGATAAATTTAACTGAATTAGATATTGAACTGCATTCAGATAATTCTATTTGTCTGAAAGGTGTAAAGAGCATAGTGGATGCATTGATGTACTTATAATAAAAGTAATAATTTCATGGAAATAAAATAAAAAACTAAAATTAATTAAAAATAATAAAATTTGGTATTGGAGATATAGCAAATATTTATCTACTTAGTTTGATTGCGAATAATTTGTTGTAGACTTAAATTATTTAAAATTGCATTCCTGATTTTTAAATGTAAAGCGAGAAAATTGAAAATGACTAAGTAGTTCAAAATTTGTAATTGAAGATTCCAAAAAACAAATAAATAAAGCAATAAGGAGTAGAAGCTTTAGGCGAAGCTTTAAAATAACTTAAAAATTTGAAGAATCTTTTTCTTGATTTATAGTGCAATAGTATTGAAGCATAAGGTGCATTTGGCTTATCTAAAGGAATTGAAACCCTAAAATGGTTAAATTATCTTACTTTGCTATTTGCTGATTTTGCAAGCATTCATTCTATTGGCCTTTCTTCATTAAGCTTATCTATTGGTTAGCTTTAAAACCTAATAACATTAAAGCTTATTATTGGACGATCAAATAATATAGATGAAGTGGGAGGTATTAATTTAGGGTAAGGATTGAGTAATTTAAAGTAATTAGAAGAACTACACCTCCAAATTGATGCTTATAACGATATTTAAATTACAGGATCAAAAGAAGTTTTTGAAGGAATAAAAAATCTAAAAAATTTACAAAAATTAAATTTGTAAGTTGAAAGTTATGGGAGCTTAATATATCTTTTGTTATTAAACCACCTTCCCTTAATTCAGCCTTAAAATTTATAGCTTAAATACTTTGATTTTCTTCAATTTGAAAGAGAAAAAGGGATTATTAGTTAATTAAGCTTTTCAGTAAATTAGTATTTTTTTGATTAAGCTTAAGGATGTGTTGAATTTTGCAAAGGCTTAGCTAGTTTTAAAAACTTGAAGCAAATTATTTATCATTCAAATTCTTCAGCAATGTCAAAGTTGAGTATTATAGAACTAAGTAAAAGCATTAGTCTTATGACTAATCTTCAAAAAATTGAAATTAAATCTTATGAAAATAACATTATTGAAGATATTGGAATTATAAGCTTTTCTAAAGCCCTTTCCTTTTTATAAAACCTAAATAATCTAGTCTTTGAAATTGGTAGTAAAAGCTAAATTAAAAGAGAAGGATTTTCTAATTTTATAAATGGCATTAATAACTTACATTAACTATAAAGTTTAAGTCTCACAGTACAAAGAGATAATGAATTTTCTTTTAAAAATTTAGCCAATTTATTAACTGAAGGCATTAAAATTAATAACTGTCTAAGTGAATTACAAATTAAAATTGATAACCAAAAAAATAATTTGTTCAGTTTACAACAAATTCTAGATATTAATTTATCTAAACTCGTTAACTTAAAGTGTTTTACTTTTTAGATACAGAATTAAGATGAATAAAAAAATTTTGAATTAAATAAAGCTTTTTTAAAAACACTTCCATTATTACAAAATTTAGTATGCCTTAAACTTAATATAGATTTTAAAGCTAGCTTGGGGAAAATTGGAGTTCAGTCAATATCTAATTGTATAACGAAACTAAAAAAGCTAGAAAATATAGAGATTGATTTGAGTGATAAATTTAATGTTTTATTAATTGAAATTTTAGATTAATTACCAAATTTAAAATATTAGAATGTAAAAATTTAAAACATTCAAATAAATAAATGTTGTCAAATAAAGCTAAATGACAATTCCTAACAATAAGCCTTAATTCAAGAATTAAATGTTTTATTAAATTATGAAAAGATTAATAATTTTGAAGTTTTAAGAGAATTTATTAACACTCTTAATTTATTTCATAATATGAATAAGCTTACTATTTAGATTAGTGGAAAATTTCATAATTTGATTAAAGAAATGGCTTAATTCCTTTAATGCTTAGACAAATTATATTATTTAAACATAAATTTCATATCTTATTATAATCATGATTAGAAGTTTTAATTAAAGAATATGCATAATTTGAAGTATCTTGACATGAATAAGAGTTATCTAAATTATCACTATAAAGTATTATCGCTATTAAAAAGAAAGAATTTAAGGTTAGTTTTAATTAAATGATTCTCTAAAAATATATATTCTTTTATGTAAGAATTTATTTTTATAATCAAAACTATGTTTTTAATTCTATTTTATTGCATGTTTGCTAATTTAATTTCATCAGATTTTATATTATTCGATTTAATTCTATTCTTAATAATTTGTAAGCATTTAAAAAAAAATAAAATTCATCAAATAAATCAAATAAGAATTTTTAGTGTTTTTTTAAGAAATTTTTTTTTTTGTCTTAAAATCGACAAAATATTTGATTTGGATTTAAAATTTATTTTTATAATAGATATTTTTTATATCATTTTTAACTTATTCATTACTGAATTTATAAAATCTCTTTATTTATATTTTTATTTCTAGCAATATCAAAAATAATTCCTCAGAAAGTATGAATTTATAAATCTTATAAAATTTGATTTGGGTATTTTAAACAGAAAATAGCATGATAAGAAATTTAGATTTTATATTTATTGGCAAACAGATTTCATAATTCACTAATAAATATTTTAAATTTGTATATTTGATCTTTTAGATAAATCTAAACAATCTTATCAATTTTGATTTTATTATTTTAAAAACGAAACATCAAAAAAGACATTTTGAGACATTTATTTCTATAATCTTTTATAAAAGTATCATTAATGAAATAATTAATTGTTAATAAATAAATTATAATTATTTAATAAATAAATAAATGTCTAAATTAAATAACTATTTTAAAGTAATAACTCACTGCTTAAATAAAATAAATACTATTTTTATAGTTATTATTTTATAGAGCTTTATAAAGGTAATTCTTTAAATAATTTTTTAAGTATAATAAAAATTTTATTAAATAGGAAAAGAATATTGTCTTATATTACATCTTGCTAACTCTATTCTTTTTAGTACGGAAATTTTTATTTTTAATATACATAGAAGGCCACCTTTAATAGATAAATTTATAAAGTAGATTAAGTGCTTGGGATAAAATTTTAAAATATTTTTCGCTTTTGCTGTTTGTAGAGGAAGGATTCCTATTTTTTATCTCAAAAAAATATGGTTTTGATATTTTTCATTTTTTAGATTATTTTGATTTTAAGAAATATATTAATTCAATCATCTTTACTTTAGTGCTAGTGATTTTTTTTTACTCTTACTAGTTTAATTTATTTCTTTTTTGCCTATCATCCTTGCCTGTTTTCTACTTATGTTAGAGTCTATAATAATTAGAAGTGTGGCTGCAATAAATAAACTTTTTTTTCTAAGTGCCACTAATAAGTATTCTAAAATCTAGCCTTAGTTTGATGATTTATTACGTTTACTTATCCTTTTTGATATAAAGAAATACTTATATCTACAGCTTCTTAGGTTTATCTGTCTTTATATTGCTATTTATTTTGAATCTTCAAAGTAAGATGGAGAAATCAATATATTAGTCTCATGTATCTAAATATTTCATTCATTCAATTCTCTTTTTTTTACACTTCCATGTTGATATTAGAGAAATTGATGATATTTAATATTATAGATAAGATTAGATGCTTCCAATAAGCATTTTAAATACTTATATTATTGGGCAAATGCTGTAAAAATTAGTTTTCTTAGTTTATAGTATTGACGAGTTTGTACTTAAAAGTGTTAATCTTGAATAATCTATTTTATTTACTTTGCTATTGATAGATATTACATTTAAGATTATTGAAATCTACTAACACTCAATAAAAACTATTAAATATCCTGTTTATATTTAACTTGAAAGAAAACAGCTTTAAAATATTTACAAATATAAGAAAAGGAGTGAAGTTTCTTACAAAAATTTAAAAATGTTGAAAGTAAAAAATATGGTAGATAATTTTTCTTTACTATTTTATTTTGGTTAGAGTGAGATTAAAATGAGCTATCTTAACTATTTTGAATAAGCAAAAAGATTTAACTCCATATATGGAGGATAGATTGTTCATATCCATAAATTAGAAATATAAGATTTAGAAATGTATATGCCAGAATATTCAATCAAACCTTAAATCAAAGAAATCAAATTATTTTATATAAAATCTATGAATAGCTTCTTAGACTTAGCAAATTATTTTTTAAATAAATAGTTAAACATTAAATTAAACTTAAAATGTAACAGTTTAGAATAAGAACGAAGCTTTAAAGATTTTGATCAGGTCTAACAGCTGTATTTTAGTTAATTGTATTAAGCTATCTTTTAAAGATTAGTTTTTAACTTATATATTTAAAGTTATTTATAAAATAATCCTAATATTATTTTTGTTGACCTTTATTTTTGAGTATTCTTATAAAATAAACAATTTTAAATTATAAATTTAAATACTGTAATTTCTAATTCCAATTTATAGCACTTTGCTATTTTAAAAATCAGCTGATGGAGCTGTAACTCAAAAGAAGAAAATTTGTAAATTTTAAAATCAAAGCTAAATGAAAATTGAAAGATTGAAGTATTTATTATTTTCTGATTAAATAAAATAATAGCGTTTTAGGAAATATAACTTTGATAATATTTTAAAAATAATTAACTTCAAAAATCCTTTTTTTTTGATCAAATTAAATATTTATTATCAAAAACTAATGATTTTTTATCTTTCTGAATTTCTTATTTGCTTCAAATTTTCAAAGTTAGATACTTAAATATAAACAAAAATAAATAAAAGTAGAAGATTCATCAAGCAAACAAATGTTTTAAAGTTTTGAACATCAAAAAGATGTAAATGAATTACTCTGTAATCATAAATAAATACATATTACAAAAAGCATTTCTTATTGTAATTATAATAACTCTTCATAAATTGTGATTGGAAAATCAAGCACTTAAAGTTTTACAATTATTATTGATTCTTTTGAGGGTTTGTAATCATATTAGAGGTCTAATAAAATTAAAAAACTGGAGGAAATGATAGTCGATTTAAGGAATTGTGATCATCCAAATATTTTAAAATACTTTGATTCTTTTATAATTTAAAACTACCATTTCATTTTACTTGAAGGTGTTGAAAGATCGCTCTACGATGTAGTTTTGTAGCATTCTGGTTCAGATTAGTTTAACTAATCATATTTCAACATTACTATACAATTGCTTAAAGGACTTGATTATTTACATTCTAAAAATCTATTCTTGCATATTCCAACTCTTAAAAGCATTTTTGTAGATAAAAACATGAATGTAAAATTTTTATATTTCTAGACTCAACAAAATTCAGATAAAAATGAATTGACAACTATTTTAAGTTATTTTGACCATTATAAATTACCTTTTATCCCTCCAGAAGATTTTATTTTAGAAAACGATTAATAAGAAATACATTATAAGGAAAATCTCACAGTAGAAGGTAATATTTGGTCAATATGCATGTGTCTCTATGAGATGGCAGGAGCAAGCTATTTACAATAAAAATAATTTGCTCTGGGTATAGATTCTTATAAATTATAATTTTAAGTTCATTATATGATTAATCTTATTTTGTAGCGAACTCTATAGAGAGATATATAATAAAGGCCAAAGCTTAATGACTTAATGGTTTTTTTCTAATCAGCCTAGTAATGGATAGATTAAATCAAAGAATCTTAGTAATCAGAAGCAGAAATTGAAATGTTTGCTGAAGTACAAAAAGAATTTGATAACTAAAAATACCTAGAAGCTTTGAATATTTTACAGAAATTACTTTAGAGTAATTAATGTATTGATAAGTATTTGGCTTGGATAGGCAGATGTTATTGTGCTATTAACTAATTAGATGAATCAGAATATTGGAGCAGCTAATCTTTGAAAATCAATCCAAATAACGATATCTCTTATTTTAATTTAGGAAATATTTGGAAAATTAGAAAGAATTTCGAAAAAGCTATTAATTTTTTTTAGAGATCAATAGATTGCAATCCAAAAAACATATATAGCATGAATAATTTGGGTTTGATTTATGACTCTTAATCAATGGAAGCTTAAGCACAATAGATGTATCTCAGAGCTATTGAAATACAGCCTGAAAAACAATTCCTCTATTATAATATGGGGAGAAGCTTTTATCTACAAAGCAATTACGAAGAAGCTAAAAAATGGTTTTTAAAGACTCTTGATATTGATCCCACATATCACAAGTCCCTTACTTATTTGGGAGAAATAGAATTCATTCAGAATAATCATCAAGAAGCAATGGTCTATTTTCATAAATCATTAAAAGTATCTCCTAATGAAAATACTTACTTTTCTTTAGGTACTCAATATTACAAAAATGGTAAGTATTCAAATTCACTAGTTTGCTTTTAGTAAGCTCAAAAAAAACTAAAGTCTCAAAATCTTTACTATATTTTAGCCTCTACTTACTATTGCAAAAAATAATATGAAAAAGCAATTTATTATTACAAAAAAGCATTGGACTAAAAATCAAATGACTAAAACAGTTTAACATTTATCAGATTGTCTAAAAAATTTATTTGATTAAATAAAATATTTTTAAATGTATTTTGATATTAAAAACTTTTAATCTTATAAATTGAAAAGAATTAAATAATTTATTTTTTAATGTGCAAATGTTATTTACAAATTTAAAAGGTGGGAATAGAAAATAAATTTAATGTGATAAAAAAATATTTCTGATAGAGATAAGATAAGTAAAAAAGGTATCTATCAATCACAAAATGAGAATAGATAAAAAATACTTGAGATTATAATAAATACTTTAAATTTATGTATTTTCTAATTTTTGAATTAAGAGCCTTGTTTTTTTTTAACAATTATGAATGTGAAGAAAATTTGTAAATTTTAAAATCAAAGCCAGAAAAGATAACCATTGAAAAATTGAAGTATTTATTATTTTCTGATTAAATAAAATAATCGCATTTTGGAAAAATAATTTTGATAATATTTTAAAAATAATTAACTTCAAAAATCCTTTTTTTTGATCAAATTAAATATTTGTTATCAGAAACTAATGATTGTATGTATGTATATCTTTCTGACTTTCTTGTTTGCTTTAAAATTTTCAAAGTTAGATACTCAAATATAAACAAAAATAAATAAAAATAAAAGATTCATCAAACAAACAAATCTTTTAAAGTTTTGAACATCTAAAAGATGTAAATGAATTACTCAATAATCATAAATAAATTTAAATTAAAAAAAGTATTTCTTATAGTAACAATAATCATTCTTCAATAATTGTGATTGGAAAATCAAGCACTTAAAGTTTTACAATTATTATTGATTCTTTTGAGGGTTTGTAATCATTTTAGAGATCTAATAAAATTAAAAAACTGGAGGAAATGATAGTCGATTTAAGGAATTGTGACCATCCAAATATTTTAAAATACTTTGATTCTTTTATAATTTAAAACTACCATTTCATTTTACTTGAAAGTGTTGAAAGATCTCTCTACGATGTAACTTTGTAGCATTCTGATTCAGATTAGTTTAACTAATCATATGTTAGCATTACTATACAATTGCTCAAAGGACTTGATTATTTACATTCTAAAAATCTATTCTTGCATATTCCAACTCTTAAAAGCATTTTTGTAGATAAAAACATGAATGTAAAATTTTTATATTTCTAGACTCAACAAAATTCAGATAAAAATGTATTGACTGCTATTTTAAGTAAATTTGAAGATTATAAATTACCTTTTATCCCTCCAGAAGATTTTATTTTAGAAAACGATTAATAAGAAATACATTATAAGGAAAATCTCACAGTAAAAGGTAATATTTGGTCAATATGCATGTGTCTCTATGAGATGGCAGGAGCAAGCTATTTACAATAAAAATAATTTGCTCTGGGTATAGATTCTTATTAAATATAATTTTAAGTTCATTATATGATTAATTTTTTTTTATAGCGAACTCTATAGAGAGATATATAATAAAGGCCAAGGCTTAATGACTTAATGATTTTTTTCTAATCAGCCTAGTAATGGATAGATTCAGTCAAAGAATCTTAATAATCAGAAGCAGAAATTGAAATGTTTGCTGAAGCAAAAAGATAATTTGATAACCAAAAATTCCTAGAAGCTTTGAATATTTTATTTAAATTACTTTAGAATAATTAAGGTATAGATAAGTATTTGGTTTTGATAAGCAGATGTTATTATGCTATGAACTAATTAGATGAAGCAGAATATTGGAGCAGCTAATCTTTGAAAATCAATCCAAATAATGAAATCTGTTATTTTAATTTAGGAAATATTTCGAAAATAAGAAAGGAATACGAAAAAGCAAAACATTTTTATTATAAATCAATAGATTGCAATCCAAAAAACATATATAGCATGAATAATTTGGGTTAAATTTATGACATTTAAACTATGGATACTTCAGCTCAGGAGATGTATCTCAGAGCTATTGAAATAAAGCCTGAAAAATAATTCCTCTATCATAACATGGGGAAAAGTTTTTATCTAAAAAGAAATTACGAAGAAGCTAAAAAATGGTTTTTAAAGACTCTTGAAATTGATCCCACATATCACAAGTCCCTTACTTATTTGGGAGAAATGGAATCCATTTAAAATAATTATAAAGAAGCTATTGTTTACTTTAAAAAATTATTAAAAGTATCTCCCAATGAAATAAGTTACTTTTCCTTAAGTAATCAATATTACAAAATTCGTAAGTATTCAAATTCACAAGTTTTGATGAAGGATGCTGAAAAAAAACTAGAGTCTAATAGATTTTACTTTTATTCAGCCACTACTTATTATATGAAAAAAAAATATAACAAAGCAATTTATTATTGCAAAAAAGCATTTGACTAAAAACAAAATGAATAAAGAAGTTTAGAACTTATTAAAAAATCTAAAAATATGATTTGATTAAATAAAATATTTTAAACTGTATTTTATGTTGATTAAAAACGTTTTAAGATTAAAAATTATTTTTATTTTACAATTTTAAACATTTAAAAGAATTTCTTAATCTAAAATCATAATTATAACAAATACAAATAAAGCAAAGATATTATCAAAAATCCTAAAAATTAAATTATTCATTCTTATCCTGATTATTTTTTTTTTTACAAAACCTTAAATAAGTATTAAAAATTAATTTTTTTAATCTTTATAAAATCCATGATTAAAAACTTAAATGAAATAAAGATCAGAGTATTTTTGATATACTTATTACTTATAACTTAAATAAAAACTGTGATATAAATTAATATAAGCGCCAAAAAGTTTAATACTGTAAAACAATGAATTTTACTTCTGTAAAGTAGTTGTTGCTAGATCATAAAAATATTTAAATTTTAAATTAAAGCGAGAATGATATTCTAAGAGAGGATGATATTTTGAATGTGGAAGACCAAAATAAGAATCAGTTTTGTTTATATGTAAACAATATATTTGATGTTGATAATGATATAAAAAATAAAAAATTAAGTTCCTGTAATCTTAAAGTTTAGTCTATAAAGAAATGCAATCATCCAAACATAATAAAGATTATTGATCATTTTATTATTGAAAATCATTTTTTTATCTTATTGGAAAAATGCTAAAATAATTTAAAATAATGGATTTAAGATAGCTTCCCTGAAGAGATAAATGATCAAATCTTTTCAAATATTTCATTACAAATTTTAAAAGGAGTATAGTATCTCCATAGTAACCAAATGTACCTAAGTAACGTTTCATTAAAGTCAATTAGACTAGATAGTAATAATGTGATTAAAATATGGAGCTTTTAGGAATTAGACTCAGATTTTTAAAATATTTAACCAAAATAATTTTCTATTGAGGATAAATACCTTCTTAACCTACCAACATAGACAATAAACACTTTAAGCAAACAGAATGATCTATCAGATTCTTAATAATAAGCAAGCGTAAATATTTTAGTTGATATGCACTATATTTGTTTATGGATTTATCAACTGTCTGGCGCTAATAAAGATTAATTGTATGCTTATGCAAAACAAAAAAGAATACAACCATAATCAAAAATATCTTTTTATAGTAATATTATAATGTAGAAATTAGCTACACTTTAGGAAACAAATATGCCAACAACAGACTAAGCAATTAAATTATTTGAATAAATAGAAAAACATATAAATTATTGTGAAAACAAAATGGAAGTAGAAGAAGAAGATTAATAAGAGCAAATTTTGTTAGACTTAGTAATTTAATAATTCGAAAATGAATCTTACTAGAAATGCATTGATTTACTTAGAGATTTAATATTAAAAAACCCTAGAAAAGATTTGTATTTAGCTTGGATGGGTAGAGTTTACAATGCAAAATTGGATTTTAAATAATCAACTTATTGGAATGAATAAGCAATTAAATTGAATCAATTTTGTGAGCTTGCTTATTATAATTTAGGGAATTCGTAGAAAAATACTAACTAATACGAAAAAGCAATATTTTACTATAAAAAAGTTTTAGAAATCAATTAAAATAATGATCAAGCTTATAATAATCTTGGAGTAGTTTTTAATTTCTAAAAAAAGCGCCATTAAGAAATAAAAGCTTTTACTTAAGCTTTAAAAATATAACCATTAGATAATGATTATCTATATAACAAATCAAGGAGTAAATATATGCTTTAAAAATTTGAAACTTCTCTCAGATTACTCAATAAACTCTTAAGTATGTATCCTAATGATTACTAAGGGCAAGTATATTTAAAGTAATGTAAAAAAAGTATATGATAAGATTTTATTTTAATTTTTGTATTTTCTAAATTGATTTTAAGAATTCAAATCAGAATAATACTTATTCAAATGTAAGTTTTCAAAATTCTATTTTCTATGGGCATTCTAAAAGTTTTGTGACTTTTTACAAATATTTAATATTTAAATTAAGCTCATATCACATTATATGTATATTTTAATAGAATTTAGTGAGAGGAATAATAATCATAATATTATAAATTGTGGGAGTAAGGAATATAAAAAAATAATTATTTTGAAAAAAATGTTGGTTTTTAAATAATTAAAAAAAACTTAGATTTAAATAACTTTATTATCTTTAACCCTCTTAATAAGTTATCCATTAAAATTAATAAATAGATTTAATTACTTATTTAGATTTTATTAAGTAATAAGAAATTTTGATTACTTCTTAAATTATAATTTCTTCTGAAATTTGAAAAAGTAGATTAAATAAAAAATAAAAGATATTTTGTGTGTTAATAAATATTTTTTTCAATATACATATGGAATTAAATAAGTAAAAATTTTATTTAGCATTTTAAGTAATATGATGTCTAGCTTTCATTTTTGTAATTAAATTTGTACTAATCTTTTACAATGAAGAAAACAAAGGCTAATAAATTTCTTTTTAAAGTATATGCTAAATCCGTTTTACCTAAATATTTAAAAAAAAGTAAAAATATTATTTAAAATTTAAATAAAAAATTATATTTTACAAAATATTTAATTTGAGAAATTATAACTACTCTAAGTTTTTAAAACTAAATTAGATATTTTATATCTGACTCTAATTTTTTCTATAAAAATCGTTTTAAAATATAATTTGATTAAAAAATTTTGTTACTCTAAATTTAAATCTAGTTATTTAAGTTTGTTGTATTGCGAAATTTATAAAAATAAGTTATGGATTCCTTATATAGAGATTTGGTTATTACTATTTTAGTTTAATAAGATATTTACTTACTTACTTATCAGTTTAAGAATTAAAAATTTACTATAAATTCAGAGATAAGTTAATCAATTACATTTTAATTTTGCTAATACTTCCAATCAAGTATAAAAGACCATTATGCTGAATTTTATTAATTCTTAAAAAAAATTAATAAAATAGTTTTGAAATTTCTTTACTATAAATTGATGCTTAAATGAGTGAGGCACTTTAATTCTTATATTAAGTTAGCCAAATGTAGGGCTCCTTATTCATTAACTGAATTATTACTATTAATTAATTATTAATATGTTTATTTATTAAGCTTATAATATTTTATTTATACGTTAAATCAAGGTTTAAATGCACAATTTTTTGGCATTTTTACAACCAATTAGATAAATTTAAAATTCCTTCATCAGCTAAAGCGTTATTTCTTTTATAATATTTTTAATTTTTAAAAAATATTTTTACTTATTTTAATTACTATAATTAGAGTATTAAAGACTTTATATGAGAACATTTTGAAATGCCCTTACATAATTGCTAAATACCTTCGCTGTTAATCGAATTCTAACTTTATTTTAAAATTTTATTTAAGACTTTTTTTAAGTAAACTTTTTTACGCAAGTGAAAGATGCAAAAAATTTATATTTGCTAATTTTTCAATAGAATTTCCTAACTAATAAAATTCTTTAATCTAATTTTAGCTTTAAAAAAGTAATAATTATTATTAGTAATTATATGAATCTTAAATAAAATCTTTAAATACTTAGCTGAGAGAGTTAATTATTCTAAACTTTTCATTTTAGAGATCCCTTCTGCAATACTTGCCAAACCTTCACTCTTTATTTGATTAAAGCTAAATAATACAATTAAATATTATTATTTAATATATTTCTTATTTTTAAAATATTGCAATTTTATACTTTTTATAATTATAAACACTTCTTAAAATTGTTATCAAAAATATATAAATCAAAATTTTTGTTGAAATAAATAGAATTATATTAATTTTAGAAGAAAGAATTTATAATAAATAAAACTCTATTCATTAAAAAAAAACATTCTTCCAAATAAATTATTGATAAACAAATTTCTAATTATTATCTTAAGAAGAATTCAAAGCTCAAGAAAATATATGCTTTTAAAATATTTACCTTACATATAAGCAAAGTTATTTAAGGTTTTAAAATTTTTGTAAAGATTCTCCAAATGCCTTAGCTCCTTGTGACTCAATCTAATTTGTACTTAAAAGAAAGCATTTAAAAGTTATTTAATTAAAAACATTTACGATAAGTTAATCTTAAGTTCAGAAAGATTTTCTAATGATGAAATATATGAGGCGATTTAAATAGCATATTCCACACCAATCGATTTTGATCTTTAAATTAGTAAAATATAATTATTTTTATTTTAAAAGCAATAAATAATACGATAAGTTTAAAGACAATTATTTCAGACAAATTCCATTCTTTAATTCTTAAAGTTATTGAAGTTCTTCAAAACAGATTAATTTGCAGCTTTAAAATTTAATTTATGTAAATTAACTTAGAATAGTAATGAATAAATTACCTTTATCCTATTGTCAATTAAGTTAAACTTGAAATGTTAGAATTAAAAATCTTTTGAGGTATTAAAATTAATATATATATTTAAGAGGTAAAATAAAACAATTTACTTTTTGTTTATCTTCAGTCATTTTATTTTTAGATAAGCTCCTATTTATTTTCAATAAAAATTAGTTATTTTTATTTTTTTTTAAATTTTAAAACAAATTATAATCTTTAATAAAGCATGTAACTCTTCAATAAATAAATATATTTTAGTTAATATATATATTTAAGAGGTAAAATAAAACAATTTACTCTAGTTTATCTTCAATCATTTTATTTTTAGATTAGTTCCTTTTTATTTTCAATAAAAATTAATTATTTTTATTTTTATAAAAATTTTAAAACAAATTATAATCTTGAATAAAACATTTTTACTCTTCAATAAATAAATATATTTTAGTTAAAGATATTAAATTTTTTTTTTAAATAACTGATTATACTTAATAAAATCTTTATATTATGCATTAACCAATTTATCATTAAAATAACATTTACACTGGTTTCAAAAATTAATTTAATAATAATAATAAATTTGCTTTTTGTTTTAGTTGAATATAGATATTTTACTTTTAAGATTAAAAATATGGCAAATAAGGAAGAGGATTTTCTCTGGCTAATTAATACTCTTAAAAAAGTACTTAAGAGATCATGTTTAAACATTTTTTAAAGGATATTTTATATATCTTTCATTAACTCAAGCTTAAAAAGCCTTTGAAATCTTTTAAATGATTAGAGTAGAATTCATTGATTTTTTTTTGAAAATAGGCTGCAACAGACTTTGAGACACTTTATGGAATTGGATTTATGATAAATGATATTATTATTCTGAAATAAGGAGAGCCTAAGCATTGGCTCTATATGGATGAAAAAGTAAATAGCAAAAATAATAGTTAACAAACTAATGTTTAAAATTTTTAACAAAATTGAATAGCGTAAAATCAAATAAAAAGATGAAGAATGGCTGAAGTTTTAAGTCATAAAGGAGTATTTTAAAAACCCTAAGATAAGATAAGAAGATTTAAATGAGATAGAGAATTATAACGATTCTTAGTATTCAAATCTTATTTCCTAAAACTACTTTTAAAAGAATAAAATTGATAAAATGCTATTTTATTTCTATCAATCTGCTCGCGATATAACTGTAATGATAATAATATAAATATCATTTAAGCAATTTTTATATTGCAAACATTTCTATTTGCTTTTTTAATTATGAGTTACATTATTTGTGTATTTAAAGGTAGTGAGACCTGCTTCACTTTCTGTAGCAGAGTAGTTAATGTCAAAGCCATAAGATCATTAGGAGTTACTAAATCATTGGACTAAAATAATAGGCTATTATCCTATAAATAGTTATAAAGGAACAGTATTATATTAAGTTACATATAGTGGAAGAAATAGAAAATGCATGATAGAAAGAAGAAATGTGGAAACAAAAAAATTAGAGTAAAATTTTCTAAAATATTTGTTTGTGTAAAAATGAGTGTACAATAAATTCAATCATTTTTTAGAATTAAATGAAATAATTACATGTTTAAATTAAATAAAGTACAGCTGAATTTTTAAAGAAAGAAGGCTCTTAAAAGAAGACATTTACATTTGAGACGAAGCTGTTTAAGTCTTTAGCCAGTTCTGTAAACGAAAAATGCAATTTACTTGCTACGAGTTTAGTTAGATTTTTAGAAACAAAATATCATAAGACAATAGCAGAAATGCAAATAGAATTTTTCATGAATGACAGTGGTTAAATATATCTCTCAGGAGCTGAAAAAATTAACTTTTATGGAGCAGATGGAGAAATTGATATAAATTTAGACAAAAACAACTTAGAATAGTTTTAAGTAAATATTTTATTCTAAATTTCAGCATAATTTTAATCTAATACTATTCTTATACAAGTTTCCTTAAATGGAAGAATTTAAGTGTATCGGATAGTATTGTGATTGTGCAGGAGATTCGACTTACTATGAAGAGAATGATGAAGCATTTTCAGTTTTTGTATTAATTTTATTTAAAATAACCTAAATATTAATGACTTAAAATATTTTTAGATTTAATCTTAAAAAAAGAAAGATCAAGTATTTTATGTTTAATATAAATCTATTATATTAGATCAAATAGAAAGATATAAAACAATTTAATCAATAAAGTCTGTTTAGCAAGGAGTAAAGATAACCGAACAGCTCATTTTTAAAGTGAGAAAATGTAAAAAATAAATCATTTATTTTTACTTTTATGATATTCTTTTTTAATTTCATAATAATTCAAAAATTATTACTAAAAATTAACTGATTATATTGTAGGGAAATGTTAAAATTAAAAATAAATTTGAGAAACTCAAAAAAAATTAAATAATTTCCCTAATTTTAAAATAAAATCAATTAAAAAATAATAAATTTTATTTGATAAAAAATTACTTTTAGAAAATATTTTAAATGGCTATTTAAATAATTTTGTTTATTTAAATTAAAATATTTATTAATAAATAAAGATTATTCATTTAGCTAGATTTCTGCTTGTCCTTTATTCTCTCATTATAAATTTGATAATATTTATAAAAGAATCCGAGTTTGTGAGTATTGTTATGCAGTATATAATAAAGTAGATAGCATGAGAGCAGATATCTTAAGCTAGAAAAATAGAAAGTAAGTTACAGACTAAGAAATATAAGCAACTATAGATAAAATGGCAAATTCGCAAGGACTTATAAGTAAATTTATTGTAAATTAGCTGACAACATTAAAATGAATTTATTTGTATTTTAGTTGGAGGTACTCAACTGAAAGAGAGAAAAGTGATGTCTAAAGATTTTTATTCAAAACTTGATATATTTGATTCTGAGACTAAATTTTTCAAAGAAAATTTTGTAGTAACTAAATCTATTGATCCTTCGTTCTTTTCCAAAAAGGCAAAGGCCCAAAGCACTTAGAATTTTTTCTCTTTGACTTAAAAATAATAAAATGTATTTTTTTATTTCTTTTTTTATATAAATTTAAAATAAATTCATTATTTAGTTCAATTTAATTAAAATTGGAAGGATTTATTTATATTAAAATGGTAATATTTTATTTTGAGTATTTAAAATAAAATATTTATTTGGCTAAAATCTAAATTTGAATTATAAAATTTAGGAAGATGAAGAAAAATAGTTTGTTCTGCCTAAAATTGTAGAGGTTACAATTTAAGAAAAGAATTCATAATATGTTAAGAAGAAGAAAAAATTTGTTAGCCGATAGGAGGCAGAAGCTCTTGGATTAAAGCATTATTTAGGGCACACTAAAAATCTCCCTTATAGTGACTGTGGATTAGCAATAAGCAAAAGTAGTCTTGCCTTGAACTAGCTTTAGGATAAAATCAGAGATGTAGAGAATCTTAAAAATAAAATAGAAAATGAAAAAATAAAAAAAGTAGTGGAGGAAATCGAATTAATTATGTGTCCTTATTATGGAAATGGAAAGGTTGATACAACAAGATTCGAGCAATTTATTTAAATTTTAAAGGTATTTATTTATTAATTTTATTGAAATAAAGTAATATATTAAGTATATCGATTAATTTTTAATTAAAGGAAAGAGAATAAATATATGGCGTTGATGTAGAATAATCTTTTAGTAAATCTTCTAAAAAAGTGTAAGTAGTTACAGATAAAAACGAATTCTTAACAGGTAAAAAATTCATAAAATCAGTTTATTAAATTAAAGCTCTTGCTTTAAAATAATATTTTAGAAAACTAAAGAAAGCAAAAGCAAGATAAAGAAACAAAAGCTAAGGAAATCGAAGAAAGCAAGAAGAATTTCTTAGAAGAGAATAGAGATCTAGCAGCTTCAGTAATAAAAATAAGAAATTAAGAGAGGCTTTAAAAGGCTGTGGAGAAAAAAAAGAAAGAAGCCCAATCTAGAAAATCATTGTAGCTGAATAGCATAGAATTTAATAACAAATTCAATTAGGAGAATATCATAAACTCTAGAAAACTCTCGACTTAACTGAATAATTTAAAATAAGATATAAAAATTACTACATAACTAAAAGAATAAAAATCTTAAAAATTTAACAATTCCTAGAGCTACGATTCAAATTCTGTTAGCGATGATTTTGAAGAAGATGTAGAAAAATCACAAATTAATGATAATCCAGAATAATACAGACCAAAAAATTTCCCTTTATTTTAAAATAATGATTGAATTTAATATCATCAATATATATTGAATGTATGCATGCATCAATAAAATTGAATTTTTTAGATTAATAATGATTATTCAATGAGCCAATTTAATTATTCTCAAGACTCTTCTTCAATTCTTCAAATATTTTTGTATTTTTTGTATGGTAATAATTATTAAATTTATTCAATTCTTTCAAAAGAAGTTCATTTCGATCAAACATTATTGATGAAAAATATTTTCAATCAATTGTGATAAATTTAACTAAATTGTAGAATTTTTAAATTAAATTAGTTTAATTATAATTTAAAAGAATTGATTTTTATGTTCTTAGTCCTAGATCTTTTACTGACTTTCTTTAAGTAACTAATTCATTCACTTTTTTGAAAGACTTTCTTAATTAAAGAAGTATAAATAATTATACAATTGCTATTTTCGATCACTTATTTAATAAAAGCTCTTTATGAATCTTTTAACAAACAAATTCACAAATTAATTAATTAATTTCATAAAAAAAGATTTAGACAGAAGTTTATATCGAATGGCTCAAATTACTTATTTTTTAAATTACATTTTTACTTTAAAAATATTTAACAAGTTTGCTTTCATAATAATTTATTTTACTATAGAATATATACCAAAAAAAATAATAAATTCTTGTTTTGTTTCTAATAATTTTTTGAATTTTGTTGTTTAGATGCTTTTGAGCTAGCAAATTCATTATTTTTGAATTTAAATTTTGAGGATGAATAATTTTTACTTTGATTTCTACTCATACTAATAGCAACTTATTGCTTAGTAGTATTAATTTTATTTCTTTCAAATACATAGAGAGAAATTTTGTATTGTAAGCTCAAATAAAATTAATTGCTTCTTAATAAATTATGATTAATTTTGAGTAATTGTAAAAGTAGTTCAAACAATAATTCTACAACACTGTTCTAATAAAAATTTACAAATCAAAGAATAGTTACTCAGTAATAAAAGAAAAAAGAAAGGAAATTAAATTAAATTATAAACAAAATAAAAATAAAAAAATCATACATACACGATAATTGATTGATAAAGTAGATGACTCAAGTTAGTATGGAAGTAGTAAAATCTACTAGGACTCAAACAAAGAAAAAATCTTTCAAAAAAATTGATAAATACTAAATTGACATGTCTCGCCTTATTGGCGAAAGCTATACTTCAAAAGTCTACTTAGCTTATTTAATAAGCAATCCTACTTAAGTTTATGCCTGTAAAATTATTGACAAGAAGGATGTTATCTCCTTTGATAACTTAAAAAGATTAGTATAAAAATGGAAAAAATTTAATCATCTTAATATCATACAAGTTTTTGATTGCTACATGACTGATCATAATATATATCTTATAACTGAATTTTGTTAACAAGGATACCTTTTCTGTGCCTAATAATAAATGAACTGGAATTACTAGCAAATAATTTCAATTTCAAACCAAATTATTCAAGGATCTTTGTTCCTTTCTCAGCAATAAATTATTGATTAGGTGTTAACTCCTGAAAATATTTTATTTTAGAATGGAACACCTAAGATTGATATCAGCTTTTAGTTGAACTCTATGGAACTACTTTAAAAATCGTATGTACCTCAAAGGTACAAATTTTCATCTCCTTAAATTTACGAAGAAGATGAATACTCAAATAAATCGAATGTGTGGAGTATAGGAATAATATTATATTACTAATTTTAAGGAAGAGATCCTTTTGAAGAGTAATTTATTAATTTGATATAAAGGTTATAAGCAATTCATAAAACTAAGACAATATAATTTTCATAAAATAAGCCAGTTTCTGATGAAATAAAAAATTTAATTAATAGTATGCTTTAATACTAAGAAAGTGAGAGAGCGACTATGGAGGACATTTAAAACAAATTTACAGACATAGCTAACTTACATAATTAAAATGAAAAGTCATCTTGAAATACTCTTTTAACACTGACTATTTTCCCTTATAAAAAACTCTTATCCGATTCACCAATTAACAAACTATTTAAATAATAACTAAACACTTCTTACATTTACTACTTATAAAAAACAAAAATATAAAAGATAAATTATATAAATTATCTAAATAAAATCCGCATACACAAATAAACACTATTATTTCCAAAAAGTAATAATCGTTTTTTCCAATTTATCAAAATGATATTATTTCTTAAATCATATATACAACTCAATAATTCAATTTAATTTATTTTTAAATAATTAATAAAAGCTTAAAAGTTATGCATTAATACATATTTTTGTTATAATTTATTTTATTTTGAAGATTATTCATAAAAAATTTTTTGAAAACTTTCTTTTTTAGATTCTTTTTTTATATTTAAAAATTAGCTTAAAGATCAAATTACATACATTCTTGTTAGCGGGTTAATTCTTAGTTAGGCTGATCAATTTTTTATTTTTTTATAAAAAACTTATTTAACATTTAGTTTTTTTTCTAGAAAAAAAACGCATTAGAGTAAAAGTAAAATACAAAATCAATTATTAGAAATATATTTATTTATTTATTAAATTTTGATAAGCATTTTTTCTACATTTTTATTATGAAACAAATCAATTTTTTTGTATTTTTATTTTGTTTTTGAGCTTGTAAAAATAATCTCTTCGCTAAAAATAAATTTAGTAATTTTAATGACTTGGTAAATATTTGATCCAATAGCATTATTTTATAAACATAGATTAATTTATATTAATTATATCAAAGACCATAAAAATATAATAATTTTTCTTTAATTTTAAATGAAATGAACAAATTTAATTTATTTTCAATATTTCAGGTAATTATTTTAAGCTTTTTATTGATTAAAATTCTATAAACTAATTAAATCTTTAGAAAAGATAATTAATTAGTTAGCTACCTTTTTCCTTTTCTGTTTATCATTAAATTCCATTTAATGTAATTATATAATTAATAATAAGATTACTTATTATAAAATCTTATTTAGAATGACTCATTTAATATTATAAAATTTAATCTTTAATATGAAAAAATATATAGTATTTTTATACAAATATTTCTTAATAACTTTTTTCTAAAAAATCTATAATTTAAAAAACAAAAAGCAAGCAGAAAAAGTAATTACTTGAATATAAACTATGAACAATTCTTTTAATATAAAGCCATAATTTGCTCATAAAAATATTTTTTTAATTATAATATATTTATATAAAACTATAATTTGTTCATAAAATTATTTTTTTCATTTTAATATATTTTTATTTACAAGAAAATTAATATTCAAAAATTTTTCACTTCTTAGAAGAGTGCTTTATAAAGCTTAGGGATTGGTCTCTTTTCATCAAATTTTAATTTTTATTTGTATAAAATCCTGTCTGAAGACCAAAATTTAATATATTGTCATTGTTAAACCCAATATCTTCATGAATCATTAAATTTTAGTTTGTATTTACTATTAATTAAACATTTTTATATAATATAAAATTTTTAAAAATTTTACCATTAGAAAAACAAGCTACTCTAGATACTGGCGATTTCGAAGAGGTATTTCTTTTATTATTTAAACTATCTCTTTTATTATTACTTAGAGATCTATCTTTAGGTATACAGAAAGAGTGATTTCTATCAATATTACTTTTTGAAGTAGATGGAGTACCATTGAATGAAATATTATTATTCATTATAAAATTTGTATTTTTTAACTATGGCTTTCCAGCTTGGAATTAATTATTGACTGGTTATTTGTTTTACTTAGGAGTTGCTGATGTACTTTTTGCTGAAATCTTACTTTTAGATTTATTGCTTTAAATAGTAGAATTCTTTTGTGAATATTAGTTAGATATGTAATGCTGTAAGCTTATATCTAAATTTGAAGGTATTTCTATAGGTACAGGTCTTTATGAATTTGGAATGCTGTTTACATTGTATTTAGGAGTGGATGGAGTGTGATGAGATAAAGAAGCTTTACTCCTACAATTATTTTAATCTTACACAATTTCTTTATCACCTCTTTATCTCTTTATAAGTGGTCTAATCACATTTTTTTGTATTTATTAATCAATTAATTTGTTGAGTTTCTCAAAATCTTTATTTTAAGAATTTTTATCATTTTACAAATTTCCTGTTGCAATAGGTTTTTTATTTGTTTGCACTTTCTTAATAAACGAGTCATTCTGCTTTTATTTCTTAGTGGTTTCTTTTATAAGACTTGAATCTAGATTCTTCTTCCTTTAAAAAATTAATTTAATAAAAAGTCAAAATATATTTTAAAGAATAAGATTTTATTGCAAAATTATTGAAAATGAAAATTCTTTAAAAATTAAAATTTTTTACATATTCATTATAAATTATTTATATGAGAAAGCATTATAGTGATTAGCATTTTAATTAGACCCTGTGCTATTTTTAGAAGAGCATGAAGGAGGAAGTATAGCATCGTTAGTATAGTTCAAATTGCTGATATTTATTTTATTATTCTTTTAAAAGTTTTCCTAAGCAGCTGTTAAATATTTTGACACATTTAGCTGAGCATTTTTAATTGTATTTTTGTTTTATATTTTTTAATTATTTTTGTCTTGAAATAAATCATTTTATAGTTAATGATTTTATTACTCACTTTTTTATTAATAAAAGCTATTTTTTGCAGATGAAGTGTTATCAATATTTTCCAAAATCTTATTATTCTAAATTTCCATTTCAGTATCATGGTTAGCAAACAGAGGGTAATTGTTATAATAAGAAGAAGGTTGCTAAAATGAAGGATACATGTGAGGATCTTCTTACTACCCTGTCTAAAAACTAATGCAGTTAGCTATTTTTTCTTAAGGAGAAATAACATCAAGAGGATTAATTTAAAGATCATCACCATAAGACAAATTTGGATCTAACTATGGTGGATTTTGCTTGACAGTTTTTTACTATTTTTATTCTTTTTAAATGTTATTATCATCTTTATTTTCTGGTATTATACTTTAATTTAATTAAACAAAACGGTTTGGTGAAGGATTTTGAGTAGTCCTATTAGTATTTTCTTTACACTCAAACTTTTCATAACGGCTATTAGACATACTTCTTTTATTTAGACCTGATGATAAAGTTGATTGAGTGCTTTGAATTTACTGCTACTTGTTTTTATGATCAACCATAATTGAAGATTATGAAGATGAATCTTCTTAAACCCTAGTGTCCGATTTATTTAAATTAGGGTTAATATCTTGATATTACAAAATGTTAGAACAAGTAGTATTAAAACATTTCTCTTGGTTCTCTTAATTTAAAAAGGACTAACTCTTACTTTATTCATTTGAAATTTATGATTGATTTATTTAATAGGAAATAGGAAGAATAGAATAACCTTATTTGTTTTTTTAAGAAGAAGAAGGTTGTATTTAACCTTAATTCTAAGGGAATTGCTACGAATTAGGTTATCCTTGATGTTAACTTATTGATTAATTTAAGCTCACTTAACTCTGATTTCTATGTCTTTAAGTTTAATCTGCTAATTAAGATTATTCTGAATTGATAAAATTATATAATTTTTCCTCTTGCTCTCTTTAAGTAGTAGGTGTTTATGAAATTTAAATAGTTGAATTTAAGGTAGTTTAGTTAAGATTAATCTATTTTAATTTTTATCTTATTTCTTCGTTCATTTTTTTAATTTTCTCTTAATTATACTCAGCAAAAACTTAATTATTTTATTCAATGTTTTGAATTATGTTATTTTTAGATATGCATCTTTAAGTTTATTCCTCTGAATCTCTTTTCATTTAGGGTTGGTAGTTGACAATTTAACATTTTTCATTGTTTTTTAAATGTTCATTTTCTTGATTATTATTAATAAGACTATTAAGGTTCTTTGTGAATTAATCTTCATCAGAGCAATCATTAGAAAAGGTATTTTACTTAGTTAAATTATTTAACTATCCTTTATATTCATTATTTTTATTCATAAAATAATTGTCGGAAACTATTGGAATTTATATTTCTTGACTTAAAAAATGAGGTCTTTTATTTTCATATTGTTGCAAAAATTATTCCTATTTGTTATTCTGTGTATTTTTAACCTATTCTTGCATATTTTGCTTTTTAATTTATTGTCTATTATCTTGTTAAGCTTCAATCTAAGCAAATTCATTTTTTATTCCTGAAAAACTTTCACCTTTTATTTAAATAAAATCATTTTTAATTTATATTAAATATTTAAGAGATAAATTAATGGAAATGATTGAGCTTTATTACTGTCTAATTTTGATGGCATTTGGTTTCTGTGGGAATTCAAAAAAGAATTATTATCTTCAGTTGCATGGGAGGATAACAAAGCAGGATTATTTACCTTGTTTGGAATGTTAAGAGTTTTTAACTATGGTTTATCGTTATTAGCACTGTATATCTCTTGCATTTCGTTGCATACAGATGCTTCTGATTCATGGTAAAATTTTGAATTCCTATCAAACATTGAAGGGTATTCAAAGTTTTTTGGTTCCTTTTAAATGTATTCATCACTTTTCTAAGGGTTATTATTACAAACAGTAAACTAATTAATCTAAGGCTCTTGCTTATTTTCTTAAAAATCTAAACTATTGTTTGTATTTTCAGTTAATCTACCTTTCAAAGTTGGGGTATTATAAATATTATTTTGAAAGGTACATTGCTAGTTAGTTTAGTAGAAAAAATGTTATGAGCTGCTATCTTCATTTTAAATATTTTATGGTATGTTACTATAAATATTTTAAGTGTTTTAATTCTCATGAATATCTTAATTAGGATTGAGAGTTAATACTCTTTAAGAGGAATTAAATTAATTGATCAATTCGTCGTTTCCATTTTAATATGCTTTATGATTAGTACCTCTTGATCTTTAGGTATTTTCATCTTCCACTTCATTTATAAAGGACATTTAATTCTTAGACGAAGGTTAATCGTTTAAGGTGAATCCCCTCTCAAAAATATTACTCGCTTCACTTTTTAAAGTTTTATGAAGAATGATACTTGGCATATCAGAGTTGGTCGTAAAAATATTCTCTTAGAATTTCTTATCTTCTGTTTCAGTGTTAAAATTTAGAGTGTTAATTAATTCAGTTTTAGATTGATTATTTTTTTATTCTTTTGGATAAATTCCTTTGGTGGACTTAACTATTTACCTTTCTCCCTCATTTTCACCAATACTAAAAAAGTTCGAATTGCAGACCTCTTACTTTGAAAAAGTGTTTGCTTTTAAAATTAAAATTTTTAAAACTTTAAAATAATAAAAAATAAATTTTACTTAAGTGTTGATTCTGAGTATTCTTTTTCAAATTTAATTCATCATTAGCATTTTTTGTTATAACATTTTATAAAAATTCTCCTTTTTATAAATTAGACTATGCATTTTCTTGATTACAATTTAGATTTTTTTTATGAAAATTCAGATTTTCTTTAGCATTATGAGTAAAATAAAATGGGCTATTTCTATTGCATGCATTATTATTAAAAGTAGAATCTTAAGATTAATTTCTATGAGTTGTTTTTGTATTAGCATTATTTGCATCATTATAATTATAAATTGAAGGGTCTTATTCTTCATTTTACTGAGAACTCAATCTATCATCAAAGTTTAGTTAGCACGCATTCAAAATTCTTTCTTCTGAGCTCTCAATTTTCAATGCATAGTTATTGTACATCTTATTTTAAATGGTCTTGTATTCGTTTTGTTATTTGTGCTGCTAAAAAGAGCTGTTACTATTAATTGAATATCTTCTATCTAATTCAAATATAAAGCCTAAATTATTAATTTTTTTATTTAATATAAATTTACTCTACTAAACTAAATTTCTATCATTTTATAGAGAAATATGCTAACTGTGAATTTTGTTGTCTTCCCCAATTACTCTATAAATAGCATATTAAATATTTTTAGTTTATTTTTTTTTAAATTTATTACATTTTTTAGTTGTAGTTATTGTTTGATCTGTTCGTATTCAGTGTTTCAATACTCTCTAAAGTGTAAACATCAGAAACAGTTGATTAAATCTCTCCTCTTGCTTACAAAGGCTGAGTATAGGTATTAGAGAACTTTAATGCTAGCACTCCTTAAATCTATTTGTTAAAATGTATTATGAAAGAATGTATTTAAGCTTGATTTTTATTTACTTTGCTATTGTTGCTTGTGTTAAAAATATCAGAATGAATTGTTTGCTCATTCTATGAATTTTTTTTCTATAATAGTTAACTTGACTCTTTTGTTGAAGCTTATAAGTATAGCTAAGAATGCATATTCTCTTTATTTTTAATTTAAATTGCCTATCCCTTCATTAAAAGTTCCTTCTAATTTGATTTAATAAGTTCACTTTTGATAGTACTATCATTTTTTAACATCATTGTTTATTTATCTTAAAGCTATTGTAATTGAACCTTTAAGTTATTTCGAGACATTTATATTTTTACTATACTTTAATCTGTAAGTGGCTATTTTGAACTTGATTTTTATAAGTATTATGAAAATTTGGTTGATGTTTTATTTTCACCTAAGCTTTTAGTTAGTCTAATTTACCTCTTTTTATGTGAAAATATCACTTATTTTTGTTTAATAGAAGATAAGATAAAAGCTAGTAGTCTTTTAAATTTAATACAGATTTATTATTTAAATGAGAAGTCAATACTTTTTATAAACTCTTTTTATAATTAATCAGCTCACACACACACATAAAATTAAATAAGCAAGCAATATATAAATAATCTTTTTAAAATTTTCAAATACTCATTTTAAATATCATCTAAAAAATAATTAGAGTTATAGCTGTTAAAATTACCTAAATTGATTTATTTATTTATTATTCCAACAAATTTAAATTGTCATAGTTATTTTTAATAAAAATTCATCTTTCTTAGTTATTTTTTTATAAAATTACATTTTCTTAAATATTTTTTTATCTTCTTCAGTCAAATAAAATTTAAAAACTAATTAAAAAATGTTTTCTTGTAAAATTATATCAAAAAATTCATTTTTTTAGTTTTAAAAAAATGAAAATAAAGCCAAAATAAAGAAAAAGTGAAATTGCATTTTTATGTTTCATAATTTATTAAATTTCTAAAAGAAATTAAATTTTATTTTACTTGATGAATAAAAACATATAATTAAATTACTAAATAAGCCTCAAAATATCACTAATTAAGTAAGTGTTGATATTAATTTTATGAAAAAAAAACTAACAGATACCTCAAGATGAACACTTCAGTATGGTTTAATAATTTAAAAGCAATGTACATTTATATTAAATAAATAAATCTTATTATTCGTATTTAATTAATTAAAATTTAAATTTTTAATAATTAGAAAAATTGATGTATTTTTGAGCTTTCTTTTACAAATTTTCGTATTTTACTGTAGCAATAATTTAAATTCGTTAAATACAAACTCAAAGGCCATTTCTGAGATTGTTCAATAAATTATCCACTTCTAAGAGCTATATTTCCGCCTTATTTAAATTCACATTATTCAATCTCTTTTCTAGCTTGAAGTCTAGAGTAGTTGGCTTATTGTTGATTTTTGAACCTTCAAATTTGTATACATTAACATTTGATGAAACTAATTTATCTAGAATGTCAGTTTGCTATAATCCGTATTTATTTGTGCTCAAATTATTATTAAAGCTGTTATTACCATAAAGATTGCTTAATCCTAATTGTGAATTATTAAAATTTTATGAAAATGCAGATTGGTTTAATTAATTGTAGTTTATATTTCTCGTTGACCCCTAATTTAATTGTTATTGATTCTAAAAAATATTGTTAGCAGCATAGTTCTGATTACCACTAGCATACTAACCTTACAATTAAGATGAGGAAGGGAGAAATTCATTTTAAACGTAACCTAAACTACCAAGATTTTGCTTTAACTCTTTCAACTTTATATTCTCAATCATATTTTATCTTTTTAGAGAGTCTTTTAGATTTTCTAAATCAATAAATGCTTAACTCTTCATTTCACTAGCTATTTAAGCATCTTGCTTTATTTTAGTAACTTCATTTTATAGTAGGCTTGTTTACATATCTAACTACTCTTTAAGCTTTGTTAGCTCTTCCATGTTCTTCCTTTCTTTATATTACCAAAACTAAGGTGGATTCCACTCTTTATTCACTTCCATACTCTAGTAATATTAACTTTGCTTATCAAATAATGAGTCTCTTAATTTTTCTCTATCTTCATGTCTCTTTTATTACCTTATATCTCTTGCTTATTAATGAATATCATGAGCTTTTTTCTTTTCATGCTCTTCAGTAATATCATTAAATTTATTTCTGCCATATTACATATTATCTTCTTCTTGTTATACTGAATTACGTTCTAAAGGGTAATTATCCAGGTTTTTGTCAGAATATTAATTGTGCGAAAAACTCTCATCATATTTATTTTATACTCTTGGAGAATTCTATTAAAAAATATTTTGATATAAAAAAATAAATAAGAAAACAAACAAATCATAAAATATTTTGTAAAAATAAAAAATGTAAAGTGGAATAGATCATTCACCTCAACTTTGTTTTTAGGAGGAGATTTGGATTTAGAAAGCACCATTTCTCCCTGCTTTTAAAGTTATTCCTACTTTTTTTTCTCTAAATTTTTTCTAAGCGATTTAATCTCATGTTGTTTTCCTTCTTTTTCTATTTCATATTTTGCTTTAAGCTCGTTCAACTATGCTTTTACCTTTTCCTCATATTATCTATCTAGTAGATCTTGTTTTTCCTTCTCAATTCTCTACAATCTCTTCTTTTCTTTAATTTACTATTATAACTCATTTGCTACTTCAGCCTTGTGGAGTTGTTACAATTCGAGTTAGCGATTATAGTTCTCACCTAATTAATCTAGCATTGATTTCTCATTCTAATTTCTTGAAGCTTAGTTACTAACTCTTCTACCTTTTTTTAAAGCGATTTCCTCCTCTAATTATTTATAATACTGATATTCTCTTTACTTTTTAAGTTATTATTCTCTAGATTCATTATCATAAATTTGTCCAATTATATTTTTCTATTCTTCGTCATCCCACTTTCTTTTATTATTAATTCTTTAATCATTTTCGAAATTGGCCTTCTACTTGCTTTATCTCCTATTTTCTTGCATGTTTTGAGGTTATTCCTCATATTGCTCGTTTCTGTAAATTTAGTTATCACCATTTGACTATCTTCTAGCTTTGCTAGTTTCTTGAGGTGAATTATAAGACTCTCTATAATTATTAGCTCTTGCTAAAGCTTCATAATCTACTTCGCTCTTATAGTTTTATTTATCATAGTTATCATTTTTTTAGTCTTCAAATCCTACATTTTTCCTATTCTATTATTTCTTACTTTCTATTGCTTAGTTTTAGTAATTTTATGCTAATTATTATTATTATTAAAATTTGTTAGGAGATTGTCTTTATTAATAATCTCCATAATAAAAGTTATTATTTTAAAAATCTAACTCATTTTCTTTTCTCTGTCTATTCTTTTCATATTCTTTCTTTTCTTCAATCTAGATAATTATTATAAACAATTATTTTAGTTACTTTTTTCATAAATAAATGAATGATTTAATGCTATTTTTAATTCTTCAGTACTTTACCAAAATATTTTAAGTAGGAATTAAATAATTACAATAATTTGAAAGACTTGAAAAACTAAAAAGATAAACACAAATCTCATTAAAAGCTTTCATAAATTAATTAAATTTACTTGCTTTTTTAACGTTTCGGCATAATCCTTTTATTTTTATTAAGGTGAAACAGATGTTCTGGCATTTTCAGACATCCTTTAATGCAATCCAGTATTATCTTTGCCATACTAAAATTATAATATTGATTTCTTATCTTCTAATGATTTTATTGAAGCTCCTTATTACTTTTTTTAAAATTCACTAACATTGTCCCTGTAATAATTTTTGTAATCTTATTTATTCTTTTCTATTACTTAATGTTTATAATCTTAATCAAAGGCTAATACATTTTCTTTAGGACTTTTTGGAGTTTATGAGTTCCTTCCATCAAAACGAGTCCGCCCAGATCTACTATTTAATTTTAAGTTATGAGACAATTAGTTGTCATAGAATGGATTATATTTTTCTTAGTTCAGCTTATTTTCACTTCTTGAGTGATTATAAGCATTTACCTCCTTTTCATCATTTCTTCTTTCTTCTGTAGACTCTTATCTTGCAAGTTAATTTTTTTGAGCTCTCAGCAAATCCTATTCTGATTAATTTTATCTATTCGCATATCTTGCATAATTTCCTAGGCCATCATTCTATCTATATTCTGCTTTTTATTTCAAATTCTATCCGTAATTTTCATTTTCAGGTTTGAGCCAAGGAAACATTTTAATGCTTGAAAAACTCTTTTTGTTTGAGAATTTTACTTTTTGTATATTTTTTAACTCTTTAAATGAAACTCTATTGATATAATTAATTATTGTTCAGTTTTGTTTTTACATAAGTAAGTGATACCCTTAATAAATCTTAATACAGAATTAATTATATTTTTTGCATAAATATTTAGTGTTTTTAGCAGCCAATAAATAATATCACATATATATTTAGTTTTTTGTTAAAAAATGCAATTTCCAAAAATTATAAAATATTATTCTATTCGTTTAAAATATATTTTTCAATAAATAACTTATTATGTGCTTGCTCATTTTATTATAGAAAATAGAAAGTTTACAAAATAAAAAGTTAACTCAATTAATAGCCAATTAAATAAAATAGCGCATATTAAAATAATATTTATCAATATAAAGGAGTTTATAACAAAAGAAAGTTAATGCACAAAAATAAAACATTTATAAAAATTATCATTTATATAATAAAATAAATATATATTAGCATATTCTTATAAATAAACATTTTCAAAAGCAAGCAAATAATCTATATTTTATTAAAAAGATATTTAAAATTTTTTTTTTCTAAAGCATTAACTCATATCTCACATTTTAGTATTGTATGAATGGATTACCAAATTAAATTAGCAATTAATAAAAATTAAATTTTATAGTAAAACTTAAGTTTTCATTTAAAATAACGAGAGAAGTGATTTTAGAAAAATTTAATAAAAATTATTAATTAAATATTTAATTAAATTAGTCATTCTGAAAGCTTTGATTTAAATTAAGATAGCAAGTAAATTTATTATTCAGACAAGATTACTATCTTTATTTTTTAGATAATTTAATGACAAAAATTGTAATTTTTAGTGCAAAATAATATTTTTACTTAATTTTTTTGGGATATTTTTGATTTGATTCAATTCAAATAAATTGACTTAAAATTATTTTAAATTTTAAAAGGAAATTTCTAATTTAATATGAAGTGGATTTTATTCTTTAAACTAAAATATTAGAATTTAATTTTTTTTAAAAAGTTTTAAAAAGGAATATAAATATCTTAAATAATTTCAGGAAATATGTTTAAATTTTAATTCAAATAAATAATTTATTCATGTAAGTTAAGTAACGATTTATTTAATGATTTAATAAATAAAGCTAAAAACTCATAAATCTTAATATACGTAAAAGAAAACAGAAAAGAAATTAATGAAATGAAGAAATGATAAAGTAGAATTTATATGAATGTATGTAAGTAAGTAAGTAAGTAGGAGTGGAGTAGAATAGAGTAAGGTTGAGTGATTGTGTAATTTTGCTTATTGAATATTTGAAGAAGAGACGATTTTCTAAATTAGTTTGTTTTCTGGTATTGTGTGAATTAGATTTATATTTGAATGAAATAAAAGTGAAAGACTTTCTTTCTTGCTTTTTGGTCCTACTTTTTTAAGAAGAAAGATTTTTGATTTATTTTAATTTGAAAATAATTAGTGATATTTAAATGAAAACAAAGGGAGAGAGTCTTTATAATCAACTAATTATATTAATTAGAAGATATATAGATACTATAGAGTCTCTCCCCTTGATTGTACATTACTTTAAAATAAAAAAATAAATAAGTAAATAGTTCAAATATAAAAATATTTATTAATCAAATTATTTTTAATTAATAAATCATATTTTAATTTTCATAAGCAAACTCTGTTGTGTTATTTTTTTTGATAACTTTTCTTTCTTTCATCTTTAATTTAGTTCTTTAGAGCTCAAATACTATACAATAATTTATTTATTTATTTGCAGGTACAGCTCTTGCACTAATAGGTTATTGCAAGAAATGCATAGCATAATAAATAACTAAAAAAAAATAATACAAAAGAGTTTCCTTTTTGATTCTTCTCCATTAAATAAATTAAGAAATGGTTTGGGAAAATTTCTTTTCTGATGAAGAGTAAGTAAGTAAGTAAGTAATATATTTTTTTTGTATAGTTTATGTGTATTTTTATTTGCTTGTTTGGGTTGCTCTTTCAAGATTAATTGTTTGATAATGCCATTTTGTTCATATTCTGGGCTATGTTGTTCACTCCGTATTAAATAACTGCTTTGTTTGCATTTACCCATGTTATGAAATCTCTCCAATTTGAGTCTTTCTAAAGTGTGTTTAAGTTACCTAATTAATAAATTAATATTTTAGTGATTTAAATATTCCATACTTATGTATTTATTATTAGTGATTTACCTACTATAATTAACCCTCTTTTAGCTCTAGTTAATGCTACGTTCATTCGTCTTGGATCTTTCAAAAATCCAATTGAGCACTTTTATAAATATTAAATTTAAATGAAATAAACATTTTTAAATTAATTTTACTTTATTGTTTGATCTTACTGTACTAATAATAATTAAATCCTTCTCCATTCCCTATTTATTAGCAAATTTAAACATTAATTTATTATATTTTATGAAATATTAAACCTAGTATCCATCTATAGTATCTACTTCGATTGTGTTATTTTGGTATTTGTTCTGTTTGAAATCATTTTGATAGTTTTGACCAAATACTTAAGGATTAATCTTTTTATGTGATTTTAATAAGAAAATAAAATTTATTAAATAAATAAATAACATTTCAATAAAAAATTACCCTTTATAAATTGCTTATTTCATTCTTTATCCTCCTCTTTTGAGCATCGTAAGGAGTTATAACTCCAATTTACTGTAAAGATGTTTTTTTAGTTTTAAGAACATCAACTATGATTTCTGTTACAACTTGCACTTCTCTATAAATATTTATTTTATGTTATTGTGTTTATTTTTTTTAAAATTTACTAGTAGTTTAAAACAGATGATTGACATACTCTTTCTTCTCCGTTGATATTTATAAAAGCTACTCTAAGAAGTTTATTAGGCCAAATAAAGCCCTCAATTGGAAGTCTTTGTTAATCACTAACTCCGTTTTCTAATAAGTTATTGTAGAATTAGTGAGAAGGGAATAAAGCTATAGTAGAATGCATTCTGTATTATCTCATAAGCATTTTAGGTTAAATTCCTTGCTTAACAAGTCTCTCGAACAAACTTATAGTCATACCTTTACTCTAAGCTAAAGAGCTGAGAACAGTTGGGGGAAGCTATTTATGATCACCTATATATTAGAGAATTGTTATTAAGATAGGTTCAACTATTTAAAATTTATTTGTGGTTACCTATTAATACCACTTGCTAAGCTTTATTGATAAGAGGTATTATTGTAGACATTTCTGTGGCTTAAGTAGCTTCGTCTATTATTACCCTGGTAAAATTTTGTTCTTTTAAATACTCAGACATAGATCCAACATTAGTGGCACATACAACCTTAATTTTGTAAGGTTGAAAATAAATTTTACATTTTTATTAAAATATTTACCTAAGATTCTGAAATTAGCTTTTTCATAAACATAAATTTTGCACTGATTGGATTTTTTCCTTATTATTACTTTTTAAATGATTCAATATAAGTCCTATACTTAGGATCTTGCATCAACTCATTTTTCGATTCACTTCCAGGGCCAATTCTAAGAAATAAAAATTTAAATAAATTAATAAAAGCTAAAATAATGTTCAAATGCAATGGCTTTGAGTTAATAAAATTATTATGTTGTTAAATAGTTTAGATTAAAGAAGAAATGTAGATTCATATTTACCTGCATGCACGAATACCTGATTTGATAAATTCTTTATGTAAAATATCAACTGCTATATTAGAATCAGCACAAGCTAGCACAGGGTCTGAAGATTATCTGCACCACTCTTAGACTATATGTACTGCTGTAGTAGTTTTTCCTGTTCCAGGAGGACCTTAAATTAATGTTAAAGCTCTAGTTGTAGCAAATTACAGAGCAGTTTATTGAGAGTGATTTAATGTAGGATTAAATAGAGTATTTTTTGAAGGTGTAAATACAATCTTTTCTGACATCTCTTGAATTTTTTATTTATCGCACAAAGGTGGGGTAAGTATGATATTCATAATTGGTTCTGATACAGATTTAGTGCTAACAAATTTAAGCAATGCTTCACAAGTACGATCATAAGTTGTTTTGTTCACTAGTTTTGTTATTTTCCATATGCGATAAGAATCACTAACTGCTCTGCTTTGCTATGGAGTAGGTAAGATAAACAATTTAATTGCACTTTCTTTACTTATTTCTCTTACATATCCAATCATTGCAAATTCTATTGGCTATCCATTTTCTGATATTTTGTTATAAAAAGCTCTAACATCCTATTGATTGAAAATTTTAACTAATTAAAATGATAATAATTATTATAATATTATTTACAGGAGGTTATATATTTAAGCTGCTAGCTATATTATTTAAGAATTATATTAAATATTATTTGCTTTAAGCAGATCTCAAATCAGAGTACAAATTTCCGTGATCGTTATTGTTTGATTGATATAAAGAAGTGAGCATAACGAATTCTCCTTCAGCAATCAAGCTATAATTTTCTCTTTATTCAAGAAGGCCCTTTTTTGCAATTTTTTGCTCCAAATTTATCTCAGTGCTTGCTGGCTTAAACAAAAGGACTTCCTAAGAAAACTAATTTTTTATTTTATATAAAATTTAAAATTTAAAAATTATCAAAAAATTTATTACTTTGTTTCCTATTTTTTCTATTTAACCATTTATTGAAGCAAAAGCTTCATTTAGACGAGGTTTTGAGCTGTTGAAAACTTAAAATATATACTCAATTAGTTCAACGACTAGCATATTCTTTTTGTTGCTATAGTAATGGGCAGCTTAAATATTTTAAAATTCTGATACGTTTATTTTAACTTTTGAATAAATTTGCTCAGCAACTGCTAAAGAAAAGTTCATATCTCCTAGATAAAGTAATGAATCATACATTTCATCAACAAGATTGTACCTTTATTTAAGTTACATTATTAAACATTTTTAATAATTAATTATGAAAATTACTTGAGATAATTGATGTTCTAAGCCTAAGAATATATTTTTTCTATTATAGTAGTTTAATCTGTTAAGGATTCATTTTTATTAGAAGGATTTAATTGAGATATTTCTTAACTTACCTTTTAGTCTTATACTAAAGGTTATTGTTACTGTTACTATTGATTGGAAGGTTATTATTAAGAGTAATTGTAGTAGGTATTTGGAGGGTATTAAGGAGTAGAATATGGTACGTTAGATGAATTAGCGTATTGCGTTGGATATTGCATGTTATAGGGATACCCTTAATGCTAATTGTAATAATATTGACTATAGTATTACGATTACTAGAAAATTGCTGAATTTTGCATGGAGTAATCATAATGGTTATAAGCCATAGTAGGATATTAAAAGCTTTATTGTTATTATTGATTCATATAAGGTTGATAAGATTAATATCCAGGCTACTATTATTATTGAGGAATGTAATAAGAATTTAGAGGAGTTGTCATCTTATTATTTCTCTATTGAATTAATTATAATTCATACTATCTTTGTTATTCTTGCTAATCTTCTAGTTACTTTTTTCTTTACTCTTACAATTTTAAATATTCCTCATATTACTTGTCTATTTCTAATACTTCTTTTTCCTTTTTTTTAACTAATTATTATAATTCTTCTATTTTTTAAGAAAACTCCTATATTTTTTATGGCTCTTAATTAATTTAAGCTAACTGATTTTCTTAAGGATACTGTTGCTCTTTTGTTTCTTCTTCATTTAATTTGATTTTTTTCGATGGAAATTCCCCTGATATGATATCTTATTTGTTATTTTATCCATCTTAAATAGCATCATTTTCTTGCGAATTGAGCTTTTACTAAATGAATTTTATGCTGTTTTACATGTCTTAATTATTATTTTCTTTGATTAAGTTAGCATTTTAATCTAAATTTTAAAGACTTTAGTAATATGAAATTTATTTTTTTAAATTATCTATCTCTTTTAACACTTCTCTTTTTTCAAGGCTTTTAATTTGGCTATCAAAAGGAGCTATTACTTCGTTGATTGGTTATTAATGGCTAATCTGAGCTTCTATTTCTTACTACAAATGAGTTTGTGAGATATCTGTAAGCAGGCATTATTATTCATCCAAATCTACTTAAACTTTATTGTTTTAAACTGTTTAATTATCTATTTCTGGTCTATTCATCATAAGGGTATAACTATCAAAATAATCATAAACATTATCAGTCTCGACCCTTTGTATATTATTTCCATATATTTTCATTAACTCTTTCTTAGCCTACTCAACAGATTCATCTTCCTACTTTTATAAGCCATTCAAATTTCCATCTTCTTTTTTCTAACTAGATTATTCTCCTTCCTAAATATATTTAAGCATATTCTAATAAAAAGTTAAAAGCCAACATTATTTATTACCTTGGGTTTAGTGATTGTTTTTTAGATGATCAAATCAATTAACACTTTGACATAAACAATATCTTTGGAAAGTAAAGCATAAGACCAAATATGATTAATCTATTTAATTCAATTAATATAAATCATTAAATTAATATGACAAATAATGAGTTAAAATAATTATTTATCTATCAAACAAAACTCTTTTGAATTAAATATTTAGAAAAATTCCTTTTGTCTTTATTAATTAATCACATCAAAGTATAAAGAATTCATTTTTCATAATAATTTTTTCCTACTTTATCTGTTTTGCAAAACATATGTTTGATTAATTTAAGAGCTTACAACGATTGATAAAATTGCTTAAAAACAAATAAAAATAACATTTTTATAAAATTACTTCATTCCATTCTGGAGACTTTTTACTAAGTATTTAAACTAATACCTAACAAGCTTCAAAATATTTATCTTGTTTTAGATTTTCTTACATCTATTTTGAAAGCTTAAAAATTTTTTTTTATAGTTCATCTTTTTCTTTAGTTGTAGTACTTTTATCATTAGGATAAAAAGCAATATGACTTGAACCTGGCTAGCTAATTGTTAAGGTATTTGAGGAAATGGGAGTGTTTGTTAAAGGTGACTACTTTGTATTTATTTTGTCTATCCCTGATAAAGAAAGATCTTGATAAAATGCATTAATTTCATTTTGAGTTGGTGGTATTTGCTTACCTTAGAGAATCTATCTATTTTATATATCTAAGGAATAAGCTTAAGAGATTGCTGTTGTGTCTAGTTATTGCTAATCTACAAGCTTAAGATCTGGTCTACCAGTTTTAGTGTTTTAGATAATCATTTAATGAACATCAGATAAGCGAGGTATCTTATCTAAGAAGTTATCATCTTTGTACCCTAAATTCAAATATCCATCTTTTATAATATCCAATAATATTCTCTCTTGAGCAATTTTTTTGGCTTCTTTCTTTGATCTACCAGTTCCTACACTTGAAAAACTAGGAACATTAGAATAATTTGGAAAATAAATTTCTAATTTGCATGTGAAGGTTCTTACACCAACTTCAAGTGGATTTTCAATAAAATCAATATTTTGTTCAGCTTTTGCACTTTAAATCCAATTATTAAAATCACCAAAACCTTTTTCTCGCCAAGAAAGAACCAAAGCTTCAGTTTATTCTTAGCTAAGATTAACCTTTCTTCTATTACATTTAGGCTTATTCGAAACTTGTTATGGTATTTATTAAAGAAGATAATTATTTGGTTAGGCAGGATTAACAATTGAAGGAAGATGAGCATTTGAAAACAGTTATTAGCTATACTGCATATATTCTTTTTGTGTGCTAACTCCATTGTTGGATTTAGTATTTCCTTGCTACTACATTGATTACTGAGTTATAAAAATTAATTCTCTACTTATTGTCTAATAATTATTTATCTATAAATTATTTTTTTAATAGCCTTAAAACCAAAAATTTATATTTTACAAATTCTTAAAATGTATCATAAGTACATTATATCTATCTATATGTGTAGTAAATAATATGTCCATACTTCTGTGTCAAAAAGCAGCTGTTGATTAAGTAATCCAAGTCATTTATCATTAATATTAAATAAATCGTTTTGTATAATTATTAATTGATGTTTTTCATCTTATAAATACCTAAATTTGTTAATATATTCTTCTGCTGCTTCTTTGCATTCATGAACTTGTACTTGATGCAATTTTTATAAAATATATTTTGAATGAATTTAAGTAAATAATAAATAATTTCTATTATAAAATTAAAGTATTTAAATTTTAGTATTTATTATAAAAAATAACTATCTATTTTTAAATTTAAAAACTATTGCATAAATGCATTAAAACAACCAAAAGTCTTTATTGTTTTAAATATTAGTCTTATATTAAATAAAAATACTCTAAAATTTGAATTTTTTATAAGATTTCCGCAAATTAAATAAAAGATATAAACAAACTATAAATGAGCTCTACGTCTACTTCAAACACTGATACATCAAGTAAAATTTAAAATATATTTTTGCAATTAATGCACGCACATAGACACTCTAAAATTAAATGCCACAATATAATATGATAAATATAGGTTCTAGTTCTTCAGCCTCTTTAGGAAGTGGTACAATTGCAATTATTGTTATGATAGGAATTTCATTCGTAATTTGCGTTCTTAGTAGAGGCACAACATCTCCACTGTAAATAAATATTTAATAAAATGTTAAAACCCTTAAAAGAGTTCTTAAAAGCAAATAATTAACCTGCTATCTTTCATTAAAAATGCTAAGAAAATATAAATTTGAAATAAACACGCTTAGCTATTACTTTTTAAATTTTTAATATCATTTTATAATTCAAAGAGTTTAATAAATATTTCAACTATGCTAAGTAGTTTTTAAATTTTTAATTGTTATCAATAGACTCATATCATTCTTGGGGGCTTTGCTACCTGTTATTACTTTTATTATTTTATATGCGTATCCTAAAGAAACGACAGTGACTGACAAAAGTTAAGACCCAAGAATATGTTGTGATACACATTAGGTTTGGAGGATTATTTATTTAGTAGTTTTGATCTTAACTGCAATTTTATGCTTCCTTTGGCGTATAGGTTTAGATGTATTAAACAGCCATTATGCTCGTAAAGCTCCCTCAGCCTTTTAATAAAAGAAACAAGAAGAATATTAATAATAGAAGTAATTACTTAAACTTGTAAAAGAACAAGGAGATGATGATTAATAGTAATTACTAGGAAATAATATATAACAAGAAAATGACTTTTCAAAAAATGCTGGACCTGATTTTGTTGATATGAGCTAATCAAAATCTAGATTTGGTGCTACAGGCAATTAAAAAAAGATGCTTTGATATAATATAATTTATTTTAGTGTAAATAATGTATATATACTCCATAATATTTTTTCTATTTTTGTAGGTATTTTAGTGTTTTAATAAATAAATATGCCATAAATCCTTGATAGTACTTAAATTTTATATCTTACGTTTTAAAGAATCTATTTTAAATTAATTTGTATAACATTTCACTATTTCAGCACTCTCAATTTAGTAAATCATTTAAAAATAAGCATTGTTCTTATTGCTTTTTTGAAAGATGATAACCTCTTTCAATCAATTTTATACTGATGTTTTATTTTCAATTAATTTAATGAATCTTTTAGAAGTAAGACTTATTAATAAGCTAAAAGTTTATTAAATAAAATATTTATTTTAAGCTTGAAAGGAATGAAAGATTTATTACTAAAATTTAGTAAATAACAATTAAGATTTAAATAAATAATTCTTGTAGATAAATTATTTTTTAACTCCTTCATTTAAAGCATACAAGAAATAGATAGACTGATCCTTTAAATATTTCTTGCTTGGGAAATTTGGCAGAATTATTCAGAATAATCAATTTTATGGATATTAAAGTTGGGATTCAGAATGAAAAAAATTTATTATTATTTATTAGTATTTTATTTAATTTATACATTTAGATATATAATTAAAAGATTATTTAAATAGTTTATTTGATAACCATGGAAGAATAATCAGGATAAAGTTTATCTTATTAATAAGAAGATTAGGAAGAAGTAAAATTGTAGTAAGAGGAAGAAGTGGAAGATGATTAGGATTACGATTCAGAAACAGAAAGTTATGACAAAGCTGATGGAGATAATTAAGAAGAGTGGTAGAGTGCTATTAGAAATGCAGAATAATAATATATTGATAATGCAAAAGAATATCTTGAATGGGCTAAAGCTCAAAAAAAAGTAAAAGTTATGGAAGAATAAATGCCATGGGATACTAAGGTGTAAATAAATGATATTTCGCTTCATAGAGGAGGACCATTAGAGGATAAAAAATATGCCTATTTTCCTAAATATAGAATTAATATAAAGAGAGGAAATAGTGTGTGTGTTGTTCATAGCGAGGAAAGCGAAGAAAAAATAGAACCATTTTTTTGTAGAAGAGGTAATTTAATTAATATGAGTAAATAGATGAAATGAAAACAAACCAAATATTTATTTTTTAAGGAATGAGAAAATTTTATGACTTAATACCTGAATACTTAAATGAGGGAAAGAAATTAAGTGGTTATCATCAGAAGGTTAAGTTTTTGACCTTGAATGAAGCAAAAGAAAAGCTAGATAGTGGATAATTCTAAGTGCATTTATACAATCTATTTAAAGAAAACGGAGAGCATTGTTAGATTTCGTACTTATAAATGTTTGATATGTGGCTTATTGCTTCTAAAAATGTTACTATATTAGTTAAATAAAGAGAAGATGCAGAAAAATACTATCATAAACTAAGATATTATTGGGCTAAGTTAATCAGTGATGAATGGTTTAATATACTTGATAGAATGGATTTATAGCAAATAGTAATTTCTTGAATAAATATGTTAACATTTATTTATTTTATTTTAAAATAGTAACAATTAAAAGAGTAAATGCAAAATTTCACTTTTATTGGAGAGCACTGTGGAAATTAAAAGCATCAGCATATTTTTAAGTATGATAAAGTGCAAATAATATTTTATTCTATTGTACAAAACAATTCACCAAACGTTTGTTTACCTGTAGATTAAGCATTTGAAATTTTTAAACAATATAATTTAAATATGGTGAGAATAAGAGAGGTTAAGGGTATCTTATCTTATGAAGAATTAAAAATTAAATTGTAAAAAGAATTCGATTAAGTTGCTTCAGGAAAAATAGAAGATGAAGGCGAAGGAGGTGTTGTTTATATTGTTTCAGAAAATCTCAAAACTTAAGAGTAAAAAACAATATCATGCTGCAAACTCAAAACAACTGAATATAACATTTATAGGTATGATTTTATTAATCTTATTATAATAATAATATATAAAATATTTGTTTTCAAAATAGAAAATTAAGAGAAATGCTGAAGCTTAGTTTATAAAAGAAAACAGAATCAGGAAGAAAAAATGAAAGGTTTAAATAGGAAGTAGAAAAGATGAGTGAACATCATTTACCACCAAAACCACTTGATTATTATCTAGCCTTGGCAAAGCATTCGTTTGCTTACATAGACAAAAATTTCAATACTCTCTCACCAGATGTTTTAAGATATGAGTTTATCTCATTTATTGAAGATATTTATAGAAAAGCTGAGGCAAATTTAAATTAGCTGTCTTCTAAGAATAAGACTTAAATAAAACCTACAAGGATAATACTAATCACTCCTCCAGGGTTATTAAAAGATGAAACAGTTAATAAAATAGCTAAAACTATTCAAGCTGAGTAGATTGAAACTGCTTGGAGAGAAGATTAAGAGATAACTACGTAAGTTTCATTTTGAATTTATTTTTTTATAATTATTTAATAACATGTTAAAAGCTCTCACTTTAACTTTTTACATATGGTGCCAAGGATATCAGAAAAGTCTTAATAATAAAATATATTTTTTACTTTAATTGGATTTGATGAAAATGGTTTATAATAATGTGTGAAAAATCTTGAAAATGAAGTAGAAACTCTAAGAAAATCTAAATTTTGTTCTAATATGTTTTAATACATTAATAGTAAAAATAAATAATAAATGGTTGAGCTTCTTTTCTCAAAAATTTAAATTTTTATCACACTTCTTAAAAATGATTATTCTAATTAATTCAGACTGATTGATAGCAAATCTTCTCCTGAAGAAATTTGTTAGATAATTGAAAATGATTTTAAATAAATAAGTTCTGTGGAATAAAATGAAAACTCAAAAAAAAGTGGAGAAGAAATAACAGAAGGTAAAACAGAAAAACTATTAAATAAAGTAAATCTTATGGTTATAATGCCAATAGCTCCTCCAGGTTCAGGAAAAACTTTTTTTTGTGTAATGAATTTTTAACTAATTCATAAAAGATAACAACTTCATTTAAAAATTTTATAGAAAATGAATAATAATTTAATTAAAAATAGAAACTTTTGAAGTAAACCGTTGAAGAATAATATCCAGATTGCAGCTTTTTCAGCATTTCGAGTGATGAAATAAGACTAGGGCTGATGGAATAGTATAAAAAAACAAGAAGTGAAAGAGAATATACAGTAGATTAGCTTTTCGAAGCTACAGCAAAATAGGCAAAAGTGAAATATTTTAGTGTTTTAAAAGATTTACTTGTGAATATCAGCTCTGAATCTAAAGAAAAGGCTATACTCTATTTAGATAGAGTAAGAAAAAATATTATTTAAATGAGTTTAAAAATATTATTTTTTAATATTAAATAGATGCATCCACCTCAAATCCTTGAAGAGACTTTCTCATTCTTAAAAGAGAACTCATTAAGCAACATTAATTTAAAAATCTCAACTTTTCTTGTTACTAGATAACAAGGATTTAATTATAAAAAATATAACTATTATTTTTCTGAGTAAATTTTCTTGAATTGTCTCCACAGAACGCTAAACAGAGATAACCATGAAACCCTACAAGGCGATGCTGTTCTCATATTAAAAATAGCATTTAAATTTTTTTAAATGTTTAGAGATTTTAAGATTTAGAGTTTGTAAAATTACAAATAGATAGATTTAGTAATTTAAATCCCTTTAGTTGATGAAACATCAACTATTAACTAAACACTAATCAAAAAAATGGAGAAATGTTTAGATTTAATTCCTCCTAATGGATAACCACCAGATTCACCTATTTATATGGACTTCATTTAGAGTTTTTATGCAGCAAATATATAATTTTAATATCCAGAAATTGAAAGATTGAAGAAAATTGCTAGCAATTATGTGAAAGTATGCTTAAACGCATTCTAATGAAAAAATTAATATAAAAATCAATCAGTAATTTTGATTTTTGAAAAACAAAATATGAAACTCTTTAAATCGTTCTATTTTTAATTGTGATAGATCAAATTATTCGAATAATAAATTGATCATGGTAGAGTCTAGCTAAATAGGAAAATTTTATTATTTATTTTATTCATTAAACATATGAAAATACTTAAAAATGTGAAAATTTATAAAAAAATAAAGTCAAAAATTATTTCAATTTTTATATAAAACGAGTAAAATACATGATATTTGTAAATAATAATTAATTTTAACGACATAAACTTATCAATTATCTTTAATATTTATTTTGCATATTTCATTTATATTTCAAAATATATTTTTTATTGCCTTGATATCAACAATTATTAAAAATATTAAAATCATATGGATTGATTTAGTCTTAAAATTTGATACATTCTAGTTTAATTAAATACTATTTCAATTAAGTCAAAAATTATTTTTGTCCATTGTTGAAAGCATCCTCTAACTTTTCTAAGCTAAAGCTTGGGTCATTCTTAAATACTATTTTAAAATTATTTTTGTGTTTTTTAAAAAGATATTTTTTTTATTTTGCATTAATATAAATCCAAATAATTAGATATTAATTACCATGAGTTTAAAGAATTTAGCATAAATTTTGGATGAAGAATTTTTGGTTGAGTTGATTTTATAAATGTTCATGATCTGGGTTTAGCATTTAGTTGGTATTCTTGATTTGTTCTTTAGATTGTACCTGCATCTGTAATTGAGAATTCAGTTACTAATAAAAATCACACATTAGATTATTCCTAATTTTATTTTTACATTTATGTTAAATTAATAAATTTGCTTCAGAAATTGATTAAATAATGAAATAAAAAGAACGTTTAATGGATTATAATTTATGCGTTATAAGAATTTTTTAATTTATTATATTTACTAGTTCACTTATTGTTGATGTTCTTATTACAAACTGTTATGTAAACCAGCATTCTTATGTTCAATCTAAGAATTTTTATTTTTCTAACTTGATTGCGTTAGGGGTAATTCAAATGGTGATGTATCAATGCTGTAATTATTGTAGTTGACAGAGCTTATAGAGTTTTGGCTCAAATATTTCCATTTCATATCTTAAAGGGGTGCTGAAGGACTTCTAACATGAGACCTTATAGGTGTTTGGAAGGTATTCATTGAGTTACTGTTATCATTCTGGGTGGTTTCTGTTTATTACTTAAAAGGAATTTGATTTTAAAAATCATTCAGTAATATTTTAGAGTTTTTGGTTTTTTAATTTTCAAGAACATGATTCAATTCTGGCTATTCTTCAACAACAGGTAAAGTAAAACTCGAGTGCCTAGAGCTGTTAGGTTAATACTTGATATAAAATTAGCTGTCTTAAAGTTGGGTGAGTTGTTGATTTTTTTCTTCTAATTTATAGCTAGTTTAGTTTCCGCTGTATGCTGATTGAATTCTTTTGTGTCTTGATGGTTCAATTTTAATTTGATTATGATCTGTCAAAGTTGATTTAGATTAGTTTTTATTTTTAATTGATTGAGTTTGATTCTAATTAACATGCTTTTCTTCATTTTGATTGTTTTCACTTTGGTTTTGAGCTGATTAAATTTATCGATTATACCTTTCTAGAGAATAAGAAGTTAACTCAACTTATTTTTTTTCATTTTTTTCATTCTTTTTCTCATCCTTCAGCAAGCTTTTGAAAATTTTATTTGGATTTAAGCAAGGTTTTTTGATGGCAGTGCTACTCTAAAAGATGCTATTCTTCTTGTTTAAAGGATGGCAGGTGACATCATTAAACTTTTTTTAAAGTTTTTAATTTTTGCCTATAAGTACTTTTGTTTTTTCTGAGAAAAATTTTTTGATATACTCTTCACATTTTTACCCATATTTTCTAATAATAAAAATCGTTTTTATATAAAAAAAATGGAAAACTTAATTTAAAGATTACTCATCTAATTCAGTTTAAGAAATGTCTATTGTTTCTAGAAAAGGTAGTTTCGCATCTAACTTTTTGAACTCTTAGATATCATCTAACTTGTTTGAACTTAAATTCAGTCTATTTTTGTTGAATGTCAATAACATTATTGTAACAAAAATATATTTATTATTTTACATTTCTAGGTGGGTAAGGAATGAAAAACAAATCAAGCCTTTCTTAATTTTATTTTAAGAAATGTCGATTTATTTAAGTGTTCTTGCTGAAGATGTAAAAATACATGAATGCAGTTATTCAATTGAATTTTCACTCAAAAACAATCTAGATAAGTTTGTTAGATCCTTGAAAAAACTTATTGCCTGCCCCTTAGTATCTCTTTCAAACAAGTATGTTATGCAGTTTTTAGAAAGATTTAAATCCTGCAATGAGTTTGGTAATTTCATGTCTTTTATTGAAGCTTTATCATTAAAATTATTTTTTTTAAAATATTTTTTTCAAATATTTTTTGTTGTTTTTTTTTAAATATTTACAAATTTTGTTTGCAGCAACATTTAAATTCTTAAGGCATTTCAAGTCGATTAAATTTGGCATAGAAGTTAAGAGGTTGCCTGATAAGTTTAATTCTAATATATTACTTAACTCTATATTTTAAGACATCATCATAGACTAAAATAGAATAAAATTAAATATAATTCGATTTATATTTTTTTTAAAAATTACAAGTAGAGGAGTTGAAAAGTTGCTTATAGAAATGTCATTCATTCTTATTTTTAGCTATTTTTACTCATATTTAGGTTACTATTGTTTGGAATATTAGTTAGTGCTTAAAGGGCTTTTATCTCTCAGACCTATCATTTATTTGAATTGTCAGAAAAGAGTGATATTACTATTTTATTTTATTTTTCAAAAGCTATTTTATAGTATTTCTAGTAGTGATTATTTTATTATATTTTTAGATATATAATCTTTCTTGTTTTTATAGCCTTCGTCTTATCAGACATACTTTTTGATTCGTTTATTATTGGACACATTATTTATTGAATATTAACTTTAATTAATTTAAAATATTCAGCCTGAAATACTGAGAAAAAAAAACGCGCTTTTTTTATTTAAAATCAAACTGCTTTGTTTTTTTTTTTGGATAATTAATTTAGATAAAAGACAAAGAATATTTTCCTTAATTTGAAAACGATTTCAATGATTTTATATTTGTTAATATAAAACATAGAATAAATAAAATTTAAAATTTATATTTTAATATAATAATATTTATATTGATAAAATAGTTTTTTTTAATTTAGTTTCTTTTGAAAAATTATTATGTGTTTATTGATTTTGAGGTTAGTTTTTAATTATTTTAGGTCAAATTATTTATTTGTTTGAGATCTTTATGCATATAGCAAGAAGATGATTGATAGATCTTTTTTGAATTTTATTAATCTTTTCAATAAAGTTTTATTTTTTCGCGGTTATAATCATTCATTATTAGAGGCAGATTGTAGTTGGAACCTATTAATCTCTTTTTTCTATTAACCAAGCAGCTAGTAGCTCTAAAATTTTTTGGGATACTATATTAAATTTAATGGTATTGTTAACTTTCTTCCTAATCCATTGTGTTAGAAACCCAATTTTGAGAATCATTAAGCTTTCTTTTGAAATCTTCTTTATCGTATATGTATGATAAACAACAATCATGACTATTTTCTGGAATATAGTCTATCTTTGGTTCTAAAAACAGCCACTTAATTTTCAAGATAAGCATGTATAACCTTTTTATTATAATAATATGTTAGAAAAAAGTTCATTAAATTTTAAAATAATTTACGAAGTCTATGGATTCCATTTCTGAAAATCCAGATCTTCTAAATAGAGATTATTTGTTATTTGGTCAAAATTTGGATGAAATATCTTCTTCTATGATTAAACTATAAGCGGATGGTATGGGTATTACCTCGTAGCAATTATATTAATCTAAAATTATAAAAAATAGAATTAGTGTCTATGATTGTTTAAAAGCATTTGAGGTTTATTAAACTCCAAAGAAAGCAAAATAATTGTATGTATTTTGGTGATATTCTATCAAAAAATTTGTAAATTAATATTTTACTTGATAAGCAAACGAAGCAAAAAAGCCTTTATGAGGTTAAATAATAATTCTCATTTATAGGTTTTTTTCTTCGAAAGAATATCCTTGAGTGTAAACACTACAAGTTTCATCGCATAAGTTCTATTTACTAAGATTTATATATTCATTGACTAGATATCTATGATAACCTAATTGCTTAGATTCGCTGCTCTTTTATGATAAAATCGCTAGCTTAGAGAATTGCTAATTATATTAGTTTTATTAAAGGCTAGTTTGAGAGAATTCTTCTTCACATATCATCATATTGCTATTGTTTACTGATTTTTGAATTCTTATCATGCAATCTATCTAAATATATTTAACTTAAGAAAAACCTATTAAAAGCGCTTTCTTTAAAGATTATTAAATGGTATTTAAATGTTGCTTTTTTATGATAATTTAATTAATAATTTAACAAATTTTTTTTTTTGCAAAATCTTATTACTTTTACTTCTTTTGTTATTATTTTTTGTTTATAGATAATTAATTAAAGGCTCAGTATTATTTAATTTATGCATTTTTATGTGGTTGAGACCATATAAAAATATTTTACGTATAATTACCATAAATTCTATTTGTTTTAAATTTGCTTATTGAATAGTTAAAAGCGAGGTAAATTAAAAAGAGATCATCAGAAATTTATTTATCTACTTTTTATTTATTTATTTATTTTTGAATATATCTCATGCTTATAACGATCAAATTTATTATTTAGTCAAAAATTTTATTTCAATATTTTTAATTAAATATTTGTTTACTTGATCATACTTAATTTTTTTTTGTTAATTTCATTGAAAAGATTTTTATTTTTTTAACTGTTAATTAGTTAACTCATTAATTATCATTTTCTCAAATTAGAATGTTTTTAAATTAATAAAAATAATTAATTTTTTTAAGTCAATAATTTATTTTCATCACTGTATGTTTGTTTGTTTATTATTTTTAAATAAGAAAAATAAATATATTTATTAAAATGTGAATTATATTTTTCTAATTATTATCTGTTTTATTCTAAAATATTTTTCTATATTGTCTATGGAAATTAAATTGATTTTAATACGAATTATAACAAATACAAAATAGGAATAGTTAGTTATAAATAATTTTAAATATTATTGCTTTTAAATGATCACTCATTACAAACATAAAATAAAAATTAATTAAAAAATTCTAAAAATTATTTCATAAAATATTTTTAAATTAAAATGCGTAGAATAATGAAAGTAAAAATTCATGCTAAATTAATGGATTTTTACAATCAGTACAGATAAAATAGTAGAGATATATTGCTATTATATAAAGTTTATTACAACTTGGAAAAGATTTTTAATTTTTTTTATTTAAACTTTTAAAACATTTTATATTTCACATTCTATAATAATTGCTATCCTAATAAAAATTTGTTTTGTTTTAATTTTATGTTTTCATTCTGTTTTTGATTGAATTTAGAAAAATAATTTTTAGGAAGTATTTTTTTTTGAGAAATAAGTAATCTAAAAACCTTGGTTAATTGGATTGTTATTTTTTCAATTAAGACATCTATAAGCTTAAGTAAATATCAAAATAAATTAAACTTAAGTTATTTTGATTTGTTCCTTAATTTCTCTTTAATCAGCTCTATAAATATCTTATAATTGATTTCGTAAATTAATTAATTTGTCTAAGCAAAAATTACTTAATTTGATAAAAGCAATAATACATAAATGATTATTTATTTGTTCATTTAGATAATTATTTTAAAAATATAATTTCAATCCTCCATCTTTTATTTTTATTTCTAAAAAATGACATAAAAATATAGTTTTAACTAATAATTTGTAATTAGTTTTAATTTTTAAAAATATGGATACAATTCAATTTTATTTTAAGAAATATATTTTACATAATGAATGGGATAGAAAGATCAAGCATAAGTCGATTTTCTTTCTATAAACTTAAACCCCTAAAAAATACGGATAAATAAATTAACAAATAGATAGATAGATATATAAAAGGTTGTTTGATAATGAAAAATCAAATATATCAGTAATTAAAACAGCATATATAAATAAGCAAGAGTAATTCTTAATTTTTAACTGTTTATATTGTTAATTAAATTAGTAAATTAAAAGAAAGGCTTGGCATTTATTTATTTATTATTATATTTATCATTATTATTATTTTTTGCTGATATTTAAAAAGCAAATTAATTAATTTTTGTAATTTAGTAAATTTTTTTCTAATTAGAGTAAATAAATAAAATTAAAAAAAGAAAGGTAGCTTACTGCATAGGCAATCAATCAACTTCAGCTTTGCTTAATTTTTTGATAATCGCAGTCAGCTGTAGTACTAAAAAATTAAGATAAGTACTCTAGAATTTGGCTAGCCGGCTGATGATTTATACTATTTAATTGTAATTATCTGTATTTCGCAGTAGAGCATTCAGCGGCTTTTTGCTAATTTAAAACTAATCCAAATTTATTTTCATTAGTGCAATTGGTAGTTTGTTTAGTTTATTTGAAATTTTCTACATTATTTTGAAACTAGTTTTCAAATCTGCTAAAGCCTTCATACAGCTGAGTGATCTCTGTTAATTCTGTTTGCTATTTTTGTTATTAGCATTAATTTTATTTCTTTTATTTTGCTTTATATTTATAAGAAGTGCTAGGAATTATAACAAGAGTTTAGTTTTTCTCTCTATTCTCTATACTATTTGAAATTATTGTTAAATTTAGTTATTATTTTTTATATGTTTGATGAGAAATTTAGTCTAAAGATATTGAAGACTATAAGGGTGAATTAATGAGACAATTATTACCTGCTTCTTCTTAAATTGCTTCGTATTCATAATTATCTAAATTACTGTTTTTATTTTAACATTATGTTTATCTAGCACTAAACTATTAACACAATTCTTGTGAATTGTCCCAAAAATTATTATTGTTATTTGCAAAGAATGATTTTTATGCCCATTCATAGTAATTTAAAAATACAACAGGACTGATTTAAGGAATACTTTTATAGTTAGCCATTGATTTTTTTGTTGTTTCATCTTCGTATTTTCTAATTAACGTTTAATTTTTTTGATATGCAATCCCTACACTTTTGTCATTTATTTTTTGCTTTTTGATTTGAGAACCTTACTAGTAAAAATTTATAATTAGCTGATTACATTTCTTTTTTTTTTGTTATTACGAATTAGCGTCAAAGTTGCCGTTACAGTCTTCGTACAGGCTGCATGTTTATGTTTTGTTATAGATGACATTTGTCTCACGGGCAAAGTAAAATAATTTGTGATTTAAAAAAACTGAATTCCATAAATCACAAAAGCTTTTGAAGTTAAATCTGTCTTGCTTACGCAAGTAATGTTATAATACAAGAATGGCACACAGTTTTTTTTAGTACATTGTAATGTATTTCTGTGAGTCCACCTAAAAAATTTAGGTATTTGAACCAATTTTAATATTATCAACAAGAGCTTAAACGAATTCTTTTTGAAGCCCAAAAGAATCTATAAAGTCACCGTAAATACCGATCAGCATTATGTATTTGGCTATCTTCTCTTTTTTAACATACTAAGAGCTATGCACTTAGCGCTATAGCTTAGGCTACGAAATCTAATTTTATGACCTTTTACAATTCAATTTATCTGAATTTTGGCTCATATTTTGGTATTTAATTTGCGTACTATGGACATCAGAGGACAAAGTCTCTTTTCTTTAGCAATAATAATTATGATTGTTTTGATTGATTGGCTCAATGTGATGAATAATGCTATTGATATCCCAGTTTTAAACCAACTTAGAAGACAGTTTAGGGTTTTTGAGTTCTGTAGTTTCTTAGTTGAGGAGCTTGTCAAGTACCTATTCAACAATCTTTCTTACATCTCTTTTATACTACAAGTTCATCGGTTTAGTTAAGAGCTAACAAACTTAACATTCTAAGAAGTAATTTGTTAAAGTCGCTTAAAAATTTTTGTTAATGTCTTTTATATTTTTTTTTTTAACATCAAGGGTGATACGGAGTATCTCGGAAGCAATAACGTCTATTTAATCCTTAATTTCAGGAATTTCATGCACAGTTGAGTATACTACTGCCTATTAAGGCTACTCTGTATATTCAGAGAACTACTCAACAGTGTTACAAATTTTGTTCATGTTATTTAAATTATTTAATATACCCTTTGTTTTAAAATCAGACAGTAATTAATTGCTTTTTTGTTAATATAATTATTATTGTTTAATAATTGATATTAACTTCGTTGTTTCTGCAATACTTATTTTAGTATTAATTGTTTTGCTGCTATTGTTTTTAATTATCAACATTATTTATGTTTTTATTGTCAGTATAATTATTGTCATTATAATTGTTATTGTTGTTGTTATTGTTATCATTTATACATAAAAAAAAATTTTTAATTACACTTTTGAGTTTTTTAAAAATTTTTGAATTCATGTTTTTTATCTGCTATTAATATTAACTATAATGCAGTATACTATTAAACCATTAAATCTCCATTTCATATAAACATTTACTCTGGTTTTATACTTTTAGCATTAATTATTTTTAAATATTTAGGATTAATTCTAAAAATTATTTATTTTAATTGCCTATATTAATTTATTCTTTCTTAATTTTTAAAAATAATGTCTTAAAACTATTATTATTATTTTTGTTTAACTTTAATAAAGCAAGCCATACATACCTATTTTTCAAATGGAATTTAAAACTGAACAATTCCTTTGAATAACAGGTTAATTTAAATAAATTACATAAGTAAAATTTTAGAACAAATAAATAATGTTAATAGTAAAATTAACAATCAAGAGCGGTTTAAGATAAAAATTTTTATGGTATTTAAAAAATTTAACTCATCTAGCAGTTTATTTTATTTAAATGAAATCAAGCTTCTATTAATTGTCCTTACATAATTAAGCAGCATTTTAATTTCTTTAAAGTTGCAAATAATATTGCATAAAATTAAGTAAAACTCCTTTTTTAAATTATCAATTTTAGTTTAAAATGAAAAAAAGAATTTCATATAACAAAAATAATTTTAAAATTGTTTTTTAAAATATTGCTTTTATATTTAGTGCTTAGCAGCGCTGTTTTTAGTTATGTTAAAAACAAATAAATTAGCAATTTTTTAACTTTCATTCTTAAGAAACATAAATTTCCTGTAAATTATGGCAGATCAGCAATTATTTTTATCTTTCAAATTAAGATTAAAACAATTTTTCAGTTGTATAAAATGGAAAAGCCCATAAAAAACCATGGATAGATTGTAACTGCATCATAAAGATAAAATAAATATTTATTCAATTATTTAGTAAAAGTCATTCATATTTTAAGTTTGCAAAGTGATTAAATCCATATTAAGATAAAAATAGAATGTTTGTTTAAAGATTAATTTATTTTTTCAAATAACATAAAACTACTTATTTGAAATTTAGTAAAAACATTTTATATTCTCAGTATGAATATTTAAAAACAAATTTATAAGCTTGAAGTACATTTATATTATTAATAAATATTTCAACTTTTTTCATACATCAATCAAAGTCAATAACTTTGTGTAGAGTCACTAGAAAATAAAATTATATGAAAAATATGTAATGATATTTTTTATTTTTCTTGCTAAATTAAGAATGGCTAAAGTAATATGAATTAAGGTCAGTTCGCAGTTCGCTGAGTCTGAATATATTCATTGCTCAAGTTATTAATTATATTTCAAATTTTAAATATTTTAGAATTAAAATTGATTTATTTTTAATAAAAAAACAAAGAATACTCATTGTTAAATAAATAAATTAATGTATAACAAGCAATTAATAAATTTATATGTATTTTGAGATAATACAGCAATTATATTGATAATCGATAATAGCATAGATTTTTTCATAATATATTGTAACAATAGGATATAAAAATATAATTTTATTTAACTAATTTAACTCTTCAACTTAAAATATATTTATACTTTTTTATAATTAGTAGCGAAAGAGGATATTAAATTATGCTAGTAAATATCAAAATCAGCTAGCTTTAGAAAATTAAGAACAGTGTTATTATTTTGATTTTAAAATTGGTCAGCTTTATATATATATTTATTTTAAATTATTTTTAAAAATTACAATTAGTATGCGTTAGAAATATACTATTGGATTTAAAATTTAACTAGTATAAATAATGTTACATAAATAGTTGTAAATTATTGATTATTTTAAATATATTTTTAGCAGTTTTTATAATTAAAAAGAAGTAATAAAAAATTAAATTTACCAATGTTATAAAAATTGTTAGTTTAATCTGACTAAATGTTCTTTACTTCAAAAAAACTATTTGATGAATAATTTTAAAAGTAGCACCTTAATTTGGGCGAAAAATGCAAAAATAAATTAGTATTTTTTTGTGAGAAAAAACAAATTAAAAATATACTGAGTTAAGATAAACTTTTTTAAATTAAATTTAAACCAGCATTTTTTAAAACTATAACAAAATGATTTTTCTAGAGTATTATGAAGAATTCTAAATAAAAATTGATAAGAAATGAAAAAAATTTAATATTATAATTAAAATATCTTGATATTATTCCAAAAAAGAAAAATAAATCACAATTTGTTACGTAAAACAGTATTTAATAAAATTTAAATAAAATATTCTTTTCTAACTTATAATTAAGAAATTCTAAAAAATAAATAAAAAATAAATTAAAAAAAATAATTTATTTAGACATATGGAGCTAATTAATTATTCATAATTTTTAAAAAACTATTTGAAGAATCATTTTAAAACAAATTAATACAACAAAATTTTTTTTTGTTTAAAAATTAAAAAAATTACCTTTTATGAGATAAATTCTTGATATTAATTTAATAGAAGTGAAATTAATTAAAAATTCCAAACATTTTAAAGTATGTTCAGCTAAATTTAAAACAATTTGCCTTAACGCTAAAAAGAAAAAGAGGTTTTATAACATATTTATTTAAATTCATTAAAGTTCTTTAAAAATTTTAGTTGACTACTTAATTGTTTCAAAAATAAAAATAAATAAAGTAATTTTTATTATCTATTATAAAATTAGTAACTAAAAAATAAGCTTAAAATTTATAATTTTACTACAAGATTTGCTAAAAATTAAACAAGTAACTCATACTAAAAAAATAATTAGTGTATACAGATAATATTTTTGATAATTTAATATTTTTATAAGCTAAATTTGAATTAATAAAATTAACAAATAATAAACTTTTAACAGCAAACGAAATACTTTATTTTCTTAAATTCAAATTTTGATTGAATATATTTTGCTTTTTTAAAAACAATTATTTAATGAATTGTGTATATATTTAAAGAAATAACCTAGCATGCATCTATCGTTCGGCTTGCAATAGATCAAACAATACCTTAGTACCATTTGTTTCATTTTTATAAAATAAAATATTACTTTTTTAACTTTTTATTGATTTAAGAATGATATTTAATTATAAAAATATGTTTAATTTTGAAATTAATTATCAAAAAAATATTAATATGTTTATTTTTAATATTCTGAATTTTTTTAACATCAGAAACTTTCATTACTTAAACTTTTACTATTTTAGGATTAAATTATATTTTTATAAATAATTAATTAAAATAGAAAAATTTTATTAAAAATTGTGAATTATATGCCTTGTAATTTAAAAAATGTTTACTTTTAATTAAAATAAATAATCAAATTTATCTTTCGTAGATGTGTAATAAGTAAATTAAATAAATTTAAGATATTTCATAAAAATTTTAATTGTTCATAAAAGTAGTAAATTGATTATTTATTTTTCTAATTTGTATAAAACAAAAAAATTAGCTGTAAATAAAAATATAAATTTTTGAAATATTTTAAAAATTTTATTGAATTTAAGAATTTTAAATTGGTAAAAGATTGATTGAAAATTCTTATTTCCTTTATTTAAATTATAAAAGTAGATAAATATTTCTATTTATTTTACTATATAATAATTTCGATAGGCTTATTTAAAATTGCTGACAATGTCTTTTTAATTTTTTAATTAAATTATTTCAATTTGATATATCTAATTAAATTATTTAAATTTAATATGTCTAATTCAATTATTTAAATTATTTAGCAAACTTAATCTATTTTAGTTAAGCAAGATATATAGATAAATAATAATTATTTAACTACTAGCTTAAGTATTTTAATTTTATAAGACTTTTAAAATTTCATATTTATCAAGTCTATATTTTAAATTAAATAAATATAAACGTATTATTTCGTATATTTGAAGTAAGTTAGAAATTTTAATAATTAATGAGTTCAAAAGTCATTCTGTTTATTACATTTATTTAAAATAAAATTAAAGTTAATTATTTACTTAACTTTAACAAATAAGTAATTTTAAATAAATCTTTTGCACAATCATAGAAAATAGTTTTTTTTTAATTATAACTTATTCCATTTAATACAAAAAACATAGCTTTTATTTAATATTTTCCATTAAAAGCATAATATAATTTACTTAAGAAAAGGTTTATAATAGTAAAAGTAAAATAAATACTTATATAGCAAATAAAAGGAAAGTTTGGATTAATTAAATAAAAAAAATGTATGCAAATATTTACATTTTGTATAAAAATATGTTTTATATATATATATATATAATAAATCCTTTCAAATAAATTCATAATTCTTCTTTAATATTTGAATAAAAATGTAATAAATTGTACTAGTAAAAGTTTTATAATAGTAAGAAAATTAAGATACTTACATAATAAATATAGTAAATTTGAATAGTAGTTTAATAATAAATATTAAATTAGGTTAGTTCATTAGTAAGTTAGATTAGTTATTATTGATGCTTGAAATAATTGCTAATTAATTTCTTTTTTTGTTATAAATTTCAAAAATTTTAGTTTGTATAATTTTGAAGTTATAATTCTTTATTTAGTTCATATAAAACGGTATTTCACTTGTTTGTTAATATTTTTATTATCATTATTATTCTTTTCTTAAATCTCATATTATAAATCACTATTTAGTTAATTTTTATTAGTACTTGATTACATGTCTTAAAAGGAGGAGTCTTGCTGTAAATCATTTTAAAATTTTTATAATTGATTACTTGAAATACTTTCATTTTATTAAAGCATCTTTATTTTTTTAGAAGGTAAATTCTAATTTGAATCTATTTTTAGAAGCTCTTATTTTCTTTTAAAATTTCTTTTTTTTATTTTTGGCTTTAACTTACCCAACATATTTACAACTTTAATTTGATTAGCAACCATATGAAGTTCATCATTGTTTATGTCATTGCACTCTATCTTTTGATTTTCTTCTAGCTTTAGAAAGTTTTTTAATAATAAATTTTAATCTGAATATTTTTCTAATTTAATTTGCTATCCATAGTATTAATTTGCTATCTAAAAATAATCTAAATTAATATTTGGAGGATTTTATTTTATGTTTTTATAATTTGCAATTTTTATATTTTTCTTCTATTTTTATGTTTCACTGAAATTCGTTTTAATTAATTAATCTTGTAAATTTTCTTAAACTTTAATTTTTAGTTCAGCACTGCTCAAAATTTAATTTAAATATTCTTGTGATGACTCTTCTCCCATTTTAATCTTATTATAAAAAATATTATTTTCTCTAGCAAAATAGTACAGCGGAAGATTAACAAAGACAGAATTCCAGAGTTCACAAAAGCTATTTATTTCATTTCCTTTACTAGTTTATAGAAAATGCTGAAGAAGAAGCACAGCACAAAGCTTTTTTTAGTATTCTGTGATGTATTTTTGACTATCTTTAGAAAAACAATCTATTTTTTCATTTATCTTTTCAACCAACATATCAATATATTCCTCTCTTAATTTATATTGATTAATTTGCTCTTCGTATACCTTAATTAAGAGTATATATTTGGCTAATTTTTTATTAGTCTTACATTTATTTTGTTTTTTAGAAATTATTTTATTGCTGATTATATCATCTTCAATAGATTATATATATGAGGAGCAATTTTTTTCCATTATTTATTATTCATTTTCATTAAAAGAGCATTAAATTTCATCGCAATTTTATTCTTGAATCTATCTCACCATAAGATTACTCTCCATTATCTTCCTTACTTCTCTCTTGTACTAAAGACCCATATGCTTCAACAGCAAAGTACAGACGTAGCACTCTAAGAAGTAATTAGTTAATGTTGCTTAAAAATTTTTGTTTATATCTTTTATATTACGCTATTTAACCATGAGAGTAATTCTTAATATCTCAGAACCTATTTTTGATATTTCGAAATTTATTTTATCGATTTCATGAATATCACTGAAAAAATTTGATTCCTTATTTCCTAAATTGGTTAAATTATTTGTTTAGTTTTACATTTAGAATTAAGACATTTGAGCTCCTTCAAAGCAAAGTATTATTAAGTTACTTCTCCTTCTTCTTTTTCTTATTTTATGATAATTTATCTAAGAAAATTGCTTATCTGATATCATCTGTTTATTTACTAATAATTTAATAAAAAATTTTAGTATATTTAAATTATTTTTAATTATCAGTAGACTTAATATCCCAATATGTTTTCAATTCAAGTACTATATTGTAGGAATATAAGTTTTTAGTGTTTTTTTCTTATTATTTAAAAAGTTGATCTACTCTAAGCGTTGTAGATAATAATTATGAAGTTGATCTCAATCATCAAAACAAAAATTTATTAAAATGAAATTTAACCTACGAAATTTGATTATAAATATATTTTACTTGAGTATATAAATAACTTAAAAATTAAAAAAGTTATTTTTCTCTTAACAATAAAAACTAAATAGTTAAAGTAAATATAAATATTAGTATATATTTTCATTTAATAATTTAAAGAATAAAAATATTAAATATGCTCAAAACTAGTAGATATTTATAAAGAGAACAAAAAACAAAATAGCAATTCAATTCAAAGAAACACTAATATGTTTCTTTAATTTTATTTTTTAAAGTTTATCAAAGTAATTTTAGATTGAGAAATATTTATTTTAATTCCACTATTAATTATTTAAAGGATGTTAAGTAAAAAAAAATTATTTAAAATATTTAATTATTCTATAAGTTAATAAAAAGAGTATCCTATTCATGAATTTAAATGTTTACGATTAATACGAAAATCAAACCTCAAAAAATTATTTATTTTTCTATATTTTAATTAAAAAATAATTGATATTTTTATAAAATAAAATGTCATTCAAAAAAAACTATTAAAAAAACTAATAGAAAATACCTTAAAATTCTTTCAGCTTTAAATATTAATTAATAGTAATAATTAAAGAGATCTTTATTTAAAAAATTAGAATTAATTTGTTTCATTACATAATTATTTGTCTGTTTTATGTTTTATTAATTTAGTAAAATTAATTTAGTGTATTATATTTAAATACCTCATCAAAAAATATTATTTTTTAATTGATATTAAAAAAAATTAAGGTTATTTGCTAATTGATTTAATTTTTTTATATTTTTGATATTTAGGTTTTTCAAGTAATCATTTAAGTAATATTTAAATTAAAATTAATATTAATATTATCAAGCTCTAATTTAATAAACACCAAACAATATTGATTTTTATTCATGATTAAAAAAAGTAAGATAAGTTATTATTAGTTGTATTTTATATTTACTAAAGCCAATTTTATATTTCTTAAAATATTAAGTGAAATAGCTATTTTTCTACATTTAAAAAAATATTCATTCAAATTAAGTTTTTATAATCTTAAAGTTAATAAAAACTATTCAGAATTAAAATATTTAAAATCTTCTCTATTTATTTTAAGAATTAAATATAATTATTATTTTGGCTATTTTTAATTATAATTTAGAATTTAAAATGGATTTATATAAATTATTAACAAACTATTTGTTATAATTTGTGATAATAAATAATCAATTAGTTAGTTAATAAAGATATTTTTTAGAAATAATAATGATAATTAATAATAAAATTTGAAATAAAAAAGAATTTGTTTTTTTGAGTTTTATTTTGATTAGGAATATTTTAAATTATTAATTTTTTGTTTATCTTTGTTTTTTATTAAAAAGTATTAAATACTTAAACATTAAATAAAGAAATGGAAATCTTGAAGAAGGATTTTATTTATTTATTTAATTATTTTTAATTTAAAACATAAAATAAAAATGGTTTGTGAAGTATCCAAAGAAAGTGGCATATAAAATTCATTAAAAATATAAAGATGATTAAAAGGCAGAGAGAAAAAATATGATAATAAAATTAAAGATTTAGTCAATAATTTGTTATTTTTATATGTAAAATAACAAATTAATAAATAAAAACATAGATGGATACGAATTGTACATATATAAACGAATGTGAACTTGCTAGCTAGCTAGTATCCTTGTATGCGATTAATATGAAAAATAAATTAACTATGAAAAAATGAATGTGATTTTACAATGAGAATGAGAGAAAGAGACTCTTTTGAAACAAAAAAGAGGAAAAATATGCAAGGAAAAATTACATATAAAGTTCATTAATAAAATAAAAGGGAAGGAAAAAAAATTAATAAAGAAAAAATAAAAAAATAATAATTTAAAGACTAAAAAAAGTAAAGAGATGATCAGAAACTTCCACAGTTTAGTCAAGAGAGTACCTAGACTCGCTCTTACTCCCTTCTTCGGCTTCAGAACTTCCATGACTTTAGCCGATAAGAAGTTATCCACTGGTGAAGCCTCCGTTGTCCTCGCCGAAAAGATTAAGGGAATCACTCAATAGGTAAATATTCTTAAGAAAATAATTACATCTCTCATTGATTGAGTTAGGGGTTCTCAACTAAGTAATTATAAAAAACAAAGAAAACCAAACCATATCTTTCAAAAAAGCAACAAAATTGAATTAAATCTAAATAGCCTAGACAACATAAAAAAAGAAGCATTAAAAAGTAAAACCATTAGAGGGATTAGACAAGATTTATATATTCCATTGCTCATAAAAATAATAGTTTGCTTTGTTTTGGATATTTATTTGTATAGAGTTATTCCCAAATCAAACTAAGAAAAAACAAAGAGAAGATACCTTTTTTCCTTTCTTTTTATCTTCTCTTTACCTATCAAGAAAGAAAGATATATAGGTGTCAATGAAATCGAATGCTAAACAACCCACATTTAGAGCAAAGTACTTAAATGGTGGCAATAATTTAGAGCAAGAAAAGAAAGCCTTTCATAGTTTTATTTGCGATTAACTATATTATTTAGAAGCAAGCATATTTAAAAACCTTAAATCAAATGATCGATCAATCGATTTTATTTATGATTACGCAGATCAATAAAAAAGATGAGAGATTTTATAGAGAATGTGATAACGATGAAATTTACCTTTATTTTTTTTAACAATATAAAGAACGATATTACTGAATACGGTACAGTTATTTCAATTGGTGATGGTATTGCAAGAGTCTTTGGTTTGACTAAGGTCTAAGCAGGTGAAATGGTTGAATTTAAGTCTGGTATTAGAGGTATGGCCCTTAACTTGGAAACTGATAACGTCGGTGTTGTCGTTTTGGGTAATGATAGGTAAAAAATTCATCCCTTTTTAAATAGCTAAAAAGCATCTGTCAAAAAGCTTTCAAGCAACATTCATTTTTACTTCATTTCCAATCAACTACCGCATTTTCTCTCTTTTATGGGCTCTTTCAGTATCAATTGATTAAAATATCAATCAAATTACCTACTTTTTCGAAAGATACTTAAAAATACAATAAAAAAGTCAATAAAAATATGAAAAACAATATTTTATTCACAAATTCAAAAAAAGTATTTAAGTTTGAACCATGAGTTTCATTAAGGATAATTTAGATCATCATCAATAAATTTAGTAAGCATCACTTGCTTCCAATAAATATGAAGCAAAGATTTAATTATGAAGAGCGTACGTTATTTGCCATAGTTATTTAAAATGATAAAGTTCATCAACATTAATAATTATTGAGAAAATAAGTGAGTGAGTTGATTGAAAGTGTTCATTAATTGAAAATAAGTGGTCTTATTTTATTTAAAATATGATAGAGATATTAAGGAAGGTGATGTCGTCAAGAGAACTGGTGCCATCGTCGATGTCCCCATTGGTGAAGCTATGTGCGGAAGAGTCTTCGATGCCTTAGGGTAAATTATTTAAACCTACCGAAATATTTGATCATATTTTTAATGCTTCTCTTTTAAATTTTAATAGTAACCCCATTGACGGTCTTGGTCCTCTTAAGACCACCCAAAGAGCCAGAGTTGAAATCAAGGCTCCCGGTATTATTCCCAGACAATCCGTCAGACAACCTATGTAAACTGGTATTAAGTGTGTCGACTCCCTCGTCCCTATCGGTAGAGGTTAAAGAGAACTTATTATTGGTAATTACTTAATTGATTGTTTATTTTACTTGCTTCTTATATGCTTGCTTACAATATCCTTAAATCCATTCATCACTATCCTTCCATCGCTCATCTTTTTAAATCGATAATCTTAAAATTAAGTCGATTTAAGAAAATATCATTTTACCAGAAAATAAAATTAAGAGGAATCAAAGAATGAAAATTAATAATTTAAAAACTAATCATAATATTGAGTGACAAACTAAGTACATAAACATAACAAAAAATAATTAGAAAGTTGATAGATTAGCTTTTAAGATAAATACTCTTTGACTTTATATAAACAAAAAAAAAGAATACAGATTTTATTAATTTGGATTGTTTTACCTTATTTATCCCTTAATAATTTATTTTCATTTTACTTTTTAATAGAAAAAAGGGGAAATAAATAAATAAAAAAATTAATTAATATAAATAAATAAGCAAATAAAAATCAGAAAAGAAGGAAAAAAGATTCCCTTTTTTGGATTTTTAATTTTAATTCTTTGATCCTTTTAAAAATCAATAATTTTTTATTTATTGATAAATCTTTTTTAAGTTGGAAGATAAATTGATTGATTTTAATTATTACTTTGAATTCATTTTAGAGAACCTAATAAAGAGCGTTTTACTCTTAAAATTTTGAAAATAAGCAAATTCTCTAGTTTAAAATCTGTAAAATAACGTTGAGAATATTTATCTACTAATATATTTTTAATTCAACAAATTTAACTAAAATAAATTGCATATTTTATAAATTGATCAGACTATTCAATAGATATTTTAGCAAATAAAATAGGTTTAATTAAAATTAGAATTGATCAATACAATTTTAAGTAGAAATTGCAAGCATTTTTTAATAACTAAATAAGTGATACTTTTGAATTTAAAATTAATTTATTTTTTAACTAAATTAGGTGATAGATAAACTGGTAAGACTGCTATCGCTATCGATACCATCCTCAACCAAAAGGAAGCCTTCAACACTGGTGATGTCAAGAAGTAATTATATTGCATTTACGTCGCCGTCGGTCAAAAGAGATCTACCATTGCTAACTTGGTCTCCATCCTTAAGTAACACGATTGCATGAAGTTCACCATCGTCGTTTGCGCTACTGCTTCTGATGCTGCTCCCCTTTAATTCTTGGTAAAAATGAATTCAAAATTAATTTCCTTACTTTAAAAGCTTTAAAAAGAAATTATTTAATTATCACACTTTTATAGTAATTGACTAAAAATTCAAATTGAAATTTAGATTAAATTAGATAAAATAATTTAATTAATTTTAAACAATTTTTACTAAATTATGAAATTTATTAAAAATTTTCTAATTAAAAAAAGGCTCCTTACTCTGGTTGCGCCATCGGTGAATTCTTCAGAGATAACGGCAAGCACGCTTTAATTATCTACGACGATCTTTCCAAGCAAGCCGTCGCTTACAGACAAATGTCTTTGTTGTTGAGAAGACCTCCTGGTAGAGAAGCTTATCCTGGTGATGTCTTCTATCTCCATTCTCGTCTTTTGGAAAGAGCCGCTAAGATGAACGACAGCCTCGGTGGTGGTTCCTTGACTGCCTTGCCCGTCATTGAAACCCAAGCTGGTGATGTCTCTGCTTATATTCCCACCAACGTTATTTCCATTACTGATGGTTAAATTTTCTTAGAAACTGAACTTTTCTACAAGGGTATCAGACCTGCCATTAACGTCGGTCTTTCCGTCTCTAGAGTCGGTTCTGCCGCTTAAATTAAGGCCATGAAGAAGATTGCCGGTAACTTAAAGCTTACCCTCGCTACCTACAGAGAACTTGCTGCTTTCTCCCAATTCGGGTAAATAGATTTACAAATAAATTAACTGATCAATAACAAAAAATTAAAAAATACAAAAATAATTTTGACTTATTTTTAAATTTATAATATAAAAGTTCTGATTTGGATGCCAAGACCCAATAATAATTGAACACTGGTGAAAGATTAGTTGAAATGTTAAAACAAAACTAATATACCCCCATGAAGGTCGAAGAATAAGTTTGTATTATTTTTGCTGGTGTCAAGGGATTCTTAGATGCCCTCGTCACTTCTGAAGTCTTGAAGTTCGAAAAGAAGTTCCTTGAACACGTCAGAACTAACCACTCTGCTCTCCTTAAAAGAATTAGAGAGTAAGATTTTATTTTGTTTTCTTCAAGATATTTAAAAAAAGAGCACTCAATTTCATCTTCATGCATTTTGGGTTGTTTAAATAAAAAAAAATATTTTAAATTGCTTTTTTTTTTGAAATATTTTTAAACTTAATTTATTAAATTAATTAATTATAGCTCTGGTGATCTCAGCGAAGTTGATACTAATGAACTCAACACTATTATTCCTCTCTTCATCCAAGAAGGTGGTTTCAAGCTCAAGGCCTAATGATTGATCTGATTTTTTTATTTGCAAATACATAATATTTTAAAAATATGAATATATTCAAACTTGAATAAAGAGTATTTCAGTATTGAGTTTTTGTTTGAAATCTTCTATCTTTTCATGCAATAATTTAATATATTTCACACTTAACTTAATACGTACATATCTTCTTTATATGTTTCTTTTGCATTATATTCTTCCAAAAAACTTACACACTTTCCTTTTACTTTAAAATTCTTTTATCAAATAAACTAAAATATTTCACTCAAACTCCATCAACTAATAAAAACACTTTTAATGCTTTTAAAAAAATCAAATAGACAAAGAAATCTATATATTTATTTTTGCATTGTTAACTCTTGTCAAAAATATTACTAAAGAAAGAGCTCAAGCATAATTTTATTCAACATCTTTTTTTAACAAAATTAGTTTACATTTAAAAGGAAAATTACTTCGTAATAATGTTGATGATAATAATAATAATCTACTGGCTTAAACTTTTACGTAATATTTGTCTATCTAGTAAATAGACAAAAACGAATCATCAATACAAATTAATTGTCTAATCTAAGTACATAATCAATTTTTTACTGCTTCTTAGAGTAATTAAAAACATGAGCTGAGATTTTAAATTTATTTCATTTCTATTAGGTATTATTTAATTTATGATAGACAGAAAGACAATCAAGCTGTATGTACCATCAAGTACTTACTGTCTTTGTTATTCAAAAAGTAAGAATTTGCTTTTATTTTTTCAAATCATATGAACAAAAAACATTTTATTTATATAATAAATTAAAAAAATTTGGTGTTTTAATAGATTTTTTCTGCTGTAAGTATTCAATATAGTTAGTTAGTTAACTACCTATCAATTAAAATCTATTTTTTCTTTTAAAAGTGACATTAAACAAATTTTTTTGTTCTATAATAAGAATAGAAAAAGGAATACATTTATTATAGCTCCAAGCTGCTGAAAAATAAAGTAAACCTTTTCAAATTCAGTTGATTGGTATTAATTTTAAATGACTTTACCTTAAAGTCTATCAAAACAAATAAATATTATTTACTAATAAAAAATCTTGAGATATATATATATCAAAAACAAAAAGAAATCAAATAAAATTTTAGAGAAGTCCTTATCAAAAATACAAAAAATTTAAATAAAGTCGCATGGAAACTCTGATTGAAAGCTTTAATTGTAATTAATTACTTAAAAATTCTTTAATTAAAAATAATTTTATTAATTTTAAATATGTTAGAAAACCAATATTCCTCCTCTGAGATCTTCTTTCACCATAATTATACTCAAGTGAATTAGTAAAACATAATAAACACAAATACAACAGCTACAAGTTAAAACGTTGAACAAAACTTAAAACCAGATAATGAAAGAGAGAACAAAAAGCAAGAGTACGAAATACTATTATAATAACGTCAAGAAGGTAATATTTTTTTAAATAAAGTATATTTTTCTCATATTTTATAATATTAAAATAGAAATGGTTAGACAATATCTTGAAGAAATAAGGGTAACAAATTAACGAAATCTTTAATATTATAAATTATTTGTATATAAGCAGTCAGCTTTTTTAAATATCTAAACACATCTTAAACTATAAAATCTTTTTTAGAGGATATCTCTTTATGGTTTATGAAGTAAACATATATACAAAAAAATAAACATACAAATAAGCAACCCAAAGCTATAGTCAAATCAAAATTACAGCTGATTTATTAGCAAACTGCTTGCAAATCAAGAAAAGTATAGCATATTTACCTAATATAAATTTGATAGAAATCAAATAGATAGAAAAAGTTAATCAAAAAAATTTATCTATTTCATCAGATATGTTTAGCTTAATGGTTTTATAATCATCAATCAATCTCTATTCTCACATAAAATTAATAAATTATAAAGGCTGATTTGCTTTAAATATTATTGAATGAACTTTTTATTTGATTATTAAATAACTAAATATTTTATAAACAGGTTCTTGAGCGCTAATTATGGGATATGCAAAATAGATAAATCTTTAAGCAAAAGAATGGTGTGTCAGAAAATATATTCGATAAAATTACAACTATGAGAATAGGAAATACATCTTAAACATGCTCTATTTGTTACAACGGCTTCGAAAAAAGTAATCATTCTTATAATCAAAATTAATTATTATCTTCGAAAAGCTATTTTAATTAAATTTATTTGTTCTTAAACGTTTTAATAATAAATAAATAACTTTAATTTATATTAACAGATGAAATAATCAAGAAACTCCCTTGCAAACATATATTCCATTTATCATGCATAAAACCTTGGTTGAAAAAACAAAAAACATGCCCTAACTGCAGAGATGACATTTGCGAATCCTTAAAGCAATAATAAGAAAAGAAAAAATAAAAGTAATAAAATAAAAGTAAAATTGATAATGATGAAGGAGAAAAGCTTTAAAAAAAGGAAACTGATTCTCAAAGAGTATAGAAGTCCTACGATACGCCTATAAACTCTAGTACTGAAAAAGAATCTGAAAAAAAAGGAAACAAATTATCTAACTTCACCATAACAACCTGCTAATTAGCAGATTAAACAAATTGATTGTACTTTATGTATTTATCTCTAAATATTAAAGTCATATCAACTGTTATATATGCATACTACTTTAGCTAATTAAATATCGAGTTACTTATATTACCATAATAATTTGAGTTTTCAGATAGCAAAACCATCAAAAATAGCTTTTAAAAAAAATATTATTTGTGCTATTGCTTTAGCAAAAATAAATAAAATGAGATTAAATTGAAGACATAACTTAGAAAAATTATTGAGGTAGATAAATAGATAGGTAAATAAGTTAATAGGTGTTTATGTAGGTTTTACTTTATATTAAGACTATATAAATTGATTGATCGATAGATAGATAGACATTCTCAGTTCGATACAAATTAGTTAATTAATTAATAAAATTTCAATTTACTTACTATTAGTTAAATACTTCTGCAACAATTATAGTAATAAATTATACGTATATAAAGTAGTATATAAAATTATAACTTAATATATTTATTTAAACTTTGTAAATATTTCTCATTCTCATCTATTATTTTCTAAATTTAAAATTACTCATCAATCCACTGCAAGATAATTTAATTACATTTTTATTCATTTGTTTATTTATTTTTTTATTCCTTTGTTTACTTAGCTTCTCTCCTTCAAACATCTTTTTTCAAATTTTCTAAAAATTTATTGAATATTTTGAGTGAGTTTTTCATTTTACTGCTTCCTGTTTATTTTAAATAAATTTTTATTAACATTAAATAGATTAGTTGAAATCATTTTTTTCAAATATATGTTTTTTTACCTTCTTCAGTAGTTAAAGTTGAAATGTTAGGCACTGAAAAAGGATCAAAAGTGCTAATTTCTTCAGTTGTAAAAGGAACACATACGTTTCCTGTTTTTGGATGGATACAGAAGGGAGATTTTAACAAGTGATTAGTTGATTTTGAGACATTGACGTCCAAACGAGGATAAAGAAGCCAAATTCTAAGTTCTTCAAGGAGGTAGTGAGTCTTTTTCCTATTTTAATTATTTTAAAAAGTTTAATTTTTTATTAAAATAACTAAATTACTTGTCTTCGCTGCTAACTAATTCCTTTAAAGCTTCATATCTTTATTCGGATGTTTTCAATGTTTTCCATTCTTTTTCAACTTCTTTAGAGAGATCTTTTATAATAAATAAATAAGTAAATAAAAATTATTTGCTATTTTCTTATTATATTCAAACAAAATTAAAATACTTTCACTTCTTTTTGCCAAAAATTCTAATATGATTTCTGGTTTTTTCATAAATAAATTTTGCTCTCTTAAAACTATTTCTACAAATACTTTTTCACTTTCTTTTTCAGCTTTTAAATCATCATTTTTTTAGTTCAATTATTTCATTGCATTCCTTTCGATGAGATGACTTTTTTCCATTTTTAATAGGGATGGCTTTACATAGGAAGAGCCAATTGAATTATCCTTTTTTTAATTTAAATAAAATAATGTAAAATGATATTAGAATTAACTTACAACTAAAATATTCAAATAATCTATTATAGATGCTCTAGTATAATCGTTTGCCTTTCTTATTTCTTTATCACATACCCAAGCATGAATACCTCTTCTACCAGAGTAGACCCATAAAACATGTTAAAAACCAAAATCTTCATCTAAGCTTTTAGAAATTAAATCACAAGCTACTCTCATAAATTTCCAGCATTTTTCACAAATTTTTGCTTTTGAGCAACAAGTTCTAATATGATCGTAATCTGTCATATCAATATCAATAACGAATTCCTAAAATTAATAAATTTCGCATGTGTTTTACATTCTATTTCCTATTAAATATTTAATATACCTTCTCTTTTGCTTTAATATCGTCTCCTTTTTTTCCCTAATTTGAAATATTATTAATATGTCAATTTAATTCATTAATTTTATTAATATTTACAGGTCTATCATAGACAGCTCCAATATCAATTTTTTCAGGAACTTTTTATAGCAAAGCGTTTTTAAATTCTCTTTCACTGTTATACATTTAATATCTTAGATACACTTCATTTTACAAAGTGAATGAAAATTCTCTTCTAGTGAAGTATGTGTCATCGCCATCTAATAAATCAAAAAAAAAAAACATATAATATTAATTAATTTTATGCTTCAATAATGTACCTTGAGGATAAGAAAGCCATTAAACCATTTAACTTACAGGGAAATAACTTCTGTAATATTCCTCTAATAAATCATAATCTAACTTAAATTCTTCTTCCTATTAAGGTGCAACTTCAACTGTTTCTATTTCCATTTTTTATAGACTGATTATTTGTATTAACTAATTTATTGATAGCTTTATTGGTTAAAATTTTCAATTTATTTTGATTTTTAAGATTAAAAAGATACATAAAATTATGAATTAAGTAGTAGGATACAAGTTTTGAATATTTGATATTGATCATTCTTTTTATATATAAATAAATTAATTTAGTGTGCAAATAGATTTTGTAGCGCAAAAGATCAGTTGAAAAAAAAAGGTAAAAGCGCCAAATTATTTAATTTGAGAAAATTAATAATAATAAATTTAAAATTTTAACTTTAAGAAAAAATCGATTATTCCAATTTTAAAAAAATTAAGAAGAAATGGGGGATATTATTAAAAAAATAGAAAAAGAAAAAAAAGAAATGTAATTAAAATAAATATTAGTCAAATTAGAAAATTGAATGAATTGATTACAGACGAAAGTTAAAGTAAAAAAGTATAAAGAATTAGATGCATAGGAGGAAATTAAAATTAAGGTATAAATTAGATTGAAAAATTTATCAAATTACGCGAAAATTAATTAAAGAGAAATATTGCATTGAAAAGTTAATAATGAGATGAAAATGAAACGAACATTTGATTAAGATGAAATACATATAAAATCCATTAATTCTACTAGCGCTTTTTTATATCCTCAAAGACTTAAATCAATATCTTAAGATTTGAAGCAAAACATAAAATTTGAAATTCAATGAATTTAAAAAGCAAAAATATTAAATGGATGTCTTGATTACACCATTTAAAAAATATTATGAATCAACCTTTGTCTGATCTGGTTCCTTTATTTTCTTTTGAAAGTAAATTTGAAATGGAATTATTTTTTTTTTTGAAGAAAAAACTAAGAAAAAATGAAAATAGATAGATAAATTACTTAATTTAAGGATATTATTTTTATGCTGAAAAAATTATTAAATTTTTTTCATAGTGCTGATAGCAAAGCTTACAAATCAAATATAAATCATAGTGATTTAAAACTATATTTATTAAAAATATATTCATATTTTATTAAGCTAAGATCTGTAAAATCTATTTCTCAGAAAATATTTGTTCATTTACTCTCTCATTTGTTTCTATTTCAAAAGCTAAAGAAGGTTTCTTGTAGAGAGAGTAGCATATTTAAAATGAACTACCTTAGCTTTTGATATATGTAAAGTGTTAAAAAAGAAAATAATACAAAAATCTAGAGAAAAATAGTTAGTTACCCATGTAAGAAGATTTTTTATAATGTAAAATAAATAAACAAAATTCAATTAATTTTAAGTTAGTCAAAAAGAAAAGTAATTCATAAAAGAAACAAACAAATAAATACAGAAAGACAGACACATATAGAGGAACAAAGAAACAAATACAAGCAGACACTCAAACTAAACAATCATAATATATATTAAGATAATTAAATTAAGCATAAACAGAAAATAGTAGATACAGACAAAATCTCAATACAAACAAGCAAGCAAGCAAAAAAACAAACAAATTAAAAAAAAACAATAATACAAATTTTACACTCTCAAAAACATTGATTTATATAGAATCAGAAATATATCAAAAATATTAGCTATCATGGTTGATCGCAGAGCATGGAGTGATGATGTCAGTATTTTTTGATTTCCTTTCATTTATTGAAACTAAAATAGAGTTTATTATGTCTGATAGAATTTTAATTTCCCCCAATTTGTTTAGGTTGTATTGCTAGGTTTTTGCTACACTTAAATTCAAGTTATCTATTTAGTATTAAATAGTGTAACTACAACAAAAAGAAGATTTTCTTCTATAAATTCTAATTTAAGCATTAAGCCTGTTACATTTAGTCTGAAACCTTACTTAAATATATTCTAAAATATTTAGGAAGATAAGGCAATTAGAGACCTAGTGAATACATTTGGTATAAAAAAGTGGACTATAGTTGCCTAAAAAATGGAAGAGTTATATAACTTGAGTGGTCGTTCAGGAAAGCAGTGTCGTGAAAGATGGCACAATCATTTAGATCCTCATATTAATAAGTAGCCTTGGACAGAAGAAGAAGAAAAAATTATATTTGAAAATCATAAAAAATGCGGAAATAAATGGGCTGAGATAGCACGTCATTTACCAGGAAGGTAAGTTTATTATAAATAAGCTAATAAATGAAAAAGATTATACTAGATATGTATTAGCTTTTAGAATACGTTGTAAATATTAGGTATAACTAATATATTGTTATTAATTAAAAGAACTGATAACTCTATAAAGAACCACTTCTATTCTACATTAAGAAGGTCACTCAGACGTATCAATAAATTACTTGGAGATAAAAACAGTAATTAATTACTTTCATTTTTCATTAGCATATTAATTTTCAAGTTGGCCTTTCTTTCAATAATTTTTCCTAAATTTTAAAGGTACTGCATAAGTTAAGGATATAAAACCTGGGGTCCTTTCAAAGATTTTTATTCTTGCAGAGAAGGATGTTAATGAAATCAAAGATGAAGATATGAGAAAATTAAGTATAGCGTGTAAAGGTTTGTAGGATTCCCTTTTAGAGTTTGCAAATCATAAGCCTCTTAAATCAAACAAGAAGAATGGCGAGAATAAGAATGTCTTTCAAGAATAGTCCTTCAAAACATTGATTGAGAAGATTTTAGAATTTAAGTAATTATAAAATTTAAATTTTAACATGAAAAAAAATTGTATAGATAATTTGATAGTATTCGCTCATAAAATATTAATAAATCCACTACGATTAATTTTAGTGTTATTGATTGATTGATTCTATATCAAATGAAAAATTTTTGATGTAAGATTAAATTAGTAAGTTGTTTTTAAATGGCAGAAAAAAAAATAAACAAAGAGCTTAGCATAAATCCATAATAGTGAAATGAAGAAATTAACATTATCAATATAAATCTCCCTGTTAGCTATTTTCATTCAAAATTTCAAATCACATATTGATATTGAGCATATTTTCGGAAAGAAAAAAAAGAAGATTTTTTGATAATAGAATTTTTAAATTTTAGCTGAACGCATCTAATTAAGAATGTTTAAAAGCTCATCACACATTATAAACAGAGAGAAAAAAAAGAATATTCAATTATTATTTTATAGATCTTATTTTACAAATTGTTCATTCAAACTTTAAATATAGAAATTCAAATGATGATTGATTATTTTAATTAAAGCGATAAATAGATAATCTCAAAGAATATTACTATTAAACAAACACTTTTATAAATTAATCATAAAAAACTAAATAATTTAATGACATTATTTATTTTAATTATTCATTTAGTAAATTTAAATATTAATAAAATAGTTCACTATACAAGAAGAAGAGAGAATAAAAGCTCAAGGAAAAAGAAAAAAAAATTCGTAATTATTTAGATTGCATTTGTTTTAAAAAAAGCATTTTATGTTTTCTTTTGTCTTCTTTTATCAAATTTTAAATAAATTATTTCAGGATTTTTTATTTCTGATCAGTTTCTAAAATGTCTGTATTAAAATAATAGTTACTAAACGTAGTGGTGGATCTAGTAAAGGCAGAAAGGATGATTAAAGTGATGACGATTTATTTGATTAGGATGACGATGATGAAAGCTAGGCTGAAGAAGAAAATGAAGCTGCAGAAAATAGCAATTCAAATAATACAAATAAAAATCAAGCAAATGATAATGCTAACAGTAATGCAAAATCAAAATTATAATTGAATGGCGCATCCAAAGAAAAAAGTAGCAACTCTCAAAATGGAAAAAGTAGCAAAAAAGAGTAGTAGCTTGATGATATTTTGAAAAGCAAAATAAGAAGTGGTGATAAAAATATTTTTAAAATAGTCAATAATAAAAACTAAAAGCAAGATTAGCTAAATAGACAAATGGTGATGCCACAACTTTATTCTATCAACCCAGCATAGGCATTAAACTTCCTTCCAGAATTTATTCTTGACCCTGTAATAACTTATTTTATATTAAATTATTTCTTAAAAAAAGTATTATTTGCTATCTTAAAAATTTTATAGTAATTAGTAAAATATTAAAAAATTTCTATATTTTTAAATAATAACAGAGTAAATTTTTAAATCCTGCACTTAATTAGCTGTTTGATTAAGCCATCTTAGCCCAATAACCGTATCTTATGGGTCTTTATTCAGGTGGTGCTGATATGGAAAACTATTAATCCTTTTTCGAAGATTAAAATTAAGATTTTAATGATCAAGGATACTAATATGATGGCTTTTAAAATAGAAAGAAAAGTCCATTTACACCTAATGGAAATGGAATTCCTAAAAAAGAATTTGAATCAGATTAGAATGATCACCATATTAACTACAGCTTACCTTAATCTAGAAGATATGATCACCAACCTTTAGATCCAAATTTTGGCATGCCAAGCTTCTTAAATTAATGTAAGCAAACTATCAATCAAACATTTTTCAAATAATTTTAATAAGCTCTTAACTAAATAAAAATAAATATTTTAAAATTCAGTCTTAAATAAATTTTTTGATCTACTTCATAAAAAAGAATTAAATTATTCTTTTATTGATTTTGTTTTATTGACTAAAATATTTTTAACCATTTATTTTAAACTATCATAATAGAATAACTACTTTTTAATGCAAACGAATCTCCAAATTTCTAAAACATATAAAGCCCTGGATCGAGCTTTAGGTATTTATACAATCCTTTCCCTTAGACTCCATAATATCATATGAAATAAAATGGTACTGGATTTACCCCAAGAAACAAGATTATTTAAGGAATTGGAAAGAGCCAATTTGATGAAAGCTAAGCATTTAACAGTAACAATTAGATTAAGAGCTTAAAAAATAGTAATAGTAATGAGAGCTAAGATTAGCACTAGAGCAGCTAAAGTTTACATAATAACAGTAATAGCAAATTTATAAAATCTAATTTTGGTTCCATTACAAAAGATGAGCAATATCTTACAAAAATAGCAAATGAAGTAAAGAATGAAATCTAGGCTAACGATTAGAAATTCAAAAAGAAATAGACTTAAATAATTTAACTAAATAACAATGTGGGAGGTTTGTCAAGCAATAGTTAAAATGGTTATAATAATAAGGCTTAGAATAACTCAATTCGTCAAGAATCTAATGGAAATGCAGCTCATAACTCTAATTCAAATAATAATAATAACAATAATCAGAATACCAATAATGATGAAATGTGTTTAGACATAGATTTAATCGAAGAAACCTATAATGATGCAAGTAAAATGTATATAGAAGTATCATCAAACCGTCATAATAAATAACTATTGTTGTCTCCACATTCTCCTTTTGTGATGCACAAATAGCACTAAAAATATTAAACTAACTAGCATCCTTTAAATCAATAACTTAATGGTGTTTTCTCCTCCTAGAATTTAAACGGATCAACAAATTAAACTTCAAGCAATAATAGTAATTCAAATCAAAATTTTGCCTAAGGTTTTGGAAGCAACATAGCCATGATGACAAGCAACTTATCTACAAGGATAGGTAGCAATAACAGCAACAACAATGGAAAAAACAATGAGTAGAATTCTAGTAACTAAAATTTAAATTCGTTTAATCCTTACCTGTAAATATAATCTTGAAAGTGAGGAGATATTTAGCTAGCTAATATTAATAGTAAAGTAAAGCTAAAATCTTTATAAAATTGTTTACATTCAACAAACACAATAAAAAAACGTACTAATTAACCAAATAATTAATAGAAAAAACTAAAATTAATTTAATTGCAAAAACAGAAACATGAATTAAAATATAATGAATGATACTAAAATTATAAAGTAAGAAACATTTTAAAATGTACTAAAATTATTAAAAAATAAATTAATTAATTAATAACCCTTCAACTAATTTAACTTTTTAAAAATTTAACTCAATTGGTTAAAAATAAATATCAATTAAAGTATTTAAGCTTTATAGTAAAATTATAATTAAATAAATAGATAATAAATTATTCTCTAAATTTATTACCAAACAATATAAAAAAATAAAACATTAAGCAAAAGTAAATAAATAAAATAAGAATTTATTTCTGATAATTCTACTAAAAGTATATAAATGAAAGAGCATTTTGAATTACTTTAATATTAAATTAATTATTTCTTATAACTAGTTAACACACACACACAACAAGACTACATTTTTATTAAAATTAATTTTATATCCTATGTAAATCTTTCTGTATATATATAAAATGCAATGCGTATTTCTATATCAATACTTCTAATATTTTATTCATAAAAATCCTCATTTTTATACAACTTTATCAATATATTTATTATTTCATTTATTTTGATTTAAATCAATTTTCTTTAAATTAAGTTAAAATACTGGTTAAAATTCTCATCCTAAGGAGATTAATTCAATTCAAAGTATTTTAATTGTATATTGTGGGTGGGTAAGTAAGTAAATAATATTTTTAAATTATTTTTGGTGCGTTTTGTTTTAGTTCTTAACTTAGAAAAATTGCAGAGTATTATTGACTATTTTAATTCAGAGTAACACAAATTGAGAGTGGGAAGTTATTTATTATTTGCTTTACTATTCCTCTTTACTTAACAAATTAATTTTATAAATAATTACTTTAGACAGATTACTTTCTTTAAGTTAATTTTTAAATCTTATAAAGAGACTAGTAAAATATAAAAATTCATTATGATTCCTGCAAGTAAAATAAAATAAATAGTTAAAAGAATAAGACATTTGTTACAGTATGTATTTTAATTGAAATAAAAAACAATAAATTTATTTTAGAGCTATAAATAATTTTATTTTTAAATATTTTGTTGAGAAATAATTTTTGAATTTTATTCATATTTTGATTAAGTAAGTTATTATTATCAATCCTTCTCTTTTTTTGAAGGTTAATTTTTGATGAGTTCTTTGTTTAAATTAATTAATTTTATATGTTATTATTTAGATAGTTAGTTAGTTAGTATGTATGCCCACTTCAGTTATTTAAAATTTTTTGTTTTGTTTCAAAAGATTTTGATAATCAATATTTAAATTATCCTTTTTAAATAAATTATGAAGTGCATTTGAAAAATATTTAAAATCTTGATCAACAATAAATAATTGATTGGATGACTAATTGTTTTGTCAAATAGATTGCCTCATTTGTTTTCTAATTAAGATCGCTTCAGAAAATTAAGAAAGATTTGATAATCATAAACATTTTGTAAACTTTCTAGAAGAGTATTCCCTTATTATAAAACCTATTAAATTTATAATAAGAATATAAAAAAGGATTATTAAAAAAAAAAATATTTACAGTGAAATATTAGATATAGTTTTTGCAAACAGCATTCCTAATATCATTTTTAATAGTCTCCACTAATTTATTTTTTATTAAAATATAAATTTAATATTTAAAAATTCAGTATGATTTTACCTTCGGGCTTGTTTATTTGTAAATTTTTATCTAGATTTAAGTCTCTGAGAATGGACGTGCATTTTGAAGTCTAAGTTACATCCATGCAAGGATTTCTAACTTAACTCTGCCACTGTTATCATCTTAAATTATTTCATGTGAAATACTAGGAATAACTTGCATTGCTTTGTCCGAGCTATTAATCATATCAAAAAAGCCTTCTGTTTTTTTAAGATTACAAACACAGTCTTAGCTTCCTTGAACAATGAAGATAGGGTAGTTGAAGCTGCAAGCTTAATCATTTAATTACCTTATTCCCTTCAAAAGACTTTTTACCATTTAAAGACTATGTATTATATTACAAAAAATATTTTTTACTATTTTGGTATTTCTTTGAGAAAGTAACAATTAAAAATAATGAGTTATTCAGTAAGTAAGTTAATTACCCTATATTTTGTACCATGAGGTTTTTCCCCTTTTTTAAATTTTGCTAAATGGCCCAATTAGATTAAAGAATATCCTATTTATTGTACATAATAAAAAAATTTAGATTTTTTATGGTAAATTCTTTTTATATGCAAGAATTGATTAAATATTCAGCTATGTCTTTTCAAGCAATTTTTTATTTTTTAAAAATAATTACTTAAAAGAAATATTGAAATATCAATTTTGAAATTATTTTTGGATTAACAAACATTTTGTGAGTAAAATTATTAAATCTCAAAATAAATTCTTATTTCCAAATTTGATTTTTTTTTTTTTTTGAATTAACTGAATTTAGTTAAAAATATTGCTAATTAAGCAAAATATTTACGCCTAAAAACTCTCCAAGTATTCTAACTCCATATTATGTGAATTTAGATATAATTCCATTTTTTCTTTCATAGCCATGTCTATCAGGATCGACAAGCGGTGCTAGTGCAATAAAACCACTGATGTTTAGCCTAGGATTTCTTACACCAATTGATAGAAGCAAAGATGCTCCTAGTGAATGACCACATACGAATAAAGGGATGTCTTTACGTACTTACTGCAAAAGTAGTTCAATGTCTTTAATCATATCCTCAAAATTAGAAAGTCCTTTTACACCTCCAGAATATCTATTTGTTAAATAATCATGAAATTATTAAAAAAGACTTAAGTAAAGCTGAATTAAAAATATATTAATTTTATGGATTAGACAGAAGCTGATATCAGTACGTTTGTTGGATTGCTTGTTAGCGAAATTTAATTGTATCATTAAATTGAAAAAAAATGTAATTAAAATTATTAATCTATCAAAATCAATCAACTCATTGGTATTTTTTAATACTATTTCAGTAGCTTAATTAATTAGTTTATAAATAATTCAATAGGTTCAAGAAATATATTGAAATTATATGGCTCAGTTTTGAAAATATTAGATACTATCAATAATCCAATTAATAATAAATAGATAGAATGATAGAGTAAATTATTTTATGGATTCATTTTCGTTTTAAATCTTTAAAGCTAATAAATGTCAAAAGTTTAACTAGATAAATGCAATAACTTTGCTTACCCAAATCCTCTTAAGTCGATAAGGTGACATACATATTTGTATGATGAGAAATACTCTGCCAAGTCATAGTATAGTTCTGAATATTAACCCAATCCATGTATTATAATAATTGATGCAATAGGGTTTTTAACATCACTTTAAATGACTTTTGTGTAGTGTAATTTCAGAGGAATGTTATCAGACGAGGCTTCCTAATCAAGGAAGGATGATTATATTATACAAGAAGGCTTTTAATCCATCAATTTAATTCAGATTTTTTGAAAGTAATACAATAATATTTGTTTGATAGTTTTTAAAGTTAATGTATAAAGTCCTTTTTGTTATAGCTTTCTTTTGTTTTTTCTTTTTTTAATTGCGCTATTTAGCTCCAAAAGACTTTTTTTTCTTAATTAATTTTTGCATTTTTTTGATTGACTCTATGACGTATAAAATGACTTTTGAATATACGGTAAACAGCAAAATTAATAATAAATAATCACAATGAAAGAAATCATCAAGACAAATATTTAATTATTTATTAGTGTGTGTGTATGTAAAGACTACTTTTCAATCAAAACAATTTGATTATTTTAATAATTGAGTAAATTTGATTTGTATGAGTAAATTAGAATACAACTATGCTAACTCTAATAATCTAACAAAAGTCACAATATTAGAGTAGTTATGAAGTAAATTAATTACAAAATTTAATTATTTTTTTTGTTTGTTTTTTGCTTGCCTATTATTTGTATTAAAGTCTTCACATTAATAAACAAGAGTCTGACAAAAATACAATAATTTGTATTAATTAATAGGAAGCGTCACAAAATATCGTAATAAAAATAGAAAGGTATCAATATTATATTAATAATAGATCAACAATTTATCAAAATTTAAAAATATGAGGAAATTCTCATTTTTGTTCTCTTAAATTATATTTACTATTTATTGTTGAAAAATTGCAATTTTTTGTTCAATCTAACAAAACCCAGATTAAAACGAAGACGAAAAAGAACAATTTATATTTAAAATTTGTTCCAAAAAGGACGTATTAATTTTCAGCACGTATGTATGATTGAATAGAATTTGATGGTAAACATGTTGTTTATTTCTTTTTTTCTTTATTTTGAATTACTTTTCTATTTTTTTCTAATTTTTAAATTGGAAATAGAAAATTTGATTAAAAAGATAATAGATTTTTTCAATCTTATTAAATTAATAAACTAAAAATAGATCTGTAAAATTAAAAAAAAATCAAGCCTTAACTTACTTATTTTTCGTCATTACAAAACTAATAAAGTGACTTCAAATATTGTTCAATTTTGATTTTATTTTGCACTAATTAATAAAACTTTTAATTTTTTTCTATTGAAAGTTTCAACCACAATACTTAAAACAAACAAACAAACAAACAAACTCATTTATTTAATTAATATAACTATTTATATTTTGTAAATTTTTTCTACACAATAATTTTCGGTTGACTCATTAAGATAAAAAAATAATTTGATTCAAATATTACTCACAACTCCAAAAAATGATTTGCTTTTACAAGTAGCAAAAAATTCTAAATACTTCCTTCATTAAATACAAAGAAATATTTTTATTTCCTTAAAATTATAGTAATTACATTATACATTACTAGAAATAATTTAAATGTTTAAAAGGAATTTTTATCAAAGATAATATATTTGTCACCTTCTTCCCATTAAATTAATTTCTAATAATTTTTAAAAAATAAATTAGAATTTATTATAAATATAATAATTATTATATCTAAGCAAAATACTCCTTTTTTAGTATTCAAAACACAAAAAAAGTAATAATTATTATAATCAAAAAATTATAGGATTATACAATCAAAATTTGATTTACTTACCTAAATGTTAACGTATTAAAATTATAATTATATTTATGGTATTAGATATATTATAATTAACAAAATATATGATCATCAATCATAGAATTGAAATATGATTTAGCATAATAATTAGTTTTTTATTATAAAATCAATTAATTAAATAAATTAGTATGGTTAAACCTATCAAATCAGATAAAATTGTTATAACATATTTTTTAATTAAATTTATACAGTTTTAAAATAAATATAATACAAAATTTTATTTTAATTATTATTAATCTTATTTAAATTTAAATTGAATATTATTAAGTTACTATTTTTGAAACAACTTTTTGTTTGCTTCTTATAAATAGTAAGTAAGAAAGAAAGAAAGTAGATTTGTTGTTTTAATTTAATTAAAGTAAAATAATTTATTTATAAAAAGTTTATTTTTTATATTTCTTCAATCTAACCCTCCGTTTCCATCATTTTATTAGCGCTTTTTGACATAAATATCAACAAGCTTTTACTAGTTTCCAGTAAATTAATGCAAATAAGGATCAACTTCTTCTTAGAAAAGAAATTTTAAGTCTACAAGACAAAAGACCACACTTTTTCTAACATCTGGGCTTTGGTCATTTATTGACTATTTATTTATAGAATTAAAAAGTTAATTAAATTAAACATTGGTTTATCTTCAAATAACAAATTTATAAAGACTGTTAATTATCTGTTAAAAGCAATATTTTATTTAAATTTTTTCTTGAAAAGCTACTTCTTTTTTCTATATATATTCATTTAACAGTTTTCATTTAACGATGAGATTTATCTATTGATCTTTTTAAGTGAATTAAATGATAAAAAATTTTTATTTTAAATATTAATTTAGCTCTTATTTGTTTATAGAAAAATGTTAATTTATTGGCATTTTTTTTAATTTTGGAATTTTTAAATTAGAAGTGTGTGATTGATGGTTATGATAACACTCTTAATTCTAAAAGATTATTTGTTTTTTTATATTATAAGATAATTTAAAAAAGGTATAAATGACGCAATTAACCTTTTTGAAATACGATTGTTATTTATTCAAAATTTAATGATTCAATTCAAGTTTTCTATTTTAATCTATTTACATTTTTAAATAAATTTTATATTATTTCTTCTTTTATTTGATTTCTTTAGATGTTGAATGAGAATAGTTCATTTAAAATCAATAAAATCTTTAAATAATATCAAATCACTGTAATATTAAATATATCTAACTAAAAATTATCAAAAAAGAGAAATGTCTATGCTTTATTTATAAAAAATGATAATGAAGAAAAAAGCTTACAAGTTTAAACGAATCTATTATATGATCTAAAAATGGACGTATTTCTTCTTTACGAGCCTTCCTTAAGATATAAGAGATTTTTTTAATCATGATCTATAATTATGGTGGTTTTTCTGAATTAAGCTTCTCGACTAATGCTTTCATAAATATTAAGTGCGGTACACAATCAATCATTTCATCAATAACTTCATCAATTTGGTAAAAATCCTTATTTTTAAAAATATCCATTAAAAATTTTAAATCTAAATTAAATTATTTATTAATTTTTCAGCTTTTTGATAAATAATAGCATGTTATATATATTAACTAAATATTTATGAATTCCATTTCTATCAAAGATAAAAATAAAATTAAAATTTTTTTATTTGAAAGATTTTGCTGTTTATTCAATTTAGATTTATTATTTTGCTTTTACTTTAAAAATTATTCTAATTTAATCTCTTTTTGATAAAAAATTTGCATATCTTTTCCAATAAAATAGTTTGAATTAATTCAAATTTAGAAGTATTTTTCATTTTTATATTTTTTTAATTGTATTTAAAATTTTTTTTTCAAGTAAATGTGTACCATGTCTTTTGGAATGTATGGATAGATGCTCAAGCATTCTATTACTGTATGAGGCTATATGGTCAAATAAAAATAGTTTCTTATAAATAAGCTTTAGAAAATTTTTAAAGACTACTCTTTTGTTTTACGGCTATTTTATTTGAAGAATTCAATTGTATTAAGTAAAATCTCGTTGATATTTTGAATAATAAATGACTCATTTTATTCAAATTCACTCACACAAGCACATATTTCTTCAATACGTTGAATATCAAAATTTTGTATAGGAGCCTATAAATTTTCAGAGATTTTACCTCCATTCTAAACCATTCTATTTTTTTAGTTTTAAAGAGTTCCATTTTGTTAATTATTATTGTTTTAACTCTTTTAAGTATTATATTGAGGTTGTTGCTGCTACTGTTTAGTATTAAACATACCTCCTCCATTTTATGTTGCATTCATTTAGTTTACTTAACTTGCATTAGGAGTAGCACTATTTCCTACTTGTATCAATTATTGCTATCCCTAAGTTCCATTAATTGCTAAAGCAGGTGGATTTGAATCAATTTAAAATTATTTCATATTAGATTTTGTTAATTTATCAGTTGGTTTTATGTTTTCTTTTTGAACATACTTTCTCAAATCTTCTTCTAAATCTTAAGCATATTCATATGATAAATTCCTCAAAGCAGTTATTTAATTCTAATTTGTAAGTGATAGGATAGAATGAAGAGTACCTTGCTGATTGTGATCTCTTAGAGCGAGAATTATACCAAGACAAGGAAGAACCATTTATTTTTAATTTTAGTTCTCCTATATGATCATGCACATTAATTATACAGTATGACGTACATTCGAAATAGTTTGATAATACTCTTCGGCACTTTAAATTTTTTTATAACGAAATAAAATTTTATAAAATTCTAGAAAATAATTGAAAGAAGATAAATAATATTTTATCTTGCTTGCAAAAATAGAACATTTTTATAAAAAATGACAAAAAATTTAAATCTAAATAGATTAATCACCAAATAAATAAACAACACTTCAAAAATTTGATAAAACTTTTATAGTCGCATTAATATCAATAATGCGTGTTTATTTTTTGAATTTATTGTTAGGTTTTTATTTTAATAGAATAAAATTTTGAACAAGCATCAAAAAAAAATTTTATGTTCAATCTACTAACTAATTTTGGTAGGATTATCAAATTTAGGTTCATAATAATAAATTTTAATTACTTTTTGACAGTCACCATTAGAACTTCTAAAGAACATATTTTTAGCAGATTTTTGTTCGTTTATTCAAGGACTTTCTGTATAGGCTCAATAAGTCTCTCAGCTGGGAATATTTTTGATAAGATATTGATAAGGAAGTTAGCTTTACTTGAAACTACATCTTTCTAATCAATCAAATTATTTAATACCTAAAATTAAATTAAAAAATGTTATTCTAAATTTATTCATCTTTAATATTGCAAAAATTATAAATAAAATGGATGAATAAAGAAATTTTTATTATCAAAATTAATTAATTAAAAATTTACTTTAAAGATTATTTAATCTAGTTTTGGAAGAACATGTGTTGTATCATACGATACGATTGAAATAAGAGAATCTAAGCAAACACTAATCACTTTAAAATGTGAATCTGAGAGATGATCGATATGTGCATGAACTATTCTCTTCATAAGAGTTGGATTTACTTTTTCATTCTCAATATTCTATTTAAATCCTTAATTTGAAGCTGATATATTTTAAGCACTTAATTCTCCTATGACTTCTTTCATTGACTCGAAAGCACTTACTCTTGTAGACCAGCTATTATTGTTGTTGATTTTATCAAGCAGTAGCTCAAGGTCATCCTCTCTCCAGCTGTAGCCTTGTTATGGCTAAGTTATATTCTAGTCTTAATTTGGCTTCATTTATTATGGCATTTACTATCCCTTTGGTAAAGTCTGTGAACTTTTGGTCATTCCCTTTTATTGTTTATTCTTAAAGTTGTTAGTATATCTCATCACTTAGTCATCATCAACTGAAGGTGAAATATTTAAACGCAGGTACTTGTCATCACCTTCAATCTATTAAGCAGTTGTTGCTGCCATATAATTGTTGTGCTTGGTTGAAGTACTTCCTGATAAAATTTATGCCTAAGAAGAAATTGTATTAGGTTTAAAGTTCTAAAAGTTATTACTAGTTGATTGCTACAATTGTTATTGTTGTTGCTACTATTATTATTACTGTCTACCCAGAGTTGGATTTTTTTAATCACTATTTTTTAAAGAGTTCATAGCACTTTTAACTATTCTTTTACCTCCATCACCTGCAGGTACTCTATTAGCATTATTAAAATAATTTTATCCAGATTATGTACCCAATGATTTAGGTGCTAGCTTTTCAATCATATCTTCGTCCTCTAAACCTTAACCAGATATTTTACTTTTAGTTTATTTCTTATGCTTAACATATTCGTCTTCTTCAGATAAATTTTAATTTTCATGTTCTTCATATTCTCCTCTGATGTTTGTGCTTGAGTAATTTCCCCTTCTTTACTTTGTATTTTTATTTATTTAAGAGCTCTAAAGCTGATTTTAATTCTTAAAATATTAATTTTAGGTAATTTTTTAATAAGAATTTGAAGACTAGTCTTCATCCTCTTCATAAACTTAGTTATACTACTCATCTTCATTGTCTTCTTCCTCTTCATCTTATTATACACCCAATTTTTTATCTTAATAATGTTCTTCACTTTCTTCTTAATCATAATTACTTCTCCTGTCATATTATTCATAATCTTCATCATCAAGATCATTTTATTTATTTAAATTGTCTTCATCACGGTATTACAATTTTTATTTATTATTTTAAAGAGGCAATTTATTTTTTGCATTTTATACTTTACTACTTTGGTTATTTTATTTTAATTAAGTATTTTAATACTTTTTAGGTTGATTTTTAATCTTTTCACCATCTTAACTGCTATCTTATGAATTTTGATTTTCTTCGGTCAAAGAATTGCGTTTCTAATAAATAGGTTTTTTTTATAGAGCTTAGGTTGGAGGTCTTGTTAAACTACTGTTTATCCTAGAGCCTTACATTTATTATTAAGTTTAGTTATCATTATACTAATTTTTTTTAGGATCTTATGATCTATAAGCATTGACTTTTCTTGAGGTACTTGATGCATCTGCATCAGTGGCATCATAGTTTTATATCTTTGAATTGTTACCAAATGATGAAGCTGAGTTATCATTTTATCCTAGCTGATGATTATTTTATCTCAAGTTACTAGTTGCATTACCAGATTATTAAGAATTTAAATTTTTCTTTTGTTTGTTTAAATCAATTGTGTAATTAGCTTATTCACTTGCAGGATTAACAAAATTTGAAGAGGCATAACTTTATCCTTACGAAGTATTTTTATTGAACTAGGTTTAGACAGGAGGTTTAGAAGTATCTGCATTACCTATAGAACGAGAAACTAATGTAGAATTATTTCCCTTAATTGGTGAAACTGTATCAGTTCTATTTCCTAATTTAAAAAAAAAACTAACTTAATTAATGAATAAAAAAACAGTCATCATTGAAAAAATATGTGATTTATTTACTAAAATCAAACAAAAAAAAAAGAAATTAATTTTCTCTTTTTTTATAATTTACCTCCCCTTAATGGACTAACTCTGCTGTTTCCATTAGAAGGTTTTTCTTTGTTGTTTGATTAGAATACCATTTAGTCAGATACTTGTTTAAGATTATTTACTATACCTCTTTCTTATGAAAGGTGGTGATTAGATCCATTTCTACTTTTATTTAGATTATTGTTTGATGTACTTGCACTCATGCCTGCTTATTGATTACTCGGAGCTACGATATTATTTGCCTTTTGCTAAGCAGTTGGAGTCTTATTTAAATTACGTGAAGTAGGACCGACTGCAAGAGATGAAACAGTTAAGTTATTTTATTGTAATGAAGAAGAAGATGTAGCAAATACAAAGTGGTTATCGTCATTGCCCATAGAAACGCTTTGCTAAAGTTTTTGAGTGTGACTAGTATTGTTTGAAGTAGTTAAGTAGTTTCCAATGTTTGCATCCATAGATTTTTATTGTAATAGTCGATTATTTGAAGTATTAGCTGTGCTTTAATGATTATCAAAGTTGCTTATTTCTTCTTATAGTAATTTTTTTATTGAAGTATCTTGGTTAGCTAAGATTCTCTCGGCTTTCTAAGGATAGAGACTGTAATATATTCCAAATACCTAACGAAAATTCAACCTAACTTCTGGGTTGGCATCCTGAACTCCCTTGCTAATTGATGAATCTAATTGTGGTAAGAATCTATCTAATTGAGCTTAATTTAATTCTGGTAAAATCTAAACAAGGTATTAAGATACTCGAGATCTCACTTACTAACTTTTTGAAGAGCATTCTTCTAGTAGCTGAGGCATAAACGATGAGCTTGGGCAATATTCAATAATACTTTATATACAATAATGGGCATTTTCACAGAGAGTTTTATTACCAGAGTTTATAATATTAAGTAAACTCTCTTTTGATACATATTTAATAGCAATAGACTATTTTTAAAATAAAATAATCAGCTTAAAATAAAAATGTATTTAATGTAAAAGAAAAGAATTTCTTAGTTAAAAAACTTATAAATATGAAGGTTAATTAGAAATAAACTTTCATGTTAACCAATCATAAAATTATTAAAATCATACAAAAAAAAAATTAAAAATAATTTATGTAACATTTTTCGAAATTAATTTATGAGATTTAATTAAAAATTTTTTGAAAAATGAAGATTTTTAACAGATAGTTATATATTTGATTTTTTGAATATTTTTGATATTTCAAATAAACTGTAGAATTTTATAAAAAATTTAACTAAATTACAAATGTCATTTATTTCAACAAATTCTAGAAAACCAAGTCATATAAAATATTATATTTGGCTTGCATGCATGCATAAATAAGTAGAACAAGCATTTTCAAAATATAGCTTGTAGCTTTATAAACAAATTTTTTAACTTTTTTTAACTGTTCTTGTTTGCTTTACATATGCTAGTATTTAAAAAAATGTTTTTGCTTTTATTTATAAATACTTGTTTACTGCGCATGCAAAAAATATGTATCTTGATCTTTTTTAAACAAATGTAAATATTTATTACTTCAAATGATTTTTGCATTTTTTCGGCACTTATTGATAGTAACTTACAAGCTTCCTTTTATACTGCTGAACGTAGGTCTTTGAGCTTTTAAAATTAATAAGTATATATAAATTATATAATTTTTATTTCATTCAAATATAAATATTTATTGCAGAATTCTCCATACTTAAATGACAAGCATAAAAAAAAATCTATAAACTTTCAATAAGCTTCATCATCAAAAATAAAATAATTACCTAATAATTTATATAATTGTATAGCTTTTAGTAATTTGGCATAAAGACTTCATGAGTCCATGTATTTCCTACTACCATTCCTTAAAGCGTCTTAAGGGCTTCTAATCTTTTGTTCCAGTCAGCATCTAATTATTAAAATTATCAACAATGATATTGTTTGCATTTTTGGTAATTTAAACTTAATTTAAAACCAAATTTTAAAAGAATTTAGCCATATTTTAAATATTTATTGATTTGATTTGCTGTTTTATAATTTAATTCATTAGGTCAGTATAATTAAATGTAAGTTTAGCTTACAAGTAAAAATCCATATATTTAGTGAATGTATGCCATATAAATTGCTTTCATAACTTTCATTTTTTTAAAATAAGCATAAATTTACTTGGATTCTCAAGAACTGAAGAGATCTTTTGAAATTCTACTGTTATTTCTTTTTCTGTTTTCAAATTGATGGGCTTGATATCATCTTTATTACTCCCCATATTATCTTCTCAAATTCTAGCTTAATTTTGTTATTCTCTACTGTTGAAGTTTGTTACAATAAATCTGCTTGTTTTTATTGCAAAAGACACACTAATTCTTTAAAAAATAATTTTTGCTTTATTTAATTTGCCCCTTTATCTAAACTGTTAACTCGCGCTTTTATTTTATTTAACAATTCTGACAGGAATTTTTTTTACTGAGATTGATTGATTTTTCTTTATCTTTAGTTTATATCTATCAATTATTTTTCTTTTTGAATTTCTAAACTTTTTCTTTTAAATTTCACTTTATCTTCCAAGCAGATTGATAGATAGATAGATAAATAGATAGATAGTTAATTAATTTTTAACTATGCTGATAATAATCAATTAATTTATGGAAAAATTTTTATTTAATACATCTTAGACCAAGATATTAAACAACTATCAAATGAATAACAAAAAAATAAAAATAAATAACATTTCCCTCAATTATCAATGAAAGCATGAACAACTTTGTCATTTTAAAGGCCAATTAATTTTTCAAAGCTTTTTCAATCAATACCTATTTAATTATATATTTTTTTAATCTTAAAATAGTATATACATTACTTATTTAGTATCTTACTTATTCAAATTTTTTCATTATTAATTAAGTTCAATCTTAAGGTAGTGTTAATTTGAAAATTGATAATCCTTCTTTATTATCTATAAATAGTCTAATGTAATTATTAATTTTAAAACTCCAATTTTTTTGCTGGAAATCGCTTCTCAAATAAATAAATAAATATTACCATTTGTTAATAATAAATTTAATTCACATTTATTTTTTTCTGTTAAAATTATATTTTAATTTGAAAATATTTTTTATTTTTTATCAAATCAATAAATAAATAAATAATTATTTTTTTTAACTTAATGTAAATTAAAATGACAAAATTAAATATCATCTTTATGTTAATTCAAAAATCAAATTATTTGTTTATTTATTACATTTATTTTTTTATAATAATTCATTTAAAACTCCTGTTTTTATGATAAATTGCTTCTTTTTTTATTTTCAGTTAAAATTATATTTATATGATAAAAAATATTTTAAATTTTATATATGATTAAATAAATTTTCAGAGTTTAATTTAAAACATTTAAAATATTTTCAAAAGTATTAGGATCTTTCTTGCACAGAATCAAAATTGTATGTTTATTTACTAAAAACAATTTCAATAGTAATAAAATAATGTTTATCTATATATTACATTTATTGATGCTTTGATTGATCAGATCTAAACTTTAATTATACTTATGAATACTTTTTGAAAGAAATTTCAATAAAAATCTAAGTATTATCCGCTAAACATACAATTTAATAAAAAAATTAATTAGTTTTTTAAATTAAAACAAGAAAAATCTTTCGTTATTTTAATGCTACTTTAAGTTGCAAAATATTTTAATTAGAAAGCAAAATGCTTAGACCATTAATTAATAAATAAATATAAAATATTTACAATTATTTTTTGATATTTTATGTCATATAAAAAAATTAAATTTAAAGACTGGCTAAGAAGTTATAACAAGTAGTAAATAATTAATTACTTACTTACTTAATTAATGATTTAATAAATATTATATATCAATAATTTTAATTAATATTCAACTCCATATTTTAAAGTTTTTTAATCATTTTATTTCAAATATGCTTAGTTCAAATGCATCCGCTGCTAATTTTATTGTTAGAAAACCTAAAAATCCATTAACTAATTCTGTCCAAAATCTAAGTAAATTGATATCATCCATTCTATTATAAAATTTACTTAAAATAAATTTATGTGCTCTCTGAGATCAATCATACATAATATTATATTTGCCAATTATTGCAATGTCTTAATATTTAAAATTGTTATTTTTTTAACAGAAATAGAAAAAGAACCTATTTAAAATGATAAAATAATTATGACTCCCTCTGTAGCCAAGTTTGCAGGATACGAAATAAATAAACTTAATATTGTTAGAATCAAATTATAAAATAAAACAGTTGATCCAGTTAGAATACATGTTCTACCCTTCAACAATTAATTTTTTTAAACAAAAATTAACAAAAGAGGATTACTACTTCCTCGATCATCTGATGATTTATTTATATATTTTAGGCCTACTTAATATAAGTAATTCTTTATTCTTCTTAAAACAAACTTGAAGTATTCCTTCAGCAAATATTTTAATTCATTTTAAATCGGCTTCTATATTCATTATAATATCATATTCTAAGTAAGATAAATAATTAAATTATTTTTACAAGCATAGAATTTATTATGATGAAGCAAGAATCAACATAGATTAAGATATTGTTATACTTCCTATTCATGCTTATCCTGTCATAGATAGGGATAATATTTAAGAAATATTTCCTCGTGTAATTAACTTTGGAAAAGTCTATTTGAATGAAAAAGAAATTTAGGTATTAAATATTTATTGTTTTTTATATTAGAATTAATGCTTTGATACTTATGAAAACTTTAATTTTTAATGAATATTTTGCAGCATATATTTATTCTACTTAAATTTAAAAATGCTAATATAATAATAAGCAACTTAAATAATTTTTTAAATTAATAATTAAAATAGAGAATTCCAATCAGATGCAAAATACCTTTGAATTTCTCATTTGAGTTTTTTATGCTTGAATAAAACGAATGCATAAATATTTATCCTACAAAAGGAACTATTCCTGGAAATGGTTATATTGATATAGAAGTTTGGTTTACACCATAAAAAATAGCTAATGAAAATAAAATAATTAGAGAAGATAGAGATGAAAAAAATTTAAAAGATGAAAAAGATGATGATGAGTATGTAGCAAAATACGAGGTTATTAAATGATTTATTCTTTCATTTAATTTATAAATCCCTCTATGGTATAAAAGAATAAATATATTATTTTATTATTAAAGCTTAGAACCTCTTAATTTGATTTTGAACCTCTTAAAATTACAGTCAAAGGATAATGTGTAAAAGTGGGAAGAAATCTTATTTACAATAAAAATAATGATAAAGATGGGTTAAAGGAGAATCTGCTCTCTTCATAAAAAGATAGAACCCCTGAAGAATCTATGATTTCTGTTGGTGAAAAAGAAGAAAAATAATAAAAAATTCCTAGTTTGGATAATCTAAGATCTACCAAAGAAAAGGTACCACTAATGGTCAGTACATAGAAATAGAATAATTCCATATTGCCTTTGTCAACATTAAATGATTAGAGTTAAATTTAAAATCCACTTGCAATCTCATAGAGGAGTGATGATGATGATAACCAATCTTTGCATTAAAGTAGCCATTTGTAGCTATCTAGGACTTTGATGCCAAAAAATTTCTTTGATTTAGATGATGGAAAGAAACAAATGATTAAGAGAGTTACTAACTTATTCAAAAAGAAATCAGACTTATATTCAGATTTAGTAAAATAATTTATGATAAAGATTCATATTTACTTAAGTACTTAAATATTAGTCAGAAGATAAAAAACATGATGGAACCAAAATGTTTAAAGTAATTATGAAAGCAAAGATTTAAGCTGATTCAAGCAATCGTGCTTAATTTGAAAATATTTTTCTAGAAAGGTTTTCTAGAATCAGCAACTAAGACGAGAAAAAATCTCTTAAATTTTTTTCTTGCATTGGTGATAAAAATATAACTAAAGTAGAAGTGAATTAAGTTAGAGAGTAAAGAGTTGATTTCCTTAATAAGAAAAGAAATGAATTAGAATAAAAAGGTATTAAGAGGTATTAATTACATTAACTAATATAAGCAAATAAAAACATGTTTTATAAATGAACTAGATTTGATTTAGAATTAAATAAAGATGCTCCAATCATAGAATAGATTGTTCCAAACTTCGATTGTAAATGGGATTTAAGTAAAAATGATAAAGAGAAAAGAAAAAACATAGTACTAAAGAGGTTACTTAGTTATGTAGCAAAGCTTATTCTTATGACAAGACTAAAAGATAACTGTAATGCCATTTCAGATCTTGTCAAAAACATAAAATATAAATTCAAGTAAATTTTTTTATTAATTTATTTAATATTATTAACTTATTTAATAATCAAATTTTAGTAAAGAGCAATAATCTATTGAGATAGAGAAAGCAAAAAAGTAATATCATGAGTAAGCTAAAATCTTAAACGAAACATATTAGTAATTCTTAATTTATTTAATGGATATTTAAAAAATGAAATAAATTTATTTTATTATTTTTTAGGTAAGAAAAAAATAAAGTAAAATTAGAAATAGAAACAACTAAAAACTTACCAAAAGATGCTACGTATTTATTCAATAATATTTAAGAAAGATTAACTAACTAATTTATCTTTTAAACTATAGAATAGAGTAGAAAGAAAGAGATTTACAATTTTAGTTATTGTCAGTAGAAGGAGCTTACAGGTAATTTGAAAATTATGAATTTTCTTTTTTTTTGATATGTTTAAATAAATTAATTAAAGTGAATCTCTAAAATTGGCCAGAATTTAATTTGAAGAAAAAGAAAAGCATATAAAATCCACTAATTACTTGGGCAGAAAAGAACATCGAGCTGATTTAAAAGAGTATGTCAGAAAATTAGTTATCGAAGATTGGTAGAAAGTAGAATACACAAATTTCAATAAAAAATCAGGAGGAAAGGGAAACTTTTAATTTGAATTTGAAGAGCATAACGTGGCTAGGACATTTTATCCTATATAGTATGAAAGCTACAACACATTTTCAAGTTTTAAATATGAAGTTAATCCAAGGACAGGTTTTGATGATTATGCTCCTATAGAAATAATTAGTTAATGTGATTCTGAAGTTATGCAATATAGGAGTAATATTCTATAAGATATATTTATTTTTTAATTTTTTTTAACTTTAATATTTAAATCCAAAAAATTATTTCACTTTGGTTATTATAGATTGGGAAGTTCCTCCTTTGATTCATTATCCTCCTATTGAAGAATAGCGTGTCTATCGAACAGGAGCAGAAGAAGAATACTCAACAAAAGGAAGAATAGGAAATCATGACAAAATAGAAGATAAAAAAGAGAAAAATATGCCAAAAACATTTACATATAAATTTGACATACCACCTTATTCTTTATTATTACCCCATAGCACACTGAGAACTTATGATAAAATGATTCCAATTACTGAAATAGATCCAGACTTTTATTTAAATCCTTCACCCTTTTCTTTACAAGATGAGCTAGACCCGAATGAGTCAGAAGTTACTATAAGTGGAGAAACAAATATTTCTACCTAAGCATCCACAGGTTACTAAAATGAAGTCATTGAACATGACTATCTCTCTAAGATTCCTGGACTTAATTCATCACATATAACAAAGCACTTATAAGTTGAGTTATATTCATATTTCAGAAATAAATTGTAAATTCCTTCAGGTAATTTAAAAACTGATTGCTATTTTAAAGTTTATTTTTATTTTTTACTAAATAAATAAATAAATGCATAGATTGTGGTAACATAAAGGAGGTTGATTATGGTTTATCTATTTTCAAGGGATAACCTGACTATGAAGATCATTTAAGTGATGATGAAGAATATATAATAGATTCTTAAATAAAAGCATAATAAAATAAAAATGAAAAGTAAAAAAAGAACCCTAAGGTAATAATTTATTTTCTAAATATTTAACTTACCAATTTAGTAACCTCTATAAATTATTTTTTTTTTAATAGGAGAAAAATGTAGAAAATGTTGCTTAGTTTTTAAAACAGATAGAGGAAGATGATGAAGAATTAGCTAAATTAAAGTAAGTTTAATAGGAAGAAATATTTGATGAACTTGAAGATACCTAAGCTAATATTTCTATTGGATTAAAGTAAATAATTAATTAATAAAGTAAATGTATTTAATTTTAATATTGAAATAAATAGAGCAGAGAAATATAAATGGATAGCGACAATGCCTTCTAAGACCAACGAATATAATAGATTTATTTATAATAATAAATCTAAGCTTTATATTTGATTATTAATTTGATCAAACAAAATTAAATTAATTATTAATTAATTAAATAAAAAACTTGAAATTAAAATATTCTTTGTTAATTAAATTTTTTATTTATTTTTTGTCATTTTAGTTTAATAAATTAATTATTCAAATTAAGTAAACCCATAATTTAATGATATTATTAATTAATAAATATAAGGTTGTGTATTTAATAAATAGGTAAGGGTAACAGAGTCATTAACTATATCTCCATATGTTGTTAATGCTTGCGTTATCTATAGTGAAACTTCTCTTAGGCTCTTATCATATGTTCATATGTGAAAAGATACCAAGATAAGGACATTTTTAAATAATATCTATTATTATTTTCATTTTTTATAAAAATTAATTCATTAATGATTTTTAAGAATCTAATTTTTTGTATAAAAAAATTATCTTTAAAGCAAACATTTCAAAGTTAAGTTAAAGGTAATAACTATTTAACAATTTTTGTTGATTGGTCCATCATTTCTGATTTATTAATTTATATGATGTGGTAAATTCTCAATTTCAATTTCTGTATTTAATATAATTTTTGATAATAAGTAGTAAATTAATTTCAGAGTGAATAAATTTTTTCTCAAAAGAAGAAACCATGAATAACAAAAGATTAGATTCTGGGTAGCATTAAGACTGGGATCTCTTAAAAATAGGATTAAATGATAAAATGCTTAAGTTAGATTTGGATGAGAAGATTATATTTTCTTGCACCATGATTAAAATCAACAAAAAAGAAAAGTCACAAAATCGAAATTTCTTATTAACATCAAAGCGTATTATGAATGTTGGCAAAAAGGTGAAAAGAAGCATAGATTTAATGAATTTAGCAGGTATTTCTCTAAGTTTAGAATCATATGAGTTTGTAATTCATGTCAAAGATGAATATGACTACAGGCTGCTCTCAGAAGAATATAGGGAAAATTTTATATACTATCTAGTTGAAGCTTACAATAATGTAATAATAATATCATTCAAAAAAATTAATTGATATTTTTCATTTATGATCATGATTAATATATAATTTAAGCGGCTAAAATCTTGTTTAAATTATTATTTAAGGAGGATTTAAACATAATTTTTTCTATTTTAAAGAAAAGCATTTATTTCATAAAAAGATTTTATGTGTTTGTTTATTTGTGAGAATACAATTTAGAAAAAAAATATTATGAAAATAAATAAGTAAAAAAGTTAACAATTTTGAATATTACTGCTAAAAATGTGAAATAATTGCTAACATGTTAATAATTTTTTATTAAATCTTAGTACATGAAAAGAGATCTTTTAATTTTTGTGCATAAAGAAAGCTAGCTGTAGCATTGCACCACGTTGGAAACAGATAGAGATAAAAAGCGCTCAAAAATTCCTACTTAGGGAGGAATACTTTGCAATTAAAACAACTTAAATATAAATATATCAAATAAATATATAGATTCTTCTAAAAGATAATCTGTAATATACATTAGAGAAAAAAATATTCTGCAGGCATGGATTAAAAATTTTATTCCTGATATGAAAATAAGCTAGAGTAAAGTAGGTTCAAAATACCACACCATTTATTATTCTAGATGCACTTTAAAAAGTTTATAAAACAAGCATTATGCTGTCAGAACAGTTTAATGCAGTACAGAAGAAGAAGAAAATGAATATATTGATAGAATTAATAGATCAATTAATGATCCATTTGTTATTCCCTTAGAGTTTTGCTTTAAAGACAATAACGATTTCTATTTAGTTATGCAGGTATTAGGAAATGATTTGTTTTAAAGATTATACTGCTCTCATAATCTCTCTGAAATGGCTGCAAAATATTATTTTGTGCAAATACTTTGTGGATTATAATTATACCATAGTAAGCTTCACTGCCACTATGGAGAGTTAAAACCAGAAAATATCTTACTGGATGAAATGGGTAGAGTGTTTCTAACAGGATATCGCTCTCCAAAGAAAAATCTTACAAGTGAGACTCTTGAATATACTGCACCTGAGCTGCTACGAGGAGAACCTAAATCAATAGCTTCTGACTTTTGGTGTCTTGGAATTCTCCTATATGAGATGCTAGTAGGAATACCACCATTTTACTATGAAGGCTAAGAATCAATTATGATTTAACTAATAATAGAAAATAATGTTTAATTCCCAAAATTTTTAAATATATCTTAAGAAGCAAAAAGCATGATACTTTCTTTACTAAAATCAAATAAAAACGAAAGGATAGGTGTTAATTCAGGGCTAGAAGAATTTAAAAAGCATCCTTGGCTATAAAATATTGACTGGTAGGGTCATTTGAAAAAGTAAATATTTAATCCTGAAGATTTAGAAGGGAATCCTAACGAATCTATGCGTAAAATAAAGTTTGATTATTGCCCAGTGGAATAAAATGAATAAACATATCTTTTTTGAAAATAATAAAACTGCCCTTTTATATAAAATGTAATTTTAATTAAATTCTAAACTTATATTTTTAAATATGAGCAAAACAATATTTATATTATCAACAATCTATTTATTTTAAAATAATATTATTTATTTATTTGTAAACCTATTTTTTATCTGTTTTAGGCTAATTTATTTTAAAAAGAAATTATATTCAAATAATTATGTTTGGCAGACTTTTCAGCTTAATTCAGTCATAAAAATAATTTAAAGTTTAAAGATTATTGATTGATTTTAAAATAAACTAATTTATTAAAAATTTCAAAATTAAATTAAGCTTGTTTACTATAAATATAATTAAAATTTTAAAAATTAATGGTTAAAATATAAAATTTTTTTTGTTTATTTAAATTTATCTTACATATAATTAACAAGCTATCAGTACTATTGTTTATTGTTAATAATTCAATAGATGATATAATGTTTATTTCTTATTTATCATAAGTATATTGCCAACTATGATCATTTTTAAATATATAAATATCTAATGAATATGGGTTATAAAATGAATTGAAAAATAATTTATTGAATAATTAAATTAAATCAATGATTTATTTAGATTAACTATTTAAATTAATTTCACAAAACAAAATAACAAAAAATATAACTAAAACGAAGATTTTTATATATAACATTTTATGTATAAATTTAATAGAATAAAAAAATTGTGATTTAACAATTAATTGGTTGGTATATAGGTAAATAGATATATAGATTATTATTTTAATTATTCATTTTGTTTTAGTATTATTTATAGATAGGGTAAATATAACTATTTTGAAAATTACATTAGATATATAATTAGTGATAAATGAATTATTTATTTATTTAATTATTTTGTGGTAATCATTTTAGTGAGTGATTTTATGAATTTCATTAATTAATTATTTTTTTCTTCTTTGTAATTAATTTATGTTTCAGCTTTTTATATCCATTATAAAAATAAATATTGAATTGTTTCAATAATTAATATTTGGTTTTTTCTTTGTTTGTTTGTTTGTTTGTTTGCTTGCTTGTTTTTGCTTTCGTTTTGAATGCTTTTTTATATTAAAATTGCTATTTATTTGATTGGTTACTTTCTCACATCATTGATTCGTTTAGTTTGTTAACTGTATCTTTTGCAAGAAATTCATCGTTGCAACCATCGATTAAATGTTGGTTATGGTTATTACCCATGTTATGATTGTTATTACTATTATTATTCAAATTGGTACTGTTATTTGTGTTACTTTGAGTATTGTTTAGAGATTCTTCTATCTTTTACTCATTTATAAATTTATGGAAGTCTTCCCATTAGGAATTTTATTGGTGAGGATTATTATAAAGAGTACTGGCATTTGCATTTCCATTCATATTAAAACCATGCAAACTATCATTCATATTTACACTTTTATTTAGAATTGAAGTTAATTGTTAAGCATCATTTGCTGCATTCAAAGACATGTTGGTAACGTTGTTTCTTTGTTTTTTTCTAATTGGACTAGAAGGCTAGTTTGTTGTTGAATGGGGAAGAGCTAAAGGTGGGTATTCATTGTTGTTGAAAAGTTTACTAAAATCTAATGATGCCTTATTATTGATGTTATTAGCTTCATTCAAATCACCAAAATTATTGAAAGCATTTGATGCTGCTAATTGTTGGTGATTGTTTAAGAAATCTTCTAAGTTAAAATTATTTCCAAATGCATTTGGATTAACATTACCAAAACGACTTGCAGAAATACCATCATCTTCTTTTTTGAATTTTTTACTCTTGCCCAAAAGTAAACTTTCATTTAAATTTTCTAATTCCTCTGGACCCAAGCCTAAGCTCATATTTGGATTGAAAGGATTACTCATCATCTTCTTTAAGCCGCGCTTCTAAAGTAGATCAGTTGAGCTGCTTGGATTCATTGTTGCTTGATTGATTTAACTATTTAATTCCAAGCTGCTTAAATCTTAGGTGCCTCCTTGACTAGTCATAAAGTTTTATAATTTAGAAAGTAAGTCTTAGTTTTACTTATGATAGCTATCAACAAAATTAGTTATTTGTTGGCCTTTTTACTATCCATTATCAGGGTTTTTTTTAGAATCGTGTTTGTTCTTTAAGTTAGACATAAGCTTATCAATAAATTTTTGAGCAAATTACTATCCGTTTGTAACCATTTACAACTAATTTCCATTTTAACTACTTAAGAGATTAGATGCATTCATGTTACCGCCATTGAAGCTGCTATTTAAGTCATTTATATTATTGTTATTGTTAAATTAGAATCCATTTAAACTACTAGCTATGTCATTACCTTCCCATCTTTTTGAATTAGCTAAATTACTTCTGTTAGCACCATTCATTATATCGTTTTATTCATCATTTTCATTATCTGATATATCTTCTTACTTCAAATAATCTGATTATAAAAGTTCTTCATAAAGTTAAAATAAAATAATTGTTAATAACTGCTGATATTCCAAATTAAGAAAATAGCAAATTATTAATTATTGTAAGGAAAGAAATTTCAAATTTTATTTAATTGATTTCTATATGCTTTATATAATCTAAAAACAACAAATAAAATCTCATGTTAACCTTTGCAAAATCTACTAACTTATTCACAAATTAAATCAAAAATTTTTAATTGACAAATTTATAAATTTACTAAATAGATTTTAAAAAATATTAATTACTGCTATCCAAATATGCTTTTCGAAAATTTAAGAAATCGTTACTTTCCTTACAAATAAAAAAACAAACTGTAAATTACCATTGGGCTTTTTTCCATTTAAAAAGGCTAACTCTGGGATTTGCTTTGGTCCAATGTAATTTAAAACTAAACTAAGTAGCTTTTCAATCTTCTTTTAAGACTTCTCTCTATAAAAGGAAAATAAATTCATAAATTATTTATTAAAAAGCTTAAATATTTACTTTTTCTTGTTGATTTCTCCCCATAATAACTTATTTTCTCCTAAAATTTGAGTATTTTAAGCAATTAAAACTGAGCAAGCCTTTTCAAGACTTTCTTGCTTTTATTTTAGTGTAACCATCTTTTGATAATATAAAATTTTAATAAACTTTTGTCATAGAATAAATGATTACTTCTTTTAAGAGATATTGAGTATCACTTGTTATTTTTTTTTACTCTTTTTGAGTAACAACAGCATCTTACATCTAAGTTTCATTTATTTTTCTTTTGATTTCACAGAGAAGATTTCTATTTTTACATAAATATTTGTAACTCTCAAATTAAAATTTTGTTACATGAATTTATAAATTTCAATCTTATAAAGGAGCATAAGAAAATTTTTTATTTTTTCCAAAATTTAGCAGAAAAATTTTATGATTGTGAAAGTATTAAAATGCATAATTTAAATATTTTGAAATGGAAATAGTAATTTATTCCAAAAATATAAAATTTTTTATTAGATAAGTAAAAATTATTCTTCACTTTATCTTTTTTTAGAATGAAAATAAAACAAATAAAAAAAGGATTTCATAAAATGTAAATTATTATTGAAGCACTCCTATTAATAAACTAATCAATTAGAATATAATTATAAAATATTACGGATAACCTCTTCTGAAAAGACGATGTCTCCATTCGTTTTCTTCGCTATCATGTCTCAACTTATGGAAATCATACATGTTAAGCTTTATTTTAAATAAATAACAATTAGAATTTAAATAAAAGATTGAAAATTAATTATTATTCTCTATCATCATGCATTTAACTAATTAGTTATCATAAGTATTCTCAAATATTAAAGCAATATTAAAAGAATAATTTCTTTTATTTAAAAATTATAAAATTTTCTGCAAATACTTTGCTAGGGACATGCAGCAAATTAAATTTTACTAATTCTAAAATATAGAGATGAAATAATTACCTATCTCACAAAGGAAGCAAAGTTATTAGTTTTGAAGTATTTGGGTAAAACCTTTTCTGCAAACTCATTAGGTTTTTTTACTTTGAAAGCTTTACCATCTTCGTTCCAGCTAATAATGTCAACATATTCAGGATTCTATTTATTTTTATTAAAAGTAATTGTTAAAAAAAGTAAATGAACGCTTTAGGTATTTTGTTAAAACATGTTGTTTGGTTTCAAAAACCTTTTATTTGCTTTTATGTACAAAATGCAATTGAATTTTGTAGAATTTTATCAATTGCTAATATTTTTATATTTTAATGAAGTGGTTCTTCTCTTTTTGAATGAAAAATGGCTTTACCTCTAAAATTTTGTAGGTCTTGGAAAGGAAACCAGGAACAGTATTATTATTTCTAGTGGAGTTTCTTTTGCGCATTTTACTACTTAATTTGCCTTACTTAATATGTTTTTATGATAGAATACTTGCTTTTTATTTTTCTCTTTGATAAGGTTTTTATCAATAATTATGAAAATCAATCTAATTCCTAAACGAATATTTATAATCTTTTTAGGTTTTTGTATGATGACAATTGAAGTCAATTAGTCGCTTATTTATTATTTAGCTTTAGTTTTTAATTTATTTGAACTTATTTATCATTATCAATTAATTACGAATTATCAATGCGCCTTGTTAATTAAATAATCAAAAAAAAAAAATCACTAGATAATATATCATTCATTCTATTAAGAGTGGGAAGAATCGCGGCTACTAATTTCTTCACTATTCATCTAATTATATTTTATTTACTTAATTTAATTTAAAAGAGGATTATTGCTTGGTACATTAATACAAAACTTCCCCTACCTTTCTACAAACTTTATAAAAATTTTACATAATTTGTTTTTGAATTGTTTTAGATTTGCATTCATTTTAATATACAAATATATTGATATTTTTTAGGACTTTTCATATTATTTTATTTTAGCAAAATCAGACTTTTAATACTTTTAAAGTAGATACCAAGCACTGTCTTACAGCATTCTTTAAATATTACTTAACATTATTGCTTTTAAATAATATTTACTTCCTAATTTTGTAATCCATTTTTTAGAATTTATCTAAAAGCCTATCTACAAAAATAAGTAAATAATCTAATCGCAGTTAAAAGTTTGTAAAAAATAATTTTTCAACCAATAAAATAATTTTAAGTTAATTTCAAACATTTCTTGACTACTAGCCAGGTTGGTATTTTAAAAATTTTTTAAATTGATAGGAAAAAATAAAAGAAATTTCATAATAAGTTTTATTAGATTTTTCAAGTAAAGCATGATAAAATAGAAAAATTAAAATGATAATAAATTTATCTGAGTTGCTTATTTGAAAGAGAAAAAGAATATTTAATGACAGCAAGCTAATTATTTATATGAAATTAATCGATTTTTGGTTTTAGAAAGTTGATATGATCAAAAACAAAAGAAATTTTCTAAACAATTTCTTAAATCTGAAAAAAAGATATGTGTAAGTAAAAAAATCATAATTAAAATTATTGAATGATCAAAAAATAATATCAAACAAGAGTTTATCAATCAATAAATCAATTATTTGATTACTTCTACTTCTATTTATTATTTATTAGTGGGTAGGTCTAAATAAAATTAAGCGCTAAAAATGGATATTTTAAAAAAAAGACAAATTCTTGTGATTGTGTAAAGAATTACTTTGATAAATACAAAAAGCTCTTAATATCATTAAAAATTGCCTAATTATCAAACCTAACTATTAGTACTTTGAAATGAAAAAAGTGTGGGGAATTTTCTCGAATCTTCTAATTTAATTTGATATTAATTCTTCTTTTCAATTCTGAAAAAATTTAGTATACATCTCTCATGCTTACTTTAATTTATAATTTAATTAATTATTTGACTGTTTGATTAATTGATTGATTTCCCTCCTAATTTTTATTTTCAACTTAATTCTTTTTGTATGTTCGCACCTCCTCTCGCCCTATGGAATTCTATACTTGCATTTTTATCCTTTTTAAGTTAAGCTACTTACCTTATTTCCAGCTTCAAGTTTTATACTTTAACTTGACATTTATTTACAATTTAAAATAATTTAAATATTTGGATAGAATCTCAATTTTAATTTCTTTTTCTTAAAACTAGTAAAATAAATTAATTACCCAACAATGAAGCAACATCTCAAAAGTTTTTTTAAAGAAAGCTTAATTTTTTATTTAACTTTTTAAGTAAGTTATACATGCATTTATATATTTTAATAAGCCATACTAAACAAAAAAAGTGTTGCTATTAATTTACCACTTCAAAATTTTAGATAAAATTAAAATATAATTAAATTAAAGTAATTTTATTTAATTAGTGATTGTAATTAATTATCGAGTTTTTTAATGCTTAGTAAAAGCAAAATACTTTCTGTATTTCTAATAATAAGTTAGTTAATTAATTAATTAATTATTTGATATGTAAATTCGAAACTTCCTTTTGATAAATTCAAATTAATTTCATATTTCAATAAAAATAAGTAAATAATATAATAAAAATTATACAATAAATGGATAATAATAATTTTTGCTTACAATTATAATTTTATTCTTAAATACTTTCTTAAGAAGAATTATTATTTTTTCAAATTGTAAATGTTATAATAATTTAAGATTAAAACAATCACATATAAATATAATACCTTAGCAGCTAACATATCAGCTAAGCAATCAATAGTGCTCTACAAACTTTTATTATTATATACATATTTTTCTCTTTTTTAAAGAAGCTTTGGTTTAAAATTTTAATATTTTTAATGAATAAATGAATGAGTGAATGTATGTATGAGCGAATTCAATTTATTTGAAATATGATATTAAATGAAAGAAAAATCAAAGAATTAAAAGAATAAATAAATAAAATAATAAAAAGATTTTTTATCTGAGCAAATCAGATTTTAAAAAGCTCTTTAATCATACATAAAATAAAGAACAAAAATATCTAAAAACTTTTGAATGATGTAAAAACTTTAAAAAGATTAATATATATTTAGCAATTAAGTTTTAAAGTAAGAATAAATAAATAAATTACATTCTTTATGTATTTTAAAAATACAATGATATATGTTGAAATAAAAATATGAACCCACAAATTAGAATTAATATTTTTTATATTTTATTTTTTTAGAAGCTCTCTAAATTATTTTTATTTTTAAATTTCAGGTAACAAATAAACGCTTAAACTCTGCTTAATTTGTTAATATTTATCTTTTTGCTTCATCATCGTTTTTATCTTCAATACTAAATACATAAGCTCCATTAGATGAATTTGATGTTATTATAATATACATATCAAGTATTGCTTTTAAATTATTTGCCACCATTACTTCTTAGTTAAGCTTTACTTCTTATTATATTATTGTAAGATGATTCTTAAAATCAAATAATATATTTCCTGTTGCTAAAGATGCAACATATAAACCTTGTCTCATCAATATAAACAAGTAAGGAATTCCAAAAGGTCCAAAATTCTCTACAACTGAGAAATCAATATCATCTACATCTGGAGATTCTAAACTAATCTTAACTTTTTTCAGACGGAATAAGTTAGTGTCAAACCTTACAAATTAAACATACACTCTATCGTGATCAATTTTATGAGGAAGAATTTATTAAATTATAACATATTTATTTCCGCTTATTGCTAGACATTTAGATACATATCCATCAACTAAATAACCTAATTTTAATTAAATCATGAATATATCAAATCTAAATTTTAAATTTTAGGAGATAAAAATTGTTTTGTGCTTTTATAAATTAATTCATTTTTGAATGTAAAATAATTTTTTAATTTTTTTTATTAATTTATTTACTGATATATTTTTCCTCAAACAAACTTTTAAATGTTTATTTTTTGAAATCCACACGACCTCTATAGAATATAACTTCTTAATCAGGCTCTTATGGCAAATTTTCAGATGATATAATAATGTCAGCTAAATCTTTTAAGCTTTCGCTTTAGTTTTTCTTTAGGTAAATACATCTTTTCTCATAATCCTAATTTTGAGAAATCAAACTTTTAAAGTATTATTTTCCTTTATCTTCTTATGAACCTGCTTGATTGAGATCTACACTTACACTATTAGGTCCATCTGCTTTATCATTTGAATTTTTTAAATTGTAACTCATAACCTAGCAAGAAACCTAATTTATAAATAGAATTAAAGTATCTTTAACTAGATTTATTTTTGCTTATTTACTTTGTATTTAGATTTTGGAAAGTAACCATCTATTTTGATTAGATACTAGTCTTTTTCATAAACCCAATAGAAAATATAGCCCTATAAATGATTAATTCATCTTAAATATTGAAAAAATTATAACAATTGAAATAATTGTTATTTACTTTTGAATCAATAGATATGAATGTTTCTGGTTTATTTAAAAATACTATTTGAATGATTTTCGCTTTATGTTCAACGAAGAACTCTCTAAATATATTAATATGCTTATCATGCTCCTCATTATGATTGTCAACAATTTCTAAAACTCTGGCATGCTCATTTGGAAATTCAGCTTCATTAAAAGTAATGATTGGACTATTTACTACATTATGAATAGGAAATTTATAGTTAATTCCTTTGTTAAGATCTTTGTTAGAATTGAATTTCATTATCAACCCCTTTTCACATCCCATTACAATATAAGGTTATAATCCCTTTATTTAAGGTAAGAAATAATAAAACAATTATCTAGAAATCAAAATAATAAATTTACTGTAAAAGTAATACCAGGATGAAAGCTACAAAAAACAATTTTTAGAATATCTTAACTGTTGACTTTTCCACTTCTAGTTAACATTTTCCAGTCAAAATTGTAATATGTCCTCATATTTAAAGTTGTTTCAAGTGTATTTTATTGCTTTTAATTTAATGATTTTAAATTTTAAGCATTAAAATTGACAGACATATTACCATCCTCATCTAATGCCATCAATTAACTCATATTATCAAAAGCAAACTCCAAATGTATTATTTTCTTTGAATTTTAACCTTCAACCTTTAAAATTTATTTTTTTAAAACATTAAATAAAAAATTAATAATTTTTAATCAATTTCTTAAACATAATCTTCTAAATATTTTTAAAAATCTTGAAAAAGCTTGAATTAAACTTGATTTAAATTTCATATTTTTTTGGAAAACATAATAAAAAAACTTTTTGCCTGCCTTCAATCTAATTGCAGCAACCTTAAAAAAAACAAATCCTAAAAACTTCATTTTTAAAAGAAATTATTTAATTTTTGAATAAATTAATAAAAGTATTTATCATTTAAATTATTTTTTCTGGAAAACTTAGCTTCAATAAAAAATTAATAAGAGTTGTTTGTTTACTCTAGCTATAAGCATAATATCTCCTGGAGGTGTAGAATAAATTTCAATTTATCCATTAGAATAGCCAATAGCTAGAAGTTCTTTGTTAAACGAAAGCGCTATAGCAGTGACAGTAAACTTCTTTTTTGGGTTATGCTATAAATAGGGGTACTCCATCAATTAAACATTTTCATTCCAGTACTCTATTTCCATTTAAAGAATTTACTCAGTTCCGAGAGTTTCAGTACATTCTATTTCTGGATACATTTGTAAAACTGTTTAGTCATCATCTTCTTATTATTCTTACTCTTCATCTTTTTTGTCTTCATCTGCATCTTTACCTTTGTCTTTATCTTTCTTGGCATCTTTACCCTTGGCCTATTTTTCTTTCTTTTATTTCTTTAATACTTCATCTATTTTTTCCATGTCTTTATAATTGAATGTAAATTTATCATCCTTTTTTTTCGTCATATCTTGGTTTCTTAATGAGTAGAAAATCTTGCTCAATTATTCCTCTGAATTACCTGAATTTCTGGCACCTTTAATAGCTCTAACAATTAAATTTAGTGAAATAGTTTTTGCCATTTAATTGACTGTTGCTATTTCAAATGCAGCTTCTCTTATAATCTTATCTATTACATTTTTAAATATCCTATCCCTCATTTCTACGTAAATTTAAGAATTTGTCATTGTACTATTTATTTATTTTAATAAAAATAAAAATTATTCACAAATGAAATATATTTTTTTTAAGATACTCTAAATTCTTTTGAATTCTTTTTGCTTTTTCTTAAAGGTATTGCTATTTCTCTCTTGTCGCAGCTAGCTCTGTTTAGTTCTCTAAATGCTTTCTGATAGTAAGCTCAATTAGCAAATCTATGATCATACGTGAAATGTAAACGTTTTCTGGATTCATTCTTTAAATCAAAGGCTTTAATTCTCCCTAATAAGGTTTATCATAGGGATCATAGCCATAAAACTCTTTATGATCATTTTTAAGAAATTCTATTCTACTTTTTCCAATCTTAGAAAACTTTTTAGCCCTTGAAACAATATCATCAATTGTTGATTCTGAGCGATATTAATCCTCATCTACATTTTGCAAGTTTTTTAAAATAAATTCCATTGGAGGGCCTTAGCCTTCTTGGATACTTGCTAAAAAATCTATTCCCCTCTTTTACAATTCATAATGCTATACTTTTTTTTTAAGTAGATTCTCTTATTTTTCTGCTATTTCAAACCTATAAAACAAAACAAACAAGATTTCATTAAAAAAACATAAAGAAGACAAATAAAAAAGATAGAATAAATAAATACCTCTAATCATTTAATTCTCTTTATTTTTCTTATATTTCAAGCTATACTTTTCTCTTTTCTTATTCCCTTCTTGCCTATATTTCTTTTAATATCAATTCTTTCTCCTTTTGATCTTACACTTCTGTATCTAATAATGCTTTGCTTAACAAAATTTTATCTTATTCAGACAAAAGATCATCTCCTTTTTACAATCCTGATCTAAATAAAAAAAATACTCGTTGAAGCAAATTTAATGCTTTATATCATATTTAAATCAACCTTTCAAGCCCTTTTTTGTATGCATTGTTCATCAAAGGATTTGAGACTTCTCTTTAAAGAGCCTTCTCTAAATATTTTTTTGTATTATTAATCCTATCTTCTTCTTCAGTTTATATCATATCTAACTCCATTTTAACTTTGCTAAACTTATCATTAAGTTTTTTTTTTTCTTCTAAAATTCTCTCAAGCTCAATTTTCTTTCTTACTCTGTTTTCTATTTCTTTTTCTTTGCTCAGTAAAAACTAATCTTCTAAGACCTAATAATTATATTTTAATCATTAGTTTATTCAAATTAGAATTGCTATGCATAAAGAATTATTTCCTAAAACTAACTCATCATAGTATTAATGATGGAATTTTTTTTAGAATTCAACATTTATCGCATATTAACAATAATAAAATTATACTCACTTTCATTTCAGTCTTTTATGATTCAGCAATCTTTCTTTTCAAGGCTATTAATTTATAAATTTCTTCTTAATCATTTTCTTTGGGCTCATTGACTAACTCTTCTAATCTGCTGGCTAATCTTTTCTATTCATGCTCTATTTTCTCAAGTTTAGAGATATTGATTTTTGCTCTTTATCTTTCTAATTCCTACTTTTTTTACTTAAATTCTTCATCAAGCTTTTATAATCTTTCAACTTCTTAAAATTCATTCTCTAATTCTTCTTCGTTTGGAAGCCTAAATAAAGATTTCCTAACTTCTTCCTCTATCTATTAATTTCTTTCTCCTGTATAATACTTCAAGTTATAATAGCCATTCTAATAATTTTAATCAGACATGATTTCAAATATTCAATTTATCTTTTACTTTAAATATTAGAAATATTCTGTAGAGAAATATTATTATTGGTATTAATTAATAGTTAAGTAAATAATTTATCAAACAATCATTCTCTAAACAAGTCAGCAATCTTTTTGATATTATTATTTTAAAAAAGTAACTTAATGGCACCAAACATAATGATTAATTTTTATTCAAATAAATTTATTTTTGATGAAAATTTATTTTATAAATGCTCATAAAATGTTAAAATTTTTAAATAATTTTAAATTTGGTTTAAAATTTAATAAGAGTTCATGAATATATTTATCATTAATTTGTTACTTTTTTAAAACAATTAAATACTGGAGATATTATGATTAGTTATCAAATCCCATCGAAAGGATAGATTGGCTATTAAATTTTTATATAAATTTGAAAATTTGATCAAAAGAAAAGAAAGAAAGAAGATAGGATTGTATTAATAGAAAGAAATTAAATAAATAGAGTTGTTGAAAAACAAAGAAAAAAGGTCTTTAATTTCAACAAAATAAGATAAAAGTATCTTTAAAAAAGTAGTCAAATGAGCTATAATTAGAGAGATGATTACGATGAGGAAAGATCTCTCAACGATGAAGAATTGGAGAGAAAGATTATGGCAGATATAGAAAACTTAGAATCAGATGATGAAAATAATTCAATGTTAAATATTGAAAATGGTTCAATTTTAATTGATGATTTGATCAAAAGGCAGAATGAAAGAATAAAGCTTGATGAGTTAGAATATGAAAAAGAAAATTAAAAATTGAAAGATTTTTTGAAAAATAATAAAGCAGGCTAAGAAATTTTTGATGATATTGACAGAGAACTGGCCAATGCAAAAAAATTAATTAAAGTTAAAGTTAAAAAAGATCCAAAACCTAAATCGAAGCCTATGTCTAAGACAGGCTCGAGGTAAAATTCAAGAGCTGTTTAAAAGAGAAAGGATATCGAATAATAAAATTAAATTATAAATGACTAAGATGATTATAATATCAATTTAAGAGAGCAGGATAAAGAATAAACTGCAAAGTCTTTGTCAAATTAGAACATTTAAATCAATTACAATGACTTAAAAAATAGTAAGATTTAAAATCAGAGCTATTAGAAAGATATAGAGCAATAAGATGCAGAAATACTTGATGGCTAGCCGATGGAAGATGATGATGCAACTGAGTTTTTAGATGATAGTGAGGATGAGGATAATGTCAGCTTTGTAGAGATTGTTGATATGTTCGGAGAAGTAGTAAAAGTAAAACCAGATATTATAACTGAATCATAGTATATAGAAATGAAAAAGAAGGCTTTGCTTGAAAGAGAGCAAAAAGCAAAAGAGATAGTTTTTGCTGAAGAAAAAATTAAAAGGGAATTTATGGCATAAGAGGGACTTTTATCAGATGAAGATAGTATTATGTCATAAGAATTTATAGAAGAGCTAAAAGATGAGCTAAGAATGACAACTCATGGGTATATGCTTAAAAATGCTGATGAGCAAATAGAAAACATGAAAAAGAGTAATTTAATTGATAGTATGGTAGCAAATAAAAATAATAGCATAGTTGGATTGAATAAAAATGGTAGTTTGCCATCATTGGCGAAGAATGGAAGTGTTGGAGGATTAATGAAAAACTCAAGGGTAGACGCTAAGAACAACTTACAAAATATAGAAATGACTCCTGAAGTTAAAAAGAAATAATTTTCAAGCAAATAAAATTTGCTCAGCTCAATTGAAAAATCTTAAACCAATTTGTAAAAAAGTGGGATGAGACAATATGAATTGATTATGAGTGGGCAAAAGGCTCTTAAAAGTAGTGTAACAGAATCAATTATTTTTAAGTAAGAGCTTGAAAAAAAATTGTAAGATAAATAAGATAAAATAAACCAAGAGAGAGAAATATATGACATGGAACACGAAGACCTCCTGTCACTTGAATATGAAGAATTTCTATAAAAAAAGAGTTTCTATTAAAAAGACTACAAGCTTCCTCCATAATTCGCTGCATATTAAGAATAACCAACTCCCAGTTTGAATGATATTTATTATGACGAAAATTAATTGAGGTTGTTGAATGTTAACTTCGGAGAACCGTTAAGTTTAAATGACGAAGGAAATATATTAACTAGAGATAGTCATTAAGTAAGTTTAGAAGAAGCTGTTAAAGTTGTAAATAGGAGGAGATTAGCTCCACCTTCATTAAGTAATAATAATAAGGTAAATAATTAAAAATCAGAGAATATTGTCCTAGGAGATTTAAGTTATTAAGCTTCTTATAATTTAACTGTGAGAAGTACTAATTCTAATTTGGTAAATAAGAATTAAGTCAATAAAAATAATTAGAATTAAGCTAAGATTCAAAATTAAATGAAAGATGAAGAAAATTCTTTATGTAAAATAACAATTCTTAGCAAGGATAAATTGAAACAATTTACTAAAGTAGAGGGAGAAGAAGGGAAAGAAATTGTTAATGCACAGAACAAAGTAATAAAAATATCTAAGCTAGAAGAAAAATAAGCTCAGTAAGCTATTGGATTCGAATCATTTATAGAAATATGTTTTAATAAGATGCAATTTTGTCATTAACAACTGCTTCAAAAATATGATAAAAATAATATTATTAAAGAGCTAACTAGAATTTTTTCTTCTTATTAGCCTAAACTTATAAGGTAGTTTTTTGATATAGAACAGGAAAATATATTTTAAGATGATGAAGACATGTTTTAAGAATCTTTTGGATAGTCGATATCGAATAATGCGTCTAAGCTGGATAGTGGAGGTGAAATCAAGAAATCACTAAAACAGTTTTTGCAGTTTGATATTTTTAAGAATTTTGAGAAAAAGAGGAGATTGGAATTAAAGTTAGAGAAATTAGGTGATATTGAAGGATTAGAAAGACTTCCTAACATAGAAATTCTAAGTTTAGCTGTGAATAGAATTGATAAATTAGATAAATTGAATTAATTGAATAGTAGTAAAATAGTTGAATTAAATCTTGCTTAAAATTAAATTACTGACTATAGTGCAATTAAAAATTTAAAGGAGCTCAGATATTTAAATTTGGAACTTAATAGAATAACTTAAATGGCTGATTTAAGCAGCTGCAAGCATTTAGAAGTGCTGAATTTAAATAATAATTAAATCAAAAAGCTTGAAAATTTATCTGGAAACAAGTAACTTCGTAAACTTTATCTTTTCAGAAACAAAATAGAAAGTATTGGAGATAGTTTAAAGCAAAATCTATTCTTAGAAGAACTAGATATCGGTAGAAACTAAATAGTATCTATAGATGGACTGTAAAATAACATTCTTCTAAAAAAGTTGGTTTTATATTATAATTTCATCAAAGAAATTCCAAAAGAGTTTTCTCTCATTTTCCTTGTGGAGCTTTACTTGAATGGAAATAAGTTAGAAAATATCAATGGGATTTAATATCTGCCTTGTCTTGAGTATCTTCATTTAGGCCACAACACTATTCAAAAAGTTACTTCTTTGCCTATGCTTCCTAACTTAACTACTTTGATTATTTCCTTTAACAAAATATAAAATTTTGAAAGTGTTCTTAATTTAGTAAGAGCATCACCTAATATAAAGTATATTGGATTTAATGATAATGACTTTGTCAAAAGAAATATTTCGGAAGATTTAAGGGATTTATACGATTACCTTTTTTTGAGATATCTCCCTAGATTGTAAGAAGTGAATCATCAGGGTATAGATATAGGGAAAAAGAGATATTTAGAAATGAGATTTAACTAGATACTAAAGCACAAAAAGTAGATTAATTCAAATACAATTTAGGCTTTTTTAAATGAGTTCGCAATCATAACAAGACAGCACACATTTATACAACAATAAAAGAGAAATCGATAAATGAATTTATTTGCTTAAAATATTACCTTTTACAAGTTAGACTCATCCTTCACGTTTAATCAACTAATTTAAATGTGGAGTATATCTAATTTATAGATTGCAAATTCAAATTCTTCTAGGCCTCCATCTTCATATTAATCATAATCAACTTATTCTTAATTAAGACCTTCTTCATCCTCATCAAATACTAATCAATAATCATATAAATAATCATAAATGGTAAGCTCCTAGAATATAATAACCTTAAATAACTCTATTTTCTTTCAAAAAGACTTCTTTGAAAATAAACATAAAAGATCAATTCATAAAATAAAAAGTTTAGGTTTTAAGTCTACATACAAAATTAAAAAGAACCAAAAATTTTACTTAAAAAATCTAAAGAAAATCATAACTATTTAAAAGTGTTATAAGGGATATTTACTTAGAAAAGTGGTTAACTTTAGAAAGATATTTGACTAAAGGTCTAAACATAAATATGCTATTATCATATAAAAAACTTATAGAGGCTACAGATTAAGAAAAAAAATGAAGTAAAGATTAGCTAGAGCAAAATACTAAGATGATGAAGATTTGCCAGAATTTGATGACGCTTGGCTTAATCAACCAATGGATGATTTTGATACAGGATTAAAAATACCTGAAAATTTCGATGTAATGTCATTTTTAAATCCTCCATCAATAAACAATAAATAAAATATAAATTAAACAAATACAAATAATTTTGTAAAGCACTCAGCATCTTAATCTTAACCTTAAAAAAATACTTTACTGCCTCCACTGTAACAAAAACCTTAACCTCTAATACAAAATAATAATTTTATGTCTAATGGTGTCCCTCTACCAACCTTAAATTAAAAACCACCTTCACCGTTAGTAAAGAAAAAATTACCAACAAAATCTGCTGTAGATTATGGTAATTTGTTAAACACCTAAAAGGCTAAATTGAATAACAGAACAGATGCTAATTCTGATTTTGATGCTCTATCTAATAAAGAGGATACTTTCAGCTAGTCTGGAGCTTCTATGAAAAGTGAACATATAAGAAAAAATGCTCATTCAATGGCATCTCCTTCAAATTCTGGTTTAATTTCTAGCAAAAAACAAAATTCAACAGGAAAATAACTTTAACCTTTAAAATCATACAAAGTCACAGAAGAGGAAAAATAAAAAATAGTTGAAGCTCACGGCTTTACTAATCCTGAACTTGTGTAGACTTTTGCCTATAGAATAGAAAGAATGAGAAAAAATAAGATAAAATAATAGCCGCTAACAGCAGAGCAGCGTTATGAAAAATTTTTAAAAGCATCTAAAAAATGAAACCAAATTAAAAAGTTGATTGTAAAAATAGAAAGAAATAATTATATTTAAATTATTCTTGCAATTTAAGTTTTAATTTCAAAAAAATATTCTATGTAATAATACAAAAAATTCCAATCAAAAATAGTTTTAAAATTTAAAAATAATTAATAATATGATAGATCTTAGTAAAGATACATATTTACAAAACAAAATAATCTAATCAATAATATGATAAATTTATGTTAGTTTAAATCTTTAGATTTAATTAAATCTATAGATTAATTTGAGATTAAATTATTTTCTTAAATCAACTGCAATTAAATATTTTACAGATTATTAATTTTCAAATTTCCTTAATAAAATTTTATTATTCATATAATTTATTTAACATTTTTTAGAAGTAAAATATTTTTTTAATCTTCTTAATTGTAATATGTATTATGAATTAATTCAATTGACTAAAATAAATACTAGATAGAACTTTTTATTAAAAAATTATTTATAGTAAAAATTTAGGAAAGAAAAATCATATAAATGATAAGATATTTATATTTGACATCAGTATTCCAATTAATAATTTATAGAATTTCGTATTAATAAACAATTAACATGGTTAAAATATCTTCAAAATTAATAAATAAATAATCATTATTAATTAATTATTATTTTATTTATTCCAAATAATTAATTATTAAGCTAATAGCAAACTTAAAAAATAAATTAGAGTTTATGAGTTCAGAAAGTAAATACAAAGTTGTGTTTGTTCGTCACGGTTAGAGCGAATGGAATCTTAAAAATATATTTACAGGCTGGCATGATATTCCATTATCAGAGCAAGGTCATCAAGAAGCTACTCTTGCAGGATAAATTTTAAAATAGAAAGGTTATAGTTTTGATTTAGCAATAACAAGTGTCCTACAAAGATCTATTTAGACATTCAATCACATAGCAGAAGAATTATAAATTCATCATATTCCTATTATAAAATCTTGGAGACTTAATGAAAGACACTATGGCTCTTTACAAGGCTTAAATAAATCTGAAACAGCTGCATTACATGGTAATTAATCTTATTAATTTTTTAAAATGTATTCATCATTGTAATAATTTTTACAATAGGAGAAGCCTAAGTCAAAATCTGGAGAAGATCATATGACGTGAGACCTCCTGAAATGTCCATAGATCATCCAGATTACCCAGGTAAGGATTCAAGATACAAGCATATACCACCCTCAAGCTTACCAAAAGGAGAAGTAAAAATTATTTTAAATTTTTTTTCTGTGTTTTAAACCAAATTATTTAACGAATAAATTAAGTGCTTGAAAGATACTGTAGAAAGAGTACTTCCTTTCTGGACTGATACTATATGTAAAGCAATTATTGAGGGTCAAAAAGTAATCGTTTCAGCTCATGGAAATTCTCTTAGAGCCATTGTTAAGTATTTAGATAAGATGACTGATGAATGTATTTTATTAAAAATATTTTTTAAATAATTTTTTGCTACTAGAACTATTTATTGAATTTATTTATTTTTAAAAGAAATTATGGAATTAGACATACCTACTGGAGTTCCTTTAGTTTATGAGCTTGACGAAAATCTTCTCCCAGTTAAGCATTACTATTTGAGTAAGTTAGTACAATACCTATTGAAAAATAAAATTTTTCTTTAAAATAGTCTCATAGGAAGAGTTAGAAAAGAAGATGCAAGAAGTCAAGAATCAAGGAAAAGCTCAATAAAATTGAGCTTTATCATTATAAATTTAATACATTTTATATCATTTTTATTTTTAATAAGTAAAATTTGTTCAAGATTTTTATTTTATAAGAATAATTATTTGTCAAAGAAAATAGTTTTAATTTTATATTAATTTTTTCAAATAAATAAATTTCCAATATTTCATTAAAATAAGATAAAATCAAAATTTATAATTTAGTTAAAAGATCCTAAAACATGCTATATCTTGTAATAATAAATTATTGTTTTACTTTTTAGAATTCCTTAATAGATACATTTTAGCATGATTAAAAAATAAAAATTAAAATATGATATTGTAGATGTTAAGATTAATTAATATTAGAAAGTTTTATAACTTTAAAAAAAAATATTATTTTTAAAAATATTTGTAAAAACCTCAACAAAAATTTTAAAACAAAATCAATATTAAACTTAAAATTAAGTCAATTTTTTAAATCTTCCTAGATCTTATTTAATTTATATTATAAATATAATAGACAAACAGTTAGAAATAATAGGATTAAAAGAAAATAAAATTCAGTTAGTTAGTTAGTAATTTATTTAATTTTAGTTAAATTTTTAATGAGATATATATTTTAAATAAAGGGATTAGATTTAAGAAAAACAAACATATATATAAGTTTTATAATTATAATTATTATAATTTAAGAATTTAAAAGTAAGTACAAGAAATATTATTTTTTATATAGTTAGTTTATTTGTTAATTTAAAATATTATTTATTTAAAATATTGTAGAAGCTTAATTTAAATTTGATTATAATCAAAATAGTAAATTTCATGAGAAAAATTTTTTAAATAGAATTAATCTCAAGACAGACTTCAATTTTATTACATTCTCCCTCCTTAATTATTCTAAGACAGAGTTATTTGATTAATTAATTATTAAAATATATTTGTAGCCTTTTCTAAGATAAAAGAAAATAATAACTTATTAAAAGCATTGTAAATTGTTTAAAAGTATCTTCAAATTATAAAATTTTTCTTATTATAAATTCCTTTTTCAAAATTTTTAATCAAAAAACACTACAGTTAGTTTTATTACAATAGCCAGATTACTATTCTTAATCTTTCCTTTGTTTCTTATTTTTTTTTTTTTGATTACTTAAGGAAGATTTACTGTTTCCATTAATACTAGAATTAATATGATTATAATCAATTATAGATACTTGGTATCTCATTGCTGACTTAGATCTTGGATGCTCTTCAAGAAAATTTGTAGCATCTTATTGTGATTAAAATTTTTTTTTATCAATATCCTTTTAAATAGATTCATATTGAGATTTAACGTTAGCAAACTCTTCTTCTTTTTCTTCTAGTAGCCTTTCTAAATCGTTTTTATGCTGATGCCTTAATATTTTGAACAATATAATTAATACATTTTAGAATTAATTTCTCCTGTAAGTAAAATTGTGCAACATTAAAAATAAATACAATCATAATTTAATTAAATTATCAAAAAAATGAACTATTATATAATTGATTACAATTCATAATATCTAGATCTCAATTGAGTAAGCTCTTTTTCTTATTCCTGGCCTTCAATTTATAATTTTTATATCTTATCTTTAAGTCCTTAGTTATCTGCCATCTTTTTATTTTGATTATCTCTCATTTCTGATATTTTATTTTTTTTCTCTTCTATCTGATGTGCATATTTTAATCTTATCGTTTGTGTCTATATTAAATTTTAAATTAGTTATTAATGATATTTTATCAAAACTCTTAGTTTCTCCTGTAAAAAAGAACTTAAATTTAAAAATCCAGCTTCTTATAAAAAATTAAATATATACTGTTAATACTACTTAATTAACATCATGGCCTTCCAGAACGTTTAAAAAAATAGTCTTAAAATATTTTTTTATAATAAAAAATGATCCTAATTAAATTTATTTTAATTAAGCAGGATTTGAGTATATAATTCAAATTTAAAACCAATTCATTTTCTCAAAATCTCATAAAAGTATGAGAGTAAATTTGATATAGATGGATACAAATAGCTAATAAAAATATGATAGTAGGGTTATTAAATTTGATAAAAGATATTTTAAAATTTACCTAAAGCTTAATCTCTTCATTTATTTTTTATTTTTTATATAAGTCTTCCTTTTTTTTTTCACACTCTTCATTTAATTCAGTTCTTTACTTATCTTTTTCTGTTTTGTTTTTGAAAAATGACTCCACAATTCTTTTATAGAGAATTTAATAATGACACAGATCGCACACTCTTACTTAATTTTCTTGATTTTGAGGGTCTCTTCTTGTTCTACGAGAGCACTCTTTGCAAACACATTTACCACAAAATTAACTTAATTATTTATTTATTTATTTTATTACACATTAATCAAACTTAGATATTTTAAATATTCTTGAAGGTGGGCATTTATTTAATGATATATTAACTTAAGGCTTTTTTCTATCTATAAAAACTGCTTATTTTTCTTCTTGTTCTTCTCAAGTTGCGTAATTGATTTATTATTTCTTTTAATTACATTAATTTTTTTATGCATTTATGAAAATCTTTTATTAAACATATTCATATTGTATGATATTTTAATTGCATTTGATATTACATTGATTTTGACTTAGCAGGAGATTAATAAATCTAATACGTCAATACATAAACAAATAAACCATTATGCCAAAAATCTGAGCACCTAAGAATATTTTAAATGTAAATTAATGTTACCAATTCTTAGAAGAATTCAGCAATTAAAACGAAATATTGCAAACTTGACATTTTTCAGATTTTCTATATTTTTCGGGTGGGCAAATCTAAGTAAAATTTTTATGTGGTTCCTCTATTTATAGTGTATATTATCAGATAAATATTCTAATAGATAGAATAAATGAGCAATAAATCTATTTAAAAATTAATATTTTGTTTACTTTCCAACTCTGAATAAATGCTTCTATCTTCAGATCCAATACTTACTACATTTTAATCAACTATTTATTAAATATTATTTTAATTTAACTTCTAATGCTTTCAATTTTTAAACTATAATTGATCCTTATAAGCAAATTACATTTTTTAGGCGATTAAACTATTTTTTAAACAGACCTTGTAAGCAATTCAGAATGAGATTCGCTCTCATTGTAATCTTTATATCTATCTTATAATTTTGAAAGAGTTTGCGCCTATCCAACAAGTGCCATAATTTAACAATTTATAGATAATATTTTTGAACTTTTATTTTAATGTGCTATTTGCTATGTATACTTGATTGTTCTATTTGATTTACTCTTTGATAATACAATAATCAATCAAAAATGAACTTTGGTAATTGATTTCTTTACTATATTTTCAATTTATTTTTTTGCGAATTATAAATAAATTTTGCAAACCAAATTACATATAGTGCTATCTATAAACAAAATATTCATTTTTATGACCTTAAAACTATACATGAAATAATCAAAATACGATTTAAATTTCTCATTCTTTTATTGCTTACATATTTGTGAGAATTAAATAAAAAGATAAATTTGCTTTTTATGTAATCTAAGTATAATTTTAAGCAAATAATTAGCAAATATAATCAAACTCTTTAAAAAATTTACAAACAAATTTAACTTATAATTGTGCATGAGGAAATAAATTTTTGAACTAACTTAAATATCAGACCATTCTGCGTTGAAATTGATACAATATTACTTTAATTAATTTTATACAATATATTAATTAATTTTGTAATATAATACCCATTCAAAATAAGTTATTTATAACCTTAATTAAATGACTGATCAGGAGATCAGATTATTGCTATTCAAATTATTTAAAACTTTCATCTTAAATGTAAATTTTAATATCTATTTATTTTTTAGTTAAGAATTAAAAAAAATTAATTTATTATGGGAAAAATATTTTTTCCAATCAACTTTTAAATATAAATTTTAAAGATTTTGTTGCTCAGATAAAACTCATTAAAAAAAAAAATTTAATTTGATATTGAAATATTTTTTTATAGGAAAGACTATTTCTTTTATTTAGTGAAAATATTTTTCAAAATCAAAATTAAATTATAAATTGCTTTATGATAATAAATATTTTATTATTTTTTTTTATTAAATGATTTTAACATTTTAGGTTAACTACAGAAAAGTATAGTATATTAGGAGGAGAAGAAGAAGACAATATTAAAAAATTGTTAATATTATATTTCATATGAGCAAATTTTAGATTAAATTTCTTGAAATTATATTAAAATGAAACAAAAGTATGCAAATTTGTTACATTCTATATTTTTATATAAATCTGTTTTGAAAGTTTTTTATAGATGAGTAGGAATGTCAAACATATATGTGTGTCAATAAGCAGCATATGATTAGCACAAAGATTATTAGATATTTTATTTACTTCATCTCCTACTAAAATCAAGTTTTGTTAAGAATTAGTAAAGAATTATAAATTATGTATTTTATTTAAGATTTAAGTTAAAAAATAATAATATAAATATTCCATAACATCAAATACCTATCTCTAGATAGGTTTGAGCTGTTTTAAATAATCAGAGTTTTAATTTCATTTCTTTAATAAATTTTAGTATATCAGGAAAGAAATTAGATAATAGAAAATAACAATTATATTTAATTAAAATTGAATAAATGTCGAAATGATGATATAATTAAATCAAAAGTGATATTTCTAATTTAAACTTCTCTACACTAATAAATTATTTTTTATTGCATATGCTTTTTTTTTAATTTTAACTATCTAATATCATCAATTCATTATTAATTTCAAAATATCAAAATAAAAAATTAATTAAGATATTTAATTGATTTGGTAATTTATAGAAAGATAAAATACATGCTTTAAATGTAGCTATTTTAATTTATTTTCATTTAATTTAATATTTTGTTAACAAAAAAACATATTCTGTATTTTCTCTTAAATTTCACTCACCCTCACCCCAAATTCAATTTGTAATTGATGGTAAAATATCTACTTATAGATATTAATTTATTAAAAATCATTTATATAATTGGTTTTCGATAGATATATATGGGTAATAATTTAGCTACATTAATTTATCATTCATGTTCAAATATTTCTTTCATATATTAAAGGAAAAAACATTTGATTATGAAATATTAAAAAATTAAATTAATTTAATAAAATAAAGAATTAATAATTAATTTTGATTGAAAAAAAATATGAATTTAAATGAAATTCTATGATAATATGATTTCAGATTCAGTAATTATAAAAATAAATTAATGTAAATTTTAGATAACTTAAACTTTTATTTTATTACTAATATCTAAATTATAATTATTTTAAGAAATTAGTTTAAATTAGACAGCTTCAATAAAACTTTATTTATTGTATTAATTTTACAAAAAATTATGTTTAAAATTTGAATAAGTTAGTGGGAGATTGGCTGTTAGTTTACTGTTTTTATTTAAGTTTGATAATTATTATTATTATAATAAATTATGAAAATTAGAAAAAAATAAATTAAATTTATTTTTTAAAAAGATAAAACAATTTAAACTAAATATTGGATTATTTATAAAATAAAATTATTGAATAAATAAATTTAAATATAAACCAGTAGACAGACTATTTAAGATTGAATTTTAATTAAATAATACATTCAATAACTATAAATTGTTTAGAAATATAATGTTCTATTAGTTCAAAATTATAGCTTTAAGGAGTGTATTATATATAATTCATCTTACATTTTTCTTAATCAAAAAATGGTTTAAAAGCTAAAAAATGGAATATTTATTAAAATAAAATTTATTGAATAAACAAAATAAAATATAAATCAGTTTACAGTTTAAAATTGAATATTAATTAATTAGTTAATACACTCAAGCTTCTACAAATTTTTTAGTAATATAAATTTCTATAAAATTATCAAAATGATAGCTTTCAGGAGTGTATTATAATTGATCTAAAAGGAAGTTATCTCCTTAGGCAGGAAGATTAAGAGGATTAGTTACAGTCCTTTTGAAAGAGTCGGATGAAATAACATTTTGATAGTAAGTTTTGAAATTCTATATTAGTTCATCCTAATTTTCAATTTAATCAAAGAAATTGACTTTAAAGAATGCTCTATACATAGCATCAAGCATTTTGAAATGAGGAACAACAGCAAAATCAACATAAGTTAATGTGTCTCCTTCGAAATAGTTGTTTGGGTTTAATTTAATTCTTTCAGATAGCTTTGAATTTTTTGTAAAGAATCTCACAGCTTCAGCTAATTCGTTAGCAAGCTTCTTAGATCCTTCAGCATCCTTTTTTTTTATAATTCCAAGTATAGCCCACATTTTATCAATAAAATTTTAATCAAAGTAATTTGCCCATATTCTCTATTATGTCTTTCTAATGTTATCTTAAGGGAAAACACCACCAAATTCATTTTCTAAGAATTCAAGAAGAGGGAGACTTTCATAGATAATCTAATTAGTTAATTGAATATATATTTAGTTAGTTTGATTAATTGTTCAAGAAATTATAAATACCTAGTTGTTGAAAGATATTGAAGGAACCTTTCCAAAAGGATTGATATCTAAATATGCCTACTCTTTATGTTTAAATTTATACAGATCAACTTCTTTGTAGTCATACTTAACTCCAATGTTTTCTAAAGCAAATCTCACTCTTTAAACATAAGGGCAGAGGAGAAAACCGTATAATGTTAATTAAGACATTCTTTTATTTATAACCTTTTTTTAGTGTTTTTGTGTTTTTTGTTTGTTTGTTTTTATAATGTTATTAATCAAAATAAACATATAAACAACAACAGTTCTTCTAATATTTTCTTTTTTTCTAGATTATTTCTTTATCTAAATTTATTAAATCACATTGATGTAAGCTTTTTGAAATTAATTTGTAATAAATCATAAAATATATCAAGTTCTTTTTATTTTGATGAGAAATCTTTAAACATTTTTCTTTATTTATTCTTTTTAAGTTTATAATATATTTTCTCAATTAAAAATTCTTCATTTATTCTATTAAAAAAACTTATTTTATTTTTACATTTTTTATAATAACAGAATTGTTCTAAAGAAAATAATCTTTTAATTTTTTAAATTGATGTTATGTATAATTTTAAATAGAAATATATAGTAAGCTAGCAATTTATTTTATGAAAAATACATAAATAAACAGAATATTTCTCTTCCAATTTCATATAAAATATATTATTTTATTTCATATCTGTAAAATGAGCTGTTGTCTTTATAATTTTTCATAAATATTTAATTTTAAATTGTATTTTAAAAATATTAAAAAAGTTAATAATGAATTCCTTTAATATGAAATTAAATCTAGTATGTATTAATTTTTAAATAATATAAAATATTATTAATTTCATTATTATTTTTAATTATTTTTACAATAATAATTATTTAATGTAATTTTTTATAATTTGTATTTAATTTAAAAAATTTAATTAGATCTTTTAATTTATTAAAAAAATTAAATACATAAAAAGAGCTTATATTAAGTATGTAGAAAAAGTAATTTTTGCTACCCTATTTTTAATTTATATTTTATTAAAATTAAATTTAATCTTTTAAAATTAACATTTTGACAAAAATCAAAAGAAAAAATAAAAATAAATAAAACATTTAAATAAATTAAATAGCCTTAAGCTTTCTTTCTGATTTCTAAAATACAAGTTGTAAATAATTTAAATACTTTGTTTAAATTAGATTAGGATATCACTTTTTCCTAAGCTTATTTAGTCAATTTAATAATATATTATTAATTTTATGAAAAAATATTTTTAAAATTTTTGAATGAATAAAAACTTAGAATGATTCTTCAGCTAACTATCTTTAATTAACTTTTGCAATTATTAATAAATAATTTTTAAAATAAAAAATAGTTTAAATCTATTTTCTTAGTTATATAATAACTTAAGCTAAATAATAGAATATTTATATTCATAAAAGTATTGATTTGACAAAACTAAAAAAGAAACAATATGGAGCTTAACATTAAATTTTAATTTATTAATATAATCAAGCTTATGCGAATTTTTTATTCATGTAAGTTTCTGAAAGGTTTTCATAATTAAAGTTTTCAGTTGTGTATTATAACTCATCTAAAACGAAATTGTCTCCTTATGGAGGTAGTGTAACAGGATTAGTTACAGCCCTTTTGAATGAATCAGAAGAAACAACATTTTAATAATAGGTTTTGAAATTCTAGATTAACTCATCCTAGTTTTCAATTTATTCAAATAAACTGCTTTTAAAGAATATTTTATAGTTAGTTTCTAGTACTTTAACATGAGGGATAATAGCAAAATCAGCATAAGTTAAAGTATCTCCTTCAAAATAGCTGCTAGGATTCTATTTAATTCTTTCAGATAATTTTGAATTTAAAGTAAAGAATCTCAATATTTCAGCTAGTTCGTTAGCAAGTTTTTTAGATCCTTCAACATCCTTTGTTTTTATAAGACTAAAGATTCCCCACATTTTACTAATAAAATTTTAATCAAAATAAGTTGTCCAAATTCTCTATTAAGTTTTTCTGATGTTATCTTAAGGGAAGACGCTGCCAAATTCATTTTCAAGGAATTCAAGAAGAGGAAGACTTTCATATACAATCTAATTAATATAATAAATGTTAAGTTAGAAGATTTAAAGACTGTAAATTTATAAATAAATACCTGGTTATTAATAACTATTGTAGGAACCTTTCCAAAAGGGTTAATATCTAAGTAGGCCTATTCTTTCTATTTAAGCTTGAAGAGGTCAATTTCTTTGTAGTCATACTTAACTCCAATTTTTTCTAAAGCGAATCTCACTCTTTATACATAAGGGCAGAGGAGAAAGCCATATAATGTTAATTAAGACATTGCTTTATTTGTTTATTTGTAATTTTTATAGAGTTTTGTTTATTTTTTATTAATATTTATTATCCTGATTTGTTTATAAAAAGAGTTTTTGAAATGGGTTTTTTTTGTTCCAGATTATTTCTAAATCAACTTTTTTTAATTTTATGATATTGATTTTCATAGCACATCAGAAAACATATCAAAATTCTTTTTATTTTTCTAAAAATTTTCTAAACATTTTTCCCTGTTTTTTCTTTTTAAGAAATCTAATCTATTTTCTAAATGTTCTTTATTTATTCTTTTAATTCATCTAATTTTAAATTTACATTTGATTTTTTTCAGATTTATTCTTTAGAAGAATTTCTTTTCTAAATTTTTAAAACTTGTGTAACCCATATATATAAAATTGAAATAAAGTCTAAGAAAGTAACAAACTTTTTTAAAAAGTAGAATGCATAAAATAAGCATTTATAATTTTATGTTGAGTAGTTTATTATTTATTTCTTATTTTATGTTTAATTGGTTATCAAATATACAAAAAGATGTGGCTGTCAAAATACATTTAATGCACAATCGTACAAAAAAAGTAATTTAAATATATTTAAAGAGTTAATAATTGATTTATTGAATATAAAATTTAAAGAAATTAATGGTTTGATAAATACAATTTTTATATTGTAAACATATAAAAATAATATAAACTTTTTAATTGTGAATTATAAATTTTTAAAAAAAATCATGATTTCATTTTTATTACTAAATAAATTACATACTTATATTTAATTGTTTGTTTTTCAAAACATTTTCTATGAATTAAAAATGTTATTTTATCTCATATGATTTATTAAGCATCAAATATATATTAAAATAAGTAAATCTCATACAAAAAAAGCAATAATATTTTTGTAAAATTCTAATAAAACATTTTGAAACATGATAAAAAGTTAATTTGGTTGATAACAATATTTTGATACTTTAAATTCTATGTAAAAATAGACAACAGATACAACAAATCAGTAAATTTTATTTAATTTTTAAGAATTAATATTTTCAAATTTAATTAATCAGGATTCAAATCTTTTGGAAAGATAAGCTCTTACGAGTTTACTGTAGTCATAAGTTTCGGGAGTAAAGTTAAGGCTATCAAGGAGGGAGTTTTCTCCGTGGGCTGGTAATGATGGAAGCTTATGGGTTATTCTATTATAAGCTTCAGAAGAGGTTACGTTGTTAATGTAGGTTCTAAAATCTTTAATTAGATCATCATTTTCAACCAAATCAAATAATTATTTGTTGAATGTGACACGAACAATATCTTCTAAGTATCTTGTATGAGGAACGACAGCAAAGTCAACATAGGTAAGTTATTCACCTTCATAGAAAGTTTTAGGGTTAGCCTTTACTCTTTCTGATAATTTAGTTTGCTTAACCCAGTACCTGATTTCTTCTGCAAGTTTATTGGCCAACTTTTTTAAGCCCTCTTCGTCCTTGCTCTTGTAGACTTAGAATACATCCCAAATATTTCCAATCACATTTTAATCATAATAGTTTGCCCATATTCTCTGCTGAGCTCTTTTTATAGTATCTTTTGGGAAAACATTTCCAAATTACTCTTCGAGGAACTCTAGCAAGACAAGACTTTCATAAACATTCTGTTTTTAAATAAAAAATTAGAAAAATTAAAACATTTATTAATTTATTTTACTGAGTTATTAATGTTAATTGTTGGGACACATCCCAAGGGATTAATAGCAAGATATTCTTCTTATAAATGCTTTTTAGCTAACAAATCTATTTCTACATAATCGTATTAAAGTTTCAAGGCTTCCAAAGCAAATCTCACTCTTTGTACATAAGGACAAAGTATATTTCCGTATAATTTAAGGTGGGGTTATGACATTCTTTCTTTTGCAGATATATTAATTAAAGATTTGTAATAATATTTGATTTTTATTTCCACAATAATTTTTAATTGCTTTTCAATCAAAAGAAAAGATCTGGAATTCTTCTTCAACTTATCTAATCTGATCTATTTTTGATGAAAATCATCTAAATTCAATAAACCATTTATTTATATCTTACTTTAACTATTTTCAATTTGCTAAAAATATTACTTTCTTGTATTTAAAAAATATGCGTGTGTAAAGTAAAATATTGAATATCCTTATTATATAATTTTCAAAAAGAATGAGAGCTTACATAATATTTTAAAGCTAAATAAAAAACATTTTTATGTTACTTTCAAGTCTTTATTTATTTAATAATTATAAAAAAAGTGTATATTCTATAGTTAGTTATTGATAACATCACATTTGAAAGAATATTTCTAGAATTTTAAAAATATAAGCAGTATAAAAATATGAGTAATTAACTTTATATAATAATAAAATAAAAAGATTATGTTATCTATTTAAAATTATTTAGAATATTGGAATAGTTTTTAAAAATAAATTTAATTTTAAAAAATAAAGAGAAAATTAAAACATATTTATAATTTTATTTTGAAAAAATTAAAAAAAAATATTTATTTTAAATCCAAAAAAAATAATTTTTATTTTTACATTTAAAAAATAATTTTTAATTTAAAAAAAATATAACCTTATTTATTTTATCAGCTAATTCAATACAAAAGAAATATTTGCCTACAAACATGTTAAGCATTTAATATTTTTTGAGAAAAATAAAAAGCATTAAAATAAATAAATAAAAATAATTTAAAATATATTTAAAACATTTTAACTTATTAAAAAGATTTTTAATTAGAGGCTAAAAAATAATATGAAAATAATTTTTGATTTTTGTTTTATTTAAAATTTTACTTATTAAATTAAGTCAAATAAATTAATTATTCAAAAATGAATTAGTTAATAAAAAAATTATTAAATTTCTTCTATTCTATAGATATTTTTTCAAGCATGTAAAAATCATTTATTAAATGATCAATAAATATACATTTGATTTACAGAATTTTCATAGAATGTTAATTAAACAATAAACCTATAATTCCCCTATTATTTAAAACACAAAAACAATTATTTGATAAAATAAATTTTGTTTTACAAAAAAGGTTGTTTGGAAGCAATTAATTTTTATCAAATTTATGAAAAGAATTAATATTTATAAGATAAAAATACTAAAGTTATAAAACTGGACTGTATTAAATAAAAATAAATATGAGTTATTTAACGTAAAAATAAACCTTATAGATGATAAAATACCCACATTAAAATTTTTTTAATTTCATAAAAGAAAACTATATTTTGAAATAATTCAACACTAAAATCATATAAAATGTAAAATATCATGAAAACGCTCTTAAATATTTTGGAAATTTTATGTAGCCTAAATTATTTATTAAATAGAAATATATCACATAAATATTTTGATAAATTCAAATAAATTTGACTACAATATTATATATTGAAGTTATGAAATATAGAAAATCTAAAATTCAATTATTTAATATTAAAAAATAGAATTTTATTTTTATATCAATTGATTTATGATTTATTAATATCAAAAAATATAAAATAAAATAATAATATCAAAATTTACTTTTTTAAGAGTATTTTTTTATAAAAGCTGTTACTTTTTATAATATTTTATTTAAGTACTTCAATATCTTTTAAATTTAAAATTTATTCAGTTCAAAATAATATTTAAATATTTTTAAATGTCATAAAACTATTTTTTCAAATTTTTCTTTACAATTTTAAATATTTTAGTTAATTAAGAATGTAAAAATAATACTAATTTATTGATTTTATTTTTATTGAAAAAGTTTTATTTTTTCATAATAAGCTGAGATAATGATAAAATATCTAAATTATTTACTATAAGTCTTCAACATCATTAGTTTTCTGGCCTTATATTTATAAAAATAATTCTTAAAAATTGTTCTAATCCAAAGATTAACATTTTAGAGAAAATCCTTTAGACATACTGTAATCTTGAAATTGAAAAAATTTAATAAGATTATTTTATTAGTATTTTTTGAGAGTTTTTTATTTTTATTTTTTCTGTTTAATTAAAATTAAGTAATAAGTCTATTTATTTATTTATTACCTTATTTCTGGAACTGATAGATAGATAGATATGTTGTAATAATTTTATTTTAAATATTGCTTTCTTTTATGTTAAGTTTATAAAATTTAAATCAAATAAACAATTAAAAATAAATAAAAAATGAACAAAAAAATAATAATCTTTTTGGTTTCTATATCTCTAGTTATATCCACAGTTTCTGGAACTAATAGTAATGGTTGCTATAATGGATGTGAAACTTGTAATGGTATAGTCTGCCTCTCTTGCTGTGACCCTAACTCATCAGTAGATCCTTACTAAAGAACTTGTTTGTGCAATAACGGATACTATGCTTCATCTCTAAACCCTTTAAAGTGTGATCTTTTGTTAACTGGTAGCCCACAAAGTGGGTGTGAGATTGAACTAGGTCTAAATATTGACAACTTTGTTGTAAACACAAAATGTTACTATTACACTGAAAATTCTGGTTAAGCTGGATAAGAACTTAACTTCATTAGAACAGATATCACAATAGATACTTCTCACTCCTAACTAAATTGTAATACTTGCTTATCAATACTAACTGATAAGGTATAATACTAACCTTCTACAAATAACTATCCTACAGATGACTAAAATTATATTGATTTACCTGTACCTGCTTCAGGTATACCTTATGTAAGTCCATTACCTGGTGGTAACGTTGGTGATTTAAGAGTTTAGATTCCACTAATTGATGTTTACAGCCTTGCATACAGTCAAACTATTAGTTCTGATGGTTCATAAATTGTATAAATCTTACACTTTAGACTTTTATTAGGTTACGATTCTATTTGGTTGAATGCTTTTAAATGGTGTACAACAGTATTGACCATCAGAGGTGAAGTCCAAACATTTACAATTAACGTAAATATTTAGACAACAAACGGTTGTGCAGAAGGTACAACATGTATCATCATAGCAGATTTAGATGTTACAGGTAACTAATACTTATCTGATTTTGTTACTGTAAAGAATCCTGCTGACTACACAGTTGGTGATCAAATGTATATGAGAATATGGTTTATTGATTCTACATATACTAAATAGCTTTCATTCCAAAGTGTATACTTCTAAGATAGCAATGGTTAGGTATTCGATTATACTTCACTAATCGTGCCTAGTGGAACAGGATGGGATCATGCAGATAATTCCTTACATGTTTAATTAACTTTAATTGAACCTTCCTAGAATGCTCTTGTTTAAGTTAACATGCTTATCGAAACAGCAGATGCACGTTTGAGGTCTTTACAAAGTTCATCATCATCATCATCGTCATCACCAAGTACTAATCCAAATTAAAGCAATTAAGCAAGTCAATAATTTAGATTCTAAGTAGCTTCTGATCCTAACAGTCCTCAACAATCATCATAAGATAAAAGCTCTTCAAAAACAAGCTCAATAATGTTGCTTTTAGGAATGTTAAATATTCTTGGTATTGTTTTATTTTTATGATATAAATGAAATTAAATAATAAAAATTAAACTGTATAAATGAGTAAATATATAAATATATTAAATATGTTCATTCAGTATAATATAAACACTTTGCACTTTAAATATAAAATCAGCTTTTTTTTAACCCAAAACACATCATTTTAAAATACAATTTTACAAAATAACTTAAAGATGAATAGATAAATTAATTTTTCAGAATTTTTTTGATGAAGAATTGCCATTTGTGAGAGGTCAAATATAATGATTATTATAATAATCTAGGTTTTCCTGATCCTTAAGATAGGAATATCAAAAAAATATGAAACAATTTTAGGTGAAGATATGAGTTCTAATATTAGATTTCTCAATATTAAAATAAAATTAAATAAAAAATATACAATGAACCTAAAAGAAATCTGACTTTAATGAAATTTATCAAATTAAAAATTTTAGTATTTAATTTCAACAAGATAAAAAATAATGAAAACTTACTTAATTCTTTTTTCATTTTAACCAATTTTCAAATAAAAAAAATCAAAATAATTTATTAATTTGAAACTTATCCCCTCACGCCATAGTTTATTTCCTTATTATTCTCTGTAAATTTGCTTATTTAATTTTATGTAAATTTAAAAAATGACTATGAATGAAGAGTACAGTAATATTTAAAGAAATTTAAAAATTAATAAATTTTTGTTTAACTAAAAAATAAAATTTTAATTTTCTACCCTTTTTATTTTATTTCTAAATAAAATAATTAAGAAAAATCAATTTTAAAAAGAAAAGATTAGCTTAGAAAAATAGTGAAGATATTTAAAATTAATATTTTTTAAAAGAATTAATCAAATTAAGAGGAAAATTTAATCATGATGATAGTTAAAAAAAATTAACCAAGATAATTATTTTAAGTAAATCCTTTGAGTTAGAATTAAAACTATAAAAATATATTTTTAAAGAGCCAATATTAATTCAAACTAAATTTAATCTACTATTCCTCATAATAAGGTTTTAAAAAAATATTTATGTTTTTATTCTATAAAACTTTTTAATTAAAACTCTGTTATTTTGATTTGGCTGAATAACATAATTTAAAGGAGAATACAATTAATTTTTCATTTTAATACATAATAGTTTATAGACTTACTGTGATTTACTTATTTTTTTGCTGTAAAAATAAATTATTTGGGATATGATTTTTATAAATTAAAAAAAAGAAAATTAAAAATTACCAAAGATCAAATTTTAGATTCATAAGTAATTTACAGGTACCTAGTAAAATACAAATAGCAGATGCTCCTGCTTCTCCAATTTTGTTGTTCCTTATAATAATAAAATAATATATAAATATACATTTATGTCAACTTAAAAATTATTTAAGGCTACAATAGATAAAAATATTTATTAAATTATACAATGAATTTAAATTTATCCTAAAAAAAAATTAAAATTTATTACGAGAGGTTAATATCTAGATGAGTCAACGTTCTACAACAACTACCTAATGCTTTACTAATTGAAAATGCACCTTCTTTTCCAAATAAATTTGCACTTTTTAAAAATTTTACAATTAAAAAAAAGTTAATATTGAAAAAGAATTTTTGAATTCATTAACGATAATCAATAAAATTTACGATGCTTTTAAAGTTAATCTTGCCAGATTAGCACAACTATTAATACCTTCAGCAATACTCTCTATCTATCTGTCCCCCATTTTATTTTTCCTTTCCAAAAAAATTTTTTTTAATAAATAATTTATTTACTTTTTATTTAATACAATAAAAATAACTAATAATATTTAATAGAATTATAATAGAATTACCAAAGCTACAAATTTAAGTTCGTTAATGCTTTGTACCTATGTAATACTTTGCAAATCTAAACTGCACCTCTGTCTTCAATTTAAAACTGTTATAACATCTTACTTAAAATAAAATAAAAATAAAAATATTAATAATTAAATTTAAATTTTAAGTTGTATTCTGAGTGCATTTATATGTGCGAGTATTTCTATTCTTTCTATCTTCAATTTAATTTCCGCTTTTATTATATATATAAAATATTATTTAATATAATTTACTACAAAAATAATCAAAAATGTAAATTAGTTTAGAAAGATGAACTTATTATATTTAAATATAAATTAAAAAAAGACTACTCTAAATTTAGCTGTAAACTTTTGAGATTAATTAGATTGCTCATAGTTTCTTCTAATAGAATATTTCCTTAATCTTAAATTTCATTTAATCTTTTAAATTAAAAAATAAATCAATTAAATATCAATAGTTCGATTTTACCTAGGTTCTTTACAAGCTTCAAATTTTAAGTTAAAGATATTTTGTAAAGACAAAATTTGGGCATATATTTAATTATTGCTATTTAAATAAAATATAATTAAAATTATTTTAATTTATTTAAATTATTAAATTAACAAAATGATTGAAATTAATATTTTATTTAACATAATTTAAAATGCAAGATTCAAACTATCAGCTTTTTATTAATGGTAGAAATAATTAAGGTGAAAATATAATATTATAATTTATAAAACAATTTGTTGGATATATTAAATATTTATTAACATATAAAATACGTTTACCTCATATTATTAGTTTCAATTAAATCCTTTAAGAAAGTGTATTCAGCAAATATTTAACTTACCTAATCATCTGAAATATCTACTTTACTACATATTAGATTGATATAATAAATCATGATATTTAAGAAAGTAAAATTAAATTGTTACTTAAGATTTAATATCAAAGATTCTAATTTTTCACATTATACTAAAGAAGTGTTAAGCTAAGTAAGTTACTCATTAAAAGAGTACAATTTCTATTTATTTTATTAATAATAATTTAATTTTAGAATAATTAAATTAGATTTTATTTATTCTTAATTTTATAAATTTAAAAAAAAGAGAAAAAGTTTTAAAATATTTATTTTTTATGAAAAAAAATATTGTTTTTAAATATTTATCATTAAATATTAATATATATATTTCTTACTTTAACTGTAAGTCAATAAGAGTTAGAGTTTTCAAGTTAGATTTCATTAACTTTTTATTTAAAAAAAATATTTTATAATGATAAATAAAAGTAATAATGAAGGATACATCTTCCAGATTATTAAAGCAACTCCATTTTTTTAATTTTATTTTCCATTAATATTTTTTTGATTATTAATTTTATCAGGTATTAATAATTCTGATTAATAAAAATCTTAATTATCTTTTTAAATTTTCTTATTTTAGTTAAACCTTTCTAAAATAAATTAAAATAAATTAGTCTCCTTATTTTTTCTCTTTTCATATATATATATATAGTAAATATAGGGTGGCCCAGAAAAAATTTCGTTTTTTTTTAAAAAACAAAAATCTTTAATGAATTTTGAATTTATTACAACCCATTAACCTACAGAATTACTTATATACCAATATTATTACTATATAATTAATGAAATTAATTTTTTTAATAAATATTTAATTAAAAAAATAAAAATAAATATAATTGTATTTGAAAATCATAATTAAATTGTTTAAAAATGAATTTGATTTAAAAGGAATTAATATAATTTAGTTAGGAAGGATAAGACATGTATGGATATAAACTTCAATTCTAAATATTAAACTTGAAGATTTCATACAGTTAATTGCTTAATATATTGTTGAGTTATTTAAATATATAGTATTTTTAATATAAAGTCAAAGATATTAAGTTATTTTTTCATTAAAAACAAGGTATTTAAACAAACTTATTTATTTATTATATTTAGATAAAACTAAATGTGTTTGTTTATTTGTCCAAAAAGATATGCAAGTAGCAAATCTGAGTGAAGATCAAGAATTATTTAATAATTAACTATATTTTTGAACTATGATTAATATTTATTTATCAAAGGTTTTTTTGCTTAAATTGATTAGTGACATTTTAGTGGTTTATAATTTGTATAAATTTAAATAAAAATTCTATGCAAAAATCAAAAATTCTCAGGAACATAGAGCGACATCCAAGAAACTATTCCATTCCATTGGATTATTTCTCTATAGTTCCATAGCAAGAGATTTAATTTTATGAACAATATGTCCAAGAGAAACGCTTTTGCCATTAGAATTAATTTATGGAATATGAGCTTCTTCTTCGGATAGTTAGTCTATATTTAAAATTATTCTCTCTAAAGTGTTATAATAACTGTAGCTCTTTTTCTTGAATTCTTTCCATTCGGCAAATTCTTATTCTAAATTCTTATAAGTCTAATTTAGTTTGTTTTTTTCATCAAACATCTAAGGCAAAAAATAGCTACATATATTTTTATCTTCTCTATCTAACAATTTTAATATTAAAAGGCATGGAATTGTTAAAAATATATCTGCATCGCGGCAATCTACAGACTCTTAAAATTCTTTATATTTATTAGCAGTTGTTTCAATAATATGTGAAAAGTGAATCAAATAATTGCATTTTTTTCCATCTATAAAATAGTTTTTTCCTTTTTTAAATAAGTTAAAAAAATTTTTAATCCAAAAAATTACAAAATTATTTAATAAAAATCGAAATTAAATCATTTAATACAAACGAAATTCGTTCATTAAGAATGTAGAAATTTTGAATATTTTTTTATCCAAATAGCTGTAATTTAAATCCAATACTCATAATTTTATTAAGTTGTTGGTAATGATTTACTTAATATATAAACTTAGAATTTATTTTATTACCTTTTTCCCATGAACTCTCATAAGTATTTAATGCTTAAACTAGATCATGGTTGTTTTTTAGCTGCGGATCAACCATTTCAATATTTTATTCATATTTTCTAAATAAGGCACGTAAATTTTAAAAGTTGTTTTTGATTTCTTCAGCCAGCACACGGACTGCTCTAGATTACTCATTTGTAACTTTACGAAGAATACCTTCAGCTTATATAAGAATTTCAATATCTAAATCGTCTCTACCTTTGCCTTCCATGTTAGCAACTGCATTCATTTGGGCAATATATTTACAAAGTGTTTTTCTAAGATTTGTGTACTCTTAAGATTAGCTAGAAATAAAGATTCTCCCTTTTATTTTTTCTCTAATTTCAAAAGAAGTTAATTCTTTTTCTATTTCTATTGCACACTAAACATATCTTCTTGCTTCTGTCTCAATAACCATTAACTCCATCACATACAACTAATTAGTTTTTATTAATAATTTAAAACATCCCATAAATAAATTTGAAAAAAAAACTATTAGAATTCTTAAACACCCAGATATTCATTATAAATTCGCTTTAAAACAAACATCGCTGAATATAAATATGAATATTCAATTATTGTATTTTAGTTGGTTATGTAGGATTTGTTAATAAAATGAATAATTATTAAACTAATTATTTATGTATTTACCTGTTCAAATTTAGCCCAGCAAATATCAAACTTTTCAAGACTCGAAGCTATTTCTTTTTTGATAGCATAGGAAGACATATTAAGATTTTCTTAGCAAGTTCTTGTATATGCATTCCTCATAATATGAGACATTTTAAAGAAACTATTTAGCAAGTTCTAACCTGACTCTAAAACTTCTTGAGAGAATATGTACTTTTCACCATTAACATATAGATAAGGAAAACCTTTTGTAATAGATTTAAATTAATTAAGTATTTTTTTTAGATGAAAATTAGTATATTTTTATGAATAGTATTTTTTGTAAATAAAATCTTAATATTTGTTTCATATTTATATTAAATTTAATTAAATTGGTCGATTTATCGATTAATATTTTGATAGATAAAACGGCAAATAATAAATTTTAATATCTTTCTTATAGAATATATAGAAAAAAAAGTAAATTAAATATAAAAAACTATTAAAATATACCTTCTTGTGCACTATCTAATATTTCTGTTAAATAACAAAGTTCGCCATTTTTATAAAGGATTTTATATGCCTTTGAGAATTTTTCTCTGTATGCTCTACAAGCCGTTTGACATTAAAATTACTTTTTAAATTAAAAATTTCATTTTTTTATTTAATTTATGAAATATTATTTCAAATTTTTTTTCAGTTATTTTGTTATTTTCTTCATTCTAACAAGTGCCTAAACATGTTTCTGATCTTTATGATTTTTAATAATCATATGATCTTTTGTTATTATTAGCGAAATAGTTCTAAATATTTTGGTTTGAAAAGAAGATTTTGCTATTAACAATATGCTAAAATTAAATAAAAATCAATGATAAATTTCTTTTTTGAGGTATATAATTGCTAAAAGTTTAAATTTAAATCTAAATGGAACAATTAAATTCTTTCATTAGATAAAAATTTAATCTACAATCCTCTCACCTAATTGACTTTGTTTTGATTATTTAAAGATGGGAAAGTCAATTAAAGTAATATATTGATTGATTGTAGATCACTTAATAATATTATTAAGATGATCAATCTATCACATTTTAATTTGTGATGGCCATTCAGATTGAGAATACATTTGTAAAATAAATAAATCAATCATATGTTATCTCTGATAATTCATGAAGCTTTTCTCATTCAATTAAATGAATATGTGCGAATGTAATGAGAGAATTAATTAACATAGAGATTTTTATCTTTTAATATTTTGAATGTAGAAATAGACTAATAACAGGCACTATTAATAAAGACTGAAGAAAGTAATTAAGATAAGTGAAAGAAAAATATAAGGACAAATGAATAATCCTACCTTAATGAGTTTTTCAATTATATTCAAGTATTTTCTGAATATTTTCTGACCTTCTGGAGAATCCAAATCAAATTTCTAATAATCCTTCTATATAAGCTTAGATGATACAACTATAGCTTGCTCTAATAGCAAAAAATCATAGCTTCTTTTGAATTCTTCAAGATCAGTTAATGGACGAGGAGGAGCAGTGGAAACGCGAATAAATTACCTTTCATCCATAATTTCACTCATTTCGGATATGTCATCTCCTTTAATATTAAAATCTATATTAAATAAATTGCAATTAGTAAAATGAGAGAGGAGAATTATGCCATATATTTGCTCAGGCATTTTGAAATTCATTTTAAACAAACTAACTAAATAACTACTTTTAATTATATTCTCCTTATGATAAAAACATATAATACATACATATATATTTTTTTGTATTTTTTTTAATTTTTGCAAGTAATCTAAATTACCTTCTTAAGATTCATTATTGCTCCTTTCTTAGTAGTCCTCGATTTCCTGCTAAAAATCTAAGATTTACAAAAATATGGTATTTCTTTTCCTAGCTTACTACAATAAATTTAATATGTTTTACCTCTGGCGTATTAGTTTTAAATGTTTGAAAGACTACCGTTCCCATTTGAAAAAGTTAAACTGCTACTATTTTGGTAATTGAAATTTATCTAGTTAAAATCATCAGAGTTTTACTAGAGAAAATAAGTATGATCTCGCATAGTATTTTCGTTTAAGGAAGAATAAACATTATTATTGAGGTTGTTTGATGCTAATGTTGAAAAGCTCATTTAAGTATTTTATATTCGGCTGACTTATTTAAACTTTAATTACTCTTTCTCTTCTTTTTAATAAGGATTACTTGCTTGCTATTTTGCTATATTGATTTATTTACTTTTTTTGTTAATTTATTTTTCTTTTTATTATTATTTGAGAGAGTGGTTGATTGATTGACTGATTGATTGATCGTATATTTGATTTGATTGATTCGTTTGTAATTTATTTGCCTAAGTTTGTTTGGTTATCCACAGCTAGCTATTGATAATATTTAATAATTAATAATAATTGCAGTATTTAATCATATCAATCAATCTATCTATCTATCTTTTTAAAGAGAGATGGAATTAAGGCTCATAATTTAATTGCAAGTTATTGATAGATCAATCTTTGATTTTAAAGGCTGAATGGAAATTTTAGATTTTAAGAGAGTATCAATGAATTTAATTTAAAAATTGAAAAAACCAATGATTTTTTGATTTGTATCATCAATAATTCTGCTAATAGAAATAAACAAATAATTAAATAGATAGATACATATTTTCAATTAATTTTCATCTCACATACATAAATAGATAGATAGGATAAGGCTTTTTTTAATTTTTTTAACTCTAATCATGTTATTGGCTCTCCATACCCTAATTACATGAAATTTAAAATAATTAAATTTTCTGTCTCATTCATTCGTGTGCAAATTTTAAATTTTAAAATGAACTTTATTAATCAAAGTCCAAATTAAAATTCGTTTACTACTAAGTATTTACTTGTATTATTTCTTCTATTGTAGAGATATTATACGTTTTAAATATTTTCAATTTAATTATGGAGATATTATGTTGATTAAATTATTTCTAATAAATATTTCTAAAAAAATTCTATGAAATTGTGATATTTTTTAATTTTACCAAATTTTTGAAAAAGAAAACTTTGGTTAATAGTAAAAATTAAATTTTAGATTTATTCTTTCTTGAGAGAAAATAAATATTTGATAGTAATTCAATTAATCTTGTTTGTCTTTAAAAATTTCTTTTGCTTTTCTGTGAATGTTAGGGAGTAAGTAAAGGTTAAATTTATACAGAAATTGATTAATTTGTTATCTATTTTATACTATCTATTTACTTCCATACAAAAGAGTTATTCACTTTTAAGCAAAAATAAACATTTCAACTAGCACATTTTCAATTAAATTATTTTAATAATTTTATTTTTATTTTACTTAGAGTAATTAATTTTAATATCATGAATCACATACAAAAATTCTATGCATTTATTTGTAAATATTTTTTTTGCTTTTATAATTAATTTTTTTATCATCTTTTACCTGAATTGAGTTCCTCTATTGAATATAAATTAAGATAAAAAAGTAAAGATACCAAAACAAATTTATAAATTTTCAAAAATTTGAATTAAATTACATTTAATATTTACTCATATAACATAATAAAATACTTCTAAATTATAAATTAGACAAAATAATATTTTTCGAACTTCTATTCTATGTCTAATTTATTCTTTTTAATTATTTCTTATCCTATTTTAAGTAAATAAATTTGAATTTAAAATGCGTAGCAAAAGAACTTTGCATTCATTTAAAAAATGATATTGATATTGTAAGTATAATAAAAGAATTAGTCATTTAAAAGTTTTTTAATTGTTAATTTTAAGATTACATTAAATCAAAAATAGTATATCAAACTCTATAAAACAACCAACCAATCAAACTCTCTGTCAATCAATATCTTACATTTTTTTATGTATTTATTTTAATTAAAAATTTATTTGATTAAAATTACAATTATTGGATTTGAGTTTGTTTATATTCAGTAAAAACTCATTTGATATTTGAACTAAAATATTCATTGATTTAATTTTTAAAATAACCATAAATTATTTTTTTTCTACATAGTTACTGCTCAGATTTACATATATATCAAATTTATTCAAAAATTAAACATTCTTATTATTGAAATTTTCAACTTAAATTTTAAATAAAACATTTTTCTGCTTAAAATTTCGCAAAACTTTATTTAAAAATATGATTAAAGGCTTAAGTAAAATATAAAATATTAACTTATAAAAAATAGATAAAATATTTTGAATTAGTAGGAAGGTAGGTAGGTAAGTAAGTAAAGTTAAATTTATTTATTTTTTTAATTAATTAATTAATTATATGCTTCATTTGTTTATATAATTGTTAATTTTTTTATTTTAATGCTCTCTTGCTGAAAAGAAACGAATGCTATCTTCTGCTTTCAATTATGGGTTATTCTAAATTAAATTAAAATCTAATTTAGGGATTCCTTTTGAATTAAATGGGACTTAAGTGTTACGCGTAGAATTTGAGCTATTAATTACAAATTCTTTTGAATTTTGTTAACTCAAATTACTATTTTTCGAGCTAATGAAATCAAATTATTACAAAAAGTGGTGAGTTTACTTTGGAGATATATTAATATCATTTTTTAAGCTCTTGTATTAATTATTTTAGCCTGATAATTATTTTACAAATTTATTACTTGTATTACTCGTTTAAATATTTTTTTGGCTTGCCTACAATTTTAATAAGGAAGTAGTTGTAGCTGCTTTATTTTCTAAGTTGTTATTATTATTGTTGTTGTTGCTAATTTAGCTACCATTTATGTTAATATTGTTGCTATTACTCATATGGTTTGAGCTATTAATTTATGAAGTGCTTAATTTGGCATTTTAATTCTATTAAATAGTTTATGGTGTTGTTAGGGACCTATGAGACTATGAGCCATTCTTTTCTTCAAATGACTTATGCTCATTAATAGTCTTTAGATCTAAATCCGTAAATATTCTATTTGTTTTTGAGAGACCATTATTTTGGCTGTTTTAAAGCTATTACACTGTATAACTAATTTACTTTTGAGAAGATGTTAGAGATTACTACTAGCTTTAGCTTAATTATATGCTATTAGTTTTATTGTTTGAAATTGCCTTTAAAAGTTACTATTATTGAGTAGTAAGCTGCAATTGTTATTGCTATAGGTGCTATTAAAATTACTAAGACTGAGATTAGCTATTATTGGTTATTTGTTATTGATTTTAAATTAAATATGGCTACTACTAAGATTATCCTTGCTACTACTGTTAATTTTACTAGCTATTTTTTCCTTAGAAAATAGTTTTTATAGGATTGCTTGCAGATTATCTAGGAGATCCATTTGCTATTCATTTAGTTTAAAGTTATGTAAGTTAAAATTTATAATAAAAAAACAATTTATTTACATAAACTATAATTTCTCAATATAGAAAACTGATTAATGTTATTTTAGGAGAGATTTTCTTTTTATTTGCTTTGTAGTCTTTTTGATTCATCTAATAAATTATTTGGTTGAGTATTCTTCTTAATAGAGTTCTGAATGTCTTTGTTAGTTTAAACTTTTTAAATATTATTCTGCTAGTTTAATTGATTTCCGAAAGTCGTGTTTATTGTCTCTAGGTCTAAAGCTAAAACCTGCTATTTTTTTATGAAAAAATTAAATTATTTAAGAAAATTTTAATAAGTGTTGGTTGAATACTTTTTTGGTAGAAGCTGCTTGATTCTTTGATTATTTGCTATTATTTAGTAAAGGAGAGATATCACTTTCTTAAGAAGCTGCTGTGTGATGTGATTTGGGTCTTTTTAGGATATTTTCAGAGCTGTCTTTTGATTATTAAGCACTCTCAGAAGCATTCGATGAAATATTGTTAGAAAAATTATTTATTTAATTATTTTATGGAGATCTCTTTCTAATTTTCCCTTGTTTTTAAGGAGATCTACTATTATTTGTAAAGCTATTAAAGGACAATGATCCTTTACTTTATAAATCTTACACTTTATTATTAGTATATTTATGAGCTAAGTAGGGCTTTTAAAAGTTAGGCATTTCATTATTATTTACTTTAATAATATTAATTGTCTCTTAAAGTTCAGAACATTCAAGTATATCAGTTGTATTCTTCGATAATGTTGTGTCTTTGCATGATATCTAGAGTTCATCATGTGCTTCGTTGTTATGAGAAATTTAAGATAGAATAGATGCTTCCTCTTCCTTTTATTTACATTTATTAAAATATACAAAAGATCTATTTTATTAATAAAATTTACTATTAATTCTAAAGAAGAATTATAGTGCTTGTGATAGCTATTGATTAAGTGAGTTATGTAAGGAGAGTAGCAAGTGACAGCTTAGCAAACTATTTCAATAGATTTTAAATGATATATTTCACTTTGCTTATATGCATCTTATTTATAAAGATCGTACTGCTGAGTTTTTGAGTTTGTAGTAAAACTTTTTTGTTTGTCTAGTTCTATAAATCTGATTTCAGTTGCAATAGTAAAAAAACATATTGATAGCAGCAGCATCTATAAAAATAATAAAAAAAATATTAATAATTTTTTTTTCCACTGATTAAATTAATAATTATCAAGCTTTACCTTTTCAATCAATTGTTTTTTGGAAAGCTCAAATAAGATGTCTTCAAAAAGAATGAATTCATCATATGAAATGCATGTCATATGCATGATAGATCCAATGTTAAACTGCTCGATCCATTCTTAACTTTTTTATACTCCTACAATATTCCTATTATCATCATCAGTATTTTTAGTTGGGACATTCAATTCTTGTCTCATATTTTTTTCATTATTGTCTGGGTTATTCTTCCAAAAATATATGGATTGCCTTGCTTTCTTCAACTAACTGCTGCATTCATCGCCAATATTTGTTTCAAATGCAACTTTTTACTCAAAAGTTTTCAAGAAACTACAAGCCTATTGTAAAATAATCTTATTGAAAAGCACTTCTTCTTTAACAGCACTTTTCTTTGCTCCCAAATAACTATCTGCCTCAGTATTAGAATTTCCCAGATTTATTTAGTCATCGTTGTCTTATTCACCGCTTAAATCAAATACTTTATTAGATGAGGCTAAATTAAATTTATTCTTGCTTTGCATCCCTTTTGGAGTTGGTAAATTTTTTTAAGAATTATTTACTTTATTGTCTGTTTTTGAAATATTAGATTGAGTGGTAGCATTAAAAATACCACCTTGCTTTTAAGCAGTAATTACAGAAGTAGCAGTTTATTCACATTAATTTAATTTATCTTAACTAATAGAAAGTAGTTAATTATAGATATCTTCTAACACAGATATTGCTTTCTTAGCAGTCTAAATTGCTTACTCATGTCTATTTAATTAAAAATTAAAAAAAATTGACTAAATGAATTTAAATAAACCAGTAAAATTCTCTTAAAACTAACTATTAATTATTTAGTATTACTGATTGCAATAGGCACTTTAAATTATCACTTTTTAAAATCAAGCACCAATAAAAAAATTTAATATTTAAAATTTTTTTTCAATAGGTTATTTTTGGTAAATAAAAACATATTATCTACGTAATTATATTTATTAGGGTATTTATTTAATGCTTATTATTTAGAAAATTAATCGTATTAGTTGAAAGTTTCTAAATAAATCTAATTTTTAAAATAAAATTATATTAGTAAAAATTTACAGCACAAGCTAAGATAATATAGCACATTATTATAAATAGCATCTAACTAAGAAGGTTTAACGTTTTATTTTGTAAGCAACTTTCTCCAGTACTATTTAGCTTTCAAAATTTTCATATTCAGGCCAAAAATCATTTTTCAGACTTGTCTCAAGATTATAAATAACTCCATCAATATATTTGTTGCATTTGTCAAGTTTCCAAAGCCTAATTTGTTAAATAAATCGCTCTAAAAATATGATTTTACTAAATTTTTGAATGTAGCAAATGCTTTTTAAGCTTAATTAAATTAACTTATTTGAAATTATCTTTTTAACTATAATTCTGTTGAAAAATAAATCAAAGCCTTCTAAAGTAAATTAAAACATATTTTTACCCCTAATAAGAGCAAGCTCTGTTATAAAGAACTGTAATAATTAAATTTCTATCAATTTGCTTTCCTCTATTAGCTGCGAACTGTTTAATAAATAAAAAATAGTTTAATTTAATGCACATTTCAGAATAATTGATGTTTTTCTAATTTCCATAAATTATCTCAATTACTTCTATTATCTCTTCAGCTTGCTCAAGAAAGTAGTTAGATTCTTAAAAAAGGTTTCTGTCGACCAAATTTATTGATTCATCGCATAATTATTTGATTTTATCAAACATTTACTCTATTTATTTTAATAGATCATGATGCTTTAATGTTTTGCTTTATCTTTTAGATTGAGGTCTTTGCGACACATCATTTAAAAGATTTGAATATAAATGTAGATAATCTTTTACCTTTATTCTAAATAAATTTATGAAGTTTCATCTATTTTACTTAGTCTTTTGCTTAAACTTCTAAATTTTATTCACTACTAATAATACAGTCTTATTCTTCCTTGCTTTCGCTTTGATGATTGACCTAATCTTTCATCAATACAGGAACCTCTTATTTGTCTATTTAAGTTAATTTCAATGATTGCTTTTTTTACATTTTGCAAATAGAGAATTGCTTAATTTTTAATGATAATATTTGTTTAAAATCTCTAAAAATACAATTCAAACTTTTTAAAATTAAATAAATAATCATTATTATTTGAAGATAGTGTATGAATTCCATTCATTTGCTTTATTTACTTAGTTAGCATTGCAATAAAATAGTATAAATTAAATTAATTTATAAATCATTTTTTTAAGTATGAGATGGAAATTTTTTTTCTTATTCCAAATTAAATTATTTATCATTTTTTAATTGATGAATTATTTTTCCTTGATTAAAAATATATTTTCATTACCATTATATTAAAATTTACATGAAAGAGTATTTATTTATCTACATCTGATATAAATTGTTAAATTGTCTACCTTACATTAAAACAAATAATTTAAGCATTTATAAAAAATAATTAGTTAAATTTTAACTGATATTTTTTAATTTTATTAGGTATTTTTAGATTTAAATCAATAAGTTGTTAAAATGCTTAAAACTTAAATTTCCTAAAAAAATAAATGAAATTAAATAAAACAGAATGGCTAAAAAATTTGATCAATTAGTTAATTATTTTTAAGACAATTAAAAGAAAAAGCTCATTAGGAAAAAATATATTTCATTAAAATATTTTAGTAGAAATAGACCAAGCAATTTTTTAGTCAATAGTGACTTAATTGAGTTTTATTTTAATTTTTGATTAAAAATTTTTACAAATATTTAGGACTAGGATCAACAGGCAAAAATTTAACTAATTATTCTTCAGAAAAATCATATTCTTAACTGAAATAGATGTTTTATTAATAAATTTAATTCATCAATTTAAAATATAAATGATGAGCTTGCACCTGATTTAATCCATACCTAGTACTAAAAATTTTGAAGTACATCCTACCTATTTTGATGACCACTAGTTACTTCAAAGTTAAACTAATCATAATGCCTTTTTGAGAAACAAAACATCCTTGTAAAATTAGAAAATATCTAAATCTCTACCAAGAGCTTGATTTTATATTTACAGTTTTGTATTTATTTCAATATTTTTATTTTATTTTTTGTAAATTCTTATTAAAATTATTCTTGTAAACTAATAAATAGATAGAAAATTAAAAAAATTTACTTTAAAAAAATATAATTTTTAAAATTAAGTTAGATATTTTACTATCTTTAATTAGATTTAATTTTTACTCATATTGATATCATTATAAATAGTTATTTTCTTTTAAAATTCTAAAATCTTACAGAAATTTATTCAAAAAACTACTCTCCTTTTAAACAATAGTGCAAAATGTAAAAATTTACTTTCATTTGCATTTTCTGATTATTTTCAACATAATTAGATGTGTTACCTACCTACCTACCTTTCATTCACTCTTATCTAAAATTAATAAAACAGGAATTAGATGGAAATAATTGCTTTTATGGGAGATTACTAATTAATATTTAACATATTTATTTGTTAAAATTTTAAAATACTACTTTGTAAAGTCTTAGTAATAATTTTTTTAAAAATATGTAATACTCACATTTTAAATTTATTTTACACCTAATGACTCAAAATCTTAAAAATTTTTGTTAATTAATAATAATTGTAAGAGAGTTAACATTAAGATAATAAAGAAATATATACTTTTTTTAATAGGAGAAATAAATATTCCTTAAAAATTAATAATTTAAATTATAAAATGCTAATTTTATAAATAAAAGTAAGTGATTAATTTAATTTCAGTTAATTTTTTAATTACTTAGTTAGTCAGTCAGTCAGTCAGTTAGTAAGTAAGATATATTTAAACTAATGTTTATATAAATTATAAATTAAGGAAATTTTACTTTGTTATTAATATTCCTACTTAATGCATATTTCATTTTAAATATCTTGTTTCAATTATTTAATTAATAATAATGAATTAATTAATTAATTCATTAATAGTTAGAAAACAGATTAGCAATTTTTGATTATTAGAAGCATTTGATTTTTATAAATTTTAATAAGAGAATTTTGTTACAATTAGTCATATAAAAATTTGAATTTTGTTATTAATTTATTTAATCAAACAATTATTAAATAATGATTCATTTATTTATTTTATTTATTATATTAATTCATTAGTGTGGGATAATTTCAGAAACATACCATAAATCTCCATTTAAGATTTACAATAAAAATTGTTCTTGTTTTTTTCTAATCATTTCCTTTTCTTACAGCATTAGGTATTGACTGTAGTTATTCATCTTATAAAAATCATTGTTAATTTGATCATTTAATACTTATTATTATTTTAATTTAAATAGAGACTCTCCATTATCACTCATAGCCTCATCATTAATTAAGTTAGCTATTTCTATTTATTCAGTGCTTTTACAGTTTACATCAATATATGTATTTTGACCTTATTGTTCTTATTAAAACGAATCTAAATACAATTTTTAAGCTTGTTTCTTTTGAAAAACTGAATCTACTGAAAATCTCTCAGATCTTCTTATGTCATTGGTTATCTGCAATTAAGAGGCTCTAGATCTATCTTCTTGATCTTTTTTCTATTAGTTTTCGTTTTTAGAATCTGCTGCAAATGTTGTAGGAGTCAAATCATGCTCATTATTTGTATTTTTACCAGTTCCGTTATTCTACTCAACAAGATCTGTAGGGCTAGAGCAATATGATCTTTTTTTTTCATTCTCTCCATCTTCCTTAGAGATAGAATTTTCTATAACCTCTTATATTGATTCATTATTTTTTTATTCTTCGAGTTACTTATTAATCTCATCTACGTTGATACAGAAAACTTCATTCGCAATTGAAGTAAGGTATGTGTTGGTTTCTGTATGTTTAATTCTAAATAATTAGTTTACACGTAAGGTTTATTCCTCTTAGCCAGTGCTTGGGTATACTATTTCGATCTGCCATTATTGATTAGAAGTTAGCCTATTATGAGGACCTCCTGAGACTAAAAATCCATTATTAAATTTGCTCTATGCATCATGGCGGAAATTTTTATTTGATTGTAAATAACAACTAGTCATTGAATGTTATATTTTTACATGTTGATTATTTTCTATTTCTACATCATCCATATCGATGGACTCCATTTCAGGTGAGGACTCATTTTCTTCTTCGTTGTTTTAGCTTGATGACTAAGTTTATAATTATTACTATTGTTACTAGTTAATATACCCATTTTCTTAGTGAATACTTTTGAATTTCCATGTTAAGTACATTTCGTTATGGTCATCCTTTTGCTTTTCTAGCTTAACAAGGTTTTATTTATCATATTTCTTTAGTTTTTGGTATTTGCAAAATAAATAGAAATGATCTTTTAAATTTCTCAAAATAATGTTATCTCCAATTTTTACTTACTATCCTTTATATTAAAAAACAAATAATTCGTATTAATAAAAAACTAAAGTGATAATAATAAGTATTTTAGAATAATCCTTAAATTTATTATAAATAAGTGTTATTGTTTTTTTGTAAATGCTCTTGAGTATTATTTTTCAAAAAACCAAAATTGAATTATAACAGCAATCCAAGTTTAATTTGAGCATTTTATTAGATAATTAGTCTAGGTAGAAACCCCTAATCAAAAAGTTAAGCTAATATATATAAAGTAAGTTTGTATATATAAAGTTACCATTAGGATTTGAATTAAGAAATACTGAAATAAATTCACTATCATTTCCATTAATATATTAAGTTTCATAATGTCCGCTGTAATAGCTTGCACAGGAATATTAGTCATTGTCTCTGTTGTTCATGCTGATTTACTCTTAAATAACTCTGCTTGGGCGGCAAAGTTTTTTTGTATTAATTTTTTTAGCTTTCATTTATTATTCAACTGGAGCTGCATTTTTTTAAGGGCTATTTTATTCCTTAAGGGTATCTTAGTCCTAATTCTTTATATTGGTGCTATAGTGTTGCTAAAATTCACTTGATTCAGATTAATAACTACCTATAACTGGTCTTGCTTATTTATTTTGAGGTTCTCTCATGTTTTTATAACATAAATTTCCCATTTAATCTATAAATATCTAAAAGCACAATTTAGATTGAAAATAATTTGATTAATGAATTTGTTATTTATTATATCTTTTTTCTTAACTATTAGATTAAGTATTTTTTGCTTGCTTTTTTGTTTGGTTTGTTAGATTTTTTTGAGTTTATTAATTAATTAATGCAAATTTGTTTGCTTATAATTCTTTTCTTGAATGTATCTCATATCACTATAATATTAAATTTCTTTTCAGGTAGTCAAATCTCTATAATTAATTGCTATTCATTGATTGTAAGGCATATTTGACTAAGAGAATAATTAACTTTTAATTCATCATTAATTGTTTTTTTGAAGCTTTTTAATGTCAATAAATACAAAAATTCACAAAATAATTCTTTTATCAAAATAAATTACTAAATTAAAAATTCATAAATTTTAGTTTTTTTCTCTATTTCATTTCATTTGTAATATTATCATACAACTATCAATAAGACAAACTAGTTAAATACTATATTAAACATTTACAAAAATAAAATCCTATCTCAAAAAATTTAAAATGGCTCCTTCATCCTTTCTTTTATTTCTATAATTTCTTGTATCTTGTAAAGTTAGATTTAAATATGCAATTTCATTTAGTTTTAGAAAATTTTTATTTGAAAGGATATGCGGCTTTTATTTACAATGATTAATTGCTTAATTTTATCAGTATTTATCTAGTTTTTTATTTCATAACTCCAGACAATTTGATTTAAATTTTTTCTGATTTAAAAAATTGCGAAACTTTAGAAATATTTTCCCTCTAAAGTATATTTTGATCAGGTAGTTGATTATAACTTTTGTCACTAATCAAACTTCTTTTGGTAAATAAATAAGCTTCAGAAAAGTGTAAAGTCAAGATTAGGTAGATAATTACACTTTTAAACACTTATGCTGATCAAAAAATATTAATTTCCTTAAAATCGATTTATAAGATTAAATAATTAAAAGTTTATCATAGCCAAAAATAAAAACAAAAAATTTAGCTTTATTTATTTAAAATTGCATACAATTTTTTATAAAAACTACAAAAATCAATAAATGTTAAGCTGAGATTAACATTTTTGTTTTTTTTTTTGATGATATTTTTTCTTGATAAATATTTATTTAAAATTTTTTAGATTTTACATGCTAAATTAGCTAGCTAAAAGATGAAATCTTACAAATTATTAAATTTTCAACTAAATTCTATTAAAAATTCTAAATCAAAAGAAAATAATTTAAATTATATAATTTTTTCTTTTTCTTTTAAAGTAATATTATGGATAAAATCTGTTATATTTTTTTGAGCAAATTATGCAATAAAAATATGTTTTTGAATTCAATGTTCATTTAAATTTCCAATTAAAACATGTAAGCCAAGAGGTAATTAATTATTTTAGTTAGCAATAGGTTTTTTAATAAATTTTATCTCATATAGCATATTTTCCATACTAAGTAAGAAAATTAAAAATCAATATTTTTATATTAAACAGATAAATAAATATAATTAAACTAATAATTAAAATTAAGTTTTGGTTTTTTATAATAAATTAACTTGAATATAAATTTAAAAAGCTAATTAAATTATACAGTCTATTATTAGTTACAAACAAAAATAAAAAATATTAAAATATATATTTCATTTAGTGTAATTCGTTATTTTTACTCCGTTTAAATTTAGAATATGTGTAATTGTACTGTGAAGACAATTTAATCTATAGTCATCAAATTTTACTTTTATTTCTTGAATGTTTCTTGAAATAATTGACTCAAAACAGTGACCATTGATGCGAGTCGCATCTGATATATTTATAATTTATAGCTACTCCATTTTTTAGAATATGAACTCTAGACCTGTGTCATCTACTTAGTTTCCAATTATTCTTATCTTTTTTAAATTGCTTATCTACTCAGAGATTAATTATAAGGTTTCGTTTGTGCACCACTATCCTAAAGATAAATGCTGAATTAGCTAACAACTTTAAAAAATACTTTTAATTATATCTATAGAAGGTGTGTATGGTAGGAACCACTCGCCTTTAGACTTTTTAACTATATTAACAATTTTCAATGATCTTAAATTTTTAAATAATCCTAGCTTTTATAAGTTTAACTCTCTGCTCTACATATCATCTTCTGCAAATCTTGTCATAACCATATTTCTTATTTTCAAACAAGTAATTCTTTCGAAAATGTCATCCATCGGTTTTTATAAATGGGTTGTATTAAGTTCTATGTTTTTTTATACTTTCTCTTAATGCTTTTCTAATTTAATTTTTTAATAATATTCAATTCTCTCTAAAAATGATGGATTAACAGTAAAGACTTCAAATGTATTCAGAGATTTTAAATCAGTAATTATTTTTGCTAAATTCTAATCTGATATTTTATCATTGTAATTAAAATTGTCTAATAAACTTTTAAGAGCCAATCTCTATAAGTTATTCAGATGATTATCTAGTTAATAAAGCTATTAGTCTGTAACTCTACTAAAAAAGGGTATTGAAATATCTTGGATCTACTTACTGTGCTGAATGAAAGTTAAAAACAACTTAGGTGTGAGTGCCATGTAGTTTGATAAATCCAGAACTTTTAAGGTACTAGATTGTCTGGATTGAATAATCTAAATTAAAGAATCAGGTTTTAAGTTTGCTAATTGGCCTATTTGCAATGAATGAATATATTTAGCATTTTCAATCATTTTAAGTACTCTTTCACATGGAGTATCTCTTTTCAAAAATACGAGTTTTCGAATAGACAAGAAAAATGATTTATCAAAGAATTTGGAAACAGTCCTTACCTAATAAAGCTATTTCTTAGGTAAAAACATGAGAATCTAAGCCATAACATGCTCAGGCAATTGAGCAAGATATTTTTAAATTTCAAATTTTAAAAAATCAGTTTGACTATTTTGAGATTGAGAATCTTTATTTAAGTTGCTATTGATTTTTCCTTTTGTAATTACTCTTTTGTTATTAAAGCTAAGTGAATCATCGTCTTAAATTTTTAATTTAAAACTATTCTTTTCAAAGATGTAGCTGTTACCTAATTTTTTTACTGACTAAAACTATGAAGGCAGATTTGGTGAATTTATGCCATCTTTAAGTTTTAACAATTCTCCTCCTTAATTTTAAAAATCAGTAACTTAACTTTTCAAATTATTTGGATTTACAAATTCTTCTAAAATATTATTTTAATGCTTTTATTCTTCTAATAATTTTTGATTTTGGTTATTCTCTTGAGAGTCATACTAAATGTTAGTAGCTTAAACATAGAATTGATCAGGATTATTGAAATTTTCATCTTCGTTTTCGTCATCCATCGAGAAAGGATTTCTTCTTTTTAGAGCAAGAGTCTACCCATTAGAGAAAGTTTTTTTTGTTATTGATCTATCTACTTTGTATAAATTTTTTTTGCCAGATGCTTGCTGCTTAATATCTTCTAATTTTTTTTATTGTTATTTGTTTTTTATTTCTTGTAATTTATTTTACAGTCCCATAAACTTAGAATTATTTGCTAATAAACTGCTTTATGCTTAAGCCTGCAAATATTTTTATTCGTTCTCATATTGCTATTCAATATTTTTTTATTCTAAAAAATATTTTTACATTTACAAATTATTTTAGGCATCTTTGGGTTCATTGTATTCTTTTATTTGTTTCTCTATTACTTCCTTTTACTGAATAAGCTTAATCTCTTCTTAGTTCAAAGAATCTTCAATAAACATCTAGTTTTATAATAGCTACTACTTTCTTAACAGTTTTTCTTATTACATCAATACAAGTTGCTTCTCACAAAGCATAAGTTGTTATTAAGCTAATATTTTTTTTTACTCTGACAATAAATTATCTTCTTCTTAAAGCATTTATCTGCTTTAGTTTTCAAACTAATTTTCTAGCTCTTTCATTTAATTTTCATTATAAATTCTATTCAAATTGCACTCCTCAGTTTCTGAAGAGTCTTTTACAGATTCTGCTCTTGGGGAAATATATTTTTTATTGTTACTTTGTGTAAGTTCATTCACTTAACTAGTTGATTAAGGAGATTAATGTGTACTTTAACTTTTTTTATTATTTTAAGGTATTAACAGCAAATTAGATATTTCTTTACTCATTTAGGGTGATTTAATTTATATGCTATCATCAGAATTTTAATCTTTATTGCTTACTTGCAGTAACTAAAGTTATTCTATTGTCTTCTCTTGAGTAGCATTTTAGCTCCCGTTTAGTGTATTTAGCTCTTCACAAATTGTATACAATTTATTTTCTTCTTGCTCTATATTTATTTCATCTATTTTTTTTGGCTATTTTGATTAATAATTGTCTTCATCTTCTGTGTGGAGCTCTATGATTACATCTTCAACTTGTCTCTACTTCTATAAATATTTATCTATTTTGTTCTTTTTATGTTATTCTTTTAATAATTGTTACTACTATTTTTCCTTTTCTTTAGCTTGCTATTAAAATATATTTTACTAATCTAATTTGTTAAGAGACTTCGCTAAGCTTTTCTCAATTTATTTTTTATCAACCTCTACATTTTCTATTTCTAATTATTAAATTTTCTTCTCACTACTATTCATTTTGTTGACTGATTATTATAAATTTATTTTCATTTAGTTAATGGAAACTCTTTTTTCAGCTTTAAATTAAAAGTGGTTTTTTTAATTTGCTTCCTGCTAAGCTTATTTACTTTCTAAAGATATCTGTTTCTTATGGCTCTCTTAATCTTTATTTGAATTGCCAATACTAGATTATTTTTGTTTTTGTGAATAAAATTATATCAACGATGAAAGTTTAGCTAAAAACAACTTCAAACTTTCTTAAGTAGAATCAACCACACATAAATGAGCAAGCTATTTCTGAACAATCTAATTCTTTAAAGAAATATCTTACAATTATACATTTATACCCTACTAACTTTCTACAACATCAATAGTAATTTTCCCTTCTTGGATGAAAGTCTAATGGACTTTAGAAATTTAATAAAGTCCACATTTGTATAAACTATCATTTGAACTTGAAGGTTCAAGCTATAAATATGGATGTTTAGATAAACTCATTTTATCTGAATTTTCTTCAAAACAAGCATATAAATGAATTCTCTTTCCTTTTCCTTTGCTATTAGTAAATGGAACTAAGTTACCATTTCTCATTAAATTGCACGAGCATGGAAGATTGAAAACACTTTTATACATCCTTTTTAGTTTATATTAATCTTAATTCAATCAATTTAATATATTGATAATTTCTTATAGATCTACCTCTTTTACAGTATATCTTAAATTTCAAATCAAATTTATACATTTTATTCCCGCAAAAAATTTTCATATGGTTGATATTGAAACATGAATTGGGTTTTAATGGATCTTCAAAAGCTTCACAATTTTCATAAATAATGTTTTTAAACAATAAATAATTGATTGATTTTGTCAAATTTAAACAAAAATGAATTCGTAAAATATTCCAAATCATTAATTAACATTAAAAATACTTTATTTTACAAAATATTTGTTTATTTATTAAAACAAGTAAATTAAGTTAATTTTGAAAGCAAGTTAAAGAATAATTTACTTAATTACAATAAAAAAATATAAGCTATTTATTAAATAATTATAATTTATGACGGATTTTTAAGTTTAATAATAACAGTAAAATAATTTTCAAATAAAAAAAAATTAGCAATTTTTAATATTTCAATCATCAAAAATTCAACTTTTCTAATTTATTAAAAAACTAAAGAATATTTTTACATCTACAATTATTTGCATTAAATTATTTTTATATTTACAGTGATGTCTTTCGTTATGAAATTGCAAATTTTAATTTTTAAGTTAAAAAAACAAATACGTTTTGAGATATTTGGATACTATAAAGAAAAATTTTGCCAAGCAAATCATAAAAAAATTTGATCAAAAAAAAAAATACAACTAAATTTTTTAAGGAATATCTAAATATTAAATTTCAAGACTTATAAAATAATAGGAAAATTAAAACATGACAATTGATTCAATTTATATAATAGCATAAAATAGGTATAATTTATAGACATTAATATAAATATTGAGGTTCGTTTTATTCATCAAAAAAGCGAAATCATAGCTTACAAAAACTATTTTGGACAAAATAGAAGAAAAATAGCAGAGGAATTTTGCAATTAATACAGCAAATCCTTCAAAAACCATTCCACAATTGAGGCTTAGTATCCACTTTTCATCATTTAAGAAAAAGTATGCATCTTTCACAGTCTCTCAGATTTCATAATTTTGTTCATACTAAATAGTGAAGTAAGAATTAGATTGTTTAAAATTAACTTTATATTTTATTAAATAATTATTGCAAAAAATGAAATCTAATATCTAAATAAAAAAAGGAATAATTGTTGTCTGCTTAACAATTAATGTATTTGGTTGCAGATATTTTGAAAAATACTTACAAAGAGATTCTTAATAGTGAGAAACTCAAGAGTAATTTTAGCTCATTGTTAATTGTAAAATCATTTTTTATTTTATTTGCAATTTAATAATATTTTTTATAAAAGATGTTAGATCATTTTATGGAAAAAGGATAGCCACTAATTACATAAAAGCAAGTTTTAGAAAGCCTTGTCTAACCCTAAGGCGTTTTAGATAAAATAGAAGAAGTTGTAATTGGATAAAATCAGCATTAAAACGAAAATTTTAAGGTTTTAGAAAAGTATATTGATGGTCTGAGCGATGTAAAAGATAACCATTTACATAGAATTAAAGATTTAAAATGTAGAGAAGAAATATTATTTGATGTAGTTGAATTTGTAGATAGCATAATTGACAGGTAATTCATTTATTAAATATTTTTATTTTCAATAAAATATAAAATAAATTACTTTTACTTAATTTCTTCAAATAAAAAATTATTTAATATTAGATAAGGAAATCTTATTAATAATGAAATTAATGGTGAAATTAAAATGGAATGTCATTTGAGTTAGTATCCTTTAGTAAATGTATATATGACTATCCCTCAGAAATTCGATGATCTCTCAGTTCATGAATGTCTATTAGATTAAGCTGATAAATTTGAAGCAGATAAGATTCTTTCATTTAATCCTCCATCTGGTTCTTGTTCTCTACTTTATTACAAGTAAGTTTATTAATTAGCTTAAAAATACAATTTACATTGTTTTTGAAGTATAAAAACTAACGTTTGCAGATTGCCTTTTAATTTGATTCATCATTTAGAAATAACAAAAGTAATTATTTTGTATTAATTGTTAAGATTTAAGAGTTAAATCTAATTTATTCTAATAGGATACAGTAAAAATAAACTTTAAATTGAATGCATAACCAATTAGAGGATAAGAGTATAAGACGGAAGATTTTTATGTTAAAATAATATTACCTAGTGAGATGATTTAAAAAGAAATTAATGTTAAGAAAGGAAATGTCAGTACTAATGATAATGTAATTAATTTAGAATAGTAAAAAATATATTAAATTTATGTATTTAATATAATAGTCTTTAATTTGGAGAGTTGGAACTATTCCTAAAGATGAATCACTTACTTTCCAAGCAATATTGTAAGATAAAAATTAATAAAATATGAAGAATAGTACTTTTGTCGCTTGCTTGAAATTTACTATCCCTGATTATTCTGTAAGTGGAACTAAAATAGATAAAGCCACAGTAAAAAATTCTGCAGAAAATCAAAGAAGACTTGCAAGAAATATTTCAAAATCAGGTCATTATGAAATAAGATTAAATTGATATTTATTAAAATTAATTTTTTATCTCACAAAATTTTCTATTTATTTTGTAAAATATTGTTTATTTATTAAATATATATTGATTGATTGATCAACATATTTTTAAAAATAAAAAATTTTTTATAACTTAAACCAACACTTTTGAATTCAACTTTTTTTTTGTTTAAAAATATCAAAAATTTATTACAAAAATTTATAAATTTACTAAATAAATAAAAAAAATTAAAAAGAAAAAATTTAGTCTATATATAAGATGCTTTGATAATTTAAAGAGTTTTGTTAAATCAATGAATACATTTTAAAATTAAATTTTAGAGTTATTGTAAGTTTAGAAATTTAAATTATTTTAAGATTTTATTTACGAATTTGCATAAAAATTATGATTCAATAAAGTTTAATCTTTTAATGAGATTTTGTATATACATATCTTTTAGGTATCTCTTATTACTCATACTATTCTTTTTCTTTTGTTGATAGATTAGAATAAAAATAATCATTTGTATCTTTGTATTTACTAGATTCATATTAAGTAGAATATGCTTATTAATTCGATTAAACTAGCTGAGGCAAGTATGCTGATTCAGATTTATTCATCAAACTATCTTTATCTATCTAAATATTTTGATTTGTTGCTTATAAATCATAGTCATTTTATTAAACGAGTTCATCACCATTAAAATCAGGTTCTTCTTGAATTGGTTATTAGTAACTCTTAATTAGATTATTTTCTTTATTGTTGGGTGATGTAGTTGGTTTTAAGAAATTTGAGCCCCATATTAGTCTTGCCGAATTTACACTATTCTTTAACGATGTTTCTAATACTATTCATATTTATTCATTTAGTAAATTAAATAATTTATTCAAAGAGAATTAATTACATCTATTTTATGAATATTCTGTAGTGTTGTACAATGTTGTGTACTTTTTGATATCTTTCACTCCTTTATACTTTACATTTAATAACAAGAAATTATTTTATATTTTGAATAATTAAATGATAATGTTTTATTAGATTTATTTTTTTTGCTTATGAAAAAAAGAAAAGAAAAATAACTTGAATTGAATTACAATATTTTTGAAATTGATAAATGTTTTCTTTGGAGATATAAAAACTCCTTGTTTAATTCTTTGCTTTTTTTCTATAATTTTTCTTTTTTCTTCTTCGTTATTTTGCTGCATCTTATATACTGGTGTCTTTTCTATTCCAAAGTTAGGTAATCGAAAAGGTTGGTTATTTTTATCAGCGTCAATAATTTTCTCCCACATATCTTTTGTCAAAAGAAAATTATTTGTTTAATTTTCCATTTCAGTTTTTATTTTTTTTTAAATAGCTAGCTTTTCTTGTTCCTGCTTAAGTTTTTTTTCAATATCCTTTTAGAATTAATTAAATCTATTTAGATTGTAAAACTATTTTTTAATTTTTTCATTATTAATGTGGAAATCCTTGTTAACAACACCTTCTCCGAGATATTTTTATTAATAAAGTTTTGACTAAACATTAAATTGAGGCATATTTCCTGAAGACATACTTTTGTTTCTCATTTAATGACCTACGTAGTCATCTCCTTGCATTTGCATTTGATAATCATTAAATTTTTAATTTACAGAAGTTGTTTTTTTCTTAATTGAAGCTTATTATTCATCTAGTAAGTTAATTGTTCATAGTAAAATATTTATTTATTTGTTAAACTTTATAAAAATAAAATACCTTATTTGTTTTATTTTAGCTCATCTAAGTAATTTAATTCAATTAATTAATCATTTTACTATTCATTATCATCAATTACAGAATTTCTTGAAGGAGGCTATGACTTTTCTTGGGTATCTTTTATAAACTGCTTAAAGAACATATCTTTTATACCTGGTATATTTGCTTTTGCCTCTTTTTCAAGTAGCTCCTACTATAGCCTTTCTTAGTGCAATTTAGATTTTAAATCTAATTTTTTTTACTATTCCTCTGACCACTGCTTTGTTTTTTCATCTACTTCAATCTTTTTCACTAATTATTACTAAAAACCAATAAATAAAAATAAAAGACTAAACTAGAATTTAATTACATATTTTTATTTTTCTTGCTTAATCTTATATTTATTTTAATAATTCTAAATTTAATTTCTCTACTATTCATTTTTTTAAGATACAATCACTCTTCGTAGGTCACTTTAATGATTTATTAGTTATAAATATGCATTTCAATTGAAAAATTAATTAAATATAAAACCTTGCATCTTTTATAGAATCCACTTACTGCTGCCTAATCAACTCTTTTTAAAACTCTGAAAGTTCTGGTACTCTTTTTCCTTGTAAAAACTACTCAGTTAAGTTATTAAATACTTCAATCTTTTGTTAAGTAACTTTTGATAGGTATCTTTAGCTCCTCCTTTAAAATTTCTATTGCTATTCATCATCTTGGCTTTTATTTTAAGAAGATGTAGCTGATACTAATCTATTTACTAGCTTATCTTGATATTCGCTCATCAAAAAAAATATGTAGATATCACTTGAGAGATTTATTTGTAAAGTAAATTAATTTTTTACTATATTTAATTAATTACTTTTGAATTATCTGCAAAATGAATTAATTTAATTAACATTTAATTCTTTCAACTAAATAAATACTTACAATCAAAAATTTAATAAAGTTACTAATAATATAAAGACAGACAAAATCAATATAATAGTTCTGATTAAAATAAAATAATATAATATAAAGTTGTATCTCTTACAAATACGTTTTAAAAATTTTATTTATGTTCTACTTAGATCTAACTGGGTGTATTCTCTTGTTAACATTTTATGGTTGCAATTTTATATATTCTAAATATTAAATCAAGTGATACTGTGCTATTAGATAAAATTTATAATTTTTAATTTAATTAAATCAATAAATTAAAACGTTATCTTTACATATAGTAAGTAAAAATTTTAGGATGGTAGTGACAAATAAATATAATTTATGGGTAGATTGCTTTTTAATTATATTATATTTCTTATAATTTCTTTTAATAATATGTGTAACTTGTTTTACATAGTATGAAAATTTTAATTGAAAAGATATTAATCTTCAAATATAAAAATTATAGTATTTATTTATTTTATGTTAATTATATTATTAGTAAATATATTATTTATATAATTTATAATTTATTTCATATTTTTGTAGTAGATAACAAAAATAAAATTAATTGTTGATGCACTAAGAAAAATTCATTCTTATTCTGAAATTCTTTATCACATTAATACAAAATAAGTGTAGAGTATATTTCTTAAATCATCTAACTCCTTTTAAAGCTAATTCTTATTTAACTCTATTAAAATAGGTAGGATCTGGATACCCAAAGTAAGCAGCGCCTTTTAATTATGTTATTTATTAATTTCTAAATGACAAAGAATTATAAATTACCTCCATGAGTGTTAGTTTTATGATGAATACCATTCCAAACAATTTAATTATCAAGTCCAGTTGTTACACTTCTGCCTATTGTGAATATTAACTTTCTATCAAAGGCAATTTTCAACAGATCTCTAACTTCTCTTCCTTCATCATTATCAGGTAAATATGCTGTTCTCCAAGTAGAAGGAACATACTTACCATTTATATTACCACCATGCATATTATAATTAATAACTATAGTATTACATTTATATCCTTCACATTTGCTTTTGGTTACTTCAATAGTCATATCACCATCTGGTTAATCCCCTTTTAAAATAGCATAAAAATATTTATACTTTTGAAATAAATTTTAATTTTTATCATATAAAACTAATAAATTTCTTGCATAATTATTTTTTATAAAATAAGTATTTATTTACCAGTCATAACTCCATATATTTTAGAGCAAATAGGGCATTTAATATAAGTAGATTAAATCATCATTTTTAAGCATTCTTTATGGAAATAGTGTCCATCACAATCAATTAATCCTATTGCATCAGAATCTTAATCGTTTGAAAGCTGATTTTTAAAATCATCTGGTTTATAATCTTTAATGCCATCGTATAATTCAAATTAGCAGATGCAGCATTTTTCATCTTCTAAATGAGGATTGTCTATTTTTTTTTCTTTTGCATCGATTTCATCAAAAGCTTTCATTAAATAGTATTCTAAAGCTGTAAACTAGTAGTGGTTAGTTAACTTTTAGACTTCAGGAACTTTTCTTAATTCTTTTTTTTTCATTAAATCAAAATATTCTTCAATTTTATCAATGAAATCAATTAAACTGTTATTTTCCTTCACATATTAAGATGTAGTATTAAATTTATATGATCTCTTTTATATCTTTATAGTGATTTCATTCTCAGAAGGATCTAATTCATAGGTAATAACGTTATCTTGAATTGTAGAATCTATTTTTTCAGCTTCCATTTCATCGTTATTTGCTTTTTCACTTAAATTAGACATTGTCCTTTTTATTTTCTTTTTTAATATTTCAATTTTGCTACTTGAAAGGTTTAGAGTATCATTTGATTTTTTTTTGCTGTTTACTTTTTATTTTTAAGTTGCTTTCTTCTTTTTATCTCCACTATCAGATTTACCATCTGCTTAGCTATCAACCTCTTCATCTTCAGATTCTAATTGCTTAATGTTTTTTTAGGTCTTCTTATTTTGTTTCTATTAAGCTTTTTGATTTTTCTTTCTAGCCATTTTGTAAACTTTTGGTAAAATTCTTTTTAACTTTATTAATTTGATAGTGAATATCTTTATGTAATAAATATATAATATTCAATTTTGATCATTTATTATCTATGTTTTATAACACTAAATAATTTCTGATAAAAAACTTATCTACAATCTATAAGGCGGGATATAATCAAGCCTTTTCAATAAATCAATTTATATTTGGGACAAGAATAAAATGACATTTATACATTTATAATTTTTACAAAGATTTTATTTGAATTTTCTTTTTAAATTATTAAATAATCTATTAAAGCTTTCATTAAATATTTTTTAAACTAATTTTTAATTGCTTTTTTATGATAAAACTATTGTTTAAAATTTATTTGTTTGTGTAAAAAAAAAATATTCTTGTGATTAAAACTTAAATTAACTAGATTATTATTTTTGAAGAAAACGTTTTTTTTAATTTGGTATTAACAAAATAGAATTATTTACTTACTGTTGATCGATTTTTACATTTTTAAAGTTTTTTAATTAACGATTTAAAAGCACCTAAATATTTAAAGAATTTTTTATTTAATTTAGCTTTTTTTATTATCAATCAGATATTAAATAATTAAATTTTTTAATCTAAAAATATGTTCAGAATTTTCTAATAAATTAAATTAGCTAAATCATATTCTTCTACAAAACTCTTAAAGGGTATAAAGTACAATTTTGCTAGTGATTAGTACAGACCTAAGTAATGTTATTACAAGGTTTTGAATGTATCTTCAGATGCTAATTTCGATGAGATTAAATCATCTTACTTAAAGTTAGCCAAAAAATATCACCCAGATGCAAACCCAGAATTACAATAAACTGTGTATAATTAAGATTTAGAAATTGGATTTTGAAAGGAAACTAATCTGTTTTATTATTAAAAATTAGGATAAATTTAAAGAAATATCTGAAGCATACAATATTTTATCTAATGTAGACAAGCGTGCCCAGTATGACGTAGCCCAAGGTAAATTTTCTAATTTTGAGTAATACCAAATTATTTATTAATTTCTATAAATTAGGGTTGAGATCTAGTTGGAAATATGACTAGGAAGAAAATAAATTTACAAACAATGAGCAATATGAGCAGTTTTTAAAAGAGGAGTAATAAAAGAAAAAGCAATTAGATGAATAGGCCTTTGATTACTTTGAAAAAAAATATTTTGGGAATAAAGATTTTTTCAAGAAGAATGTGATAGATGATGATGAATATGAACTAACAATGAAATTATATAAAAAGCACAAAGAAGAAGTAACAGAAAAGAAAAAAGATTACATAGAATTCATGACATATTCAAGCAATAATTACTTTGTGCATAAAGATGTTGAGAAAAAAGCTGAGGGAGAAAATACAGCTGGAAATCTTTTGAGTGAGTTTAAAATACCTTTATTAGTTTTATTCTTAGCTATGGCAGGAGCAGGAGTTTTTAGTGGAGTTAGCTAAAAAGAATAATAAAAATAAAGCATACAAAAATCAACAATAGTAAAAGACGGTGCTGGTTATAGAGGTAATATGACTCCTGTGAATATAGTCTGATGTAATTATAAGAGTAACAAATAAAAAATACGTTTATAGTTTAGTAAATACAAATCAATCAATTCAATACAAAATTTAATATAATTGTTGATAGTTTATAAATATTTTATCGAAGTAAATTGAATTTAAATGACAATTTAATCTATGAATTCATATCAGAGTTAAATATAAAAAATAATTGAGAAATTATTTGAGCAAATAAAATATATTTCTTTTTATTTATTTTATATTTTTTTTTAATTAATCAATGATTGATAAAAATGAATTTAAAATCATTGATTTGCTTAATTTGGTTAATTACAATTTTTCTTAAATTTTATGACATGCTTTATTTTGAAAATTAATAGTTTTAGGTAATTAATTATATTTATTTAAGTAGTTAATTTTATGCAAATTAATGTGCTTATTCTACTGTATTCTATTTAAAAAATTATAAACTGAGTAATATTTTATTAAAGATGTCACAAAACATTATAAAGTGTTGTTTATGCAAAGAAAGAAGTTCTATTTATTTGTTTATTAATTTATTTGAAAGCTAATTGAATTTGATAATAGATATAATAAAAAAGATAACATTAATTCATATTAAAATTTGTAAAGTCTGAGCCTATAGAATATCTTAAATTTCAATTAAAGAAGAAAGAAGATTGATTATATTTTCAAGAAGATCAAAGAATATTATAAAGTAAATAGATTTGGAGACAGTAAAAAATGATAGGAGAGTATTCATAATTATTTATTATTGGAATAGCAATCAAGTGATTCTAATATTATCATAAATAAATAAATAAAATAGCCAAAAAGCATAAAACGTGGAGGGGACTCCTTATTCTAAGATTCATTTAGATGAGCAGCAATCAAATTCATCGATTGTTGCTCGGTCTAAATCAAGACACTTAGTGGTTATGAATAATCTCAAAAAGAGAGTAAAGTTTTTAGAGAGCATTAAATAAGATTCAAGATTAAATTAATATTTATAATATGAACTATTTAGGAAGAAATGTGGGACAATAGATTTCATTTAGAACATATTCCTAAATACGACGTTTTCGCTGATAAACATTCATAGAGTAATTTATAAAATAAATGCAAATAAAATCAAAATATAAATTTAAGTAGATTTATTATAACTTTTTTATATGAAAATAAAAACTAGATTTCTAATATGCCATGATGAAATAGCAAAAGAAGTAAATTAGCTTTTTAAGAATGTTATTTAAGTTAATTCAAAAAGTTTACTTTTGAGTAACAAAAACATTCCTTCATACACGCATTTTTATTAGCAAAATAAAACTAGTGAAATTAGTTAATGTTTTTTTTCTACTGAAAAAGGAATATAGTAGAGTTTGCTCCAGGAAAAATCAGGAAAAAAGCAACAAAGGATATGCAAAATATTGAAGAATAGAGCGAAAAAAGTATTTTGAATTATTTATTTGATCATTTTAGCATAAATAAAATTAATTGATAATCAAATATTTTGTACTCAAATTATTGAAATTACTATAATTGACTGATTTATTTATTTATTTAATTAATTAAGAACCTTATTATAAAATTAATATCATCAAAAATGTTATATTTTTTTACCAATTTCAATTTTTAATTTATTTTGAATATTAAACATTTAATATAAATTGAATTATTTGATTTATTCAGTGAGTTAATCAATTGCTTTTCAAAACAATCTCAAAAAATAATTTTATATAGGAATTATATTTCATCAATATTTACATATTTATTTTTATATTAGGTATATAATCTTCATAGTCTTAGTAGAGATCTGTTGCTCCTCCTTATATTAGTAGATAAGGAGGAGGTTAAGCAGGTGCTAATCCAAAAAATCTGATTCCTCCAAATTATGATTAACTAAAAGAAATGATTAAGCAAAATTTTGAAAAGTTGAAAATAAGCTGGGAGGCTCAAGACATTCCTATTCATCACAGGTAAATTTCTGATAATAAAAAGCTTGATTTGTAGATATTATATAGATAGGTTATTAATAAATTTATATTTATATGTAATAGAGAGCTATTTATTCAATGTTGCAAATAAATATCAAGAGAAAGAGCTATAGAATTAATAAAGACAGAAATAGAAGATTTAAGAAAGGGGGATGCATTCATATAAAATTGTATAAAAGCAGTAAAGGGAAGAGAATAATGCATCATATAGTTAGAAGATCAAATATCTTTAATTGAAAAAATTAAAAGTTAAGTAGATGAATAAACATTAAATAAAGTAAATCTAATAAAAGCATATTTTTTATTGTTTGTTAAGTCATTCATTTTATTTTATAATTTTCCTTTTTAAAAAGAGTTCAGAACTAATTACTCACTTAAGATTACTCTCTATAAATGCTGCTGAATGTATTGTTTCTTGGAGAAATTATCTCATGGATTTTCTTTAAAATTCTGTCATAAAAGAAAGACAAACTATGATTATCCCATATCTCTACAAGGAATAAAACTATTTAATTAAAGTAGATTTAATATTCTTATACGAATTCAGTTGATATCCTTTATTTTTTTAAAAGATGAGAACAGATACACACTTCTTAAGAAGCTCTATCTTGAAAGAATTTTTTTTTTTCTCAACGAGATAAGAATACAAGATAGATCCATTTATTTTAAGTATGACTGATGGAAACGAAGAGACTGATAAGCAAATTTAGTATATATCGAAGAATCTTAGAAAAAGAATTGATAATTGCATTCATTTGCTTAACGAAGAATACATTAGAGTCATTGAAGATGAGAAATTTTAATCTATGAATTCTAAGAAACCAAGCTACAGCAGATATCAACAAAAGTATGAAAATATTTTTGGGGATGATTTTCTTTAAATTTGATTTTAAATTAGGTTACCAGGAGTAGGTCCTCTAAGGAAAAGCAGTCAAAACAGTAGAGTTGTTTAAAAGCCGATTCAGCATGAACAGTAATTTATATATAATATGATTTATTTTTTTAACTTTATTAATAAAATTCATTTTTTAATAGTAATATAGTTGTTCATTCATCCGCAAAGAAAGATCATCCTTCTCCTTAATCTTCTATTTAAAGCAAAAATAGCCCTTAGAAGTAGTTTAATTTCGAAAATAGTCCTGTCCATTAGAAGAGAGACAGCGAAGGTAGCAACATAGGTTAAAGTAAAAATAATCACAACAAAGTTCCTTCTTAGTCTGAATTAAATGATTTTCCAAATTAGCATTCGTAGTAAGAGTCAAAGGTAGCAATCAATGAAAACTTGAAACAAAATAATTAATCTTAAAAATCTACATCATAAATTTATCAACAAATCAAAGGACTTCCATCTCATACAGTAAGTTCTGTAAATTAATCTAAAGATTTAATATCTTCTAAGTCTTAACCTCATCATCCTACTGTATAATAATAATAGTAATAGCACAAAGTCTAATAATAATCATAGTAAGAAAGCTTTAAATAGACTCCTCATAATTAATAGGAGCTTACGAAAAAAGATAATCAAATTTAAAATTCATAGTCGTCTCATTCAGTTATGTAATAAAAAAATGCTTCAGCTGAATAAGATTAAAAAGAAAAGCTCAATCACATAGAATAAAATTAGTAACATTCTTAATAAGTTTAAAATAATTAAAAGTAAGTAGCTGATTAAATTCATGTGTAAGATTAAGCTGAAGATAAATAAAAACAACTATAAATCCATTAAAATTCAGAATAAGTTGAAGAAGAAAATCAAGGAGAAGGTGTTATTGGAGTTCCTGAGTATTTTGAAGAGGATCTTATGAAATACACTGAGAAGTATTTGGAAACAGTAGAAAAAAAAATTAAAGAGAGTGTTTTGAGCTCAACGTAAGAAATATCTAGAAGATTAAGAACAGAGTATGAGTGTGGTTGTCTTGAGTATAAAAGAAATGGTAAAATAAAAGGCATAGCTTACTATTTTAACGAAAGTTCATAATAATCTAGAAGAATAACTCTTATGCATGTTAGTGCAGTTGATTAAAAAAATTTAGATCAGTTCCTTAATTAGATTATTTAGTATATTTTTAAGAATGATTCTTGTGATGAAATTCGTTTTTGTATTTATCACCATGAAAATGAAGAGGGGAATATGCAAGTTCATAAAGAAATTCAAACTATTTTTACATCAAAAGGATTTAAATGGAAATAAGTAAATAATGATAAATATACTCACTAGCGTACAACTATCCTAGCATTGAGGAGACCTGCAGATATTCCTTCTACTCATAAATTAAAATAGTTTGACCACATCATAGTAGAAAGTATTGCTTTCATCTAACATTCAAGTTCAGCAAAACCTGAATCTTCATAAAGTAATTTAAAATTTTTATATTCATTTACAAGTATGCATAATTATTTTAAATTAGGTTTGAATAATTTTGATATGACAGTAAACTTGTTGGGTAGTTTGGATTAAACCATTTAAGATGATCCTAAATTTGCAACTTTACTCTCAAAATGTGAGAACAAAATATTTTCGAGAGGCATCGAATAAATTAATGTTTTAATGAGAAAGAATTATCAGTATTCAGATATGAAAAAAGAATCATTTGAAGATAAAGACAAATTTATAGAGTCTCTAAAAAGTTATGAAATATAATATGACAGTTCTCACCTCGATTCCAATAATAAAGTAATTATTGAATTAATTTATCAAATAATATTCATTTTTATTTTTAATAAAGATATTTGCATCAGTAAGCAAGCTAGCTTTGAAATGGAGAGCTTTTTCGTAGTGTTAAATAGATCAAAATTTATATCTCAGGATCAATATTGTAAAAATATATTTTTTGTTAAGGAGTTAATGTGTTATAATTAATTAATTATTAAAAAGCCAAATACAGATGACCATAATTATATGAAAGCTACCTCTAAAATAAATAAGACTGTCTATATTTTACCTACAGATGATCAAAACACTAATATTTTCTTATTTGAAATAGGTAAATTTATTTATTTTTTTAAGTTAAATTTAGCAAAATAAATATTCACAACTTAAAATAGATGATCAAGAATAGTTTAAGTAAGATTTCTAACAAAATGTAAAAGAAGTAATGAAATCTCTATAAAATACCTAATAAATCAAAGAAGATATATTCATACCTGCCTTTGAAACAACTTTAAAATAAGACTTATCTATTAAAAAAGAAGATAATAATGAGTATAAATGCTATCAACAACTAAAAATATCTATTAATTATTATACTCCACTACCTAAAATATAAATTAAAGTTTAAAAAAACTCAAATTCTTAAGTTATTATCCGTCCTCCGTTTGTCTTTGGTAAAAAATCTTTTGAGGATTCTAAATATTTTTCTGATTGAATAAATTTTCTATTTTATTCGCTTTAATAAATAAATAAGCTAATATACTTAACAAACTATTTTTAAAATAAGGTTTTATTAATAACGATATAGACGAAATATTAGAAATACCCTACTACTCAGCTCTTATAGAAAAAGGTAATTTCTGCAAAGTATGAAAACAATAGTAAAAAATAAGAAAACATAACCAAAACATAAAAGTATTTACTAAAAATTCCAACCTAAAATACTTACTTACTTACATACATACCTACATACATTAATTTATTTTCTCATTATTATATCAAAACTAAAAAATTGAAATCTCTCTGTTAATATTTTTATTAATCAAAATAATAAAACCCCAAACTAAATTAATGAAATTTAAAATAAAAAATAAAATAGTTTAATTAAAACAAAAAAAAGTGTTGAGTGTATTTATATATTTTTTCTGATATTGTCTATATTTCAATACTTTAATTGCTGATCTCACTTTAAAAATTATTTGTATATTAAATTCATATTTTAAGTTAAAAAATACATTTTTTTAAATTAGATTTATTATTTCTTTAAATTTAAGTTTAAATTCTTTAAAATAAATTTTAACCAAAAATATTTATAAAACTTATTTCTTAAACCATGTTCTTTGATTAGAATAATTTTTTTTATATTTTTGATTTTTTAATAACTTAAAATTAGTTTTAATTTGTCATTACAAAATCTGTTTATTTGCTTATAAGAATATTTTGTAAATTAGCACAACAATTATGCTTTGATTATTTAAGCAATAATTTTTTTCTTTAGTATTTTAAATTGAAAATTAATTTTAATTTATTTAATACCTTAAAAGCTCTACTGAAAATTAAATATAAAAATAATTAAAATTTTCTAAAAATGTATCAAGAGTTAAGTTTTAGATATTTTTATAGAGAATAAATTAATTTTTGTTAAAACTATCTATGCAGTATATGTAAATGTAATTAATAAGCATACAAAAAAGACTTAATATGAGTTTTTTATCAATAAAAGAACCATATTAAATTATATTTGATATTATTTTTAATTTTGCTATTTTTCAATCGTATTTTTTTGGATCTTTTGTTGTATTTAAGACAACTTTTTTTTTAATTAAATTGTGAATACGAAGTAGAATTAAATACTCTAAAATAATTACAACGTTAAATATTACTGAGCAACCATTATCAGTATTTTCATTTAAAAGATAAGATATATTGATATTTGTATATGACCTGGAATAGTAGTCTTGAATATTTAGATATTTAAAATTTTTTTAACTATCTTATTATATTAATGATAGAGTTGAAATAAAGCTTATAACTAAAAGAGCAAAAGGAAGAATGCTTAAAAGAATAGATGAAAGAAGCTAAAATTCTAATTAAGCTTTTAAACCTTAATTTGAAATAATATCCTTTAATTATTAATTTTCAATGTAGGCTTCTTTTTACTTAAAATCTTGAATAGCTAAATAAGCTTTAGATTCTAAAAATTTCTTGAATTCCTCTAAGTTATTCTATTCATTTTATAAAGATTTGCTTTTTGTGAATTCGTTATAGATGCCTTTCTTTAGTTATAAAATTAAATATTATTAATTAATTAAATTCATAAAAAATGAATGTTTGTTTTACAAGGTCAAAGTTTTTAGGATAGAAATTGGCGTAATATTAATAAAGAATTCTTTATGTTTATATCTTTTAGTTTGAATAACTCAGCTATTTTGTAAAACTAATGTGCAAGTAATTTATACTTTTAATCAGAATAAGAAGTGGATTCATCATGATAAATTTAGGATCATATTCTCCTTAGCAAAAGCAATATATTAGTATTCCTAATTAGATAAAAGTAAAGACTAATGAAGTAATCTCAGCTCTTTTTAAAGAGTGCTCTACAAAAATTTTTCTTTCACTTTCAAAGAAATTACTGTTCATTCTATTTTTGCTACCAATGTTATTACTAGAGTTGTTAGAAATAGAATTACCATTGCTGAGGTCATCATTTTTATTGTAATTGCTTTTAATTTTAGATTCGCTCATTTATTACTCATCTTTGAGCTTTAGGAATATACCTTGATTCTAAACTATACAAGCAAAAAATATAATAGAATGTGTATTGGTAAATGAAGGTATTAGCGATAAAATACTAAGAATGATCCATACAGATTATGTAGTGCAATTATCTCTAATTATCAAAATTAAGCAATAAAGTGGCATTGAGAAAACATTGAAAGCCCAGTAAATAAAGAAAGTTTGTAATCCAGTAAGTAAAGGTTTCTTTTTCAAATATCTTATTTTTTTTCCTTTTGGGTTTTCCTTATCTTCTTAAAAGTTTTCATCATCGTTATAACTTTCGTAATCATCCTCTTCATCATCGTCTTCATCGTAATCGTCATCACTACTTAGCGATTAGCTTTCTTACTGATTATTAGTAGCTGCTTATTATTGATTTAATCTGGATTCTATTTGTTAGCTGCTGGTTTCAATCATATGAGATGCATTGTTTTCTTACTAAACTTATATTTGCCTATTTACCTTGCTATTTACTTAGCTGGATTGAGTCCCAATTTCATTTGATGCTTCCTCAACATTTCTTTTTGTAATTTATTCATTATTATTAGATTCATCAGCTAATTTAGAAGAGTGTATAACAGGTAGTGGCAGTTCCTACTCAGTATTTTCTTAACTGCGATCATCTAATTCAAACTTATTAATTAAGTTTTAATCCAAAAAAGAAAATATTGAATTATTGTAAAGAAATAAGCTGTATTCTTAATTATCAGGAATATTATATTCATCATATTTTGATTTCTATTTCTATTTTAGGTATTATTTGTATGTTTTATATTTCTTTAACTGCCAATAAAAGACATATTAAATCATAAGCAAAATCACAAAGAGATATGTGGAAAAATTAAAGGGTGTAGATAGATACAAATCCATTTTAGAATATTAATTCTTATTAGATTGCCTTGCTTACTAACTTAAATATTAAATTATTGTAATATAATCTTAATTAATAATTTTATTTTATTAAAGATTATAGCAATTTATTAAAATAGGTGATTATTTATTAATTACAGAAATTTATGGATATTTTTATGCTTAACTAATGATATTTTTGATGAAATCATTCTTAATCTCTTATGAATTATTAATTAATTGCTTATGCTTAAAATTTACTCAAACTCTAAAATCAAATAAATATATTTTAGAAATTAAATAATTATTCTACTCATTTTTAGATAAATTTATTATCTCAATATATGAGCTCTTTATTAAATATGGATTTTATACTGATTTAAAAATTATTTCATAAATTACTTAAAATCCTTTAACTGTTATCAATTAATTTAAAAACCAAACATACATATTTAACTAAATATTAATTTTTATGGGATAAATCTTTAGAATAGAAATTTTCAATACTGCATCTTGTCTAAGTAGATTTTAAAATTCTATTAAGATGTAAAAATAATTTTAAACTTTATATCTTCATTTAAAATACTTAAGATAATAATCAGATTTAATAACCCATAACAGCTTATCACAGTATTTATTTCTAAAAAAATGTTATTATTTTAAATTTAAATATTTTGATAAATTTGATAAAATTGAATTTATGAAATATACTGTAAAAATTTATAAATTTAAATCTCCTTCTCAACATCTGTTTTAGATTTTTTCTTAACATTAAATACTGATTTTTGCATAAATAAGCAATAATTAATTTTTATTTTATTATATAAACATTTTGTTTATCGAAAAATTTTGATATATATAATTTTTTTCTTTCTTGGAATATTTTGGTTTTGTCTAAAAAATAAATAGATGCAAAATAAAAAATTTAATCACATTATTCTTAAAAATTTCTCATAAAAAAATTAAAAAAAAATTCCTTAAATAAGAATTCTTAAATAAACTATAAACACAAACTTGTAACTTTAAATTAGTAATTAGGTAATTTAATTAATAAATTAAATTATTAAAATAAATAAATATTTTAGTTTTTATTGAAACATTTTTTGAAATTTTATGTTTTTAATTTTATAATTAGTGAGAGATTTTAGCGTGTTTTTTCATTTTAGTTTAAATTTTTTGGTTTATATGCTTTATGCAAATATAATTTAATATAGTGTTTGATTATTAATATTAAAAATAAGTTTAATCCTTTCAGTAATATTCTTCTTTGGTTACGTTTTTGATATCAAAAATAATTAAAAAAATACACATATTTGCATCAATTAATTAAAACGGTAGGAAAAAGAAGTTTAAAAAGTCAAGTTGAGCAGATTTAGATGGAAATAAGTTAATTCTTTTAGTTGATTTCTTTGAAGTATATTCAGTATGTCTAGATTTATCTGTTTTTCTCTTATATGATAGTAAATTGATTGGATTTATTGAATTTCATTTTTATTTTATTATTTATTACTATTATGTTTATTGAATTATTTATAAAAACTATATCAATAGGATTCAAGATATTAGTATCTATTTATAGGCTTATTTCTTTTAGATAAGATAACTAGGTTTTTAATTCTTTACTTTATAGTTAAGCCTACTAAATTACAGACATTTATGATATTCTTCATCGTATTATTTTATTTTGAAGAGTTACCCTACACTTATTACAAATCAAATAGCCAAGAACAAGCAGATAATTAAAAAAGTAAACTCTAAAATGCATTTAATCCTCCTTTAATAAATATCTCAATGATACCTTAGGTCGTTTTTATTCTGTTTTGGAACCTAATTGAGAAAAATGAAGTTGCATTTTTGCTTTCCATACCTTGTTTTATGTTCTTATTTTTTTACATAAATTGTTTATGGAGTTAAATTATGAGCTGTTCTATAGTAAAATATTATGATATGTTTTTAGAATTTACTTCACTGATTGCTTATATTGGAATGATAATGATTTGCTCAAATATTCCTTTCTTCTTTTTAGAATTCTTTTTGATAAGCTCAGTAATCATCGCTTTTATGTTTAGTAGATATATTTTACCTTAAAGCAATTAGTTTCCTACATTTTTGAAAATTTTGTTTTGCATCCCAATTTCATTGATAGTTCTCTTTAATTCTGGAATTGAAATTAGAAAAACCTCTAATTACTTAAAATAAAAAGATTATAAGAGAGTCTCAAATAAAACATTAAATTATTTACTCTTGCAGAAGTTTATTTAGAATAATATTCTTTTAGCTGTGACCCTTTTAGCTTATGATGGATAGATTAAACAAGTTAGATTAAATTAATCTTAGCAATTCATTGTTTTTATAATCATGATTGCATTCTTAAGTAGCCTTATTAATCTAATAGAAATAGTATATTTCTTTTTAATCCCTTAGTTTACAGGCAAAGAAATCATTGAAATAGAAACCAGTAAAGACCTAAAAAAGCTAAATTAATCAATAAAAATAAGAAAATCTTAGCAAAGCTAGCTGATATTATTTAAATTTTATGATAAGGACCATTCATAAGAGCACATAAATGAATGTATTTTTTGCCTTTTTTTCAATTTCGGGTCTTAAAAATTGAACATTCCAAGTATTGGTAGTAGGAAAAAGTAAGAGCTTGGAATGGTAATAGAAATAAATAAATATATTGATATATTTTACTTCTCTAAAATATTTTAAATGCAACAAATGATTCCTAATGTTTATGAAATTTACATTCATGAACTATACGAAGAAAAAAAGGATATCCACACAATATTTGAGCTTATGAAAATGGTTAGTGCATAAGTTTCAACACCCATAATCATTTCATAAAACATGCCTAATTAATTAATTAAAGTACAAAGAGATTTTTCTCATCTAAAAAATAACATTTTTTATCTTCTTTTGCTTTAATAAAAGAATTTGATAAAGGAAGTAAACATCAAGCCTTTTCTGATGATTGAAGATCTTATTAATTGAAAAATTGCTCAGTTTATTAATAATTATACATTTTAATGATAAATCAATATTCTTTTACTAAATACAAATTTTATTAAACTAATATTCTTTCTTTTATAAAATAAAATAAAATTTTTATTTTTTCATTTTTTATGAAACTTGTAAAATGTTTTTAAATTTAGATCGAAAAGTAAAAAAAATAAACAATTTAGATTATTCAACATTATTAAAATATTCAGTCACTTTCATTTTTAACAAATTTTTAACGATAACTAAGAAAATATCTTTATTATATATAGATTAATGATATATTTCTTTGTATATATGTTTATGTGTTTTTATGTGCATATATTTGTTAATAGATGAAGAAATCTTTAACAGACACATATATTTTATTAAATTAAAAAAGAAAGATACAATACTGAAATAAACAATAACAACAATAATATGTTTGGTTTAAGTTTAAACTAAATAGCTATAGTACTTATCATTAAGTATATTTAATGGATATTGGTCTATATATTCATTAAGTATATGACAGTAAATTGAATTTATTGATATGTTTTTTTTCATTAATTATTTGTATTTAATGCAGGAATATCCATATTTTTAGACGTTCATTACATTTTTTGTTATTGACAAATTAATGAGAATGGTTTTTGTTATTTAAGTTGTTCAACCTAGACTTTCAGAAGCGTTGGTTTTAATTATTTCTATCATGCTACAATTTGAAGAGGCTTATGCTTATTGGATGAAGGGAGGAGGTAAAAAGGATGAATTCTATGAAGACTTTGATTCTTAAGATAAGTATGATTTCCTCTTAGAATCATTTTCTCTTAACGTATTTTTGATACCCTAAATACTATCAGTTCTCTGCTTTACCCTTTTTACTTAGAACGAGGAAGCATTTTTGCTTAATACTCCTTCAATTTTATTTTCTTATACATGCTTTAACTATTTATGGTGGAAGATGCTAAGCACAGAAACTCTTGATTTTTATGCTACCATCAAAGAAATAATACATCACTTTTCATGCTTTGGCCTTATCTTTATTTGCTTTAATGTAGAAAACTTTTTTGTTCTTTACTTTTTGCTAAACGGAGCTCTTAGTGCTTTTATGATGTACAGAAATACTAAATTACCTGTTGCTGAAAATACTCCCTTTTCTGAAATATTGTTATTAAATTGCTTTATCCTTATATAAGTTTTTTTTTAAGGAGGAGTAGAACTAAGAAGACCTGAAAGAAAGTAAGGTTTATCGCTTATACAGATGTATTCGTAGAGAAATTTAAATGCTTAAATTTTAGTAAAATTAATATAGATTTCTTTTCTATTATCTACTTACGCTATTTTCTTAGCACCTAAGATATTTACTCATCAAGCAGGAATAAAATTAAACTTTTTAATCATAGTACTTATTTCATCTGCTTTAAGTTTTATGTTTTTATTGAAAGACCTTTGGGATTTCGTCATATCTCCCTTTTTTGAAGGTGATTTGTTTGTTGAGATAGAAAACTTCAAAGAATTAGTTAAGTACAACAACCTTCACAGAGAAGAAAAGTTAAACTTAAATTAAGTAGAGTACGTTAAGATTAAAATAGATGAAAAGAGTTTTAATAAATTATCGGAAAAGGAAGCTTTTGAAATGTATTATGCATTCTTATTTAATTTTGGCAACCATTCCATTTCTATAGAATATTTTGGAAACAGAGATTATTAAGGTGAGAACTTTATTGTTACTTTGAAGAAATTTGTCAATATTCACTTATTAGAAAAAGCTCTCTCATAATAAAGAATAAATCCTTACATCAAAGAAATTGAATTCCCTTTTTATGTAAAAAAATCTTAATTAGCTAAATTAATTTATAGCAAGATAAGCTCAAATAGTACTGCAATAATAACCACTCAATAATAACCTGTTGATTTGTTGTATGTGTAATTAAATCATGCTAGGGAGCTTTAAACCGCTTTGATGCATGGAGTTTTTTTCAAAAAGAGATTGAATATGTTTTGGGAACAAAATGATAGTCAAGAAGAGAATTTCACAAGGATTAATATAACTACTACTCAGGAGTCGTATTAGAAAAATACTGTACAAGATTAATATTAGCAAGAATACCAAGTTAAGATAAAAAACCCAATCGACGAAAACCAAAACAGAAATAAAATTCTAGGAATTATAAAAGAGAAAATCAATAGCTCTAAATAACTAATTGAACAAAACTAAAAAACTGCATTATCTAAATTAGTCATGAATATTAGCGAGTTAGAGAAATCAGTTAGGTCATATCAAAATGAGATAAATAAAAAGACTGAAGAACTTTAGTTATTAAAGTAACAATAGACTAAAGCTTATCCAAGTCTAAAAGATTTAGAGTAATAAGATAATATAGTAGAAGAACTAAATGAATTAAACTAATATGTTTAATAAACAAAAGAATAACTAGAAACAAAATAAAAGCAGTTAGCCAGCTTTTAAGAATATTTTAAAAGGCATGGACAAAAACTTAGTTTCACCAAACCCAGCCAAATCCTAAAAAATATAGACTATTGCTTTATTTATTAGTGCTAAATTTAGGCTGAAAGTGAATCTAAAAATAATTGAAATAAAATTTGTTACCAACAATCAAATTTAATTAATTAATTCTATAAATAACTCTTGTTTCAAAATTTTATATGTCATTTTTATTATTATTTGCAAAAAATTCTTTTGAAAATTTTTTCATTATCTTAAAATTAAATTTTTATAAATCAAAAATAAATAAATAAAATTAGCCGCAATTTTAATAATAATATTTTTAGCTATAAATTTTGAAGATATTTCATTGGTTAATTTAAATTTTTATGTTTAAAAATGATATTTTAGTTTTCTATTTTTTTATCGAATTTATTCTGTCTAGTTTAATTTTAATTACATAGATTTTGATTGAATTTACTTTTCTTGAATTTCTATTTATTTGAGGAAAGCATTAAACAAACAAGTTTTAGAAAGATAAGAATTCAAAATAGAAAATTAGAAATTAAAAAGAAAAATTAATTTTGATAAATTCTTATAAAAAAGTGAAAGCCTTACAAATTTTAAAATAAAAAATTTAAGTCTTTAATTTAATCAAGTTCTTAACAAAGTCAATTACTTATTTATTATTTATTTAAAAAGTCAAAAATAATTTAATTTATTTACTTATAATTAAATAAAACAATAAAACATTTACAAATAAATTTATTCATAAAAATTATAAGTACAAGATAAATAACAAAGAAAGAACTATTATGTCTGTAGTATTTGAAGTAGAAGATCACTTTTAACTAGCTGTATTGTCAGCAGTCATATATTCATTCGAAATGATCCTTATTGGATTTTTAATCCCAGGTTAAATGAGAGGCAAAGTATTTACTTCAGAATTTATGAGAGAAAACTTTGGAAAAGAGCATTTAGATAACACAGGTTTACCTGTAGACAATTCTTAAGGATATCCAGATATGGGTCATGGAAGATATTCTGATAAACTTCCATATGCAAAATGGCTCTAATTTGCAAAATCATAAAGAGTTCATTATAATTTTCTTGAAAATTGGGGGCCATAAACATTATTCATAATAGTAGGTGCTTTAAAGTTTCCTATTTTCTCTGCAGTTTTAGGATTTGTAGCTATTTTAGGAAGATTGCTATATACTGTTGGCTATATGTTACCACAAGGAAGTTCTAATTTTATTAGACTGTTTGGAGCAATAGCAGGTGATATTGTAATGTTAATAAGTTTTATTCTCTCATTTATTGCCTGTGTTTAAGCTTACTATAACTGAAATATATTTTATCTATCCCTCGATATAAATATTTATATTATTGTATAATTCTTTGATAATATATCAAAATTATTTTAGTAATAAATAAATTTTCTTAAATTAAATTTTGAGAATAATAAATTTTTTTTAAATTTAAACTATTGAAAATAAATGAAGTAAGATATTATTAATTGATTGATTAATTAATTATTATTTTAAAGTATTTATTTTATATTTTAAAATTATTATTTTTTAAAAAGTTTGGGAATATTTTTTTTGCAAAACATTTAGTTTATTAAAAAAATTATTTATTTTTATTAAAAACTGTTAAAATTCTATTTATTTATAAGAAAGAAATACTTGCATATATTCTATTTTTACTTGCTTATTTATAAAAAACGAATATAGATAGAAATGATAATTAATTAAAAATTGTGAGACTATCTATCTATATATATCTTTATTTAATTAATTAATAATTATAGTTAATAGAAAAGATACCGTTTTGTAAAATATATCTTTTGATATATTAGAAAACATAGATTTAAAGTAAATGTTTTTTTCAAAATTGATTACTATACTAGCTTTTAAGTACGCTCACTGGGCACTAGTTTACTTGTTTTTTGCAAAAATACTTGTAATATTTTTATTTAATTCTACTTAACTATATTTATGCTTCTTTTTTAAATTAAAAATTTTTATCACATTAATAGCAAACTTCTATATGGCCATTATTTGTGATATTATTTGTGTTCGATAAACTTATCAGGCTAGTTGTATCACTAGTAATACTTAAGCCTGAAGGTTGTGGATCTTTGCTTGTTTTTGTTGCTGTGGTTCTTTAACTTGAGGAATTTTTTCAATTGATATCTTAAAACAATGATGTATAGGACGCATTTAAATCAGAAATAATCAACATTCCTATGATTATGGAAATTATTTTTGTCATGCTTTGGACTTTTATCTGTAGAGATGAAACAGCTTTTTACATTTAAATACCTATTATGATAATTATTAGCTTTTATTTGAATTACCTTTGGGCTAAAATGATTAGGTAGCAAAATTATGAATTCTATTAGTTCTTACCTTTGTATATAGAATATATTGCATACTTTGGACTGATTTATATTGCAATAGGGATTAAATATTTTTTTCTATGTTTTATTCCTTTCCAAGTAATTATATTGATAATTATCTGCTTCAGATTCTCCAAATCTATCTTTTTCTAGTAAGGTGACCCAATAGTTAATGGGTTTCTTTTTATTTTTTTAAGTGTAGCTATATTTACACACTGTGGTTTAGATAACAGAAATTCTAATTCATGGCAAGAGTTTAATAGCCTCAAAAAGATATCTCAAAGAACATAAAATTATTATTTAGTCTGTAAATTAATATCTCTACTGGTAATACTAATTACAGTTTCTTTAACATAATTTGATTACATCACACTTAAAAGAGAAGGTATATCTGATACTCTAATGCTAGTAGTATTTATTTTCTGTGCAATATCTTTTCTGATATATATAATACAAATATTTTTTTACATCGCACTGCCTTCTTTCATTGGAACATGGTATATAGAGATTGAGGGCTTAGAAGAACTAAGAAAATAAAATGAGCTACATAGAAAAAAATAATTAAACCTAGAACATATTTCTTATGTAACTATTAATCCATACTATGGCTTTTTAACTACAGATTAAAAAAAAAGTAAAGAATTTTTATATGCCCTTTTATTCAACTTTGATGGGCATACCTTGTCTATTCACAATATCGGTAAAAGAGATCATTCAAATGGTAAAATGAAAGTTACTTTTTATACAAGTTTTTATTTCTAAGATTTAAGAAATTATCTTTTGAAATATAGCATCTTAGAAAATATCAGTGAAATAGAACTTCGTTATTCGTTTACTAAATATCCTAAATCTTTGTTTGAGCTAATTAATATATTTTATAGGCCAATAAATCCAATTCTTATAAAAGCCATTGACATGCCCTTACTTTTACTTTCTTACCAATAATAAATTATTGCATTTTTAGAGCATAGTTTTATTAATATAGTGTTTTTTGATAAACATTTATCTGGTCTAATGTCTGTTAATCCTAAATAAGTACTTTATGATCTATATGATATGTGAATAAATTAAGTTTTAAAAATCATCATAAAATAATAGACAAATTCTTTAAATATAAAAAAATTTTATTAATTTTAAAAACTTTTTTACATGTTTATGGTTTGTTTTTACATTTAATTTAAAATTCTATTCAAACAAATTCTTCAATTTACTTTAAAATTAAATTAGTTTATTTTTATTATTTTTTAGTTTATTTTTTTTAAACTAAAAGGTCACACAAGAAAAATTTTTTTAAAATATAAATTGATTTACTCATAAGTTGATTTATTAAAATATATCATATACTTTAATTATTATTTTCTAAACCCTACTAAAAAGTATAATCCTATCCGATTAATCAAATTAATAAAGAAGCCAATAAATTTTGACACTAGAACACTTGTGGATTAATATTAGAACAATTAGAGTAATCTTATAAAATTGTCAGTTTACTTTTACAAGGATCTTAATAAATGTAGAAAACAAAATAGATTTTAAAATATAATTTACATATTATTTCTTTATTAGTTTAACATCTTAATTAAATCTATACAGTAATATTTTTATAAGTAAACAAGAATGTGTGTATATTCTTTTTAGTAAACTCTTTTATGAAAATCATTATTTAAAAAACTATCAAAAAATATAAATTATTTGCAACACTGCACAAATGAAAAAATCAATTAAAATATGTTTCGATGATCGATTACAGAAATAGAACTAATTCTGAGTTTTATTGAACCATAATCTCTTTTTAAATAACTTAAACTGCATTTAGCCTTTCAAAACGAAGTTAAATTAAATTAATTTCTTTCTAATCCTTTATATCTGTTTTTAAATTTTGCTCTCCATATTTGAGAAACATTTGCATAAGTTCAGATATTTTCAGCTTGGCTTCTATTGTAGTTGAATCTAAAATAAGCAAATTGAGTGTACTTTCCAAGATACTAGTACTTTCAATCAAATATTTTAGCTAGTTTTAATCTCCCATAAGAATTAAGAACTATAACAAGGATAAAATTAATTCCTAAAATATATATTTTTGTTAAGAAATTTTAACCAATTATTTAATTAATAAATTACCACATAAGAAGGCTAGCTATCAAGCATATTTACCAATTTACTTATAAATAAATTTGTGAACAAAGAGTCTAAAATAACAGGAGATATTTCAACTAAATATTATGCTACCCTCAAACTAAGCTTGGTAGTTTTTAAATGCAAAAAGACATTATTATGAATTATTTAAGTAAGAACTCTTAAATTCTATTCTTTTTCTATCCATTAAAATAAATCATCAAAGTTTTTACTATTTTTATTCATTTCCTTTGCTATTTATAATAACAACTTATAAAAGCACTTTACTTTATGGTTATACGTCTCAACAAACTGCTTGTTTTCCTCATTAAAATTTTTTGATATAATAACGAGTATTTTACTGATTAAATTCTAGCTCATAACCATGCCTTAATAATCACCCATTTCTCTTAAAGTATTAAATGATTAGCATATATTCTTGCTTACTTAAATAAACTGAATGGGTTCAAAACTAATTTTGTCAAGCCCCTCAAATAGTATCCACAAAATATATTCTATAAAAAACAAAAGCTAATTATTTCAAAAATAAAGTTAAGGTTTTTTCAATTGAATTTTAAGTAAATGTTTACTTGTTGTTTGTGCTCTTTTTATATGAAGTTCCACTTTAGAATTGATTGAAAGAGCTAGGTAAAATTGATCATAAAACCTATATCGAATTCCTTTTTCTATGCAAAAGTCTAAATAGAGTTTAGCAATCCGCTTTTTAATAAAACTTCAGCTATTTTTTGAGAAAGCTCACAAAGAGAGGCTATTAAAAGCATAGTCTTTTTTTTAAAAAAAAGGATTTTAAAAATGATTTTATAAATCTAAAATATTTTACATTTGTCCTAATTTTATTTGAAATATCTGATTCATTTAGACTTAAATTCAATAATTTTTCCAAAATGTCTTGCTAAATAATTTCCTAATCGACAAAGATCTCTTTTTCTGGAATGAATTAAGTAATATCAGACAAAATTTCAATTAAAACGAGCAGGATATCAGATTTCTAAATAATTTGTTTTGTGTCAAGACAAATTATTTTCTTTACATGCTATATTACTTGAGTTACAAACTGGGTACCTTCTTTGAGTTTTTCTTCAAAATACTAATAGTAGAACATATCTTCTTAATGATCATAAACTAATAATAAGAGGTCTTTAAATCTAACTAAATCATGTAAAGATATGTCTTCCATTTCTGTTGTACTAAAATAGAGGTCCAAGAACTACTTACTGCTAATGGTTAGCTTTTCTAAATTTTGATGGCGGTGGTTTTTCAAAAGTGCATTAGTCAATCTTTTCCTATTATCTTAGCATATCTTATACTTTCTATACTTAATAAGCTGACTTATATCTTCATCATAAGTATCTGTTACTTCAGCTTTCTAAGTATCTTAATCCCCAAATAGTTAATTATGGTATTAACTTTCTTGCTATACTTTCTAAGCCTGTTGATTTTCTTAGTTTATTTCCATTACTAATTCTAAAAACTTATATTTTTTAAATTATAGCTACTAAAAATTAATTAATTAATTTATTTATTAAAAGTAATCTTTATAGTTTCTAATTAAATATTTTAGATCAAAAATCAGTAAAAATATTACTTTTTCTGGTAGCATATTCTTGCAAGCTAAAATTTAGAGTACTATTAAGCAAATATTTTTAAAAATATCTTTATTAAAAAATTAAAAAAATTAAATGAAAATATATTTTTATATATAGCTAGCTGCTTAATTCCAATTGGTAATCATTTAAAATCTAAAAAAAATTAATATTTTTTTAAAAATTTTGAACTCTAGATTAAAAATATTTAGGTTTGATAAACAAACCCAATGAATGAAGAACAAAGGTACATATTTTTTATGTTACTTTATAGTATATTATCAATTATAAAACAAAAAACAGAAATTAAGTGTTTGATTTCTATTATTTGGCAATTAAATTTAATAAAACATAACTAATTTTAATGGAATATTTATACATATAAATTATATTTAATATTAATTATTGATCAGCTAACTTTGAATGCAGTTGCATTAAAGAATACCTTTTACTTTATAAAATATTTTAATCCAAATAAAAGTAAATAGCACAAAACACCATAGGTTCTAGTTATTATTTTGTAAGAAAGACTATTTTTTAAATCATTAATTTAAGAAATGTTTTTATCATTGAGATAGTATTAAATTAAGTTAAATATGAATTAAGTTTCTGTATAGTCTTCTTATTGATATTTGTCTCTCAAAAAGTAGTAAATTTGTAAAATTAGCATAGTTGCCATAAAAGTTGGTAAGAAAAAAACAAAAAAAAAATAGACAGATTTAATCCAAAACTAAAAAGGAATTCCTTAATTATAAACAAGATCTCTAAATTATTCATTCTACTCCAAGCTTTTTTACTTGATCTCCAACTCTTTAAGGGAAAGATGCATTTTAGACTTTAAAAATTATTAAAAATTATCCTTGCTCAACTCTTATTCTGATTGTTTAGAATGTATTTTCTTGAACTCTTAATATAAATCTTACTGTTAAAAATAATAAGTTAAACTATTTTAATATTAAAATAAGTTAAATATTACATAATTAAAGTATTTTTAGTAGAAGTTTCTATAGTATGTTGCCAAGATTTAATCTTTTTGCATTTTTTTATTACTGTAAGTAAAATAGCCAGAGTAATAAAACGAATAAAAAACTATAGTATATAAAAATAAGGATATTAGATTAACTACTTCTAACCTATCAGATAGTATAAAAGACACATTCATTATTTACTACATTATAAAAATGATAGTAACGAACATTAAAGCTCTTAAAAGCTGGCATCTTATTAGGATATAAATTTAAGATTTCTATTACTAATAACTATCTTAAGTCAGCTTAACAAATATACCTTGATTTTGTATCATTAAAGCAACAAAAAAATAGCAGAAATAATCTATAGCATTTTCTAAATCATTAAAGAGATTACAGAAATATTACTAAGCTTGATAACTAACATCTTAGCTAGAAGAGTTTTGTAAACTTTATTATAAAAATAGAGTTATCAAAGAAAAAGGCAGGCATAAAAAAATCACAAAATGAAAGATATAAAAATATTTTTTTCCTTCATTGTTAGCTTATTTTAAGTCATAGTTTTCTTATTTTAAAATGCTATCACAAATAGAATGGTTAATGTTATTCTTACTAGTCATTAATTATTAAGAGGATTCTAGTTAGCTATCAAAAACTTCGTCTATTTGCATAGCACTTTTCTTCTAGCGAGAATTAAAATTCAATTCTTATAAATGTTAATATTAATTTTAACTCTGCTTACTGTAAAAGGGATTTTATTCATATAAGCCACTCAGCTTACTTTTATAATGTACAAAGTTTTCATTAAAAACGGATTCTTTATATTAGTAGTGTAGGTATTATCTATAAGAATGTTCTTCTTTAGGGACTTATCTTTTGTATCTTTAATATAAAAAATATTCTAATAGAATCTAAATGATTATTAATGCGATTCTTTCTAAAAATCTTTCTAACCAAGCCACACTAACCATTTTTTTTAAATTGCTGATTAAAAACTACAAATATTCTATTAAGCTAATTAATTAATTAATTAATTTAGTTATTTATTATCTTGTTTTTAAATATCTATAAAACAAACAACTAAAAATACCTAATCTAATTTATCCAAAATAGATATAAATTTATTTTGAAATTGATTTGATATTGTTACAAACAAGTTATTTACTTATCAATAAATTATTAATTATTCACATAAATAGTATTATTACAATCATATTGCTTGTAAATTAATTATTGAACTTTCCACACAGAAATTTTATCATAAGAATTAAATAATTCAATGAAGAAAAAATGTTTTTTTCTTTTTAAAGTTTTTTATAAAATAAATATAAAAATAAATATTAATTTATATATTGTTTCTCAATATGAAAATAATATAATTACTATTAACTAAATTAAATATTAATTTTATAAATACTTTCTTGTATAGCAAATATTTTTATCTCTGAAATAACTTTAGTTTTTTTTTTGGTGATTTATTGATCTAAAACTAGAGTAAATAAAAATAAAAAATAAAATTTATATATTTTTGATGCTTTTTTCAGTTAACTTTACCATAAGCAGTTCTATTCAAAAATACTTATTACTTTACAAAATATTTTAGGACTATTAAAATTATATAGCAGATAAAGCTATAGACTTACTCTATAGTATCAAAGAAATTAGAGAAAACAGTTTGAACTTTATTTTCATTGTAAAAATTAAAAAAATCTTTGAGATTTTTAACTTTTTAAATACTAATTCCATAGTTAGTATACTCTATTGAGAGGATATATTAAAAAATAATTGTAAATAAGATTACTGGCATAATTATAGTAAAGTAAAAGTAAAGTAGCTTTATCATAAGTTATTGAAATATTCCCTAATTATAGACAATATCTGTAAATTCGTGATTATTCTCAAGTTATTTTTACTTGATGTCTAAATCCAATAAACAAAGGTGCATTTTAGACTTTAAAAACATTTTGAACTCATCTTCTATATTGCAAGACTTTGGATACTTTCTGATATTTTATTTAAACTCATTATAAAGATCTTCCTATTTTAAGTAAAATATAATAAACATTAAATATAAAAAATGGACTTTAAAAAGCTATTTACATAATTAAAGTATCTTTCATAAAAATTATTGTAGTATTTTAAGAGAATCAAATCTTTTTGTGTTTTTTCATTGCTAAAAATAAATCTTCTTTGCAAATAGAAAGAAAGAAATATAATAGAGTTAAATACTAAATCCATAATATATATTTTATCTAGTTGTTTTGTCAAAATGAAATATATATTTAGCACTTAAAATACACAAAATTAGGCTAATACGAATGCAAAAGCTCTTTTAATCTAGCACTATACAAGAATAATTACGTTACTCTTTCCTTGTTAATATTAATCTTAAATAAGTTTTATAAAAATACCTTGGTTTTAAATCATTAGAGCTGCAAATAAAAAGCAAAAATAATCAAATAAATTTTCAATATCTGTAAATATCCTTACAAAAATGTTAATGACATTTATATCATTAACACTATCTTATCCATAATATTCTTCTCCAATTAAACTAAATAGATTTTTAATTAGTGAAATAGGTAAACATATTATTAAAGCAAAGTAGAATATATAAAAAAGTAATTTTCCATGATTGAGTACAATTTTTTTTGAGTCATTTCTACTATCAAAACGACTTTTAATGACTTAAGTTTAATTTAATAATTGTTCCATAGAATCTTAGTTGTTTTTATCTCTTTAAAAATCTTTGTTGATTTGCTCTTCATTTTAGAAATGCTAAATTTAAGCAGATTATTCACTCATTAATAAATTTGGTATTTCTGAAGCATAATGAATCCTTTGAGATGGCATGATCTTGCTCAATCTATCAAAAAATATAGACTAAATAAAACAATAATTAAGATATTATCCATAACTATGCTTTTTTTTATCAATTCTTTTCTTATAATGTTGATAGCTAATAAACTCAAATAAGATTTATATTAGAAAAAGCACACAAGTCTCAACTAAAAATTTTTGCTGCAAAGTCAAGCTCATTCTTTGTAAAGTTTAATTAATTTTAATTAAAATTTGAGTTAACAAATTGAGATAAATTAAGTAAACAAGTATTTGTATCTAATTCTTAATAAAAATAGGAGTTGAATTTATTTGTGTATTAAAGTGCACACAATTTAAAAATTTTGATTTTTGAGTATTTTAGCTTTAAAATTTAAATGCGACTATCAGTCAGAATATCAGTAAATTTGTTTTTATATTGAATAAAATGAATGAAAATAAATTAATAAAATATTAAATATTTAAATATTATAACAATTTGATATTTTAAAAATGCTTGATATCTGATAATGAGCGATCAAGCAAAAAATTTTATTAATAAAAAAATAAAATTTAATTCACTTTATATTAGAATCCAACTTAATTTTTTGCCCACATTTAGTTAGAAAATAAATTTATAGTATATTAAATAAATAATTTTAAAATTATTTAAAAATTAAATATTTTATTAAAATAAAATTATATGATACCAGTTTTATTTAAAAATAAATGTCTAATCTTAATCAAACTCATTTAATATTTTTACATTTATTTTTCATAAAATTTGGATTTAATCTTATAGGAAAGGTTAATTTTATACAATAAATTTATTGTTTAAACTTTATTTTAACATTATTTTTTTTTAAATTTATCAGATTTATTAAATGACAAATATTAAAGGTTACATATAAAGATTGTACACTTATGCTATTATTTGAGAAATATTGAATTATAAAAATTAATTTATTTTTTTTAAAGTAAAAATATTAAATTTATTTTGAAAAATAGCCCAGAATTAAAGCAAACAGTACTTTCTAAGAAGGTTCACTATGAAGTAAAAATAAGCAAAAACCAATATTTTTATTAATATTATGTAAAAATCTTTTATTATAATCTAAAATTTTAATGTATCAATTTATAAAAAATTGATTTCAACTTACAGTCTTTTTTCAAATTAATAATTAATTAAAATATTTAAATACTTTTTTTCATACAAAATAATTTCTAAATTTCATTATAATAATTATAAATTAAATATTATTGAAATTAAAATAATAAATAAATCTATTGTTATATAATGACAGTTCCGAGATGGTGTAGTGGAAAGCATTGCAGCTTGTCTCGCTGCAGACCTGGGTTCAATTCCCAGTCTTGGAGAAATAATAATTTTTTAATTAACAATTTATAATTTTGCTTATTAAGTGAATTATAACTTTCTTTTAAAAGCTAAAAATTTATGATATTGTAATGACATTCAAAATATTTTAGCATATTATTCTACAAAGGTTTAGATTTGGAATTAATTTAATGTTTCTGAAAAATTTATTTCAGTAAATTAATAAATTTAAAATAAATAAATAAATATATGGCACATAAGTGTATGTTAATTTTAAATTAATCATATTTATTTCAATTATAAATTAATATTTATTATGTTGAATAACAAATAAGATAAATGCTGACACTTACTTTTTAAATTTACTATCAATTTACCTGTGACTATACTATTCTTAGTTTTCTTATTTCAAAACGCTCCCACAATATGAAGGGTTAATTTTATTCTTATTAGTAATTAATTATTAAGAGGATTTTCGTTATTTATCACAAACTTCGTCTATTTGCATAGCATATTTCATCTAGCGAGAATTAAAATTAAATTTTTATAATTCTTACCTTATATTAGAATCCACCTTAACTTATAGTCCATCTAAAGTTAGAAAATTTATGGTAAAATTATTTTTAAACTATTTAAAAAATTAATTGCTTTATTAAAATAAATGACTAGCCTTCATCAAACTCTTTTAATATTTTTAATTTTATTTTATTAATGATTTTTTAGCTAATTAACAAGGTTTATTTATTTCTAAAACGGTAAAATTAGTCATCATAAAATTTATTTGGCTAAAAATCTAAATTTAATCTTATAGGATAGTTCAATTTCATTACAATTAATATATTGTTTTAACTTTCTTTTAACATTATTTGAAAAAAAATTATATGATTTATTATTTTTTTACAAAAATTAAATGTTACATAAAAATTTTTTAAACTTTTGCTATTATTTGAGAAATATTGAAATGAAAATTAATTTAGTTTTTTTTCTTAAAAAATTAAAAATATTAAATAAGTTTTAAAAAGTAGTCAATTATAATAAAAAATATTTTCTAAGAAGGATCACTAAAAAATAATAATAAGTAAAAATAAATATTTTTATTTTAACAAAAAACTGATATCTACTTACAATATTTTTTCAAACCAATATTTAATTAAAATTGATTAATACTTTTTTCTTATAAAATATATTTTAAATTTCATTATTAATAATCGTAGATTAAATATTATTGAGATTAAGTTAAATAAATAAATCTATTATAATATAATGACAATTCCAGGATGGTGCAGTGGAAAGCATAGCAGCCTTTCAAGCTGCAGACCTGGGTTCAATTCCCAGTCTTGGAGAAATAATATTTTTTTTTATTACTAATTTATAATTATGCTTAACTATGTGAATTATAACATTCTTTCAAAAAATAAAACTACTTTTAAAATGAATTTTAAAAGATTTTAGCGTTTTATTATACAAAAATTTTAGACTTGTAATTAATTTAATGATTCTGAAAAAATTTATTTCTGTAAATTAATTAATAAATTTAAAATAAGTTTATGGGGCATATAAGTGAGTGGGTGTTAAATTTAAATTAATTACATATCAATTATATATATAATGTATACTATTAAAATCTTTAAATATACTTAAAAATTCTCATTTTTTGCAATCCCAGCATTTATGATTCAAACAATATTAATTATATGAATAAATAATTCTTGGGATTTAATTATATTAAATAAATTTTTTAAAAGTATTTAAAAAATTAAATGTTTTAATAAAAGAAAATTAAATGAAATTGATTTAACCTTAATCGACTCATTTAATATTTTTAATTCAATTTTAGTGCTTATTTTTTAGCTAAGAAACAAGGTTTATTTGCTTCTAAAACTGTAAAATTAGTACTAACAACATTTCTTTGGCTTAAAATCTGGATTTAATCTTAAGTAATAGGTCAATTTTGTGACAATAAAATTTATAATTTAAAATTTATTTTAACCTTATTTAAAAAATATTATCAGCTTAATTAATAATATAAAAAAATTAAAGACAATTATAAACTTTTGCTATTATTTGAAGAAATATTGAGTTATGAAAAAAAATTATTATTTTTTTAATATTAAATAAATTATGAAAATAATCTAGAATTAAACTAAAAAATATTTTCTAAGAAGGATCACAAAGAAGTAATAATAAAGCAATATTTTGATTAATTCAAAGAAAAAATCTTTCATAATATGCTATTATTTAATGTACCAATTAATAAAAAATTGATCATTACTTCCAGTCTTTTTTAAAACTAATAACTAATTAAAATTGATAAATACTTTATTCATATAAAATATATTTTAAATTTCATTATTAATAATCATAGATTAAATGTTATTGAGATTAAGCCAAATAAATAAATCTATAATAATATAATGACAGTACCAGGATGGTGTAGAGGAAAGCATAGCAGCCGTCCAGCTGCAGACCTGGGTTCAATTCCCAGTCTTGGAATAATAATTTTTTAATTAACAATATATAATTTTGATTTTTATGTAAATAACTTTTTTTCTAAAATTAAAACCTTATGATATTTAATATTGATTTCAAAAAATTTTATCATAAATATTATTTTAAAAAAGTTTAGACTTGGAATTAATTTAATATTTCTGAAAAAATTTATTTTGATAAATTAATAAATTTAAATAAGTTTATTACACATCATAAGTGAATGCTAATTTTAAATTAATTATATATCAATTTACATTTGGCTATATAATATTTAAGAATTCAAATACATAAAAATTTATTTTCATAGTATAAAATCAATTATTTAATTGGTCTTATTAGACTTTATTTTACTAACTTTAAATGAAATTAATTTTAAAATCATAAATAAATATGCTATTTTCAACTTAAATTTTTTTACTTTATGACACTGTTATAATTTAATATTATAATTATTTAATGGCAATATTTTATGGTGTTAATCTTTTGTTGAAGTTTATTTTTATTTTAAATTTTAGAAAGATATAGAAATTTTTAACACTTCCTTCCTATGGACAAAAAAGAATATAATTTTTTTAAGAAACATTTAAGAAATATTTATTACAAGGTAGAAATAGATTTGATACCTCCTAATTTATAATTATAAAACTAAGTAAATACAAGTAGAATATTCAAAGCAATACATATTTTAAGTGTAAAAATAAATGAGCAACTTAAAGAATACTATTAAAATTGTAAATATTATTTATTTTTGTAGGCATTTCACTTTTTTGTCAACTCAAACACTTTATTTTTTTTATTAATTTCAATAATTTAGCTCTATGGACTTGGTAATCCTTCACCAAATTATGACAAAACTCTTCATAGTATAGGAAAGGTATACATTAATCACTTAGCTAGGGTTTATAAAGCAGAATTCAAGCAGTCAAGAGGAAAAGGTTTTTTTGCAGCTTTTAACTTTGCAAATCGTATTTCTATATCGTCTATTTCTGTTGATACGATAAATATCTTTTGCATATTATTAAAGAATAATTATTTATTTGTATTAATTGCAAAAAAATAGGAGGAGAGTATGCTCTAATTAGAAACTCTAAAGGAGAGCAAGTAGCTTTATTCAAATCTGACAGCTTTATGAATCTCAGTGGTGTTCCCTATAAACAATTTTTGAAAAATTGTGATGTAAAAAATTAGTTTTAAAGTCCATTCACTTACTTGCAAATATACTTCTTTTTTAAAAAAGATTAAATAACAACTATATTTTAATACCTTTATTTTGTATAACAAATATAATTTAAAAAAAGACTATTTAATATGCAAACCAATACATTGTCCATGATGACTTAGAGTCAAAGCCAGGAAAATTCAAAATAAAAAATGGTGGAAGTCCAGAGTAAGCAAGCATCAATTAGTTTTTCAAAAATTCCATTAAATTATTTAATAATTTTATTTAAAGAGGCCATAACGGATTAAAATCAATAATTGACAGCATTGGAAGCAAAGATTTTTAAAGGCTTAAAATTGGAATAGGTTGATATAATAATTTATTTAATAAATATTAATCTAAATTTAATATAAAAATAGGAAGACCTGATAGTAAAGATCCTGAAGTTGTTGCAAATTATGTAACATCAAATATATCCTCAGGTAAAAGAATCTCTATCAAAACTTAACCTTTGATATTATTTTCTTGTTTACACTAATTAATTTTTAGTTAATATTTATAAATTAATATTCATATAATTAAATAAGAGGAATACAGGCGTTACAAAGAAGAAATATTTCCTTAGATAGATGAATTCTTAAAAAAAAATAACATATTATGAATATTATTAATTATATGTTGTTATTTTATATCTTATCAATTTTTTATTTGCCTTGCTTAAAATCATACATTTTTAATAGATTTGATCTAAATAAATACTTAAAATATAAATTTAACTTAAATAAATTAAAAAAATAATTAATAAAAATCTTTGGGTATTTATTATTCGCACAAAATATTTTTCATTTAAGAATGTTTGGTTTATTCAATAAAATTAATTTTTGCTCAAATAAATATTATTTAGCAAAATTTTAATTAAAATAAGAAAATATTAAGGGATTTAAAGAATATGAGGTGTTTGCTTAAGTTTTTCTTCTTAAATATTTTGAAAACATTACATTTTTCTTTAAATTTATCACTAAAGAAGACATTAAGTTTGTTTGAAGTCTACTTAAACAAAATTATTAATTAAAAGGATAAATTAAAACTATAAATTATTTATATAATTGAATATCTAAAAAGTGAAATTTAAATTAGAACATTAAAATAACAGAAAAGGCTACTTACTGAGTTTGAAGAAGGAATTAATAAAAATGCAAAAATGAAATATTAAAATTATAATTTAATGAATTGCTTGCTATTTCTCAAAATGAATTAATATTAAAATAGTTTTCATTTTATAAATTAACATGAAAATTTAATTTACTAAAAAATAAATGGCTAAAAAATAACTTTATTGATGATAAAATTTTATATTTTATAAATTGATAAAAAGTATTAACTTTTTTTGTTTCATCAAAAACTTACACAAATTAAAGTAAGATTTATTTTATATGTATATAAATAAATTTTAATTAAGTTTTAGTATGATAATTATGAACATAAATCTGATACAAATTTTTAAGTACTTAGGCTAAGAAAATGTTTACTAATTTTGTTTAGAGATTTTAATGAAGTAATAAAATGTACCTAAAAAGTTAATAATGTTGATTTGGTTGATTAATAAAATTAGATTTGAAATAAATCTTTTATGCCTTCTGCTGCTTTTTGAGTGTCATACTTACATGAAAAACAATTTAATCATCATCAAAATACTTAATTAATATTCCAAAATAATTAGAACTAAGTAATTTTTCTGAAAAAAAAGATTTGTGAATCAAAAAAATAATTAAATATCTTTCTTTACAAAATATGAGCACACAATTAAATAATATTTTAGAGAAATAGGTCAATATCAAGGTTAGGGATTTGCTTATTATACCTACTGCTTGGCTTTTTTACAAGGGTCTTCAGAAAGTATATAGAGGTTTAAAGCTCGAAATATCTCATAGTAGAGTTGTAAAGGCTGCTAAGCAATCTAGATAATAGAGAGATTAATTAGTTAATAGCTTTATTATACCAAAACCAAATTTAAGCGATGAATAAATTGATACAATTACTAGATCAGATATATCTGAATTAAAGAAGATGCTTGAAAAAGGAGAAGTTACAAGTGTTGATCTCGTTAACATTTTTGCTGCTAGATGTTAAAAATATGGTATAAAGTATGAAATAATTACTCACTTAAAGTATAATGAAGCTATTGAGCAAGCAAAGGAATGTGATCAATTAAGGTAAAGCTCCCCAGAAGCTTGCTAAGGATATCTGTTTGGTATTCCTATCTCGATTAAAGAGAGCTTCCTTGAAAAAGGTAAATAGGAAACACAGTTTATATGCTGACTTACTTCTAATTATTGATAAAATTTGTTTTATGCTTAAATTTCCATTTGCAAACTATAGAATTTTTTCAAATATAGATAAATATTTATTTTATTGCATTGAGGAGTTTATTATTCTTAATTGAGTATTTGTTATAACAACAACTAAACTAAATTTTTTTATTAAACTAGATTACCCCTCTACAAGCGGTTGCTCAGCTAGAGTAAATAGAGTAGAATAAGAAGATGGAATTAATGCTAAATAGTTAAAGGCTGCTGGAGCAATTTTGCTCGTTAGGACAAATGTCCCTCAACTTTTGATGACTTTTGAATCTATTAACAATATTTATGGAACTAGTTAAAATCCATGGGATAGAACTAAATCTCCTGGTGGCTCTTCTGGTGGTGAAGGAGCTGCTATTTCTGGAAGATTATCAGTAGCTGGATTAGGTAGTGATATTGCAGGTTCTGTTCGTAACCCAGCAGGTAAAAATACTAATTTCTTTTACTTAATAATATATATTTTATCATATTAATAATAGGAATGTGTGGAGTTTTTGGACTAAAACCTGGCACTCATAGAAGTATAGAATAAGGAGAAGCCAGATCATCAGAGGCTTTTGATGGATAAAGAACTATTCCTGTAAATTTTAAATTCAATTTATGAATAATAAATATATATTTAACATAGGGTACATCAGGTTTTTTAGGAAAATCAGTTAATGATTTGGTTTTAATGTTTAAAAGTATGATGAATCCTGAAATATTATAATCAAGAGGTAAAAGTGAAATCCCAAGCCACAATCCTATCCTTCCTATAAGAGATGAAGTCATTTTTAATTAAAAAAAGAATAGAAAGTTTGGCTACTTCAAAACTTTGTCTGCAATGGATTCAGCTTCTTGCTAACAAAGAGCTGTTGAATTAGCTGTTTAAAGTTTAAGAGAACAAGGACACGAATGTGTAGAGATAGATATTCCCTTTTCTGAAGAGCTACACTAAATAGCTAATTAAGTCTATTTTGGTGATGGTTTCGAAATCTACAAAGAAGTATTAGAGGGAGAAAGTATTTATTCATTTATTATTTGTTTTTACTAAAATCAATCTTTTTAAATTAATTATTTCTTTTAAAATATTTCATAAAGATTTTATTTTTTAAGAAAATGATTCTTTCTTATTAAAAACTAAATTAAAAATAACTTGTTTTTTTATTTCTAATAAACATTTTATTTTAAATATTAAAAGAGGAGATCGATATTTATACACCCTTGTTTAACTTTTGCAGATTGTCCAAAGTTAATAGAAAACTTAAATCGTTCTTTTACAATTAAATCGGCGAATAAAGACTTAAAAGAACAGTTGATACTCTTGAACCAATTACTCTTGTTGAAAACAATAAGGTTTCATATCAAGTATTTTCTGTAATTTCAAGAATGTTGCAAATATTTGATGATAATAAGATTGAAGCTATTATTTGTCCTTCATTTGTTTCATGTGCTCTACCTCATGGATATTCGAAGATTTCCTTCTTAATATTCATTTACACTTTTATGTGGAATATATGTAATTTCCCAGCAGGTAATTAAATTTATGAACTAATAAACAAATTTTTTTTAATTGCTTTTAAATTAATTAACAAATTAAAGGTGTTTTACCTGTAACTACCGTCAGAGAGGATGAATAACACTACAAGAACAGCAGGATTTAAGACTCAATTTCTAAAAATTTGCATAACTTAATGACTTAGAATACCAAAGGCCTTCCTGTTAATGTTTAGGTGGTTTCAACACCTTACAACGAAGAAGTTGTTCTTAATGTTATGAGTTTAATAGATTCTTAAATTCAGTTTTACAAAAATCATAAGTTACCTGATTTAAATTGAGTTAATATCAAGAATTCTAAAATTCCTTATAGAAGGATAAAATTAGATTTTGAATTTAATTTTTTCATCTTTATTCGTATATATGTTTTTAAAACACAATGTTTCTTTTTAAAATTAAGAAAAATAAGATATTGTGGATCAATCACCAAAGCTAATATTGGTTTGTATGTAAAATAGAATTTTATTTATTTCTTTTCTAGAATTTACACTTTTCTAAAGCAAAGAACTATAAAAGTAATTTTTTAATTTTGATAAATTATTTCTTGTTTTTATTTTTAAAGTTTGTACTATTAATAGAAAAATCATTTTACTCTAAATTCATACAAAAAAATACAAAAAAGTATTTTATAAATAGAGGATTTTCTTTATTTAAAATACAAAAATATTCGTTTCAAAATTATTTATCTTAGTGATAAGAAAAATGAGAAAAAAATATGAAGCAAGCATTTATTATTTTAATTCTAATTTTCTTATCAAAAAATGTAAAAAAAAATACTGTTGAATTAAGTTAGTTACGTCAAATTTTATTTCAGTATTATATTTTGGTATGACGTTGAATTTTTAATAAACAGCCAGCTTTCAATATTCAATTAATGTCTAAAAATGTAATTACGAAATAATAAAATAGAGAGATGCATTTATTACTGAGCTTGAAAAATATTATTTTTTTACAGCAAAAAGAGTTTTTTGATTGTGAATAAAACTTAAAAATTGATTTACCTATACAATTAAAATAATTTTTATATATTTATAGTAAAAAACTGTTATTGGTGACTAATTCAAACAAACAAATAAATTTTTTAACATAAAAAAACTCTTTACTTTGTTTGGTTTACAGTTTTGGATAATAATTTAATTAAAACAATAGAAAGATATTTAATTTATATTGCAATTCTTATTATAAGCTCATCAAATAACTTTTCGAGTGCTTTTAAACAAAATTTTTTACATTTAGAGCATTACACTCAGAAATTTAAAATTAAAATAAATCAAGTATTTTTGCATTAATTATATGAAATTAATTTAAACATTAACGAACCAAATTTAATGACATTCAAGTATTTGAATAAAGAAAATAACTTTAAAATTTTACTTTTTTTTTTCACTTGATAGAAATTACATTTTTCTTCGAGTATAGAAAAAAATTTTAGATTACATAAATTTTTCTTTTTAACTTTTTATCCAATATTATAACATTATTTTGAGACTGAGATATTGTCAATCAGACCAGGAAGGAAGGAGATTGACTGACTATATTTATTTTTTAATTTCATGTAAAAAATTGAAATTGCATTTTGTCATTTAATTACTTAAAATTAAAATAGATGAGGTGATTTAACTGTTATAATTAATATCTCGCTTACAATCTGGTACTAAAAGCTAATTAAGTTATTTCAAACATTAATTGACTTTGATTCTTTAAATTCATTATTAAATTTGAGAGAAACCTTTGAATTATAAATACCTTCAGTAATATTTAATGGTCACCTTTAGCTTCATATTTTTCTATTTACTATAATATATAATAGAACTAACAAAAAGGAAATCACGACATTTAGATTAAATATTACTTTAATATTTGTGATTAAATTTAAGGTTGTCATCCAATCTAAAATAGATCCTTAAGATGATAATATAAAATTAAGTTATCAACTTAATTTACTCAAATGAATTTTGTGATAATACTTATGTATCAGTATATTTTTGTATTATAATATCATGAAATTGAAATTAAATACTTCAATTAGTATCCTTTTCTTTCAATTTTTGTTATATTTTTCCTTCTCAGTTAATCCATAATAGTTAACAGATTATTTGTTTATTTTATTATATATTTTTCTAAAATAATTAATTATATCAGGTATATTGAAACTATTTAAATAATCATGCTTATGAAATAGTCATTCTTCCCACTCCTTACAATTTTTTAAGGCTCAGAATAAGGTAGAAGTTTTTGCAAAAATTTAGATAATAGTCATTTATTCAAAACGGGCATAAATTTAATTTATGGTTTTGATGTTTGTCTTCTATTTATAGTCCTTTGATTATCTTAATTATAATTAAGTTAATATCTTGTATTTAAAGCATATGAAAAAGTAAGACGTCTATTTTTAATTGATGTCATTATTTGGAGATGCTCATGAAATCTAAAATAAAAGGAAAAATAATAAAAAAAAACAGTATAAATTCTAATCTTAATAAAATAATTAATCAGATTTATAACTAATTTTATTTTTCTGTGTCTCGGTAGCCATTTAAACAGCTTTTTTAATTATCAAGTAAATTACAAATCTAATGGCTAGTTTAGTGTTACAATTTTGGTCGTTCTTAATATTAAAATTGAGAATTTTTTAATCATGTTAAAATTCAAAGGATCAGCTGAAAAATTATTGTCCTTTCATTCAAAAATAAATATATAACATAGGTTCATTCATTCATTCAAAAGACTTGGAGAGTATGCGAATAATTTGCATGTATTTTATTATATTTAGTGAAAACGATTACGTATTAATTAATGAATATTGTCGAACTATATAATTTAAAACTTGCTCTGAGTCCAGGAGAAAAAAATTATAAATAATAAAAAGTAAAAAAAACCAGATCTCAAAAAAAAAATCTGATAAAAATATAATCAACAATTTATTAAAAAAAATACCAAATCTACTTTAAAAAACGCACTACATTAAATAAAATGAGCACAATCGCTAACACTTTGAAGTCTGCAACTTTAAGAATGAGCTCTATGTCTAGTATTAACTGTGGAAGTGGTAGAAACTTTGTTACTCCTGCCATTAATATGATGATTAGTTCAGAAAACACAACCAATTAAACTAAATATGACAATTCCTAATTTCTTAATAATGGAAATAACAATGGCTCAGGTCATTTTAAATTTAACACTTACACGTAACCTTTCGAAAGAACACCTTTTGTTAAGACCAATTACCTTAATTGAAAGATAATCAGAATGTCTAAAAAATTTCTAATTTTTCCTCAGAGAATGATAATAAATATATGTGTAGGAGCACATTTTCTTATTTCTAATAGAAATTAAGAAAATAATATAAAAATATCTATTTTCTTATGGAAAAATTAAAAATTCAAATTATGAATAAATGAACGATTTGCGCTTGAAATGCCAATGACAATTTTTAACAAAAAAAAAATAAATAAATGAACATAAACAAATTAAAAATAAATATCTCTATTTCAAAAATATAAAAAACAATCTATACAACAAAACCAAACTACTTTACTACTACCTATATAAAGAATTTTATTTAACACTTGTATTTTATGTTATTATTGCGTTAACAAATGTATTTAATTACTCATTTTCAAAGACAGACTAAATTTAGGTTTACTAAAATTAGTATTAAATCTACTATTACTATGCATGCTGTACCAAATTAAACTACAACCTTTTTATTTATTATAATTTAAAGATTGAAATAAAGACACTTTATATGACAAAGTTTCTATTATAAAACTAATTTATTTTTGAGAGTATCTGTTAGGTTCTAGGAGCAATTTAGAATCAAAATATTATTTATATATTTTTTAAGTCAATTCTTTCAAGATAGATAGATAGAGAGAAATTTAATTTTTATTATTATTAAAATTAAAATTAGTTATATAATCAAGATTTTTGTGATGAATATAGCGTAATAAATATCATAAATTAAAATTTGAAATTTCTTTTCTAAATCAGAAAATTTCTAATTATCTGTTATTAAGTAAAAGAATAAATTACATATTTTTTTATACAAAAAATAATATCTTTCAAATTTCCTTGATTTGATAGAACATAAACTATTTTTAGAACTAACAATTTCAGAAACAAAAAATATAAAAATATTGCTAGAAATATTATTTTTAACTTCAAATATTAAATGAAATCTGAATAAATTTATTCTATAATTATATAAAACTAACTTTATATATTTAGAGCTTTTTAATTTTAAGCATTTGAATATTATTAAAATTTTAGCAGTGGGATTTGACTATTTTTTATAACACCAAAAAATTTTGTATTTTTATTTATACTTAATATATAAAATTTAGGTAAAATATATAAATAGTAGTCTTTCCCCCTTTATATTATAAATACATACTCTGAATTATTGATTGATTGTCTTGATAATTATAAATAATTAGATTTAATTTGTGTCTATTTATAGCATTAGTTTGTTATTTTAACAAATATAATTAATTAATTTTAGGTAAGAAATAATTTCGAATGAATTCTTATATAATATTTATTAAAATTGTTAATAATAATTATTTCATTGAGAGTAACATTTTTAATTATGTGGAAAATAATGAAAGATAATGATTAATAAATAAAAATCTAATTTATAATAAAAAATATGATCAGCAACAAATTAATATTCTTCTTTTTCAGTGATTAAATACTTTCTTATAATTTAAATAATTAATAAAAGAATTATTTATTTGATAAGCTTTATAATTTGATTATTTTATAATAAATATAATAATTAAATCTTTACATTTGTTGCAAAAATACAATAGTAGGTTATTCCTTCAATAATAGGATTTATTTTAAATTCTAAATTTTTACCTAATACATTTTGTAAAATACAATTAATCACTATAAATAGATTGATTTTACATTTGATTCTAATTGTTATAATATTAATTTATAATACAAAATTATTTTCTATTTTTTATTTAGTTTTGTGATAGAAATTTATATAAATCTATTTTATACAGATTTATTAATGTTTTTTTAGTTAAATTTATCTTTAATATTGCAAAAAATAGGTTTTAAAAATCTTGATAGCTAACTATAAAAATTTATTGATATAAATATTCAATAAGATTTAGTTTAAAAAAATAAAACATTTTTCAAATATATCAATTTTTTTATATATCAAACATTTTTAAGATTAAAATGTTCAATGAATTTAATTTAAAACATCTTATTTTATTAATATGAACTCAATTTTAACTGCCAAAAATCTAACATTAAAGTATTAAATTATATTTTTGATTTAACTAACATAAATAAATATAAACTTAGAAAAAAAAAAATAAATATTTCATTTAACTTAAATTAAAAGGTTTTTAAAAAAAAAACAAATTATTATTCTTTCTACTTTCTTCTTCTTAACAAATAAATTTATTTCAGCTTCATATTTCAAAGTCAATTTTTTGGCTTAAGAGAAATTAACAATAAATTAAGTTTAATAGGATTGTTTTATAAATATTAAAAGTTCACTAAATTTTATTTTATCTATGACACAAATTTACAATAATAGTTTTTGTTAAAAAGGAATTGTTATTTAAAATTTATAAAAAATTTAGTTTTAAATTTATAAAAATTTAGTTTTAAATTTATAAAAATTTAATTTAAAATTTATAAAGAATTTTTATATTTGATAAATTGTTTAAAATTTAATAATTTTTTAAATATAAATTTTTACTAAATTAGTTTTTAATAAATACATTAATTTAAATAAAATCTATAAATAAATTTTTAGAAATCATTTTATAAAAATAAATACTCAACTAATTCAAATTAAAATGAAGGTATTTTAATTTTAGAAACAGAATATTCAACTAGAAAAAAGTGATTTAGAATTTAATTTATTTATAATTTTTAATTTAATATTTTAAAATTTATTATTAATATAAAATTTTCTTACCTTTTAAGAAATAAAAATGATAAAAGCTATCAATGTATCATTTTCAATAAAAATAATTATGATGTTTATTAAAATTAAATGAAATTTTAGAGCAAATCTTTAATCACTTATATATATATATTTAAATAATATAACTTATTTATTAATATTTAAATAAATCCATAATATTTAATTAAAACTAAACTATAAGATTATGTTTATTTGTTAATTATCATTTTACAAATTAATTTATTATTTTTTCTTTTCATTTTAAAGAAATAAATTAAAATTATTTTAATTATAAAAACGAAGCTAATTTTATGGAGTACACACACCTTGGAGGAATTTTTTTCATTTCATAATCCTAATAAAAAAATGACGTGGAGTGTGTATAATATGGGCATTATCAGAAATTTAGCTCAATAATATGTATTTTATTCCATTTTTAATTAGCCTCATCAATTACCAAAGAGGACCTACTTTATTGCTTTAAGTTTGTTTTATAAAAAAACTTTAGTGTTACTAAATTATAGATTTTTGACATTCATATTTATTTGTTAAAATTAAATTATTTATCGAGTTAAACGTCAACTTGAGGTATTATAATTTTCAAGATTAAGATTTACCTATGTTATTTTGAGAAATAATTACATTTACCAAACTTATTCCCTTATACTTTTTATAGTAAATTTTTCTTAGCAAATTTATTTTTCTTTCAAAGTTATTTCTTTTTAATTTTTATTTATAAATATTAAATATAAGCTCAAAGTCAGAGTAAAGGATAATTTGGTAAATACCTTTCAAAATTAGATTTTTAAAATTATTAAAAGTAGCTTTTTTAAACTCTTATTAAATATTGCTAAAAAAATAAATGATAATTAAAGTCTACAATTTTATTTAGTTAGTTTTTACTGACTTTAAAATAATAATTATTCTTTGATTGTTTTATTTGATTTTATATATCAGGTATTATAATATACACTTATCTTATGAAAGTAAATTTAAAGCAGATGTTTTTAATTTTTATCTTAATTAAGATATTTAAAAAATAAATCACTATTAATTTTAATATTTTATTCATTCACCTTATATAAATATATCAATACAAAAAAATTCAAAAAATAGATAAAAAAATATATTTTACATTTATATTCATGAAATTAAACATAAATTATAATATATTTTATTAGTTAATATTAAATAAAAAAAGTTAAATAAATTAGAATTAAGAACTGATAACTATTTATTGCTTTAATTAGTTTAGATAACAATCAAAATAAATATGAGCTTTATTTTATTTGTATATTATGGTTTATTTTATTGGCTCTTTTTATTTTTTTAACAAATAAAAAAATGATTTTAATTAAAAATGAAAAAGGTTTATTATATGAATTTATTTATTGTAAAGTATTAGGTTTTATTAATTATTTTTAACTATTTTTTAAATAAAATTGTTTTGTATTTTATTAAAAACTATTTTTAAATAAAATAATTAATAGCCTTTATATTAAGATTTATTTTTTGATAAAGTATTTTTCTCACTTGTATTTGCTTGAGATAACATATTTTTTGTCTTTTATCTCTTCAAAATATTAAATCTAAGTTGTAATAAGAATGAATTAATTATTTAATTAGTATAAGTTAGTTAGCTGTTTACAATATCTTATTAGTTTATAAAAAAATAATTTCAAATCAGCTATCTTAAAAATAGAAATTATTTGTAAAGTTATTTAAGTAAATTTTATTAAATAATTTTATTTTATTTAAAAATAATTTTTTAATAGAATTTGAATTAATTAATTTGCTAGTATAAAGAATTAAGATTATTTTTGATTCATAATTCGGGGTTTTTAATGAATTTTTTAATTAAATAAATACACTTTTCTAAGACGTAATTTCAAAATATGTATTAATTATTTTTTACATATTAATCTTAATAATTAACAATTTGTCTATTGCTGAGGTAAATAATACTCATTTGCTCATAATCAGTCATTTATTAATAGGTTTAGTATAAAATCTGTGAAAAATAACTAATTATTTAATAATTGTCTTGTACAAGTGTAGGTATTGCCAAATTATATTCTAAATTTCTAGATCTCTTTCATGATATACACCAGAGGTATGTTTCTAAAGTATTTTTTTGTTTATGTTTTTAGCTAATTTTTTATAAAATGAAATCAAAAAAATCTTAAAGATATGAAAATATTAATCTTTACAATCCTTTCCGATTAATAAAATAGAATTTTATGATATTAAATTTTAAAATTTTAAGAAAAATAAAACTAATTTTAATATAAATTAATAAACAAGTGTTTTTAAATTTTACAAAATGAATGATAAAATGTATGTAAATCAAAGAAAATTTGTAATAAGATTAAATCTAATTTTCACAAAATTTTATTATTAAATTTACATTTTCATAAACAACAAAAAAAATGAAGCATTAATAATATTTTTGGCTACTTAAAATAATTATATTAAGTGGCAAAAAAATATATAATTTAAATAAGATTTTGTATATTCCTCAAATCTGTCTGTTTTGTTTAACAACACTATTTTCAAAACTACTTTTATATATTAATTAGCAAGGATAAAGACTTTAAATGAGCATAGTAAAGAATATTGTGTAAGAAAATGTGATGGTTTATTAGAAGTGAATTAGAAAATTTATACAAAAAACAAAAATAATACGTATAATTTTTATATATAAGAATATTATTAAGTGTATTATTAAATAATCACATTTAATGGTTACTTATTGATTATTTTTTATTTATTGGTGATGAGATTTATGGGAAGCGACAGATGACAATTGTTAATACAAAATTTTAATACATCATTATCAAAAAATGAAAGCAATTATTATATGACGACTTTAAGAAAAACGGAAGAATAATGAATGAATGAAAGTTTATTTTTTAATTAAGGTTTTATTTAAAATTTGTATGATTAAAGTGTCTCATTATTTAATTAACTATCTATATCAGTTCAATTACTTTCAAGAAAGAAATTTCAAATTACTTGATTAGTTTACTTATAAACCATATTTGAAATGTAAATAAATGGATAGCTACCCTATTAAATACTTTTTTGGATGGATTTACTTTTCAAACGGAAATCCTTTTTTCTTAAATAAGTTCTTATTGATCTTTTTATTTGTTATGATGCTGAATTTTATTTTCAATTTTAGTTTATGAATTATGCAATTAATTTGAATTTGTTTTATGTAAGGTTGATCCTATTCTTTTTCCAGCTTCGATAAGGGTTTCCTCTGTCTTGCAAAAAGCAATTCTTACTAAATTTTAACCAATATGGGCATATTATTTTGAATAAAAGGCAGAGCATGGCAGAGCAACAACACCCTTTTCTTTACAAAGCCAAAGACAGAAGGCCCAATCTTTGGTATAAGGGCGATTCGACTCTGGATTTGTGTAGTAAGCCTAAGGTACTTCAATATTAGAAATGTCAGCCAAAACACTGCAACCACCCTCAGGGATATAAATATTAAAATTAATAGGGGAACTTATCAATTCTTTAACGAGTCTAGTTCGACCTTCTTTGAGCTTCTTGTTAAATTCTTAGAAATAATCACCCTTTAAGGATTATTCCAGTGTGTCTGCAATAGCTTCTTATAAGGGTCCATAAATACAAAATCCGTTGTATTAATGGAATGCAGCAGTACATTTGATTAAATGCTCAGGACCGATCTATTGAATAAATAAATAAATTTAATTGGCGAAATAATAAAATTTTATTAAAAAAATCAAATCAAAGTCTTTGTGGGTAAAACAAAAGAAGATTTTTAAATTCTACTATTTTCAAAAAAAAATATTATGAATAAATGAATAAAAAAGTAATTAATTGCTCTTTTTGTTGGTTTGTTTGTATCAGTTATGCAAAAACTTCATTTATTTATTAATTTGATTATTTTTTCTTACTGATTTATTGTATAAGTTATTTCCTTTTTTCTTATCAAAACTTAATTTGATGATTAAATTATTTAAAATTTTTGATGATTACGTCAGCTAAAAAATTAAAAAGAAGCGTAAGGGGTAAGAGCGCACTTTGTTTATAATTCAAGAAAGAAGAGCGCAATAATAAAAAAGAGAAAAAGCAAGTCTGACGAATGAATCATCTATCTTAATGCATAAATCACTTATAAAGACAATTAATAAAAAATGGCATTTTTGTTATCTTTTTCTACTTTTTTTGAATTTATGATTCAATTATTTCAAAATTGTCAAAGTAGAATAAAAATGGGTAACAAAATATTGTATTTTTTGCTTTGAAAAAGCATTGAAAAATAAAAAAAAATATTACTGCCCATCCAATGCGTACTCCAGTTGCAGAAAAGAGCTTTCCTGCAGAGCTCACAGAGATTGTTCTCTCCCACATACCAGGAATATTAGCTATTCTTGGTATCTATAAAGGTTCGTATTTATCATAAGCATGTGCTTCGTAAACACCGTCCCAAATAACAACAACACGATCGTATTTCTTGATGATTTCGGCAAATCTTTCAAGCTCTTGTTAAGAGAAAATCTTTCCTGTTGGATTATGGGGGCTGTTTAAAAGAATGGCTTTTGTGTTCTCATTAAAAGATCTTTCAAGCAAGTCCCAATCAATATCCCATTCATCTTATTAAGAGTATTTTAAATCATCAAGACCACGTCTAACTAAATCGTTTTTAGTTACTTTGCCTTTAGGCTCAAGAGGAACAGAGCGCACAATACCTCCAGACATCATTATTTAGGCACGATAGCAATCAAAAGAGGGTTCTATTAAAATAACCTCATCACCTGGATCTACCATACCTAAAAAGGCATTGCAAAGACAAGCAATACCGCCATTTGAAACTAAAACATTAGTTAAAGGATCAATTTCTCTGTTAAAGAGTGGTGAATAGAAATTAGCAATAGCGTTAATCAATTTTTAGTGTCCGTATGCACGAGTGTACTAATGGCTAGACTCTTAAACATACTTTGAAATAGAATCCTAGAAAAAGCTTGGAGGAGCCCAGTTTGGAAAGCCTTGTCCCAAGTTGATTGACTTAGTTTCGTTCGCAAGAGGAGTGAAAATGTCTTAAACACGTTTATTTTCAAAACCCTGAAGACGTTTTGCACTTTTAAAATGTTACTAGCTCATGTTGTATCAATATTAATTGCAGGTAGTTTTTATTAATTGAATATGGTTTTATTAATTTTTTTGGTATTTAATAATATAATAATTATTAATTTGGTAGTAGTTATCAATTTATGTGCAGGTGCTTTTACAAGTAATCAATATGTATCCTATATTTTTTGTTAAAAGTCTTTGATTTTTTAATGATGAGATCAGTATGTTAAATGCGTAGCAAATCCGTTTTGATTAATTATTTGGTTTAAAAAATGGGTAATTATTTAATTATTATTTGTTTGTTAGAAGTAGTGCTGATTTTAGTTAATTTACTTATTAATTGGTAATTAAGTATCTGCAATAAAAAGGATTAATTATTTGATTTATTAAATTAGAATATATATTATTATTGTTAGATAGAGAGTTAGTTCCTTCCTTGTTTTTTTGTTAGTGTTTATTCCCTTTTTACTTTATTTAGGTTTCTATTAATTTTTTTCTTGGCTGTTTTTGATTTGCAATTTTTTTTATTTTTATTAATATTTTATAATTTAAGAGAGCATTTTAGATCAATTTCAAATGCATTTTCTTAATCAATTTACTATTTGTTCAACTCCTTCGTTTCGCTCTTATAAACAAAAGTACTTCATTTATAACAGTTATTTTTAAAAGTATCTTACTTAAAATATACCTAAAATGCTTGAAAAACAGTTTGTTGTAGCTAAGAGAGAATTAATGTTATGTATATGTTTTTTATTATTATTTCAATGCAATCATAAAATATTACTTGCTCCAGAATTAGTCAATACCTATATTTAGCAAATTTTCAATGTTTTCAATATCTTTTTCCATTCAAAACGAATGTCTTTCATAAATTCTCCTAATAAAGCCTATGATCCCTCAAATAAAATTACACTAAAATTCATCTACTTGAGTTTTTCAAAAATAAAATACTATATTAGAAGACCTTTATGTAGAGATGCTGTGAAGATTAAGAGTGATTATCTTATTTTAAAAATTGACACTATAATCATGGAAATATTTAATACAAAAAATTAATGACTGAGCGAATATACTTTGACGCACTTTTAATTAAGTAAAAATGCACTTTTTAACTTACAAATTCTATTGAGTAAATATCAATTCTATGTATCATTTTTATTACTTGATATATACAAGTCTAAGTTCCACTATGCAGTTTACTAAATTGAAGAAATTTATTTTTTATTTCTGGCTAAAATTTAAACTAAAAAACTCTTAACGTTTTTTTATCCATTTTGAAAAACCACAACAAAAAAGGCTAAAATAAAGTCATTTAATTAGATTATCTCTAAAAGTTATTTCTGGAGAAATCATATTTCAAATTAACAAAACTACAAAAGTTTATCTGAATGGACATTATTTACCCCTTGTTAAATTGCCTTAATTTAATTAAAGTAAGTTAATAAGTTTGTAAAGTATTTCATCAGAAATTAAAATTAAACTTTTAATTTTGTTTGAATTTTTAGATTGTACTATTAGATATAGAAACTCTTCTATTTTAAAATATATTACACACTATAATATCATATACATAATTTTTACGAATAAATATTTAATACCTTTCATATTTTTCACAATATTTACAGAACTTTCTAATTATAAATAGATCAAATTAACATTTTTTAAACAATATTCTTTCTTTTATCAAATAAAATTTATTTTTAACAATAAGCTTGGAGTTAAATCCCAAAAAATTGCAATTTTAGCTTCATATGTGGTAATTATCATAATTAATTAGGTTTACTAATTAAAATTATCCTAAAAATATTGCTTGATAGCTTCTATAAAAAGAAATTTAATATGACGATAAATTTATTAAAAATTGTAATTAAATTAATATATACATATTTTTTACAATGTCTATTTTTTTATCACTTAAAATATTCTATTTATTTTTCATAGATTTTAGCTATGCAATGTGATCATACAAAACTTAAATCATGATGTTTCCATTTACTTTTTTAATTTTAAAAGTATAATTTCTGATAATTCTGCTCGGTTAAACGTTTATGGTAAATATAAACCACCAAATTAATTTTAATAACGTGTTTCTGATGAATAATATACATCTTATTTGTTTTAATTAAATGAATATTTGAGATCAAAAAGACTCAATAAAATTTAAACCAATAAATTTTCTAAACCACATAAAAGTATTTATTTGTGTTCCAATTTAATTTTAATGAAATGTAAAATTTTAAATTTGTCCTGAATACTGTAAATTAAATAATAAGATCAAATTAAAATCCAAAAAATTGATAGATTGAGATCAAAAACCAGAAATTAAACCTAAAATAAATAAATAAATTGAAGATGTAAATTTTTTAAATTTATTTTATGACTTATAAGAATTAACGATCCATGCTTTTTGTTATATAAATTTAACACTAAAGTTATAAATCACATGGTATAAATAACACAAATAAAAGAAAAAATAAATTTATACAATTTATAACTTTTCTTTCTATTCGATGATTTCTATTTATCATATGAGAGGATACTCTCTATAATTTGGCTCATTAAATTATTTTTATTTCGATTTGGTAAAACTTATCTATAATTTAAATAAAATTTAATGCCTAATAAAGTAAAATACTGTATTTCTCAAATATATTAACACAGGGAAAAAAAAAACTTTTGTTAAAAATTGCAGGATTTTAAAAAACATTTCAGGTATTGGAAAAATGAGGTTAAGATATTAATCAATGATGATATACATTAAATAAAATTTAAACCACAAAAATAAAATCAAATAAAATCAAAATTTAATTTTAATTAAATAATTAGAATATAAAAATGTTTTTTTTAAATATTGAAAAATTATATAACACTAAGATAGGTTATAAATACTGTTTATTCTAATGATTATTGAATTACTTTTTTAAATTTATGAACTAAAAAATATTTTTAAATGTTTTAATTTTTAATATTTTTCTTTTTTAAACAAAATTCGAATATACAAAAATAATATACAATAAAGATTCATTTTAATAAATTATTAATTGCTGAAATTTTATTTATATAAAGATTACTTTGATATTTATTTGGCATAAATTTTTTATAGTATTTTTTTTTAATTTAAATATTTCAATTTGATATATACAAACAAAGTATAAAATATTAATAGGAATTTATTTTATATTAAATTACTTCTATTGTGTAATTATTGTTAAGATCACTTAATTATTAAAATATTTATTTTATTTATAGCATCTGAACTTTATTAAATCAGAAAATTGTAATAAGTACAAATGTTGAATAAAATAAAAATGTTGGATAAGCTATAAGGTATTTCTTTTCAAATAGATCAAATCCCTATTAATTTCAAAAGAAGTAATTAGAAAAAAGCCTAAATTTAATAAATATCACTTAATTAATCAGTTGAATAGAAAGATATGTAGACCCTACTGAACTTATAAAGGCTAACAATATCCCAAAAAATCCACTATATAAATATTAAGTAATTAATATGTTTATTTTAAAACGATTAATAAATTTTAAAATTATGATTGTTGTTTATGTTTTTTTTTTATGATAAATTAAACTCATTTTTATTTAATAAAAATTTAACTCTTAAATTTTATATTTTTGTATTATTTTGTTAATATTTTTAATTAGTACTTTTTTTAATGATTAAAAATTTAAGAAAACTTTTTGATTTCATTTTTTTGCTTTTTAAAAAAATGAATTTATTATTATTTTTGCTTTAATTCATATTTAAAAATTATGAAAAAACAATATATAAACTTATAGATATGAAATAAAAAATTACCTTTTCAATGTTAGAACTATGTTGAATAAAGCTAATGCTATAATAGGTAGGATACAATAACCTAATATACTGATCAATGTGTACAAAGGTATTTTTTTATACTGTTTGTTATAAATAAATAGCCAAAATTAAATAATCAATAAATATTTCAGTAGAACTATTTACTTCTTATAAGAGCAAATTAAAAATAAGATATAGCATGATTGACCCAAATACTCCATACCCAAAAACATAACCGAATTGTAATTTAGCAGACTAATAAATAGATTTCATACAAAATATTTTATTATTTTTAATTTTCAAATTAAAAAAATAGTGTTCATATTATTGTTGAATATTAATGGCTTAAGGAGAAGTTGATAAATGCTAACAAATTTTTTTTAATTTAGAAAATTTAAGCTTTCGCCTAAATGCTATTTGTTTTTTAATAATTAAAAATATTATCGACTCAAAAGTTCCTATTAAAAATTTTATATCTTTATCAAAATATTTAGTAAATATTCAATAATATGTTTCATTTTTTATATTTTTACTAGCATCATTAGAAATCCTAGCAATGAGCAAAGAAGAAGAGGACCACATAAATCTGGATCTTCATGAAACTAAGCTTTACCTTACTAAAACTTAAATACTTGAATAATTCTTTCTTTGATTAACTTAAGATCAATTCCTAAATCTATTTTTTACAAACATAAATTATGTTTAACAGAAATAATCAAATAAAATGCTCATAAAAAATTCATTCTTTAACTAATGTTTAATTTAAAAATTCATTCTTTTTAAGCTCATAAGAATTTGTTTTCAAATTTATCTTTTTTTTTACCTTCTAACAATGGAGGTTCATTATCATAATCATAAGGTTATGATTAACCTTAACTATTAGATAATTATTGAGATTCAGGATCATAACTTAATCCCTATGCTTATGCCTTAAACTGTTTGCTTTCTGGATCTAAAGAAATATTTTATTCTAAGAATTTATTCTATTCATTATCTAATGTAGATGTTTCCTATTTACATATCTAAATAAGTATTTTTGATATTAATTTCTCTAATTAATACTTGAACTTCTGGAATATTCACGTCGAAATCTAAATGCACTAATTATTTTATATAATATTTTATTAAGCTTCCTTTTATAGTTAACTTTGTTTAGCTTTTACTTTACCTTATTCTTCTGACATTTTTTGGTGGCTAATGATTATCTGTTAATTCAATCGCAAAATTTATAAATAAAAACAAATTAATTAGAAAATTTTGATTAAAATATCTTTAATTAAAATTAAAATATCACTTCAAAGCAAATCGCTAAATCTAAACGTGTAATTCTCTTTCTCTTTCACAAATTTCAGTTTTTATAATTAAAACAAAACAATAAAATGTTTTCAATAAAATATTCTAATTTATACAAAAACTAAAAAATAATTAAAGAAATAAACCATCAAGAAATAACTAATAATCATATCCAAATATGTTTTAATGTGAAAAATTTAGTTAAAACTAACAAGAAAAATATTCTATATGAAAGAATATTATTTTTTTTGATCTTTAAATAATTTAAAATACAATTTAAATATAAAAAAACAATATTTTATGCAATAAAATGTACATTTTGTAAATTTATAAAAATATGTTAAAATTAAGTAAATAGTCTAAAGGAATAATTTATTCGAAGAATAATTCAAATCACACAAGCAATAATTCCAATAAACTAACAAAAATAACCAATTTTTTATAAAATTTTAATAGAATTTTATACTATAAACAAATAAATTTTTTATTTTTAGGTATTAATCTATCATTAAATTTATAGTCAAAAAAATAATAGATTAATTTTTATTTAAAACATTTATTTGTAACTTAAATCATTCAAAAAATAAATTAAGTCTTGCTAATTTTTAAAATAAATTTATTAAATTTAATTTTAGCATTTATAAAATAAATTTAAAAAAGTTATTAAAAAATAAAAATATTTCTCTTTTTCAAAATATTTCAAATTTTGATATTAATAATATGGACAAATATTATTTAACACTTGGTATTATTTTTCTTCTACTTCTTTTTGATGTTGAAGACTATTTAAAAATTTGAAAGCAATAAAAAATAATTTGTTATTATAATTATTTAAAAAAATCTAACATTTTCCTAAACATTTATTTTAACAGGACATTAAATGTTATATTTTCACTAAAATATGTGCTTTTTAAATAGATTTATTTTATTTAAAGTTTTATAAATATTTAAACAAAATATGAGAGAAATAAAGGTTAGTATCGTTAACCTGTAGATTGAAATTACTTTTTAGTTTTCATATTATCTTATAATACCATTTATTACTAGTCATTCAAAAGTCCTGTCTGTCTATCTAACCCCCCACCTTATATTTTATTGTGTTAAGCTTGCTTTTATTGAAAATTTAAATAGATTCTTTGGTCAAATATAAGATTACTAAATTAAAAGACATTTAAATTTATATAAAATTTTGAAATGAATTCAATAAAATTTATTAAATTTTGTTTTCTACCACCAAATAAATATAACTTTTAATAATTATTTTAAAAATATTTTATTCTATTTTTTTATTTTTTTTAAAAAACAATTTTATTAAATTAATGATATTACTCTAATTTTCCAAGAATAAAGAAATATATTTGTAAGATTTAATTTAAACAAACTATAAATAATCTACTTTATCAATATAAAAAAATGCTCACAATACTTAAATTATTTAAATTAAATAAAAATTAAAAATGAAGAAAAATACTATTATCCCACTTAAAAAAATCTTTTACTGGACAAATTATAATTTCGATTTGGAATCAAATTTAAACTTTTAAATATTTGGTCAGAGAGCAGCTAAATTGGAGAAGTGATAAAAAAGAAATGATAATCATAAAAATATTTAAATTTAAAATTTTTATAATTTGAAAATAGCTAATAAATTATATATAAGTTCTTACTTAGAATTTTATTAGTAAGGGTTTGATAATAAACAAATGATATAATGAAAATGTGGCATCATATAATAATTTATTTTTTACTTAGTATTTTTTAGGATTTGAATCAACATTAAAGAATTCTATATAAAAAAATATATTTAATTTGTCCTATTGATGTAATAATTATCTTTATAAAAGATGAATAGATGATAGGTATTTATTTAGCTAGCTTGAAAATGAGTGCTTATAGGTGAGTAAATGATTAGAATTAACAAAAAATAAATAGAACGATTGCTTTACTTATTGAATAACTAATTCTAATGATGTCAATAGATAAAAAACCTTGTGACCAATTTATATTTTAATTTGATTATTCAATTTGCACAATAAAGATTCTAATTTTTAATATAAGCTATAGTAAATATTCAAAACAACAAAAGTTTATTATAATCATTTGTAAGAATAATACCAAGAAAGCAAAGAGAAATGAATGAATGAGTGCTATATGCAATAAAAGGCGGTGATGGAGATATCTTTGAAATACTACAATTTTACTTAAAATAAAAAGCGATTTAATTATTTTATAAAAGAATAAACAAAGGAAAGCAGATAAGGCATTGATATTAATAAATTAAATCAAATAAACAATCAAAGAAAGAGGGGCTTAAAGGAACAAACAAACAAACAAACAAAGAAATAAACAAAAGTCAGAAAGAAATCAAGCAAAGAAACAAACAATCAATTAAACTAAACTGATTGTTTTAAAGAATATATCTCTATATCCAAAAACTATTTGTTTATTTCTTTTTTGAAAGTAACTTATAAACAAACCTGATCTACGAAGTCTATCCCTAAACAAACAGAATACACATAAATACATTTCATTTTACAGGGGATAAGTCCAACTCTATTTAAGGGGAACAAGCCTCCATTTTTCATTAAACTTTATACAGATAAAACATTTTTTTGCTGAAGGATATCAATTAAAATTCCGAATTATCATTTTATAAATAAATCAAACAGAAAAACAATTCATTCAAATAAAAAATATGATTTTTGGTTGTTATTGCTTGGAAGGAGTCGCTGACTGCGCAGTTATGCTTGCTAGCTCAGCGATTGTTATTCTTAATACAATTTATTTATTGCTTTCTATGCTAAAAGGAATCAAGAATAGACGCAGTAGCTCTGTCAGATCTTCAATTAAATAAATCCGCGGTGCTGAGCGCAAAATGTGCTATTGTTTTAAGATATTCGGAACGGTATTCCTCCTGTTTATTAGTGTAGCTCAATTGTTGGTATGGGTAATAATTAACAATTCACAGCAATCAATAATTCTTATCTAGATGTTTGCAGTTAATATTATATCATGCGCAATTTGGATTTTTGCTCTTATTCTAGATAAAAAATATAAAGGATATACTTAACCTTTGACTTTAATTAATATGCTAATTAATTTGATTTGCAATATATGCGTAGCTCTTCTCGGATCAAGAAATTCTTTAGATAATTAGGATGACGCTGCTTTTTATTTATATTTGGGATTCATAGCTGTTTCGGGAATATATCAAGTTTACATGAAGGTGTATTAGAGGGACTTTGAGTAGATTTCTTTGGATGATATAGACTCCAAAAAGTCAAGTACTTTCAGCATAGAAAATTAAAGAAAAACTACTTCTAATAACACTGCAGGTGAACCTACTGGAATCGATGGCAACTAGAGCAGCTTACAAGATAAGCTATTATCAGAAGAAGAAAATTACGAGTAAGTAAAGATTGGAAAGGCTAACTCCAAATCAGGTAATAGTGAAAACATAAAAAAAGGGAAATCAAATAATGATGCAAATAAATAAAAGAACAAAATATAAAATCCAGAGTAATATGATGAAAAAAATCATGTTAAATCGCAAAACCAATAAAGTAACGAAGATGCTATTATTAAATATGCAGAGGGCAATTGTATTGAAGAAGAAGAAACAAAAATATGTAAATACAGAATAGAAAATATCAGAATAGAAAAGTTTTTAGAGACTATAAAATACTCAAAGAAAACTATTATCTACGAAATTAAATGCACTTATAAAGGAAAAATCTACTCTGTAAAAAGAAGCTTCCGTGAATTCGGAGCACTTAACTCCCAAATGAAATAAAAATATAAGGATTAGAGACTTCCTCCTTTCCCATAAAAGAAAGCCTAGAATTCGATCTTGACATATAATGATTTAGAAGAGAGAAAGAAACAGCTTTCTTAATACCTTTAAAGTTTAAATTAAGTGTGTGAGCCTGAAGAGTTAATTGTTTTTATGACTCAAACTGACTAACAGCCCACTTCTCCCACTCAATATCACCAATAATAATAGATGAGGAATGGCTAAAAAAAATCCTCATTTGGAGAAGAGCACAATCAAACTTTCAATTCTAGCTAAAGCAATAACTACAATGTCCCAGAAATTATTTGGGAGGAAGAAGAAGAGTTAAATGTATCAGTTTGCAGTAAAGATTGAAGACGAGTATACTAAAAAAAAAAAATCAAAATAAGTAAATAAATAATAATAAGTATAAAAAATAATAATAAAAATTAATAAATCAAACAAATTTTTTCCTTCGAAATCATATCAAGCAAGAGTCGAATTTTAATTGATTTAAAATAATCTAAATCAAATAAGTGCTAAATCGAAAAAGTAACTAACTAACTAACTAATTCGCTTATAATTAAAACTTTGACTTTTTAGTATTTTCATTTGTGTTTGAATACATAGATAGATAGATGAGTGAATGAATGAATTAAAAGACAGATGTCTATTTTTCGAACTTTGATGCAAAGAAGAGTCAATATTAAATTTTGGAATTGTTTAAGAGAAAATTTTTGTAAAAAAAACTTACTTTTATAATAATCAAATGTAGCCTTAATTTCTAACAGAACAACCAGCAATGATACATTAATACATACCTAAATAAATGTTTGATGTGTAAAGATGCAACAGATATTTTTCTTTAATAAAAGAATTATCAAAATTGCATATAAAACTTGAAAGAAATAATTAATTAAGAGCGAAAAAAAAAAATTCATTCCTAACTTTTTTAAAATTACTATCAAAATTTTAATTTTTTTCTAATTAATTTTATTAGAAATATCTTCATATTATTCCAAATATTTCATATTGATTTACTTCCTTACTTATCTTGCATCTCTTTAATCATCTTTCTTCTCTGATTCTTCCAACCATCTATCTATCTATCTACAGAAAAGATTTCCTACTGCCTAAATTCCTTTTAATAAATTAATAATAAAACAACTCATAATATTTATATTTAGCTCCATTAAGCAACACATATAACAATCGTTTTGAATTATCATAATCATAAAAACTTTACTGTCTGTTACTATTTATTATTTACATAACATTTATAAATATCCCTTTATCCTTATTATTAATAATACCTCACTTCACTTTTCAATAAATTAAAAAATTTGCATCAAATCTTTTATTTTGTCCTAAAATAACAAAAAAAAAGCGCTTCTCCCATATAAATTTTTACTAAAATTTAATATTTTTATTTTATTAGCATAAACTATCTATTATTCTATCAACTGGTAACAAAAAATTAATTTAATAATACTGCTTTAAAAAATAGTTTTCTTAATCAACTCTAAAAGTAGATTAGTTCAAAGCAATAAATAAATATAAAATTACACAATCAGATATGAGAATTTTCTTGCTATCTTATTTATTTAATAGTCTTAATTAATATGAATCTAAATTTTTAAATAAGATATGCGAGATTAGATTTATTAATTTATTTAAATATAGTGAAAAGATAATATAGCTTTTTTATTACTTCATTACAAGAAGAAAAGAAATATAAATTAAAACAATCTTTTATTACTAATTCCAAAAATAAATCTTATTTTTGGTTTTTAATATTTTAATCTTTCTCTTTTATTACTTTTATTTAAATGTATTCCAATAAAGTGAAGTACTTAAATTTTTATTTCACCTTTTTTTGTAAAAGAAAAATATACCACAATTTAAACCATGGAATTAAAATACATATTTAAATAATTTCTAATTATAAAATTAAAGAAGAGAAACAATAAATATTCTATTAATTTTTCAAAACATTATGAATTTCTTTTTTATCAATTTAAATTTTATTATAAAACTTATTTAATCAAATTTTTCTTTAAAATAATTTTTATTGATATTAAATTTAATAAAATCAATTTTTTGTGATTGATTTTTTTCTTCTTCTATTTAATAGATAAAATTATGTTCCTTTTTTATAAATTTAACTAAATAATTAATAAATTATAAATTTATTAAATAATTTGTTGAGATTTGTGGAAATGTTGTTGATTGAGTTACAAAAACTAATTAATTTGATTTCTATTTTAACTTTTAAATAGTTTTATTTATTAGCTTATAAAATAAATATAATATTAAGCAAAAAATCAATTAATTTGCTTTATAAAATATTTTTATATTTTGAATCTTTTATTTATTTTGAATTAATTAATTAATTATGGATAATTTTAAATGAAATATAAAATAGTTTTAATTAATTTTAACTTAAAATATTGTATTTAAATTTAAACTTAGTATAAATATAAACGAAATATGAATATTTATGTCAGACTTGTAAATATTTTTTATAGAAAAAAAGAATATAGAAAACAAGTAATCTAGAGTAATTAAATATTGGTCATAATTGAAGGTTTTAAAGTAATTTATAAAATTGTTATAGTAGAGGTAAAAAAAATTACAAAAATCTGATAAAGTACAAACAAATTATGATTTTCTATATAAAAAGTTGACAATAATATAAATTATAAATTGAGTTTGTTATAGTTTTGTTAAATTAATACATAAATTAAACTTCTGATAAATAATAATTTGATGGATACTGCTCATAAAACAGTAAACGAAAAGAAAGAATACTTTGATTCTCCGGAATTATTAGAAGCAAAAGTCACTTAGTTGGCAGATATGATTAAATAGTCAAATCACTTTGTTTGCTTTACAGGTGCTGGAATATCTACTTCAGCAGGTATAGCTGATTTTAGAAGTGGAGTTAACACAGTCTTGAAAACTGGACCTGGTTTGTGGGAAAAGATGGCTTAAAAAGTAGGAAATCAACCTAAAAAACACAAAGTTATAATGTCTAGAGCTGTTCCAACTAAAAGCCATATGGCACTAGTTAAGTTGAATCAAGAAGGAATTCTTAAGTATTTAATCAGTTAAAATATAGACGGCTTACATAGAAGAAGTGGATTCAACCCTAATAGCCTATCTGAACTACATGGAAACACTAATTTAGAGAAATGTTTAAAATGTGGAAAGTCTTATATGAGAGATTATAGAGTGAGAAAAGCTTTAGATGTTCATGACCACTTAACAGGAAGGATTTGCGACAATTAGAAATGTGGTGGCGAATTAGTAGATACAATTGTTAATTTTGGAGAGAATTTACCCAAAAAAGATATGGAATAAGGTTTTTTTAACTCAAAATAAGCAGATTTACACTTAGTTTTAGGAAGTAGTTTAAGAGTTACTCCAGCAGCTGATATGCCTCTAGCAACTGCTTAAAATGGAAATAAATTAGTTGTGGTTAATTTACAAAAAACCCCTCTAGATAGCTTGTGTGCCTTAAGAATATATGCTTTGATTGATGATGTCATGGTTCTACTTATGAAAAAGCTAGGTTTAGAGATACCAGAATTTATTCTGCAGAGAACTATTGTGATTAAAAAGACAAACTAAAATACAATAAACGTTTTTAGTGAAGACAAAGATGGTTGTCCATATGACATTTTTAAGTAAATTGTTTTGGATTAAGGCAAAAAGTAACCATTTGAGATTTAGGTTAAAGCACCTTACATATTCAATATCACAAATCCATAATTTGCCATAAAGCTAGGATTTTTTGAACATTATAAAGAAGGACCATTCAGATTAGATTTAAATTTATAAAATCTACCTCTTGGATAAAAGACTAAGTATTTAATATAATTCTCACCAAAATTACAAAAGTGGATTAGTTGTGAAAAAATATAATGAAATATAGTTTGATTAAGCTTATAAACTGTAAGAAAAAAAAAATTTAAATTATATTATTTATTTACTAAATCTATGTCAATATTCTTTAATTGCCCATTAGTTCAATAACTCAATGTTAATTTATGTTTCAATGTTTAAGAAATTTATTTTATCTTAAATTTTATAATGAAATTGATATTTTTTTAATTATAAAAAGTTAATACTGCTCTTTATTTATGTTTGAAATCCATTTTTCTAAATGCTGTTTTCTTTCTAATTTATAATAAAAAGTTTAACATTTTTCTTAGCTTTATTTTTGATTAATAGAAATAAGAAATCTTCAGATGATGATATTAAATTTATAAAAGGAAAGTTTATTTTTCCCTTCTTGAGATAGAAAATAATTAAAGTTATGGTAAAATATTTTATAAAATAATTACAATTTATGTAAACTAATCATGCTAATATATAATCTTGTATATTTAAATTAAAATATTATTAATAAAAATGAAATTTTGAGTTATCATTTGGTATAGAAATAAGAATCCTGTAGAAAAAGTCATAAGAGTGTGTGAGAAAATAATATTTTATCAATTATATCGTCATAGAAAAGTTAATGTAAAAATGAATGCTTTGGATAAATATCTTAAATAATAGAAGAAAAATGAATTTATTTTATTAATGCAAATGAAACTTTTTAACTAAGATTTGTTTTTTGCTTTAAAATAACAATGCAAATAAAGTTTTTATATTAAAAAATGAGTGAATTTTAAAGTCAATGGATAAATAATATTAAATACTGCCTGCAAAAAAGAAAGAAAGAAATCAATCAAAGTAAGAAATGTTCAGAATGATACAATTACAAAATTTTTAAATTTTCAAAAAGCAAATAAAGACAAGCATTAAATATTAAAAGTTTCAACTATAACTTATTTGAATTATAAATAAAAATTGATATTTATTGATAATAAATACAAACGAAAAATATAGATAGAGTATTTTACAAATAGTTTCTGAACAGCAATAAGTGAATATACAAATTAATAATATATAGATAGATAGATACAAAAAATGAAGCCAATCAAGTAGATTCCTGAAGGAGAAAGAACAAAAACAATTTACACTCTGATTAAAGATCAAAAATATAATGATGTATTATTATTCACTTTTCAGCATTGAAGAATAATACCTATTGGGCTTTGATTAAATATTATTTATAATGTAATGTAATAATAGGCTATTTAGTATCTTAATTACGAATTACAATTCACTCCTAGAAGCAGAGCACTCTCATTATTAGCTTATTGCTATTACATGAATTAAGATTTTAGTAATGCTTCAAAAATGTAAATATAGAACCAATTCATATTTTTAAAACTCGATAATGATAATTTGAAAGTGGCAATAACTAATCTTTTATATAAAAAATAGTTATGAGTAGCTAGTCAACTATTATCCTGATGTAGATGAATACAAATTATATTTTGCTCAAACTCTCTACAAAGATGGTAATAATTAAATTGATTTTTTTTAAATACATGAATAAATTGTTTGTCATTAAAAAATAAATGTTTATATTCTAGTTTAGCTCATTTTAATAATCAATTATATTTGATGATAAGATGAATTTAAAATATTTATTATATTAAAAGGTTTATATGATGAAGCATTAAAGGCTTGCCAAAGTATTAGAAACTCCTAGTATTAATAGAAGCTTATTCAATTGCAAGTTTTGATTAGATATGAAAAGAATGAAATAGACCATGCTAAGACGCTACTTGCTCAAGGAGATCCTGATGATCCTGAAACTATAATAAATGAAGGTTGTATTCTTTACAAAGAAGAAAAATATGAAGAAGCAAGATAGAAGTTTTAAGATGCAATCAACAAGATTGGCTATAATACCGAAATCGCATACAATGTTGCACTTTGTCATTATAAAATGAAATAGCTTGGTCCATCTCTCGAAAATATTGCAGAAATTATTGAAAAAGGTGTCAGAGAACATCCTGAACTCGGAGTTGGCTCCAATGCTGAAGGTAATTTTTTATTTATTTCTATTTCATGAATGTGAATTTTCATTTTTTTTGAATGGTATTTTAAAATGTATTTTTGTACAACTGTTTATTTTAATTTATATATTTTTTTAGCGTTTTGATTCTTTTTGGAGGATATTTATATGAATAATTAAATTAAAAAATTTTTAATATAGGAATTGAAGTAAAGAGTGTAGGTAACACTTAAGCATTGAAGGAAACTGCTTTGATTGAGGCTTTCAACTTAAAGGCTGCTATTGAATACACAATCAAGAACATTCCTGCTGCTAAAGAAGCTCTCCTCGATATGCCTCCTCGTACTGAAGAAGAATTAGATCCAGTTACCTTGATGAATCAAGCTTTGATGAACATGGAAGATGATCCTTCAAGTGGATTTAAAAAGTAAAGAGAAATATTCTTTATTTGAAAATAATAGCTTTTTGATTGAAAAAATTAAATTATTAAAATATTTTATATACTAATTTACTATTTTAATATATAGATTAAATCATCTTTTATCTAATCCTCCTTTCCCTCCTGAGACTTTCCCCAACTTATTGGTCCTTTATTGCAAGTATTAGTACTTTGATTTAGCTGCTGATGTCTTAGCAGAAAATTCTGATCTCACTTTTAAGTGCATTAAGCCTGAAGATTTTGAATTTATCGATGCTTTAATTTTACAAAATGCATCTCCTGAAGAAGCTTTCCGTAAATTTGATGCCTTGGCTAACAAGCACATAGATCAATTACGTAAAATTACTAAGAACATCTAAGATGCTCGTTAATAACGTGATAGTGATGCTATCCGTAGAGCTCTCAAAGAATTCGATGAATGCATAGAAAAATATATTCCTGTTTTGATGGCTTAGGCTAAAATATATTGGGACAGAGAAAATTACGCTGCAGTTGAAAAGTTATTTAAATAATCTGCTGAATTTTGTGCTGATCATGAAACTTGGAAACTTAATGTTGCAAATGTCTTTTTCGTATAAGACAACAAATACAGAGAAGCATTACGTTACTACGAACCTATTGTAAAAAAATATAATGACAATCTTCTTCAACTTCAAGCTATGGTGATAGCAAACCTTTGTGTTTCATATATAATGGTAAACTAAAATGAAGATGCTGAAGAATTAATGAGAAAATTGGGTAATTCTTAATTTGTTTATTTATAAAATGGATTTATCTTAAATTAAATATTTATTAAAAAAAGAACGTGAAGAAGATAAAGCAGCTGTTTAAGAACCAGATAAAAATGTAATAACTTTATTTTAATATTTAAAAGCTAATTTTCAATAATAAATAGGTTTATCATTTGTGCATCGTTAACTTGGTTATTGGTACACTCTATTGTGCTAAAAATAATTATGAATTCGGTATTTCAAGAATTATAAAATCTCTTGAACCCTTAAATAAAAAGGTAAAAATTATACTAAATTTATTAATTAATTAATTTAAAATTTGTATTTTTAATTCAAAATTTAATTAATTAAAAAAAAGATTAACACTGATACCTGGTATTATGCTAAGAGATGTTTCTTGGCTTTAATTGAAACTATGGCTAAATAATAAATTATTCTTAAAGATCAATCCATTATTGAAATAATAGACTTCTTAGATTAGGCAGATACTTAATGCAAAACTATTCCATCTGTATTAACATTTTTATTAATATATATGAATTTTATTTTATAAAAACAACTTTTTAATTGAATTTTATTCATAAACGTTTTAAATTTAAATAAATTATAGGTTATAAACCCCTTAGAAGCTTTAGACGAAAAGAAAACTGTTTCATACGAAGCAAGATTATTAAAGAGAATGATTTTCAAGTTAAGAAATTGATAAAATTAACCTTTATCATGATATTAAAAATAAATAAATAAACAAATAATTAAATAATTAAAGCTTTTTTAAATAAATTATATAATAAAATTAAAAAGATTAACAATCATTTAGTCTAATTCGTAAATCCAATTGCATTTCTGTTTTGTATTTTTAAAAATAAGCTATCGTCTTTAAAATTTTATCAATCTTATTGTTAGAATTCTACAAACAGAAAATTAATTAAATTTATCAAAAATTTTAAAGAAAATAAAGTTAAAAATTCAAAGCTTTACAAACAATTATTTAGACAAATTTTTTTCAATTCATAAGTATTTATTTATTATAACAATTTTAGAAAGATAGAATAAATTTATTTTTTAAAGTAAAATAAATTCAAAATTAATTATTTTATTAAAGATTTGCTACTTATTTAATTTTTTCAAGTTATCTTAGTTTGGTTTTGTAAGAAATCTATTGATTTTATTTGTTAAATTTAAGCAGATTAACTTGATAGACAAATTAATAATCTGTATTTAGTCTTTGAAATATATTGTTAATTTTTCAGAATGAAAAGAAATATATTAATAGACATTATAATAATTTACCTAATTTTTTTTCTCAAAAAATTAAATTAAAAAGAAAATGCTAAAATTATTTATTTAATTAAGATGCTTCTTTAATTTTTGAAAATAATATTATGATAAAAACAAGTGTATTATTTTCTTTAATTTAATATATTAAAATAATTTTATTATGTGTCTGTCTATTTAAAAAATAAAATAAATAATAAATACCAATATCTTTTTTGTTTTTTTTTGTTCGAGATATGTATAATTAATCTATGAATTAACTAATGAATAAATGATAGAAAGAATAATAAACTAATAGAAAAATTAATCCACAATAAATAATATAAGATATCTTATATTCTCAATTTTTTCAGAAATTAAAAGTATCTTGTTTACCAAAATCATAACTAATTCTTTCGTATTCAAACAAAAAAGTTAAAAAAGAGACTTTTTTTATCTTTAAAAAACTTTATTTCTTAAAATTATTTTTCTAGTTTAAATATATGAACTTATTAAATAACTAATTCTATTATTTTAGATATTTATATTAGTACAAAGCACAATTTTATCATTTAAATAAGTTATTATAAACTGAAACTAAACTATTATAATTGCAAGGAAACTAAAAAAATCTTTAGCATATACTAACAAACTATATAAGTATATAAGTGACTTATAATATTAAGATTAATATTTACAAATTTTTTGCTTATAGCTTTTATTCAACGACCATATCTTTGATAATCCCATTGACGAGAATCAAGAGGACAAGTATTACGAGTTTTTAACCATCTGGAAATACAATGGAAATGGAATGCGTGATTGCAAGTACCCCAAGCAACATCACATTCGGAAGCACTATTTGAGTTTTAGTTGGCATCACATTCAATACAAGGTTCCATAATGTTGCTAATTATTTAAATTAAATATGGTTACAAATATAGTTAAACATTTTATTTTATGTGCTTATAAAACCTATTTGGCTTTTAAAATTTTTATACGAAATCTTTGAAAATAATCTAATTAATGTAAAACAAGACATGCCAAGCACTTAATAAAAAAAGGTTGTGAGATGATTAAACTTACTTCTTGCAAATGGCGCAATTTTCAACTTCAATATCCCATTGCCAAAGAGCAACAGCGTTCCATTTTTTGACTTCGAATCTTTTTTCTGTTTCCATTTATTTATTTATTAAATCTTTACTTATTCTTTTTTATAGTATAAACTCTTAAATTTATTAGCTATTTATGATTTATTTAATTTTTCTTTCTTCACAAATATTTATATAAATAAATTTTGAGTACCTAATATTTTATTTTTTGATCAAAGCTTCTTACTATTTGTTCTTTATATGAACTATTTCTGTTCTGAAAAATAACTCAATCATAAGAATATTAATTAATTGTCTCACCTTTTTAAAATTCTCTTTATTTATTTATGTATGCTAATACCATTTTAAATATCCAAATACTGATTAATATCCTATTTGCTATCCTATATTAGTTAGAATAATAAAAGGAATTTTCATCAAAAAAATCTGACTTAGTTTATACAATATTAAGCTTAAATAATATAGATTATTTTTTCTTTATATATTATTTTAGTTTTTTTAATTAATATTTAAAATGTCATTTGTTATCTACATTCAGCTTTTATCAATTTTAAGTTAATTTTTTTGAATAATTTATTACTAGAATTTGAGAAAAAGTTTTAATTTAGAAATTTACAGTATTTAAATGATTAAATTAATAAACTATGTTTTAATATGAAAAAAAATTAAAATTAAAATTATTGAAGCAGCACTAATTTAGAATATCAAAAGTATTTAAATCTTCAGGACTTTTTTTTGAAAATGAGTGTTGATATATTTGTATTTTCAAATCGAAAGGCTTTTGTCTTTTATCCAAATAAATATATACATGTGATTTTAATTTTTTTAAACAAGAAATCTAATAAATATTTGGTAGAATTAAGATTTTTTTACAAATATATCAATTTATTTTTTAACTCTGATAATTACTCCTCTCCAATAATGTATCTGATAAATCTAATAGGCATCAGAATCAGTAACTCAATTATTTTTAACACCAAAATTGAACAAGCTTAAAATTTATAAGTGAAAGGATGAAAAAATAATTTCAAATTTTAAATGCCATAATATTTTATGGAAAATTACTTTAAACCTCCAAAGTATTATTTTCATAAGCAGTTTACTATATACTTGAAAAATCATTTCCAATTAAAGAAGTTAACCATATGTAAAAATAATTTTAAGACATTAACTTTTATTTTTAAAAAATTAATGAAAAATATGGGATTAATTATTTTATATTTTGAAAAATTTAATACGAAATTCAAATATACTAATTAATTGTGTAAATAATACAAGATATATACATTATTTAATAAATAATTTATTGAAGATTGTTTGTTGATAATACTGGTAAATAAGTTTTTATAGTTAGTTATTAATTGAATAAGATTGCTACTTTTTTTTAATTTTTGTAAGAAAAATCTAATTTAAGATAACAAATTATTTAAATAATTTGATTTTTTTCAAAAGTCTGCAATAGTAAGTTGGAATTATCTAGAAGGTGTAGAATGATTACTAATATATTCATCCAATAGGTCATCAGATACTTCACCTCCTTCATTAAAACTATCACTTTCTATAAAATCAGAAGAATTATGTTTAAAGCTCTAAAATTTGCTACTTCTTCTTTCATATGGAGATTCATGAGGCTATTCTGGAATTGTATTCAAGTTATTATTAGATCCACATTTGGTGGAATTTAAGTATGAGCTTTTGGAATTAATATTTTATGCATTGCTTTTACTCATATTGAGTTTCTTAAAGCTACTATTTTATATTCTATCTTCTTCTTCATCTTCAGATGCAGTTTAATATGCTTTAACAATATTATTAAATCCTGATTTTTTTCTTTCAGGACTTTCTGTTTGAGAAGAGCTATATCCGTTGTTTACTAATGATTCATTTAGACTAGTAGAAGCTGCACTCATTCTGTTATTATAAGCATTTTTGAAAGACCATCTTAGTTTTTGATTGAATCCATATACAATCGAATTAACTGCTCCCTAAGAGCAGCTAAATATGATATTTAGTGTGATAAGTGTTTAATTATCAGGATTTCCACCACTAAGCACATAAACTTGATAAATAAGAGCAAAAATTTAGCAAATAGGAATGATGAAAGGATAAACGTAAATTCTTCTTAATTTGATTGCAACATTGTGGACTTAATTTTCCTTTGCAATTTTAGCTACACTAATGATTTGTCTTAAATTAAATGCAAAAGATATATAGATTGGGATTTAAAATTCCAAAAGCATGATTAACTTTTAGATGTAAAAACTGGTATCATCTGAATTCAAAGCTGAACCTTCAATACCCTCTTACAAGACATTACAAAAATTATTTTCTGTGAAGAAGTATTACCTCGTCAATATCCTATTTTCATATATTAAAATAAATATTAGACTTTAATTAATTATACTTTGTTATCAAGAAATAATTTATTATAATTAAAAAAATCAGCTTAACCAGCTTTTAAAATTAAAGAATCACTAATTTCTCCTTTAAAAGAATAATAGAAAGCAAGATAGTTTGATTTATTTTTTTATTTCTTAAGGAGTTAAGTGAAAAATCAATATGAAAGATAAATAAATAAACAAAAGAAATTCTTTCTTATAATTTTTTATTCTATTTCATATACTTATTTAGTATTATTAAATAAGTTAATAAAAAGTATTTATTCTAAATTTCTATAAATCTTCTATTAGAAATAGATTTAAGTAGAAAAAATTAAAAGAAATATTCATATTATCCCTATGCATTTTTTTATTTAGGTGTTTATTATGTTATTAACCAGTAGAGCATTGATATTAAAATGATATTTATTGATAATATTAATTTAAATTTATTTTATAAGGAAATTAAATAAAAAAATGCTTACAATCCAGCAAGCGAAGTAGGAACAAATAATGATGTCAGTATAATCTTATTCATAATGCACTTTACATATTCATAACCATAGCGAATGCTCCTATGGAGACTGTATGATATCATGCAGGTCCAAAATAAAGACAGTAAATGCCCAAGGTTGCCAAAAAAGATCTAAGCTGCACAAAGCTAATTATTTTGTTAATTTGGAGGCCTCATAATCATAGATATTGAAAATATCATTTCTGAGATGCATAAAAATAAAACAAGTTTAAGAGCAGATTTTCTCAAATTTTTGAAGGCGATAAAGCCTATTGTTATGATCAGGCAGCATAAAATAGAAATTCCTGATATGGATACTTGTAGGATATATTGGGATGTTGTTTCTTAAATTTATTCGTCACTCATGTTTTTAGAATTAACTTTCTTTATTTATGTTGAATTTAATTTTTTTTTACAAAAATTTCTTTATAAATTACTTACAGAGCTGTTATGAGAGAATTTATTGTTTTTTTCTTAACAAATTTAATTAAAAGTCTTTGTTTTGCTTCATACTATTTAATGATTTTATAATTATGATTTATTGTTTGTTTGTGTGTTTGTATGTTGTAAAAGAAAAGAATCAATAAGACTGAGTGATTGCTTAATTTATAAATAGTAAATGCAGTATATAAATTATTAACATGCTTTTATGCATTCTCATTTTATTTTTGAGCTGGCTTGAAATGGAAATCTTAAAATTTAATTCCTTTTTGCATCATTAAGTTTATTAGTTTCATAATAGTGTTTCCCCCACTAATTAAAGTATTGTCATTTATAATAAATTTTATTTAAAGGATTTCTCTGAAAAATCTATATAAAGTAATCATGCGCACTTGTACTCTTTCCCTTAAAGCTAAAACTTCTAGCACTAATCATATATTAGATATTACTAGTTTTATAAATTTTGATCTAAAATTCCCTGACAACTTGAATGTTTAAATTATTTCAAATTAATTGTCGCTCGTAATCAATTATAACTATCAAATATAATAGAATATCTTTAGAGTGAATCTGTCTATCATTTTACAGGTAATTTCTCCTTTACTTTCTTCTACCAAAAATAATTGAGGTATTTAAGCTTCAACTTGAAAATCCAAATCTTATGTTAAAAACAAAAGACCACATAAAATTTAAATGAATTTTCATGAGACTTCGCTGTTTAGAACAATTCTTTAGTTAATTAAAATAATTAGGTTGTAAGCTTTCAAATTCATCAGAAAAGTTCCTGAATTTTACTAATAAATAGATTGAAAATAGTGATTTTCATTAATTTTTATTAAATCTGCTGTAATAAAATAAAATTTATTAGTATTTTAAGCTGAAGCATTCAACAATAAATTAATATAAATCCAATTTTGTATTTTGTCCTTATAGATCAATTAATCACTTCTTTATTTTTAAATAAGATAAAAGGTTTAAAATAATAATAAAAAATAACTTAATTTATCCTTTTGTAAAATAATATGTAATATAACTGAATTTCTATTTTGCTTTATTGTTTTATAATAAATTATTTTAAAAATATGTAAAGAGGAAAATATTATTCTACAATTTTTAATGCAGATAGATATTTCTTTTATAAAAGCAGATATTGAATGAGAGACACACAGAAAGATATTGCTTATATTTGCTTAAGTATTTTGAAAAATTGTTTAATTTAATCCTAATATTTGAAATTTATTTAGACCATCTTTAAATTTAGTTTTTAAAGAAGATAGGTTAGATTTTAAAATAATTATAAATAGGAATCACATAAACCTGTAAAATAAATAAGTTATCTATACAACTGAAGAAGAATGAAGAGATAAGACTATTTTAAAAATTAAACTAATTAAATTATTTTTTAATATTTAAAGTGGCTCAATATAATATATTAAATATCTCTCTATTTTAGATATAATATTTAAAATAAAACTATAACTTTAAAAAAATTAATATATTTTTAAATAAAATTACAAATCATAAAAGGAATTTTATAAAAGATTTGAAAACTATTCTAAATATAAAAGATATAAAATTTATAATAAATATTTTATAAGTATGATAGAAAAATAAATGTTAGTAATAGTATGGTTAAGCTTAAATATCTATTTAATTTACTTACTTACTTTGATTTTTAAATTTACCCTTTTTATAAATATATCATGCATTTTATTATGCTAATGAATAGAACAAAGTTTTTAAATTTTTCAAAAAATTAAAAGTAAAAAGCTATTTAAAATAATTCAATCATGAAAGTTTTCAAATTAATGATACATATTTAAAATAATTAAGATACTATCAAACAAGAAAGTTTTTTTCTAAATTTTAAATAGATATGAATTTATTCTCAAAATTGATAAAATAAATGAATAATAATAAAATTTGCATTAAAATAATACTTAATGTATTCTAATTTATTTTATAAGTGTATTTTGTTTTTTAAGCCACTGCTCAAACTTGCCTTTTATTAGTTCAAAACAAAATATATAATTATTACAAAAATCAATTAACAAAAAAAATAATTTTCTTAAATCTTTTAATCTTTTTTTAAAGAATATCTAATTTATCATTTTTTCTTTTTTACTATTTAAAGTTATATATACTATTTGCTTTAACATATAACAAACTCATTACATTACATATAAAAATTAATTTTTAATATATTTATTAACTTAAATTAAAAACTAATAACTTACTATATGTCTGATAATATTGATAAATATTTTAATAAGAATTTAGTTAAATTTTTTTTTTTATTAAAATATTTTGGTTAATAAAAATATAAATTATTTATTAATTAATATTATATTGAATTCAATTCGTAAAATAATTAATTAACTATACACACATTTATTTCCTTATATGCTTACAATACTACTTGTTTATAACTAAATTTTTAATAATAAATTATTTTTTTTAGGGTATCTTTCATTAATTTGATTTAGTGAATGCGAATGAAAAAAAATTGTAAAGAATCTAATAAACGTATAAAATAAAATCAAGATATAGTTTTTGGAAAGGATAACCCATTATTAACCAAAGTATTGGGTATAAACAAATTATTAAAAGTCTACTAATGAACATAGCTAGCTCAGGTTTTTAAGAGGGATTTATTTCTAATTCGTTCACAATCTTATTGCAATTATTACATATTTTTTTTTACTTTTTAGGCATTTTAGATATTTATCTTGGTACTGTTACTAAGTAGCAAGGCAAAAAAATTGTTAAGAACAAACAAACTATTGTAAAATCAAGAAACATTTTAAGTATATAAGTAGCAGAATGCCAACTCAAAAATTCTTCTTTTCTACCTGATAATGCCATAGAGTCATCTTATTGATCTAAAGCAGCAGAACATATATGTCCTTCCATTCCTATAGTAAGTTGAGAGTTGTAAATATTACTAAATGGATACACATTTGAAGGTTCAGTGTAAGCTATATTTGATTGGTAATTAGGTCCAAGATTATTTTAGTTTTCTTTCAATTTGCTGATATTGTGATTTTTATTTTTAGGAGTATTTTCACTGTCTAATCTATGAATTTTTAATTCATCATCTCTACTTGCTATAGTTATTTAAGTCCCTTTTTTAATATTCTTTTTAAATTTTTATGTATTTTGCTATTATGTATCATCTTCTTATTGTTTTTAATGCTCATCCTCTGTTAAATCCATAGGATTTATTACAGATTAACTGAAAACTTTTTCTGATTATTATTGCTTTTGCTCTTAATTTTCATGTTATTTTCCTATATTGCTTTAATTTTAAAACCCAGATATCTATTTATTCTGTAAGCCAGTTATATTTGTAAGGTGAGAATCATCCATTGGATTTTTTACATTTTCAAAAGAAAGAGGATGTTATTTATTTAACTACGCTGGCATTGGAGGCGGTATTGGATCTTAAAATATTTTCTTTTTTTGTGGTGATTTGGATTTTTATAGAAGCTCTTGTTCAGATGGATAGTTGAACCCTTTAATTTCCTATTCTGTATTATTCTACATTTTTAAAGTGCTTATTTTAATAAGAAATAAACAAATTTTCTAAATATAAAAGTGAAATTAAAAATTATAGAAAAGAAACTGGATTCACTGATTTTAATAATATATTTATTAAGAATGAAATTATTGATCAATCAAATTTAAATAAGATCTTAAATATTAGCTGGTTAAAATTTATTAAATTATGTGCAAAATTTAGACAATTATAATAATGCATGCATTGCTAGTACAGTAACATTTTGCTCTGATTTTAGTAATAATTATAAATTTCAGACTATTTATTTTCAAATATTTTTGATCTTTAAATTTAAATTTTAGCTATCTTTATGACTTTCTAGAAATAGTAAATTAAAATAAAATAACTTTATCTCTAATTTTATTTTATTCAAAATTTGTAAAATTCATTAAAAATTGTAGTATTTTAACTTTTATTTTGGATTTTTTTGGACCTTCCGTTTTATCTTGATTTTAGAATTAATAATAATTTCTTATTTTTTATGAGATTTTTTAGTTTTCAATAAATAATTCAATTGAAAATGAAGATAAATTAAGCAGCTTATAGATTATATTATTTTTAGATTTTTAAAGCTTTTAAAAGAAAAAATGAGTTCAAAAATTAAATTAATTTTCTAATAAATGTAAACAGTTTATGTACCTTATTTTAGAATAGAGTGCTTATAAATCATTATTAAATTCAATTAGAATTTTATAGATCATTTAATTCTTAAAGAATTAGTGGATTTAAAGAGATAATCTTTAATAAAAATAATAAGTTAACCTATATTTATGTGTTCTATATTTTTATTTTGAGTTTTTACTTATAAAATATTAAATTTCGCTTACTTTCTTTCTCTCTCTGTCAATATTTTTTGTAATTACTACTTAAAAAAAAAATAGTAATATTCTAAGCAATCTAGTCTCCTAAATAGCAAAATGGAAAAAAGTATTTAGCTTATTAAATTTCTATAAAATAAATGATGCAAATTTAACATCAAAATTTATAGGGAAGGGATCGCTGGACACAGTTGCACATTCAAAAGATGCTTTATATGAAGATGATATCTATGAATAGCCAGTGCAAAAAGAAAAAAAAGTAAAATTTAAGCAATTTAGGTTAAATGGTTAAATTTTAATGTTTCTTTATTTTATCAAGTAGGAGGAGACAAGCTCTAAATTCCAAAGTAAAAAAATCTTTACTTTTTTTGAGCCATAGTTAACATATTTATTTAGAAATTTAACCAGACACCATTTTGGAATAAGCAGAAGAATTTACTTAAACAAAATAGGAAGAGTAAAGCTAAGAAGAAAAAGATTAGGTATTAATTAGTAAAATGATGTAAATGATGGAAAACTTAGAATAAAAATATAAATCTGTGAAGAATGAATATGTCTAAAATAGAGAATCTGCTAAAATAGAACTACAAATAGAAAAGTAACTGTAAAATATAGAATAAATATAAAGCGATCTGGAATATTAAATATAAATTTAAAAGGAAATTGTAGATTAGGCAGATATTGTTTAAGTAATAAGTAGCCAAAAAATTGTACAATAAATGTTTTATCTTTAAAAAAATTTTAGGATTTGTAAACGGGCAAAGATAATTTATTGCTGAATCTAGTTTCACAAATGAAAAAAATTTAAAATTAAAATGAAAACCAATAAAAATAGCTCTTAGAAAAGGAATAAGAAGAGAAAAGATAAAAAGATGAAAAAATAAAGTAATTAACTTAACTGTCTGTTTAAAAAATAATATCAAATTGTTTTATTATCGTTTAAAGGGAGCTTGAGTTGATGATCCAGAAACTCAAAGAGGAAAACGAAAATATATTGAGAAAATCATTCTAATAATCAAAATTAGAATAGAATTCCTAAGATAATAATGAATCTCCCTAATAAATGTAAAGTCTTCTTTCAACTATAATGTTAATTGATAACTTAAAATATATAATTTAATAAATAATATTTATTTATTTAATTAACTCTAGTAAAAAAAAGAAGTTTGTTACTGAAGGTTAGAAAGAAATATGGTTACCATAAAATGAGTTAAATAGCAATGATTTCTCTTACTTTTCAAGTAACCCTTCAAATAAGATAAAATTGAAGCCTATTCATAAATCAACAATACCACATTACGAATATATACCTCCTCCTAAAACAAATATCCTTTAGTCGTCTTTGAATAAAGAACTTTATAAAGTAGCTTAGTCTAATAGAAATGTGTTCTTGTAAGCAATAAAAGTGGATGGAACGTAACGCCATAAAACTCCAATAACTTAAAGTAAAGAAAAGTTTTAAATATATAACACACCTTAAAGTGAGCCTATAATAGGAAATAAATATAGAATTAAAAAGTTTCAGCTACCACAAGGTTAAAACTAAAAAAATATATTTAGTAATTATTTAAGTACTGAATCTTTGATTTTCTCTAGAGGAGGTAACTTTTTACATAAAAACGAATTAGGCAATACAAACGCTCATTAATTAAGAAAAACAAATTAGCATTAGTAATCAAGAGATATGAATGATTTCTTCTTCGAAAAGCCAAATCCTTAACCAAATAAATATTGATTTATATTTATTTTTATGTTATTTTATTTGATTTTATTTATTAATTTACATAAAATATAAAATTAATTAGAAAATAAATAAATAAATACCTTAATTTTTTGAACTAAAATATTTAAATTTAAAAAAAAAATGTTTACAAAAGATATTTAAGTTTTTTAGAATTTATCTATAAAAAAATTTAATTGGTTTAAAATCAAAACAAAGTAAAGTATCAATAACTAATTTTATTATTATATTTAATGAAAGCATAATTAAAAAATAAGGATATTGATAGCAATTAAATAATTTAGAAAATTAGATTAAAAACATAAAACAAGTAATTTTCTATGAAATATCATGAAGTAGTGGAAGTTATTTAAATTTATTTTTAAAATATTAAATAAAAGCAAAATTTCTTTTTTTGTTTATTTGTTTTGATTATCTCTTACTAACAATTTGATTTGAATAATGAATATATTTAATTCATAAAAATGTGTGTTTGAATTCTAATTTATTTATTAGAATAAGTATTTATTTTATTTAATAATAGTTTTAGTTTAGTTATTTATATTTTATTTGAAATTATTACAAGATTTAGTTTTGTTTGCTGTGTTTTTTTATTAAAAAATTGTTTGAGTGAGAATGAACATATTGATTCAAGATTAAAATATTATTTATGAGATAAATTTCATCTTAATATGGTTTTAATTATTTTTTTTCAATTTATGTCAAATTTGATTGCTTTGTTATCTGTCGAAGACAATAAATTTATGTGTTGTATTTCTAAATACCCACATTTATTTTTAAATGAGTCTATATCTATTTCATGCTTTATTAATTTCTCATTAGTGTCTTCCACTTGCAATGAAGCACTGTCGTATTTTGAATATTCAGAGTATAGAATTATTTATAGATTATCTCTGTTGACCTCTACCTTTTTACCATCAAATATTATTTAACGGTCTGTTAAAATTTAAACAACTTTATTTTTTAATTCTTTAACCTTCCAATATACAGATAATGGGAAAGAGAATGGATTATCAAATGCTTCTACTCCATTTTTAGTAGTTTAATGGCAAATATATAGGATTTCAGATTCTTTAATTTCTTAATGCAATTCTACTCTTATTAACTAATTCTTTTTTATGGTATTAAGCTTTGTAGATTCTGTATAATACAGCTCAATCCTATTTGGATTATCTCTTGAGAGCTAACATACCTTTACAATTGAAGGTGGTATTATACCTTGTTTTTGTGCATAATCTTATTCTGCTTACATATATTCTTTGAAAAATTTTTATTATTTAAGTAAATTTCCAAGTGTCTGCATGTTGGCAGTTTTATCTATGTCAATGACTTAGTTGGCATATATTTTATTAAAGGAGTTGGAATACAGAACATACTCAATTACTAATTTCTAATCTCTGTCTTTGGCCCTTAAGGATTTGGAAAAATCAAAATGCAGAACTATTGTATTGTCAAAATGCTTAAATAAATCTTGAAGAGATGTTTCGCTCACAGAGCTTTGGAAAAAAGGGATTTCTTCTATATTTCTCTTTCTCATCTTGCACTTAAATAATATATATTCATGGAAGGAATCATCAAGATTTATAAATTGCTCTATGGCCTAAATGTTGACATTTTGAGTAAGCTTTTTAGGGTTCGTTAAAAAGTTAGAACTTTTTACAACTTCTTCACTCTCCATGGAGTTTGGAGAATCTGATTGATATGGATAATATTATTTGATTTACTCTCTTAAATATTCTTTGAGACAATTAAATAAGCTCATCTACAATTATGAGTATTTTATTGTTTTTAAGAATATTTTATCAAATTAGATGCCTTCATTTGGTAAAAGGCTATTAAGTTAAAAGTTTTTAAGGAATTGATGAGGATCTATTTATGTTGTATTTATCTTATTTTGATTGTTTGATGTATCAGTAAAAAAGGTATTAGCAACTGCACTTTATTAATTGTTTAATTTATTTGCATTTTATTATATATTTTAAAAGGGAGATGTGGCAGAATTCATACTCGCTGAGACTGTATTTACAGAGAGAGGGTTGGAAGAAAACACAAATCTTACTCTTACTTGATCTTCTAACTATTAATAGTAGCTTATAATGGAAATATTGTTTTCTTTGGATAATTTAGACTCGTAAGAAATGATGATGACTCCACAATCTGTAGAATTAAATATATTCTTTAAGTGGGTTTGGCCATTTACTTCTACACTTAACTTTTGGACATTATAACTTTCTTCTTTGTAGAATTAAAATGAACACATATCAAGTCTCTTCTTTTTGATTATTTCTTCAGAGAGCTAAGAAAATGTACTAAGTGGATTGTAATAAATATAATCTATAAATTATATTTTAACTCCCTCTTTTGTGTATTCGAAACTCTTAATAATAATTAGCATTAGGGTTCCTTCTTAAAATTAGAAATACCTGTTCCAGTCATTTTAAGAGCTCATTCGCTTCTCACCATTTGATGAAATTTTATCTTGCTTTTTTATTTCAATCTAGCCATCTGGCCCTTGTTAGAATATTTATCTGTTACCCACAAATTTGCTTGTGCTAATGGGTATGATTACAAATACAGGAGCTGGGTATTAATTTAAGTTTGTAGCTGTATTAGAATTTTATTAGTTGGGGAAGTTTTCAAAATATACTTTTTCTATTAACTCCTATCCATGTGTCACTAGTTTTTTGATTTAGTTTGTTAATTTTTCCACGCTATTGGGAAGGTAATCAATTTTCCATAAACCTAAATCTTCAGGTTCCGCTCCGATTTCAGAGCATAACTCCTCAAAAAACTCCTTAAATGTTTTGCTTTTATCCACTTCTTTCTTATAAATTATGCTCTCGTTTATTTCTGGTTATTCATCTCTTTTGGTTTATTTTTAAAAGTAAATTCCACAAGTCTGTTGCTATTTCTTTAGTAAATCAAACGAGGTTATCCTTACTTAAACAATCCTGATAGATTTATAAAAAAATATTTTTTAAAAACTCTTTTATTTTATACTTTTATAATTAAAAAATCCAAAAGTAAATGATTGAACATAGTTTTTAGATGAGTTAATCAAATTAAAATAATTAAACACTTAAATTATTTTTTACCTTGATAACTTTTATTTAAGAAGATAATTTTAAATGAGTTAATCTTCTTGGTCGATTACCCACTTTGGTACATTTTATATTGGAATTTCAGCTAAGATATTATTAATTTCTCTTTTGTTTATATACACTAACATGTAAGCAGTTGAGTTTATTGACATATTTTCATATGCCAATTATTTTTTGGTTTTATCAAAGCCTTTAAAAAATACTTTTCCTCCAAAAGAGTAATCAAGTGCCTATTTAATAAGAAAATGTTAAAATAATTGATTTAAAATAAACTGCAAAATATTTTTTTTGAATTATCTAAGTAAATTTTATCTATTCTTACTATAATAAAAAATATTATTCAATGATTTAAAGAGATCTGTTTACCTGCTTTTTAGAAGATTTTTCCACAATAGAATCATTGAATTTGAACCAGTTATTTTGTTTAGGATCAGGACGTATGTAGGCATAATAATGTCCTGAAGAAGAAAAATCTCCACTGTGGACCAACACAGCGAATAATTAATATTTGTAGCACTCGTCTTTTGTGGGATTTGCAATATATTTTGTCATGTCTATTTCCTCGTAATATTGATGTTAATCAACTATTTTTATATTTCTTCCTGTTTAGTAATCAAATTAGAATCTCTTCAAGTGGAAAAATAAAACTGGTGGCAATTCCAATATTTTTATTCCCTTTTTCGCATCTTATTTTTAATATCTTGCATCACCAGTATCATACTTGTTATCCTTTTCTAGTAACTCTTCTTTTACATAATCATCTAGCGATTCGTATATGTTTTTGCATCCTTTCAAATTTAAGCTGATCTCAAAAAAGGATTCCTCTCTAACACTTTCATATTCAACGTTAATGCACTTTATGTAATTTTAAATCTTACCTTAGAAAAGGTGTTTTATTTAACCTATTCAATAAAAACTTCATTAGAACATTTATTTTATTAAAAAGCATCAATTTAAAAGAATAAAATGTTTCAAATAATTGCAAATGAAATTTTTAACATTTTTTCTAAAATGTGGTAAAAAAATTAGAATATTAAAAGCTTACCTTTGAGTTATGGAATTTTTTCTGCCTTGCTTTCTAAATATTCTATAAAAAGGCAAGAGAATTCTTGGACATCTTACTGTATTCTTGCTTTAGATTTATCCCATTAAAAACTTTTAAGCAACTCTGTAGTTGTACAATAACTCCCTCTACTTTGGAGCTAATAGAAGAGGACCTACAAAGAATTAGGAAAAACAGGCTCTGATTCTTTATCAGTTGGAATAGAGTACACTAATTTTACAAATGCTTTGATATGAAATAGCGTTTAAAGATAAGAATTCATATAGCAAGTTTGACCTTCATTTAAAAGTCCAACATAGTTAGTTTCTTCCTTGGAATTATAAAATTACAATCTATTTGGTGTAAGAGTCAACTCAAAAATGATATGTTAGTATTTTTCAAGAATTAATTCAATATCTAAAGGGAAATTAAATGATTGTGAAAGACTTTCAATAGAAAATGTTTTATTTCCGTTATAGCTTTTATCAATGATACTTTCTGTTTGGCTCAAAGCATAAAATTTAAACAAATAATAAAATTATTGTTTTGAAGTATCTTCCTTCTTTTATCTGCTAAAAACACACTCTATCTGCTATAACTTTTCATTGTACGAAATCTACAATATCCATTTTTTACCATTTTAAGTTATTATTTCCTAACCTTCAAGAAAATGTCCATTATTTGTTAGCCTCTCAATAAAATGAACGCTATTAAATATCCATAAAATTCTAGTTTTTTCTTTTGGAAGCTCGTTGACCTCAAAAATTTCTTCCTCTATATTACTAATATTCTAAAGTTCTTCTTGTTAATAATCTATATTAATTTTGCTTTGGTTTGAACTTAATCCTTGTTAACCTTTGGCATCTTTTTTTTTATTACTTGTAATGTTAAGCTAATTAGCACTAACAGAATGACTAAAATTACTACTGCTCATATTGTTTTATTAATCTTTCTTCATATTTTATATAGGACTAAAACTACTTCTAGCTGGTTATTTTGATGGTGACTTCTAGTGAATTTGAAGTGAACTATCAGATGAAATTCCACTCTTATGAGAATTATTATGATTAAATCTCATATTCGTGTTAATCTGCTTATTTAAATCACCTGTTTGATTGATTATTTCATATGCATTAGTCTTTTTTTTAATTTTAATAGTGTCAAATAAATCATCTTCTTCATCCTCCATGTAACTATTATTTAAGTTATTGCTAGTTAATCCAATTAAATTACTATAATTTTAATCCTAATCTTCATCAAGATTGCTATAATTGCACAAAATACTATCATTATCACCATTATCTAACAAATTAACTTAATTGATAGATCTGATATCCATCTGAGAGGAATTAGATCCTTAAGCCTATATAGATAATCCATCTGCATTACTGTAGCTATCAAAGCTACTATTTAGCTTATTCTCTTATTTTAATTTTTTCTAAGAAACAGAAGAGTAACCTTTAATTATCTTTTATTCAATAGCAGATTATTCTAATTCTTGTTGCTTTTCTCCTTTTTGCAAATAAACATTCTTCCTTTCATCGTCAGACACTTCCAAATCTATAACTTGGATGTGTAATGCTTAATCTTTCTTTTTAACCTATTTATTATTTGTTGACATATCTTCATTTTCTTCCAAAAACAATGCTTTGATGCTTGGTTTTTCATTTAGATTTTGATTTTACTGATTAAAGTTAGTTAAAACCTTTTAATTTTGGTTACTTAGTGATCCATTTTTAAGATTTTCTTTATTATTTATTGCTGTCTCGATGCTTTTATCAGAATTATTAGTTCTTTCTCCTTCTATTTAATTTTTTTCCTCATTTACAAATTTTGACGAAAAAGTGTCTCGTTTAATTTTTTTTTAAGGTTTATTGATAAGTTAATCATTTTCAAAATTTTTTGAAAGCTTTTAAATATCCTACTTAGAAGAGATTTCTTTATTTTTATACTTAGAGCTGTCTTTCATATCTGGGGCGCTTTTATAATCTTACTAATTTGAATAATTCACTGCAGGAAATCCTTTACTGTTATTAACTTTTTTGCCGTTATTCTACTTAGCATTTCTTTAAGCAGCATCTTAATTACTTTTTAAATTAGCAAATTCATCTCGTTCGCTACTGCTGCTCTAACTACTATTTCTAATTTTTTTCTTGAACGCATGTTTTAATGGTTAATTAGGGATAGCTAATTCTTCCTCTGACTCGTCTATTGTGAACGAAATATCTTATGCATAAAGCTTTGAATTATTTTAATTAGCTAAATGGTAATTTGAAGAAGATGAAGAAGTTGCTTATTTGCTGCTTTGAATTTTTTTCTACTTTTATACATCTAAGTGTTCAAAATTTTATATATCATCATCTTCTTCATTGGTGTCCTTATCTTCACTAGCTTCATTGATCTTGAATTTCTTAACCTTTTATTAAAGCTTGCTATTATGCTTAACAATCTTGCTCATAGACGATTGTATTTTTTAAGCTTTGGATTTGTAAATAAATAAATAGGTATAATTTATTTTATTATATAAAAGTCAATTAATATAATAATAAAGTTTTTAACAAAATACTAATCGAACTCAGTTCTTTGACTTGTACAAACAATCAATTTATTTATGATTTTCTTTTACTTTGGAAGGTTCATATGAAGTCAAAAAGAGTTAGTAACTCTTTGTTTGTATTTACCACATCAAAAATAGGAATTTAGATTTCATATGAACTTTTAGAGCATTTAAGACATGAATGAATAAATAAATATTATACACTAATCTTTTTAAGAAACAAGTGAGGATAAATTTTATAAGTTCTATTTAAATTCAATTTTAATTTTTTAAATTACTAAAATAAATTTCAATCAATAACTTAATAGATAGATTAAACATGAAATCAAAATACTTTTAAATAATTAATTTTCTCAAATTAAATAAATCTATCTCTTTTAAAAAATTAAAAATAACTAATACTTAGGCAAATTAAGCAAATTTAATTTATTAAAATAACAATTTTATTAAATCTAAGCTTTAAAAAAATTAACGAATAGATCAACAATTTTAAAATTATTCTTTGTTAAAATTCACATTCACAATTTTATATCTTTTTTTAATCATTTTTAATTTTAAAAGTCAGTATTTTAATTTTTAATTAGCAATTTCTAGATATTTGGTTCATAAAACTTCAAGAACAAACAAGCAAATATATAAAAATTTAGCTTTATGAAATTTATTTACTTTGTTGGAGGACTAATTGGTCTTTACGCTCCCACTAAAATGCTTTACAAATATTTTTTTAATACTTAAAGAACTATTCCTCCATTAACTGTAAATATAATTCTTATAAATTTTAATTCATAAATGTAAATCTAACCTAAAAGCAAAGATTAATAAACTCTCTCATGCCATATAGAAACGTAAATAAAACATCGCTATATCAGTCTTAGAGATATATAAATAAGAGAGATGCAGTTTTATCTATGACAATAGACCATCAAGGGAGATTATAATCTCCTACAATAGTTGATGAGTCAATTTTGAGCCAAAATTAGAGGAGTTTTTAAAGCGTTTTTATACACACTGTCATTCATAGAAATAATATATATTTCCTAAACTAAGATGAGTTAATCAACTAGATGGAAAAAATTAATAAAAATCTGAATCTAAAAGTAAGAATTTTTGTAAATTTTACAATTTTTCTCTTTTTTTCTTTTAAAAATTTAAAAGCTATTATTATTATTTAAGCTTTGAATTTGTAATACTAATTATTAAACCAAAAGCTTGAGGCAGTCCGTATAATTGAATGCATAAAGCCATTAGTTTTTTATAAATATCCATTGATTTACACATCATAGCATCACTAGCTTCAAGTTATAGAGATTCAAATATATGAGACTTAAAATTTTATTTGTGTAAAAGATTACCCTGCTAAGAGTATAGCTTAGCAAGTTCCTTACAGTCTAGAAATATGCACAAAAAATAATGAAGAAAATATAAATAACCTAAATTCTGCCAGAATCGAAATTGATGAAAATGGTTTAATATAAAAATCTCAAGAAGGAGTTTTGTTTATATTTTATAGAGAAAAAGATAATGGAGATTTAATATGCTTGTAGCTCCTTGAAGCATAATAAAATAATTCTTTTTGCTAAGCTTTTAAGGTACCAATTTGTTTAAAAAAATAATTAGAAAATAAAATCTAATTTAATTAAAAATAGAAACTATTAACTAAAATGACACATAACTCAGAGGAAAAAATAAAATTTTTAGAGAAAAAATTATATTTTGAAGAGCTAATAAATCTAATAAAAGATTAAGTAAAAAAATATATTTTTTATTTAATTTATACCTATTTAAATGTATTAATAAAATTAAATCCTTAATTTCACTTATAATTATAATTTTTAAAAGGGGTTCAAAGAAATGGTTTTGCTAAAGAAAAATGGCTTAATTTGCCAAATCGATAAATTAAAATTAAAGAAAGATGAGGAAGAAATACACTTTTAAAACAAGAAAATATTTTCATATTTGAATAATTATTAAAAGAATTTTAGTTTGACTGATAGTATAGTTTTTGATTAATAAATTTCATGATATTTGAATTTATTTTACAATTTTCTTATTTATGAATAAAAAAACAAAGAAGATACCTACCCCTCTTTTTAATAACATTGTAAAACTTTGTTTATTATCTTAATAAGACTATTTAATTTTTAGATTTTAATTATTGGATATATTAATATATATGATTTACATTTGTATTTTGTATTTTATTTTATAAATTATTTACATAAATACAAAAACACTAATTAGTATTATTAATTTTCATAATTAATTGCAGATAAAATAAATGAGTAAAAGTATATAAAATAACAAAAGTAATATTTATTAAGATTAGACATATGATAAATAGTCGATTTATGAAAATTAAGATGTTATAAATACTCTAAATTAATAATTGAGATCTATTATAAGTAATCCGTAGATAGAATAGAATTTGGGTAACGAAAATGATGAAACAAATACATTTGTTGATTAATTAACTGATTAAAATTAAATTACTGGAGGAGATGTAGATCTTAAGCGAAGATAAAGAATAGATTATGAATAAATGTTTGATGATAAATAGCTTATTGTTCCTTTGAAAACAAATAATAAGAAAGGAACAGAAGATTTCTTGCATTATATAACAAATATTTTTAATTGTGAGTAAGATAATTTTTCTATCAAAATAATAACAAATGATTCTAAATTTATCAAGCGCAACTTTATATAAAAAGATAAAATTATAATAACTGCTTTCATTTATGATTGCAAAATGGAGTAAATGCTAAAAATCTATAAATAAATAGTAGTATACGCCTTCTTCTTTGATAAGTTTGCAGAAAAATATTTAGAATATATGTGGAAATCAGATTATAAAGGCGATGATGATTTATATGATTTATTTGTAGAGGACGTAATTAAATTATCTAAAAAATATATTGAAGAAAATGACACATAATTTTGATTCATAAATAAATAAATAAGAAAAAAAATTAAAAATGTTTAATGAAAAAAGTAAGGCTTATTCATCATTATCTATTGACTGAAATATTAAAATCAAATATTCTAAATATTCTAATATTTATTTATTTATTATAAAAAGATATTAACTGAGAAAAAATTAGATCAAATAATTTTAAGCAAATATTCGCTCTAACATTAGAATTAATTTATCAAAGAAAATATCTTTTTACAATTCTAGATTTATTATAACAAATTGATAGTATTCTAAGTAGTGTGTAAAAAGTAATTATTTAAAATGGTTTTTTTATTTTTTTCAAAATAATAAAAATTTAACATTATTTATTTTTATTGTATTTATTTACTTACTTACTTACTATTTTCTTAATTCATACCATTCAAATAAATTATTAATTTCTTATTTTAATTTACTTTTAGATATTTATTGATCTTTCTCCTTAATATTTTCATATATATAATCGAATTAATTTAAATTTTGATAATTAATTGTAATAATCCATTTTATTTTATCAGTGTTTTTTCTATGGTTTATATTTCTATTTCATCTCAATTTTTATATCAAATTAGAAGAATATATTAAATTTTTTTCTTATCAGATGCCATTCTTATAAAAGTCATTATTTTAATTTTATTATGATATAAAATTCTTAAAATAGAAAAATTAATAGCTTTCGAACATGTAATTATCTTATTAATTAATATTTATTTGTAATTTAAAAAATGAAATAAATATTAACTATTTTACATTTATTAAATAGCTATTAAATATAATTATATTTTGTTAGATCATTAAATAAATAAAAATAATCAGCATAATAAATATTTAAATTAATTAATTAATTAATTAATTAAATAAATAAATTATTTAAGGTATAAATAACTGATAAAAATATTATTTGTTTTTTCAATTAAATAAAAATGAATTTTAAAAAAATTTGTTAAGATTAGAGTTATTATGATAATCAAATTAAATAATTAATTTATATAAAGTAAACAGATAAAGTACATTTAAATATATATATCAAATAAATTAGAGTTGTTCTTAATTGAAACCTCCTTTAAGCCTTAATAATAAGTGGACTATTGAATTTTTTTCGACTTTTAAATTTCCTAATAATTCTTCAGAATTGTTTTAAACTGAAAAGCTCTTACCTTAACAACTAAATCTGAGCTACTCCGTTTCAATATTAGATCTTTGACTTATCATATTAGAAAATTCTTTTACTTTTAACATTGGAGAAACATTCACTATAAATGTTTATCCATTTAAATCTTTTACAAATATTTGAAATTCGTTTTGATGCTAGTTTTTATTTGATTTCAAAATATGACATTATGATTTTTCATCAATTTTATTTTCTATTTTTGGGTTTTATTAACTATTTTCAGTTTATTTTTTAGTATTTTAATTACTTTTTGATTTATATTCGAGATCTTCTTCATGTATAATATCTAATTAATTACTTTGTTATTTACTATTTAAGGAAATTTTCTCTGCTTATTAATTTTATCTATTTTAAGTTTATTCATTATTTGTTTATATTGATTGGTTTTTTGGTGATTCGCTCTACTTTTTTAGTTAATCTGAAGAAATTTTTTCTTATTTATCCTCATTTATTTTTTATGAAATCTCTTAAAAGAAAGTACCTGAAATTTATTCCTCAATCATTGTTGTATCACTTCTACTTGTAGATGATTCAATCTAGCTTAAATCTAATCCCATAGAAGAAATACTTGATATTGTGCTCTCCTCAAACACTTCTTCTTATTAAGAAGATTTAGGTTCGTTTGAGCTTACTTTCAATTTTTAAAGCTTTGCAAAAACATCCCATCTCAGTAAAATATCCTTTTCTTCATACATTTTTCTGCAGTATGGACAAGGAGAAGTTTCAGATTTGCAACTCTCATTCCATTTAACTAAGCAATCTTTATGAAAAAAGTGATTGCATGGCAAAGAGCAAGGTATATTCTCCTACGTATATGATGAATAGCATATTACGCATTCAATATTGCATTCTAGTTAAATGCCTTATTTTAAAATTTTTTCAGAATTGTAAGGCTTCTTACAATTTGGGCAACAGCTGTATTTTTAATTACTTTCTACCCTTTACATGTAGCTTACTAAGCATTCTTTATGAAATCTATGTGAGCATTCTTTTAACTTAAAGTAATTTCGAGCAGATTTACTTACTTTTTTATAACATATCAAGCAATTTTTTGATGAATTTTATTATGATTTTACAGATTAGCTCTCTTATATGTTTGACTACATTTTTTCCATATTCGTTCTATGTTGTTTTAGGTTTTTATAATTTATTTTTTTGATTTATTATTTTATATAAGTTATGTCTTGATTTCTATTTAATATTGTTTTATTAATATAGTTAAGTCTCTTTTTTATTATGATTTAGAAACTTAGAAATTTAGAAATTTAAAACCTTACAAAAAATTACAAAATTCAGTAAAAAAATGAATAACAACCATAGAATTTTTGTTAGAATATTATCATTAATCAATCAGAGCTAGAATAAAATTTATATTAGATTATAACTATTCTTACAATTTTGAAACTAATCAGTAAGCAAGTAAGTAAGTAATTAATAAGTAATTGGGATACATAATAATAAAACTTATAAAACAAATTAAAACAAAATTAAGTGTGATGAAGCAAAAATCAATAAATTCTAGGGCTAAAATATTTAAATACCGTATGTATATTTATTTCAAGTACTATAAACTAATTTATAAACTTACTAGCTCAATAGTTTATTTGTTAGTGTATGAATATGCGTTAAAAAAATTGATACCCTTTATATAAGAAAAATTACATTGATTTGTATTTGATCATAATTTTTCTCTAAAAAAGAGAATTATTGAAAGAAATTAAGAATGAATATTAAAAATTATAAAAACCTATTTCCCTATTTATTAAACCTTTAGATTTACAATTGCTTTGAAATAAAATTTTAGCACTGATTGACTTTTTAGGAATTCAATCATTCTTTTAATAATTCCTAATCAAATAATAATTTAGACAATATTTTTCAAATAGTTGAAATGTATGGCTTGAATGTAATAAAAAACTTAAATATCTTCGTTAGAGTCAAAAGTATGATTTAATACATTTCTCTAGATAATTAATAAGTCTCTATTTTAATTAAATTTCTTATAACTAATTAATAACCATAATTTCCAAAGATATTAAAAGTCTATTTTTATTATCGGTATATTTGTTTGTTACTATTAGATTGCTCTGTTTTTCTTAATAGCTTATCACAGTTTCTCTAAGAAGGAATATTTCTAGATATTATATTACTCAATGATCTTTACTAAATTTTATTTAACTTTATTAACACCTGATTTTAAATGATACTCTTAATTGTTAAATGCAGTTTATTACATTTTTAACTTACCACTAATTTACTAATTGGCTTGCAATTAATTTACTGTATTATATGCATTTGATTAAATTTCATTTTGGATAGAACCTTAAATTACAATATTGCTAACTATTATATACTTTTTATTAAAACATTTCTTTATAATATCACCCTATAGAGTGGAGTTCATTTGTGCTTTTTTTTATTGTTAAAATTTAATTTCTCGCATTAATTTTATATTTAAAAAGATTTTATAAGCTTGATATTTTTTTTAATTTTGAACACTTTCTTTTAATAACTCTAATATTTTTTTTAATATCAATTAATTATTAACTTTATACTTTAAAATATCCATCTAACTCAAGAATATATTGATTGACCAAAAATAAATTATAGACTCAAAAAAATATTTATGAAAATTAGATTATGTGTTTGTTTATTTGCATAGATTTTTCACATATAAAAGGAATCACAAATATTAGATAATAATTAAAATAATAAAATTTTTGGAAATAAAAATGACTGGCTACTGATTTATTAAAATTTTAATGCAAATTGTTTTTGATACCTTATAAAGTGTTATATTTAAACTATTTGATAAAAAGATTTACTTACAACTAAAATTGATTGAAGATGCATGCATGCCTAATTATTTAATAAAGAAATAACTAATAGTTCTTGTTTGCATAGCTGAATAGTTATTATAATTAATTAAGAATTCAAAAAGTGATTTAATTGGTATATATTCAATAATACTTTTCGTATTTCAAGAGTTAACAAAACAGTTACAGTAAGTATCTAAAATAATAAGAGGGTAAGCAGCAATAATTAAAGAGAAATTTAGAAAAATAAGACATTTTATATAATTTTAGCACAAAGAAGTAAACGAAGCAAGCATATTTTTTTAAAATTTATTGAAGAATGAGTTAATTGACTCAATAGAATATGTAATTACCAAAATCGCCTCCTTAAAGTAGCTAAACACCAAGTTTAAAAATAAATGGGTCTTAAGCATTGAGTTAACCTTCATAAGTAGGGACACCAGTTTCGTAAATATTTAAAAATAAGTCAATTTAGAATCTAGAGAAGGTAGAGGGAGCTAATAATACTCCTTAGAATTCACAATAAAATTAGACATAATCATCTACAAATTAGGCTTAAAAAGAAGAGAAATAGTAAACTTAGATATAAAAAATGATGCAAATATACAAGGGATAAAACTATAAAATTGGAGAAACATCCCCCATTTGCATTTTGAAAGTACGACCATTGTTTATTCACGAAACTTTGAAATACAACAAATAAATGATAGAAGTACTTGATAAGGAAGCATTAGCGTTTCATTCAACTTCTGCTTAAGAAGATTTTTATAAAGATTTTGTTTTGAATTTAACAAAGGACAAAATATATAGAGCTCATAGAATGATACCATAAGACTAGCCAAATATTGCTTTATATGGTTCAGAATTTCCATAAATTATTGATAACCTTCTAAAAGGCGTTTCACATGCGTTACTAGCTTTTGGTGCTTAAGATTCAGGAAAAACACACTCAATTTTTGGAACTCTAAGTGATCCTGGGTTGTTACTTTATTTTGCCTAGTCTCTATTCTCTAAGAAGAGTTAATCGAGTTCTATGATAAGCATATATTTAAGTGTAATGAAATATGAAAATGATTTTACAGATCTACTATGTCCTTCAGGTGAATCTCTCCTTTTTAAATTAGGGAAACAAGCAAGTTATATGCCTTGCATAACCAGGGTAAAAATAGAGAGTCTTGTAGAGTTTTTTGCTTATCTTAGAATTGCACTACGATCAATGTAGAGTAGAGATATAAATAGAGATTATTAAATAGGTTAACCACAATAGTAAAAGACAGAAAGGAATCACTGCATATTTAGGTATCAATAAATTTATAATTTTGATAACAAATAGAGTTACTTGTGAATATCAAAAATATTAATTAATATTAAACAAAAGAAAACTTAATCTGTCAATACTAATTCTTAATCTTACTCTAAATTAATTAAAGAATCTACAAATTAATTCAGATCGAATTATTATTCTTGAATTTTATTTTACTCCATTAATTAGTTAAAATTATGTTTTTTTAAATCAAAATGCCTTTCCAATCAAATTATACGAAATATGTAAATTAAAATTTCAAGATTAAATTTCACTAGACAGACTTAAAAAGTTAAAAGCCAAACCCTGCTTAAGTTAATTTTAATTTTCTAAAAAGCTTTTTGGGAAAATAAAGATTTTTCAAACTTATTTATTCAATTCAAACATTTTAAAATCAGTTTGTTTAATTATTTTTAGATATTCAAGAAAATAAATTTGTTTGATTCTAATTAGAAAAAATAAAAATGATAATTTTCTTATTTAATTAATATTTTGCTTTTATAAAAATAGGTTTTAGATTTTCCATAAAATATTTGAGAAACAGTATGTTAAGAGTTAAACGTAAAATAGTTAGACTAATATTAAAGATTAAAATCAAAAATCACATGAAACTTTTGACAAAGTTGAATAAAAAATCTATGAAAGTGAAATGCTATTTATTGATTGTGATCACTATGACATAAATGATAAAATTGATGTGAAAAACATCTAATAGTCAATGATTACATTAGAAAATATATTTTAATATATTTATGAAATTAATAAAGGTATTAGGTCAACATAAACTCATATTCCTTTTGATAATACTAAATTTACTAATTATCTTAAAAGCTACTTATTTGGAAATAATCAACTTGTATTTTTTGGGGCACTCTCTCCTTTTATAAATGACCTTGACGAATCTATGAAAACAGCTCGTATGGCTTAATGGGCCTTTTACAGTAAAAATTCAATACAACCTAAAGTAACAGTGGGAATTTCTTAATGGCAACGAGTAAAGTTTTTACTTAAAAAAATTGTTGATTTTAATAAATTAAAATAAATAAATATAAAGGTGAACTTTTAAGATACAATATTTTTGAGAAAAATATCTCATTAAACGAATGTATTAGGTGACGAAGTGAAAGGGTACATCAGCAATTAATATATGAAGTCTGATGATAAAGCTGTTTATTTACAAAATATTTTAAGCATAGTAAAAGACTTAAAGCATTTAATAGCTAGAAATGCAAAAATAGTTAGAAATTACTTGAGCTTAAGAGAAGATGTAAAAATATTTTATTGCTTTTTTAAAAATTTTAGATTTTATCTATAGAAAGTTTAATCTGATTATTTTTCAATATCCTTTTTAATTAAAGACTGGTTTTTTAAGGTCTTCAAAAAATAAAAAATCTTTTTAATTTATTAATTTTATATTTTATTTTTAATTTTAATATTTTTAAAAATCAAAAGTATCATTAGTCCAAATAAGACTATATGAAATTAGAATTTAACTAAGCTAAACATATAATCAGGACTACAGAAATTCGTGAACTGTATTTGATTAGAGCACTTCCATAACTTAAGGGAGATCACTTAAAAAATCTAAAATAGCTTTAAGCTAAAATTGCTAAAAGTACTAGTGAGATTAACTATTATTTTTTAACATTTGGTTAGATTAAACAAAAATTAAAAGATGTAGTAGAAGCCTAATACGAGGCTTATTAAAATATATTAAAGGGAAGCCATTTAGATGCTCTGCATTAGTTGGGTATAGGTGCTATTGAATATGTTAAGTGGAGCTAAGAAAATGCTATCAGATCTTATGAAGCACATGAAGCTTATAGGTTAGATATGTGGATGGATGAAATTACCACTAAAGTATTTACTTTTTTAGAGCATTTAATTTCTTAAATGGATATTAAGGAAGTTTACTAAAAGAAACGTGTGAGAACTTATAAAAAGATTCCTACATAAATAGCTCTTAGGTCTCTAAAAAGTATGGCAAATATACCTTAAGGAGATATTCATATTCCTAATTTAAATAAAATCATATAAGAAGAAGAGAAGAAAGTCTAAGGCTTTGAGAATTTTGATAGTGAAAAATTAAAAAATGAAGAAATGCCTTCTTTGGCTCAAAAAAGAAATCACTCATTTTAATTCTAAAGAAGTCCTATTAGTGGTAAATACTCTCCATAGGTTTCTAATCCAAAATTCCTGACACCAATTAATCTTGAAAAGAACCGCACTTAAAAAAGTAGTGTGCTAGATGCTTTTCACACTTATTTAAATCTGAATGAAAATAATAGTAACAGTTCTACTCCAAATGCAAGCGATCGTTCGCAATTAGAGTTCCAAAGTAACACTAACAACAAATAAAGTATAGTGCATCTGTCTATTAATTAAAAGAGCTCTTTTTTCAGTAATAATAATCCTACTAATTTAACAAGTATGGTGATACAGCCCTAGTAATTGAAATCTACTTTCCATTATTTTGATGAGAACAATTCTTCGGATTAACTAGGATAGGAAGTTGATGCAAATGTGAGTCTTGATTAAAAGAATTAAAATAGTAATAAAATAGTTATTATTGAAGAAAATGAGGATAAATTAAATAAGAAAAAAAGCATTTTAATAAAGAAGAGCTCAATAGAAATGACATCAGGATTAAGTTAAAATAACGTTTAATCAAAAAAGAAAGTGAATGTAACTAGTTTTGATTTAATATCCAGCGAGTAGAAGATTTAAACGATTCCAAATTAATCTAATAACTCAAAAACATAAACTGATAAAGAAATGACAAGTGAGAATGAGCACACTTTAACAGATGATAGCTATTTACCTCTATCTAGAAATTCAATTGTAAAGTATTCTATGGATGACTTATAAAGGATTGATTAATAATTAAAGGATAAAAAAGCAAAGTTGAAAGAAGAAAACATTATTATGCAAAAAATTGCTTAAGAAGATTTACTTAAAAGCAAGGAGTAAGCTAATTAAACTTAAGCTCTTCATAATTTTTAAAAGAGAGATTCTTTAAATAATTAAACTAATAGCTAGATTTTCAAACGAGGATAAGTAAACAAAAGATTAAGTGATCAATCTAATACAATACAGAAATTTAATACTACTTTTATTAATCGAGATTAAACAACTTAGAATTTAAGTTTACCTGAAAGTAAAAGAGATTCATAGAGCACAAATATCAATGTGCCTAGAGAAAATTCTTATCAATAAATAAATGTCAAAGAAATAAGAACTCCCCGCTCAGTAGCTTAACAATAAGGAGGAAACCTGCTTTATTAAGCAAAAGACATTTCGAGTTTCTAACAGGCATACAGTAAAAGCCTTTAAAAATCTATTACTAATCTATAAAATTAATACTCTTAAGCAAATAAGAATTTAGTTAATAGTTAAAGCTAAGAAAAATTTGACTTTGTAAACTAACAACAGAGAAATTTAAACAATAAAAATATCTTACTTATGTCTCCAAATTTAAATATTTATTAGGAAGATAGATTAAACACTATAAAAGGTTAAAAAGGAGAGTAAATCAACACAGGCCATCAATTAAATATTTTTAACATGAACTAAAACATACCAAAAAATGGGATCTATGAAAATTAATACTATTTATAAAGTGCTTAGGTGAAAAAGAAAATTCCTTTCGTGTAAATGGACATATCTAAAAACTAGATTAAGTTAAAAAGCAAAATTTAGTTGGATGAACATTCAAAATTTAATAGTAGCTTTGACTAAAATGAAATAAAATAAGCTTTAGAAAATAGCAAAAGCAATTTTAAAATTATTAGTCCTAATTAAAGCTTAATCAATTTAAATAAGAAGAAAATAAATTCACAGAGTTTAAATGCCCATAACCTTGCTTTTTAAAATCTTCAAGATAATAAAGATATTGGATCTTTTGGAGTAAATAATTCAATTAAAGTGTCTATGAATAGTGTTGAAACAGACTAAAATTAGTAGAACTCTCCATTAATTTACAGATAAAATAAGTTGAGTTTATAAGGCTTATTTGGTAATTAAAACCGTTTAATATCACCTCAAAGTATGCAAGGGAATGTAAGACCAATTAACAGCCAATAAACTGATTTTGACTTATCTAATAACCCTTCTAAAATGTACTTCTCTTAACCTTTCTACTTCAACCATAATACAGAGAATGACTAATCAATTAGTAACATAGAATAAAAGGTAAGGCTACCAAGTCTACATGTTCAGGGAAGCAATACTCAATAGTAATAGCAAACTAATAATGATAAAAGCAGTGTGTAGCTAGGTTCACATAATCAATTAAGGAGTGAGTCAGAAAAAAAGTTGAAAGGGCCTAAATTATCTTTACTGACACCATAACTAGCTCATGTAAGCACTTAAAAAACTCCTATTGATTTAAATACAATTTCATATCTCAAAAAGAAAAACCGTCAACAGTAAGAAAACCTAAAACAAATACTATTATTTAATATAAATCATAAGTGAAATAATATATACCTGTCTATTTCAAACTTTAAAAAGTAGATATTGATTACATAATTTAATACAAGTATGTTTAAAGAACTCAATATTCTAAAAAACATTATAAATATCCAAATTTAATAGTAATAAGCACATGCAACTAAGAACTAAAAACTTCTAAATAACACACTGAATATCCAAAATTTAATTTTTAAAATTATTAAAAACAATTAATTCAACAAGCAAGCAAACTATCTAACTATCTATCAAAACTTAAAAAATTTAAATTCTTTAATTATTGTATTAAAATAAAGTTAATCTGATAAATAAATCTATAAAAATAGAATTGAGTTTGTTTAATACATATGATATAATATTTATTGTTTATACTGATAATATATATTGAAAATATAGAAAATATGTAATAAATTTATTAAATGCATTTTAGATTCTTTAGTTTTTAACTACAAAATTTTCTATTTTAATTAAAGTGTAAGTAAGTACTTTCTTCAAAAATCAAAACTAAATTTTGCACATAGTCCAATAGGTCCACAAGCCACACGTGCTCCAGCGTGCCCAGTTGTTTTTGAATCCTCAAAATTTCCAAGGCCTAAATCATCTTCATCTGCATGAATTACACAGCTTCTTCCTATAACATTATACTCACCGTATAAAGATATCAAATGATCAACAATTTCATAAACAGCAACATTTTCTTCAGAAAGTTTATTTTCAATATTCCCAAGATCTCCAACATGTCTTTCTTTTGAATCAGGGGCACCATGGGTTTATTTAGTAGGATTAAAATGAGCCCCAGCAGATTTACACCCGTCTATCAAATTTCCATATTCATGAATATGAAATCCATGCTTGCCTTATGCAAGCCCCTTAACTTCAGCCCTAATTTTGCATTTATCTCCTTCTTACTTAAAATAAACTTTTCCTGTAACTTTATGATCTTCTGATTGTAAAATACATATCGCATAAATAGGTTCTTTAAGTACTTCTATTAGATTACTTTCGTTTTTTTAAACAGTACTATCTCCACAGCAAGTATTTCCCATTTTTATCTAGCAATATCAAGTAGAATAATCTTATTTTCACAAAATTATTAAAATTAATTACAAAATCTATGAAATATCTAATTTGATTTTTATTAAAATAAAAAAATTATTAAAAAAAAAAGTAGCGATAATTTTTTGATATATTTTTTCATATCAAATAAATATTTCAAATTTAAAAAGAACTTATCAATAGATAGATAAATAATTAAATATCAACTATTTTCTGAAAAAGTCAGAAGAATGATATTTCATAAATTAGCAATTTTAATTTATTTAATTAAAATGGATATATTTCTATAAATATTAAGAATTAAAAACGAATTAGATTCACTTAAAAAGTATTTATATGAGTATTAATTAAGTACAATGAAATATAAAAATATTATATGATAATGATAATTTATTTATTTATTTATTTGTTACATTTTTATAGCTAAGGTCTTATTTAATTTTTTCATAAATCCTCTATCAAATCATAGAAAACCTGTTTAGGAAGTGGTAATAAATCGTAGATGATTTTTTAAAATACTATATATCTTAGCTTATCTTGAAATTTATATCTGATAATGTTTCTGATGGATTTAGTTAGTTAGTTATTTAAATTGAAATATAAAAAGTCAAAGAATACAAGGTATTTAAACTTGATAAGTATATTAGACAATTGAATTAGGAATTCTGTATTAAGATTCAACTGCTAAGATAGTTCTATTTCTAGTGTAGTTAGATAATTCTTTGTGGAATATAATTAGTTCAAGTATAGTTCATTATTTTACTTAAACATAACTTACCAGATGTTTTCCTTTTTATTTATCATAAATTAAAATTCATCTTGATAAATTTAGATATTTTTAGATGAACAATCAACTTTTGAAATTAATTATTAGAATATGCTTTTAAAATCATTTTTATTAATTTAAAATATAATTTAATGAAATTCTTTATAGATAGCTTTTGCTTATTCTACTAAAAAATCACTTTGTTTTAATAGATTAAGTTCTTACTAGCATATGTATAATTATAATTAACATTTATTCAAAATTATTTATTTTTGATAACTGTTATCAGATATGTGACTTACTTATTTAAATCCTATATATTTTAGGTAACCTCCAATTAAAATCTAAGTAAAGTATATTTTATCAATCAATAATTTCTCACTTTCTACTATTTTTTTCAATAAATCACAAAACTTAAAATCAGCTTTTCTTATGTATAAATCTATTTAAATTTCTTTGTTCTTTATGTTTTAAAGAATTTGAAGATTCATTAATGAGTCAATAGATAATTTAAGATAATATAAGTTACTTAAAGAGTTAATAAAATTTATTAAGCCTTTATTACCAAATTTAAAAGTAGTTTTAAATAAGTTTAGGGTGAGTCTCTTAATTTAATAATCTTGATAAGTTATATTTTCTTATAACTCTATTTTGTTGAAATCTTACAAAAGTAACTCCACATCATCCAAATTTTTTATACTTGCAAGTAAAGCATTAATATTACGGATTTATTTATTGTAGTATCTTAATTTAAGACATTTTAGAATTTTCAATTCTTAAAATTAGGAGCAAAATATATCAAAGTAATTTTACGAACAATTAACCTGAGGATAGATACAGAGACTAAGCTTTATACATTTCTTAAATTCACCATTTAATTAAAATTCAAACAAGCCAGTAATTTAGTCTGCTTTTGTTACCTTAATATCAAAATCTGTCTATCCTTTATATTATGATTTAAGTGCTTATGGAATCTCATAAATATAGTTAACTATTATTTTAAGAACTTAATTATTTTCTTGCATTTTACTTTTATGAATTTTGATTCTTCTATTTATCTTTTTATTTATTTATTTTGATTTTTTCTCACTTAAAAATCCAAAATATTTCTTATTTAATTTCTAAAGTGTCTAAATTATAAATTTTTTATTTCTTTTACTGAAATCTGATAGAATTTGATTTAATTTTTCTATATTAGTTCGTTTTATAATTATTTTTATAAGAAATAATATATTTTTTAATATTTATTCAACCACCAATCCTTCTAATTTTATTAAATAAAATAAATTTATTTCTAACATTGTATAATAAATTAACAAATTAATTTTATTTTATTTATATCAAAATGAATTTCAATTGAATATATATATTTTTTTAGTTAATAGACAATTTAATTTCTTATGATTAATTTAGAATAATTATTTTATTTAATATAATTATCTAGGATAATTATTTTACGATGGATGCTATAAGCATTAAAATAATAATAGTTAAAAAATTAAGAACTATCAATATATTTTTTGAGTTGGTAATTAATTAAAATTTGATTTGCTTGGAGAAATTATATTATTGTTAATATACAAGTTAAATAGTAAGCATAGATAGATAGAAGTATAGCAAGATATATCAAATGGGAAAAAAGAGAAGAGTTCAAGTTTTCACTGGTTGGCTTTTAATTCTAAATAAAATATTTTAATGATTAGCTTTAAATCAAATTAATTTAATATATAGGTAGTATGTTACAGCCTTTGTATCGTTATTTATTATCTGCCAAGATTGGTGTTAATCCTTTAGATTTACATGGCTAAAACATTGCTAAGTAAATTATAACTTTGAAAAATGAGTAATGAGTGTTAAAAATTATATTTTGCATATAAACAGATAAATATTCTTGAAGTGCAAATAAGCTAGACCTAAATATCTTTAAAATGGTAAAGAAAAATATCTTATAATTATAAATAGCACTTGAAATCTATTACATGATTTCAAATATGGATTTACGCTTATTATAAATTTGTCTTTGGTAAATAATAGATTTCAATGCAACTTTAGTTTAGGACAATGAAGCACCTGCAAGTTATTTCCATGCAAAATTCGGTAATTTACTATAAAATTTAAAAATCTTAAATTGTTCATTTTTCAAAATTGATTGAAAATAAAGTTAAAACCATAAAAAGTAATTTGTTTTCTACTTTCTTAAAAAATTAGTAAATGGATATGAGTAGAAATGGTATTTGCATAAGTCCACTGAAGAGGAAATTAATAGAAATCTTAAGTATTTCAACTATCAAATAGAAAGTAATTAAATTATTAAATTTTTTGAATATCCAAGTAAAGATAAGGCTCATAGCTCTTATTTAGTGATGATTGCTATTTTTATATTGTGCACACAAATGAAAACAATCGAAATTTCTTTTTTAATAAGATATTTAATCTATAGATAGACCTTAAGAATTATATACTTAATTATTTTTTTAAACAACTATTAGTGGAAAGAAATCTTCAAGGTCATGATGATGAATACGAAGATGAAGAAACCTAACTTTGAGGAAAAAATATCTTATGTTTGTTTTATCTGTTATGAATTAAAATGTATTTTAAATTTTACAATTGAATATTTAGGCATTATCATATAAATAATGACTAATAAACAAGCAAATAAAGAAATTCTTATATTTAACTTCACAAAGATCAATCTCTATATGTTTATTAAATATTATATTTACCTTAAAAATTCACTTTTAATCTATTTATTGACAAAATTAAGATTTCATTTAGAATATCATATTTAACATTTGCTTCTGATTTGTTCAATTAAAATCAATTTTAAAACTATTCACTAATTAATTAATTAATTAATTCTCTTTTTATTTTGAAATGAAATATTTGTATTTTATTCATAATTATTGAGCAAAAATAGAAAAGCATATCAAAATGAAATAATAAATTTATAAATACTCTTTAATTTATTAAGAAAAGATAATATTTTTGATTTTCAACCTTCATTAAAAATTCTAACGCAAAGTTAAAATTTGAATAATTTTAATGTTAGTTTAACATGTATTTTATAAATCCATTTTAAGAAATTTAAAATTACTTTTATTAAAATATTTGTAGAATTAATAGATTTGTAAGATAGATAGATAGATCTTAAAAATGTAGTTAAAAATCTATTTTAGAAAATTACAAATTATAAGATATTATAATTTATTAATTAAATCTGAAATCTGAAGTTTTAAATTTTAAAAATACTCATTTACTTATCATGTAAAAGTGTGTGTGTTTGTAAGGGTCTCAAGTAAGTTAGAATTTGTTAATTAATTAATCAATCTTGTATTATGCTGTTATAAAATTTAGATCTATTCATAATCAACTTACGAAAACCAAGTATTTAAATTAATAATTTTTTAAGGGTATTTTATTTTAGAATACTTAACGATTTAAATAATTTTCTAATAAAATATAATATCTTTTTGTTGATTAATTATTAGTTTATATATTTATTTTATCTTTATTTTAAAAATGAAAAACGTTCTATAACTATCTATTATTTTAACTAACAATCTTAGTCATAAATATATTTTTTGAAAATAGATTTAGTGTTACCTAATAGAATAATTCAATTATCCTAACAAAGACAAAGAAAGTACAATAACTAATTATCTTTTTCTTGCTAATTTTTGAAGAAAAATAACAAATTCAAAAAAACAATAAAAATTTAAAAAAGAAACAAGTATTGAAAATATCATTTACTTAAATACAAAAAATAATTAGTAGAATAGTAAAAATTAGAGTTAATGTCAAGTTATTCTTTAACTTTTAATTTAGAATTAGAGTATGCTCATTCTTCTATGATTGTAGAATTCTTCTGGTAATCAACAGATAAACATTTTAAAGAATCCTCTCTTTTTATCTGAATTAAATTTTATTATTTAAATTCTAAAATAAATGTAGCATGTTTTAAAAATGATATCAATAGGTTCTTTGTTTCAGTACTCGCGTTATCAGTAGCTATAATAAAACTGGTTAAAATAAACACAGTTCATGAAATAGTTGGTTATGAAGAATAACCTAAACCGAAACCACAGTTGCCTGTAAATGATCCTTAGAGAGGTAATTAATTTATTAATTAATTAAAATATTTAAGCTTTCTTGAATTATAACAAACTCTTTCTACCTACAAGAGTATATTTATAAATCCATTTATTATGAGGAAAATATTTTGCTATCCTCATATTAAATATATCAGATAAAATAAAATAATTATTGATTATTTAAAGCTGAATTTGAATTAACTAATTTATATATGAATATTTTTATTCTTAAAAATTAATTTACATTAAGATTGACTTATTTCAAAATTTATAGCTTGAAAATTTTTAAATATTTTAATTATAAAATAGATAATATGAAAGATCCTTAATTAGGAAACGATGTAGATTAAATAAATGTGAATGTAGATATGAATAATAATAATGGTGAAGCTTAATAAGCTCAACCTGCAGGAGCAGATTCTCGCTAGAACCCAGATGCTCCTCATGTTGATCCTGAAAAGCTCTAAGATAAAAACATTTCTACTCTACCATAATAAAATTAAGGATTTTTAGCAACATTCTCAAATATTGTTGATTTGATGGTTGGAAAGCATTTAGTTATTTTTATTATTTTTGTCTATCTAGTCAATCACTTTGGATGCTATATATTCACTGCTTTCTGTGTTTTTATCTGCTGCATTCAACTTTTAGCATTTAACTACTTCAAGATTTTTGAAAGACTCTAAAATCCTGAAGCCTAAAAATACTCAGAACTTTCCTACCACATTTGGATTATTGCATTATTTATAGCTTACTTTGTAAATAGTCAAAAAGCACTTGATGTTTTCAAACCAGTTCCAATCAGTTGAAATACATATTCATCTATTAATGACTTTTATATTGTATAACAGTTAATTAATATTAATTCAATAAACAGTACTAGCTAATTGAATGTGTCTACCTATATACTATTATTGTTAAATTTTTGTATGCATTTTTTTAGATAAAGAATTTCATTTATTCAAATAAAATTTCTTGAAATTAAAACTAAATTTAAAAAAAATAATTTATTTCTTTAAAATGAATTATTTTCCTCATTTAAATATCCATCCATATTTGTATTAAAACTAATTGGGTCATTTATGCATGATAGCAAGTGAAAAAAATATCAAAAGTTTAATATTAATTAAATAATTAATTTTTAAATGGTTTTAGTGTAAACATCTTTTTTAATTTTTACTTAAATCAATGGCTAACTTTCATTTTATACACTTAATTCTTGATAAATTTATATGTTTGTTTTTCTGAGTGTGTATCAAATAAACTAATCTATAAATATTTACCATTCAATGCTAAGTTATTAATTTATTTCAATGCTTTATATGTATTTTTAACATATATTTTATCAATCAAAAATTAGAATTTTATACCAAATCAACATAACCAAATAAATAAATAAATCATCTTTATTAATTTCTAATAAGAAATTTGTTAACTGATTCTTATTCAGATAGATATATTTAATAAAATAGTAATTGTATTTAAGATAATTTTGTTATTAAATCAACTTCAAATCCTATATAAGAGGAGGAGTTTGTAATTAAGTTGGAGTGAAATGAGAGCCATCAGAGTTTTAAAATAGCTGATGCAAAATTTAGAAAATAGTCAGCTACATAGTACTGAAAAAAGAGATTAATTTGCTGATGTTATTAGTTTAAATAATATTCCTCCTACTGATTCTTTAGGTTTAAGTAGTAGAATAATTAATGTTTTAAAGTCTGATTTATTAGTTCTCTGTCGTATTTAAAAGCAGCTAGAGTTAGGTGAAGTTAACCCATTTTAGGTTTAATTAAATGCAAATGATTAAGATAGCTCTAATAATTAAATAGCACCTGTGAGTTAGTAGGATAATGATTTAATCGAAAAAATAAATGAATGGTATAATGAAAATAATAAAATTAAAATTAGTTCAATAATTGAGCTTATCAAAATGTGTGTAAGAAAAGTTGAGAAAGGTGAAGATATTGAAATTCAAAAATTAGTTAATGCTTATGACCCAGAATATGGTTTGCTGTTTTGCCATTTATTTTGTTTAGCAATAGAACAAGTGTTAAATTTTACTAAATTAATCTAGATTGAAGAAATAATAGCTAAATGCTTAAATCGTATGATTGATGGCATTAATTTTTAGAATATGCAATATTTAGAAACAATTATTTCTGATAATTTGAAGAAACTCGAGCAAGTAATGCTAATAACTAATTAATACCTTCCAGAGCAGCATTCGATAGTTGTCATTTTTGAAAAATATAATAATTTGTTGCAGAAGCTATCAGTATAAAACTCTATTTTTTACTCAAACAACTAAGTTATCCCAAATTTCAATGATCTTCAGGGTATAATCATAAAAATATAAGATTATTTATATAACCCTTCACCAATCAAGTCTAATTAGGATTAATAGTTTATTGTTGCTTAAATTCTAGAAGAAACATTAGGAATTTTTAATGGTGCCTTCTAAAGGTTTTAAAACATCTAGCTCGACCATAAATCTAGACATATACTTTATGATAGAATAGAAAAAATCATAGTAACATGCCAAATGTCTCCTTAATACATATAGTACTAATAGCACAAAGATTAAACAAATTCAGTTACTCCCAAGTATTCATTACATTACAATTTAAATGAAAGCAGCTTTTATAGTTAAAATAGTAAAACTATGAGTAGTATGTCTTATTTAAAAAAGAGAACTTCTACTATTTAGCAAGATTACAAAATACTCCTTAACACCCTCAAAAGAATAGGAGAATATTTGATATCTAAAAACGACAATGTTATAGTCCTTAAAGACAACAACAACTAAATTAATTATATCTGCAAACATAATTAAAACGACTTTTCTAATCCCCTAGAGAAGCTAATAAACTCTCAAAATAATTACATCTAAAATAGTGAAACTGAATTAAGCGATTAAAAATAAAATGGTAAAAACTATTCCTAAATATATAAATAAATTGTTTTGAACAGCAAATACTTTAATCATATTATGAAGAATAAACAAATTTACGAGTAATAATTGTAAAATATTATTTATAAACGAAATTAATATGAGAAAGAAGGAGCCTAAATATTGTTGGGGTTGAAAAGTGCTTTAATTATTGAAATAAACGATTAAAATTTAGAGTAAATCTTGCTGGATAACAATTCTTCTTTGGTAATTACAATCACTGACAAGCTTAGTGGAGAATAAATTTGTGAAACATCTCTTAAATCTAATATAAATTCAATTCAACTTGAGTTACCTTTTTCAATACTACCATGCAATCTCTAAATTTTAGAAAAATAGCACAAAAATTCATAAGACTAGAAGAATAATTCTATAGACTCTAATCTGTAAGAAAATACAGAATAATTGATCTAAAATGAAAGTTAATCTTATCTTTTATTTGAAAAAGATATTTGCTTAACTCAATTCATTAATACATATTTAAGACTTAAAAATGAAAGTTATAAAAATTCCACTCAAATTAACTTAAAAGAATTTATTGATTCAAGTCTAGATTTAGATCGGTCCCAATCGCCTTAACTAAGTAGTATTGACATCTCATATAGTCCTGAAATGGAAATAAACTAGGCACCCGTTTTTCCAGTTTTTTAGAATGCCCTTCAATCATATTCGCTATCTCCAAGCAGAAGTAAAAGAGTTTCATAAGATACAATATATAAGGGTAGTCTTAAAAGTATTGAAGAAGAAAACTACTCATCTATTTCTGCTAATAACATAGATATGCTTAAAGATAAAAAAAGACTGAAAGGTGAAAAAAAATAAAGCTAACAAGAGCCGAGTTCTATAAGATATCCATTAAATTAAGATTTTATTAAGGATTCTGAAAAATCAAAGCATCCACCTTAAAATATGTGCAAAAGCAAAGAAGAATAATTTACTAAGTTTAGATTTTTTATAGAAACTAAACAAATATAAGCAAAAGAAAATAATTTTAAAAATAAAAATATTCTTCTCAACAAAGAATTACCTGTTAATCAAAGCCTTGAAATTGACGAAGTTAACTTATTTAAGGATAAAAATATTTAAAATAAAAATATAGAAAAATAATCATAAAGATAAAATAACTAAAAAAAGAAAAATTTTAATCTTCCTGATAGCGATTATCAAGATTTATCGAAGCAAACAAATTTTAATGATAGCTATCTTAATAATTCAATGCAAAAAACAAGATCATAATTTGGATCATAGGATAGTCTGAATGATAGGTAAGAAGAGAAAGCTCAAAAAGATTTAAATCCAAAAACGAAGTAGTTAAAATAAATAAATTTTATAAAACCTTCATAAAATAATGTAAATAACCATGTTATTCCTCAATAAATAAACTAAAAATTGAAAAATAAATAAAATATTGAAAAAAATTAACAAAACAAATTATAAAAAATAAATCAATTATCACCTTTATCTAATACATAAAAGTTAAATTTAACAAATAAAAGCAACTAGTCTTCTATCGATAATAGCATGATTAGTTTCCCGAATTCTAAGAGAAACTCTTAATTATAAAAACATGATTTCTTTTAAAATTCGTCAATAAACACAAGTGTGGTATCGATACAATATAGTCAGAATGACTCTTTATAACCTTATTAATAACATTTACAAATTGGAAAATCTAAAATTTTGGAAAAATAAAGTTCTAATTCAAGAATAAAAAGCAACTATTATTATAGTTTAGAATAATCTAAAGAAAATATCACTATTTTTCAGTAAAAGAATTACAACTTGATTCATAATAATACTAAAATTCATAAAACTTCTGTCTTAAAAAATATCAATTAAAAAGATAATATGTTATAAGTTATATAAAATAAAGATAAAAGATCTAAGTCAGTTTAACCTCATTAAATAAGCAACTTAAATAAATTAGATAATTTAGCAAATAGTGTAAATTAAGTTTCCCAAAATACAAACCAAAATTAGTTTAAAATGAGAAATTAAAAGCTCAAACTAGAAGACGAAAACAATTTAGATTTTGATGTTAATACTTAGATAAAATCATTCTATGGAGTTTTACACGAGTTAAAAACTACAAAAATAAACATAGATATGTGAACAAAAAACAGGTTAACTTTATATCATAAAACGAATGACAATTTTTAAAATTATATTAAAAATACAAAACTATTTATAATATTTATTTTCTTTAATTCATAATTAAACTAAAATTTATTTATAAATTTCATTTAACTTCAAATAATATTTTAAAATGTGAAATTTAAAATAAATAAATACATTATCTATCAATGCTTTTCATAAAATTTAAATATTAAGATAAAAGGTAAATTCTATTGAAAGTGCTGAAATATATATTTTTTTTAAATTATTCTATAGTTATTTATTAATAGATATTTTTACTTTTTAGCAATTATATCTATCTATTATGAACTAATAAATTAAGAAAATTTAATTTAAATTATTATATTTTTTGCTTTGAATTTGTAAATATACAAATTAAAAAAGTTAATTGCCCTCAAAAGCAATAAAGTAAAGCTGCCATTATTAAGAGACAAATATTTATATAAGTATAAAATTTTCAGAAGGATTAAACCAAATATTTTTTTAAGTGTTTTTAACTTATTTTTGGACCATATTTAAGAATTTCCATAAAAATTTTTTTCGCCCCTAATATATGAGGATTTAGAGTTTGTTAAATTTTTGAAAAAGTAGTTACTAAAGTAAATATAAGAATTTTCTATATTTACTACATAAGGTATTTGTTTATTAAATTATCTGTTTGATTTATTCAAATTAAGTTAATCTTATTCATGAGAATTACTATTTTAATAAAAAATAATATATAATAATTTAGACATTTTGTTATTGAAAAAAACTAACTCTTTTAATAAAATGAATATTAATAATGTAATTTTTGTATTTATTATAGAATTTAATTTTTATTATTAAGGAATATATATATTTATTCATTAAAAAATTTAATAAATGCATAATCTATAGAAAAAAAATTAAAATAAAGAAAATTCTGTTTTATAATAAAAATATTATTCGCCATCATAATTGAATTTTGAAAATAAACTATTTGCTCTTAATCTAAAAAATAAAAAAAAATAAAAATAAATTATTCAAAAGAATTTTTTTTTCTCACTAAATATTTACTTTTCTACTTTTTTCATAACAATAGTTCTGTGTTTTTTAAGTCAAGTACACTTTATTTATTATTACTATTATTGTTTTCATCATAAGATTACATGATAAATATTCTATTATTTGATCAAAATGGGAATCTTTTGAAAAGTAATCATGTTTATTTAGTTTTATTGTAAAAAAATAAAAATCAAATAAATAATGCTTTTTTTTAATTTTTAATAAATTGCATAAATTTAATATTAATTTACTAATTTAAATGTTTTACAACACTTTTCATGATGTCAAAATTTTTTACATAATATATATTGATTTATTTGCTCATAATGATTTAGTATCTTTTAAAACAAAAGCTACATTTTTTAAAATTTTAGCAGTAAAAAACCATTTGATTAGTAATAATGAAACAAACATGTAAATCAATTTTCAATTTAGTGATTTGAATGCTTATCTATATCTTATTAATATAGCACATTAATCGAGACATTAAATTATAAAATATGTAAATAATGATCTAATATTCTTCATATAATAAATCTCATTTTTAAATTTATAATAGATGCAAAATATAAACCCCACCAATATAATTTATAGACCTTAAATTAAATAGTATTTAATTACTCCTTTTAATTTATTCAAAATATCTCACTGCCTACTTTTTATAACAGCATATAGAAGAAAAATATTTATTTGGAGTATTCTTAACTTTTGAGGGTAGTTAAACAATATTCTTTTTAAATATATGATACAAATAACACTCTTAATTATTTATTTTATTCATATTTTTATTAAATTTTTGAATTAAAACCCTCTTAGAAGTTTATTTTTAACATCTTTTAGAATTGAATTTTTAGTTATCATAACTTTTATTTGTTTAAAATGTTTACTTAAAGATTTTAAAAGTAAACACATTTTTGAATATTATTGTTTGTCCTTCTTCAAATTACTCTATACTATTTTAGAAATTTATTTAAGAAAATTGTAGATAATTACAATTTAAGCCAGACTTCTGATTATAAAAGAATATAAAAATTATTTGAGATGATCAAATCTTTTATCTCTAATTACAATTTTAATTTCAAATCTAAAATATAATTTTAATTTGGGTTTAAGATTATTAAGAATATACTTTTTAATATCTATGAGATATTTAAATCTAATGAAAGTTAATGCTTATTAGAAATAAACTTAGAAAAGCAATAACATTTTTCTATATTTATTGATTTTTGTTATATTATTTAAAATAATATTTTCTGAGGAATGAAAAAGCTATTGATTTAAAATATTTAATAGAATAATTAACCTAAAATAATTGTTAAATACAAATTTACGTTTGTGTGTATATAATTTGGCTTATTTGATAAATTTACTTAACATTTTATTTTTACATATTCAAAAATAATTATTTTTTTCTTATAAGTTGTTTTTATTTTCAGTGTTTTCTAGTTTCAATTTGGCAAGTATATTAATCTATTTTTAAAATTTGGGAAGATGACTAAAAACTTTAATAATTAGAATTTCATCAAAATGGAATGTAACTTTATAATATTAAAGGAATATAATCATATATTTAAATAAAGCAACAAGTATATAAGGTTGATTGAAATTAAATAAATTTAATGAGAAAAATTTTTTTTTCTTGGTGACACTTTTTATTAATGAACTTTAATTTTTAAATAATTTCTGTTGATTATCTTCAATATTTAGAGACAAAATTTAAAAGGAAGCTGATGTATTTAAATATTTATCATAAAAACAGTTTATTATATAATATTTATAATTATAATTAAATTAAATAAATATTAAAAAATGAAAATTGAAATACTCCTAATTTCTTTACTTCTAGCCTAGAATGTAATTGCTGATCCTAAGCCTGGAAAACCAGTAACTTGTGATAAAAGCTAAACAGATTGTAGTAAATGTCCTGTAATGTATCAATTTAATTGGATATATGACTAGACAACTTAGAAGTGCCATATTGAAGATTGTAATGCTTCAACTATTATCAATTTCAGTGATTAATATTGCCTTAGCTGTTAATCAGATTATTCTAATACCTATTTTAATGGGTCAGCTTGTGTGAAAAGTTCTGATTCCTGCTTTTCAAGATCATTACCTTGGACAGACTCAGATTGCTAAGCATGTAAGTAAGGAAAATATGCTATTTTTAATGGGTAAGTGTGTTCTTAGTATTAATGCAATTAAAAGACTTGGACAGATTAAGACTGTTAAAAGTGTAACCCTTCCTACGTTGCTTCACCTGATTAAACTAAATGTGTTAACACTAATGGAGTATCATGCACATAAATAAAGCAAGGATAAATTATTTCTGATTAATTTTGCTAAGCTTGCTATTAACAAAACTATTACGCAGATGTTAATTTAGAAAAATGTGTATAATCATCAGATACTTGCGGATTATATCAGAATCCTAATGGAAACTAATATTATATAAATAAATATAATAACAGTTACTAAAGAAAAACTCCATATACAGATGATGACTGCAAAATATGTAATTCATAATATGCTCTTCCTGATCAATCTGGATGCTTTTCTTGTAAGCTTGTAGAATAATATAGCTTATACTCAGATTAACTATGCTAAAAATGTTTTGGTACTAGCTACTTTGCAATTATCGATGGCTCATCCTGTGTTTAATCTTCTGATACTTGTGGTAAAAATTATCCATATTATGGTACAAAAAATTACTATAGAACATTATCTTGGACAGATAATGATTGTGTGCTATGCAAATAAGGATAATATGCCTATTAACATTAAAATGGATGCTTTACTTGCCCTAGTTCGAATTCAACAAGTGTAATAATATAATTTAACGATGAAATTTGCTAAAAGTGTTTTGGAAAATAATATTTTGCAGCATTAGATGGGTATTCTTGTGTTTAGTCAAGTGACAGTTGTAATAGAGGTCCATTAAAAAGATTTAAACCTTGGACAGACAATGATTGCTAATTATGTAAAGCTGGATAATATGCATCTTTCTAACAAAATTAATGCTTCACTTGTTAATCAAGCAATTTAACTTACAATTAGTAGTAAAACTATAATGATGAAATCTGTTAAAAATGCTATGGATAAGGTTATTTTGCAACAATAGATGGATAAAATTGTGTTCAATCATAATTTACCTGTGGTAAAAATAGTCCAAGATTTACTGATTGGACAGATAGCGACTGTTAATTGTGTAAAGCAGGTTAATATGCTTATAAACACCAAAGTGGGTGTTTTTTTTGTACATAATACTCCTAAAATGATGAAGTTTGCTAAAAATGTGTAGGATAAGAATATTTTGCAGCTAATGATGGATAATGCGTTTAATCTTAAGATACTTGCGGAAATAATTTTTAAAATTAAAGATTAACCCCATGGACAGATAAAGATTGTTAATTATGCAAAAATGGTTAATATGCTTATGCTAAATAGTATGGTTGCTTTAATTGCCAACCATACAATATATACAATAAGCTTTTTAATGGCTTTAATGATGAAATTTGTATTAAGTGCTTTGGATAAGGCCACTTTGCCGCTTTTGATAAATAATCTTGTGTTTAATCATCTGATTCTTGTGAGGCTGTTATGCCTAACTTAGGTTCAATTTCTTATCAAAATGTAAGATTGAGTCCTTGGTCTGATTAAGATTGCCAATTGTGTAAAGCAGGCTAATTAGCTCTTCCTGACAAATTAGGATGTTATTCATGTCCTAGCTCATATTAAGGTTAATATTTAAATGATCTCATATGCTAGCTTTGTTTTGGATCAGGTTATTATGCAACTTTAAATGGATCATAATGTGTTTAATCTTCTGATACTTGTGGAAGAAATTTATTTTAAGGTAATCAAAATTAATTTCCTAGTATTCCTAATAGATAAAGTCCATGGACAGATTAAGATTGCCAGCTATGCCAAGTTGGTCAATATGCTACTCTTGATAAAACTTCTTGTTTTACTTGCAATTATCAAACTAGTACTTCCGTTTATCCAGTTTATCCAAAGCAATATTAACTATCAGATTATATATGCTAAATTTGTGTAGGTTAAGGTTATTTTTTATCTGCTACAGGAATTTGCGTTCATTCCTCAGATACTTGCGGAGTATATTTAACAGCTAATAATGTGGATATTAAAAATGTTAATTTTAATTTCTAAAAACAAAAATTTATTTACCCTTTAGCATAAAGAAATACTGCTTGGACTGACTAAGATTGCTTTTTATGCTAAACTGGTTATTATGCAAACTATGACAAATCGTTTTGTTCACCAATATAATGCAACAATTAAAAAAATTGGACAGATAGTTTGTGTTAATAATGTGGTATTAGTTATTCAAAAAATAATAGTACTCTAGTTATTAGTTATTATGCTTCGATAGACAAAACCCAGTGTGTTTAAACTCATCAATCTTGCAGCAATTCTACAAATGTTGATGATTTGTTTTGCTAAACTTGCTATAAAAATCCCAAAATGTTTGCATCTTTAGATGGACAAGAATGCCTTTAGTTGTAAGACTCTTGTGATTCTAAAATTAGAAAAGCTTTGTGGACAGATAGTGATTGCCAAAAATGTAAGAAAGGAAAATATGCTACTTTTGATAAAAAAAGCTGTGCAAAAACAGCCAACTGCTCATCTTAAAAATCTCCATTTTCTGATGATTTTTGTTAGCAATGCAGTGAGGGAGAATAATATGCTTCTAAAGATGGGTTACACTGTCTGAGCATTAACCATTCATGTACTTACACAGGTAGTTGGAGTGAGAAAGATTGCCTGTAGTGTTTCAATAACAAAAAGCATGTTAATATTGAAGGTACAGCTTGTGTACAGAGTCAAGATAGCTGCGTTAATAGAAACAGTGCATGGACAAATCAAGATTGTAAGCTTTGTTACCCCTAGAAGAATATATAAACTAATTTATTTGGAACTGAGTGTATTGATATTGACTGTAAAAAAACTTCTGGATGGACTGATTATGATTGTTATAAGTGTGACCCTTTAAAACCATTTGCTTCAAGTAACTAAAATTCTTGCTCATAGCAAAAATGAGATAGATAGATATATATATTTTATTAGCTATCAATAATTTGAAATAATTTTATTAATTAATTAAATTTAATTTTTTATGAAATCTATGTAGTAAAACATTTAATGATTTTTAAAAATTGATTTACCAAAATATTTATATTACCTACTTATATTCTAAATGAAATTTGATTAAATAAAATTATTATTTGTGGTATATAATTAAGCTTTTAAAAATATTTTTTAACAAAGTATATTGAAAAACAAATAAAAATGAATAAAAGTAAGGTGATAATTTTAAAAGTAATTATTTTTATTCGCATGCTAAATTAAAAATACCATTAACTTAAAATACTGACCTTAAACTGTAATTAAAAAAAATAATTTTACTCTTAATAAAAAAAATGAATGTTTATTTTTATTAAAAATTTATAAAGTTAATAAGCTTTTATTTTTTCTTATTTTTTAGTAGAATATAATAGTTGAAAAAATATGAAATAAAATACCTTTATATTCATTCTATAACTTATAAAAAATATAAAATAAAAAAAGTACATTTATTTTTTAAATACATTTAAGATTTTATAAATTAATTTTAATTAATAATCTAATTTTATATTCATAATTTTTTTAGACTAAACTTTTTAATTTCTCATTTGAAAATCTTCATTCATTTTTTATTTTTATAATTTTATACTTTTCTATAAGCTGTATAAACAGCAATAATTGTTAGTATATTGAAGGTCGTAATTATAAAAGCTTAATCTAATTGACTTAATTACCGAGAGTTTGAAATATGTGAGTTTGAGAGTCAAATACAATAAACTAATGCTGAATAAATAGCGAAACAGTTAAATAAATTAAAGATTTCTTTATCTATTGGAGATGCTTAGTAAATGATGTAAGTTATAAATGACAATAATATATTAGAGAAAAGATAAGACTATTTGAAGCAGAACTAGACCAGCTAATAAAGTTTTCATAACTTCTTAGATTTCTATTGATTATTAAATATAACAATATTTTAAATTAATAATTGTTTATGAAATTAAAAATAATTATTGATTTATAATTTTTATTTTAATATCTAGTTTTATTAGAGAAGAACATAAATCTATTTTATTGGTAATATTTAACAATTCCCATGCCTATTATAAATATATGTATATATTTTTTTAATATTTATATGGTATAATTTGATTTATGTTTCAACATATTTTTTAAATTGTTAAAATTTTATATAACACTCAAATTTTATAGATTAATTTTTGCACAGTTACGCTATTACTCTATACAATTTTAATTTAAATTGCAAACACGTTCTATAAATATTTTAGATTTCTATATAATTATGAATAATTTTATTTTAAATTTATATAAAAAAAATAAATATTTAGATAAATTAGGTTTTTTTTCAAATTTAAAGAAAATATCTAATTAAAAAATGAATTTCCTCCATAAATTATTTTTAATTTTAAAAGAAATATTAATTTGATAAGTTAGAATAGGTTTTTGTTTAAATACTATTTCTTTTTTCAGCATATATAAAATATATAATTTTAAGATATACTTTAAATTCTATTTTATTAGATATATTATCAATTTCAATAAAATTAGGATATTGGTAAATTTTTAAATTCTTGAAAAATTTTTTGTAAAGCAAATATATTATTTTTAAATATTTATTAAATATCGTATATTTTTATTATATTATCTATTTGATTTATTCAAAATAGAATTAATCTTTATATTTATGAGAATTTATATTTTAATAAAAAAAATAATAATACAATAATTTATCCATTTTATCATTCAAAAAACTCACTCTTTAAATTATAAGAATATCAATAATTTTATAAGAGAAGTTTAATTTTTATTAGTAAGATACATATACATATATATTCATTTAAAAATTTAATAAATACACAATATATAGAAAAAAATTTAGATAAGAAATTCTATTTTATAGTAAAAATTCTTTCAATTTCAAAATTGAACTTTGAAATTAAACTATTTGTTATAATCTAAAAAATAAAAATATTTTTTTTATTTTAAAATTTATTCTAAAATAAAATACTTTTAAAATGAATGCAAATAAAAATGATGTTTCCAAAAAATGAGTTTTTTTATTACAAGTTATTTATTTATCTGCTTTATTCATAATAATACTTCTGTTTTTTTAACAAATGATTTACTTAAGTTAAGGACACTATATTTTTAATTATTATTATTATTATTATTATTATTATTTTCATCATAAGATAACGTAATAGGTATTGAATTATTTGCTCAAAATGATATAGCCTCTTTTTGCAAAATAATTATGTTTATTGATCTTTATAGCTATTGTAATAAACATTAAATTTCTAATGCTTTTTTAAATTTTATTAAAATAAATCATATAAATTGAATATTGAATTTTCTAATTTAAAATTTGATCAACATTTTTCAAAATTTATTACATAAAATATATTAACTTATTTACTCATAGTGATGTAGTCCCTATTAAAACACAAGTTATGTTTTATTAAGTTTTGGCAGTAAAAAAATTATTCGAATAGTAATAATGAATCAATTTTTAATTTTTTGATTAGAATTCTTATCTGTATCTTACTAATAACATATTATTTGACACTAAATTATAAATTATTAGTGAATAATGATTTAATATCCTTCAATTAATAAGTCTCTTTTTTGATTTTTTAAAGTAGACACATAAAATAAATTCCACCAAGAAATATATAATATTGATATTTAAATATTCCTTGATTGCTAACTACTAATATGTTCAAAATGTTTGTCTACTTACTTTTTATGTTAACAAATATAAGAAAATATTTTATTTGTAGTATTCTTAACTTTAGAGGGTATTTAAGGAATTATTTTTAAGAATTTAATACTAAAAACACTTATTAATAATTCATTTTATTCATATTTGCATTAAAAATTTAAAAATAATACTCTCTTAGATATAATAATCTTATTTTAACATCATTTTAGAATTAATATTTAGTTATCATAACTTCTATTTGTTTAAACATAAAATTCAAACTTTAGAATTTGAATGATATTCACATTTTTTAAAATTATTGTTTGTCCTTCTTCAAATTTTACCATCCTCTTTTAGAAATCTATTTAAAAATTTTGTAGACTTTCTGATTGTTAAGCCAGACTTCTGATTATAAAAATAATACTAAATTTAATTATTTGCAGAGATCTAATCTGATATTTCTTGAAACTAAGATAAACAATTTTTTGAATTACAGCATTAATTTTCAATTAAAAACAATATCTTAATGAATATATGACTTGAATTTTATTAATATTTAATATGTCTTTATTTAAAAATGTACCTTTTAATATCTTTGATATGTCTAAATCTAACATTTATTAGAAATATAACTAAGAAAAATGATAATGTTTAAGATTATCTGAGTAATTAAAAATCTATTGATTTAACATATTTAATAGAATAATTTACCTAATATAATTTTCAAATACAAATTTACATTTGAATATATACAATTTGGCTTGTTTGATGAAATAACTTAACGTTTTTTTTAAATATTCAAAAATAATTATTTATTTCTAATAATTTAATATTTCTATGAGTTTTCTAGTTTTAACTTGAAAAATATATTAATTACTATTATTTAAAGTTGGGGATTATGCCTGTAAATAAAAATTTTAATATTAAGGATTTCATCAAAATGAGATATAACTTAATATTATTCAAATGGAACCTAATTATATATTGAAATAAAGCAGAAGAATAAGATTGGTTTAAACTAACTACAATAAAGATAAAAATTTTTTGTTCGATAATATAATTCTTTATATGGTATAATTTTACTATTAATTGAAGAATTTTTGATCTGGTGTTTTATTATATTAATATTTTATGCTTATATTAAACACAGCTTGTAAATAAATACTTTTCCTATTACTTACTTATAATCGAATACTGATGTTTTATATAGTTGAAAATAAATTAAATAGTTTGTTATGGGAATATAAAAATTTTTTCAAAGTTTCTTTAAAATTTTTTTATGAAAAATGTAAATCTATTTTCTTATCTAAAAGCAATACATATATCAAGTAAAATTATTTTAAAGCATGTTTTAACTTAATTATTTAAATTAAACTTTATTTTGAAGCTTTAAAAAATAAATGGCTTGCTCATTCAATAATAATTTTCAAAAAATTCAATCCCTTTTTAAGAAAATAATAATCTATTTTTATTTATAAATTTACTAAAAATTTATCAGATAATTAACTGAACAAACGAATAAATGTAATTGTAATTAATATATCAAGGAATATTAAAATGAGTAAATCAATAGAATCTATAAGTAGCGTTATTTATTAATTAAGTATTATTCTTTCCTTTTTTCTTTTTCTTAGTGATACATTTTATTAATAAACCTGAATTTTTAAATAATTTCTGTTGATTGACTTCTAATATTTACAGATAAAATTTAAAAAGAAGTTGATATATTTAAATAGCTAGTATAGATATTCTTTATTATATAATTTAATATGATTAAATTAAATAAATATAAAAAAATGAAAATTGAAATACTCCTTATTACTTTACTTCTAGCATAGAATGTAATTGCTGATCCTAAGCCTGGAAAACCAGTAACTTGTGGTCAAAACTCAAAAGATTGTACTAATTGTCCTGTGGTATATTACTCTAGTTGGGTATATGACTAAACAACTTAGTAGTGTCATATTGATGATTGTAATGCTTCAACTATTATCTATTTCAGTGATTAATATTGTCTTAGCTGTTAATCAGATGATTCTAATACCTATTCTAATGGGTCGGCCTGTGTGAAAAGTTCTGATTCCTGTTATTCAAGATAATCACCTTGGACAGATTCAGATTGCTAAGTATGTGGTTAAGGATAATATGCAATTTTTAATGGGTAACTGTGTTCTTAGAACTAATGTAATTAATAGACTTGGACAGATTAAGACTGTTAAAATTGTAACTGGTCATACGTTGCTTCTCCTGATTAAACTAAATGTGTTAACACTAATGGAATATCATGCACATAAATAAAGCAAGGATAAATGATTTCCGATTAATTTTGCTAAGCTTGCTATTCCCAAAATTATTACGCTGATATTTATTTAGAAAAATGTGTTTAATCATCAGATAATTGCGGATAATACCAGAATCCTAATGGAAACTACTATTATTATAATTTAAAATATAATAACTATGAATAAAGAAAAACTCCATGGACTGATGATGACTGTAAAATATGTGGTTCATAATATGCTCTTCCTGATCAATCTGAATGCTTTTCTTGTTAGATAATACAATAACTAAATGAATACTCAGATTATATATGCTAAAAATGCTTTGGTGCTGGCTATTTTGCAACTTTTGATGGCTCATCCTGTGTTTAATCTTCAGATACTTGCGGAAATAACTAATATTATAGTGGTGCAATTAAATAATAAAGATCATTACCTTGGACAGATAATGATTGTGTTTTATGTAAAGAAGGGTAATATGCATATTAACGTTAATATGGATGCTTCACTTGCCCTAGTTCTTCAACAAGTGGATCTAACTACAATGATGAAATTTGCTAAAAGTGTTTTGGAAAATAATATTTTGCAGCAGTAGATGGGAATTCTTGTGTTTAATCAAGTGACAGTTGTAATAGAGGTCCATTACAAAGATTTAAACCTTGGACAGACAATGATTGCTAATTATGTAAAGCTGGATAATATGCATCTATCTAGCAAAATCAGTGTTATAGTTGTTAATCAAACAATTTACCTTACAGTTATTGGTATAACTATAATGATGAAATGTGCTAAAAATGCTTTGGATAAGGTTATTTTGCAACAGTAGATGGATAAAATTGTGTTCAATCATAATTTACATGTGGCAGATATTATCCAAGATTAACTTAATGGACAGATAGCGATTGTTAATTGTGCAAAGCAGGTTAATATGCTTATTAACACCAAGGTGGGTGTTTTTATTGTGCATAAGGCTCCTAAAATGATGAAGTTTGCTAAAAATGTGTAGGAAAAGGTTATTTTGCATCTAGTGATGGATCATGTGTTTAATCTTCAGATACTTGCGGAAATAATTACTAAAATTAAAGATTAACCCCATGGACGGATTAAGATTGTTAATTGTGCAAACATGGTTAGTATGCTTATGCTAAATAGTAAGGTTGCTTTTATTGCCAACCAAATAACTGGAATTTTTATGGCTTTAACGATGAAATTTGTAGTAAGTGCTTTGGATAAGGCTACTTTGCTACTTTTGATAAATAAACTTGCGTTTAATCATCAGATTCTTGTGAAGCTGTTATGAATAACTACGGTTTTATTTCTTATCAAAATTTAAGATTGAGTCCTTGGACTGATTCAGATTGCTAATTGTGTAAAGCAGGCGAATTTGCTCTTCCTGACAAATTAGGATGCTATTCTTGTCCAAATTCAAATCCGTATTCGTATCAAAACTATTAACTGAATGATCTCATATGCTAGCTTTGTTTTGGCTCAGGTTATTTTGCAGCTTTAAATGGGTAATAATGTGTTTAATCTTCTGATACTTGTGGAAGAAATTTAGTTTAAAGTAATCAAAATTATTATACTAGTTTTCCTAACAGATCAAGTCCTTGGACCGATTAAGATTGCCAGCTATGCCAAGTTGGTCAATATGCTACTCTTGATAAAAATTCTTGTTTTACTTGCAATTATCAAACTTATTTCCCCTATTATCCAACTGTACCTTATTATTAACCATCAGATCATATATGCTAAATTTGTGTAGGTTAAGGTTATTTTTTATCTGCAACAGGAATTTGTGTTCAATCTTCAGATACTTGCGGAGTATATTTAACAGCTAATAATGTGGATATTAAAAATGTTAATTTTAATTTCTAAAAACAACAATTTATTTATCCTTTAGCATAAAGAAAAACTGCTTGGACTGACTAAGATTGCTTTTTATGCTAAACTGGTTATTATGCCAATTATGACAAATCGTTTTGTTCACCAATATAATGCAACAATTAAAAAAATTGGACAGATAGTTTGTGTTAATAATGTGGTATTAGTTATTCAACAAATAATAGTACTCAAATTATTGGTTATTATGCTTCGATAGACAAAACTCAGTGTGTTTAAACTCATCAATCTTGCAGCAATTCTACAAATGTTGATGATTTGTTTTGCTAAACTTGCTATAAAAATCCCAAAATGTTTGCTTCTTTAGATGGACAAGAATGCCTTTAGTTGTAAGACTCTTGTGATTCTAAAATTAGAAAAGCTTTGTGGACAGATAGTGATTGCCAAAAATGTAAGAAAGGAAAACATGCTACTTTTGATAAAAAAAGTTGTGCAAAAACAGCCAATTGCTCATCTTAAAAATCTCCATTTTCTGATGATTTTTGTTAGCAATGCAGTGAGGGCAAATAATATGCTTCTAAAGATGGGTTACACTGTTTGACCATTAAGCATTCCTGTAATCATACAGGTAGTTGGAGTGAGAAAGACTGCTAATAGTGTTTCAATAACAAAAAGCATGTTAATATTGAAGGTACAGATTGTGTACAGAGCCAAGATAGCTGTGTTAATAGAAACAGTGCATGGACAGATCAAGATTGTAAACTTTGTTATCCCTAGAAGAATATATCAATTAATTTATTTGGAACTGAATGTGTTGATATTGACTGTAAAAAAACTTCTGGATGGACTGATTATGATTGCTATAAGTGTAATCCTTTAAAGCCATTTGCTTCAAGTAACAAAAGTACTTGCTAATAGCAAAAATGAGAAAGAGAGATAGATATATTTCATTTTCTATCAATAAATTTAAATAATTTTATTAATTAATTAAATTTAATCTTTTTATGAAATCTGTGTAGTAAACGTTTAATGATTTTTTTAAAATTGATTACACAAAAATATTTATATGACCTACCTACCTATATTCTAAATGAAATTTAAATAAATTTAAACATTATTCTAGAATATGATTTAATTTTTAAAAAATTTTATTGAAAAAAAAATGAAAATGAGTAAAATAAAGGTGATAATTTTAAAAATAATTATTTTTTTTTTTCATACACTAAAATTAAATTTAGAATTAACCTAAAAAACTGACCTAAATTGAAAATTAAAAAAATATTTTTACTCTTCATAAAAAAAATATAAGAACATAATATTTTAAAAATTTATTAAGTTAATTAGCTTTCATTTTTCCATTTTTGTTTGTAAAATAGTTGAAAAAGTTGCGAAATAAAATACATTTATATTTGCTATATAACTTATAAAAAAATAAGATAAATAAAGCACATTTATTTTTTAAATACATTTAGGATTTTATAAACTAATTTTAATTTCTACTCCAATTTTATATTAATAACCTTTTTTAACTCAACTATTTAATTTCTTATTTGAAAATCTACATTCATTTTTTATTTTTATAATTTTATACTATTCTATAAGCTGTATAAACAACAATAGTTGCCAGTATAATGAAAGTCATAATTATAAATGCTAAAGCTAATTGACTTAATTATCCACAGTTTGAGACATGCGAGCTGGAGAGTCCAATACAACAAACTAATGCTAAATAAAAAGCGAAACAATTAAATACATTAAAAGTTTCTTTATCTATTGGAGATGCTTAATAAATGATATAAGTTATAAATTATAATAATATAATAGAGAAAAGACTATTTGAAGCAGAACTAGACCAGCTTATAAAGTTTTCAAAATCACAATTATTATAGTAACTGCTATCTGATGACATAACTCTAAATAATATTCCAAATATCAACGTGTAAATCGTTATACTTAGGATAGTATAATGTATAGCATTTTTCTTGATAAATGGTAATTAAAGTATCTTCATATTTCCTATATATTATTTGACTTTACTTCTATCTTATTTGAATATTTTAATTAGAAATTTAATACAATTTTTTTTTTTACAAATCTTTTTATGATTAATACTTATGTACCAACCACTATGCTTTAAAAATTAATATTTTTGTTACAAGTATTATCTTATCTGAGCTAATTAAATATCATCCATAAAAGATTTACTAATAAAAAATATTCTTAAAGATACTAGTTTTTTTAATACTAAGATTACACTTTGCTTTAAATGATATTTTTGATGGCATACATCTAAAATTAATAAGAAGTAAGCTTAATATAGTTCGTATTAAATTATTTATTTATTACTAAATATTTACATTATATTTATGACTAATTTTACAATCTGCCTCAAATTTATAATTTAAATATTTCTATAAAACAATTATATTTCATTTTTACAAAACTAAATAAAAACAATTTGTTAATTTTATATAATTACACTAAAATATTACTCAATTTTAATAAAGAAAGAAAAGGGTTTTTTATATATTCTTATAAATGAAAATATAAAATTCTAATTTTTGCTTATTTTAAATTTTCCTTCATCAATAAATAAATTAATAAAAATATTTTGAAATTTATTACTAAAAAGATTAGAAAAAATGTTAAATTTTTAATAAATTATTATCATTTAGGTATTATAAAGATTTCTTTATTTATGCTTTAGAAAAACTTTTTGCTTAAATTTTGATTCAAAAAGTTTTGTAATTAGGTAATAAAGTATTTCCTTGTTTAGAGATATTGTAATACTAGGTCTTTTTAGAGGTGAAAATGAACATCAAGAAGAGTATAGCTACAGACTCTAATATTATAATTCCATTTTTAATTACTTTATGTTAAACATATTTTGCTATGAATAGAGATATAAAAAGCAAAATTGGAAATGCAAGGAAATATAGTATTCCAAAGAAGCCGAGTTACTAGATAAATTCTTTTACTTTTTCTTTTGCTGCCCTCAGAGTATTTTTGATGCCAAAAGCAAAGTAAACACAAAGTCCTAACCTGATAATTAAAACACAATATCCAGCCCATCCATCATATTAATGATATTTCGTAAAGCTGTCGTCAGTTAACTTGCTTAATCCCACGATCATTGCTTAAATAACACCTAAAATTATAGCTAAAGGAATCAAAATATCATAGAAATCATCGCTGAGGGTATTAATTGTCCAACCCCAAGACAATAGAATAAGCATTATTGTAACTATAAAGCTAGTTAGATTACTGAATATCTAAGAGAGTAAATCAAAAAGAAAGAATCCATAACCATTATAGCCATACATTAACCAATGCAAAAAGTTAAAGAAGTTTGCTAAAGCCCACATTCCTACTGAAATTTCAAGAAGACATAAAGGCCAATCCATTTCATCATTTCTTTTATATCTCTCTTAAAGTATTTTTAGGTTTCTAATAAATACATAAGTAAAGATACCAGACAAAATAAAGTAATACAAAACAAAATTTCCTTCATCAGTAGGATAATGAGACTTATCTACATTATATATTTCTAATTCCAATAATATTTTGTTTGCATATAAATTCGATAATTAGTTATTGCAGTCGTGTATAACAAAGAACCATACATGTCTTCTTCTCCTTGATGTTAAAGCACCTTTTTTATAAACAAAAAAAATTAAAAATAAAAAAAATAGACATATTTGAAATCTAAGAAATTTATTTTAAAATTCATTCATTTCAATTACTCATATTGCATATATATAATAAATCTAGAGATTCTTTTCTAAATTTGTTAGCATTTTAAATGGGAATGTAAACAATTATCATTTCAAAAAAATGTTTACCTTCAAAAGAGTAATGTTCACTTGCTTTTGGAGACATATAGAATTTGTTGTTTATACTTGATTTGCTTCTTATGTTTGAGCAGCTAACTTCATTTCTATCTTCTTTCCATTAGTCATCTACGATAGCAGCAAAACCTACTTCAATGACACTTCTAGTTTCATTGTGACCAGATACTGGAGATTCAAAAATCGCCCTTGCTTTAAATACGCTTCTGCCTTCATCAGCAGCAAATTTGGTAACATACATCAAGTTATCATTCCTTCTAAGCTAAGATAACCTGATAGACTAACTTATTGTTTTAGATTCTGCTAAAGTAAAAAAGATTAGAAACAAACTTAAACTTGCTAATATTTAACAAATCATTATTAATAAAAACAAATTTTTATAATTTATTGATTAATAATAATTATCACAAATAGAAATTTCAAAAGAAAATCAATCTAAAAATCTCTATTGTTAAAATTTGATGAATAAAAATAAAATCTAAAAAAAAACTTAAATCTTTTTATCTTAAATTATTTTTTAAAGTAGAATATTTAAAAAAATTAAATATTAAGGTATAATTTTTAAGTAAAAATTAAAAAAAATAAGTAAACAAAAATTTTAGAAATTATATTTTATAACTAAAATATCTGTTAAAAAATAGATAAATTTATTTCACTTTTAAGTATTAAATTTCAGTAAGTTTTTTTCCTATTTTTAATTAATTGTTTTAAATAAAATCAGAAAATATTTATTTTGCAATTTTCAAATTGATCTTTGTAGTTTTCATTTTATTTTTTGGTTTATTTTGATTTTTTTAAAAACAGCCAAAAAACATCTATTAATATATATATTTATAGGTTTATAACTTTTTTTACTTCAGTTTTATTTAAATATTTTATTTTGCTCAATAATATTAAATTATATTAATTTTAATTCATAATATTAACTAAAAATAGAAAATATATATTTTGAAATTCTCAAATTTAAAATTGTTTCTGCTATTAATACAATAATCTAAAATATTACTTTAAATATATTGATGAGCTTTTCAAACTACTTTAGCTAATTTTAAAATTTACAAATAAAAATATTATTATTTTAAATTTATTTAAATATTAAATACAAAACACTATTTCAACTTTATTACGAATATATTTGATTAAAAAATATTTAATTAATTAAATAAATATTTTTTTGCCTTTAAAATATGAATTTAGATTAAATTTTTTTTAGTTTTAATTTATAGTTTTAACTAAAGTTAGAAAATATTTATTTTGAAATTTGCAGATTGATTGGAATAAATTAAATTTTACCTATTAATTTATTTTACTACTTTAAATAAAATGATGTTAAAATATTTCTTAAATATATTTATTAGAGATTAAAATATTATCTGTAAATTTTAAGACATACAAATATTTATTCCTTTCTATTTATTTAAATTTACAAAAATTTATACAATTTAAACCTTTCATTTTCAATTGTTAGAGTTTTGCTATTTTTAATACTGATTTCTTATTTGCTCACACTTTTTAATAATAGCTTCAATATTTTTTTCATCTAACTTAGTTTCACAGCTCTCTATTATCTATTTATTAGATTTTGTAATAGGTTATAACATTAATTTAAAATAACTTACCAGTTGCAAATCTATTTCTTTTGTAGGCAAAACATTAAAAATTTAAATTATTTCATTTTATGTTAAAGAAAATTGAAGCAACAGATTTTTTAACTCATTTACAAAATTAGAATTCATGATATATTTAGGCTAGGAGTCCAGAAACTCAAAAAGCTATTATAATAAATATAATGATAAATATAATTACATAAAAATATAAAAATTAAATGACTAATAATAGGTAAAAAATAATTTATGAATACCTTTTAAGTCATTTAAGTATTTTTAGCTGAAAAAAGATTTTCTTATTTCTACTTTTCCACCTATTCCTGTATTATCAAAAATGCTTCTTAATTTGTTAACTTAATTCTAGTTTCCCTTTTTAAAGGTAGTTAATAAATAAGTAAAATAGTCTAAAATAAATTATTTCTACTTTTTTTCATCCATCTTGCTATGCGATATTTTAAAATTTTAGTGCTATTAAATAAACTGAATGAGTTAAAAGTTAATGTTTTATTGAATAAAAGATATGCTTATTAATTATTTTTAGAGTAATAAATAGTAGATGCTTTTAATAAATAAATTTACTATCTTACTAATATTCAATCAAGATATATTTATACAAATATTATAACCATTTACTTAAAGTTTCAATCTTACTTGCATTTAAAATTATTGTAAATATTTTTATTAAATTATATTTCAAATAACAATATTTATCTTTTGAACCATAAAATAATTATCCGACGGTTCATCATTCATTATTCATTTATTTTCTTCTAATATCAAGTACCAAAATATTAAAAAATAAAATAAAATATAATTAGGGATTATTAAATTATAAAATATAAAAATTATTTTATAAACCAAACATTTTTTGAAGATTTATTTAACTCTAATTCAGCAATCGAGAATGTTTAAAAAAATAATAAGTATTTTTGTGCTTACTACTTAAATAATATGAACGTGAATATGTGATAATGATTAAATTGAATCTATTTATCTATCTATCTAAATAAATAAATATTAATAATTTATAAATTTTAATTAGTCAACAATAGAAATAAAGCTCTTTCATAGCAAGTTATTTAAAGTTTTTGCGTTATGGAAAAATCTGATACGCCTTTAGAAATAAAAAAGAAATAGCTCGTTATTAACCTTCAAACACCTTAGAGCAAGTCTTAAGTAAATTTAGTCTCACCTCATGGATCTGAGCTATCCCATAATAGTCAAGCATTTTATTCAAAACCTTCTGCTTTTATAACTTCAAAAGACATTAATTAAGCAATTAGCGATTTAAGCAAAAATATAAAAGAGGTATAAAAAAGAACTTATTTCAAGCTTTGTTATAATAAAATTATTTTTATTAATTGTTTTATCTTTTATAGAGGTATTTTATTCATATTTTATTTTACTTTTAGGGTAAATATCACAGAGCCATTTTGAGAATGCATAAGCTTTTAAGTCCTAATTCTTCATTGTCTTTCGCTCCTTATCAATAAATTAAGCTTTATAGAAGATATTTTGAATGCTTTAGAAAACTTACTAAGAGATATTTTTCTCAAGTTGGAATGACTAAGTCTCAACTTTCTAACATGGAAAAAATGTGTGAAAGAGGAACTTATCTTTTGGATAATTGGTATAACGTATTAAATGACTTGATTGCCTAGAAAAACGAAGTTTAACAAGAGTCTTTTGATGAAACCTTGGATAATAATGCATTACAAGCGACTGATAGATCATATAATACCTTTTCTTAAATAAACAGCTTAAGAAATTTAGAATAATAGGCAATAATGTAAGTTTAAAACGAAAAGCGTTTAGCATAAAACCCAACTGACCATCCTACCTCTACAATAGCTCTTTCGTAAAAAAAGAATTCTTTAAATAGAATTAGAGAAGTTGATGATGAAGAATCTGATGCAAACAGTCCTAATGGATCTATTGTAAAAATTAGAGATTTGTCTCCAGAACACAATCAAAAATTGATTTAAGAAAAAATGGAAAGAATATTTGAAAAGAAACAAAACCTTAAAATTTTAAAGCAAAGTAAATATTATTGAAAATCATAAGCTTAATTCATTAAAAACTATTAGGTTCTAATTTGACTCAATAGCATTAAAATATAATTTTACTGACTCTTTAATTAATTCTCATCCATCCAAAATTTATTTATTTATTTATTGATGTGATTTTCTTTGTAAAATAAAATTATATAGTTAATTTCCATTTCAGCGAATTCTTTAAGGCGAATTTTTTAACTATCTAAGTTTGGGTTAAATATGGTAAAAAGACAGAAAACCATTCTATATATTCCTCTGCTTTGTTTAAAGCTACTCAACTTATAGATAAATTAGAGCTAACTAAAGTAACAAAAATAAATTTTAAATGAAATTTGAAATATAATTTTTTAAAAATAAGGATCAAGATTTGATCCATTGCTTTGCTAAAGTCTATATAGAAATAGGAAATTGCTATTTATAGCAAGGATCTATGAAGGAGTGTGTTAAAAATTATGAAAAGGGACTACAATTTCTCCAAAAAGAGATGCTTATGAGAAGTAGTGGAGAAAATATACAAAAACTGTTAAAGATGAGTGTAAAAAATAGAAAGAAAGAATAAGATAAGCTTCAGGATAATGTAATTAATTTTAGCATATTTGAATGCTTTTATTTAAAATTAATATAAAATAAAAGCTATTGGCTACAGTATGTCTATTGTACAATATCAGTATAGCTGAAGAGTACTAGGAAAATATTTCTAGGGTTTTAGAATCTTTGAATTTAGCTGAATGGTTGTCATCAATTTATTTGAATGGCTTTTCAGAAATTCAAGACTTAATTTTTAAAGCAAACGATGAAGCTAAGTCAAAAGTATAAAATTTATTTCAATATTTATTTACTGAATGTTTATTTCACTATTGCATATTGATTTTAACATAATAAAATAATTAATATTTGATAGTATAAAGTTTTAGTTATTGAAGAAGGAGAGATTCATATTATAATGGATGAAGCTCTGGGAATAAGAGAATAAAAAAGAAAGACAAACGAGTTAAATTAAAGTGAGAAAGAAGATTTTTATTCTTATTACAGTTAAATATTATATGATAAGTATAATATCAAAGAATTAAACTAATCACTGTTTATTACTGTTCCTAAGCAATAAAATTTTTTAAATATGACTACATCTATTGTTTCCGAAATAAATTAGGGTAATCAAAATGGCAGTTTCACAAATTTTCCTTCTGCTATAAATAACTCTTAGAACTTACCTCTTAAAGTTAGTGCGTTTCATAATAGCAACAACAATAGCAACATCGTATCAAATAACAATATATAAATGGCTAAAAAGAATATCTCTGTAAATTCTAGCAGTAGCTTAAATTAGTAGGGAAGTACTATGATATCAAGTAATATAAAGTCTAGATAGTTCATTCTAGATGAAACTCCTAATAAATATAAAAGTAACTTTTTATATATCTTTAATTTACTTAAATTTTAAATATTATAAAGTTGATCCTTAATATAAAACAAACAATCCTAGAATTAGAGAGTTTAATTCTACAGGAAGTAAGAGAAATACTACTTTGTCTTTAATACATAATACATACACACCTTAAAATTAAAACCAAAATATGTCAATGTTAAATTTAAACTAAAGTCAGAAGTAGTCAAGGGCAAGCATAAGCCACTCTCATAGGACCTCAAATTAAAATGGACTTTCAAGTATAAACTCTTCTCCATAATAACAATACTAATTTGTTCCTTTTGATCTGCAATAGAAGTTGCAATCAGAGAATAACATCACTAAATCTGAAATATTAAGAAATGTAGATGTTACTTATACTCCAAACCATAAGAGAGAAAGAGTTCATTAAGTTCGTTCAATGACAGCCATAGGTATTGTAACTACTCCTTAATCTATAAAACACTCTCCAACTAAATAAGAAGCTAGGAGAACAACTCCCTAACCATATTAACCAAAGTTACTAACAACAAGCAAATGTAAAAACAACATTTTTTTAATTAAAATTTTTGAAATTATTTCAAAAATAAATTTCTTTATTTTTAAAAAAGATTTTAATGAAAGTAACATGATTTATTACAGTTAATTGGAAAACAAAGAATAGCTATTAGATAAATAAAAAACTGATGAGGAAAAAAAATAATAAGTTAGAAACTAGCTTTATCATTAACCTCAGATTGTTTAAAATCTTGACTACTACTTTAGAGACAAAATAAATGAAAAATTTTAATAATAAAATGAGAGAAAAGGAATTAATTTGGAATACGAATTGTAATCTTTTTTAAATAAAAGCTAACATTTCTAAATATTTTTACTAAAAGTGTTTAAAAGGGAATAAATATTGTTATGAAGGAAGAAAATTTTGATAAAGATGAGTTTTCAAATGCATTTAAACTGTTGAAGTTGAAAAAATAAAAGTAAAAGCTTCGTGAGGGAGAAGAGGCTTTCGATAAAAAAGAACCACACGAGATTAAGATTACGACCAACTAATTCTTGTAAAATGAAATAGATGTAAATTACCATAAAGAAAATAAGAATAATTATATATATTTATAATTTTAAAATTAGTACTATGAAATGAAGCAAAATTTGAAGTAAGAATTAACAAATTAGAAGGCTGCTTAAAAAGGTAATCAATAGTACTTGTTTGAATTCATTTAAAATATTTTTTTTTTATGAAGAACTTGAAAATCAGAGACTTGCCAAGAATTTAATTAAAGAAGATGATACAGAAGATAATAAAATTAACTTGAGATAGGTTTTAGTTAACAAGAAGAACTCAGTTGTGAGCTTAAAAAATGTTAAAGAAGCTTTATCTAGAAATGGAGGTTCTGATAGCAAAACCTCCCATATAACTTCAATTAAATCTAAAATTGGCTTATCTAGAGTAGATCTTGAAAAGCAACAAGGATTAACTCCTTAATAAATTGCTAAAAAAGTATTTAATTGATTTACGTAAAGAAAAATTAATTTAATTATAAATAAATAATAGGCTATTAATGCTGAAATAGAATAAATTGATAATAAAATGAGAAGTGAGAAAAAGGAAATCAACGAATTATCCACTCCTTTTGAAAGAAGATTTGTGAATGAAGAAAATCTAAACAAAGGAAATGCAAGCCCATACTTTACTAGAAATAATTCACTTTAAAACAGTCCTCAGAATAAAAATATCAGCTAAAATTAATCTTATTAGCATAGCAGGTAAATATTGTTTGTATAAAAGAGACTTAATAAATTACTAAATAAAAAATATTTTAATTAATTTTTTTAAATTTAATAATTGTTTTTGAAAATAAGATCAAATAGCAGAAGTAGAAAGTTGAAGTTTTTAGATAATTACTAAGACATTTCAAAAAGTACACAGCTAATTTCTGTCAAGAGAGATGTGAAAAAGGCTACAACTTTTATAGATTTAGCTTTTGGGTCTTATAAATTACAGAAACTTGGTATGGAGAGAAACAAACTATCAAGTTAAGATGGTACAGGATCGAAATAACCTTCGCCTGCTTCAAAAATTGCTCAAACACTGCACAAATCGTTGAGAAAATTAATGAAATTGAAAACATCTGAGTTGTAAGACTAAAAAAGCAATTGATATAAAAAATCTAAAAAGTACTTAATATATACTTCTATATATTATTAATGGAATTGCTTTAATTGATTAAAAAAAACTGTAAAGAAGTTGATGACAATAAACTCAAATGCTGATATAAATTTTACAATATTAATTTTATTTTATATTATTAAAAGTTTTACTTATTTCATATAGTTAATTATTCTAAAATTCAAGCTATTATTCTTTTAAAATAATATTTTCATCAAAATATCATTTTCTTCAAAAAGATTTATTTATTTATAAATTAAATTGCAAATCGTTGTGATTCCTTTTTCAACTATCTAATATATTTTAATAAGTTTACTGCTCTTTTAGTATTAATATTATGTACTTCAAGCTAAAATATATTCACTTCTCAAAGAGTTAGTGAGCTAGATGTAGTTTTTATAATGATTATTTAAGATATTTGAGTTATTAACTTCTATTTACAGCATTCATCTAACTTAAGGCTTTAATTACTTACTGGCTATTTTAGATGGGTATGATAGATATAGAGAGATTTATACAAAAATAAAGTCCAATTTTTCTTTTTTGAAATGAAATTATAAGTAACTTAGTTTTATATATTGAGAGATGAAAGTTTCTTAAATTATTATTATCTAAACTTTAGCTAATAAGTGCCTAATGAATGATTTAAGAAAAAATATTTGCATTTATTTATCAAATAATATTCAGAAACATTTCATAGTTTGGTATTTTTAATTGAATTTGGTCTCTTCAGAATTTGACTTGGAAAGATAAATATTATTTAGAGTGTAAATAATCAGTAAAGAGAGAAAGACCACCTATGATGGCAGCACCACCTAAAGTACCTCTTAAGAATCCTAAACCACCACTACCAGTAGTGAAGATCAAACCAGTAATAGAACCAATAGTAAGATTCTTTTAGAAATCTGTAAGATCTTCAAATTGATCTTCAAAAAAGAAATTCATACCAGTGCCGATGCCGTAGTAAAGAAAACCTAATATTTAAAGTGACATTTTATATACTATGCTGAAAGGAAAACTAAATCAAATGTAATTAATATGAATCTAATTATTTCATTCAAAAACTATAACTATTTCCATATAAATTAATATGTAAATAATTACCAGCGCCTGCAGCCTTTTAGCCAAATGTGGATTGATTCTTTCCTAAACTATTAAAGAAGTTGTTTAATAAGAGCTTCTTTGGTAAAGAAAAGTTGGTTGGGAAACCTTCAACAAAACCTTTAACAAGACCAACTGAGCTAGCTTTATTATTAAAAGAATTTTATTAATGAAGTAAAACATAATCATCTGCAGTTAGAATAAATAAACAGATGAACGTATCTTTAACTGATTAATAATATAATACCTAGTAAATAAGAAATACCAACTGTAAAACACAAATCAGAACCAAAATTATATCCTGAGTACTTTTCGAAATCATCATGAGCATGAGCTGATTTCTTGTGATGCTTTTTACTATCTTCAATAACAAAAGTATCTTAATCTGACATTTTTTCTTTTTTAAATTTATGATGCTATTTTTTTTGTTTGAAAGAGTATTTGCAAATATTAAATTTTTTATTAAATCAATTAATATAATTTTTAGATTTTTTTTGAAATGCAATATGAGGATATAAAAATCCAGAACCTTTTTTAATTTATATTAATTAATATTGATTAAGCGAGTGATAAAATTTAGATAATAAATGAACAGATTGATTATTAATCAATTGGTTAAATATAAACAGATTAACTTTTCTCTTCTTTTAAATTTAATTCGCTTTCTATTTTGCTAATAGAAATTTCTTTTTATGATATTTAGTTTTAAACTACTCTCTATAAATATCTGTTATGTCTTTTATTGTTTCTTATTTTTTCTATCAAAAATTAACTCCTGATAACGAACCTTCTTAGATATTTTTATCATTTTTACACTACTTCCATTTTTTCTAAAATATTCTAGATATATTCACTGAATTAAATTGTAATAAACGCTCTTTATCAATTTATAAAATTAAATTATACTATGATAACCTCTCTCTAAGTCAAAGATATTTAATCAAAAAAAATTAGTTTCATTTTAAACATGTTAGTAAAAATATATTTTATTTCTTTCTTTTAAGATTTTAAAACTATATTCATTTTACATCATAGTTTATTGAAAAAATTTCTTTTATTCTGGAAATTTTTATAAAATTTTTAAGATAAAAAACCACAAAAATTAAATTAAAATTGAAAACACATATAAATATGTTATTTAAAATATTATAATAGGTCTTAGTATAAGTTTAGAGGAGCTTCACTTGCTTAACATTTCACTTAATTTTTTATATTTAGCTATTTCTTCATTTAAAGTAGAGTTGTTGCTTTAATGTGCTACATTTCCATATTTCATTATATATTAAATTAGCTATCTTTTTGTTTCTGAATCTTAAATTAACTTTTGAAGGGTATGAGCAACCATATCTTGCAATTACTTATTGTTTTTGAAAAGCAAAAATGGAGCTTAATTTCAATTTAAAAGAAATAATTAAATTAAATAAATTTATGAAATATTTTTTTTGTTACCTAATTTTTCAACTAGCTTTACAATTTACTCTAAAGCATCATGAATAACTTCTTCTTAATTTAATATGAAGTAGCAAATTGCTATACAATATTTTTCATAATCAAGGACCTTATTAGCAGGAAGATTAGGAGGATTTTGCAATTCAGAAGTTTTAGGGAGTAGCTTTGCTAAGGCCAGTAAAACTGGTTGCTCAAATACTCTATGATTTCCTTATTTTACGAAAAATACCTTTTTGGAATATTTTTAATGGTCAACCTAATGATATTGTTAAATTTTTAAACTAATTTACCTCTTTCAAATAGTTTAAGTTATGAGCTAGTTTTGCTGTTATTACCAAGAAGCCATCAGGTAATTCAGCAATGTTTTTCAGAGCTTATTTAACATCAACTCTTAAATTTTCGTCTTTGCTATCTAACAAAGCTATTAATTTCTATGAAAAAATATTTTAAAAATAATTAATTTCTTATTAAAAATCAAATAATAAAAATAATTTTGTTCAAAATTGATAAAAAAATAATATCTAAATTAATTAATTTAGTCATTTTTAATATTAAGTATATATTTATTCTAATTTGAACAAAAAATTATATATCTTATTATTTTAAAAATTTACAAATTTTATTTAAATAATATTTACTCTAATTAAATTATCGTCATCAACATAAGTGCATTACTTTTTACCATCTAAATGTATTGAGCAATTCATAATTAAAACAACTGAGTATTTTTTTTCTTCGTTTATGGGAGAGTCTAAGAAATTGTTAGCTGTGTTAATAACCTATGGAAGTAAAAAAAATTAAAATAAAAAAGTAAAAAAATGTTAATTCATACCTTTAATTCAATGCCTTCTTCTTTGCCCTAAGTGTTAACACATATTTTTGCTAAGCAATCTAAACATCTATTTATTTATTATAAATTAAAATCAAATTATTCCTTTTTATTTTTAAAATTACAGGTAATTAATTCTTAAACTCCATTATCTGTCATAATAGGTGTCATCTTCGTTTCTTAAAATTTTGTTAAGACGAGCTACTATTCCTGTTTTTACAAAGAACACAATACCATTATCATACTAAAGAATATTTAAGAAGCCTTCAAGAAGCATAATAATGAACTTAGCTTCTTCTAATTTTGGTTATTCAGTGTATTTTAAAAAGGATTCTACCATATATTAAATAATTTTTGATTAAGCTAATCTATCGACACCATCTCTTCCTGTTAAGAATCTGCATAAAGCCCAAGCATTAGCTTCTCTAATATTTGAAAAATATTTATATTTATTAGATTAATATTTTTACTGCTTAAATAAAATAAATCGCCTAAAGGTATTTCTTTTCTTATTAATTTAGTTTCAATTTTATCGTGCGATACTTACTTACCTTGCTTTTAAATTTTCATCAAAAAGGAGGTTTTTAAATCCTTCATATGTTAAATCATCAACTATTTATCTTCCTCTCATAATTGAGACCAAAGAGCCTAGTAAAAGTACAGCTTCTCTTCTTATTTCAACAATTTTGTGGTGTAAAAATGCTGATGCAATACTAATTAAACCTTATGATATCATTTAATCTTTCATCTCTTAATGCGATACCATCTCATTTAAAGTTATTAAGGCATCTCTGTACTTAAATTCCTCAATTTCTGGCATCAATAAAATTTCAATTAATTTTGGGATACTCCTATCAAAAACAGCATGATAAACCTTTATAAATCATTTAATTTTTATTAATGAATTTTCAAATCCTATATCTATGTTCAACTTACTTCAGTATTATCATAACGATCGTTAAAATCTGCTTCGAGATATGGATATCTATCCTATAGATGCTCAGAAACAACGTGAAGCTTATATGATTGCATTATCTTTTTTATTTGCCCTAATAAAATGTAAAAACTTCTTGCTTGATTGCAAATGATAAAAAGTTACTTAGAGTTGTAATTCTTAATTATTTTACAAAAATTTAATAATTAAATGAAAGCAATTTATAAAAAAGCTAATTTAAGAAAATAAACGTTGTATTTCATCAACTATCTCAAATCTTAATAATGTAAATTATTTGTATGATAAACAAATTCAACTATTTATGATTTTACTTATTAAAAATATAATAAAAAAAATTAAGTAAATTAAAATTTTTGATAAGCAAATAATTTTAAAAAACATAGATTTTTAGTTAATAAATTTTCTAAGAAAAAAATTTGAATTAAAAATACTATTTTAATAAGAAATAAATTAAAAAAAGTAGATAACTTGAAAAATTTAATAAATTTTAGTAAAAAAAAATTAAAAATATTAAATATATCAATGATAATAAGTACTAAATATAAATTAATTAGTTCATTGGTAGAAATAATTATTAATAGTTATGAGTAATAAGTGTACATAATTTAATAGTATATTATGTTTTGTTTAACTAAATTCTGTTTTAATTAATTAATAGAAGATTGATAGATAGCTAGAAAATAATTTATAGAACTTAATAAATTACAAATTATAAAATTTGCTTAAAATAGCTTTATTTATTTCAGTAAAATCAGTAAAAGTGCAAATAAAATTATTATAAAGGAATATTTAATGATAAAAAACACGCAAGAACATCCTAATATGGATTACTTTTCCTAAAAAAAGATAAAAAACCAAGCAAATATGAGTGTTGGATAATCATCCTAGATTTAAGAATTGCTTAATTCCTAAACTTCTCCTAGCTAGTATAAAACTAAAATGATTAACAATACCTAGAGAATAGAAGGTAAAACCTTTAGGCCATCAAATATTTAGAATGATAATAAATTCTACTCTTCAAGGTTTAATTTTAATTAAAGAAAGTTCTCAGAAGGTTATGACTCTAGTAGACTTTATTAAAATAGCCCAAATAGGTTATTTCATTAAAATGATGCTAAATAACATATGAAAACTCATGCTTCAAAGATGTTTCAATAAGATACATCCAAGTAGTAATTGCACATAACTTAAAGAGATTAAAATGAAATAAATTCTCCAAAATCTATTTTCAGCTATGTTTCTAACTAAGAAAATAATTAAAAAACATAACAAAAAATAAACTCAAAGATAGTCAAACAATTAAGAGATGCTATAAAAAGAACCAAATAAAATTAAATGGAAGAGTAGCTAAACCTAGACGAATAAAGTATACATTTTTTATTATTTTTATTAAATAAAATAATAATAAAATAATTTCTATTAAAAGAATAGCTTGAAAAAAAAATTAAAAAAGAGCTACTTCCTTAAATCCTAAAAATTCAGGAATTAAATTTGGAAAGTGATGATAAAGTTGTAAACAATTACATTTAGCAAACAACAGGATTTAAAGTTAAAAAAAAAAATTAATTTAATTCTTTTGATTTCTAAAAATAATTTTCAATAAATGAAGAAGACAATAAAATAGATAAGAACATTAAATACTAAAAGCAAAACATAAGTATAGAGTTGCTGATGATATTAAAATTCATTCAAAATAGGCAAGAATACCTGTAGACTCTTAAATACATGAATAAAGATCAGGCAATAGACAGTAAATTATTTACAAAAAATCATATTAATACTTAATAATATAAAAAATACACAAAAAATGCATTCTACTTATTTAAAATAAATTTGTTTAAAATTAGAGTTGTGTGACTTGCTTAAACTAGCAACTGAGTTAGATGATATTGATTTATTCTTAGATGTAATGGATATGATGGTTTAAACTTGCATCATGTTTTCAGATTATAGACTAGCTCTAATATTTCTCACCACTATAGTATTTAAATTTATTTGAAATTATTTGAATATAAATTATTCTCAAAATTAGAAATCAACTTGTGAGTTAACTCATAATGTGGTCAAAAAAATTGCTCTTCATAGAAACTACTCATAAGTTTGTAAAAGGTTAGGATTTTATGAAGAAAGTTTAAGATTTCTTAAAAAAGCACTGTAATATATTTGGTTTGTAGATGATAAAGATTAAGAAGTCTAATTGTATGATGATTTAGGTTTAGTATTTTTTCATTTAGTTTAATTAGAGAAAGCTAAGACATTTCATGAAAAGTAATTCACACTTAATTAATTACTTATCACTTCATTAGATTTTATAAATATTTATATAGATCAGTTTAAAGCTTTAATGAGCCTATTGACAATATCCTTAGAGAAATGAGCTCAAGAAATATTTTAAAATTTATAAATAGCTTTCCTCTATCAAAAAATTTGGATAATACAGTACTTCTCAAGCTCAATTATTTCCCTTTCAAAATAATAAAAAGAGGTAATAAAATAAATAAATAAATTAATTAATTTATCAAACTAATTTATAAAAAAAAATAATTTTAGATTTAATAGATGGAAGTATAGAAGCACATATTGAGAATAATTATTTGAAGAAAAATAATTTGAAATTAGTTAAAAATCTTAGTCATTTAAATTCTGGATTAAGTGAAATATATTTAATACAATAAGTACTTTAATCAAATGAGTTTTTTAATGAAATATCTACACCTCTATGTAATATAAATAATTTTAATAAAAATTAATTAAACTGATTATAATATTTATACCAGCTAAACCTCTTGAATTTTCTCCTTTGGAATTTATAAGAATGAAAAAGGTTAATGACCATTTTGTTTGCGTTGAAGAAAAAGAATTAAAAAAAGGCAAGGCTGAACCTAAATTTGTAAATTTTATTTATCTATTGATATCATTAAATTATTTTTTTGATAATTAGATTTTCCCTAAATAATTTAAAAAAACTCAAAATACAACATTCTATTTGGATGAAGATAAGAAAAAAATGGGATTAGAAGATAAAATTAAATTTAGAATGAAACAACTTGATTAAGATTTAAAGAAAAAAAACAAAATTTAAACAGCATCTGCAGAGTCTGTAATAATTAGGAAAGAAAACTTAGAGGCTATAAATATAGGCCATTTGACTACTAACAGGAATGCTGAAGCTTTTACATAAGCAGTTTGTATAAACTATTAGCTGCCAAACAAATTTTATGATAAAATGATTTCTATTTAATACAACAAACATAATAATTAATTTCATTAATAAAATGTAAGCTGAATTAAATTTAAAATATAAAAATATAAATTTTTAATTTATTATAAATTTATTTCATCAAATTCTAAAAATTAATTTTAGCAAATTTTATCACTAAATTTTATCATATTAATAAATAAATAAAATAATATATTAGGAATAAATAAATAGATTTAATTAAAGTAAAACTGTTTCTATTTAATTTAATTATTCCTTTATTATTTTTATATATACAAATTATTATTGTAAAATTTTAAGCAAATCCTTAAATATTTAATAAATTATGTATGAATGATAAATATATTTGCTGGAAATAAATTAGTTAAAACAATTTTAATAAATTTGTAATGAAAAAGTTGTAAAGTAATTTAATACATACTCTTATTAATTTATTTCTTTTTAATTATTAATTTTTGACTTTTTTAAAAACAATTATTCTAAAAAATAAAATAACAATTTATACTTCTACTTTGTAATATCAATTATAGTATATATGTATTAAAAAGCTGACTAAAGTTTTTGTAATATTATTAGATCCATAGACATATTTGGACACCCCATTTAAATTAACTTTAACTAAAATAGTAAATACAAAACAAAGTGTGGAGGTTTTGTGACATTAGTTTTACTAACCTTTATAACTGCAATCTCTATTTAAATTATTATAGAAATAGTTTAAAAGCAGAACCCATAAATAGTTTAAAGAGATTAGATTAAAGTTCCTGAAAGAGTTAATTTAAATAGGAATAACTTTATATTTGCTCTCGGTCTCTTGGATGAAAATTAAAATCCTTTTATGGATGAAGAAATTTATAAAGTAACTGCCTAATTTACTTATAAAGAGCCTGTATAAAACAATGATGGGACTGTATCGTATTCTTTTATAACCTAAAATATAAGAATAGGGGCTTGTGATGAAGACTTATTTGGTATAATTGAGCTTTAGAAGTATTACACTGAAATTTAAAATTACAAGTAACTTTACTGCTTATTAGATATAGATTAACTTTATTTGGAAGGCCAGTTTGAGGCTAATGAGTTTTCTACAATTTAAATTTACATAAATCCTTGTTTTGATAATGGATGCAAAGATAAAGATTATGTTATTAATAAAATAAAACATAGCATATTCTAAGTTTATTTTTCAAATAATCTTGTTAAGCCTTTTGATTTTAACAACCCTTTCGAGCCGTTTAGTGAAAGCGCGTATTATTATGTGAACTTAAATTAATTATAAATTATTTAATTTACTTATATGAACACTTATGTAATTGATGATCTTGGATTGATAACTTCCTCAATTAAGTAATAGAAATAGCTTATTTACTCGTAAAATATCTAATCAACTAATTCAGATATTTCTAAAGGTATTTTTCAAATAGGTATTTATTTAGAAAAAAATAAAGAATAATATGTAAATAGGTCATATACCAAAGTTATTTCTGCTATTTCTTAAATTGGTGGAATATATAATGTGATCTTTTTTATTGGATGCATATTAACTTAACCTTATTCATTTCTAGAGTTTAAGAGAAGTCTTATTAATAAAACTTTCACTTTCGACTTCTAAGAGCTTTAATCTACAAAAAAAATATGTCAAGAATAAAATACAGCTTTTTTACATACAGAAAAAAAATAATTTGATTGTTTTAAATATATTAAAAATAAAATTAAACCATCTAAGAAATTTAAAAAAAGCAGAAAATAGTTAGATAAAAATGATGGAGATTAAATTTAAAACTAACAAATTAAAAATATTGAAAAGCTAAGTAGTTTTCAATAAGAATATTCTGTACAAAACTCAAAATCGAAAGGCTAAATATTTGAAAAAGTGAAAAAAGGAATAAATTATATTTCAGATTTTACAATTAGTTCGTATGATTATATTTTATTTTATTTAAAATGCTTTAAATCTAGTGAACTTTACAACTTTTTGAGTTACAGCACTAACAAAATAACAGAACTCACAGATATAGAATTTATTTTAAATAAACTTATTGAGCTTGAAAAGTTAAAACACCTTCTTTTAAACTAATAATAACTTAAACTGTTTGACTATATCCCTAAGCCTAAGATAACTAAAGATGTCATAAAAATAAATTCGATGTAATTCATTTCAAATTTTTATTCAATACTTCATTTTAAGAACCATTCATATTTCATAAAGTTGCCAATCTTCACAATAGAAAGAAGAAGAAAATCCTCCAGTTAAGAATAAAAAAATTGAGTTCTAAGAGTTTAACTTATTAGCTACATTAAACAAAACAAAGTGTGAAATAGATATGGAAGGATAAATAGCATACTATTAAATTAGCAAGTGTTAAAAAAAGCTATCTAAATTAGATACAAAACTTTTATCGTTTTTAGGTTAAGATACATAATAAATGCTAAGTAAGTAAATAAAAACTCCGATTTTGAATAATATTGAAGAGTAAACATAAAACTCTCCTGAAGATATTCTAGGCATAGGAAATAGTTCAAGCATAAATTTTAATTTATTATCATTTAACTAATAACCTTAAAATAAAAGCTTGCAACTTAAACATGAAAATATCTAAGAATAAAGTTTAGAAGAATAGAAAGTTCATTCTTCAAAAATATAATAGGTGAGTAGAAATATTCTTACTGAAGAATTTAATAAAAATTTATCATCTAATAAGAAATAATCATTATTTACAAAGAAGAATAATGATTGATTAAAACCATTCAAGTTTTCGATTAAAATTTGTAAAGTATCTATCTTGTTATTTATTTAAAGTTTTAATTTTATTTATTTTGAACATTTTTTATTAACAAAATTTGCTAACTTTGATTTTATGACACTTTATACATTTGAAAATTTTTAAAATCAATTAAAAGAACTTAAATTCATGGACTTTAAAAAAAATTATCAAACAATAGATAACCTAAATTAAATAAATAAAGGAAAATTTTGAAAAAGTTTTATTAGATTTATAAAAGTTAAATACAAAACATAAATAAATAAATTTTGAGAATTCACATATTTTATTTAAAGTTTGTTAGTATTTTTATTATTATTTAAAAGTTTCACCTTCTATCAAAATGTATTTAGAGAGGATTGAGGGGTTATGGAGAGAATTTAAAGTCTAAGATTAATTTGTATCCTTCATTTATTTTAAAATTAAAATTTTTTATCATAGAATTTAAAATAATTCTTGCTTCTATCAAGGCTAAATGCTATCCAATACAATTTCTTTAACCTGCACTAAATGGAAGATATGTAAAAGGATGCAAAGATTTATTTTCCTTAGAGTCTAACCACCTTTATGGATTATATGTGTGTGGATCAGAATAGAAGCGAGAATCTCTATGAACTGCTTTCATATATACATTTACAATTACACCTTTTTCGATTTTAATATCTTCAAGATAATGTTCCTTAACAGCCTTTTTTAAATGAAAATGATTTAATAAATATTAAATAAATTTTTAATAATACGATTCTATCCAATAGACTGTTGCCAGGACCTTAATATCTAAGTGTTTCTTTTATAGTAGCATTTAAATATGGTAAGTTAGAAAGTGCTTCAGCAGAATAATCTGTGTTTTAATCTATTTCTTACTATAACTTTTACTGCACCTCTTTATTTTGAGTAAGATAATATATTGTCATTCCTACTAAATTACTTGTGGTCTCAGTGCCTGCGAGGAAAAAATTTAAAAAATACTTGAGCAAGTCATCTAAATCAATTTTGTCAATTTCTCCATTCTAAATAAATAAACTTAATATGCAAGTTTATTTTATATTTCCTGTTTATTCAAACTCTTTTCTATATATTTCTATTTTTTATTTTAGTATTACTCTCAAATAGTTTTTAAACTCTTGCATAAAATCTTCAACTTCTTTATGCTATTTAAAGTATCCTTTTTATGTATATTTAGCACCAAATAAAATATATCCAATTTCCCCCATTTAACCACATAAGCAGTTTAAAATATATGAAAGAGCATGAGGAAGCTTCATATTTCTGAATGATAGATTTTCAAGTGTATCACCCAAAAAAGATAAAAGTATTACTTAGCCAGTAATTTCACTAGAAAAAGCTATAGGATCGATGTCCTTAAAGTTATTAGCTTGAATTAAAGAATTAATCTTGTTGTCAGTAATTTTGGTTATCTAAGAGCTTAAATTCTGTAAATATTCAAAATTAAAAGCTGGTGCAAATTATTTTCTAAAATTTCTATGAAGTTTTTGATCTTCCTCTTCTGTTCCGAAAAGTCTGTATAAATTTGACATAAAAAAATGATCCATGTGATAATTTTCAGATTTTTAATAAAACTATTTTATCAAATCTGGATCAACTAAATTGATTTTGACAGAAGTCCCTATTTTATTATTAAAATAAATTTAATTACTAATAATTACATTTTTTAATTAATATAAGTTACCCATGTTACTAACTATTATCCTATTATCTTCAGGCTTTCTTTTGTCAAAATAATGCTTGAATGAGTATTCGCAGTCTTGATGCTTTTATAAATTTTGATAGTATTCAGCAGCTTCTCCAAAAAGTGGGAAAAAATAACCATCACCATATTTTTTATATTTTCTATAAAGAGAATAAGGTTTCACTAGGTATTTATACAAGATACTCATTAAAATTAGTGTTATGATGATATAGATCATTCTTTTATTTTCTATTTTTTTAAATTATTTATTTACTAATTAATTATTTTTTATTAAAATTTTTATGTCTTTTTAAAGACTCACTATGAAGAAATAGAAAAAATTTGGTGTTTCTTTAGAATTTCTTAACTCGTCAAAATATATTTGGAATAATTTCTAAAATTATTTTTTTTATTTTCAAATAAATTCCACATATTAACATTCATTTATTTTTCTAAAAATAAATAATTTAAATACTTTTTTTGGATTTTTAGCTAAAAATAGTTCGAGTAAAAGCGAATCAACGAATCAGAATTAATCATACAAAATTTTATTTACATAATTTCAAATAACAATAATAAAAGAAAACAAGTTCACTTTTCAAATTATTTTTTAAATTATTTATTTTGTAATTAATAGTTATTTTTCATCCAAATTACTTTGCTTTACATTTTAATCGATGATTAAAATCACTTCTTGAATTATTCTTTAAAAAACATGTTAAATTTATTTAAAGTATTGAGTTAGTTTAAAATAATAAAAAAATAACCAGTAGTTGTATAATTTTTTAATTAAATATTGAAAAAATAAAAGAATTTATATTATGAATAGTATTAAAATTAACTTCTATATTTTACCTTTTCTCTCAATTAACACAATTTGAAGTACGTATTCGTTAAATAAATAATTAAAACTTCAACAACAACTACATACAATCCTAAATACTAAAATTTGATATTATTAGAATAAATAATAAAAGTTATATTATATTTTAAAACTCTTTATTCATTAAGCTATAAAATTTTATATCTTAAAACAAAAAAAATTTGAAAAACAATATAATAAATATTTTTATAAGAAATAGAAAAAATATTAATTGATTGACTTTAAATAAATTTAATGAACAGAAAAAGTCTGATATTTATTATTGATACAGTTTCAATTAAGATATTTATGAAAATTAAAAACTCTCTTAACAATAATAATAAAATTATTATTATTCCCAATTAATATTAATACCCTCTTAATTTTTCATTAAATTTTAATTAAAAATCCTCTAATTATAAATAAATGTATGGGAGGATACATTTTTCTCAAAATTTAGAATATAATAACTTGCAAATTTTTCTACTTTATGATTTTGTGATTAGAAGGATATTCTTTTCTATTTATTTTTTTTAAATATATTCTTTTAAATTAATATTTTAATTGATTTTATTTATTAATTTATGTTTTTATATTAAAAATATCTTTTTTTAATTGAGTTAATCTAAATATAAAATAAAAATTTATGTAATAATAGAAAAAATTATTTTTATTTAAAATTATATAAGCTATAAAACAGTTTATAACATAAATTTCAGTTGTCACTTCAAAATAAAATATTTAACATTTTATTTAAAATCGCTTTTATGGTAGAAGTTAGAAAATGATTAGGTTACAAAATCAAATGTTAACATCTCTCACCTAATAAATATTATCTTGTTCAAGATATTGATGGTCTGATTACTAATTTTTGTTAATAATTTCATAATCATTAGTTTTTGCTAAATTATTAGGTATTTGATTGATTTTTTAATACTTTGTCAAAGCTATCATAAGTAATATAATTAGAATAGCATTACTTGCAAAGAATATTTCTCCCATTAAAAAAGGAAGTAATTTATGTGCTTAGTCGTTAACAAGTCTGAAGGAAAATATTTCTTAAACGAAAAAAAACTTATAGAGAAATAACAAATAAATGTAAACGTAATCAAGAATGAGTGTTAACCTATAAAAATTAGCGGATTGTTTCAAAGAAGCATCTATTTATTACTATTTCTATTCTAAATGCTTATTTTTATTTTATAAGGAGTTATTTTCAAAGATTATATCACTGATTGAGTTAATGTATTCAGCTTTAGCAAAAACAGGATAGATAGCTAATGTATATAATTACCATGTTATACTGTTAATTGTTATGAATATTATTGCATATTTTTCAACATATTCTCCCATTCCAATATATCCTGCTTTTATCTACAAATTTCCAAATCCATACCTGTGGTCTGTAACAAAAAAGAAAAAGAAAGAAACAACGAATAATACCAATGCCTATAAGAAAGAGTGCTTTTGGTTAATAGCATTCAAATATTTTCTATAAAAGAACACGAAACTGAAGAAGAGTAGAGTGACATAGAATGATTTTTATCCAATGAAGATGAAGTTTAACGATATGAAATTTAATAGGAAAAGTAATATCTTGCCTTAACATGTTAATTTGATATCCTTTACAGTATCTTTTTCACATAAAGCTGGCGATTAATCCCATACCAATTTTTTTAACAAAAAGTAAGTTTAGTAGCAGAATAAAATCAATTGCATTCTCGGTAGATAAACTAAAATGAAATCAGATGAACTTATTGAAGGAACTATATCAGTTACTGAAATAAATATAAAACTTAAAGTATATTAAATTTAAAAAAGAAGTTTGTATCTTTTCAGTAGAGGCCCATTATTACTAAAATAAGGGAATTGGATAAAAATTAGAGAATTTAGAAGCATATATCCTATAGCTGCAGGTAATATAATAGATACTACAGTGGAGTTAAGAATAGTTCTTAAAGTATGAAATTCATAGTATCCATCAGGGAAATAGTCCATATACTTTGGAATAGTGTAGGTGCTCGGCGAGGTTATTGAATATTGTGAGAGTAAAACTATAGCAAATAAAATAATATTATACTTAAATCCTCTAAAACAGTATAGTAAGCAGTATTATATTAGCGTAGTTATTACTATTTTAAATAAACATGCATCTTAACTATCTAAGTAATCAGTCTCATATCTGATTTCGAAGTAATTATTAAATATTTAAGCAAATATTAATATATTTCTACTAAATATGTATCGTGTAAATATCTTTTTAATGCTCGTTCTTGAAATTATATTTACTAAAATGAGAGCTGCACAAGTATAGATCAGCAAATTTACTAAAATAAATTATTTTAGTAATAATAGTACACAAGATACAAATCCCAAAGTAAATATTATTAATAAAAACTTGGATTTAGGAGAACTATCCTAGTTTTTTGTAGTAGATATCAAATTAATTTAATCTATTTCCTAGGTTTCATCATTTGAATTCTCAATATACTCATTTATCTATATTCCTATTATAAATATTAGGATTTATATAGCCATTTAGGAATATGTCAATTATATCATCTCTTTCTTCGTTTCTAAACTAGAATTTCCCTTTAATTCTTCTTTAATCTTTACATTTAAATCAAAACATTTCTCAAACAATATTTTCAATTTTTGTACAGTATTATCTTTTAAAAATTCTTTGTACAATTCATCAATTACTTTTTCTTATGATAAGAAATTAAAAATATTTTTTTCTCCAATCTTATCTTTATATACTTAATTTTCCATTACATAGCTTATCTACTATTTTAAAGCTGTATAAGTGTTTCTGGCAACAGTGTCTTTAAATTTACTTTCTTCTTCTGTATCACCTTCCTTGTATTGATTATTGAAAATGGGCCATACCATTCCTAAACTTGAGTATGGAATAGATAATCCTAATATATTTGATAGATTTATTGCTACATCAACCTAAAGCATCCCCTCAAATTAACCGCATTATTATTTTTTATCTGACTAATTGCACTGTACTCTGGAAAGAAGGTTATTTATTGGATAATTTGGAATGTCTGCCATTAATTATTAAGTAATAGGTTAGTTTTTTGCAAAACCTTTTTTTCTATAGACAAAAAAGAAAGTTTCAGTCTCTTCTTAAGAGTCACCCCCATGACTTGCTCTAAGACTAACACCATGATCACTGCAAATAACAATAGTTCTATTTGGTTGATTATTTATCAAATCTTCTATAAATTTATTGAACAGATCATATTCTTATGCCAAATTACTACTATGAATATCATTAGTAGAATGTATTATATGATCCATTCCTAAAAAATGAGATATTATCATATCTACAGGATCTTCGTTATTATTTTCTTTATCAAGCCATTTATTAATTTAATTAATCATATGTTCATCTTCCCTTCCATTAGAGAATATGTTAAACGATTGCATGTCAGTAAAATATGTGAAGGAAGTAGGAAATAATTTTACCCAAGTATCATCGCCAATGAAATAGATAGTTTTATTAGCTGCTTTCATTTTTGAAGGTATATTATCTATTTTTATCTCCTCTGAGTGCTCTACATTTTATATCAAATCCATTATTGTTGGATTTGTTCCTGTCATCAATGATAACAAACGAGGACCGGTGACAGTGAGACTATCAGTTTTTGCTTTTAAATAAATGGTATTGTTAGGTTCTTTTTCCTAAATCTAGCTTAAAATAGACAAATTAGGTTTTGCCAAATAATAACCTAAAGTATCTATGACTATAAAGAGCATTTTATCATCACTAGTCCCTACTAGCCACGACTTTTGATCTTCTAAAAAAGGGTTTACTGCATTAGTTGTAGATTTTTTAAGGATATCTTCTTTCAAAAAAACAAAGGATAATGTCTTGTAAAAGAGTATTGCTTATATTGAAGTAATAGCTATAAGACTCGTCAGTACACTTTTAACTACTAGCTGCTTTACAGCCCTATTTAACTTAAACATTTTTTTGAATATTAATAATTTTTAGAGATATGCAAAGATTTTATCTTTTTATTAAATATCTATTTCTAAAAATAATTTGTTAATTAATTAAAAAACTTCTCAAAACAATTTATTTCAACCCTTTTTTTATTTATTTGTTTATTTATTTATTAACTTCCCTTTTTAATAAAAGCAAGAAATTAGATATTTCATCATTAAATTCATTTATATTAATATTTGATTCAATTTTGATAATCTATCAATCTACGGTTGCAATGTAGACTCAAAATGTACTCACAAGAACTTTCACCTAAGATTGGATAGAGATCTTTGCTTCTGAGCTTTTCATGTAATAAACTAAATAATTAGTAAATGATGATCAAGCTTTTATGTTTATGGTAGAGGAAGTTGAAAATATCTTTTCAGATATGGCCTTTTAAATCACTTCTTTACTCAATTCTTAATTAAATTCTAACCTTGATCTCATTCAAAATTAAACGATTGCGGTCTTGAAAAGGAGTTAATCTTCTTTGATAAATTAAGAGGTTTCCCCCACTTAATTTTTTAAAGATTTTTCTTAAGATTGGATCCTCCTAAAATTTGTTTTTTCCCCTTCCACAGTTCCAGACAATTAAATTTAATCTTTTATTTCATCAAATATCTAATTTCTTATGGTATTAATAGTTTAGTTATTTAATTAAAAGATATTTAAATTATCCTCCATTTTTATTTAATTTAACTAAATTGTTGTTAAACAAAATATTTTTTGTTATTTACATGTTAATTCATTCATTTTTTAGTTATTATTTTATTGTCAATTTTTTTTTAAGATTATTTCTTATTTACTCATTTAATAATTACTTTAAAATCCCTTATCCTATTTCCTAATTACTTGATGTTTACCTTCCAATAATTTAACAAAGCCGAAAAAAATAAGATTTTGCAAAAATACATTCATTAAAAAATTAAACTTTTTACTTTTCTATTATATTTTTTAGCTAATAGTTAAAATTTTACAATTTAATAATTAATGAAAAAAATCAAAATTTATAATGAATGTATATGTATAAATTTAATTATCTCACCATATAAGTCAAAGTTTAAATTTATAGAAGTTTAAAATATAAAAATTAAAATTAATTTGTAATAAATACTCTTATTTTTTCTTTTTATTTTATAATATTTAGATGAAAAATATTTGAAAATACTCGAATTTAATTTACTAAATAAAAGGAGCACTTAACATATAAAAAAGGAAAAAAACTATTTTTATATTTAATTAAAATAAATATATTAAAGAAATGATAGAAGATTTTATTGACATTTACTATTAAGATTAAGATTAAAATAAATATAAATTTTATAACAAAAATTTTTAAACAAAGATAAACTCAATAATTATTTTATTAATATTTTTATATTATGGAGTATTATTTTAGAGAGTTTTATAGTTAGTTAGTTAGTTAATATTTTTTATTCAAGATTTATTTATTATTATTATTTTTTATTGTCAATTATTATCTGTTTATTATTTTTATTATTCATTATTTTAAGTAGGAGATATTTCGTGCATTGAAATTTCATGGTCATTGACTTCATTAGTATAGGAAAAGTTATGCACAGTATTATTCATTTCAGGATTTTCATAAAATCTTGTTTGAGTTGGCTAGAATGGCAAAATAGTATTATCATAGTCATCATCTTACCTTATTACATTCTATGTATCTAGATTAAAACTCATGTTGTTTTGATTTAAATAGCTTAAATTATCTGTAAACATGTAATTGGTATTGTTGTTATCGTCAATTTTACTATCTACTTTATTTACAAAATCTTCATCTTTTTGTGAAAAACTTATATTATGGATTTAGTTTTCTATATCTTATTGAGATTTTCTACGAAGATTTATGACAAAGTCTAAACTTTCTCCTAAATTTTTTTATTGTTGCATTAATTCTTTTATTTTTTCTTCTCTCATCTTTTAAATTTTATCATCTTTTTGCTCTTATTTTTCAGTACTTTCTGAGTTAATACTAAAAAGCTAATCTACATCATTTACTACATTTTTAATAATCTTCTATTACATATTTTAAGCATCATTACCAGCATTTGAGGCTTAATCTTCAACAACGCCGTCTTATCTAACTCCCTTTTTAAGTTATTTTTGCTTATGGCTTTATCCAGGGCCTTTTACTTTTTTAGTCATTATCATTTCTAACTCATAAAGTGTGAAGGTAATCTTATTATATTTAAGCTTGTATGAGAAGTAAAACCAATAAAAAGCTAATAAAATCTACATTATGCCTAAAAAAGAAACCAATACTAAAGTTCTTGATTTGCTTAATTTTACCAAAAGACTTACGTTAAAGCTCTCTGTGAGTTAACAATTTCCATCTTTGTAGCAAAACATTTTCAATGCAGATTAAACACTTACAGTTAATCTCTGATCATAATTATTATAAATTTATTTATAGTTTTGTATCTAAGAGCAAATATCATTAAACTAGCTAACTGTAACTTTCTCTTTCAAATGATTGAAAAAACCTTTTATTAATTTTATTAAATAATTTTTTAACTAATTTTTATTAAAAAATGCTTTTTATTTTCAAATTTGATAATATAAATTATCTACTTAATCAAAATCATTAAAATAAATATGTTTAAATTTAAAAAAAGCAGATGGTTTTAAAATATAGCAAGCAAATTTCTATGACTTATTACGCTTTAAAGATTTTAACTATTCATTTATTTTTTATTTTTAAAAAGTAAACTGCTTGCATTTATAAGATTATTTGAAATGCTTAAATTTCATAGATAGATATTTAATGACAAATGAAATAATTAAATTTGATAAATCCAAATAATTTATGACAATTTTCTATGATTTTATTAAGTTGATTTCATAATTGCATTTTGCAATAAATTTAAATATTTTATTTAAATGAGTTACTTGCTGTATTTATTTAAGGATGACACCACATGTTAGAGCAGTAGGACTGCTCAACTACATTTTCGATGAATCCGAAAGATACTATCGATATTATAAGAAGCCATATCGCTTGTGTTAGATAGATTTTATAAAAATTAGATAGACTAAACTTTTCTCCAATTTGAATGTTAAATAAAAATGTTAGTGGGGTTACTCCAAGTATAGAAAGTACTAAGTATTGATAGCCACAAGAATTATTTGCCAAATAAATTCCAGTTATAAGAGAATAAGCAGCTATTATAATCAAAAATAATCCAAAAATCTTGTGAGGATGAAAATAGTATGACGGGATATCTTTTCTCAATAAAATATGATCCTACAAAATAATTAAAGAAGATTAATTTAATCAACTTGCTATCTATTCATTACTTTATCTGCATAAGGATTTTTTTCCTTGATAATCTTCTCAATAGCTTTTTGCTATTCAGTGCTAGCATTAACCATTTTGGGTGTTATAATTAGTAGGATAGTAAATAATTCAGTTGTGAAAATCTTTATTAGTAAATATTATAAGCCCTACTTATTTTAGATAAAAATAAAGAGATAGATACTATTGAAAATTAATAATTTTTTAAATAACACTTTTGATTTCTGCAATTTATTAATTATAAAAATTGATTTATTGAAAAAAAAATTAATCCTTTATGGATTTAAGTTTTACCTTAAGTAATAAATTGTAAATTCCATGGCTATTGTGAAGTTTAGATAAGATATTTATAATTATTATGATAATAAAAATTGATGGCTCTAAATGAATTACTATTTTTTTAAATAATTATAGCCATAGTAAAAATACTTGCCTATAATTATTGTATTCATAACTTACAAGTAATCTAGCACAATTTCAAATAAAATTTAATATTTTTTGAATTTCCTCATTAAAAAATTTTTTAATTTTGTTAGATTTAATTTCTAAATCACATTTTTAGTATTAAAATAATAATTATTACATCTTTTTGTATTTTAAAAATCAATCTTTAATTTTTAATAAGAAAACAAACAAAAACAATAATTAATTTCAATTTTTATTTTCATATTTGATCAAAATCTTTTTTCTAAAATCTTAAGTTGAAAAACTTATAAAAGTAAAAGTTTTATTGCTCAATTATTGTAAATTTTTTTAATTCAACCATTTTTAACTGATAAAATATTTTTCATATTTAAAAATATAAAAATTTGGATTCTAAATATTTTTTTAAAGCAAAGATCAATCAATCAATAAATAAATAAAGAAATATTTAAATTTTGAACATTATTATCACAATTTATTTTATTAAGATTTATATTGGTTAATTTACAGTATTTGAAAAATCATTATTTGGCTTGAATTATTTGGAATAATTTAATTAAATATAATCTGGAGCAAGCAGTTAGTTGATTACCTGTACAAACATTTAATGGAAATGATATAAAATACAAAATAGTTTGAATTTTAATATAGATAAATAGATAGATAGTAAATAATATTTGTAAACAAAATTTATTTGAATTAAATTAAGTATTTATAAGAAATTTTTTAATCATATCAACCTTTTTGGTCAATAAACATCTTTATTTTTTATATTTAAAAGAGAAGCACTTGGATTAAAAATTTTGCTCATTTTTAAATGTTTCATGTAAATGGTTTAAGATCACTAAGGTTTCCAATATTTCCTTTCCTTATTATACTTTGAGGGCCAATACCATTGCTTAAAACTCCACCTGTAGTGTTACCATTGTTATTAACTACTAATTGACTCAATTAGTGAGTTCTACCATTTACATTATTTATTGAACGTTACAAGTTAGAATTATTTTAAGTAAAGTTTAATGGAGTGTTTTAATAGTTAGACTATTATCTTACAGGTGAAGATGATTCAGCTTTTTAAACATAATTATTTTGTATTATAGAAGATTATTTTTAGTATTTTGTAGGTGAAGATGATTCTACTTTAGAATATTAATTATTCTAAATAATGTTTTTCAAAGGATTATTAGTAAGTGGTTTTAAGGTAGTTTTTTTTACAATTTAAGGTTCATCCTATGAATATTCTAACTATTAATATGCTTGTATACTGCTTTAGTGTTAGTATGGTTGAATGTTTTAAATTTTTACATTTTATTGTCCACCATTTTTACCTACATATAATAATGGATTGTCTTAAGGTTTAGTCATATTAAGATTTCTTGTGCTATTTACAATACTCTAATTAAGAGAACTGTTAACGTTGTTATATTAGTGTTCATTAATCTTTTATTAAACTCTTGTTTCAATTAATGATTGATTGTTCACAGGACTTTGCAAGGCCATGCTTTAGTTAAGAACTTGACTCTTTTGTTATTATTACTCATTCAGTTTCTTTAATACCTTAGTTTCTAGCAAAGATTAGTTTTGAGCATTATTTTATAGCCCCTATTAATTTAAAATTGTATGATGATTGATAATCATTGATCCATTTCCATCCACCATTTATACTTTTTAATTTTAGATACTGTTTTATTCATAAATATCATCCCTTGGGTTTCTATATTTAAGCCACCAGACAAGCCACAAAGCATAAAATATTTCTAGAAGACCTAATGTAATTATCATTCCTAGCATCAGGCTTAGATTATGCCAATAAATATGTTAAGTAATATTACTTGTTCCATCACAACTTCCAGTATTATTTTAGCAATAGATATTCATTTCTGATACTAAGAATTGGCCTATTTATTCATATAGCATAGTACTACTGTATTAATTATTTAGTTAACTGCACTATTAACTTAGCTGGGAAGAAGAGTATTTCTTATTTAGGTAGTCAGAAAAGAAATCTGTTTTTATATTAAAAATTTTTAATATTTATAAAGGTTAAATAACTATTTTTGGACACAATAATTTTTGATATAAAGAATTTATGGGTTAATAATTTTGTCCTGAACAAAATTTGTGGGATAATAGCCACTAATAATAAATAAATTAAAATAGGATAATCCTTTAAATTAAAGTAAATCTTTTTTTCAATAATTTTGATGTTTCTCTTCAAAAATAATTAAGAAGCAACAAAAAAAAATCAACCTGATTTATTGAGAAATTAAATTATCTATATTATCTATGAATTGACCATAAAGATCATTTAATTAATTATAAGAAGTAAGCTGAAGTAAAATTGAAATAAACTATCAGATTATATAGCTTTTATGACTAATGTCTTTTCAAAATATTATTTATTATATATCATCGTTAATGAAGTGAAAAATTTTAAGTGAATTTACAAAAAATATTTTTTAGTTTGATTTAAAAAAGAGGATTTAAATTACCTCGAGTTTCTACTTGCTTATGACACCATTAAGAGCTGCAATAAACCTATTCTTCTATTTAGCTTATAAATACTAATGAGGTAACACCAGTCATGAAGATGAAGAAAGCTGAAATTCCATAGAATAGTTATCTATGGTGATGTATATACTATCTATAAAACGATACTAAACAAAGAAGGAACATAACACAACCAAATACTGTTAAAGTAATATATCTAGCTCCACACGAATAACAAACTATAGCTATTCCAAATGCAATCATTAGTAGAGCAACAAGACAGGCTAAATGATTAACTCTAAAATATTATAATATATTTTATCATATTTTTAATTGTATAACTCTTTTAAAAGCATATTTATTATTTTTGCAAACAAAAAAGCTAATTTTTAAATAAATTTTTACCTTGTTGAGGGATGTTTTCTATCTAGTTCCTCTTCTGGTATCTTATCTTTATTAGGATCATTTTTAACATACTATTTTAAAGGTATCAGCTATGACTACCTACTCATCATCAAAGATTTATTCATTTATGATTGGTTTAAAGCTCTAATCTTCGATTGAGCAGCTATCGACTGCTAAAGATTATGTACCTAATTAAATAAACCATATAAACAATTAATAATATTTTATAATTTCCTTTACTAAATTAAAATAGTGAATGCATTAAATATAGGGCAAATTTTATGATTGATAATGTATTTTACTTAGAAATTTGATTGATTTAAACGCGACTATTAGATCATAATGTAGTTATCCTAATAAGTAAAGAGGAGCTTAAATTTATTTGCTACTTTTAAGAATCTTGTACTTTAAATAGTTTTTTCTAACAATCAATTAAATGTCGTTGAATGTATTTATAAGCTTTTGTTATTCTTTAACTTTATTTGTCTAATATAAATATTAAAATTAATATTTTTGATAGTTTATTAGTTTAAATCTTATTTTGTTATCTATTTCCATAAATACAGATTTTTGGAAAATTTATAATTTGTTTGGTTACCATTATTCTTTAAAATATTGGATTTATCTCATTGGTAGGATATATTTTATAATTTAAAACAAAAATACAATATTTACCATTGAAAGTATTTCTATTAAATCAAAATCTTCTCGTTTTAAATAAATAAATACTTATTTACTCTGAAAACAAATATGATTAATCCTACAATTTTACAATAATTAGCTTCTCTGTCGTTTAGTTTGCCTTAAATTAGTTATTTATTTATTTTAAATGGGTAGAGTATAATAGATTTAATACATTTTTTTATTTCTTTATAATTATTTAAGTATAATCAATATGTAAATTAAATCCTAAATTTTTCACTAATTATTATCATCAATATTCAAAAATATTTGTGTAACATTCAATTTTAATTGATAAAATTGTAGATATTAAATAAAAATAAATAAAAGCGAAGAAGATAATAATCATAATCACAAATATAGATCAAAAAAATTTATTATCAATCTAATAGCGTTATACTTTCAATCATAAATATATTTTCCACAAAAACGAAGTTATTATAATCTGAGATTAAAAAAATATGTTAAATTTTCATATATATTAATAATAGATGTGTATAGTAAAATATATAGGTTAATATATATACGAAGAATTTACTTTATTTATTTTATCTAAATAAATTATCTTGAATATAAAAAATATATTAGATAATTGATATATTGGAGTTTTTTTATTTATTTTAGTGGTAATTTATAAAATAAGCAAGCAAGTATATAAAATTATATTACCTTTATAAAAAGGTTTGCTTTTTGATCTCAAAATTATTTTTTTTATGTTTAATCCAAAGGCTATGTGCTGCTTTAAAATTTTTAGCAGTTATTTTGTTAGGTTAGCTAAATAGATTAATAATCATTTTTTTGTTGTTTCAGTTTTATGTGTTTTACTAAATAAGTGCTGCAAAAGGTTTCTCATAGAAATATTTTAATTGCTATTATTGATATTACTGTTATTACTTCTATTTGTATTGCTTATTTGCTATTAATTAGACTTATTCAACATACTTTTAGGTTCAGTTCCTTACAATAGAATTTTTAGATTTTCAGCTAAAGTGTTCTTATTGGTGCATTTTTTGTTTTGATGATTTTAAGTGAAATTATTCTAATTATTTGGGCCTTCTTTTTATGGTAAATTATGGATTTTTTATTAGTTTTAACTATTGAAACTTTGTGGAGAGCTTTTTCTTGCACTTTCATTCATAAATTAAGAATAGCTAAAATTTTTTATTGAATTAAAATTGATTTTCACATTTAGGTTGTGAGTTGGTGTTGAAGTTTCAGCTTTTTTAAACGTTGTATAGCTCTTGTTTTATTTTTAAGCTAATCCAGATTATTTTTTACTATTTATTTTCGAAAGTAGATTCAAAATTTCTAGCTTTTTATTAGACTTAGCTTCTTGTTACTAATTTTATGATAAAACATTAATCTATTACTTATTCTTTTTTTATAATGTAGAACTTAATTGTTCACAATTTTGGTTATAATACTATTCATTTTAATTTTAGAAATTAATTTGCTAATTATGGCTTTTTACAAAGTAATTTTAAAATTTCTCAATTTCCATTTTTTCTACTGACTTGTTTGAGCATGATTTTTAAAGTCTCTCAGTTTGAAAAACTTATAAAGGAAACTACTCATTAGAAAATCTCATTATTGTTGTCTAATTTTTTAGATCTGAGCTTCTTTCTAAAGAATTGTGTGTTTAGATTATATTTTTTTAAATAAAACTAGATTTAGGCGTACTTGAAGCTATGTTAGAAAAGCTAGAGTTTATTGGAACTTATGGTTATGGTAAACTTTTTTATTCACATTTTTTAGCTCTGAATGTTTTTTAAGTCTTTTTCATAATCTATACACTTTTTTGAGGAGTTGTTTTTCTTACAAATGATAGCAGTTAAGAATCCTCCAACACATTTGTATTACAGCTAAAAGAAAGATCTTGTTGAGAAGAAAACTAATTGTTGCTATTCAAATTTTAAAATGATTCTTCTGTTTTTAAAATTTCCTTTTAAAATTGCCTTAGCTTTGTTATGTTATCATAAAATTTATTCTTTTAACTTCTTGTATTAATGTTAGTTTTAAATAGTTAAGAAAACTTTTAAAAGTTTTTTTCAATCTAAGGCGATGTGTTTTATTATTTTGAAATTGAGCATCTCAAAAAAGAATCTTTTCCTAGCTTTTCTTTAGCACTTTATAAATTTTATGAAGAAGATAAATTATCTTCCTGTTTAGTATTACATAAACTTCCTTTTTATAAATTCTAAAATTGCTTCTTTTACTGGTTCTGATTAAAGATATTTGAGAGTTGGGCTTTTGCTTTTGAAATATTTTGATTTTTACTATTGAAATTTGTTTCATTTTTAGCAAACTACTCTTTAGAATTATCTCTATTAGAATTAGAAATAAGCTAACTTATTTTTTCTTGAGAGTCTTAAATCTACTTTTCTAAAATCATAGTTTCTTCTAATAAATCATTTTCGATTTTTGTATACTTGGCTAAAGATTTTATTAAATTAGAATAACTGAGAGGACTTTTTACCTAAACATGTTTGTTAATTTTAGCATTTTAAGAAGACTAATTTGAAAATGAATTATTCTATTATGAACTTATCTGATTTTTGTCTTAGTTTATAAAAAAAGATTACTGCTTAAACTAGTTTTCTCTGTAATTATTATTTTATAAAGAAGGTTCATTCAAATTTTAAATTATTTCTTTATTATTTTTTTCTAAAATATGTCCATTAAAAATACTAGGCGACAAGATAAATTATCCTTCCAAGCTAGGAAGGTTTGGAGTTTAAGCTTATACATGTTCGTCATCACTATTGACAATTTAACTATCATACATATATTTACTCAAGTTTAAATGCGAAGCTTAAGATATATGAGAACTAGCTTCCCTTGAATGACATTAAAAATTAGTAGGATATTGATTTTTCTAATTCTCTACTATCAATGATTTCCTACATGTTTAATAGTGGAAAGGTGATCCATCGCAAGAACAGTAATTTGAATAGTTATTTTTATCACCAGTCAAAAAGGGATTAAAGCCTAATACTGCATTATTATTGGATTTACTGTTTTATTAAACATTGCAAAAGCAAGACTCTACATTATTTACAACAATAATAAATTTTACAAATCAAATTTTTTAATTATTTTAAAATTTAGTAGGCATTGTAGAAATAAGAAATATACATTCTATTTTATTGGTTAGCTTTGCTGAGTCTACTGTTCTTTTAGATTCATATTATGTATTTCCTGTCAATATTATGCTTGAAGAAGCTTGCTGCTGACTTTCTGCTTTTTTTTAATGTTAATCGAAATATATATTTTAATAGGTAGTTATCCATTACAAATCAAATTTTACCAGTAAGTTTTTAATTTGGAGATTTAAGAAGCCGAATTTCTTTTTTCAGAGAAGGCACTTGTGGGTACCTTTTAAAAGTGCTCATAGAAATTTTTAAGTTAACTTGTATTTAATAAGAAGTATAATACTAAAGAAAAATATAATTTATTATTCTAGTCTTTTACTTAAATTACTAAAATAATTCACTATATTCATTCACAAAAACAAGCAAATCAATTAGATTTATTATTGTTATTTTTTTAATAGTATCTTGCTAAATTTAAAAATTGATTATTATGTAAATCAATAATCCCCTTGAATCAGTCATCCATCATCATTTAATTACTGAAAACATAAAGTATAGCTAATTTACCACATTAATTAAGGCTTTATAATATCTAATTATTTTACAATTTATTTCATGTATATTTATAAATTTAATAATTTAATTCAATTAAATACAGCTATATTTGATTGCTGCGCCTATCATAGCTTTTGTATCAAATTTTGTATTCTGACTAGTACAGTAACATATTTTTGTAAAAAAATATCTATTAAAAGTTCATTTTATAACTTGAGTTAACAATAAAATCCTTCAATTATGGATAACTCTACTGGAAAAGTATTAAGACTATTTCTGAATTTTGAGAAACAATTAAAATTTTAAATAAAAAATTGAAGAGAGTAACAATTTCAAAAGTAACTAATTAAAAAATCATTTTATTTTTATATTTAAAAAAATAAAACCTCTGATTAATTTCTTTTTAAGTATGCAAGATCAAATTTACAATATATTAGCAAGGATTTATAAATTTATTAACATGCAATAATAAAATTCATAAAGTTTTTGTAACATTAAATTAATAAAATAAATAAGCAAAACAGAAATCGATATATAAATAACACCTACTATATTTATAAAAAGATTGCTAATATAAGTCTTCAAAATTACAGTGAAATCTAGATAAGTTTATGATATAGCAATATGCCATTGAGATTATTTATTTTATTTAGTTGATTTATTTAAAGGTTAGTTTTTTTATGGGAGATTACAGTATTATTATGCAAATATTTTAAATAAATTAAAATTTTTTTAATTAGAAATCTAATTTAATGAATTGGTAAAAAACTTAAGAGAAAGAATAAATATTAATTAAAAAAAATAAATATAAAATATAATTAATAATATCTTTAATCTTTTAAATAAGGATTTATAATAATTTAAATAAATTCATAAAATATATTTCTTGTATATTCCTAGGTATAATTTTTCTAGATATTTTTTAATTTTGTGTCTTTCAATTACTAAATCACAATTATTTTAAAATTGTTCTATATTATCTGTATAAACTTTCTTAAAACTAATGTCTTCATCTGTAACAATTATTTCCTTCATTACAGAAGCATTACTTTAATTTTTTTCACTTTGACTTAATTAATCTGTAGTTGCATGAATTTCTTAGTTTTCCTTATTGTCTTAATTTTGTTACTATAATAATTAAGATTCTAAAAGCCTACTTTTTTATTAAAAATCTTTTGATTCTAAAACACATAGAATCTTGTAAATAGAGTTAATTATTTATATTTATTCATCAAGTATTTTTTTATGATCTAGTCTTAAAACAATGGCAAATCTTTATTTGTATGTTATATTATAATCTTTAAGTAGAGCTTCATCTTATTCATTAGATGTTTTGTATCTTTTAATTAAATAAATCAGTTGAAATTGTTAATAATTTTTTTATAAATATTTACTGGTCTCTCATAAATTATAAAACTTTCAGGGCAAAATCAAATACAAACTTTTCAAATCCAAAGCTTTGAGGTAGAGTAAACAATATTTTTGATTGATCTTTACCATGATAATGGCTTGATAGATATATTCTTAAATAAATAATAAATTCTTTTTAAATTAAATTAAAAAATGATTATTTATTGTCTAAAAATTAAATTTTTATTTTTATCTACCTTCACACAGGTGACCTCTTTTCAATCTAAACTCCTTTGTTAAATCTTTTGTATTGATTTTTATGTTATTATTCATAACAAATCCATTTTTCCAATCATCTTCGGATATGAATTTTCTAAATATGATCTAATTGAATATTCCAGGAATTTCAAGAGGACTAGGCTCAGGTTAAATCCACATCTAAATAAAAAAAGTAAATTAGTTTGGTGTAAGACTTCAAAAACTAAAATTTTACTCTAAAGCCAAAGCTATCAAACAAGTTATTCTAAAAAGCGAATCCATACCATTGCAGTAAAAATTTGTTGGTCCTTCTTCCATAACAAAGATAAATTTATTCTCCCTTTTTATAACTAAAAATTAACATTTTGAAATATAACCACATACTAAAAAAGTAAATAATACGGTTATTCAGTTGTGACAGCAAAATAAGTATTTTCAGTTTATGATTCATACCAATCAAATTCAGTATCATCACTAAGAGTACTTACAGAGTCTAAATTATATTCATATTCAGTATGATCTATTTTAAATTTACTATCTTTTGGCTGCTTTTACTTTTTTACAACTTTAATATCTTCGACTTATGTTTTGCTAAATTTATCATTTGTTATTTCATTTTTATCAGCAATAACCTCTCCTTCTTTTTAAGTATTAGTATTATCTTCACTAATATTTTAATTTTCATTTTTATCTTCTTTTACTTCTTCTTTATCCTCGTCCTCCTCCTCTTCACTATCTTCGTAGCTTGAGTCATCACCACTTTCGTAATCATTTTCTTAAAACTCAGAATCAGATGAATTTTCACTTTCTTCGCTTTTTTTTGTACGATTTAAAATTTACTCAAAAGCAGTGGTACCTTTTGAAGAGTTTTAAGCTGTGCTTGACTCAGACAGACTTTAATTTTTGCTTTAATGAATGTTCAGAGTTTCTACTTTCCTTTTACCTTTCTTTTAATTATTTTCAACAATTTTGAGTTCTTTGTGAAACAAATTATCATATTCTTTCTTTCTTCCTTCTGTTTATTCTTCATCTGTGTCATTATCTTCAGTAGCTGAAGTAGTAAAAAATTTCAAATCCCAAATATCGACCTACACATTTGCAAATAATTCCTTTGTATTAATTTCATATACCATTCTCCTAAGGATATCATCTTCGATGAATTTACTTTTATTTTCTACTATACTTTTTAATTCTGGGCAGAGAACTTTATAATGATCTTTAACAAAGCGATACCTTGAACAACGATAGTGAAAATCATTATTCTATGCTTAAAATTTACCACTGTTATTGGTATCAAATACGCTTAGATCTATTTTATTTTTTTTAATTTTATATTTGGGATGAGATATAGATTCTTCAGCCTCAAACAATTTGTTAACAATGTAATGAGTGGCTGAGTGATTTCCATGATTGAATAAATCTCCAAAAGGAACTAAGCAAGTATGTGGAAGAAAATGTCCGAATACTCTAGTCATTACTAATTCATAGCACCAAAAAAATAATTCTCTAGTCAATTTTTCTTGATCGTAAAACTATGGATACTACACAAGACATTTCTTAAGCTAAATCCAAGTTACTTCAACATCTTCTTTATAATGCTTAAACTATTTATTTATTGATTGATCGATATAAATAATTAAAACCAAGCAAATGAAATCAAATTCAATTTATTTATTGATTGTATCACACATATAAAAATTAATTTTATTTACTTCATCAATTAACTCTGGACATTCGGTTTCCTTAATATCTTTTTCTTCCCAATCATACAAAGTATAAGAGCGCTCAATTGTATCAAAATATGGCTAATAAAATGATTTTCCATCCTTAAGCTTTTCATAAATTAAGAAGGAAGTAAGAATATTAAATTCAGCATCTCCAGCCTTCTTTTCATTAAATAAATGAGCATTTTTCTCTGCTAATAGCATTTCTTTCAATTCTCCATTTTTAATATGATATTGAGATATCATTACTTTATCAGGTATCGCAGCAATAACCTATTAAAATTTTTAAATTGCTTTCTAATTCATTTAAAAATCCTAATTTTACAGTGTTCGCTGGTATATCTTCTAAAGCAACTACACCAGGTATACCTAAAGGCCCAAAGGCTGCAGGAACTCCAATACCCTAATTTGTTATAAAAAATTTTAAACTACCATCCATGATATAAGTTAAAAAATACTTTATGCATTAAAACTTTATTATCATGACACCATTTTAAAAATGTTTAAATATTTTTTGAGTTCTTTAATTTTTCTGTTTCAACTGGATTGAGTTAATCTTCGGCTATAACTTAATTTTATGAAGTTTATTCCATATTATGCTGTTATTTATAATAAAGATAAAAGTGCTTTTTAAATAATTTTTAAAAGTTAATTGAAATTTTTTTTGTTTTCAAATTAATATATCTAAAATAAACAATTAGCAAAGTTTTCAAGTTATGTTATTAATTTGTTTTTTAAAAATATTTAAAAATAAAAAAAACAAACAAATAAATAAATAAAGAAATATCATTTCAATTTTTGTTGAATAAAGTAAATAAATAATTAGCATTTAAATTTTAATTCATATTTTTAAATGATCAAAAAAATAAATAAATAAATTAACATATTCATTTTAAATTTTTAATTCATTTATTTTGTGAAATTAATTCTTTAATTTCATTTCTTAATTGACTTAGGAGATTATTGGTGTTATGATTATCTACTGCTCAAAGAAGAATCCAATTAATTTTAGCTTGGGCTTTAACCTACTTTCAATAAATTTCCTTTTCCCTTTTAATTACTTGCTACGTTTATTAGCATAAGACTATTTTTAATTTTTTTCATATTGCTTATTAGTGTTTTTTTCCTTTCTACTTATCTTTTTTTAGCTTATAACACCTTTTATGGAGATTATCTCCTCATATCCTATAAATTTTATTCTTCTTCTAAGATACTATCAATATAAATTAATGTACTTGGAGATTTAGATTAGCTCAAGTGCTGTTAGCTTAGTTTTGAAATTTTATCTGAATCTACATAATACATCAACTAAAACTTTTTCAAGTTTTTATAGCAGTCACACATAACCTTAATTAAAATAAAATTTTTTTTTTTTAGGTTTAAAGCATAACATTAAATATTTATTTTAACAAAAAATATTGATAAACACAGAAATCATAAGGAAAAGTCTTACTTTTGGTATAAAATTACTATTTAGCTGAAAGGTTGTTTATTTAGTGTTTTAGTCTTTTTTTCTTTCTTTAGAGTATCTATCATATGTTTAAATTATATAATTGAGAAGAGTGAATGGTTTGATCTTCAAATTTGAGGCTAGTTCTTTTATATATTTAAAACTGAGTTTAGTTTCGAATGTTTATATTGTTTCACTTGAAGACACAGTTAATTAATTATATATTTAGTCGTTTTTCTCTATTTCTTCTTACACTGTAATAGACTGCAGCAAGTGGCTAAGCAATTAGCACTTTTATTATTTTTAATTATTATTAAAATAATTTCTATAGTCTATTGCTACATTTTAATTCGAAACTATTGCTGAAATCATCAGATCTACTTCTTAATTATAACTAACAAAGTCTTCCAGGTCATTAATGTGCGTTTAATTTAATTCTTTATTAATTTCTTTATATACATATAAAAATATATTTATTTCAAATAAAAATAATTTGGGAAAAATAAGATGAATTTCTTTTTTAAAGCATAAAGTGCTTTTAAAATAACTTTGGATAAATTTTACATAAAATTTCATTTAAAGCTAATTAAGATGGCATTTAAAAGCCAGCAATTCCGAATAATTTCTAAAAAAAGATTGATAAAGGCTTCTCCTCTATTTACAATATATAGCGAATTATTTATTCAATCTCTTAGAATGCCTCATATTATATTTTTGAAACACTAAGTATATACTCCATGAAGGCTTCAGCTGCATTTTTATCAAACAAATCTTCAGTTTTTAAGTTCTTAAAGAACAATTTCAATCTGTGCAGCATATACTCTTCTGTAATCTCTATATTTGTAGATTAGCTAATATTAAAAAACATAAAAAAATAAATATTTAAATAAATTTCTCCACTTTTATGATTTTAGGAAAATTGAAATTGTAAGTATGAATAATTTTGCTATAAGTAGAAATCTTGAATCTTTTTTTTAATCAATTTAAAAAACCATTAAAAATGATAAATAAAATGAGTGATTATTGGGTGGGTAATTTATCAAAAAATTTTTGATTAAGCCAAATTCGAAATATTTACATGGTTCTATTATATACGAAAGCTGAAAGGAATGGATGGTCGTTAAGAATAGAATGTAAAGTTTGATCTTTAATCCTGAAAAAATTAAATTACCTTATTAAATTACAATTAAAAATTAATAGCCTGAATTAAATGTGATTTTTTAAGAAATTAATAAATTTGATTGTTACTATCTAATGGTCTCTTGATATTCAATTGAATCCTTAGCTCTCACCATTAGAGAATGTCCTAAAGAACATAAGTTGTCTTCTAGTGTTTATTTGGTTGATCTATTATCTTGTTATAAACTCTTTATAAACATCTGCATCTCTTAGATTTTCCCTCTCATTTCATCATATTTCTCTTAAGCTTTATCTAAATCAGTCATTTCTTCAATTCTTTCTTCCAACATATTTACTTATAATTGCAATCTGTTTTTTTCATCGTTTAATGCATTTTTCAAATGGTTTATTTCTTCTTCAAGTTTCTAAATTTTACGGTCTGAAACAATTTAGTTATTTATTTTATTGTTAATACTTTTTTTTAGAAAGGAAATTTCCTCTATATAATTTTAGCACTCTTCTTCAACTTTTTTTTTAACACATATATCCATTTGTTCTGTTGCTAGAGTAAATATGTAATTGAAGAATGAGTTTAAGTACTAAACAAACTAGTTTATGTTATTTCCCTCTCCAAGCATCTCATTCATTCTTATTAAAATACTAGAAACTCTCTCATTCAAAATTTCCGATATTTTAATGAAGTACTTTTTTTAGAATTGATTGTTATCTAATTCATGCACAACTTCTTTCTCTAATTTTTCTATGATATCTAATAAACAGAATTCTAATTTTTGTCTAGCTTATTAGTATTTAGGCAATGCTAAATCATCATACCCACAATTATTATAATCTTATTTAATTGGAACATTTTGTTAATTTTGGCTGGTTACAGTATTTTATTAGCTGATCACTTAATTTTATTTAGTTTGTTCCTATTAAATAAGTGGATTTTGATGTAAAGAAAGACATTCTGATTTCTGATATAAAGCTTCTTAGTTTTAATGAACAGATTTGATATTTGGTTAAAATGTTTATCTTCTCTTTTCTTAATTTCTTTTTGTAGGAGATTCCCCATCATTCAAATTCCTCAAAGAAAGTTGGTGATGTAGCAAATAATTTGTTTTATTTGATTTATCGCTAAGCTTGTCAATGAATTATTCGCTATTTATAATAATACTTGAGTTATTATTATCTTAAGTATGATTTATTAGTTTTTGTTATTCAGATTTAACATTTTATTGTGTTTAAATGTGGTTACTTCCTTACATAATTTATTAATTATGTCTTTAGAAAAGACTTTTACCTTAATTTGAAATGTCGGTCTTTTTGATATTAAATTATTCGCCATTTTTTTAATTTTGAGCTGCTGACTATACTTCGCTAGATAGATTTTTATCACTTAAAATATTAATTTAAGTTGGAAAATTGTTCTATATTGTTTAGTGACTCAGAGTAAGCATATCATTTTGATTGGCAGGAAATTATTATTTGATATCTTCGATATCAATTACATTTATTTCATACAAATTTTAAAATTTTACAGGTAAAGTTTATTTTATTTGTGCTTACCTTTTAAATAATTAGCTATTTTACAAAACATATGAATATTTATTAGACAATAATTAATCATTTTTACTTATTTTATTTTCTTTTGTATTGCTACTTTCGTTTATAAAAATAAATGAGTCTTTTTATTATTCTTCATTTAGATAGTCTCCTTTTTGAATGTAGCTTTGATTAGCAATCTATGATTATTAGATTTGTTAAAAAATTCTCTAAATAGGCTTTTCATATTTATTACTTTTACTATGTATTGAAGACATATTGTGATTGATTAATATATTTTAGGAGGTGTTTTTCGATGTTAATGATAGTTTTGAATTCTACTAGTTCCCTTTCAAGTCTACCAAATTCCACTTTATGTAAAAATTATTTTCTTTTGATTGGGTCGATTTTGTTGATTTTGAGTTAGGAGACTCTATTACAATTCTTTACCTCTAATTCACACTCTGAGGTCTCTCTTTGCTAATTGCTTGCTAATAACTCTAAGTAGATTAATCGATGTCATCATATTAAATTTTGAGCTATTATTTATTTTATCTACCGCTGGTCTTTATCCTTTGCCTATCAGTTGAAGCGCTTGTTTCTCTTAAACTTTTAACACTTTAAGAACTCACTAACACATTGAGTTTTTGAGTATAATTTGATATTAGCTATTTATTCATTAGTAAGCAAGTAATTAAATTCGAAAAAATATAATAAAAAATTATTAATCTAACCAATAAATGAAACAAAACAAACCTTCTTTGTATTTATGAAAATAATTGCGATAAAAATAATAAATTTTTTATGAAAATTATTAAAAAATTTGTGGAATACTAGCATGTTAATTATCTATTTCAAAAATTTGTTTTAAGTATAACAAATGTAAAATTATTCAAATAAAATTATTATATTTTTAAAACAAATATTCAATCATGATTTGAATAAATAATTAGATATGATAAGGATATATTATGGGTTTTTAATGTAGAATTATTTTATTTATTTTAAAATAACTTCAAATATAAAATAAATGATGAAATGTTCCACAAATATTATATTTTCAACTTTAATGAAAAAAATAAAATTTATTTTTGCTTAAATAACTTTTTTTAAATATTTTACGGATTAATATACATAATAATTCAACTTTTTTCAAAGTAATGTAAACTTCTATTACTTTTTAGTACTATTCATTTATTTTTTTAATGGTATATATAAGTCTATGTTGATGTTCGCTCAAAAAACAAACAATTTAAATTTGTGGAAATTAATCATATGGAATAAATTTCATTAGTGAAAATTAAATTTTTTAGGCCTTTGAAAGTAAACAAAATGAGCTTTGTAATTTCTGAATAGCATTGAATATCTGAATTTATATTTAAGAAATATTCTGGTTTTTGTTACCAAAAAATTATCAAAAGAATTTAATTTATTAAACAATCATAATAATTAAAATAATAAAAAAAATAATAAAAGTTAGTAAAAGAACAACTAAGTGATGTCTTTATTATTCATTTCAGTGATTACATTTTTAATAAGTAAATATATTTATTTAACTATAAATTACATTTAAATAACGCTTATGCTTAACTAAATTATCTAGAATATACAATATCATAGGTATAGATTCTAAATGAAACCTTTAAATAATTAACTTATGATGATAATCTTGCTAACACTGAAAATTATTGGGTTAGTTAACCACCTTTTAGTGAAGGTGGAATAAGTTACTAATGTTTAAAAAGTCTTGAATTCTAGCCATAGCTATTATTAATGGGACCAAATTAGCAGCTCACTAAAGTATTTAACGCACTATCCTTGACTAAAGGAAAATATTTTTATAAGTTTAATGTGACTTTAAATCTTCTCTTAATTGATATGAATAGATCAAGCTTTTCTTTATCTCTTACTTTTAATGGGAAATCAGTAACTTTTCCTTAATAAGGATAGAGCAGTTATACTTCAAATAGCAAAGATTTTTATTGTTATGAAGCTTTGACATATCTAATACCATGCTCGTAAATAAATTTAAGCAAAAGTTATTTTATTTATTTATTTTTTCATTTCAATGAATAGAGATTACTGCTTTGGATAAAAATATGATTCTTAGATTAGTATAAGCAATATGTTTTCAGGTTATCAAGATAATATTGTAATTATTTATAATTTTTCGAGATTTACTTAATTTAATTTTTAACCTGAATTGTTTGTTATAAATAAATAATCCCGAATTCACCAAACTATTTAATAATCAAAGAATTATTCTGCTATATATTTAGAAACTGAAAATTAGTTTATAAGCGTAATTAAAGCCATTTTTTAAATTAAAAGAATGCTTTTAATAATTTCAATAATATAAATGTAATTTACTGTAAACAATATTGTTAATTACTTAAAAAATAAAATTAAGTTTGTGTTATAATTAATGATATCATTTTGATATTGAAATACTTAATTGATTTATTTTTTATAAATTAAAACATTATAATGGGCTAATTTTAAATAACTTTATTTATTTAAAAACATTTTTTCGATTTTCGTTTGTTTTTTTAATTTACATAATTTTATTTTTAATGTTATTTTATAAAAATGACTAAAAACCTTTTTTTATAAAGTAAATTTAATTAAGCTCTAACGCAATCAATGATGAATAAGTTGGGATTATTAGCTTACAGATAGAAGCTTATCTCTGTGACCCTAATTGTTTGAAATGCTAAAACAGTCCAACTTAATGCATATAGTGCTAGAATAGCTCTTAAGCAATAGATTTCGAATAATAAAATTGTGTTGATAGTTGCCCATCTGGATATTACTAAAGTAAATATTTTACTTTTTACATTACAAATAATATTTCTTTCCTTACAAAAAATGATAGCAATTAAAATAAAAATAAGAATTTTAAATTACACTTAATCTTTTCCACAATAGTTTTGCCTAATTAGAAAAGAAATTTGAATCTCATAAATTACCTTAGATACTAAATTAACTTAATCAAACTAAAAATAAAAATAATCCCACCTTATTACTTTTTTAATTTAAATAAAAATACTGCATAACAAAAAAAATATCTAATTCTTTTATCAAGTAATACTTGTTTTTTTAATATTAGCTATGATTTTATTTGTACAAATATCTTTTTATAATGAATCCTAATTAATTGATATTTTTTTTTAATTAATTTAATTAATATTATAGCGAATGATGCTTCATATCCCCTTTAGCAAGTTTGTAAGAAATGCGAGGTTTAAAATTGTGAATAGTGCACTAGTGGAATGACATGCTTTAAATGTTCAGATGGATACTATTTTGATGGTAGTCAGTGTTCTTAATGTGATAGTTTATGCGGTACATGTTCAACATCAGCTTCTTTATGTTTGACTTGTAGTGATGGATATTACATGGCAACTGGTAGCATATGTACTCCTTGTCCTACTGGATGCTCATCTTGCTCATCTAACACTTATTGTAGTTCATGTAATGATGGTTATTACTAGCTAAAAGTGGATAGTTAAACAGCAACATGTAATCCTTGCTTGTAGAATTGTAAATCTTGCACAGATAATACGTCTTGCAAAGAGTGCTTTTAAAATAAATACTGTAAGGTTTAAAAATTTTCAATTAAAAAATACACAATAATATTTTTTTAAACTAAAAAAATTTTGAGAAAGAAAAATTAACAAATTTTTGAAATAAAAAGAACCTAAATTTAAAAAATATGGCTAGTAATTAAAAATTATTAAAAATAAAAAATAGTATACAATAATGACATCAGTAAAAATTATTACTATTAATGCGTTACTGACTGCGGTAATAATTAATTTATTTCTAATGATAACTCTAAATGTATAAAGTTTTAAGATTCAAATTGTATAAATGCTTCCCCTTCATAAGGTTGCTAAAATGGTAATTGTAATTTTCCTTAATATTCAAATTTCCAAAAAGAATGTGTTTAAAGCTGCTAAGATGGGTTTTACAAAGGATTTAAAGACCCAAGTTAAACTTTTACATAGTGCTATAAATGTCCACAGGGAAACTAAAAATGTAGTTCTTAAAATTATTCTATCTAATGTGAAAATGGATACTATTTATAACATGTAAGTACACAGCAGCAAAATTGTTTATAGTGTGAATAAAGTAATTAAATTTTTTATTAATAAATTTAAATATTAAATAATAAGCTTGTAAATAAATCTTCATATTAATTTTTCATATAAAGATAAATAATAAAAAAAAAACATTTATAATAGATTGTGATTCGTGTACAAACGGAGTAAGTTGCAAGAAATGCAGCAAAAATTATAATCTAGACGGTGCTACTTGTGTATAAGAGTGCTCAGGAAGTTAGTATAGCTAAGATTAGATTTGTAAGAATTGTCCCATATAAAATTGTTTAAAATGTAAAGATAATAAAGTGTGTGTTAAATGCAAACCTGGCTATGATATAGTAAATGGCATATGCGAAATTTCATGTACAGATGGTTAATTCCGCAGTTTAAAAACTTTAAAATGCACTAGCTGTTTAAGCGGATGTAAAGTTTGCACTAGTTTAATCGGCTGCTAAGAGTGTTTTCCAAGATACTTTGGACAATAAACATGTTCTAAATGTGATTAAAGCTGTTATAATTGCCAAGGACTATCACCTAATCAATGTACCTCTTGTGATCCTTAGTCAAATCTATTTTTATATCAAAATTAATGTATCCCAAAATGTCCAAATGGTTACTTTAACGATACTTCGTCGATGAGCTGTGTACCTTGTAATGATCCTAATTGTAAAGTATGTGATAAAGGAACTAATACTTGCTCATTATGCAGTGATCCTGACTTATATCTGGTAGATAATTAAACCTGCTCTTCAACTTGCTAACAAGACCACTAAAACTTTACAAAAAACAATATTAAATAATGCCTTAAATTATCTTGTCCTACTGGATATTACTAAGTTGAAGATAAATGTAAAGAAATATGTGGAGATGGCTTAAATTTCGGCGAGTATCAATGCGATGATGGCAATAATCTAAATGGAGATGGTTGCAGCTCAATTTGTGGGATAGAATATCTCTTTGTTTGTCATAAAGGTAAAAGCTTTTTTGAAACTTATTTTTGATTTATAATTAATAAATTTTATTACTTTAATAGAATCTAATCATGGTAAAAGTATTTGCTATCTTCCTCTTTCTTATAAAGCATCTTCTCAGAATAAAAATTAAGTTATTTTATAGTTTCTTACAGATGTTCAGGTAACTTAAGATTTTATTAAGTACTTGAAAATATCTCTAGAAGGATTAAAATCTTCTGCATACACCTATGCACTTTCAAATTCAAAACAGAGTAATATGATAAAGATTGAGTTTTAATTTAACATTCAAGTTTAAAATACAATCACTACTATCATTTAAAATGGCCAAATACAAAATGTTGAAGAACTTACGCTTACTAAATCTCCAAAAGGTTCCTACATTTTAGATGCAGCAACTCAAACTGTGTAAATGAATACTGAATATGTTGCTTAGGAATCGTAAAAATAAGCAGCTTAGAGTATTTAAGCCACTTCTAAAGCTATTTCGACAACAGTAATAGCTTCTCTAGTTCCAATAGTAAATTAAAATTAATATTTTTAAATTCGTGTTTACACAAATGAATGAATATAAATAAATTAGACTCTATCAGGTGGAATTACCCTAGTTGCAAGTATTATTGATATTGCATAGATCATAAAGCTTCATAAATATTTAGATATAGAGTAAAAAAATATTTTAAATAATATGATATAAAATTAATTTTTTTATTCTAGATTTCCTGTTAATTTGGAGCTCTATTTTACTGTTTTTGAAGATTTTTCTTTTCCTTTTGTAACTAACTTTTTTGAGTACGCTATTCCTGAACACTATGAGAAACCTACTTTTGAAGTATTTGAATAGAAAGATCTTCAAGCTCTTTTTATCAAGAATGCAGGTATTTAAATTTTATTTTAATGAATAAAATTTATAAAATAAAATATTTATTTCTAAATAGGATAACATTATACTTTGTTTATATTTACTGCGGCTGTTCATTTATTGCTTAAGCTCATAGGAATTAAGTTTAAAATGATTGGTAAATTTGTTGATAAACTTTTTATTTATGCCATATATCATGAAGTAGTTATGTCTGTCTATTTAGAATTAGTTTTCAACATTCTTTTATAGTTTACTAACATGAGTGTTGAAAAACCAGTAGACTACCTTAATTTAACAGTTATGATGTTAACTATTATTTTTGTTTTACCAATTCCCTTTGCTGCTGCTTACTTGATGAAAAAACATTTTCATAGACTCAAAGAAAAGGATATTGAAGAAAAATTTGGTAGCTTGTATGAAGGATTGAAGCATGAGTATATCTGTATGATATACTTTATCATTTTACATTTTAGAAAAATATTAATTTCTTTGTTGATAATATACTTCTATCAAGTAACTATCGTCTAATGTGCTATTTTGTCTATCATGCCTCTACTTCTGTTAGCTTTTGTTATTAAAAAACAGCCTTTTCAACATAAAAAGGAGAACATCAAAATGATAATTTAAGAAATATGTTTTTCAATTTGCTGCTTTTTATTTATTGGATTAAAATCTATGGATGGCTCACTTGAAGAAAATAGAATCTAAATTAGTTGGGCAATTATTACATTCTTTACAATAATACTTCTTCTCCATTTTTATTTTAGCATGAGAGAAATCTATTATGTTATCCTTAAAAAACCTACACAATTTATGTAAAATAATTACAAAAATTATTTTATTTTATTTATCTATATTTTATGAATCTAGATTTGTTATAATTGTTAAATTTTGCTAGAAGCTCAGAAATCAACCAAAAAAAGTATCTCCATAATCAACAATATCAAGTAAAAAGGATAATTAGGACTAAATTTTTGAAAAATAAAACTTATAGAAATCGATAATCTCATGTAATAATAGTTATAGTAAAAAAAGCAGCATAGAGTAGTAATTAAATATCAATAACTAAGAATATAAAAAAAATTATAGTAAGGAGGATGCTGCAAGTATTGAAAATTATTGCATGATTGATTAAGCTAAACAGAAAACAGCAAATATTATTTCAAATAATCAAATATCTTGTTAAGATTTTTCTTAAGTAAATACATTTAGAGAATTACAGTTTTAGATGGCAGAGGATGCTGCTTAAAAAATAGAAAATTTAGTTCAGGATGCTCCTTAAAAAATAGAAAATTTAGTTTAGGATGCTCCTTAAAAAATAGAAAATTTTATTTAAATACCTTTTGGCAGAAGAATACCAAGAGCTTTTACATACAAAAATCTTTTTAAAAATTAAGAAAGCGGGTTTTAATCTCCAAATACTAATAGAAATAGCACTAGATTTACAGAGTTTCCATCAACTTTATTAGCACAGTAAAGTTCATGTGATGTTTCTTTTAGTAATAAGATCTTAGCAAATAATAATTAACCTTTAATAGATAGTCCAAGCGACAGTGCTAGGCAGATATATAAGTCAAAATACTCAAATATAATTTACCTAAATAACTCTCCTAAAAAGAATTAAGATAGTGAAAAAATAATAGAAAATGAAGATGACTTTAATAATACAAATTAAATATAAATCCAAAAATACATACGAAGATAAGAAAATAAACAAAATTCTTTTCTTAAAATATAAAACTCAAATGTAAATACTAATAATTAAAAAATCTAATAAATAGAAACTGTCCCATATCAAATATAATAAGAACAAAATTCAAAAGAATTTAAACATGATACTCTGTAAGATTTATAAATATAGGATCTTTAATAATAGAAAAATTCTGATGATGATAACACCATTCAGTAATAAATAAAAAGTGGATTAGTTATCAAAAGCCTTAAAAGAATATCTGTATAAGAAAATAATTTATAGTAATCGAATTCAATAGAGAACCAAAACCTTGAATATAAAGATTAGTCAGAGAAAATAACAAGTTTAGAAAAATTAAATTAAAAAATGAATTTAAATAAAGATAATTAATCTATAAAACTTGCAGAAGAAGATGACTTTGATTAAAATTTCTCAATAATTTAATCAAGTAAATCTATATTTTTTAGGTCTAAAAACTAATCTTAGACAGGAGTAGTAACATCAGGATATTCTAAATTTCACTAAAAAGGCAAGAATAACACTATACTAGTAGGTTAATAGTGAAAATAAATCTTTTCATATTTTTAAATAAATTTAAGTTAATTTATCTAAAATTGAAATATTTTACTTTCATAAACTTAAAATTTATATTAATTCAATGATAAAATACAATTAAAATATTTTTTAAATTAAATAAATATTCAATTTAAAAAATAAATCTTTAACCTTAAACTTATATTTTTTATTTTAACTTTAATATTTTATAATTCATAATCTAATCTCTTGTTAATAATTGTATATAATTAAATAAATTAATAATTAAATAAATAAATAAAAAATTAAGTTAAAAATTAGTTAATTATCATTTTTTTAAATTATATTTTTAAATTTTTAATAAATAAATGTTTGGTTTTATTATTATTTAAAAACTTCTTTTCTTAATTCTTAAAAAGTAGTTAAATTTCTTTTTTTCTTCAATAGAATATATTACTTGCTTTATTTAGCTTTATTTGCAATAATTAGTATATAAATTTTTATTTAATATTTTAACAAAATGATTAAAACAAAAAAATATTTATAATTATTCAAATAGAAGATTTATAACATGAGTTAGTTAAAAGTGTAAAGTAAGTTATTCTAAAATGAATTAAATAATATAGAATAATAATTTACATAAGTAGAAAATTATAAATAAAAGTATTGGTCTAATTTGATTAAATCTAATAAATTAAATTTTGAGTAAACAAAGAATTGTAATCTCATAAATTCATAGAATCTATTTTTAATTAAATTTACTCAATTTTAAGCTTTACTGAAAGATTATCATATATTTACAAATATTGATTTTTTTTTTTGTTGAAAGATTTTTAAAATTTAGTGGCAAAAATATGAAATTTAAGCAATAAGCAATTGAAAATAGGATAAGTTAGTTAGTTAGTTAATTGAACAAACAATTAACAAATATATACAATTTTTAAATTTAAAGGTTAATAATTAAATTGAAATATCATCAAACTAATATTTAAGGGATGAAATTTAAGAATTCATTTTCTTTTCCAATAATAAATGAGCAGTGGCCTTCATTAAAAAGTGTTATAGTGACATTTTATGCATTTACTAATTATTCTTTTAAATAGTAGATATCTTCTAAGGGTGTAATAATATCTTGAGTTCCTGCAAGAATGTGGATTTTATTATTAATATTGCTTAAAGCGTATTCTGGAACTTATGTAGAGTTGTACATAGCAAAGTTCTTTTCAGCACCATAATCAAATTTTTAGAATTTTTTAGATTTCATTAATTAATTAAAGTGAATATAAGCTTTTGTGCTTGTTCCTGCAGGATAGTGGTACATTAATTTATAGAATAAATCATGATTAATTGGAGATTCGAAGTTATCAGTTGTGATTCCTACGGAGAATTCACAGATGTAGGGGATAGCTCTGCATAAATAATAATTAAATGCATTCATCTATAGGAATTTGTGTAAACCAGCTTACTAGAAAAAGCTTAGAACGTCTACTTTTTAGATAAAATCAGAGACAGGAGATGTACCATGTAAGATAAGAGCAGCAGGTGTCATTAATACAACATTTTCGAAGTAACTACTAGGTACAGACTTATCAGATAAAGCAGCTAAGATAATAGTACAACCTTATGAATGTCCTATGTAGTTTAATTTAATTTATTCATTTTATTCTATAGTTTATTATTAATTTTATGCTTATTAATTATATATTTTATTTAAAATATAATTGGCAACAGCAGGAACATCGTATTTAGCCATATCTTAAAAGCTGAAGTCCCAATATTCACTTTATTCTATAGAATAAATCTTGTGTTGATATGAATATTTATTTCCTCTGGAATTCATGATAAAAATATCATAGCCACTTCTAGCTAAGAAGTAAGCTAAACTTTTTTCTTCTACATTTCTGTTAAATGTATCTGAGCTACCACCTAGTCCATGTCCCATTAAAATTGGGTTTTTCTTCTATAATTATTATAAAGTCTCCATATTAATGCTTGTTTCATTATTATTAAAGTTCTGAGAGGTTTCTAACTCAGAATTATTTTTAGCTCTAACTCTGTGAATGCTTATGATGAAACCATCTTCGGTTTCAACAAAATGTTCTTCAAAATTATATCCTAATTTAATAGAACGAGTTTGAAAATCTTCAAAATCACTCATATCACCATCCTTGTAGATGACTATAAGAATTATATAGGCAATAAATAAGCCAATAATTTGCAATTTAGCAGTTTTGTTGGACATTTAGAATATTTAATATATGTTAAGATGTATAATTGATTAATTGCTTTGTTATTTTTTATGTTTTACTTTTTATTATTAGATAAATAATTACTAAATTTTAGTCTTAGCTTCTGACAGATTTAATTAAATCTTTTTTTAAAATCTAGATTATTTATTTAATTATTTTGGCTAAATTAGAAATAAATGTTAATTTATTTTAAAATAATGATGCCTTATAAATTGTAAACTAGGCTAAATCTACTTCTTTTTCTACTTTTAATATGAAATTTTTATAAAATGACGAGTTAAAAGTATTGATTTGCATTTTAATTAATTCTCAGATTATTCTAAATTCTTTCTAATTTAGTAATAATATTGTGATTTAATTAGAGCGTCATGTAAATTACTTATCTCATCATCTTTCTCCTGTATAATAAACACTTCGTAATACTTAATCTCAAGGTATAGACAGCTATTTTAAAAATTAATTTCTAAGTAATCAAATCATTTAACTAATATTAATAATTATTCAAAATTTTAATTACAACTAAAGTAAAATTTTATTTTCGATTTAGTATCAAAAATAGTTCTGAATGCAAACAACATATATTAAAAATTTCTTCAAATATAAATATAACAATTAATATAAACTCTTTTATGGTATTCTTCTAAAATTAATACAGCAAAAAATTTAATAATAATCCAAACATTTATTTTCAAAATAAAATATTTTTTTGAATAAATATATTACAAAATTTAATAAATAAATATAAAATAATTATAATATTTGCTTAATTTTTAACAAGTTTTTAATATTTATCAAAGCAAATAAATATAAACTGTAAAATTATAATTTACAATTTGATTATTTTCATGCTGTATTAAGTAATCTAAATCTTAAAAAGCTTTTGATATCTAATAAAATAAAATATAAGCATACAAATGATCAGTTTATATTAATTTTAAATTTTAATAAAAAACCCAAAAAGTTATAAATAATAAAATTAGTGAATCAAATATTTAAATAGACTTTTATTTCATATTTAATTTATATATTATTTTATTACATTCAAAAAACAATTAAGTAATTCAAGCTATATTTAATCTATCTCTTAACTTTTTTTAGTTATTAATATTTATTTACTGATTTTAAATTCTATTCTTATAAATGCATTATATAATTTTTTAAAAATTGGATATTATCTCAAAAATTTTCAACTATTAATTTTAATAAGAAAAATCAAAAAATATTTAATAATATTCATTATTAATATAATCTATTTCATCATTAATTAAGAGCTCTGCTACTCATAATTATAAATATCCAGATTTTTTAATAAATTTTTTTTTAGTATTTAATTTACATATTATAAATTTATTTATATTTGAGGAGTTAGAGTATTTTAGAACTATTTCCATAAAAATTTTATTATTATGTCAAGATTAATTTTTAAAAATAAAACTTTGATATATTTATTAATTATTATAAAAATGTTTCTATGTTTTTATATTTTTTAAAAAATCTTTATTAGTAGTTTAAATATATTTTAATATAAATATTTTAGTTTAATAAAAATTATATTTATTTATGAAAATATGTGTATAACTGACTGATTGAGGGTATCTTTTTTATTATGATAATAATTTCAAATTGATTATAGGATACTCAGATTTATGTAAATTTATAGATGAATAAATTATTTAAAAAACTTAAGATACTATAATATTTTAAAAATATTTTGTTTATTTTTAAAAGATTAAATTTACTTAAAATCAATTATTATTTATTATTTTTTCTTGAAATATAGGATTAAATATAAAATTTATTTAAAAATTTTTGTATTTTATATGTAAAATCTCCTTAAATATTTAAATAAATTTTATTCTTGCAAAAAAATATTTCAAAGTAAAGAAAGTTAAGTCTTTTTTAAATTTTCTAAATTTACTATTTAAAAATAGAAAAAAAGTTAAGTCATTTGATTAAAAGGTATTTTTAACTAAAGATAATAAATTGTTAAGCCCAGCAATCCAACAGGTTATTTTTTAACTTCTAAAGAAATTATAAATGAAAATAAATAAAAGACTTTTATTGTACAAAATTATATTTTATTAAAATATTTTTTTATTCTATTAAATTAATTTTAAATTTTATATAATTATAATTGCGAAAAATTAATAAAATTTTAATTGCCTTTTCAAATTGGATTTATCTAAATATTTAGATAAGATTTCTTTAAGCGCTTATTTAATTTAATTGATAATATCCATAAATAAATAAATCCTTTTAAGTATAATTGATAATTTTACTTTCTAATTATACCCATCCAATAATTATATTCTAAAAGATTTTTTATTAATATTTTTGTTACCTCCTTAAGAAAATTAAATTAGTGGTAAAAGCAATTTGTAAAATTTAGACTTTTGAAAATAATAATTATAGATTACAGAAATCCAAAACAGAAAAGATTCATGCACCTTCTTATTAAAAAGTTTGCTTGTATTATTTCTATCAAAAAAAATCTAAAATATTTAATTAAATCAATTGAATAGAAAATTAAGAAAGAAAGTAATAATAGATAGAGAGATAAAAAGATAGATGTTATCAGCATTATAAATGTATTTTTAGCTACAAATTATTGTTATTGTTATTATTATGAACTAAGTATAGGGTATTCATTTTAATTACATGATGTATATCCTGAATATAAGCAAATTTAATATAATTTTTTTAAATTAGGAAGATTGCTCACAGTGGTCCAAAATGAATAGTACAATAAGTTCACTTAATCTATAAATTTATCCAATCCATAAAATTATTGGGTAAAAAAGCCAATTCCGTTTAGTGATTCAGTTCAACTGAGTGTTTAATGTGTTAAGAATAGAGATTGGAATCCTGAATTCTTGATTTTATAAAAGGATGAAACTTTAATAAAGTATTTAAACACTCATTACTATTCTAATAGCACTAATCACTTCCAAATGATTATAAATGCCAAAATTCTACTTATAGATGTTACTTAGAAAGACTTCACTCTCCAAGTTAAAAGCGGTGATATTATCAAGAAAATTTCAAATTTGATAGGCTCTGATTCTCAATATTGCTATGAGTACCATCAATTTAAAACTGATTGCAAGTAAGTATTTAATAGTCTTTATTAATAGATTAGGTTATTCACTTTCTTCTTAAATCTTGAAAATATCAAAATCCATTTGGTTTTTCATTTAGAAAATTAAGTAACAATTAAAACTCTATTATTTAAAAATAGTGATTACTGTGCAAGCTCTGCATATGACTCTTACGTGAATTTGACTGTTGGTTTTGAAATGCACACTGACCCATTAATTGTAATTTTAAAAATTTGTCAAATATATTTGCGATTTGTTAAGATTTTATTTAAAATTTAAGCTAGCCTTACTATTTCATATTTATCAGATTTTCTTTTCTAAAAATTATAGCTTTATTTAATAAATATTTATAAAGCTTTTGTAATAAAAAATTAAAACTTGATTTTGACAATTGCTCAATCCATTATTTTTAATTTTAAGAAATTAGAATTCTCTTCTGAAAATTTGCAAGAAGGCTAGTTTATTGGTATACACTCGTTGAGTATATAAGTAGACTTATGTGATGAAAATTGTTTAAAGTGCAGTGGAAGCCCAGATAAATGCTCAATATGCAAGGAGAGTTCTCACTATTTAGATATTTCTACTCATAAATGCGTATAAAACTGTAGTTTAGGATAATTTGAAGATACTGATTAGGCAAATCCATCACAAAAAGTTTGTAGACCATGTATTTTCTAGAATTGCCTAAAATGTGAGAGCACTCAATGCACATAATGTTAGTAGGGTTATCATTTTGATTTTTAAGAAAACAAATGTGTTTTTTGCCAATAATCTTGTGATATTTGTGCAGACACTTCCACTTGCTCTCAATGTATCAAAGGATTTTATTTAAATTAAGGTATTTGCTAAAAATGTTAGTCAGGATGTCTCGATTGTAAATCTGAAAACTTTTGTAATGCTTGCTCGTAGAATTATTATTTAAACAATAATTAATGCTAAAAGTGCTTACCTTTTTGCTAAGATTGCTAAGATGGATAAACATGCAAATAATGTTTACCTGGTTATCTATGTAAATTCTATTTAACATATTTTTAAATATCTTTATTTTTTAAAGAACCTATCTTTTCTTATTGGCAAATCATAAAACAAAAATTCTAAATTTAAAAAATAAATAAATTAGCTTTTCAATTAAGTCTACAAATTAAAAGCCTATTTTAATCTAATTTCTTTTTAATCATAAGTTAAGAAAAGAATAGACTCTATATTGAGTGATGAATGTGTAATTGAGTGTGGTTAGAGTTTCTTCCCATCTAATGACAATAAAACATGCATTTATTAAGATGACTCTTAATGTGAGGAATCGATTGATAAAATTAATGGATGCTAAAATAAAAAATGTAGGATCTTAGGTTCAAATATTTTTGCGAACTACAAAAAAGAATGTATTTTAAACTGTCCTCAAGGATATTTTAAAAATAAAATAAGTGAAGATAGATATTCATGTGTCTAATGTCCTTAAAACTGCTCAAGCTGTGTATCTATGAATGAATGCACAGAATGTGCTGATTAATATTTTTTATAGAAAAATTTTTAGAATACACTATGTTAAAAGTGCCCTGAATGTAATTAACTTTTATATTTCAATATTTATTTTTATACTTAATTACTCATTTAATAATTTAGAGTGCAATAGTTGTACTTAAGAAAACTAATGTACAAGCTGTAAGGATGGTTATTTTCTTGATAATAACTAGTGTCTTAAGGTTTGTAGTGGATCTAAATATGGAAAAGATAATAAATGCTTTGATTGTAATTTAGTCCACTGCTCTAAATGCTTTAGTAGTGATGTTTGTGAAATATGTGAAACTGATTTTGTTGAAATAGATGGTTAGTGCTTATAAAAATGTCATAATGGAGAATATAGAGAAGGTAATAATCCTTATTGTTCTAAATGCCTAAAAAATTGTATAGATTGTACAAGTGGTACTTAATGCAATAGTTGTAAAAGTGGATTTTATTTAGCAAATAATTTTTGTAAGCCTTGTGATAGTTCGTGCGAAACTTGCTCAGGCCCATTACCTTATCAATGTCAAACTTGTGATGAGAAAAAAAATTTATTTCTTTTCTAAAATAGCTGCATTTCTTAATGCCCTGATGGATATTACCAATCAGGAAATAAATTATGTTAGTCTTGTTCCAGTAAAGGTTGTGCAAAGTGTTCTTAAATTAACTAGTGTTCTTTATGCAAATCTAGTTCTGATTTTTTGAAAAACGATAAAGAATGCACTCAAATATGCCCAATAGACCATTAAATCTTTATTGATGAGAATAATATTTTAAACTGCTATAAAATAGAATGTGAATATGGTAAGTAATAGAATTAAAAGAAATGTGAAGAGATTTGTGGAGATGGAATTGTTTAAAATTAGGAATGTGATGATGGTAACTTATAAAATGGTGATGGATGCAATGATAAATGTTAAATTGAACCTTAATTTGAATGCTCTTAAACTAATATTAATCTTCCATCTATTTGCAAATTTGCTTTAGAATATCATTTATTAGATCAGGGAATAGAGAACTCATTTGTAATTTAATTTAATACAAGCGTTGATTTATTAAAAGAGGATATTTTCGATCTGTAAATAGAATCTCTCAATAAAGATGATTTTAGTTACTCAATTGGTACTTCTTTGTCAAAATAAAACCAAGTAGTAGTGAATTTAAATTTCAAAGTTTTAGTGCCACCATAAATATAACTTATTGTTAAAAATTAATTTGTTGAAGATAGCTATATCAGACTGATTGAATTTAATGAAAATATTGAGTTTGTATTAAGAGAATAATAAAATGCTATAATAATTAAGAGCTAATACAACCACACTAAAGATGAAACAAGAGCATCTAAAGTTATAGAAATTTTAGCCAAAATATTTTGTACTTTAATTATGATTTCCTTCATACCATTAGTAATTAATTAATTAATCAATCAATAATTACTTGAATTTAATTAAAAATTTTTAAAATAAATTTATAAAAATAGGTTTTTCTTGGTAATTCTAATCTCTTAGTTAGTATAGTTGATGCTTTATAGATAATTTAATTTCACTCTTTTATAGATATTAAGTAAGATTAATTTAAATTCGAAAAGTTTAATAGTAAAATATTAATTTAGGTACCCATTAGTTTTATAGGAGTTTTTGAAAGTTTTCTCAGTGTTCGATTTTAAGATATTTAAAAATATTTTCTCTGTATTAATTCCTAATAGCTTGGATAGATACTCATACGATTCTTTTGAAAGAAATAATAGAAAATCCATTTATCTTTTAAATACAGGTAATTAATTAATTAATTAATTGATTTTATGAAAAATAAATCCTTTATGATTAATTTAACTATTAAATAGGATAATACTACACTTTATTTGCTTTGATTATTTTCCTACATTGTGTTTTTAAATTAATTGGGAAAAAGTATTCTCAAGTAAAGAAGTCTGCTGATAGAATATTTTAATATAAAATTTACTATGAATTTCTTGCTTTAGCTTATTTTCATATTGTGTTTTATACTTTTTTACAATGGACAAATATGCAAACAGAACTCTAGATAGAATATTTCAATTAAATTTTGATGTTTTTGACATTCATTATTGTGTTTCCAACACCTATTATGGGAATAATATTTATTAATAAGTATTACACAAAACTAACTGAAAGTAGCGTTTAAGAAAAGTTTGGATCTGTTTGGTAGGGCTTAAAAGAGGATCTATAGTCTAAAATATACTTTGCTTATGTTGGTGTAAAAAAAATAATTTATTGTCTGATATTTATCTTCATGAATAAAATAACAATTATCTAATGCGCCTTTTTAATTATTCCACCAACAATTTTTATTGCCTTCATAATTATGAAAAAACCATTTTTAAACAAAGCTGAGAATTTTAAGCAAATATTTTAAGAAACAATTTTTATTTTAGCAGCTATACTTTTAATTATTTTGAAAGCCAGTGATGGTTAAAAAGAATAAATTAGAAACATCTATTCTAGTTTAGTAATCGTATTGTTCTTTGGTTTACTTATTTGCCACTCACATTTTGTCATGGTTGAAATCAACAACCAATTCCTTAAAAAAATAATAAAATTAATGTAAAATATTAATTAAAAACTTTAAATTTAATTTTAAAAACAATTATTTTTATCAATTATAGAACACTCAAAGTCAAAGAAGCCTTTAAAAAATCTTAAGATAGATACTTAGTTAAATAATAAAATTAAAATAAAAACCATAAAAAAACAAAAAAAAGAAAATAGTAGAATAAAAAAATATTATCGAAAGATTTTTTGACAAAAAGAACTGAAGATATATAAGATGATTTTAATATGCTACAAAATATTCCTAGATCTTACAATTTCGATTAGATTGACGATAAGGAATTTTTAAATAATTAAAAAAACAAGAATATTTAGGTGCTTAATTCTGTCAACTATGCCTAAAAAAATAGTGAGAATTCATTGAATGGTATCCTTCAAGGTAGAAGCTTAAATGAAATAAACCAATCAAATTATAAGGAATCACAATAATAGTTTGTGTATGAATCATCCCAGTTAATAACATTCATGGATGTCAGCTAATAAGAATCTCAAACAAAAAAAGCTTTTAATAACAACTAATAATAATAGATGGATATAACTATTGAAAAAGCTCTAAATGAAAATTGTACATATTAAACCAACACTAAATTTAAAAGACCAAAAATTAACATCTTAAAATAGCAATTAATAAATGATTAATTATCCTCTTTTGCAGACTTAAATTAGATCAGTTTAGAGGTTGAATCTCCTATTACAAACTAATTTAAACTAGAATCATAAACACACCTTGATTTTAGTTCATATTCTTCAACTTCAATAGGTTCTCCTGATAAATTAATAAAATAGAGTAGCTCTTAAATACTATTATGCTAAGGTTAAATTAATTAGTAATAATCTATTAATGATTCTCCTCATAACCTAAATGATAATTAAAATGATAATGATAATCAAAAAAGTGTTAATGGCAACGATCAAAATTTTATTAACAGCTTAAACAAATTCAGAAATAAAAGAAAACACAATTCCTTGATAAGAAGATCTTTAAGACCAGCTTACGGTGCTAATTTTTTGAAATCACTTTCATTAAAAAATTTAGAATAAAGTGAATCTAATAAAAGCAGTCAGAGTAACCTAGATTAGAATATGAAAGAACAATTTTGAATTTTAGTTTCATAAAAATAGCAACCCTAAGATATTTATCTTTTTCATTTAATTAGATAAGTTGGTAAATAAAAAAAATATCATCCAAATAAAGTTGATATTGCTGTATAATTTGATAAATATTATTAGAGTCAATTTAAAACAAGAATTTTAAATTCCTTGTGTAAGTGTGGTGAGCTGAAGAAATTTTAATTTATTATCATAATCTATATGAAGTAATATGATGAAAATGTATAATTTATAATATTTTTAATTGAATTATTTTAAATTATTTTCAAATATTATGTATAATACTTATTAAAAAAGAATCTAATACCAATTAGAATTTAGTTTGGTCTTTATGTAATTAATATATTTCAAATTTTTAGATATTCAAATAATACCAAATTTAAAAATTATTTAGAGTAAATAATTAATAAATGAACAAATAAATTTTTATAAATTAAAAGCTTGAGATAAATTAATTTACTTACTTACCCGTTGTTAAGTAATTTACCTAAAATAAAATAAAAATCTTTTTTACATGATGGATGATATTAAATAAACATTTTTGTTTTAAGAGTAAGTAAGCAATTATACAGCATGAAAAAAATATATTTTAAGAGATATAAATTTGACTTTTTATGATTTAAATCTAATAAAAATACCCTCTAGATACATGCAAATAATTTATAAAACATAATAACTTAAAAAGAAATAAAAAGTAAAAAATAGTATTTTATTCAAATAGATTATATTAAAAATATTGCAATTATTATATGCATTCTATATAATTATAATAAATATAATTTATTTTATATGTTAATGAAAGCTAGCTATTTAAATTATAATTTTTATTAATATATTTGTAACACACTGAAAAACATTACTTTCCTTACTCAAATTAAGATATTTACGTAACGAATTTACTAAATTTCTTACCAAAAAACAATTTACTAGAGTAATCATTTAAGATCAATAATGATCGTTCTACTATAAAACTTTTTAATTTTTTAAATATTTAATTACTTAAAAGAAAAAAGGAATTATTCGTTTTCATAAAGAAAGAAAGTAATAATAAGTGAAATTATTTAAATCTTTCAAAGTAAATTAATCTTTCTTTAATGAATTTTGATTTTTTTTTTCTCTAGAAACGATAAAATAATCTTTACATCTGATGTGATATTTGGTAAGGTGGGGGGAAAAAGTGTGTAACTTTTTATTCGGTGATTAAAATCAAATGAGAAAATAATCTAAAATAATATAGAAGTATTTCTCAATAATCAGCATTACGTCAATTAAAAATGAAGATTTCTTGTTAGTCTTGTTTATGATGATGACATTTTGGATTTGATTGAAAATCAGTTGAATTTAATTTAATTTACGCATTTATTTGTGGATTTAGTAGGAGTGAAAGAATGCATGAATTTTCAGAAGAAAATACTAAGATATAATTTTTTTATAAGAAAGAATACAAGACTAAAACTATATAAATAAATTTATATAGTAGATATTAATTATTATTTTATATTTTTATATTAATATAGGTTTGTTTAAATATCGAAAGATATTTATTTAAGAAAAGTTTTAAGTAAATTGACAGTTAGAAAGTATGTGAGAGTGTTATTAAATAGTGACAGTGAAATAGTAATAAGTATTTCATTCAAAGAATTAGTCAGCTGCACAGAGACCTATGCAGATAGTAATTATGAGTAAGTAGTAATTTTTGATAAAGCTGGTGAATTTTCCTTTTTCAAAATTGTAACTATTTATTTGAAAATTAAAATAATTAATTAAATTGGTTGGTTGTTTTCGTGGTAAAAAGTATTACTTTTGTTTTATGGAACATATGAGTATAATTATGGTTGAAATAATCACAGAAACTAAGATTGTAATAGCAATACTGTTACTAAACCAGTCATTGATGTTAGAGCCTGTGAAAATAGATAAACCAAATCCTTGTCTATTAATATTGAGAAAATTAAATTGTTTTAAATATATTTTAAATAATAAAAAGAAATAGCTTACTTATAAGAGCTAAAAACTAAAGCAAAACCGAATCCTAGGTATAAATCAAATGCTTGTCCAGCAAAGCATCCAGTTAAAGCCATAACACCATATCCAACTTTGGCAAGTTATGAATTAGTAAAGAAATCTGTTTAAATAATTGTATTAATTAGTCTCAATAAAAAATTAAAATTTATTGCTTTACCTGTAGCAGAGTTTCCTAAGGCTAAAAGAGTCATACCCAAGAAAGTTTTATTCATTGATGTGAGAAGCTAGAAAAACTAATATATAAAATTTAATTAGTTCACTGTGAGTATAAAATGAAAATTTAAATTTAATTTACGTTAATAAAATCTACTAAGACTTAGGCTATAACACTAAGAATTGCAATAGCGACAAATATTGAGCCTAAGGAAAAAAGCCATTGGAAACAAGGAGCTTAGTCTTTCTTGGTAAAGAAGAAAACAATAATTGATAATACAAAAGAAATAGCAAGAAGAAGGTAAGCAACATAAAATCCTTCAACTCCATTAATTTGCATTGTTATACCTAATTATAAATAAAGTAAACACTTAAATAGGATTCTATACTAAATAATAGATTAATTTAAAAATAGGCAATCAAAATAGAAAAAAATAAAAAATTGTCTAAATTCTGTTTTAATGAAAAATAGTGTAAAGTTAGGGAAAAATAGTTGTTATAAATCTAAAAACGGATTTTTTGAATTTAAACAGTTTTTTTTAGAAAGTAGATTTATTTGTGCTTAAAAAAAATTAAATGATCCTTTGTTTGCCTGTTCTTTAATCAGTGAAATGAAAGTATAAAGCTTAAGTATATATGTATAGTAGTTTGTAAATAAAGATAAATAATTTACCTCCAAAGCAGAGGAGGAACACGATTGGAGAAGTGTAGCAACAAACAATCGCTCTTATTTTATTCCATTAAGAATCTTCAGCTGGAGGGATGATGAAGTATCTAATAAGGTCAATAGGAATTTCAGCTAAAGCTAAGATTTTTTCAGGGACAGACATTTCATGAAGCTTTTACTTGAAGTTTTCGTACTTTTCAGTCATGCTATCTTTGTTATTAGAGTCATTAGATGATTTACTACTTGATTCATCGTCAGCTTACTCATAAGTTTGAGCTTAATTTTAAGTATCGCATCTCTTTAGAGTATCAAAAGCTTCAGTGTTCTACTATTATTTTTACTATTAACAAACGTAATATTAATTATTTCATTCGTTTAATAATTTAAATAAAACACATCAAAAATAAATAATATTTACTTATTCTTCTAAAGAAGATTTTTTGCTTCTAATCCCATTTTCTTCATCTTCTTCTTAACTATTCAATTTGTAAAAGCGGTTATAAATTTTAATTTTCATTAAATAATCTTACTCTTCGGGGATAATTATCATGGGGATGCTTGGAACTTTGTTTTCTTGATCCTTCATGTCTTAATCGTTCGACTCTTTTAGATCGCAAAGAGGGAGATCTGATTATCTAAATTCAGCAAGAGTTGTTTGTCTATGCATCATAGCCATGGGGTCATTTCTCATTTATTCAATTTACATTTCGATTTGAATGTCATCTATCTTTTAAGCTGTATAAATTGTTAAAGTGTTGATGGAATTAGAGGAGAAAAAATTACTTTGCATTGTTTCCATTTTTCTGATAGTTTATTGTTGCTTAGTGCTATCCTCTGATTCTTTTTTTTGTGGATTAGTCTTATCTTAATAGACTACAACTAGCAAGAATCTAATTGCATTTAAAACAAAATATTTGTTAACAAACATGGAACGTGATGTATAAATTATATTAATTACATTATGTAGATACTTATAAAACCAATTGACATGCTTAAAGTTACTTCACCTATTATTGTGTAGATGAGAATAACCAAACATCCAATTAAATAGAATAGTTGATCTCTAAAAAAAGTTCTAGATTGAATCTTTGAAATTAATAAAAACAAAATAAATTAATTAATTAATTTGCTATACATCCAACAATAATTAAAATTAATCATTGTTCTTCTATTTTATTTCAAAATAATTTCTCCCTCCCTCCATCCCCTCTCATTTTTTCATAAGAGAATTTGCAATACAGACATAAAATATTTTAGCAATAAATTCATATATATTAATAGCTCACGTATCGATTATATAAATACTTAAAAGTAAGAGTACTTAATTGTAATGCAAGTATAGTATTTTTAGAAAAAATTATCTTCATTTTTTTCAAATCAAATCAATTTTATTTTATGTATGAAAGAATTTTATTTAAAAATGCTTTGTTAGATATTTGCTAAAAGGTGTAAATAAAAATCAATTATTTTGTTTTGTAGCATTGTGTTATTTATTATCCTTCATTTATTTATTGATTAGATTGAAGTTGGCTATTTCAAAATAAATATTCATTTTTCGTGAATAGTGCATTTATTAATAATACATAATATGTTTGAATTAAATTCATTGAAATGCATGAAATATTCTAAATAAGTTATAGAGTCTTAATGAAAAAAATAATCAATTAGCTTTTCAGAATTTATGAAATAATTGAAAGTATAAAGAGGAGAAAAATAAAATATTAAATTAATTAGGGAAAAGAAAATGGATTTAAATTTTTCTTCTATTTTTATTTGAATTTGTCTCAGCTTATTCTTGTTACTTTTAGGATTTTAAAATATTCACAAAGTAAAGTGAATAGTAAAGGAAGAAAGAAAAAAAGAAAGTTAGATTGATAAATAGATTATTTATTTGTGTATAAATATAAAGATAAATATATATCCCTCAAATTAAACCAATAAAATCCCCCTTAATACTACTAAACAATAATAGAAGTAATAACAAATAGTACAAAGATATTTCAACAACAAATAAAATGACAAATGAAGAATTACCTTGATTTAACCGGCGTTCTGAATACAATTAGCAAGAGTGTAAGTTGTCACAAATAGCCCTGCGCCAAATATAGATCCAACTGCTATAGAAATAGAATCATCTCCACTGTTTCCTGCAATAATTGCCGTGATCACATCAGGACCACCATTTCCTAAGGCAAGTAATGTTACGCCTGCCAAGGTTTGAGAGAGTCTAAAGCACTTAGCTAGCTTAGCTAATGAAGGGGAAAGGTAGTATTCAGATGTTTAGCTTAGTAAACGGAAGGAAATAAATGGAACCAATATCTAAAGTAAAGCAAAATAAATAAATAAATAATTAATTATAATAGAATGCGCATAATATAAAATATATACTGTAAGAAGGTCTAAAACAAGAATATTTTAATTGACTTAGCAATAGTAAAAGTAAGAAAATCTTATCATTTACTCAACATTGCAATGCTGATCTGCGTAAGCACAGATATCTTGCTATTGCAATGCCTGTATTTTTTTAAAAGTACACATTTAAGATTAGTCTGCCATTTTAATTTTTTATTTATTTTGTTTTTCTTTTTTTTAAATTCTCTCTATTTGTTTTTTTTTTTTTCAATTTTGTTAATTAATTTTTTTTTTTTTTAATTTTAATTTTTGATGAGCGCACATTGAGTATTTTTGAATCGCACTTTAATATTATGTCTATATAGTAGGCGTTATTTAGTTTTAGCTGATGTTTTCCTAACAATTTCTTACTTCTGTTCTACAACGGGTTGGTAACTAATTTAAACTAAGAGGCTTGTTTTTTTTGAATCCAAAATAAATTTTCAATAAAGAGATTGATAAGAATTCATCTTCATATTTAAATATTGAAAAAATAAATAAATAAGTAAGTAAGAATTCAATTTGAAAATTGTTTATTACGCAATAAAACGCTATAGAAGTATATTAATTATGTATTATTTGCCTATCATCTATTTTATTTTTTACATAAAAATATTAATTGTACTCAATTAGAAAACTTAGATTTATTTATGAATTTTACTCTTCAGTAATCTACAATTATTCGATTTCAATAACACTGCATAATCAATTATAGCATTTTAAAAAAATTAATTTTTTTTTGAATATTAAACCATATATGGAAAAGACAAATAAATATACTTAAAAAAGATAAAACATAATACCTAGAATTTATTTATTATTTAATATAATATAGCAATTTTCAAAAAAGCTGAAAGCTTTCAATAATATTATTGCATAGTACATGGTCTAGAACTAAATGATTTGTGTATTAAGATAAGCATTTATAGTAAGTTAAGCAAACATTTTTCTTATTTCTTACTCTATTCCAACAAATAATACTGTAGCATTAAAAATTATCTCAATTTTAAGATAAGATAAGAACAATTATTTTTAAGATATCTTGGAATTTTGGAAGGATTAACAAAAATCTATATCGTGTTTTTAATTTATTAAATTTACAAAACAATCAATTTCAACTAATAAGCTTTTCGTATGGGCTTCAACAAAGAAAGCATGATTAATTCTATTTAAACCCAGATCTATCAGTAAAAGTCCTGTTTATATTTTATTATTTGAATTTCATTTTTATTTAAAGTATTTTAATATAGGTTTGTATAAAGATAAAAGGATATCTTTTAGATACACGAAAGATTAAATTAAAATAATAGAAATTTATTAAGCTTAATTTATACTTTTACAGGATTTATCTCAGCTTTAAAGTATTAATTAGCTTGTTTAATAATTAATCTAAAAAAAGGTTGGTATTAAAAAAAAATAATTTCTTATTTAAAGTTAAACAAAATATTTTAAATAATTCATTAAAGCTAAAGCTTAAACAAAAAATTTAAGAAAAAATAAATAATAAAAAGAAAAAATACTAAGTTTATTTTATGATTTATACTTTGATATTTACTAGTACTTTTGAAGAACTTATGCTTAATTTTTAAATGATATAAGGCTTGAACTATGTCTTCTATTACCAATTTTATGTATTAATATAAACTAATATACTTATCATTTAATAATTATTCATTGAAGTATTTCTTATTACTTAAATTAGCAAAAAATATGATTTAATGTAACTAACCATACGAAGTATTCTAAGTAGCATAACTGTTAAAAAGTAAAATAAATGAACTTTTTTTCTTTATAAAAGAGGATAGATGTTATTAATCCTTTATCAAAGCAAATTATTGTTTTATTATAATATATTTAAAATTTACATTGAAAGAAAATGAGAAAAATTATATTTTTTAGTAAAAATACATTCTTAACAAATTTATCCCCTTTGTTAAGCAAAATAATTTGACTATTTTATATATTTTTGAATTTGCATTTAATAAATATTATCCACCAATAATACGATATTTTTTTAAAATTAAGCTTAAAATTATTAAAGTTGGTTACTTACCAAATTTTACTTTTAAAATCATATGGACAAAATAATTCTTATTTTAACAAGTAAAAATTTTGCAATATTATTTTATTTCAAAAAGTAAGTTTCAAAAAAATTATTGAAGATTTTTTTAAAAAATAAATAAAATAAAATAATTAATATTTATATTAAAATAATATTTTGTTTATAAAATTTAATAACTTAGTTGAATTAGTATTAAAGTATCTTATCTGGTATTTATTAATTAATATATAAATATTTTCCTCGACAAAGAGTAAAATTTATGAAAGTTCTAAACATATTTCTGAAATTAAATTAAACTAATTATTATAGTTATTTTAAAAACAAATATATAGTTTGTTATTCAACTCAATTTGATTTTGAAATACTTTTGTAAAATCATTTATTTATTTTTTTGTTTAAAAGCTTTTCATAGTTTATGTAATTTTTAAATAAATTATGTCATCAATTATTTAGATAAAATAGTTTTTTTTAAACATTTACAAAAGTTTAATTTGTCTTTTATTATTAAATGAAATACTAAATATTTATTCTCTTAATTAAATATATTCAAAAGTTATTAAATTTTGAATTGTTTTTTATCTTCTCTAATTATTTTTTAAATTTTAAAAATGCTTTTAAAAGCAATAATAAAATATACACAAATCTAATTAATTATTTTTCATATGCATGATAACTTTAAATAAACAGCATCTCAATATTTTTTTTGCTTTCTTTATCTAAAATTAATTTTTATTATGTATATTAAATAAATATTATAATGATATCACATAATTACCGACTTTTATATTAAAATAATTAATAATTTTTAATTAATTTATTTCAAATAAATGAATTTGTTAAAAATTTATTTAATTACATTTTTATGAATAAAATTGTATTTATTATTTACATTTATTTATTCTTTTATGATAATTAATGGTCAATTCAAATAATTAAAGATTATGATAATTAATTTTTTAATGAAATAATTCATCCAAATAATCTATCTATTTAAAATTGTTTTTCTTAGATGAAAGTCTTAATTTATTATTTAAATAATTTAACTTTTTAATAATATTAGTAAATAATTTATTAATAATTTATTTATCTAAATATTTGACTAGATTAATTATTTAATTTTAAAAATTTGTGATTTAAATATTGAAAAATAATGAGCCTTTTATTAATTTAATTTTTTTTTTTGGTTAATAAATAATTTTTTAAAAAAAATTATTAAAATATTATTATAATTATTTGTCGAATTATATAATTTACTAAATTTTACTTTTTGGGAAAGATAAAATCTTATATCTTATTAAAATTTAACTCGTTAGTATGTTTCACAAATGTTTTAAATTATAAAAAGATAAATATTAAGCATCTTACATTTTTGAATTTTATATGATTGCATAAAATTATTTATATTTAATAAAAATATTTTGTACTTATTAATTTTACTCATTCATTTATTTATTAATTAATTCTACAAAACATTTTTAAATATTAGCTTCTAATAAATATTGATTACTCTTTTGAAAAATTTTAAACTTCTACTTTCTTTTTCTAAATATTTGTAAGTGAAACAAACAAAATAATACATATTTTGTATTAAAATTTTAACTTAGTAAATGTACTAATTCAAATTTGTTTTTTTTTTTAAATTTGTATTGATTTTATTATTTTGTTTGATACGTATGAGATATTAATTATACATTATGTTTATATTCATTTTATTAACTAAAAAAATAATTTGAAACTATTATGTAATAATGAAAGAATAGAATCGAATAACAATCTATTTTTATTTTTTTGTAAATATACAATGTAAATAAATACTCGAAAGAATCTTTCATAATTTAAATTCATCGGAATTAGATTTTTTTGTTTTGAAATAATATTCTGTAAAGAAATAAGTTAATTTACTTTTCTAAATTGATAAATAGTAATGATATTAAATAAGAAGTAATTTTTTTTTTACTGAATATAATACAAAAAAAGATCTTTTAATTATTAATAAGTGATAAATGTATTTTGTAAGTATTGCTTATATCTTTGTTTTTTTAACTCATACACGCTTTTGCCAAGGTAAAAATAATTTTAAAATAGTCATATTCCTATTTAAAATATTATTCTATAGAGATATAATTTCTTTATGAAACTGAATATACACAAAGTAGTAGCTTCTACTCAGACAACACTCAATAATCATATTGGTTAGATTAAACAAATGATTCTTAAGGTTAATAAGTTATCAGCAATGTATTAACAGAGGCTTGTCTAAACTAAAACTAATTAAATATGAATGTTTTGCAATTGTAGGCGAACCATCAGTTGACTAAAGTTATAACTTAAATTCCGCCGCATTATTAACTAATATTAACAGTTAGCTTGCTTTCTGTAGATGTTGATTTCTAATAATTTTATGCAACTATATTTGCTGATACGTTTAGTCAGAACTCAACTTATTTAGGGACTGCTCCTACAGATATGTCATAAATATGTGTAAATCCAACAGACTTAAATTGTGAGTAGCCTATTTATTTAAATTAAAGCTAAATCGATGGAATAGATTATTGTGGTTTATCAAAAAAAGATGTATTTTTTAATATGCAGCTTTAGTTTAATCATAGCTTGCCATAATTGGTAATTAATTGAATATTAATAAAATTATTTTTAAAATGAATTTAAAATTACTTAAATAACTTTCAGATCTAATAAAAACGAATAATAAATATGAAATTTATTAAAAATGCAAAATGAAAAATACCTTGTTTTATTTGACATTAAAAATTGAATAATAAATCAATTAATCGATTCAATTCTATATGAAAATATATTGAATTTTTGTATGATCAGAACTTAACCTAATAAATTAACAAAAATTTTGGCTTACAACTTTAAAAGGAATTTTAATTTATTAATTTAATTATGATCAAATAACAGTTTTCATTTAAAAAAATAAATAGTTCATAATGTATTAAAGAGTCTAATTAACAAGAGAAATTTCATCAAAATTAGAAACCAAATAATTTTTATTAAACAAACAAAGATATTAAAATAAATATTTTAATTTAATTTTATATTGAAACTATCATTTAATATTCTTCATTTCTTAAATATTTTATTTATAACTTAGATGGTCAACATTTCATCAAACATATTTGATTAAAATTAATAATTAGCCGTTAAATCAGTATAACTTTAATACTTCCCTTGCTAACAGGGATGTTAAGTATGCGTTAATACTAGTTCAAACTGCACTTAATGTATAGATGGATTATATTTAATGTCTACTAATTTAGCTTGTATTTAATCTTGCCCAACATTTTTCTACCTAAATTCAACTACTAACACATGCCTTCCTTGCGCATAAAACTGCAAATATTGCTAAGATAATACCACTTGCCTAAGCTGTAATTAAGGTTATTTTATTGATAGTAATAATAGTTGTAGTAGATGTGACCCAGATTGTCATACTTGTTAGAATACTTCAAATTTTTGTACTAGCTGTTACAATCAATATTATTTAACATCGGATAACACTTGCAGTTAGTGCGATTCTAGCTGTAGGACTTGTTAAAATACTTCAACATATTGCACTAGTTGTAACAATTAATATTATTTGACATCAAGCAATACTTGTGACTAGTGCTCTCCTCAATGCTTTTCTTGTAAAGAAATGGCTAATAATTGTTTACAATGCAATAATGGTTATAGTGGTATATTAAATTTGTCATTTATATAATTTAAATAGATGTTTAAATAGATTTTTTTATTTTATAGTTTAATACGTAGATAGTCAAAACTTTGTGTGCTAATTATAATGTAACGATGGTTATTTTACTGCATTATATTCAAAGATATGCACTCTTTGTTCTAATAATCTATGTGGCAATTGCATTCCAGATAGTTAAGCAGCTAATAATAATTCAGGATGTATTAACTCAGTTTGTTAACCTGGTTTATATAAATATTAGAATGAATGTAGACCAGATTGTTATGGATAAAGTTAATATGTCCCTGTTATAGATTCTGTATTGGGAGGGATTTGTTAGTATTGCGATTTGTCTGTTTGCAGTTAGTGCATTACAGGTAAGATATGTAAAAAATGCTAAAATTAGTACTATTTGAATTCAAGCAAATGGTGCTCAAAGTGCGATTCAAGTAAACTTAATTTTCTTCACATCATCTTTAAAGTTCATTAAACTCATTCTTAAATCATGGCCAAATAATTTACATAAAAATAATACTTAATAAATTTTAACTTTTTTAGAAGATATCACATTTGGTTATTCAATTTACTTTTTAATAATTTTAGAAAACTTACTTTCCTTATTTTGTTTTTAAATAATTTATTTAAATATTTAATTGTTTTTTATTATTTAGACTGTAATTAATGTACTGGACCTGGTAATTGCCAATAGTGCAATTAAGGATATTTCATGCAGAATGGAGTTTGTGTCGCATCATGCTCTTTAGGGTATTATGTTAATGGATATAATTGCTTGGCTTGCCATCAAGGTTGTGCAAATTGTAATGGTCCTTTATCAAATTAGTGCACAAGTTGTACTAGTAAATATCAATTATTTACTTCAGAATGCTTAATTCGATGCTAATCGGGATATTTTAGGGATATTGATAGAATTTGCAAATAATGTACTACTGGGTGCGATTATTGTACCAATAATTTATATTGCAACACGTGCCTAAAGGGTTTCTTCATCAATTAAAGTACTCAAAAGTGTAGTTCATGTGATCCATAATGCTAATAATGTAACGGACCTAGCTTATAAAATTGTACAGGTTGCTAGAGTGGACTCATTTTATTTAATAGCTAGTGTATCACTAGCTGTCCAAATAATTTTTATCTTGACTCTTAGACAAATTTGTGTTAAAGATGTACAGATCCTAATTGTATGATCTGTAATTAATCTAATTAATGTTCATAGTGTTAAGATTCTAACTAATATTTAGTAGATTTTTAGTCATGTTCTAGTAGTTGCCCATCTAGCCATCAAAATTGGTCAAAAAATAAAACAGATTCTACTGGTTAGCAAATATAAATTAACTATTGTTATTTAATGAATTGCTAAATAGGATATTAATAATAATAAGATCAATGTGTAGAAAAATGTGGAGATGGTTTACTTTTTTATTTACCATGTGATGATGGAAATAATTTGGATGGTGATGGCTGCAATTCTACTTGCTAAATTGAGGATTATTTTAGCTGTGTATACTCATCTAAAGAAATAAAATCTATATGCACTCTTAATTTTAGCTATCAGATATAATTTAATGATTAAAATTAAGTAAAAATAATATAAAATACCTAATTGACCAACTATTAAGAAGCTTATTAAGTGCAAATAGCTGGGTTAAAGAGCTCTCTTTATACATATAACATAAGTCCTAACTCTACAAACTCAAAAGAGCTTATAATATCATTCAATTTTCTTATCTAAGTTCCTACAATTTAAATAGCTACTATCACTATCTATAACAGTAATCTTTAGTTTACTGATCATCCATCAAACATACCTTATTCAATAAGCAATTAGAAATAATCTATTTAATTTGAATCTTCATACGTTCCATCCAAAACAACACAGGAAGTGACATAAGGACTAACTAAAACAACAGAAGTGGTTTCAAAAAGTATTGTTATAACACTGATACCTATGGTACTTTCTTATTTAAAATTTTATTTAAAAAAGATATCAATTTTAAATCATTGAAACTGTTTTCTAAACTTTTTTCCCTTTTTCAAAAGCCACTTCACTATTAACATATTAAAAAACAAAAAATAAATTGGAATATTATTTAATACCTTGCAATGTTTTAATGAAACTAATTACTTTTAATTAACACATTAAATATTAAGCAAAAATTAAATAATTATCTCCTTAAAATAATTTTTTTTCAACAATTTCTTGAAATAAATTCAATAAAGTTATTGTTCAAATAATTTTAATCTTTAGTTAAAAAGAGTAATGTTAATTAAAAGATATTTATTTTTTTTAGAAGTTTATAAATTTTTTTATGATATAAATAAATAGTCAATTTTAGGAAGCATTAATTATGTTACTAAAGTAGTAGATATTTCATAGTTGATATACCTCCACTTATTTATAGATATAAAGTAAATTAAAATCTTAATAAATATTTAATAATAACCTTGAAAAATAGGTATCCTTATTAGACCTAATTGTTCCTTGAAAGCTTTAAAGAATTTGAATTTGAGTTTCTAAATCCCTTTATTTATATGTTTGATGAACATGAAGAGTAAGATTCCTACGATTCATTTAAAGAAAATGATATGAAAGCTACATTTTTGATTAACTCAGGTAAAATTTCTTTAATTTCAAAAACTATTTTGTTAATTTTTTAATGAAATTAAAGGATATCAATTGATGATACTATTTCTATCATTTACTGTACATTAAATTTTAAGACTGATTTTCAGAAAGAATGAGAAATATAAAACTAAAATCTAAAAATTCTTTGTATTTAGATTTTATGCAGAGGTAATTATGTCAATATACACATCTATTTCTTTGTCAATATTTGTCCAATTCACAAATATGAAGTCAAACGATGGTCTGTATATTTTCAACTATTTAGTTACGATAATTTGCATGCTCGTATTTATTCCTCTACCTTTAGCCTACTTCTTTTATATGAAAAGAATATTTCCGAAAAGAAAAGAAGAGTATTACAATTCAATATTTGGATTCTTTTGGTAAGATATGAAAGAAGGAACATACTTTTAAATGTGTTATAACTGCTATCTCCTATTTAGAAAGCTAATATTTACATTTATAATTGTTTATTTTAACTTTAATCCTATATTGTAGTGCATGCTATTATGTATTCCATCTTTAGTCTTGGTTATTTTCGTTTATTTAAAGTAGCCATTTTTGCATAAAATTGATAATTATAAAGAGATAGCATAGGAAATATTCTTAATAAGTGCAGAGATTTCTATTGCTTGCTTAAAACCATATGATGACTATCTTGAATAAGATAGAGAGCTTCATAGTATACCAATATTAACATTTTTCTTACTGATATTTATAGTGAATTTCATGGATACGATTTTAGAAATCGTATAAGCCATAAAATATTTCAAGCTAACTGAAAAGTAAATTTTATTAAGTTTTTTAAATTGAATTAAATAAAAATATTTACAAGTTTAATTTATTATTTTTATGAATTTAATTAAAAATTAATAAATAGGATTAAATAACTTGTCAAAAAACTTAGATAGAAATTCAAAAAAAACTAAATTTCTTCTATTTCTACTTAAGGAAGCATTAAAAAGCAATCATCTGAAATATAAAAGAATGAAAATAATAAAGAAAAACTTTAAAAAAATCAATCTATGTTTGAATATGATGAAAGTGTTAAAAATTAAATGAATGAAAATTTTAAAACTTAGCTAAAGTCGTAAAATACAGGAACACGCATTAAAAGACTTTCAGTTTTTTAGAGTCCTTAAATATTCCCTTCTAATTAAGAACTAACTATGAATACATTCAATCATGATTAAAATTACTTAGAATCAAAAGAGAGAATGTTTGATAAAAGAACTGAACGAAATATAAACAATTATAATCATTATAAGTCTTCAGAATCTATTTATTCTTAAAACAATATCTAAAACAAACAATTTGAGCTAACAAACAATAAAGATATTTAAATAAAAAACCTAAATACAAATGAATGCCATTATGATAATTTAGAAAATTTAATGACTTAAAACTATTGCAAATCAAAATCACAATTTACAATCAATGAAAAATCAAAATCATAACTTACTATCAATGAAAAAGAAGAGTCAATAAAAGAAAATCCAGATTAAAAGCTAACAAAGATACCTACTTATGGTGATGTCTAGAACTTTAAGTTAGAAAAAAGAAATTGTAGCATCATATTAGATTTAGAAAACGAAGATGACTTTAATAAAAGTAAAAATAATGAATAGAAAAATGAAGTAAGTAGTGAAAATAGTAGTGATGATAGTGATACTGATAGTGAAAATGATGATAACCAAAACGTATAAAACGGTCAAAGAGGAGTATAAAAAGATAATGATGTTAAAATAATTCCAATTAACTCAAATCTATTTATAAATTTTAATAACCAAAATTAATTTGATTATCCAATTTTTTCACCAAATCACTCAATAAAAATGGAGATGATTAATGGTGAAAATACAAACAGATCACTATAAATAAATTAAGAAAACTGTGATGAGTAAAATAATTAGTTTTAAAGAAATAACAGAACTAATAAAACATACTTTAACAGCAGAAGAGTTTCAAAATTATATTTATAGCAAAAAGAAGAATATATGAAAAGGAGAAGATCTTAAATATTTGATCCTTCGAGCATTCATTGGAAATGATCAATTTTATTACTTTATTTGCATAAAATTTAGAGCTTAGATTTATTTTAGTTATAAAGTAAAGTACGATCATAAAGTTTATAGTTTAAATGTATATATATAGGTAAAGTTAGCATTAAGAAATTTTGATTAAATTATAAACATTTTAAATTGTAAAGTTAAATTAATTAAATAAAAGACCAAAAGTTCTTTATTTATTCTTTTTCCATATTTTATTTTATAAAAATATTAATTATAATTTTTAAAATATATTTAATTAAAGTTTATATTGAATTTGCAAACTCAAAAAATTAATAATTATTTTTTTATTATTTTAAATTTAATTTACTTATTTTTATTTATAATTTTACAAATACAAATTATTTTATGAAAAAATCCTAACTTACTATTATCAAATCAATTTAATTGAGATATCAAATAATTAAAAAAGCAAGTAAAAAACTTGTGAAAGCAAGTGTATTTGAGGAGCTTATACTAATATCTATAGTACCACATTTGCTAAGACTGTTTAAAAAACTTTGAGCTTAAGGATTTACCGAAGAACATTGTTCTTTTAAGCACTAATTAGACACCTCTCTGATATTTTTTTTAAGGAAGCAAGTTATAGAGCATTATTTGGCAGATTTTATAGCTTATATGCAATCGGTATTTCCTTGTTAACAAAACTATCCCTAGGCTGCTCTATTAAATAAATCTAGTTAACATTTATCAAGTCCATTAAAATCATGAGGCTCGAAAATATCTACACATATAAGTTCTTCCGTTTTAAACCATTGCACTTAAGGATTAGATGGATTGCAAGTTTCTTTAACACATTAAAGTGATTCATATGGTTCATTTTTGCTTTTCTTAAAACATTGCTATTCACATTATTGATAGCTTTTCATTTCATTCCAGCATTCATTATCATTTTATAATTCACAATATTTTCCAGAGTCACGTTATTTAAGGACATATTCTAAACAATTATTTTTAGCATTAATTTAAATTACTGCTATTAAGCAAACAAAAAAAAGAGAAATTATTTTCATTTTTTTATTTTAATTAATTTTCTTTCTTAAAAAATAAATGCTTTTTTCAATTTAACGCTCACACTTTAAAAGGAAAGATTTAATTTTTATTAAAGAAAATTATTTAAATATTAATTTACACTTTTTTGAATAAATTTACCTAATATAAATATAAGTAAATAGCTGATAAGGGTTTAAATTATTTTGAAAACAACAAAAATTTTTTTATCCAATCTAATTATGATAAGATTTTTAATAATGAATTTGAGATTAAGAGATGATAAGAGATTTAATTTTTGCAAAAGACTAAATTATTTCAGCTCAGGTATCTAATTAATTTTTTTATCTATTTTAAAGACCTTATAAAAAAAATAATCGATTTATTTTTAAAGATATTATTTTAATAAAGAAAATTAATGTTATTAGAGTAAAAGAGTATTTATTATTAAACTAATAAATATAAATACATCTTTTCTAAATATATGGATGATCATGGTTTAAGCTATTTAGTAAAAGATAAATTTTTTTAGTCAATATAAGTATAAAATTATTTTTATAAAAGTTAAACTCAGGTTAAGAGATAACCAGTTATTTAATATTTGCTCAATAATAATTTATTTCAGTTCAATTATCTTATAAATTTATTTTAATTTAAACTTCTTTTCTATAAAATAACCAATATTTAAAATTTTAAAGATTTATTTTAAAATACAAAATTAACAAATTATATAAATCAATATTTTCTTGTTTGCAAATCTATAGGCTGTTTATCAAATAAAATTTATTTCCACATAAAATAGTAAGTAGTAGATGTCTCACTTGACTAAAAATAATTCGAATAATTGAGAATTATATTGAGTAAAATTGCATTTGAGTTAGGTTATTAATAAATAAAAAAAATTTGTAATAATAAAGTAAAAAATTTTGGTAACTCGAGTTATTATAAACATAAAATTAATTTAATTTTTAAATAAATTGTTAGAAACATTAAATATAAATTTTACATTATATACTGTAAATGTATTTATATATTCACACACTCCTCCCCCAAAGTTAAAACTAATTTTAGTGGACACCTATCTATATTGGGCAAAATTTTGGATACGGAGAGTGCCCAATTTGATAATTTCTACAGTAAATATATTTTTTTTCTTCAAATTCTGTACTTTGTTATTTTAGATCTTAATTTTTTATTTAATATTATTATAATCAAACTGATATCAATTTTTTAAATTTATGAGATATTATTTCTATGATTTTGGAATCGAAAATTTTAATAATTACCTAAAAAAATTATTTATGATTGAATGTTAGATTACTATTAAAAAATATTTTTTTAAGATTTTTTGCGAGGAATTAAAGTTTTATTAAAAATTCATACATTAATTTACAAAATTTAATTTCATAAATAAAAATATATTAGATTAATGTAAAGCATTTTATAAACTTCGATAGAAAGATAGATATTGGTTGATCTTTTTTAATTAGAATAGCAAAAGCCTTAGATTTATTTAATCTAGATACTTTACAATACTCCCTTATATTATACAAATAATTAAGGAAATAGACAATACTAAACATTTTTTGACATATTATCTTAAAATAAAATTAGGTAAATTGAAAATTTTAATATAAATTAAGGAAATATACGATACTAAACATTTTTTGACATATTATTTATCTTAAAATAAAATAGAAAAATTCAAAATTTTAATATAAATTTAAATAGATTGAATTAATTTTTAAAAAAATCTAAATAATTATTCTCAATATAATTTATTTTGGATTATATAGCTTAAATTAAACAAAAACTTTTTTCTAATCTACATATGTATGTAATTTAACAAGCTAATTTTATGATAATATATTAAGTTAATGCTAAGCAAAATATACTTCTTACTTGATTTAAAATTCCTACTATTCCATGCAAATTATTGTAAGGTAAAATACTAGTAAATTTAAATCTAAAAAATGTTTGATATATTTTAAATTAAAATAGCAAAAACCATATATTTTATCTAGATGCTACTCAAATTACTTTACATTTTGTAAATAATTTATGAATTGCAGATTATTAGAAATATTTTGATCAATTATTTATCTTAAAATAAAATTAGGTAAAAATATTTATTTAAATAAGATAAATAAACAAACTTGAATAAATTAATTGAAATTAATTAATCAAAAAATATTCTAAATAATTATTTTCAGATAAAATGGAAGATTATATTACTTAAGTTAAATAAAGACCTTTAAAAAATGTAATAAAAATATAAAAATAAAATATTGAAATGAGATTAACTCACATACAAGACAATGAGAAACTATTTTCAATAGTAATGAAGAATTAGTAATATTTGAGCAAAACATTACCCTGGGCTAAGAATTATAAATCAATAGATGATGCCACAACATTTTTAAATCTTATGCAGAAAGCACATGAAAATTATGATTAAATAACATACCTTATTTGGGATAAAAATGAAATTATAGGTTCAATTGGTTACATATTAAGGCTCGAGAATAAAGAAGCAGATATTGGCTACTGGTTGGATTAAGATCAATGTGGTAAAGGAATTATGACTGATTGCGCTTAGAGTTTGATTGATTATGGATTTGAAGATTTAAAACTAGAAACTGTGTTTATCAAATGTATTATTTCTAACACAAAAAGTGCAAATATTGCTATTAGACTAGGATTTGAAGAAGTGGAGTAGTAAAAGAATGCAATTTAAATTGAAAATGAATGGTATGATTTTAGAGTATTTCAATTAACTAAAGATAAATATTTAAATGCTAAATAGCTAACATAATTGTGAGTCAATAGATTAATATTTATTAATTTAGATGTAAAATTGTTAAAATTTCTAATATATTTTAGATATTTTAAAATAGTATGTGTTTATCTTTATGGCTTCTTTTATTCATCATTTCGATTTTAATTACATAATAAAATTATCTTAATAATAAATTTTAAAAATAGCAGTTTAGATTATTTTTTAAAATGAATAATCATTCAAGAATTTCATAAAATTTATTTTATATTAATTTGATGTTAGGTTTATATATTTCTCATCAACTTAAAATATGGTTTCTATCTTTTATAAATATCCTCTACATATTATAAATATATTATTTTTTACAATTAAAAGTATAGAAATTATTTTTTTAACATAAAATATAAAAATTAAAATGAATTTCTATTTTAAATCCTATAATTTATTAATTATCTAAAACTAAATAAAGAAAGTTATTTGTTAGGATTAGATAGAATATTAGCAAAGCATTTTGAAAACTATATTTAATTATGCATGTTATATTATTAATTATTGAAGGTATAATAAGAATTTTAAGAAAAATTAATAGCATTTAAATTAAATTTAGCCTTACTTTAGGAGTAAACAATTGGAAGATAGAGAAATTATGAAGTAAAAAGTGCAAAAAATATAAAATTTAAGTTTTTGATTTATAATAGTGAGATAATTCTCTTTTATAATATGATACAAGATATTACTTTTGATTTAAGAATATTTAAATAATATAGTTACTCAGAACTACATTTTAAAAAGTTAAAATTATTAAACAAATAATTTCTTAGATTAAATAATAAAAATAAATTGTATTTTTATAAAAATATTGAAAATAATAAATAAAAATAATATTTTAATAGTTAAAAAAATTCATAATAAAATCTATAATTTTCATAATAAGGAGTAACAGCAATTTTAAGTAAGATCAACCAACAAATAAATAAATAAGTAAATATATTAATTTGGATAGATTTTTTTAAAGATTGATAATAATAAAAATTTTTGGATGGCTTAAATAATATTTCATATAATATTCATGAATAGATGAAAAAGTATTTATTGTATAAAATTTTCTTTATATTTAATGAAATAAATACTCTCTCATTATGAACTCAAGTATTTACATACTCAAAAGATAGTTTAAGTAAATGTAGATGCAAAAAAAAGTATTATAACAATAAATTGATAGTTATATCTATTTAGATAGATATTGGTATTATTTTTAATTTTCTATCTATAATAAAGAAACAAACAAGCAAACAAAGTAAAAGAAAGAATAAATTAATTAATAATATTAGAAAGGTTGGTTGTTAGAACATTATTTATATAATTAAGTATTTATATAGCACCACTAAAGCAAAATATTAAGTATTCTTAGAATATATACGTTAAAAGCAGCTAATTCAGATAATCTGGAAAACTAAAGCATAATTTATTCCTATTTACAATTATATGAGTACAAAAAATAGTTAGTTGAGGGAGTCTTTTTACAAAAATGCCAAATAAGGTATTGATTCATTGATTTACTCTTTTATTAAAAATGAATTGAATTTCCTCTATTAATGATGATTTGTGTGACAAAAATAAATTAAGTTCTTATTTAATAATACAATAAAGCTGCTAATATAAAACAACCAACTTAAGATAATCAAGCTAAAGTGCCATTTAATTACTCTCAATAAAAAAAGGCTTCTTATAAAGATTTAAGCCCTTCTTCTGGTGTTAATCTTAGCACATAATTTTTTAATAATCCTTATAATGTAAAGTTTGAATATTATAAATATATTGGTAATTATAATCATTGTGTAAAAGTAGTCAACTAAAAATAGAGCAAACAACAGAAGCAATAATATATCACCACTTAATAGAGTATTGTATTTTAATGTTAACTACACTTTCTTAAATTGTAAATATATTATAATCAACAATTAGTTTATTTCTCCAAAAGTGAATGGACCTTAAGACTGCAAAATTGGATAAAAAAGAGCATAATCTAGCTGTAGACCATCAATAAATAATCAAAATAACTATGGTAATATAATTTATAGATATATTGATTGTTTTAATGCATTTAATATTTAGATGGGAGCTAATTCAGTATTTTAGATTAATTTAAGATGTCTCCATAAATGCCGTTAAATTTAGGAAGATCTTAAGAATTATAACAGATTCATATGCAACAGCCTTAAAATAATTAAAGCTAAAAGAGGAAAATAAGGATGCTAAGACAGAGCATTGGTTCTAGATAAGCCACAAGGCATGATGAACCAGTAGTAGAAGATTTTGAATATATAAATAATTCTAGCAATATAAATACAAATTTTAATTTTATGGATTAAACACCTGTAAGTAGAAAATCATAACAAAGAAAAGATAGCACAAATCAAAATTAACAGAGGATACCCAACTATTCCTAAATGTATAGTAAACATAATGCACCACCTTAAATTAGTCCTAATAATATAGGAGATGCATACTTCAAAAATTCAGTTTTTTAATCAAATACACCAATAAGTGTGATTACTCCGAGCTCATATGGGAATCACATAAATCAAAATAACCCCTAAAATCCAGTGATAATTAAAAATAGCATAAACAATATTTCTGTTTAAATTGGGAATTGTAACGATATGAATCATTCTTTTAAATTATCAAACAAACACTCTAAGGACATTGTTAATGATAACTAATTATACGATTTTAATCTTGAAAATATGGACTCATCTTGCTTACCAACAGAATAGGTATGCAGAATAGATACAAATATTGTAATTTATTAGAATTCTTTATGATTATTTGTTTTAACAATTTGGAATTAATATTAAATTATTTATTTATTTATTTTTACATCGATCTAATTAAAACAATTTTTAATTAGCTAGCAAATTTCTTTTATTTTAAGCTTGTTTTCAATTGATTTTATCAAATGTTCCGTATTAACCATTTAAAGAAAATATATTATTTGAAATAAAATATAGAGTGATGACAGAATAAATACATAAACAACAAATAAAGAATTAATGATTAATAGAAATAATAACAATAATAGTAAGAGTTTTGAATAAAATTCCAATTCTTAGGATGAGAGATAAACAAGGATATATGCATTACAAAATTATTTAAAGAATACATAAACTACAAAATATTCTCGTAATTAAAGAAGAAGTGTTGCTCATTCATCACATGCAGCTAATTAAGTAAAATAGATTGCTGAAAATAACTTAATGCACTCCGAAAGTAAGCAATCTAAGAACTCAACTACAGTTTCTAACTTAAATACTAACAATATCACTAAAATTTCTGATGAAAATCAAATCCCTGAATATCAACAAACGATAAAAAAATAATTAAATTGTATATAAGTTTGTGACCCATCTTCTGCAAATATGATGGGTGCTACTGCTGCTCCCAGAAATAAGAGTCCTATGCCTTAAAATTTATTTTAAAAATTTGACTAAAACATTTAAATGCTTGGTAAAACAGATCCTTGCAACTTAAAAGTCAATAAAAACGATAAAAATATGAATGGCTTAATTGATCCTACACTAAACAGTAAATAAGGAAACAGCGGATTTAATAAATAAAACTAAATTAAAGGAGATTAATCAACCGTTGTTCCCTATATGAGCTAATAAATACCACAAATTCCTCAAGAAATAAATAATTAGGATGTAGAAGAATTACATTTCCAATTTGTTGAATTTTAACAAAAATGTAAAGAATGGCTTAAAAAAATAGAAATTTGAATATTATTAAATAGATCCTAATTAAAACAATAAATAAATAGAAGGTTTTTCAAAATTACTATTTTTGATTTGAGAGACTTATTTATATTAAACTTAAATTTATAGTAATAACTAAATTTTAAATATCTCTCGATTATAATTCAATTTAATTGAATCAATTTTTTAGAAAGGAAATTTAAATTAAATTAAAACATATTTTTTCCTTAAATTTTTAGCAATATTAGCTATCTATCTTCTTCCAAAATAATATTTGAAGAGATTAACTTTATATAAATGATCTTTTTATTTTTCTAATTTATTAAATTTAGTATTAATATTTTATAAAAAGCAACTATGCATTAATAAATGTAAATCTTTATATATATAAATACCTTGATCAATTGTATTATCTTAAATCCTCCTTAATTAACACCATAATTTTTAGTTATTTTAAATTTTATATTGAAAAAATTTTGTTATAATATGTTTGATCTTTAAGCACTTTTTTTTGGGCAAAAATGATACTTAGGGAATGCCTTAATTAATGAGCATTTACAGTATAATAAAAATTAATTAAATCAATATTCTTTTAAGTCTGATATCTAAGCTAAATCATTTTAAATTATTAATTATTTTTCAATAATAGTTTGATTTATATAAATCCTGGTATTGAAATATCTGAAAATCCAGTTCATGATATTTCAATACCAGAAGCAGCTCTTTAAATAAGTTTGAACTATTTTTAAACTAAAATAACTCTTAAATTGCTTTATCTAAAACAATGAAAATAATAGAGTAAAATTTAGTTTACTAAATTTATGAGATTAATGAGCTTTGCTAATGCAAAGTAAACTAAAAAAGGCTTTGCACCAAATTAAAATGAACTTTATTTAAAATTAAGAGTTTAATTTTGGAGATTAATATATGAGAAGTTTGACCTCAATAGATAATAGATATTTGTAAATTGGTCATATATGCAAAAAAAAAACATAATTTTTAGTAAAAATTATAATGAAATTTTTAATTTTTCAATTAAATTCTTTGATGAACTTACAATGTAAATTTATGCATTTAACAATTTTAAAGATATTAACTGAACTAAAAGTGTTTTTATTTATTTTAAATAGTTGTATATTAAAATTAAGATAAAAATTGTTGATTTATTTTTAAACATTTTTTCAATTTATGGAGCTTAAGAAATTAATATCTTTGAATAAATAATAAATTATTGTTTTAAAAAATTATATTTTTGATATATTTACAAATTATACTTTAATTTGCTTTAGATTTTGATTTTTTGAGAAAATTTTTGAAATAAACATTTTCAAAATTTCTGGAAATATTGATTTAATGTACAACAACATATAAATATTGTTTTAATTTCTTTTCATTTATTGTGTTTGATACGGAATTCATTATGATATTTAAGCCATTCAGTGTAAACATCATCTACTTATCCTTCATAGTGGTGGGTAAAAGATTTGATTAATCCTTCAAATGTACTTTCGAAATTTACTAACTCAACATTTTCTTCATTACCAACTAATTTTACATGACTTTACAAACTAAGTTTACGAGGTTTCTTGTTATCTAAAGCTATTTTTCTGTATTCTAACATTTCATCGTCAACAGCTAAATATTTATTAAAGAACTCAATTCCTCTAACGGAATCACCAGTACTTTTGTAAACTTGTAATCCCTAAATAATAATATTAGATTAATAATTTATTATTTTTATATAAATATTACAATCAAGAACTTTCTCATTGCTTCTTTTCCAACAGTCCAAATTTTGCTTTTATCAAGATGAATATAGACATAAGGCTTTCCTTCTTTTTCTGTTTTCTCAATAGTGACTAAGCCTTATCCTGCTTCAATTAATACCTTTTTGAAATAGATATAAATATTTTTAATTTTTATAAAAAATAATAAACAAACTAATTAACTAATTACTTTTGTAATTGCATAAGCTGCAGCTGTATGTGCTTGACCCCATTTTTTTAGTTCTGGATTGTAATATTCTAAACCTTTAATAGAACTTACTACAATTTCATACCAAGCTATATATACTAAATCACTTTACTCTTCTTTAGAATATTCAGGAATTAAGATATCTAAACTTTCTTAGAAGCAACTTAAATAAATAGCAACTGAATCAGCTCTACATTCTTCATAGCTAGAAGAAATATCTCCAAACTTTGAATGCCAAGTTTCGTTCTTATCGTAATAAGTATCAATTTTAGTATTAAGAATAGGATGAAGTAAGTGCTCTTAATCAAAATTAAGTGTGTCATCTTCTTTCTTTTGGAACAACTTACCTGTTCCATGCCCTTCAGATATTTTTTATATTATTTTTAGTTAAATAAGTTGATTGCTCCAATAAAGTTACCTAATAATTCATGAAGTGCAACAATAACAAACAAAGAATCTTTGAAATATTTGCAATATAATTCAGCAGTAGCTTCGTTAGCAAACAAAACATTTTCTTTTTTAGGAGTTGAGTAGACATTTCCTAAATTAACATTCTTAAATCCTTCTGTTTGTCTAATGTCATCATAATTAGGAATATTAATACCAATAGGTATACCTGAGCTTGCAAAAGTCAATACTTCTAAAGAAGTAAAATCTGGCTTTGTAAACTTTTCAACTTCGAATTCCTTAGGCCAAGGTAAATGAGAAATGATTCCTTCTGCTTTTGATACTAATTCCTCTAATTTTTTAGATTCTTCTTTATTAACAACTGAAACAAAGCCTTCAAACTCTGCTCTAACTTTTAAAGGATCTAAGTAACTTTCTATAAATCCTAAATTATAAAATTTTAAATATGATAAAATTTCTATCTATTATTATTTATAATTCAAATATTATTTGATATTTAAATAAATAAATACCTATATTTGTTTCAATTATTGGACCCTTATCTTTAATCCAATGTCTTTAGGAATTTTTGTGTTCATCAATAGAACCATTTTCGAAATGCTTCAAGTAAGACTTGATCATTTCTACTTGATGATCGTTTTCTGCATGCTTTATACATTTTTCAAGATATCCATTTAAAGAAGCTAAGAAAGGCTTAAAGTCACCATAAGTAATTTTAATCTTTAGTCCTTCAAACTCATAGTCTTTTTCTGGTTATAGATCCTTAGTTATTGAGGCGACTAATATTTCATATTCAGTTTCACTATGCTTAAGTAATCTTGTATTTAAAGGAGACAAATTGATATCCTTTTATTCCATAAACTTGCTAATCTATTCTGCATTTTATTATGATATATTAGAGCTATAATATGATGTATGTCCTTTTTGTTTATTTTAATTATGTTTTTGATATATTTAATATTTTGGATCATTTAGTAAATATATTACCTTAGTTATTAATAAACTCAATAATCTAGTAGGGATTGTGATAAGCGTACAACTCATAGTTTGTATTTTCCCATACAAAGTCGAATTAAGGCTAGTAGATAGTGTAGGCTTTAGTGAGTTTTATAAATTCTAAGAATTTTTCTTTAGATATTTCTGGGATGAACTTACAATCACCAAAGCTCTTGAAATTTCCGCAGTTTTCAAAGAAAGTACCTATGTAAACAAATATTTGCTAAACTTAAACTTCATCAAAACCATTATGTAAGAGCTTTTGTTTGACCTCTTCAGGAGTTTCATTCAAAAATATTTTTTGGAAAAGGTAAAATAAGGCAGGTGATTCATATGATCTTTAAAAGTAGCAAATTTTAGATCCTACCCAAGAAGCCTAAGAAAAGTAGTATGCATACAATTTTTCTTTCAAGTTAAGCTCATTGAATGCCTTAGTGCAGTCAACAGGGGATATAGAGGTAGTTGTAGGAATAATAGGGGCAGCTTCAGTTTCCATCTGATTTTAGTTTGTTTTTTAATACAATTTAATTGAAATAGATATTTCTTTATTTGTTTTATTTATTAGAATTAATTAATAAAAAATATCTTTATCTGACAAAAATCAATTAAATAGAAGAAAGAAAGATCAGAAAGTGAAAAAGGAAATAAACAATAACAAAGGTTTGCTCTATAAATAAAATTTCCTAAAAAACATAATACCACAATATATAAGAATTTATATTATAAGGCATTAAAATACCAAATATAAATAATTGAATTCAGCTTATGGATTAACAGTTATTTTTGTTAATCAATAAGAAAGAAAAAAAGAGCCAATATTTATAGTACAAAAATGGAATTAATAGTAATTTTTTTAAATTTAATGAAAATAATAATAGAATGAATTTTCAAAGTTTTGATATTTTTTCATCTGAATTTAAGTTCAATATAGGTACATAAAAAGTTAAAAAAACAACTAATTTTCGAGGATTCTTATCTTTTGTGGTTATAGTTTTAGTTATTTCATATACATCCTTTCTAGCTTACTCGTATATGAATAATTTAATTGATCCTACCTATAGATCTTAAAGTAATATTATTGGAGACAGCATAGATGTAAATCTTTAAAATAATTTAATTGCCTTTAATTATCAGGCAAACGCTACTTTATCTCTAGATAATTTATCACATCAATAAAATAAGACATACTTAGTATTCTTACCTTATTTATACACTTCCGATTAACAAGTAATACCATTGAATACAAAAAAATGTGCTGATTTATAACTTAATGGATTTGATTGTATAGATTTCTCTTAGGTTTCTAATTATACATTAACTTTGAACATAAATGAAAATATTTACTCAAATATAATGTTTTTAATTTATAGTGCCAAGATACTGATATTTATAAAACATCTATTCCAGATAATTGTGCAAGTCCTAGTGAAATAGATTAAATAATTAATGATAGAGGGTCTGCACTTCATTTTAAATTATCAACCTCATAATACAATATTACTATGTAAAAAACTGAAATTTAATTTAGAAACTAGTATCTAAATTTACAAGGAGATCAGTTTTAATTCACAACTATTAGAATTGTTAAGCAAGAAATTACTGTCAAATAAGGAGCATTATTCTAATCAAGCTTTCCAGATATTTAAAGATTTGATAGATAATCTTTTATTGAAAAAACAGGCCTAACCTTAATAGCGTAAGCAACTTTTCAGCTTGATGAAATAGTAGAATAAATTTAAATTTAATACCCAACTATTACATAAGTTTTTGCTTAAAGTAATAGTGTTATAACCATTCTAATGCTTTTAGGAATTATTGGAAAATATTTTTCAGCAAAGCTTTTGAAAGAAGATTTATTTTTTTTACTTTTATAGAATGTTTATTTGAATGACTTTCAAAAAATTTGTGAAGCCAATAATTTAACTTTAAAAAGAGATGACCAATTAATAAATTAGATAATTATGGATAAGAAAAAAGTAAAATTTTATGGTGAAAATGAAAAAAGTTTAAAACCCGTCCCATTATTTCAAAGTAAATTGAAATAGTGTTTAGATACTTAATAAATCTATCATGGTTAAAGTATTAGCAATAATTAGAAAATTAAAGATAATCAATAAGATTTTTGCTAGAGTCTATAGAATTGTTATTAAAAAAGATTTTCAAATACTAATTAACTAAAGATAAATAAATTACCCACCTTTAAATTCTTTATCTTTTTAAGAAGAAACAAGAAGAATTCTAGTATTAAAAGTAATAATAACCTATTACTTAATGCAAACAGTAGTTTTTAAAAGCAAGAAATTCAAAATTATAAAAGTAAAATAGACAATTTTTGTGAATAAGTTTACTAGTATAAAAACTCTGATTTATTTAAAAAATCTCGAAGAAAGTTATTCAATTTTAGGTAAAAAAATAAACATTTTGTTGGAATTTTTATTAAATATTAAATATATGAACTAATTAGTTTCTATTTTAAGTTTTGGGACAGAAATAAAATATTTGAAGATAATGGAATAGATGCCAATACTAAATAAGTTATTTAAGAATAAGCTAACAGAAACTCTAATATTTTCTAGCTCTTTTCAGATGTAATTTATTTAAAGAAAGCAATTATGGTTTTGCTGAGTAGTGAGTAATTAGCAGCTTTAAATTTAGTAGGTTTTTCGGCTAAATTTTATCAAGGAATTGACTAAAACAACAAATAAGCTAATTATATTAGTAATTTTAAATAGTATTAATTAATTTAATTTAAATATTTTTATTTTATTAAAGAAAGCGAAAATTACTTTGAGAATTAGTATCTACTATCACAATCTAAAGATCTTCAATACAAATATGTAAATAAATTCTTAAATAGGTGTTTTAAAAGCTAAAACATAAGTGAAGTCGATATGAGAATTCTTTCTTCATTAAATAGAGATGATAAATGAGTTATATATATATATTTTAACAATTTTCATTCCAAAATAATTTAGATTATTAAATTAATAATATTATACATTTATATTTTATTCAGTTTAAATTTTCTCAATTTTCAAATATTTTAAAAATAATTTGTAAAATCCATTTAAATAAATGATAAATTTCATTATAAAAAATTAATTATCTTATATTTTAAAGATATTTTTTATTTCATTTTTTTTTTTTGCTTTTGTAATATTCTCATTAAAAAGCTTAATTAAACTAGTATTTTTAATTTAATTTTAGTTCAAATAGAAATTATTTTTAATATTCACAAGTATTATTTTAAGTAGAATTAATATTTTTTTTTTAATTTTAATTAATTTCTATTAAAAATTTCATCCTAAATTTAAAATAAGCTTAAATCTACTTAATTTAATGGATTAAAAATCGATCCCTTAATAGTTTAATATTTTGATAAATAGCATATATTATATCATATTTAAGTTTTAATTAGCCAAAAACTCACTCATTAATTGGATTAAAAAAGATATTGGATTTATAAATAATTGTAATTTTTCTAAATTTTTTATAAAGGCTTCTTCAAATATAAATTGGATCTTCATAAACAGCAATTACATTTAATTGATAAATTCATAGCAAGATGAGCCTAAAATAAGATAATATTGCAAAAGTTATTGTGGTAGGAATGAGTGGCACCGGCAAAACATCAGTTATTAAGCGCTATACATGGAATTAATTTGATATTTATGAGTAAACAACTATTGGGATGCAGAATAACTTCAAAGAAGTTTAGCATACAATGAGAAGAAAAGTTTAACTAAGAATATGGGATATCGCAGGTTAAATTAATACGCATTTTTATTAAATCTATTTATCCAATTTTATATTATTTCTTTTAAATAAGTTTAACATTTTATTTTTTTTAAGGTTAAGATAAATATAAAAGTATGACAAAAAATTTTGTCAGAAATTCATCTGGATGCATCATAGTTTGTGATACTTAAAGAGAAGATAGCTTAAAAGAATCTATAATATGGAAAAATTTAGTCTAGTAAGAGTCAGAGCTTGGTGATAAGTTACCAGTTGTATTAGCCCAAAACAAATATGACCTTCTACCAGATAGTGTTAAAAGCAGTAAATAAGATGATTTATTTGGGACTGAAGACTTTTTAAATAATTTTGCAGAAAAAAACAACTTTAACTCATGCATTTAAGTTTCAGCTAAAGACGGCTATTAAGTAGAAGAGCTCTTTAGCATTCTAATTGATAATATACTTTAGTAACAAAACGATGTAGATATTGGTCCTACTGAAAAAAATGAAGATAGTATTTCATTAAGTTACTATGAAAGCTAAATCACTAAAGCCCCTTCTATTTATCATCATAAAAAGAAAAAGTGTTGTTGAAAGAAATTTAATTAAATTCAACTAAATTAAGAAACAAAATAAATCAAATGTAAATAAAATATAAAAAATTTTAAATAGTTAACAAAATAATTTAAGTAGTATATTGATTAATAAAATATTTTCCAAAAAGTGAATAAATAAATAAATTAATAAAAGAGTTTTCAAAAGAAAATTTATTACTTTTAGTTAAAATGAATGGTTATAGCTTATAAATTATATCCATAAGCTAATTACAAATAAATGATTGAATAATAAATTAAATTTTATCTTTATATAATATTTTTGTAATAAATTTAACTCATTTTTATATCAGATTTTACTCTAAATTTAATCAAAAATAATTTTAATTTTAACTTTTGGAAAAAATATTTTTTATTTCAATTTTGAATGACAAATCAATCTAAACCATTAAAAAGTAAACTGAAACAATAAATTTGAATTCTAATATAATATTTTTAAAGAATTAAAACATGAAAATATTTAAATTGAATTTATTCTCTTTGTATTTTTTAGAATTATTTTGAATTCATTAGAATTAACAAATTTAAAAATTCAATTATAATAACTTTATTTCAAAATTTCAAAGTAATTACTGGCTTAGTATAGGTTCTAAAATTTGATAGAAATAGATAAAAATAAGGGAAATTTAAAGTTACATAGGTCTAACAAATAATAAAATTAGTTTGCACAATAAGAATTTTAATGAATTTAGTGGTGAGACTAATACATAATCAGAAATTAATATAATATCACTAACTTTGTTTAATTAAAAGATAAGAGATAAAAAGCTTTTTTAATTATTTAGTAAAAACTTTCATTTTATCACAAAGGGTTAATTAGGCTTTCAAAAGTTAGCAAACAGCCAATTTAGATAGAGATTTTAATCTTAGCTAAAGCAGTTAGCAATCATTTATATTAAGATAAATCAAATTTAGTATGGGAAATATATGTTCAGGATGCCAAAGAGATAAAGAAGATTCAAAATCAGCTGAACCTTATAGATATGAAAAAAATTTACCTATATCTCTTTATATTGAAAAATAAAGAACTCACTATACAGATTCTGTGAGTAAGAGATATAGTCGGGCATATTTGGATTAATTAGAAGATAGCAATAACGACAGGACATTTAAAATATAGTAAACAGATGGAGTTTAGGAGTTTTGGAAAAAAAATAAAAAGAAAATTAAAGGATTTAACACTACTATTCGTCCTTCAACAACTTACCAGATTGATGGAAGACTAGCATTAAAATATTTAAACAGTAACTCAGATAGATTTGAATCACAGTATTATGAAACAGATGTAAGAACCTATTTACTCCTAATTTTAATAGTTATTTATTCTATCTCATTTTAATATTTTATTTAGGTTTAAAAATTACATTAAGCAGCAACTATTATACAAAGATGGTTCAAAAATTATAAAAAAAATTAAATGAATTTTACTAATCTGATTAATTCATGTAGCAATCTGAATCAAATAAATAGGACACAGGATTCTTATTCTTTTAATACAATAGATGTTACTGTAAGATAGTCTTGAGCTTAATTAATTATCAATAAATAATAATGATCAATCTAAACTACTTTTAACATTTTAAACTTAATTTATAAAGCTACTCTATAAATGGGTACATCTACCTGATAGTAATTATATTTTAACAAAGTATTAGTATATTTATAAATAAAAAAATTATAAAGTCATACAAAATACTTGAATTACTTTTGAAACAGTTTTCCATTGCTAAAAGTGAAAATCATATTTCAAACAAACAAACAAACAAAAAATAAATAGTAAAGACTCTATTAAGCAATTTAGTAATTAAAAAATTTCAAATTAATTAATCATAGGATTATATAATGTATTCTTTTATAATCAAATTTCATTATATTAGTATTTCGAGTTATTTTCTTTTAACTGCTTAAAGAATTTAAATAGATAGAATTATATTTATCATAAATCCTATTTCTAATTAACTCTTTATATATTTTACAAAAATTTATATATTTTCAACTTTTCTCTTTATTAATTAAATTATATTCTAGGAATATTTTTCATATTTGATTAAAATTATTCCATATTAACTTATTTATTCAAGAATAAGAATCATTTTGAAATGTTAATAATTAAAAACTTAATAAATGTGTTTAAATAAAAATGTTAGTATAAATTGAAAAAAGCATCACCTAATAAGTTATTCTAGATACTTTTTTGCTTAAAATTCTTAACGAAAATTTTGGTAGTTAGTTAGTTACTAAAAAAATAATTTAAAAGCAAACTAAAAAATTAAATAAATGATTTATTTATATTTTTAAGTTTAATATTTAGTTAAAAGTTGCTAAATTTAATTTAAGTTAAAATATTCCATTAAAACTTAGTTTTTTTTTGATGACTTTAAATACCTTTATATTTTTTAATAATATTATGCTGGCGACTGTTTGGTTAATATTTAAAATTTATTTCTGTAATATTTACAGATGTTAAAATTAACAAGTTCAATTTCAAGAATCTACTAAAAATTAACTTTTTTATGATATATATCTATTTATATATTATATTAATCAATCAAAATATTATGAAAATAAGTTAGATTCTAAGTTGTTTTTCTGAGTCCAAATTGTTTGGTAAATGATTAAGAGTATTAAAAAATGGCTTAAATTAAAACAAATACTTTTTAGTATAATTAATTGTCAGTGACAAAATAAATTTTGAAATATTGTATTCAAAAAATGAATCAAAAATTTAGGATATTGAGAATATTCAAATAAATTCTTTTATTACTAATAATATAAAAATATTCTACAATTTCTGATAATTATAACTTTAAGAAAATATTCATTTTTATTAAAAGCAAATTATATTTATTTTATATTTTGGAAAGGCAAATTAAATAAACTTTGTAAATAAATAAATAATTAATAAAATAAAAGATCCGAAAATAGTTTAGAATAAAAATATTCTTAATTATTTATTAAATTTTTAAATTTATTAATAATAAGAAAATAAATTTTATAATTTCTATGATTATAAACATTTTTAAATGAAATAAAAATCAAATATTGTAAATTTTACTTTATTTATAATGAATATTAATAAATATCTTTTTATATTTAAAAAATAATTGAAAAATATTATTAAAATTACTCAAGCATAAATTGAAAATTAATAATCAATAAAAAAAAAGACCCATAAAATATAATTAATAAATATAATATAAATTACTGCGCTAGAGATAAATAAAATAAATTTAAAACTTTTTTTTAAATTATCAAAGTGGTTTTTTAAATTAAATTTGTAAAGAAAATTTATGCAGCTATCTAGAAAAGATATTATACAAAAAATAAAAGATACAATTAAATCTTTTAGTTAACCTGAAATAATATTATTACTTGATTCTTTAGAAAAAAATAAACCTAATTTAGAAATAATTGTAGATAGTATCTAAAAACGGTAACTATTTTCTCAAAAGAATGATTCAAATTTATTTTATGAAATTAATTAAATTGAAATTAATTGTCTTCAATTTAAAGTTTTTGATAAAAATGAATAAAAAAGAAAATGTATTGAAATATTTTCTGAAGATTAGTAAGGTGATTCGTTTGAATTAATTATTAAACTATCTAAATAAAGCAAATGGATTGCTAGAAAAGAATTCATTTTAAATGTTTTAGATTGTTACTTTATTGACGACTACAAGATTTTTTATATAATTGAATATGAGGATTTTGATTATTCAATAAAAGGCTCTAAAATATTTAATTTTGATTAGTTTGGTCAAATTGACTTAGAATTGAGGTAATATTTAAACAATATTTATCAATATTTACAATTAGCTCTTTCTCCAAATTCTAATCTTTAATAAATGAATACTCAGTTTGATATTATTAAACAAGGTTACTTTGCTTTTTAGAAGTTTAATGAATAATACATAATAAAACTTAATGTAATAGATCCTCATTTATTTTAACTTTAATCGTAGAATAAATTTAAACTAAACAATTAAGAACTTACTGAATTAAAAATTGACCCAGCAGAAATATTTAAATTTCCAAACAATTTAGTATAAAAACGAAATTAATTTATTGATAGCATTCAATAAAGCTATCCTAGATTAATAGAAAAAATTCAAGAGTTAATTCTCTATATAGCTTAAGATGAATCTTGTACTTATTCTCTTTTGATGCTTAATGAAGTAGAAGAGAATATCTCTATTTAAATAATTTCTTAAAATAATGAAAGAGCTTTCATTTTTATTTAAAAATATGAATCATATGATGAAGGTAAATCATAAATGTTAAAATATTTATAATAAAAAAAAGAGCTCGAAGAAAATTCTATTTTAACAAATTAAGATTTTGAATTGAAAGTTTTTTCTTAAGGTATTTACTTTATTTGTAAATTTTATTCTAAAGCAGGTATTTGCATTTAAAATACTTAAGAGCTTTTCAAAATAAGTAAAAATATATTTAATATTAGTTATAATGAGAAAATATTAATGATGAAAAATTATCATAATTTAGTAAAAAAAATAATATATGCTTCTAAACTACTTTTTAAATTTCGCATTGAGCCTTAAGACATTTGTGTATAAGGAGATAAACTTACTGTTTGTGGAAAATTTTAGCTTTCTCTTCTTCATGATGTAGAAATTAATACAAATAAATTATATGAATAATACACTAATTTGTGCTTTGATCTAATTGAATAGTGCTAAGAAAGTTCTTTGAATAAAAGATAGTCATTAATTACCTAATTAGTAGAATAATACTTTTTATCAGTTTATGAAAATGAAGAAATAAATAAACTCCTATTTACTAAGCTATAAATTTATTTAGATACTGTTTATAAATCTATAGAATTAAATTAGAATTTATAACAACATGTTTTCGATAGTTCTAATGATAATATTGAAAATTTAAATTGTACTATTTTTTTAAATTTAAAATTTTTGGAATTTATGAATAGATAATTTTAAATAAATTATTTTAAAGAAGCATCAATGGTTAAACAACTTATTTTTTATTAAGAGCCAAAGAATAGAGAATAAAATGAGTTAGATAGACGAAATAAAAGTATTTGCTATTGTAATTTTAATTATAAGAATTAGATGACTTCTTCAAATATATTTTTTTAGCCTACTATATAAACTAATTAAGAAGCTGAGCTTTATTGTATTTCTAATGAAAGCAACTAGTTAGCAACCAAATTAGCTGATAAATTTACTAATTTAAAAAGATTGCATATAGTCTTTTACTTTTGTAAAAGTGTAAAATATTACATTGATAAATAAGTAGATTATTTTAGTTTAACAAAACATTAAAACTTAATTTATTTAGATATTACTGTAGTAGATGAATAAAGTATTATTGAAATTTATAAACAGTTAAAATTAAACAAAAATTAAATTAATACTCTTGTTATACAAGATAAAAATAATAATGATTATTCTAAAAAAATGAAAGTTTTAAAAAAATTAAAGCATATTGTTTAATTAAAGTTACCTAGCCAAAAAAACATATTTCTAATTTGAAGTTCATTTTATTATTTAATAAAAACAAATAGTTTTAAAATTAAGAAATTTTTTATTAAAAAAAATAATTCTTAGTAGAGATATTTTTTGTATTTTTTTAATTTTGATATAAATAGTTACACTGTGATTTTTTAATAATTTGAGTTTGTAATTGCTTTCAATTTTTACTTTTAGATTTACAACTTTTTAATGAAGTTTAAATTAAAAAAAATACTAATTATTATTGATTAAACCAATTTTCATTCATAGTTGAATGAAATAAAACATCTTCTTTCTTACTTTGTTAGCAGAAGATTCTGAAATAATAAAAGAAAAATATAAATAAATTTCATTAATTAAAAAAATTAAATTCTTTTTATTTTATCAAATGTGAGTTCATTTTTTACAAAAAATTTGGTTGGTTAGTAGCTAGTTATTCAATCAGATAGTTTCAATTTTTAATTTAAAATTTAAAATAATAAAATATTTTAATTAAATGAATAAAGATATTTTATCTCATGATTTTGAATCAATCAAAGTATTTTTTTTAAAATTCAAATCATTTTTTGTTTTAGGTTTCATTTACAGAGTTTCTATTTTTTGGAATATTAAAATAACATTTTTAGATTTTTAATAAGTTTTTTTTTCTTTACAACAAACAAAAAAATTAGTATTAAATTAAATCTAAAATTTTATTTATATGAATATTTAATTAAATTATAAATATCTGATTTAATTTAACATATTTAAAATCAGTCCTTGTCTTTAACATCTTCATCAGAATTATAATTATCATCTCTTCTTATTTGATAATTTTTTTCTCTTTCCCAAGTCTCAATTTCTTATTATATATTATCAGGGATCAAAGAAAAGTTATCTTCTGTTTTTTTGAATAAGTTAAGAAATTCTAGTTTCTTCTTTTAAAGGTTCTAGACTTAAGTTAAGAGAATTGCATTCATTTATTTGTCTTTTAAATATTTTTTCATTTATGGATCACTTGTCTATCATTAAATTTAAATTAAAAAAAATAAATAGAAACTAATTATTAATTTACCTTATTGAAAAACTAAATTAGCAGTCTTGCAGTGAGTCCATTTTTAAATTAATCTTTGGTTTTTTATTCAGATAATTACCCAACAATCAAATGTGGAAATCTTTTTCATTAAATAAAGTAAAATAATTAAAGTAACTAATTAAGTATTTTACTTATAATGTAAATCACAAAAACTTGCTAATAATTTTTCAATATGTTCAGTTTAGTCTTTCAAAGTGTCTTTTGAATCTTTAATCTCTTTGGGATCTTCTTAATCAATATATGCGTATACATTAAAGTTAGTTTCAATTGTTATTTTAGCATTAAGGGTCTTTAGATCAATCTTTCTGTAGCAGAATTACCAAAGTACAGGAGTAATATAGAAGGCAATTCTATCTTTTAACTAAAAATTAATTTAATTTAAATTTAAAAATTTAATTTGTGAATTATTTATTTATATATTTATTTACAATTTCTTTTTTGAATACCATACCAAGAGAGTGTAAATCGTTTAGGAATTCTAATTCTCTTGGTTAAAAAGTAGCTGTTTCATTATTATAAGTATTTTGGTAAATCTTTGTTATATCCAAATTAGAGAGAGTTAGTAAGAAGCTAACAGCAGTTTCAACTGAGATTTTATGATTTCTAGAATACTGATAACAGTAAAGTGTTAGAATTTTATCTATTTATGTATTTGTATCTTCTAAAATAAACTCCATGTATTTTTGATACTAATAAATTATTTTAAAAATTAAATTTTAAATAAAAACAATCAACCAAATAATTTAAAAATTTTTGTAATCAAGCTGCTTTATTTTAAAATAATAATTGAAATGTATTTTTTTTTTTGGTAACAAAAATTAAATCTACTTTAACAAAGCTAATAATAATATCTCATAAACTTTACATTTCATACTCTTAACAAAAATAATTGATTATTTTTTGCTTAATAAAATAGTTAAATAAAGCTTAATTATTATTTTCTTGATGATCATATTATAAGAAATGCAATAAAAAATAATTTTATAGTTGAAAGATTCATTTTATAAATTTTTTTTTTGGTAAAAATATCTACTTTTAATAATAAAATCAAGAATCTTTTTTTTATGTATCAAAATCTATGGTTTAGCTTGATATAAATTTAAGCAAAAATAAAAATTACCCCGCTTCCTAAATTTCCTGGCTCTACGCTAAGAATTTATCTGAATACATCCATAACAAGTCTTGAATATTTACTTTATGATTGTGAGCTTGTATTATTTATTTCTTATGCCATTAACATAAGTTAGTTGCAAATAGATTTCCATTAATTTTTTGCTTTGCCTTCTAGTTATGAATAATCTTTCATATTATTCTTTTTTTGCTTGCAGAAGTCTATTTCTGTTTTCAATCCACAAGTAACAATATCAAGATACGCATTCATGAACCCATAATTTATTGTCCTATATAATTTGCAAATAAATTAAACTTATTAGTAATCAACAAAGTAAAACTTTATTGAATAGTTATGTACTTTTCTTTAAAATTGACTAAATCAAACTCTGCTAAATGGCTTTATCCTTTTGTGAATTCTTAATAGGGGTAATTTTCATCTAACAATCTCTTTTATTATAATAAACCTGTAATGACTAAAATAATAATTAATTTTTACTTTTAGAATGGTCTCCTATTTATTTGGATCTAAGTTTGTATGGAAGCTCAATCTTACCATTTTCTAAATCAATTCCTATGAATACTAATCTATACATCTATACACTGTTAGAACAGTTGCCTGATTTTTGAATAATTCGTTATAGAAATCTCTCTACTTTTTACGAAACTCTTCCCTTGATTATTATCTTAATTTGCTATTTTCCTCTCGCAAGAAATTGATGATAAAATTGCTTTCAGTCTTCATAGATTCTTTGAATTAACTTAGAATTGTTTTAAATTTTCTGACTACTATAACTTTTTTTGCTAAAGATTTTAATTATCAATTTAATAATTAATTACCAACTGAAATATGAAATATTTAATAAAGAGCGCAATTGATATAATAATAATATAAAGTATTGTCTATTTATTTTTAATTTATCAATATTATTAGTGTTTTAATAAAATTATTTTAAATTACTCAAATTATGCTTTTATTTTATGTAATTGAATAAATAAAATAATTTTATAAATAAGAAATTTTATTTTATGAAGTTATTTTCAAGCTAAAATAAGAGCTTTGATTATTCATTTCTAAATTTAGTTAAAAAAATAAATTATTTTGTATTTGATAATTAATAGCCAAACTATCTTCTAATTTTTCTATTTAAATACTTTTCTTTAAGTATAAAATTACAATTCACTCATTCAGACTGTATTATTTTAGAGTTTTTTTTTTAATTTTAATAATAATTTTACATTTTTCAAATAAATTATTTTTCAGTTTTAATTCTTAATATGAAAAAAGAAGACACTTTCTTTTTTAATTTTGGAATAAATTTACATTTTTATTCAAAATATTTAATAGGATTCATACAAATGAGTTAGTTTTTAACTTGTTAATGGTTGCTAATTATTAATCAAATTAATATCTCCCGCAAATTTTTGATAAATTTCAATTAAACTTGAAAATTTTAAATTAAAACACGATATTGATTTATTTGACTTCACTAAATGTCTCAGGATTAGTTTCAATTTAATGAGCAAAGACCAAGAAAAAGAAAGCTTCGCTCAATCGCTGATGAGAAATCTTTGAGCAACTACTTAGGAAGCTTTAAATCTGAATTAATTTTAGGAAATGTAGAAATGATCGTGAACAAAGAGCAGCTTTTTGCTGTAAAAGAAAGCAAATGGAATTTTATTAATGATATAAAATTAGCTAGTAATTACATAAATTTAGAAAATAGTGGTAAACTTAAAAAAGAAGATGTAAAAGTTAATTTAATGGAGGAGCTTATGAAAAATCCCTGCAATTAAGATGTATTAGTAAGCTATGGTAACCCTTAAGAAAAAAAATATTGCCTCCTGAGGCATAAATTCAGTGAAATGTGGAGATTTCCTATTTATTGTAGTTTCTTAGAACTAAGGATAGAGGTATGTGATGATGAAGATTTGGTGGAAAATCGATTATTTTAAAGTATTAACTCTTAAATGCAATAGACTAGAAATAGCATGGAAAATGAGAATTTAAAAGATTTGGTTAAAAATTTCTAAAAAAACCCTAAATAAAATGTTGATGAAATTATTGCAGTAAATAAATTTAGAAATTTAATGAAATAAAACATAGCAAATGCAAGCAAGGTAATGTGTAATGTACACATATATCTTAAATAGCACTTCTATACGTTTCCTTTACATATTCATAAAGGAGTGTTAGAAAAAGGATGCACTAATTTTTCTGAATGCTCAATAAATGAATAAATAGAACTTTTATCTAAAGATTCTTTATATCTTTTGTTTAGTATGCTAAATTTAAATAAATTGTAAATTCTATTTTATCAACTACATAAATATCAATCAATTATTTATTTATTATTTTTTAGAAATTAATTAGACATTCCTTTAAGCAAAAAAATTCCAATTATGAGCCAATATTATAAGATGAAGTCTAAAAAAAATATATTAGATAGTTAAAGGATGAACATATCTTTAACTAATTCTACATAAAAAAAATAAACTGCAGAAAATGAAAAACAGAGTGAAATTTATATGTTGCTTGATGACAAGTTTCTTGAATCAATAGAGTGCTCTGGCTTAAACGTAGATGATGACTTTTTACAAAGTAAAGATACTGTTAGATAAAGTGAGAGTAGAGATAATAGCAGAGAAGATACAGATGATAGCGAAAATTTGGACTTATAAGAATATGATGATGAAAGTGAAGATGAGCACATTTATGAAAATGAAGAAGAGGACGCTGATACTAAAGAAGAAGATAGAAATAATATCGAAGAAGGCAAAAACTTTAAAAAAACACCAACTCCTTCTCAAATGCTGAAATAGTTTGAGTTAAAAGTAATTGATTATGAATTTTACTTATTTTTTAATAATACATGATATTTTAGGAATATCAATAATAAGGACTTACATGGATGCTGCATAGAGAATAAAAGTTATCAAAAAAGAAATTATATGAACAAAAATGGTAAATTTTAAGCACAAACAATCAATTCAAAGACATAACTATGGCCTACGAGCAATATTTAGTGGAAAACCCATATAATGAGGAGAATGTATAGTTTTATTACAATCCTTTGAATGGTCATTCTTGTCTTGACATAGAATTTGAAGAAGATGAAGAACCTGTTTAAGGAGGTATTTTAGCTGATTAGATGGGTTTAGGAAAGACTATTTAAGCTATTGCATTACTGCTTTAATCCAAGTTTAAAGATTATTTAAATGAATCTGATACAAAAAATTAAAATGTGAAATAAAAAAAGCCTAAAAATGTAAGAAAATTTTATTTGAAAAACGAAGACTCAGACGATAGCTACAGAGGCACTGAGGATGAACTAGATGATGAGGATAAATACAGCGATGATGAAGACTCAGATTAAGAAATTACTTTAATTATTGCTCCAAAAAGTTTAGTCAATTAATGGAGATTAGAAATTTAAGCAACACTTAAAGATATTGAGAGCCTATAGATCTACTAATATGAGAAAGGACAAAAGTATTCAAAAAAGAAAAAACTGTTCAAAGGAATCGATATTGTTATCACAACCTATGGTACTCTTTCAGCAGAATATATGAGCATTAGTAATTTTATTAAATTTACATAATATTTTATTTTTAAATAAATATTTTTAATTTAAAGAAAAAGGAAAAATATAAAAAGGAAATCTACTAAATTAAAAATGGGAGAGAGTTATATTAGATGAGGCTCACTTGATTCGTAATAGGAACACTTAAATTTCATAGTATTCAATATATTTTGCTAATATAATACTAATGTTTTTTCATATTTAAAATAGAGCTTGCTGCGAGTTGAATAGCAAATTTAGATGGTGTCTCACTGGTACTCCTTTGTAAAATAAAATAGAAGATTTGTTCGGATACTTTAGATTTCTTAAAGTTCCATAGATTGGAGAATGGAGATGGTGGAGCGACTATATCTCAAAAAGCAGAAATAAAGAAAAAACATATTAATTCATAAAAGCTGTATTAAAAGGAATGATGCTTAGAAGAACAAAGACTACGAAAGACTAAGAAGGCAAACCTATAATCGTCTTACCATAAAAAATTATTAATGTTGATAACATAAGTTTTAATAAATTTGAAGGAGAGCTTTATACAATATATTTCTCTAATTAATAAAAATTATTTGCTGGACTGCTAGACTAGTATGAGCAAGAAAGAAGTTAAAGAGGTAGATTACACGAATAAATGTTTGTTATGGTAAACAATTTAAGAATGATGTGTAATAATTTCTAGATGGTAATAATAAATTTTATTAAAGTTTTAACTATTTTATTTTATTTATGTTCTTTATTAAACAGGTCAAGCTTTTTCAAGACAGTAATTTAGAGAAGCTCAGAAAAATCATTATTGAGCTTAAGAAAGAAAATAAGAAAGAAGCCGCCAATCCAAATAAATAGAAATGGGAGTAAAAATAGTTTATTTTTCTAGATTTAGATTTTTTTAAAATAAATATAAAATAAAGTGAGAAGTTTTTGAGAATGGATTATCCAGGTTTAACAGATGAGCAGATTTAAGAAAAGCTGGCCTAAATGAACTAAAGCTAGTCTTAGAATTTTAATGAAGGTGATGATGAAGAAGAATAATAATAAATAGATTATAAAAAACTAGCAAAAACTGATAGAGTTGTAGATATAATAGAATAAGTTTAAAAGAAAGGTGAAAAAATACTTTTGTTTACTCAATGGCACGACTCAATATAAAGACTAAAGAAAAGATTTGAGGATTTAGATATAGGTTATTGTGAGCTTCATGGTAAAATGACAATAAAATAGCGTGCTAAATAAGTTCATGATTTTTATAGATTACCAAGTAAAACTGTAATGGTTCTTTCATTGATGGCTGGTTGTGTAATTAATACTTAGTTATCTTTAAAGAGTAGATTTTTAATTTTTATTAATCTTCATAAATATTACAGGTTGGACTTAACTTAACATGTGCAAACAATGTTATAATTATGGATCCATGGTGGAATGGTGCAATAGAAGGTAATAAATATATAATTTATTAAACAAAAAAATATTTATTATATTATAATTCTTCGTATGTTCGCACACTCCTCCCAGAGCTGTGACCGGTTTTTCCAATTTTTTTTTATTAGAGTTAATATGTTTGTGTGTTGGTATGCGATGATTTACAGTATAAATTTTTTATTTAAAATTATCATATTTTTAAAAAATTAATTAGATTAAGCTGTAGACAGAGTTTACAGAATTGGTTAAAAAAAAGATGTAAACGTGTATAGGTGTTTGATAAAACATGATGATTCTATTGATTTAAGGATAAGTGAACTTTGTAAAAAAAAGGAAGCTTTGTGCAATAAGATTTTAAGTCTTTCTCAGGATGAAAGAAGTATTTCGCAAAATCTAACTATTGAAGACTTTAAATTTCTTTTTGGACTTAGTAATCCAAATGTGCCAAGCTAAATTGATCCTAATTTTAATTAGGATTTAAACAATAGCAACGGTATATTTGCAAGCAAAACATAAAATCTAAATTAAATGGTATAAAGCAAGAATGATATTTAACAAAACTTTTAAAGAAGTAGTAATAGATTTATTAGCAACTTAACTCAAAGTGTAACAATTAGTGGAGAAAAAAATTTAAATACCAGTGGCAATAAATTAATGAATAGCATTCGATAATCTTCAAGTAATAGCAATACGAAAGAATTTATTATAAAAGATTCATAATAAAATACTTCCTCTATTTATCCCCTTTTTTAGCCAGCCCAATAATTATAAAGATCAGAAACTTTATTTGCCTAACCTAATGTATTTGGAAAATAGTAATCTGGAGATTTTAAAAATAACATAAACAATTATACAGATTAAGCTTTTAAAATAAATAATGTAGATGCTTCTATAACTAAACCATTGTTTAGTAGGGAAGCTGTAGCATATGGTAATTAAAATGAAAAGCCTTAAAATGTATTCTAAAACTAATATTATGGTGATGATGAGGATTATTTCTATGAGAGTTCAAGAAAGTAAAGAAGTAGGCTGAGTAGAAACAGAATTTCTTAGAATACAAATTTCAATTAAAATCCATAAAAATAATTTAGAGCTGAAGATAAATTATGATTAAAATTAACAAATTAAAAAATAAAATTTTATGCGCGATTATAATTTTAGTAGTTTATTAATCAAATTCATATTTATATATTAAGTAAAATAATTCATTTTAATGATTACACTTAAAATTAAATACATAAAATATATTTTCATTTGCAAAAAGTTTAATACTGTTTGATAAATATGATGTATTTATGCAGCTTTTGATAATAATTTATCTAATTTATTGATACATATCAAATCAATTTCAAAGATAAAAAATAGACGTTTATAAATGAATATAGAAGATAATAAGCAAATCAGATTTTCTTAGATTTTTGAGTGGTAGAGGAATTAAGAAAGTGTTAATTAAGCTTTAAATTTATTCACAAGAAACATTTCTAACTTGTCTATCGAAAAAAAACAAATACCAATTTAGATTAATTTAGTGATTAAGTAAATTTACTTCTGGGAGTAAATATTAATATATACGCAATACAATTTAATAATTTAATTCTGTTCATTATAATTGAATGATAACTCTTATTATGAGGATTTGTTAATTGTATAAATAAAATAAATATATTGAATGTTTGTAATGATATGTCTTATGCAACTATTAATTTATTTTTTTTTAGAGTATCTTCTATATCTGTTTGCAATTTTTTAATTATGCTTTGTTCTATATAAAATTTAGAGCGATTTGATTTTCTGAAATAATCTGATAAAGAGAATTTCGACTATGCGGTAAAATAATCTAAAATTTTTTCTATTAAATATTTATAAATTTACATTTTACATAATTATTCATTCTTTTAATAACCATTTTTTAAAGAATACTCAGTGGATGATAATTAAAGATTAAATATTAGTTTATTCTCGTAGTTATTTAAAAATTCAACTTATAAATGAAATTCTCTTTTTATCCTCTAAAAAATGCTTTTTTCAAATAAAAATAGGATAGGGAAATTGTCTGATCACAAAAACTCTTTATAAAAATAATCAACTTAATAATTTTGGAGTTAAGCGAAGAAATTTTTTTGTCAAAGCAATTGAGAATTCCAAAGATACAATATTTTATTAGTGTTTTGATGATAAATCAATAAAGTGAGGGAGTTTGTAAAAGGGTTTCTTTTTTGATGCTATTATAGATAAAAAAGTTGCTTTCACAATAAATAATTAATAAAATAAGATAGGATAATGAGTATCAATAGTTTTTAGTATTAATAATATATATATATATAAAACATAAGCTGGTTGTTAACAAAAATTCAATAAAACAATAAAAAAGCAAAAAAAAGACATTATAATTAAAAGCTTATTTCAAACAAAAAATAAACTAACAAGAAAGAGTTTATTCAAAGATCAGATAGATAAGATACCTACTAACCAATAGCTAATTTTCTATCCATATTTTTTGATTACTATTAAAACAACAGCATAGCCTAGTAAAAAAGAGAGCGCATTTATTTCTTTGAACCAGTTTAGACAAAATTAATGAGTTTTAGAAGCGATTAAACAATAGTTTGTGGGTAAGAACCAAATATAGTCCAAAGTCCTATGCTTACGAAAGCTTGCCCATTCACTCCTCTTACATAGAGCTTAAAATGTGAGCCTTATTACATGAATTCCCCAACTGCATCAATATCAGCCACTTAAAACTGTGTTGGTAAACAAACATCTTGATCCTCCTCTTTACCACAACTTTAATTTTAGAAAGAAGCAATAATTTTTTCATTAAAATTTCCTTATTCTTTAATACACGATTTCTTTTGCTTATTTCTAATGAGAACATATTAAAGCATAATAATATGCAAAATACAAATTATCTTTCGTTTTAAATTGAAAAAAATTCTCACATAAATCCTTGACTCTAACAAGATAATTTTTAGATTTTTTGTTGCTATCTTTGCTTTATTCCAAGTTTATTGATGAAATTTACTTACAAAATCATAAATAAAAATAGATGAAATCTCCTTAGAGAATGCTAAGTAGGATATAAGTTAATCAAATTAAGTTGATAGCCTTCAGACAACTAAAAATACTTTAACTTCGGAATATTAATTGCAAGAGTGCTAAATTAGCTAGAAAAACTTAGCATTTATACAAGAGCCCTAGATAAATTAGAAATATTCTTGCAAAGCAAGATAAGTACCATTTACCACAGCTTTTACTGGCATTCCATGCTAACTTAATGATGACAATGAAGATAATATATAAAAATCAAACGGATTCAAAAGAGGAAAGTCTTAAAGCAATAGCGAAGCAATCAGAAGAAGACAGGAAACTGTGAACCTAAAGGATCGCTAATTTGGCATGTCAAATAAAAATAACTAAGAAGAAACAGAAAGCGACTCAGATGACTCTCTTTCAGATTCTGATTCATCTATTTCTAATAGTGACTTTTTGAACCAAAAATATTAATTAGACAACATTTAGGATAACTTGAATTAAAATCTTACATTCTAATCAACAAATGATATTTAATTCAACTTATACCCTTATTATTAATTCAATGGCTCATTATAAAATTAATACAATTATTTTGATACTAATTAATAAAATATAAAATTAAATGAAAATATACAATAAAATAATTTTAATTTAACTGCTGAGTAGTTGCAAGAAAGAAATTTCTAATAGCACCTATTAAAAAAAGGCATTCATAAAAATGATCATTTATCAGCTCAAAAGAAAAAATTCAAGTATGGATACAAAAATATGAGTAGAGAAGAATATTAAGAATATCGCATAAAAAAAGCTGAGAAGAGAGAGAAAAGGAGAATCGAAAAAGAATAAAATGCTGGATCTATCCAAACTGAATCTATTTACAAACTAGTTCTTGTAGAGTCTATTGAAAAACCTAAAAAAGCATATATTCCTAAAAAAATAAGAGAATAAATGGAGATGGAATAATAGTTAAATAGCGAAAATAGATGTAAAAGCGCTAGCTAAGTAAGCTAAGCAGAATAAACATAAACCAGAAAGACACTATAAAAGACAAACGATTAGTAATACGAAATATTTTAATTCTCAAGAACTTCTGAAAAGCCACTTGTCAGAACTGTATACAAAAAAGAGTTAGTTGTCTAATTCTAAGTAGAAACAGAAAATCCTTTTGCTTTGATGGAAATCGGAGTTTTCAATTATTAAGACAATATTGAATTCTATTTTATAAATAAATTCAAAATCATCAACAAATTTATAAACAGAAACTATAATCAAAATAAATACTTTGAGACTGAATTAACTTCAGAGGATTTCATTTTCAAAAATGGAACAAAATTTGAGTTTTCAGTCAAATACAACTGCATCATACTTAAAAATTTAGATACTTAAGAAAGCACCAACCTTTATTGTGATAAATATATAGCCTCTAATAAAAAATTAAATATTTTTATCCGTTTATTCAAAGGCGGAGATGTTGTTCATTTACTTTGATTCAATAACTAACTACTTTAACCAAAAAAAACAAATAAATGATTTTTAAATAATAACTACTTTGAAAAAAAAATACTAAACATAATAACATAACCTCATATACTCTTTTACAATAACTCATTTCAAAAAAATACTATTTATATTAATAACTATTAAATATTGAATATAAATAAATGGAATATTTTAAATATTTTATAATTAATTTTATTATTGTTTGTTTATTTTATGTATACATACACTCACACACAACTGATATAAATTTTTAAAAAATTAGTCTTTTAATTTTATTTAGAATTCTTGAAAAAAAATTGAATAAATGTTTATTGACTTTAAAAGTATTTTTAACATAATTTATTTAATTTAAGTATCAATAAAAATAATTTTTTCTTGTAGTTTTACTTATTCATTCATTTTATTCTTTTAAAATGATTGGTTGATTGTGTATGATGAGCTATTAATAAAACTTTAAAATAAAAATTATTAGTTTAAATCCAATAATTGAAACTGAATACAAAAAAATTTTTTAGATATTTAAAGAAATAAAATTATTTAGATACTGTTTTTTTATTTTTAGAAGATTTTTAATGATTTTAACTTACTTTTAACTAAATAATTTTGCTGACAAAATTAATCATTTTCTATGTGAAAATAAACCTATTAAAAAGATATAATAATATTTCAATTACACATTTTATAATATGAAAATGAAATATTAGAAATTTCTCAATTTTAAAAAAAGAAATAACTATATTTATTTAAAAATCAAGTTTATTTTGTTTCATTATAAATGGTAGAAAAAATCAATTATTTTTTTTACTTGAAATTAAAAGAACTTATATTACTATATAGTTAATTTAATTAATGTCTTTGTTAGGAATATTGATTACTGACTTTTTTATATTAATTTAATTGATAACTTACTGTAATAACATTTTTAAAATCTCTAAAAAATTAAAAAAAAAAAAAAAAATATATTTAATCACAAACAACAAGTAAATAATTTAGTCAGAACCTAAAAAATGAACTATCTTGACATATTTGGAAGCTAAATTTCAATAAGGTTTAAAGATTCCACAATTCATAAGACTAAATTTGGAGCATTTTTATCAGTTACTTTGTCTGTTATAGTATTACTAAGACTAGGAATTTTAGTTTTTTCTGCAGTTAGCGGAAGAAATCCAACTGTTCTTTTTTAAGAAAGAAAGGTGTCAGATCCAAAAAAGTTTGTCATAACTCCTAATACACTTTCTCTAGCTATGGGAGTTTTAGATATTAACGATAATTATTATAATGACAACAGATTATTCACAATTTAGGGAGTTCATAAGACAAAAAAAAATGTCTATAATAGTTAAACAGGTTAATTCGATTCAATTTTTAACTCAACGGTGTTTAGTCTAGTTAATTGTACAGACGACAATGTTCCTGACCCTCATTTAAGAGATTTTTTTCTTAAGTCATAGTTTTACATCCATTAATGCATTCCTAAAGACTTAGAAGTAGAGATTGAAGGGTAGTTCAATTCTGATTCATACCAAGAACTAAATTTTTATTTCATCAAATGTACTGGATAAGGTTGCAAAGATGAAAAAGAAATAGATGCTCTGGTGAACAACAACTTCATTGAATTATTATTTACAGATGTCTACTTTTCACCTGAAAACAAAGATAATCCTTTTGTAAAGTATTCAAGAGATTTGTATTGGGTTTCTAGCTAGAATCTCCCAAGGGAAGCTAACGTATTTATGAGAAATAATTATGTAGAAAGCGATTTTGGATGGGTTACATCTGATAAAAATACTTAAGTTTATCCTTCTTTTAGCTACGGCGACAATTAAGTCAGTTATTAATTTTTTAATTGAATTAACTTTAATTTTTTTTCTATTCTTATTTCTTTTGTTTCCTTTAAATTTTATTTCCAAATTTTCTACTTATTATACATTTTTATATATTGATCTTTACTGTTTAATTGCTTTTAATAAACAATAATAATTTTTTATAATTAATTTATAGATAGTTGATCCTTCCAATAATTTTTTCTTTCATCTAGTAATAAGATTTGAAAAAGAAAAAGAGAATTTATACAAAAGATCCTATGATAATTTATTTACTATTATGTCTTAAATAGGAGGTTTTTATTAAATTATTTTCACTATTTTTTCACTTATTTCGTTTAAATACACAAATATTCACTTTAGCAGATCTTTAATGAATAATTCATTTGATTTTAAAGATGTTACAAATAAACCAAATGATGATTTACAATTTAAAAATCTTTCTTAAATTAATAACTAGACAAATCCAATTATTTCCTAAGGTATTTAAAAATAAAGAATTCAAAATTACCCTACTTTTAGTCGGATTAATGAAACTGTGCAAAATCAAATAAAGTAATAGCAAAATACTTAAAGTTCTCCAATTTAATTTAGGGATCTTTCATATTCTATTGAAAACAAAAAGCAACATATTTATTGTGATAATTTAAATTTATCTTAACAAATAAATAAAAAAAAGAAAGATGAATAAAATTAAACATTGAAAAATGATGAAATTTTATAAGAATATAAATAATTTCAAGAATTTACATCAAAATATTCAATTTTGAAATTTAATGCCTTTTAATACTTGTTATTCCTTAAAAAATATCTGAAATTTATAACTATTATAACCTTTAATTTAGTGATATAGTTATGGTTATATGAGGAAAAATTTTAAATCAGCTTATATATTGTTTCATATTTTGCTTATAATCAACTATTTAAAAAAAAGTTAAATCTTTAAAAGTAGGTATTAATTTATTGATAGTTGTAGTAAAATTAGTAATTTGAGAAACATTCATTTTATATTTAATACCTAATCCTGTTGGTTGTGATAGATTTGAATTAAAAGATTACTGACATCACTTACTTAAAAAGAAGCAAATTAAAATTTTTAAAAGTACAATAATTAAACAAAATTTGTTTATTTTATATATTAAATTTTGAATTTTAAGCTACTTTCATTGAAATCTGTTGTTTAATTAATAAAGTAAAAAGTGGTTAAAACAAAGTAAATTTAGAGTCTATTTTATTTTTTTATAATATTTTAAAATCAACAATTTATCTAATTAAAGAAAATAAAGTTTATGAAAACGGTAAAATAGGTATACATGCTAATAACCATTTTTTAAAATTAGTGTAATCAAAATAATTAGAAGTATCTGTTATTTAAATTATTGATATTTTATAATCTTAAAATGATAAGAATTGAATATTTTTACTTTATAATGTGTTGACATACATTAAAAATACTATGAATTTGTCATACATAAGAAGCTATTAGAATAATCTTTTTTGATTTTAAATTATTAATCTATATTTATTGTAAAATTATTATTTAATGCTGTTTACGATGTTGGCTTTACTATTAGAAAGGTACCAATATCAGCTATTTGAGAAAAAGATAATATAATTAATTTGTATTTAATGTTGTTTGTTTAGTTAAATTTTTTGTTAGATAGCCTGTAGTTGTGTGGCTAATAAATCTTCTCTAAAAATTTATTCTTCAAAATTTTCATAGCTTAAAAATTTATATGTATCATTTATTAATTTTTCATTATTTATTAATTATTTTTTAATTTTTGAATAATAAAAGAAATATTTTTTAATTTTTTAATGAAAAATATGAATGTAAGCATAAAAGCTTAGTTTAATTTTGTTTTAAAATTATCATATAATTATTTTTTTTATTTCTATTTACTAAATTTGAGTTTGGAGTAATGAAACTGAGAATTTAGATAATTTGGAAAAATTTAATTATTGAAGAATAAAGGGAAAAAAAAAACTCACATTCATATTTTTAATATTAATATTAATTATAGTAGAGTAAAAAATTAATTTTTGAGATAATAAAATTTAATTAAAATTATTCTTCTAATATTTATCACATAGACAATAGACAGACGATATGAAAAATGTTTTTCCATTTAAGTTTAATTTCTAGAAAAATTTATCTGAGAAAGAAGTTCCAATCTAGCTCACTTTTAATAATTAAATTAACATAATTGTCTAATAATTCAATCTATTTTTTGTAATGAAATATTTTTGTTATAATTTTTTTCAAAATAAGATTTTAATTTAAAAATTTTTTTTATAAATAAAATTTTAATTTAAAAATTTTTTAAAAATAATCATAAGAATAATTTTTAAATAAACTAAAGAGAGTACCTAGTATTAGATTCCTTAAAATTTTTATATAAAGATTAGATTGATTATATTGACATTTGTTAAAGTAAAGAAATTTATGTCTCCTATTTTACTTTCATTACTAAGATATAAATTATTTTGATTATTAGAATTTTTGACAAACAAATTATTTCTAAACGTCTTACTAATTAATACCCTTTAATAACTTTTAGTATTAATCAATATTCGCTTATATTAATTGTAAGCATAAATACTTTTACTCAATATTTTAATGAAATAAATGAAAACAAAATTTTCATTGAAATTTTCTGAATATTAAATGAGTGATTTAAAGTATTTTTTATATTATTTTCAAATATTTTTTAAAATTTTGTTTATTTTATGTCTATTTTTTGTTTAAATAAATGAGTAATCTATTTTTTCACTATTTTGATTGATTAGCTAATTTTTTTCCTTAATTAATGATTGTGGCAATTTATTTCAAGAATTTTTACTTCAAAGCAAATAAGAAAATTCTAAATTTTTATTTATTATATGTAAGATAAAAAAAGTAAAAGTCACAAATCAATATAGTTTGTTTTATAATTATTAAATTAGATTATAATTTATCTATACTTCAAAGACAACAATTTTATTTTTCAAGCATACTTGTAAATGCAACCATAATTTAAAATTTAATAACTTGTATTATTATAAATTTATTTTATTTTACAAGCGATTAATATTTAAAACTAATTATTTTGCTTCAAATATTTTGTCAGTAAGAATTTATAAGATATACTTCATAATATTGTAAATTAGTTCTTTTAACTATAATTAAAAATAGAAACAATATTACATCTTTATGCGCAAATTAATTTGTTAAATACTTTTAAAAATAAAAAATGCTTGGAATTTGGAGAAAATCAGTAGCAAATTTATCTTATTAATAAACAAAATTTGAATATTTTGGTATTGTATTAACAAAAATATATTTTAAAAATTTTAATAACGAATAATACAGTTAACATATTTATAATAATAAAAATAATAAAAAAACGTAAATTTATTACTACTTCAATTATATTCAATAAAATAAACAAACAATTTGTGTTGAATCTACTTAAATATTTAAAATTCTCAAATCAATTTAAATTCAATCATTAAAATCTTAGTGTTACATTTTTTTAGATTAGATTGAGCAAAATTAATTGAATTCGTTTAAATTAAATTAAATAATACTTCTAATTAAGTAGCTATTAATATTTTTTCATACTTTTATGGACATATATATTTGGATTTTCAATAAAAATTTACTAAATAAATTCTGTGTTTTCAATTTAGTAAAACATAAAAATTTTCGATTTTTTCAATTTCTTTTCCCTCATATTTTGATCAAAACTCTGAAGGGGAAAAAAAAATAAAGCATTCTTCTAGTTTAATTAGAAATTAAAATTAATGTTGATTGAAGTATCATAAATATATTTTGAAAGAAAGATTTATTTTTTTTGAGAAAGATATTTCAACTTAAAAGTAAATTTTAGAATAATATTTCGAAACAAAAATATTTATTAGTTTTATTTACATAATTTTTTATATAAATTGTATATATTAATTTAAAGAGAAACTTTCATTTAATAAAAAATAAAGCTTACTTAAATTACTTCGAAAATGTCTTATTTTTCTTACTTTTTGGTTTATTCATGTTTGTATAAATAAACTAAAACAATTACTATGATTACATTTACAGTTTTACTACATTCTACTAATTTTATTTTTTATCATTTATTAAAATCAATTTGAATGTTTAAGTTGAAAATCTAATTTATAAAATTAGAAGAAGTAATCTAAGCCATGCTTTTAAAAATGATCAGCCATTAAAAATCACTCCATTAAATTAAGCTTATTAATAATTTAATTCATGAATATTGATTTATTTTTATTACAATTATTTGTTGGATTTGATTTGTTTATAATAAATTAGAAAATCTAAATTACATAAAAATAAAAAAAAGCAAAAATTAATTAATTAATCAAAATTGATAAGTCAATCAAATAAATGAATAAGCTCGATATATTTGGAAGTTAAGTTTCTGTAAGATTTCAGGGATCTTCAATCCATAAAACTAAATTTGGAGCATTTTTAACTATGGTTTTATTCTTAATAATAATGCTAAGATTAGGAATTTTAATATACAACGTACTTGATGGAAGAAATCCAACAGTTCTTTTTTAAGAAAGATAGGTATAAGACCCAAAAAAATTTGTCATAACCCCTGATACCCTTTCTCTTGCTATTGGAGTTCTTGATACTAACTATAACTATTATATTGACAATAGCTTATTCACAATATAAGGAGTACATAAGACAAAATAAAATGTATACAACTAAACTACAGGTCAGTATGATTAAATTTTCTAATCAAGAGTGTTTAATCTAGTTAATTGCACTGATGATAATGTGCCTGATCCTAAATTAAGAGAATATTTTCTCAAATCCTAGCTTTATATGCATCAATGTATTCCAAAAGATATGGTATTGGAGATTGAAGGATAGTTCAACTCTGACTTTTACTAAGAGCTTAATTTTTACTTTTACAAATGTACTGGAAATGGATGCAAAGACGAAAAATAAATAAATGCTCTAGTAAATAACAATAATATCGAGCTATTATTTACAGATGTTTACTTTGCACCTGAAAACAAAGATAACCCCTTTGTAAAATTTTCAAGAGATTTATACTGGATTACCAGTTAAAATCTTCCTAGAGAAGCTAATGTTTTTCTTAGAAACAACTATGTTGAGAGTGATTTTGGATGGATAACATCAGATATCACAACTTAAGTTTATCCCTCTTTCAGCTACAATGACGATTAAGTAAGTTACTCAATTTTTGTTTAAATAATTTTAAATACCTATTTTTATTCTTTTAGTTTCTTTAAATATTTGATGATTTAGAAAAAAATTTTCTTCAATTTTAAGAAAAAGTTAAAATTTGATCTTCTTCAATTTTTTAAGTAGTTCTACAAAATAAATATATTGATTTTTTCATTTATGATGTTGAGTTTTTTTTTTTTTAATTATTCTTTTACAATATTTAATTTTATATCTAAAATAGATAGTTGATCCTTCAAATCAATTTTTCTTTCATTTAGTTATAAGATTTGAAAAAGAAAAAGAAAATTTATATAAAAGAACTTATGATAATTTATTTACAATTATGTCTTAAATTGGTGGTTTTTCTTAAATTTTGCTCACAGTCTTTTCATTTATTGGTTTTAGATACTCAGAAATTCATTTAAGTAGATCTTTAATTAATTAATCATTAGACTTTTAAGATGTCACAAATAAGCCAAATTAAGGCACACTGATATCAAACCCTACTTAGGTTAATATTCATCCTCTTAATAACAACAATATTAAAGATAATAATATTATAGATGGAGCAGATTCTTAGGGTATTTAAAAATAAATACACTAAAAATAAGCTACTTTTAGCCATATTATTAATGAAAAGTCCATTATTAATGCAAATTAACTTGAAAATGCTAACTTTTCTCCTATTTTCTCTAAAGATATTAAATACTGTCTTGAAAATAAAACTAATTAAAATTAACTAAATTTATCATAAATGCTAAATAAAAAAAATGTAGAAGATTAAAAATAAAAATTAAGTGAAGAGGATATTTTGTAAGAATACTAAAAATAACTAGAGATTACCTAAAATTACTCAAAGTTAAAATTTAATGTTTTTTCTTATATGCTATCATTTGCTACAAAAGCTTTTAAGAGTTTTAGGAATAAAAAAAAAATAATTGACTATGCATTCAAAGAGATTGATAATAACTTAGACATTGAATACATAATCAAAAAATTTGTAGAAATAGATAAATTAAAAAGAATTTTACTTAATGATGATTAATTAACTTTATTCAATTTAATTCCTAAACCCCAAATACTTTACAAAGTTGATCAAAAATAAGGTGTTGTTATCGAGAAAAATTCATTGTTAAATAATAAGGAAAATTTAAGTAATTTTGAATAATTTAAAAAGGCGAAATAAAGCTTTAAAAATATTTACGGGAAGCAAAAATAAACCAAAATCGATTTAAGTATTTTAAATTTGATAGATGATAAGCAGTATCAAATGTTAAGCAATTAATTGCCTACAAAATAATCCTAACAAAATTATTAATAGTAAATGATAAAAATGCAAAATTTATAAAATAATTTCCCTTATAATCTTGAGTAATCATCAAGTGCTAATTATGGGAAAAACTAAGTAAATTAAGATGAAGGACCTTAAGATAGTTCTGAAGATTATTTTGATTAAAATAAAATAAAAAAATATTCTACATTAAAAAAAGTAAGAAATCCTAGTCTTTACTCCTCTACTTCAAATTAAGAAAGGTAACTAACTTTTCATAATGAAAACTTATTTAAAAATATTTTTTTAAAATAGGAATAACATTTATTAAATATAAGACTATGTTGAAGAACACTTGTGAGTTTTTAGCTGTATAAAGAAATTTAATCTTTATTATAAGTTTAGAGTGAGTTAGAAATCAAACAATAATTAATTACTTTTTGTTATCAAGAAATATTTTAAGTTAATGATTTATTCTCAATATTTTAAAATTGAATAATTTATTTTTCTCCTTTATTTGTTTTATATAAATTTTGTTATTGTTTAATTGGAAAGTAAGAGTGGTATTTTACGTTTTTAAATCAACTTTAATGAATTTAATTTATTATTATTATTATTCTATGCGGATGACCTTGTACTAATTTTTAATATGTAAAACCTAGATGAGCTTTTGTTTAATATGAGAATAATCTTTAAAAAATATAACCTAATAATAAATAATAATAAATCGGCTATTATGCCAATAAAAAATGATCCTAAATCCCTTTTTTAAACTTCAGCTTGGTATGAGTTAGGTAAAAAATTTTGGAGAAAATTAATAGTTACTCTAATTAATGAGGATTGATTGTATAAATATAATTTCTACAAAAGTAAAATAACTGATTAAAAATTTTAATGTCTTAGAAAATAAATTTTATTTGTATATTATTTTTATTTAATTTTCCTTTTTTACATTTTTAGACATAGTGATTTTAGATGATTTATTTTTATTTGATCATTTATATTCCTTCTTAGAGATAACAAAATATTTATGAAATTTTATTTTTCTTTGAAGTGACTGATGTCATTAATCATTAATTCTTTTTAATTATAAGAATATTTTTGAATTTCTTTTTTAGTAAGTGTAATCCTTATTATTTTTTAATTTTATAAAATTAAAAATATCTTAAGTTCTCTAAAAAATTACTTTGCTTTATTATTTCTTTATAAAATATTTTAAAAAGTGTTATACCAAAATACATTATTCCTTCTTAAATTAGAAAAGGTAAATAAAACTTAAGAGCAAAAACAATAAAAAGCGATACAATTTTATTTTTTTTAAATTTCAATTAATATATTTTTAGATATTATCTATTTTATTGAATATATTATTCGAAAATAAAATTTTCTTCATGATTTAAATAAATCCTTTTTAATTTGGACATTGAGAATGTACATTTTATAAAATAAATATTGCTTAAATATAGATTATTTAAAAATAATTGATGTTAATCATTTAGCAAGCTATCATCAAAAGATAAGGTGGTTAAATGTAGGCTTTAGCAAAATGAAGCCAATATTTATTATTATAAAAAGTTTAAGTAAATTAAGTCTATATTTTTCTATAGTTTCTTAAATATTTTTCTAAATGATTTTGCATTCTATATTTTAAATAACAGCTATCAATAAATGGCTTCTATAAAAATTTAAGCCTATTACTAAAGTAAAAAAATGAAATTTGAAAATAACTTTTAAAGTGTAGTCTTTTTTAAATGATGTTATTTAATATTTATTTTTATAGAAAATATTAAGATAATTATTAACAAACACTCTTCATAAAACAATATGAATATTGTTTTTAGAAAATTTTGAATTTAATTATTTTGTTTGTGATGATATGAATATGTTTTCCTTTTTATTTAAGCAGCTGAACATATATGTTATATATATATAATTTTTTTGAAGTTTTCTATATTGAAAATGAAAAATATTTCTAAATTAAATCAGAGAAAAATTTTTTAAAATATTTGCATATTTGTTATAACAGCCCAACATAAAGAGGCGGCAACAAGAAAATTTTGTCAAATAGGAAAATTTGTTCTGTATTTAAGTTATTTTATAGTCATATTTTTTATTTCTTACTCAAACTTCTCATTCTGTAATTTATTTTGTTTAATTTATATACATTATCCATCAAAAATTTGAAAAATAAAATTTAGTTTTTAAAAAAGAAATTAAATATTAGCCACATAAATATATGAATTTATGGGATATCAAACTAGGTTTCAAACAAATTAAGACTTGTCTTACAAAGAAAACAAAGCTTAAATATAATAATTTAAAAAATATATTAATCTTACTTTATATTATAATGAGGTATATAATAGATAAGTAGAATTATAACCCAACCCCATAAGGTTCATACTTTGATCTTAAATTTTTCACATTTACCTTGAGATAAGAAATTTAATAAAATCAAATTTGTATTATAATCAAATAATCATGAGTCAAAATAAAAACATTATAAACATTTTTCATCTTATGTTTCAATAATCATGAACTCATCAAACAAGATATTTCTTTTACATATTTACATATAAATAAATATATTTATTAAGGATAATTCTTTAATTAATATTGTATGTCCATGATTTAATGACAAATTAAGTTTTTAAATTATTTAAATCAATTTATTTTGACTGGTTGCTTGTTCTTAATACTTATAATAGATAAAATATATAATATTAATAATCATTTACATTTCATTCTAAATAAACAAATAAATAAATTATGGCTCCAAATGGTAAAGGAAGAAAAAAATGTAAATAAAAAGATTTTAGAGTTTTCATATTGGAATTGTTTGGTGCTTATGACTTTTTCTAAAAATAACTTTATTTAATTTACTTACTGGCTGTATTATTTTTTAAATTAACTTTTAGCTTAATCATAAATTGTATAGAAAAAAAATTTTTTTTTTTTAAAAAAACAGTATTAGTCTATATTGTTAGTATATTTATTATTCAATAATAAATACTAAGCTCATAAAATATTATTAAATAAGTAATTACTAATCAGATATTATGATATTATAATAGCTCTAAAAAGTATCATAATAATTACAAATATCAAAATCAAAAGAATACTTTTAGAATTTTAAAATTTACCATGATTTAAATTTGCTTAATGAAATTAAAATAAATATACTTTAATAAAAAGAACAAAAATTAAAAGGCATAAATTAAAGAGAATATTTGTCCTTGGAACACTATCGAAAATTATTTAAGCATCATTTTTAGTGGATTTGCGAGTTCAATATATAAGTAAATTTATAGAATGAAATGTATTATTATGATTATAAACTAAAAAAAAAAATAAGATTAAAAACTTTTTAAATCCATAGCTTGTAATAATCATTACGCTAGTACATTATTAATAGTCAATAATTAAAATAAAAAATTAAATTTAATTAACCACAAAATTGAGTTTTTATAACTTTGAATTACTTTTAAACTGTTTACATGATTATATAAATTGGCTATAAAAATAAAGTCAAGTATAGCTAAACGCCTAATTAAAATCTAGTGGTATGGCAACCTCTAGATATTAATTAGGCTAGGTTTTTAAATAAAAAATAATTTTATTAAAGAATTTATAAAATTTTTAATTTATTACAATCTAATTTCCAAAATTAACTTTTATACAACAATTTACCTTCCTTGATTTCAAAAGAAATTAATTATTGCTTTTTTAGATTATGAGTGGCAAGAATTATAAATCAAATGTGAAAATTAAAATTTAAAGTAGAACATCGCTTATCTTTTTACTATTATGTTACACACATAGAAAAAATAATTTATGATAATAGTTAAATGCAAAGAAAAGATAAACATTATTATTATAAATATAATAAATATATTAAATACAAAAAACTAAAAAGTAAATGAATAAATTTGACATATTTGGTAGTCAGGTTTCAGTAAGATTCTAGGGCTCATAGATCCACTAAACTAAATTTGGTGCTCTCCTTACCATTTTATTATTTAGTTTTGTTTTCATTAGATTAGGGATCTTAATAATCTCAGTGATTTATGGAAAAAATCCAACAGTCCTTTTCTAAGAAAGATAGGTAACGGACCCTAAAAAGTTTGCTATAACTCCTAATACTCTCTCTCTTGCTCTAGGAGTTTTAGATGTTAACTATAACTATTACATTGACAATACCTTATTCATAATATAAGGACTCCATAGGACTAAATAAAATGTATTCAATATCACAACAGGTTAGTATGACTAAATTTTTAACACAAAATTGTTTAATCTAGTTAATTGTACAGATGATCATGTTCCTGACCCTAAATTAAGAGATTTTTTTCTCAAGTCGCAATTTTACATGCATTAATGCATTCCGAAAGACTTGGTAGTTGAGATTGAAGGTTAGTTCAATTCTAATTCTTACCAAGAATTAAATTTCTATTTCACTAAATGTATTGGATAAGGTTGTAAAGATGAAAAAGAAATAGATGCTCTGGTGAACAACAACTACGTCGAATTACTATTCACAGATGTATATTTTGCGCCTGAAAACAAAGACTATCCTTTTGAAAGATTTTCAAGAGATTTGTATTGGATTACAAGCTAAAATCTGCCAAGAGAATCTAGTGTATTTATGAGAAATAATTATGTAGAAAGTGATTTTGGATGGGTCACATCTGATATCTCAACATAAATTTATCCTTCATTCAGCTATAGTGATAGTCAAGTAATTTTATTTTGATGAATACATTTACTAAAGTTATTTTTCTCATTCTTATATCTATTATTTGTTTAAATATTAGAATTTTAATTTTTACTTTTTTATTAGATAGTTGACATTTCAAATGGTTTTTTCTTTCATTTAGTTGTAAGATTTGAAAAAGAGAAAGAAAATTTATATAAAAGGTCTTATGAAAATTTATTTACAATTATGTCATAAATTGGTGGTTTTACTCAAATTTTGCTTACAATTTTTTCATTTATATGCTTGAGATACTCTGAAATTCACTTAGCTAGATCTTTGATTAACTAGTCTTTTGATTTTTAAGATATAACAAATAAACCTAACAATGATATCTTAATTTCGAATCCTACATAATAACAATAAAATAATACAGAAGTAATTGATGATTAAGCAGCTTAAAATAGATAAATATACAAATTTTATAACCCCTCTCCAATAAAAGAAAACTCATTTTAACTAACATCTGCTTATCGTGATCAATGTTCACCAATTTTAACATCTCATTAGAAAGATTCTAATAATAAGGCTGATTTAATCTAGCGAAATGAGCATGAACACATTACTTAACAGATAACTATAAAAGATATCCAAAGTGGTGGAAAAGCATTCACAGATGATGAAATTCTGAAAGATTACAAGAAATAATAAGAATTGATTTAAAATAGATAGAGCATACACTTCAATATTTTTTCTTATATGCTATCTTTCGTAGCTAAAATTTTTTAAAGTTTTAGAAATAAAAAATAGGTGATTGATTACGGTTTCAAAGAGATTGATAATAATTTAGACATAGAGTACATCATCAAAAAATTTGTAGAAATCGACAAATTAAAAAGAATCATACTTAATGATGACTAGCTTACTTTGTTCAACTATATTCCCAAACCATAAATTCTTTATAAAGTAGATAAATAGGGAGTTGTTATTGAAAAAAATTCTTTTTTTTGCAAAGATGATAACTTTAAATGATTTCGAAAAGTTCAAATTGGCCAAGCAAAGCTTAAAAAATATTTTTGAAAAGCAAAAACAAACAAAGATAGACTGTAGTATTTTGAATTTACTTGATTTCAATCAATACGAAATACTAAGCAATTAGTTGGACAAAAAGTAATCCCAATAAAAATACAATTAGATGCTCAAATAAATGTAATTATCAAGAAGATTTTAAAGCATGTATCCAGTATCTCCAAATTTGTTGGCTTGTAAATCAGACTCCATTTTCGAAGAATAACAATAATTAGAAAAACCTAAGTATGAAAATTTCTAACTATAAAATAAATTGAATAAATATTAAACTCATATAATGGTTAGAAATCCTAGTATTTACTCTTGCACTACAAGCTAAGAATAGTAAATTTTTTTAAATATATGAATTTAAAGTAAATATTAATTTTAAAAAGAAAATAAGAATATACTTTTAAAGATGCAATAGAGGAGAATCTCAGATGAATAAATTTTCTTGTTATTTAAATTAAATATTATTATTTTACTATATTTGTTAGTTATATTTTTTATGGATTTTTTTATTTTTAACTGAAGATTATAACTTTTTATTAACTGCTAATTTATTTATTATAATAAATTCTATTCATAAATTTTAGAGATATTATATGATGGACTGCAAGAATGGATACCCTACTTTTATTAAAAAATAACAAAATTTGATTATTTTTTATGATAAATTTGAGATTTTTTCATAAAAATCAAAAGCATTTTTTTATATTTTTTGTACAAATTTATAAATATTTTGATGACGCACTATCTTTTATTCAACATTTCAAAATATATCAGAAATTCAAGTTTGATTTTAATGCTATTTTTAGACTTACTATTTATTTTTAAAAGAATTTAAATATTTTAAGAAATTAGTTTTAAAATATGTGTTGAGATATTTAAAAAGTACTTATTTCGATATATTTATTAAATAAATTGAATAAAATCAAGATAAATTTTATAGTAGAAAATATTGAAGCATATTAAAAAATAATCATCAATAATAAACAAAGAAGATATAAATAAAATTTACTATTTAATTTAAATAAAGAAAAATCATAACATTATTTATTCTTTAATGAATTGGGATTAAAATTTGAAAAACTAATTAATGTTAATAATTGTAAATTAAAGCAAGCAGTAAAAAGTCGTTTTCTTCAATTTATTTCTTACTTGTTTTTTTCTTACTTTGTTTTTTGTTTCTTTTTTGCTAAAATGTAAAATTTTTTATTTCAACAAGAAAAGAAAATTAATTTGGATTTAAAATTATGTTTAAATCGAGAAATAAAGAAGCATTTATAATTAAAATAATCGCATCATAAATTAAAAGAATAAAAAAATTTAAAAGTAAATGAATTAATTTGATATATTTGGCAGTTAAGTTTCTGTTAGATTTAAAGGATCTTAAATTTATAAAACTAAGTTTGGGGCTTTTGTTTCAGCTCTCATATTTGCTGTGATTTTGCTTAGACTAGGAATATTAGTGCACTCTGTAGTTCAAGGAAGGAATCCTACAGTACTCTTTCAAGAAAGACCTGTGTAAGATCCAAGAAAGTTTAGTATTACTCCCGATACTCTTTCTCTTGCTATAGGACTCTAAGATACACATTTTAACTACTATGCTGACAATAGCTTATTCACAATATAAGGAGTACATAAGATTAAAAAAACTGTTTACAATAGTACAACAGGTCAATATGATCAAATTTACACATCAAACAAATTTAACTTAGTTAATTGTACAGATGATAATGTTCCTGACCCTCAATTAAGAGATTTTTTCCTCAAATCTTAACTCTACTAGCATTAATGTATTCCTAAAGATTTGATTGTAGGGATCGAAGGATAGTTCAACTCTGATTTTTACTAAGAGCTAAATTTCTATTTCTATAAATGTAAAGGACAGGGTTGCAAAAGCGACAAAGAAATCAATACCCTTTTGAATAATAACTATGTTGAACTACTGTTTACAGATGTTAACTTTGCTCCAGAAAATAAAGAAAATCCATTTTAAAAATTCTCTAGAGATCTTTATTGGATTAATAGTTAGAATCTCCCAAGAAATGTTAATGTTTATATGAGAAACAATTATGTAGAAAGTGATTTTGGATGGGTGACTCCTGATGTCGAAACATAAATATATCCTTCTTTTAGTTATGTTGATAACCAGGTAATTTCTACTTTAGTTAAATAATATTAATTTGAACGTTTCTTAACTTTTATCAAAATTTATTTGTCCAGTAATTAATTATTTAATTTTATTATTATTATTATTAGATTGCTGATTCCTCTATTGGTTTTTTCTTTCACTTAGTTATAAGGTTTGAAAAAGAAAAAGAAAACTTATACAAAAGAACTTATGATAATTTATTTACAATTATGTCATAGATTGGTGGTTTTTCTTAGATCTTGCTCACAGTATTTTCATTTATTTGCTTGAAGTACTCATAAATTCACTTAGGCAGATCTTTGATTAACTAATCTTTTGATTTTTAAGATATCTCAAAAGAACCTAATTAGGGTACATTGATTTCTAATCCAACATAATAATAGAATAATACTGAGATGGCAGAAAATTAGGTTTATTAAAATTAAAATAACAATAAACTATTTAACTAATCTCCCCCTATGAAAGAAAGCTCATTTTAACTGCAAACCAGTTAGAAAACTCCAGATTAATTATATTAATCTAAAGAAGATAAAATTTCTCTGGTTTAATAAGCACAGATTAATCCATTAGATGATACATAATAATAACAATAAATAAATCAAAGAAATAATTAAAACATAGGTAAATAATTAGCAGACGATGTTATTATGAAAGATTATTAAAAATAGCAAGAAGTGCAATAAAATAGATAAAGTTTGCATTTTAATGTTTTTTTTTATATGCTATCATTTATAACTACGATTTTTAAAAGATTTAGAAATAAAAAATAGGTAATTGATTATGGATTCAAAGAAATAAGTAATAACTTAGACATTGAATATATTGTCAAAAAGTTCATAGAAGTAGATAAACTAAAGAGAATTATACTAAGTAACGATTAGCTGACTTTATTTAACTACATCCCTAGACCATAAATACTTTATAAAGAAGACAAAACGCAAGGAGTTATAATAGAAAAAAATTCTTTTTTTAATAATGATGATAACCTCAGTGATATCGACAAATTTAAAAAGGCTAAGTAATGCTTTAAAAATATTGCTGAAAAGTAAAAGCCTACTAAAATTGATATAAGCATCCTAAATCTGCTTGACGATAAATAATATGAAATATTATCTAGTAAATTAGATAAGAAATAATTCTTATAGAGATAGCAATCAATTTTAAAAGAATTATAAGCCATGCAACCTGTTTCACCATCTTATAATTTATCATAAGGTATGACTACAAAATTTGCATTAAAACACCCAAATTCAGAAGAAGGAGTATGTGATAGTATAGAAGATTGTTTTGATTCAGGCAAAATAAAAAAATACTCTACATTTAAAAAGGTAAGAAATCCAAGCATGTATTCTACAATTTCAGACTAAGAAAAGTAATTATTTATTTATTTATTTATTTATTTATTTATTTATTTATTTATTTCATAAAATTAAAATGATGATGAATCTTTTTATCAAAAATAGAATTGTCAATTACTCCTAAAAAGATTCAATTGATGAAAAATACTGATGAAACTTTTAGAGATCTCTATTTTTTACAAAATACTACATAAGTAGATAGTAAAATTTTAGAATAAATTTAATTAGTTATTAATAATATTTATTAATCAATTAAAATAGATATATTTTTGTTTTTATTTTTATTATTTTTATTTGTTTTAGCACTTTTTATTTCTGATATACTTACTTACTTACTAATGATTTTTTATATTTAGATATTTACAAAAAATATTTATGTAAAAATTAAGCCTAATTATAAATTAGTCTAATCAAGCTTATTAGTAATTAATTTGTTAATTAGATGTGAGATTCTAATTAATTTATAAAAAAATAATATTTCAATTTTTATAGAGTTTTTAGTGTTTGTTATTGTGAATCAAGTTAAAAGATAAATAATTAATTTTAAGTTTTCAGTAAAAAATATTTAAAATTTTAAAAAGAAAACGCGAAATTAATATATAAAAAAATTTGAAACAGTGTGAATTTCAAAGTTCTAATATTATTAAAAGTAATTAAAATTGAATTAACCACAGAAGCAGATGGAACTAATGATATTTCATAAGAGGTTTTTTAACTTATTCTCGAAATTTAATAAACTATGTTTACTTGTCCTTTTTAATTTGAATTATCAAATATTTTAATAATAATCAAATAAATTATTTTGAATAAAAGCTCAATTTATTTTTCTGTGATTATTATTTTAATGTAATATGGTATTAATAGCATAGTAATAATTAATCATATATTATAATATTATATGAGCTTAATTAAAACAAATAAAATAAATTTTAATAAACTTTTGTTAAAATTTGATAATAACAAACAATAAAATTCAAGTATTTAAAAAATTAAATTCTAAAGAATAAATCATATTTATAAATAGGAAAAAATGAAGATAGGAGTGTAAGAGATTTCATAAAATAAATGTTAATTCTTTTTTAAATTCCAAAAATAAATTTATTATTTATTTATTAATTAATTAATTACACTTAGTATTTTTTACATTTAACTAAAATATCAATTTTATAGAAAATATTTTTAATAATATAAAAAAAATATTAGCCTCTACAATCTTTAAGATATGATAGATTTATATTCTCTTAGATTTATTAAGTTAATCAAGTGTGATATTAATTACTCATATATTATGATAAAAAAAAAGTTATCAAAGATTTCATATCAATTATAAATTAAAGTTAATATAATAATTTTTATATTTTATAGTAATATATACAATAAAATTTAAAATGGCATTTTACAAAAATTGCATATTTAAATGAATATTTACTATTAAAAAATTAGTATTTTTATTCATTGATAAATAAATAAAAAGATATTGGCACTAAGAAACTTGCTGAGTATTTTTTTATAATTAAACAAATAAGAGTTTGCAGAGTCAATATAAATTAGATTTAAATGAAGAAACAAATTATTATTAATAGTCCTAATTAATTAAAAATCTAAAAAGGAAGTTAAATATAATAGGTATTTTGAAATCAATACTTTTTAATAAACTTTAACCATAAAACTTTGATAATCTTAAGTAATTTTGATACAAATAAATTAAATTTCATTAAAAGCATGAGAAATAATTTATAACGCTAGATTACTACGATAATTTCTAATTCATTTAAAATAATGTTTTGAATTCATTTAAAAAAATTCAATAATAATGAAATCAAATATTAAATTTAGTAACCAAAGCATTATGCTATATTTCAAATTTCATATAAAAATTAGAGCAGGGTAGATATAAATTTATGATATCATTAAAAACATATATATATTTAATAAAAAAAAAAAAAATTTTTTTTAAGCTAATTTTTGTATTCAAAAAACTCCCCAAACAAATATTAATCAAAAAATACATATTTTTAAATAGATTTTAAACTTTATTACACAATTTCTAGTGCTATTTTAAATGTAGAAAATTTTTTGTTTTGTTATAATTAGATTATATCTTTTTTTAAGAAATTTAAGTAAGGCACAAAAGTATAATTTAAAGTAAAAGGTTGCTTGGATTTTAATATATTTCTTAAGTGACAGATTTATCATCATAATTCAAAAGATAATAATAAATTTATAAAATATTAATCTAAAAAAAATATAAAAATTTTGAACATCAATGAATCAATTTGATATATTTGGAAGCTAAATTTCTGTTAGATTACATGGATCATAGATACATAAAACTTAATTTGGAGCATTCCTTACGATTATCTTATTTAGTTTTATATTAGTTAGATTAGGAATCTTAGTATTTTCAGTAATTAATGGAAAAAATCCAACAGTGCTTTATCAAGAAAGATAAGTATAGGACCCAAAAATGTTTTCCATTGCTCCAGATACTCTCTCTCTTGCTTTAGGAGTTTCAGATATGAAATACAACTAGTATATTGATAATAGGTTATTCACAATATAAGGTGTACATAAGACTAAATAGAACGTATACAATAGCACAACATGTAAATATGATCAAGTTTTTAGTGAAAAAGTGTTTAATCTAGTTAATTGTACAGATGATCATGTTCCTGACCCTTAATTAAGAGAGTTTTTTCTGAAGTCTCAACTCTATATGCATTAATGCATTCCGAAAGATTTGTTAGTTGAGATTGAAGGATAGTTCAACTCAGATTCTTATCAAGAACTAAATTTCTATTTTTATAAATGCACTGGATAATATTGTAGAGATGAAAAAGAAATTAATGCTTTGGTGAATAACAACTACATTGAACTTTTATTCACAGATGTCTATTTTGTACCTGAAAACAAAGATAATCCTTTTGTAAAATATTCAAGAGATTTATACTGGGTTACTAGCTAAAATCTCCCTAAAGAGGTAAACATATTTATGAGAAACAATTATGTAGAAAGTGATTTTGGATGGGTTACATCCGATATCAAAACATAAATTTATCCATCGTACAGCTATAGTGATAATCAAGTAAGTTTTAATTTGATGAATTAATTTAATAAAGTTATTTGAGTTATTTGTTCTTTTTCTTACTTATCTTTATTATATATTCATCTAATAAAATTTTAATTTTTAATTTCTTTAAAGATAGTTGATACTTCTAATGGATTTTTCTTTCATTTAGTTATAAGATTTGAAAAAGAAAAAGAAAACCTATACAAAAGATCTTATGACAATTTATTTACAATTATGTCTTAAATTGGTGGTTTTTCTCAAATTTTACTTACAATTTTTTCTTTTGTTTGTTTGAGATACTCCTAAATTCACTTAGCCAGATCTTTAATTAATAAATCTTTTGAATTTTAAGATGTAAGTAATAAAACTGATTAGGGTATTTTGATTTCTAATTCGACTTAGTGTTAAAATAATATAGAAATAATTCAAAATTAATCTTAAAATAAATAAATGTAAACATTATTCTGTCCCCCTTCATTAAAAGGAAGCTCATTTTAATTAAAATCTCCTTCGTGTGATACATGTTCGCCAATTTTAGCATAAGATTTGAAAGTTTCTAAAATAGATTTTACTAAACAAAACTAACATTAAGAAAAAACATAATAATTATGTCAAAAATATACCAATAATATAAGTAAATAATTAACTGATGAAGAAATTATGAATGATTACAATAAATAATAAGAAATAGTTTAAAATAGGTCAAGCTTGAACTTCAATATTTTTACTTACATGCTATCTTTCGTATCTAGAGTTTTTTAAAGCTTTAAAAATAAAAAACAGGTGATTGATTATGGAATCAGAGAGATTGATAATATCTTAGACGTAGAATATATAATCAAAAAATTAGTAGAAATCGACAAATTAAAAAGAATCATATTTAATGACGACTAGCTTACTTTGTTTAACTACATTCCAAAGCCATAAATTCTTTACAAGTTTGATGCAACATAGAGAGTTATTATTGAAAAAAATTCATTTTTTAATGAAGATGATAAATTAAATGATTTCTAAAAATTCAAAAAGGTAAAGTAAAGCTTTCAAAACATTTTTGATAAGGAAAAACAAACAAAGATAGAAAATAGAATTATGAATTTACTTGATGCAAAATAATAAAAAATATTATGCAATTAGTTAGATAAAATGTAGTTCAAATCATAATAACAATAAAACCAGCACAGAATCTCAGAAAAATATATTTAAAACTAGTGTTCTCAATCTCGGAATGAGTTAGCTTATGAAAAAAATTCCAATTTAGAAGAATAAACTTAAGAAAATAAACTTAAATCTAAATATTTATAACTATAAATGAAACTAAATAGATATTCAAATATAAAATCAGTGAGGAATCCTAATATTTATTCTTAAATTACAAACTAAGATTAGTAAATTTATTTTTTACATGTAAATTAATTAACTAAATTTTTATTTCATATAGAAAATAAGGGTAAATCTTTTAAAATGTTGTATAGGACAATCTCTGAAAATAAAAGATTTCCTAGTAAAGTAAAAAAAAATATAGTAAGTAACTGTTAAAAATGTTATTTATTTTATAATTTCATTTATTATTTATGGATTTTTGTATTTTATGGAAGAATTTAATTTTTTATTAATTATCAATTAGTTATTTACCATTTAAAATTTTTAAAAAATTAATCAGTTAAATAAGGTAAATAGAGTATTTTATTTTATTTTTTTATTTTTTAGAAAGAAACAATTATTTATCCTAAAAAATAAGATATTAACTTTGAAAAATCTATGAAACAAAAACAAAATACCTATGAGGTAAATCATCATTAATTAACATCTTAAATGATTTTTCTGATTCCTAAAAAAGTGTATGATTTTATTCAAAACACATTTTTTTTATTTCAAAAAAAAGCTTACTTAAATAATTTAAAGAGAGCTAACAAAATATGCTTATAATATTTGTTTTGAAATGCCTCAGAGTTTAAATTTAATTATTGATCTAGTTTTAAAAATTTATATTCATTTTTATTTTAAAAAATCAATTAAAATTATTTTAGTTTATAAAAAGTATTAAATATAAAAAATAATTTAATTTCAATAATATATCTACTATGTATCTATCCCCTTCTTAGGAGAAATTTATTTTTTTAATATTAAATTTTTATGAAATTTGAATGAATTTATAAATAAATCTTTCATTTTCATATAAGGGTATAAATATTACCCAAATTACAGTTACCAAAACTAAATTATTCTATTCTTCAGATGAACTTCCCTCTTTACGCTTTCTTAATCCCTTAATTAATTTAATTTGGTTAAATTATTTAGATGTATTTTTAGAAGTTTTTGTCTAAGGAAGAAAAACAAAATGTTTATTTTTGTTATAAATAATAAGCATGGGTACAGTTCAAGGTGTATTAAGAGCTAGACTTGACCAATTACAAATCATAGTAAACAAATTGTATCCTAAGATAAAACAATAATACATTATAAGTGAAAATTAATTAATTTGATTAATTAGTAGGTCAATTTAATTAATGTTTGATTTAATCGATCAAATAAATTTAAAATTAAATTTGAGTCATTTATTTTAATTATCTAATTTTCTGTTACTTTATTCAGTTTATTGTAGTTAGTAAGCTCAAAATTTAAATAAAAACAATCCTATTGAAATATTGGAAGAAAATACTAGTATAAGACCCAAAATAGTTTGCTATAACCCCTGATACTCTTTCTCTTATTAGAAGACGCACAGGCACAAGTCTAAACTATTATACTTACATAAGCTTATTAACAATATAGGAAGTATAACCTAGTTAATTTTACACATAATAATATTCCTGACTCTCAGATAAGTAAGTACCTCCTCAAGTCTCAGCTCAATATGCCTTAAAGCACACCTAAGAATTTGTAAATAGTGATTGAATGATGGTTTAACTAAAATTTTTAAGGGAATTAAATATCAATAAATGCAAAGGATATAGGTGTAAAAATGGCAAATAATTTAATGATCTGTTGAATAATAACTTTATTGACCTTTAATCAACAAATATTAACTTTATTACAAAAAATAAAGGAAATCTGTTTAAAGTTTTTCTAGAGATGTTTATTGGATTAATTATTATTATCCCTTTAAATATGTTGACGTTTTATGAGGAATAATTCTCCGCTGGAACGATTTCAGATGGGTAACTCCTGATTTCTAAACTTAATTATATTCTTCTTTTAGTTATGTGGATAACCAGCTAAATTCTACTAGTCAATTATATATTTCTTAATTTAGATTAAAATTTATTTGTCCAGTATTTTATTATTTCAATATTTGTTATATATTATTAAAAGTAATTCAAATTTACTTACAACATATGAGAGAAGAATTGAAGGAATTTAATATGATGAAATGATTAGAAAATGCTTTTATTCACTTAATTTATTCCCAAAATTTTAAGAATTAAGTTTGTTTGTAATTAGTATTTTGAAATCATAAAAGTATTAGCTGGAGATATTAATAAAAAAATCAATGATAAATCATTTTTTTAAATGCATAAACTTATTTTTTTAGGGACTTTTAAATTAATTAATGTAAAATAGGGATAATAACAATACAATGATAATTATCTTTTAATTTATATTATTATTCTATTTTATTAGTGAAGTAAAATTAACATAAATTTGAATAAATAAAATTTTAGCATTTTAAAATCTCCTTTTCCCAAGAATATGTATATTTAAATCTAGAAAAAAAGTATTAAAAGCAAAATTTAAGAATTTTAGTATTACAAAGCTTAAATTGCGTATTAAAATTTTCAAAAAATAGCTTTATTTAATTTTATTGCTTTTTTAAATTTTTGATTTAGCTTTTAATTGTTTAGTAAATTTTTAATAGAAAAAGGAAATTCGTTTACAATCTACAAGCTTTCATTGATTCATTATTTTCTTAGATTTAATAAGTTAATAAAATATTTTTAAATAAGCACTTACGAATTTATATGTAAAACCTAATTATTATTCAGAAATAAAGAGAAGTAAAAATATTTTAAAAACCTTGATTATTAATTTTGTAAGCATTTTTTAAAAATGAGTTAGAAAAATCAGTTTAACATAAACTAAAACTATAAAATAACTCTTTTTTTATTACCCAATTTATTAACTAACTTCTTATGAGGAAAAAAAATTTAAAAATAGTTTTGAAACCAATAAATTATATACATCTTATACCTTAGTACTTTGATAAAGATCAATTTATATACACTAGAATTTATTACAAGCATGAATTTTTATTAAGCTGGATTGTTTTTACAAGTGTTTACATTCTAATAATAAATTTATATAAAATAATGCAAATACTAAAATTAATATTAATATATTCATCTGAATTACAAATCTTTCAACATTTAATTAAAAATCAGAGCAAGGGTATTTGTGAAAATATTTTTAATTTAATTACAAACTAATATTTAACTAATTCAAAATTAAAAAATTTAATTTTATTAACTTGTTAAAAAAAAGCCTTACTTTTAAAAGAAATTAATTGTTAACTTTTTAGGTTATGTTTTTTTCCAGAATTTTAAATAAAATAAGAAAAATCAAATTAAAAGTAGAAGATAACTTATATTTTTATTGTTCTACCAAATGTTATTAAAAAGATCATTTATTTATTTAAATTATTATTAAAAATATATAAAATATAAATATAAGAAAATACAAATTGCTTGAAAATAAATGAATTAATTGGACATATTTGGTAGTCAAGTTTCAGTTAGATTTTAAGGCTCATAGATCCATAAAACTAAATTTGGTGCTTTCCTTACTGCTATCTTATGTAGTCTTATTTTGATTAGGTTGGGAATCTTAATATCATCAGTGATTAATGGAAGAAATCCAACAGTGCTTTACTAAGAAAGATAGGTATAGGACCCTAAAATGTTTGTTATAACCCCAAATACTCTCTCTCTTGCTTTGGGAGTTTTAGACATTAACTATAACTACTATATTGACAATACCTTATTCACAATACAAGGAGTGCATAAGACTAAAAAAAATGTCTACAACAGCACAACAGGTAAATATGATTAAGTTTTTAACTCAAAAGTGTTTAGTTTAGTTAATTGCACAGATGACCATGTTCCTGATCCTCAACTAAGAGAGTTTTTTCTCAAGTCTGAATTCTATATGCATTAATGCATTCCAAAAGACTTGGTAGTTGAGATTGAAGGATAGTTCAATTCTGATTCTTACCAAGAACTAAACTTTTATTTCTATAAATGCTCTGGATAAGGCTGCAAAGATGAAAAAGAAATAGATGCTCTGGTTGACAACAACTACATCGAATTATTATTCACAGATGTCTACTTTGCACCTGAAAACAAAGATGATCCTTTTATAAGATATTCAAGAGATTTGTATTGGATTACTAGCTAAAATCTCCCAAGAGAAGTTAACGTATTTATGAGAAATAATTACGTAGAGAGCGATCTTGGATGGGTCACATCTGATATTTCAACATAAACGTATCCTTCATTCAGCTATAGTGATAATCAAGTAAAGTTTTTTTCTCCTTCTTATTTATATATATATATATTTATTTATTCAGTAGAATTTTAATTTTTACTTTTTTGATTTACAGATAGTTGATACTTCTAATGGTTTTTTCTTTCATTTAGTTGTAAGATTTGAAAAAGAGAAAGAAAATTTATATAAAAGGACTTATGACAATTTATTTACAATTATGTCATAAATTGGTGGTTTTTCTCAAATTTTGCTCACAATTTTTTCATTCCTTTGCTTGAGATACTCATAAATTCACTTAGCTAGATCTTTAATTAACTAGTCTTTTGACTTTTAAGACATAACGAATAAACCTAATTAGGGTATTTTAATTTCGAATCCTACATAATAATAAAATAATACAGAAACAATTGAAAATTAAGCACCTTAAAATAGATAAATAAACAAATTTTATAATCCCTCTTCAATAAAAGATAACTCATATTAACTAGCATCTGCTTAGCGCGATCCAGGTTCACCAGTTTTAATTTCCGATCACAAAGATTCTAAGGATTATTACACCTAGCGAAATGACCATGAAGACGTGTCTTAATAAATAAGTAAAAGACATACTCTAAGTGCAGGAAAATAATTGACTGATGAATAAATTTTGAATGATTACAATAAGCAATAAGAAATTAATTAAAATAGGTCAAACCTAAACTTTAATATTTTTTCTTATATGCTATCTTTCATAAGTAAGCTTATTAAAAGTTTTAGAAATAAAAAATAGGTGATAGATTATGGATTCAAAGAGATTGATAATAACTTAGACATAGAGTATATCATAAAAAAATTTGTAGAAATCGACAAATTAAAAAGAATCATACTTAACGATGACTAGCTTGCTTTATTCAACTACATTCCCAAACCATAAATTCTTTACAAAGTCGATAAATAGGGAGTTGTTATTGAAAAAAATTCATTTTTTAATAAAGATGATAACTTAAACGATTTCGAAAAATTCAAATAGGCCAAGTAAAGTTTTAAAAATATTTTTGAAAAGCAAAAGCCTACAAAGATAGACTACAGTATTTTGAATCTACTTGATGCAAAATAATATGAAATACTATGCAATCAGTTGGACAAAAATTAATTCTAATAGAAATACATGTAGAAACTCTCAGAAATTCAATTCTCAAAAAACATCTAAAGCTAGAGTCATGGATCTCCAAATTTGTTAGTTTGCAAAAATAATATAGATTTAGAAGAATAAATTTAAATAGATAAGTTTAAGTCTGATGATTTCTAGTTGTAAAATAAATTGAATAGATATTCTACTCATATAATGGTGAGAAATCCTAGTATTTATTCTAGCATTACAAACTAAGAATAGTATTTTTTTTTTACATACATACATACAAATGACTAAATTTTATATAATATAGAATATAAGGTTACATGTTTTAAGATGCTGTAGAAGAGAATCTCTGATGATTTAATTTTCCTTGTAAATTAAAAAAATAAGAAGAGTATTAATTATTAATATATATTTTTTTATGTAATTTCTTTTTTATGAATTTTATGTTATTAATTGAAGATTTATAATTTTTTATTTACTATTAATATACTTTTAAAAAAAAATATTATCCACTAATTTTAATCAGATTAATTTTAATTAATCAGAAAACTAAAGTAAAAATTAAAAACTTATAACAAACAATCAAAAAATATATTGTATTTAATTTATTTTATAGTAGAATCTTTATTTAATAAATAGTAAATATATTTAATATAAAAATTATTTTGCTATAATTAGGGGTGGGAATTACCCTAATAATTAATGAGGATTTATAGTATAATTATCGTTGTTACTGTATAAGCAAAATAATCTATTATAAATTTTAATGCCTTGAAAATAAATTTTATTTGTATATCTTCTCTTTTATTCTTAATTTTCCTTTTTACATTTTTAAAGCTAGCTATTTATGATGATTTATTTTTATTTGGTCATGTATTATATTTATAATTCTTAAATATAATAAAATAATATAAAATTTTATTTTTCTTTGCAATTAATGATACTAGGAATTAATAATACTATTTAATAATAAAAATATTTTTTGAGATTCTTTTAATAAGTTAATTATTTTTATTATATTTTAAAATTAAAAATGTAACCTGAAAATACCTTTAGTCCTCTAAAATACCAAGCTATTCGATTTTTATTTTATATAATATTAATGAATAGAGTTATAAAAGCAAATCATGTATTCTAAAATTAGAAAAAGTAAATAAGCTTCAGAGAAAAAACAAATAGAGATCCAATTTTTGTTTTTGAAAGTTTCATTAATATAATTTTTTATTTATTCTATTTCAATGCATAAACAATATTCTCAAACACAATTTTCTTCATGTTTTAAATCCTTTTAATTTTTTTCTTTAGCATTTGCATTTTTAAAATAGTTATTGAGTAAATTGGAATATTTAAATGATTTAAAATAGTAAATAATTAATGTTAATTATCTATAAAAATATAATCAAAAGATAAGGTAGCTAGATATAATAATCATGCGACACTAAAAAGTAGAAGATACTTATAACACATAGTTTAAGTATTTTAATAAGCTTCAACTATCTTTTCTATTTTTTAAATATTTTACAAAATGATGTTATGTTCAATCTATTTTAAATAGCAACTATGAATGAATAATATCTATTAAATTTTAAGCATTCTAGTAGTTAGAAAAAATCAAATTTGATAATAGCATTTAACGTTTAGTATTTTTTAAATATCTTATAATAATATTTTTTTTTATAGATAAAATTATGATGACTATAAATAAATACTACTCTTAAAAAATATCAATTTTGTTTTTAGAAAGTGTTACATAGAATTATTTAGTAATGCTAAAATATGTTTCCTTTATATATAAAGTTGCTGAATATATATATTTGTTGTAAAATGAGCTTATTTTGAAATTTTCTTTATTGAAAATGAAAAATATTCTTTATTATGATTTTAAATTTTATAAATGCTTGTAAATTTATAATAGCAACCAAAAATAGAGAGATAGCGACTAGAATTGCGCCAAACATGACAATTTGTTCAGTATTTAGATTATTTTATAATCATATATTTTTATTTCTTACTAAAACTACTCATCCTTGAGATAATTTTTTTTAATTTGTTTGTATTATCCATTGTAAAATTGAAAATAAAATTTAGTTTTTAAAAAAGAATTTAAAAATAGCCACATAAATATAAAATTTTAGAATAACAATTTATGATTGAAACAAATTATGACTTCTCTTACAGAAAAGCAAAGAAAAAAAATTTAAAATCATTTAAAACAAATTTATATAAATGTAAATATATTTTATATTGATCTTTATAATTTTATTCAATTATAAAAGATTTTCACATATCACATTAGAAAAAAAATAGTTGAATTATAAAAGTGCTTACATTAATAACTAATCATTTCATTTTTAAAAATCTGTAATTTAATAGCAATTCTGCTCGATCAGAAACTTTTGAATATACTTATATTTAATTATCAAAAAATAAATAAATTAGTTTACTTAATTAATTTTGATGTCTTTATTAAAATAAGTTAATGTAAATCAAATTAAATGGCAAGCAAAATATTCAAATATTTTTTATCTTAATGTAGCCAATCTAAATAAATTTAATTGTTTTGAAAGATTTAAGCTTAAATTGAATTAAATTAAAAATATTATAATACATAAAAACAACTATTATAAAAATATAAATTGTTAAAAATTGTAACATTAGCTTTAAAAACAATAATAGAAGGCTTGAACACCAATATTAAAAAAATATTAATTTATGCTATTTTTATTGATTTTCTGGAAATAAATCATTACTCTCTTAATCTACAAAAATTTAATTCATATTAGTGTAATTTTATTCGCAAATCAAAAAGGTTCTAAATTTACATATGAATATAATTTAAAAGCAATTTGAATTTATTTATAAAATTAGGATTGAAAAAATTAAAAACCTTTAATCAATATATTTTTCTCTGTATATGTTATTCATTCCTTAAAAATTATGAATTATATTTTGCTGTAAATTTTATTTCTGAAAAATCAATTAGATTGTTTGTCTAATACATATATTAATAAAATCATCAATTATAAACCATATTTTAAGTAGCAATTAAATTTTTTTTAGTAATTATAATTTTAATTTATCTAAAATAAGGTAAGTAATCATGATAGTCATTTTTCTATTAGTTTATGGTAATAATATGGTTTCATTAATTTAAAGAAATAAAGTAAATGTGTATATATTATATTTTTATCAATATTTCATATTAAAAAAAAATAATATTTTAAATATTTTATAAGTTTAATTCTCAAGAATAAATAATAATTAGATATCTGAGAGAGTGTAAATAGAAAAATTTAAGAGTTTTCATATTGGAAACTGATTCCTTAATTGACTTTTTCTAAAAATAACTTTATTTAATTTTATTACTAGCTGTATTTTTATTAAATTAACTTATAAACAAACCTTAAGTTGATTAGGAAAAAAAATTTTTTTTTTTTTTGATAAAAAAACGATATTAGTCTAGTCTTTCATTACAATCTTTAAATTTCGATACATTTATTATTAATTGTATTTATTAATTTTATAAAATATTATTAAATAAGTAATTATGGATTAGATATTATGATATTATAATTTCCTTTATACTCTCATATTTATTGTAAATATCAAGATCAAAGGAATTTTTTAGAAAATTAAAATTTATCATAGCTTAAATACGCTTAATAAAATTCAAATATATACATAAAAAAAATATAAATATTATGCATAAACAAAGAAAAGGATATTTGTTCTAAGAACCTTACTTATTTAAGCACTATTTCAAATGTTTTTGCGAGTTAAAAAAATAGTTAAATGCAAACTATGAAATACACTATTATGTTTACCATAATAAATTTAATATCTAAAAAGAAAATAAAATTTATAAATTATTTTTAAATCCATACTATGTAATTAAATTTTACGTCTGTACTTTTTTAATCGTCAACCTAATTAAAATAAATAATTAAATCTAATTAATCACGCAGGTAATTACTTTTATACTGGTTTACTTTTTAAAATGCTTATATGATTATAAAAATGGCTATAAAAATGAAATCAAATATTAAAACTAGCATATTAATCTAAATATCAAATTTTAAATATTTTATTTAAAATCAGAACAGGGTATGAAATTATTCAATTTATAAGTTATCTTTTACAAACAACTTTTAATTTTTTGTTATAAAATTTCGAAAATTAATTTTTTATAAATCTACCTTGCTTTTAAAAATAATTAAATTTTGCTTTTTTAGATTATGAATTTGCCATAACTTTAAAAAAATGTGAATAATTAAATTAAAAGTAGAAGATCACTTATGTTATTATTATTATTATTATTATTCTGTTACATGTAAATAAAATTTAAAAAAACAATAAACCTAATTCTTATAAATATAATAAATATATAAAATCTAAATATAAAAAACACAAACCTACAAAAAGCTTGAAAATAAATGAATTAATTGGATATATTTGGTAGTCAAGTTTCAGTTAGATTCTAAGGCTCATAAATCCATAAAACTAAATTTGGTGCTTTCCTTACTGCTATCTTATGCAGTCTTATTTTGATTAGATTAGGAATCTTAATATCATCAGTGATTAATGGAAGAAACCCAACAGTGCTTTACTAAGAAAGATAGGTATAGGACCCTAAAATGTTTGTTATAACACCAAATACTCTCTCTCTTGCTTTGGGAGTTTTAGACATTAACTATAACTACTATATTGACAATACCTTATTCACAATACAAGGAGTGCATAAGACTAAAAAAAATGTATACAACAGCACAACAGGTAAATATGATTAAGTTTTTAACTCAAAAGTGTTTAGTTTAGTTAATTGCACAGATGACCATGTTCCTGACCCTCAACTAAGAGAGTTTTTTCTCAAGTCTCAATTAAATATGCATTAATGCATTCCAAAAGACTTGGTAGTTGAGATTGAAGGGTAGTTTAATTCTGATTCTTACCAAGAACTAAACTTTTATTTCTATAAATGCTCTGGATAAGGCTGCAAAGATGAAAAAGAAATAGATGCTCTGGTTGACAACAACAACATCGAATTATTATTCACAGATGTCTACTTTGCACCTGAAAACAAAGATGATCCTTTTATAAGATTCTCAAGAGATTTGTATTGGATTACTAGCTAAAATCTCCCAAGAGAAGTTAACGTATATATGAGAAATAATTACGTAGAGAGCGATCTTGGATGGGTTACATCTGATATTTCAACATAAACGTATCCTTCATTCAGCTATAGTGATAATCAAGTAAAGTTTTTTTCTCCTTCTTATTTATATATTTATTTATTCAGTAGAATTTTAATTTTTACTTTTTTGATTAATAGATAGTTGATACTTCTAATGGTTTTTTCTTTCATTTAGTTGTAAGATTTGAAAAAGAGAAAGAAAATTTATATAAAAGGACTTATGACAATTTATTTACAATTATGTCATAAATTGGTGGTTTTTCTCAAATTTTGCTCACAATTTTTTCATTCCTTTGCTTGAGATACTCATAAATTCACTTAGCTAGATCTTTAATTAACTAGTCTTTTGACTTTTAAGACATAACGAATAAACCTAATTAAGGTATTTTAATTTCGAATCCTACACAATAATAAAATAATATAGAAACAGTTGAAAATTAAGCACCTTAAAATAGGAAAATATATCAGTTTTATAATCCCTCTCCAATAAAAGAAAACTCATACTAAATAGCATCTGCTTAGCGAGATCCAGGTTCACCAATTTTAATTTCCGATCGCAAAGATTCTAAGGATTATTACACCTAGCGAAATGATCATGAAGATATTTCTTAACAAATAAGTAAAAGACATACTCTAAGTGCAGGAAAATAATTGACTGATGAATAAATTTTGAATGATTACAATAAGCAATAAGAAGTGGCTTAAAATAGATCGAGCCTAAACTTCAATATTTTTTCTTACATGCTATCTTTCGTAACTAGACTTTTTTCAAGTTTTAGAAATAAAAAATAGGTGATTGATTATGGATTCAAAGAGATTGATAATAACTTAGACATAGAGTATATCATCAAAAAATTCATAGAAGTCGACAAATTAAAAAGAATCATGCTTAATGATGACTAGCTTGCTTTGTTCAACTACATTCCCAAACCATAAATTCTTTATAAAGTGGATACAACTTAGGGAGCTGTTATTGAAAAGAATTCATTTTTTAATAAAGATGATAACTTAAACGATTTCGAAAAATTCAAAAAGGCTAAGTAAAGTTTTAAAAACATTTTTGAAAAGCAAAAGCAGACAAAGATAGACTACAGTATTTTGAATTTAGTATTCTATTTGTATGTAGCCTTGAAAAAGACACTACCCTAGGGTGCTATACAAATATATATATATATAATATATAATTCATAATAGCAAAAATAAATTTTAAACATTTTAAAGTTTCATTCTCAAGAATAAATAATATTAAAATTAATTTATAGAAAAATTTAAGATTTTGTTTTTATATTTTAAATATTAAGTTACATGTAACTTTATCTATAAATAACTTTATTTAATTTTACTACTTTAAATATTATTTAAAAAACTTTTTTAATGCAAGTATGATATTAGCCTATACAATTTTAAAATTTCTAAACATTTTAAGTTGATTAAATATTATAAATATATAAATAATTACCAAAATAATCTCATTAATTATAAATATCATATTTCAAAACAATATTTTAAAGAAATTAAAATACCATATTTTTTTTAATTTAAATTAAATATCTATTATAAATCAGAATTAATATGTATAAATAAAGAAATTATTATTTATTTGAATAATTTTATTTGAAAATGCATTAATTGCTAGATCAATATTAATTAAATTTAAATTATCAAATAAATTATTGGTAATTAATTATGCAAATAAATTTAAAATCTAAAAAAAGAAGATTTAAAAATAGTTTTGAAATTTATACTTCGTAATGTTCTTTCAAATTAGTGTTTTTAATTGTCTGTCAGTCTATTTAAAAATAAATAAAATTAATCAATCACAAAATATTTAAATTTTTTAAAAACTAAATTTCTTTTTAAATTTGTTATCATTATTATAAAAAATGAAATCAAATACAAAAACTAGTATTATAATTATTAAACTAAATATCATCTTTATTTATATAATCTTATTTAAAATCATGGCAGGGAGTAAACAAATGAAAATTTTTATGATAGAATTATTAATTAATTTTGAAAAACTCTCAAATACTTGAAATTCGATTTTTAAACCTTAACCAAGAAATTACGGTAATAAAAATATGATTAAATATGTTTCATTAATTAATATCAACTTAATAATGTTTGCTTTCAATGTTAATTAATTAAAATTTTTGTTATAATTGATCCTGTTATTTATTATTAAGGATTTTTTCACAATTTAAATTAAGCTATTTTTCTTAATAATTAGTTGTTAATATTTTAACTAATTAAAAGAAACTTAAATGAATTCGAAAATAATCATTAATTAATTAATTATTGATAATTTATTTATTTTAATACTTTTAAATCAATAATTGCTTACTATACATTGAAAAAAAAATAAATAAGAAAACTAAAATCACTAATATATTGATTGTAAATATCTTTATAGACACTACTAAAAAAAAGAATCATATTTTTAAATATGAAGGAAGGTACAATGTTATTGAATTGGTCCTAAAATAAATTGTTAAAAATTTAATTTAAGCATATTCACTATCGTAGTTGTAAAATATTTTAAAAAATAGAATATTTACAAAATTATTTGGTTATTATTCTAAAGAATGACTATTTATTTTTTATAGATTGTTTATTTTTTAAAATTAGTAAATCAATAAACAAATTAATATAAGTATAATAATTTATTATATTTAAATAATCGTTTTCCTTTTAAATATGAGTTCAAATCAGATAAATTTCAGTACTTATTGTAAAAATAAAATGATTTTAATAAGTTTTAAATTGAATTCTATTAATTTTAATTAAAAATAAATGGAATTAAAATTTAAAAATTAATGAATTATTTATCAGTTTTTAAATTTTTAAATAAAAAGTAAATATTTGAATTAGAGTTGCCGTTTAAAATCATTATTTATATATTTTTAATATTATAGCTACTGAATTCAAATAAGTAAATAAATTAACAAGATCTTTTGTATGCGAAGTATTGGTAACAAATTAAATTAAATTTTTTCAGTATTGAAAAGAAAGCAATTTGTTAGTTATATAGTTATTTACTTATTACTTAGATTTATTTTAAAACTCAAAAAAGTGCATTTAGATATAAAATCAAAACTATAAACAAAATGATAGCTACAACAAATAGGGTCTTCGATTATTTCACTACCATAGGCATTGATGATAAATTAATAGAGACTCATAGATCTGAGGAAGGTATTATATTGATAAGTTATTAGAAAAGCATCATCATCAATCAATCAATAATAATTAGATAAATCAAAAAAACTAAAATCTTCAAATTACAATAATTTTATTTATTTTATGCCACATTTATTAAAATAGATCTTCCATTGATTGGGCTAGAGGTTATATAATTAAGTTCTGGTAGCTTTAAGGATACATAGACTGAAAAATATGTAGATATTTTGGGAGATAAAAGTTTATGGCTTAGGTGCTACTATGGTAAAGATAAACCAGCAATTACAGAGATAGGAGTGTATTATTTTAAGATTATAGATGGGGGAATAGTAAATAATTATTTTAGATGAATTTTTTGATACGTTAGCATGTTTTTTTAAAGAAATGAGTGTAATTAATATTAAAAATATCATAGGCTATTAAAGCAAAGCATAATTATATTCCTGTTTCAATTGTAAAAAGTATAGAAGATAGGCATCCTCAGACTACATAATAAACGGTGTAATAACATTCATTTTAATAATTGGCAGATTTAAAGCAAGCTAGTTTAGCTATAAAGCAAATTTTATTTTTTAAAAAGAGAAGGATTTGATTACTGGAAAGGAAATTTCGATCTAACTTAATTGATTTAAGCTGACTATAAACCAGGATATGCTTTTGCTATGTCATATAAGGTTTAAAGCAAAAACAATTTCAATACATAAATTTTAAGAGTAAAAGTTATCACAGCTAAAATTTCAAACAGTAATAAACTTAAAAGTGGAAGTTTGCATGTAGTTGTGCCTATTTAGCATGAAGTTATTAATTTTTCATTTGGCCTTTAGGAATAAAATAGAGTGTTTTGCCTTCAAAGAGGTATAAATAAATACATTTTTAAATTTAACATAAAAAATACATAAATATATCAATCAATCAATCTATATTTTTGGGTTATGACTTTTAATGTTTTTTATGGTAAATAAAAAAGATTACGAGATATAAAACAAAAGATATAAGCCAGCAGTACTTGATAGGTACCCTTTAGCTGATCATATGCATACTGTACAGATTTTAATTTTAACAGATAAATTTCTTAAAATTTATAAAATAAACTTATTTTTTGTTTTTATACTTTTTATTTAGCCTTTTCCAGATGCTGTTTCATAGTTCTGTTTTCCAGAAGGTGTGAAATTCAAAAGGGATAATTCAACTTAACCAGAGTGTTTTAATTTTGTGCTAACTCTATAAGATGGATGCAGAATTTACTGCACTTGTTTAATTTTTAATGAAGTTCCTGATCAAAAAGTGATAGAATAAGTAAAATGCAAATTAATCTAAAGTTTTTTTATAATAAATTTTAACAATGAAAAATGAAATGTAATTTTATGATTTTGAAAATTAGCTAGGACATATAAAAATTGATGACTAAACTCCTCTTTTTGTGTAAAAGGCAATTTGCTTGATTTCTCACTATAACTATTTTGATGAGTATAAACAAATATTAAAGCATCTATATAGACTATCCTTATCAAAGAATGAAATACCTATTGAAAGATTTATATGCAATATAGTTGACGATATTAGGTATTTCTTAAATAATTAATTATACATTTTAGTATTTGTTTAACTAAACAAAATTGGAAAAGCTAATTAGCTTTTGATAATTTATTTACTCTATGTGAATATTTCATAAAGTGAATTCAATCTTTTTTATATTAAAATAGATTGCCTTTAGAAATAACTGATTGGGGAAAGCTAGGAATTCAATATGAAATAGGGCCAGGTTTTGTTTAAATATAATGATTAAAGAAAAATATTAATTTTAATATAAAATATTAATAGAAACTGTTATTTTTGGGACTTCTCATAAATACCCACCATTTAGTGCAAAAAGTCTGCTAACTTTATTTAGACTTTTGGATATAGATAAAATTATTTTCCTTTTTGAGTGTATCTTATTAGAAAAAAAACTATTCATCATAAGCAAGTATAAGTCCGTTATTACTTAAGTGGCAGAAGCTTTAATTAGTCTTATATTTCCATTTTAATGGAATCATGTATACATTCCTATTCTTCCTGATATGTTTAAAACTTATATGGAAGCTCCTCTTCCTTTAATCATAGGGCTAGAGCAAAAATTAAAAAATTTTGATATATCTTCTGGTATCTAATCAGAAGTAAGTAACTTTATTTAAATAAATTTTTGATAAAAAAATATACTTTAATATCAGAGTATTTAAGCCTATTTAGATAGTAACGACTTGATAAATATTGAGTGGATGCCTGCCCTTCCAGAAAAATTTTTGAAACAACTCAAAAAAAGATTGCAACCTTATTCTAATTTGCATTTGCCTATTTAAGATGTAAAAAATTTCTTAGATATGCAAGATTTGGCATTTGAAAATCCTTTTGCTGAAGATGAAATACCACCTGTTAACTTCGATGCTTTTGACATAAGAGATTCTTTCTTAGAGTTTGTCTCTTCATTCATGATGAAATATAAAAAGTTTTTAGTAAAATTAAAAAAAGCTTTTGAATGATTATGATAAAGTTCTTTATAAAAAAGATTCCTCCAGATAAAAAGAAATCAAACAAAGAAATGAGTGAAATATTTGACACAAGAGAATTCTTAAATTTCCATAAATCTTCAAAACAAGGAACTTTTCTTTAAAAATTCACAGAAACTACAATGTTTTCTTACTTTATCGAGACAAGAACCTAAATTTCTCCCTTCGAACCTTATTACTAATTTTTTGATATGTAAATTTATTGAAACATTTATTAGCTGTAAATTTACCAAACATAAATAATTATTAATAATCAGATGCTTAGAAAAAAAGAGAAGTAAAAAGGATCCCATATTATTTGTAAAGGAATAGCTCACCAAAACTATATTTGTACAACAACCAAGCGAATAAGACTTAGATAAGTCCTGTAATTATATTTATGTTATAATTTTATTATTTTAAAATTTTTAATATTTACTTATGAATAAATGATATAAATATAGAGTATTATTCTTATGAACGATTCCCCAAGTTGAAACCTGAGTTATTTACTAAATGCCAAAAGTTAGAAGAAGTCATAAAAGCTGAATTTAATTTGATGGAAATAGAACAGTAACAAGAAGATACAAGTTAATTCGATGAATATAGATGGGCTAAATATTTATATGAGTAGATATATTATATCTGGTTCTAAATATTTATAGTGAAGTTAAAATAAGACTTTTTTTCACCTTACTACACCAAGCTAACTGATTATGCAATATTCTTATTAGGTTAGTTGAGAAAAAAAAACCATGCTTTAACAGAAATTATGTACAGATTTGTTATTGAGGCTTGTGGATATTATGGTAAAGATGATAGAGTTATTGAATTAGTTTAATAAATGAAAGAATAAAAAATCGAAACATCTCCTATTACTCATGGAATCTTCTTTTAAGCAGTCACTTAATCTAAAGAATATTTTGCCGCTCAGGGTAGTTAATTAAAAATTCTAAAAATCATACTCGACATTTGATTTATTTATTTATTTTTTAAAAAGAGGAAATAAGAAAAAAAGTATTTGAAAACCAAATGACAATAATCGAAGAAGATTCTAAAGATAATGAAAATTAAGAACAAAAAATTGCAAAAGGACTGAATAACATAAAATTAAATGTAGGAACTTAAATTTAATAGCAAAATTTTAAAAGCAAATTTGATAATATTCTATTTACAATTATCGAGACATGTCCTAATTGTAACAGAAATCTCTTCCCAGAAGAAATTATAAGTAATTGGAAAAAAGGGAATACTGATTATAGAACGAAATGTCCAATACCCTCTTGTTCTCATGAGTTTGTATCAAAGTAATAAATGATTTATTTATTTAAATAAATAAATAATATGCATTGATAATTTAAAATTAAAATATTAATTTAATAAATTTTTCTTATTAAAGATAATAAAATAATCTTTTTATTTTTTGAAAAAAAGAAGTTAAAATAAGATATTATAATAATTATAAAATTAATATTTATTTTAAATAAATAAGGTTTTAAGTTGTTACTTTAGAGGAAAAGTAAGGGATAGATATTACTAATGTTAGTGTTTATAATAACTTAAGAAAGTAAGTGGAGTTTTTATCTCCTTTGATTGTAAGAAAAGAAATTGAAAATATAATGAAGTAGAAGGGCTAGAGCTCAATTATGAGTAATAAGTTTGAAGAAGAACACCCTATAATTTACTGGAATATCATACTTTATTTTAAGTTAATAAGGGCACCAACATTTTTCTTGGAATTTAACTAACCTGAACAATATTATAATTACCATGCTATGCTTTGTGAAAAAAAAATACAGGATTCAATAAAAAATTAAGAAAAAGGTATTCTTTCTAAAATGAGTGAATATTTCTTTTAAAATAAAAAAGAGGAAGATGATAAAACAAGCCATTCTTCTTTTACTCATTTAAGTCCTCCTCAAGACAACGCTTCTATGGGATCAGTTGGTGCAAGAAAAGATTAAAAGTAATTTGATTCTCATAAATATGTTTTTCATCAATTTTCAAATTTTTTAAATTAAACAGAGATTCAGCAATTATTAATTTTGGAACAAAGTCAATTAAAAAAATATTTACTCAGTTGCTGATAAAGCTGAGAAAAGATGGAGAAAATAAGTTACATGATCTAGAATTGAAAAAGTAAAGTTAAAATTTAATAGCTGAGGAGTAAGGAAAGAATTCTGAGAAGATGGACATTCCATCAGAAAGATAATGAACAATATAATTTATTTAAATCTCATATTTCAAGTAATTTAATTAATTCAAAAAGAAAAATAAATAAACTAGTTTAATTTTGATTTTACAATCAAAATAATTCTATAAAATAAAATTAATTGTAAACGAATAAATGATAAATTTTGTATATATTTATGAACTAATTTATTAAGATAGCAAGTTAGTTAGTTGTTAATTAGTAATTAAAATTTTATTAGCTATTAAAAAATAATATTTTTTATTTTGGATGAGCACTTGTCATTTTATTTTGATATCTTCAATCATCTTTTTATATTTTTTTTAAATCAACTTAAATTAAATTCAATAAATTACTTCAACAATTTGATCTTTTTTTAATTTTTTTGCCAAGCTAAGGGCAGTTTGTCCTACCTATAATATACATTATAATATATTAAAATATGTATGAAAATTTTTATAAATACAATATTTTATATGCTTAAGTTTGAACCTCTTTTTATCAAATCTTCTACAATACTAGAGTTACAATACTACACAGAATAAATCAAAGGAGTATCTCCCCTCTATTTATTTTTTTATTATTTTTATTAACATATTTTTCAAATAAAATTTATTTTACTTTGTTAAGAGAGTTAATTAAATGAGGATATAAATTTAATAAATACTAAATTTCAATATTTTCATTGTTTTTAATAGCAGAAAAAAGCTTTTATTCCTTTTACTTCATACATATTTATAGCTTCTATTTAGTTTGTTGAAGCTATTAGTTTAGATTAGCTGAAAAATCTTCAATTTCTTTCTTCTTTTCATTAGTGTCTTCTAACGTGCTAACTCCTTCTAGCAGCTTTTACTTCGAACTTTATTCATTCTATGAAACTTTATCTAATTTTTATAAAAAATTTAATTTATTTTAAAACATAATACCTTAAATTGTGATTTATTCTTATCTAATTAATTTATTAACAATAAATTTACTTAATTAATATACGTATTTTAAGTTGCTGTTAATTTTTAGATCTTTTTTAGAAAGCTTATCAGAGTCAGGTTAAACTAGATAGCTTAAATTTCTAATCTTGAGATGAGAGTATTTTGCTAAGCATTATCTGAAAAGGTGTGGCTTCATTTATTCTAGATACTATTCTTGTTATGCACTTTCGATTTATTATGCAAAATATTCACTAGATTCTCCAAATTGTTAATTTTTAAACCTTATTTTGTTTTAGTTATTTAGCAATCTATGGCTCTTTTATTAGGTGTTCGTCATTTGAATTTGTTCTTATTTCTTTTTTTCTTCTTCAATAATTTGCTGTCTTTTTTAGAACTCCTCTTTTATACGTTTTATTAATTTTTTTTGTTTCTTAGCTTAATTTAATATAAAATCCTCATGCTTTCCAATAGAACCTGCATTATCTAATTCTTTTTTCATCTCTCCTATATAATCTATTGTTTTCATTTGTTTGTTTAGATCTTTTTCTTCCTCTTCTTCTATATCTGAAATTTCCTCCAAAGAACTAATCTATGATTTAGATGGTTCTGTTTTTATTTGATTAAGTTAATTTTTGAATCTTTTTAGCTATTGCCCGTTTAATTAGCATATTTTTTGATTAGATAGTTACTTTATCTTTTATTAAAATTCAATAAATAAGTCAAAATATTGTTTTATTTTATTGATGATTAACAAATATTCGTAAAAAATGCATATATCATTTAAGTAGAACTTAAATTATTTAAATTAAAATAGAGATTAAATAAAATAAATATTTGCTTACTTTAGGATTTAAAGCTGTACATTAATTATTTATATACTATTTAAACTATTACTTTTCTAAGTGAAAAGTCTTATTGCAAGCTTCTTTATATGCTTGAGAAGTAAACTTTGTTTAATATTTATCTAAGGTATTAGTTTGATTTAATTCATTAGATTTCTTTTTACAAATTAATGGATGCCTTATCAAATCTTTAATGTCAACAAACTATCTTACATTTTCTTAAAAGTTGTTTTTCTTTAAACTAGATTAATTGAGCTACTTTTTAGATGATTATTCCAACTATAATCTAGGAGTAGCGTATTTAAATGATCCACTCGAAAATGATGTATTGCTAGCTAATTAATATAATATTTTTAATTTTTAAGATTTGTTTTTTCTGGTTAAGATAGATTCAAATTAATTTACATTGGTTTAAGCTCTAAAATAATTTTTCTTTTTGTTAAAACTTCTATTTTATCTGCTTTTATGTTAATTTAAAGTTAAAGAGATTATCTTAGTATACAAAATTATCAAATAAAGAGTCTTATTTCATCTATGTTTGATTATTGCTAGTAGAATTATCATTGAATTTATTTAAAGTATCACTCTATTTATATGAATTAAGTCGAGAAAACATTAAATTAGGCTCATAGTTAGGAGTGCTTTTAGGAGAGAAATAATCATTATTAGGAGAGTGCAACAAAGAATAAAGAGTAGTCTGTGATTTTTTCATTTACTAACTTAACAAATAGAAATTATATATTATTATTTTTTACACTTACTTTTATAGTGTTTGGTTGATTTAATATTATTAATTATTAGACTAATTATAAGTAATAACTCAAAAATTAAATTATGACACTACTTATTTTTTTATTAAATTAAAATGTTCTAATTTACAATATAATCAAGTATTTTAACACAGCAATTAAAGCTCTTTATTTTACAAAGAAGTTGAATAATTGTGGTGGATTTTTAATAGTTTAAAGAAAATAATTTAGCTAATAAAATTTAAAATAAAAACGAAAAAATTTTTATATTTCAATTTGTCATTTGCTTTACAAAGAGGCTAAAAATTATTTTTTTAATTAAAGCTATTTTCATTTATATATTTTACCTTATCTTATGAAAAAAAAAAATTATTTAAAATTTTATCAAATTGTATAAATTTTATTAATATTTAATGAGCTACCTAAATTATGTCTTTTTTTTGAGCAAATTGGACAAAAATAAAATTAAGCTATTTTTCAAAAATGATAATAAGTTTAAATTAACAAACTTAAGTTTTAGCTAATATTAAAATAACGAAAAATTATTAAATGTAAGCTTAATAATTTTAAATTAACTAAAAATTAGTTTACTAAAATTTATAAATACCTACGTTCTTAATTTAATATACATTTTAAATTATTTAAATAATTTGCTTAAGTTTATTTAGAAGTATTAAATTTATTACATAATATCTATATATTTAAATTTATTTTAATATTATTAACTATTTTTGAAAATTTATTAATAATAAAGCTTGTAATAATAGTTTAACTAATAATTTAAATGCAATTTGTGTAAAAGAAATTTAAAATATGTTTTTTTCATTCTATTTTTTATTTATTAATTATATTCTTGTGTTTTCTAAAATTTATGACTATATTTCTATGTTTCAAAGGAAAATCAAATTGAAAAAAATTAATAAAAAAATTAAAATAACTGATCATTTTTTATCTCTTCCATAAAAGGTTCAAACCTCCAAAGCACAAAATCTTTTATGAAGCTTGACTTTAATGTAAAAATATCTCATTATTTTAAAATTATTAAATAGATTAATACTTATATTTTATAATAGCTATTATGAATCTTAATAAAATGTCTATAATTATTAATTATTTTATATATAATAAATAAAGTATTATTTTATTATCATTTATATTTAATGTAAAATTGTAAAATAAAATTCTATGAATTTAACATAGAATAATTGATTAAATAAATATGCATAAATATGTTAATATTTTTGTATGCCTGTAATTAAACTAATATCTTAAATTTAGCTATACTGTTTGTAGTATATTATATGCTTATAAAAAATTTAATCATAAATTCCTTTTGATCAAAATATTTTTTAATAATTGCTTTTTTTAAATTATTTTGATTAATTATTTTTTGATTTTATACCAGAATTGAATCCTTAATATTTCTATTTTTGTGGTTATCTAAAATTGAAAGAATACTTTTTTGATATAATCAATTATTTATTTATTTTTTCTTTTTTTCGATTAGAAACTTTTAAAAATTTAAAAGTTCTAAAAAATAAAATATTATTTAAAAAATGTTTACTTAAGCATGAAGAATAAATACGTTAATATTTTTATATGCCTGTAATTAAACTAATATCCTAAATTTAGCTCAATACTGTTTGTAGTATATTATATGCTTATAAAAAATTTAATCATAAATTCCTTTTGATCAAAATATTTTTTAATAATTGCTTTTTTTAAATTATTTTGATTAATTATTTTTTGATTTTATACCAGAATTGAATCCTTAATATTTCTATTTTTGTGGTTATCTAAAATTGAAAGAATACTTTTTTGATATAATCAATTATTTATTTTTTTTTTCTTTTTTTCGATTAGAAACTTTTAAAAATTTAAAAGTACTAAAAAATAAAATATTATTTAAAAAATGTTTACTTAAGCATGAAGAAAAAATTAATTTTATTTAAATTTATTAAGTATTAGTATACATATGTAAGTATTTAGAAGAGAGAGAGAGTTTTATAGTAAGTATTGCAAATGCACTCAAATCATTAATGAACTAATAAGGTCAACACTAATTTATAAAAGAAATTATTAAGTTCTCCTATATAAATTTCCAATTATTTAATATAAAAAAAAATATATTTTTGAAAACCCTTTTATTAGAATAATCAATAATTTATACACTGAATCTACTGATAATACATCATTATCGCCATCACCATACTAATCTTATGCCTCTAAAACTAAGAGATTTTGATCAATAAAAAGATATCTTTCTTAATTTAAAAAGGAGCTCATTTTAGAAAGTTTATAATAATAATAAAAAATTTTAAAATCAAAACTTAAAAAATAAAAAATGGATTACGTTAAAGGTTGGTTGAAAATTGTACCTATTAGATTTTTTAACAATAATCAAAATACTGAGGAAGAGGATAATTAAAAGTTGTCGATATACTATGATTTATTTAGTAAAATAGAAGAAACAGCTTCAACTAAAATGAAGGATTAAGACAAGATTTTAATTTTGAAATAGCTAGAACAATATGATATATTATTTGCTTAATAAGATAAATCTGAATGATATAACTAGAGCCTTTAGCAGTCAATAGAATAAGAGGAGAAAAAAATAATGACTTACATAAGGAAGTTAAAATCAGAGATTACTTTCTCTTTTCTCTATGATTAGTTTATTTTTATTAAAAATAGTAAAGATATTTAAAATAGCTCATTTCTCTAATGCTTAACTGATTAAAAGAAGGCTCAAAGTAAAATTCTTTACTTGACTTAAATAAATTCCTCAAGGTTATATGGTCTGACTTAACAAGAATGCTCGAAATAATTTAATGATGAACTCAAAACTAAAATAGCACTGAAAGAGTTAAGTGAAAGAGATATTTTAAACTTCTTTTTGGACTTTTATTTTGATTTAATACTCGACTTGTTATACAGGAGAATTCCTTTAACTTCTTTGTTGAAATCAGTTTAGTAACAAGTTTAGATTGAATGCCTACAAAATTTAAATGTGAGCAACGTTCTTGTTCTCGTCTTTGAAAGACTGAATTTGATTGACAAAATAAATCTTGGTTAGATATTAAGTTGCTCCTATTAATCTATCCCAATTTTTTACAAAATAGAAGAAACCGATGAAAACTAAATTTATAAGAACAATCTGATTTCTGCTTTTTATTCTTTTATGGATTAATTTTAAAACCATATCATACTAAATGTTTGCAGCAGCAGTATTCAAAAGAAGTAAAGAGAAGAATTTTTTAATTACTTAGCAAATAATAAAGATATAATTGCTGATCTTAATGAGGGCTTTAACTAAAGAGGAACTGTTCACTTATATTCTTAATTCCCTAATTCAAAGCTTAGTCAATTTACGCTTTTAGACATTTGTTAACTTGATCTGCTAAATGTTTAATTTTTAAGAATATTTACTAACTTGATGAACTGTAGTAGCATAATTTTGATCCATCTAAATTTCGAAAAGGATTTTATTTTATGCACAAATAAGTATGTTGTTTCTGTAGAGACATAAAAAATAATTAACACATTGAATGATAAATACTCTGTCATTTTTATCATACATAAAGCCTAGAAACATAAAGCTTAAGTAGAGAAATACTTTAAAGTCTACCTTGAATATCATAAATTTGAATATAAGTTGCTGTTAATTTCAGAAAACGATCCTGAGCCTGAATATGATAATCTTTTTTTTTAGTTGAAGAATTAAACTTTATAATAAACAAAAAAATAAGAAATAATTTAATCTTTTGAAGAGTTTTTAGAAGCTTACATCTCAAATAGTGATTTTGAAAACTTAAATACTCACATCGCTTAATATAAGAACTTGATTTAGTAAACGATAAAAAAGCAACTAATTTTAAATAAAATAAGCGATGTTGAATCTTATAAGCTTATTCAGCATATGTTCTCTTATTCAAATGTGTTTTCAGAATTGTTCTACAAAGAAAAAATATTTGATAACTTATCAAGATCATATTTCAGAGAAACAGAAAACTTTGTAAAAAAGGGAGAAAAATTGTAATAACTTAAAAAAAAATTTGAGTCATGTAATCAGCTGAGTGAAATAACCATATTCTTTTTTAATGAAATAACTTAAAACAACTATATTAAATAGTCTGTGATTTCTAAAATACTCTCTGACTGGAAGTAGCCTTTGGTTGAAGAAAATAATAAAAAAATAGATTAAATAAATTAAGATATTAGAAATTTAGAAAAAGTTGCTTTCAAATAACTTTCATAAAAAGATCAGGAGTATTTAGAATAATTGTACAAATAAAAAAATTAATTAATTATTCTTTAAGATAACTATGATATTTCTATTGAAAGTTTCATAAGAGAAATTAGCTTATTTACTTAAAATACCTCAAAAAATTCATTCTACAAAATAGAGCATGCTTAACTCAAAGTATAAATTCAAAGCTACTATAAATATGCCTTTGAGAAGGGAATACCAATCTAGTTTATTGATAAAACTAGAAAATTTGGTAGCAATTTATTAGAAGAGTTTTTTAAATAAATTGACTAGAAATTCAGATTATCTGATTACAAGATTGTTTCTGTTGTAGGTCCTTAGTCTTCAGCAAAAAGTACTCTAATGAATTATCTTTTTAGATGTAGTTTCGAAACCTCAAGTGCCAGATGCACCAAAGGAATGTATTTTACAAAAATAAACTTTTAAGGAATGAATTTGATAGTTATAGACACAGAAGGGTTATTATCCAACGTTTTCAGGGACTAATCTTTTGATAACTCAGTGATGACTTTACTATTTTTAATCTCTAATGTGATAATTTTTAACATTAAAGACGAGTCTAATTCAAAAATGAAAGAGATGATGAGCATAACAGAGGAAGTTATCAAATTATTTAATAATATTTAAGATAATTACACAGTACCGGAAATCTTCATTGCCTTAAGAGACTATTTTGATAGGAATAATATTGAATTAAAAAAAAAATAAATTATCAATGAAATGATATAAGTGAACGGAATCTTTGAAAGTTAGAGCTCAAAATAGCAAAATAAAAATCAAATAAAATTAAAGCCAGAAAATGTTTTTATATTCCCAAGTGCTTTTTCTGAATTGAATTATTTTGAATCTAGGTTTAAACATATAAATACAGGGTTTGGTGAAGATGTGTTGCAACTTAGAAAGTCTATAACAAATGTTCTGAAATAATCTAAAGGCTATCTATCAATCTAAGATTTTTATTTTAAAGCAGAGGGAATATGGAATAGATTAAAGGAGCATGGCCATGATTTGCTAAAATGTATTACACTTGAAGAGTATAAGTCTAAAAAGTTATTAGAAGAAATTGCGCTTGGTTACTAAAAAAAAATTGAAGAAAAAAAAGTCAATTAAATAGAAGAAAAAGAAGCAATATTAAAAAATAGCTTGACAGATAATTATATGGATATTCATTCATTTAATAGAATAAAACAAGAATATAGCTAGTTCATAACTACTTTGAATATATAAATGAATGAAGAGCTTGAAGATAGTCTATAATAAGACTACAATGATAATAAATTGATTAATTAACTCAATCCAAGAGACTTTTACTTCATATTAAATAAGACTTAGCATAGGAACAAAGTCAATTTATAAGTAAGATAAAATATCTTTGAGTAAAGAATTTAAAGTTTATTCTTTGGCTTGCAAATTGATGTCCTTGAAAAAGATTTTAATAAATAAATTTAATAAGAAGTCAATCAAGCACAATTTGAATAAAACGAATAATCATTGAAAAAATTACTTGACTAAATTCAAGAGGAGTATTCTGACAAGATAAAATAATTATAAAAAAAATTTGAAACAACAGATGAATTGATGAGACAGTAGCTAGAATAGCTTAAAAACGAGTATGTTAAGCATTATGATTAAAATCTCTAAAATTTAATCTAAGAATTTTCAATTAGTTAAATTGCTAAGCAGAACTTCGATGATGTAAAAAATATCATTCAAGAAAACTAAGTAGATTAAATTGCTAAAAAATTTTTAGTAAATAGTAGTAGATTAAGTTCAAGCGAATATGAGCTATTAATTAATAAAATACAAGAGTTTTTCCAAAACTTAAAATTAGTTAAACCTAATAAAGTTTATCAAGAATAGGAAATCGTAAAAAACATATTTTAATAAATGGTTGATTGTTGCAAAGTATTTTTTGACTCAATATAACCTGATTTGCAATAATACATAAATGATACTAATATGTATAAATATACATTTTATATTCTTTACTAAATCATTAGAGATTAAGTAAAGAAATGGCAATAGCAAGTTCTTCGCAAAAAAATGGAAAAATTTTAGATAATAATTGACCAAAAGATCTAACATATCAAGAAAATGTCAGAGACTTCAACTGACTGGGTAGAGTTAGGAGTTTAGGCTATGCGCAGTATATAAAATTAAATAGTTACAACATTTATAAAGAAATCTTTGTCTAACATGGAGCCTGTACTCAATAAAACTGTGGATGATTTAACTTCAGATTACACCAAAGCGATTGATAATGCCTTTATGTCTGTTTATGATTCTACAGAGCAAAAAATCAACATAGACAACTTTCTTAAGTATACTGTGAATATCAATAAATATATTGATGAAATGAAAAGAGATTAAATTAAAATCAAAGCTGAAGAATTGGTAGAAAATAAAACAACAGAATTTAATCTAGGATTATAAAATATAATTGATGAATTAAATTAAATTATTTTACATTTTGTTAACACTGAAATATTTGACTTCGATCAACTTATTGAAAAATTAAATACTATTTATTTTGAAGGAGTTTCTTTATAATTAGGTTAAGAAATTATTATAGAAAATTTAAAAAATAAACCTTAATTTATAGAAGAGGAAGAAGAAGTCTAAGATGATGATTTGAACTGTGATGTTGAAGAAGAAAAAGAAGAGGAAGAGTAAAAATAAGAAAATAATGAAGTCCAAGAAATTCACTAAGATAAGGATAAAAGCTGTTACAGAGACAACGAAAAAGTAGATGGCTTAACAGAAAATGAGCAAGAAATCAATAGTAATAAATAAAGTTAAAAGGAAAATGGTTTAGAAAAATAAGCTCTAGATTTTAGTGAAATAATAATGAAAAGCTGTGGAAATAATAATAAAGAATAGGAAGATAAGTAAAAGAATTAAATTATAATATTTAATTCGTCTTAATCCTAAATTGATATGTTAAACGATAAATAAAAGCAAGATAGTGAGGATTCTTTTGCTATGGATCTAAATGAATCTGTAATTAATGGTGAATTAAGCAAAAATAATAATGATAAATAGATTGAAGAAGTTTAAAGTAATATTTAAGGTGAAAGCAAAAATTAGCAAAGTAATTGTATGGAAGGTTAAGATGAAAATTAAGATAAAATATTATAATATGGTGATTAAAATAATTCTTAATCAAATATAGAAACTTAAGAATAAGAAAAGAAAATTTCAAATTAGGAGGGAGATATATTGCAAGAGAATGAATAAGATTTATGCAATGAGGAAAAAAAAGAAGACTCTAAACATATTGAAAAAATAAATAATCAAACTAGCATAGATTAAGAAGATAATAATAAAACTAAATAAGATAATGAAATTTAAAACGAAGTAGATACAATTTAAGTAGATAAAAACAATAATTCCACTAAACATTTTGCAGAAAACTAAGAAGAATAAATAAATCATAACTCCGCTCAAGCCGAGTAATCATAAATAATTGAAAACGATAATATTCAAACATCATTAGATAAGGTGTAAAGTAGTTAAGATTAAGAAGATAATGATAAAACTAAATAAGATACTGAAATTTAAAACGAAGTAGATACAAACAGTTATTCCTCTAAAAATTTTACAAATAACTAAGAAGAATAAAAAAATAATGATTCTACTCAAGTCGAGTAAGCAAAACTAAATGAAAAAGGTAATACTCAAACCTCATTAAATAGTGTATAAAGCGGTTGTGAATAAGAAGATGATAATAAAAAGAAATAAGATACTCAAATTTAAAATGAAACAGGTACTATTTAAGTAGATTCAAATAATAACTCTTCTAAAAATGTTCAGGATAAGTAAGAAGATGATAGAGAGTAGTGCTTAAAGATTAATTAAAATGATATAGAAGATTTATAAAAAAATTAAAATGACAAATAAAAAAGAGCATCTGAATAATAGCTTAGTGATTCTGACTCAGGAAAAAATGGCTCTAAAAAAGAGAAAACTAGAATTAAAAAAATTAAAATAGTTAAAAAGTATATACCAGTTTAGTCGTTATATATATAAGGAATGAGGAAAATTTATAATGAAATAAATCCTACAAATGGCAATAAGATAATACTTTAGTTTAAAGAAGAACTCAATAATGAGATGGAATAAATGCTGAAATTACATTATCAAAAAATGATAGGATGTCAAGAGAGATGCCCATTTTGTGGTTAAAAATGTCATTTAGAGCTAGGACATTCTGGTGACCATAGTGTTAATGATCGTCATTTAATTATCGGAATTCATGGGTATGGTAAACAAGAATTTTATGTTAATAAATTTTGCTATGATACAATAGATGAACCATTCAGAATTAATTACTAAAGATTTGAAAATATGTATGAAGCTTCATAAAAATTGTTCCCAAATTGGTCATCTTGCTTCTCTTTAGATAAAAAAAATAATTAAGATTAGAATTTCAGTTAGATTCTAAAATAAGGATATGCATTGACTGCTAAATGGTTTGCTAACCACAATAACAAAAGCAGGCTAGAAGATTTAAAAGAAAATGTGCCATAAGAATTTAAAGATCTTGCTTAAAATTAAGAAGAAATAGATGAAACATATAAAATCTAATGGAAATATATAGACGATCAAAGCAGTGATTAGTCACAAGATGATTCTCAAGATTAGGATATAAGTTAATTAAAGTAAAGGTTGCTTAGGCTATTTACTTTTATACATATAATATTAAGTGATTGAATATAAAATTTAAATCTTTTAAACAAAATGTTTTTTTGTATTCTAAAACTTTATATTTATCAATCAATGTTTGTTTGTTTGTCTGTCTTAGAATTAAAATAAGATTTTAGTTATCAAATTAAATTTTTTTTACATTATTTAATAATCATTTTACTTAAAAAATTACTTTATTTAGTATTTTATTCATCACATTTTTTATTTTAGAACAAATAAATTATTAGTTTTTTAATATTTTATTTGTCAATCTATATATTTATTTTTTTTTGCTAGCTAATTATTGTCTTTTATTTATTTTACTTAAATATATATTACTTACTTTAATATTTTATTCATAAATGTTTTTATTTTAGCTTTAAAAAAATATTAATTTTGAAAATTTAAAAATTAAGCTAATTTTTATCTATTTATTTTACCTAAAAAAATATACTCTCTTTAATATTTTCATAATTTTTTTTTTTTAGCATTTAATAAGATTGATTTATTTCTAAATTAAAAATTAAGTTAATTATTATCTTAATTTTATTTTTAAACTAAAAAGGTAAGATATTATTTTATTTAAATGTGTATTAATACATTTATTGAGAGCTATTTGAAGGATAAATTTTTTTACATTTAATAATAATTAAATATTTTATTAAACTAACATTTTAATTAAGATATTTAATATTTACCAAAACAAATGATTTAATAATAAAATTCATCAAAAATAAGATATTTAAAAGCTTAGATTTTTTTAATATTAATAATTTTATTTTCCTGTAGATAATAGATTGAATAAAGTTCTTATATTACATTTTTTATTGTTTAAAAAGAATTAGATTTACTTATAAATTTATAGTTAATTTAAGAAAATATTGTTAATAATTAATTAATACCCTCAAATTAAATGATTCAGATATTTATTGTCCAAAAGATAGCAAGTCAGATAATAAATTATCCAATCAAAATTTATTGATTAAATGATTAATAAAAAAATTAATTAGTATTATTGATCTTACATAAATTAAAAATTAAGTAGTTCTAATAAGTTTTATATAAACTATAGCATAAAATTTTAAAGAAAGAGGATGAATTATATTAGAGAAATTGTTTCAGGAAAGAAAAAGCGTATGAAAGATGCAGGATATAATTTAGATTTAAGCTATATATGTCCTAGAATAATAGGAATGTCGTTTCCAGCTGAGGGACTCGAGATCACATTTAGAAATAATATAAAAGATGTAATTTATCATTTAAAGTAAGCAGCAAATTAAATTATTTTTATCTCGCTTCCTCAAAAGGTAGTTCAGTTTATTAAAGAACGTCACGGAAATGATTTTCACATTTACAATTTGAGTGGCAGATCATATCAAAAGGAAAAATTTAATGGCCAAGTAATTTTATAATTAAGATATTATTTTTTTGATAATAAATTGGAAATAAAATTGATAAATAAAACAATTTAATCGTTTTTAGAACTATTTAAAGAGTAGTTTGATTATTTGTTGGTCTTTTGCAAATAATATTTTAGAATTAATAAATTTAAAATGAAAAAGGTATCTGATTTCCCTTGGGAAGATCATCATTCTCCTCCTATTAACATTTTATTTATGATGTGTAAACATATTGATGATTTCTTGTCAAGTAAATAAATAAATAAATTGAAAGTTTTAATTAAATTCTCAATTTTTATTTCTTAATTTAGATAAATTAGCAAATGTAGTATTTGTACATTGTTTAGCAGGTAAAGGAAGAACAGGTACTGCAATATGTTGTTATCTTATTTATTCAGGCCGCTTCCAAACAGCTGAAGATGCTCTCACTTATTATGCAAAAAAAAGGTGATAACATATTTTCTATAATTTGCAATTAAAAAAGAAAACATTTATGGTTTTGGTTTTAACTTAAATATAATTGATAAAAAAGATTTTAAGTAGGAGGTGGTGTTACTCAGCCAAGTTAAAAAAGATATGTTAAATACTTTGAATAAATCATAAAAGGGCCTCCAATTACTCCTGTTCTAAAATATATTACTTCATTAACCTTAGTAGGAATACCTATATTTTCGAAGCACTCGTGTAGACCTTACATAGAAATATATAATGTCAAAGAGAATAAATTATAGCTGATTTATACAGATAAGAAAAGCCACTCTGAGCAAAAAAAATTTACAGATTTAGGAAACAAAGAGCTGAATATAATCAAACTGCAGATTTTAACTCCTTTTGTTGTAATTGGGGATGTGTTAATTAGAGTTATTCACAACGGAAAATTTAAAAATATATTTATGTTCAGATTTGCTTTTAATACTGCTTTTATTCCAGAAGATAAGTAATTCAAATAAATTATCAAAAATAAATAAATACATTTAGAAATAGCTTCCTTTTTGCTTTGTTTATTTTTTCAATTTTAAACAAAGCACATTGACATTCGAATTAAAAGAGCTTGATCCAGATAAAGTTGTAAAGGATTAGAGATTCCCTGATTATTTTTATTGTGAAGTAAATAAGTTTCATTCATTAGTTTAGATTAAACTAAATAAAATTTTATCAAAACATTATGTAGGTCAAGTTTACTGATTATTGTAAATGCAAAAATACAACTCTTTTCGATAATAAGTGTAAAGACTGCTTAAAATTTATGCCAGAAGTGAAAAATCAATGGGATACGATTCATGAAATAATGGATGTAAATATATTGTTAAGTAAATAGATATTATTATTTAACAATGTTTTAAATTTATTATTAGGAGTACAAACAGCACAGTATTCATGAGTCAAAAATTATATTATTTGGAGACCCAGAATTTGATGATTAAAATGAAGTTTTGTATTCTATCAGTAATATTGTTTACTAAATACTTTGAATAAATAATTAAATAATTCATATTTAAATATTTAATCGTTTAAATTATATTTTAATTTTTAATGTAGAAAATCCTTAAATTTTACCTGAAGACTTTTAGTACTAGGATGATGAAGATGATTTCGACTGTGATGACATGGAGTATGAAAATTAGTTAGGGAAGATAACAGAAAAACATGAGAAAGAAGATGAGGATCACCATGAACAATATAATAAATAGCATAGGGATACCTTTTTTAAGCACACTATGTGATTTGCTTTTAATTTAATTTTAAACTATATTTCATCTTTAATAAATAGATAAAAAAATTTAATTAAAATAAATAAATAAATAAAAAATTCATGCAATAATAGATAAATGAAGAATAAGTCTATAATTGATTGCACATTTCAATTGATATTTATTGTTATATTATGAATGTTAAAATAACCACAACTCATTTGTGATTGTTTTTATTTTATCTTTAGATATAATTTTTTAATGATTGTTAAATTTACTAAAAATATAGAATTTAATAATATATATGTAAATCAATGTAACTAAGTATCTAATTTGTAGCTTTTAAACACTTTGATTCGGACTTAACTGTTATTAAATTTGGTTTATAATGTTACATATAATGGCATTTATTAGCTTTATTTTTTAAAAATATATATATCTGCTATTAATTTACCACAATTTTTTATTATTATTAAGATAACAAATTAATTTATAAAAATATTACTAAATATTTTAAACATTTACCAATAAGTTAATATCTATCTATTTATGCAAAATTGTATTCAATAGAAAATTAAATAAGTAAAGATTGTTATTGATAAGAACTGCAATTTCAGATTAGAATTTCAAATATTAAAATGAGATAAATCAATAATTTTTTTTTTACTTTAATATGGTCTGAGTTAATAGCCTTTTAGCTAGTTAATTGCTAGTAATTAGTGTGCTATCAATAATCTGATTGCGGGTAAAATCAATGCTGCAATTAAGGTACTTGCTAATTAATTCCTGATGGATAATTAAGATCATATTGCACTGACTAAAAAAAGTGTTATGCTTAATAATGTTAGTATGGTTGTTGCACAAGTAATCAACAGTGTGGAAGCTATAGTGATTGTTCAAGTGGATAACAATATTAGGTTTAAATAATAATATCTATTGTAGTTGGAACCATTGTATTTATTTTATTAATGTGCTATATATTTGCTGTTTGCAAAAAAAGAAAACGAAGTTAAGTGATGGATGGTGATGAAGAAAGCGTTAGCAATATTTAAAGAAATGATAGAACCTTGATAAATTAGACTAATGCAAATTAGACATAATTAATGAATAATAATGCTAATTAAACCAGCTTGACTGAGTAAAATATCAACATTTTAAGCAACCAAAGAAATAATTTAGATAAATCGATTCAAAAACCAACTCATGTATTACCTCCAATAAATACTATTTTCCTAATTGATTAAAATAAGGATTAACCTATATTTGTTCAGAAAAAGCTGGATATGAATGACATAGAATCTATAAACCATAGTATTCAAGGAACTAGAATATCTAAAGAATATTTTATGAGAAAGAAGAAGAATAGGCTTTATTAAAGAGGTAATTCTTCAAGTTAATCGAATGCTCTTTAGCAGTCTGTTATAGATTAAGGGAGATAGTACGAAGGAGATGGATAAGCAGTAAGCTTTAATAGGATTGATTAATAAAATTTTAGCTAAGTTGGTAATAATGATTTTAATTTATAAAGACTCGAAACTAATTAATCATAACAATTTAACAAATAAGATGATTTGTTGAAAAATCCTGATAATTACTTGTATCAGATTTTAAGATAGTTAAGATAGTAAGTCTATGTAAAAAAAAGAGGCTAATCAAATCATTAGAGATAGAGCAGATAAATGCACTCAGAAAGTGATTTATCTGAATAAAGTAATGCTCACAGAAAGAAAATTTAATCATTACACAACGAAAATTTAAGTGGAAATAATAATTTTGAAAGATCAATAAAGGAAAAGCAATAAAGTGAATAAAACATATTTTAAAATAAAGGTTAAAGCTCTTTAAGTAATAATATATTTATAAAAAATAAAATTTCATCTTAAAACGAAATTAGAAGTCATGAATAAGAAATCATGCTAAATAGAGAATAAACTAATGAAAGATATAAAAACACATACAAAATAAACATCTAAAGAAATTTAGAACAAGAAGACGACGAATATAGAAATGACCAATAAAATTTATTTAATAAATTAGCAAATATAAAAAATGGTAGAACTATTTTTAGCAGTAACGATGAATTTGAGAACCTAAATACTCCACATTAATAGGCAAATTTATAAACTCCACATTTGGAAAATCCAATAACTCCTCATGCTAATCAAGACAACACTTAAAGACACTTAAATCCTAAAAAAGTTCCTCTTTAATCTGAAGAACTAAACTCAAGGAGTTCTATTAACTCAAACAATCTTATTTAAATTCTTTAAAATCAAATAAATGATGACTATATTATTAATCAATAAGACAAAAAAAACAAATCTAGAAACAGTAAAAACAATTTAGAAGTACCTTAGTTAACTAAGAATAGAAATAATTTAGAAAGAAAGTCTTAAAGCAGTAATGATGAAGACTTAGTCAAAGCAATAAATAAAATTTACTAAAATTAAAATGAAGATTCAATTATTGAAAATTCAAATTAAAAATCTTCATCAGAAAAAAGTTAAAATCAAATATTTAAAATGTAGGATTTGCTAAATCTTGAATAACAAAAATCTTAAACTATTTCTGATTCGATATATGAGCTAGAAAAACAAATAGATAACATCAATTCTCAAAAAAATAGAGAAGAATCATTTAATAATCCAAACAAAGATGATTATAATTTAGATAATTAGTATATTCCTGAATAACAACAATAAACTAAAGCAAATAAAAATAATGACAACCTAGAAATTTAACATCTAAAGTTTTCGGAAATTAAAGATGAAAGAAATAGTAGAAATTCAATAACACAGCTTCCTAGGATTTTAACTTTATCTTAATTTTAATAAAATTGAAATTTTCATTTTAGCTTATACATCATTTGATGAAAATTATATTAACAATTAATTTATATTATTTTATCTATTTTAATTTAAATTAAAAACTAATATTTGTTTAAATTTTATTAAACTAAAGTTATTTTAAATAAATTAAATTTATTCTTCTTAATTTATTCCAACAATTCTATTTAAAAATTGTTTTTTGTTATATTTTAGAATAAAAATATTTTTTTGTATTTATGAAAAACCTTATGAAAATATTTTTTAATTTTAAAATATTTAAGTTATTTTTAGTATTTCTTAGTAAATTTTATGCTAATAAGTTTATTTTCTTGTGATTTTAATTTTAAAAAGTATAAATTTTTGTAGAAAAAATTCTGATTTTACCAAAATTAAATATTAAAAAGTAAAATTAAAAATCAATTAAATTTATTAAAAATTTTTTGAATTGGTTAATGAATTTTTAATTTAAAAATATTAAAAATAATAAACACAGTTTTTAAGTTCAGTTTTAAATTTTAAAAATTGAAGAGAATAAGTTCACTTAATATAAATATAATTTTTATAACTTTTTTAAAATAAAATAAATTAAAAAAATAAAACTTAATATAAAATATTTATAATTAAAGGTTTTAAATTTTGAAATAATTTTTGGAAAATTTTGAAAAAAGTATCTATAAATCTATCTGCTTTAAATAGCTAAATTATGATATTGGTAATAAATATCCAATTTTCGCCAACTTAAGTCACATTATTTTTGTTATTTGATATCTAGATAAATAGATAGATTGATATATTAATCAAAAAAATTAATTTTGTTAACTTTAATTTAAAAAATTAATTGAAAAATAGATAGATAGATAAATAGATAATTAATTAATTAGATAGGTATATATAATACAGAAAAGCAAATATTTATTGATTGATTATTTATTTTTTACTTTTTATATATTGATTGATTGATAGATAGAATTTCCTCTGATTCTACGAATTCAAGATTTCAAGTGAATAATTTAAAATACTAATCAAATTCTTTGAAGTAAAGAAAAACTTAAAACTCTAATGAATCCAGATAAATGCTAGATTTGTTCTTCTAATTATGCTAAGCATCTCTCTGTGATTCCATATATTCACTCTGCATAGTAAAAAGGTGATCAAAATTAAGATAATAAATGTCATTTGGTTTGCGCATCTTTCATTAAAGATGTAGAAATTAATATTAGAAATAAGCCAAAAAATAAATTTAAAATGGGTAAAAAGGAATTAATTGCAGAAACAAGTGTTAATTTAAAAAGTCTTGAATATAGTTAGCTTCTATGTTAAGATTGCAATGAAATCGATACAGAAACATACATTAAATGCATTGATGAGTAAATATTAATTTAAATTATTTAAAAATGATTCTTGATTTGAAACTTATAAAAAGAAAAATGTCATCAAATAGTCTATAAAATCATATAATTTTTTGAGCTAAAATAATTTGTAAAGAAAATAATGGTTTCTAATTTTTAAATTTATAAAATAACAAAAGAGATTGCAATAATTACTTTCATATTTCTTGCATTATCAAGAATCAAATCAAAATATCTCTTGGTAGATGGTCAGAAATAGATCGTAAAGCTTATTTACTTGAGCCTATTTGTAGCGAACACATCAATAATAAAAAATGTACATTTATCTATTTTGAAATTTTCATGATTCTTGAGAAAAATGCTCTATTATGCATTTTAAAAAGTTTAGATTATAGCTTTAATATTTAAATATTATTTAGATGTAGAGAAGTCAATTTCATGGTAAAATATTGATAAATAGCTGAAGCAAAAAATATTTGAAATGAATGGCCTAGATATCCAGTTGTTATCTGATGATGAAAGTGCAAGGGATTTAAAAAATATTTAGTTACAAGCAGGGAGAAAAGAGAGTCATTCTTAAAGTTAAGAGGACTCTTAATTAACTAAATTAGAAAGCAAGTCTGAAAGGAAATCTCAAAGAAAAAGGAATCTTAAAATTAAATAAATAGATGAAAACACAACAATATCTAATTCTGCAGCTGAATCAGCAGAGAGTTCTGATGTTGGAACACATTTATCTTCTATTTAGTACTCCTCAGATTAAATAAAATCTAATTTGAAAAGCACATTAAAATAAAAAAAAGCTAAACTTTAAACAAAATAAATTGAAGAAAAGGTTAATAAAGGAGAATAAAAAAGTAGAGGTAGAAAAATAAAAGAATTCAAAGAGGTAGAAATGGATTTAAATGAATAAAATGAGAAAGAAAGTATGACTATAATTGAGAAAGTATTCAAAAATAACACATTATTTAAAGATTGCTTAGATCCAACAAAATCTAAAGTTGCTGAAGAAATTATCAAAAAGAATAAAGTGAAAATTTCTGGAGGAATTCCTTAATATCCTAACACTAATGACTCAAACAGATAAAAGTATTTAATTTAAATAGATTTTAATTCTATAAATAATTCATTAATTATAATTAAATGCTAAAATAAATAGCCTAATGAAGTAGTGGTGGAAATATGTGAATGATTTTTATTTTAAAGAGTGCTCGTAAAAAGATTTTTCTGCTCTCACTCAAGAAAAAATGTCAAGTCTTTTAGATTTAGAGGATCTAGAAGATAATATGCCTCAATCAAGAGCTTACAGATATGAAAAATTTATTTTGAAAAGTAATACTTTTTATAAAAGTTTACATATTAATAATAATTATTTTTTATAGGTTAATATTACTAATCTTTGATTGAAAACGACTATTACTTAAATGGAATAGTACCAAGTTTAAAAAATCATTACTACTTAACAGTGTTATTTGAAAACGATTCTTCTAATTTTTTAGTAAAATATGAATTGCTTGACTAAACTTTTAAAAATAAAATTCTGGATTCATTAAAAAGCTCTTAGAAGAATTAAATAAATAATTTAAATTTAAATATTATAAGCCAAAGAGAAATGAATGATATTGCAGTAGTAAAACCTAAAAATTACTAAAGTTATGCTACAAATTTTAATAGTAATATATCCAGCAGTGATTTATAGAGTATTTTGTATTTAAGTGATATTTAAGGAGTTGACTGTTTATCTCTTTAAAAATCGATTGAATGCACAAAATTTGTACTTGACCAACAAAATTAATACAGTTAATCATAAAATTATTCAAAGTAACTGTTACTGTGTGAAGGGAACTAGAAAAATCAAATAAAATAAATTCCCATTTAAGATTAGAGAACAAATATTTCAGAAGATTCGAGCTAGGAAGAAAGTGTTAGATAGCCAAATCAAATTGAACTTGAAATACTTTATTGGTAAGAATAGTTGTAATAAGTTTTAGATGAAAATAACAATGGAAAAAGAAGAATTTTAGATAACCTTTAAAATGAATAAAATAAGTACTTGTAAATAGAAGATTTGGAAAGAGAAAGCAGGAAAGTTTACGATATAGTAAAATGGAATACAATTATCAGATATATGAAAGTAGGATATGGAGAAAAAAGTGAAGAAATCCTATTAACATACATAAAAAATGAAAATTTAGAGGATATCAGAGACCAAAAAAAAGAAATTTGTGAAGAAATTGATTAAATTCTAGAAAAATCAGAAGACAAAAATACAAATTAAGGAATGTTTCATGCCAAAGGTGGTAAAAATACTTGGAGAAGCAAGATATTTTAGTAAATTTGCTTAAGAAACACTGATGGGTATATTGAAATTGATTGTAAAATATGCTTCAATAATTATAGTAGTGAATCAAATCCTGTTGTTTACTGCTCACTTTGTTCTGCATCTTTTCACTAATTTTGTTACGGCATTAAGGAGATTCCTCATGATGATTTTTTGTGCGATTTATGTTTATTCAGATAGTCATAAGCCTAAAAAGAAAATATGAATAAATAAATCAGCAATTCTAACATTTAAGTTGAAATTTAAACCTAACAAAAAAAAAGTAATTTTATTTTTATTAATATATTTGAATGAATGAATGAATGAATATAATAAATTTAACATAGAAAAAAAGAAAGAGCACAGATTATTATGTAAAATATGCTTAAAAACTGGTTTCCCGATGATCGATGTCAACCACTAATTTTACCATGTTTCTTGCTTGATATTTTTAAATTTGATATATATTAAAGACAGCTGCATTTCTCTTAGAGGAGGGGAATCTGATGAAGATATGATTAAATTTTAATAAAACTTATTAGATATAGTTGTTAAAAATGAGCTATAAAATTACATGTGTGCAATTTGCTAGAAAAGATAAGGTTATAAAATAAAGTGCAATCATTGTGATTGCAATTTAGCATTTCATACTCACTGTGCATACATAGAGGGATTATATTTTGATATTGAAATATTATAACCTGAGTAACAAAATAAGAATTTAAATGAAAATGGTATTGACAACAATACAATAAAATCCTATACATCTTTAGACGAAAATTCTATAGACGATAATTTTAACAAAATCTAAACATCTATTTACTGCCCAAGTCATCAACCAATTCAAGTATTTTAAAATCAATCAATCAGTATTTTAATTTTATTTAATTTTTATTTAATTATCAGGACAGAGACGAAATTTTATAAATTTACTTACGTAGATATGGAATAAATCTTTATTAAACAGCAGTTGAATACAAAGATTATAACTCTTTCATCGCTGATCATGAAAATATTTAAAAAGAATCAAAGTAAGAAATTTTTTAAAAGACATTTGTTTATTTATTAAATTTATTTTTGAAATTAAGATAAAAAATAGAAGAAATTAGATCTAAAATTCAATAAGAAAATTAAGTGAGCTATGAAAGTACAAGTGGAATATTTAAGCTTTTAAATGTAATCAAATTTGATTTAAAAATTTTATAATATGTAATAATAAATTTTATTTTATAGGACTGTACAAGTAATTAAGAAATAGATATTACTGATATTTTTGGTGATTTAAATGAGAATAGTATAAACCAAAATAATAACCATGTTGAAACACAAAATAGTAATTCAAATTAAATCAAAAATATTGAAAAAAGTATCTCCAACAACAAATAATAAAATACTAAAAATGACAATTGTTCAAAATCAAATATCAAGATTGATTAAATGAATTCTCTTTTGAAGGCATAATCAAAAGAAAACGACAAGTATATTATAAATACAACAAGTTAACTACAATAAATAAAAAAAGAAAATTATTACAATTAAAATATCTCTTAAAATAACTGCATAACAAAGAACGAAACTTATCTTAAACAATAATAAAAGTAGAACAATTCTTAGAATAAATGTTTATAATAAATTAACAATAATAAAAAATAAAGCACTTAGAATAATAATTATCAAAATACTTCTTCTATTTCTTAGTTTCAAAACAAAAATAATTCCAACTCCTAAAAAAGTAGTTAAATATCATCTAATCAATTATAAGAATAATAAATTGATGCTAGCAAATTGATTTCTGAAATATTTTCAGACTGATCAAACAGACCTTTTATTTAAAAAATAATAAACTTACAAAAATAAGATGTTAAAAATCTTCTTCCTTTATTTTTATATAAATAAATTAAATTTATTTTTCTAACAATTAATTAATTATTTCAAGTATTTTGTTATTTATTCCGTCCATCCATACTTACTTAATATATAATTTGTAAATATCACTTTTATAACTTCATTCAGCTTTAAATAAATAATTTTATTTCATAAGTAAATAACTTATTTACAATCGAAGACCTAAATGGTTATGTAAATTATAAGCAAGTCTATTTAGAAAAAGATTTAGAAGACATGAAAATTAATTAATTCTAGTATTTCAAATTTCCTTCTAAAAACAAATTTTATTCAATTTTAAAAAATTAATATTAATGAATGACTGATTAAAATTAATATTTGTAGATTTTAAATTTTTTTGTTGAAATTAAAAAATCAATATGATATATGGTTGTCCTCAGTAAACTTTCAAATATATTGACTTCAGATATTTATAATACTTTGTAGATATGAAAGAAAAAATGAAAAATTTACAGTAAACCAAAAGGAAATTTTATTTTAAAACAATTTTATGAACAAGAGAATATCAAAATTTTATATTTTTTCTGAGAATTTTCTAAAACTTTATTTTTTGTGTAAATTTTATAAGCTTTTATCATTTAAATGGTAAAACGCTGTTTATTTTCATATCTGTTATGTTAAATGTTCTATTTAAAATATTTTAATTTTAAATAGCAATCAAAATAAGGATTGTAAGATTGTTAACTAAGAAAATACTTAAAGATTTAAAACAGAATACTAATAGTGAAAACAAAATCTTAAGTAAATAACTGTTTATTCATAAATAAAACTTGATTTTTCTAAATAAAATTAATTTTAATCACTATAATGAAAAAATATCTCCAAAAATATTTATAAATTTCAAAAAAATTAATAAATTGCATAGCTATCTGCTTTTTTTATTTTTACTCATGTATTTATCTTTCTTTGTTATTATTTTAAAAGAAAGACTAAATTTTAAAACGTATTGGATCAAAAATTATCATTGGTTATTTTATAAAAGGAAGGAAAATTGAGAGAAAATTTTGGTAATTGAGTGAAGATACAAAAGTGCCAACAAATTAAATTTGCAAAACGTAAAAATTTTAATAAATGAGCGAATGCGTGTATGTTAGAGAGTTTGTTTGATTCTTAAAAAAAATTTTTTAAAAGAAGTTGATTATGATATTTCGAACTATGTTATTTAATAAAGTGTATCTTCTCATCAAAAAAAAAAAAAAATCATAATTAATTAAATATTAAAAATATTAAATTAAAAAATACTCTTAAAATCATAGAAATTACAAAAAGCAATCTTTTTAGAGTAGCATTTAAAATAAATTATAAATTAGGTATTTGTTTAGATTATGAAAAAATAAGATCTGACAGTATATGTTGCAGCTTTCCTGCTTCTCTTTTCTTGTGTTATTCACTTTGCTAATGCTCAAGATAAAGTTAGTGAAATTTTTAAAGACAAATATGATGTCAAATATAGAGTAACTGAATTAGATTCACCTGTTTAGGAAATTCTATGGTGCGGTAGTTCTTAAGCAACATCTGAAGACGGAGATATTATCACCTATGATTAAACAGCAAAAGTTAGAAAACTTTATGTCTTAACTGATAAAGGTAAATTGTATTACTCAGAAGACTATGGCATTACATTGAAGTTGATTAATGATGATATCCGTCAATCAACCAATTCCAAATAAACTTAGGTATCCTTGATTTGCTATTCTTTCATTTTAAAAACAAAAATTCTCATTATTTTCTCTTTTCTTCAGATTTTGAATTTTAATGAAATAATTTTTTTACATAAATTAAAAATTTTCATTTGTTTAATAGGTCGAAGTCGATGATATCATGATCTCACCTGTTAAAAATAGAAAAGTGTTCATCTTCACTAAAAGCGGTGAAAGCTATTATACAGAAAACTGTGGTGCCACTTATACTTCTTTCAAGCACGAGATTCTCCTATACGATATCTAGCCCAATCCTTCTGATCACAAGTCTTTGATAGGACTTGTACCCGTTTAGTGCTAAAAAGGAGATCCTGAGTGCTAAGGTGGTGATTCTGATTTATACTTAACAGTAGATAGCGGTATGACTTGGAGAAAAATAGTCTCTAACGTAAATCAAGCATAGTGGGATAAGACCAAATAAACTCTCATGAACACATAAAATAGAATTATTTTGTCTCATTAAGAGTAAGAAAAGAATGAAAAAGGAGGTAAAATAAAATAAAATATAAAATATAATTCCATTCTATAATTTTAAAATAAGTGTTGAAAAGAAGCAAGATTAGTTTGATTTGTTTGTTTGATATAATTAAAAATAAATCAATATTTACAAAAAAACTGTTAATTTAACTTTTTATAATCACTTTTTTTAGAATTTTGTTAACATTTAATGATTTCATTAATTTCTTATTTATAAAAAAGAAAATGTATTCCTCAATAAAGTAAGCTACACTGATAACTATGGTAAAGATTTAAAAGTGGTAGAAAAGAATGGAGTTAGATTCTATTAAACAGAAGAATATATTTTTGTTTTAATCTAAGGAAAGGAATTTGGCAAATATAAACTTAATATTGGACCTTCTTTTGTTACTCAATCTTCTAGCAGAAAAGAGATCGATTTACCTCTTTAAAGAGTTAAAGATGAATCTTTTACTGTCTTGGACATAGATGCAGGCTAAATTCTTATCGCTATTAATCATGAAGGTGACAGTGCTGGATACACTAATGTTTACATTTCAAACTCCTAAGGAGAATAGTTCACTCTTTCACTTCAGTAAATATTAAAAATCAAAATACAAATTCAACTAAAAGCAGAAGAGAACTTTATACTTTTAAAGATAAGTTAGTAACAGCGATATAATTATTTTTTAACTAAAAGATATACAGTAGGTGATGATGATTCTAACATTGATTTTGAACCCATTAACAGCAACGAAGGAGTTTATATTGCAAACACATACACTGCAGCTTCAATTTCAAAATATCAAAAGCTTTTGCAAAGAAAAGAAGGACAAAAATCTTCTGGATCTTCACTCACTTTGGATTCATTTAAAATTGAAAATATGAAAAAAACTAAAATTACATTTAACAAGGGTGGTGACTGGCACGCAATCAAGGCTCCCGAATTCAATTATGCTGGAAATCCTATTCGTTGCTCTGGTGACTGTTCTCTTAACTTTAAAGGAAGAACTGAGTCTCAAGGTACTCCAGTCTATTCTACTGATAATGCTCCTGGTATTATTTTGGCTACAGGTAATGTTGGCTCTTATCTCACTAATAATCAAGATGAATTAAGAACTTATCTTTCTATTGATGGTGGACACACATGGAAAGAGGTATTTTAAAAATAAAAAAAATGCATAAAATAATTTCTATTTGGAAAATATAAAGATTCAAGTTGGATCTCATGAATACGAAATTGGTGATTAAGGCGGTATCATCGCTATGGCTAGAGGTATTCTATTAATTAAAAGGATAAATGAAAATTTGATATATATTTTATCTAAAATATAGACGATAAGCTTACAAACGAAGTTATTTACTCTGTTGATGAAGGAGAAACATGGAGAAAATTGAATTTCAAGGATGAAAATAAATTTAAAGTAGATAGTTTTGTTACAGAAGAAGGCAACGATGAAAGAACTTTCTTGTTCTATGGAACCAAGACTGGTGCAGATGGAAATACTAAAGGTGTAATTGGTGCTATCAACTTTTCAAATTTATTCAAAAAGGAATGCACAGGTATAAAAACAAACAATTTTATTTTGTAATACTTAATTTAAAAAATTTAAAGGATTTGAAAACCCTGGCGAAGATGGCAGTGATTATGAGAGATGGGTCCCATTAAACTTTGAAGGAAAAAAATGCTTATTTGGTTCAAAAATTTCATACATAAGAAAAAAAACTGATTCTAGTTGCTTTAACAACAGAAAAGTTGGTGATTTAAGAATGGTCTAAGGATCTTGTGAATGTACAGAAGAAGATTTCGAATGTGATTATGGTTTCACTAAAGATTTAATTGATGAAACAAAATGTGTTCCAATAAATGCAAAATTTGCAAAGAAAAGAGACTAACCACCTTTGAACTGCAAAGATTTTTACTTTGTTTCTTCAGGAAAAAGGTAATTAATTTTATTAATAAGTTAGCTTAATTTAAAACTCATATTAAAAATATAGAAAAATTGCAAACAACTAATGTTAAGGCGGTATTGAAGAATTATATACAAAGAAAAAAGTAAGATGCCCAGGAAATGAAGAAGCTCAGCAAACTTAGCAATAAACTCAAAATACTTAAGCTAATACAGCTTAAAATAACTAGTAAGACTTATTTAGCAGAAAGCCAGAAGATATAAAAAAAGAAATAAAAGAATAATATGGCAATTAAACAGATTAGACATCAGGAATATCCTTCCTCGGTGTTTTGGCAGCTTTCTTAGTATTATTCTTATTATATACTTACAGGGTAGAAATACTTAGCAAGATAAAAGAATATCAATAAAACCAAAAGAACAAAAAGGGTGATAACAATAAATATGGCTATAAGCAAAAATCCTATGGAAATAATGCTGAACAGTATTCACTTTTCTAAAATGATCAAGACAATGATGAATACGATGCAGATATGCTTTGAATCATTTAAAAAATTACTTGAGAGCATAAGCAATTAATTAATTAATGATTATTAATTTTAATGTAATCAATCATTTTACAAAATAAAATGAATACAATACTAACTAACAAACTAACTACTGAATATTTGTTAAATAAACAGTCTTATTAATTTGTTTTAAAACTAAAATGTTTTCACTAATTATTTTTTGTTTTCTATCAATCTATCTTGTCTAATATTTTTATTTTCTTTCATAATTTATTTATTTATTTCTACATTAAATAATTAATTAATAAATATTATTAATAGAAATAATAAAATCAATAATTTCTTGATTGCGAATTTATTAAAATATCAACAGCATATTTTTTATTGTTAAATATTATAATTTAACATTAATTAAAAAGATCCATTTTAAAATTAATATGCTCATCATTTTAATTAAAAATAGTATTATTTATTTAATTGGTTAAAAAGAATATTTCATTTGCGATTTTATTACATTTGTTACATAAATAACAATTAAGTATTTTTACTAAAAAAGAGGAATAAAATTTCTGATTTCAAAACAAAAAATACTTCTCATAAAAATACTCTTTCAACATTTAACAATCAGATATTAAATTATATAAAATTTTTTTAAGATAAAACTAATTCAAAAATAGTAAAATCATTTATTTAAATAAATCAATTACTATTTTGTTTGTTATCTAAAAGTTTTAAAATAATCATTTATTTGCTCTTTATCAAGATACTAATTAAAATAGACAGATTAAATTTTAAATATCATATTTATTTTTATATTTTCTCAAGTTAATTAGTGGTTTGCAAGTAGTTCTTTCAAATAGAATTTATTGAAGAAAACATTAATGAATAAAATGATTTAGTAATCATTTTTCTTCTTTAAGCAAAACAAGTTATTTATTATTTTTTTAGGTAAATAAAATGTATCAGAAAACCTTAAATGAATATTTTCTATACTGTGTTTTTTTTTTTTTCGAAAATTTGATTAAATCTTTTCTATTTTTTTTTGATTTTTAAATTTTTTCAAATGTATTTAACTTAAAAATTAAATTAAAAGCAGATTTTATTAGTCATTTTAAAAACGTTTACTTTGATTTATTTGTAATCAATAGAGAAATAATTATTTTTTTAATTATATTAAACTATCCAATAAATAATTAGTAGAATTCAAGTGAAAGATACATTTGATTTCATTCGCAAAAATTCAATCATATTTTATTTTTAATTAATCATAAATAATTAAAAAGTTTTTAATTTAGGTCATTAAAGTAGTAGTCACTCTCGAAAAAAATAATTTAATAATTAAAACTAAAAAATTTCATTCATTTATGAATTAGGATAGAAATCAAAGTTTGAATTCAGAGGCCTACAGCCATCTTGAAAATGAAAATGACTAGAATCTTACGAATTTAATTCATAGAGATTAATCTATCCCACCTAGACATGGATTACTATCGAAATCTTTATTTCTTTGGGTTTATGATACAATCAAAGTAATTCATTATTACTTATTTTTAGTAAATCAATCAAATAATAATTAAAGAAAGGAATGAATAAAACTCTAAAAGAAGAGGATTTACCACCTTTGGATGAAAAAATGTGCTCATCTGAAAATTATAGACGGTTTGAGGCAAGTCTAAATGATTCTAAAAAGGAATACATAAATGCAGAATCAAAAAAGAAGTAGATATTTCTTATAAAGCTTTTTTATGGTGTGTTTAAGAGTAAATAAAAGTTTATTAAATATTCATTAAAGCTTTTTGAAATAATTTTATAAAAATAGGATAAGTCTAAGTAATCTTTTTATTGGCTTTTGGTGCTGCAGTAGCTGTTTAATTAGAACCTTTTTTGACTATATATATCTTAAAAGCCTATTAAGAACCAAGAGATGTTGAGAATCTCATAATAGGTGTAGCATTTTTTATCTTTTTTGTAGCTTTCAAAGTTTTAGCTGATATCCACTTAAGTTTCTAGGAAGTAATTGTAATTTATTGTTAAATGCATTCTAATTTTATAAATTAAAATAGTCTATTATGGGTTTAAAAATGTTTGGGTCTTTCTCAAGTGCAATTATGAATAAAATTCTCAATCTATCAATAAATTAAAAGGAAAAATATACAGTAAATTAATTTAAACATTAATAATTAATAATTAAATATTTTAAACTATTTAAATAATTATTTTATCTACAAAAATTAATGATTTTTGTTAAAATTAAAATGTTTAAATGATTAAAATTAAATTATATTTTATATAAAATCTAGCTTGGAGACTTATAAAATCTTCTACAAATTGATATTTAACAAGCAAATTAATTTTACAAATCAATAATGAATCTTGCAATGTTTCCTATTAGATTAATTTTTTGTATTATAATTTATTATTCTATAGTAGGAAACCGTGCTACTGTCGGATTATTTACTTCTTTTGCTTAGTTTTTTATTAATATTTCTTTGGGAAAAATTTATTAAAATTTCCAAATTGAGTACATGAAAGCTAAGGACGAAAGAATGAATGTTTTAGATGAGATATTATCTGGTATTAAAACAATTAAATTAGAGGCTTATCACTGTTTCTTTTCAACCAAGGTATTTTTTTTATTTGTAATTTTATAATTCTTCATAACTTTATTATTTAGATTAGCTAAAAAAGAAAAAATGAAGCTTATTTGGCTCTTAAAAAAAATTTATTTGGTCTAATCTTTAGCTTTTCAGGATAATTTTTTTATATTCTAAACCTAGTTTTGTGTGTAAAATTTTATGATATATCTAGTATAAGTGATCTTTTATTGATAACATCAAACTATTCAGCACTCTCTAAACTCTTAGAAGGGTTGTAATAGCAAATAGTTAGTCTTATTATTGCCCATTCATCATTTATTAGATTATAAAATCTTTTATATGAAGAAAGTAATATTAATTAAAATATCTACAAACAACTACTACCATCAAACAAATCTGATGATTAATCAATATTGCTCCAGAATATTTCTTTCAAATATGCCTAAAGTTAGGATAATCAGCTAAATTAGCCAGAAGATTAGTTCATATTAAAAATCGATGAGTTTTCTGTAAAGAAAGGCTAAATTATTGCTGTTATAGGCCCAACAGGCTCAGGAAAATCTATGTTACTTTAATCTTTAGTTTAAGAAACTCAAATTCAAAAAAATAATAATATAGAAACTTCCTCTTTTTATGTTTCTGAGTAAGATATTTCTATAGCTACACAAAATTCTTGGGTAATGAAAGGTACTATTAGAGACAATATTATTTTTGGTTCTCAATTTAATTTTGATCCAGAAAGATATAGAGAGGTATTATAATCAACATAAATAATCTAAGATATAGAACACCTACCACTCCATGACCTAACATCAGTTTCTGAAAGAGGAGATTCACTATCTGGTGGATAAAAAAGAAGAGTTAATCTAGTAAATTTTAACTATTCATCAATATTTTTTAACATATTTTCTTTATATTCTTAAGTTTTTCAAAAAATTTTTAATATAAATTATTCTCAAATGTAAAAAAAATATTTTAAATATTCCATTAATTAGAAAATTTCATTAACAAATTAAATATTTCATGACAATTTTTTCTTAATTTATTTTTGATCTAAGGAGAATAATGCAAACTTCAAAAATAAATATTTATTTTTTGATAAATCAATTCATTTTTATTTATAATAAAATTTTTATATTATCATTAAAAGGCTAGGACTGTTTATAGGGGTGGTGAATTATTTTTACTTGATGATGTTCTTACTGGTTTAGATAGCTAAGTTACTCGGTAAGTTATGACAGAGTGTATCAATGGACCTTTGATGAAAAATACTACTAGGATTCTTTTTTAAAGCAATTTAAATTATTTAAATAGTGTAGATAAGATTTACATCTTAAATGAAGGATAAATATTAAAAGTTGGTAGCTATCTTGAAATTTCAAATTCTCCTTTTTATTAACAATTGTCTCAAAATTATCTTGGGCATTTTAATGACGATTTATAAGATTAAGATTCTTAAGAAAATTAGATTTAAGAGTAAAAAAATAATAATAATCAATCAATTTAACCCTTTCAAATGTAATTCAACTAAAATGGATATGGAAATATATTGTAAAATTCGGAAGATCAAAGAGAGGGAAAAGTGGAAAGTTGGGTTTATAAAAAAGTTTTCTAATTATATGGTGGATGCTGTACAGCAATCATATTTGTGATCCGTAAATTAATTTTATTTTAAATTAATTTCTAAAATTTTATAAATTTTTAGTTGGATTGGTATCAACTTTCTTCTAGATGTAATAGTTTAATATTTTAAAATCGGGAAAAGATGAGTCTTAATCAAACGATAATCAAAATGAAAAAATCAATGATAATCAAAATAATGAAGAGAGTGATGATTTCACTTCTACAATGATTAAGTTTTTGATATTTTTAGTCTTAACACAATTTTTCGATATATTGAAAACTTTTGTTTTTTGCTTCAAGAATTACACATTTTGCAAAGATTTCCATGAAGATATCTCAAAAAGTCTATTAAATGCTTCTTATTCTGAATTCTATTCAAGCTATCCTACTGGAGTACTTTCAAATAGGCTTTCAAACGTAAATTTAAATTATGCATAAATTAAAACAATTTTTTAATAAAAAATTAAAGGATATTATGTCTGTTGATTAAAAAGTATACGAACTCTTGAACCCAATTTTATCAATTTTATTTGGATGTCTTGGTATCTTTTTTGTATTTTTGAGTGTAAAATTAGGAAGTTTGTACATAGTTAACATAATTGCAATCATAATGTGGGTTTATTTAACTAAAATTTATACTTAAGTTTAAAGAGAAATAAATCGTATCGAAACTGTTTCTAAATCTCCAATTCTAAATTATTTTTCAGAAATTTATAGAGGCACATTATACATCAAGTAGTGTGTTGACCATAGCATACCAGTTAAGGTAATTTATTTAAATAAATTAACTAAAAATAATATTTATTCTATTTTTACAGATTATTTCATATTTTTTTTAGAAAACTAGATATATTCATCGAATTTTTTAATGTTTTAAAAGTTTATTTTATTAAATAAAAAATGAAATATTTATTAAAAATAGGAATTTTAATAGTTCATAAATATTAACTTAAGAAATCAAATTGTATCTTCTGCAGTATAAAATTTGTTCATGTTTTTAATTCTCTTTATAGTTATCTTATTTGAATGTACTTTGTTTATAATTATGGTAAGTGATTGTTATTAAATTTATTAAATTTACTAACAAAATTAAAAAAAATAAATTAGTTCTATGAAACTTCTGTCAGTGGAGAGAAGTTAACAATGGTGTTAATCACTGCTATTAATTTTGGTATGTTAGTAATGTATGCACTTCTTGTATGGTCTATATTTGAAACAGAGGCAGGAATAAAAATAGAAAGATGCTGTAAATTAGCTTAGTATGCTTTTTTATATTTTTTCAATAGTTAATTTTATATTTTTAATAAATTAATTAATTAGTTAAATTCCATAAGAAAATGGGTCACCATTTGCAGTTTTAAGTTAGTAATAGCAAAATAATAGTGAAATGCTAGAAATTTAACACAATGCAATATAGGCAAAATAAGCATCATTTGGAATAAAAAATAATAATTTAGAAGTAATTTTTATTTGTACAAATATTTTTTAATTTATTTGTTCTTATTTAAATGTTTGAAAGCTTATTAAGAATTTGAATTTTACTGTAACTCAAAGAGAAAAAATTGGAATTGTAGGAAGAACAGGAGCAGGTAAAACTTCATTGACAAATGGACTCACTAGCCTATTTGAATTAATAAATGGAGAGCTTTTTGTAAATGGAAAACCAATTAAAGCTTATGAAGCTTATGATTTAAGATAGATATTTAGCGTAATACCTTAAGAACCGTTTGTCTTTGAAGGGACTTTAAAAGAAAATATAGACCCTTCCCAAAATTACAATAATAGCTAAATTTAAAATGTTTACGATTAATTAAATTTGTAAGAACATTATTCATTTAAATCTGGCTTGAATTCTAGAGTAAATTTATGAAATTTTTAAAAATTAATTCTAAATTTATTATTTTATTATAGATTTTTCTTAAAGGAGTAAATTTGAGTGCAGGTGAGAAGTAATTAATATCTATATCTAGATGCTTGCTCAAGAACAGTTCTATTATATTGATTGATGAAGCAACCTCTTGTCTTGACTAACAAACTGAAAAGAAAATCACTGATTTAGTAGCAGAAAAGCTTTAAGATAAAACTATCCTTACAGTTGCTCATAAACTAAATACAGTTTTACAAAGCAATAGAATCTTTGTAATTAATTAGGGATAATTGATTGAATAAGGCGAACCATAAGCTTTACTGGCTTAAAAAAATAATTCAACATTTTATAAAATGTTAAAAAGGTTTATCGAATGATTGTTAAAACTCCAAAATAAACTTAAAACTAAATATTCAAATAAATAATTACATTTTTTTCATATTTTTTTAATTAATAAATTTAAATAATTTGATTAATTTGATATATTTTTAGTTTAATTTTACATTTTTATCATTCAATTTAACTAATTTAAAATTAATTAATTTGTTTTGTAACTCATTTATCAAATTTTAGTTAATTTTGTATAAAATAAATTAATAAATAAATAAATTTATTCAATTATATTTTTATTTTAGGTTATTTAGTTTTATGATCAAATAGCTCTAATTATAGCTAGATATCAATTTTTTTTATTCTGTTCAATTTCAACTTTACATAATTTTTTATCCAATTTGAATACAATAAATTTTCGTTATTAAAAAATTCAATTCAATTACTAATTCATACATTTTGAACTTTTCAGTATTAAAAAATTAATTTTTCAATTCCATTTATAAAAAATGTCTTCAATTTTTAATGAATTAAAATTTTATTTTGATAAATACTACAATTTTAAATCAATTAAATTATAGAATCAAATATTTTGAATTAATTAAATTATATTCTATTTAATTACCAACTATTGCTCTAATATATTAAAAAATAAATAAAAATCATTGTAATTAAATTATATTTGCACCACATTTGAATTCAATTTTTAAATGATTTTATTTTTAAAAAAATCAACAGTTTTAAATTGATTAAATAAAACAAAAAAATTTTTGGCTGAAAATAAAAATTTGTAATAGATTTTTTATTTTTTAAATTGAAATGTGTAGAAAAGATAATATTAACAAAACAAAAAGATAAATAGATAGATAAATAAATAAATATATAGTTAATTAGACTTAGATTGATTTATTTGCTTTTTCTTTTCTTCCTTAATTTGATATATTGAAAATTTAATTAATTTAGATATTTTTGATTATAATATCATATTTAAGTAATGTCGAGACACGAAAATCTATTAAGGATTAAAGAAATTAATCTTTAAGAAGAAGGTAATATTAAAGAAGCAAAGCAATTGTTGCTAAAGAATGTTACAAAATCTTAGCTTCCTGATTTCTTCTACGAGCATATAGCAGGTATTATAGTAGAAGAATGCCCTACTAATGGATAAGAATTATATGAATTGATTGGTGAGTTCATTTAGAATGGCAATTAAGTAAATAAATTATTTTTAAAATAAAAAGGAAGCAAATTTTGAATAAAATATATCAAAAAATAATCATATTTTTAAATTATTATTCTTAGCTTTGATAGGTGTATTTATTTATTTTTTAAAATGAAAAAAATGATTAGGTTAGCAAAGAATAAACATAAAAGATTTGCGTCGAATTACAAAAATAATTATTAGATCAAAAGATTATCAAAATAGAAGACAAATTTAATTTAGTTGCTGAAAAGTTAGATGCTCCAATTACTTTGAACCAAGTTTAATTGATTAAGGAAATAGATATTGCATCTCATGGCTACGATGATGCATTCAGAGGAACCAAGGGTGCTGCAAATACAAATGATGAAATCAGTCACGAAGAATTAAAAATAAAGCTATAGAAAAAGGAAGAAGAAGCAGTAAAAAAGAAATAATAGCTCTTCGAAAGATTTAAAAACGAAATTAACGAAAAAGAAAGAAATCTACCTCCCGTTTAGGTAGATTTAATTTATTTCTTCAAACATTTGCTTATTTAATCTAAGAACAAATTTTTAACTCCAACATAAAATTTAAAATAATGCGCTTTCAGGAATTAATCTTAACTATTTATCTCTAAATATATAATTAATAAATATCTTTTGATTAAAATAAATTTGATAAGCTCTTTTATTAACAAAATTCACCTTAAGTTAATTAATAAGTAAATTTCCATTTTTACAAATTAAGGTTAGACATCATAGAAATTCAGAAGCTAAAACACAAGATTTACAATTAGATAACGTTAATGTTATTATTGGTGGTAGAGCTTTGCTTGAAGATGCTAAACTTAGACTTACATATGGTAGAAAGTATGGTTTAATTGGTAGAAACGGTATTGGTAAGACTTGCTTTATGAATGCCTTAGCTAGAAGTGAGTTTGAAAATATGCCCAAGCACTTATAAATTTTATTAGTCGAATAAGAAATGAAACAAAGTCACAAATCTCCTATATAATTAGTAATTAATTAATTTATTCCCTTTTAAACTAGCAATTTTAAGTTATAATTTACTTTGTTAAATTTCTAAAGGTTTTGGAAACTGATATTGAAAGAGAATAGTTGCTCTAAGAAGAACAAAACTTAGTCACAAGCAACAACCCAAATACTGCTGCTCGTTTATAAGAAATTTACGAAAGATTAGAATAGATTGATGCCATCACTGCTGAATCAAGAGCTGCTTCCATCTTAGGTGGTCTCGGTTTCTCTTAAGAAATGATGAGAAATCCTACTTAATAATTATCTGGTGGTTGGAGAATGCGTGTCTCTCTTGCTAGAGCTTTGTTCGTTTAACCTGATGTTTTACTACTCGATGAACCCGTATACTATTTTATTTATTTAAAAAAATTTTACTAAAACTATTTTTTTTCTATTTAAGACTAACCATTTAGATTTAGATGCTGTCATGTGGCTTGAAGATTATATTATTAACTGTTCAATTACTGTTGTTGTTGTTTCTCACGCCAGAGAATTCTTAAATGTCGTTTGTACTGATATTATTCATTTCTTTGAATAAAAGCTTGTTTACTATAAGGGTAACTATGATTAATTTGAAAAGACTCGTACTGAAAAGCAAGCTATGGCTAAGAAGAAATTCGAATCCCAATAATCTAAGATTGCTCATATGCAAGAATTCATTGACAGATTCCGTTGCAATGCTAATAGAGCAGCCTTAGTTTAATCTCGTATTAAAGCTATTGGTAAATTAGAACATGTCGAAGAAATTATTGAAGATCCTACTTGCGTCTTCATTTTCCCTACTCCTGAAAAGCTCCGTCCTCCCCTTCTTAAGATCGAAGATGGTTTGTTCGGATATAAAAAGGAATCCACAATTCTCAGAGGTATTAACTTTGCAGTTGATTGTGATTCTCGTATTGCTATCGTTGGTGCAAATGGTGCTGGTAAATCAACTCTCCTTAAACTTTTGGTTGGTTCTCTTGAACTCTCAGAAGGTAATAAAATTTTAAAATAACATAATACTATATGATTGAAATAGAGTAAAAAAATAATACCAAACTAAAAAGCAGATTGAGTGATGATAAAATTGCAAATTTTCTTAAAATAGCTAAATCATTTATTATCTTGCTCCAAAACTAATTTAATTTACAATAATTTTCATGACTAAAAAAATATCTTTAAAATAAAAAAATAAACTTTAAAAAATAGAATAAACACTAAACTTATCTATCTGAACAAACAAATAATTTAATAATTAATTAAGCTAATAAAATGCATTAAAAAATAAATAAATAAATAAATAAAAGAATAAAATTAAAATAATTTATCAAAATAAATAGGTATTAACATTAAAATCGAGAAATTATAATTTATTATTTTATTTGTGAAACTAACTTTATTTGAATTGAATTAATATTGATAATTGAATAAAAAAAAGGTTAGTAATATAGAAGCAGCAGATTAAGATGCAGTATGTTCACTTAACATCACTTGGATTAACTTGACTTGACTCTTTCTCCTTTAGAATAAATTATGAGAGATTATCCTGGCTCTACTTAGGAAGCATACAGAGCTCATTTAGGTTCTTTCGGTATTTCTGGTAATATGTCACTCAGACCCAACTATTTACTTTCTGGTGGTCAAAAATCAAGAGTTGCTTTCGCTTTAGCAGTTTATAACAACCCTCACATTCTTATTCTCGATGAAGTAATTTATAATTTTAAACATGGAAGTTATAATAATTTTTAAAATAAAAGCCCACAAATCACTTGGATATAGATGCAGTTAATGCTTTAATTATTGCTTTAAATAATTTCTAAGGTGGTGTTTTAATTGTTTCTCACGATCAACATTTAATTTCTACAGTATGCGATCAAATCTGGTATGTTAAACATAGTAGACTAAAACGTTTCAACGGTGACTTCGAAGATTATCGTACTGCACTTGCATCAAATAACTTGTGAAAAAATACATATTTAACTTTTTATGTAGAGTATCAAATTTAAGGACTAAATTAAATTAAATATAAAGAAAAATATTCATTCATTAATTATCAAAAAAATAAATAAATTGCTTTTTTAAAATAAAATTTATTTAAAAACCGTTTTTAATAATATTATTAAAGAAGCCCAATTAATTTTATTTGAGGTCTTTAAATTGGATTAGATTAAATAATCATCAAGGCTAACAAATAGCTAAATTTTTATAAGCTTCGTCTGGTTACATTTTTTTAAATTAAAAATTGCATAGCATCTGCTTAAATTGATAAATGATAGAGTAATCAATTTAAATTTAAGGAAATTATAGTTGTTAGAGTAAAATTTTACTTTAAAATACTCTATCTAGGGATACAATAATAGTTTAATTATGCACGTAATTATGTTACTAATATATCTTTTATATAAAATAATATACATGCATACTCCTCACTCAGTCAATAGCATTATTTTTACTTTTATTGATTTTGAATTTATCGTTGTAGAAATCAAATTTAATTAACAACTTAGGAATAAAATATAAATAAAATAGATATAATTTTGTAGATCTTAAATTAGGTAATAGAAAATGAAAGTCCTTGATATTAGTGTAACAGAAGTTTAGTTTTAATTTGTAGAAGATAAGCAACTTAGTAGCAAAATAACCTTAAAAAATAAAGCAAAGCTGCCAGTTTATTTTAAAGTATTTAAATACTCAGAAATATATTTTTTTAAAATAAATATAATTCTATTCAATATAGATCAAAACAACTGGATAATAATATTTTAATGTAAAACCTTATCGCGGTCTCCTTGAGCCTTCAAAAGGTGTTGATATAGATATTACAATAAAACCAATTGTATAAATTTTAGCTATGATTTGATGTTAATTAAAATTGTTTTTTCTTTCTTCATTATTAGAGTTATCGTGATGCTGAAATAGTTTCTGATCAAAAATTCTTAGTTTCTGGCTTGGAAATAGAAAACAAGGTAAAGAAACCTTTATTTTTAGTTTAATAATGTTTGAATTCATCTTAATATTGTCTCAAAAGAGGCAATTGGCTTTATTTTAAATTAATTTTATTGATAGACTAGTGATGATAAAGAGTATGATACAATGTGGAAGAATGCAGAAAAGTTAGACCCAAATCCTATAGAATCATAAAGACTAAAGGTAGCATTATACAAAGATGAGAATGGTATAAAGAAGTTTATTACAAACTCCAGAACAGACAATACTTTGGTAAAAATTAAAAATATGAATGAAGAAAACTTTATTTATTGCTTATTTAACATATTTAGAAACAGTCAAAAATGTATTAATCAGTGCGTTCTAAGTAAATAAATATTTAGCTTTATAATAAATTGCAATTTTAATTTTTAAAAATGCTTCTATGATAAAAAGCTCAAAGCAAGACAACAACCTTGTTTCACTTGATTAAGATAATCAACAAAGAAGAAATTTTGAAGAAATAGGTAAAAAGTATATAGAAGTAGAAAAAAAAATACGTGAACAAGAAAAAGAAAGAAATAGATTACACTAGCAACTCTTAAAACTAAAATAGTAAAAAACCTAGACATTAAGTATATTTTAAATTTATTAAATATTTAATTTAAATTAAAGATTCTTTTTTATAGAAGGTTCAAATGAAAAAACTAAAATTATTCTTATGGCTCTCTTAGGATTTATTATATCATACATAATTTTAAAATGAACTTCTTACTCGTAAATATTTATGTTATCTTAATCAATAAATAAATAACACAATATTTTTGTTAATTAAAAAACTGTTTCTAAAACCAATTCTGAAAATTAGTTTAGGACAGATAATCTTTTAGAATATCTTAAATCATATGATAAATTATAAATTATAAATAAAAATATCATTGTTAAAATAGCTTTATTTTGCTTCAAGTGGTATTTATTTATTTTAATTGCTTTTATTAATAAGTTAAAAAAAAAATGTAAATTACATCTTCCATAAATATCATTCATTCTTTTGCTCAATAATTTTATAGTATATTTACAGAAAAATGTTCATTTTGATAAAATATAGTTTTTTGTTCATACATTTTATATCTCTATCAATTAATATCAAAACTCACTCACAATAATTATTTAATTTTTTGTAAAAAGATTATTTAATTTTGGGTGTTAATTAAATGGAGGTTTAATATATGTATTATATTCTTTTCAAAATAAATTTATATCCTAAAATAACTATAAAAAAACAACATTATAATATTATCTAAATTTAATGATAAACTTTTATTTAATTTTTCTATATTCTTTATTATAAATTTTTCACAATCTTTTTAGGGAGTAATTAATTTATTTATTTACACCTGTATAAAATTTTAAGAAAAAATAATAGTTTATGATAAATGTTAATGAATTAATTAATTGAAATTTTTTTTATTTTAGGATAATTTTATCTTCAATTTATTAAATTTTTATCCCTTTTAGATAGATAAAATTAAATTAGTTGTTGTTGTATTTTATATGTAAGGAAGTAATCAAATAATTATTTTAAGAAAAAAGAAAGAATATACCCTTTTAAAAGATTATTGTTCACAGACAGACAGTATTTCATTGAATCTACAAAACATTGAAATGAATGTTTAAAATTTAGCAAAAATTAAAAAAAAAAAAATTGAGAAATTCTTCTCAAACACTAAAAAACTAACTAGAAATATGAAAGGCGTATTTTTGAATAGAAAGAATGAAATAAAAATATCTATTAATTTTCATTTTTCAATTACGGATTTATGTAAAATATTTAATAGTTTAATGATTTATTTTTGCTCGTAAAATGAAAGAAAGATTGTGTGTGTATTTTTGTGTATGCTGACTGACAAATATTAATCAAATAAATATTAAGGAAACAGAGATTGTGAGTATTTAAAGAAATATATGATAATCATAAAAAATAATTATTTGATAATTAAATAAATAAAAAGTTCAAAAGAAATAAAGAAGAAACTTAGAAGAGCAAATCATTTATAAAACTCTTAAAAGGTAATTTTTAAAAAAACAGGTTATTAACCTTACAAAAATAAAAACTGATGAGGAAACACGTTATTGATCATTAAACACCTTTAAATAAAAAGCAAAAATGTTCAGTTGGTTCAAAAAAAAACCCCAAGAAAAGCCCCCCAAAGAAGTCGAAGAAGACATTAAGGATGATTCAGAATTAGAAAAGAATGGTATAGACCCTATAGATTAAATTCCCGATGAACCTGCATAAGAAGAAGTTTTAACTGATTTTTCCAACGATTACCCTGGATATTTAGTTTTGGAAAAAGGAGAAATCTTAGCTCTTGCTTCAAACTTCAAGTATGGGTTTTTTATAGATATTTTTATGTATCGTTTAAAGTAGTTAATTACTTAGATGGAGCACTATGATTTTATAAATAAATAAATAAAAATTGAAAAAACGTAGTGAAACAATTAAATAAATGTCTAATTTATATTTGGAAAAATTATGATTAAAACAGAAATATTAAATTCTTGACATGGTTGTTTATTAAAATAGTGGATTTTAAGAAAAAGATGATACTAGACATGAATTTGGTCATAAAAAGGGTGGTAGAATTTGTAGTGATCAAGTAATTTAAAAGAAATTGCGTTCTATTGGTAAGGAAATAGTTAAATAAATTGGAAGAAAGATTTTAAGTGGTTCTCTCAATTTAACCAAAATTTCATTCCCCATTAAAGCTATGATTCCTAAGACAGCACTTGAAACCGCTGTTCATGCAAGTAAACATATAAATAAATAAAATTCCTTACCTATGATAGTTAATTTACATTAAAAATCATAAATAAAGCTTGCTTATTCCCCTTCTACATGAATAGAGCTACAATGGAAACAAATCCTCTTGAAAGATTCAAAATTGTAGTTACTACTACCATTTCTTCCTTCTACTATACCAACACTTTCCTTAAACCCGTAATTACTTATTGCTTTTATTTATTTACCACATTTACTTTCGTTTTTCTTATAAAAAAATTAATATTAAATTTATCATATCTCCCTGCTTTAATTAGAAAAACACTTGTTCAATTTTTTTAACTTTTTTCTTCTTTCGATTCTTATAAATATAGTTGAATCCTATCTTAGGTGAAACTCTTGAAGCTGAATTTAAAGACGGAACTCAAGTTTATTGCGAACAAATCTCACATCATCCTCCTGTTAGTAAGAAATTTCATATAATATCTCCCATTTTAATTTTGCAATTTTGCCAATAACAAATTTTAATATTTTTATATGTAAATAAACTCATTCAAAAAAGAATGTTTTTTACTTTATTTTAAAAAATATTATTATTGATAGACTCAATTGAATATTGATTGTTGTTTTTAAGTTTTTTTAATTTTCCTAAAAATTAACTCCCTCAATTACAGAAAATAACTTTTTCTTTAATTAATTAGGTTATTTCTTAGTTGTTGGTCCCTCTAACTCTTACAAATACTATGGTCGTTATGATTACGATGCTAAAGCTGGTTTGAACTCTCTCAGTGTAATAACTAAAATAGCTCAAATTATAAAATTTAAATGTATTTTTGTGTTTATTTTAACAGATTTTGAATAAGGGTAAGAGAAGCGTTGTTTTCTAAGATGGCTAAAAGATCAACTTTGATTTCCCTAATGTATTTTATTAAAGTAAAATGTTCATAAAAATTAATCTCTCATTTGCAAATAGGAATTATACAGCGGTACCTTATTGGGAACATTAAAATAGGAAAGTATTGGTAAAATGTCATTTAGTGATGAAAAGTACGGTTTTTACTGCGAAATTAAATTTGGTGATGTTAAAAAGAAACCAAGTGATTATTTCTAAGGAGAAATAGTACAAAACGGAAAGAGCATTTGCAAAGTCTATGGTACTTATCTCGGTTTCATTGATTTTGATGGTGTCCGTTACTTCGACCACAGATTAGTCACTCCCCATACTGTAATTAATTAAATTATTTATTAAAAAATATTACTATTATAAAAATAAATAAGCGTTTATTACAAAAAGGTTTTAAAATAGAAATAGTAAAATAAAAATAAATCTTATAAAATATATTTAATAATATAGATATTCATGAAATAAGGAAACGATAGTTTGTAAAGTGATCACAAGAAAAGACTCGATCTTATCACTCTTAAATAAGGTAATGTTAAGTAAGCTTAGGTAGAAAAAGAAGTCTTGGAAGAAGCTTAAAGAAAAGATGCCAAGCTTAGAAAAGAACATGAAAAAATTCTTGCCAAAAAGTGATTTATAAAATAAAAAAACTTAATCAAACAGATAATAAGTAAGTAAAAGCAGTTGCTAATTAGTTAGTTAGTTAGTTAGTTAGTTATTTAATTACTCCCAGACGTTTAATTGCTTTTATTAACCTACATTTATTAAAAATATAAATAAAACAAATATTATAAATGTTATATATATATTTACTCAATTAAAAATATTTGATTTCTCTGTTTAAAAATTTATAATTTTTATTTATTTATTTCTTTCTTTCTTTCTATTTTTATAAGCTTAATTTAGATATTAAAGCATATCAAATCCATTAAAAATATGTCAAGTAAAAACTTAATGGAAAACTAAAAATAATTTTCCATTAAATTTTGTATTTTTATTAAATAAGTTTGAATAAAAAAATCCAATCAATATTTTAATTAAATTTATTTCCTCATAAAATAAATTTAACTTTAAAAAAATAAAACAAAAATAAATAAAATTCAAAAAAAATAAACTTAATTACAATTTAAAATAAAAAAAGACAACTGCTAAAGTAGATTATAACTTTTTAAATTTTCTCAAAAAGATTTTAATTTAAATAGTTTTTATGGCGAATTGAATGAATTTGAGAGTGTAGTTGACGTGTTTACACTTTATTTAGGTTTTGAAAAATCAATTAAATTTATGGTTTACATTAATTTAATGTTTTATGAATTGAGTAATTAATTTAATTTATTTAGATATCTTTTACTGAGTGTGGTTATAATTTAAATAATTATATTCTGAAATAATGGCGAATAAATCGTAACATCGTCTGTCTAATGATTTAAATTTAGTATATTTTCATATCTTAAAGAAAGAGAAAAATAATAATATTTTAAAAATGATATTCATATTTTTAATAGTTAAAATAAATTTGAGGTATAAAAAGATTTATTTTTAAATTTATAAAATTAATTTGTTGAAAAATAATTAATTAAATGATTTTAATTCTATATTTGCATGTTTGTTTTTATCTGTTTTGTTTATCCTGCTCGTTGTTTTATGGATATACTAGAGGATTTATTTATTTAAATTCTATTAAATAGAGATGAGGTTATTACTTTTTGATACCGCCTCTATTAATAGGCAAATATGTAACATAACAAGAATAACTTCTTTTAATAATGTTGATTATATTAAAGACGGATATTTTAAGAAATGCAAAAATAAGCAAGATATCCTACTTGTTTTGTAGTTAAGGTGTATAGAGGGGATTGTACAGCTAAAAAAGTGTCTAATTGCTTCTATGTAATGGCTTTTTTAGCACTATAAATAAATAAGAGTGAGCTCCATTTTATATATTAGATATTCTTTTTATAGCCTAATCCTATTCTTACTCAAAGTATACGCACTATAAAAAAGACTGCTTTTAATAAGAAAGTTAGATATACGCAATATTAAGATAACTTTTAATATGAGATTGATCCTTAATATTTTTGATAATATTATATTTACTAAAAGTAAGTCCTACTTCAAATAAAATTTTGAAATAGTGCTTTCTAGAAATCATTTTTATTAGTTCAGTTACAAATGTCGAAATGTATAACGCAGCTATTTATTTAGAAATGGCCTTTCTTAATTACTTCATAGCTTAAAATGTTATATGATGCAATGAAATATGCATCAAATATTACGTCATTATATAGTTATCAATTGCGTAATGATAACGAGAAAAAAGTCCTTCTTTTCTTAATTACATTAATTAACTATAATTGTCTGAGCACTCGCTCACTCGTTTCAAGCAAAGTGCTGCATTTATTTAATAATGATAAATGATAAGAATTATAGATGCATGATTCAATCAATGTATTTATTTAATTAATTTAAAATATCAAATCCTTCTTATAAAAGACACCTTGATTTTATAATTAATTAATTCGCATTAATCCAAAAAACAAAATTAATTTAAAAAATAAACTGACAATAGGTAATCAGTCAATAAGATTATAAAAATTGAAATAAGAATAAGTAGAAAATGGCAGCTAGACTTAACGATTACAAAAATTAAATTTCTAAGCCTTCTTACGTAGATAGTTCTTTTGATTACTATAGATTCACAGATATCATCTCCAAGGAAGATAATGAATTCCGTCTTAAACTCCGTGCTTGGTTAGAAAAGGAAGTTTAGCCTACCATCAATGACTATGTCGAAAGAGCTGAATTCCCTGAAGAATACATCCCAAAAATTCGTGAGACTTAAGTTTTCCATTACTTAGTAGATTAACCTTTTGGTAAGGGTAAAAGTATTTTAACCTAGGGTGTTATGGCTGCTGAATTAAGCAGAATCGATGCTGGTTTAGGTACTTTTGCCATTGTCTAAGCTGGTCTTTTAACTGCTACCATTGATTAATTAGGTAAATAAATCAACAAATTACAATTTACAAAAGTTCAAGAATAACATTTCTCATTTCTTTAATCCTAAATTTATTTTAAATTATCTTAACACAGGTAATGAAAACCAAAGATAGAAATATGTCCCATTGCTCAGAGACTTATAGCTTACCGGTGGTTGGGGTTTGACTGAAAATAAATTTGGTAGTGATGCAACCAGCTTATAGACCACTGTTCAAAAAACTGAAGGTAAAAAGCTTTTAAATTCTTTCAATCAACAAATTACTAAGTTATTTAAGTAAGACTATATATACATCTAAAGGGAGTGGTAGATATAAACGTAATAGTAATTTAACTCAACATCCCAAACAAATAAATATTTAAATACATACAAGCATACTAATACAATTATATAAAGAAAAAATTATTAAGTTGAAGCATAAGGAATATCTGATATGAATTAAAAAACGATATCTGTCTGTCTGTCTGCTTTTTTAATCTTGTTGATTAAACTTATTTCTTATCAATCTAAAAAAAGTTTGATTAAATATTTAAAAGTTACATTTTAAAAAAGGTGGATGGTTGTTGAATGGAGACAAGACTTGGATTGGAAATGGTAACAGAGACATCATGGTAGTTTGGGCTAGAAACGTTGAAAATAATAAAATTTAAGGATTTATAGTCGACTTAAAGGCTAAGGGAGTTCGCAGTGAAGTCCTTAAGCACAAGCTAGCTTTAAGAATAGTATAAAACTGTCAAATTACCTTCACTAATGTATTTATTCCTGAAGAAAACATGTTATCCAAAGCCACTGATTTCTAAAAGGGTACTGCAAAGATTTTATTACACTCTAGACTGATGGTTTGCTGGCTTGTTGCTGGTATTTGTATGGGAGTATACGACAATGTCATTAAATATATCAGTAACAGAAAGTAATTCGGTGTCCCTATTTCTAGTTTCTAACTCCAATAAGAAAAGTTAGCTAGAATTATGTCAAATACTTAAGCTATTCTTTTATTCGCTCACAGAATCTCTTAAATGTATGATAACAAAAAGATTACTCTTGGTTAGGTTGCTTTAGCTAAAGCTTTTTGTACTGAAAGAGCTAGAGAAGTTGCCAGATTAGGAAGAGAAATGCTTGGTGGTAATGGTATTATCTTTGATAACTATGTTATGAAAGCCTTTGCTGATATTGAAGCTTTATATACATACGAAGGTACTTACGATATCAATTCTTTGGTTGGTGGTAGAGAATTAACTGGTGTTGCTGCCTTCAAAGTTCCTAAGAAAAATAAATGAAATTTCAAAATAAAAAACTAAATAAAATTGATTCTTTATAATTACTAATTTAGATAGTATTGCATTTACTTACTTTTTAATCATGCGTGCAAGCTTCATAAAAATTAACTTTAAAATTATTTTAAGTAATTAATTCACATATAAAATAATTAATAAATTTTAAATTTATTTATATATTTACTTATTTTACTCATAAAGAAATTAATTTCCTTAGTACAATCAAATTCTATTTCTAAAAATTACCTACAATTATGTATTTTTTCTATACTGTAATTAATTATAATTAATCAATTTTACTTCTCGATTTTAACTCACCAAAACTTATTCTTAAAGCTGGTAAATGAGATGTCTAAACAGAAATCAAGGTGACCTTAATATATGAACCTTTACCGTATTTTCAAAATCATTAAAAAATATTTTGAATTTCATATATAATAGAATATAAGAAATTGAACATCTTAATCAAAACTAATTCAAATTTTATTGATAAATCAAAAATAATTTTTTATATCTTTCAAATAATTGCGAAAATGAATTTCAATTCTTCTTTAAAAAAATGACTTATTTATTTTTCACATTCATAAAACTTTATTAAGATGAAATTTATAAATTCTAAATATATAAAAATTAATTCATCCAAATTGATTGATTTATTTATTTATTTATTTTTACTTAAAATTAAATTATCGAATACTTTATTTTATTTTTAGACACAAATAATTGATTTACTGATTTTTTTATAAATGATATATTAATAAATTTGTAATTTATAATGCCTTTCTATCATAATATAACAAGTAGTTTTTACTACATAATTAAAATAATCAACAACAAAGCTATTTTCAGCTATTCATAGGCTATTATCATCTAACACCTTTTAAAGCAAGTTCTTATTTAACTCTGTTGAAATAAGTTGGGTCTGGGTATCCAAAATAAGCTGCACCTGTTAAATTAATTTTGTATAAATATAAATCTAAAAAATAAAATAAATAAATTTACCTCCTGTAGGGCTAGTTTTATGGTGAACACCATTCCATACAACTACATTATCTTATCCAGTAGTAACACTCCTTCCTACAGTGAAAATAAGTTTTCTATCAAATGCTATTTATAATAGCTTTAACACTTCTCTTCCTTCTTGATTATCAGGTAGATAAGCAGTTCTATGAGTTCCAGGTATTTGTCTCCCGTTTCTTACACTGCCGTATATCTAATAATCAATTACTATTGTTGAGCAGTTAAAACCAGCGCATTTATAATTTTTATCAATATAAGTAGTCATCTTTCCATCTGGTTAATCACCTTTAATAAAATAAATAATTATTATTTTAATGTATTTAGTATTCATAGATTTATTGGATTTTAAGTAGAAAGATATGATTTGGTGATTGAGTATAAGAAAAATTAAATAATAAATAAGCGAATAAATTGATTGATAAATTATTTGAGTTAGAATATTAATATATGATAAAACAAATTAATTGATAAAAATCAAGAATCATCAAAAAATATTTAATTACCTTTCATAATACCATATATTTTGGAGCAGACAGGACATTTAATATAAGAGTCTTTAAGCATGTGTTTTATACATCCGAAATGGAAAAAATGTCCATCACAGTCTTAAAGCTAGATAGCATCCTCGTCAGAATTATTTTAAATTTAATTTTTAAAATCGCTTTAAGTCATTTTATATACGTCATCATATAAATCGCATTAGCAGATACAACATTATTCATCTTCTTAATGCGAAATATTTTTTTCTTTTTTTTCTAAATCATCAAGAACCTTCATAAAAAGATATTCTAAAGATGAAAAATTGTTATATTTAATTATGCTTGCAAATTTTTCATCAATATTTTAATCCTTTTTATCTAGAATATCAACTAACTCACCCAATTAGTCGAAAATACTTTAAATTGCCTAATTGTCTTTTATAAAATCTTTTTTCATATCTAACTAATATTTTCTACCATGATTTTCAAAAATCGTGACATTTGCATCAAAATATGTGGTTATTTTACAATGATTAGTTCTCACCCACTCAACACCATCTTTTAAAACTTCTTCGCTATTTTCATTCTTGGGTTATTAAGGAATTTATTCCATTTTTTAAATTCGGCTTTAGAAAAAAATTTACTTTTTTTGATATTTTTGTTATTTAATCTATCAAAAATCTATATAATGATAATTTATTTTTTTTGCTTAGTAAATCACTATTAATAATAACTTTTTTAATTTGCTAAGCCTATTTTCAATCCATTTAATAACAATATCCACAAAATACAGAATTTATAAGATCAAGAACAAATTGATTAAATACTGATAAAAAAATTAAGATTTAGTCTATTATTTCTTTTGAATAAATTTTTCTATACAACCACATAATCAGGGATTAAATATAAAATAGAAAAATTTGTATCTAAAAAAAGCAAAATTAATAATAAATACTCTACCTGTTGTTCAATAAAATTATTTTATTTTTATTAATAATTTAATAATTAATCTTTAAATAAAAAAAGTTAATCAAAAATTCTTTAATAGAAATTAAATTAATATTTTTTAAAAAAATTAAAAATTCAAAAAATGAAATGTTTTCATCAAATGAATGAATGAAAATTTTACTTTTATTTTCTAAATTAACACAAAATGTATTTTAAACATTCATATTTCCATTTTACTATTTAAAAAATTAAAAATATAAAAATATATACAAAAATAAATAGGAATTTCTAAGTTTTATTGAAAAAGATAAACTAAAAACACTGAGTTGAGTGCAAACAGATAAATTAATTTTTTACTAAATCTTTATTCAAGTTTAAGTTTTCAAACAGACTGTTAATTAAATAATCACTATTCAAAAGTTTCTTCAAATTATTAAAGAGCTTCTTTACCATTTTATAAATTAGAAAAGAAAGAATTTATTTTTGCAAACAATTGAGATTTCTTTTCTGGAGTGCACAAATTATTGAAATATATCTTTAATCCATGCAGGAAAGTGCTATTTAAAGTCCATACTTTATTTTAAACCATTTCAATAACTATATTTTCTATTAATTTTTCCTACTTTTCATTTTAGCCATCAATAATAGCTTATAACTTTAATAAAAATGGTATAATTAGGACGTTTAAATTTTATTTATCTTAGGTAACAATTTTAAGGAAGAAATCAAGCATTTAATCATGATCAACTTTTTCTGTAAAATAATTTACAAACTCACGCATATTTTCTTTATTTATAAACCAGCTGTCTTCAACTAAAAACCTATTTTTAAACAATAAAATTAAACATGAAATAAACTTCTCTAAATTCTTAATACCTCTTAAACAAAATTAAATGAGTTGACTAGGATTTTGCTTCTGGTAAAAAACTGAATTTTTCTTTGAATTAAGAGAAAGTAGGAGCTTAAAGTTCTTTCAAGTTTTTGTATTCCTAAATAATATTTTCATCAAAGTAATCAGGGAAACTTTTATAAAAATCAAATATGTTATGTGTTTAATTCACATGACTTTTAAGCTTTTCCAAAATTTTTTAACTTTCTGCTTGATCAATAAATTATTAATCTTATCTAGTCAGCAAATCGAAGATAAAAACTTGCAGCATATAACTATTATCTAGATAAAGAGAACATTTTTTATTAATCAAATTAACTAAAATAAAAACTTACTATAATCGAATGTCTTGAGTAAGATTTCGAGAAAGGCTTATTACTAAGTCCTTTGCTAATTAGGTTTTGATTACAAGAATCCTTTTAGTTTTGTCTTATTTTAATCTCTGGTAAGGATATTCATAATTTATTTTTAAACATTTTAGCTATATTATTGAAAACTCTCAAATAAATCTTCAAATAAGGGTCTTATCCTGAAAACCATGTAAACTTTATAAATATTTTTATTTTAAAAAACCCTTTGATATTTTAATTGAAAAATGAACCTAAAAAGGAAGATATATGATCAGATTCGCTGGAGTCGAGTGTTTAGGTTTTAAGTAAATACAATTTATCATTGAAAGCATCTTTTAGCAAATTTTCACCTTGTATTACTTTTTCATACTCGCCTATAGCCATTTTTAAAAGAGACGTACGATGATTTATTTTGATGTAGTGCTTGAAAGCTAATTTTAACTCTTCTTTACTTGCTTGATCTTCTTTACTTTCATTACTTAATTAAGAGCAAATTTCAGTAAATAGCTTTAAGACAGGAGAAAAATCATTATCCTAAAATTTTTATACATCTTATCTGTATTCATACTGAACTACTCTACTAAGTAAGTTGTATAATTACTCTGTACGAATTTAAGTTTCTTTGATAAAGTCTTTTAATTCCTCATAATGTTTAATAATATCATTTAAAAACTCTTCTTTTTTAAGTATAATATTTAAAACGACATAGTTGAAACACTCTTCAAATCTATTTATTATTTTAAGTTAATATTCATAAATAAGTAAGTATTCTAGTTAATAAAATATATGTCTATTAACAATTTCTATTTGTTGAATAAGAGTAAACACATGCAAGAAAATATATTTTTTAACTTTATTCAAAAAATTAAAGCAAATTGTAACAAAAAATGAAATAAAATAATTTCAATCTATAATTTATCAATAAATAAATAATAAAAATATTACATTTTAGGCTTATTATTTATAATAATTGATTGATTTTTATAAATTGTTTTAAGATGCTTAAACATATCTTGTACATTAGTAAGAGAGTGGAATAACTCTGCTATATCAGAAGAAGGTCTAGAGAAATTGCTATATATCATACCAAATAGCTTTGAATGAAAACATTACTCAAAATATTAAATTTGTATATTATTGTGCTAAGCTAAAAACTATTAATCCAATTTATTATTTTCCTCCTTCTTTTCCTCATAGAGAGAGCTGATATCTAAATTAGAATTATTGATTTCGTTTCTTTTTATTTTTTTAATCTTAATCATTTCGAGTTCTTCCTATTCCCCATCTTCTTTTGTTTCTTGTCTTTACGAGCTCTTTCTTTTTCCTAAAAACAAATCCTAGTCCTTAGACCTTTATTTATCTTCTTTTTCCTATTAGGCTATATCTTAAAGTTCCTTAATCACCAATACTCTTAATAGCTTTAAACATTATTCCTAAGAAACAAACCTACTGTTTCCCATTTACATTGGAGAAATGCTTTTGAGTGCTTGAACGCATTTCTTAGCATTCTCATAATTTTGTTATAATTAATTTGCGAGCATTATTGTAAGTAAAGATTAAATAAACAAATAATATCTCTTTGTATTTATATATAGTTTTAATCAAAATTTGATAATTAATTAATTAAGCTAACTAATTTGAAATACACAAACAAACCTTAGAAATAAATAAGTGATTAGCATAAAAAAAATCAATAAATATTTAAAAGTTAAATAAAATTATTTTTACAAACAATCAATTAATTAATTGATAGAATTTAAAACTTTTTACACAAATACATTAAATTTTTATGTATTTTTTATAAAATTAAATAATCTGTTTATAATAATTCATTTATATTTCATAAAAGTAGCTCAAAATTTTACAAGAAGATAAAGCTTTATTACTACACATCAGAGTTAAATAAATCTAGCTTTTTTTTTTTCTAAACCACTATTAGGCTACATTTTAAAATATCTTAATCAGCAGCACTCTTTATTGCTTTAATTATTATAAATTAGTAAGAAACATGCTGTTTTTTTATTTATGTCAGAACAAGCAATTTTATAAATAAATAAAAATTTAATAAATAAATATTTATAGTTTTAACTTATGTTTTATAATTAAATAAGGTGATTTAAAATGCTCAAATCTTAAAAATATATTATAAAAATAACATAAATAAATAGATAATATTAATATCCAAATAAAATTATTTTACCAACAATAAATTATTAATTGATATTTTAATACAAAATATATTTTTGCAAAAATAAAATCAAATAATTATTAATTTTATATTGAGTTGATAAAAAATCAATAAGCTATTTTTTGTTATTTATTTTTGTTTTTCAGAATAATAGATCGGCTGATACAAGATAACTAAGTTTTAGACATTCATAGTAAGCATATCCTTTTCTAAATAATTTTTAGATAAAAAGAAATATTTCTTGCAAATAAATAAATAAATTAAAATGTTTACAATCTCTGAATAGGTTTAATCTATTAAAATGTTCTCTCTGAACTATATAATTTATTTTTAAAAATTTATACTTAAAAAGCTAAATTAAACGAAATTTACCTATTAAAATTTAAAACGAAAGACTAAAGAGTATTCATTTTTCTGAGTATACTAGAAATGTTTGAATGTTATGTAATTGAGTGTTTATTCCTATTTAATCATGTATTTATTAACAGATAAAATATTATTTTAATTTAAAAATATTAATGTATTAAAAGAAATGAAATTTCTATTTACTGAGTACTTACTTCAAGATGTTTTAGTTTTTTTAAAAACAACAGTTCTTCAAATAGGTTTATGCAAGAAGGGATAGATTTACTATATTATACATAATTTATTTTATAAATATTAAGAGTAAATAAAATTTACTCAAGTTATATCACAAAACTTTCTACTTCAGTCAATTTAACAAAGCAATCTTTAAAGGCATCAAAATTAATTTTTAGATCACTTTTAAATTTAAAATAAATAAAATATTTGATTGAAGAACAAAATTATACACTAAACGTAAGTTCAAAGACCTCAATTATGTTTATTAAGATAGATCCTTAATTATTGAGCAGAAAACTTCATTTGAAATAGGATTTTTGCTTTTTTTAATTTTATTAAATTTAAAACAAGGTAAAAAATATCAAAAATGATTTTGAAATACCTTAAATCTAAATAAAAATCTGTTAAGCTCTTTGTACAACTTAATGAAATATTTATGAAATCTTAGAAGGAATTTGATGATAAATATTAATTGCACCTACATTTTTAAAATTTTAACTTAAATTAATATCAATTAAATTTAATGAAAAAATTAAAACACAAAAAAATCTTAAAAGAGATTATTTTATTTTTTATAATAAATAATTTTACGACAAATCGATTTTTAAATTTTTGATTGAATTTTCGATTTATAACTAATTTTGCTATCTCTCTTAATTATCTTCCTCCATAATACTAATTGGCTTTTATAATTTACTTTTTATGAAAAAAAAATATATTAATTTAGATATATTTAAATAAATGCATTAAAATTTTACTATAAATCTAAGACAAGATTTTCCAAGTTATTAAGTTGACTAATTGTGTTTAGAATCATATATATTGACTTCTCTGAAATAGGATTTAAGCTAAATTATTAAAAAATTTATAATTTAAAAATTATTAGCTCAATATTTACGAAAGCAACAAATCTAGATTTTGGAGTTTGTTATACTTAAATAAAGCTTCTGCGATTTCCTTCACTATAAAGTCTTAAATGCCGCTTTAACTGTTAAGAGAAACATTAGTTATATGAAAAAAAGGTCTTATAATTTACATTAATCCTATTTTGAGATCTATCAGATTTGAGCTGAGAATATCAATATTTAATATTGAATAAATATATTTTTGGTTCATCTCCAAAAAGCTAATTAAAAAATATTAGATAAAAATAAAAACCTTTTTTATTTTAGGATTATTTAAAAAATTTACTTTAAATCCAAATTCAGTTTTTCTAATTTTAAGCATTTTTATAATTTTTCTACAACATTTTAATTGTTAATAATTTCTAGTAAATCTTAATCAACTTGCCTACAAATAATTTAATATATTAACAATTTAATATTTTAAATAATTTTACTGATCTTAAACCAGAGCACTCTTTACAAGGTTAAAATTCTGTTCATTTATCTATTATCAAAAATTAATATGGCTTTTACTTTAAAAATAAATATTTTACTTAACTCATTCCTAAAGTTTTACAAGCAAACAAATCTATGTATTTTACCAAAAAAAGTTAAAACTAATTTTTACCAATATGAATAAATTTACATTAATTATATTCAAATATTTAGTAAAGAAGTCTATCATCAAAGATATGCTCAGAAACAAAATTAATTCCTAATTTTTTAGCTAAAAAAAATCAAATATTTTTATTGTAAAAAATAAATTTGTTTACTTTTAGTTGCTATATGGGAATAACTTATCTTTTTTATATTACAAACACAGATAGCAACATAGCTATTGTCAAAATTGTTCAAAGCTTTTAAAACTATAGATGTTAAATTGTAGCTATCTAATTAAATTTTCTCTAAATTCTAATTAAATTTCATAAAATGCGAAGCCAAATTTTAGATATCTTCATACTAAATATCACATTTTTATAAACCTTCTAACTTATTTCTATTTTTTAAAACGTCTTATATTTCCTCAATTTCCATTTCCATCTTGTTATAACTTATTAATTTTTTAATTAAAAATAATTATTTATTTGAATAGCATTTTAATTCAGCTATTTATTGTTTGTATTTTTGATAAATTATGATCAAACAAATTTTTTAACTGATCAGTAAATAAAAATATGATATTGGGTACACCATCCCATCCCATTCTCACTTTTTTGATGCTATTTTCTGTTCAAATTATATTTTCAATATTCAATTGGCATCAAAAAAGTGAGTTTGGGCTGGTGTACCCAATATCTTATTTTTTCTATCTCTCTCTATTTTTTATTTTTACCATATAATCTATTACAAACATGTGTAATATAAAAATAGTTTCAAACATAAATTATTTTTTAATGAATTTTATAAGTTTATATAATTAAATTCTTTATTTATTAAAGTTAAGATTAAATAAAAACATTAATTATTTATCTACTATTAGAAATATAATCTTCATATTGATTTATATTTTGGAAAGCATTTTATTTTTTAAAATTTCAATATTATTAGTCATATTTCTTAAAATTTTTTAATTTAATAATTTTCTGAAAAAGAAGAAGTCAATTAATTATCTTTCTATTCTATTAACATTTTGATTAATAGCGAGCGTAAATAATTTTCAAGTTTACTTCTTATTCTATAACATCAATACCTCTCTTAATTATATTTTACCATTTTATCTATTATAGAAATGTGTAATTTATAAGTAGCTTAAAACATTAAATTTTATTTTAATTTAAATTAAATAAAAATATCTTATTAATTTCTTTATTTATAAAAGTAAAGTTTTATAAAAACCAATAATTAATTATTGGTCTGTCATTAAAAAGTAAATAAAAAAATAGACTTCAATTTAGCAAATCATCTAATATTTTCTTTATTTTAATTATTAATCCTATTCTTTTAATTTTACTATTTATTTCAAGTGTAAAGTGAAGTCAATAATATTTATATTCTTTTAGTAATTTGATAAACGAAGTATAAATTATTTCGAAGTTAACTAGTCAATCGATTTCTACTTTATATTTCTCTTTAATTGATTTATATCATTTAATTTATAATGTGTTTAATTGAAAAACCGTTTAAGAGAAAAAATTATATTTTTAAATTGACTTTCTAATTTTTTTATTAAGTTAAATTGTTTATTTATTTGTAAAGATTTGGACATAATAAGCATTAATCATTAATTTTTAATCTGTTTTTACAAAGCTTTAAAAAAGTAAATAGCTAATTAATTTAGAGTAAAATGAAGTCAATTATCTATTTATTCTTTTAATAAATTTATAAACGACCTACTAAAATAATTCTCGAGTTAACCAATGATATATTTCTTAATCTCTCTAATTTTATTTTATTTAATTTATAATTTATTTAATTTAAAAATAGTTTAGTATATCAAATTTTATTTTTAAATTGATCTTAATATTTATTTATAAGCATTGGGTTTGAATAGAAATTAATAAGTAATTAAAATCTTTTTTTTCAAAGGCTGTAAACATCTAAATTTTTAATTAATTTTAAAAAAAATTATTTGTATGATAAATCTTTCTTGTCAAAAAAAATATAGTTATTTACCCTAATATCAATTTTATTTCTTTATGTTAAATTTTAAGTAAAATATATTTCGTTGGTGTGATTTATAAAATTTATTTTTATGACATATATTTCTTACTTTAGTTGTATTAATTATTTAAAATCAAATAATATTTAAAAACTTTAAAGATTAACTTTAGCAATTAATAAATTAATATGTTTCTTTTATAATTTTGGTTTTACATAAACTTGAAATATGATAAAAACAATAATTTTTAAAATATTATATTATAAAATGGACAAATAATAGTTATAAAAAGCATAAAAATTTTGTCTATTTAAATTATTTATCTATTTCAAAAAAATTGATGAAATTCTCAAGAATCAAATTTTGATTTTCTACATAAATTATTATTTGAAAAAATTTTCAATAAATAAGAAAAACTATTAATAGTTTAAATAAACTCGAAAAGAACAAACATTTGCACATAGAATTAAGAATTTCTAGAAAAATGAAAGCTAAGATATACTCAATTTATGATATTTTCTCTGTATTATTTAATTAAAAATTTATATTAAAAATATTCATATTTATTTTATCACATAAAAAAAGTTAGCGCAATCTGATCACTGTTCTGTAGAACTATTATATATTAGCTAAGAGTAAATAAATAATGAGCTTTGTAAAAGATTTTTTAAAGTTACTATATTAATTAAAATATCAAGGAAATAAATCTTTCTAGATAATGGGGCTATCAATCTTTCTCTTTAATTGGAAAAATGCACTAATTTAAAATACTTAGAACTTTAACTTATGTAACTTATTACTATATGTAAAATAGTGTTAATATAAATAAAAAATTTTTAAATTAGGTACAGTTTTATCACCTATACTGGCGCGTAATCTTTAGGGAGAGGTTTATCAAATCTTACCAAACTTTAAGATGTCAATATAAATTTGAGGTTTATTTTAATTTTTTTCGGAGAATTTAATTGATCTTCTTATAATTCCTTATAGAAGAAACAGCATTAAATGCGAAGGTTTAATTGAATTAATTAATGGATTGTCTGGATAAATTAATCTTAGAAATCTTGAATTGGATATTGGGTATTAGTTATAAATCCTAAAATTTATTTTTAATCAATTTCATAGTGAAAATTATTTAGATGATGATACTGTTTCTAAGTTGTTTTCATGCATTTATTAATTCAAAGATCTCTCTATGGTATCGATTGACATTTCGTACAATTAAAATTAAAATATTTCACCAAACATATTTGATTTGTATTTAATTTTAGAGAAAATAATTTAACAGAAAAATGCACTTTAGGTGCATAGCAGGGTTTTTCATCCAACATCCTATTTAGCCAACTATAAATTAACTTTAAGTTTGATTTAATTAATATAATTTTATCAATTTAATCACAATTTTCCATTTTTAAAGTTGGAATAAAATCGGAGATACTGGGTTGCTTTATTTTGGAAAGGGGATTTCTAAATGTTCCAACCTAAGAAAATTAAGTCTCAACCTAGAGTAAATTAATTAATTAATCGTTATTTTGTTTTAATATTATTTCAAAAAATATTTTATTTTTTTAATAAAATTATTTTCTTATTTTTTTTATAAAACTTAATTTTTATCTAAGATGGAACTAAATTACTGAACAAGGAATTGCAGATTTGAGTTAGGGTCTTTCAAACTGTGTATTTTTAAATGAATTATAACTAAACTTATAGTAAGCAGTTTTTAAAAATTAATATTTTAATAATCTGATTTTTAAAAGCAAAAATGAAATTAAAGAAGAAGGACTTTAAAAACTAGGACAAACTTTAATTAATTGCACTAATTTATATTTTCTACAAATAAACTATCCTAACTTTTTTGCGTAAGTTTGTTTGAATGTTTGCCTTATAATCATAAAAAATTTCATTCTTTTTATATAAGAACCAAATCATTTGTGAATAATGGGATGTCTGAGCTTATCAAGCATCTCTCTCAGTAAGAATAACTAAAAAATCTATCACTAGATTTTAGGTAAACAACACAAATCTTTATTAATATATATAAATGTTTCTTATTTTCTAAGTAAATAAAATATTACTGAATCTGCTTGCATAAATCTTGGCTAATCAATTGCATTATGTACGCATCTTTAATACCTGACAATAAACTTACAGTAATTATGTAATTTTGTTGCTTTTATAACCTGATTCATTTTAAATAAAGAGATAATTGTATCTAGCAAAACGGAGCAGAAAGCTTAGGTAAAGGCATCAATAGTTGTGGAGTTAATCTTAAATCCTTGAACTTAAATTTATAGTTAAATTATTAGTATTTAATATTTACTTTTTTATATTTGTATTCTTAATAAAAAGTGGTAATATTATCGAAGATAAAGGTCTTGAATATATTGGTAATGGTATTCTTAGCTGCAATAAACTCACTTATTTAAATCTGAATTGTAGGTAAAAAATTATTTTATAATTTCTTTAAATTTGTCATTTATTTAAAAAAAAACTGGTTTTACAAAATTAATAATTAATCACTTTAATTCAAAATTAAATTAAAAAACTGTTTTTTAAAAGTACTTCGATTCTTTCTTTAAACTAAAATAATTTAGTTGAATAAATCTTTTTGTTTTTATATTTGAAATATATTATTATGTTAAAAAGTAGAACAGCTATTGGCGATAATGGTATTATAGGGTTATCTAAGGGCTTATAAAATTGCAAGGAACTAAAAGATCTCATACTTAATTTTTCGTAATTAAATTATTTTAGATTATTTGTAAAAACATAAAAAAAATTAGATCAAATAAAGTGAAACAAAATGGTAGTATTAGCTTAGGCAACATATTTGACAAATTGTTAAATCTTTAAGTTTTATCTATCAATGTTTTGTAAATTTATTTATTTTTTAGACAATTCCATTTGAAATAAAAAAATGTTGAATTTCAATTAATTAGAGGTAACTCAGTAAGTAGTATAGGAGCATAAAAATTAACTTATAAGTTAAGATTTTGCACAAAACTTAAGAGCTTAACTCTTAATTTTGGGTAATTTTTAATCTACATTGAATATTTATTTACCTCAAAAATATAATAATTTTAACAGAGTATAGTCTCTTATTGAAAGAATAGTTGATTCTGATTTTAGTTAAATTAGTGAGTCTATATAAATGCTATCATAATTGAAAGTTTTGCAATTAAATTTAAGGTAAAAAATTATAATAAAAGTCAACTTAATTTTTTTGATAATAAATAAATAAATAGTAAGTAGCAGAGCATCTCTTTTAATGGAGTTAGCTGCCTTTTTCAAATAAATAATTTAAAATATTTAATGTATTTGACAATAGACCTATATTAAAACATCTATTCTAAAGCTAATTAATAGAAACTAAAATCTTATATAATGAAATCAAAAAGATTAGTTTTCTTTTCAATCAGATTTTGAAAATTCAATGAGATTAAACTATTTATTTATATGTTTATATTTTGAATAGAGTTGGATCAAATATTCACTTCAGAAAATATAGAATTAGATTGTTAAAAATTTTATTATAAATGAATTAAATATTAAAAAAATATTCAATCAATTTTTTTCAAATTAATTAAAAATAAAGGCTTGAAGGGGTTCTTAAATGAAATTGATAAAAAATATATTTAATTTCAAAAAAAACGATAAAAAATCTAAAGTTAAATATTCTTTTAGCGATTTTAAAATAGACCCACCTTACCTATATTAATAAGTAAAAATATTATGAGCAATTTATTATATGAATTTAAAAATTTTTTTTATTATTTTTAATAAAATAATAAATTTAAAATGCATAAAAATTCTATATATATTAAAAGTATTTTTATTTCATAACAGAATGACATTAAATTTTAATATTTATGATATAAATATCGTTAGTTTTTTACATATGATAAAGTTTTTATTCAAAGTCTTTTTTTTAAAGATAATATTTTAAAAGTCTTGAAAACCGAAATTAAATGAAAGTTCTAGAAATAAATTATTTATTTATTTATTTATACTCGTTGTTTCCTTCATAGATCAAATAATTTTACATGATTTGTTTATTTGAAGTTTTTCTATTACTTACTTATTAAATCCAGAATTTTCTAAAATTTTGATAAGTAATGTTCAAAACAATTACTGTAATTTTTATTTTTCTTTTGTTCTATTAGAACTATTTTAAGAATGAGTATTTGATAAAATTTGTAAGCCTAGCAAAAGAAGCTTCTTCATTTTTTCTACAAAAATTGAGTCTATGAAAAGTTACTATATAATAGTATCAGAAAACTAAATTAAATTATTGGCAATAATTAATTTTATAAATAGTAAAAAAATAATAAAAATAATTAAATAAATAAATAGTTTATGCTAAGATTAAACAAAATATTGAAGAAAATGGAGATAGAAAATAATTATTTTGACCTAGGCATATTTAACAAATTTCAAAATAAGATGAAATCTAGATATCAGTAAAAATTCAATAATACATATGAAAAAGCATTGAATGCTGAATAGAAATTGTTAGATATGAATGGAGTGAAAGTAAATTAAGATTATGAAGTAGCGAATGTAGATATTTAAAGAAATAATTAATTTTTGCATGCTTTCAGGTCTTTAAACTAGAGTTAAGGAAAGAAAAAATTAATTCTTTTGCATGGATATGGTATGAATGGGCTCGCTTACATGAAGATGTTAAAACCCTTAATGGAGAAATATGAAGTACATTGCTTAGATTTACCAGGAATGGGTTTAAGTAGTAGAGATGATTTTTCATAAATTAATGGAGAAAAAGAAACAATTGATTATTTTGTGTCTTCTTTAGAGGCATATAGAAAATTAAATGATATTGACAAGTTTACATTAGTAGGTCATTCATTTGGTGGATATATGAGCGCTAACTATGCTTTAGAATACCCTCAATTCTTAGAAAACTTAGTCTTGCTTTCACCATTAGGAAGCACATATCGCTCTAGAGAGTCAATAGAAAAATAATACCAAGATCTAATATCAAGAGCTAACTTCTATTAAAAGCCTCTTTTAAAAATATATTTAAATTTATTCAAAAATAAAGTCACCCTTTAACAAGCTAATCAAAAATGGTATTTACCAGTTAAAACCTTGTATGGAAAATATTTATAGAAGGCATTAAATTTAAATGAATAAGAATTAGAGATATATAGATAATTTGCATTTAATATGCTTGATCTCCCTGAATCAAGCGATAAAGCCTTGTTTAATATTGTCAATGAAACATCTGTCTTTGTAAAATCTCCTTTAGAAAATATACTACCCAATAAATTATCTTCAAACATACCTGTTCATTTCTTATTTGGAGATAGAGATTGGATGGATTATGGGGGAGCATACAAATTATTTAGATTACAAAATGAATTCAAGCTTAATGTAAAATTTGACATAATACCAAAAACAAGTCACTAAGTTACAGTTGATAACCCATAATTTATTACTAATTATCTATTAAATCTATGAGAAATTTACTAATTTTATATGATATATACTAACCAACTAATAGAAAAGAACCAACTTTATAATCAAATTTAATAAATTTATTTCTTAAAAGCTAATTAAAATGCAAACAGACATTAATAAAATTTTTTAATAAAGTAAAATCGAAAAAAATGTTTTACTTTTGAAAAATGCCTTTAAAAAATATAAAAATCCTTCTAAAATTAAAATATATTCATATAAAACTAAATGATTAATATTGTTTTTACCAAATGAGGAGATACTCATCAAAGTTAAGTTTTAAGTAATGTGTAATAAATTTATGTTTATACAACTTATTCTAACATAATAGTTTAATCAAATTTTCAAGATTAAAAATAATTTTTTTAGCTAAATACTTTTGCATTTAATTGATATGAAATAAATATTTAAAAAAATAAAGATATTTATTTTCTCAATCAATTTTTATTTATTTATTAAAAATTAACTATTTATTGAAAAGTGTTATTTAATAATAGAGTAATATTCTATTAAAAGCTACTTTGTAAATAATATCTTTTTATTTGATAATTTAATTCAAGAAGACAAATTATATATTATAAATAGCCTTTAATAAATGATAGAACATAAACTTTGTTTAAAACTATTATATTTAATAAAATAAATTATAGTAATACAGTGAAAATTGTCTAAACTAAGAAATTAAATGACTAAAAACTAAGCTTAAAATACAAATATGCCCAGCTTATAGATTCGTTTTATAACGAAAATTTAGGCTCAAATAATTTGCTCATTTTTAAAGAGTGTTTAGTCTATAAAACAGTACAGTTTGGCAGGTTTTACTGTATAATTTTTATCTGATGGGACATAATATAAGAATTTTTAGAGCATTATAATAAAATCAAAAAAATAAAATAATTTATTTTTGATTTAACTGTCAAATAGAGAAAATAAATAAAATTCTAAGAAAATTAATGTTTTAAACAATATATGAACACATATTTTGCTTAATGATAATAGATTTAATAATCTCAATTATAATGGAATAAATAATTAATTTTTTATTTGATAATAAAATTGAAGAAATATGAAATTTATCATAGTTTGTTTATTTTTTTAAACTTGCCACTCCTAATTGAAGTTATTAGCACATCATTTTCACCTCTAAATGTTGATAATCCTGATTATATGCTGGGTAGTTTAAGTTAAAATTATTTTTAAGAATTTTAATGTTATGGTCTATCTGTTTAGGATCCTAAGTTTAGTGTCTCTTCTCTTAGAGAATCTAAAAGAGTTTTAGACTACAATTGTAGTGGTTTGATTAAAGAAAGAGAATGTTTTTTTATTGCAAATAATTATGGACTACTATTTTGACTCAATCTACTACCTAAATTATCTTAATTTTTTTAAACGTCTTAGAGGGCTTCAGATATAATTGAGTCTAAAAATTCTTTATTTTCATTATTGGCCTAACTTTATTCTTATTCATCAATTTGATTTTATTTTTCTTTCGTAAGTTATTTTTCATATCTATCTGTAAACATTTTTTCAGGTTAATATTTAGATTATCTCAGTTTAGAATTAATATTTTTCATAAACAATTAAATTTTAGCTTTTTGCAAATTATTAGCAGAAATACTGTGATTAAGTAGGATTGATTTTTCAGAAGCTAAAGTAGAATTGTTAGCATTTTTAGAGATTATGCTCGATTATTAAATTGCAACTGAATTATTTGCAGGGTCTGTTTGTAATGACTAATTAAAATATAAATTTGAATTATTTCTTTATATACTGTTATTATTAGAAGCATAGCTTGCCCTTGTATTAACAACATTATGGGCTAATGATCCAATTTATTGACTATTCATATTTAGAATGCTTTCATCTAAGTAATTCTTTTCTGAAGCATATTCTAAGTAATCCATAGAACGATTTACATTTTTCTTTTTCTTTTTTGACATAACTTACTATTTCTTTTCTTTCTCTTGCTGATTTATTAATTGTTGGAATTGTAGATCACTAGAGTTTCCAGCAACATCGTTATTAATTTGGATATTTAATTTACTTCCTTTCTTAGTTTTTGATGGGGTTTCCTCTTTCTCAATTATCGAAATGAATTAATTTGATTATATATCCTATTTTTTTTAATTTAAAAATATTTATCTATTTGTTATAAATTATCACTTTTTTATTTATTTAAGCAATTATGTTTAATGTTTATTTTCATAATATTTTCAAATTTTTAAAATATTTATATTTTTAAAATTCAACTTCTTAAAAAGTATTATTTAAATTTTAAGATTTTATAAAAAAAAAATATTTATTTATTGAAAATAAGGTAGGTGTATTATATCATTTAATTAAATTTATTCAATTAAATTTAAATAAAAATATATCATTTTACTTATTTGCTTTTATTTTGGTCATCATTTTTTCTAGGTGAAACTGAATATCTATTAATTTATTTGCTTGTAGAAGATACTCTTGCATCTAATTTAGGAGTATTAATAATTGCATTACTGGCATTGCTATTTCTAGACTATTAAAAATTTGGGTTAATTTCTTCCTGAGAAGGGATTATGTCTCCTTAAAAATTCATTGTGCTAAATCTTGTTTTATTTTAATTTTTTAATTTATCCCTGATTTTTTGATCTAATTTTTTTCCTAAAAAGTAGACATTTTTGTGAAGATCTTATTCAATTTATTTCTACAAAAGTCTGTTTCTCCAGTTTGGAGCTAGGAATTAAAGCATTTCATGTTCTTCATATTTTCTTCTTTTGGCATGAATGTCTATTTCTGGAGCTTAATATTATTCATCAGCCTACTATTATGCCATAAGTAATCGCTAATTTTAATACAAAAAATTAAAAATATGGTTTTTATATCATTTTAAAATGTTACTTTATTTGCTTCCATCTGCTTTAGAGATATACCTCTTAACTCTTTCTCAAACAACTATTTAATTTCATCATATTTGAGGTCTCTAGGAGAGTACTCGTCTCTCATAAACTTGACTCCCTTTGTCTAATCCTTCAAAGCTGAAATATATGTGTCTTTAATTTCAGAAAAGTTAAGCTTGATTGAGTCTTTCTGAGGTGGCAATAAATTATTAATAAAACCATCTATTTACATCAACTTTCTTAATTGCTAATCTGATTTGTATTTAGAAAGCATAATGTCCAAGATTTTAAATGCATAAAAAACTTTTTTCTTAACTTTTTCATGCTAATCTATCAGTACATCCCACTTTATGGGAAGAGGGTGATTAATATTCAAGTTACCAATTAATTATCCATCTAAAGTCCAAATTCTAACATATTAATCTTACGAGCTAGTAACAATACATTTCTAACTCATTTCAACAAATTAGAAAGAAGTAAGGACATCTCTATGAGCACAAAAATGTAAATTTTTAACAACTTTTTTTTCTTTTTATGAAAAATTCTTTTTGTTCTTTAAAAGAAAAAGCTTTAATAAAAATGGATATTTAAAGTATGAATTACTTGTTATACAATTAGTGGCAGTTTAACACTTTCTTTAGTGATTTATTCAATTTATGAGTAAAAATCTTCAGTGCATTAACGAAGCGGATTATAGTTTAATCTCTAAACTGAATGATCACTCATTCTAACATCTTCATTTTAAATGATAGAATCTATGTTAAAAATAATAATGTTTCCTTTGTTAGTAGCAGCATACAACAAACAATTGCTCAGACATTTTGTTTCTTCATCAACTTGAATTTCTGTTAGCAATTTAGTAACCCATTCTTATGGTAGATCTGCTTCAAATAAACCTGTTAAATAAATAAATAAAATAAAAATCAATTTTTTTAAGTTATCAATAAAATAGATACTTGAATCGTTGCTGAGATCTAAGTTATTTTTGGGTGAAACACTAACTTTTCTTTTTTCTTTTTAAAATGTATCTGAACTGAAAAACTAAGAGTCATTCGTTTACCTAAAAATAGATTTCTAATTTTATTGTGGATTTAGAGGTATCTGAGAAGCTTATTTTTCGATTGGCATTTACTAAGAATTACTTTTTTCTAACCCTTAAATAGAAAATCCAACCTTGATATTTTGAGGAATAGGCTTATTAGCTATTTTCTTTTTTTTATCTTAAGCAAATGTTGATGTTTGTTAGTTTTTATTCTAATTTTATTGACTTTAGGATGAGTTTAATTGAATTTAATCAATATTAGCTTGCACTGCAGTAGAAAATTAAGAATTAACCATAGTATTTTTATTTTAACCACTAAAAGTGTTAGTATTTTGATTAGCATTGCTGATATTATTATTTATATTTTGAGGGTTAGTAAAAGAACTTTCTCTTCTTGACTAAAAAACATTTTTATTTTAAATCAAAATATCAGATTTTTCTTCTTCATATTCTTCTGTATCCTTATTTTATAGACGATCTGAAAATTTTTTATTATTCTCATTTTCTAAATAATTAGATATATTAAAGTATCCGATCAATTCAAACTAAGCTTTTAGCTCCTTAACATTAAATTTTAAGATGTATATCATTCCAGAATTTGTTGTGATGATAAGAACGCGATATCCATTAATAAAAAAAAATCCTGTAGGTTCAGTACCTTTGTCAATTTCAATGCAAGCAATCAATTTAACAAATTCATAATCCCAGATGAAAACTTTCCTTCCAGAGCTACCAGTAACAATAATATTATGAAAAAGAGATACTTCCATTTAATTAACTTCTTTATTGTAATGAGCATTTTTAATTATTCTTTTAATTTCAGCCCCTGAAGGTGTTTCTCTTTAAATCATGACTGTATTATCCCAACTAGAAGAAATAATAAGCTTTTTTTTATTTAAATTATAATATATTTATTTTTTATAACCTTACTTTGAATGTTAAGTTAAATAAATAAATTTATTGTATTTTATTTTATTTGACCTAAATCCTTTAATTCATTTCAAAATTTTGAAAAATAATAAAAATGTTGTGATGAACAAAAAATACCTAATTTTAATTTTTTAATTTATAGTAAATTGGCAATTAAAAATAGAAAGACAATTAATTCATAATTTGAAATGATTATCACATATAATAAATACCTTGTTTGGGAAATCTATTTTAAGCTAAGATACTTCTGACTAGTGTCCAACTAAATCTTTTAATCTTTCACCATTATTGTAAGAATAAAGTGCTAAACCACCTCTATGATCGCCAAGAATAAAATTTTTAAACTGATTAATCGATGAGCAAGTTGCTATTTCATCATCTTAATTTTGAAGTAATCCTGTAAAAATTTTGGTTATCTTTCCATCTTTCATTCTTAAAAATCTCATGTCTTTTCTTGTACAAATTGACATTTCTTATTTCATCATATTAAACTCAACCTATTAATTATTAAAGTGATATTTTAATTAGTTTTTAAGACCAAGGAACTAATTAGCAAATTAAATAAATGAATCAATCAACACAAATAATAGTAAATATTTATAAACAAATGCTTTTATCGAGTAATAAAAGTACCTTGATTGGATATATATCCTCATTTGCTTTTTAAATATTAGAGTTATCAAATGATATGAAATTAACTCTAGTACCAAGTAAGCAGATCATATTCTTATCTGGTACATTAACTATGTGAGTCATTGTTGTTTTAAATCCGATGTTTATAGTTTGAAGGCATTTCAAGCTTCTGATATCCCATATTTTTATATTTCCCATATCATCTGCACTAACTACCATAGGTGTTTTATCTATTATCTTTATAAGGTAAGTTATAAAAGTATACATATATTTATTGATGTACCTAAACAGCGGTTACCATTGAGTTGTGACCCACCAACTTACCTAGAGAATCATAATCAAGGTATTAAGGATTTACACTGTATACATTAATTGAGTTTTCAAAACCAGATGTAATCAAGCATTAATACTAGTAATGATAAAGTAAATGGTGTATTCCAGCATGTCCTAAATCAATTGTAAATATGATATTTTCCTAACATATTAGAAATTAGGTTAATACAAAAGCAATTAATAGTATTTTACCTTCTCTAAATCCCAAACAGTAACTTTTTTGTCTAAAGACGAAACAGCAACCAATTTTATGTGAGTAATTTCCACTATTTCATTAATACTACCTGTAATTTCTTTGCTTTATATTTATTACTTTAGCTTTTCTTTTTCTAGATCCCAAATATTGATGGAATTTGTCTTATCAGTAGTTATCCACTGTTAAGTGCTATTTAAATACCATATATTTGTCTAATAATCAGAAACAAAAGCACTTATTGAAAAGCCTTTTTAGAATTTAAACATATCTTATTTATCCCAAAATATCAAGGAAACATCCTTTAAAGTAGCACCTATCTAAAAATTAATTGTAAAAAATATAAGTAAGTAACTGTGTACTTATACAAACATTTATATATGTTAATATTATCTTAGTGATTATTTTCAAATTAATATGTGAAATCAATTACTCTTTGCTCTCTGTCTGAATAAGTAAATCCCATGATTATAACTTCTTTGTCCTTTTACCTTTGTGGAACAATCGTTCTCTCAAAAATACTATTTAACTTAAATACTTTCAGATTAGTAGATAAGCTATCTAAAGTAATAATTCTTCTGTAACCACTTGCATAAACTCCCCTAAATAAATAAATAATTTGATATAAGAATCATAAATTTTAAATTCAGTCAATAAATGAACTAAATAACTCAATTACTTAGTTATTTATTAATTATTGTGTTTTGAAGAGTCAGTTACAATTGAGCTAGGGATTAATCTTTTAATTCCTTCCTCAGTCTTCCCGAATAAAATAGGAGGATTTATGTCTATTTCACGTATTTACTTTTAATTTGTGTTAAACTTTTTTTATTCTGGCATTTTCACAGTAGGCAAGAGGTATGTTGTGATGTTTTTTTCTACAAAATACTTAAAAAATAAATAGATTTATTTTTTTGTTAAAAATATACTATAAAATAATGAATGTATTTTATATTTAATAATTAAAGTTCTAATAAAGTAAGCTGCTATCTTTAAAATTATTAACAATTCAGCTAATATACAGCTTTAAATTTTAATCAAATTACATTCCATCTATTAATTTTGTTTTTAAAAAATAGCTTACATCACAAATAAACCCAGTGAAATCATTAAAACTGATTGTTGTGCTCATTCCACGACTTTCAGATATCTCTTTAAATAAATCAATTAGTGCTAAAGTGATATATATAGTTTCATGAGGTTTATGGTCAATAGATGTAATTAAAATTCTAATAAAATCAATTATATCAATTCCTTTTTTGCCTTAAGATTTAAACTTTCTTTCTATTTCATTAACTTTATCTTTGTCGATAAGCATCATTATAAAATCTAATGTATAATGATCAATCAATGGCGTATTATGGTCTCCTTTAAACTACTCTATCTTATAAATGAGATAATCTACATCATCCTTTTCTAAATCCTTAACTTGATGTAAATCTCTTAATCTATTAATCTTCTACTTTTTTACTAAGCTTTGCTCGCTCAATTAATTCTCATTCTTATCCATCTTAGGCGTTATATGTTTTTATCTTTAATCTGATTTTCTATCAATTACTTACTTGATTATTTGATAAAAACTCTTTAAATTAATAGTAATTTTATTATTAATTATATTAGAATTCAAACTATTTAGTTTGAATAAAACTCTATGTATCTATGCATGCATTAATTTTAGAATTATATTTATTAATTTATTCAATTAACAAATAAGTTGTTTCAAATCATCTCAAATCTACTGATTTTTTAAGTAGCTTTTATGTAATATTTTTTTTTAAATACACTATTTTATTTTGAAGCATATTACTATTTCCTTTTTATTTTGATATAAAAATCTAAAATATAAAATTTATTAAATAGTAAGAGTATAATCGAGTAGATAGATATATAGATATATTGTGAATGTTGAGAAGATTAAAACTATGTTTTAATATAAAAATATTTTTTTTAATGAATTTATTTAAAAATACTAATATTTCTTAAAACTTATATTAATTTATTTTATTTAGAAAAAAAATGTTACCAAAGCTTAAATGAATTGCATTAATTCTTTATTCCTTTCTTTACATGATTTAGCAATTTATTTTTTTAAAAATTTATTTAAAATAAATTTTTGTTGGTATTTCTTAAAAATACCAAAGTTAAATTGTTTTCTTACTTACTCATCATTCATTAGCTAATTTATTTTTGAAGTTTATTTTAAATAAAATAAAAATCTTTTAATGACTTTATTCAAAATAGGTAGATAATTTATTTTTTTATATTTTAAATGTATTACAAATAAGTTAACAAATTTTTTAATCAATACTAATACAAAAATAATTTAAAATAAAATTAACTTTTTTAAGATTTTAAAATATGTAAAATTTATTTGAAAAAATTTAAGTTTTTTGAAATTAGCAATTTAACTTTGATAACAAAGTATTTTTTAAGAAAATTAGATACTCAAACTCTATAAAGCTTAATTAAAATACAAAATTATTTTATAATTTTATTATATTCATTTAAATGTTCTATAAATTATTAATTAATTAATATAAATTTGTTAAACCAGTGAGACTCTTATTAGTTTCATTTTTCATTCATTACTCCTTTGCAAATTAGTTTATCATTTATACAAACTTTTCTTGAAATTTGTAAAATTTTCTTAAACTTTTTTAAAAAAGAATGATTGAACTATATAAATGTTAAATTTAATTACAATTTATCGTCGTTAATTATGTCTTATATTTCACTTTGAGCAAACATTCCATAAATCATTTGGTCTTCACCATAGAGTGAAGGGACCTTTTCAGCAATTTATTCTAGCTCATCTTCCGCTAGCAAAAAGTTTCCATTCAATGGCTCTACTTTATAACTATATATATTATGCTTGGGATTATTATATTGGAGGTTATGCCTAATCAAGTGATATATTACGCTTCCTATAATCTTTGCATTGCTTTTCATAAATAAATTTTGTTAAATTAAAAATTTTGTCTAAAAATATTTACTTAAATGTAAAATCATATTCTTGATGCTAAAGATTATATCTTTTATATCTAAGCAAAAGCTAATTTATAACAATCCTTATGATAAAGAATGTAGATATGATTAAATTATCTCTATGATAACTCTTTCCTACTACATTATTAGATCTATTAAATTAAAATCTTTTAAGCTCAAACAAAAGATGGAATCCTTAGCAAGGAACTATTTCTTCCTTTGTGTAAATCTAAATAAAATATTTCACATTCTAAGTGAAATTTTGTTATTTCAAATTTTATACCAAATCTCCCATTAAATCTAAACATAATGCCTGAAATAGTTTTTAATTAATATTTAAATAGAAGATAAATTAATTTTACCTTAACAGAGTTAATGATACCTAAATAATTTAAATTATCTGATGATTGTGAGGGCTTGTTTTCTAGAAGTGCTACACTTAAATCTCTATTAAAATTTAAAATCTTCTCTAAACTTTATTTAATTGCATCAAAGATAAAGCTTAATCCTTCCTTTATTAGTTTAAATAAAATAATTGCTTCTTTTGAATTAGAAAATATTATTAAAATTTACAAATTTAGCTTTTTTTAACACTCCTGGTGAGATTGAAGGTATATTTTTTTATGGTATTGGCACTCTAATTTTTATTTACAAAAATTAGCTTACATCATTTTTGAATTATTTATTTACTCTTAAGGTTTGTTTATTAATGGTGGTGAAGCATAAGCAATATCATTAGTTTGTTATCTTTTTAAAGGGCTTTTACTCATAATCTTTGAAGAGGAAGAGAGAACTGAGTGGGTTTATTCTAACAAATTTAAGTTTGATCTATCTGATTATGGATTAGAATAAGGAAATTCTTGTTTTACTTCTTTATAAACTGGTTTGTAAACAGGTATTTCTATCTCTTTTTCTACATAAATAGGCTTTTCTATGTATATTTTCTTTTCAATAAAAACTGGCTTTTCAATAATTATAGGTACAGTGTTTTATTTATATTCTGGCTATACTAATTACTGCTACTCATTTTCGTTAATAGGTTGCTAAATATTTTAATATTAGTAGGGCTGAGCAAATATCTATTTTTCTAATTACTGTAATTTGGTTGCATATGCTAAGTGAGAATAGTTTTTTGATGGACTATAATTTTCCTATGCCTGCTAATTATACCCTAAACTGTGTGAAATACTATATGCCTCTTAATTGTAGGATGAGCTTCGAGAAGGAGCCCTATATGAATTTAATTCAGGATTAAACCCGTAAGGAGTAACATTATTTTGCAATATATGACTATTAATGCTCTTTTATGGAGTTGTGCTTTCATGTGAGGCCCTATTAAAATCCTACATTGGTTCAGATTTCATTAAATTTTTTAACTGGATCCTGCTGTTGTTGTTATTATTTGAATAGTTCCTGCTCTTTTTTAGCAAAGATAAAAAGATTGATAAAAGTAATAATAATATTAATAAAATTAAAGTAAATGGTGAAATGAATTCAGAAATATATAAATTGATTGAATAAAAGCAAGCTAAAAAAATAAACTAAGAATACTCGAGAGTCTAACTTTCTATCTATAAAGGATTCTAACTATTAAATAAATCGTAATTTTGTTTTATTTAAATTAACTCATATATTTACTCGATCAAGAGGCTAGTCATTTGGAATATTATATGAGCTCTGATGATTTCTCCTATCATTTTAAATAAACTCTTTATATTCCTTCTATAATCTCTCTATTGAATCATCATTGTTATTTTCAAAAGTCCTATTTGCTTTACTTATCCTTAGATGGGACCTAAAATTTTAAAGATCATTTATCATTTGCACTTACTGCGGGATCATTAACTGTAAAGTATCTAAAAAACCTAATTAATAATTTTTTATTATATAAGTATAATAATTGATTGACTTATTAATAATTTTGTTCGCAAATAGCAGTAAATATTGTATTCAATATAATTAAAATTGAAATTATAGAATCCAATAAACCTATACCACCCAAAAAACTTATTATTAGTTGTTCAAAATAATAAAAATTCCATTAAATCATTCAATGAAAATTAATTAATTGAATTACTCAAAAAGAATTTACTAAATATTTTATCATAAATTTATAAAATACAAATAAACTTTCTCCTAGCATTAAAATTTTAATTTAAATAATAATTTTTAATTCTTTACTTTTATGTTTGTATTATTAGATAAATAATTACATTCTTTTTAAAATATTATCTCAAACAAATTTTTAATTTAAAATGACCTTTGTTTTTTAAATAAAATTTAATAATTTTTAAATAGAATAATTTCATAATTATTTTTTGTTATTTAATTTTATTTAAAATTAAATTAAAGTTATTTTACAATAAACTATATTTTTTTTTATTTTATAAATAAATATTTTAGAATAATTAATAATTTTTTAAAAAAATTTTTATAAAAAACAAACTCATTATTTAGAAAAAAAGAGTAAAGCATTCTAAGGGAATTTATGATATATAGATGTATTTTTTTAAAAAAATACCTTTATATTTTATTGTACATAATTTTAAATTAAAAATAAAGAAATATTTTAATAAAATGAATTTTATCAATATAAATATAAATAAAATATATTATAAAGAAAAGATATTTTAAGCTATTTTTCAATGCGAAATTATTTATGTTTATAGTTAGTTCTTTTAAAATTTATGAAATACATAGTATCAAAATGATTTTTAATTATATAAATTTTGATTTAGACTAAAGATTATTGAGATTTTTGAATACTTATTTTGTTAGTATTATATTAAATGAAAAATTTAAACTTTTTATTGTTTTTAATATCATCATCATTATTAATACTAAATTTACGAAAAGTAAAAGAATTATAGGCTTCATTAAAAAAACATTTTTAATAATCTAAATATATTTTTTATTAAAAAGCTGCTTCTTAATTTATTTTAGCTAGATTAGTTAACATATTTAAATAAACAATATTGAAAACGACTCATTTATTATCTAAAAATCAATAATTTTTTTAAATATAGCTAAAAATAGTGTTTTTTTTAAATGGAAAAAAGAATTTAGTACATTTTATGATTACTAAATAGTTAAATTTTATTAATTTTTTTTGATTGACGAATTTTTTAAATTACTTAAATCACATAAAAGCTTTTAAAAATCCATTTTTCTTTATTATATGTTTAAGATTTAGCTAAAATGAAAAAACTCATTAAAACTTTATTGAGATCTACATTTAAGAACTAGAAATAAACGATTATAAATTTTATAATCAGTGACATTTTACAAATAGTGCGAATAGTATAATTAGTGACGCATTAAATCGTCATTAAATAGGTAAAGTATAATTCAAATAAATCTTTTTTTTAAATTTCAAATATTATAAAACAGTTGTTTAAATATGTCAAAATATAAGGGATAATGCTAAGTGAGTAAAAAATGTCGTTTTGAAATTGCTAGATCACTTTACTGATCTTATCCTTACTTGAAAATTTAAATTCTTAAAATATTTATTGTATAAAAATATTTTCGCTATACTTACGTTTTAGAATAAATATAAATTTATCTATTATTAATTTTTGCACTAAAATTCTAATATCGTCTTATAATGACGCATCAACTGTGTAATAGCGCTTAAATCAGTCTAAAGATCATAAATTCTATTTTAATTAGACCACTTAATAAGCAGAAAAGAATAGATAACTCAAAAAGAATCAATCTATATGATATTTCCTAACTAATATTTATGAGCTAATAAATCTTATCTCAAAAAAAATATTATTTACTATACTAAATTCTCAAGTAAAATAAATGAGCTGTTTTGAGCTTTATGAAAATTCTGATAAGGGTATATATTTAATATTTATATTTATTTATTTATTAAGCTTAGATTATTACTTATAATTTGATCATCCAATTATATATGAATTAATTGTTATTTACCCAAATATTACTTATAAAGTAATAGTAATCAACCATCAAAAACAATTATAAAAATTTTTTACATTTAATACAAAAATTAATTTTTTGAAAGAAACAAAATAATTAATTTATTAAAACAAAATATACAGTGAGAATTGTTGATTTGCTCACCTATTGATTGATTTATTTATTGATTTGAAATGCTTTGGGATGTGTTAATACAAACACTATTCCCTAATAGAGTGACTTATTCTATGGAATAATAAGAGATTGCAAGAGTGGTCTATCGCTTACAGCAATAACTAACTCATCAGGAAGAAGCAAACACATAAAATAACGTAAATAAATGTAGTGATAGCGGAACTGATGCTGGTTAGATTATAATCACTCTTGATGATATCTAGAACTAGCCAACTTAAAGAGAAGAAAAAGTAAAAACTAGCATTCCTAGACTCTCTTCAGAATCAGAGCTTTTTATGTCTTCAAGATCGACTTCTTGCTGTGGTTTAACTCCTAATTTTATTGGCAGATGCTCTGCAATCGATTTTATAAATTCACCAGACCGCTCAACACATTCTGTTATTCCTAGTACAAGTCAATTTTCCTAGTATAATACAACTAACATGGTGAGTTATGCTTAGACAGATGAAGCAATTAAAGAAGATCTTGAATTCTCTAGAATAATCACAGAAGAGGATCTTGCAACTCAAGAAAGAAGCGATAAAAGCAACAGCTTTGTTTAGGCGGAAGGCGATCAAATTTATAAAACTACCCCAGTTAGAAAAGAGATAGAAATAATTTTGATGGAGTACTTGTTTGAATATGCCTAGGAAAAGGTTGAAAACAAGGACAATTTAAACAGTGTAGATCTCGCAAGCTTTTATATGAGCTCAAGATAAAATTTAATGCACAAGGAGGAAATAATTAGGTTGCTTATAAAAGATCATGCTAATTAAAAATAACAAAATGAGTTTGTCAAAAAATAATTTGAAATCTGCCCTTCAGTACTTGAAATAATTCCTTAAAGCGACACAATAAAGATATTACTATTCCAACTTAGATTAGTGTAAGCTATAATCTTAATTTATGGCCATTCTCTTGATTAGGATTTAATTAAGCTCGTTTCATTATTTTGCTTAATAGATGATAAATCAATAAAAAAAATACTTGAGCCATTTGCCATTTATGGCTATTCATCTTATAAAAAATCTTTACATTATAAACATCTTTCAAAAATAATTGAAAAAAGCGCTGTTAAATCTGTCCTTTTTGCTACCGCTAGCCACTTAATTGATACATTAAATAATTAGACTAGAAAATCAGTGCAGCTCTTTTCATCATTTATGTCTAATGGCAAATTTAATGATCCCAAAATATCATGCTAACGTGCAGAAATTGGTTTTGACAACCTCACTGTTGATTTAGATTCTTCTGGTGGAATTTGAAATTCTTTAAAATATTTTATTTTTGAATTTCTTTTTTTGAACAGATATCAATCTATCTATCTATCTACTTTATATTTCAAAAAATACTTAAATAAATTTTATAAAAACAACAAAATATCTAACTACCTATATAAATATTAAATATATAACAAAAAATGTAAAAAAAAATATATTTTAAAATAATATGTTTCTCACTTTAAAAGTTAAAAGTCTTAAACAATTATTTTTATTGAAAGTAAAATACTTGTGTTCAAATTTAATTTGTTAATAAAAATAAAATTTATTTTAAATTGATTTGTTATTTTTCAAATATTTAATATTGATCTTTAATTGAATATTTATAAAATAACAAAAACTTGAATTTTTAATTTTTTCAGTTTGTTATTTTTTTTAATTTTTAGAGTACACCAGTCCATATTTTCTAACTATTTTGTATTTGATTTATAAATAATTTATAATATTTAATTTTTTTATGAAATTCTAATCTGGTATATTTTACTATAAATATTTTAAATAAAAGATTGAAAATTGTTAGAAATATTATGAAAAAATTTTGAGTTATTTACTTTTATGTTTTTTTTATTATTTATATCTTTTGTAATAGTGGAAAATAATATAATTTATAAAATTAACATTTTTATTATTGAATTTTTCGGATGGAGTATTTGTATTTTTTAACTATTAAATTTATTTTTAATTTAAAATTAGTTAAAGTAGAAATTTAGCCTGCTTAAAACAATACTTGTATGCTTACAAATAAAAAATATAATTTTATTATGAAATTTATTTCTAATATTAATATAAATTTTATTTAATAAATTATAAGTAGATTAAAATTGTATTTATTGAAAAATAAAACAAAATTATTTTATTAAATTTCTTAAGAAAAAACTTTGAAATCATGCCTCAAAGACTTATAACTTGAAATATGGTAAATATTTTTATTTTAGTAAAAGCAATGAATTAATTTAATAGAAAATATTAATAATGGATTTATGTTTCCATTAATCGCAAGAAATAAAAGAGTATTCAATAAATAGTTTTTTAGTTAAAATTAACTTCTTTCTTTAATATCTATGAGCAAAAACATTAAAAAAATAGTAACATATATTAGAGGAGAAAGCAATTATTTTGAAATTATCTTAAAAAATCTATGATTAACTTAATTTGATTGGGAGAAATTTAATTTTCCTACTATTCCTCTAATTTAGATTTTTATTCAATTCTCATATTTTGAAAATCATTCAAGTATTATTGGTTTTTTTCAATAATTTTATAATTATTTTCTCTTATAAGCAAACAAACTAACTAACTAAGTAAGTTAGGCAAGGTAACTTGTACAAAAATGTTTTTTAAATCTCATTTTGATCTTCAAGAAATATTTCGCATTTTTTATGTAAAAATTATTATTTCAGACTATATTTGGTTTATTTGTAAGTATAATTAAGTAGATGTAAAAATAAGGTAAAATAATATTTGTACTACAAATCTGAAAAAAGCAATAATATATCTTTATTATCATATGATATTCCTAAACATAAACATTTCAATATATTAATTACTACTTTTTATGTAAGCAATTATTGCATTTCTCAAAATGTGTAATGCCTTTTTGTTATATAAATATTTCCTTAGTTAAAAACTAATATAAAATAAAAAAATTTGAAATTATTTGATAATCAATAATAATAATAAATAATTAAATATACAAATTTAAAAAAATGTAAAGCAACGAAGAAATAAGTGCTCTAATTCAAGGCCTTAAGGACGATTACAATAATAATACAGACATAAGTTAGATAAAATAGAAAATTACTCAAATTAATTAACTTTTAGCTGAGCTTGAATAAGATCATTATGATAATTATGAATACTTAAAGTATTAATAATCTGAAATATGTGTACTCATCTTTGAGCGCTAAAATGATTAAAGGAGTGTGTCTTAATATCTAAAGAAGAAAAGTGATCATTTAAGTGGTTACTAATATTATTAAAATCTTAAAGATAAGATGAAACGTAATTCTCAGTAAACTTAAGGTTACGAAAAATTAGAAATGTCGAATAGTTAAACCTGTTTAGATGATACTTAACCTTTTTTTAAATAAAGCAATACTGAAATGTTAAAAGGAGAAGATTAAGTAGTTAATGAGAACTTATTATTAGCTTTTGAGATTGATTTAAGCTCTAATAATTTAATAGATTAGAGTTAAAATGAATAAGAAAAAGATAAGTAAGGAATTACAGCTCTTATAAAACTATAAAATAAATAAGCAGAAACTCATGAATTAGGTATTTTTCTATTTATTAATTTGCTTATTTATTTTTCACAATACATTTCACAGTTTATTTAAAATAAAAATGCTTAATTTTACTCTTAAGATTAAAAAATACTTGTAAATTTTAATATCTATTTAAATAATTTTTTTAATTTAATTCAATATATTTTATCAACAATAAAATAAAAATCCGTTTTTAAATAATTAAATTTATATTTTTAATATTTATTTGCTTCTATTTTTAAAGGTATTTTGGCGAATGGTGTAGGCAGAATTGGTATAAAAGGAACTGTTGCTGCATTAAATATCGCAAAAAGTGTAAGTTGTTGGAGTGCTATAGTAGTAACTACAGGAGTGGCTGCTGTTGAAGCTGTTGTCCTACTTAAAAAATATTATAAATTAAAAAAAGAATGTAAAGATGACGGATAAAGATAAATAGCAAAGGAAATCCTTATTAAATAACTAAAAGCTTTAGGTATCAAAACATTCTCTACTTTTGGAATAACTACAGGGTGTATAATAGGAGGATCAATTGTTGGGTCATGCGTACCTGGAATTGGAACTTTTGTAGGGTCTCTTTTAGGAGCAATTGTAGGAACTATTTTAAGTTTTGTCTCTGATTCATTTTTGTAAAATTATATTCTAAGTGAGAAAAAGCTTATTGAAGAATGTGAAAATGATCTTGGACTTGGAAGATATTATAAAATTAATAAAAAAAAATATACAAAGGAGGAATTCTAATAAGCTTGTAAACTCAAATTGTTAAGTTTACATCCTGATAGAAGTGTAAACTTTAAGGACTTATAGACTCTATAAAGATATGAATTATAAAAAGTTTAATTTGCAAAAGAAATGATAAAATAACACAATTAATGGAATTGAGTAATTTAAAATTATCTTTCTTACTTAATAGTTTTGAATTATAAATAATTTATAATATTTATTTTTTTATGAAATTCGAATTCTGGTATATTTTACAATCAATATTTTAAATAAAAGATTGAAAATTGTTAGAAGTATTATGAGAGAATTCTGAGTTATTATTAAGTTTTTTTACTATTTATATCCTTGTAAAGTGGGAAATAATAATTTGTAAAATTAACATTTTTATAAGATAATTTTTCGGATGGAGTATTTGTATTTTTTAACTATTAAATTTATTATTAATTTAAAATTAGTTAAAGAGAAATGTAACCTGCTTAAAATAAAATTTTTATGCTTATAAACAAAAAATATAATTTTATTATGAGATTAATTTCTAATATTAATATAAATGTTATTTTATAAATTATAAGTAGATTAAAATTGTATTTATTTATTGAAGAATAAAAAAAAGGAATTTATTTTTTTAAATTTCTTAAGAAAAAACATTAAAATCATGCCTCAAAGACTTATAACTTAAAATATGTAAATATTACTATTTTAGTAAAAGCAAAGAGTTAATTAAATAGAAAATAATAATAATGAATTTATGTTTCTATTAATTGTAAAAAATAAAAGAGTATTCAATAATTAGTTTTTTATTTAAAATGTAAAAAATAAAAGAGTTTTCAATAATTAATTTTTTATTTAAAATTACCGTAATTATTCTAGTATAAGCCGTACCCTTTTTAGAAAATTAAAAAATTTTTTGAGGCTTTTTTGCGGCTTATTTGGAAAACAGGCTTATTCAAGAATGCGCCTTATACTGGAATATTTACAGTAACTTCTTTCTTTGATACTTATGAGCAAAAATATTTTAAAAATTCTAAAATATTGATTAGAAGAGAAAATAAGCATTTTGAAATTATTTAAAATATAAATTATTAACATTAATTAGATTGGGTAAACTTTAATTTTCCTTGAACTCCTTTAATTTTGATTTTTATTCAATTATCAGGTTTCAAGAATTATTCATTTATATCAATAATTAAACTAATTTCTCGTATAAATAAACTAAGTTAGCAAGTTAGATGAGGTATCTTGTTTAAAAATATTTTTTCAATCTTGTTTTGATCTTCAAGAAATATTTCTCATTTTTTATGTAAAAATAAATTATTATTTCAGATGATATTTGGTTTACTTGTAAGTATAATTAAGTAGATGTAAAAATAAGGTAAAATAATATTTTTATTACAAGTCTGAATATAGCAATAATATATCTTTATTATCATATGATATTCCTAAAAATAAACACTACTTTTTATATGAGAAATTATTGCATTTCTTAAAAAATATATAGCCTTTTTGTTATATAATATTTACTAAGTTAAAAACTAATATAAAAATAAAAAAATTTGAAATTATTTGATAATAAATAATAATAATAAAAATAAATAAAAAAACAAATTTAAAAAAAATGTAAATAAACGAAAAAATAAGTGATCTAATTCAAGGTCTTCACGACGATTATAATAATAATAAAGACATAAATTTGATAAAAGTTAAAATTACTCAAATTAATTAACTTTTATCTGAGCTTGAATAAGATCATTATGATTATTATGAATACTTAAAGTATTAATAATCTGAAATATGTGAAATCATATTTGAGCGCTAAAATGATTAAAGGAGTGTGTCTTAATATTAAAAGTTGAAGAACTTTCATTTAAGTGGTTACTAGTAATATTAAAAACTTAATGATAATAATTAAAGTATTTCTCAGTAAACTTAAAGTTACGATAGTTTAGATTAATTGTATAATTCAAACTCTTTAGATGTGACTTAAGCTTTCTTTCCATTCACCAAAAGTACCAAAAGTGAAATATTAAATGAAGAAGAATATAATTAAGTAGTTAAAAAGTAATAATTATTAGCTTAAGAGCTTGAGGGTGAGGATGATTAAAGCAATAATAATTTAACAAATGAGATTTAAAATGAATTAGAAAATAATTAATAAGGAATTAGAGCTCTTGTGTAACTTCAAAATAAATAAGCAGAAACTCATGAATTAGGTATTTATTTATTTTTTAATTAATTAACTTATTTATTTATTTTTCATAATAAATTTCGCATTTTATTTAAAATAAAAATGCTTAATTTTACTCCCAATATTTAAATTTAAATGCTTGTAAAATTAAAGATTTTTAAAATAATTTTTTTTATTTAATAAAATATATTTTATCAACAATCAATTAAAAATTAATATTTAAATAAATTAAATTTATATCTTAAATATTTGCTTCTATTTTTAAAGGTATTATGCTGAATGGTATAGCTAGAATTGGTATAAAAGAAGCTGTTACTGTGTTAAATATCGCAAAAGGTGCAACAATTTGGGGTGGTTTAGTAGTAGCTACAGGAGTGGCTGCTTTTGAAGCTGTTGTCCTACTTAAAAAATATTATAAATTTAAAAAAGAAAATAAAGATGAAGGATAAAGATAAATAGCAAAGGAAATGCTTATTAAATAGTTTAAAAGTTTAGGTATCAAAACATTCTCTAATATAGGATTAACTACAGCGAGTGCAATAGGAGGATCAATCGTTGGATCATGCATAGTACCTGTAATTGGAACTTTTGTAGGGTCTCTTTTAGGAATAATTGTAGGAACAATTTTAAGTTTTGTTGCTGATTCATATATGTAAAATTCTATGCTAAGTGAGAAAAAGCTTATTGAAGAATGTGAAAAGGATCTTGGACTTGAAGAATATAAAAAATTTAATTAACAAAAATATACGAAGGAAGAAGTAGAAAAAAAATATAAACAGTATGTGAAAGAGTAACATCCTGACAAATATCCACAAATTGGATTAAAGAAATTATAAAGATATAAATTATAAAAAGTTTAATTTGCATATGAAATGATAAAATAACATAATAATTGGAATTGAAAAATATAAAATTCTCTTTATTACTTAATAGTTAGTTATGTCATTTATTCTTTGTTATTTTAAGTAGTTAGTTTTCTTATATAAAATTAAAAACATAATTACAATTTTAAAATTTCAAATTGAATTTAAGAAAATTAAACAAGTAAATAAATAAATAAATAAATAAATAAATAAATAAATAAATAAATAAATAAGCAAATAAACAAATAAAATAAATTATTTTTGTTTAATTATTTTATTTTACTAAAATTCAATCATATAAATCATATATAATTGCACAATGATTTACAGGAGCAAACTACTTAACATACTTATAAAATACTAAATAAGTATTTATTATGCATTAAAAATTAATAAAAATATTTGGTTGAAAAGAATTGATCTAAATAGTTCTAGGGTAATAATAATTTAGCTACTCTATTATATTTTTTTATAAAAAAATTTCTTATTTTCTGGAATCTACTATAATATCAAAAAGAGTTTTTTATTTGTTGTTATTGTCAGGAATATAACTATTTAAAACTTCATTTAAGATACAAATGCTTTTTATCATAAATTATTTAACTAAATAAATTTTAAAGCTTGAATTTATTTTTTAGATATCGGTAATTAATATTTTACTATCTTGTTTTTTCAGAAAGACTTTCAATGTTAAATCTTTCTTTTTTAGTTAAGATTTTAATAGATATTTGAATTCATTTGTAATTTCTATGTCTAACTCATCAGTTTTAAAATCTAAGCAAATCTTCTATGTTAGTGTTTTTTTAAACAAGTAATTTTATAAAAAAGCTAAATCTTTTCTATCATTTAAGCTTACCTACCTTGTAATATAGTAAGGTCCATATTTCAAATATACAATAAAATTCTTAATGCAATAAAATGTATCTGACCAAAATAATAAAAGAGTAATAATTTGAAGAGTTCTATAAATTTATCTTTAGGAGTTTACCAAAATCATATCCAAAAAAAATAAAATTAGCAAGGTTATTCTTTAATAAAAGCTAGCAAATATATGTTGCTAAGAACTTTCATTTAAGTTTTTAAGATGATATTTGCAAGGGAAGAAGTTAATTTATAAGGCAGAAGAGAAAAATTTATTTATATTAATGAAAGAGCTATATTTTAGGTTAAGCAAGAAATTTAAGCCATTAAATATCAAAAAAAAGTTTTAAATTTTATAATTTAAGCTAGAGATGGTTAAGTAATAACATAATTTCTTACTTAAGCTAACCACTATAAATTAAATTTTAGTAAATAAAGTTATATGATCCTTTATTTTTAGCATTTATTTATCAAACTTAATAAAATCAAAATAAACTATTAGGATTAGGGCATATAAAGTAGATACAACATAGATCAACTTATTTTGTTAGCTATCAAATATTATCCCTAAATTAAAAGAAAGAGGAATGTAATTTATGAGATGAGAAACAAAGCTTAAATTAGTAAAAAATAAATCCTAATCAAAAGATAAATCATCATAAAAAAGATCTATGCCTATACTATAATCAAAGCATACAATATTAAGTAAAATTCCTTTCAATAACCCATAACACCCATTTACAAAGCTAAAAAGCATCATGCTATCAATTGTTCTATAAAGCCTATCTAGAGAAAAAACAACTAAAAATGTCCAAAATGCAGTAGAATGTCCATCACTATCATATGAGATTAACAAAAATATTACAATGTAATAATTTAAAGTTAAAAGAAATTATTTTATAAAATCTTATTTCTTAAATTCTTCTTCAACCATTTATTTTTTTGTTTAGCTAATTTTTCTTATCTTATTTTTTTTAAATTATCTTTTATTTTATAAAAATTAAGAGTTAAATATGATTTAGATTTCGTTTTACAATTCATCTAAACCCAAATTGATCAAAGCAATATCATAAAATATAATATAATATATCTAATTATTTCTCATAAGAAATCTACTACAACATAAAATGCATTTGTTTGTTAAATAAATAAAATAGAGTCTCTAGAATATTTTTATGTTTTTGATGAAATTTACTCATCAAATTATTTGATAATTATTAATTATAAATTGCTAAGAGTGATTATTAATATCTATAATAGTCGAATTTATCTTAAAAAATTAAATATATACTTTTGTAGCATTAAAAAGTTAAATATGAGTTAAGGGTAAAAAAAAAAAGAGGTTGAATTGCCAACTTCATTAAAGAATCTTAGGTTCGTTTAGGATGTAATAGATGGTGAATTCGAAAAAAAGCCAGAAGCTTCGAAAGAAAAATCAACTTTTACAGAAGATATTAACAAAAAAGAATGGTCGATGCAATAAATGATTGAAAATTTAGTTTAAAAGCAACAACAATCCTCAAATTAATAAAACAAAAACCCTTTAATTATATCCTCAAAAACTTCATAAAATAAAATATTATTTGGTAGCAATAACCAAGATAAGAATGAAGATTTTTCTCGCTATATTCCTACTTCTGAAAAAAAATGAATGGCCTTTTGTCATATTTTTTCTTAAGCATAAAATTAGTAGAATTAGTGTTGAGAATAATTTGAGTAAATTTCAATTTAAACTTAATAAATATAAAAGAGTGTACTTTAAAAATTTAAAAATAATATTTAAATTGTAATTATTTATAAAAGTATTCACTCCCTATTTTATTTACAAAGTAAAATTTCATCAAATTATTAATTTTGTAGTTGATTGGCTTTATATTTATTTACAAATTTATGATTAAAAATTAACAATTTGCAAAGTATTTTATATTTGTTAACCTTTTTGATTAATTAATTAATGGAATATTTTGTTTTTATATTAATTAATTAATTTTTATGCATTAATGATATTAATGAAATAAAACTTCTTTTAGAATTATTAATATAAAAATTGATTATTTATTATTTATTAGCTAATTATTAATTAACTTTAAAAGTCTTAAAAGTCATTTAGTGCAATATAAAAAAGTTGATCAATTAATTAATTAATCATGGCCGTTACAAAGTAGTATGCAACAAACGATATGAAAGCTTCAGCAGTGAATTAAAGTAATCTTAAAAATCAAGCAGCTTTCCATTTAATAGTCTATTTTAAGATAAAGGCAAAGTAGAGAAGAAAACTATTACAGTTAAAGGAGCAACATAAACATTAAATAATTAAAATAATGGAGCTAATTCAACTAGCGTTGATGCTAATAAACTTGAAGATAAAACCAAAAAAAATAATGTTTTAGATTTTTCATTCAAAAATATATAAGATTTAGCAGGTAACTTTATTGCTAGCTTTATGATTCTATAAGTATTTAAATAATCTTTGTAATATTTTTAGAGTTGAAAACCATAGATCCAAATAGTGGAAAGAAAAAACACACCGCTACAGAAAATTAAGCTGTTGTTGAAGAGGATAAAAAATTTGGAGGTAGCTAATTTATGAGAATTTAACTAAAATAATATTTTTCTGTCTATTTTCTACTTAAATAAAGAACCTAGAAAGAGATGATAAGCAAATGAAAAAGTTTTTTATTAATAAATTTTAATAATAAATGATAGATGACGAATAAAGTAAAAAGGATGGCGAAGAAAATGAGAAAGAAGAAAAAGAAAATGAAGAAAATAAAGAAGGAGAAGAAGGAGAAAAATAGGTTAAAGATAAAAAAGAAGAAAACAAAAAGCAAGAACGTAAAGAACCTGAAGTAATAAGAGTTATACCATCTAATACTGCATAAAATATTATAGTTAATAATCACGTTCCTATGACCAATGGTGTTACTAAAGTAAAAAAATATCTATTATAAATTTTAAATAAATTTATTAGTTAAAATAAAATCTAAGCAATATTTTAATTGAAAAATTAATAAAGTATTTATTTTAATATTTATTAAATAAAATATTTGTTTTGTTATTAAATCTTTATGATTATATAAATAAATTCTTATTTTAAACTTTTAAATAGACTGTTGGTGGTAAAACTGTAGAAGAGTAAAAGACTCAATCATAAAAAGCACTAAAAAAAGTTAGCATATTATGTAGATCTTTAGTGCTTGGATATAATAAAATAAGGTAAAAAAATTTATTTTATTTTCAATTAATTGTAAGTTTTTAATACTCAAAAAATTAATTAAAAAATATTATTCTGGACTTCTTCACTTTTTAATTCTTTTAGTAGCTAAATTCTTTGATAATCATTTTTTTTAGTGGTTATTTTATTGATTATTTAACTTAGTTTAAAGAAAAATATTTAAAATTTGAATGAAATTGTTATTTAATTAGTACGTTAAACAAGTTAAAAATATTTTATTTAACTAGGTCTATTGATAAGTTTTTCCCAATTATAGATTCGATAATGTTTGATTGTGTCAATTTAGGCTTTTTAGATTTATCTCATAACTATCTTCAGGCACTGCAATATGTAAAACTTTATTTAGTTTAAATGAGTTATTTTTAAAATAATATAAAAATATCAGGATTTTAGTCACTTCCCTAATTTGAAGATTTTATATCTCCACTGCAATTACATTAAAGATTTAAGAGAAATCTAAAAGATAAAATCTCCTTTAATTTCTTTGACTATTCATGGAAATCCTGTTGAATCGATTCCTGGTTTTAGATAATTTATTATTGCTATTATTCCCACTCTTAAAAATTTAGATACTGCTCCTATTTCTAAAAAGGAGAGGGATGTTTTAGATACCAATATTAAAAAATTACTTACTAGAATTCCTCCTCCCGTTCAAAAGGCTGCAGAACCTCCTCAAGAAAGCGTTAATAATAATAACAACAATAATGAAAATAAAAATAATTGAAATATCTAATTACCTGTAAATTTAAATTACATATTAGTTCTAAATATATAATTTCAAATTAGAGTTACAAAATTTAAGTATTAAAAAATATTCAGAAAACCACTTTGTCTATTAAAATGATCAAAAAAATGATATTGATATTCTGTAATTTAGCCCAAATATAATTTAAATTATAAAAACAATATTAAAAAATTTTACAAAAAAGTTTGAATTAATTCTCAATAGTTTTAATTAATTGTTAAATAAAAATTTGATAATTTTTAAAAAAATATAAATTTAAAATTTAAATTTATTTTTGTATACTTAAAAATATATTTTATGTGAATTTAGTTTTTTTTAGCACTTAAAAATAAATATCATTGAATATTAAAATATAAATTTAAGAAATAATAATAAGTTTGTACTGTCTTAGGCTTAAATTTATATTTTGAAAGAATAAGTAATATGATGATAATAGTTTAATTTTTAGTTAGATAATTTTTAATATTTTTTTGATTTTTAATGTTATTTAGGATTTTATAAAAACATTTTAATCTATTTTTTGAGTTTAAAATCTCTAAATTATTTGATATTTATATAATTAAATTAAAATTTAATATAATTTCACTTCACTTCTCGCTCACTGAATTACAAATTTTTCAAATAGATTTTAACCTTTTTGTACTGTTATCGAATTATTTTTTCTCTAGAGGTAACCATTTATTTATAGGTCACCCCTTTTTATTTAAGCTTTGCTGCAAGTGTAATTTGTAAATGATATTATTTTTTAAAGCATGCTACTAGGCTAAAATTATTGCTTTCTTTCTTGCTGTCTTTTCTAAAATATTCTATTTATAATAAAAAATTAATATCCATCATACCCCTAATAATAAATTATATTAAAATGCTCTAATAAATTTAAATGTAATTGTTGTTATTTGTTCTCAATTAATATGATTGTAAAAAATTAACAATTATATTTGAATTTTGCAATTTTTTTGTAAAAAAGTTAAAGAGAAAATATTAATAATATGTTACATTAAATCTTGGATTTTATTCAAATGTTAAAAATAAATAAATATGTAAAAGCCATTAAAAAATTCTTATTTACATTTGATAGCTATAAAATTTAATAATTCTTTACTTTTTAAAATTAAAGGTTTGCGATTGATGCTTAATCAAGGTGTAATTATATAAAGTGTAAGTACAGTAGATATATTCTTTTGATTTCTCAAATAAAAATGTGGTTAATTTTGGAGTGCATAAGCAAGTGTGTTTTTGTATAAGATAATTAAAAATATACATAATCAATGATTAAAAAGAAATAATTAGATTTTTATATTAAAATTTTTAATTTATTTAGTTTTGTCCTGATTAGAGATTTAACTCATTGCGATTTACATTCTTACAAACATTTTTTTCAACTTGACACAAAATTTCTTAATTTCTTACAAAAGACTTCAAAATTTCTATTAAAAAATATACAAATTCTGTAAAGTAAAGATTTAAAACTAAAATGTCTTTTAAAAGATAAAATTAATATTGAAATCCCTTATTTATGTTAGTTGATTGGCTTTTTAATTATTGATAGATGGTTCAATAAAAACCTCTAAAGATGATATAAAAGACTCAAATTTGGTATGAAGTGATTGTAATATTACGAAACAAAAAGATATAATTTTAAAAAATAATATTGTTTGTTTGTATCAGATTTTTAACTAATATCTAATTAAATTATTTGCTAAGAATGGCTTAAAATACATATTCTATTTGCGTAGTTGGTTCTGGAAGTTTTGATTTATTCCTTTTGGTAAATCACTTCCCAGTAGAGGGAGAAACTTTGCAAGCAAATGACTCCTTTATTAAGAACGGAGGTAAAGGAGCTAATCAAGCAGTTGCTGCTGCTAAGTTAGGTGCAAAAACCATTTTCGCAGGATAGGTAAAAACAGATTTCTTAAGAGTTATTGGCAAATAAAATATTAAAAATAGTTTGGTCAAGACAAATATGGTGATGGTTTGGTAGAAGAAATGTCTCAATCTGGTGTTGATATGAGCAAAGTGAGAAGATTAGCAAACGTTTAAACTGGTTAGGCTATAATTACTTTAAACAAAAAGGGAGAAAATAGTATTATTATTGTTGGAGGTGCTAATACTCATTATGACCATTTAAATGTTCTACCTTAAGAATTCAAAGATGCAATTTAGTCAAGCAGAATTATTCTTTTATAAAAAGAGATCCCTTTAGAGATTAGTAAGTTAGCAGCAATTTATGCTAAGTAGCACAACAAGCTTGTTATGCTGGATTGTGGTGGTAGAGATGAAGATATTCCAGAAGAGTTGCTTTAAAATATAGATTTTATTTCTCCCAACTAGTCAGAATTAAAGAGAGTAATGAACATTAACTCAAGTGATCATGGAGAAATAACCATTGATGAAATCCGATAATAACTCTTAAGCAAATATCCTAATTTAACTGTTGTGTTAAAGGAGGGTTCTAAGGGAAGTGCTGTTATTACCAAAACTGATTACTTACACGTAGACTCTGCTTCTTTAATTAAACCTGATATCCTCAACACTTACAAAATTGTTGACACAACAGGTGCAGGTAAAATTAAAATAGAAATATTTATTATCTTAGATGAAAATTCTTTTATTTTAAGAGTTAAAAGAAAAAAAATAAGTTTATTACGTCATTTTAAACTAAATGATATCATATCATAAATAAAGATTGAATATATCTTTATCAAATTCAATAAATGAAAGTAAAAATACAAACAAAGAAAGAAAGATTCATTTGTTTTTCATATCTTTTTACAATAGATCAAAATAAAGATAGAACAAATAAAAAAAAAATAAGCAACAGTGTAGTTAATTTTTTGATATGTAGCTACTAGAATGGTAGTTTGTTTTGAACAATTCTCTAAAAGATTTAATAAATTTCAATAACAAATAAATCGTTTTTGTTTAAATGATTTTACATTCTATCTATCAATAATTTTGGCCTTTTTTTAGAATTTTGTATCAAAAAACTTGTAATGAAAAAAATTTTAATTTTTACAAATATATTATCTAAAGAGTAAACTTTTTAAGGGCTTTGAGGAAGCATAAATAAAATTTAAATTTATAATATTACATCAATTTTAAGAGATTTTTTTTTGTTGTTATAAAAATTTTAACTTTCAATATATCAAAAATATCTATTGAGCTTTTTCAAATGAAGGAGTAAATTTAATTTTGTGTAATAAATAGGTGATTGTTTTACTGCAGCTTTCTGTGTTGAATTCGACAAGCTTTTCCCTTAGAATGGAGTTTAATATGAAGATGCCTTAGAAAAATATAAAAAGTGCTTGCTATTTGCTAACTGCTCTGCCTTTGTTTGCATTACAGTGATGGGAGCAATGCCTTCTATGCCAAAGCTAGAAAGTGTGTAACAATTATTGTCTAAAGTTTAATGACAGTGAAAAATGAATAATCTTTAAATTATATGAAAATTTCTATAAATACTCATATATTATAAAGTATTTTGCAATAAATAGATGGACAGAAAAATGAATTTGGTTTAAAATTAGATTAGAAAAAATTTATAATTATTGTTGTAAGGATTTGAAAAGAATATCTTAATATTTGTGTGATTAGGAGGAAGTATTTGAAATTATATTTTTATCCAGAAATCAAAAGTAATATAATTGAGTATTTTTCAAAAATCCCTTTTGTATTCCTTGAGTGAAAAATTTTTTACACAGTTACTATTAATTTGTAAGATAATGATAAGAGTATAAAAAGATTTTTCTTTTGTTCGTTATTATTTATTTTACAGTAAGAGAAGAGAAAAAATTTTAATAAATTTAAATCTAAATTTGTTTGTGGTATACTAAGATTTTTTAAATCTATGGGGTAAACCGAATTAAAGTGTATTGATAATATAAAGGCAGATTAATTCTTATTGAAATTTATTTTCAGATAGAAAAGAATTCAATCTTTATGTTTTTTTGTTTGTTTGTTTGTTTGTTATTTATTTATTTATTTTGTTTATCTGACACATTAAACAAACCAGTGGATAAGATAAAATCAGATGGAAAAAAAGCTAAAAAAAAATAGATTGTTTGTTTATTATTCCAATAAATAAATAAATTGAGCAAATATATTTAGATTAAAATGTTTAATTTTATTTTAATAAGATATATTAAGTAATATAAAACACTTTTTTAATAAATTAATTCAGTATGACTGCATTTTTAAATTTTTTGGATTAGAATAAATATATTTTAATAATTAAATTTTGTTATTATTTGTATGTTGATTTATATTTTAATTTTGGTTTTCTTATTTTTTGTTTGTTATTATAATATAGAAGTTATTGTGACCTTCCCGACCTCTTTCTCTTCTAACTATTTATTAATGGTCTTTACACTAAATCAAATGCCTAATATCCTTACTCAGCCAATAGGCAAAATATGTGGTTTTAGTTAGGCTCTTATAATATTTAAGGAGGATTTATATTAATTGGATATTTTTGTCTTACAATTTAATTGCCAAAATTAAATAGATTTTAGTGTAATCAATATTTTCAGTCATTGATAAATAGTATCATTGAGCATAAAGGCGAAGGTTTATTAAGTTATTCATTAAATTTATGAATTGTGTTGTGAATTTTATTAAGGTGGTATTTATTTGTTAATTCAAGTGTTGTGTTTGTTTATTATATAGTAGGATAATAAGTGGTATATTTTGATTTAATTATTAGTTTTATGTTACTCTTGTTTAATTTTATTTTTCAATCAGGAAGGAAATAGGTATTTATTTACATTACTTTTTTGTTTGATTTATATTTTTTTAACTAGATTTCATCAAAAATTTGTTAAAATTTCTAATCTAAGGAAAAGCTATTTTTAATTGAAATACTCTGATTATTTGTTTCTTTATTATTTTTCAATGTTTTTCTCAGTTATCAAAGAAATTGTGGGAGGTTTTAGCTTACATGAAAGCATCGACGTTTGAAATAATGTATTTATCGTGAAGGATTCTGTATTTACATACTCTGTGTTGGTGTCTGTCCATTTCATTCAAAGGACATTCTAAGTTATATTCAAGAGTATTTTATTCGCTTTAGGAGAAGTGTTTTCTACCTCTAACCTTTTGAGGGGGAGCAGCAATTGTTTTTTTGTTTTATTCATTCTTAATGTTAACAACTTGATTAATGATGCTGATTCCAGATGTAGTTGAGACGATGCTGTATTTTGTTTATGTTTCGATCTTGTTTCCGACCTTTGAGAGATAAACTTAGTTCATATGAGATTCAACGTGAGAATCGGAGACAGAGTTTATCTTTGCATTTATTCTTTCAGTTAACATATTTATGACTGTGTTGTAGTATTCTTCATATGAAAGTAATCTAATATAATTAAAGGTGAATATTAGAAAAATGAAAACAAATAAATTAAAGAATCTGAATTTTCTATTGAGATTCTCAAAGCTAAATAATTTTAGACTTGGAGAATCTCAATAACAAAATTTATCAAATGCATTCGTAAAGTTCAATTAAAAAATAAATCTTACTCGGGAAGTCCGTTGTAAAGACAGAACATAGAGAATTGAGAAATTTCCCATCCAGCACGTTCCAAGAAGGATTTTGAGAAATGCATTGATGTTAAAGTGTTTTTCTTCATTTAGAAGGTATATGTAAGAGAGTCCTTGCCTGTCTTGTTGATTTCATTTTCGATACACTTTAATTCGTTCATGGATTGAATCTTGCCCTTTGAGACCTTTTTTCCACCTGTGGTGGTAGGGGCAACAGTTTAAATAGGGCATTCAGCGATAATTGGTGAAATAGCTGTTTCAGATTTAAGGTAAGGAGAGCTAAAAATACTGTTGTTACAAAGTTAAGTAGAGGAATCACAGCTGGTTAAGCTGATTTTTTTATTATTTTCAGTCTCAGGGATAGTTTCTCCTAATTTTTTAATCAAGTCAGCAATCTTTTTGAACTACTAATTGTTGTAACTTTCGAAGCGCTAAACGATGTATCTCCTATATAGTTAATAATATTATGTTAAAAATTTAATCTATAATATTTTGTTATATTTAAATTAGCAAGTTAATGCTATTCTTTTACAGTACATAAATTTTGCAAAAGAGCTTAAGGTTAAGGAATGTGTAAAAAGTGGAATAGACAAATTTTAAGATAATCTATGATTGACAGATTGTAAAAATCAAATTCGGGAGTATAAGTAAAGCAACTAAAGGAGTTCAGTGCTTTGAATTTATTTATACATTCTTTAAGTTATTGAGAGAAGGTGAATATCATTTAATTGTATTTTTTGATATGTGGGGAATCTCTCAATTAATTAAATTTTTTTTCTTTATTCTTTTGTTTTTCTTTTTTAAGAAATTTAGAATTCTTATTTTTTTTTACATGTGTAAATCATTAATTAATCATTTAAGCTAAATATTTTATTATAATCTCATTTTTATCCTTTTTATTACACACCATTCATTTTTTATTAAAAAAATCTTGTTATCTTTGAGATACTCTTGTTCTTTCTTTTTTCTATGTTAATTTTTAACTCATCTTATACTTGTAATGTAATTGTAATGGCTAAGAGTAATAGGCCATAAACTTTCTAAAAGATTTTTTAAAATATGCTTGAAAATTCTAAAGTCAAATTACAACTCTTATTTTTGAGCAAAAATCAAATTCTACAATCAATCAAATATTTTTATTTACATTTCTCATAAATTTTATTTATTATTATTTATTGGATTCCTTTGCCAATATTTTTACAATTAGGAATTAAAGAAATTAAAAATAACAAATCGTTTTTAAATAAATATATTGAGTTTTAATAAATTACCAGTCAATAAAGTCAACACCCAAATCTCTAAAGTAGACATTGCAAATGGAGTCATTTTTGGAGAGTACAACCTCAACAACATTTTTAAATAGATTTACGCAACTAAGAATAGGAATAATGGAATTGGCCAAGTGAGAATTGTCGATCATGCCCAAGGAAGCCTTAATGGCATCTTCATTTATCATGATATCCTAATTGGAAATAATAAAAAAAATTAGTTAGGATTATTATTAAATTTCGATTTAGAATTGGAATAATTAATCTGTAAAAGTGTGAGAAAAAATTTGAGATAATTAATTGATCGGAAAATTTGGTGATCAATTTGATTTTATCTATTTCTATTGCTTTATTTTTCAAACCAAATTAGATTCATTTTTTGGTATTTTGGGAAATAATAAATTTGCAAGTCTGCAAAGAAGATTTAATTTTATTCAATTTATATTTTTTTGACAATATAATTTGTTTGATTTGGAAAAGTATTTTTATTTCTTTATTTATTTCTTTATCAAATTTAATGAAAAGATTTAAATTTCTTTTATATTAATCCATTATTTCAATAACCTGGATTAAAATTTTTTTAGGAAATTTTTGTTGGCTTTCTATGCAAAGTCAACAGCATAAATGGAAGTTTTTTAAATATTTTTCAAATAAAATAAATTTGAGAATATAAAAAGATTTTTTACTCCTTAGATGCGGAAAGTGCTTTGGAGAGGGTTTAAAAATCTTGATGGGAAGTTTATCATTTGAGAAATAGATTAGTTTTCTTGTGCAATATTGACAAGAACAGCTGTTTCTTTCTTTTCTCTATTCTTTCTTTCAAGCTTAAGGAAAGTCTTATTTTTCTTTTGTCCCTCGAATTCAGTGTTAAGAAGCATTGTGTTTTATTTGGATCTTCCTACACAGAAGCTTTCCAATTCATTTGAAGAAGCTGTTAATTGTTCTTCGTTTCCAATTTATTAAGTTAATTACTAAGACTATTATGACAAGAACTTTAATTAATCAAATTAAGGGAAGGGATAGCTTTAGGTAGAGAGGAGGAGTTGTTGCATCATTTCAGATTTATTGTTTGTTTGTTTGTTAATTGTGTATAAATAATAGATAATAGAGGATTTGGTATTTGGTTAATAAGGGAAGGAGTTGCTTTTAAGAAAATAATGGTTTTATTTCAAGTTTTTTTAAAAGATAAAAAAATTTGGTTTTTTGTGAATTGTGTTTGTTTCTGTTGTTATTTTCTTGTTATTTGCAAATATTTTTGTATGAAATTAATTATTAATATATATCAAGCTTTCAACGCTGATTTAATTTGATTGCAAAGAGACCTATCTACAAAATTGAAATTTTGAATAGTTAATTATTATTATAGTTAGAGATTAAGAGATTTGTAAATTAATTGATCACATTCTATCTATCTATTTATCTATCGACCTAGGGGGTTGGTTATTTTTAATTTTTTTTGATGAGGAGTTAAAAAATTAAATTTTTTTTCTTCTTTTTTTAGATTTGTTAATTTAATTAAAGAGTATATGTATCAGCTTATTTTTTTTTATTTTTAATTTGTTTTTGCATGCATTTCTAGCTAATGCTTTTTTTCCCCAGATTTTGATAATTTTCGCATTTCAATTATTCGATGAGCTAGAAAGAATCATGTTAATATTACAGTCTCTGAAAATTAATTTTACCATTTTAAAATATGAAGCAAACTATAGCTTATATTTTTATTAAAGCTGAAATTTATTAGATTATATGAGTAAAACGAATCTTTGTATTCCTCATCTAGTTTTATACATATATCTTCCTTTTCATTTTATAAAATTGAAAAATTAGAATCTTTCATTCCTCCTCAACTGAAATTTACTAAGTTAAAGCTTTAAATTTATTATAAAATCTTAATCTGACAACTTTAAAGCTTACCCTCTCTCTTTTTTCTTTTCAATATTCATTAATTAGACTTGCTGCGCACATGCATACACACTTAAATACATATGTACATGCATACCTACTCCACCATTTATTTAATTAATTTATTATTTTTTTTCTAAAATCTAGCAATAAATTTTGATATTCATATATGTTTCTTTTAAAATCTCTAAGAAAGCAAGCAAAGTGTTAGCTAGCTAGCAAAGAAAGACACTCCTTCTTCATTATTTTCTACATTTTAGGCAGTAAACTAATTGCAAAACTTTTTTCTGACCAAAATTAAATTAATTTACAGTAGGCTGATATCTTAAGGCTATACTATGTAATACTAAATCTACACAGTAGGAAGATATATTATAGCAAATTGTTTTATTTTACTTTATTAATTTACATTTCTCTTAATTTGGTTTGATTATTTTATTATTCTTCATTTACTTAACTAATTATTTAGCTTCTGTGAGTTTCTTTTTGTTGTAAAAAAAGTTCTATGAAACAAATTTCAAGATACTTTGAATAAGCAAACTATTTTTTAAATAAATTTTTAGCTAATGTATCAATCGTATCTACTTAATACCTATTAAAACTTAATAGCAATTAAAGCAAAATTATAAACTTAAATTTTTATAGGAATGAAACAAATAGAATATATATATTTATATATTAAATAGTGGTGCAGGTTTTGGAATCAGATTTTGTTTTAATTTACATTTAAAAATTCTGTTCTTAATAACACTGGCTAAGCATATGTCGCAATATTAAAGAGATATTGCGGCAATACAAAATGGATACTCTTTTTTTTACTGTTATAAAAAATTATGCTGTCTTTATTTTGATTTATTTGCATATATTTCCAAAGAAAGATACTAATAAATTTAGCGCAAATGACTGTTTATAAATAATTGATTACAATCATCCAAATCTAAATTAAAGTTTTAAAGTGAAATTTTGTTTTTAGTTTACAACTCTTTGTATAATTCAATCTGCATATTCACAGAATCACAAAATTGATTCTGATATAATTTTCAAAATAGAAAGGCACCCATTAATTTACAACTATGGTTTTAGAAAAGCTTACTTTTTAATATGTTAAATCCCTACACTTAAAATAAGATTAAATAAATATTTCATGTTAAAAGCACGTCTGTTTCTTTAAACGAGAATTAAATTGCTTAATTTGGCCTTTTTTTTGTAAAATAAAATAGATAAAATAGTTATTATCAGAATGGTAATTTCTATTTTTGATGCTTCATTTCTTTCTTTCCTTCCTTTCTCCTTGATTTATAGCTTACTTTTTCTTTGGATAAGCCTGCTACCTTCAGTATTTCAATAATTTTGTCTGGGTGTTAGTTATGCTTTCTTTTTTGAAAACTTTTTCACTCCTTCCGAAGATAACAGTCTATCATATGTTAAAAAATTCTATGAAGGCACTAAGATGCTCTAATCAGTTTAGGCACTTGATGAGAATGTTTAATGTGCTATCCACACTTATAAAATACCTAAATATAATTTTTAAGCTTTCCTAAAAGGAAATTAAATTTTAGGAATTAAAATTTTGCACATATATTTTCAATCATTTTAATAATCAAACAATCCAGTTAGTCAGTCAATTAATCAAATATTACAAGAATTTTTCAAATAGAATAGCTTAAATTTGCTAACAACACAAAAATTTAATTTAAAAAATATTGATCAAATTTAGCATTTATGGATATGGAATTTTTTAAATGTTTTAATGTGTAACAACATAAACACTGTTATAATTTCTGACAACCTAAAAAACAAATTAAACACATTTCACTCATTTTTGGTTTTTGGGATATATTTACTAAATGTTTCATTACAGAGATAATTTGAAACAAAATACTTTAGAAGATGAATAAAATAAAAATTTAAATTGAAAGTTAGGAAAAGAAATTATATTTATCAGTTTAGAGTTTGTTAAAATGATGTTTATTTGACTATGTGGTATTGGAGATCTTGATTTTTTTTTCTATTTATCATTACCTTATTCAGAAATTGTTTTTATCTAATTTATTTTACAATTTGATTTTCTTTTTATCTATTTCAATTTAGATAAATCACAAATAAAAAGATAATTGAGACATTCATTATCTTTATTATACAATCATCTATTTAGTTAACTTAATCTAAAAAAATTAGGGTTTTATTGATATTAAATAATTTTATCACTATAACTGTGTACTGTAGAAGCATATTTGAATATTCTAAACTACAAAATTATTTTCAAATCAATAAATAGTATATCGAAAAATAATTTATTTTGAAAGAGGCTTAAAAATCTTAATCAATCAGATATATCATATGCAAGTCTCAGAGATAAAATTAAAAATAGATTATTATTAAACAACTATTTTTGATTACATATTAAAAAGAAAATAAAATACTTAACTTGCTTGGTGCAATATTTATAATGAGATAAATATCTTCTACAGTTTAATATTTAATTTTTCTCTTTGCTGAATACAAATAAAAGCAAGAAAGCAAAAGTTAACAATAGAAAGTGATTTGTAAAATAATAGTAAAATATTAAATAATGAATACTTATATAAAAAATATAAATATCATTTTAGTTTTATAATAAGTTTTATTTTATTTCATTAATTTTATCTAGGAGATAGCTCTTCGTAACTATACTCTTCTTCTTCTTACTCATCATTTTACTTAGAGCTACTAAAAAAGGATGTTGTAATTTGGCTATAGGCTGCCTTAAATCCTGCATCTGAGCATGTATTAAATAATCTTAATATTAAAGCTTCTAATTTATATGCCAATAGTAAATTTTTTCTCTATTCATAGCTGAGCTGAGTTTGGTTTTCAACCTAATTGTAATAGAACATAATTAAAATATATTGGTACTACTAAATATTTTCATATTAAAAGCGTGTTAATCCTTTAATTAAAAGTATAAAGGTTGTTAAAAATTTAAAAGGAATTTATGATATGTAAAAAGAATGAAAAGCTAAATTTATCCAAAAAAAGTCAGACTTTGCTTAGAATGTAAAAGTAACAGAGTGACTAAAGTTAAAAATAATTTAAACCATGTTAATTAAAGTAAAAAGCAATTCTCTATATGCAAATACTTCTTATTAAAATTTTATTTTGAATATATAACCGTAATCAATAAAATCGAATTTATTATCTTTGATAAATCAAAATGAGGGAACTTTTCTTTAATACCTACATTTGAGGCTAATAATTTTGATTTCATAATTTCATTTTATCTACTAAAATGGTAATAGTAGAGTTAAATAAAGTCTAAAATCTTAACAATAATAAATAGAAAGCAAAATTATGTTTGAATGATTTTTGGTAGTTTGTATTTAATCTTGTATGCATGCAATATGCACTGATTGTAAAAAAGAAGTCTGAGAAAATCAATCAAAAAAAAGAGAGGGTGGAGAAGAATGAATTAGATTACAAATTTAATTTTTATTTATAGTCAAATTAGGAGCAAAATAAGAAATCAATAAGTAGTTGATTTAATCACTAAAATAGATGATTGGTTGATTGCTTGTATATATTTTTGCTTATTATTATTTAGATTATTAAAAACTTTAAATGAAGATAAATTTTATAAGTCTAATACTATTTTTGTTATTTAAAAATTTGTTTCTATGTTGCTAAAACTGTAAATTATGAGGAGTAGGTCAAATATAAATCATGTAAATTCTTTAAATTATCAATATAACATTTGGTTAAGAGAGATTTTAAATTTAAAAGGCTATTTATCTTACAAATCCTTTTATTTTTTAATTGTGCACTGGGCCTATTTTCATATAAATTATATGCCGAATCAAGTGTTAAAATTATTTGATATAAATTGTAAGCTATCAATATCATAGATGTCTTTACACTTTTATAAAAAAGTTTTTCCTTTTCATATTTATGTTTATTCCAAGAAAATATTTATTTCGTTTATTTCAAGCCATCAATCAATTTCCCAGTTTCTTATTGGAATAAGTTAAACTAAGCGTGCATGAGAATATATATATGCCTATGCATAAAAGCCTATGATTGAAGCAAAAAAGAAAATGATGTAATTCTTTTACTAATAAATTATATTAATACATCTTATTACCTCATAGCTATTGAATTTTAAAATTCACATATAAAATTTATAGAAAAACAAACTGTGAAACAAAAGTTTTTCTTTAAAACCACATGATCAAATAAACAAAAAAAGAAATAAAGTATCTTTCAAATTCTTAAAAATTAATTTGATGCAACTAAATTTATGTTTAGCAATTCGAACATTTATCATTGTTCATTTTACAAAAGATTTGTAAAAATTCAAGCAAAATACAAACTTATTTTTACCAATAATTTGGATTTGAGATTGGATGGAACATAGTAAAATTAAATATTTGTTAATGTTTATTGATTTAAAATGATGAGTATTTAACAAGATAGAGAAATTGCCAAAATTAGAATTTAACAATATTTTAAAATAATTTATACTTAGAAAGAATATCGATTGAATTAAAATATGTTGGAATCTCCTCATTGATTTAAAGTTTAAATGGGAAAAAAAATGTATAAGTTTCCCTTTAATATCTTTTTTATATAATTTATAAGTTCTAATTACATTTGGAATTCCAGGGAGGGGTTATAAATTAGCTTCTTCAGCAATACGAGCTAAAGCTTCATAAAATTCAACTATGTTCATCTGAAAAATTCTGTCTTAAGTTTGTTCATCTACTTGTGTCATCATGGATAAATTGAAAGCAAAGTTCGCAACTTAGCTACCAAATTTGTCATCGTTTAATAGGCCTGAGAGAGCAATTATGTCTTTATTATAAATTTTAATGTATTTGTAGCATGAAAAATCGGTTTAAAAAATCAGAATTAAAATTTTTTAAATGTAAGAATAGGTTAAGCAATCATCAAATATTCATTTTTTCTTAAAAACTTTTTTGAAAATGTAATAAATTTGAATTAATAATTTTGCTATTTGTTGAGGAGAGAAACGAATGTCGTTGCGTTAGGAAATAGACTTTTTTGGATATTTTTTTATAATGCAAGGAAGTCAATTTAAAATTGGAAAACAAACATTATATTAAGCAAGTAAGCGAGTAAATTCAAAATCTCATTTAGTGAATATTATTAAATTAAGTCCAACTAATTAATTCAAGTTTTATATTATTTTTAATTTCTTTTTCAAAATTTCTGTAAATGATCTCTGTTTTTATGAAAAATTAATCGCTTTAGGGTAGGTTTTTAAGAATCACTTGTCAGATACTAAAAAATTAAAATTTATTTTTGAAAGGGGGTCTGGTCTGTCTTTTGTCTGGATGTGTTAGTATCTTTCAAAAACCAGTTGAAAAATTATTTGATCACAACAAAATTTTTGATATTATGATAGTAGGAAATTGTATTACTATTTAGCTCTTCGAGACACATGAATGGACTTTATCCTAATAATTTTTATTATAGAAAAAAAAAAATTACTAAATTTCAGACTCAACATTTTAGCTAAAAAAAGCTATTTTTCAAAAAATATTTTGAAAAGGCGAAGATCAGGATTAAAGGACACATAATAGAATTGTATAGAATTTAAGCAAATTTTATTTACCTGGCTTAACCTTTTTTTTAGAATGTCTTCTATATATATGCTCTATGATAGGTTTATAATTTTTAAGACAGTAATCGCATTCTTCGTTCCAGTACCTCTATTCTCTCCATGTGTGTGGAGAGTGTGAGGTGAACTCCTTTTCTAGATGTTCGTCCCACATCTGACTTATAGCTTCAAAATATGTAGTAGACTTTTTGCTTTTCAAAATATACTTTTCTTCTGCTATTCTTACAAGCACTTCCATAAGCTAGTATCTAGTAATTCCTAGATTAATTGAGAAAATTTAAATGAAGTATAGATAATATAGAAATGATTGATTTAAATTTTAAAATTTTATCATTTTAAAATGCTGAAAGTAAGTGTAAAATAAACTTGAATATATTAATAAAATTTCATTCAAGCGAGCTTATTGCATATGAGTAGGTAGTTGTTTTTTTAAATCCGATTTAGATAAATTGGATTATTGATTCATTTAACTTAAAAGGGTGGGTAGAAGAGATTTTTTTAAAATAGAAAGAAAGTGAAAAAGTGAAAACTTAAAATATGATTTGCTTGTTTGTATATTTATTTTTTATTTATTAATAGAATATTTCTAATTTAGTGTTACAAATCAACTATATTTCTTTTTCAAAAAACATGGTTAAAGCAACCTGAAACTATTTGTAATCAATGTATTCTACATCCATTAATTTAAAGAAAAATATTCTTTTATATTATCAAAATAAAAAATATCCCATAAATTCAAATCTCATTTTCTGTATAAATGTAATCTGACTTTCATAAATTCTGTCAAGGTTTCAATTTTAACAAATCATTAAAAAGTAAGAAAATTATTACTCTGTAAAATAAGAAGAATCAGCTATTTTCTGAATGTAATAAAACAATAAATTAACTAAATTAATTAAATCTCTAAAATAAAAATTGTATATTTTTCAAAAAGGCTGTAGCGTTTTCCTCATATTTTATATTATATTTTGTATATCATAACCGGATTTGCAATAAAATACTTAATTGTTTTATACACGCTAGCTAACTAGTTCGTTCTCTCAAGAAAAATAAAACAACTATAAATAAATGATGAAAAAAAATTCTATTAGGAGCATTTCTTTTTTTCTTTTTTATTAATTTACAACTATCTCCTGTAAACATAAATAGAATATGTCATAAATAAAATGGTAATTGACGTTTATAACATCATTAATTTCTAGATGCAAAAAAAATTGTTAATTAAAATTTACTATTATTTAATAATTTTTTTCGCAAAAGTAAAAAATCATATGTTTTTCTTTATGTTATCATTAAGTTTATTTAGTTTGAAATTAGATTACAATTTTTCATGCTATTTACTTATCACGCATTCAAAGCTCACCGCATAAATATTAAATACTTAGCAACTTCCAAATGCTTTATCTCAAATTAAAAATATTTTCTAAAGATTATTTTTAAATTTGAAATTAATTTATTTTATGCTTGCTTGCTTGGTTATATTAAGGCAGTAAAGAATTAAGTGGTTATCCATTTATGCAATTTATTTTACCATAAGATAATTAATTAATTAAATACTAATAAATTGATTAATGTTATTAAATTTTTGTTAATACCTCTTTCGGGGTTCCTAAAATTTCCTTTATCTCCTATAGAAGTTGTTGCAGTCCATTTGATATCAACGTCAGCGTCTTTCAAATTTTTATTATCAATTAAATTTGTTTAGTTGACCAGATCTGTAAATTAAAGTTTTTGTATGGCCCATACATCACCAACTATATATAAAATAATTATTCAATTAGCTTATGTAAAGTAAATTAAATTGCAAAATAGCAACATATATTTTATTTTACAGTATTAAATCCGAGTTGGATTACAAAATATTAAAATTTTTAATAGCTGTAAAATAGCTTAAAATTGATAATTTATTTTTTACTGTTTTGATATTATAAATATATGATATTTAAAACAAAATCTATCATTTTCTATTCAAAATTGGTTTAAAATAGAAAAAAAGCCTAGCATTTTAATTTACTGAATTTAATTAAAATCTATCTATTTATTGAATTTTGGAAAAGAAATTAACTTTTTTTTTTTGAATATTGAAGCAGCATATTCATCTATTATGTTTAAAATAAAATAAATTCTGTGTTCAGTGAAGCATTTTTTTGTTGTAAAAAGTTAAAATTTAAAAAAAAGTTTAAGCCTATTATCGAATTGAAACAAAATTTACTGAATTAAAATAAAAATTTGCCTATTATACAGTAAGATTGCATTGTTAATTTTACTTAATTTTTATATTAAAAGTAGGAAACTCCTTCTTTGTGCCTAATCAATTATTATTTTTTCTTACTTTGCAATTAAATTAAAATGAAAGTACTAGAAAAATTGACAAAAATTGATGGTAATTGATCAAAATATTATTAAGAATAGCCAGAAATCAAATAAAATATAATTTAAGAAAGCAAGAGTACCTCTTTATTACTCATAATACAAAACAAATAAGCTTGTCTTTAAATCTGTAACCTAATATATTTAATTTACAAACATAATATTCATCAATTTTCAAATATGCGAACTATTCTTTTACAAAATTAATTTTAGTACAAATTTAATGTGCATTTAGGGGGATTTATTTTGTGAAATAGCTTATTAACTAATAAAGATATTTTTTTAAGGGTAGGTTTTTCAATCTAACTATTGATTATAAATATAATTTTGTTTATTTTTTTATAGATGAGTAAATCAAATCAAATTTAAGGAAAATTTTTATTCTGCTTGTTTCTGAAGTTATCGTAAGCTAAAGCAAATATGATTATAACTCAGAATAAAAAGATATATCAACTTATTAAGCATATCTTAGCTTTTAGATTTATTTATTAACTGTTTGACATTATAAAAAATAGACAATCAAAAAAAAAATAAAACCAGCTTTGAGAATCACATTTAATTAGTGTAAATGACTCTTTCAATTAAATTAAGCTAAAATTAAGCAAAATAATAGGCAATTTGTGTGGGAAATAAACACTCATGAACATTGTCATTTATTTCATCAGAAAATTAAAATATAAGCTTATTATAAAGAGAAAGTTAAAAGTTAATGTGATTGTAAATTAGATTATTAAATCACAGTTAATATTAAGGCGTTTTGGCTTTTCTTAAAAATGCAACTATGTTTTTAAATCATGATTTTATTATATAGAAAAACTTTCATGTTATATTAAGTAACTTATTTCGAAGGAATACACATTCATTTTATAATCACTTTATAATAAATCTAAATCTAATTTGAATATGAATATGAATTCAACCCAATACTTTTCTCTCGACCGAAAATGTGATTAATCAATCAATAAATAAATATATATAGAGAGAGAGATAGAAAGATTGATTGATTGATGTACTGATAATAGAGAGTATTCCAAAAGATTTATTCATTAGGCTCATTTAATCTAAAAGAATTAATTACGATGATATAAATTTTAAAAACTAAGATTTACTCATTTAATTTTATTATGTGAACGAACTTAATTAATAAATTTTCATCTAAGGTTATTGTCTTTTCTGTTAAATTTTATTTGAATTAGGTAATTCGTTATCAAAAGTATTAAAATTTTAGTGTGAATTAAAATTCTTTTATGCTATTCAAATTAAATTTTTACGTAATAGTCTATGAAGACTTATGTAAATTTCTAAATTGGATTCTTATATTTACTGCTTCGATTTACATTATTAAATTACTGTATTAACATTTTTCAGATTAAATTTTCTTCATAATAAAAAAAAAGGAGTGGCTTCAAAAATTTGCTAGTTTAAGCAGAAAGTCATAGATTTTGTTAATTTACTTGGATTTTGTGATGCATAATGCTTGTAGGTATCTTTTATGTACTTGTATTTTTACTACAGGAAATCTTTTACTTTTTACAAATCTTCAGGTTTATTTTTAATTATTCTTGGAATTTTGCAATACTCCCAATCAAATTCAAAGCACTTTGTAATTAAATTGTCATCATCTTAACGCCATTAAGCCATTAACGAAATAGGGAATGTCCATTTTATTTTTTCTTTTCTTTTTTTTGGTGGAACGTAGACAGGATCTTTTACTCGAGGTAGAAGACTAATCTAGGGTTCATAATACTTAGTAAAAACCCCTGTACTTTTTTCTACGTAACAGTGATTAATCTATTCTAATAAAACATCCTTTGTAGTACCATCAAAAATCTGCACCGACTTTTATTAAAAAACAAAAACTAAAATGCAGGAAGATTGTAAGTAAGTCATGGTTAAATAAAAAAATTCGATGATAAACTTTTGCTGGATTTATTTTTAAGTAATAATCGTAAATAATTTTTTTTATTGTTAGAATATACTTTATTTTTCATTAAAAAGCAACTATCCTTTATTAAATATTTTTTATCAAGTGTTAGTTTTCAAACGGATTTTAGTTACCTCTTTAAATTTTAATTTTATATTTACTCAATTATAATAGCAAAAAATGCAAATAAATAAAAAAGAAAATACTTTTTATAAATATTATTTATCAGTATTAACAAATAATTATCGACTTATTTTTAATTGTTTTAGTTTTTATGCAAAAATATGAAGTGTATTTTTCTCAATCACAACTTATTTTATTCTTGAAAATGTATTTTTTGTTTGATAATTAAATTTTTCGTATTACTCAAAAAATTTAGTTTACATTTGTTAAATTTTTCATTTATACTTTCTTTTCTCATCAATCAATTAAAATATTAGCAGACTTTGCAGTTGTAATAAACAAAAATAAACATTCAATACATAAATAAATAGTTATCATTAAAATTTAAAGATTTTCAGTAAAAGTAAAATTAAAATTTAAAATTGTTTTGTTAAGCAAAAAATTTAATTAGAATATTACTTTAATGTGCTTTTAATCAAGCAAATTTTTCTTATGTTGATTTTTTGCTATCATTTCGTTTTCTTGGCTGGAGTAGAAATAGTCCAGGTTTCCTGGGGGCATCATTCTCTTATATGAAAAAAAGTTTTATTATTATCCATCCTTTTTTCCAAAATAGTTTGATCGAAAATTTTCAAAATTAAAGTGAATAAATAAAGGATCTCTGCTGTACTCACCGGATAACCCTAATATTTATAATCACAATGTAATCAATATAAAAGGAATAATTAATTTTTTTATTAATTTAATTCTTAATATGCCATATCTCTAATAAATAAATAACTTATTATCAAAAAGTAAATAAAAAATAATATATTTAAAACTTTAAAATGAGCAAATTCCTTAACCAAAATTATTTTTGAAATATTTGTTGTAAAAGCAGACAGATACGTGTCTTTTATTGCTTTAATAACAAGAGGAAATTGAATTATTAATACAAATTACATTTATATTTATTATGTGTTAAGGTGAATTAATAAAAATACATTCGAATAATATTTAATCTTTCTTAGAAATAAAATTTACACCATAAATATTTTGCCTAAATTTAGTGAAAGAATTTTCACAGATTGATTCTAAATCATCTAATAAAAGTGATATTAATAATAAACATTTTGCTTACAGTGTAGTTGATACATTTTTTTTAATATGGGAAATTATAAATCAAAATCATAATTATATTTATTGAGAGTTAATATTTATGAACTTCTAAAAGTTTGATAAAAAAGTTAATCATTTGCTTATTTATCATTATTAGGTATTATTTTGCTTTTATGGATGAATATTGATAAAAGTAGTAAATTTGAGCACAAATGATGATAAATGACTCATTTATATTTTCTAAAAAAAACCTTTAATATTTCCTTAGCAAAGTCTCTAAAAAATTCAATTTACAAATTGATTCTAAAGTTGATTTTTACTATCTAAGAAAATAAGCATCTAAAGCATCAGTGATTATTTGAGCAATATATTAAAAACAATTTTCGTTAAAGTAAATTCTTGTTAATAAAATTAATTTATTCAAACTTTCAAGAATCTTCAAAAAAAACTAGAGATATAAACGAAAATTGCATCTTCTATCATTATTTACAATTTTAATAAATCAAAATAATTATTTATTTTCTTTGAAATTTTAAATGTGAATAAATAAAAAATTTGCTTTTTCAATTTGAAATTGAATTTGAATGTAATAAGTAAATAAACTATTCTAACCTTTCATGCTGTTTAAAAATATTTAAATTTTTTAATATTTATTGGATATATAAATTTTTTTATCTTAGTGTTAGGAAGCATAATGTTTAATGGTTGATTTTTACTTTAAAATGCTTAACTCATGTTTTAAATAATTGAGGAAAATAACATTATTTTTCATAAAATTTTTCATGATAATTTGATTTTTTGGCAAAATGCTCAAACTATTTTTGGTTTAGTACTATTTGCTAAATACACATTAAGTAAATTAAAACTGGTTTGATTTCAAATATGCTAAAATATGTAATCTTAATTTTTGTAATAGCTTATAATTTTTGTGTATAAATTCTCATTTAAAATAAATAACAAATTTACAATTCTTTAAAAGTAAATTTATATGTAACTTGGTGAAATGAATTAGTAACTTACTAGAAAAATTATAGCAAAAATTCTTAGTATTATTATACTATCATTTCAAGGCTTTTACCTGCTTAACCTTACTAGGGAAAGCTTGTACAATAGTAAAACTAAAAATTTTTTAATTTTAATTTTACCTATGTCCCATCTGAATTCCAACTCCTGCCAGCCATCACATATCCAACAGCAATCAGCCAAATCTACATCTCTATCTGACCTGTATACTTCTCTGTTTAATGTATTGATACCTGAAATAATTTACAACATAGAATATCAATCATAAAAGCATCTATCTAAAAAATAGATTTTGAAATATTAATTTGTGAAGCTTGCATTTAAAAATAAAATTCTATTTGCTTAATGATTCAACAAGTATTCATATATGATGCTCATGTAAATCTAATGTAAAACAAATTGCGTAATTTAATATCTTAGATTATTCTATTAGAATTTAAATGACTCAATTAAATTAAATTTTGAGTAAATTGTATTCTTTTTGATTTAATTAAATTATTGCTCTTTTTAACCATAAAAAATAATTAAGTAAGATAAAATTAATATATGAAATCTAATAATGTTACATTGAATTTATATCATTTATTCATGATAAGCAACTTTACACTTGAATTTGTTTTTTTTTTACAAAAATTTATAAAAGGTAATTAAATTTATACCTTACATCAATCACCTAATAAATTCTAAAATTCATTTAAAAACAATCAAAATATTTATTTACTTTTTATTTGTCTCTTGTTATGCAGACCTACCAGTAATTACTACTAATTTTCTTAAACTACCAAAAATCCTCGAGAGTCTACAAACCCATAATTTCCTTCAAAATGAAAACCATAAATTGTTTTGTTAGATTCTAGACTTTTAGAAATAGCTAAAGAGTCTTCATATGAAAAAAAATTGCTGCTTAAATCCATATGGCAAACATCAGTATTCTTTTGCATGAAATTTTCTATGTCGCTTACACAGCTTCCGCCTTTACCAAGGCTGTTACACGCTACATATCAAATAAATGTAATTAATGAATAAATTATACTAGAAGAAAAGCAAATTTATAGATCAAAAAAGTTAAGTAAATTACATAGGTCTATAACTTTTAAGTAATTATTCTCTATTAAAGCAGAAAAAATCTCTTAGCCACTGCTACCCTTGAGTTAATTCCAGCCCAAATAGAGTTCATAAATAAAACAATTTTTAACTATTTGGCCTAAATAAAAGCTAACATTATCACTTAAATTATTATCAGAAAGGTCGAGAATCCTTAAATTTTAGTTTTTTAGAATAGATTAAAATAGATCTTTAACTGCTGTGTCTCCTAGCTTATTCCCACCTAAATTTAATACTTCCAGCCTTTTACAAAATTTTTAAGTTGTGTTAAAAATAAATTGTAAGAATAAATACAAAATTATAACTCTGTGAATTTAAAGTAAATAAATTTAATATTTATTAAACGGATAACTTTCTAAATTAATTTAATTAATATTTGTTAAAATAAATAATAATTTTCTAAAATATTTCAATATAATAAATGAAAAAAAATAATTTTAAGCAAATAATTCTTATGATTTATTTATTTTTTTACTTGCACTACTTTTAAGAAATTTACTGTGAAATTTAATCACACCCTATTTTGCCTATTCTGTTATTTGCTATATTGATAATTTTAGCATTTTTCATAATTTATTATATCAAAGCATTTGAGCTCTAAGAACTGATTCTATTATTTTGCAGCTAGAATTAACTTATATTATTATATCCACTTATTCCAGATGTTAAAAGTTAGGCATATTTATCTCCGTATCTCATATACCTAAATATTATACAATTATACACTTTATCAAACAAATTACTTATATTTTTAAAATACTATAACTTTAAGATGTCTTTATCTGTTTTCTCTTTTTTAAATATACCCACTTTCGAGGGTAGCACAAAGTGCTTTTCACTCTTATCTAGCATTTCTGTGACACCCGAATCTAATAATGTATTGAGTAAAAATTACATTAAAAATTATTATTTTTCATTATTAATTATAAAGTAAGTAGAACTAATTTATTTACTTGGAATATTGAAATGCTAATTTTGTTGTAAGGTTCTATCAAGACTTTTATAATGTTTATAATATTATTCTATTGATTTTTTTCCTCTTTATTTTATAACGGCCTAGTCTCTTGGAAGTATTTAAAAAGTTTCTAACATATTCTTCTAAAATTATAGATCCTCTAACTATTCTTTTTAGTTTTCGGTTTAAGAATTCATATCAATATTAATTAGAGAAGATCTTTTTGATTGATTTATTACTGGTTTAATATGAAACGATCTTTTTATAGTTGATCTACTCACAGAATTACTTTATATGTTCAGAACATTATTCAATTGCGATCTCATGTGTAGTAATTTATATTTTCCCTCTTAAATATTTTACATTAAAATTTTATCATTTTTGTAGCTAATTAAAAACGGATCGCTGCTATTTCTTGAAATAGTTAAATCAAATGTTCCATTAGTTATTTAAGTTGTTTAACTAACTCGTGAACTTCTAGGTGTAGAACTTCCTCTGTTTCCATGCACTTTTGCTGTTTCATCTTTAGCTCTAAAGTTTTAAAATTCAACTTAATTCAATTATTTTGCATGGTTAATCTGTGGTAAAAAATATGAATTTTTCATTATTTCTACGCTTTTAGTATCGTTTAAAAAGGAAATTATATTTTTAATTTAGAAAACTCATTACAAAAATAAATAAATAATAAATAAGATAGCAGCAACAAATCAATCAAATAATGACTAATATTTAAATTTACATTAAATAATTAATTAATTAATAAGTCTAAATATCATTTTATCAATTAATGTTGAAATAGTAAGTAATTTAAGCATATTTTTTTATAATTTAAAACAAACAAATTTTTTAAATTAACAGCCAAATATTAAGTAAAAAATAAATTATCTTAAATATTATTATTATAAAAAAGAAATAAACTTTTTAAAAAGTTGTAAACAATTCAAAAATTAGGGAAATAGCTAATTAAACTAAAAAGATTAAAAATCAAAATATATTTAATTAATTTAGCAGCAAACCCATTCTTCTCATTTAAAATATTTAAATTTACATTAAATAATTAATTAATTAATAAGTCTAAATATCATTTTATCAATTAATGTTGAAATAGTAAGTAATTCAAGCATATTTTTTTATAATTTAAAACAAACAAATTTTTTAAATTAACAGCCAAATATTAAGTAAAAAATAAATTATCTTAAATATTATTATTATAAAAAAGAAATAAACTTTTTAAAAAGTTGTAAACAATTCAAAAATTAGGGAAATAGCTAATTAAACTAAAAAGATTAAAAATCAAAATATATTTAATTAATTTAGCAGCAAACCCATTCTTCTCATTTAAAGTCTAAACAAAAAATAAGATATTTGTTTAATTAGTAATTCAAAATTCAATTATTTGATATCTATGAAAAAGACACCTACCTATCTACCTACCTGCTCCCCCTTTAAGTACTTATTAATTTAAAAGTATTAATATATCTACAAATTTCATTGCTTTATTAGTATAAAGCTTAATAATATATAAAAAGATAATAAATAAACCTTATACAATCAATACAAGTAAGTAAATTAAATTAGTATATTAGATATTAAATAATTAAATATAATTATGTTTAATATTAAACAAATTAAAATATTTTATTATGCTAATAACAAACAGATAAAGAAATGAGTCAAGACCTTTTTATATCTAAAGAAAGTTATCAAATTATTTTTTTTTAATTTAAAGTTTGGTAATATTTTTTAAATTTTACAAATAAAATAAAGTTTAAAATGTAATTTATAAAAATTAATTTAAAAAAATAAAGTTTAAAATATAATTTTATAAAAATTAATTTATTTTTTGTTTTAATACATAGTGGAAAATGTCATCAAATAAGTGTATGAAAAGTTAATTTAATTAATAAAAAGTAATTTATTTAAAAATAAATAAATTTTAATTTTCTTAATAAGGATGGATATTTGTAAAAATTAAAAATAAAATAAATAAAAGAGATAAAAAACAAGTAATAGGTATAAGGTTTAAAAGAAATTTAGCATAAATTAAAAGCTGATAATTTTATAAAAATTACATATTTAATCAAATAAATTAAATAATATAAATCAAGATAGTTAAGGAAGAATGACAATATGTTTTTAGCTATGAGAATCATATATTATTGAGTACGTTTCTTCATATTTCTATTCTATTTAAAATCCAGGTAGTCTAAATCTTCCTATTTCAACGGGTATTAGTTTGTAGAATACTTTAATTGTTTTTTAAGATTCTACTTATTCTCTGCTAATTATTTTACCAGATAATAAAAACTTCTTTGATTCTCTTTCGTTAAGTATAATTTTTAAATCGTAAGGCTTAGTGTACATATTGGTAATTTTAACTACCATTTCAAATAGCTCACCTAATTAATATTATTTTTAATTTAATTAGTTAAAATTATAAAGTTAGAAATTTAAATACCTAATTTGGCAACTTCTGGATATTCTACTTCTACTTTAATTCCTTTAGATTCCACAATAATATTGCTTAAATCAGCTTAATAAGTATTTAGTTAATTGTTATCCTATAGATCATCTTGAGTAGCATATTAAATTTATATGTTTCCGTATTTAAATTTAGGAGAGTGGCTTAATGTCTAAATATATTACGTGAGAGAAAGACTTTCATGTAAAGCCAGTCTTTATTCTAAAAGATAGATGAAAATAATATAAATTTTATTTTATACAAACGATTATTAAATAAATTTACTTTAAGTATTAAAATCTCTAATTAATCTGATCTAATTGATTTCTTTATTCATGTTGACTTTCACTGAGTAGATAATCATATTTTCCACTATTTTTATTTATTTATTTATGGTAACATATTTTGATTTTCTAATATGATAATTAAATTTTACTCTATGAAGTTAATTTTATTTATAAATTGCAAAGCTAATGAGAAGGGAGATAAACTAAATCATTTTTTTCTTATATTTAATTTTTTTTTTTAGTTTCTTAGTTTTGTTATTGACTATTTGAGACTCCCCATTTTGTATTTAATGAGAATGGATGTTTAACTTTTATATCTAAGATTTTTTGAGTTTATCTTGGTTCTTCTACATTTGTCTTTTTATTGAATATAGAATATTTTACAAGGGCTAGGAATTTAGTATCCTCTTGCATCTTATTCACTCTATTATCAAAAAATAATTAAATAAATAAATAAAGATTTATGAAAATAACTTTATATATATACCTCAGCATTAGCTTAGTAATGATTTAATCTCCTATTTCAAAGTTAAGTGGAATCAACTATTAGCTTTTTAAAGGGAGTTTTTGTTGTCCATTCAATTAAAAAACTTCGTTATCAGAGTGATCAACTGTGATTGTTTAATCTAATTATCATTTATTTATTTATTTTCTTATTTATTAGATTCATTTAGAAATGAATTTACTTTTATCTTTTATAACTATGCACTCATAAAAAAATAATTGAGGATTTTTAAGTACAAGGTAATCAGTAGTTCCATCTAAACTATTTAAAAAAGATAAAATACATTTAAAATTTTTAATCTTGGAAACTATTTTACTATGAAGAACAAATTTGTAAATTAAAAAGCTCGTTTAAGAAAATTTAATCTTTCTTCTTGAATGAGATTTCAACAGAGGGTTCATGAGGCTTTTCTATCAGAAGCTATGAATAATTTTCTTTTAAATAAAATCTTAGTAAAAAAATTAATTATTTGAAATGATTTACTATATTTTAGAATGGTGGCAGGTACAAATACATTTAAAGAAAGTTTTTTTCCAGAAGATGAAGTGATTTCAGATGACAAAACGATGCTTTCAATGCTGATGGTTTTTACTTTCAAATTATTTGCAACAAATTCTATTTATTTTTCAAAGCTGTTTATATTTTTATCTAAGTTCATTTCGAATTCAATGGTTTAGGTAGTGTCATTAAGATTTATCACAACTTTCTTATATATTTGGAGTGCAGGAGTAAAATTAGTAAATTTAAAAACTGCATTGCTTTTTTCAAATGCTTTTATCCTGTTTTGTAAAAACTCAATTTCAATTTTAAAAGCAAAGTTTTCTTTTTCAATTTAAATCATAACATCATCATTTTTTTGTAATTTTTCTAATTATTTAAGAATGCCAACAGCTCTCTCTTATTTTTCTTAAATCGTTTCTTCCTTCTATATCAAAAGCTATAAACTAACATTTAACAGCTTTTCTGGTTAGTTGTTGCTGTTTAAAAAGCCTTCATATGTCTCTAAAATGTCTTTTTTTAAATTTATATTTTATAAAATTAAATTTATTTTATTTTTATTGATTTACATATTTTAATTTCGTTCATTTTATAAATTGACAATTTAGGAAGTATTTCTTCAGCTATCATAACAAACTATTCAAAGTCACGAGACAAAGCACAGTTATATAACCTTCTATATAAGATTATTAATTTTTAACGCTCACTCATTGAGGGGAACAATTCTTCACACATATTTAAGAAAGCAAGGTTTTCGCTTAGCATATTCATTTCGATTTCTTTATTTTCTTAGAACAATCTTTCGTTCTTGACCATCCTAGTAATTTGTACTTTTTATTCATTATAGCTAACTCTTTGACTTGCTTAGACTATGTAGTTCTGTCTTCCAAAATAAATAGGAGGCTTTTTAATAACTTAAAATTCTGAACTCTGATTTTATTCTATATTTTTAAATCCTTAGAATAGCAAAAATCTTTCATGTCCATATATAACACATCCCTAATTAATTGTTTTTTTATTTATTTAAAGTTTATTATCATTACTTAATATAACTTTAAATTTACTATAATCAAATTGAAAAGGTTTTAATCTATAAAAGAACTCTTGTTTAAAGATTCTTTTTACATCTCTGTAATAAAGACTTTGAATAATTCAGTTCTCCACTTATATTCCTAAAAATTTTAGTAAATTTTATAAATAATTATTTATTTATTTATTTCTTTTAATTGAATTAATTTACTTCAAATTAGAAAATAGTATCAAAATAATCAACACTCTCCTTAAACTTCTTATAGTGGATGATAAATAGCTAAATTGCTTCTTGATGTTGCTTTTCTTGAATGAGAATAATAAGCTATCTGATTTTAATGGCATCTGCTATCTTTTTTAACAAAAAATCATAAAAAATATAATTTAGTTCATACAGGCATAAAAGTATATTAAAAGTTTATTGTTTACATATCTAAGTTCTTCAAGTTTCATAATCATTTCATAGTTAGAATCTATGCTTTCTTAATTGTTTGGAATAATTGTCTTATTTGCATGCATACGATAGGAAGTCATCAAGCTCTCACATTCTGAATATGCACTTTGATAATGCTTTTTTGCTTTATCTATCCTAAGACTTTTAATTATTTATAAATGATATTTTATTTTTACAATTAAAATATTTTAAATGTATTTTATTATCTTTTAAAAATTATTTTTCACCACCACTCAATTTAGTTTAATTTTGTTTAACGTAATAAAAATTTATTATTTACTTTTGTTCGTCTATGATAGCCATTTTGAAGTGAAGAGTCAAATTTTTTTCATTAGCAATAAGATCATTATGCTTTGATATGTTTTTCTTATATTTTTTATACTTTTCATCATAATAGTTATTTGCATATTCTACAATAAGCTTCTTTATTTTGCGAATATTTAAGTAAATAGCATCTTGAGTCAATGGCAAATTAAAAATATTTTTAGAATCTATTTCTAATGCTTGTTTTATTTGAGCATTTGCAATATCTACTTCTGGGCCAACTCCTGCTTTAGAAAAGAGGATAACAATCACTTTTGTCATCATTTTTTGCTAGTTATTAGAAGTTTTGCTTGACAATATCCTTTTTGTTTCTTAGAATTTTGCAAATAATGCCTGCATTTGTGCTAGATTAATTTTTAAATTTTTAAATGAGAAATTATATAATTTGAGATAGTAATATTATAAATTCATATTAGTTTAAGATTATTGAAAGCATCAAATTCGTCATTACCTGGAACCATTTCTAAAAGATAAACTATTACAGAAGGTTTTTTTCCACTAATTTTACTAACCCAATCCTATTTAAGAAGGCCTTGATCTCCACCTATTCTAATCTGATTAAAAGTAATACCAGATTCAGAGGATTCTTCGATTCTTTGAACAATATTCAACTAAATACTTTTAAAATAATTAATTTAAAATAACTTATGCTAACAACTAACAAATGTTTTAGTTATTTTTAAGACTTTTATAAAGTTCTAAAAATTTAATTGATTGATTCATAAAACTATGATAAAAAAGATGAAAATGTTCAATACTTTTCTTTAGGATTTTAATCGCAATCATCATATCTAGACTTAAACTCAATAGCATACTACTATTCTCCAATAATACTAACATGCTAAAAAAATTATCCTTAGTACTGCTAATACATTTCTCTAAAAAAATTCTATTCTTATTTTTTGTAAATCCTTTTTCCTAATATTTTCTATTTGACTATATTTCAAAAATATCAATTTTATTTTATTTTATGTATATCAAACACCTAATTAATTATTTCTTTGGCATCAAAACAAAAAATATTAAAAAAACTTTCTGTATAATTTAAAATGTATTAATTGAATCTTATTTTTGCAAAATAATTAAAAGGCATTACATTTGAGTTGTTGAACATCTATAAAGCTAGCTAAAAATAAAAATATAATAGATATTATAATATAGAATAAATACTTTATTTATTTGAAATAATAAAAAATATATTATGAAAACTCAATATTTAAATCACATTCATCAAAAATATACAAAAATCTCTTTTTTTACCAATTTAATATTAAAATTAACTTAAATAAAAATAAAAAACCAACAAAATAAATGTATTAATTTATTTAAAGATTTTCAGAAAATATTATAGTCTTAATTTTTTTATTATTTATATGCTCTTTAACTTTGTAAAATATAAAATTTCATAACTCTATGATTTATTCCTTTGTCTTTATTATAAAAGGCTTTATCATTTCTAATGGCACATGAAATCCATTATCAAGAATAATTTGTGCCTTAACTTCAAATTAATGTAGAGCTGAACTTATCTTTAACTTTTCAAGTAGAACTTCTTTCTTTTTAGTGCTCTCTGTCCATTAATTGTTTCTTTAAATGAATAAATAAATATTTTGATTATTTAACTAAAATATAAATTAAAATTTTGTTTTTTACACAAAAATTCTTATGATTTTCGTTTTGCTGTATACCTCTTCTTCCATATTAAATTTAATCAGAAGATCAAAAAACAACATATTTTAACTTGGTTCTAAAATATTCTAAACATTTTCAACAGCTTTGCAGCTTTCTATTATCTATTCACTTTTCTTCATGATATCTTTATATGAATTTTTTATTAAATCGTTGTATAATGAAATTCCACCAATATTGATTTAAAACTTTTCAGCTTGATTACTTCTAAGTTATAAATAAACACCCTTTACTTCTTTAATATCCTCTTTTTGAGTATCTAATCCATAGAAATAAGTAAACCAATTATTTCCTCTGTCTTTTTTTAGCATTCTTTTCATTTATACTAAATTCTTTGCTTAGTTTCTTACAAAAATATCTGCATCTAAAAACTTTTTTTTATTAAATAGAATTAATTAATAATAATTTGTTTATTTTAAAAATTATTAATGTTTATACCTAAGAAGGGCTTTTTAAATTAAAATCTACAAATAGCTCCTTTCCACAATCACTAATAGATGTTTTCAAAAGCTTAATAAGTATTGGCTGATTAAAAGATTAAAAATAAGTTATTTTTAATTAATTGATATAATTTCATTTAATTAATTAATTACTGATGATTAATCTAGTTGTCCTTTTAACTATAAAGATGATAATCCATTCCAACCTTAGCTTTCATCAATAGAAAGAGTGTAATTTACACTGTGATTATTATTTATTTTGCTAGATTTAATCTATAAAAATATATTTATTTCTGCAGAAATGCTAACAAAAAAAAAATTACTTTCTTTGAGAAGAACTGGTAATCAAAATCAAATTCATGAATATTATTGTGATAAAGATTTCCATCATTAATATGTTGTTAAACACCTTCAATGAAATAATATTTTCCAACTCCATCATTGTAAAATGTATGTATTGGTAACTCACAGCATCTTCTTGTCTTAATTTTTTAATATTAAATATAATTATAATTCTACAAAGACTTTTAAGAATGTACATTTAAATGTTTGCATAAGTCTTTTCTTTCCTCATAACTTTTAAAACCCATGTCTTCATTTTTAAACCTAATTTATTTTGAGATAATCTTTATTTGAAGTCTAAATAAAATTATTTTACCTTGCACCATAATAGCCTGCCCAATACTCAACATCTTATCCAACTTGATAAAAAACAAAATGTGTAATTCTAGATACATTCATTTAAGGAATGGTGAGTTCTAATTAAATATCTTCCCAATCAGTCTTCGTTTCTTAGAATAAACCTTAATTAAACCTTTACATAAATGGCATTCCGTTTTGAATTAGCATTTAACTTTTAGTGTCTACAGAGTAAACTAATCTATAGTTTTCATAAGCATCTATGCAAGCAACCTTTAAAGTATAGAGCATTTAAAATTATGAGCTTTAATTAAAAGTGTTAAAAATTTACAAATAAGTCATTAGATTTAGGAGGTGTACCCTTAACTTAAAATGAAAAATAAATTGTTTTGCCATTTAAGTTAACATCATATGGAACATTATATCTAAATTATCTAAAGCTAGGGAAAAATGATGATCTTTTCAATTTATAAATAAGGAAATAAATTTTGAAAAGTAGTAATAAATGTATATTTTTACACTGCTATTGATGTATTTTCCTCTTTAAGATGTTCCCATGCTGGTGGATTTCCTTATTATGGTTGTGTGTAATCCCATTTATCATTCGCTGGATCAAAAAATGTATTACATTAAACACCATGCCAAAACTCTTATTCTCTTCTGAGAAAGCAACCTTTACTTTCCATTCCACCTTCACATTCATAAGTCCAACCAGGAGCAAAAAATGCAACACTAGAACCATTTCTAATGATTTCCTTTTTTAAGAAACTTAATTTAAAAAATAAAATCCATTCATTTTAAATTACATGCAAGGCTTCTGACGTATTAAATTTACCACCTCCATAGGTACCTCTGCCAAAAATATCTATACCTGTGAAGACATCCAGTTTTCTGTTTCCTGCATTTTACATTGATTACTAAAGCTAAAAGACTTACCATTTGTAATCAGTAAAAAACAAGTCACTTACTTCAAAAAACATCTTAATTAAAAAAAATTTTAATTATATTAATTTTTTTACTCTCAAAATAAAATTTTTAAGTCTTACTCTGTTATTATTGTTGAGTTAAGATTGCCATTAGAGTTATCCTGTAGAAATTATGCTATCATAAAAAATAATTACTGATCCTGGCACCTCCACATGAATTTTATCTCTCAAATATCTCGTCCACTCTGCTAACTCATAAGAATTGGATACTCTAGTAAATTTTCAATAAAATAGTAAGCATTTTTAATGAATTAATACAAATTTTACTTAGCTTCTATATTGATGAGGTATCCATCAAACTTATAATGTTTGCATATTTCTATTAACTTATCTGCGTAGATATATTTATTTTAATGAAACTATATCTAATTATTTTCTTTAGAAATAAATTGTCCTTTTAAAAGCAGGTCATTTTCTTTTTCGCCTTCTTCCCACTCTGTAATAAAAGTGCCTTCAAATTATTTTTCAAATAAAGTTTTTAAAAGAAGCAAAAATTATATAAAAAATATTATAATTAAATTTAATTTATTTACCTAGACATTTAACTCCTTTTGAGTGTGTAATATCAATATAGCTGGGAGGAGGAATTGACACTCTATAATGACTAAAGTAAATAAAGTAGTCACATATTCCCCATTCGAAAAATCTATAGTTATGAATAGGATCTTTGTAGCCACATTGGTAGTTATCTTAAATATAACCTCCCATCATATCATGGCAAACTAGAACTTTTGATTTATTCTAAATATAAAATTTGATATTAAATAAATGTAAATTAATTTAATTTACTTCATTTCTCTTATATTTTTTCAAAGGAACCTTTGATACATTTAATGGGTCTTTGCTGCAATCAAAATAATACAATTCTTGTAAAGACTTGATAGGTTCAATATAGTCTTCATGAAATTAACTTTAGTTAATTTTCTAAAGAGATTGTACTTTATCAAACAGAGCTTAGGACAAAAGTTACTAATCTATATTTTGATGGTTAGCTTTAATTGAAAGGTCTGTTATTGTTCCGCTGTAATGCTTATTTTTTTCTTTGGTTGCTTTAATAAAATATTAATGATTCTTTTATTTAGCAAATTGATATTAAATTTGTTTTACAAAGATGCAAAATGTATTTGGAAGAGCCTTATTTGACTCCATTAGCTAAGAATTAATGAGATTGAATTTCCATTTTAGAGTTATTAAGCTAAGCAAATCCCTTTCCTTCTTAAATATGAATGAAAACTATGTTTTATTCCATTACATTTACAAATCCAATATTATATTCACTTATTCCATTTTCCCTTGATAAAATAAATTTTATTTAAACACATTTCATATCTTAATCATTCATTAAATTACTTTAGATACAATCTAAGTTGACTTTATTCTACTATCTTCAATTACAAAATTATTTGTTAATCGCTAAAAATAGTTAAAATATTTTATTCATCTTTTCCTTTGCTCTTCTAAATTATTAAATAAAATTTCTGCCTTATTTGCTTTTTTGTAAAATATAGTTACTTGCAGAGGATAGAACTAAAATTCTAAAGTAAAACAATCTATTTTCAAATTATTTGGTTATTTAAAACAAAACTATTTTTCTGATCCTTTATTATCACCTTGCTTATCAATAGGTCCATGTCTTTTGACTAAATCTAATAAAAGTTTAATTTTATGATGCTATAAATTGTATTTAATAAGCTACTATGAAGAGCCACAGTTCCTTTAAGCTCAAAAAGTGTTTATTCTGCCATTATTTTGGTATATTTTTATTTTATTTATTTATTTACTATTTATTATTAAAAAGATACTTTTATTTAAAAAATTTCTGATCAGAGTTATAATTTTTATAAAGAAAATTAAAATGCATAAAAAAATACAGAGTGAATAAATGATATTTTAGGATATAAATAAGAAGAAAATTTAATTTTATAAAACTAATAATACTCAAAAGAATAACTAAGAAATATAATATGTACTTACATTTTACATAAAAAAGTGTTTAATTGAAAAATAAATTAAAAATCAACTTATTTGTTTTTATTTTTTTGAAGTTTTTTTTTGTTATTCTCAATGGTGTTGTGTATTAATTTTTAAATTATTTATTAATTCTTAAAGTTAAGGGTTGTCATGAGCGGTTTTGCTTATCCTTACAGCTAAACTTAAGAAGTAATGCTATTACATAATAATCCACTCCTCAAACTCATCCATCATTTCAAGTTTTTCAATTCTTTTTCTTTCATTTTAATCTGTAAACTTATTATAAATATCTAGCATATGATACACTTCATTTGTATTGAATCCTAGTTTAGTCAATCTTTCATGCTATGATTCTATGGTGGGATAATCATGAATGCCAACTAAAGGACACCCTTTTCTCTAAAATTTTAATGATAAAGATCATAAATTTTTTAAAAATTTTTTCATATTATTTACATCGAAGTTTTTGACCATCATTTTGCCAAAGGGATCATTAGGGTTAAACATTTCATAACTTGAGAAATAAGCTAAGTCAAAAGTAGAAGCTATTGATTTCAATAGTTCATCTGAAAATTTACTTTCTATGTATGTCATTACACACTCAGCAAATATAAAAGTAGGAACACTATTTGGTTTATTTTAATATAAAATTTTAAGAAAAGAAGAAAGAATTTACGAAAAGTCAATTCCACATTTAACTAGATTTTCTTTGAACTCATCTATCTTAGTTATATCAGAAGGATAAAGAGAATAATTTTTGGCATGAAGAGAAGATTTAGCATCTAAGTGAGAATAAAAAAAAATAAAATTAATATCTTTTAGTTCAAATAATGTATTTACCATCAAGAGTGAACTCACCAATCACTTATTTGATTTTGTTAGAATTTTGTATTCTTTTAATCTGTTTTTATTTTAAGAATTACATTTTTATGACATTCTTTGCTCTTAAAATATGAAAAATAATTGCTTAATCCTTTTTACCTTATTTTTGACTACATTAATCAAATCGATTTCTACATAATGAAAATCAAGATCCTTAAACTATTTGCTTTCTCTTAGGATATAGTAGTGTGTATCGTATCCGCAACCAAGGGAAATAATTTACTTTTTCTCATTTTCTAATTTTATAATATAATTCTATATACTTCTTTTAATATTGATCATAGAAAATTTGAAGTTCGATATCGTTAATCAACCTTCTAAATAAAAATGTATATTTCATTAGTGACTGTTACTTGAGTTTAAAAGGAATCTCTCAATTAAGAGAGTAAAAATGTTAACTCTTGACCAATATCCTCTATGAATTATAATATCTTTTCTTCCCTAAGTGTGAACGAACTCCTCTGCGAAATTATCCTAAAAGTATCCTTTATGCACTGCGGAACTATTAATTATTTTAATATGATTTTAATGTTTATTTGTGAACTATTAATTGTGAGCACATACAGCTTGCTTGCCATAGCTTCTGCATTTGTATCTTCAACGCTATAGTTATTATCCATTTCTACTTTATAAATATTTTATGATGAAGTAATCTTTAATCAAATTTTATATTAATTAATTAATTTTAAGAGATTCTTAATCAATTATCAATAAAATCTGAGATTATAATAATTTATTACTCTAGATTTTCTATGGATATTTTAAATTAATAATTTTTATATAAATTCAATTACAATATATTTTTTTTATTTTATTGAGTATAAAGTAAAATAAAAATATTATTTGCATTTGAATGCTAAAATATTATTAAACGCTGAATAATTTTTTAAAATGAATTTATGTCTTAAAAGAATTTTTGTTTTGAAATTATAGTTTTTTTAAATTTATTTAATAAAATACAACTTTATAAACATAAATTTTATAAATAGGTTTGCAAATATATTAACTTTCAAATATAACCTAACCAAGAAAGTAATCCCATGACAGATAAAATTAAGCTTTTTTAGATTAGAAAATACTTATTAGAAATAAAAATTAAGCATTTTTGATTACTTAGCAAGGAAACAAAAGTCTTGAAGAGCTGCTCCTAAAACTCTGATAGGATGTTGGGCGTTTCCTGAAGCATATCCAATGTGGAAACATATTCTTGAAAAAACTGCACCAAATATGATGTAGGCAGAGTACTATATGTGATATAAATATTAAAATTTACTTTTTATACAAATTAAATAAATATATAAATTTATATACACAGGGCTTATAGAGACCAGCTACTAAAGAGATAACAATGAAAGGAATAAAGAACTCAATGAATGTATAGTGAATTCTTTAAGCTATGTTAAAGTCATACCAATCACTTGTATATAAAAATATGATTAAAATAATGTTTGATTATTTGCTTTTACCCATAGGAGAGTTGATCAGAATATCTGCCCTATCCAAACTTTTAAATAATAATTCATTTAAGTAAAATATTTGCATTTAATTATATTTACATCTGGATATCCTAGAGGATTAATTGTGGCATTAGTGTGCTTTTTATGGTCATCACCAAAAACTTTTTAGAGATCTGTATTCTTAAATACTCTTGTACGGACTCTTCCTACGTAAGCAATATTAACTATGAAAAGCTAAGCACTTAAAGTAACTAAGCCAGCAAGTACCCAGGCGAAGTCTTTAGGAATAGTGAAATTCAATGTGTTTACTTCAACGGCCATTTATATTATTTATCCTAAATATATTTTTAATTGATTTTGAGATTAATGATTTAATTATAATCAAATGATATCAAAAAAATCTTTTTTATTAGATAAATAGAAAAAAAGAAAAATTCTATCAACAATTTTAAATTTTTCGTTACAGAAGCATTTCATATCAAATCATCTTAAATTTTTCTAGAAAAATGAATTTTTTATAAAATGAAAAGTTTCCCTTACCTTAAGTAAACCCTTAAGAGCTTAATGATTTCTGTTAAGATTATTTATAAATATTACTGATATAAAGCAACAATTGTATAAGTTTTCCTTTCTATGTTATTTAAAAAGAAAAATCAAAATTAAAATTAAATTTTGGTAGATCAATTTAATTCCTCTCATAAATACAAAAAGATATGAATTTATTGTTGGTATTCATCCATTCCTTAAATTAATAAGTAAGTATTGTTTAATAAATAGCTTATCTTTTATGTTTATTTACTTACTGTATAAAAAACATTATTTTTTATATTATAATTTTAACAATTTATTTAATAAATTCGTATAATTTTAGATGATGAAAGAAATAATAAAAATTTATGATATTTTAACTTCAAATTTGCCTGTGTCCTTAATTTATTTTGGTATTTTTTTTTATTAATTTTTTTAAATTAAAAAGGTTTTAAATGAATTGAAAATTATTATAAATATTTAAAATATTTAAAATACAAATTATTAATTGAATAAATAGTGATTATAAAAATGCAAATAAGCTAATTTAAAAAATTAAAAAAAGTAAATAAGTTCTATTAAGTAAATTTAAAATATTTTATATTAAATAATTAAGCTATTTTTTATCAGTCAAAGTAATTAATTGAATAAATTATAATAATAAATTTATATTTTATTCTTAATAAAAAAATGTAATATTTTTTTTATTATATAAATTGATTAATTATTTTATTTTGAAAATTAAATAGGTAAATTTTTATAACTACAAAAATATATTAAAATTAATTTAGATGGATCTAAAATTTACTTTTACTTTTAATTTATGAGATAAAAATAATAATTATTATATCAAAACAATTTTTTATTTAAAGACTAGGTCTTTACAGATATATTTTATAATACAGGAAAGTATAGGTGATTTAATAAAAATTATCAAAAAAATATATAATTTTCAAAAAAATTTGCTTATGGCATTTTGATTAATTAATTATAATGATGATTTTAAAAATCAATTCATAAAAATCTTAATCAGTTTTTTTTGTTTAATAGTTTAACTATAATTGATTTTTATGGAAATAGATGTATCATATTTGCTATTAATTTTTAATAGTTATAAAGCTTATAATATCTTTAACAAAAATTTGATTAGTTTTCATTTATTATTTCAGTTTATAAATTTAAAAAAATTTATTTGAGCTTAAAATAATTTTCAAAAAAACATAATTTGTTACATATTATTTTTCTTACAGCCTTTTTAAAAATAATTCCACAAACTAAGTTTGTAACTAAAATAACAAATATCAGAAATTTTATTTAAAAGATATAATTGAGCATAGAAGGAAGAGTCATTATGAATTAATTTAAGCTAATTTGTATGAAGAATTTGTTTCATTTACTAATTATAAATACGTATTCTATAGTATCTGTAAATAAGTTATATTGATCAAACAAAAAATTTAATTGCTATGTAAATAAAAATAAATAAACCATCAAAATAATTAGTTATACTTTTTGCTTTCAAATATTTATTTAGTTCTAGAAACAAATTTTTTATTTCTTGTATTAACATATAATTAGTAAACTGAATTTAAAGTAATAACGCCAGCTTATTATTAAAATTAAAATTAAGAATAATCAAACGATCAATTAATGATCTAAGAAAAAGTGTTTTTTAACATATTTAAATAATATTTGCATTATACCATAAAAACATCATAAAATTAGTAATCAATCAATTTTTTTATATTTTTTTGTAAAGTTTGAATTAATTAAAAGTGTATTTTTTTATCTTTTTAAAAGGAAATTTTTTGGAAAAAACTATACTAATTTTTTAATTAATTTTTCAATTTGATTAAATAGTAGAAACAACGAAGTAGTAATATAATATAATAATTATCACTATATCTATTGAAACAATAAATAAATAATCTAGTGGATAGTTTACAAAAATTATTTTATAGGAAAATTAGCACTGTTTCTTCATCATAGATCTTACTTATAACCATTTCGCAATTTTAATTTCATTACAAATAATGAAAAGAAATTCTATTATAAATCATCTCGACAATGAGAAATATGTCCCTATAAAAAAGACATCAGGAATGAGAGAATTTTTCAAAACATTAAAGCTAAAAGAAGTAGCAAGAAAATTTAAAATGTTGGCTCCTTCTACTAGGTATAAATATATGAAAGATTAGCATTTTTTATTGATAAACGACAAATCCTTGATATTTAAATAAATTCAGAATAATAAGGTAAAAATAAATTTAAAGTCATTAACATTTTTTATTAAAAATTTTGAATAATTAACAGGATAGGAAAGTTGAAGACATATTTTAGTCTAGCAACACCATCGCTAACTAAGGAGAACAAGAAAAGAGTAAATAAAATACTTTAATAAGAATTCTGAGCAATCTACTTGAATACGCTCCTGTTATTCCCTCATCTCACATTATCAAAGATGTGTGGGATATATTTTAAATTATATCCTACTTGACACTCTTTTACTTTATTCCTATTCATGTGACTTTTCAAATAGAGTTTATTAACTTGATGCCAAATTACCTTATATACTTCTTAGCTGTAACAATTTTAAATATTTCATAATTAAAATAATTATATTAATTGAGATCAATTAATTTGCTTATATTAACTAATTATCTAATAAATTAGATCATAATTTTATTGGACATTCTAATCAATTTGAATACAGCATTTTTTGATAAAGGTGTAGAAGTTAAAGATAGATTACTCATTATGAAATATTATTATAAAAATCACTTATTTAAGGATTTAATATCAATAGTTCCTTTTTTTGTTTACTCTCTATCTTATCATTTTTTTTCAGAATATAAAAACTATTTTCCTAGTTCAATCTTGCTTCTTTTCTTTATCAGGTTGCAGAAATTCTAAATAATTATGCATAGATTTGAAGAAAACTTTCATATGATAAGATCAACAAGAAACATTATCAATCTATTTAAGGTGGTATTGAACATCATTTTTGTTTCTCACATTTTCTCTTGCATTTGGATTGTCATGGCAATCTAAGAAAAAAAGACATATCCAGATTCAATCACTTGGCTAGAAGCTGCTAAAGTGTAGAATTAAGATTGGTTGGTAAATAAATAAATTAATAAGCATTAAATATATTTACTTTTAAATTTTAACAATCCATCAAAATTATTTTAAGAATTATAAAATATTTTTTTATTTTATATAAAATGAATTTATAAAAATTATAGCATTAATATTTGTATGCCTACTACTTTTCCACTGTTACCATGATTACAGTAGGGTATGGAGACATAGTTCCTAAAACACCACCAGAGCTTATATTATGTATTATTACTATGATTATAGCTTGTGGACAATTCGGTTATAGTTTGAACTAAATTGGTGTTATAGTTTAGGATGTGTTCAAAACAGAAACAGAAATAAAAGAAAATATATATGTAATAACGAATTACATGAATATGAAAAACATTAACTCCGACTTATAATACTAAATTAGACAATATGTTGAATATTACTTAAAAGAATAAAGTTAAAATAATTCATAAATGGAAACTTAAATTATCAACCAATTGTCTGATTTTCTTAGAGAATCCTTAAAGTTTGAAGCAAATAAGCTAGTTACAAACTCCCCGCTTTTCAGTAATCATTTTTCATAAGAGTTCATACAAAAAGTGGTACCGCTAATTAAGGAAAAAAGGTCAACTCCTGAAGAGCTGATCTACTAAGAAAATGAATTAGATGATTGTTGCATTTATTTCATAGAAAAAGGAAGCATTGATGAAATTATAGATATGGCTGATTAAAAGTATTAGTAAGGTAGAGCTACATCAAAAATAAAAGTAATTAGGTCCTATGAAGATGGTGAACACTTTGGAGAATTGAATTTCTTTACTGGGTTTAATAGAAAGATCACAGCAAGAAGTCGTGATTTTGCAAAATTGCTTTATATTAGGAGGTAATTAATTATTTATCAATTCTACTTTCTAATACAGTTAATATTTAAAATCAAATTCAGAGAAGACTTCCTAAATTTATTGAAAGATCATAAGGAAGACTATGAAACATTTTGCTATATCAAAGATAAATTAACTTTTTACAACGAATTAGAAATTATTCAAAAAAAGTGTCCATCTTGCTTTGCATATCATTTTCTAGAGAATTGTTAATGGATTCATTATTCGCCTGACAAATAAAAGATCATTTGTAGGTATCTTACTTCATCTCCTTAAATGAGGAAAAGAGAATTTGTAATTTTATTTCTTTTTTTTTTCACTTTTATAAGAACAACACACAATTATAATCAGGGAGTATTTTAATAAATTAAAATAATTCTTCAATCTTAATCAGTTTTTGAAAAGTTTTTTTAGTTTTATGAATTTATTAAAAAAGTTAAATTATCCAAATATTTATTTTTAAATATTAAATTTAAGTTCTAAAAAATAATTTTTAAAACATTATTTAATTTAGAGAAGGAGAAGAAAATTTAAATATCAAACCTTGCTTTAACATAATTTTGCTAAAAAGAAGGCACTCCAATACTTTGAAAACTAAAATTAAGGATTATTAGAACTTGACTGGTATTATGATTTGATGAACTAAAGTGATTTAACAATTGATTCGGATGATAATAACCATATGAAATTGAACTAAAGCAATTGTTTTGAAAACCCTTAAAATGAAGATATTTCAATATTAAATTAACCAAGGAGATAATAAAGCTAAAATAAAGATTTTAAATTAGTAATTAATCATTCTCATTCATATGATTATGAAGATGATGATAATGATGAAGTCGGAAAGGAATTTGGAAATACCCAAAGTATCTCACAAAAGTTTCAGAATTAAAAGATGTATAATTCAAATAGCAAAAATAATGTAAGCTCTGATAAGTTTAAATTTGGTCTTTCAATCATTCAAAGTCAATAAGAATTTAGCAAAAGTCAAATCAGTGATTTCAAAGCAAGTTTAAAGCCAAGTGGCTATAATAAAGGAGAATTAAATAATTTATAGCAAAATAACGAAAATTCCTTTAAAATATAAGAATCTGTGCATAATTTTTATGAGAAAAATAATAATAATAATAATATTTCACCATTTAATAGCCCTATATCAAAATTTAATGGAAATAATAACAACAATTAATAAACAAATTTCTAGCAAAACCTAGAAAATGCACTGTTTGAGTATTTGCAATAAAAAAAGAATTCAATTAAACCTTAAGTGAATAGTCCTCTCTCCATTTTTAAGCTTTTTAATAAAGATTAGAATTAAGAATAAAATAATAATTTTTCCACTTAACTGTAGAATTTAGTGAGTGCAGGAGTGAACTTAGATTTTAATAATAATAAAGATGAATCTAAAGACACTATTATAGATGATAAGAGATTTGATGTATTAGCACATTTTAATTACTACTTCCCACATGGAAACTTCTAAAATATCATGTATCAATTAGAAAAGGTGGATGAATATCATATTTCTCCATCCCTAAGGCCTCAACTTTTGTATTAAGATAATATTACTGACTATATTAATTCCTAAAGAGATTAAAATAGTAGCAGATACCAGTCTATATTGATCAAAGGAAATAGTGAAGATTTTTCTAAAAGATAAACAATTTGCAACATATCTCCTCCCTAGAGAAGAAAAAATGTACTTCATACAAGATTTTTAAAAAGAGGGTCTGAAATTTTAAAATAAAATCTTACGAGAACAAAAATTTTAGGTAATTCTAAAATAGAAAATTTAATTAAAAAATTCTAAGATTAAGAAACTAGCAACTAAGATAATCAAGACTAAATGCAACAATCAGTAGATATTTAAAACCAAAAAATAATAAGAAGACAAAGATAAATTATGACCAAAATGACTTTAGTCAACATCCCTAAATTTAAAAAATTCTCAAATTAGGATTTTTATTAGAATTTAAATTCTCCTGGATTCAACTCAAACTTAGTTAGCAAAAAGAAAATAGATTCAAAGATAGGTTCTTTGGAAAGTTCAAGCTTTGATCCTGTCTTAGCAAATGGTTCATCGAGAAATTATAATTTATCAATTTAATCTCAACAAAATGAAGAAGATTAATTCATTTCTCCTAAATTCTAAAAATTAGTTACTCCCTCTAGATCACCTGTATCCCTTAAAAATGGTGTTAGCTTATTCTCTAAATTTAGCCTAGATAATATATAAGAAGATAAAACATTCCATATGCAGAGCACATTAAAGAAATCTTAATTTAAATCTGAAGCAAATGATTGATTAACTTAGAACAAATTAAAAATTTATTAGCCACTTATAGTTAATGAGAAAGTTAAAGTTCTTTTAATAATAAAATCTAATCTAGAATAGTGAGATTGGTGCTTCTGTTTCAACAAATATTAAACACCTAATAAGTATATTATTTTATGATTTGTTAAAAATTTGATTTAAAAACCAAATATATTTATTCCAAATAAATAAATTTTTTTCTTTTCTTTATTATTTATTAAATAAACATTTATTATTATTATTTTTATTTGTAAATTTAATTATGTATGTATGATCTATATTTAGTTATTTTAAATTTCAATCAAATATTATTATTGAATAGTTATTTTTCAAAAATAATTGAGTTTAACTTATTAAATTATTTAGATTAATGTAAGAGTTAATGCATTTTTTAAAAATTTATTTTTCTATAAAAATATTTTTTTTAATTTATTTTTTATTTAAATTTGATATGGTTAGTTTTATTTGTAATATCCTTAAATTTAAATGAGTAATCAATCTAAGGAAGACCTAAGGTTCTTATACTTTAAAAAATTAACTACATTTAAATAAAAATTAAAAATAATTTTAAAAATAAATTACTTAAACATTTTTAGATTAAATTTTTAAATTGATAAAGACTTAAAAAGCATTTTACTTTTTTTAAATATTTATTTTACAATGCTGATGAATAAAGAAATTATCTTTGAATGTTGAATTGCCTTTATCATTTAAGTAGAATTAATATTTTGTATTTGACTTATAAATAGATAATGTATTTGAGAATTTTAGAATTAAATCACATTTCTGTTTGTTTTTTTTTGAGCTTTCAATTATTAAATTTGAAAATAAATTGAATTTGCGTTATTAATTAATTTGTATTTGTTTTTTAAAGAAATTTTACTAATTTCATTTGTTAAATAAAATGGCAGACGTAGATTTAATAAGATAGTATAATCTATCTTAGTTTTTTAAAAACTTCGAAATCCAATTAAATGAATATGAAATTACTCACTGTATTCTTTTTTTAAATTCATTTAGCCTTTTCATTTACATTTTTTATGTTTAGAAAAATTAGTAAGAGATAGATACATTCTGCATGGCAACATAAAATAAACTGGGAGAAAAATAAAGATTACAAGAAAGGAGTTTTGCATAAAAAGCGATTTAGTAGTAAAGAGGTTTGTTAGCTTAATGAAATGCTTCGAAAATAATATTGTGATTGCAGATGATATTTTTTTATCGCTAGAAAATGGAGGTAATTTTAAAGAAATAAATTACTTTTGAAGAAATAATAATAATTAAATAAAGATATTTATCTTTATGTTGTTGAGCCTTACAAAGATGATACTTAGCATCAAGATATTGTTCGTTTAGTGGATTTGCTACACTTCTGCAAAATAAATAGGAAAACTAAATTAGACATTTTTATTAATCTATTAAATTGCTTGCAATTTTTACAAGATTTAGGTATAAAACTATATATATAATTTTATTATATTATTAAATGATATTTATAAAAAAAAACAAGATGTTTAATATATTGAGTTGAATCCTAAGTCTATTTGGATTTAAAATGAATAAAAGGTTTATTTAAAACCATTTAATATTGATATCGAAGAATCTTATCACTTGTCAGCTATTTAATAGACCAAAGCTAAGTACACAGCTCCAGAAATATTCTTTTAGTATAACTATGGAAAAAAACTTATAAATAAATTGTATATTATTAATATGTAAATAGGAAATAAAATTTATTTATTTATTTTGTTTAATTTTAAGGTATTTAGAAGCAAAAAAGGCAGATATATGGAGTTTAGGTTGCATTTTTTGTGAGCTCTTTATTACTGAAAAGCCACTTTTTGAAAGCGAAAATTTTAATTAACAAGCTATAAAATATTTTGAAATTCTAGGAATTCCAGATAAGTCAGAAATAATTTATATTGAGGAAGATATTTAAAAAGCAATAGATTAAGCAATATTAACAAAAGGTGAATTATATAACATATCTTATATTAATACTGTCATACTAAATTGCAGGACTGAATATGAAAAATATGTCATTCTTAATACCTTATAATTCGATCCTTAAATTAGAACAAGCTTAAAGAGTCTATTAGAGGAATCATAAATATTCCACTAAGAGGTCAATAAGTTTGTTGAAGATTAAAATGGAATATCATAAAAAATAGTATAGGAATAAGAAAAGCAAGATTGGTGGTAGAAAGACATAGATAGTGATAGTTAATTTTCTCAGCATAGTACATATTAAGAAATATTAGAAAGAAAGAAAAATAACATGAATTCGTTCTAAAAATTTTAAAATGAAGAAAAAAATTGTGAATTATCAATCAATTTATTAAATTTAATTTAATTTGATTATGAAAACTTAGAAAAATATATCATCAAGTTAAAAAAAGCAACTTGGTTTGATTCCTTAAAGTAATAAAAAATATAAAATGAGTAAGATATCTTGCATACATTCTAAGAAGAATCTAATAATCAATTATTTATTTAAGCTGTATTTAATATATGCTACGATTCTTCTTTTCTTTCATTTTCTACAATTATATCACCTAAATTCAGTTATACTAAATCCTAGATAGAATTCGATCATACTGTATCTCTAAAATTTGATTCACAAAAGCTTAGTAGAGCTATGAAAATCAATCCTATTCATATAGAATTATATTTTTTATTTCAAAACTCTCCAGAAGATGAAGGTAGATTTTCAGCTTATTTTTTAATTTATATAAATAAAGATTAAAAATTTACATGAATATACTAAGCATTTACAAATAATTTTTAAAATAAATATTTATTCAATTTTTAGTACTTAGAGTTAAAATAAAAAATAAAATAAAACTTTTTAAATTTTATAAAATTAATATAGTTAACTCATCAAACAAGATAATTATTTTTAATTTTATGATTTTTAAATATATAATCATATCTTAAAAATTTTTATTAATTAACTTTTAAAATAAAAGTTAATGATCCTAAATAAGAGATAAAATTTTAATTTGCTGACTGTTTTGTTGATATTGGATTGTTATTTTATGAAAATATTCTTAATCCTAAATAGCAAAATAAATCGATAACAAAAATATTAAAAGCTGTAACAAATTGCAACGATGAATAAAATTATGATGACGAAAGAATAAAATGCAGATTGAATGATTAAGTTAACTTTACAAGCATAAATTCTATGCATAACAATTATAATTCGTAAATACAGTAAAAAGTAATAGGATAGATTTAAGTAAAATTATATTAAAAATTTGAATTAAACTATAATTTTTAATGAATTAAAAAAGGCAAATATTAAGCTTTCAATACTAGATAACGGTTAACAGTAAAGTTATTCGCAAAGAATTTATCCAACAAATGAGAATTAATCTCAAAATAAGTCTATTAATTTATCTTAAATTTCATAAAAAAGAATGAATATGAACATTTAAAATGAAAAATAAAATAAAATATTTTCAACAATTAACACCCAAAATAAAACAACAAGAAATACAAATAATCATTAAAGTTAAATATAAAATACAACTAATATTACTGATACAAATAAAAATTCAATTAATTACATCCGATCTTAAATCTTAGAAACTAAAAATAAACATTAAATTCAAAAAAATTTATCTTCTCCAATACAACTATTAACATAAGGTAAATTTTATTACATTTAATAAAAATCAATAATAATTTTTTTTCAATAAAATAATCTATGAATTAGAAAATAATAAATAAATTATAATTTTTTCTCTTAACTTAACAATAAATTAATATTCTCAATAATATTATAAATTAGAATTGGAGGAGTTAGATAAGCAATTAAAACAGAAACTTTTAAATTCAAATTGATAAATTATAATAAAAGATAAAACTAAATCATTTTTAACATTTTTTAATTATTTTGTTGAAATTTTTTTATTATACTTTGATTAATATGAAAAATGTAAAATAAATCATAGTTAAATGTAATTTGTGTTAATGGATGAATAATAAATAAATTATTAGTTCGCAATAAATTGAAATAATAAGTATGATTAAGTGGCAAAATTTTTTTTGTGCTAATATATTTGTAGAGTGAATAAATGTAAGCTAATTGAAATATTTGGTTGAACTCAATTAGTAATATTGCAAACATATTATGTAATATTTTTAGATGTAAGCTGATTGATAATTAACTAGGTTATAAGTAATGCATTATTACAAGATTACTTTTAGTATTAATAATAATAATAATAATTAAAATAAAAGAAGGTTAATCAATTTTCAATCAAGTTAAAAAACAAATAACAGTTTAATAATAAGAGATAATTAAATATGTCTGCTACTACTGGCAAGGTCATCAAAATAATTAACATTTGTTCAGCGTAAACCAACAATAAATTATTTTAAAATTTTTATTGAAATGATCTAATTGATAAAATAAAAAACAATAATTGACATTAATGATTAAAAAAAAAAAGACTAGTTCTAGCTATTGCGGGTGTATGGAGAATAGTCTCTTTATAAATATTTAAAATATTAGATACTTGGTAATGCTTCGACTTTTTCATGCCATTTTTTATGATGTAAATAATTCATTTTAGAATAAATTGCGAGCTTTTTTGATTATAACATTTTATATTTTTATTAGACTTTTAGGCGTAATGCTTTTAGTGATAGAATTCAAAAGAGACTTTATGGAGAAGTATTTCTTTTTCCTAACAACTCTGCTTGGAAGAGGAATATTTAACGTTTTGTAAATTAAAAAAATCATTTATTTATTAAATTTATAAATATGAAATTCTATTAAATAAATAGTTTATCTAGCATGAGCGTTTTTTCTATTAATAACGAGTTTAATTCTCTTCTTGCTCCTTTCATTTATTCGCTTATACTTTTTGTTATTGGATTTTTTTACATAATACTCAGTCTTTTTTTGGTAAAATTAATATTTATTTTGAATTTCTATTAATTAATTTTGTATAACTAAAATATTTAGAAGGATGGTCATGAAGAGCTTAAGGAGGTAAAATTAAATAAGATTAGAATTTATATAAAAATATTTTTATTTTATAGCAACTAGTTTGAAAAACATATTCCAGTCGTATCAAATATTTAAATCAATTAACTCGTTATAATAGTTAAAACTTTAGCAAATTCTTGTAAAATATATTTGTAAATTATTTGTTCTTATTTTAATAAAACATCAACAAATTATTAATTTTTTATTTCAAACAAAAACTCCAAATAAATAAAATAAATAGGTATGTCAATTATTTTTTGTTTGAAAAACATGAAAATTGACATTAATGTATTTTCTTGGTTTTTATTAAATAAATGTAATTAAGATAACATTTTAAGTAATTTCAAAAAGCTTAAATTTATAATTTTTTAATACAAAAACTAAAATTTATTGATCTGTAATATCTATCTACATTTTAAATATTATTTATAAGTATATGAAAGTTATATTTAAAATTAAATTAAATAAATTTCTTTTATAAATATTCAAATAAAATGAAATAATTCTAATTATATTTTTTTTTATCAAAACTTATAATATAATATGAATTAAATTTTAACTGGCTTTGGAAGGGTAAATGTAAATGATGATAATTGACTTAATTGAATACACTTAAAATATGCAAATAATTTTAATTTACGTAGAATTGGCAATATTATTAAGTTAATTAACACAAAAACTGTCCTTAAATCAAAAAGCACTATATCATTCACATATGAAAATAATTAAATTAAAAAATTAGCTTTATTGTTAAGGTATTGGAGATTCAATAAGCTTGTATTTATTATTATTAAAAATAGCAGCAGGAGATTTTAAACTTTTATAGATTAAACCAGAAAGATAAGAAGAACAAAGAGAAAAAGATAAACACCATGTTTACAAAAGAAAACTTTAGTGTTTATGATATAAACAAAACAGTTTAAAGCAATCCAAATTTAGAAAATGGTAGTATTCCAACAAAATTGGATTTAAAAACTGCACTGCAAAGCATAAAGCTAAAATAAAAGATAGGTAATGTTGTCGATAAAACAGCAGCAAGACGTTATCAAAAGCTTAAAAAAGAAAATTTTAGGATGCTTAATGATCTTTCGATCGTTGTACCAGAATAGTAGTATTCAAAAAACTAAACTGACTTTTTTATAGATTAAAAAGAAGCCAGTTTTTTAGAAAAATTAAACAAATTATTTCCTCCATTTAATCCATCTTCTAGAATAAAGCTGATTTGGGACATAAGCTAAATGATTTTAAGTATTTGTATCATTTTTATAGTTCCGATACATCTCGTATTCCAAATAGATTTAATGCAATTAGTACCTTCTGTAATTGTATATACCATAATACCAGTTAGCTTAATAATAGAAATATTTGTCAACTTGAATACATCCTGTTTTTTAAAAGGAGTTCTAATAACAAATAGACCGATAATACTAAAAAATTACCTCCTTTAAGACTTCAAATATGATCTTGTTTCAAATATTCCTCTTTTCATTTATTGTCTCATTTATGTAAAGACAGATTAATCAGAAGATTATCAATTTTACAGGTTCATTATTTTATCAATCTTTTACAAAGTATATATTTATTTCATTAATTCTACTTCTACAATCAATCATAAACTATTAACTATTTAATTATCAATGTTTTTAAAAATGAATATTAAAGATTAATACTTATAAAATAAATAATAAGGTTCTGTAATTTGATAAGGTTTTCAAAAGGATAGAAGATGAATTTCCTTTAAGCACAACTACAAGCAACGTGATTTCTTTAATAAAGCTGCTGTTTAGCATAATTTTAAATTTGCACATTTCTGCTCTTGCATGGTTGATTATGGGTTTCATTTAAATCAAATAAGGATGTTAAAATACGTGGATGGATGGAGCAAGTATATCTAGCGCTGATTGGTATGTATAATATATTTATTCATATTACTTTTCTACTGTTACTATGATTACTGTTGGATATGGTGACATTTCTCCTAGAACAGTAGCAGAAAAGGTACTCTGTATAGTAAATATGATGATAGCTTGTGGATAATTTGCATACAGTGTCAATTCGATAGGAAATATATTTGAATAATTTTTTAGATTAGACAATGAAATTAAAGCTAACATGAAAATAATAAATAATTACATGACCAACAAAACAATATCAAAAGATTTATAGTATTAAGTGAGGGAATACTTGGAATACTACTGGAAACAAGAAAAGGCAAACAATAGTGAATTAGAAGTATATAATTTTTTCAACATACATGATAGTATTTAATCAATTTTCTTTTTATTAGAATAAAATTTTGGAATAGTTATCACATAAATTGAAAGATACGCTGCTTATGGAAGCCAATAAAATAGCTCTCAGGTTTGTGTTTATTAATTTATTTATTTATTTATTTATTTATTTATTTATTTATTTATTTATTTATTTATTTATTTATTTATTACTTTTCAAATATAATTTATTCACTTTACAAATGATACTGAAAAAACTAAATATTATTTATTTGATTAACTTAAAAAAGAGAAAGCCCTATTTTTAGTACAACATTTAGTGAGTCTGTGCTATAAAAAATTCTTCCTCTAATAAAAGAAATAAGATGCACTCCAGAAGAGATTATTTATCTGAAGGGTGACTAAGATGACTTATCGATATATTTTATTGAAAAAGGATAGGTAGAGGCATTTACATATTAAAAAACTCCCTTTAACAAAAAAATGAAGACTGTAAACTCACTTTTCACTTTAAGCACAGGAAAATTTTTTGGTGAGTATAGCTTTTTCACTGGAGAACCTAGAGATATTAATTTTAGAAGTTTAGAATTTACAACTTTATTGGTGATAAAAAGAGGAGATTTCATAAACCTTTTAAAAGATTACCCTGATGATTATGAAGTTTTTTGCATGCTTAAAGATGAAGCAACTTATAACAATGAAAAGAGCTCGATAATGAACAAATGTTAGTGCTGTGACCGATACGATCATTCATTATCTCTATGCCCAGTTATTCATTTTGTCCCATAGAAGTTGAGTGTTATAAGATAATTTTCAACTGGTAGAGATTAAAAACGATAAACAAAAAAAAGAAACAGAAATAAAAAATGTCAACATGCAATTTATAATAACTATGATCTCCAAGTTAGGATTGAAGATTTTGTGAATGACTACCTAGATGAAATTAAGGCATATTTTAGAAAATATTTTATTGAAATGGGCAGATTTGATTCAAATGAATCTATACCTTCTTCAGATATTAATTTTGAAGGTTATGAAGACGAGGATGATGAAGACTTTGAAGATGATATGTAAAATTTAGAAAGTATAGATAAAAAACATAAATGCACAGAAGAAGAAGTTTAAAAATTTTTGTAAATAAATTAAAATGAGAATAAAAGTGAGACTAATTCGTAAATAACCAAAACTGGAACTTAGCAATAAAAGATTTCAATTAATAACATTTAAAGTAAATTATAAATAAATAAATAAAAATATTATATTTTAAAATAATAATTTAAATATGAATGTAGGATTCAGTCTCTTAGAAAGCTAGAAAGTTAGTTAACCTTTGACAAATAATTAAAATTTAGGAAATAATTAGAGTTTTCAAATGATACTTAGTAGTCTTGAATATGACAAGTGTGAAGAAAATGTGCAAAATACGAATACTTAAATATCTAATGATAAAATAAATTAGCTTTAAGTTTAAATAAAAAAGCCTGCTTGTTCAATGATTATGGAGGGATAAGAAAATGAATCATGCATAAATTTAAAGGCAGAAGAAGGATAGAATATTTAAGAATCATAAGAACAAAATATAATTAATTTAAATAGGAAAGCAGGCACTAGGAAAAAAACAAGATAAACCACTCTGAATTCTTAAAAACTTTAAAAATTATAATATCAAAAATAAGGTACTGTAAATCAGCAGCTGAATAATAAGAAACAAAATATTTAATCTTGCAGTTTAACTCATCTATAACAGATTTTAGATTTTATAAATAATTTAAATATCGATCTGGATACTGCTTTAATAGAAATGTAGAAACATAATATCTTAACCACAAATATTTTAAATAACCATAAATAAAATCGAAACAGCACATAATTTACTAATCCCAAGCCAATTTTTTAATAATAAGGAGAAAATTTTATGAATTATCAAAAAAATACTTAATATTCTAAGCCATCTGAGAATGGTCATCATTCATTTTTAAGTTTAGCTATAAATTATGAATCAATAGATGATATCATGAGAAATTATAAGCTATACTATCCCTAGCATAACATCTCTAACATTATTGATAATGTTATAGAAAAAAGAAGGTATTTATTTAATTTATCAAAGCTTATGATCTCTTTTGTTTATGATTTCTTTTGATAAATCCAATTTACAAAATAAAACATTTTTTTAATTTAAAAAAAAAATTTTTCATTTACATTAAAGCCTATAAATTTGCTAAATTTGCAATCAATAATTACAAAAAAATAACAATTTATTGAATAAAAGCATTTCTTAACTAATTCCAGTTATTTATGTAGAAAAATGTTATTGATGAAGAAAAATATGATAAATTTTTTATGTTGGATAAAATTAGAAAAAATTTTTTGAGCTAGTTTTAAATTTTATTATAAAATAAGATAAAAGAGAGAGGATGAGAGGAAAAAAATGGAAACACACCTTTAATAGTAACTCAACTAGTCAGCCATGATAACAAAAAGGGTAAGGTAAACTTAACAAAAAGTTCTGATTGCAAATAGGTCTTCAAAATTTGCTGCTTCTAGATAATCTTAAATAACAAACTTTTAAAAGTTAGTAACTAAAAATTTAAATGCAGCAAGTTAATTTTAAGATGATGATGATTCTTCATCTAAAAGCTCTGAAGAATAATCATAAGTCTTCCTTGATAAATAAAAAACAATAAAATCATCCCGTAAATCTAAAAAATCTTTTAAAAATCTCGATTGTGACAGTCAAAACAACAAACAATTAAACAATTAGTAATAAGAAGATTTGGATTAAAGCAAAGCTAACAGTGATGATTAACAATAAGAAAAGTAGAATATTAAGAGCTAAACAAGTTTAAAGAAAATTGAAAATATAGTTGAAGATGAAGTTGAAAAAGAAGATCCTATCCATAAAATTTAGATGCAACTGCTTTTTAATGATGTAGACTCTCTTTCAGCATCAAAATTTAGTAAATATAATACGTTGTAAATGGAAGATTGCCAAGATAAAAGTAATAATCATAACAATTCTTAATCCCCATTTGCAGTCATGTATAAAAATGTTGAAGCAAATTATGAAGCACAAAGTATTAATGAATTAGAATACAATAAAATATGTAAATATAATAGCTTTGTAAAGGATTGAAAAATAAATTAATTATGATAAAAGCTATTATAAATAAGAAGATTTAACTATTTAAAATGTATGTTGATTGTTTGTATTGTTAAATTAAACAAATTTGTTGCATATAATTTATGTTATTTTAATATTTCAAATAAGATCACTATAACAGTGATTAAATATTGATTGTAATTTCAAGAAGTCTGTTTGATAACAGCAGTATTAATTCTACCAAAATAGTATTAAATAAATCAGCATAAATAACTAGTTTTTATTACAAATCCTTTCACTTAATTAAAATTAAAAAGTAAGAATAATAAAAAGACTATTTATTTAAAGACCATTATTTCATTTTTATACTTATGTAAGATAATTAAAGCAAACTAAATCAAGCACAATTGAGGCTTTTCACTTAGAAGGTTAGTCTGAAAGGCTAAATGACCTTAAAAACTAAAGAAAAAATTTAAAATGATAACAATATAAGTAACAGTAAAAGAGATCTAAAGTAGGCTTTGTAGAGTATAAAAATCAAGTAAAAAATAGGCAATATTGTTGATAAAACAGCTATTAGGCGTCTCTAAAAGCTTAAAAAAGAAAATTTTAGAATGCTCAATGATGCAGCAATAATTTTATAAGACAAGTAGAGCTCTAAAAACGAAATTGAATATTTAGTAGATAAAAATGATCTTAGTTTCTTGGAAAAGTTGGATTAATTATTTCCTCCATTTAACCCATGCTCTAGGATTAAGCTTTTATGGGATGTTATCCAAATGTTTTTTAGTATTTGTATTATTTTCATAGTACCTATTCATTTAATTTTTGAAATTGATCTTATGGTATTAGTTTCTCCCTATGTTGTCTACACTATCATACCATTAAGTCTAATGGTTGATATATTTGTGAATCTAAATACTGCTTGTTTCTTAAAAGGAACCTTAACAAATAACAGAAAAATTATTTTTAAGAATTATTTAAGACAAGATTTTAAGTACGATATTATAGCTAATGTTCCCTTATTCATTTATTGCATTTGTTATTCAAAGTTAGATCCATCTTAATAGTACTAATTGTATAGATTTATAACGCTTACTTGCTTCTACAAAGTAAATTTGATTAATAAAATGATACATTTAAATAATAGCTTTAGCATTAAATTCTATCAAATAAGTAACTTTCACATTAACTAATATTTTAAAATGATTTTAAAAGTATGCAGTTTTTTACAAAGATAGATTAAAAAATTAGCCAATATAATCTACTTTTATCTTATTTGGTAAACTATTAAAAATTAGGCTTTTTGAAGGACAATTCAATAAAAATTAATTAATTATATATGATAACAATTTATTTAAAAATTTAATTAATTAATAGGTTTATCAGTTCAATAGAGTGTTTAAAAGGGTAGAGGATGAATTTCCTCTAAGCACTTAAACTAGTAACATAATCTCACTAGTTAAACTTTTTTTGAGTATTATTTTAAACTTGCACATTTCAGCATTAGCTTGGCTTATCATAGGATTTATCTAAATTAAATAAGGAGAAACTAATACTTGGATGAACGCAGCAAGTATTGCAAATTCTGAATGGCACGTTTAATATATTTATTCATACTACTTTTCCACAGTCACTATGATAACAGTTGGCTATGGAGATATCTCTCCTCACACTATCGCAGAAAAAATATTAAGTATTATAAATATGATGATAGCATGTGGCCAATTTGCATATAGTGTAAACTCAATCGGAAATATATTTGAACAATTCTTTAGACTTGATAACGAAATTTAAGCAAATATGAAGATCATCAATAGATACATGACAAATAAAACAATATCTAAAAATTTATAATATTAAGTTAGAGAATATTTAGAATATTACTGGAAATAAGAGAAATCTAATAATACAGATTTAGAAGTAATCAATATTTCTATTCAAAATTTATCATTATTATTTTTAATATAATTAGGTTAAAATTTTAAATTAACTTTCACATAAGTTGAAAGAAACACTATTAATGGAGGCTAATAAAATAGCTTTAAGGTAAATTTAACTAATAAATCTTCTACCAGTAAGTGTTCTTGAATAAGAGAATTCCATATTAAGAGAATTTCTAATTAAGATTAAAAATTTTTTCATATGATTACTTTTATTCTCTAAAATAAGAGTGAAATTTTTCTTAATATTTTTTTTTATTGAATTTTATTATTTTTTTTAAAAATTTGTAATCATAAATAAGTAAATAAGTAATTACACCTTCATTTTTCAATGCTACATTTTTATTAACTGCTCTAAATAAATAAGATAATTCATTGAAAAGAGAATTTTTTAGAAAAATTATTTTTTTTTTTCATCTCTTATTCAATTATTCAAGAGTACGATGGTATATTTAATATCAATTATGATTTTAAATTGATATTCTCAAATTCCAAAATAAAACTTTTGCACATTAATTGAATAGGGAGAGTCCTATTTTCAGCAAAAATTTTAGTGAGTAAATAATATAAAAGACTGTGCCATTGATTAAAGAAATTAGATGTACTCCTGAGGAAATTATTTATCTCAAGGGTGATTAGGATGATTTTGCAATATATTTTATTGAAAAAGGATAAGTTGAAGCATTCACTTATTAAAGGACACCTTTTAACAAGAAAATGAAAACTATCAACTCTCTATATACGATAGGTAAAGGTGATTTTTTTGGAGAGTATAGCTTCTTTACTGGAGAACCTAGGGATATTAACATAAGAAGTTTAGAATTCACTACTCTCTTGAAAATTAAAAGAGCTGATTTAGTGACTTTACTTAAAGACAGTCCAGATGACTTTGAAATATTTTGTATGATTCGAGACTCTGCAACATTTAATAGCGAAAAGAGTTCTATTATGAGTAAATGTTAATGCTGCAATGAATTCGAACATTCGATATCATATTGTCCTTTAATACACAATGTTCCGAATAAGTTTAATATTATAAGACTACATTCTACAGGCAGGGATTAACCAAGAGAAAAAATTAAAAGAAGGAGAGACAAGAAGAAAGAAAATACATATTTTCACAACTATGACTATTAAGTAAGGATGGAAGATTTTGTAAATGATAATATGGAAGAAATAAGAGCCTACTTTAGGAAATATTTCATTGAAATGGTAAGAATAGATTCAAACGATTCAATACCTTCTTCAGACATATTTGAAGAGTATGGTGATGATGAAGAAGAAGAAGAGCTAGAAGATTGTGATTAAGAAGATTTTATAGATCCTTAAAATTAAGTGTCAAAAAAATCTCAACTATTTCTAAATTTAGCATAAAGGTCAAATCCTTTAAACATAAATAATCAATTATAAAATTTAGCTTTGAGCACAAGCAACCATTCATAGAAAATAGTAATTGGCTTAGATTAAAAAATGGTTAGTTAATAAAGTAAAGATTTAGAAGCTCATAATTAAAATTAAGAAAATTAAAAAAAAGGTTAAGTTAGCTCTGAAGATAAATTGGTCAGCTCAAGTAAAAATATTTTAGCTGAAGAAGAAAAAATTAATACTAGCGATTAACAAAATGTAATAATACCATCGAGTATTACCAGAAAGCAATCAAGGCATAACACAATAAATACAAAAAAGATGTCGAAAATTCATAATAATAGGAGTGAAAGTATTTTTAGTATATAGAAAAAACATAGAGGAAGCAGTATAAATAGTATTGCTTAATCTATTTTTGACATAATTAGAGAGAGAAATATTGATCCTTTAGAAACGATACTTGAATTGATGAAACTAAATTAAAATTAATATTTAGGCGGAAATCCTAATCATCAATTTAATAAATAACCTTCTTTAGGAAATCCTAATTAGCACTTGTAATAATAGTAAAGTAATTTGTTTGGCTAAGCTAACACAAATCAAAGAGATAATCTTATCAAAAAGCAAACATATTAATCTGAGTAAGATAAACAAAGAGAGTAATCACCCATAAACATGATGTTTTAAAGCTAAAATTAATAATAATAAAATTTTTAAGAGCCCATAGATGATACAGCTAGAAATTATAAATTTTATTATCCTTAGCATAACTTGTCAAATATTATCGAAAACGTTTTAGAAAAGAGAAGGTAATTAATCATTTATTTCTTTCTTTTACTTATATTATTCTATTATTTCTTCCTATTTGATGGTTAATTATTATCAAATACTTAATTTTGTCAATTGTTTTTATAAAATTTGATATTTATTTTTTAAAGAAAAAAGAAATTGTTTAAAATCATTTAAGATAAATATTAAAAATAAATTAATATTACATAAAACAATAGTTTTTCTAAACTAAACTTTGCTTTTTTTTCAAAAATCTAATTCTAAATTTAAAAATTTTCAAGACTTTATTTTACCTCTTTTTTTAATGTTTTCAATATAGATAAAAACGTGAGGAAGAAAAAAAAAGAATAGAGCTCATTTTTTAAAAGTAATTACTTTAGAATATTAATATTAAACCTAGGGCTAAGACAGGTTAAGTTAAGGTTGTTTAAATTGCTAATAGATCTTATAAAAGACCTTTAAATAGAATTTCAAGTGACATCAGAAAGCTTGATAAAATTTAAAAACTTATGAGTTTTAAATTAAACACTAAAAGTAAAAGTATAAATGAAGAAGATGGTTAAAGTAGTTGTTCATCTGAAACATCTAAAATAGAAAATAGCTCTCAAGCATCCAAAAACCGCTTTTCAGTTTTAAAATAATAGAATCAAGAACAATTTAAAGAAAACTAATCAAATTCTTAAATATAAGATAATTAATCAAAAAAAGATTATCTGAAAAGAGACCCTACCATTTAACTTAATTAAGAAGATAAATAAAACGATGAAGATATAGAATAAGATGATTAAATGTATGTACAGCCAATACAAAAAGAATTTAAAATTTACAATTCATTTTTTCAAACAAAATATAGCAAGTGTAACGATACTTGTGATCTTGATAGCATAAAACTCAACTTTGGTTAGCAATCAGAGAGTGTTTCTATGCATAAATTAAAATTTAGCAATGAAAATATTTGAAATAAAACTTCAAATTTTCAATAATTTCTATGATATCAATCAAATAAATGTTTGTTTGTTTGTTCTATGTTCTGTTTAATAGCTAATATTCAAAAAAATACAATTTTATTAAAAATTTTTCTTTTATTTGTAAGCTCTTTCACTTATTAAATAAATACCTACATTATATTTTCGAAAAATAAAATAAAAAGTACATCATAAAATGTAATAGGTTTTTAAAATACACCTGCAATTTAATTAATTCAAAAAATATATCATAAAAATAATCTTTTATACCATGTATCAATATTATATTCTTTAATGTTACAAATATTTTATATAATTTTTTATTAAATAGAAAGAAGAAAATAATTGTTTGTTTTACTCAGAAAAATTAAATAAATGGGGGTACAGCTTTTATTAATTTTAAATGAAAATTCAATAAAATAAAAATATATTAACTTAAATTTTTAAGTTATTAAAAAAAAATAATTTTTTGTCAGCCTAAATAATATATTGTTTAACTATGAAATATTCTTGGTAATTATTTTTTAAAAATAACTAACTATTAATTTTATTTAGGCTAAGATTTATAGTTTCCAAGAGTTAAATAGTAAAAAATTTATAATAATTTATGATTAGATTGCCTCTTTAAATTGTATTAATTGAGTCCTTACTAAATTTTAACTATTTTTTCTAGTAGAATTATTAGCCTTAATTAATTATTAAATAAGCAACTTTATAAAACAAGAAAAAACAGAAAATTTGTTTAAAATGTTATAAAATAAAAATACTTTTTAAATAAGAAACTATAAATTAACTTAAATTAACGGGAATAATGAGTAGGTAGTTGATTAAAAAAATTAAAATGATTTCAATGAAGATAAATTAATGGATTTTAATAAGAAAGATTTAAAAACAGCTCTTTAAAATATTAAATTGAAGTAAAAGATTGGTAATATGATTGATAAGACAGCAGGAAGACGCTACTAAAAACTTAAAAATGAAAAATTTAAAATGCTGAATGACCTTTCTATTGTAATTTCTGAAGATTCATAATCCAAGCATTAATCGGATGATTTCTCAGAGAAAAAAGAGGACAGTTTGATTGAAAGATTCAATAAAATATTTCCTCCTTTCAATCCATCTTCTCGAATAAAACTAGTCTGGGATCTTACTTAAATGATTTAAAGTATATGCATTATTTTTATTGTACCTATTCATCTTATTTTTTAAGTCGATCTTATGCAACTAGTACCTTCTCTTTTGGTCTACTCTATTATTCCTTTAAGCTTAATTATTGAAATATTTGTAAATTTAAACACTGCTTGCTTTTTAAAAGGTGTACTAATTTTTAGTAGAAAAACAATATTCATGTAATATTTTCACTCTGATTTTAAGTATGATATAATAGCTAACATCCCTCTCTTTATTTATTGCCTAAGTTACCAAACCATTAATCCTTCATAGCCCTATCAGGCTTACAGGTTTGTCATACTTACTTGCTTCTGTAAGGTAAAAATATTAATTTTATATTTATTTATTTTTAATATTTGAACTTTATTTAAAGCTTATTTAAAAATAGTTAAGTTATAAAGAGTAGATATATGTTTATTCATTTGCTCATAATTAATTTTGTTTGCTTGCTTAGTTCTTTTATTATTTTATTTCAAATTTAAACTTGTTAAAATAAATTATTTCAAGTGACTAACGAGTTATTTTAGTATTTAATTGTTTTTGTTTGTTTACAAAAAAGGTTCACTAATTCAATAAAGTATTTAAGAGGGTTGAAGAAGAATTTCCTTTGAGTGCTTTAACAAGCAATATAATTTCTCTGGTTAAACTTCTTTTTAGTATAGTTTTAAATTTGCATATTTCCGCTCTAGCATGGCTTATAATTGGATTTATTCAAATTAAGAATGGAAGCACTGATACTTGGATGGATGCAGTAGATATTTCTCATACTGATTGGTATGTACAGTATATATATTCATATTACTTTTCAACAGTAACGATGATCACTGTTGGGTACGGGGATATCTCTCCAAAGACAGTAGCAGAAAAGCTTCTATGTATTGTAAATATGATGATAGCATGCGGTTAATTTGCTTATAGTGTAAATTCTATTGGGAATATTTTCGAACAATTTTTTAAGTTAGACAATGAAATAAAAGCTAATATGTTTATTATTAATAACTATATGACTAATAAAACGATTTCAAAAGACTTGCAGTATTAAGTAAGAGAATATCTAGAATACTATTGGAAAGAAGAAAAGTCTAACAATACTGATTAAGAAGTAAAAAACAATTAATTACTTTGTATTCATCAACTTAATTAACAATATCCTTGTAGTTAAAAATTTTAGACTAGCTCTCACATAAATTAAAAGATACACTTTTGATGGAGGCAAATAAAATAGCTTTGAGGTATTATCAATTAATAAATAGCATTTTTAAATATTTTTTTGATCAATTTTAATAGCTTTTGTCTAATAATTTTTTAAACCTTCTTTAAAAAAAAAAAGAGAAAGCCCCATTTTTAGCAACAATTTTAGTGATACAATAGTGTAAAAAATATTACCTTTGATTAAAGAAGTAAGATGCACACCTGAAGAAATTATATATTTAAAAGGTGATTAAGATGATTTATCTATATACTTTATTGAAAAAGGATAAGTTGAGGCATTCACTTACCAAAAAACACCTTTTAATAAAAAGATGAAAACTATTAATTCTCTATATACAGTAGGACCAGGTAAATTTTTTGGTGAAATTAGCTTTTTTACAGGCGAAAGTAGAGACATCAACATAAGAAGTCTAGAATTTACTACTTTATTAAAGATCAAAAGAAGTGATTTTCTTAATCTTTTAAAAGATTTTCCTGATGACCATGAAATTTACTGTATGCTCAGAGACTAAATATTTTACAGTAAGGAAAAGAATTCTGTTATGAGTAAATGTTAGTGCTGTTAGCAATACGATCATTAATTATATCTTTGCCCTTTGATTCATTATGTACCTTCAAAGTTTAATATTATTAGGCAGTTTTCAACTGGAAGAGATAATTAAAGATAAATCTACAAAAGAAAGAAACCCTAAAAAAAGGACAGCACTTTATCAAAAAATTATTATTGTTAGGTAAGAATGGAGGATTTCGTTAACGATAATATGGAAGATATAAGAGCTTATTTTAGAAAATATTTTATAGAAATGGGAAAGTCTGATAATGATGAATCTGTGTCTTCCTCTGATATTGATTTTGAAGATGACGACTACGATGATGATGATGAAAACGAAACTGAATGCCGTAGCAATAGTAGAAATGATGAAAAAAATAAAGATTTTAATATTTAAGAAAATGAGTTGGGTAAATTTTTTGAATAGAGATCAACCAGAAAACACTTATCAATAAAGTCGGCCAATGCAAATAAAAAATTTAATTAAGATAGCTAAAATTAACAAATTCATTAAAATAATGAATAGAATTTGATTTTAAACATTGAAGAAAGTCTAGACATTTCTGACTATGATAAATAAGAAGAGAATATCAGACCTTCAATTAGTAATAACATGAGTAATAATATAGATAACAACATAAATTAGATAGAGATTAAAATAGATAAGCCTCGCTGTTTTTCAAATATTGAATTAGAAGAATATATTTAAACTAAACAAGATGATTAAAATAAAAATTAAATTGAGCAGCAGATCAAGATAATAGTTCCAGCATAAAGTACTAATTAAAAATAGCAGCTCAATTCAAAAATGACTAGAAGATCATTATTAAACTAGCAAACTAATTTAAGTGATTAGAGGAGGCTTTCATAAAAGAGAAATTGTAGTAGCATTTGGTCTCTTTATAAAAAGCTACAAAAGTAAAATGGGTAAAAAAACGAATAAGCTATATCTGAATAGTAAAAAGATTAAAAAAATGTTGACATAATTTCTATGTTTCTTTAAATTATGAATTAAAATAAAATTTAATATGCTCATAAAACAGCTAATAATAGGAAGTAAATACTTCCAAATAATATGAATCCTTCTATTTTTTCAAACAAAGGAACAGAATTTGAAAGTATGCTAATAAATAAAAATTATCAAGCTAATCAAAATTAATTAGAAGGAGATAAAAGAAATGAATAAATTGCTTAATAATAATAATACTATAATCAGCTATTGATATAGAACTAGCTTATAAGTTAAGATTCAATCGATGACACTATGAGAAATTATAAATTTTACTATCCTAAACACAACATTAGTAATATTATAGAAAACGTTATAGAGAAGAAGAGGTAAATAAAATATTTAACTTTTATCATTACACTACATTTATTTATCAATAAAATTAGGTAAAAAAGAGAAGAAGAAAAGAAAAAATTGGAGGAAGATTTTTAACAAAAATTTAAAGACAATGTAATGATATAGAAAAGAGTTAGAACCAATTAACTTAGAATTATTTAAATAGCAAACAAGGGTAAAAAGAGCTCAAAACAAGCTTCTAAAGAAAATATTGGACTAGAATATTATAACAAAAAACAGACTCTTACTATTTTGTAAGATGAAGCATCTTCATCCTCTTCTTCAAGCTCTATTTCTTAATAGGAGAATCAATAAGACCTCAGTTAATTAGCAGACAATTAAGTCACTTAAAATGCTACTAATAATATGTACGATTAGAGTTCAACAGAAAAAAATAATCAAAATGAGTTGATGTTAAATAATTAGGAAAAATTTATTAATGAAGCCAAAAAAACATGTATTTCCTTTAATAAATCTTAAGAAGAAAATATAGAAAAAGAAGGCACTATTTAATAAGTACATTAAACTAATGATTTAAATTTTAATGTCTCTTTCTCTGCTTCTAACAATTGTATTAATGAAGGCAATGTAGGCTTTCATGAAAAAAGTTATACAAATGATATTGTAGATTAAAATAATAGTTTTAATTTTAATTAATCTTCTAATAGATAATAATTAGATTAAAGTAATACGAATTTTATGACTGAGAGAGGTCAAAAGCAACAATCTTCTTTTATTTCAAAAATCAACATGAAAAATAATTTCTGAAAATAAACCAAAGAATGAATGAATGATGATAAACATGCATCACTACAATTTTCTATTATTGTAAAGTAAATAACTTAGAATAAATTCTTCTTAGTTAACTCTAAATAAATAAAATAACTTTCAAAAAATAACACATAAAAAGCTAAATATTAATTACAGTTAATCCTCACTAATTAAAGCTTGTTTATATTTAGACTTCTTTTTAAGATTTATGGATTTCAGTTATTTATATTAAAAATATTCAAAATCTAAAACTGACAAGCAAATATGAAAATTATGGTATATCATCATTTAGATTAATTTGGTCTTCAAATGTTGAAGGTTTACTTTATTTAAATGATTTTTAGCTAAGATAATATCCTTATACGACCTAATATTTACAACAACAAATCAAATGCCTTCATACAATTAACTGTTTTGATATTTGTAAATTCATACAAATAATAAAATTATGTTCTTTTTTAAATAAAACATAATATAAATGTTGAATTTTGTAAACTAAATTTAAAAAATCAATTAATGTTGATTTTTAAATATTTCAGTTTTAGTTTAAGTAAATGCAATAATTTGATATGAATAACACATATATTTTATTTTTATCTTATACTAAATTTAAATTAGAGTTATAAAAAATTTCAAATAATTATTATTTTAAGTTGTTTTTGTAGTATTTTAAAATATTATAACAGTAAATGAGATTTTCAATCAAAAACCAGTGAAATTATTCTTCTTATTTAATTACAATTAATATTAAAGAAAATCTTTATGTCATAATTTAAAATTTATTATATGAATTCAAGTTATCATAAAGATAATTTGTAACAAAGATATTAAGATATATCAAACAACCAAACAAACAAATAAGCAACTAAATAAATAAATCAATATAATTTATTAGTTAAAAAATAAAGAATTGAATATTAAATATAAATATAAGCAAAAAGAAAAAAGAAATGTACTCTTCAGCATCTTGTAATTTATTCTAATTTAGATTAGAATTATTAATTTATTGGTTTTATGTAATAAAAAAGATCTTCCTCAAGGCTCTCCTCATAGAGAAAGAGTTCATCAAATAGCTTAAAAGCTTGCTAATATTTAAGTATGAATATTAAACAATATTTTAAATTTAGTAATAACTAAATGTAAATGAAATAAAAAAGATTGGAGTAGAAAGAGAGAGATACTTGAAATTCGAAAATGCTTTGGAAAATTTAGAAGAGTTAGAATAGAGATTCTCTCAATCAACTTCTGATTTCGATAATAAGCTTAATAGTATAAGAGAAAGTGTAATTTAAAAATGGATTATTTGTTATTATTTCATTCGTTTAATATGAAAAATAAATATTTAGGAATGAAAGATAATAATATATTTTTAATTTAAAAAAATAAATGTCTTTAAATTAATTAGCCTTTTAAAAATAAATACTTAGTTACAAAAGGCTTAAAAGGTTTATGAGAAAGAAAAAATTGAGTATAATCAACTACAAGAAGAGCAAAATAAATCTATCAGTTAGATATCACAAAAATTCTCTGAAGCAATAGAATAGGAATCTCTTGTAAATCTTAAATTATAAAAAATAAAATTTTATTATTAGAATTCACAAACAAACAAACAAACATTCATTCAAACATTGATTTAAAAATAAAATTTTTGCTTTAAATACTTATAGACAAGAAGGGAAGGTGAAAATAGTATTATCAGAGCTTTTGAAGATACAACATAATCTGTTAAGAATAAAATAGCTGAAGAAGTCCATTAAAGAGATTAAGAAGTCAATATTATTACTTCAAATCTCAATTATGATATTCCCAAAATTGCAGAAGCAATTATAACATAAACAAAGGAAAGAGAGCTTTAAGATTAGGAAATTATGAAGATAATTACTTCTGAAGTTTTAGCCATAAATGAAATTATTCAAAGGGAAAAGGCAACTCGCGAAGAATAATCAACTATTGCTCTCGATACTCTTAAGGATGTCATTTAAAGAGTTAAAGCTGAAATTGAAAATGAAAGAAGAACAAGGTAGTTTATTTATTTAATATTTTAATTTTAAACTTATATATAAATTTTAAAAATAAAGAGAAGATATAGAGACATAATATCTTACAACATTCGATTCATTAGTAACTAAGCTTGCTACTGTTTCTCAATTTTGATGAACTGTCAAATAAATATATAGATAGATAGACTTACTACTACAAATAATTAAATCTTTAGAAGATAGATCAAATATATAAATAAAATTAATTACATATTCTTTATTATTGTATTATATTTTTAAAACGAATTGATTGCTAAATCAAATATTTTGTTTGATATTAACACTTAAATTTTATTTTATCAGGGAATTTGCTTATCTAATTGATATAAATCAACTAATAAATAAATTGTGGATTTATATTTTTATAAATTAATCTTTTGCAATTAAAATATTTTAAAGTAAATTTAACTTACCAGTACAAAATATTTAGAAAGTTATTAATAATTTTCAAAAATCAAAAAATAAAACTTGAAACTTATCATTTAAAATACAAAGTTGTTTAGTTTAATTAATTAATTAATTTAAGATATCAGATTTGATAATTATTTGCTTATTTGTTTATTTGATTTCGTTAGTTAGTATTGAATAATTCATATATTTGATTGATAAAGAAAGTATTAATTAATATTGATCAACTCAACTAGAGGATAAATTATACATTATAGAATACGAATAGGATAAAGATAATAAAATGAATTAAGATAAGCATCCTGAAATTACTGATGAAGAGCAGGAACTCATCACAGTAGAAGAACTTTCATAGAAGCTTGTAAAAATGTTTATTAAATTAATTATCGATCTTAGGATACATCATTTGTAATGATTTGATTGCATTAAATAAATAAAAAATAAGTAGCAAGTCAAATCATGTCGTAAATATATATTGAGCTTTAAAATTACAGCGAAAAAAGGCATAGAAAACAAAATAATTTTATTTTTGATATTGTTTAAATATTTTTTATTAAAATTTTTGTTATTAATGAAAGGAATTGCTTTATAAAGATATGGAATAAATTCGTAGAGAAAATTTATTGTTTGAAGCTTATTTGGCGAGAAACAGGAAGGAAATTGCAAAAGAAGATGAAGTTTCGGAAGATAAAAAAGGGAAAGGAAAAAAAAAGGATAAAAATGTTGATAAAAAGAGCTTACTCTTGACAAACGAAGAAAAATTCGAAATAGCATAATAGGAATAAGATGCTTTGAAAAAGTAAATTGATGATGGCCGTATAAAATCAGACTAAATTCTTGAAACGTTAAGAGTAAATAAAAATATTATGATTAATAGCAACTATAAAATCACAATTCATAAACAAATAAATAAATGAAAGGCTATTCTTGAAGAAACAGACATGGCAATCACTGAAATAAGAAAAGATGCGTTTGATTTCTAAAGAGAAATTTTAGTTGGTAAATAAATAAATAAATTTATATTTCATTAGCAGCCATCAAATATTTCATTTAATAATTCAGATTTTAAAATAATATTTAAGTTTTACAAATTAATCTATTTTTGAGTGAAAATAAATAACATTATCATTTTTAAGCTAGCATTTTACTTTATAAACCCTATTCAATAAATTGTAACTTATTTTTCCATTTTTTAGGAGGTGAAAATAGTAGAACTGGTAAGATTGAAGCAGAAAAGATCATAAAATTCTTTGAAGAGAAAGAAAGATAAAAGGATGCTTTGATTGCTAAGTATTCATCTAAAAGAACAAACCTAGAAAGATAAATCTTAAAAACTAACAATTAAATTTAAAAAAAAGAAGAAATGGGAGATGACCTGAAATTCATTGATTTTTATTAATTATAAATCGAAAATAAGAAATATGTAAAGGAAATCGATGATAAAAATAAAAAGCTTCTAGCTTTAAAAATATCAACAAGTAAAATTTTTTTTATTTTAAATATACAAAAAAGATAAGGTCTTCAGTTATATTTTTTATACAAAATAAATGCTCTTTAAGTTGAGTTATTGAAAATAATTTATTTCTGATAAGCTTTAAAATAAATTTAATATCACCATTTATTTAACTTAGGGTTTGTCCTTAATAAAAAACAAAACGAATATTTTATAAACCAATAACAGAATTAATTTCAAAAAATAATTTCAATTTTAATTTAAAAAGCTGATAAAAGCATCAAAAATAGTTAATTATATCATATTAATATTTAAAGTTTAAGGCTTAGCTTTTAATAAAATAAAACATATTAATTCATCAAATAAAAAGTTTTTAGAAATAGAAGAGAAATATATATTTTTTTTAAAAGCTTAATGAAAGTTTTATTATAAATTACCTTACACTAATCAATATGTTTCCATAGAAAAATACGTTAGCTTACTTTAATATATCCATAAATAATTGAATTGTAAGAGTGCTCGATTTTAAGTTATGAAAACTTATAATCAGCCCACTATTACATTCAAGCTTATGTAAACGAAAAAATTTTCATTATCTATAACATATATTATATGTTAGCTAATAATAAAATCTACTGGATTTTAATTAAATAAGTTGTAATTTTAATAAACTGATGTTGTCTTTTTTCTTTTTCTTTTCACCTTTTATCAATAATATTTCAAATATAGATAGAATCTCTTAAACTCTTAAAGATGAGAAATAAAATTTAAAGTAAGAGCTGGATAAAGGTAAAGAATATGCAAGCCAAATGTCAGAAAGAAAAAAGAAAATTTCAAAAATTGATGCATAGATAAAATCTGTGAAAAAGGTTACTTCTAAGCTAGAAAAAGATAGAAAAATATATGATAAATAGAAAGAAATTTTCGTGTAAGATAACTAAGATGACGTACCTTAGGTAAAATTTATTATAAGCATTTCTTTCTATCTCTATATAGAATAATTTTTAGAGTTAACTCAGAAATTTAAATAAATTGAGGCTAATTATTATGCGTTATAAAGTTTATTAATCAAATAGTTGTTAAAATTTTAATTACTATTTTGCTTTTAATTATTTAAATTTCAAGCATTTCTAGAATCTTATTAATTTATGACTCCCAAATAATTAAAAAGATAAATTCTAATCTGATCATAGTAAATAAAATTATAGTGTATACTTTCTTATTTTATTTTGGCTCATAAATTTTTTTAAAATTTCATATGAATACTCACATAAAAATCTTTAAAATCTATAAAACTCAAATTTATTGAACTATTTTAACTTATTTTTGTTGAAATTTAGATCATGAAGTATGTGCAGTACAAGAGTAAAGAGCAATAGTTGCTATATGCTATTTAAAATTTAGAAAGAAAGATAGAGATTGCTGAATTAGCTTATAAAAAAGCAAATAGAATCTTATAATCTAGTTAATAATTCTAATAAAAATGAAAACATACTAAAATAAGATTATTCATCAAGCCTATTCAACATAAATGTTGATTTGTTTCACAGCTCGCTTCACAAATTTGCTATAAATGGAAATTTCAAATTTCATTTTTTTATACTCGTTTTCAGCTAAAAATCTAAGGATCGAATTAATTTTCTTTAATTTTTGTGTTCATTCAAATTTCTTTTGTTTGCTGTTTGTTAGTTAGTTCCTAATAAAATTGCTATATCTTTATATAATTAAACTTAACTTTTTAAAAAATTTTTTATATTAAATTTCAATATCTTTCCTAAAAATTATACATTCATTTTTGCTTTGTTACCCTAATTTTTACAAAAAAGCAATATTGTCTATCAAAAAAAAGTAATCAATTAACAAAAATGTTTGTAAAAAATAGTTTATTAAATTTTGCTATTATTTTAAATTACTCTTTTTTGTTGCTTAATGAGAAAATATATTAATTAATAATCTTTCTAAAAATATCTTAAGCATATGAGCTTAGATTTTCGGAGAACAAATTATTCTAATCAGCTATAAGATGCCAAAAACAAATGATTAATTTTAAGAGAGAATATATATTTTATCTGTCTTAACTCTGTTATTTTAATAGACTTTGATAATGAAGTGAAATTTAATGTTATTAATCTTCTGTGAGATCATATTAAGTTTTTAGAAAAAGATCGAATTTGCGATTAAAAAAATTAGCCTTTATCCTAGACAATTTAATCAATTTTTTGATGTTAGCAAGATCAAATAATTTTTTTCAGCTTTATTTACTCTTTTTTGATAATACATAATATGAAGTTTTTACATATCCTTTAAATAAATTTTATTAGATTTAATGTTTTCTAATGAAAATAAAAGAAATGGCTTTGAAAATAATGTTAAAAAGATATAATTTTGGGAAAAAAATTAAGTAAAATAAAATAGTTTTGAATACCTATTCAATTTTTAAGTTAAATTATTTGTTTGAAGATTACTCAATCTAATTAATTGTAATTATAGACAAATAGATAAATAACTCTATGAAAATAATAATTCTCATTAATACAAAGATAAAGTTAAAATTTTGCATTTTGACTTACAAATATCGTTTTTTAAAGATCTGCGTGTGAGAAATAACGTAAATCTTATTTGAAAGGGTAGTTTAAATATTTAAATATATTTATTGTTAAGAGTCCAAATAAATTATATAAAAAGCCTAACTCAATCAATATTTAAATCTTATTAATCCTAATTAGTTTTTTGTCTTTAGCTTTGTGTGCGCAATTATTTTAGATATAGACAGAAACTAAAATTTTTTTTAAATTACTTAATCTTAATAAAAATGCAACATTAGTACTTTATTGGATCTCACAGCGCTTTCTTTTGATTATAATATTAATTTCTTGGTTTTAAATCTCTAGTCTGCATATTGAATCTTAAAAAGATAATAATTAAATTCTAACAATAATCTTTAAAAAAAAAAAGCAAAAATAAATATCTACCTTAGATTAAATAGAAATGGGTTGTGGCGGTTCTAGAGATAAAGCAGACAGAGAAATCAAGTCTTACATGATTTGGATTCCTTTTGCATATGATGTTAATGCATTCTTTAGTCCATGTGAAAATCTTTTAGAAACAGCTGAGATGTTAAGAGCTGGTTTTGAAGATACCACTGAAATAATGCACGACTTAGCCAGTACTAACTACTTAAAGAGCCCTCCTCCTCCTACTCTTATTGATGCTGTCAAAGTCTGGATCTGGACTCTTGCTGCTAACAACGAAGGTGATATTGGTAAATGTCATCTTAATGCTGACTCCAGCTCTCCTTATTTGAAGGTTGACCTTGGTAACGAATGCTCATATTGCAAGAACAATCCTGATATTTTCCACCCTGAATGCTCTCAAAATTAAAATGCTAAGTTTTAAAAAGCCCTCCAAACCTATATCAAAACTTGCATTGAAGGAGTCAAATAATTACCTGATCTCTTAAAGAACTTAATTGACCTTGCTGAAAAATCTAAAAATTTGGCTGAGAATTGCAAATCATGCTTAGACGCACTCAGTACCTTAGAAAAAGCTAAAGCTTTATCCAATATTGCTAAAAACAGCGCCACCTTAGCTTCAGGAGTCTCTAAGCTTAAAAATGTCTAAACACTAGTTACTGAAGCTGTCAAAAATATGTAAGATATTGTCAAGCAAGTACCTGATATTCTTGCAACTGCCAACGAAGTAGCTAAGAAGGCTGTTGATAAGAAGCACACACATCTTGCTGATGTTATGCAAGACTGTCATCCAGGTGATAAATACGATGCAGCTCAAATCAAGAAGTTGAAAGAAGAAGCTGAAAAGAAGAGAAAGCAAGAAGAAGAAGAAAAGAAAAAGAAAGCTTGTTTAATAAATAAGCTTTTGGAAGCTAAGAAGCTACTCCAATCTAAATCAGAAAAGAAGTGAAAAAAATAAACAAAAAATTAATTTTCTACTTAATAAATCTACTATATTAAATTATTTTATAAAGTTTATATTAAATCTATGTAATTATAATCGTGTTATAATTTTCCTTTGATTGTTCTCTTACCTTATTTTCAATTCAACTTATTAAAAATTCAATCAAATTAACTTTATTAAAAAGTGAATGAAGTGTCTCATTTTAAATTAAAAACCCTACCTATTATCTGTCTATTCAAATAAGTAGAAAGAAAGAAATTTATTTACAATAAATAAATAAAAATAAAACAAAGTTAGTTAGTGAGTGAGTTTCATTTTTATTTTGAGTTTTTATATGTCTTTATAAGTATTTTAAAATGTATCAATAAATATTTTTAAAAATAAATTTAAATAAAATATCAAAAATATTTAGAAAAATTACATTTTTTAATTTTAAATCATATTAAATATGCACAATTTTATAATAGTAAAATTTAATTTCAAAAATATTTTAGAATCATTTAAAATATTTTTATTTTTTATAAAATGAGTTTATTTACTTAAAAAGCTATCAAATGAAATTATTATTCTATCTTATAATTAATCATAAAATAAATTGTTGCTTTGTTTGTTATTTTAAAGTAAATAAAACAATAAATTATTTCTAATTTATTTTCATAAAAATTATTTTACTTTTTTAAAATTTAAGAATAATTAAAATTGATAGATTAGAAAATTAATTTATTTTATTTCGTTGAGTTTTAAAATAATTTATTTATATTTTGTAAGGTATATTTTGAAATACATTCATTATTCTTTCTTTCTATCTATCTATTTAATTTATTTGATTTTATCACCAATAATTGAAATGAATAAAAATAATAATAATATTTTACACAATTTACAAACAAGTAAATAAATAAATTTTAGATTAGTAAACATATGGCTGTCTTTATACTATAGATTTAATTAAAATAAATTAGCAATTATTATAAAAGAAAAATATAATCAGAAAACACAATAAAAATTAATTATTCATGCATTCTGTAGATTGGAATAACTTAATTTATTTGTTAATTCTACTAAATTAAATTTATTTAAAAATTAATTGATAACTAAAATAAGAGAAACTATTAATTTATTATTTCAGAATGAGTGCTCTACAAAATAGGAAGTAAACTATTTTGAATATGGCTATTGATCAAGAATAATTATAGACTTACTAGCAGATAGACAATTGCTTTAAAGAATTTTAAGCTTAAAATGATTAAATGTTTTAGTCAAAATAAGAGCTTTTAGTCCAAAAAATTTAATAGGAAAAGTAGAAATAAAGTTTATTGAAATTTTAGCAATCTAGATCACCATAGTCCTCATAGACCTATACCTTGAAAAGAAAGCCTTAGCTCATTTAATAACTAATGGAAAAATCATCATAAAAAGAATCTTTAGAATAAACTCCTACTAGTAGTACTAATTCAAATAAATAATAGAATGAAATTACTTCTAATAAAAAATAATTAAATGAAAAATAAGGGTAAAGATCTTCTTTTAAATGGAAATTTATTTATTTAATATTTAAATTTATAGGTTGTAAAAGCTTATAAAGAAAGTAAGTGAATTCTCCTAGGTAAAAGATTTTGTTTGGTTTGTAAATAAGCTGGCTAAGTCTTCTAAAAAATATGATTTCTTGAAAGATGATGAAATATGCAAACAATTTGGAATAGATTTTAGGAAACTTGAATAAATTTAAGAAATAGAAAAACGCTAGAAGTATATTGTCTACACTCTCATCTCTAATATTAATCAGCAAATTGAAAATTTTGATTATAATAGCAATACAGATTAAAAAGCTATCGAAATCTAAGAGCAATTATAAATAAAATAGTTCCTCAAAGATAATTAAACAAAAAAAAATGATATTTTAGAATGGATTAGAGTAAACAGCAAATATGATAACTTGGAAAAAAAAATTAAATTATGTTTGGTTGAGAATATTCATCACCCATAAAATACTGAATACCTAATAGAATAAAAATAATTGCAAAACTAAAACATTAAAATTAGGTAAAAATCCAATAAAAAAAGCATTCATCTCAAAATAGTGAAACACGATGACATTCCACAAACTGATAACAGTGCCAGTATTGCAGAGAGTAAAGAAAGTTTTAGAAACCGTAAGGATCTAAAAGAAGCATTGATTTGGAACAATGAAACAGAGGCTCATTTTAATTTTAAAAAAGCTTAGATTAAGAATAACCTTTCTTAAAAAATTCCCTCAAGCAATTGGTAAACTCATTAGCAACTTAAGTTTTATAAACAATTTAATATTTAAAAACACTAACAAAATTTATAAAAATTGAAAATTTATTATTTAGGATAAAATCGAAAGTATTTTCATAACAAAAAACTTTCACAAAAACTTTAAAAAAACTATTAATTATAAATAAAATTATTTAAATCACTGATACACTGATACAGAAAATGAAATATATATTAAAAAATTAAATTATATTTAGAGATATGCAAAAATAAAATAAAAGACAAAAAAATAAAATATCTGGTTTCCAACATTTCTAAAAATGTAGTTAATAGTTAGTGATTGATAGTAATTTTAGGCAATTCTAATATTTAATCATTTAAGATTTTATAGTCCATGAATTTAATTATGGTTAATTTGATTTATAAATTTAATTGACTAATCATTTAAAGAGTGAAAGAACATTATTGTTTGTTTTTAAGGAATTACTTTTGGTCAATAAAAATAAATTATAAAATCATTTTTATATCATCTACACTATTTATTTATTTACTTTATTTTTTACTTTATTGAAATTTTTAATATATCAAGCTTAGTATTTTTTCAAATTAATTTTGATGTATCTATTTAAATAGTTTATTAACAAAACTAAACATTTAAGAATAAATAAATAAAACACTTTATGTATATAGATTATTTTGCACTTTTTAAAAATGTTGATCATTTTTCAAAATATAGTATGAAATAATTTAGTATAATAGTAATTAAAAAAATTATTAAATCACAATTAATAATTATTATTTGAATATAGTATTAGAAAATTTATTATTTAGTTTTATTGTATTTAAGTTATTTTTTTTATTTAATAGGTATAATTTGAGCATGATACCTATCATTTAGGAAGTTTAAGTAGATTAAGGAGTTGCTCAGTACAGAGAATAGTTGATGGAAAAGTTTAAAAACAGAGAAGCACTTACAGATAAAGAGTTATAATTTTTAGCTACCACAAATGAATTACTTAACAGAAATATTGATAAAAACTACGTCTAAGACATAATAAATAACCTAGATGAGTAAGTAATAGATGAAATTGAGACAGGCATAGCTGAAGAAATAATAATGAAGTATAATAAACTAATTGAAATTGCTAAAGAAAAAAGAAATGAGTACTTGAAAAGAAAAGCAAGCATATCAGGTAAAATAATCTAAAATAATGACTACCTTAAAAGGGTAAAAGAAGAAAAAAGCGAGCACTACCACTCTAATTTAATGAAAAATAAAATTATAGAAAAGCTAATCGAGGGATATAAATTAAACGAAATAAAGATGCATGTAATCAAATAAGATAATCTTCTGAAAAATTTTGGCAAAAGTTTGAATGATAAATTTGAAAACGAATTACCAATAAATCTAACTTTGCATTCTCAAAAATGCAAAGAATTTTATTCAAAATAAGTCCCAGATAAAAATAAATAATTGAAAACTTTGTACAGCCTTAAGAATGGAGAAGAAATAACAATAGAAAAATCATAGAGACTTTTCCATCCAAGCTCAATGCTAATATTAAATTCAAACTTAATTGATGACTAAAAGTACTAGAAAACTGATGGCATAATTCTTTCTTAATAAGAAATTGCAAAATTAAGCTAATAAAAAGAAAGTAAATTAATTTATCTTTAATTTATTTTATATAATAATAAAAAATCCAATTAGAAATGGTCAAACAGAGAATGTTTATCAAGAATTCGATAATGAAGAACAAAAAAGATCTCTTTCAGACATTTTACTCCAGTGGTCCTTTAGATGCTGCAGAAGAGTATGGGGGAAAAAATTAAAAAAATGAATATAAATTTGACTTACCTAAAAGAAATCCATGGATAACAGATGAAATAAGAACTCATGCAGCTATAATAATATAAAAAAATTATAGGATGAGAATTGCTAAAAAAAAAGCAGCAATTTTAGATGAATAGAAAATTAGCAAATTAATAAAAAGAACCAAAACTAAAATGGCAGCTAGCTCATTTATGAATCATTTAAGTAGTTTCGCTTAGCAGTTACAATCTTTTGAGCAGTGTAATTTAAAATATTTTTTTCAAAACCCTGATTTTATTTTCAAAAAATTTTTATTATTTATAATCCAAACTTTTTTGAAAAAACAAAAACTGGGGATAAATTTTAAATTGATTACTTTCTCTATCAATTTTGCTTAATAAAGTTAAATAATTTTATTTTAAATATAAAAAGAGTAAAAAACAAACAAAGTAAAACCTTCAACACCTAAAAAAAATCATAAAGATACTATGTCTCCAAGGGAAAGGTAAATTTTGATTAATATGAAATTCAAAAATAAGTAGGAGATATTGCAAGATAGCATTATTGGAGATAATCAAAGCGTTGATAGTGATGATTAAAATTATAGAACAAAAAACAGTACTCCAATGCAATCTGCAAAAAAAGGCTTACTCTCGAAAAGTAGGAGCTAAAACCTATAAGATACTACTTTTGTATCAACTACTCTAGGTGCCTAATCGCCATAATCAATTGTTGGCAACACATTTTAAAGATAGGATTTTAGTTCCTTTATAGAAAAATTAAGAGAATATAAAGAGAAAGGTGAAAATAAAAGAAGTAGTGGTTCTGCTTAACTACCAAAAAATAATATATAATTAAGCAGATCTTCTACAATGTTTAATAAGACAACAAATGTTTAAACAGATATTTCCATATTTTAAGAAACAAACAAAAGCAGGAGAGGCTAAAATCTACTACAACTAGATGATTTTTAAAGAAAAATTTTAAGTACTTAAGGTTCTGAAAGTGTAAAAAATGGAAGTAAAAATTTTAATCTGTTGACTATGTAAGAATAAATAGCTTCATTAAATTTAACTCCACAATAATAACAAACTAAAAGATAAAAAAACTCATAAAATTTAGCTTAAAATATAAAATCTTTAAAATCGGAGCTTAAGAAAACAAAATAAGATGAATAATAAAGACAAAATGATCTAGAAAAATTGAGGGCAAGAATGTTTAAAAATACACTCTTAGTAAAGTAATAAAAACTTATTTCAGCAGCTTAGCATAATACTTTCCAAGCTATAAAAAATGCTGGTTATTTATTGAGTAGTAGTGATGTTAATATCAAAGATAAACAAGGTAAATTAAAACTTTATTTGTAAATTGCTCATGCAGTTATATTTTTATTTACTTTTGCATTAAGTATATGTTATTTTTTTAAATTTAAAGGAAATACACCTCTTTACTACACAGTCATGAACAAAAATGAAGAGTTTGTTTAGTACTTGGTTGATTTGGGTGCAAATGTTAATGAGCCATGTTAAAACGGGAATACTCCATTGCATATGGCTTTTTAAATATAAAATGAAAAGATAATCATGGATTTTATGGAAAAAGGTGGAGATTTGAACATAGTTAATTAAGATTAATAAACACCTATAGCAATGGGTAGTTTTGAATTGATTAAAAAGATGGGACTCGAAAATGCAGTAGCAAAAATTAGCAACTTAGATTAAAATAGTAACAATAACAATCTTATTAAAAAGCAAAGTATCAGTCAATCAGTAGATAATAGATATACAAACGGAGCTTTAAAAATTGATCTAACCCAATAATTTGCTATTGACAACAATTCTGTCTTCAAACAGATTTATACGAAAAAAACTACTTTCAGTTATAAAAATAAAAATATGTAGAAAAGAGCTAATAACTAACATTTTAACGAAGAAATTTTAGCTGACATCGATTCTGTTGGAAAAAACTAAAATGCTGTTTACTAAATTAAAAACATTTTGAGAGAAAATCAGCATACAATCAAATCAAAAAGTGTTCAAATATCTTCTACCAAATGAAAATCAATAAAATTTTATTAAGTTTTAAATCAGATTTATTTTGTGCTTGTATCATAAGAATGAATGAATTTATATAATTTTATTATTTGAATTATTTATAATAAATATTTTTAAATCAAACAAAGTTTAAAAATTATTTTAAACTTAATTTTTAAAGTTATTAAATAAATATATACTGTAAGTCCTCATAAATTAAGGCCAAACGAAAATCACTTTTTTATTTAAAATTTCAAATTATTTTTTAAAAATATTTTTTATTTAAAAATCTAGCCTAATTAATATATATATTTTACCATACCACTAGATTTTAATTAAGCGTTTTGTAATATAAACAAGAGAGTAATAATATAATATCTAAACAGTGATTAAATTATTTAAAGTCTATTTTTTTAATTTAGGCTTTAGATATTTATTTTAAAATAGAGGAATATTTGAGGTAAGGAAAGAATAATTATCAAATATTTTTATAAATAATTTTTTAATTTCATTTAATTTTATTCAAAAAAAAAAAACATTGATAATTGAACTAAACACTTATTTAGAACAATTAATTAACTAACTAAATCTGAAATAGTAGTATTCTAAATGATGTAAATCAAATTAAATTAATAGATTTAAGTTAAAAATACAATAATTTATTATTACATTGATAAAAGCTTTTTGCAAATTTTTAGAGGTTTTAATTTAATTTACTAGTATTAATTAAAAAGGGAAATAAATATATATATATATATATATAGAAGTAATTCATTTTAAATTAAACTTAATATTAAGTAAACAAGAATAATAATTTATTATTAAAATAAAAAATTATTTTAGCTGAAATAAAATTTTTTATTCAATTCTTTTTATCAGGAATATTTGAACTTACAAATTTTGATTTTTCATTTTAATTCTTTTTTTATTTAAGCTTTCTTTACCTTTCTATTCTTTAAAGACGCTAATCTTCTATATTTCTTAGGATTAAGCTTGGATTATTATGGGGGAAATAGTAAATATAATTTTAAAATTTATCAAAATCATTCAGCAAAATAAAAGGTAATTAATATTCTTCTTCAAAAATATGCTAAATATTGGTTTGTGAGTTTGTAGGAGATATTTATAACTATTATTATTATTATTATTAATTTTGTTAGCTTTACAGACTAATTAAATGCAATTAAGTATTATTAGAAGTTGTTCTCTTAGGATGTTTTTATGACAAAGGTGTATCAAAAATATTAAAATTAGGGTTTATGATGACATTTGATAACTTTTTTCTATGAAATCTTACTAAATTATCTTGATCAAATAAAAAATTTGTGAATGTTTTACTTTTTTCTAAACATTTTGTGCTGACTAACTCCTCTGAAACTGACTTATTCTCTGAATAACATTTTTCAAATTAATTCTAATCATAAAACTGACTTCTACGTTTAATTGGTGAGTTTTACTAAATTAAGTTATTTTAAAATGATTTATTGCTGCTAGGTTCTATTTAGAATAAGTTAAATGTCTGTATTTTATCTAGGTTTTGATTTTATTCTTCATCGAAATTAATTTTATCTTATTATGCAAAACTTTAATCAAAATAAGAAAAATATTAAGATCCTTCTCCTCCTTCATTTTGGTTACTATTTTAGTGAATAATTTCTTTTATTTCTTCTAATTAATTAAAATTATTAAAATTTTTTTAATTAACAGGTTATTCGCTTGTTTTTTCTATTTATGGTAAATTATCAATTGAATTCAATTTATTTTAACTCTCTGCAATAAGGTTTTCTTCTTATTCATATTAAGTTTTAGAGTTTTCTTTTTAATAAAAAAACTATGTATTGTTAGAGAAAATATGAGAGTGTTCAATAGATTTCCTTGCTAAACTTAATTGAAAAGAAATTCTTCTTTGCCTAATCGATTGAAGTTACTCTTCAATCTTATTTTCTTTGCTTGATTCATTTTCTAATTTTTCATTATTGTACTAGTTTTGAATTAATGAGTCTATTATTTCTTATTTGCTTTATTCATATGTTTCTTATGATTTCTATAAGTTATTTACTAAGTCGTTTGCAACTTTATTAGCATTATCATTAATAGTTGTAAATATGTGCCTTGAATTCTGCTTTTGTTTATTGACTCTTTTATAACTATCTCTATCTTATTAGATTAATTCTAGCTATTTCAACTTGTATACTATCTTATTAATATTAGGTTAATAAGTAATTAATGGACATTCATCACTTGAATGAACTGATTTTTTACAGAATCTGCAAAACAATCTACATGCACTGCCTTCTCTGTAAACACTCAGTTTATCCTTAATCTTGTAATAGATCTCCTTTTATTTTATGAATTATAATGAACAAAAAATCTTAAGGTATTTATTACATAATCTTTTGGATGTTTTTTTAGTGTTTCATAAAATTCTGAATACTCTATATACCCTAAAGATGCTACTGATTCACTTTTATAAAAGTACTCAATTGGTGTTTAAGTAATAAATTCTTAAAGCCCAATCACTGCTCCTTTCTATTAAATATCATTTCAAAATTTAATTAATTAATACAATATTTTACAATTTTGATTATTATAAACAATAATAAAAAAAATATTGGGGCCTTTCTCAGCTGATTCGTCAACAAAAAACAATTTTTTGCCATATTTTAATAAGAATTTATGTGTTTTCCATAGAAAATCATAAAAAAGTTTTTAATTCATTTTTAAGTTTCTTTAAAATAAATCGGCAAATTTTAAATTACTTTAGCAATTCTTGATTAAAAATAAGTAAAATTTATTATTAATCCATTTTCATGGTTGCTTTATTATTTTTTATTTAACGTTATGGAAATTATTTAGCAGCAGTATTTATTTAGAACTCAAATTTGAATTGAAGAGACTAATAAATAAATACTATGTTTTAATAAAACTTTTAAATTAAAATCTCAAGATGAATAATAAATATAACTTTTAAATTTAATGAAAAAGTTTATTATATAGTTAAGGAAGGTAAAAAGAAATTATTACGGTTAATTGTTCAATTATATTGTTAACATTTGTTAACTTCTACAAGTAAGAGTTTACTTCTCCATTTAAGATAAAGTATAACTTATCTTATATTTGCTACTTTTTTAGGATTATCAATTCTGGACCTACTTTTAGCTCTTTCATAGTAAGAGAAAGCTCAGCAATAAATTAATCAGAAAAATTCTTTGAAAACAAGGGGTGTTACTTTAAAATTTTTGAGTAGAGGTCATTCATAACTTCATCTTTTAAATTGGGAGGTAATGTACCTATCATTTCATATCCTATTTCAGTATTCTTCATCTTTTCTTTATAAAGATACTCAAAATACCTTCTTACTTTATTTTTAAGCTCATTGCTCAATCCTCTTTCATCGATAAGATTATTCAGCATTTCTAAATCGTTTTTTATCTTATTTTTGTTTTTTTAACTTTCATTAATAATTTCACCTAATACAAAAAGAAAGAAAGAATTAAATTTGTTCATTTCTAAACTAAAATTTACTTATCAGATTAAAAGAATAGCCAAAGAGACCGCACGATACAAATGCAATAAATATTACGAATAATTTTTCATCTGATTAATTAAATAATTTAAAAATTTTGAATTTTATGAAATTTCAATCAAAAAAATTATTTTTTTACTTTGACTAATTGGTACAATATCTCCATATCCTAGAGTTACCATTGTTATTATACTCCAATACAAAGCAGAAACATAAATCTGAGATATGGTAAGATTTGTAATTTCTGTTACTTCTTATAGCTTTGTAATCCAAGTAATGCTAGGTGCAGAGGCGTTTGCAACTGTTATAAAAATGCATGCAGAAATATGAGCTAAAATAAATATTTGCAGAACTATCAAAGCAGATTATGTGTAAATAAGCCCATTTTGATTATGATCAAATAAATTGCAAAATTTTTTGAATAAGCTAAAAAACTCAAAGGATTTGAGCAAGATGGAATATTTTAATACACTGTAATCAGTAAATGAAGTACCTATATAGTATAAAGTTATGACAATTAACTCAAATCTATATTTGTTTATTTATTTTTAAATAAATTCTTAAATATATGATAAATTAGTTGTTATTTATTTTACATAAAATGTTTTTATAATGCTGTCTTAAAGATAAACTTTCTATCCTTAATAATTTAACCATTTTTAAAAATAGCCTTGTTTGTTTATTTAAAAATAAAAAAAATTTTAAAAATTAAATTTCTTTTTTTCAAATATATTTACTGTATTAAATAAAAAAAAAGTATCAGTTGCAAAGATACATATAGGTAAGATCTATTAGTGGAAAAATAGCATATCATTGTTGGTATAATCTAGATAAGTTGGGAAGGAGTCTCTCAGAGGCTGAATAATTATTTGAGATAACAAGTAGATTGATAGCAATACTTCCCAAATGAATATCAGTATATTTTCCTATTTATTTATAAAATTTAAAAAAATAAGCTTGCAAATACAAATTTATTTATTGACATCTTTACTGGAAGAAAAATGTAATTCTAATTCAAAAATGCCTTATAGATGTAATCTAATTATTAATTTTTAATAAACATTAAGAGTTAGTTATTTTAAGAAAAAAATATAATTTATTTTCAAAAAAACTAATAAAATAAAAAATTAAAAATAATTATTTTATTATTTTCAGAAATGAATTTTTAAATTTTGTTGAAAATAATAAAACAAATCCAATTAAAATTAAAATTTTTAATTGAACTTCCTTCATAGTTTTTATTTATTTTTTAAATGCTTTTTATTTATACGCTAAATAATAAAATAAGGAATTTATTTAGGCTTCAGTAAAAAGCAAAATTTATGATGTAATTTTAAATTAATTAAACAGTAAATAGATTTATAATAAATTATTTAATTTAATTATTAATACTTACCAATAGTACGAATGATAAGCTTGTGTATTAAGGTTTTTTCTTTATCCTAATTAGTTTTAACAAATTAGTATAAATATCATATTTTTAACATATTGTTTATTTATATAATATGATAACTAACATACCTTTTGCTTTAACTTTCTCTAATTAGTAAACTAGTTGTAGTCTGAGGATTTATCATAGATTAGTTCAAAAATGTTTTATGTTATCAGATTAAGAATATAATTAGTTGATTTAGCCTTTAACTTATTAATGAATTTTTTAACCAGAAGAGCATTTCCAAAACTATGACTTTTTTAATTAGATTGTGCTACTTTTGATTCTCCTTTTGCTTGAATTATAGAGCCACTATTAAATCGCGATAAATATTCTGATTATTGGAAAACACTGTTTTCTTTTTCTTTTAAATTACTTGCGACTAATTCTTTTTGTGTGGTATTTAATGTGTTTTACTTTTGTAATTTGTTACTTTATATTTTAATATTTTATTAAGTAGAGGTTTTATCATCCATTATTATTTAATTGTTTTTTTAGTGAGAATTTGTAATATTTTGTTCAATTGCATCGCTAGTAGGATAAAATGTTTTAAATATAGTATCATCATATTATGTGTCTAGTTTTTTCTAATTAGATTATTATTGGTTTGTAAGCTACAAGTTGCTTTCTTATAAAAATTGAATTCCATTTTTTTCTTCTACTTAATTGAAACTATTATTATATGAACCCATTTTAAAACTAACTGCTTAGATATCACAATCGGCATATTACTAATTAAACGGTACTACTTTCCTATTATTAGAATTTTTTTCATCACAGCTGTTAAAAGGAGAGCTACTAGATTTTTACAAATCCAACATCTTGCAATAAATTTAGTTTCCTTTACAATTCTACTTTGATAATTAAATTTATTATTATATTTCTTTAAATAAATAATTTGAGAAGACTTTCTTTATTGTTATTATTATTATTTACACATTGAATCTACTAATATTAATAATAAAGTGCTATTCAATCAATCATTTAAAGTTTGTGTCTAAATATTAAAAGCTTATCGATGTACACTAAATTTATTTAGTTAATATTATGATATAAAAAATACTTTATTTAATTTTTTTTTTCTAACTATTATAAAAACTTTTTGATATTGAATACCATGAAAACACATGTAATAAAACTTATAGACATTATAAAGTGAAGAATAATAAATAATATATAAAATTAGTTATATAATTGAGTGATTTAATATGCAACTACCTACCTTTTCAATACTTTCTTTTATTTTAAGTGTAACTTTCTTAAATTGTGGATAAAAAATAATAGAATCATTTATTCAAATTAATAGAAATGTCTCTGATTTATTCATTTTTTCTTTGATTAATAGATTAAAATTAATTATTAATTTATTTAATTAATTGTTTACTTCAATCTTTTAAGGTAAAGGTATTAATTTTTAAAAGCATGCTTTAACTAATTCAAGAAGTTAACCACAAAATGATTTTTAGCCTCATAAACTAGTGTTTCATCAAGCAAGAGTTTAGGATCAAAATCAGTCTTCTTTTGTAAAATAAAGAAAGCCTTTCTTATATTTACTAAGCAGCTAGCTGATGTCTTAGGGTTATTAATCAAACCAGGTATTCTTGTTTAATCTAGTTTTTCTATGATTTTACATATTACCAACCTTACATTTTTAATAAAATAGTAATGGATAAAATTTTAATCCATTAAGTAGTATTTTTAAAAAAGCTTTTTATCAAATATCACCTTACAAATATATTGACACAGTTAAATATTTGATTAATTTTTAGTTATTTATTAATATTAATTAATTAATTAATAAATGTAATATTTACCCATCTTTAAAGGATTGTACTACTGGCGAATTTAAATCTAATGACTTTGAAATATCTTATAAACCAATCTCGTTTAGCCAATTCAAAATATTTAAAGAAGAAGGAGACTGATTTTCTGACTCTTCTATTTTTTAGTTAGAATTAAAATAATTAATTTTTTCATAAAATATTTTAACAAATAAAATTCAAATTTATTATTTGAATGAATTAAGATAAATTAATTACATTATAAATTTTATTATTTTTAGAATGTAATGTTCGAGTGAGTAATACTTTGGTTTTATTATTAATATGGATATTGTATATTGTTTATAGAGGGGTTATTGTGCTCTTCAAGGATTTGCTTTTGCTTTTATTAAAAATTATCGAGAAGACCCTTTGGTTTTTGCTGAGGTTAGTTAAGTTCTTTTTAAACAATTTAGTTTATTTATTAGTTTATGTTGGAATTTTATATATTTTATGCATTTTCTTATATGAGTTAATAAGCTCTATTTATAAATTAATTTTATGGGAATTTTTAATTAAAGCTATCGCTAGAAAAGTTGCTTTCTTCAAAGCTTTCTTTAAACAAGCTGTAAGGCTTTTAGTTATTCAACTTACTAAGTAAATTTTATTGAAATTTATTTTCGTTATTTAGTTAAACCCTTTCTCCTCCAATATTAAAAGCATCTTCACAAAATGTAACAGAATCTCCTACTGTTCTTTAATTCCTAAAGCTGCTATTATTGCTGCACATATTTCTATCCGTTTGACTAGGAGCAGCAGCAGCAGGAGGGTATTGATTTTCTTTATTAAAAGAAAATCCAAAGTAAGGTCCCTCTTCAAAATATTTATCACCTTTTCTTGCTGGAAGTCCATCACTGTATCTTCTCAAATCTAATTATTTTAGTAAATTATTAATGTGTTTATAAATATTGATTTTTAATTTTTTTTGTTAAAAAGTTTAATTTTATAAAATATATTTTATTTTCTAATGCAGTAATTGTTTTGAAAATAGAAAATTCATGCAAAAAATATTTAGTTTCATTAAATAAAATAAAAATTAACCTTCTAATAATCCAAGAATAACTGATTAATTTTGTTGTAAAATTAAATTCTCCTTCCATAAAAATTTCTAACCCATATTTTTCATATTTCTCAAAGGTACAAGAGCTTTTTGTATATTTGCTAAACAATTATGGTCAGAAGTTGGCTATTAATGACTTGGAGATATTAATCTATTTAATATGGATGAAATTAGAGAGCAAAGCAGTACTCCATTTCTGATTGAATTATAAATTGGCTAGAAGCTAGTAAACAATTTACCACATTTTTAATTAATCCACTTAATCAAACTAGCTTCTAATTTATATATTTAATCTGCTGAGTAAGGAAGATGAATATCTTAAGTTATGTCGATTTGTCCACCTTTATATTAATTAAGTTCTTCTTCATTTTTTTATCTATTAACTGAAACAGGACTATATTAATCAGCTCCGCCAAATAGGGATTTATTATATTCATCATTAACTTCGTTGTTCTTATTTTTATTTGCTTCATTTATGTATCCATTGTTAGCTGGATAAATTTCATTCTTAGCACCTGCAATAACTTATGTTAAAGGATCAGCTTACCTTATATTTTCTTGGTTTTTCATTAGATTATAAAGCAAGCCCCATATTGCATCGTGCTCGCCTTTCAAAATTTCTTCAGTCTTAAATAATAAATAGAAAGGAATATTTATACTCTCTTACACAGATCTTAAAGGCTGCAAAGCAGACTCTATGTTAAAACGACACTCCTCAATATTTTTAGGTTTAGCAAAGTACCTATCAACTCTTTGATTCAGTTTTTCTACTAATTTGCATAGCAAAGTACCGTTTCTTAAAGGATCTTCAAAGAGATGTTTATCTTTCTTGACAATATATTAATTAAAACCGAGCTTATTTAAGAATTAATTAGTTTGAATTTCCATTTCAAGAGTAATAGCAATTACTTTTGGAGTATTTTAATTAAACCCGAATCCATTTATTCCTTTAGATGGAGTCCTATTTGTGCATGGACTAAATGCAGTATGAAAAGAATTATTATTTTAATTTAGTTTGCTTTAGCTATTAAATTTCAAGAAAGAATTGTTATTATTATTTTAATGGGAGTAATTCACACTATTATGATTAAATGTGTGAACTGTATTGATTCTTTATCTTGAAACTGAAGGACTTTATGATTGATTTATTATAAAATCTCTAGAAGTTCTTCTACTCAAGCATCTTCTTGTCGGAGTATTAAATTAAATGACTGCCTAAATAAATATTTTATATAAATTAACATTTAAACTTAAAATAAATTAAACTGATCTGTCAAAAAAAAGAGAATAAAATAATATATTATAATTACATTTGTTTATCTTTGTGTGTGAATGTCTTTGTAGTTACTTAATTTTTTATAAGAGGAATTGTTCGCATTCAGATTTGTCAAAGATTTCCTTTGGCTTGTGTAAGATTAATTAAGATTGCTACTTGTATTTTATCTTGTTAGAACAACTTTTTAGCTTAAATTATCATAGTTCATATTCTAAATACTCTTTGGAGAAGGTATAGGACTTTGTTAGCTGTTTCCATTTCTTTACTATTTATATTTAGGTGTAAATACATTTTATTAATTTTAACTAAAGCCTCCTCCATTAATACTCATATTTTTCGAGCTTCCTTATGTCTTCAGAACAGGGTTTTGGCCTTCATTCTATCTTAGATCATTCATTCCATTTACTTTCTTGTTAAATAGAGAGCCTGTTTCAGAATCATTAGGAAGAGTTTTAACAATCCTAGCGCTACAGCTGCTAGGGTTATTATTTACGTTAAATACACTGCTTTAATCCTCATTAAAATTCTAGCTTAATTTATTTCCTGACTTAGTATTACTATTATTAAATAGTATTTAATTATAGTTGTCTTACTAATTTTTTATTTTGTCTGGTTAGCTTATTTATGAAATTCCTTCTTTTTACTAATTCTTCTAATTTTTAAGAGCATAGGATTCAGATCTTTTATCAAAAGGTGATTGCTTACTGTGGAAAAGATGCCATATATCATCAAGAAGTCCCCAAAATATGTCACTATTGCCTTCCATTAGATATTCTTCAGAATTAAATAAGTACCTAGGATTCATTTTCTCAAATTTTCTCAAATAATAGAATAATTTGGTATAATTAGCTCTGATTTGCGACATGTTCTTTGTATTTCTATTTATTCCTGTTATAGTATCTCCTTTTCCTTAAATACGATTGATTATGTCTAAAAAGATTACGCCGTTCTTACATACTTTAGGTAGTTTTTCTTTGATATCCTTGATATCTTTTTTGATTAAACATATATCATAAAGCCACTTGAGGCATCTTTCTTTTTGTTGATCATTACATTCAAATATTTGTAATGGTTTTACCTTGTCTTTATTCTATTAATTTAAGCTAGTTTAATGTTCATTTTAATTATTATTATTATTATTGCTACATGAAAATATTTCAGAATTAGCTGCTGATTCGCTGTTATTAGAAGTAGATTATTAGTGTGAATAAGAACGCATTCTGCTATTAGTATTGCTATTATTGCTACCAGAAGAGACGTATTAATTACCTCCTAAACTCCCTTATTATTTTTTGAGATTTTATGGTTTTTGCACAGGTAAATTAGGATATTAAGTAGGCTCTACTAGACTTTAATTTGATCTATTTTTAGACAATTACTAGCTGCTATTTTCGTTTCTATTTGATGTTTATTCCTGAGTAATTTTATTACTCTAATAAGAAAGTCTGGAGCTTGCAGAATTAGGTATGTTTTTGTTAAAATTTTATTAATTTTAAGATTATGAATTAATAATTGTATTTTAATTAGGTTATTATTATAAAACTTATTATTTAGCTTTATTGCTTATTCTGTTAGTTCCCTATGTATTGATTTATTCTTCCTTTATACTTAAATCTAATTACTCAATTTCTCTTTTTAATTTCTCTTTAGATTGAGAATTCATTATTCCACCCTGAGCAGCTCCAAAAGAACCATTTAGATACCCAGAAGATTAATTTACAGAAAAATTTGCACTAATTTTTTAAACTTCTTTTTTTTAGCTTTATATCTTACTTTTGTCAGATGTTTCTATATTAGAGCACTTTTAAGCAGAGCTGCTTTAAACGCTATAAATACTTGTGTTGGCTGTTTAGTTTGATTGGAGATTGAAAGAGTTTGAGTGCTAATGATGATTTTAGTTAGGTTTTACAGATTTTACAGGCTTTGAAGAGTTAGGCTAAGGAGGTAACTATAGGTTTGATTACCTTTGATTATTTTCTTACTGTTCATAGCCTTTTTTGCTTTGTATAGATTGATTGTTTTTACTTTGTATAGATTAATTGTTTTTGCTTAATGATTCTTCATTAAGCTAATTTGCTTATAAGTTACTATTATTTACTTTATTGTTCTTTGTGTCATTCAAGTAATGAGAAACTTTCATCACATTTTTTGAAGAATCAAAAGAGTTTGCTAAGTCTTATTACTAAAGAGGCTAAGATGATTTTTCTGCCTTGCCTTTAATGGCTGACGATTAAGCAGATGAACTCTAAGAAAAAGGAAAATAATTATTAGCCATTTTTTTACTATCTGCAAATTAATCAGATTCATTTTATTTTTAAAAAGAAGCATCTTAATCAAATTAAACTACTTTTTAAGCACCAAATGCATTTTATTATTTTTATTTAAAAGAGCCTGTTTAATATGGTGACGAAGGGCGTAGGACTTGGTAACTATTTTCTAAAGATTGCTTAAGGGTACTCTATTTATTAAACTATTCATCATTAAAGCTTTCAAAATGATTATTTTCATGAACAAAGTTTAAGTCTGATGCATAAAATAGCTCGGGTTCGCTGCTTCTAGAAGAAAAATGTCTATTATTAAGTTCATCTTGATCAGTTTATTAAACTTTTTAATTGGATTGCTAGATAGAGTTATGAGACTATTCAACTAAACTCTTGCCAAATCCAATTTATTAATGTGGTTGAAATGTCATCAAAATAGGATTTTGATCCAAAACTTAATCATCATCTTCGCAGTTAAATTTCTTATTTTATTAAATCTAATTCTGTTTGGACATTGGAGGTCTTTTGATACTGTTTTTTTACTAATTCTAAAAAGTTCCATTAATCCTCATCTACATTAGCTTTTTCTATAAAAACAACCATTCACAAAAAGTTTGAATAGACTCTTATTCCTGTTAATTTATTAAAAATTAAGATATTTAGTATTTTATTTTAAATATTTGAAGTTTAGAATTATAAATTTTGTCAATTAAAATAATCTTGTAAATGACCTCGTATAAATGAGCAGGTGTAATCCCTTGTAAATGAGTTGGAAATTGCACGCCATTTTTATTACACTAACATTTGATTTCGCAAATAATGTTATTCAAATTAGCAATACAGTTATTGGGATTTACTAAATTATGATAATTTAATTCCTAAAGTATTTGACTCTACTAATATATTTCTGAGACAATCTCACCTAATACAATACCTAAACATTTTAAATACAATTAATCAAATTTAAACAAGTACAATTGCATCTAAATAATGATCAAATATACTTCTTTATAGAAATTGAGTATAATTTAATATTTTGCTTTAAATAATTTGTTTTTTATTTTCAAATATTTTATGAATTTATTAAGATTATTAAAAAAATTACCACTTCTCAAATCCAAAAAGGATTATACCTATTTGCAATTTTATCCATTTAAGCTTTTTATCCAATTTAAAAGCTACTAAGAGGACGTTGTAACCTATTTATTTTTGAAGAACGCATTAAAACTTAAATAATTACTTGCCATATGAAAACTGTAATTGTTAAATAATCAAATCAAACACAACAGTCCTCAAAAAAAAAAAATGGAAACGCAATTCAAATTTACATTATTTTTCATAGCTATCTATCTATTTTAATGAATAATTATTTATCAAACCTCAATTATTTTACTTCCTAGAAAACTTGCTAAAATGTTTTGTTTACTGCTAAAGATATAATAAGTAAGTAGCTAATAGTATTTGTTTGTTTATTTGTTATAGTTTATATTTGAAATCAATTTATTAAATATTAATTACTTTATAATTATCTTTTGATTTCAGATATTTTTTGATTGGCTGTTTATTTAATTACTTCTTGTTTGCAATATATATTTGATTTAGATCCTAATTGAATGAATAATTTTTTGTTTGTTTTCCTTTTTGTTTGTTAAAATTCTTTTTAAATTCAAAAATATTAACAAATCAAACAGTATTCTACAATTTAATTAATTAGACTAACTTTTTTAGTAAATAATGCAAGCAAAGTATTAAATGAATATAACAAATTTATATTGATTATTTTTTTGAAATCAATCAATACATTTTTATAACAAAGAATTATCAGACACTCATACAAACAAATACATTTATATTAATTAATTTATAAATATTTATTATTTATTTTATTTAAATTTAAAATATTTTTTAGAATTCAATTCAAAACTCTTTTGGTGGATCTCTAGAATAAAACTATTTAATTCAAAAAAAATTAAATTAATAAATGAATTTAATCAAATAAATACAAAATGAATCAACAAAATTACTCATTTTAATAATAAAAAAGTTAAATAATAAAATATTTTTTACCTTTAATTGTTTCTTTTAATCAATAAAGCACATGACATTACCTTTTTTTAAAAGTGAAGCTTAAAATTAAATTAGAGTTTTTTTAAATACCTAAAGGATGATAATCTATGTCGATAATTTTATCATCTGAATATTGTTAATCTATAGGACTTTATTCTCTATGTTAAAAAATTTAAATAGCTTATTTAAGTATTTAGGATTTATCAAATAATTTACCCTGTTTAAAAGTGCAAAACATTTCCATTACTATCACCACTTACAAAAATATGTGATTAAATTGGATGCCACTTCAAGCAAGTAATTTCTCCATCACTACAAAAAGTATTCACAGGTTAAGATAAGTTTCTAATGTCAAATAACTTTATAGCTCTGTCTTTACCACTTTTAATTTTTTAATAATGAAGATATTTATTTAATTTTGAATGATAAATATATATTTACCCTGTCAAAAAATTATATCCGTTGGGGTGCCATTTACCCACTGTTACTGGCTGGTTATGGGCGCTCCTATTTTTATTTATTTATTTCTTTATAAATATAAAACAATTTAAAAAAATACAATTCGGCTATATTTTATGCATCTCTAGGATCCCATAACCTAACTTTAGAGTCATCAGTACTAATAATCAGTGCCTTTTATGGATTCCATTCACAGGAGGTAATTTCCTTGGTTTTATCTTGAAAAAATTGTAAAGGAAATTAATACTTAATATTAATTTAAAAACATACTTTCTAACTGTATTTCTTCTATTTCTTTTTGAATATCCAAAATGCTAATCTGTTTTCCTCCAGCAATAGCTAGTTTTACATCTGTTGGGGATGGTCTATATATAGAAATATATTATTTAAATTATTAATCTATTAGGCAAAAAAAATTAAAATTATAATTACGATATGTCTACTAAATCTTGAACTTTAGTAGAAATACGCTTCTACTCATCAGATTTATCCTCCATACTTTTTTTATCTTCCATTTAATTTTTTAGGTTGTTCAAAATATAATCTAGAAAGTAAATATCTCCAACTTTATCACCTACAACTATATGCTTTCCATTATTTAATAGCTTCATACTACCTAGACCTTATATCTAAATTAAAATAAACATAAATATTTATTTTTGCTTAAATTATTAAGTGTTTTTTGTAATAATATTTATATTCTAACATGTTTAAATTTTTACATCTTTAAAGAACCTTTGACGCTGCTAAGGCTTATAAAAATTAATGATGTTAATATCTCCCTTTAGTTAATGATTGCTTGTGTTTGTAGTCTTTGCCTTAGTATATCCCACTGCAATACTTTTTCCATTATTCAACCACTTTTTTTAGTAATAATTTGTTTAAATATATGCGATATTTTTCAGTATACCATTAGACAAAGAGGCTAAAGAGCATTACTTTTCTTTTCCAGCTTAACTTTAAGGCTTTAATTACATATTAAACTTTACTCCTTATCAAAATTTAATTTAAATCCATTTTCTTTCTAAATATTATAAATTTAATTATTTTTAGTAATTAGAATTAAATGAAAAATAAAATAGATTTACATCTTAAATCATGTTTTAGTGATACTGCTAAATGGTACAATATTCATCAATTGAATTATTTTTTTGCTTTTAGTTTTTATTATTTTTAAAGTGATATTTTTTACTGAAAAATGAAATGATAATATAACAAATGAGATAATTAATGAAATAATATTTGTACCATTAAATATGAAATTATATTTCTATTCACAGAATTTTAAAAAGTTCTAACCAAAGACTCCCAACCTTTATTTTCTTTATGAAAATAATCATTTTCTGCGTTAGTTACTTTTTTAATTGCCATTTTAATTATATGACGGGTCTTTAAAAAATAAAAATTGCTGATTTGATTGACTTATTTATAAACTTGACAAATAAAAATACTATTGATAAACTCTTGTTTAAATATTAATAATTGATATTATTATTTATCAATGAAATATAATAAATTCACAAGAAAAGCTTTAATTAACTTATAAAAAATTATTTTAATAACAGAAATCAAAATTCGATGGATAATTACTATTTGCTATTCTTTATAATTTGTAATTTTCTATCTCTAATCATAAATATTTACTTTATCTTAATCAAACTTTTAAATTAATTTTTTTAATTTTAATTATATCTAAAAGCAAGCAGATTTAAATTCTAATAGTAAAATCTATTATTAATATACCATAGTTTATAGATTGAAAGATATTCAAAATACTCACAAAATTTTCATCATATAAGAAAAGGTTATTCATTGTTTATAAAATATTAAAAAAGTATTCAAATTAGATAGTATATTTAAATTTTGGAGTAAATATTTGTTACAACAAAGATACTAATTTGATATAATAGATTGATCAATCAGTTTAGTCTATTATTTTGCAACTCAATAGACTATTCAAGGTAATTCTTAATTTTTTAAGAATGTTACAAAATCAAAATAGAAACAAATGTAAGAATAAAATAAAACAATTTTTATGATTGAATTAAAATTAAAATTTGAATAGAAGCAGAAAATAAAATGTTTTGACAAAAAAGCATTAAAGTTTAAACGACTATGTTATATATAAATATTTATTTAGCAAAATAAAATAAAATTTCTTATTTATTTATTATTATGGTTACATCAAATTTCCTCTTCTTATTTTAGATTTGATTCTTCTGCTAAACTTTACTAGTTATTATTAAATAGGATAAATTTTTCACCTTATTAAAAGACTGGTAAATCCAAACTGAATTACCTTATCTTGGTAATCTTAGGGACTTTGCAGTCGTTTGAGTAGTTAACATCTTATAAAAATTTAGGATTACTTTTTAGATACTTATCTGTAAAGCCTGGTATAATACTGTTTTAATGCATTTTTCCTTTGCTACTATCTACCTTTTGGTTTTAACTGTGAGCTTCTGTCTTGTTAGATTATTATTCTTCATCTTCTTATTCAAACTGATTATCAAATTCTTCACAACTTAATTTGTTTTACTGTAAATTTTTCTTCAAAAACTTAGCTAAAGGTAAAGATGATGGAGGTGCGCTTATTTAATTTTAAGTTATCTGGCTATTACTACAAATGTCACTATTATCAAGATTCTATACATGAAAAATATCTGGCTCTTATTTGCAATTATCTTTTAACGACTGTTCCTAATAAATAGAATTTTTTTTATTTTATCCATTTTTATTAACTTTAACCAATTAATTAACCATTTGTTTATTAGCTTATGAGAATTCAGATTGATTTTCAGAAAAATCATCCTCATCTTCATCTTCTTTTTCATTTTCTTGTTTTTTATTTTTGTTTTTTTTAAATGTGTTCTTTTAATCATTTACTGTGTTGTTTGTAACTTATTATTAATCGAGATCTTTGATACAATTTTTATTATATTTGATTTTAGTTGTAACTATAGAAGTACCATCTAAGTCTGAGCAGCTACTGAACTTACATACTTAGTTTTGTGATTTAAAATTTTTGCTACTTTATATATTTTCGGAGCTTTAATTAAATATAATCAAGGTGTTTATCTATTAACTACTTTCAATTGTGTTAGGGTCAGCATCACCTTTACAGGTTTATAGCCTTGATAAATTATTAGAAGAGTCATCTTCAATACATAATTTTGAGTTGAATGGCTAAGGGATTCTTCTGGTGTTATTCACAGGAGTTTCGCAAGTATTTATGCTGCGATACGTCCCAGCTTGAAAAGTCATAGTTTTATAATTAGAGGGAATGTTTATTTGCATTTACTTTGGTGTTTCTGGAATAACAGAATTACTTTGACTGATAATTTTATTGGCATGCTTGCAGTTAGTATTATTAGATGATAACTCATAACTATCACTGCTGTCTTCATTTTATTTTACTTCTTATTAATACTACTGATTTTTAATTTCTTCTATTGTTTTTAAAATCAATTTATTTTAATCTTAAAAGGTTTTTATCTAGCTAACCAATTTATTTTAGTCTTCAAATGTTGAAAAGTGATAGTTTTAATTACCTAAAATATTCTATACTCTTATTATTTTTTAAATATTCATTGGTGAATTTTCACCAAGAATCGATCCTCTTTAAGTGAACTAATTTGTGTTCGTTTTTGTTTGTGGTAGTATTTTATTTTCCATTAAATAAAAATTATTATCCTTTGCTCTAATTAATCTGTCAATTTCCATATATTTTTGTTTTACTTTATTCAAAAACGAGTGATCTTATTTCTTTTTTTCTTCCAAATATTTTCTTATTTTACTCATATAATATTTTTTTTTTTCTTTTTATTGTTATTGTAATATTTGTATTTCTATCAATTATTTATTATTGGTTTGATTAGCTCCGCTGTTTACATTTCCCTCAATTTAAACTACGCAAGAATAAACATCCTTTTTTTATTCATTGCTTTTCTCAATATTTTTAAATTCTTACAATTAATTAATTGCATTTTCAGCTTTTTACCCAGAATTGATCATATTTTATTATTCTTTACTCTCTTCAATATTTATATTTGGAATTGGCAAAGAAGGAATGTATGCGTATTGGTATTCTAATTAATAATTTTATTTGAGATCTAATTTTACAAAAGATTTATTGCTCTTTATTTTATGTATGATTTCTTAACAAGGAGGAAGATGATAATGAAAAAAGTATTTGATGACAAAAATACTTTACATCTTTATCTTTTTTTCTTTTAGATCTCTGATAATTTTATCAAATGATTATTGCTACTCTTTTGTGAATTCTTGCGTGTTCTAAATGAAAGAAGTTATGAAAGATAGGAAAACGACTGAAATATTTGTAACAATAATGATCAAGGCTCTTCCAGCATTAGTTTAAGGAACAATATCGCCATAGCCAATTGTTGTTATACTGACAATAATGTTCCAAATGCTATCCCAAAGCGTGGTAAAGTCCTCTATGACATAATATATATATGAAGATAATATAATTAACAATATTAAATATACAGTGACAAATTTAAATGGATTTAGATTTAGGTATCTTCTTACATACTCAGTATATTAGTGAGTGAGTTCTACTTGTTAGTATGAAATAAAAGCATCTATGATAAATATTCCTCTTAAAAATTATAAAAGAAGTAAATTTCTTAGAGTGTCTTAATCCCTAACAGCCATAGTAATTAAAGGTAGTAAATTGATTAAATATTAAATCCATTAATAATTCAATTGATGAAACATTTAACACCAGTTAGCTTTTTTTAGCACTGCCATCTCATCATTTTAATAATTTTTTTTTTATGATTTGCCTTATTTTTTACTTTTTATAGAAGTTTTTGTTTAAATTTTTATAGATTATCTTCTTGACTTCATTTATTTTTAAGTTTTAATTGATCTGTTATTATTTTCTTAGTCCTTTTCGATTGCATTAAAAGTAATATCTTAATTGCTTTAAGAGTTTATTTATATAGGCTTTTGTTATTTTTAGTTAATGAAGTCATTGTTTGTAAGAGCTGTTGATTTTCTTTAAAGTATTTTAGATCTTCTCTTCTCATACAAGATTGTTTACTCTTTTTGCTTGGCGTTTAGCTACATTAAATTTGAGATGATATTAGAGTTATCATGCATATTTTTTGGACTTTATTGCTAAGAACTTCCTCTACTTTATTTTAGCTTTTAATTATCTGAAATTCCCATAATAGAAGTAGCTCTTCTGTTGTGTTAAAAAGAAGTGTTCTATTAAATTATTGAATTACATTGTTTGTTAAGAGAATGACTTTGATTTTTATTTAAAGAGTTATCTTTATTATTTTAGATATCTTCTACTTGCTTAATATTTAAATAAGAATCTCTCTTCATTTGTTAAATTTGGCAAATTTCAATTAAGTCAGTCTTTTTTTGATTGTCAGTAAGTGCTTTTATATTATTGGATAATTTACTTTAATTCAAAGATGAGTTCTTTGAAGCTTTTCGATTTATTACTTTTATTGAATTTATTTTTTTATTTTCTTTCTTCCTAGGAGAATTAGATTGAGTGACCCTTTATTTTTAGAGCTTCTTAATTTGCTGGATTGTGAATTTATCCAAATGAATGTCCATCAACAGCCACTAAGATAAGCATCCTAAAACGAAGCCAAAGGTGGCATAGATATATTCGCCATTTTTGGTATAAAAACAGTTAAAGATTATAATTGATGTTTAAAACAAACCATTTATTATCTGTCTCAAGCGCAAACCTTTATTTGAGCTCTTTACAATTTTTTTAGGATCAACCACATCTTCATCAAAATTTTCGCATTTTTAAAAGCTGATTCGATTGAATTTAGGTCTAGACTTGCCTTCTGAGAGTTGAGAAATCTTCTATCTCAGAACCTTATCAGGGCTACTAGAGTTTCCAGCAATTATTGTCTGCAAAGTAGATGCATCATTTTCCGTTTACTCCTGCTTTTGTTTCAATTGAGGAGAGTCCTCTTAAAATTCTAAATCGCTTTATTTCATTATTTTTTGTATATTTGTAGAATTAATTTTTGGATTTAATAAATTAATTTATGTGGATAGAAAAAATTTGATTATTTATAACGAATACCCTTATTAATCAATTTCAGTGTATCTTTAAAGTATCTTAAACATTATTAAATTTTTATTATAATCAAATTTTTACAGGATAATTAATTCTAAAATTAGAATTAATCATATAAATTCATTGATAGTTCTCACAACTCATAATTTAAATAAAATAAAGTTATTTTATTTAGTTGATTATAATTTCTAATCTTATCAACAGAGAGCTTAATCAAATTCATTTAAAGTCAAAATCTGGTTACAAACAATAGATTTTATAAAATGAATGTTTTAAAATACATAAAAATGAAATCCTTTTAAATTAGATTTATTTTATAAAAAATTATTTAGAATAATTTAAAAATAATTTTTACCTTTTAAATAAATTAAAAGAGCTAGCTAGCTTTTAAGTTGAGAAACTTTATGTGGTCTGAAGAATATTATATTAAGCACAAAGAATTAAATTATTTTAGAAATATTTTTGATATTTAAATTTTATATTGATGTTTAAGATACAAAATGTTAGGAACAAAATATTTTAAATAAATTTTTGTTAAAAAAGAAGTTATTTTGTAAAGAATCAATAGATATTTATAAAATTTCGTTTTAAATGTATATAGAACTTTTTGTATTAGTAAATTTTAATTGGTGTAAGTAAATCTTGATTATAAGAATTAATTAGTATTATTAATTTTTATATAATATATTTAATTGATATATAGCTAGGATTATTTAAATATTATTTTACAAAAATAATAATTTATTATTTATATTTATTTATTTAATTTTTTCATTTTAAGTTTATTTATTTTATATTTGTTAGTTTTCAGAATAAGAATTGGTAAGTTAATGAATCATTATAATGTATCTTTTTCTTTTTTTATTAAACTTAAATATCTTATTTACATTCTAATTATCACTATTTGTTTTTTTGTTCCTTAATTTTTCTATTTTCTTTACTTTATTTTTGTGAAGACTTTTAAAATTTTTTTTCTATTTCAAGGCTAATTTGTTATTATATTATTTTAAGGAGGTAACCTAAGCTTATTTATTTACCACTCATAAGTATCTGAAGAAAATGTTGAAATTATTCTATGTTTAATATTTTTTAAAATTCCTAAAGAAAAGGGACTTCCGAATTTACGAGGCAAATCTTTTAAATATGTAATTTTTTCCCAAGAGTAAAATTCCCCTTTTTTAAAAATTTAGTTTGAGATAAGAATTAATTTAAATAAAAATTTACATGTAGTCAAATTGAATAAGATATAGTAGGTATGCTAAGCCACTAAAAGAATTGTCATTCCAAATATATAAACTAAAAAGAAAGTTGAAATTATACTAAATACTGCTAAAATAACATCTGATTATATCTTCCAATTAACTTTCTCTGCTAGAAAGTGAATAAACTAATTTTGATATTAATATTTTCGTTAATTATAATTAATTTTAGATTGAATTTATATATTAAGAATGATTAAAAAATTAATATACCTCAATGATAGTTAAGGTGCTTACTACATTTTAACAAATTATGAAGAAGAAAAAAAATAAATGATTTCTTTAAGCTATGCAAACACCTATCCATGGGCAATGGTGGTCGTAGGTAGATATGCATCTATTGCATATAAGACAATGCTTTGAGCGAGTCGGCTAGTTTATATAGCAATATTTACAATATCTCTTTTCAAAAAAGTAAGGAGCTGTATAGTTAGTAATTGTTATGTTTTCATTATTGTTGTTATTGTTATTTGTATTGTTGTTGTTATTATTGTTGATTGAAATTGTATTTTTAAGATTTGGGTTATTTTGAGTCTAGCTGGTATTGCCTTGAGTGGTATAAACTATGTTTGGTACAGTGTTCATTGTATTTCTCATTCCAGTTGATAGTTTGTGAAAGTAATTTGCGTTACTGCTGTTTCTTTTTATCGTGGAAATGTGATTTGGGGTAAAAGATTCATGATTAATGATTTATGCATTTATATTTTATAAATCTTTTTAGGTATTTAAATTGTTTGGATTATTGTTACTATTAGAAGAGGGAGTTAGCGGATTTGGACATTAAGTGTTTGTTTAATTGAAAGATTCGTTTGATAAATTTGTTTGATTATTTTTGAAGAAGCTCATTCCAGCAGCATTTTAGATTGTTAGATTGGATTTTGCTGAGGGCGAGTAAAGAGCGATCTAGGCATTTACATAGTTCTAATTACTCAATTAGCTTGAATATTAGGTAAGCTTTTATTATTAAAGGGACGAACCTTCTTTTGTGCTTCCAATAATATGAGAAATAAATTAGCCTGATTGCAATTAGGCAGCTTAAAAATTTTGTATTTATGAATTTGAACCTTGAGGAGCAAATGCTACACTTTTACTAATTAAATTTGAGTGATTTTATTTTAATATGGGTTGTTAATATGTGGGATTGTTTCTTGATTCCTTTTTCTATAAATGATAGATGTTAGAAGCACTTCCAGCTTCAGTTTCTAAGTTATTTTATTTATCGATTATATTTGATTAGGTTTAAGTTTTTAATTAAAGTTTTGTTTGCACACTTCCTTCAATTTATTCGTTGGAGAATATTTATAGTTCCTCTCTTGAAAAAATTCCATGATGTGAACCTTAGTCTATAAAACTTTTTTGTTTATAAGGTGAGGAATTAAACTTTACGTTTTCTTAAGATGCATCATCATTAAAATTATTGCACTATTATGCGCTTTAGTTTGTATTATTAGCTAACTTTACAGATCCAGATCTGTCTTTGAAAGAGTAGTTTATTTAGGAAGGTGATTGTTTTTAAGGATTAGAAGCTATGTAGTTATTTTAATTAGAGTTTATACTTGATTAGCTATATTTAGCCACTGTATTAGAACATTTTTTAGTTAAAAATTGAAGATCTTTGTTTTGAAATCCAATTAAAGATGCTCTTTATTAGGGAGATATTTAATTAGGCGATGATTCAGTGAAACAGCTTTTAGTAGTATTTGTATTCTGCAAGTTATTAGCAATTTTATTATCTGTTAGAGTCAAATTAACATTTGTGTTAGTGCTTAATGGTTACAATAATTAATTAGTAAATGACAAACTATCTGGTATTTTATGGCGTTCATCATTTTATTCTTATCCCAATTCATTAGAATGGTAATTTAAATTATTTAAGCTATCCTTGCACTTATTGACGTTAACTAAATTTTCTTATTATTCTATGATTTGATCATTTTCTTCTTGTATCTCTTTGTCCTAAGTATCTGCTTAATGTTATTGATTGCATTCTTCAATAGGTTGCTGCTATTCAAATTGATTTTCAAAATTTTAATTTTGGTTTTATTCAACACCAAAACAATTGTTTAAAATTAGATTATTTTATTTTAGTTTTTAATTGCTTTAAAAATATTAAATGGCCTTTCCTTTTTTGTAAGAAGCTGTACTTGAGCTGCGATGTTGTGGTTCGAATGTATTTTCTATGAAATAACTATTTTTAGATGTAGAGACACCAGATGCATGTTGCTATCTATTTTGAACTAAATTTGATTCTTGATTTTAATATGATTTACTCTTCTTCTTTAACACAGGGCTATTTAGCAGCTGTGTAATATTTTTATCCTCATCCATGGTAGTTTCATTATTTTAATTATTTTTGAAAGTGATGTTACTTGTGTTTTAAATGATTCCTTTTTTTACTATTCCAAGGTTTCCAACAAATTCTGAAAATGATGGATCTCTCTATGAATTATTGAGGGTACCTTTACCCTTTTATTGAGAGTTAAAATAATTACTGTTTTTTCGAGAGTGGTTGTATGAGTTGAGAAGTTTATTTGAAGAAAGAGCAGAGTAGATAAACTCATGTTCAAAGTTTGGATCATAATTTGAATTATTGATAGAATTTGGGTTTTCGTTTTTAAAAAGAGCTTTCCCTTATAAGTCTTATTAGTATCTTAACTTTTAATCTCTATAAGAAGCTTCATCATCAAGATAATCATCTTACTGCTGTGCAAGATTATGTGGATCAGGAGTATTAAAAGAAAGCTTCTTCTAGATAAGACTCTAAAAATTATATTATTATTGTTTTTATTGTTACTATTGGTCTATAAACTGAATTGGAGAAAGCAAATCTTATTCTTTAATACCTTCATTGCTGTAGTTTTACTAAAAAAATGCGATCCCTTCATGATAATTAGGTGATTGAGATATCCTTTAAGGAGAAACTCTCTCTCTTTCCTTAAAGTAAACACCACCTTGGTGCTAAAATTCTAAAACATATTATATATTTAGCTACTTATTTTTATTAGAACTTTATTAAGTAGGACTTTGATGAGATTCACTTTATATAGATGCCAAGTAACTTGAATTATGATCTCTTCCACTACTTATTATATTGCAAGATTGTAGAGAATTTACTTTTATTCCCTAAATCTAACCATCCACATCTCTTTTATTTAAGTTATCATCATTTTCATGATTCTGCAATTCCTCTTTAAAATTTCTTCCGAACGAGATATTGTACTTGGTTATGACTGCGTCATTTAAATGACTAAAGTTATTTATGTCGTATTAAAAATAATTATTTTAAGATCCTAAGCTATTATGAAGACTCAACTAAAGCATTTTATGCATATTATCTTAATTTTCGTTAACTTTATACAATTAATGTTATTTCATTATTCCTTTTTACTGCTTTTAATTTAAAGTAGGGGTGGATTTAGATGGGCTTAATCCTGTTGCTTTTTGTTCACATTCATGTTGCTCTGAATTAATTTAAGCTGAACCATCTACAAAGAGGTTTTATTCTATGTTAGGAGAAAAAGATATTTTTTGTTTAATTTTTTTTGGACTAGCAAATTCTTCAAGGTGCTCTCCATTTGACTAATCATTTCCTGAATCAAATTAAACTTATTTCTATTATTACATTTAATCTTAATATTTTTGTTCCTATTTTTCTACTATAGAAAGCGCAGTGCTTACAATCTTCTTTTTAAGTGCTTTTAATTGTTCTTTATTTATAGCATTACTGGACTGATATTCATTTAGATTATTTTTCGCATGTTCGTCAATATCTTAGCTATCCCCATTATAAGCATCTTCATCATTCAATTATTTTTTATTTTGACATGATTCATCTTACTTTTCTTCTTCTTCTTCCTCCTCGTCTTTAAGATCGTCTAAGCATATTTACTAACTTTGAACACTTTCTGAATTTTCTCTAAAGCTCTAAACTCTATCTGATTCCTCATCCATATCAAGCTCTTATCCTAACTCGTAGTTAAAATATTGATTAGGATCTAATCCCATTTAATACATTTGCATGGCCTACATTACTGTTATGCCACCTTCTGACTCGCCTCCTATAAAAACATTTGTATCAGGGCACACCTCTGTTTCTCCATTATTTTCAGTTTACGTAATTTTTTAACTTTATTTTGTTGGTTTTCCAAACTCTGAAAGAGTAGCTTTAATACTGTTTTAAATATATCGATAAGAATCCTCCTTAGGTATTTCACTCATCTTAGCTTGGTTATTGTGCATTTTAGAAGCAAGTTATTGTAATCCGTTAGTAGGAAGAAAATTAGAACTTCCTCCTTCATTTTCATCACTAACTTAGTATTTAAAAATATTCTTTTATGTATTTCCATTCATGCTTGTTAAATCAGTGTGAGAAGTTTAATAATATTGATTGATATTTGGTCCTATATAAAAATGACTAGTTTATGGCTACTATGATGTGCTTATTTAGTTATTTAATGCTATATTCTACAAAATTTCCTTTTAATTTATATCATAAGCATTACAACTTTTATCTTAATTTTGATTTGCCATCTCATTTTATTATTAGCAAGGTCTAAATACGCTACTATTTATTTATTACTCTTCTTCTAAATTTACATTTTATTTAAATCCTTAAATTGAAAATTAATTTCCATCTATTTAGCTGATAGCAGAGTTGTAGTTATTAAATTAAGAATTTTTTATATTTTATCCCTAACTATTTTTAATACTGATATTGATACCTTAATTATGTAATTAAGATGCTATTTAGTATAAACTAGGAGGTAATCCTTGAGCATTATTTTAATAAGTATGTTGTAACGGATTATATTGAAAGGATGTACTGTTTATATTATGATTGACTTCTTTCACATTTGGGTTTGTGTTATTTGCTTATTCTTAAGTTGCTGCATTTGCATTTAAATGTGGTTATGAAATCATTTCAGACTGAAACTCATCATGTAGCTATGATTTACTAAAATTTGCTTAGTTTACATTTTAATTCATAGTAGAAAGTTGTTGCGATAGCTGGTGCTATTACTGAAGCTGCAATTACTAAATATTTGCCTGATTTTATTTAATCGATTAGCTTTTTATAATAGAAACCAGTTCTTTCTTATTTAATTTAAGATTACCAACGCCACTTAAGGTTTATTAGAGATTTATTTAAGGTGCCTAGTTACCCTAAATATCTTTGCTATTTAATATAGAGCCATCTAATTGGTAGGAAGTCTATTTATAAAATAAAAATACAAATATAATTTCAGGAATAAATTGTTTATTATTTTCTATTAATTAAATTCATCGATTACTAATTGATGATTGATAGAAGCAGTAAATTGAATAATTCTAAATTTTAGATGAATGTAAAATTATTTTTACTTATTTGAATGGATGAGGAGAGCATTTATCTACATATCGCACATATCCTGGGTTTCTAAAAACAATTATATAATATAAGATTACACTGAAGGGCCAAAATATCCTTTTATATATTATAATCAGTTTATTACATTAGTTAATTTTATATTAAATTTAAAATCCCATCATCCCAATGGAACCTTGAATTTAACTCATCGCAATAGAAAAAGTTAAAATTTAATGATAGATTGAGTATGTATAAGCTGATTGATATTTTGAATAAGCAAAGCAAACTAGATTAAAATTTTAACTTTGTTTTGAATTATTTAATTATTAATCTCTGAATTGATCAAATATAAAATAGCATGATAATTGTTTGCTTCAATATAAGCAAATAGTTAAATCCAAAGTTTAAAATGCAAAAAAGGAAATAAAAAGATTCTTTACCAAAATAATACTAACACTATACCATCCTCTCGACTAAAAAATTTACTAGTATAATTTAGTAAAACCATAAAGACTGCCTGTAAGATTATATAAATTATGGGTGCAAGCCATCCTTTTTATTAAAAAAATCAATCGTTATTAGTAAAATGAAATAAATAGTAGATAGATTGATAGATAGATTTGATGTTATCTAAAGTGTGATAATTGGAAATATTCAGTTCATATGAAAAACAATTAAAGTACTTCTGCCCTCAAGCCACTTGCATTTGAATAAATTAGATGGTATCCTCATTTTGAGGAATTAGAAAGACAAATATTGGATAAGTGGTTTTGATTATTTATCTTTTTACCCTTATCTCTTATTGTATGCTTGCTTTGACTTTTACTTTCTTTTTGTATATATATTAATACTATATATTTTTTCTCTAAATCTCTATCATCTTATCAATAAGATAGTTAGTTAGCACTGCCTACTTCAAACAAATTTATAAAAAATTCACTCTAGTAAAAACTTATCAAGAATATGTATGATCTTTCAGTACATATTATATAAATAACACAAAATCAATCATATAATTTATAAGTTTTCAGTAATCATTTTTTCTTATTAGATCATTTAGAGTCATTAGATTTTATAATAACAAACTAATTTTAACATTTTATAATTTATTTTTCATGTCACTTAACTAAAATTACATTTTTTCTACTCCTTCAAATTGATTTTAGTATTTTTATTTTACTCTATACTTATTAGAGGAAAAAAATAACTGTTAAATGGTTTTAGTAGATTAATATTTAAATTTAAAATAAGTTGAAAAATAATATCGAATTCATTAACTCATATCTGAGAATCAAATTTCAGCAAAAATAGCATTCATAAATGTTTATAATACTTTTCTAAATTAAAGATTTTTATTATTTTATTTTTAAAAACTTTCATCATTTTATTAAAAATAATGTGAACGCCTTCCTATAAAACTTAAAATGAAATTAAAAGTTAACTGAAAATTTCTAATATTCTTTCTCACAAATTACTTACTGCATTTTTTTGTAAAGATAAATAAACCAACAAGTTACCTAAAAATATTTGATATTTTATTTTTAAAAATATTAAAATGAACAAATTTTTTTTTAAAAAGTTGATCACATTTTCTTAGAAGTTTTTATAAAGTGCTTAAATAAAGCTGTTCCTAAAAGTCATACCAATATTTTAAATATTTTAATGATGCTTGCTTAAAAAAAAACAAACTTTTCGGTGAGCATAAACTTTGAATATGTAAAGTTGTAAATAAAAGTAAAATACGCTATTAAAAATTTCAGAGCAAATCTAATAAAAATATATTAATTATTTACTAACATTTTATAATTACATATTTTGATGTTTCTATTTATTTTTAATTTTAAAAATACTTTGAAAAAATGTAAGATTTATAAAAGTAAAATAAATTTAATTTTATTTGGATCTATAAATTATAATAAAAATTAATTTTTCAAAATAATCTTCATTGAAATAATTTGCAATTTTTCAATGTTTAATTGTGTAATTGTGAAATTTAGAAAATTTTTTGTAAATAGGACTAAATTTAATAATAATCTACTAAATTTAAAAATAAAAATGATCATTCACTAATTCATTTATTTACTAATATTCACTTAATTAATAAATATTCCTTACTCTTCACTTAATTTAAAGTTAATAAATATTCTAAACAATTAAAAATTTTAATTTTCTAGATAAATTGTTAACTTCAATATTTCCTTTTACTTATTGACTTTTTAATTGTTTTTTTTGCTTGCTTATTTGCTAGCTTGTTAGCATGGTTGTTTTTAAAATAGAATTAATTAATGACTGAATTATTAAAATTAATTTAACCAATTAAGATAAAACTTTGTAAAACTAATTATATACTTATTTATGTTTAAGCGGGTTTACAACAAAGATAATTAAATTAACTTAATTTTTAAAAAATTTATTTAAAATGCAATTTTATTTTTAGGCTTTACATATTAGTATATGTACTGAGCTCAATATGTGACATAGAAAAGTTTAATTTTTGAGTAACTTTATCATTATGTAGCACTCTCTGCTGGTTTTGAAAATAGGCTAGTATTTCCAAATAAACCATTTTACTAATTAGAATTGCTAGATTAATTTGCAAAAAGTCCTGTTCCATTAGAGCCAAATAAGCCCCCTTTATTTTAACTTTATAAATTACCAAATAAGGATGTATTTTTGTTAGGTTCTGATTAATTGGTTTATTGACTTAATGATTAATTTTAACTTCCAAATAAACCTCCTTACGAACTACTTTACAATTAAGAAGTGGATACTTTAGGTTATTCTTTCAATTAGAATAAAGAATTTTAAACTGGTTAAGATGAAGGTGTAAATAAACTTTAGCTTACTGGTTAGTTCTATTACTTATCTAAAGAGTTTAAACCATTTACTTCTGTTTAAAGTTAACCATTTTCTTAATTGATAGCTTTTTGTGGTAAAGGCTCAAAGTCCTTATTCAACTACTATTACTATTATTATTTGTCTTTTAAAGGGTTGTTATTGGATTTATCAAAAATACCTCCACTTTGATTTATATTAGATATGGATTATCCAAATAAATTTTTAGCTTCTTTCGGTTTATCATCACCTGGGTTTTATAAAAATGCTAATCCTGATCCTAATCCGTTTGATTTATTATTTGCTTCTTGCTTTAAAAAGCCTCCTATTGCTTATTCTCCACCTACAGCGCCATCTTTAATTAATCCACTAAATAAGTTTTTAGGTTATTCAGTTTTCTTTTCTGCAATTTGCTATTAAGTATTTTCATCTTTCTTTCCAAATAAACCTCCTCCTTGGTTTAATCCATTGCTATTAGAAACGCTAGGGAATAAACTACTTGGGATATTTGGTTAATTCAAAAAGTTCTTCTATTCAGTAACAGATTAATTACTACTTAAATTTCCAAACAATCCTTAAGATTAAGGTTAAGGTTAAGGTTAAACAGGAGTTGGAACTTTATGATTATCATTCTTTTAATCTGTAATATTTTTTGCTTACTGTTAAACTTAACTCTATGAATCCAAACTAAATGGTGTTTTAAAAAGTTCAGAAGCAGAATTATCTTAAGTTGTAGTTTGCATTGTTTCTGCAGCCTAAACTTCTTTTACTTCATTTGTCAAAGTTGTGGTTACTTTAACTGACTAGTCTAAAGAAATCTAATTTTTACCTAAATTTCCAAATAAACCACCTTCACCACCGAACTTATTTTCAGGTTGAGTTTATTCTTTATTTTTAGGAGGAAGAGCTTTTTAAGGTTCGATTGACTTGTCAAAAGAAGATATATTTCTCTCAGTTACATTATTAGATGCTTGGGTTCCAATATTTTATTATTGCTATTACTACTATTTTGGCATGTTAAATAAGAATCCTGTGTTTGCTGGAGTGAGTGGTTAAGCTATTCCTATACTTGCTTGAATAGAGGGTATTTATAATCCTGTATTAGTTTGCATAGGTTGCCCTACATCATCTTTTTTTTATTCTGTCTAAGCTGAAGCTAAGTTTCCAAAGAGACCACCAGCACTGGTTTACTTTTTGGGTAAACCTTTTTTTTGTGCTATTTCGTTTTAAATTTCTATTTGAGTTTAAAGTTATTAAGGAGTTTAAGCTTGCTATGGAGTTTGACTTTTGCTGAAAAGAGATTATTAAGAATCAAATGGATTAGAAATAACTTAACTGCTACTTGTAATTGTTTATTGAGGAGTAGTTAAATTTTTTTCTTAAGAGCTTTCTTAGATTTCTTTGATTCCATCAGATTTTTTTAGACTTTCAGCACTTGATTCTTATAAGTTAAAAAGAGGTGTAGACTTAACTGCCTAAACAGCAGTGTTATTATCTTCTTTCTTATCTACTGATACTAAAGATGATTGAGGTAAGTTAGCAAATAATCCCAAAGGAGCTGCTTATGCAGCCTTTGGAGCAGGAGGAGGATTTAAAACAGATAATTTAATGCCTTCGTCTTTTTTATCAAGAGGAGTACTTTTTTCATCTTAGTTGGCTTAAATTTGTTTATCAGGAATGATAATATTTATAGATGCAGGCTTAGTTTAGTTTTAACTGAATAAACTTGTATTTTCATTTCCTGGCAATTTAAAATTGCTTTCAGATGGCTATTAAGGTAGATTATCATTCTTGTTTAATATCAAACTATCAGCTGGCTTTATAAAAATTGGTTTTTCTACTTTAGCAGCTTCCTCAAGGTCAATCTTTTCCTATTCACGGTGATTTATCGTAACTAAAGTATTCATGTTATTGCTATAAGGAGCATTAAACAAAATTTAGTTCTTTTTTTCTGCTTCTTTTTACTTGATAAACTTAGAAAAAAGTTCCTCCTTTCTTTTCTTTTGAACTTGTAAAATTCTATTATTTAAATTATGAATAAATAAACAAGTATTAATACAAATATTTATTATTATTTAGCTAATTTTTAAGATATTTATTAACAAATATAAAACATTTATTTTTTTTTTCCCAATAAATTATCCAACTAATTAAATAATTAATTCATGTAAAAAGATTTACTTGCAAATAGAATGGTTCTTTTCAGTTTATTCATCTTCCATATCATCGGATTCATAAGCATGAGCAAAGCTATCGAATACATGCCTTTTACGAGAAATAACCTTGGAATCTAATTGTTCTGCTCTATCATCAAAGCTAGGGTTAGGAATATCTCTGTATTATTGACTTAAGTTTTAGTCTCTTTTTTCTTAATACTTTCTTGAAGGTTTGCTTGTAGGAGGCTAAATCCAATGTGCATCTCTGATTTTTTCATCATTTTTAATAACTTTTGCTTCTTTTTCCTTAAGAATTTAGCTTTAATTTATAAAATGGTGTTTATTTCTTTTGTCTTCTTAGACACTACTTTATCTGTTTTAACCTATATATTATAATAAAGATTTAGTTGAATTATAAATCTTTTTTTAAACATAACTAAAATTAGTTAGCTTAATAATATTTAAAATTAGTTTGCTTAATAATATTTAAAGTTTGAAGAATTACGAGTATAAAAGTTAGAGTCAGGAGATTAAACGAAATTTTTAGGATTTATGAAGGGACTTATATTATTGTTGATGCTATTGTCTTGGAACAACATTTTGTTTTATTGCAAAATCTTTTTCTTTTCTGGAGTTTCTACTTTCATAATTTCCTTAATACTCATACCAGTTTTAAATTAGGGAGGCTGAGGAAGCTCTTCCTAATGCATTTCTTGACTTTCTTGGTCCAAATCATAATTAACTTCCATCATAGAATTGTTTTGCTAATTCAAATTAAAATCTTGGTTGTTACTAGATGCTATCTTTTTTGGATTCTAATAACTATTTGTTTATAAATTAAGCTATAATTTTTTGCTTTTTTCTGGCTGGAAATTAGGAGTTTAGGGTATATTTTCTGAGTTCTTTCTGCTCTTATTTTAGCCTACAATATTATTTTTAGTATTAAAGTTAGGAGTTTATAAGTAATTATCATTTATGTAAGGTTGCAAATCTTTTATGTTGACAGTAGTTTTCAATTTCAATTAATTTTGAATAATTTAACTACTTGGGTTTGGTACACTGAAGGAATCAGTACGCTGTCTCTATGTAGTTGAGACATCTATATCGAAATTGCTAAATGATGGTCCACTGCTTGTCTAATTTCCATAAAACTGAGAAGACAAATGCTAATCTTTGTTACTTTAATTAGCAAGATATTACTACGATGCAATTTAATGCTAATTTTTAGTTGTTTGATCTACTGTTTATTCCTTATCCTTATTTTATGCATCTTGATTTTTGCTTGATTAATTCTTCTTTTCTTTATCTTCCTCATGATTATTCAACCTATCCATTTACGAAAAAACAAATATTAATTAATCTGCATTGAGCTAAATAATTTGATAGTTAAATTCAAATTTTATATCTAAGAACAGTTAACTAAGCAATAGAAAATTTTAAGGGCTGAAGCCACTTATAACGGTTGAATTAAAAATTAATTAATACGCATGCAAAGTCTTCAAGGCAATAATTATCTAAAGGAAGAAAAGCAAAAGAGAAAGTACTTGCTAATTTTCCATTTTTAAATTCCCTGCTTTAATGAATATTTCTGCTTTTCTATTGTTTATTTCTTTTTATATTTTTTGTTTTCTACTTAATATTTTTTTATCTTTACAAAAGTTGCCTTCTACTTTGTATTCTTTTTTCTGAAAAATATTTATTTATTAATTTATTTTTTATATTTCCTGCTTGCGCCTTGATTTATAATTAATTTACTTTATTTTATTTTCAATCTTCTTTCTTCTTATTCTCGCTCTCTCTCTCTGTCTCTCCCTTTTCTTCTAAATAATTTTTATCAATATACACATGCATAAAATGAATTAACCAAAAAAACATACAAGCAAGCATACAAATAGTAAATATATATTGAATTTTGTTTTATAATCTTAATCCCATTTAATATCAAATTTAAATTATTTATTTATTGCACAAACTTTGCCTTTTATTAAATTTATATTTGCTAAGATTTATATTAAAATCTATGCTAATTAGCTAAATAGATACTATTTTGTTTCCTTTATTATATATTTTGAGTTATATAAATCATGCAGCATATTATTTAAAATATTAATATTTCATTTTGTAATATCTTTATCATTTTAAACTAATCACAAGCAAAATTATTTATATTTATGACTAATTTTTAAATAAATTGAGGTTAAAACTCTTTTAAGTTTAAGCATGAATAAAATGATAAAATCATGTTTTAAAAATTAAAATTAAAAAAATTTAAGAAGTGTTGAATTGTTAACAGATGATAATAATTAAGACTAATCTATCAATACTTTAAAATATAAAAATGAAAGTACATATAAACATATAAATGAGAATGATAAAGGGATAAAATAAATAAAATCTAATGACATCAAAAATGTAACTTTAATATGTGCATTAAATACTTTTAATTTAGAGCAACCCTTTACTTACATTGAGCCAATCGAATCAGCAGTAGAAAATTGGCATCATTATTAGATTAGAATTAAATATTATTAATGTGGGTGTTTAAGTTATTAATATATTAATATTTGCAAGGAATTAAGAATATTTTGTCATAATTATCGTATGTATGTATTTATGAGTGGATATATAGTAAGCACAGTATTATCACCTTACTCCTTTTCTAAAAATATTTATTAATGAATGAATGAATGTGATTATATTTTATTTTATGTAGATATTATTTAATTTATGATTCAACTTCAATCATGTTCATTAGGGTTATCCAATACTAAAACCATAACCGAATTTGTAAGAATCTTTAAAGTAATCAGCAACAGCACACAACTTTAAGCTATATGCCTAACCAAATAATGTCAAAGCAGTAGAAATCTTGCCCTTAGAACTAACAGTAGCAATTGTTTCACTGTCTTATAATCTTTATCTGAAAGCCTATCAATTATATTTTAAATTCAGTTAAACATTTAAATTTACATTTTATTAAAAATTTTATTTTAAATAATTTTAATTATCTAACGAATTGTTCATTTTTTGTTTATAATAAGTTTTCTTCTAACTATAACAAAATTTTTTATTTGTTTAATGCCTGAATGAATTAAATCGTATTTCTTTAATGTTTATGTCTGAATATATTTATTTCTAAATTTGCTTTATTTTTCTTTTTACTTACAGACTTTCTGTAAAAGACTTTTTAAGATTTAATTTCAATTCATATTTTATAGCTTTAGAAGTGATTGGATTCAAAATTAATAGGTAAAAAGAATTGAATTTATTACAATAACTGTGTTAGTGGTACCTTCAGAAATCTTGTAATTAAGTTCACTTACTAATCTACACTTTTTATTTACCTATTATTGATTATTTAAAAATTTTGTTACTGATGATAATAAAAATTAAGCTGTTTACCAAAAGTTAGTAAGCAAAACAAGCTTAGTCTTAAGGAGCAATATAATTGAAGTAAAGAGTAGAAGTTTTATTAGCAGTGTATCTACCACTGTAGTTGAACATAGTCATGTTTTATAATGTACCAAAAATACTTTCAAAACCAAAAACGAGTTTGTTGGTTACAGTTTGGACGTGGCCAAAACCGACAGCACCAGTTTAATATTTGAAGGTAGTAATACTGTCATCGGCTATTTATTTATGATAAAAATAATTTTGTTAAGTTTAAATTTTAATTTTGCTTTATCAAAAAGTTTACTTTCATAGTTAAGGTCAGCATTGATTTGAGCCATCTTGACATCAGAACCAGCGGGGAATTAGGAGTGGAATTACAAATTCCAGTTTTTATTGAAGAATCTAAGATATGAGGCATCTAAACTACCACTGGAATCTAATCTTGCAGAGAGGAGATACTTAGGTCCTGTAGTCCTATTATAAACATATTATTAATTTATTTTAGTTTCTTTAAAACTGATATTATTTGTAAGAGTGAGTGATTTTAATGCAAATAGACAAGCTAAGTTAGGAGATAATGTTTGTAATTAGTATCTTCTTATTTAATGACAATTTTTAATAAATAAATATTTTTAGTTTAATAATAATTAATATCATTTCAGAGTTTTCTTAATTTGTAATTGAATTTCTATTTCTTTTAAATCCATCTCAAAAACAATTGTCTAAATTAGGTTGCTAAAATGTTTTTTGAATGTTTAAATAATGACATTTATTGTTGTATTTAGCATATGCCATTTAAATGCGAAATATATTTCTAAAATATTCTTGCATTTACTAACTAATTATCTACTATCTCTATGATATTAAAAAAACTTTTAACTTGCTTTGAACTATTCTGCATTAGATGTTGCATACACTGAACCCTTAAATAAGATATTTTGAATAAACTATTACATTAATTCTTGTTGAGAACCACCAACATATTAGGTAGATAAAGTATAACTTGAAGTAACAGGAGGCTTCATCATACCCATCATAGCCTTTTGACTTTGTTCATTAGGGTTGCTACCTTCATTTGTGGAATAAGGAATAACCCAAGAGTGATGAAGCATAAATCTTTAAGAAATAGGAGTAGTAAATTCGAACTTAAAACCCTTAATGTGTTCAACTTTGCTAGTAATAGCCTTAATATTTCTAAAAATGGCATGGAATGGTGGGGGCTTTCTGGAAAATTTCTTGGGACCAGGTTGGGTAAGTGGGCCTTCATCATCAAAATTATCTTCTGATTCATCAACTTTTAAGTGGGGATCTATATTAGAGAAAGAAGGGTCATCCAAATTAACTTCTTCTTTCTTTGAGCACTAAACTGTGGTGCCCTAGATGACCTTCATAAGTACCTTATTTATATCCATTTTGTTTTTCTTGTTATTTGTATTTTTTCGATTGTTTACTTGCTTTGTTTTTACTTAGTAATTTTTTTTATCTTTTTTTTCCTTATTCAATCAATACTACTCAAAGCACTTCTTTTGATTTTTTATTTTTGATTCCTTCTAACTTTCTTATTCATTTCATTTCTTTGCATTTGATTGTTTTAAACACTGTTTTAATCAATTCTTTCTCCATATAATTACTATAATTCCTTCTTTTATTTTCTTAGATTTGTAAAAAAGATTCTTAGTTAAAATAAAATGAATGCATATATCTTTTTCAATATACACTTTCTCAATGTACAATATTTCTTATTTAATATATATGCTTGACTTGTGTTATTTGTTTCTCTTTTCTTTAACATTCTAATTTTTAAAACAAAGAAGGTTTTACCCCAAATTAAATTTTTTATTTCACCTTTTTTCTGGAATACTCTTAAACATATTTTATTCATTTAAAATTTGCATTAATTAATTAGTATATCTTTTACTTTACGAATATTACTTAAAATATAAAATTTTACAATTATGGAAACATTTATTAAAGATTCATAAACATATTGTAAAATCTTTAATAGGTGCTACTAAATATTATTCAAATAAAAATCCAAAGTTTTATTTTCATCTTCAAATCAGAAAAAATTTGCTTGAATTTGATATAATAATTTTAATTTACATTTTTAATTTATCTTTTCATATTTAAAAAAAAAATAGATTTAAATCATAAATATTATTAATAAACTGTATAAATATTAGTCAAAGCATATTTATTTAAATAATCTATATATGCGTTTACAAATTTTAAAAGAAAAATGTAAATCAAACACGCTTTTGTTTCATGTTTTAAATTTTATCATTTTTTTTTTCATTTTTGATGCAAAAAAATAAGCTACTTTTTTACCGTAAATATTTTTTAATTAAATATAAGCAAATAAATATTCAAAAATTAACAATTTTATTTAATTTTTTTAATAAAAAAATCAAATAAGTAATACTTAGCAAAATAAAAAATATATTAACCAACTTCTTCAAAATTTTGTATTTTATTTAAAATAAAAATAATTATTCTTTTCAATCCAACTTATTTTATAAATTCAGCAAGAAAAATTAAATAATTTGTTAAAATCTATTGAAAAAATGATATTTAATTTAATAAAAATAAAAAAATTTTAAATTAATTATTTTCATTTCTTTTATTAAAAAGTCTTCTTTATTGAAGTAGATTCAAAATTAAATTATTATTTTTTGTTAATCAATTTAAAATAAAAAGAAAATAATTTTAAAAGTACAAAAAATAAAAAATTTTTATTAATTTAATTTACTGTTTTTCAATATTGCTTTTTGTTTAATTTTATGTTTAATTTCATGTTTAATTTCGTTTGCTGAAAATAAACATATCAAGAGAAAATAATAAAATAAAATTGTTAAAAAAGATGTTAATTTAAGAATAGAAAATATAAAAACATATAAAATAAATAATTAGTTTTCTTTTAAGAAAATTAATTAGATAGGTTTAAAGAAAAATTAAGATTAATAAGTTTATAGTTTTTTATAATTAAAAATTTATCAAAGTAGATAGATAGATAGCTAGGTAGGTAGGTAGATAGATAGATAGGTTTATGGTTGTTTAATAATTTTATTTAAAAGAGGTAGAAAATTTATTTCTAGAAAACTAATAAAATACTAACTAGCTGCTTATAAGCAAGCAAACTATAAGATAGTTAATAAATTTATTTTATTTTCTGTAGATTATCAAAAATTTTTAAAATCATTTATTCATTTGTTCATTTTTGGTTAAAATTTTATAATTCTTTTAAGTATTGTTGAACTTCTTCATTAGGTAAAGTAAAGTCTGAATTGTTATTAATTGATTCTATTTTAAATAAAAAATATATTTTAATGCAATGAATATTAAATTTAATAAATAAATAAATAAAATGCAAGATTTTAATGAATGAATGAATGAATGAATGAATTAATAACCTCTAAACAATTCTTCATTTCTGTAGGCAGCTGGATATTTACTTTAGTTTTGTTAACCCCAAGTGAAAGAGTTATTTTTTTAGCCACTGTCATATTTATATTGTGTTGTTATAAAAGTTGATTACCTTGGCTCAAAATCGCTTACATTTTCAGCGTTATCTTCACCTACCATCGAGACTGGTTAAGCACTGGGATTTTAATTTTACACTATTTTACCGTTGTTTCCATTTTGTTTATTATTTTTACTAAATTTTAAAGATTTTTGATTGCTTGCCTAAGGATATTACTACTATATTTGACTATTTCTTGCTGTTTAAGTATTCTTATTAGGTTGCTTTAGATATTACTGTTATTACTGTCTAAATGATGCTGTGTTTGCAGATAAAATAGCTTCTGGATTGTTTTAGAAATTTTACTATTCAACACTAGGATTGAAGGAAGGCAATTACTATTAAGAATTTTAATTTGGTCCAACTCCTCCTCCAAATGTTGAATCAATTGATTGTTAATTGTAGAAATTATTCTATGTTGTCTGATTTGAATTGGGATTCTAATTAAATCCAACTCTACTTCCAGTTGATTGTCTCCAAGGATCCATTTACATAGAATTATAGTAAGGATTATTCTAATTAATATAGCTTTATTTCATAGTGTTGCTAGAGTAGATATTCTATTGAGTGTTTCTGTTGGTGGGAGAAGCAAAAGGGTAAACAAAATCATCATACTCTCTCACATCTTCTCTTTAGTTGATCTAGTCGTTTTCATAATTTTAATTTATATCCTCATCTTCATCATCTTCTATGAATTATCTCATTAAAGGTGAAGATAAAAAGCTATTTGCATTCTCATACATATTTTTTTTATTTCTGTCTTACATAGTCCCATTTGCATAACCACCATAAATAGTATTTTTTTAAGAAGTGATTGGACCACTACCAATATTTTCTTAATTGCCATTTAGTCCTATTCTATTACTATCACTGCCGATCAAAGTATTTTAATTATGTTAAAGTAAATTTTATGCGCTTAGAGGATTTTAATGGGATAGAGGTGATAATGAATTATATCCACCTGCAGCAGCCGCCATACTTCTGTAATACTATTCTTGCTAATGAGGATTGTACTAAACTTAGTAATTTTGTAATTGCTATTGCTATTGCTATAACTATTGTTGCTAAATATACTAATTCTTTTTTTCACCTTCCTTTTACAGCTCCTTTTACTTTTCTTTTTCTAATTTTTCATAATACTTCTTTTGGGCAGTTTTAGAAAAATGAACACCCATTTCAACTACATTCTCCTCTGCTTTATTATTTCCTGTAGTTTAATTGTTTTATCCATCTTCTTAATTTTTATCATCTTCATCTTTTTCTAAGTTAAGATTATTTTAATTGTTTCCTTCATTCATCATATATTTAAAGTCTTCAAAATTCTCGTTTTCTTATTGTTAATTTTAATCTTGGTTTTGGTATTAGTCTCTATGAGCTTAAATATCACCCTTTATACGTGATTCAACGTTCTATAAATACTATGGTTTCTTCTTATCACTTCTAACACTTCCTAATTACTAAGAAGTGTTTCTCTACTTAGGAGAAGCTCCTAGATTGTGATTATTTCTTTTTTATAATCTTTCTTTGCTGCCATTCCTTTTATCTTTCTTAGACGGTACACGGAAATTTGATCCTGTGCTAAAGTATGCATCACTCAATCTTTCAGGAGATTTAATTTGCTATTGTTACATACCTTTAGAAGAATTCATATCATAGTCATTATACATCCCTGATGATCTCATAAATTAGTTGCTTGCCGAGATATAAGGTTAATTATTTTAATATTGCTAAGGGCTCAATCCTCTTCTAATATCATTTTAAGAATGTGGATAAGCGATATCTTCATCATCATCTATTTGTAAACACTATTTAATAGCTCCATCATTTAAATGCGGTTTAGGTCCTGAAATATTTCTAATGACTGTAATCTACTAAGGAGGAGGAGGACTCTCAGTAATCTAAATAAATATAATTAATTAATATATAATATTCAATAGTAATTCTTTAATTAAATAAATCTATTTTAATAAATTTTTTATCAAATTTTCTGTATTTATTAATAACTTTAATTACATTTAAAAATATTTCACATTTATTTATCAATATCTTTAAATTAACTCACCTTATAAAAGTGGTCAAAGCTTTTGTGGCTTTTATATTATGGTTCATTTGTTTGTTTAGATAAAATGTATTAAATAATTAAATATATTTTTTTTAAGAAGGGTTGGATTGATTCTGTGTTTTTATTTAATTAAAATAAATGTCGTTTTAATTAAAAAGACTAAAGCTATTTGAATTGAATAAGAATAAATATTTTTGAGTTCTATTCAAAATAATACTTTGTATTTTATGATGCTTTTTTATTTAACTGTAACAAATATTCAAAAATTTTACAACAATCTGCAATAACTTTTTTAAAAATTAATTAAAAAAAAGTAACTTGATGCTAAACTGAATTAATTCTATTTTTGAAATTATTTTTATACAAAAGCTTCTTTAAAAAATTTAAAATAAGTTTTTTGTTTAAAATATCTAAACAAAATGTCCAGTAAAAATTGTAATTTGAAGGTTTTTTAAAATATTTAAGAGGACAAAATACAATTATTTTTGAATTTAAATTAAGTAAGTATATATATATACCTTAGGAGTTATTTTTTATTTGGTTTTTTTTGTGCGTCTGCCTCTTTGGGTTTAATTCAAATCTTAGTTATCTTCTATGTAATCTGGACTTGCAGAAATACTATTTTATACAAATGAATTAATCTTGCTGATTATAAAGACTATAGCTTGTGGATTTTGATATTTAAATTTTTTGTAAATCCAATTTAAAAAAAAAATAATAGTAGAAAACTTTATAAATAAATCAAAATTTTATATTTTGAAATTTTGTTTTTGCTTGTTTATTTTTGAAAATTTTGACTGGCCTGATATTGATTTTTTGCTTGTTATTGAGCAGTTTATAGATATATTGATTGATTTATTTATTTATTTATATTGGTTTGATTGCCTTTTAAGAAAAACTAAATATTTAAAAATTAATGTTAGAAGGTCTGCAAATTAATTACAATTAATTTTAATGGTGCTAAGGGTGCTAGTCTAGCCTTTAATTTAACATTTCTATCTAATTCTTAACCTAATTATATTCATTTTTTAATTTTTACTTAAGTGCTTAGTCTTAATAGTCATTATTGTCATTAAAGTTATACTAATGCTGCTATTAATTTTTATCGAAATATTTCTTTCTTGAAGCATTCTCGCTTTTATACTGCTAAGCAACTTCATCACTGAGGTTACAATTTGGAGTGCTTCCATATTTATTTAAATTTAGATTCTACATTTAAACATTCTCTGTTATTATAATTATAAAATTTTAAATTTATTACAAAAAAATTAAATAAATTTTTCAAAATTAAGGCGTTATCTTTTACAAATTTTGTTTAAAAAGTCAAAACCAGCCATTATAGTTGATTTGAAAACAACTAAAGATGTTGGGTGGTAAATTTAAGCGAGTTCAAGCGTAATTTAAAATGCAAAATGCTTAATAATTTACATGCCATTCTATTAAGCTTATTAAATGCTTCATCTGGAGTATTGTTTATCAGTAATTTATTGGCTACACCTATTCCTATTATTAGGAGATTTTATGCAAAACTGATAGCCTTCGTAGGAGTCCATCCTGCAAAAAATCTACTGATTAAGGGATTGCTTTTCAAATCTATCATAACTTGTTCTCTTGAATTATTATTCATTATGATTCTGATATTCTTTTGTTGCTTTTGCAAAAATATGCTGCCCTTTGCCTATACGCTTCAGATATTTAATGGAGCTATGAACCCTTACTTTTCGTTTAACAATAGCTGCTTTGTTTCAATTTACTATTGATTTAATTTTGTTTATATTTTGTTTTTGTTTTCACAATGAAATATAAATACATTTAATTAAAGATAATTAGATAGATAGATAGATAAATTGTGTATGATATTCATTTTGATTTTTTATTTAAATATATCTAATATCAATTAAAATATAATTGCAATTCATAAATAAAAACACATGAAACTCATTTAATTTATGTATGTATATATGATCAAATAAATAAGCAAATAAATAAATAAATGAATGAAAACAGCTATCAATAAATCTTGTATCAATTAATTAATTAATAAATAAATTAATATAAATACATGCAAACATCTCAATTCGAAATTTATGTTTTATTTGTATTTTATTTCATTTGACTTATTTTTTATTTTTCTTTTTCTAATTATATTAAATATCTTCAAACAATAAGAATTCATGTACTATCTCTATCATAATAAATAAATACATATTTTAGCGTATCCTTTTAACTTATTTTTTCTGTTGGTATTTGTATACATGAGAACCAACCTATTTATTTATCTTCATATTATAAATTTTAGATTTTTCAAAAATTTATTTAAATCCCTAGATTTATTGACTATTTATTAAGCTTATTAATAAAATTATATATTTTAAGAAATTTAATTCCTTTAGTGTAAATCATTTAATAAGCGATGTTATCTCCTTATTTTAGAATCTCCTCATTTTATTTTGGATATATTTTATCATTATATTGCTATTACTTATAAAAATCTAAATTAAATTAAATCATTGGAATAAAATGCTATTCTTTCATTTTTTTATTATAGACTTGATTTATTTGAATATTTAGAGATCATTTTTACAAACAAAAATTATTCGTAATTTTAAATGAGTATAAATTTAATTTACTTAATTTTTATATTTAAAAGTAATCAAAATATAATCTCTTAATTATATTTGAAAAAATTTGAAACAGATAATCATTTTTTATTAAATTAAATAAAAAACCTTTAAAAAAAAAAAACTTAAACCTTTTAAGAAAAATTTTGCATTTAGTTTATAAATACTCAAATAAAAAATATTAAACAAGTGCAAATAAATTTTAAATAGCAAATATGAGTTGAGAAGAAAACATTAAAATTGAAAACAATTTTTAGAGTTAAATTTTTTATTTTATAATTTAAAGTAAAAAATAATTAATTAGTTAATATTTTTCGAATATTAAATACAGTAAAATATTATTTCAAAATATCAATAAAATTATTGATAAATATTTAAAGCCATGCATTCGATAAGTATTAAGAACTTTAAAAATGTGTATCAATGATATAATAAGCAATTTTTTTCTTTTATTAAAAGAAAATTTTAAAAGGTATAAAAAAAAATGAATGGAATAAATTAAAAAATAAAATAAAAACTAATTTTTTTTTAATTGAAAGAAAATAAATTTTAGAAAAGATCAATCATTCTAAATTAAATTAATATTTGAAAGTTAAATTTTTATATTTTCTAATTTAAAGTATGTAAGTAAATAATTTATTAATTTTTTTTGGATATTAAATAAACCAAAATATTATTTCGAAATATCTAGAAAACTATTAATCAATTTTTAAGTCTTAAAAAATTTTTATTGGTTTTATTATTAACCAAATTTTCTATTATTAGAAGAAAATAAAAAAAGTAAAAATAATAAATGAAAAGAAAGTTAAGTAAGTATAAATTAGCAAATAAAATGAAATTAGTTTTTATAATTTTAAGAAAAAAAATATTTGGAAAACTTCTTAAATATTTAATTATCTTAATTTAGTTAATATGAAGAATTTAAATATTATTTTATGTGCTATTTAACTTAGTAATAAAAAATATATTTTTAAAAGGTAAAATAAATTTAGTAAGCTAATTTATGAATAATATATGAAAATATTTTCAAATAAAGTTGTATAAATATATAAATAATATAAATAACTCTATTGATGGTTTTGAAAATAAATTAATATATTTTGTGTATTTGTTTGTATTTTGTTTGCACTATTTTCATTTTTTAAAGTTTTATAAGTTTTAGTTTTCCCAGTTTTAATAATTTAATCCTATGGCTGTGGGAGTATCATAGTTTTCTTAAACTTTAGATGCTTTTGACTAGTTTATTTATTGTAGTTCAGAAATTTATCTGTGACTTTGTAAAATTTGTAATTAATTTTATCTTAGAACACGGAATTACTCTTCTTCTTCTTCATTTTAAAATTATAAATTAATTTCATTATTTTGCAGGATATCCACCTTGTCTTTAAGAATTTAAATTGAATTTATATCACCCAATTATGAAGCCTTCAAGTAAGCCTAATATCCATCACTAGCTTTACAATCTTTTTTTCTACCCATTTCAATCATTAAACCAATATGAGTCCAAGCTTCAGCAGAACCATTATTTGCAGCCTACAAGTATAATTCATAAGCCTTATCGTAATCAGGTAGATTTCCATCATATCCTTCTTCATAAATAGCTCTATTATTTTTAAATAAATTATTTCATGACATTCTATTTTAATTTGGTTATTTAATTTACCCTAAATTGATTAATGCTGTTGAATTACCAAAACTGGCAGCCTTTTCATAGTAATATATAGCTTTTGGTACATTTTTAGGAAGCAAAGCACCTGTTCATTAAATAAACTATAAGAAATTTTATTTAAATTAAAATAATTTTACCTGAGAAGTAAATGTCTCCTAGCTTTGTTAGTGCTTTATCATTATTCTACTCAGCAGATTAGCTAGTTTTTATGATATTATTAAATATTTAAAATCATTAAAATAATTTGAATTTACAAGTAATATTTTAAAGATGTTTTGTAATCAGGTGTAACTCCTAAACCGAGTTCATGTAAGAAACCCAAATAAAGAAGGGCATCTGAGTTTTAAGGTTAAGTTGTGAGTATTTCTCTGAGGTAAGTAGCAGCTTAGAAATATTCTTACTCATTGTTTTCATCACTAGCTTATTACAAAAGATAATAACAATATTAAAGTTTTGATTCTTAATTTCCTTTCCTAGCTGCTTTTTTAAGTAATTTCATAGCTTTGTTTATATCTGTATGAACTGCTATTCCTTTTAAGTAGCAAATACCTAGATTCATAGTTGCTGCAGGATATCCTAACCTATCTGCTTCTTCAAAGTTTCTCAAAGCTCTTTCCTTTTATTAATTTAATTATAATTAGATTAATTAAAATGCAAATACTATTTCTATATCTAATTTAAGATTCACAAAAATAAGTTACTTTCTAATTGTTTTTTAAGCACAAAGTACCTAGATTATTCAATGCTCTAGGGCAATTTTGTTTGTCAACACATTCATATAACTTGCTAGCTTCTTATATATTTTAAACTATAATAAAATTGCCATTAGAGTCTCTGACTCCGTTTTCATAAAAATATCCTAAATCTACAATAGCATTTTAATGCAATGTGTCCTTATTTTTATTTTAACTTGCTTTCTTATATTATTCGATAGCAGATTTTATAAGCTCATCCTAACTATATTCCTTATTTGTGACCTTACTAATATAGCCTCTCTGTAATTGTTATAAAAAAACATTTTTATTTGGATTAAAAAATAAAAATAAAAATTACTTCATAGAACTAGCCAATTTGATAAATACCTTCTAAATCACCTAAGCCAGCAGATTTCAAATAGTAATCATAGGCTTAGTTTAAATCTTGTTCAACTACTTTGCCTTCAAAATAAACCTGACCAAGACTATTAAATGCTCTACAATTATTACCCTTTGCTTCTTACTTATACAATTCAAGGCCTCTTTTGACTTATTGAGGTGTTCCTATGCCGTACACGTATTCGTGGCCTTTACCTACAAGATCATCCTACTTAGAATCTACTTTAATATATTCTACCTTAGGTATCTCCACTTATCTGATTTCTACTTCTTTTTTAATTACCTCCTTCTCTATTTCTACAAACTTAACTTCTGTATCAGTAGGGAAATATTTGTCAATCAATTCCTATATCCTGAACTAAAATGAATCAAAGTCAGCATCTAATTGAGGATACTCTATTTTAGGAGGACAAGCTTGAGTTTGTGAAAGAAATTCTAAGAAGTGCAAGCATAGATAAAAGTTTTCAGGTACGTCAATAGAAAGAGCTTACTTTTGTCTTTTAATAAATAATATTTTTAGGCAAATTCAAAAAAAAAAATTAATCAAAGTAGATTATTTTTATTTAGACTTCATGCTAATTTTGAATGAAACAATTTTTTTAACTTTATCCATGAATTAAAATTTTTTATCCATTTTCTCAAAATTATTTTGATTTAAAAATATTCTTTTTCATTTATTTTAATCGTAAACAACAAATTACTAGCTACCACCACAGCATCCTGCCTTCATCAAAACTTCAATATCTTTTTTACTCTTATTAATACGTTATAGAATATAAATATGTCTGTTGCTGAAGAATTAGTTAACATATATGTTAACATTCTTGTTTCTTAAAATATCCTATAGCTTTTTTAAATGTTCAGAGCTTTATTGCTACAAGTTTTCTGCATAAACTTTGGTCTTTTTGTCTATCTTTGGACAATCAAGAATCACTTAAGCATATTCTATTGTATATTTAAATAATAGATGTTCATATTAACTATTATAAATTTATATGTTAATTTTTTTTTACCTATAACTTCTTTTTTTAAGGACTCAACTAGCTTTTTGAATTCTAAGTAGTTTTATTCAGATTCTGCTGTATATTTCTTTAAAGCATCTTAGTTTTTTTTCTTGATTTTATTTGTCTCATCTAATGACAAGTTTTAGATCTCTTACATGATCTTTTCTGTCATGATCTTTTTACATTCCTAAGCACTACCTTATTGGTCTTTTTATTAGCTTTACTTGCTCTAAGAATAATTTGATTTCATTTTATGGAAAATAATGTTTCAACTAGCAATTTATTTGTTTCTTGTTTGATTGCTTTACAGCTATTGCTATTTTTATTATTATTATTATTAAGACTGTAGATATCTTATTTTGAAACCAATAAATTAAATAAATTAATTATTTTTTATTATAAATGATTACAAACTTTAAATCCAGTCAATAAAATTTTTGAATCATTTGATTAAAACATACAAATTTCAAATTTAATTCCTTCATTATATCATTATTCATTTTTGAAAAATTTATTATTTTGATTGAATTGAAGAATTATTTATTTCTCTTAAGCAAATTAATCACGCAATTTAATAAAAGAAGATGCTTGAATAATAATTAATTATTTCAAGCATTTCTATCTAATCAAGGTTTATTTTTCAAAATACAAAAATAATAAAAAATAATTTGAAATTTGAACAAACACTTAATTTAGTTCTATAAAATTTATTACTTTTTGGCATTATTTTTGTAATATTTAGATATTTAAATTGTAGATTTATAGAAAATAATTATCAAAATGTAATTATAGTGTTTTATTTGAAAAAAATGCCAAATTTTGTTTATTTATTGATTAATTATTACAAAGAATTAAATTTTGCTTGATAAGTTAAATTTTGAGACAAATTTTACTGAACAAAAAGATAATATAAAATTCAGGAAAAATTATTTAATTGCGTATGATTGATTCTAATTTTTAAACTCATTATTTAATCCTATGGTTAAGATTTCTATAGTAAAAAAATTTTTATTTTATTTGTCTAAATTTGTGTATTTTTTAATAGATTATCAAAAATATGATGGAAGAAAACATAAAATATTAAATTAAGAATTTTATTTTTGATTTTCATTACTAATATTATATTTATGTCTAAAATCAATACCAAACATTTCTTATAATTACTTTATGCACCTATTTCTGAATTTAGTATGATATAGATTTAAAGATACGATTCTATTAGATTTTATAAATATTTAGATTATTTAAGTTTGGATAGTACTAATGAATAAAACAATATTTTTAAATTTATTTAGACAAAATGATAATTTATTTGTTGATAAAGATATTATAAGATTATATAAAATTACTAATTATATTTTTTATTATGATAAATAAATTAAACAATTTTTAAAATTTTATTTTATTTAATAGCAGAAGTGAGAAATAAATATTTAGATCATAATATAATATTACCTTTACAAGGCTTTTTTAATAATTACATTTCAGATAATTAAGACTAATTATTTGCTGCTGTTTAGTTTTAAAGCTTTTTTTTCTTTAAAAAATTATCAACATATTTATATAGATCATAGAGTAACTAAACAAAAAATAAGAGATTATATGCTAGCAACAAACCAAGAATAACGTTTCCTAAATCTAAATACTATTTAAGGTCACTGTCTTCAATTATAGCTTAAGATTTAAAAATTTACTCTTTTGAAAGCAAAGGGATATGGAGAAACCATGTTACTGATAAAGCTATTTCTCCTAAAAATTTTACAGACCTACTCAGCTTATTATGATAAGGAGTCATATAAGCTGTCAAGAGAGCAGAAATTAAAAAAAGTATTCCACAAGTTATGCAAATAGTAAGAGGGTAATTGAATAAGGAACACACAATTAAGACATATAAATATTTCTTTATATTTTAAATCAAAAAGTAGCTCTTTTAAAGTGGTGTAGAATTACATTTTAATCTCTCTGTAAAGAGGATAGAATATTCATTACCCTCACTTTTATTTTTTGTTACATTTTAATAATTAAAGTAGAATAGTACTATTTACATTGATAAAAACATTAAAGCCAAATAAAATCCTTATCTATAAATATAAGAGTCTTAATTGATTTCTATGAATTAAATAAAGCAGCAGATAGTAATTATTGAAAGACTCACTTCATTATCACTATTTATTCTTTAAATTAAAAAAATTTTTATTTTCTAAACTAAATTGTTTTTATAGAAAAGCCTAAGCTGTACTGTTATAGTTAGCAATAAAGACGAAAACAAAACAAAATATTTTATTACAGCCAAAGGAATATTTACTAAAAGACTTAAACAAAATCCGTAGTTTTTAAATTTTCCAAAATTTGGCTATTTAGAATCAACCCCATCTATTTGGAAACCTAAAATCCTGAAATTTGAATAGGATGGCTCATCTAAATAATCAGGAACTTAGGGAAATACAAAATTTCCTATAAACTAATATAGCTTATACAGTTAGGGAGGATAAATTACATCAAGTAAAAGGAATAAAGAGATAGGTTGAAGAGTGTTTAACAAGTAAAATACTATCTAAAATTAGTTAATTATTTAAAATATTCCAGAATTAGACTATTTAAATTCACTTAACTATCCATTTATTTTATCAAGATGTAAGTTATCCAAGTTTTCATCTTTTAATACCAAGGGACCTATTCCAACATTCATTTTAAAATTAACATAGCTATCACCTAAAATGAATGATTCATCATCACTTATGAAAAATTAATTTTTGATTATAATAACTACACACAAGGTTGCATAAAAATTCTAATTTATTTTTATCTCTAATTAAAATGTATTTAAATCATAAATTGGATTGATAACATCATAATATGTTTCAGGAATTTCAGGTATGTAAACTTTAACTATTTTGTTAAGGGCAATATTTTCAAGATTAAACTTTAGAAGATTTTTATCAAATATAAATTTTATTAATTATTTATTGTTTTATTTAGAAGATTTTAAATATAAGTCCATCATTTTTAAACATTTTAGCACGTTTTTTTAGTCTAAATAGTACAAAAGCTAATTCTAACACACACACTATGATCCTTATTTTTCGAATTCATCAGCACATTACAAACATTCTTTTTAGTTACAAAATAGACACTAAGAAGAGCAGCTTTAACAATTTTTTAAGTTAGGGTCAAAAAAAGTACCTGTTGGACAGGGCTAGCATACTCCATTTTAATCTTCCTAAAAGCCTTCCATGCAATTACACAGTGGTGGATTTATTCTATTGACAGAACATTTATTGCAGTTATTAGCGTTTAAGTTACAGCTCTAACACTTAGAACTGCAATTTAAACTAATGCATTCATTATTTACTTCAACATATTAGCTATCACATAAGCAGTTTGGCATAACTCTCTTATCCGAAGAGCAAGTTATGCAACTATCAGAGTTTAAATAACTACAAGAACCACACTTATAATTGCATTAACATGAATTTTATCCTTTTAGAGGCTAAGAAATGCAATCACACGAAGGAGTAATTTAATTTATGTATTAACATTAAGTGCATTAACTGCTATTATCAACACATTCTTAGCACTGCTAGTCACATTCTTAACATACTTAGGTTATTTTATCATAAAAAAAATGTGATTTACACTATAAGCATTATTTTAATGGATTAGCATTTATATCTTTACATAAAGTGCATACAAATTAGCCTTTAATATACTGTCCATTTCCACATAAATATTAAGTTGGAGATAGAGGTATTATTAAATCACAAGTTTAATCTTTTAAATTTATTACAGGTATATTCTAAGTGGTTTTAGAAAGCTAAGAACATTTTTACTAAGTAATTATTGTATTGTTAAAATAAAGGTACTATCTTTTTAAATGGAGACATTTGGTATTAGAAATATTAATATAGATATGACATGGATCTGTTTAAGTCAAATCATAATACACAAACCCGTTTTAGCTATAAATATTTATATTATCTAAGAAAATTTAAAATGAAGATGTGTTTGATCCAAAGGTTATTAAGCCTAATTGAAAATTTGTTTTTTAACTCGCAAAAGTGAATTTCTCTAAAATATAATTGCAGACAACATCTACTTTATATAGGAGCACGTATTATTTATACATTTACTTTAAGTCTGCAATGAAAGTAAAAAAAAAGAAATTAGATTAATCAAAAAGAAGAACGGCTTGTTGTGTAGAGAAACACTAAGAATCAAAACAGAGTCTGACTCTGATTACGTTTTATAAATAATCAGGTACAAGAAATACTTAAAATGAGTACCCGCCTGTAAGGAAAGAAAGATTAATAAATAAAAATTAAGAAAATTAATAATCTGAGTCTATTTCAAGGTTTAATGAAATAGTTGTTATTCCATAACTATTACTAGAATACGTTAAAGTAGCCTAAACACTCTGAGATATTTAAAATCCCTAATATTTGTTATATTTTTAAAGATTTTAGCTGAAAATAAGCTTTACACTAGGGTTATTAGTTCCTGAATTAACTATTTCTTTTAAAAAATTTGAATATTTCTAATCAAATTTGTAGATTCCTATTAATGGTGAGTCATCTTGATATAACGAAAACATTTAATCTATACCTTACTAGGTAGAATATTATAGGTTTCTAATAAATGTTATAGAATTACTTAGTAAAGATAGACAACCATTTATAAGCTAATCGCAATATCCTATGCAGAATTGTAAATCTGGAGAAGAAAAAAACGGATCTGTATCAGTAAATTAAAATTAATTATTTATTTAATTAGATCTAAATATTAGCAAATAATTATAATTATCAGTCCAAAATCCTATCCACGCTGGATCTGAAATAAAAAAAACGTAGTCTTTAAAGAATTTGTTTTTTATGTTGAATTGTACAGTTAGTAGAGGTACTCCGTTTGTGTCTGAGACATATTTTAAAATAATTTCAAGTAAAAAAATCGAACTTTACTTTATCCAAGCTAGAGTAGTTTTATTTATTTTACCATTAAGACTCATTACTGATAAAGTGAAAGAAAAGAAAAAGGAATCATCTTATTATAAGTTAAAATTTGATCCATAATACTAATATTTTGACTAAACATCCATGTTAGAGCAAGTTTAACCGAAATCAGGTTTTTTCATAACATATCTAAATTTATTATTTTAAGGGATTATAAAAAAAGGCAGTATACATTGATTACCATCATCAAAAGCTTTTGGATCTAAACAATTTCCACTACTATCTCTTGTTAGGTTACAATCGTTTGGGTTACTACATTATCTGCAATAGCTTGGACATAAAACACATTATTAACCTTAAAGATAATACCCAGCTATGCATTTGCACCCATCTGGTGAAGAGTTATCACTTACCATTTTTAAGGGACAAATTTTTCTTGGCGGATTCCAATCTTTTATGCCATTTATTTCTGTATCTGTGTTAATTTAACTTTTAATAACACAGCTCATATCGTTTTAAAAATCTAAAAGATAATTCTGTTTGCAGAGTATGCAAGAGCCATCTGCACTTTAAAGAAAGCAATTTTGATTGGAATAAATTAATGAGCCTTTATAAATTCTGATGTGGTTTAACTAATATTTATTATTGCTATCTTATTTAAATTTTAGTTGGGCTACTTAAGTGCCAGCAGTAAATGAAATGGACTGCATATTTTACTCATATCCCGAGATAATTAAAGATAATGGTGCAGTGCTATACTAGCTATAATGAATAATTACTTAAACCCACTTGGATATATCGAATTAAACTTGTGCAGATCCAAATTGAATAAAGTTAAAATATTATGTAAAAGTAACTAAATAATTAGGAAGTAAAAGAGTTAGAAAATTAAAACTTGCAATTTTTTCAAATTTAATAAAAAATGAAAAAATAAATTCATTCAATCCTTCTAATTCAATTGTTTACGTATCTAAATGGTTTGTTGAGCAAATAGTATTGTTTTGCAATTAGTCTTGTATATTTAGCATCTAATATTTAGTTCCAACATCACTTAATAATTTTCCTGGATTTTATTAGGAGTAAAAATAATCATAATGCATTATTAAACTGGACTCCTATTTTGCTAAATAATCTTCAATCTTAGAAGTTGATTATATAGAGTTATAGCTGTCTATTAAAATAGCTAGTTATTTGTATAAAGAACAAGAAGGTTAGATATTCAATCTTTGAGGAGGATTTCCGGAATTGAATTCCATATTTTACAATTGCAAATATGAATTTTAATATGCTTTTGACATGCCAGACAAATTTATATAACTATTATAAAAATATGCTCCACCATTAACTTAGATATTCCCAGAGATACAACTTAGAGTAACAACCATAAAAAACCACCTATTAGCTTTAATTTAAGTATTTTGAGTAATGCCATTTGTTCCCAATAGATTGAAAATGAATTAATTATCTTTAAGATTAACTAAGAGAGCCATCACTGATTAGTTTTATTCATGAACCGAAAATATTACATAATTATTTGATTAGTACCCATACAATAAAAACCATCCAGATATAGTTAAGTTTTGAGCTTGATTAGCATTAGGAAAAAGTGTGGAAAATTAAGTTGTATAAGCTACTTCATCAGGCTATACTTAACAAGGCTGTATTACATATTGATGAGTAAGCTATTTCCTTTGTATATTAGAGTAAGGCTATAAGCTATAAACGAATACAATTATCTAATACAAAAAAATTAATTTTAGAAAATAATTTGTCATTTTTCTTATTTTAATTTCTAAATTAAAGTATTCTTTTATGAATTAATTGTGTGCACAGAATTAAAAACTCTAATCTTTAATTCAATGCAATATATTATCATACTTGGCTTCTAAATTAATAATTTAATATCAAACCAGAATCATTCTCTCATTGTTAATCTAATAATTGATTATTAATAATCTAATAATTGATTATTATGCTGTAATCTAAGGTATATAATTTTTTTGTATATAAATCACGTAATAAGCATTACTATTCTTAGTGCTTACATTTTTAAATTTTAAATCGAGAATTGTAAAATAAATTGTCAAATTCTAATATGCAAACAAAATAGAAGAAAATAATTAATATTCTTTTTATTTTTAAAACTGTTTATTTTTTTTAATAAAAATAAAATATCTTTAAAATGTTTTTATAGTGCGTATTGTTAATTAACTAAGGTCAAGTAAAAGCTATTTTTTGGAATATGATGATTCGTTTTGCTCATTAATTTTTTTATTCGGATGATATTTACTTTTAAATATTATAATAATTTTATTATTTTTATTTATTCTATGTTAACTTTAATTTTTTTTAAATATTTTTTTAGATTTTTATTAATTAAATAATAATTTTTGAGAAAACAATCAAAGTCATTCTATTTATTTTAAAGTATTGAAAAAATTAAAAAATTTTAAATATCTTGTAAACAAAAAATTTATTTTCACATTTGTCTGTCTTATTATTTATTGATTTATCATTCTAAAAAAAAACAAAAATAAGAAAATTTTCTTTTAGATAAATGACAGATTTTTTTTAGAATATTAATATTGTAATTAATTCATTAATTAATTAAATCTAATGCAATCAATCATTAATAAATTTAAATCGAGAATAAAAAAATATTTTAAATTAATAATTTTTATAGTTTGTTTGAATTAGGTAAAAATATTGCCAAACATAAAATAAATATTTTTATAATCTATGAATATTTTTATATAACTTGAAAGAATTCTACAGAATAGATTAAACAAAATATTTATTGATAATTAAAAATAGAATATTTTTTGGGTATTATTAAAAATTTTAGAAAGTTTAAATTGGTGAATACTTTTAAAAGAAATTCATTTATATTTAATGTCAATGAATGAGACTTTTTTCTATATTTTGTAAATGTTTTTGAATTCTTTTACAGCTGTTAGAGAGAGACTATTCAGTATTATAGCACTTTTCAAATTTCTAATCTTCATTTTTTTAGAGAAAAGATTAATGCAGATTATACAATTTAATAGTATCGTAATCTAATTATGTTTCAAGATCTCTAATTAATGCTTGAAACTCTAAAAATAATGAACAAAATAATTCATGTTCATTCTCTAAATAAATATGATGAAATTATATTTGATATTGCATGAATATGTATTTTTAAAAGCTATTCAAATTAGGTTTTAATAAGAGACATTTCAGTAAGGAAAAACTATTTTTTAAAAATAATAAATAAAAAAATTATTTTTAATTTTATTTACATTTCTTTTGAGAACTTTTTAAATACCTCTTAATTGTCAAATACTATGCCAAAGAAAAATTCATAAATAAAAATATAAAAAGGAGTTTCTATATTTTGAGTTAATTATATCAAATTTTATATCATATATTCTGAATAATCTGTAGGTCCTACTTAATCTTTTATATTTTAAAATATTTTTATCATAAATGTAATTAATTTGGACTGTTAGATTGGTTAATCATTAATATATATAAGTATTTTATTAATAATTGGAGCATAAAAGGAGTCATCAACTGGTTTATGAGAATAAAGAAAACAAGCTAGTTGAATAAATTACTCAAGAGTCTCATTAGCTAACTAATGATAATTTTATACAATATTGTAAATAGTAGCTAATAACTTTCTATCAAAACTTTCATATATAGGTAGAATCAATATCTATTCTAATAGATTGTCTATTTTTTTTATCTTTTGCTAAAGACTGTCATTGCTGTTAAATGAAAAATGCTCATTTAGCTTATTTTTATAGTAAAAAGCTTTCATGATTTTGCATTCAATATCATCAGTTTAATGCATCTATTTTATATTAGTAATATTTTACCATTGATGATTTTTTAGTAAATTCAAAGTTTCAATTTTTATATATTTATTTTTACAACTTATTTTACCAAAAAATTGAGAAAAAAAATACTTTAATAAATCTACTGATATTCCATCTTAAGACAATATTGTTTTTACTTTATTCTCTTAAATAAACATACTCAAAAATATTATCAATTTTTTAAGTATTGAAGTTTGTTCGCTAATTTTCATAACTTAATCAATATCTAAATTAAACTAATCTACTTGTTATTGTAGATCTTACTACATCAAGTAGTAAACTGTTTTACACACACTGTAAGTCTCTGCAAAGAGAATTTTATTCCAATCTAAATTTGTTTTTTCATAATCCATATATTTAAATGAGTCTGTCTTGTAATTGTAATAATGTGAGCATTATTTTGAATAAGTGACAAAATCGATAACTTTAATCTAAATGATAGATGCAGATGAAAAAAATCCAAACATCTTTTAAGCTTTTTATTCGTTTTGGTCTTAAAATATTACAGCATTAAAGGGAGTTATATCTCCATGAAACAAATAGGCCTTATTCATTTAGATATTAAATTAAAGTAGAGATTTTAATATATCAACTAGTTCACTTATCTAAATGGGTCTTTACTACTTTAATTGATATAAACTGAATATTCCTGTTTCAAAAAGCAATTTATTTTCGTTATCAGAATAATCAAGCAATTTACAAATATAACTGAATAAATAAAAACTATTTTCTTATTATACAATTATCTAATGAAAGCATTTTTCATTTTAATAGTATTACTGTTATTTAAAATATTTAAGTGCGTATCTCTTTTTTTATTAAAAATCATAATAAATTTCCACTGTTGCTTATCCTCCCTTTCCTAATTCTCCTATTTTAGATAATTGAGATATATTTGTTTTGCTAATCGATATTTTGCTCATCTACGTGCCAAATCTTTACAATGAAGGTAAATAAGAGTTGAAGTACAATTATGACCATTATTTTTAATTATAAGATATATCAGATTAGCTGTCAAGTTCTTGAAATCCTTATGTTAATTCATTTTAAGTATTTTAAGATTATAATATTTCAATTGTTGTATCATTTTTACCTTATCCAAACATTCCAGATTGAAAATTAAAATCTTAAGTTTTTGTAGTTTTTTTCATTTCATTTGAGATAGATTTTAATTAAAAGGTAGCAGACTAATTTTCTAAAAAAATTATTTAAATATTTTATTTATATTCTTAAGTATCATTTAATAAATTTTATTATTTTTCATTGTTTATAATTTATTTAGTCTATATATTTTATTCATTTTATAGCTAAAGTTGTTAGTATTCTTCAGTTTTAAAGTAATAATTTGTTTAATTTTGGCTATCACTTTTTAAATTCTATATTTATTCATAGCATTTAGTTTATTATTATAATTAATCCTCCACATCATTCTTATAGAATTCCAATATCTGCTTTTTTTATATTAAATTTGATTCAATTATTACATTTTCTAAATTTTAAAATTTTCTTAAAAATTCGTCATATGATTTTTAAGAGTTTTATAAGTCAATTTAGCTTTAACTATCTTGCTCTGGAAATGAAATATAAGGCTAATTGATCTAAGTTTAAGCTTTTAAATTATAAGAATAGATAAATTTTAAGTTATAATTTTAATTTAAATAATTAAAAAATTTTTAAAAACCTTATTTCTTCCCTTGTAAAATATAAAAATAAAAAAGTATTTTATTATTTATTTTCAAATTTTTTTAAAATTAATTATGAAAACATCTGAAAATTTTGATGATACATTTTTCAAGTAACATATTAAAGCTACTTTGTATATTTTATAATTGTTTTAAGATTAATAAAATAAATGAAATATAAAAATTTTACCTTCTTGTATCTTTAATTGCAGTATTTTATAATTATATAATTACATCTAATTTTTATTTTATTTTAGGTTAAGTTCTGAATAGTATTTTATTAATTAAGGATTTCTATCAAGGTAGTATTAAGATATATTTAAAGCCTTTTATTTTAACATAGTTTTTGTTGCTTCTACAAAATTACAACTCTTTTATTCTAATTTTATACTATTTTTGTATAAATTTTCTAGTATTTACAATTGTTCCTGAACTTCTTAGTTTGAATACTTAGTTAGATTAATAGCAGACATGCAATATATCTATTATATTATTAATTGTTAGCTTTGGTTGATTGCAGGATCATGGGATATCTTTTTAAAAATGGAACCTTATTTTAGCTTTTCCAAAATTTACATGTAAGAATTAGAGAACAAATCTTATAAAAAATAGTTTCCACAATCTTCAAAATCAAATAAAGTTGGCTTACTATTTAATTTAGTTAGATTATCAATATTTAAAAAAGCTGGTTGAATTAAACTTCTAATTATGAGATATGCTATATCTTTATTGTTTTTTAATTAAATTAGATTATTTTCAAGGTATTACAAGGCATTATCATCAATTTGTTTTTGAAAAATATTTTTGCTCTCTTATGTTAAAAGAAGAATGTTTTTAAAAAATATTTTTTCACACTCACTTTCTATTTAGCTTTAGTAAAATTTCCAAAATAATTCATGCTTTTGATTATTAAGTAAAAAAAATATAAACCTTAGGAAACAATATCTCGGATTATTTAGCAAATCTTCATTTGCTATAGGTTTGATATGATTATCAAATTTATTTTATTTGTCTTTAAAAATATCAAAAAAGAACTTTAAAATTAACTCTATTGAGGTATCACTGATCTGTGTATTATTTTAAATAATTTATTTCAATCCTCTCATAATTTAGCAGAGAGTATTTGTTTAAACAGATTCCTTTATTAGCACTTCTGGTTGATTTGAATGTTAATAATAGAGTAAAGCAAGTTTATTAAGCTGAGTTGGACAAGAAAAATAGTTTTTGATGATTGTTTGCTCAGTTTAACTAAGATAAATCAATTAAATTGTTTCCTAAACTTGCTATTCAGGCAGAATGTTTGCTATTAGAGAAAACATAACTTATTTATCAAATTATTATTTATTTTTATCAAGGAAAAATAAAATAAAATCAGATAGTTCCTTGCTAAATATTTTTTTGAGTTTTTCAATTTAGCTATTCTCTAATGTAAATGATTCTTGATCGTCGTTTGAATTTATTGAGCTATCTAAACTAAAAACTAGTTTAAGTACTTAGTGAATAAAAAATTTTATAGAAAAAAAAAGATAATGCTCTTCTGTGAATTCAAACAAAATGTTTTTTTAATTTTTATAATTTTCTATTTTTTAAAATGAAGATGAAAAATATCCGTTATAGACCATCATCTAAGCCCAATAATTTAAGCTTTTAGTTATAGAGTAGGCTTAGTTGTATTTTAAGTAAAAATTATTTTAAATTACTTAAGATTGAAACATACTAAAGGCATTTAGTTTAAAATTTGTTAGATAGAATTTATTTTCTAAAAAATAGAATAATATTTTCAACATTTAATTAAGTATTTGCCTTAATGTTATTTCTTAAATGCAAGCGTTATTCCTTACATAAACATATTTCAAGTCATCTAGGTTATATTTCCCATCTATTATGTATATGTGTTGATTTTCATAGTCTATGAACCCAACTTTACAAACAAATCTAGTTAAATTAGAATCTGAATTTATTGATAAAACTCTTTGATGTGTCATGTAAAAATGTAAAGTGCATGGTATAGAGATTATGCTATATCTAATGTTAAATTTTTTATCAAATAATTATATTAAACAGTCCTAAGTATTGACTTTACAAAAATTTTTTACTTAAATATCCTATTCAGTATTAGATTTGAGATTTTTTTCGAATTCTAAATGATTGTTATTTATTTTAGAAATATCATTTAATTGTGTGATTAAATTTTAAGTCCTGTTAATAAAATCTTTAATTTGATATTAAGATATCAATTTTTCTTCATATAATTCATTATTTTATCTAAATCGCTAAAAATTGCTATTTTTTATATCAAACGAAAAAGAAAAGTCTGTGTCAACAGGATAGGTTATAGTTTATTTCGTCAGTCCATAAGGCTATAAAAATAATTATTAAAGATAATGATAAAAAAATATAAACAAAATCTTACATGTAAAATAGGTGTTATGTCTATATAAAACAGCTTAGAAAGATTCTTAACAGCTTTTTAAAAATCTTGTTTTTACTATATATTTTATATTTATTTAATCTCCTCCAAAGTAGGTTAATTATTACTTAATAATTTCTCTTCAGATAATTTATCATTATTAGTATGTGAAGCATTTTATTGAATTTCAAATATTTAAATATTTAAATTATTTTAGCAATTTTCATAGCTTTGAGTATCTTGTTTATTTTATTACAAATCTCCTTTGGAAAAACTCTAATTTTTAAAATAATTAAATATCTTGCAATTATTTTAATTTTAGAGTATTTCTTAATTAGAATTTTCTTCAGGTAACTTTAAATATTTTTTATAAAATTAAGCTTATTCCACCTCATCATTTTATTAGTAAAGCAATTTGTGATCTTAAATATATATTTATAAATAGTGCAGGTTAATAATAGGGTAATGCTGAAGAACACTTTTACAATACTTTTAAAAAAATGAAATAACTTCCTATTAACAAACTCCTCTACTTTAAAAATCTTCAATAAACTTACTCATAAAATTATTATAAAATATATTTTCTTCAGGCTAACATGTTTCTATCTTCTAGACTAGCTCAAGGATGCAGTAAATTTCTTTGTAGAGTATCATTCTTTTGTCAAAAGAATTATCGTATTTTTTCAATATAAATATTTTTCTTAACCTGACAATAAATTTTGACTCTCTGCAGTCTAAACCCACATTGTGTTGATCATATTGACTGTAATATAATTCTAACTCATCAAAAATTAAAGCAAAATCTATTAACTACATTAAAAAGTTAAGCTTATCTATTTAATTAAATCTGTTTTTAGAATACTTTAACAATTATTTGAAAGACAAATCAAAGGCTTCTTCCATTATAGAGCAATGGTATTCATTAAAGCTTATTATTTTACAAAAAATTGAGTCTAATAACTAAATTCTAGATAATTACTAATTTGATTGGTAAAATCTACCAAATTCTACTTTTTTAATTAAGAAATAAACATTGATAAACTTCTAGCTAAAATTATCATAAAATATAGAGTAAATAATAGAATCGTTTTCTAATTTTAAAACAGCAAGCCTAAATTACTAGCCAAAGCTACCTTAAGAAAAAACATTTTCTTTAAAATTTGGATAAAATACTACATAAAATTATTGAATTAGATTTTCATAGCATGTGATTTATCTTTTAAATCTATGTTGTTCAAATTAAAGGGAAAGCTTCTAAATGAGAATATTATCAGATAAGATTTTCATACCTTTATCCTAAAAAATAATTAGCATAAATATTTTGAATTAAATTTTACATAATTTGTTTCATCTTCTTAAATCTATTAATTTATGTATTTATTTATTAATTAAATTTTACATAAAGCATAATTAAAAGTTTACTAAATTATGATTTTGAGGATCTAGTGCATGTTTTAATATTTCTTCATAGTACTAGTATGGTTAAAGATCATCAAATATAATATTTTAATTTTAGCTAGTGTCCTCATTATTATATAAGTATTGACTATTATTCTAATCTTGAAACAGCTTATTGTTGTTTTAGAGATACTTAGGATCTACCTCATTTTCGCAAAAATAAAATTGACTAACTTTATCTTAAAAAATATTTAAAAAATAATTTATTTAAAGATTTAATAGAAAATCTACTTTTATTGCCTATTTTATTAGGTTATGAAGGAATATCTTATTTTTGGATCAAATCATTTTAATCTATTTACTTTATCTTATACTAATTTTTTTCATTGATTTGCATTTACTTAATTAAAATTGGCTCTAATCACTTTTCTTAATTTATTATGTATTTACTTTTTGACTTTTCAACCTAATATAATCTATTAATATTTTTTATCTAATATTTTTTAATTATTGTAAGCAAACAATTTTTTGTGAATAATTAGTCATCTCTTTTCCTTAACATAAGGTAGAGAATAAATGCAACATACTTTTCTGCTATATCCTATCATTTGTTTAATTTTATTATTTAGTTAAATATTTTTAAAATACATATAAGGTTAGTTATTCATTTGGAATCCTCTAATAAATCAACCAAAATTACTCAAAATCAACTAATTTAAAATGATTTGATAGATATTTTTCTTAAATATGTTAAAACTATTTCTCATTTTTATAATATATCTTTACTTACATTTTTATATAAATAGTTATTACTATATAAATTAATAAAAATATTCTAAGATATTAAAAATAATAATATGATTATAATATTGAGAAGGCCTAATTGCTTTCACTATAAAATTTTAGCATTTAATTTTTGCTATTAACAATATAAAAAATAAAAAACTAGCTCAACACATCAATCAGAAAATAATTATCAATAAAAACCGAAATAAATAAATATAAATCATGCAAAAAGTAGATCTTAATTATACAATTTCAAAAAAAGTATTAAATAGAAGCAGTTTATTGTAGTAATTATTTTTTCAACTCATATAAGTAGACATTTTATTAATTAAAATATAAAAATTTAGATGATTTATGCAAAGAAATTTATTTTATTAAAATACTTTAATAAATCTAAATACTCTAATATATCTGTTTTTCAGTCTTTTAAATTAATTTTTAATGAAATTTGATATTTTTTCTTTTCCTTAATATTTTCAATATTTAAACATTATTTTATTTTAAATAAATAAAAAGATTTATGGTGTATAAAAAGATTATTAAAATTTGTATAATTATTTTTATCTTTTAATAATGTAGAAGTTACTTAATAATTAAATAATAATAATAAGGTAAATACAATTTATTTTTAACAAATATTTCTAATAAAATATAAAAAAGAAGTAGATTTATCTTTATTTATTCAAGTTAGATAAAAATAAATAAAGATAAAATATGCTAATTGAGTGAATTAATTAATATATTTCTATAATATTTATTGCTATAAGTATCAATTATATTGTAGTATTGTAAAAATTTCAAATTTTAATTAATTTTATAGATATTTTTATACACAAGTTAAATTAATTATATCAAACGATCTTAAATGCCTTTTATGCTTTTTTCTTTTTTGAGGTTTTTATTTCTACTTCAAAGTTTCTTTTTTTATCTTTAGAAGGAATCTACCTTGTTTTTGATTCTTTTTCATCAAAATCATCATCATCTAAATTTTTATTACTTTCTGTGATTTATTGCTAGTTTTTAGATGTGTTATTTTCATCGTTTTCCTTAATATTATCAGTCTCTTTACCAGTTATTTCTTTTGCCACTAATTGGCTTTTTATTTCTCTTTCCTTTTTCTTTTTTTCTAGTTCTTTTTTCTTCTTTGCATCAAAGTCATTTCCTACTAATTACTTTTTTGTTATTCCTTTCACAACACCTGCACTTTCTCCAAATTACCTATTTAAAAATGTATTATTTGATTAAGTCTACTTATTAGTTTATTAAAAAAATATCTTTTACTCTTCAGAATAGCCTAATCCCATACGTCTATGAGTGTATTAAAAAATGCTTTTCATATCTTCAAAGTCTGTATATTCCTTTTTGTTTGACTCTGAAGCTTGTGCTGAATACTAACGTTAATTTTATTGTTTTCCCATTACTTTTATAAATTAAATTGAAATATCTAGATATTAATTATTACCAATAATTCTGTTGATTAATTAATCATTTAATTATTAATTTTTTTGTTTTAATAATTTTTAGAAAGCTGAAATTTCTAAAGATTAATTCTAATTTAGGATTTATATATTGAGTGTTATTTTTATTAATTTAAACTATAATTTAATCAATTTTATAAGTACCATGAACCATTTTTATTCTAATACTTGCAATTAGTTAATAGGCATTTAAATAGTAAAGAAAATAAATACTATTATTTTTACTATGATTTCTATAGTTTGTGCTAATTAATAAATTTTGCAAAAATTGTTCAGCATTAAAGATTTTAGTTGATTTTTTTGCTGATTTCTCATAAATTAATGTGATTTTCAGTAGAGAATTTAATATTAATTTATAAAATCAGTTTCTTAATTAATTAAAGAGATAATTATTTAGTTTTAAGAATGAGTAGTAGCAATTAGAAAAACAGACCAATGTTTTCAGCAAGTGTGAAAAACTTGTCTATTTCTACTAGGCCCTAAACTGCTCTTGCAGGAGGAGGATAAAGTTTACTGTTTCCTGTAAATTAGCAACAAAAAATATTGAGAGAAAAATATCCAAATGTTACAAGTTTAAGTCCAAAATCTATGCTGAAATTAAAATAATAAGATGATTAAAAAAGTTATTTTTCGGAGTTATTATCTTCTCCGCTGTAAAACTAGCTAAGAAATTAGAAAAGCCCATAGGCAATATCTTAAATAGTCTAACAAGCGAACTCATAGCTCAGTTCTTCACTAAAAAAAGGAGCTCCAAATAACATTAGAGTAAATAATGAATTAGCAGAATATGCATTTGAAGATTTGATTGAAAAAGAAGTGAAAATTTCACAAGAAGAATACGAAGAATTTAAGAGAAAATATCACAGAATGGTGTTTGATAAAAAAGGTAATTACTTATATACAAAATTAGAGCCAAAAAGCTTAGAGTAGCAGAGAACAATTCAGGAAATATATTAAAGTAAAAACACATCAGCTAAACTTAAAAAAGATTTAAATGAACGCTAAAAGAATTTTTAGCCTGAAAAAATTATCGGAAATCTAGTTAAGAGTTCCTAAGAATAGGCTACTATGCATCCAAGAAGAAAAGCTATTTAGGAAATTAAAGATAGAGCTATAAAAAGTTTAAATGAAATGCTCAGCTAAACAGTAAAGCAAAAAATCATAGAGGGAGCACTTAATGAAATTCAAAAAGCTGTATACATTTTTTGATTATTGTGAAATTAAATATTTAATGTACTCAAAAAAATTAAAATAATTTAAACTTAACTAAATAAAGTCAACAGAAATGAACAGTGAGGTAGAAAAGTTAGTTAGAGAAAACGAAGTCTTAAGAAGGGATTTAGAAAAACTAAAAGATAATATAGTTGAGTTGTAAACGTAAAATGAAAATTAAAACTGGAAAAATTCATGTCTAGTTAAAGACATAGGACAGATCAACATAGAATTTGATAAACTTAAAAAGAATTCATGTGAATTAGAAGGCTTCATCCCTTAATATAAGCTGTTGAACTCTAAATTTCCAGATTTAGATGCAAAACAGCTCATTTTTAAGTATGAAAAACTAGAAAACTTGTGTCTAGAGTTAACTAAAAAAATAGCAGAACTAGAAGATTAAAAGCATGCAATAGATGGAGAAAAGCAATAAATAAAATAAATTTTTGACAGATAAGCTGATGACCTAATGCTTAAAGACATAAATAGAGAAAAACAAATGAAAATGTACTTGGAAAAGCTCAAAGAAAAAGAAATAGAAATTAAAGACGCAGAAGAATACAAATAAAATTATATGCTTTTGTATAAAAAAATTTAAAAGATTTTTATTGATTGGAATTCACAAATTAAGGTATATTATTAAAATATCTTGAATAAGTTTAATTTAAAAATTAAAAAAATAATTATATTTGTATCTAGATAAAAGATCAAATAAATAAATAAAACTTGTTAACAAATCTAAAATTTAAAATTTGATGAAATGATTTTTATGAACATATTAAAAATTATCAATTAAAACAACATTTAAAAAAATATCTATCAAATAGGTTTATCCTTTAGAAAAAAAGGATGATAATGGACCAAAAGCTAATATTAAAGATCCTATGGAAATTTTAGATATTATGGAGAAGGAGATTAAGATATCAACTCCTGATAAGCTTCAAGAATATTTAAGAAAAATTATTGTTTCTGCTAATTTACTACAAAGAAAGTAAAATTATACAAAAATTTTGAATGTTATTTTTAAACAGACTAAAAAATTTATGTTTAAAAAAATTTGAATCAAATAATTATTCTAATTGGTACAAAATTATTTTATTTAAAAAAATATTAGATATTTGCCTGAATATGTTAATGAAAAGTTCGATCCTGATAAAATCTATGAAAGAATATTAAAACTTGTCAACAAGTTAAATGCTGAGAATTTCAAGTTAAAAGCATAAATAAAATAACTAAAAAGGACAGATTCTTTTGGGCACGATGGAGCAAATGATAAACAAAAAGGAGATTTAAATGATTCTCGTTCTTACTTAAACAATTCTCTTACAAAAAATTATCAATATGAAGAATGATAGTATAAAACAAAAATATCAAAAAAAAATAAAAATTGTAATTTATATAAAATTTATTACATTTATTAATAATTTTAAATTAACTAAACATAAATAATAACCAATATTCATTTTTATTAAATTTATCACTAAAAGCTAACATAAAAAATACTTAAGTCAAATAAAATTGTTTACGTTTAAGATTTTTATATAAAAGTAAATATTTTTTTCAAACAAAAACTCTACACAATTTTTACTTAAAAAAAACATTTTTCATATTTAAAAAGAAGCAAATCAATTATTAATTTATTCATTTATTTTAATTTTTGTCCAATTTATTTTTTTTTGGAATTTTAATTTTGAGAAATAATTATCCTAAATTTATCATAATAGTGAATAGTTATTTAAATGGGAGTAAAATAAACCTTTAATTTACCAAGGAGGTTATGAATAAATTTTAATTATCATTAACAAAAGCAGTTTTTCATTTACATTCAGTCCTTATAGATATTTAATAACAATTTAAAAATTTTAAATCATTCGTCACATTAAGAAGGGTAATATTGCATCACATTTTTAGGATTTACACGTTAAAAAAAAGCAAAATGATAACATAATTTACAATAATTATTAGATAAATTTAGACAGCAAAGATTTCGTTCAACACTAGTATTTTGAATTTAAATAATTGCAATTAATTTTTAAATTACTTAACTAAGATTACATAAAAGATACCCTACCACTAAAACCTTGGAAAAGAGTTTTTGTATAGTACTAAACATTATTTAGCAATAAAAAATAAATACTGATTGATAATTAATCAAAATTGTATGGATAAAAGCAAATATAACAAAAGAATGGCAAAATAATTTAATGGATGTTTTTATTGATTGATTATTAGATGATCTTCACTAAGTGTTACTTTAAATTGGATAGAAATCACTGGTAAAAACTCTTTATATTCATCTTTTGTTTGCTTTAAAACTGTCCACAAAATAATTTAAATTAATTAAAAATATAGAAGATCGAGTATTTATCATAATCATTCATATAATTGTATTTTTACTTAAATAAATTAGCTTAGGAATTTAGAGGTTACTTAATTTACATGTTAATTCAATATCTCTCTATTTTTCTGCAGCTTACATAATCCAATATTGAAAAGTCAAAATAAAAATAAAAATACTTAAAATACTTATTTTTTAATAATTTTTTTTATAATAAATGCTATTTGAGTATATGAAAAATTTACATTTAAAATAAAGCATGAATGTAATTTTTTAAAAAATATAGAAATTTTCAAACAGGAAACTCTTTGATTTTTAAATTAATCTGCATTTATATTTGAGATGCATTTACCAAAACATTTAAAATCGGTATAAAAGCAAGATTAATTATATCCAATCAAATTTCAAATAAAAATAAGAATAACTTTTAGACTTTTTAATAAAGGAAAATACTTAATAAGGGGGTTTTTTAGTTTTATTTTTTAAAAAGTAAAATTAATATTCGATTGTATTATATTGAATAGATTTATTCTTTTATAAAATTTGAATGCTCTCTTAACTTTAATTTATATATAAATTTTAGAACATTCTTCTCATTTAAATATTCGAATCAATTATTTTTGAAAGTAGATACTTTTATTTGAATTATGAGTATTGATTTTTAAAATTTCAACAAAGCTTTGAAATTACTGTAAGAAAATGAAGAGTTTTCATAACCAAATTTATTAATAAAAAACTCTTTTCATAAATAAATTATAAATTAAATTTTTCAAACCTTCAACTCTTATTATAAAGTTATTAATTAGAGTAATTAGATCTGATTATATTTTTTACCAACTCAAAGAGCAAATAAATAATAACCACCCACAATTCATTCTTAGCTTTCTATTTTTTAATTTATTTTTCTACTTTAAAATAATAATGAGTATTAATTTTTCCTTTTTTAAATTTAATGATATTTAATTGGTTAAAAATACTCTATTCAATATTTTATTTTCATTTTATTAAAAAAAACTCAAAATCAAGAAAAATAAAAATGTTTGTTGGCTTATTTTCTTTACCCGGTTTATTAAATTTAAAAGTGATAAGAAGTAGATGATTTTGTTGAAAGCTAAGTATTTTTATAATTGATAAAAAATGTATATTTTGCAGTAAACAATCTTCATTCAATCTTAAGCTTAAGTGCAAATTCAAATATTTTTGTCAGATTGCTATTTTTGAAAAAATGAGAGAAAAATAAAATTTAACTCCATTTTAAAAATTCTAAATATTTTGTTTATAATTTGAAAAAGAATGTCTTAATTATTCTATGAAAATTAAGAAAAGTTAAATTTAAAATTAATAATTGAATGAAACTATGAAATTTTCAGTAAGATTAATAATAAAAATATTTGAAGGAAATTCTAAATTATTTCTGAAATTTAAATTTGTTTTCATTCATTTATTAAATAATTTTGATTTTTAATCAACTTTTATTGAATAAAAATTTGAATTTGTTTATTATTATAATAATTATTTTTGTAATGTCAAAATAGATGATTTGTTGAAAGACCTCGATTCATTTCCAAAAAATGTAATTTATATTTGAAGGATAAAAAATGTGAATAAAATTTTAAGAGGATAGCAGCAATATATTTTATTAAAAATTTAAACAACATTTCTAAATATTTTAGAGATTTTTCGTTAAGAAAATATTCAAATACTTTGCGGAAGTAAGATTAAATAAAATCAATAACTATTCACAGTAATATATTGTTTTTGTGGTATATCTATGAGATTAGAATTTATGGTTAATATTACTTTAAGAATTTATTGGTTTTAAAATTTAATTAAATCGACCAATACCAAGCAAGCAAGCAAGAAAATATGCAAGCAAAAAATTGATATTGAATTCAAAGCAATTAATATAAGCAATCTTAAAATGTAGATATGAAAATGATATGTTAAAAATTTATTTTATAGAATATAGACAAAAGCCTTTAAAAGTAAAAAAGAAAATAGAAAAATCTTTTATTCAGTGAAAATTGTTAATATAAAAATATATTATTATTGTATCTTATTTTATATAATGTAATATCGAAATAATTATTTATTTGTTTGTCTGTCTATTTAAGTTCGTATCTTAGTTTTATTCAATTTTATAGTACCACTATCATTTTTCGGCAAATCAATAAATTATTTTCAAATTTCATGCTGAAATAAATTTAACCTTTTTTATCTTTTCATTTTTAACTCTGCTTTTATTAAATTCTACATTGGTTTGGATTTGAACCATACTTCTCCATAAATTATTCCTATTAATTGAAAGTAAAGCATCCAAAATTATGGTAAATGATAATATTAATTTAATATTTTATTAATAGCCATCGGAATAAATGGAGAAGAAACATTTATGCAAAAATTAGTTTGTTTTGAAATCATAAGTAAGTATTTTATTGGATAATTATCAAATACTAAAGATACAAGAAAAATGCAATACACAACAAACAAATAATACTTTTAAATCATCCAATTAATCTATTCGTTTAGTTTTTTCTTTGTTCATTTATCAAATCGAAATATTTCGCTTTTTAGATTCTTAAGATTATTGATACAATTTAAACTGAGTAACTAAAGAATGATTCTTTTAAACAAAAGATATTAACTGATATCGCTACAGCTATATATTTGAATGTCAAAATTGCTCAATATTTATGTCGTAGTTGATATCATTTTGTGTGGATTCGTATAAAATAATATTTTAATCCTTTATTATTTGCAAGCACCTTACTTTGTTAGGATTGCTTAGAGTAATCATTTTAGTTGTGATTTCAATATTTCCTCTTTATTGAACTAATCCAATTATCGCTAAATTAGAAGTTTTACCAACTTATGCAAATATTCTATTCATGTGAATTGAAATATCGTATATAAAGCTATTTAGTTTTATTTAATTCAAAATTTCTAGAGTCTCAAATGAACTAATTTTGATAAATCCGTCAGCTGAACTAGTCACGAATTGTATATCCCTACTGTTATTGCCTCCTTGTAGTTTTAAAACTTTGATGGAATAAATAGTCTTAGAGTGAATTGTTTGGCTTCTGCAAACTTGTGGTCTGCTATAGCTAAAGACGGATAGAGATCCTCCTTCATCTCCACACAAAAATGAATCTTTACAGCTTACTGATTAAAGAGAGTAAATTGATCTTTGTATTGATTTCGTCTTGAATACTTTTTAGCCTGTCAAAATATTCCATCCGTATACTTCCTCCTCACGTCCCGCAGTCAGTAATAACTGTTGGTTAATTTAAATAGATTTATTTAAATCATTTACATTAAAAATACAAAAAATATTTAAAAAAATTGCCCTTATTTTGAATTTTAGGCAAAGAGTAAGTCGTATTTAAATAAATTCAAAAATATAGGAGCTGCAATAATTAATAAATAAGCAAATTGATTAGCTGAATTAATATTTTCCTTAATGAATTACTGGATTGATATTTAAAATTTTTAAAATTCAAATAAATAAATATATGGAAATTACATTGTTGTATTGATCATAATGGCAAGTGTAAATAGCATTCAAATGTCCCTCGATTATTCTTATGCATTTGTAATTTATTAAAGAAAATACTCTTATTTTATTATCACCCGATACTGAAATTAGTAATTTTTATTTTGGAATATATACAAGATCATTTACCGCATCATTGAAAGAGTTAAATATTTTTATTATTTTTTAAGTTTTCAAATCCCATATTTTTATTGTTCCATCGGAAGAGCACGAAGCACATACTGCTTTATAGAGATGTAAGACTCTCCAAATAGATTTTGAATGAATATCAGAAATCTTGTACTATGCAGTTCTGGCAGAGAATAAATTTTCTGGTGAGTTTTAACTATTCGCAAAATTGCTAAAAGAAGATGAGCTAGGTGCAATATTTTACTGGCCAATTTAAGAAACTTATTAAGTAGACTCAATATGTTTAGAAGCAAAGAATTAATTATTAGAAAATTTCATTAAGATATCTTCTGCACTCAATTAATTACTTTAGTTTTGATTTTTTTGAATGATAGGGCTTTCATAGAAAGGAGCAGAAATCAAACCATTTCGGAATTTCTTGCGTATTTCATTTGAAAGAGTGAAGAAATAATCAGAAATTTTTTTTATGTGATTGAATTACTAAATAATTTTCATTTAAATGTCTTTTTATGTCATGACTTAAAATGTTTAATCGCCTTAACTATATTCTTGCAGTTCTACGAATCCACCACCATTTGCTTGATCTTTGAGCCTTGATTAATTATCTATCAAAAAATGAAAAGAATTATTCACAAATTGCTAAACAACTTCACTAGAAACAGCTTCATTTTTCTTTTCAAATTAATTATAACATTCTTGTAGTTTCTTCTCATAACTTTAAAGATTATTAAAGCAATGGTTAGTAATCTTTTCCGCTTACTGTATTTATTCCTCTACAAATTGGTAAATATCCATAATCTGATTCCTGATACATTTTAAATAATTTATATATTTTTACTAAAAGCTATCTTTCCAGTCGCTACTCTAGAAACTAGAAGGAGAATTATTACCCCTTGCAGGCTATTGCTATTGTTAGGAGAACTCAGTTGTTTGAGTCAAGTTAAAAAAATCGTTCAAAGCTGTTGGCTATTTAACCTTTTAGTTGTAATAGATGCTATGAAAAGTACTTATGTACTCTTCGATAGGGATCACCTTGTGCCCTTTATGGTTCATTTTCTAATTTTCAGGAACACAATTTTATTAATTGATATTGGTGTAATTGTGAAAAGAATCGTTAATGCAATAGTGGCATAAAAGGCTTTTATTTTTGCAACTATCATCAACGCATATAAAAATTTTAGGAGAAGAGTGGTGCTACTTTATGCATCTGTCGTACTAAAGATAGAAGCCTTACTCTTCTTAGTTCCTTGCTATGCTTTGCTTCATTAATATTTTGAAAAAAAATTAATTCTTTTATGTATGAAATACTAAAATAGAGTTAGATTTAAATGATAATAACTTACTGATTTAAAAGTTTTATATAAATAAACATGTCTTGATATTATTCTATTTAAATTAAATTTTCAAATAGCTTAATGCTATATTTAATAAAGAAAAGTATTAAAAAAATTTTTTTTGGTTCATTAACTATTACAAAAAGACATCATCAAATTTGTTAAAAAGCTAAAATCAAATTTACTAATGTAAATACTATTTAATTTATTACTTGATTAAATTGATATAATGCATATCAAAAATAGACTTTGGTTATATGATCATATAAATATGTAATATTATATTTGTTATTACACTATATATCATAACAATTTAATTAAAATCTTTAAAATACTCACTAATAATGTTTCATTAAATAAATATAATCATAAAAATTCAAATTATTTAAAAAATGGTAAATTAATTAATCACTCATATAAAAAATGTTGAAAATGCATACATTTTAAGTATATTTTGAAAAATACTTAGCCTTGTAAATTTTTATTAGCTTAAATAAATAAATAAAAAATAGCAAAATCAACCAGCTAGCTTTTTTTTTGATTCTCAAAAAATATATGAAATTAAAAACACTTAATTAATATTTAAAAATTAATTATCAATCAGAAATAATTGGATTTTAAATAGTTATTTAAAATGTAATCAGCTTGTTATATGCTATTAAAGTAAGACTAAACTAAAAATATAAAGTTAAAAATTAATTTTACTAAACAAAAACAGAAGAAACGTAGGAAAAAAAATGCGTTATTAGTTTTCGTAAGAAAAGGTAGATAGGTTGATAGATAGATATATATTGTAACAAATAAGAATATAAATATTTTGATATGTACACACAATAAATTTGTAAATATTAAACTTATAGTTTTATAATATTATTTAAAATACTTGTAAAATTAAGATTTGTTAAATTTATAAATTAGTGTTTAATTTATTATTTTTTTGTTTGAAATTATTACAAAAGAAGAAAGAATTATTATGTTTGTTTGTTTGTTAGCTTGATTATTTTTTTTTCTCTTTTTTATCTGTTTAAGGCAGTGCAAGAAAATATTTGTCAATTTTAAAGATATTTGTGATTGTTTGTTGATTGTTAGTTAGATACATAGAAAGAAATTAAGGAAGATAGTTGATTTGTTTGTTATTAGTAGATAAATAGTTTATTGGTTGATCGGTTGGTTGACCTTTAGGAATAGAAAGATAAACAAATGGTTATTTATGTTAGAATAATTAATTAGTTTTTATTTGTTTTAGTATTGATATTGTAAGATTTTTCAATAGTTTTTGATGTGTAAGATTAAGATATTCTCAATGGGCAAATCAGTATTGAGGTTAGAAATTAGAATTGAAAGTAGGTATGTTGTTTCCACTGCTATTTCTTTTACCAAATTACTTTAAGATAAGTCCTCCTTTTCCTGTATCAACACAGGAGAGTCTTTTACGCATAGCTTCCATTTTAGCGTTTTTACCGCTTTGTTCAGGAGTTTATTGCTTGGAAGAATAAGAAGAGCAAGAAGAAGCTGATAAATTAGAAGAAGAGCGTTAAACAACCTAAGGATGGTATTAATTCTAATCAAAAGATTAATGATACAAGTAAGCTTAAGGGTTATACTATTATGGATATTATTGTTGAGGGTAGTAAGGTTACTAGTAGTAAGGCTGTTATTACATGGGGAACATAGGAACTTACTATTGCATAGGAACGTGATGGTATTAGAGCATTCCTTAATTGAAATGATATTAATAGTATTATTATTGTTAATATTATTGAATTTACTATTACTAATGGTTATAGTAGTTCTATTATTATACTCTCATTTAATAGTGGTATTATTGTTACTATTATTGGTAACTATTAGCGTAAGGAGATGAGTATGAATTTTAAGATGATGTTTGAGAGAAGCTGGTATTTGAAGAGTTGTATTGGGAGAGGTCTAATTATTGACTATCTCCTTCAGTTTAATCGAATTATTCTGAATTACTTCTAGCAGAGTTGAGGGCAGGGTAGGTGAAATTTTCAAGCTCCATTTTTATGTTAGTTAGTTAGTATAAATTAAATGACTTAAATATTTAAATTGATGAGGTGTTTGAAGACTTTTTTTTCTGGAGAGAGTAAGTAAGTAAGTAATACAATATATTTGAGAAGTTGTTTATGAACTTTATTATTTAGGATTTGTTTGTTTAGCAATAGATCAGTGACTCGCAAATAAAGTAAATGCAAATAATGTATTTATGTTTTAATTTATTTGACTTTTTTTTGTTTCTGATTGAATGAGAGAGATCTTTGTTATTTTAAATTTTTTTGTTCAATTTGATTTTATTTAATTAATTAATGATTATAAGAATAACAAATAGGAGCTTGAATTATTTGAAATGTATTGAAGAACATTATTTGATTGAATTTTCATGTATTAATTGTAAATTTTGATTTATTTACCAAGAAATCGAATATTGGTTGGTATGTAGGTAATCAATTCCAAATCTATGCACTCATTTACTATATTAACAAATTAACCATCAAAAACTATTGCTTAATTAATTTTATATGGTAAATTTTTATTCTTTAGGTCTAACAAAAGTGTTGCAAATTCCCACAAAATAAGCTTCCTTACTTCATATAATTATTCTAAATCCATAAATTTATAATTGACTTTTCTTTGTTTTCCATTTATGTGTGCCCCACCGCTTCATTCATTCATTTATTAATAAATTCATTAATTCATACATAGAAAATTTCATACACATACATTTACTATTATTCATTCATTTTTTATTTATTTAATTACTTATAAGAATTTTAAAGTAGAAATTTAGTCACATCACTCATTCACTCACACTATTTGTATTTTTCTGGGAGATCTATTTAAGCTTCTCATTACATCAACATTCAATCTTTTCTCAAATTTAATTATTTTTTACACAGATTTTGTTTTTTGGAAAACAAATCTTTTTGAGAAGGCTAAATATTATCTTTTATTTTTTCAAACATAAAATCATACAAATAGACATTTTTATCTATACTTAATTTAAAAAAAAAGCCAGTTATATTGTGAAATATTTTCAGCACCGCTGCTTGATTAAATGTGTATTCTCAAAAATATACCTTCTTTTTGTTAATATGCAGAGTAACAATAACTTTTTAAATAAAATTACATGAATTATGTTCGAAAAAAGGGAGATTTTTTTTTATCTAAAATTTAAAAAATAAAAAGATCCAGTAGCTAAAAATTGAAATCATGTGTTAACTCATAACGATCATCCACTGATCATTCAAGTAGATTTTTAAGTAATATTTTATTAGAAAAAGGTAAATTCTTTTTTTAGAAATATGTATGATTCATTTTAAATAAATCTACAAGTATTTGCTTTGTTATAGTGAAAATGTAAAATATTTACTTCTATTTAGCAATAAATTAAAAGTAACAAAAACAGTTTAGGTTACTTTCATTGATTACTAAAAATTGCAAAAATATTTTTTTTAAGCAGACAAATGTTTACAAAACACGATTTTAAAGTGAGATGAATAGTTCTGATTTAATCATTTCATTTTTGAAATGAATAGAAATTTACTATGCATTTATTCATTTATTTTAAAGTTACTTTCTTAATTTTAAATATGGAATTTTCTTATTTTATAGTTTTTATATAAAAAATACAAATTGATTTTTAAAGAAAATCTAAATTGTTTTGTCTTTATAGCAATTCACTCAACTAAGTAGTTATTAATTCACTTTTTTTAACAAGTATTTTTAGATATTGTAAGACAGAAGGAATTTATTTCAATAAGGATTTATATTGATTTATTTTTGTTTTAAGAAAAAATATACTGGTAAAAGCTAAACAAACAATTTGAAATTTAATATTTGAAATGTTTAAAAATGAATAAGATTATTTATTAATTTATTTCATTAAATAAATAAACTAAATAGGAATCATTTTTAGAAACTCAAATTATGTTTTGTTACAGAGTTTAAATCGCCATACGTTCCTTTTTGGATCTATAAAATTAGATAAGTATGATTAATTTGTTTAGCTATTTTTTACTATTAAGATTATTGTAATTTACTCACTGCTTTACCATTTATAGGAATATTTCCATTAATTAAATATTTTTTAATAGATTTTAGGCCTTTTTTGTTTCTTTCACCAAACAAAATTTTACTAATTCTAATTTGCATATGGTGGGGATTGGTTTCAGTAAGCAAAGATTTTGAAATATAATTTTGCTATCCAAAAGACAAAATCCTTTATCAATTCATAATTATACTTCTGTTATTTAAATTTCTGTGATTACTTTTGTATTTATTAATTAGATGGATTATTAAAAAATAAATTTCGACTAAATTTAAATACTTTTTGTTAACCATACATATACCTTGTTTTTAATAATTTTCTTTTCTTTACATTTTTGATAATTACATCTTAATCTTTTATGAAACACATTTTTCCTAGAAGATTTTCTTGTTTATTTCACATTCTTTTATTTTTTTTCATACTTTTTCCACAAGCATCAATCAAACTGGCTAAATATTTTTTTCATACAATAATATGAAAAGTTATCACATGCATGTAAGAATTAAATTTCAAACACATTTTATTTAATTACTGTTAGAATTCCTTTGTCACAAATGATTATTTACAGCGAAGCTATTTTTATTCATGGATTTTTTTGATGATGTATAGAATAGAAGAAAATTAAGCCTTTTTCTTAATCAGTCAAATTTTCTTTTCTAAAGCAGTAAACTAAAAATCACTCAGTGATAATGAAAACTAGATTTTCCTTAAGCTCTAAATTTCTTTAAACTATCCTTACACTTAATAAAAAATAAGACAAAAAGCTAAATTCTTATCATTTTTAAAATTTACAATTTACAAACCATTTAATATTTTCTGTTAGCACTATCAGAACTAAAATATCCCACCCTAACCATATTCAAAATTTTCTAATCCATCAGAATTAAATTCTCAAAAGACTTATTAAATACTAAATACCTTTACTTTTTCAAAGTCACATGCTCTAAACTAAAAAATTAATTAGTATTTATAAAAGGTTTTGAATAAAAATGAGTACAAACAAGTTAATCATAAATTTTATTTAAGTTAGTTATTTCTTTTATAAAACTTTTTTTTTTCATTTATTTCATGAGAAGAGATAAATTATTTAGTAGAAGCGAAATGTCACTTTTATTGAAACAAACTAGGTATCACAACATATTTTTAAAAAGTAAAGTCAAATGATGGCAGATACAATAAGCATGATGTCATTCATTCTCTAATTAAAATTTGAAATTTAAAAACTGTATTTCAATTGTCAATTTTGCAAATTAAATTTAAAAATAAACACATGTTCATGTGCTATTTTAAATTCTTCTATAAGTCGTTAAATTAATTATAAAAAGAAAAAAATGTGAGTGCTCACCCACTTACTTCACTCAAAAACTCATTAAAATTTTGTCAATTCTATTTACGAAATTTGATTAGCTCATAAATTTACAGAAAAATTTTAACTTTTATTAAGGGTAGCTTATACTTCTTATAATTGATTTTATTAATCTAATTTCAAATCTTTCTTATTAATTTGAATTATCTACAAAATGTCCCCCCTAACTTTGCTTTTTTTTTTCTATTTATTTAATAAATATGAATTTCCTCTTTTTAGTTTACTCTTTCTCAATTACTTCAATTTATTTTACCAAACGAAGTTTATCTTTTTTATATAGTAAGCTATTTTATTTTCTATTTATAAATACTAGCTTTTTGTATTGAATCTCATTTATTTATAAAGCTAAAAAGCATAAAAATATTGAAAAATAATAGTTAAATTAATAATTAAATAATTGAAATAATATTTAGAGTCAAAAACTTTATGATATTATATTAATAAATATAAGTTTTTTCTTGATTTGTTTATTTATTTGTTCTACATTTATATTAAGTATTTATAAAAAAATTTAACAATTCACCTAATTAAAATAAATCTAAATAATCTTCAAAATTACGTCAATATTAATATTCATATTAATTTGTAATAAATTCTATTATTATTATTATTATCATATAGCAATAGAAATAATATTTTATAATAATATTTAATCATATTATATAAATAAATTAAATCAAATTAAACGAAATTTTTTTCTTTAACTATTTATTTGTTCTACCTTTATATTAAAGATTTATAAAAATTTTAACAATTCACATAACTAATAAAAATAAATCGAAGCAATTTGCTAAATTCTTTCTGTTGAGGCATCATTTTTAATACTTTTACTAACTTTTAAATAACTTCTATTGATATGAAAAAAATAATTTAAATGATATTTTTTAAATTTCAAAGTAGATTTTTTAATATCCAAAATTTTTATAAACTAAATTTTAAAAATTTTAATAAATGATTGTTGTACTATTCTCATAAAAATAACTTGTGTTTTTTATAAATAAATAATTCAGTGAGTTTATTTATATAATTATTCAAACACTTTATTTAGAAATTTACTTTAGTAAGTTAGGCATTCCTTTTTATCTTTAGTTTTAGATTTCTAACAAAATTCTAATAGCTCTAAAAGTATGGCTTAACATCATAAAAGCAAGCCAAAAGCACGTAATTCGCTTATGGATGCATGGAATCGCTTAGAAAGTGCGCTTAGAGATACAGATGATATAGCGGATAGTACTTAGTTGCATATGAAAGAATTTGCAATTCATTTTGGAGGATCTAATTCAGTCTAAAAACCAAATTTGATGCCTTCTAATTCTCAATATTTATAGGGTAATAGCATTTATAGAGATGATGCTTATTTGGAAAACGAAGATTTATTTTCAGCAGGCGATATGAAAAAAAAGCAATCAATTCATTTAAAATAATCTCAATCTACAAATAGAATCAAACCCTTATCAGCACAAATATCCAATAAATAGCTTATAAGCAGCAACCTACGTCCACAGACAGCAGCATTAAATAGGAAAGCTTCCGTTAATAATTAAGGTATGTAAAGGATATAGAGTAGTGTTCCTTAAAGGAATTTAGTCAGCGCTTAGAGTCAAGCATCATTTTTTTAAAACAACAACAATGTATAGCAATAATATAAATATCCAATTAGTTAGGTTTCTTCTTTAAAGAGCTTAATGAATTTGAGAGCATAAAGCAGGCCTTTTAGCAGAAATGGTATTCCAAATCCTCATGTTGCAAAACAGTCTGATTTGGAGTTACTCAGCTAGATTCCTCCAAGCTAAATAGATGATTTGATAAACAAGAGTGAAACTGTTCGGAGTTTACCTGTTGATTAAATTTTAGACTTATTTCACGCCAAATGTCGCGATTCTAAAGTAGAATACATGCCTGATTAGGCAGTCAAATTCATTGAAAAAATTAAGAAAAACTGTGCAAAGAGATAATTTATTTTAAAAGAATGTGGACTAGGCATAGATAGCGCCCATGTCTTAGGAAATATTATAATCTCAAACAATCATTTTGTAAGACTCAATTTTCAAAAAAATATTTTGTCAAACACAGGAGCAGTAATAGTAAGTGAGGCCCTTAAATATAACTTCAATATAATACATTTAGATTTAAGCTCAAACAATATTTCCCCAGAAGGATTCCAAATATTTTTTGAATCATTGCTGGGGAATTAGTCACTTATTAGTTTAGATATCTCCTGCAAAGAAGGCTTAAACAGGAATAAATTAGGATTGCAGGGAAGTAGAGCCTTAGAAGCTTTTTTAAAGTAGAATAAGACTCTTTAGATTTTAAATATTTCTGGAACAAGCATGACAGAAGATGGTTCAATTTGTGTTTTGAATGGGCTTTAAGGAAACAAGTCAATAGTTTCAATAGATTTTAGTTGTAACGAATTGAACTCTGCATTTATGTAAGAAGCTGTCCTTAAACTTTGTAATAGTAACATTATTGAATTGAATATGGCTAACAATCAAATTGGAGATCCTGGAATCGAGAGTATGTCTCAAATGGTTGGAGTGAATTCTAAATTTTACAAATTTTAATCTATCAATCTTAATAACAACTAAATAACATCAAGTGGTGTTAGTCGATTCTTTGAAGCTATGCACCATAACTAAACTCTTAAAAAGATATATCTTGATTAAAATAATTTTTATGGTAGTAGTATTAATGCTATTCTCAATTATCTTTGGGAAAACAATACAATAGAAGTACTTTCACTTAATTAAACAGACTTAGACTTAGTTGGTGGTGATGCTGTTGGTATTGGTCTATAAAGAAATTTGTCATTAAAAGAATTATATGTAAGGGATAATAAACTAAAAGATGTAGGTGCAAAACAAATAGCAGAAGGAATCAAGCTATGTGAAACCCTCACAGTAAAAATTACAAATAAATATTTACTTGAATTTTTTACCTACAATAATTAATAAATAAATTTATTTACTTATTTATTTATTTATTTATTTATTTATTTATTTTTAAAATGGAAAATGTTGTTTTAATACTACAAATTATATGAGAGAGCAAAAAATATCATAAATTATAAATGTTTTAATGCCATTTAATTATGAATATCTTAATATCATTATTGTTATGAATATTTTAAATTATTAAATAATAAGGTAATTGATTTGAGCATGTGCGGAATTTCGGATGATACTGGTATGCTTATTGCAGAGGGATTGAAAGTTAATAAAAATATGAGCGCAATTTATCTGAGGGAAAACAGTCTCCATGATTATACAGGAATAGTGTTAGTAGAAGCAGCTAAAGAAAATTAAAACTTGCAAAAAATTGATATTATTAGAAATCCAATCAGCTATAGATTTTAAGAAGAAATATAAAAGTGTTTAGATGTTAATATCGATCTATACAAGAAAAATTTGGTACCAAATTATATTAATACAATGGAAGAACTTAGAATATTCGAAAAAGGAAAATATGATGATTATCAGAGATAATAGATGCTAGATAAATAGCAGAGAGAAGTATAAAAGCTATATGATGAGAAGAAGGCATAGTATGAAAGAGAAAGCAAAATTGAAGAATAAAAAACCTAAGAGGTAATTCAAAACAAAGACAATGTAACTTATGAAAGAAAACAGTTAGAAATCTGGTATAATGAACTAGAAAAGAAATAAAAAATAGAAGAAAGTAATATAGAGGAAGACATTAAAACAATGACTTAAAAAATAGGCAACTCCAACAGTGAAACGATCAAAATGATGCAATAAAAAAAAGAAAGAAGAGACTTTCTTTCAAAAATGACAGTCTAGAATGAAGAAGCTGTCAAATAAGCAAATACGAAATTGAGCTAAGCAATAAATGTAAATTGGGGACTTGAAAAATAAATTGAATCCACTTAATTGCTCATAAATTAATAAAAAGAAAAGTTGGAGGAGCTAATGCTAAAAATAGAAAAATTAGAAGACTACGATCCAAAGACTAAAACAGAATTAGAAATTGAAAAAATAGAATAGCCTCAAGCTGTTAATCCTTCTGCTGCTAAAAAATCGCCTAAAAAACCTGTTTAAAATAAATCTAAAAGCCCTCAAAAAAATAAAAGTCCTCCAAAAAAAAAATGAAAATCTTGAATCTGATTAGAAATGAATTAGAAATAGATAGATAAAATAATAAATTAACATTTTTGACTTTCATAACTTACAATAAAAATGAATTTTAACATTAAATTATTTAATAAAAAGAAAAGATTAATTTTAAGTATTATTTCCTACCTTCTTTGACTATATATAGTTTACTAATTAAGTTGATTTGTTTACATAATTTTATATATCTAAATTTAAATGTGATAAACTACAATCTCATTAATGAAATTTACTAAAAATAAAGTAAGATGAAATCAATTTAAATAAATAATACAAATTGGTCTTGATTTTCTTTGTTTACTTTTTATACTTTTTTTTTGTTTGCATTTTATTTAGTTATATTTATTATCAAAATATGTTGCAAAGACATTTATCAGATTATATCTTAATAAAAGACTCTTTCATAGATTTGTGACTGTATTATTCAACTGAATTAAATATCTATTTTAAAATATCAGTTTGTTCTTAGGAGCTGATCGTTTGGTAATAGTAAGTAATATAGCTGTAGTACCTTATTTCAGCTTAGTTTTCCAGAAGAAGTGTTGTAAAGAACTTGTACGCATATTCATATGCAAGTGCTTCAGAAGAAGATTTATACACAAACAAATCTTCATTTAATTTATATGCATTCAAACTTTGCAATTCTTATTTTAGCAATTCCTTTTTGGAGAGCTTAGATTTTATCTTCTTTTGTTCAATATCTTCTAATGCTGATTGTAATAAATTCGAAAATAAAAATCCTCCTCCAATACTATTTAAATCCATAATCCTTCTAACTTTAGATGGTAAGTTTAAATCGTCTATTGTTAGATTTTACATTGATTTTAAATCTTCTAATTCAATAGTTGAAAGAATAATTATAATGATCAACTCCTAAGCATTGAAATTACTTATTTTATCATTCAACTTAAATCCTTTTTTGAAGAATTAGTTAGCAAAGTTAATTACATTGTTTGTTATCTCCAAAAATTTTAATTAGAATTCTTCTATACCTTTATCTTTCTTTTGTTTTTATTCTTAAACACTTAAATTACTGTTACTATTATTATTGTTTAAAACTATGCTTTGATCAAATATTTAAGATTAAATAGAAAAGGGCATATCTTGTATTGATTGATTGCTTTGATATTTTTCGCTGCATATTTCTTAATATTTATTAATATTTCTTATCAGTTAAATAAGTTCGATTTGTTTCTGCTTTTAGAGTCTTGCAGATGGAATTGAAATGAATTTTAGAATTTAGAATAGAAGTAAAGTTTTTTAACTCTCAATTTCTGCCTCATATTTGGAGTTAACTGCTTTCACTGTATTGCAAAAATCAATCTACTAAATCAAACGAAGCAAATTTAAAGAATCTTAATCTAAACTCTCATATATATCTTGTGATGGATGTCTTGTAAATTAATTTTAATTAGATTAATTTATATGAAATATTTGAGACCAGTGTTATTAAAATTCTTTGGGTTAATTGTTCAACCTCAGTATTAGTGCATATACATACTAGAGCAAAGGATTGTCTTTTAAGTTATTGTTTATTTATTTCTATTGCTTAGTATGATCATCACTTTTAAGGTAAGCCTCTGAAATATGAAAATTATCATAATCTTATGTCAAATACCCTTTATCAATATATGCTATCAAAAAACTTAAGATAAACCTGTGATTTTAATGATCGTTTAATGTAATTGCCATTTCTAACTGAGGAATAGCTTGCTATATACTTCCTTGAAGATACAAATTCATGCCTTTAAAAAAATAAAAAAAATAAAGCATTATTTAATATTTAAATCAATCAAAAATGCAAATTATTTACCATAGTAATAATTGTAAATTGGTGAGTTTGGATTTAAGCTAAATCCAAGTTAAATATAACTAAACGCCTCTTTAAATTCAAATGAACTAAATTTAATCTTTACTAAATTAGCAATAGCTTCCTATTTCATCTCTTGGTGCTAGCTTAGTATTTGCTAATTAATATTTTCAGCTTCTTTTAACATGTTTGCTCTAAAGTAAGTATCAGAAAGAAGTAGCTTGGCTTATGCATTTTAACTGCGCTGGATAAATTGATCCAATAGCTTTATTGAATCTTAATATTTTTTAAGTTTTATTAATGCTTTTGCATAGTTTAAATTAATATTTGCATCATCTGGATATTTTTTGCATGCTCCTTATCCTATTTTTTGAGCTTTTAATAAATTTTATGTATTCAAATATGATGAAATACATTTGCTGAAAATATCTTTATTTTAAGATTCACCATAATTTTCATTTAATTCTAATAGCCTATTAAAGTATTCAGCAGATTTTGCAAATAATTCTTTTGTATAATAAATATCTGCCATATGGAATAATAACTCTTATTTCATTTTAAAATCTAAATTCTTGAATTGTTCTTCTTCAAAATCTTCAAAAATATTTATAGCTTCTTCAAGCTACCCTAAAAGCTTATGAGAAAAGCCTACATAATATTTAAATTGTTCATTACCTTTTTTCTCAGAATTTGTTCTTGAGAGATTTAAGGCTTCTTAAAAATTGTCTTGTTCGATATAAGTTTTGATACGTGATTTTAAATCTTGTGAGTCTTCCATTTTAAAACTTCTATTTCTGATATTACTTTCCTTATCTAATACTTCTATTAAAAAAAATTAATTGAAAAAATATATATAGTAAAGTATTTCAGTAATTAAATATACTATTTTTCTCAATAAAATAGAATTAATTGAAATTTGATATATATCTATCTATCAATCTATTTTAATCAAACTGTTCAATTATAAAATAATCAAATATAAATTTTTACTAAAGAAATGTTTATATTCTAAGTGTTCTATTAATAACTCAGGAATGCTAAACAAATATTTGATGTAAAAGATACTAGATCTTGTCATCTATTTTTAGAATTTAAATTATAATTAAAATATAAATAACTTTTCAAATATTTATCAAATAAAATTTATTTAATCTTATTTATCAAAAAAATAAAAAATAACTTTATTTTAAATTTAAATTATTTTTATATTATATAGGCATTAAAATTAATTTTACATTTTAATAAATAAATATTTCTAAATCAATTCATTTTTTAAAGGGATTTTCTAGATATTGTTAAAATGTTGTGCAAACACATAAAATATATAAAATACAAATCTTTAAAAAGTATATAGTAGGTTGTAAAATGTAGTTCTCCCTACCTGAAAAATGAAAAATGATATAAAGATAAATTTTATTCTGAAATTTATTATTTAAAGGAGGTAATTAAATGACTAAAATCTATTTTTTTTAAATTAAGTTATAAAATGAGTAAAAATAATGATAATTTACAAGATATAAAACAGGTTTAAATCATTTTAATAATTAATATATTTATTTTATATTTAAATTTGCTATTTCGAAAGAAATAATTTGAGGTTAAAATGGTAGCTGTTTGCTAATCTAATTTAAATAATTGTTGCCTGATTTATTTTATATCTATGAAATAAAAACTCAAACAAGAAACATAGATTGCTTACATAATTGTCCCTTAAGTTTTTCATAAAATAATCTTTTGAATAGTGATTGAGAAATTGAATTATATTTATTATCAGAAATCTAATTTCTAATAAAAATAAAAAAAATAGAAAAACAAACAAACATATTATTATATTGATTTGTTAAGAAAATTATCAATTTAAAAACATGATATTTTAATGAGGCATTCTGTAACGCATTACAATGCATTATACCTATATAGAGTTAAGGAAAACAAAATTTTAGTAAAAAAAAATTATTTAGTACTTAATTAAAAATTAGATAAAAAATAAAAATTGAAAAATATAAATGCATAATACTGCTTAGTTAAACTCAGCTTTGCTTAATTAGTTAGCGATGAATTCTCCATACGTTATGCCTACTACAGGATATTAATAAACTATTTTTACATAAAGTTAATTTTCTTTTCCTCCTAGAACTAGTTTCATAAGTAGATAATATGCTAATTAAAATTAAATTCCTAAAAAAAGACCATAACACCTCTCTGACAGCCCATCATTTCATCCTAGTCCTTTGGCTCCTATTCATTATATGGATACAGAACTTTAGAGTCCAGTCACCAAAATTAGAACTAAAAGTTAAACCTTTTCATTGAGATCTGATAAGGACACTTTAGAGGGATAGTGTGCTAAATTTTTAAAGGAAACTAGTGTATTCGAATTTATGAGACTGCATCCTTGTTTTAGTTGTAATACCAGCTTGAAATATAATATAAAGTATTTATCAAAATAATTTGAATCTAATGTCATTTATCGTTCAGATAATTGTATTTCTACTGCGTTTAGATGCGTTAAACAGTTTTTTTGTTCATATAAATCTTAACCTGAGGGGATATCTTTTGAGCATGAAGCTCTTCGTATTGAAGTCTATGATGGTAAAGGTACCGTTTATTTCAATGACTAACTTTTAGGGTAGTTCAGAAGAAAGTCTCCCTCAATATTTTGTAAAACTTTTTGCAATTAGTTTATAGATTTGATAATTACTCCTAAAGATGAAGAATACTTTTATGAATTAAAGAAAAATACAGATTGTTTGAATGGTTGTTGTGAGTGTTTTTTAACAAATAATATTCCTTGTTGTGGAAATGAAGCCGATATTTTACTTTTAAAAAATAAAACTGATGTAATATCAAGCTCAACCATGAGCAGATCTGATTGCTATCATTTACAAACTTGCATAGGTTTATCTTGCTTCAAAGGCAAGTGGGATGAAGTAAAAATTGATCTTAATAACCCTGGCATATCTTTTCGTGAAAAATGTCTTCTCTTAGGAGCCTGGTTTTATTATATTGAATATTGTCAATGAATGAATGAATGATTTAATGTGTTAAAAAATAGAAAAAAAGAAAAATTAATTAATGGTAGTAAATTCTGTTTAAACAAAAATATTTATTCTCAAAATTTATTCCCTATTCAATCGTCCACCCTAATATCAATTTAAGATACTAATCTGATATATTACATCGTTTCTCGTGAAAAACAAAAAGAATACATCAAATCAACTAAAGTTTTTAGATATTAGATTCCTATTTCATCAAAAAACTAACTAAAACTATATTTCAATTTGAATTAATTTTCAAAAAAAGATTTTATATTTAACATAAAAATATATTCAATTATTAAATTATACTTAAATAATTATAACCTTATTCAAAATCCTTACTTCTTTTATATTTATAAACAATCACTCTATATTGTTACTTGTTACTAAAAATTTCTTTTACCATATCAGATAAATTTTCTGAAAATTTTTTATCTTACAATTTCTCAAAGATTTATTGATTGATTGATTGATATGATTAATTAATTAAATAATTTTTGTATTTTATATTATAATCAATTTCTCATTTCAAAAAAATTATTGAAAAATATAAATTTAGAGTTATTGTATTGAGTGTATATAATTTAATAAAACTTTATTTTGGTTTAAAAGCAAAAATCTTTTTTGATTTAATGATTTTTTAGCTGTACTTATATACTCACCATCCCCATAAGAAATTGTTATATTCACTCATTTTTGTGTATAAGAAAGCAATGATTTCTGATATTTTATAACAAATTTAATCGTACAGTTTTTATAAATAAGAATTTTTCTGTTCATTCAGAAATTGATATTTTGAAATGTGTAATTTTAAATTTCTCGTTTAAAAATAAAAAGAAGAAGAAACATGTTTAATATTTTTACTTATTAATTAAAGCTAAAAAATTAAAAAATAATTACAAAATGTTTTACTAATTTATAAAAATAAGAAATTCAATTAACATTTCAATATCAAAGGAGGAGCATTTTGGAAATTTAAATTTATTTATTTTGAATTAATTTGATTTTATTTTATTTATTGATTCAAGTCCCGACTGATCGAGTTAATTTTAACCTTTGAAAAACTTTCTGATTAATTTTATTCATTTACTGTAATATATCCTCTGTTGTTAAATTTATTGATTATAAGGTTACAAATTTATTTTTATCATTAGTTATTTAGTAAATTCTTTTATGAGTAAAATTTGTTAGTATTTTTTTAATTTTGTCTTTCAATGATATTATTTTGCAATCTAAATATTTGATCATCATACTATAACACTTAGCTATTTAATGCCTATTAAATGTTTTGTTGAGAGCAAAGCTTTATGTAATTTTTTTCTTGGCTAATTTTTATTTAATTTAGCTGCTCTTTTAATATTTTGCTTGTTTTTTATAAAAAACTTAGATTGCTCTCTAACTGTTTTACAAGTTGTTAACGAAATTCTAGGCACTAGCATGTTTAAAATTCTTTGTTTTAATAATTTTGCTCATTTTAAGTATTACTTTCATTTGGAATTTCTGTTTAGCTTAGTATTTCAGGAATATTTTTTAGGATTCTATTTATGCTAGAATTAGAGAACTAATTAATTATGATATCTTTATGCTCAATTTCTTAATCAATATCCACAAAATTTTCTCTTTAATTATTTAACTATTAATTTTGATAGGTATTATCTAGATTTTAATTTTATAGTTAATATTTGTTTTGAAGCTAAGATTAATTTTCCTAATTAGCTTAATACTTTTAATATTTTTCGAAATTATTAGAATTTTATTCAGCTTAATTAATTTGATAATTATTAATAAATCCATAATCCTGATTACTTTAATCTTCTTATTGCTAATTCCTTTTAGTTTCCTAGGAATCCTACTCACTTATTTCATCTCTTTCATTTGAATATTGAATTTTTGAGTACTCATTTCGAGAGTGATAATTAAAATTATTTATTTTACTAATTTCATCAAAATACTCATTCTATTCAATAAAGTCATCTTATTAATTACTTTTATTTGCAGAAAAGGAAGTATCAAATTCTTAATTTATTTTTTTTTGTTTTTTTTATGGCTAGGCTTAATAAGATAATTATCTTTCTTTTGTTAATTTATTGAAAATGTTATTTTATTATTTATTTTAAGAGTATATATCATCTTTGTAGCGACAATTAGGATCGGATTTTTATCTATCTAAATAAGTTTTAAGTTTAGTAGATTTATCTTGGATGTTTTTCATTTAAGTTTTTGTGTTTATCTGATAACTTTCGTTTCTTGCAATTTAGTACAAGTCTGGAAACTATTTTCTAAATGCATTTTTGAACTCCTAAAAATCATAATGGTATTTCTCAAATAAAATTTTAAAATGATTAATCACATTGTGTTCATCTTCTTTCTTTCTATCCTTACTCTTGGCTAGAGATTCCTTTAATTTTTAGTATAATTATTGCGAATTTTATAAGTTATTGTCTATATGAACAAAAAATTAAACAAAGAGTTTTTTACAAGATTAATTTAAATATTCAAAAATCTAATCCTCTGTATCAAATGTTTTTGATAAAATTTCAAATCTTGGCTCTAATTTTTATGTTTTATTAACTTAATCTATTTATTGCTTAATCCATTCTATATTTGTTTGCTTATTATCTTTTTAAAATCTACAGCACAAAGATCTTTTTAAGAATATTATGTCATCTTCATACTTTTTTAGTAGGTCTTAGCTTTTAGGTCTTGATCCACAGCTTTTTTATTTTTTTTTTGTTAAATGACCTTGATCTTCTTCACTACTACTTATTCTACTAATATCTTCTGAATAATCTTCAATCTCTTATGAAATATTCTTTTTTGTTTCAGAAGTTTGATTTTAGGATTAATTTTATTAATTACATTATCTATCCATTTTACTCTTTAAGATTGCTTTGTAACTTTCTTTTTAATTTATTCAAATTTTATTTTTTGCATATTTTATTATAATTAAATTGCTTAAACTAGGTGCTTATATAAATATTTATAAATATATTTTTAAAAATATTCTTCTATAAAATATTTTTTCACTATTTTACTTTAAAATTTGTTTACTTTTCCACATATTCTCACTAGTCTATTTATTTTAAGACCCAAAATAGTTTAGCAATCTTTGCAAATAATTATTTTGGATAGTCTCATAATTATGTAAAAAATTCAATAATTAGTTTATTTATGGAATTTTGGACATATTTTAGTTATTTATTTATTAAATCATTATCAAATTAATATTTAAAACTTAAAATTGTAAAAAGTAGAATAGAATTAATCTCTTTAATTTAATTAAAACTCTTAAATATTTAAAATTACTGTAGTTCCTTTATTCTCGGATTTTTGATAACTGCAATATCAGATTTTTAGAGCAATTTTTTACAGACATAAGTATTTTAGAACCATTAGCAATTCCTACTCTTTTAAAAGTAATTCTTCTATTACTTTTAAGTACTACTAAATAAGTTTTTTAGGCCATCATACCTATTATGCCAAATGTTGAGAATCTTAAAGGATTAATGCTTTTTCATTAAATATTTAACTCTAGTTTTCAGACTTTTCTTCTTGAGTTGACCAAAAATATTTGTATTTTGTTGTTTTAGTAACAATATGTGATTGGTCTGAGAACCATATTTAATTCCATTTTAAATCCATATTCTTTTCTTCATCCAAATATAATACTCTAGTTTCTTTTTAGAGATCAGTCAATGTAATTTTACTTTAGAATTTTTAAGATTTCATTTTTTTATTATCTAAAACCTTTTTAATTATTAAATTAGAATATGAGTTTGGATAAATCTCTTCAATAATGATTCATTATTGTCTTTCTTTATGATAAACCAATTTCATTTTTAAATGCACTAACTAAATTATCTTTATATCATTCTTCCATTTGATTTCTCCCAAAATTGCTATATGAGTTAGAGACTTTACCTTCTTGCTACAACTGACCACATAGTTTTGATACACATGAAGGAGTAACAGGATATTAATTCATTTCATAGAGTCTGCAATCTATGTTATTTATGTATAGTATAAATTCTTAAGACTTATAATGATTCCTATTTTAAAAGTCAGAAATTAATTTCAGGTGGCATTATTTAAAGATAAATCTGTAATGTTTTTTAATGAATATTTATTTTTTCTCATAAATAAAAATTGAGTCAAAATCTAATTTGCTTATGCAAGAGGTGTTTGTTCAAAAATAAAACATAACAACTAAGTTAATATTATGATAGTTTTTATGAATAAAAATACATACAAAGTTGAGAATTTGTATATATTGAAAAGTGATCAAATTTGATGACTTTTTCAAATTTTTTATTTTATTTTGTATACATTAAATATTAAAAATAAAAATAATGTTATTTTGCGCTTCGGTGATATAAAAATTTTGTTGTTCTATTTGAGAATAAATAATTGGTAAAATTTTTAAGCAAATTTATAAAATCTATAAACTAATTTCTACATTTTGACAGGAAATATAAACCACAGTAAATATTATAAATTCTAAAGTATTAAAATCAAATATAACAATTAATAAATATAAATATTTTCATTTCAAAAATTAAAAGAATTTTCCTTTAAATTTGCTGAAACACTTCAAATTTTTTTATATGAATAAATTTAAAGTTTTTTCTTTATTTTGGTTTTCTATATTCCTCATATAAAAAATAACTTTTACATAAACCTGATAAAAAATAAAAAATCAAATTGATTATTTATCTAATCAAGAGATAAATTAGACAGAAAATGAAATTTAAAAACTATTGAATGCCACAAAATATTTAGTGAAAATACAATCAGCTAAGTAAATTTCAAAGTTCTTTTAATTATTTATTCTTGTGGTTGATTCTCTTGATGACATCATTTAAGGTTTGATACGTTTAACGTATATTTAAGATATAGCCCTATGTAAAATCAGCTAAATTAGAGTTTTAATCTTCTATTTTCTTTAAAAGTAAATCTATTTATTCAGATTTATTGGAATCTATACTGCTTAAATCAACTTTAATATTGTGCTCAACTTGCTGTGTTGAATAACAATTTTGTCTAGATTACATATTACTTGTATATTAGTAAGACATCTCTTCATTAAATCTGTTAATGCTATATGATTGATGGTCATAGTTTGTAGATGATTCAAAATTTTTAATTTCATTTTGATTAGGTTAAATTATATCTTATTAGTCCTGAGATTGTTCATTTGTTAAAGAGTCTATTTCAATTAGATGCTTGGCTTTTTTAACATTAATTCTCTCTAAATTTATAAATTAATTAAATAAATAAAATATTCCATTTATTAATAATTAGTCAAATTTATGAATTAAAAGTAAGGAGAGAAGGATATAAATAAAATTTTAGCTTATATTTTTTAATAATATTTCATTCTTTTTAAATTATTTTATTTTGTTTGAGTAAGCAATAAAATATATGTGAAATTTTGCTTTTTCATTTAAAATTTGTTGTTTTAACAAATTATAAAAAACAAAAAAGTAAGCACATCTTCTTCTCCATTTGTAGTATCTGCTGGCAAGATTTTTATTTTCTCGATACAGTTATTTATAAAAATCCTTCTCGCTGCTGACCCTTTGAAGGATATCTAAAAAAATTTCCTAGAATTCTTTTCTTTACTTCTCATCTTTAACAACTGGTAAGTATTAACAAACTTTATAGCTTAATGTACCTTATCTGTTTTAAGATGTTTACCATTTTGACTGTGATTCATAATGTATTTGATAATTTCCTGAATACATTTGAGGAGGGAAATTATATTGCTAGCTAGTTTTAATTCAAGGGTTTTAAAAATATTTTTAAATTTCAATTTTTCTTAGATTATTGCTTTACTTTGGTTGGATTATACCTTATTCTTCTCTCTCTAATAAATTAAATAAAATTAATTATGAATTATTCAACAGATAAAGATATTAATTAAATAAGATCTATTTATTTATTTCATTTTTTTTTACTTATATCTTACTGTGATAGATAAGGATATTAATAGTTTTATTAATTGTAGTTCATTTTTCTTTTTTATTTTTTAATTTTTATTTTTTTTTCTGTATAAATTAATTATTTCAAATATAAATAACAACAATTCAGCTGAAAAGAATCATCTGATATTTTTAGTAGAGGGTAGGTCTTTCTTACGAATATGTATTTTACATCAAAAAGAATAAGAATTTCAATTTAAAATTATAAATAGATGATGAATAAAAAAAAACTGAAAATTTAATTTTGCACGCAAATATTTTTTTTTCAAATTTGTTTTATTTTTTGCTTGAAAAATACCAAAAATAAAATTTACATGCAAACTCAACTTTCAAATAAAATTAAAATTTAAACATTTTTAATAAAGTATTATTTTCATTTCATCAAACCTTATATTTCACTTCTTCTGGATTTGATGAGAATAAATGTTTATAGGGTCTGACTGAGAAAACGCTCTTTAATGCAGCATTTAACCAGGTATTGAATTAATAGTTTGAGAATTGAAGCGAGATTAATTTTGTTAATTTATACTTTCTCTTTCAACAATAGGTAATTTTTAATTTTGTCTTAGTTACTATTATTCTTTTTGATAAGATTAATAAACATTATTAGGTTCTTGCAATTACAGGTGTTGAAAGGAATATATTTACTGATTCATTTTAGTCAATTGAAGCATTTGCTTGTTTAAACGATTAAGTTATTCATCTTATTTATTGTAGATTTGATTTAAGAGGATATTTCTTTTGTTTATCAATTCATAGCTTTTTTTAGAAAAATCTTTGATCTTATCTTAAATAAACTGCTAACGCTCATTAAATTTGTTCAAAGCATTAATTTAAAAGTCTTAGACTGTATTAAGATATTGATCAAACTCATCAATTTTTTATTGATATTTTACCTGTTTCTTTGAGATGTTATAGGAGTTTTGCTGTTTTTAAAAATAGTTTTTTTGGGGTTGAGGGTTATTAATTTTAAAAGTTTTTTAATAGTAATTTTCTATCTCTTAACTTTTTCTTTGCCAATCTAAATTGTTTTTGGTTGAGTTTTAATTAAAATTTTATAGACTGCTGTTGTCATGAATTTAAGGTTTTTCAGAAAAATTATTTTCATCAAGCTTTAATTTCTTTTTTAGCTCTAAAATATTTCAAATTAAAGAATAAATTTTTTAATATAACTTTATTAAAATAAAAAGTAAACCTTAACCTTATGACTCCTAAGAATGTTCAAATATTTTCTCACTTTATTTGATTTCAGCTTCATTTCGTATTTAACTTATTAATTAATCATCTTTATCTTTGATAATTTGATTGCTCTTTCCATCGTTTTCATGTTAATCATGTATTTATATTTTATTATTTTCTTGATCATTAAAATTAGAATTATTAACATCATTCTTATCTAGAAACATTTAAGTTTTTATGTTAGCACTAGCATTATTTAATATTTTTTCGGGAAGCTATTCTTAAAGCTCTTTTTCAAAGCTTTCTTGATAGCATTTGGGAATCACATTGTTTTATGAGTTTACACTAGAACTGTCGTCACTAGTATAATAGCTGTATTGGGATGGTCTAGTATCATCACCAACAGTTTCTTTAGATGGCCTATGACTTTGAAGAATTTGTTAAGGGATTTGATTATTATCAAGACTATTAACTTATTGTATACCTCTGTTTACTTTATATTCTTCTTCTTAACTTTCTTCTTAAATCATTTTTTGAAAATTTTTTTTATTATTTAATAAATTATAAAAATTATTGATACAATTTATTTAATTTAATTAAATCCAGTATTTTAAATAGCAAAAGCATAAAAAAGTAAAGAGCATACATAATACATACACTCACACTATTTTTTCTTACCCCATAAATGAAATAAAAAAATAGTAATTTATTTATTCCTAAAAGCAAAGTAATTTCTTAACAAGTAGATAATAAAATATTATTTATTTTTGAGTAAAATTCAAAAAAATCATAGGTAGGTAGGTCGGTCAATCAATATAGCTCACTTACTCTAGTTGACTGATTTTCTACTCCATAAATTTAAGAATTAATTCAAAAGTGTTTTTTGAACTATCCAGCATCATGCCAAATTTATCTTCATACAATTATGGCAAATATTCAATTTGCACAAGTAAATTTTCAATTTTATTTTGCTCCTCTTTGATTTGATTTTTAAGCTCGTTTATTTGTTTATCAAGATGAGACTACTATTCGAGGCATAAGTTATCTGAGCAATTTTCGCTGTTTGCTAGCTGTTTGTCTTAATTTTGTTACCTCAATCCAAATGGTTCATAGATTCCTGGCCTATCGCTGTATTCTTCTTATGAAGTCAAACCATTATCCTAGTTTTATTCATAAGATAAACATTTTCCTGCAGCATATTCTGGAATTTTTTCTTTTTTTTTTTAATCTTTAAATACAAAAAATCACAAAAATAAATAAAATATTTTCATCAATTTTACTTGATATCCATTTTTTAAAGTTCAAAAATATTGAAGGGTCGTTTTTCTTCAAAATTTCAAAGAATATACTTACTTGGTTTTCGCAAGTATGATAATATTGATTAAGTATTTATTTTACACTTTCCTTATCTTTGTAACCAGAAATATCTCTATTTCTCCTACTGTATCCATCGATTTATTACTTCAATTTTTCCATAGTTAATAATTTAACAATGTTGTTTATAGATTAATTGCAGAGATTTATTTGAATTACCTCAAAAAAATTAAAGAAAATATTAATCTTTTTAGATCTTTTTAACTCCTTACTTTTTAAATTTTTTATTATTTATTCATTTACTTAATTTATAATGACTAAATACTTTTAAACATAAAAAATTAAATAAAAGAGCAAATTGAGAGAAATAAGCAGAGATAGATATTAGGAGACTATGGAATCAATAACTATTATTTTTTTTACTAAAATATTAAATTGTTTTCAAATAATTTTGCTCGTTCTAATTTTTTAAGAATAATTTATTGAGTTAAAAATAAACAAAGCAATATATTAACAAAATAAATTGAAATATGTTTCATAAAATTAAATTAGGCTACATACAACACTAAAAATCTAAAATGATTAAAATATATTATAATTTTAGGATATATCCATTAAAAGGAGGAAGGAATATTAGGCGAATACCTCAGTTAAGTCAAGTAAATATTTCCCCCCACCTTTTACATCCATTCTAAGATTTTATAAAAACTCACTCTAGAGTTTTCAAATAAATTATATAGAATATTTAAGAAAAATTTAAAATACATACCCGTTAGTTATTTAGATATAGAAAATAGAAATATCAGATGATTACTAAGTATGGAAAAGAAGTCAAGTATCTATTACAAACAAATCATATTATTATTTAAAAAGAATATGTCATCATTTAATTTATAATAATATTCTCTTATTTAAATTGTTTATTTATTTATTTATCAGTTTATAACATTTCACTTAATTATGATACTTTATTTTTTACCACAAAAAGAGCTTAACTCAAAATTCTAAAAGAAATTCTAACATTCTAGAACTTATCTAAAATTTGGAATAGACAGACCTCAACTAATTAGGCAATCTTTGATTCTTGTTCAATCCAAAATAGTTTTATCTCATAAAAAATGAATTTAATGGATATCATAATATTAATCAATAGAATCTATATATTTGTATATTTTTTGTTAAATTATTATTTATTTATTTATTTATTTATCTATCTATCTATCTATCTATCTATCTATCTATCTATCTATCTATCTATCTATCTATCTATCTATCTATCTATCTATCTATCTATCTATCTATCTATCTATCTATCTATCTATCTATCTATCTATCTATCTATCTATCTATCTATCTATCAATTATTTTAGTTTATTTTCTTTCAGGCTATAAATACCACCATGGAATAAAATTAACAAAAAAACCTTAACTTTGTTGAGAATAATTTCAAAAACTGAGTCTATACAATAAAAAAATATTTAGATATTAAATAACAATGAAAGATTACAAAATTTTTATAAAATTATTCTATGTTCTTTTATAATCTCAATATCAGTCTACTCAATAAGTACTATTTTCTTTTTAAAATTATTCAGAGAATTTTATTTACTAAGGGGACAATTTTTTACTTTCCTCTTTTAATTTAGAATATTTTCCCAATTTCCTCCTAATTCCCCAGTCTCTTTAATCTATTTGGATTTTAGAATAAATAAAGACAATGAGGAAGAAAAACCTCAATACCAAATATAAAAAGGATTAGAAAGTAAGACTCAAAAGGAAAAGGGTTAAAATAAATAGGGATTTTATTTAAAACTCTAAATTTTAGTTGATTTTTCTTTTGAAATTTAATGAATGATCTCTCGATTATTCATTAATTAGATAGATTACCATAATTTAAAAATATTTTAATTATTTCAATTTAAAATTTTTTAAACTAAAATGTATTCAATCATTTAAACTTTTGCAAACAGAAATATAAAATAAGGATCATAAAATATTCAATTATCTTAGTTAGTTAGGTAATTCGGTAAGCTAATCAGTTATGAAAGTAATTTTTATTGATTTTTCAAATAGGCTTGAAAGCTTATTAGTTTTTAAGAATTGGATATTGCTATTAATAAGCAATTTGATTGTTTTAATACGATGGTGGCTTCTAAAAGTTAAGAGGTTATTTATATTTTTGTTAATACTAATGTAAAGCATTATCAAAGCTCAGCTAAGTTACTCTAAGATTCTCCAAATTCTCAGTGTCTAAAGATTTAAAAGACTCACATAATTCAATACACTATTTTTTAATTTTGTTGTACTCATTTTGTAATTTTTTTCTAAGAGCTGTCATTGATTGTAATTTTGTCTCTAGCTTTTTTATCTATTCGCTTTTTAAGACTATTATCTGCTGTTTTTCAGTAGTTTTTTACATTAAATCAGTACTAGTATTCCTTTCTTTCATTTATTATGTATTATTATTGCTTTAGATTTTTTCATCTAGCTTTATTTTTTTTTGTTAGTAATCATACTCAGATAAATTTTGATTCATATTTTTCTGATTTGAGTTATTTATGTGGATATATGAATGATTAAAATTCATATTTTTACTTTGATTTCCTTGTGTAGGCTGCTGCTTCTGTGTTCCTATAAAATAAGTAATTAAATCAATGTGTTTTAAATTAAAATTAAAAAAGTACCTTGCTTGAGTTGTCTCTTTTCCTTGAATGATTTTTTTGCAAGTTAATATAACTTTTCATATTTTTCTTTTAATTGTTGCTTAAAATCTTCCTTGTCATATTTAAAGTGATGGTATTTTTCATTTGTGTCTTATTTTATATTTTCTTTTTCTTTAGCAGATAGATGATTGCAGTTTTCTATATACTGAAGAAAAACCTTCTCATAAAATTACCTTGTTTCGCTTTTTTCTTTACTCATTTTACTGATAAAACTTTTAAGTTAGGATTGAAAAGCAAGATTATTAAAGAATTCATCTAGGTTTTCAAAATATCTTTTTTAGATATTAAAATCTCCAAATTTATTTTTTATCCATAAAATTTTTGCGTTTAAATCCTAACCATATCTATTACCTAGATATACAGTTATAGATTTAAGTTTAGATTGTTCAGAGCTATTTAAAACTTCATCTTGTTATTATAGTTAGACTTATTTGTTTAATTCATCACCATCACTTTCACTGTAATAAGGCTACTCTTAGTCTTCTCTAAAAAGTTAAGAAGTGTCATGCTTACTAGAATGCATCTTTATTTTCATAAGTAAATATTGTAAAAGGGAGTTTAAAAGAAATATATTTGCATGGTTTTATAAATAAATAAAGTAGGTAAAGTAGTTAACGATAAAAAGTATTAAAGTGTTGTAAATTAATTAATAAATAAAACTTGGTTGAATACTTTTATGAAATTGGTTAATTATATATATCTTTTCTTCTTCTGATCTCAGTTTAAATTTTTTTTTATTAAAGTAATTATTTAGTTTGAAGCTACTTACTTACATATTTATGTATTTTCATAAATTATTATTGTTGAATACAACCTTACTCAGTTATTTTTGTTGTTGATAAATATTTAGATAAGTAAAATATGCTTTATTAAACATTTAAAAAATTATTTTTTTATTTGGAAATCTAAAAATAATTCATTAAAATTTTTCTGAAAATCTATATGCAAATATAAAGAGACTAACTATTAAACTGAAAGCTTAAATTAAAATATTTTAGATATAAAATTACATACCTAAATTCATCATTTAGATGTTATTTTTAAATAATTTATAAGTATTTTTAGAATCATTTAATTGCCTATTATTGCTTCAAAAATAAACTTTTATAGTGTGCATTTTCAAAAGAAATGAAGAAAATTTTTACTTTTTCTCATCCAAATAAATACTAATAAAAAAACAAAATTTATAAATACCTTAAAATTATTTCAAAAATATTTGATTACAGAATAAATAAAAAAATTTTAAGTACTTTTAAATGTTTTGTGTTTACTGTTTGTTAACTGATAGTATAATATAATTAGACAAGTAAAAAGTGATTTTAAATAAAAGTGTTTTATCTCAAAAACCACATTCAATTATTTTCCCGACCGATATGAAAAGAATTATCCGTGGGGAGTATTATCCTTGATAATCTGCTATTTTTTAGAACGAATATAGCCTTTTCAAGGGAATAGTACTGCGTAATCGAAGCAGAGGACTGATGCTATAACTATTATAAAAGAATAAAAATTTTTACTTTTTTATGAGACATAGCTAGACTGATCCTATATTGAATTATTTATTACGTAATGAGAGAGGGGAAAATATGTTTATCTATTTTTTTTAATAACTATAACGTATTCATGTAACTTGATTGCTGTGCTGGGAAAAAACAGATTCTAAATAAAAGATTATAATCTTCTTTAAACTTGTATAATAATGTCCCTACCCTACCCTCTACATTTCATACCAAAATATTCTATAAAACCAGAAGTTTTTTATAATGAAAATATATTTTTCGTTGGATTAAAATAATAGTAAAAAATAGTGTCACACTACATAGTCATTAATAAAATAGTGACGAATGATTATCAATTATTTTGATTGTTGGTTTGATAATAGCCACTATTGCTTTAACTTATTAGGCAAATAGCAATTAAACATGATTGATTGATTTTTTAAAGTTAGAAATACGAATTTTAAAAATACGAATCAATGAAAACTTATATGGAAAATAGGCAGTATGAATGAATGAATCAACGAATAATTACAAACACATAAAAATATTATTAATTTAAATCATTTTGAGAAATTAAATATAGTCTAAATGAGTTTTTTTGTAACTTCTAGTTCTTTCATCCTTTCCATAATTTGAGGTACACCTTCTTGTTTCAACAAACTAAGTAAAAAATTTTAAATATGTTAATCAATTTCTTCTAAGTAATTGATGGGAATTTCTACATTTTGCATTTTTTCTCCAAAACAGAAAGCGTCAAGCTCTTAAATTATTGAAATTATTTAGTATTCGTCTTTTTGCATTTTTATTTCTTCTGATTAGAGTAAAATATCTAATATATTTTAATATTTCAATTGATAATCTGTCTAAGTTTCTTAATCTGCTTTTCCATTCTCTTCTATAGTAATCTGTTCCTGCTTTGCTTTGATATATTTGATATTATGGAATAATTATCGGACCTCTTTATATATTAAAGTAATAATGTTATGTTTATAATAAGTGATAAAGTTTATGTTTACTTATGTCTAAATGCCAGCAATTATGATTCTTTTTTTATGGACCTAAAATTTTCTCTCTATTACGAATGTCTTTCAAGTTGTTATATAATTTAATGTACTTTTTTTGAATATCCAAAATTACAAGAGTTCCATACTTGATTAGCTCAATCTTTGGTAAAATCTTCTCTATGAATTATTTATATTAAGCACTGCATTTTTCTTAATAAGCTTCTAAATACAATATAAGTTCCTTATACTTTTATTTTTCATCCTTGAAATAATTCACAAATTTAATCTTTTCATCATCTTAGCAAGCTCTTATTTTATCAATAGTTTGTTAATACGAACAACAAAACTGTAAATTCTTTTTTGACTTAGGCTATTTAAGAAAATTTTCAAAAAAAAATTATTTTTAATAATCTTTAAGGTCTTAATCTTCTATTATGAGTTCAATTGATATTTGGAACATTTTAAAAATTTCCTACTGCTAATTTGGAGACATTGGCATTTACTACTCCACATAAAAGCAGCTAGATGCGTTTTAGCTATTGTTAGTATTTATGTTTTAAATTGGTCTCTACATCTACCTCGATGTATTTATCAAAGGCTACAAATAGTTTTTATTTGAGAATAAATTCAACTACCCATTGGAATAGGTTTATTATTAGTGTTCCCCCTAAAATGGTTATAAAGAAATCAATTATTCTTTCATTTTTAATTTTAATATTAGCTTTAACTCTGAGAAGCTCTCTGTTTTATTTTTATTTTCTTAATTTATTCTTTTTATTAAATAATCTATATTAAAACCATGTATGAAAATTTAATTCCTATTAAAATAAATATCTCATTTTAAGTGATTTTCCTTTCATTATTGTATTGAAGTTAAAGAATAAATTCACTTTTTTAAAGTCGCATATACTTCAGATCTGTGAAAAAATTTTATTTAAACTAGGAGATATACATCTAAAGGCAACATTATCGGATTTAAAGACTAAATAGGAATTTATAAAATTATCTTTCCCCTTCCGTTTGGGAATTGATAATAATTAAATTCCCCTTTTAGTTAAGAATTTTAAAGTATTAAATAAAAGATTACTTACTTATTCATGTCTAATCTATATGAATAAGTTTAAGATAATATTTTCATTAATAATAGTGTATGATAGATATTTTAAGAATTACAATACTTTATATTAGTTGGACATTACTAAGCATATAAGTGCTATTTATTAATGTATTAATCCCTTTTTCAAAATTTTATATACTATTTATATCATGGTCATAGTAATAGTGATAAAATTTTTAATTTATTGCTTTCAAAGAAAAATTATGAGCACTAACTATCAAGTCATTGCTGTTGCTGTTCTAGCGAGAGATATAGTCTTTATAAAATGTTCTAATTACTATTTGATAGCAAATATTTTGTAAATTAAGTAAATGCTATTATATATTTAATAAACAATTATAAATATTCTTTTAGAGATGTTTAAAAAAAATTGAAAATTTAGTCAAATTCAAATTTAAAATTGATCATATTTAGGTAAATATTTGCATAAATATGATTTTTAATCAGATTAATAGATATTAATTGCTTGGAAATAGTAATTTATTTATCTTCATTTAGTTAACAATTAATAGATATCAATCAGTATCTGCAAGAGTTTCATTGCCCCAATTTCTAGTTTCATCTGTAAAGCAAATGCTAATAAAGTTTGAAAAGAGATCAATTAAATAAGGGTATAAAAAAATTTAAATTAATTTATTGAGTTATTTGTAAAATTTTAAGGTTTAGAATTCAAAGTAATATGTACAATAATAACATAACTTAATTTAATTCATTATAATAAATTTAACAAAGCAATTCCATGTTATTTAATATCATTTTTATTGATGTATGAATCAAAATTCTTTTCATAAATATGTATTTTTGTAATATTTTATATAAAATAAAATGATATTAATTTAAAAATATAGCTAACGATAATTAAAGAATTATTTTTATCTTTAAAAAATAAAAAAAAACAGCATTATTAAATAATTATAGTTTAAAAATTTTTAAAAGCCCTGAAGTGATATGTTAAATAAATAATGCGTTATTTATTAAAAGGTATAAATTATAATAAATATATGATGTAATGATAAAGTCATCAATAAACAAAAAAAACAAACAAACAAACGAATGAATAAACAATACACAATCAATGAGCAATTAAAAATTGTTTATTTAAGTGTTAAAAAGCTAAAATATTTGGAAAATTAAATTTCAATCACTATTTCACTTAAATTTTATAAAAATAAATAAAAAATAACTTTATTTAAATTTGATTATTATTTTAATTAATAATTATTTTTATTCATTTTTAATTTACAAGTGTTTCATCTCTAGCTATTTTTTTTGTTAAGTTAAATTTTTGGATGTCATATGTATCTAAGATCAAGTTGACTGGATGAATTAATAAAATCACTCTTTTTTTTTAATCAAATTACTACTTTAAAGATTTTATAAGATTTAATTGAGTCCTTAGATACTATTTTATTTTAAATTCGGTACATTAAATTTTTTAGAACTTTATTCTAAACTTTTTATTATTTCTAATTTTGTTATTTCCTTCGGTTCTTTTTTCAATAAATTTTCAATACCATCAGAATTAGATTATTCTTATGCAGCTTAAATAAATTCTTTTTTTTTATAATCTTCTTGAGAGATACTTGTGATACTTTAACTTGTATCTTATTTACAAAATGAAGTATCTAGTTCAGTTTCAAAGCTACTACATCTACTCCTATTATTACTACTACTATTACTATCCAGCCTTTATTCTTAAAAATTAGCTTATTTATCTTGAGGACTTTCTTAGCTTTTATTATTTTCTATACTTCTGCCTTATTTTTAGCAAATTTGTTGTTATTTATTAATATTTGCAGAAAGTTATTTTTTGTAATTTAATATTAATTCAGAGTTATCTTTTTGATTATTTTATTAATAAAATTAATTGATCTTATTTTAAGTTGTGTTAAATAAAGCACTTCCAGATTTACAGTTTTAAAAAATAGTCTTTTATTCTTAGGTTATTTAATTTTAATTCATTTTATTCACGTTTTCATTTATTTGATTAAATTAATTTTAAACCTTCATATATTTATTTTTATCCATTTAGGGAGCGTTTACTAATATCTCATTCCCTATTAATACAGATTTAGTTTTTGAATATGAATCTGGTTAAAAGGCTTACTAAGAAAGAGGTAATTACTTTTAAATATTATAATTTTATAAGTCAACCCTAGTATTATTGATTAAGTTTTTTTATTAATTAAGTTAGTCATTTACATTCTAAATCTGTTTAATAATTTCTTTATTACTATTTTATTTTTATTGAGATGTCAAGATTAACATTTATTTGATTTTTGTCAATTATTAAAAATCATTTTTCTCTATATTCATGTTTGAGTTGACTTCCATAAAATGATAATCTAGTTTTTGATCTAGATCAACTAAATTTTAAAAGCTTAAATTATTAGAATCTGAATCATTTGATAAACTATAATTTTCATCTTAGGAATACTCTATCGATTCACTTTCATCTAGAAGTTCTTATTTATTCATATTTTATTATTATTGCTATTATTATTAAATAATACGATTACATTGTGTTTCCAAAAAACCAGAGTAACTTTATTAATTTAAATATTTATTTTAGTGAATTTACTAGTTTTTACTCTTTTCAAGTAGGCAGTCTTAACTTAATTTCGTCTTCTTTTAAACCTTACTTATTTCGTTTTCAAGGAGAAAGTTGTTTTATTAGAAAGAGTAGGAGCTTACTGCTACTTTTTAGTTATGAGTTTATTTTATCTCACTAATTTAATTTTATGATTCTTCTTATTTTTGCTTTTTTAACAAGAATCTATTGTTACCTTTGTCAATCAAAATGGGCTTATTAATTTATAATAATAAATGTATAATTTTTCAAAAGAATTTTAAAAATTTACTTGCTCTTCAAACTATTTTTAATAACCTTGTTATTGATTTACATTCTGACTATTTAGTAAAGTTTTCTTTTAATCTGTGTTTTTAAAACTTGATTAATTAGATTCCCAATTTTCTGAATCGCTTGATATCTCAAAATCGGAATTTAATGAATTATCACTCATATCTTCATCATGAAGGTTATCAATCTAAATAGACACTTATCTATTTTCAACTGTTTGATTTATTTTTATCAAAGACTTTTATTAATTTTAGCATTTGCTTCTGCAAGAATCACTTAAGGACACTAATTCACTCGATAAGTCAGATAATGAAATACTATAACTAATCGTATTTCTCTATTCAGGTGGAGTATCAGAATCATCTAATTAATCATAAATTGATGCTTTATTTTAAGACTTTTATTTATAGTTGATAGCCTTTTATTTCTTTTCTTTGAAAGAAAAATAATAAACACAAATTTATAAAAATATAAAGATTTACCTTATCTTTTGTTGAAATCTTTTATGTGATTCTTAAATTTCTGATAGATTTCATCAGATAAAACTTTCTTCATTTGTTTCATTATTCTTTCTTTAGAAAAATTATTTTCATTTATTGCATTTTTAGCTTTTTCAATAATCGTTGGATCTAAGTTCTATTCTTCAAAAAATTTCTTTATACTCTCTTAATTAAAGGTATTCTCCACATTTATTTTATCTTGAATAATCAATTCAAAATGCTTAAGAAAGTTATTTCTTTCAAGATATGATACAAATTATTTAATCTGTTTTTCTAGATAAGGACTACGCGCTTCCTTGTTTTCTTAGCCAATCAAAAAATTATTTTGCATTGCATCTAAATGTTTTTTTAGGTTTATATATTTATCTTTCGTTTTTTAATAAGCTGTGAATAATTCATTGATATAATTTAGTATTTCTATTTATGATTTTTATTAAAAAATCTTTAAGAAAGTTTCTTCCATAGCTTGCTTTAATGAACGAGGAGGCATCTATTTTGCTAGTTTTACGATTTCTGATTATCTGTCAATTTTTTATTAATTAATTTAATTTTTTTAATTAAGATTTATAAATAATTTTTGATGTAAGGATATTAAAACACAGATTTAACTAAATCCAAATCTTAATAAATAAATGATGAATATAAAATTTAAAACTAAATATATTATTAAAATTAAATAATATAATTTCAGATCAATTAAAATAAATATTATATAATTATTTAAGAAGCTTTACTAGATAATTTATATCAATTCTCTCAATAAAATTGCTTATTGAAAATATATTTCAATAAATATTGGTGTCAGATAGATAACCCGTAGGGTATATTAGCATTTATTTTCGCAAAATTGAGAAATTTCTAATTAAATAGTTGTTTATTAATTGAACTTTTATAGTAAATTTAATCTATATATTTATTAATTAAATATCAAAATAATTATTTTTCAAATCTACTTTCTAATAGCAAAAACCTATTTTGATAAAGAAACTCATACATACTACATACATACATATTTTATTTCTTATTATTTTTTGGTAGCTTAGATTTAGTTTTTAAAATATAAATTTTTTTAACTTTTTAAAATTTTCTTATTATATTTTAAACATAATAATAGTTTATTTCTGAAATATGCTTTTTTTTTAATTTTTTTGATAAAATATAAAATAATTTTAATTTTTGAACATTTAAAGAAAAGAATCTTTTAATATTCTAAAAAAACAAAGATAATTATTTGAAATAAATATACATATGAGATGTTAAATTTTAATGTGTATCATTTAATACTTGATAAATCTAACCTTGTTCAATGCAACAATAGTAGTAGCTGTTTGTTTGTAATTTTGTTTGTTATAAAAAAATCTAAACGAATTTATTTGACAATGAAAAAATAAACTGATAAATATTAGATTAGCAGCAAACAAATGCTTGAGATGTAAAAATGAAAAAAAATTTCAACGAAAAAATTTTTGGTTGAATTAAAATCCATCAAATTAGTTATTATAATTTACTTGACACTTCTAAATATTAATTAAAAATTTACATCTATTTTATTTAGCTAAGTTGATATTACTAAAATAGTATAAAGCACAGGCATATAAAATAGGGTATTAGAATATAATTGAAGAAGAAATTATAAATTACCCTTGAAATAGGAAATCCATATTTCATTAAGTAGCTCTATTAAGTTTTTTACTGATACAAAAGTTATGAACAAATAAAAATCAGCTAATGATCATAATAATTGTGATACAATTAATGGGGGTAGCTATGTATCAATATCAGATAACAATATAAGTTAGAACCGTATTTAATCTAATAATCCTCATCACCAGCATAGACTACTTGTTCTCCAAAATCAAAGTAATTAGATTATTCAAAATGATGATTTAAGATGTTATTTTAAACTTAAATTTTAGGTGCTTCGAGTAGTTAAAAGGGTTCTCTAGACAAAAAAGCAGATAATTTACATCAGAATTATAATGAAAATACAGTTCTTAGCTTTTAGTAGTATAACTAGGGAATTAGCTAAAAGTCTCCAAAGAAGTTGATTGATAGTGATTACTTAAACTCACAAGAGAATCCAATTAATTCTTAAGATGAAATATATTACTTTTCTAAAAATGTAAATGCAACAAAGAATGTTAATTAGAATCGTCACAAAACCCCTTACTAAAGAATTTACGTTGAATAACAATCTATCTAAAAGCAGTCTATTTAAAATAACTAAAATAGTTTAGGGATTCAGTCAAGCAGCTAAAATATATAAAATGGGAATAATAATTACAGATTTAGCTCACAAAATAAAAAAGAATAAACTCCAAAAAATAAAATATCTATTGAGGAAGGAAATACATAGTATAAAAGCAATAATAGGTCTGCTATTCGTGATTTATCGAATGAAGGATATTATAAAAACTCAGATGACTAGAAGATTAATAAAATTTATGGGGATTCGAATGGAAAATAAAATAATATTGCTGTGAGAGAGTAGCTCAATAACATTTTACAATAGTAAAATAGCTCAATTATCAAAAAACTAAATGGAAACAGACATAATAGTCAAGTTAATGCTTATCCAAATTAAGAAACTGTTAACCAAAATTAAATATTTAACATACGATAAATAAAGAAGAAGTCATCAATATCTATGAACGAATCATAGCTCGCGAGTGGTGCATAAGGAGGAGGATCTGGAAACATCGTAGCAACTAATGGATAAAATTCACAAGTAATTATTTAGAATAATATTAAGGATAGGGATGGAAGTGGTGGTAAAATAACCAACCAATAAAATTCTATGTGCAAGTATGATTCGATTCGAAATATGCACAATAATTCGTAAGATAACTCGTAGCAGAATATCTAGAATAACAACAATAAAAATAACTCATCAATATATTAATATCAGCCCGAAAACTAGATCTTTCAAGTAAATATATACAACAATTAAGAACGCTAAGAGAGGATCTAGCAAGTTTATTTAGGGAACAAATTAAATTTAACAAAAAAATAAATGTCACCTTAAAAAGATGTAGTCATTTTTCTTAGTTTATTCTTCCAAAGTTAACAAAATCAATTTTCACAATCTAAAAAATAAATTGTTAATTCTTATTTTTTTATAATTTAAATTTATCAAAAAAATAAAAAATAGGTTCATTCGATTCAATATGAAACAATAGATGTAAATAATAAAAGGAAAGCTAAATCCACATAAAGATAGCAAAGTATCCTGAGGGAAAGAAAATAAAATAGTAACACAATTAATTTTGTTCATTTGAATTAATCTGGAGGAAGTGCTAATAGCGGATTTGGAAGTAACAATAATTTAAGTCTCTACAGTTTAAATTAAAACCAATAAAATAACATTTGCATTAATAGTAATCACAATAATTTATCTTATGAGAGTTGTTATTCAAGCTAAAATGCAAATAAATTCTACTTTAGAAGCAAAAATAATCAAACTGGTAGTGGTGCTTAATCAAATCAAATATAAAATAGTATTGTTGGGTGTTTGCCCTCCACTTGCTAATAAAATTCATCTTAAATAGCTCAGACAAGTAATTAAATACCTCCTTCAAGAAGGTAGCTTCCTCAAATAAAAGACACATACAATACAATAGATAACTCAGCAACAAACCCTTCCAGCTCACTTTACAGAGCTAAAAATGTAATTAGAATAAATGGGAGTGTTGCAGATAAAACATATACAAATAGGACTTTAGATGCTCAGCCTCTAAGTTCCACAAGTAAATAAGATAAAACTAATAAAATTGTGATAACGACAATAAATAATGATAAAAAATGTGGAACTTTAAATGATAAATCAAATCCAATTATAAATACCAACACTAATAAAACTTTTAATAGAAAAAACTAGTTAAATGATACATAATTATATAAATAAATTCAATAATTAAATAACAATGATAGTCTCAATGAAAATACTTAGAATAAAATTAATTCGAGATCGTAATCAATAAGAAGAGGCAGATTTTAAAATTCTCACAATCAATAGAATGCGATTACTTAAAATAAAGTTAACAGCTAGAAAGAAAATTTCCCAAGCCATTATTAGCAACAATAAGCAATTCTTACAAATAATCTTTAACTTTAGAGTTGTAAACACCGAGATGAGTAGTCATCTGTAGTCAGACAAAAATTTACAAGTAAGAATGAGTAATCAAAGATGATAATCATAAACCAGTAAGAAAATCATCAATTTAATCTATAAGATATTGTTGACGCACCAGTACCTTAAAAATAAGAAAATATAAAAATTTAGCCTACTGATGAATAGAGATATAAAGGCTACAACACAATTTCTATTGAAGATTAAAAAAGGTGTGCTTCTCAAACAGAAAATAGACCAGAGAGTTAAGTTTAAAAAGAGAAATAAAACTTTTATAAGCAATCTTATGCAATTGAGAAAATTTAACATTTAAAATCAATAGAAACTGGTGATTTAATTCCAACAACAAATAAAATTAATTTTGAAAGAAATGCTGCAAATCCTATACACTCACCTATTTTGAACAGGGATAGCTCTCCTGTACCTTAGGTTCACACACCAACAAAGAAAAGAATAAAAAATCAAAATTAGCTTAACTAAAAGATAGAATTTTTCCCTTAGCCTCCACCACCTCCTCCTGTGCTGAGCAGCCAAAATTAGTAATAAAATTAGAGTAAGGCAAAGTATGGCTAGATAATACAAAAATATTAAAGAGGAAATATAGTCAAGCCAAAGATTTAAAATGCTAATACAATATACACAAATCAAAGTAGCTAATAAAACTAACAATAACAATAAGATAATCAATACAGTACCATAAACCCGAATTCTGTCGGTTTTATTAATAAACACGCTTCATAAGTAAGTACAAACATAGCATTTTCTTCTAATCACTGTGAAGATATCTAAGAACTTAAGTTTAATAAAAATTATGCAAATGATGAAAGCAAAAATATATTTCTAAATGACAAAACTGCCATAGACTAAACTGAAGAGTCGATGGATAATTTAGTAAAATCCCTTTAAGATGAAGTTTATTAAGAAATAAAAGATCAAGAGAAAGAGCCTGCAAATTAGCAAATGCATCTTTAATCCCTTGAGAATTCCTTTTACAATTATTTTGCATCTAACAATCAGAACAATAAATCCTAAAGTAACTATACAAGTAATTTATATTATTTTGTTTATTTTTTTCATAATAAATCCACTTTAGCAAAAAATATTTATTTAATATAACTTTAATCTCGAAATGTATTAATTTACTAATAATTAAACATATTAATATATTTTAGGTAACTAAATGAATTAATAAACTAATTTAGATGCAGTAAAACTAGAAATGAATAAATAATACTCAAATGAGCCAGAAAAACCTACAGTTAACTTGTAAAAAAATAGCTATAATAAGATTACAGAAAAAAACGAAGATTAAGCTTCATCTAAAGCAGAAGAAGTTAGAAAAGATGACTTTATATTCTCTACTCTTGATGCTTTTAATAGAGAAAGGAAGGGAAGCAAAGCAGCAAAAATAATAATTGATTTCGATATGGATGATGATAACGAGATAGTTTTAAATAATTAATAAAATGACAATGAAATAGTTTGCAGTGATACACTAAAAGAAAAGGATAAATAGTAAATAGTTGATAATCCAAAAAGCGAAGAGCTTGATTTTAAAATTAATTTGTAAAATTCTCATAAAAATTTAATTGAAGAGCCTATTGATAGTGGTAGAAATTCTCCATAAGTGTCAAAAGTATCTACAGCAATAAAACCTTTATACTATAAATACAATAATTCTTTTCACTAAATTTAATAAACGCCAGATGATACAGATATCAATGACATAGAAAATAATCAGCCTACATTTGAAAAGTTTATCAAAAGCAAGGTATCTAATATGAGAAATAGTTTTTTAAAATAGTCTGTAAGATATGATAACAATTTTTTTAATTAGTAAAAACTATTTTAACAATAACAATAATAGCTTTTGTAACAATAATAATAATAACAATAATAGAATCAGCTATAGTAATAATAACAATAACATTAAACTGAATAATAAATATAGCTTTGATCATTTCAAATTTAATTAACAAATTTAATAAAATAATTTTAATTAATCTTCTTCTGTGTATATTTATTTCTCTTAACTTTATTATATGACATTTTTCCCTTACTTAAGATGCTAGATAAGAAAAATAATTTATTTAATAGTTTAATATATTTATTTCATTTATTAATTTTAAATAATTAACTAATTAGTTAATTTACTTAATCTGCATTAAATTAAATTTTAGCGGTAAGATTTGTATTTAAACAATATAATTTGTTAAATAATTGAATTTTTAAGATAATTTTTAGGCATGAAATAAGTAGAACATATTGAGAACAATCATTTAATATCTTTCAAAAACATTTTTTCTGTAGATAGCGAGCTACAAATCGCAAAATAAATCTCAGAAGAAAGACTAAAGCTCTAAAATAAGTTAAAAAAAGAGGAATTAAAGCAGACAAATTTATTAAAATGTTATAATTTCTTTGATTATTGAGCAAAATAGCTAAATTATTTCAATTAATATCTAGAAATTTTAATCTAAAACGAAGATGAAATGAAGAAAATATAGTAATTAAGTATACAAAATGAAAATATAGCGAAGTAGATACATGAAAATCTAGAAATAGATAATGGACTTGAAAATGCTATTAAATAAAAACAAGATTAAATAAAGTAAATATTGTCTGTTTGATTGTTTGTTATAGTAAAAAAATTGCTCTTATCAATTATTTAATTTAATATTTTTAGCATGCTAAGATAAGAGTATCAAAAATTATGTGAATAAAAAAATGCTATCCAGGATCAACATATTAGTCAGAAAAATGAAAGAAAAAATGAGTGCTTAAACTAATAAAATATAAATTAATTATTGGTGAAATACACAAGATTGAAATTTGGCTAGATCAATGAAAATTACATAATTGCATGTAAGTTAAATGAATTGCATCTTTGATTTATTTTTAAATATCTTTCTTAAATTTAAAAATACTTTTAAAAAACTATAATAGACTATCTAAATAACGATTAATAGACAATACCTATCTGTATTGAGAGAGAGAAAAATAAAAATAAAAATACTAATGAAAAAATTTATAAAACTAATGAAGAAATTACTTAGGAATTGCGCTAAAGGGTTGAAGAAATATAAACTTCTTACATTTGAGTTAATTAAATAAATAAATAAATAAATAAGCCTTTTTTTAATAATTAAAAAAATCATCAACATCAATTTATATTTTAGAAAGGCGAATTATGACGCAAGCTCATTTTAAAAATATAATATCTTATAATAAATTATATTGTAAATAACTAACTATTTCAAGTTTATACTATTTATTTGACTATTTGTTTGGAAATTAAATTTTTAATGATTCCATTCTGTATTTTATGGAGAATAAATGATAATTTAGGAAGATCAATTAATTTTGAAAAAGTAATAGTAATTACGAAGATTCTACTTGATAAAAAATAATGGTTGAGTACTCTAGTTTGCATTTATATGTGGTTGTTTTGATTAATTTTGAAATTAATTAAATTAAATGAAATTTTATACCAGTTATTAATTTTTAATAAATAAACAAACGAAATTTGTTATTAAAATTTGGATATGGATTGATTAATTGTCAGACATAAATAATGAGAGACAAACACAAAGAGAGTTATGCATATATATACAGACAGTCGTTTAAAAGTTTAAAAATTGATTTAATTAAGATAACCTTTAAAATGAAAAATTAAATACGGATAATATTTGTAAGATGATAATTTGATTAAAATAAATAAATAGGAAAATAAATAACAATCAATATTTATTTATTTATTAATTAATTAATAAACAACCAAAAAAGCTATTCATTCATTCATCCATCATTTGATAGAAGAAAAAATTAAATTATCAAAAAATTGCTTAGAGAATTACTTTTTTTGCTTTGCTTTTATAATAACTTTAAAAATCAAAATTAATTTATTCGTAATTAAAAGAATTCGTATTTTAAAGCATAAGGAAGGGCAAACAAAAAAGAGGACGTTCTTGACAGCTTACTAATTAAATTCAATTATAAAATAGCAAAATATTCGTTGAACTTCTTAAATTGTCAACAAAATAGCAAGAAATAAATATGTATAATCACTAGATTAATTTGTAAATGCAAAAGCAACCGTAATCATTCATTCAATACTAATTTAATAGATTAATTAGTTATTGGGATATCATATAACATTTTATCTCTATACAACTCATTTAAAAATGACTGAAAAGCTATTTAAAATTTAATTTAAATAATTTAAATAAAAGATATAACGGAATGATGATATAGGCTAATGCCACCACAGTAGGGTATATATTTTACCTTTTTTTTTCGCTTAATTAATAGGATATTAAAAATTACTATGTTAGTTAGAGTTAGTCAAATTGAAAATACTTAACAAAAACTTAGAAAAACATAATAATTTTTAATGAAAATAAATATTTTGGAAAGAAAGCCAATCATTTTATTATTTTATATAATACATAAATAGAGGAAATAGACCTGCCACAAGTTTTGGATATAAATTCTATAAGCAAGGCGAAGAGAATGCAGCATTAGGTAATGTTCCAAATACAAGCCAAGTATAAAAGCAGTTGCCTTATCATTAAAAGCGTACTTAAACAAGGACTAATTCGAATAAGCTTCCTGAAATTACAAATATTCAAGGCAGTGCTAAAAAAACAGAAAAAGTAGGAAATCCTTTCGCAGGAAATATATTCAGTATGTTATTTATTTTATTTATTATTTGTTTATTTGATTATTTGCAAGAAATCAAGCAGCAAGGCATTTCAAATTATAGTATAACCTAACAGAATATATTTCAAAAACAAGTATTTATGATATAAAAATAATCCAATTTTTAAATATTGACATTCTTAAATTACTAATTAAATTATAATAATTATCTAATTTATATAATAATCCAAATAGGTGCAAATAATCCTTCTGGTAGCAGTGGATAGATGAGCTTTTCAAGTGCAGAATTCAACGAAATTACTTAAAACGAGAAAGATGAGAGATTTAGATACCTTTTGAAGCATGGTACATTAAAGCGTATAGAGGGTAATGGAAATATTATATTCTGTGAACTACCATAAATTATGGGAATTTGGGTTTGCTACAGGAGGCCATGTGAAAGAGAAGCAAATTTAGAAAAACTTAATCTGGATTATATGGAATTAACTCACATGCCATTACTTGAAGGAGAAGAAAAACTGAAGATTTTAACATATTAGCATAACAAAATTAGTAGAATTGAAAATTTAGTTTCACTACCATACTTACTATACTTAGATTTGTATGATAATCAAGTCAAAGAAATAGAATCAATTTACACTCTATCTTAACTCAGAGTGTTACTCCTTCCTAAAAATTAAATAACTAGAATTTAGCAAATAGACTAACTCACAAAGCTTGAAGTGCTAGATCTGCACTCAAATAAAATTTAAAAAATTGAAGGAATAAAGACCCTCGTCAATTTAAAAATATTAAATTTGGCCAACAATCTTATTGTAAAGCTTGAAAATCTTGAAAGCTAACAAAATCTCGTAGAATTAAACCTAAAATTAAATTTAATAGAAAAAGTAGAAAATATTTAACATCTAAGTAAACTAGAAAAGCTGTTCTTACAGAATAACAGGATAGATTCACTTGAAGGACTTAAATGTCTTAAATCTATCAATTCCCTCCTTGAGCTTAACTTAGAGGGAAATCCTGTCACAAAAACTACATAGCAAATCACATATTATAAATTTATTCTTTCAAATACTGTAAATCTTAAATCATTAGATCATAAACTCGTTGACTTGATCAGAGAAGATTTGAAAAAAGAATCTAGTAGCTAAGCTTAAATTTAGAATGTAACTTATAAAGGAAAATATCTATTTTATTAATATTATTATAAATTTAGACTGATGATGTAACTACAAGTGCAAATACGCTTGAGGATAAAATCAGACAGTAAGGTGGTAAACAATAAGAAAAGGCTGCTAATGGAAACTTATAAATTAATTAAAGAGGAGGGGCAGGAGAAGAAGAAGATCAGGAAGATGAAGATATAAATCCTGAAGAAGTTATAGAAATTATAGGCGAATAATGGAAATAAGAACTCACCAGAGTAAAAAAATTAGAATTATAAAACGCTAAAAAGAAAGACTATTTGTAAAACATACTCGTTGAAGGTGGTCATGCCGAAATAGAAGATGATACTTAGCTATTTATTTATGGAAATGCTTATGAAATAGTTTTATCAAACGATTAATTTTAAGAAGTGATTGATAAAATATAATTTTAATACATCATTTTTGATTTTATAATTGAAAACCAAACATTGAATACGCTGAAAAATTTCAAAAAACTTAAAGAAATAATCCTAAAAGATAATTACTTAGTTACTCTCCTTTAACTAGCTAAGTTAGAAATTCTTCCATCATTACGTAGCATATAAATAATAAATAATCCTCTTTAAAAATGCTCCTTCCTGAAAGAATTTATTGTCTATCGTTTTCCACATATTGTAAAAATTAATGGTAGTGATGTCAAAGATTAAGATAAATAAAAAGCTAAAAATTTATTTTCCAACTTCGATAGAATTTTATAGCTGCCTGAAAAGTTCTACAACTCAGAAAACATCCGCTCTTATCCTTGTGAAAACTCTGAGGAATTCGAAGTATGCAGAGACAAGCAATACATGAAGATATTTAGTAAAGTAGCTGCTGACACTGCAGAGTAGTTCACTCAAAATTTATTTTAAGATTTCTTAGAAGAAAAAAATTTAGAAAAAGAGTTTACAGATTTATTCGATAGCTATATCTTAACTTTAATTGATTAATCACCCGTCTTAAATATAAATTCTAAATATCCGTAGCATAATCATCATAGTAGTGCAGGAAATAATGGATATCTTCATAATAAGGTGGCTCATAATAAAACCAGCCACTCATTACATAGTAACTATAATATATCTTCATAGTAAAATACAACTTCACCTACTATGTCTATAAATTCAAACAACTTTATGTGAAGACAATTAATCATATCAACCTATAAATATGATAAATGTAATTTTGAATAAATAAAAAATTAGAAAAGTAAAATAAAATCTAAAATATCAAAAGATAATTTGTACTTTCAAACCAACTCCCTTAATTTAAAAATAGTAATAAAATAACTAGCTTATTATTAAATTATTAAAAACCTACTAATAAAAGTTAGAATTTAAGAACCTTTCATCCATCATATATTAAAAATATTTATATTCATTTAATTTTCTCACTATTTTAAACATTTCATCCAATCCATCCATCCATCCATCCATCTATCTATCAATTATGCACTTTGTATTTGAATTATTAATTATTTTTTTTAATTTTAAAATTAAAAAAAATAACATCATCTTATCACAATAAATTCATTCACTAAATTTATATTTTAAAACAAACAAAAAATTAAAAAAAACAAATAAGCAGATAAAAATAATTTGTTTATTTAACTTTTATGTAGAGTTCATATAGATGCTTTTCCATTGAAATCTTTCTTTCAAATTTATTTTTATTTATATATTTAAGCTCTTGTTAATTTAGGTAAAATTTATTTTTAATTTTCTTTTCTATTTTTCAAGATGATCTAAATAAATTATTTAATTTTGATAAATTTATTAAAAAATTTAAAATGCTTTCTTTAATTCTTTAACAACAAAAAAGCTTTGAATATTTTATATTAGTTTAGGATTCATTTGAATACAATTAAATATTTATACTTTAAGTTATTTAGAAGAACATTCTAATGAAAACAACTCATATATATTCTATTTATGCAACATATTATCACAATGAAATAAAAGAAAAAGAATATGTTGTAAATTGAAAATAAAAAAACAAATAAAAAATCCCAAATATATTTAAAAATAAATAAATACTTTTACTAAAAAAATGTCAATTATTTATTGATAAAACATAAAATAAATTAAAGAAAAATAAAAAAAATAAGATAAAATCTAACTTTTTTTCATTTATCTTGTATATTATTTTCAGTTAAATGAAAGTAAATTACAAATTTAAAATTTTACTGGAAATTTAAATTTCCTTATTATTTAATTTTTTTGATTTAATATTTGGCTTGTTTTTTTTTATTAAAAATCAAGAAGAAAAAATTAACTCTTTATTTATAAATTTTAAAGAAAACAAAAATATGATATTACGAAAATTGCATAAATAAAAAAGAAAAAAAAAAAGGAATAAAAAATTATCTTTCAATTGAAGAAAAATAAGTTATATAAGTAAAATATTTTATAATAAATAAATAAATATTAGCTTTATAAAAAATATTGATGTGGTTTTATTTGGCTATTCTTACGGTTTTAATTTATTTCATAAGATCAATCATTCCTTTTAATTTAAATCTTTTTAAACATTATTTTATTATTCGTTTTATTGATTTTAATTATCTGTTTATATTTTAGATTCATCCTCTTGAGACTGAAGTTACTTCTCTTCTTCCATGATTTTAATATCTTAATCATCGTTTATTTATTCATTTTATTATTACTTTTCTGATATAGAGTTTTTCTTTGAGTGCTTTATTTAATCGCTTTTTGTAGTTATTTGAGAATTACGCTTACTTTTATATTCTGTATCTCCTTAATTAAAATGATCTGTTTCCTTACAGTTTTCTGTTTGAATTCTACCACTAATCTATGAATTCTAATTAGGAGAGCTAGTATCTTGAGGGAACTTTAAGAATTTGAGATCTTCTTAAGATTTACTATTCTTAGAATGTTTAGATTTCTTTTTTTTGGATTTACTTTTTTGAACTGTTTTTTCTGCTATTGTTGGGGTTGGAGTCACTTTTAGTATTTTATGAAAATGATGATAATTTAGATAAATAAATAAATTAAATAAAAATTCTTCAAAAAAATAAAGTGTTTACTCCTACTGGTGGTTGTTTTTGCATGAATCAACCTTCCATATGCAGTGGAAGTAGTAGCTAATAGCTCTTGGTTAAAATCAGTTTTGATGAAACAGTTAAAGATTCGACCTAGTTTTAAATGATCAATAAAAATAGCTATTAAATTAGTTAAGTAGAAATAAAGAAAGAATAAATTTCTTTTAAAATAAAACATTCAAAAAATACAAAGTAAACATTTTACGAGAGGATCTAGTTATGTTATCTTTGTACTTTTTATATTTATCATACTATTATTCGTATTTATTAAAATTGATAGTCGACTGTACCTTCTCTAATCTGTTATGAATAAACTATTTTAAAATTAAATAATTTTAGATATTAACCTTTTTATATTTAAATCTATTATTGTTTTACTAAATTCTCTGTATTCACTTTATCTGCTTCTTTTTGTCTATGAATTGCAAAATTATGTTTGTTTGGCTTGAATACTTATTTTTCTAATGTGTTTTTATTATAAAGAGAACCTTTCTCAGTAATTTACAACATCCTATTTATTAGTGATCCATTTTCTATATCTTGTTCTAAATTTTTGTCTAATATATTTCATCAAAATTAAGTTAACTTTTATCATAAATCATAATTTTAATTTGTTTACTCCTTTCTGGCTTGTTTTTTATTGTTACATTTAAAGGCTGTAACTTGAATCTTGATTTTGTCTAACTTAGCTTTTCTTGTTTATCCTTGAAGCTCATTGGCTCAGAGTTATCAACCATTTTTTTAGAAGTATCCAAATTCTTTTTATGGAGTGTGTATGACTATAATTAATAAAATTTCAATTAACTTAAGCATATTAAACATACTCTAAAATTACATAAAGAATGTAATGTTGCTAAATACTGTTTATCACTTTTGTGTCATCCCAAGCTGGAAGAAACTTCAGCTTCGTTTGAGGGGAATTCATAAATACAATGCTTATATTTGTAATATCTGCTAATAAAATTGTAAAAATTTGATGTTAAATAATCTGTTTTTATATTTTTGTTTGTTTTATTTAATTTATTAATTACTGTTTTTTTTATTAGAATCAAATAATTTTCAATAAATAATTATACTACTACTTTCTTTTACTAATTAATTAATTATCTATCAAATTAAATTTCCAACTAAACAAAAAAATTATTATTTTTGTAAAGTCATTCAAGCATTTAAAATATTTAGAACTATTTTAAGAGATGTAAGTGCTGCTTAAATAGAATTTTTTATCAATCAAAATCTAATTAAATACTTTCAAATATATTTTCTATTAAAATTAATGTTAATTGCGTGAATTGCTTAAATAACAAAAAAAAATTCTATCAAAATAATTCTTTGAGTATATTAATTATTTTAATTTATTTTTTAAGGATTCAATTTCTTGGTTTCATAAAAGCCAAACTTAAAAAAATACTAAAGATTTTTAATAAATAATTAGAAGAGAAATACTTTAATAGATTCATTTAAATTACTTGATAGTATAAAATTTTTTTGGCTTAGTTTTGTTAATAAAATATTTTCGGTTTAAAAGATATTTTTATTTAATATTACTATTATTGGAGCTTGATGACCTTTTAATTAGCTTATTTAAAGATAACTATTTAGAATTTAATATTTAGGTTAATAGATTCAGTAAAAAGAATATTGTTTGATGTAAAAATTCTTAAAATCAGCTCAAATAGATGAAATTAAAATTATAGAGTAAGTTCAAGATAGCTTCTATCAGTGTCGTCTTAAGGAATTAATTTAGCTGATAGACTAAGTAGATGTTAATAGAAGTTTAGTCTGCCATGAAATACTTTAATTGTTTAAAGGAATGAGTTTGTTTAAATCTTAATAGATTAAGATGGGGTTTTAATGTTTCGAAGATATAATCTAAGAAATTCATCATCGTAAGAAGATTTTTGAAGAAATAGATCTAACAATATGGTGTATTTATTAGCTTTAAGCATAATATTACTTGATTTAAAAAGCTGAAGCTTAAAATGAGAGATTTTATTAATTTATGCAAGATTTTTTAGAACAACATTAGCAATTGGATTCTTATTAAATGGGAGTTTTCCAATTTGCAAAAGGAATGTATGTTTACATTGATACATTTAGAGAAGGATTAGATAAACAATGCTTAAGTTTATTAGAGCAATCATATGAATTAGTTGAGGATTTTAAAATTGAGATACTTATTTGTTTGGGATGGATTTACTACAAAGATAAGCAATTTGATAAGGCTTGTTATTACTATTAAATACTTTATAACTAAAACCCTAAAATACCAAGTGTAGCTAATAATTATGCAATAGCTTTAGAATGCTGCAAGGAGTTTGAAAAAGCTGAATAACTCTATCTAGAAGAAGAAAAAATGAGAGGATATAATTAAGGTATAATAAGCAATATTGCTCTTTTTTATTCTCACAGAGGAAACAAAGAGAAAGAATTTGAGTATTATTAAAAGCTAATCTAATTAACTCCCTTAACAGGTAAAATTTGCCATTATTATGGCGATTACTTAATTAAACGAGGCGATTAAGAAGAAGGCATAAAATATATGAAAAGGGGAATAGAAATAGATCCAGATTATTATGGTAACTATGATTAGCTATCAGAAATTTAATTCAATAATTAAAATTGGAATGAATCTCTTTAGTATACGCTAAAATGCACTTAGATATTTCCTTAAGATGGATATTATTAGACACTACTAGGAGATAGATATGATGCTTTAGATGATTTTTTAAATGCAAAAAAGTGTTATAAAAAAGGAATTAAGCTAAAAAACTATTAAATATATAAATTACATTCGAGTTCTAAATTAGGCATTTGTTATTATTCATTGAATAAATAAATTAAATCAATTGAACAGTTTTTTATGGCATGTAACTTTAAAAGCATTGAAGGATATTCGATAGAAGATGTCATTTATATATCATGTTAAATTATGGAACTCATGCCTTTACAATAAATAATCGAAATCATAGAAAAATAACAAGGTCTACACTTAATTTCTAGGTTTTCTTAATTTGCTGAGCTAAGCATGATTTTAAGTATAAAGTAGCACTTTCTGTAAAAGCTAGAAATTCACAGACAAGTGCTGTCCTTGATTATTTATAAAAAATTCATTGTAAATCATTTAATGTTTCAATCAGAAATAATTCATTGGGATTTATTCATAGACTGAGTGACTGATTGAATAATAATCATTGAATTGCAAATAAAATATATATATAAATTAAGCTAACGAATAAAAACCTTATTTAAATTATTTTATATTTGTACATAGATAACCTTTAACAAATGATAAATACTTACTTACTCTACAGAAAATTCTCTATTAATTAAATTTGAAATCAATTAATTAATTTTCGTTCTAATTATTATTGCTGCTTATAATAATTATTGGTTTATTCATTTATAAGTATATTATTGTCCTTCCTTTCTAATAAATTTCTCATATTATAAATTATTCTCAATTAATATTAAAATTTAAATTCTGGATCTTCTTAAATTTCTTATAATATACCAAAAACATTGGTATCTACCATCAGTAAGATTATTTTCACTTTTGATAAGTTGTTATCAAGTAAGCAATAGATATACTATAAGTTTTGAATTTTAAAGATTATTAATTTATTTTTATGTTTTGTAATTATTATTATTTACTTATAGAATTAATTTTTTTTTATTAATTAATTAATTAATTAAAATTGATTGAAATCTTTTAAATAAATGAAAATAGATTTAAAGTTATGAGCAATATTTTTTTTATTTAAATTATTCTAATTATAAATATTTTTAATATAATAATTTGTATGTTTAATTACTATTAAAGTTTAAAAGACAGATGGATGTATCAAAAGATCTGATAACGTTTTAGAATTAATAATTAATTACTGATTATAATTAGACAACAATTTTTATATCATTATTAATTATTTGAAATCATAAATTACATTAATTAAGATTTATATTTAGTTAAAAATAATTTACAGGAATATTTATGGCATCTAAAGAAGAAGATATATTAATTTAAAAAGTTAAAAATTTGTATTACAGCTGTTAGATAAAAGAATGTATTTAGTTTATAGATGATGACAATTAGATCAGAGGGTCTTATTGCCATTAAATGCTTTAATTATACAAAGGTCTTAGCTAATTTAAGGCTCAATTAATCTAAGAGGCATTTAACACATTTTAAAATTTAATTATGGAAAATAAATAATTAAAGGGAAACAAAGTAGATGAATTAGATGTTTTAGCAGTCATTTTTTTTTAACTAGAGACTTAATACTTCCATATTCCTAAAGCGGAACAGTTCAATTCAAATCTCCTCTAAGTATGTGAACTTTATAGAGAATAAAATGAGAATTTAGATTCTTATTAAAAAGGAGTTTACCTTTATGGTAAAGGTTTATATATTTTCATTGAAACAAGTAGGGAAGGAATAGATGAGAAGTGTATTTAATATATGCAGGAAGCTTTAAGTTTTTAAAATTGGTTTAACGATGAAATAATAATAACTATAGCATGGTGCTGCTTTATTGGTAATAAGATTGATTAGTCTTGCCAATGGTTTTAAAAGATTTATGAAGTCAATCCTAGATTTCCTAGTCTTGCAAACAATTATGCTTTGGCTTGTGAGTAATTAGGAGATTTAAAAAAGACTGAAAAATTGTATCTTGAAGAGATGGAAGTGAGGTGGTTCAACTAAGTTGTTATCAATAATATGTCCTTATTCTATGGAGAAAAAATGAATGATCAAGAGAAGTAGCAAATTTATTAAGAAAAATTAATAAATTTAAAACCAATGACAGCCAGGATATGTCATTATCATGGAGTATACTTAAATAAAAAAGGTAGATAACAAGAAGCTATCTAATTATTTAAATAAGGAATATAAATAGATCCATCTTATATTGCAAATTATGAAAATTTATCAGAAATAATTGGTGCAACAGACTATTAAAATTCTTTAAGGTTGATAGAAAAATGTATCGAAATGTATCCAGAAGATGGTTGTTTATATACGTCTCTTGGCAGAAAATATGAAGTGTTACAAGACCACTAAAAGGCGATAGATGCTTACACAAAATCTATTTAACTAAAAAACTATTAAGAATATAAAATATATTCAAGTGGAAGATTATCATATTAATACTACTTTCTATAGAATTATTCTTAAGCACTAAGGGAAATATTTAAAGCCTGTAGCTTCAAAAAATCTAGTACTATGCTAGATCATTATTACACTTACTGTTGGAGGATTTGCCAAATGAAAAAATTGCCTTTGAAGGAAATAATTTAAATAATTAATGAGTAATCTGGTTAAGTTATTACAAGATTTGAGTAGTTTGCAAACAAAACAAATGACAAAAATATAAGAAGCTTATATTTAGTTAAATTAGATTATTTAAGGACAATACTTTATATAATTTCTTACAGAAATCATGTTGAACATTTACTTTCATTTAAGAATAATATATTATATTGGGATTTATTTATAGATTGAAAAATTATTATTAATTTGTTCAATATGTCTATTTTTACATGGCATATGTAGATAGCACTTACTTCCATGAATTATATTATAATAATTTTTTTAATTTAGGTATTAAAGCCTTCTTTTATTATTTTTTAAATTAAATTTATTATTTTGAATTTTTAATTATCTGTTTCTGGCTGGTTTTATAATATTAATATATAAATGACTAATGGCAGTCTATATTTTTTTTTTTTTTTAAATTAAAATTTATCTGACAGATATACCTTTTTTTTTTTGTAACAAAATTATTATTTTAATTAGATAAAAAAACAATCAGAAAGAAAATTTGGCAATAAATATAAAATTTTTTTGTATGTTTATTAGTAGTAAAATATATATACTAAAAAATTAACTAATTCATTGAAATAATATTTATTTATAACAAAAATTAAATATTTTTATTAAATAGAGTTTTTTCTTTAGGAGATTTAAAAATTAAATTAAATTATATTTTTTCGTTAATAAAATTAAATTTTATTTTTCTTAAAAGTTATCAAAATTAGTTTTTAAACTCATTTAAATCTGTGATACTAACTTAACTAGGAAAAAAATTGCTATCTATGTCAAATTAATTTATATCCCATGGGCCATAAATTTCATCAATTTAATGTGAGTTTTTCATATCAGTCTTTGTTTTATCTAAATTTGAGTGGTTTACTTTATGAATTTCTTTATTTTTAAGCTAGGAACTTATGCTTGAAAAATAATTTTTATCTTAAAAATATAAATTATTTGATTTAAAATTTTTTATTTATATCTTTCTGCTATTTATTATATCTTAGTGTGAAGGTTTGCTGTTTATTTATTTTATTTTTTCAATCAATCTTTGTTTGTTGTTGAATTATTTATTATGATCTAAATTTGAATCTAATTACTCCTCTTTAATATTCATTTTACAGTTTTCATCTAAAGCACTCCTTGATTGGAACTCATAGCTAACACCTTCAGATGGTTTTGCTATTTGTCTATGAACTAAAGATAAATCTTATAATTTCGATTTATCTGTTTAATTCTATAGTAAATTTTTTCCTGATTAGCTTTTAACCAAGTTAAGCTTCAAGCTGTTTTAAAAATTTTCAGAGTAATTTCTTTTTAAATGAATTGGATTTTATATTTATTTCAATTAGGGATTTTACATTTATCTTTAAAACTATTACGAATTTGATGAAATAGAAATTTAATTTATTTTTTTTGGTTAAAAAAGTTTATCTTTTTTGAAAATCTAATCATTGTCTTTTTTACATTCTCCACAAACTATCCTCAGAGTTTTTTATTTGTTTTCTATCATCTATTGCATTGCTTCTAAGCCATTCTTCTATTGAATTTTAAAGTAATAATTTCCTTTTAGAGTAAAGCTATCACAAGATGTTTGGCAATTAGTTTTTACATTTTTGAGAGGAGTACTTTTTTTAGCATATTACTTAAAAAAGTTTTACTAAACGTCTATGCCAGGATCAATTATTCTAAGAGATTATTTATTTAAAATTTATATCTTTCCATTATATTAATTAATCTACTCTAAAGTTTTAGGTGCTAATTTAAAAGTTTCTTATCCTTTTATATAATTTTGAATATTATTTTTTTCTTATAAATAGCAATTTTATTTTGTTCTCTCTGAGAGCTAGCGTTAGATGAAGCTCTTTTTTAAGGATTCAATTAAATTATTACTTTAATTACATTCTTATGTAACCATTTCATGCTTAAAATATATTTATTAACCATCCTAAGAGAGATTCTCCAAATTATATGTTCTTTTCTTATCTGCATTAATGTTTTTTAGTATTTATTCATCACTAAAAATGTTTTATTTCTTTTCGATCAGAGCTTATTCAATTACTTCATCTCCAACATTACTAAATTTCTATAAGCAAATTAGATTAAGATCTTATTATTTTTGGTATTTTGAATACTATGAACATTACTCAATTTGATTTTATTCAATACAAAATTATTAATTTTCAACAATTGGTTTATTAAAATAAACATGATCTAGATTTTTAATTCTACTATCTTTAGTTATGTTCAAATAATTTTTGTTTAATAATTATTGATTTTTAATCTATTTTAAATTAGTATTTTCAAGAATATTATTAGTTTTGATTATTAATTTTCTTAACTAGCTTTATTAGCTTTTTGTATCATCTTCCTACATAATTACAAAAAATTTAGTTCTACTTTATATTAATTAAATGATGAATTAGCTAACTTGTAAGAAATATGATTATATAAATTTTATTAGAAAGATTAAGAAATTAAATTTTTTTTTAATTATGTTAATATTAAATTCATTTATTTCGTAATTTCAAAACTCTTTAAAAAAACATGTTATATTCATGCTTCAAAAATAACTTATAAACAAACTATTAAGACTTCCTAATCTCATTAAAATTTTAAAATAAATATAATCTATTTATCAAAAATTAAATAATTTTTATTCTTCCTTATTAATTTTAACAAAAAGTATGTTAAAATTTTAATTGAGATAATTTAAATTAAACTCCTAAAATATTTATTATTTATTAAATTTTATTTTTTAAAGCAATATAAATTTAATTTTAAAATATAAATAATTTTATCTGTTCAAATAAAAAATCATAAAATCTTAAAATATTTTTGAAATAAATAGCAAATTTTATTTTAAAAAATATCTTTTAAAATTATTAAAAGCAAATAATTAAAATCTCACTAACTTTTTTTAATAAATATATTTTATATCTTAAATTTTAAATAATTTTTATTGATTTATCTTTCATTTTAATTGTGCAAAAAATATCAAATAGTTTTAATCTAGAGAATTAAAATTAAATAATAATCTGCTATAAAATATTTATTATTCTGTCATTCCTCATTAATTAAATCCATCAGCCAAATTTTTTTGAAAATAAATAACCTTATATAAAAAGTAAAAAAATTTATCGACATAATTTATGAAATTTAGATGACCTTAAATATGATTCTTTTATTATTTTTTTAGTATAAAATTAATAAAAATATTCCTAATAATTAAGACCACTTTTTTTTTAATTTTATTTTTAAAATAACCTTTAAAAATTTTTCAAAAATTGCCTTATTTAATTTTATTTATTTAAGCTAAATAAATGCATTTTAAAATATTTTTAATTTTAAAATAGCTCAATAAAAGATCTAAAATATTCAAACTTAATTTTGATATATAAAATAATAATTGATTATTTCTTTGATAAATATTAAACTATAAACAAAATAATATTAACAGCTTGTAATAATAAATAAGAAATTTTTATTCGCCCTTTCTTTCTCATTTAAATCGAGAGTAAATAAAAATATTGAGATAATTTGGGAAAAATTTATTTCCATTTTGCGATCTAAATAAAACACTAAATTCTTGAAAATATTTTAAAGAGAGAATTTAATTTTTAATAGTAGTTTCCTTTTGTTTTGAAAACTTTACATTTATAGAAATTAATCAATTATTTTATTTATTTTTCTTAATGGGCTTACTCCTAAGAAATAGTCTTTATCCTGATATAATTAAGTAGAAATTATTAATTTCAAAGAAAAATAATTGAGTTTGGTCAAAATTTGGAAGAATTTTTAAAAATAAAATTCATCTCAAATATTTTGAATTTTTTTACCAAGGATAGATTTATATTTGGATTCGTATTTTATAAGATTTGAAATAGATAGATAAAATATTAAAAAGATTGATATATTCAAGTGTAGAAATAAATTAAATCAACTATTATGATAATTTTATGAAGGAGAAAAATGCTTTAATAATCAAGCAACAAAAACTGTTTGATGAAATAAAAAAATGCAAGATTTGAAAGAAAAATAATAAAAAATCAAAGTAGACTATTATTAGAAATTTATTAATTAACATAATAAACACTTGAATATGCTAAATATGAAAATTGTATTTCTTCAATTGTTAATTAATTCATTATAAAATTAATATGAAATAGAAAAAATAAAAAAAAATATTATTTTCAATTAAAAATCTAAACTTCCAAAATAGTGAAGAAAAAATTTATTTAATGTTTAAAAAATTTCATTTTTATTAAACTTTGAAGACAATTGAGCTTTGTTTTAAAGGAACCTTAGCTTAAAAAAGAGCCTAAAATATACTTTATTGAATATAAAATTAGCTCTTTTAATAACAGATATTATTTAAATTTATATTTACACTTAATTTCTTAGATATTTTCCGTTTTTAACTTTTTATAAAAAAGAAAAAAGCAAGTTAGTTTAAATTGTTGATTTAACGTATTAGTAAAATTTTAATTTAACAAAATTAATAGTTTTTACACACATATAGTAACAATTTTTCTAATTAAGATAGTAAAGTAAGAATAAAAAGAAGTACGCATATACATACATAATTTTGAAATATAAATTTTAATAAGTTAAAGTAAATTAGATCTAGTGAAAGTAATTTTAACAGGTTTATTTGTTATATCTTTATTATTTAGGGTTTAAAATAATCATATTTATAGCTATAATTTTAACTTAATTCAATAATAAGGATCATATCATTTTTAAGTCATAATAATAAAATTATTTTTTGAGTAAGTTAGAAATTTTTTTATCATATTTAATAGGTAAGATTCATTCAATCAATCATTTTATTCTTATCCTTCGAATAAATTAAATAGAAATTAGAATAGGTAATTAGCTGCTATTATTATACATAAGACAATACCAAAGTATTAAATGCATTTTATACAATCTAAATGCCAAGGACCTCTGTTGTTTTGTTCCTATATTTCTTATTAGCTCATAAACTTCTAGTATTACACACTGAATGCATGAATTGGTTGATTTATGTGATTGTAGTATTTGTTTTTAGAATAGGTTTTTACAAGTTTTGGAGCTTTGTACTCATCATACTACTCATGTTAATCTTACTGTTCATTGCTCATAGATATTTAAGTTGATTAGTTAGTAAAATAGCTGCTTTGGTTTTAGCTTTTTAGACATAAAAAAGGAACTTTGTGTGAATCATCCAATTTTTGTTGAGGTGATTATGGTGAGTAGTTATTTAGATCTTACATCAAATTTATAGAATCTTATTATACATTGTTCAAATCACTGATAAGCAGAGACTCATTCAATTAGTTATCTGTAAGGGTTGTAGTGTTTAAAAAGTAGGCATTAAGCTCTTATTCTTAAATTTAAATTGAATCTTTTTTCATATCAAATGTTTGTTTATTTGTTTGCTTGCTTGTTCGTTTTCACTTTTTTTGTTTTTTTAATTTGCTTTTTTTTGGCAATCTCTAATTTTTTAAAAATTATAAAAAGTATATCTTATTTTGCTTTGTTGAGTGTTGTTAAAAAAGAAAGGGTGAAAAGTAAGTTTTTGTTAGTAATATCATTTTGATTGCAAAATCTATATTTTATAGCACTGTAAATGAATCGCAAAGTCTCCCTTGACAATAAAAAGATTCTTCACTTTCAGGCATCCACCTTTAAATCTAAATAGATTTTAAAATTGATTGGTTACAAATTCTGTATAAATACAAACTCATTCCTTGATTAATAAATAAAATCACTTTATTTAATATTCATTAAAATAAAAGTAAATATCATGCGTTTAAAAAGAAGTGAAGAGCAAGTTTTTGAATTTGTAAATATGTTTAATTATTAGTCTTATAGAAATGTAATTAAGTTAATAGGACTTTTATATAACATAAATTGATAAAATAATGATTATATTATTATGGCATAAAAAGTAAATTAATACTGAATAATCTTTTTGAAATTATCCCACTCAGTAAATGAATTTTTATTTTTTTTGGCTTTTTGCGTTTGGAATATAATTATGACATCATGATGAAAAAATATATGAACGATTTGATTGAAAGATATTGAATTTATTTGTTAATTTAATCATCACCTAATTGCGTACAAAAAAAATTATTACGAAATAAATTTCAATTTAAGAATAAATCCCAATGTAAGATTTATGATTAAAAAATTAATTCTGATTCTATGTATTTTTAGTATGCAATTATTGCTAGAACTGCTCTTAAATTATCTAATCGATATAAAAATAATTTTGAAAGGTTTTTATCACCAACATGAATTGAAAATTACTCGAATCTCGTTACTATGTATCCATTCTATTTATTAATTTATTAAAGTTTGTCTTTTAATGAAATCTTAGATTATTGATTTAAAAAAAAGCATGCTTGTATTATATTTCCTTTCTACTGATAAGATTGCACTGATTTATAATTGCAAGTATTTAAAAATTCTTCAAGAGTTTTTAAATGCTAATTCAACTTGAAGTGAAGCATTCCCAACTTAGCATTCGAGAATATTTTGTATGGGAGATAATTTTTTTGAATTATTGCTTATTTATATGCTTCTATTGCTTCTTGATATTTTTCAAGAGCTTCCAAGCAGGCAGCAAAGCGATACATGTAGTAGCCATCTTTTGGGTACTAATAAATGCACTTTTCAATGTACTCTTTTGCTTTTACATAATTTTTATTATCATATTCTATATCAGATAAATCCTAATAAATGGGACAATATTAGGGATCTATCTGCAAGCCTTGCATCAATAAGCTAAGACCTTTTTCTTTTTATCCAATTCTGATTAAATATTATCCGTATTTGTGATAAATCCTAGCAGTTTTAGGGACAATTGAAAATAACTTTTCATAGTATTCCCTTTCCTTATGGATATTTTCTAATGAAAAGTAGAATTGAGCAATGTTTTAAATAGATATTTAATTATTATTCCTCAATTTTTCTTCTTCTAAAAAGAGCTCTTCAGCTTTACCGTTTTTTCCAATTTCATGCAAGCTGATAGCAAAATTATTTGCTAAGCTTGGATATCTTGGATTTATTAAATATAGTTATTAATGCACCTTACAGGATAGATCTGTTTTTTAATATATGTAATACATCCATCCTAGAGCAATCATCATTTCTTGCTTATACTCTTAAGTCAGCTCTATAGCTTCTTCAACGAGCTTTGTACATTCAATATAATTTTACTCCCTGCTATTTTCTATGAACAAAAACATACCTTTTCCAAATAAATATATTTCTTTTTTATAATTAGGCAACGAAGAATGTTGTGCTTCATAATCTTGAAACACTTTCTCCAAATTAAAATTTAACTTTTCTGCATGCTATACATTTGTGTAATACATTTCTAATTAGTACATAACTCTTATCATAACGTCTACCTCATTAACTTTTCCTTAATTCTATTTTTGATTCTCATCAATTACACTCTCGAAACATTCATAACCTTTTTATGTTTCCTAGTTCTCAAACAAAGAAAGCCCTCTATAATATTACATAATTTTATGGCAATTAAAACTCCTATCAATATCCAATTTATTTACTACATTAATGCATTAATTTAATTGGCAATTATAGAATAATTTTTAGACTTCGCTCACTAATTCTTGTTCTTATTTGTCCATTCTTTTTGCTATTTATATTTATTTTTTAATGTAGAACCTTATCTTTCTAAAAATATAATACAATAAATAAATTAAATAATGAATAAGCTGTATAAATTAAATTAAATATTATTTAAAAATATGAATTGATTAATTAAATAAAGGTGTGTATGTAATCTATAGACAAATAAATACTTGTAGAACTAGAGTTAAAATAAAATAAAATAAAAAATAAAATAAATAAATAAATAAATATTTTAATTTATTTATTCATCAAGGGAACTAACTAAATATCTTTATCAATCAATATATAAGTCCCAGTGAGATATCTCATTCATGTAAATAAGATTTGGTTATATAAATTTTAAGTAGGCTTCAATTGACAAAAATTATCTAAATAAAGCTTATTTTTACTTTAGAAAATATTTTATTTAAATATTCTCTAGCTTTTCTATTATCAAATCTAATCGTGATAAGAAGTTTTTATTATATAAACTGAGAATTTCAATTTTTCTGTTAAGTGATATTATTTCTATTGAATCTAATATAAAGCATATACTTTCGATGTCTAATGTTGTGTCAAATATAACTGGATAATCAAGAGATTGAATATAATAATCAAGTGACTCCTCCCACCTTTCAAGTTCATATAAGCAGTATGCTAAATTAGACGAGGTAGAGTGATAATTTACTCTAAATAATTTCATAGTAAGAGCCTTTTTAAAATAATCTATCGCCTCATCAAACATTCCTTCATCTATATAAAACATTCCTATGGCTTCATAAAATTAACCATTCAAAGGCTCTAATTCAATACATTTTTTGTAATAAAACTCTGATTTTTCTATATCTGAGAGCTCCTTGTTAATATTAGCCAAAGCGTTGCAAATATCTGTTGATTACGGATTTATTTCTAACCCTTTTAGCAAGTATTACATGCCCTCATCACATTATTTCTGCTTGCAAAGAAAATATCCATAAAAATAAAGCGTTAGAACTTTATTTGGATTGATTTTTAATGATTTCATAAATAATTCTTTGCATTCATCAATATTTTTATTTTGGCTATAAAATTAAGCTAAATTATTTATGTATAAGGTGTTCATAGGAAATTTATTATGAGATTTGTAATAATACTCTTCTGCTTTTTCCCTTTACTTTAGGCGAGAATAAGTTACTCCAATAGAATTTAGTATACCAGGGTAATCAGAATTCTCTTATTCTAAATTTAAAAAATATTTAAGTGCTTCATCATATTAGTCTTTTTAAGCATAAATCCAGCCAATTATGAAATTGATATCTTATTTGTATTAATCGTCAAGAGCCAGTGAGTCTTTCATTAATTATATACATTATAAATCAGCTTCATTCCTCCAATTATCTATAAATTAATAAAAACCTTTTGCAAATAAATAGATTGAATCATATTTTAACTCATAAGAAGATTTATTCTGCTAATATTTATCTATTAAATCTTTAAATTTTATGTTTTGTTATTCTGCTGCATAAAAATTCTCATCAAACATTTATTGCATATAAAATATTCTAATTATCAAATCGAATTAATTAATTTATCCATTATTTTTTTACTCACTTTTAAGTATTAAACTATTAATATTTTTTGAAACTTCATCAAATTGATCTATGTAAAAGTAGCTTAAACTTTTGTATAAAGTAGCAATTTAAAAGTTCAAAAAGTTAGTGTATTCCTATTAATAGTTATTGTAAGTTTCAATACACTCTTTAAACAAGCTTTTATAAAATAATCTTTTAACTTCCTTTACTATTTCTACTTCATTCATACTCTTAAATAAATTTGCTCCTATATTACAAAAATTGCATAAATTAATTTATCTCTTAAATGAAAAAAACATAATCTGATCAAAAATTGCTCTTAAAAAAATATTCCTATAAATCTATACAGATAAATAAATAATTTAACTGAGTAAATAATCACAATAAAATTTAAATTAATTTTATTAAGCTTTCTCAATCATTCACATATGTATGTATGTAAACAAGGAATTTTTTCCACAAAGATTGACTAATTAAAATAACTTTTAAAAAATAAATTTTCTTGAAAAAAAATTATTTATGTAAAAATAAATCATTAATTAATTTAAAAGAAGAAAATTTGCTTAAATATTCTTTAAAGAGTTGAAATAATAACCATTAAATTTTAAATAATTATTTCAAAAAAATTTATTTCATAATTTAAAAGCTACTAAAATAAAACCTAATTAAGACCTAAAATAATTATATTTTATTTCAGTCTTATTTATAGATGTTTAGGGTATATGTTTTTAGTTAAAATAGCCAAAATAAATGTATTTAATCCAGTATGGTTAGTTTACAATTTAAAAACTGTTTTAAATATAAAATATTTTTAAAACGACCCAATTAAATTCAACAGTATATAATATTAATTTAAAGTAAACTATTTTTATATTTATTCTTAATAAAATCAAAATTATTTCTTTTATTATTTTTATTCAAATAGATTCCTAAATAAAAAAAATCTCTATTTGAAACATAAAACATTTATTTAATTAAAGTTTGGGATCTAAAATTAAATTATTTTAAAGAAGTAATAAATAATATTTTATATTTTGGATTCATTCTTATTCTTTTTAATTGATTTCAATTTTATTTTTGAATATATTTTATCTTTAAATACAAACAATTTAGGTCAGCTTTTTGAAATTTTCATTTTATAAAATCAATGTAAGTGTGTGTGTGTATGTATGTATATCTTTGAATTTTAAAATAAAAGATAATTTACTATTAAAATTTCAAAAAAAATCAGAATATTTTGTGTTTATTATTAAAATTGTATTTTTAAATGAGCGCACAAATAAATATGAAAGACAGCTAAGTTAGCACTTCTTCTATAAATACATAAAATACAAGTATAATATAAAGCGAATAAGATATTAGAATTAGATGGATTTGTTCTTTCTGGGATGGAAGAACTCATGCTTAATTTAATGATAAGTCTGGCCTAATTTTACATAGAGAACATGGTAGTTTTTATTTTTTAATATTTTAATTTTAATTTTAATAAATTTGCAATAGAATGCTTTACTTATTTTTCAAAAATGGGAAATAAACTGAGATTTATGTCTAAGAATATTCCATGTACCGAATCTATAGAGTTTAAAGTTAATCTTGTATTTAAGGTGAATAAATTACATTTTTTTAAAAATGCTGAATAACATTGATTTTTATTATTTAAAATAAGAATCTGAACTAATATAATGATGTTCCAACAATTAAATCTGAAAAATTATATAGCGACTAAGAGGAAATATTAAATAGTTAAAAAATCAGCTCTTGTATCTGGAGTTTAAATGGGGAAGATACTGATTTTGAAATAGATGATCAAGGAAATATAAGTATTATATCTTTAGAAGGGCACTCAAAGCTAACTCTACTAAAAAATAAATTTATTTTCATAGTAGAATATCTATAATTGATCCCTAAAAAGAAAGCTACTTGGGAAAATAAGTTAAATAATTATGATGAAGATGATAATGAAGATTAAATTGAAGGATTAAATGGTGAAAGAAATGCTAAAAATTAATTAAATTCAGGGAATTTTGATTTTCACAAAGATTTTCTTTAGAAATACAATCTAAAAAAATAGAGTGATAGCTAGAAAGCAAACAAAGGAAAAGTAAAATTAGCTTTTCCTTATATAAAGATGAAGAAAATATACACGATATTTAGCTTTCCAGAAAGATGGACCCTTCCATTATATTTATTGTGGTCTAAATTAGAGAGATAAGAATTTTCTTCTTAAATTGGTAAAGATGTTTAGCTAGTGCATCAACCTCATTTCTAATAAGATTTTATTGATTATTTACATATCGATATTTCATCTGAATCATACGAAGATGTTTCATTTAAAAATTATATTAGAGAAAAATACGGCTTAAATAAAATTAACCAAACTGAAGCTATAACTGAATTACCAAATATTGGTATGCTGAATCAAATTTAATTTAAGAATATAAACTCAGAAAATCTTTGGAGTAACGATGAGGCATTCCCTTTATTTGACTAACCTAGATATTCTGAAAGAATTCAATACACATGGAAAGATGGATACACTTCTTGGATTAGCAGAGAAAAAGAAATCTATTTATTTAATGATAAAGAAAATCTCTTTTTATTCTCTACTTAAAGTGGTAAAACAAAAATAAATAATTAAATTCTTAGCTATTTATTAATTTGTTTTTAATTATTATAGGTAAATACTTTCATGAGGTAGAAGAAAATGATGTTAGATCATTAGAAAATGAAAAAGTAATCAATGTTTTGTAAATATGGAGAGATGATGAAAAATCTATCTTATTGAACTCTTTTTCTAAGTTAAGAGAGCATGATTCTATAATTTCTAATAAAGTAGAAGTAATTAGCGAATATAAGTAAGGAAATAAACTGAATAAATAACTTTTAAGTAATAATGAGGAGAAAGAAGAAAGCATAGCTTCACTATACAGTGATAACTATGAAGTACTTCATAAAAGTGAAAATGATCTAGGAAAATTTGAAGCATTTAAAAACGGATGCATAAAGATACTTTTTAGAGATAGAACAATTCTAAGATGGATGAAAGGCTCTGATTAAGTACATATTATTTCTCGATATGGAGATTAAGTTAATATCCTTGTTCAATCCCCTTAAGAATTTTAAGAGTAATAATTTATAAAAATAAATAAAATGATAATAATGTATTTTACCATCTATTAATTTATAATAGATGGCAAATTATTTATGTTCATGCATGCTAATGATTTATTTTATAATAAAGATACGTTGATAGAGCAATTGAGTTCAGAGAATATTGTTTTACTGATCCTAAAGAGAAACTTGAAAAAGAAAGAAAACAGCAAGAACTTAAGGAGTTAATTAATTTTGAAATGAATAAAAATGAAAGATTTCTTACAATCCTAAAAGGGAAGGTACCTGAAGAAATAAGTCGTACCTTGAAAATAAATGAATAACCTAGCTAACTTTACAATCCTTGTAACTCCATCAATTCTTAAAGTTCTTAACAAGAGTTATACTACTCAACACCATTAAAGCAATCTAATTATTAAAATGGAAATTTACTTGGAAATTCTTAGTAATAGCAGTAATATATTTAATACAATTTTCAAGATTAGCAAAATTAAGATATGAACGAAATGATACAAAAGTAATTTTTTTATCTTTTTAAATAATATTTTTAAATAATTTTATAAATAAATAGCATGTTAAGATAAAACGAATAAATGCTGTATAAACTTAAGCAAGTCTTATGACCATTTTATATTTTAAGCATTTGAGTTTTAAATAACCAAAAAATAAATATTTTGATGAAAGATAGAAGCCTTTTGAATTAATAAAAATTGAAAAACTAGTTAATATTAACTAAAATATATTTATAATTGATTCTGTGTAAATTTTTTGAAAATCTTATCATACTAAATCTATATAAAATTATTTATTAGTTAATTAAGTATTCAATCATTTTTAATTGATTATTTTATGTTTTTGTAAATAAATAAATTTTTTAAATAACTTTAATTAGTAATGATTAAATAAAATAATATTTATTTCTAGTTAATTAAGTATTCAATCATTTTTAATTGATTATTTTATGTTTTTGTAAATAAATAAATTTTTTATATAACTTTAATTAATAATGATTAAATAAAATAATATTTATTTCTAGTTAATTACCAAAAAAAAAATTTAAATAATAAAAAAATTCTCATTTCAAGGATTTAAAGAAGGATTTGTATTTAAATTCTAAGAGATCTCTCTATCACTTTTATTTAATAGAAATTTTAATTTATGATATTATCAAAAATCAGATTTATCAATTTTTTAATTATATTTAAGTTTATTATTTATATCTATCTCAATATTTCGAAGTAAAATTTATGGATATTAATTAGTTAGCCATATAAGCAAGATAACTGTTTCTTGATAGCAGGTTAGAAGAGTGTAAAAAATATGTAGATGAAATTGAATTTGATGAAAATGATTTTTTATCTTATAAATATGCATAGATATATAAGGGATTAAGCTTTTTTGAATTAAGTTAGCAGTAATTAGGTTAATAATGTTTTTTAGATTTGATTAGTCTATGCCAATAAAAAAATAAAAATGACAGCGATGAATTGGATATTATCATTTAAATTCTTTATTAATGGTAAAATTTTGATGAAGATTAAGCAAAGGCAAAGAAGCATAACCAAAATTTATACAATTGCTGTGAAAATTATAAATAGCAGCATGAACTAAATTAAAATTATAACTTATTCATCTATTTATTTGGAGTCAGTGTGTATAATTTTATAGATTATTATCCTGATAAGAAGCACTGCTCTTATTTAGATAACTTAATTTAATGTTAAGAAAAAATTTAATAATTTAATTAAGAAAGCATCATTTTAATTGGATGGATGTATGATTATTTGGAGAAGCACGAAGAGGCCAGGAAATGGTACAAAATGCTTGAATAAATTAATCCTCGATATCCTGGTTTAGCAAATAATATTGCTTTAACTTATGAATCAATGAATGAAAAAAATTTAGCAGAAGAATATTTTTTAAAAGCAGTAGAAATATGTCCAAATAATGCAGTTATTTTGACTAATTTGGCACAACATTATTAAAACAGTGATTAATATGAGAAAGCTATAGAATACTATGAAAAATCTATCAATTCTAATCCTTAATTTACTGGGTGTTTTATATGCTATTCAAAGCTTTTGTAAGATAAACAAAATATAGAAAAAGCAAGAGAAATTCTTTTAAAAGGACAACAGTTAAATTAGAAAAATACAGACATTTTATTCTATTTAGTGAGTTTAGAAGTTTAAGAAAGTAATTATTAAAAAGCCCAAGAGTATGTCGATTTAGCAGTTGAAATTGATCCAAACGAAGGATTTATTGAATATAAATTTGGAAGCTTATTATTTGATAAAAATTAATATGATTTATGTGAAACTTAATTTTTAAGATCATTAGACAAAAATCTTACTCCTATGTTGATTGGGTATGCAAATTCTAAATTAGCCTATTCCTACTTTTCTTAGTACAAATTTCTTTAAGCTTTCAAATAGCTAATGTAGTTGGGAAATCTTGATATTGCTTTTTTTGAGTTTTAAGAAGAGCTGGATGGAATTGGATATATTCTTGATGAAATACAAGAAATATCATTACAAGAAAAAGTTGATATTCTTAATTCTTATTATGGAATTATTTAAACTCGATACAAGCAAATTTAGTTATCTACTTAAAATACATTTTTTAGGTGTTTTTTAGAATATAAATAGGATTTGTTTTGCAATACAGTTAGCATAATTGCATACTAAAAGCACTTATAATCTTTACTAACTTATAAATCAAATTACAACCATTGGGATTTATTTTTGGCTTGAATTAAGCTTGAATTACTTATTTATTTTGATATTAGTATGCTCACGTATTTAATTTTTTATTTATAAACTTTATGTTTAAAGTAAAATCAAAAAAAATAAAATAAATTTAAAAATTAGATTATTTTTTATTCTTAAAAATGAAATAATGGTTTAAATACTGACTGATAATTTATTTAAATATTATATCTTTATAAAAAAAAATATAAAAGTATTAGAGTGACACATCCAATATTATAGGAAGCTATTGGATATTGCATGTATAATTTTAATTTTTGGTGATATTTTTTTATCAGTTTTCTTTATATAATTTTTAAAAAATAAACACTAGAAAATATCTTATCAAAAATGGAAATAGTAGAACGTACTTTTTATGGATTTTATTTTATATTTACAAGTTTTTTTTTTGTAAACAAATTAATAAATAATTCTTAGAATTTAATTTTTAAAATAATTCAATCCTTAATAGTGCAAATTAATTCAAAAAAAATAATAAATAAAAGATAATGATTCTCTCAGCATAAGCAAGTTAAATAAGAAATCTATTTCTAATTAGCAAGTGTGATGAGTGTATTTAAGCTTCTGAAAAAATAGAGGCAAGTAGCGAAGAATTTAACTCTTATTAATTATGCTAGCTATATAAAATTCTATCATTGTTTGAGATCAGCTAATTCGAAGAAGCTCAGAAATAATTCATAAATTTGATTTAAGAAGCAAGATAAAAAAAAGGTAGTTTGATAGATTAGGTTGATTTGCTAACTTTATCTTTTTATTAATGGGAATTATGTGATTATGATAGTTATGAATGTGAGTAGCTAAATGAAGAATTATTTAAAGCTATTGAAATTTATAAAAGTGATCATAAATTGGAAGATCTAAATACTGATGGTGTTTATCATTTAGCATAAGCTATGTATACTTTCATAGAATACTTTTAATATGATAGTAATTTTGAATGCATAGAGCACTTAAAAAGAGCTTAATAGCTGCTCAACTAGAAATTAGATCAAGAAATATTATTTCTGATGGGTTGGATGCTAGATTATTTAGGAAAAAATGAAGAAGCTATTGAATATTAATTGAAATTGTATTCAGAAAATTAATATTTTCCTAGTATATGCAACAATATTAGTGTTACATATAAACAAATGGGCAAAGATGATAAATAGGAAGAATTTCTACTCTAAGCAGAAAAAATACAACCTAAAAATATAGTAGTGATGCATAATTTAGCTATTAATTATAATTAAAAAGATAATTAATTAAAAGTAGAAGAGTATTTTACAAGATCTTTAGCAATGTATCCTAATAATAGCCACACTCATTATATGTAAGGTCATATTTTATTAATGAAAGGAGAACATTAGCTGGGTATGGAAGTCTTGTAAAAAGGAATTCAAGTTAATCCTAATGACTGTAATATTTATGAATTGATGTCACTTTTTGATCATTCCAAGTTTCAAGAATATATGCAGAAGTGTATCTCTATAAGACCTAAAAAATCTAGATACTACTCTTTGATGGCTGATAGGTTTTTATCACTGCAATAGATAGAATAATCTTTAAATTATCTTAACTTAGCACTGAGTTGCAAGTAATCTGAAGCTGATTATGTAAAAGATAGTATCAAAAAAGTTGTTTGCTATAGAACTCTTCATAATTACTAAGAAGCTTTATAATTAATTGTCTAAACACTTGAGAAAATAAAAACCTTCCCTAATTCTCTTTGGGGTTTTCAAATTTGTAAAATAATTAATTAATTAGCTCTACCTTCTCTTTAAAAAATTAGTATCTTAGACTCTAATAACTCTAGATATCTTTAAAAATTAGATGAGATAGTTCGCTATATGTAAAATGGGGAAGTTAAATGTTTTCTTAGCTTGAAAATGGAATAATTTATAACAACACTTTAATTAATAGCTTATTAATAATAAGTATAATCTCAGTTAATTTTTAAAATTTCTTAATCTCACTGGGATTTATTTTTGATTTGAGTTTTAGTTCTAACACCCATTAAAATATTTTAATTTTCTATAAATCTTTGAAAATGAGTTTTTCATATTTTTCTCTGCATTACGTACGCACATACATACATACATACATACATACATACATACATACATACATACATACATACATACATACATACATACATACATACATACATACATACACGACTCATAAATAAATAAATAAATAAATAAATAAATAAATAAATAAATAAATAAATAAATAAAGAAAGAAAGAAAGAAAGAAAGAAAATAAATTTTTGATTAGTTACAAATATGAACAATATTATGAATTTTAATCATTACCTTTGTTATATCATGGTTTAGAAAAAAAAGAAAAATGTTTGTTTTTAGATTGTAAAATAATTTTAAAAATAAAAAAATTAAAATTGTACTTTAAGTTTTCAATTCTTTAAAAATTAATTCTAACATCCATTTAAGTTTTCTTATTATTGTAATTTTTTATTTAATTTAAAATATTGCTAATTCTGAAATAAAAATATCACACAAATTATATATAAAGTAATTGAATTAGACATAAATTTTTAAAAAAAGCTTCACTATATTATAATGTTAAACACTTTTATTGCATAAAAAATTAGAATTTTCTAAATAAAATTTTTATAGAAATTTCTATTATTTATCTATTTTAATAATTTTAGGATTTTTAATTATTAGAAAATACTTATTATCTCAAACTTTTATTTAAAAATTTATTTGATATTTATTTGAAGTAATTAATAATTTATCAAAATAAATAAAATTATTTAAAAAAATGAAAGGAGTCTTAAATTTAATAAAAAAAAATTCTATGATTTTTAAATCATAGTCTCATCATTTTTTACTAAACCAAAAGTTGTTTTATTGCAATAGTAAATTAATGATTAGGAATATCGGTGATTTTTCCTAAAAAATTGAAGATCAAAAATAATTAATAAAAGCTAATCCTTTCGATTCTCAAGCTCATTTTTAATTGGGACTTTATTATTTACTTTCATAAAGACTGGAAAAAGCTAAATAAAGTTATATTGAAGGTTTAAAAATTAATCCTAGATTTTCCCAAGGCCACAATAACTTAGGGGTAATTTATTAGCATATGAATATGTAAGAAGAAGCATTATAATGCTTCTTGAATTCTCTAGAGATAAATCCTTAAGATTACTAGGCCCTTATGAATATAGGAAATATTTACTCAGAAAAGAATTAATTAGAGGAAGCAAAGTAATGGATGATAAAATCTTTAAATATTAATCCTAAAAATAAAGATTGTCATCTCAATTTAGGTACTATCTACATTTAAATGAAAAAATACAAGGAAGCAGAATAATCTTACTTAAGAGCTTTAGATTTAGATGCTTAAGACTTTTTAGTTAATTATAAATTAGGATGTTTATATTCTGAAGTAAATAAACTAGAAGAGGCAAAATAATATTGTTTAAAAGCTTTGCAAATTAATCCTTATCATACAGAATCTCTAAATTAACTAGGAAATGTTTATTTTATGATGAAGCAAAATAAATGTATTTGAAGGTTTTATTAATTAATCCTTCAGATATAGAGGCTTACTTTAATTTAGGGTAATTCTATTCTCAAATGAATATGTTTAAAGAAGAAAAATAAAGCTACTTAAAGATTTTGCAAATAGACCCGAAATATTTTTAAGCTTATGAGAAATTAGGAAATCTTTATTTTAATATGAACATGCTAGAAGATGCTAAGCAAAACTACTTGAAATCAATTGATTTAAACCCTCAAAGTGCTATATCTTATTTTAATTTGGGAATAACTTATCAGTCTATGAGCATGTTAGAAGAAGCCAAACAATGTTATCTTTCAACATTATAAATCAATCCTTAATTTTCAGATGCCAAAAAGCGTTATGAATAATGTGATATTTTGTTATTCAAGAACAAGGTGAAATGAAATATTATTTATAAGTTTACCAAAGAGTGTGTGCTTTCTTTGCACTCTATATGAATAGAAAAAAACAAATCCCTTAAAATTTTTTTTATTCTACATATATATTTTATTTAGAAAATTAAATTAATTTTTTATAATGACTTGATAGAAATATAATAAAAACATCATTTTTGCTTTTTAAATTTATTATTTATATTATTTGAACAATTCAGAAATTAAATTGAATTGATCTCATTTCATGCTATTTTAATTGCGGGAAGTGTTATTTATACTTATTAGGTAAGTTTTTCTAAGAAAAAGTTGTTTAACTCTATAAATCACCTAAATAGTGTAGTTGATACTATAGGAACATATGAAATTCCTATTTCAACCAGTTTATAAAAAATATGTAAAAAAAATGTTTGTTACTAAGTTACTTTCAGAATTTATTTGTTGTATATTTAATACTTAGAAAATAATTAACTCTTTTAATTTAAAAGAGAGATGAAGAAAAAAAAGGACAAATTTAGTTTTTTGAAGTAAAAGGAGATTTGTTGAATTGTGAGGCTGATATAATTGTATAATAGTGTAATTGTATTACTAAAAAAGAAAAAGGACTTTCTTAATCTATATTTAAAAAGTTTGGGGTAAGTGCTTTTGAAACAAGAGTGAAAGGTAAAGAGAAAATATTGCTGAAATAAGTTCAATAGATATTCTAGGTGCATGTTTATTTTAAAAACAGAAGATTAAAAACAAAAATTGTTAAATCCAATATATGGCAAATCTTTTTAGTCAGTTTACACCTGGAAAGAATGGATCTAAATACTAAAATACATTATGCTAATAAATATAAGATTCATTAACAAATAAAACATATTGTTGATAATTTTTCAAAAAGAGAAAAATGGTTTGAAGTATGCTTGTAGAAGTTGGCAGATTTTACCAAGGAAAATTAATTATAAAAGATTGCCTTTCCTTATAAAATTGGTTGTGACATAACAGGAGGTAAGTGGGAAAACTACAAAAAAATGATTTAAGAATTTTCAGAAAAAAATACAGGTTTAAAAATATACATAGTCTAACAGCAGGAATGAAACAATTTAATAAAAAATATACAATAAAACTATTTAAATTATAAATTTCTTAGGGAAGTAGATTGATGCTAATAAGAGGCAAAAAGGAAAACTAAAAAATGAAATAGTAAAGATACATTTTTAACATGAAGAGTGAAATAATTTAATAAAAATGAAGATCATAAAATTAACCTTTTATTATTTAAAATTTTTTTATATGTTAATTAATTAATTTTATTAGCGATTTACTAATTTGTACTTACTTTTATTAATTTTTTTCTATAAATTTTGAATCTATTTTTTAGTTTACAGTAGTGTTTCTTGTCCAGTAACTTGATATGAATATGAATATTTCATTAATTTACTTCTTTTTTAATTATTTAAAATGTAGTAAACACTATAAATCTTCAATAAAAATAATACTGATTAATTAAGATTTACCTCCAGATTTTATGCTTTTTATTATTTTAGGCAAAAATCTTGGTCTCGGCAGTGCCTATCATAGACAGAGTTTACAATATATTGATTGATATAAGATCTGAGCAAATAGTCGAATATTTTCATTATTTTAAAAAAGTTACTTTTCTCCATTGAATGGCATCATTTTACTCATGTTGAGTTAAGGAGTTAGGTAACAAGGAATTAAAATTAGTATTTTAAAGTATTTCTTTAGAAAATAATATAGGTTTATAAATTATATTTAGATGATGCTAATTTAAATAAATAATATAAAAATAACACCATAAATTTAAATTATTTACAATTTTTAAGATTAATTTTGTTTGTTTACTTATATATTTATTTATTTAATTACTTATTTATTTAATTACTTACTTACGTACTTATTTTTCTAAGAACCATATTTAAAATTTGAACTCTTTTGGTCATAATGAAAAATAAATTTTAATTAAATCTAATTACTTTATTTATTAATTTATTTTTGAATGTTTCTTTATGTAATATATTAATTTTATAATTTACTTAAAGAAGTTGTTATATCAATTAATTTATTTTTATTTCTTTATAATTTAATTAAAATAATTAATGGAAATTGTTTTTATTATGATTCAGATAGTTAGTTTATTTAAGTTATTAAAAATCTTAAAATTAAAATTAAGTTTTTATAACTAATATCTAGCTAACCATTAAAGTATCACTTTTTTCTCATTTCCTCTTCTATGAATATAAGCTATTCAACCTCAAAGCAATCATTTATTTTTGATTTTCCTACTATATCAACAAGCATCTATAACATCTTAAAATAATAAAAAATTTTTAAAAGCATATTAAAATAATTCAATTTAATTTTATTTACTTTTTAATCTTTTATATTTTGTTAGTTTGACTTTTAAATAATGTCATAAACTTTATCGAAATGGTCTCCAAGACTTTATTAGCACTTCTTTCTAAGACTAATTAGCTTGCTTTGATTTAAATTCATTTATGGATTTGAATTATTTTTAAAGCTATTGTCATTCGCGTTTTTAGGAGAGTTTCTACTTTGATTATTGCTCAAACGCTAGGGTGGTAAATCATCATTTGAATTGCTAGAGTTCTAACGTTGGAGATTTTTAGATTGTTTTAAAGAATCTTAGTTAGTGACCTAAGATTTTCCATTAGATTATTTTCGTACGCTCTACTGAAAATTTAATACCTGCTAATGTCCAATCATTGATTACAAAGGGGTAAATTAAGTTTATTCACAATCATTTTCTGCAATTGCTAAAATTTTAAATTATTAAATTTTAATATAATCAAATTTATTTTTATTAAAAATTTTACATTCTAAATGATTATTTTTGTTATTATTATTGTTGTTATTGCTACTATTTGAATAATTAGATGATTTTCTATTTTGTTCTTTATTATTGTTACTGTTGTTGTTATTGCTGTTACTATTTTAAGCTTATTTTAACTGTTTTTTCATTTCTGCATCCTCATCACTAAAATAATCTTCGAACTATTCTTGATCATATTCATCTTCTTATGTTTCTTATCTTTGCTACTTAGCATGTTTGAAGGTAGATTGGAGCTATTTTGTTTTAATTTTATACTACAAACCTTTATTATTTTATGATTATTTGCTATTTTCTTATACTTAATCAGTAATTTCTTCCTTACTAAAATAGCTCTCAAAACTATTTTAATGTGGTGAAGACAATGCCTCACTATCTGTTTTTTTAACATTTGGCAGAGGGATGTCTTGATAAATTGTTTCGTTGTTTTTTATTTAATCTAAATTTAAATCTGATTCAAATTGAGTATTTGAATAGCTAACTCCACCTTATTAATGTGCATGAGTGCTTTAATCTTATTACATTTGTTGTATTTTAGCTTTTTGTTTATTTAGATTGAATTTATTTTAAACATTCTGCTAATCTAAAACCTCACTTTCTGCTAGCTCGTCTTATTATGTGTGAAATTTAAATGTTTTTTATACACCTCCATTAAGGAAAGCAAACTAATTTTTATAGCTTGGTACATTTCTATGAATCATATTATAAGTGCCTTTTTACTAATCATCTTCTTAAATTAATGATGCTACATCGCTTTTGGAACCATTGTTGTTTCTTCGGCGATTAATTTAAGTAGATACTGCAAATTTCTCTGATGTCTCTATGGGATAGTCTATTTCAGAATAAATATTTACATTATCTATCTATTGCTTATAGCTATTAGGAGATCTTTGATTATGTCTATTGAGAATATTAAAATATACATTTAAGCATTTTGTTTTCTAATAAATGAATTATTTACCCATTAATAGAAGGTATTGGGATGTCTTACTAGAATTGAGTTTCAACCATCATAAACTTATTTATGGAAAATATTGTTTAAAAAATAATAAATAAAATATAATATAATTTACGTTAGTCTATTAGTGACGATTAATTGGAGACGAGTTTCTATCGCTCATAAAGTTATTTTTGAGTAATTACTTAGCATTATTCATATTATTTAGTTAAATAGGTTCTAAATGTAAATTCTTTTGCTACTTGTGAATACTTTCTTCATATTATTTAAGTACACTTTAATTTGATAAAAACTTTTCGCCATAAACATTTTGAATGTAACGCTCACGAGATATCATAGAGTTTTTTATTTAAGATTTGGTGTATTCTGTTAATTATTCTTATTAAAGTCTAGTCTTTTCTTCTTTTTTACGTTATGCTAACTACTTTGGGGTTTATTTTACAAAACTTGGCTGATTGTATGTTTATTCATGAGATGCAATTTGTTAACAAATATTCTGATACTGTTAATTTCTTTAGTTCCCTTAGCTATTTACCATAATATTATGAGGTTGAGAAGCAGCTCTTAAATTATATAAAAACTTATAAACATAAAATTTTAAGTATAAATTTACTGTTAATGAGGTGCATTTCTAGAAGATGAGAACATATCAAACTGCTTAGAGCCATCCTCTTTCTTAAATTTAGACTGATGGTTGAAAGTAGATTATGATTTAACTTTTTATAATGTTACTGGAGAATCCTACTTTATAAAATTGTTATGTTTGATAGCAGTTGATTCATCAAATTTATTTCTTTGAGATTTGAAGGTATTAAGATCTTCATCATGGTAATATTCATCATGAGTCCCATCCTTAAAATCATTGTTATTCGTATTATTACTAATTGCAATATTATTGTTGCTTGTATAATTAGTATTGGCATTACTGTTTACATTGTTGCTAACGTTATTACTAGTATTATTACTATTACCAACTTATTTTAAATGAGCATGTGTATTGCTATTAGAAATTTATGAACTAGGGCGCTCACTATTGTTTTTAGTCAGTGTATCAGGAGTGTAAACGTTTCTTTTTATAATCTTAGCCTTTATTTTATATTCTGGTTCTTCTTTATGTTCATGGTGATGTTGATTTTAAGCATTCTAAAGCTGTTAGTTATTTATTTAATATATTTAACTATCTACAGTCTATATAGAAGTAGTACCATCTTACATGTTAGTTTTTGGAATGTTAGTTTTATCTGTAATTATAAATTAGTTTTGTGCATTGTTTTCTTTATTTGTACTGTTACCTTTCCCGTCATTGACGTTCGAAAGGCCTTAGTGATGATGGTGATTGTTTGAGGACCTTTTTGAGTGGCTTATTTGCTGATCTTATTTTACCTGTGAAGGATCTACTCTTACTTCTAAATATTATTTAAAGAGTTTTTAAGTGCTTATGTCATTAAGTATATCATTGATAACTGGTCTCTCCTGCTCATTTTTATTTAAAAGCTTGCTTTTTTTAATTAATTAATTAATATTTTAACTGATAGTTTTTTAATCTTACAAATTAAAAAAATTTAGCTTCATAAATTTTCTAATAAACTAATTATTAAATCATCATTTTTAAATATTTTTAAATAAATAAAAATTAAGTAAGTAGTTTGCTTACTGAATTAAATCATTAAGCTCTTTCGAATAGAAACTAGGAATGTCAGATATATTTTGTTAAACAATTTTAAATATAAGTCCTAAGAGGTTATTAGATTCAAATGCATGCTTTTTTTATCAGATAAAATGAATGAATATTTATTTCTTTATTAATATATTTTTTTAAGCAAATTTAGTAGAAAAATAAATATTTAAAATAGATAAGAAAATAAATAGTTTCTATTCTAAAAATTTTGAAAACGATTTGATTTACCTCGAGAGCACAGAGCTCGTATAAAACGCAGCCTAAAGCCCAAATATCAGATTTATAAGTATAAGGTTTGCTTTCACAAACTTCTGGACTATATCATATTGTAAAAAATTTAAAAGAGTTATTTTAAACAAATTTAAAAAAAATTAATAGCTATTGATGTTAGCATTTGCTGCATTTGAAAACGAAAAGCATGAGAAATAAATACAAAATTAATTTATTTTTTTGTAAGCTAGTTTAAATTACTTCACTAGATTCATTTCTTACTTGAAAATATACTTCAGTTAGAAAACTCCATACATAATTAATCACTAAATAGATTTGACTAAATTATATTAAAAACTTACCTCATGTAGTAAGGAGTGCCTACCACTGTATTTGCCACTGAAGTGGTGTTTTCTAACACTTTAGATATACCAAAATCGCCAATTTTAATAGTACCGTCTCTGGTAATAAAAATATTTGAAGTTTTGATGTCTCTATGCAAAATCTTTTTTTCGTGTATATATTTTATAGAAAGTGCTAGTTCATAGAACCAGTTAACGATTAACATTTCAGGAAAATACTCTTTCTTTTGTTTCTTTCTCTTAATATGAAACGCTAAATCTCCATCTAAATATTCACAAAATATAAAAATACTTAAAAACTACCTTTAAAGCGCTATGTAATTGATAATAGCTAAGAAGTTATTCGATTATTTGCATTTATTTATGAATGATATCATTTTTGCTAACACTAAAAAAACAAATTTGAATCTGCTTACGCTCGCAATACTCCATGATAATTATTAATAAGTCTTCTTCTTTAAAGCTTTCTATATATGAGACTATATTTTTATGATTTAAATCCTTCAACAACTATGCCTATTAATATAGATAATATATTCTTTATTTTCAAACTTTTAACTCTCATTTATAAAACTAATTCTTATTTATATTTATTTATTCCTCTTCATAATTTAAAATTTTTTAGTGATATTATTGATGCGTGATGCAAAGATAATATGGTAATAAATTCAATAAATATACTTCTTGAAGAGCACTATCTTATTACTTAGGGTTTAAACTACTAAGAACTATTTTCTTTGCTATATATTACTTTTTATTGTCTAATTTTTCAACTAATGTTGCTGAGCCTTTTTTGAAAAATATAAATTGTATCAAATAAACAATAATAATAATTAATAGTTAAATTTTACCGAAATTGCCTCTGCCAATGACCTCAATTTCTTTGTAAAGTTTTTTATATTCTTTTTGAGCCATAACTAAAATGAGAGTGATCTAATTATTTGTCTCTACTGATCTATATTTAAACTATTCAAATCAGCTATATGGCTTTTTTTACTTAAATTTCTTCACTTTTACTTAATATCTAATTCCTCCTTTTTTCGTATTTATACTTACTACAAATTGAAATTAATCAACTTCAAAAAATTAATTAAATACATTAATAAGAAATGAGTAATCAATTCTAAAAATTAATATTTCTTCAATTATTTACATTATTCTTTCTAATTGGTGTTAAAAATTTAATCATTTGATATCAAATCAAAATATATAAAAATCATAAGTAAGATTTTTCTTACAAATAAATATAAAATTGTAATTTTTGTTGTAAAATCCACAGTAAATTTTTAATATCTCAGACAAATATTTTTGGCAATAGTTATTTATCATCAATTTAATTATAAATTTTGCATTTTTAAAGTATTTAACCTTAAAATTTAATAATAATTATTTTAGAAATTCATCCATTTAATTTAAATTGACCAAAGTAATTTTTATTTTTTGAAAATTTAAATCAAAAGGCTTTCGAAGCTTCTATCAAGTCTACCAAATAAGGATAAATTGCAATTAATTCGCTTCAAAAGTTTTTAAATTTGTAATAATAAATTTGTATTAACTGAATACCTATTATCACTTTGAAATAGTATTAAGCACTTGGAAATAAAATAGTAAATCTTTCAGTCATATTCAATCTGTTTAATTATTAATTATATAAAAAAAATAAAAACAATTTAATTTAAAATTATTTGTGATTAAATAAATAAATTAGATGAAATCAATTTAAACTAAGTTCTTGATATTCACCATTAATAATTAAACCCCAAGTTTAAAACACATTTAAAAATATGATATAAATATTAAAAATATTTATTTTATATAAATTTTCATTTTAGAAATGATGAAGATGTTCATCTTACTTATCATATAAGCTATTTATTATGACTAAGAATATCTCAAAATAATTCAATAGTTTTCATTTAAATAAATTTATCATTTTAATAAAAAATTATAAATTTGCTCAATTAATTAATTGAATTAAAAAAACTTAATTTTTTAAATCAAATAAAAATATTTTTACTTTTTAATTTAGCTGTTAAAGATATTTTGATTTTATTAAACAGTCGAAAGATGATAGAAAATATTTTAAAATTAAAAAAATTGTTTTTATTTTTTTATTAGATTTGAGTTAATTAATTAATTGATCTAATTGAATTACTTCTACTTTTAGCAATTTTCAAAATAAAATTAATTAGAGCAATAATTGTGAATTTATTATAAGTGTTTTCAAATTAAAATTTTAAGTATTTTAAAAATAACTTTTGATGAATAAAATATATAGAATTGATTTAGTATAATATAAGAATAATTTATGATAATATGTATGAACATTTTTTAAAGGTGAGGTAGGTCTTTAAAATGATTAAATATGAAATAGTTAAGTAAGTAGGAGTGGATAAAAAGAAGAAGAAGAAGAATTATTATTACTACTATTTTTGATACAAAATATCTTATTCATTTCAAGGCAAATTTATTTATAGTTGATTCCAGTATGTTCATTAACTTTTACAGAATTATAAATACACAAATATATTAATTAATTTATTAAAAATTATACTTTATTAATACAGAACTTTTAAGCAAAAAAAAAAAGCAAAATGGAACAATATGTTATGGAACCTCCTCTCTATTTCGCAGAGGATCACTTATTTGATTTAGATTTCCATCCAAATAAAGATTTACTTGCTTGCACATTAATTAATGGTTGGGTTAAAATGTAAATAAAATTTTACATAATATTTTTTATTTCATTTGTTAAAAAATGAAATTAAACAGATCCCTACCTCATATCTTGTTTATTCTTTTATCATAATTATTTAAAATAAATTCAAAAATAGCTTAGGTTATAATTCGGATGATGTAAATGATCTTGCAGTATTTAAGCATCACTCATAATCAACACGTACTTGTAGCTTTTCACCAAATGGATTGAGTAATATTCATTACCACCTATAAATATGAATTCTATAAAAGGCATTTTTGTAAAAATAAAGATCTAGCAACAGGTTCAAAGGATAAATCATTTTCTATTATTGACACAAATGGCAACTTATCTCTACATCTCAAAGACGCTCACAAGTAAAAATTATATACATAATGCAAAATTATATCAAAAAAAGAATAAATTCTATTTTATTATATTAAATCCTAGCTAATTGCTTAAAATTGAAAGCAAATCATTAATAGAAAAACTTAATAGGCATTAAAAACTTACTTTTTATATTAAAAATAAAGGGAATCAATCAATTTAGTTAAATTCCTTAATGATGATATTCTTATTAGCGGTGATGATAATGGACACATTAAAGTTTGGGATTTAAAGAGCAGTAAATGCGTCTATGAAGGCGAGGAATAGAGCGAAGCTATAACAGGTGTTGCTATTCCTGAAAACTTAAACTACTTATTGACCACTTCGTAAACATTCAATTAACTTACTACAATTATCAAATGAAAATTTATTTTATTTATAATAACGAACAGTCTTGATGGAACTTTAGCTGTTTATGATATTAGAAAATCTAATAATGCAAAGGATAAGCTTTATGCCCTAAGTGATTGTATGGAAGAAGATTTAACTTCTATTTAGTTAGTTAAAAATGATAAATTTGTCGCTACAAGCACATCTGAGGGTATTGTCTTATTATTCAAATGGGACTGGTTTGGTGACTGCAAAGATCGTATTGTATTTAATGCCAACACTATAGATCATATGGTAATTTTATATATTATAAAAAAATTTCCTTTATGGATTTCATGTAATTCTAATTTATAAAACTAGATCAAACTTGATGAGAATACTTTGATTACTGGTAGTGAAGATGGATTTGTAAGAGGAGTTAGTGTTTATCCCAATAAATAATTGCAAATTTTAGGACAACACGAAGAAGATGAAAATTTCCCTATCACAAAATTAAGTTTATCACATTGTAGGAGATTTTTGGCCTCTTTATCACATGATAATAGTATTAAATTCTATGATATTTCTAAGTTTGTAAACAACAGAGATTAAGTTGGTGAAAATACTTGGGAAGGCTATGAAAGTGGTGACGAGCCTGTCCCTAGAACTAAAAAGGAAAAAGCTGGAAATGATATGGATGATTCTGATTTCGAAGACGAGGATAGTGATGATGACAGTGATGACGATGAAGATATGGAAGATGAAGACAATAAAAAGTAAAAGAAGTAAAAATAAAAAGGAGGTGATGGTATGGATGATGAAGAATCAGATGATGATGATGATGATGATTCAGATGAAGAAGTTAGTAAAAAGAAAAATTAAAATCAAGGTAAATAATAAAAGCGTGTAAGATTATCTGAAAGGGCTCAAAAAAATGTTCACAACAGAAATAAAATCTAAAACTTCTTCTCAGACTTTAAATGATTTATATAAAATATAATTATTTATTAATTAATTAATTTATTTATTTATTAATGAACGAAATAAATAAGTTAGATAGTATTTCAATGTTATTAACTGTATTTATGATGCTATATTTGTATATAGATAGATAACTAGCTAGTAAAATATTAATTCTACTAAATTAATCTTATAATCCACTAAAATAAGTAAAAAAGTAAGTAAATAAGAAAGTGTTTAAAAAAAAGGCAAATTATCATAGGAGTTAGAATTTATTTTAACTACTAAAATAATGAAACAATAAAAAGTATTTAAATTTGACATACTTTTTATGTACTTTTTGCATATTTAAAAAAGATAATCAATTTAGTTATTTATTTATTTATTAATTACATTTTTATCAAATTTTTTATCCCATTTCTATGGCACTCACAAATTGTTCTTCTGTATAGGCAAATATTTATCCTGCTATCAAGTGATTTTTTTATCTTTTGAGAATGTCAATAAGTCTTAGTTACTTTTTAAATGCATTTAATAATTCTTAAATTTATCTATCTAGTTTTTTAATGTCTGATTGTAGTTTTTCATTTATTTTTTTAGCATCACCTTACTTGTCTGATGCAGTATTGCCTTTGTTTATCTACAAATTCATCTTTATTTTGTCTATCTCTTCTTAAAGCCTATTAATTCTAAAATTATTCTAAGTAAGTATTATAACGTTTCAGAAAGCTTATTTTATTTAATAGTTAATAAATTAATAATTACTTAACATCTTTTTTATTAAGTTCTACTCCTTTTTTTTTAATTTCTTTTTTGACTTGATCGATTTCCTTTTGTGAATAATCAAATTTTAAATGATGGTTTTGTTTGTTTTATTAAAATTTACATTTTGAACAGATTTGCAATCTTTATCCTCCTGCTGCTTTTATTATCCTAACTTTACTATCATCTTTTTGGTTTCTTCCATTTTTTCATTTAATAAATTTATTTAAACTTGATAGGATTCTGTTTCCTCTTCAAAAGATTTCCCTTTTTCTCCCAATTAGCTTAAAATACTCTCTTTTACTTTCAAAGCATCTTATAAAGAATCTATTTCGCTTAACAAACCATCTTTTCTGATTCGCTATACTCTAATGATTTTTTCTATTAATTTTAATTTTTATATTAATCAAAGCTAATTAATTATAGTCATAATAAATAACTTATTAAATAAATACCTTGCTCTTCAACTAACATTTCTAGTTCAATCAGTTCTTCATTCTTTTTCTAGTCAATTTTTTTATACTTATTTAATTTTTCTTCTAACTATTCTTGCTTCTTAAGTAATTTTTCTGCATCAATATCGTCATCATCGTCGTCAAAATCATCTGCTTACTTTGCTTCTTCTCCATCATCATTGTTTTATTGTTATTTATTTTAATTTTTGTTTTTTTTGTAATTAATGGTTTCGCCCACATCATCATCTTCTTGATTGACTCTTTGAATTATTTTATTTATATAATCTCTATTTGAAAATTCTTTTGGCTTATCATCCTACTCGTCTTCTTATTCTTCATTATATTCATTTTCATTTAAACCAAATTCATCATATTCGCCATCTTAATTTTCGTTTTAGTCATGATAATTTTATTCATCATCTAAATTCACATCGTAATCTGCATCATTGCTATTTTCTTATTCTTTTTAATTCTTTTAAATTATTTAAATGCTAGTCTATTTTATTTAAAATGCATACATACCAATCTGTTTTATATGTTTTTTCTTCTCTCTTCTAATTGTTCATTCATTTTTAGGTACTCCTCTTCTTTAGACTTAAACTAATCCCATTTATTTTTGATTTTATCATCCATTTTTATTTGCTAAATCAATCTTAATCTATCTATTGATATTTATATTAATTAACTTTTTTAAATTTTTGAAAATTAAGATCTTAAATTATAACTAGCCAATTATTAATAACTATTTAAATTAAATAGTTAGAAGTATTTTATTGGTTTTATAAAGCATGAATAAGAAATTAAAGCTGCAATAAGTGTATTGTCCATATCAAATTAATTGAATTTTAAGTCAAGTAATCCTAAAATTAACAAAGATATAGTGATAAATTAAAATTGATAAAGATATAATGAAAAATTACAATTAATAAAGATATAATAAAAAATTACTATTAATAAAGATATAATGATAAATTACAATTAATTAAAACATAATGATAAATTAAAATGAATTAAGTATGTAATAAATTAAAATTAAGTATAAACAGAAATTTAGTATTTTAATATATTTTATTTATTTGTTTTTAATATTTATAAATATTTTTAATTTGTTAGAAAAGGAAGAGCGGGCTTTAAATTAATTTCATTTACAATAATCTGGTACTTGAATTGGTTTATAATTTTTTTTTTAGTTTATTTTTATTTTCCCTAAGTATTTACTATCTGAGAAAGCTTTAACATACCTCTCTAAGTACTTAGCATGTATCTCTTTATCTTTAATTTAGGATTCTTCTATCCAGATGATTCCTCTGTTTTGAAGGAAAAAGCCAAATACATCTCTGTATTCTTCGTCTTATATTAGATAGACAATCATTTCGTTATTAATTTTGTTACATTTTATTATACCATTTAGCTTTCTTTTTAGTCTTTCATACTCATCATCACTTTAATAATTTTTTAAATTTTTAATAACAAGTTTTTCTCCAGCTGAGTTCATAAAAGATTTAAAAGCTTTTATAAAATTTTTTGGCACATTTTTGGCTGATTGTTTAACAGATTTTACTTCTTCTTATTCAGAATTGCTTGCAGATAAATGTTTTAGTTTTTCAGTGTTTTCATTATTAACAACACTAAGGTCTTTCATTACCTATAATTAGCTATCATTATAAGAAGTTAGATTTTAAATTTAACTTTCATTTTTAATAATTATATCGTCATCGTGAATGCTTAAACTTAATGTTTCTACACTTTGCCTACGCTCAATTTATTGTATTTATTCTTTATTTAATTTTGATTATGCGGATAAAACACTTTAAGAGATTTTAATTGGGGTTGAAGATTAATAAATGTTATTTGTAAGAATATTATTAGTTCTAGAGATAGCTTGGGATTAACTAAAAATTTAGGGTGTATTTTCAGGCATTTGATTTTCTTATTTTTAAGTAAATTAAAAATTGCAAATTTGAGAATTAGAAGTCTTTTGCTAATTAATTTACTCTCCCTTTTATATTTAATTTTTTTATTGTGGGGTAATAATACTTCTTTCAATTTGATTTGATTGTGAGATATCATTATTTTAAGGTTACGGATAAGTGTTTTTATTTTGGAAAGTATAAGATTCAGGCTCAAAAGTCTACATATTCTAATTAAATTAATTCTAAATTTTCAAATTTTATATGTTTTAAGTCTCTTCAAGCTTAATATTATTTTTATGTGCTGCTTCTATATTTGTGATATGTGTAGGATTTAAAGAATCTTAATGGTACTTTTATATTTGTTAATAGTTTACAAAATGCTCTAGTTAAGATCTTAAGTAGTCGTTAATTTACTGCTGTAATTTTAATTATTTTTCTAAATCTTCTTAGCATTTTTATTTCTGGTCTATCAAGGACTGCATTTACTAAATTTATGAATCTTTTAATTCTATTCTTTTATTAAATTTAGAGTAAGTTTCTTAGTTTTACTAGATTTAGCGAGCTTCGAAACTATTAATTACTTACTGTTATTATTATATGTGCATTTCATATTGATTCAATTTATTTTTAAGCTGATTATTCAATTCTATCATTTCATATTGATGTTATGTTTAAATACTATTCAATTCTTTTTTATGCTACTGCTCCATTAATTCCATTTTTAACTATAGCATCTTCATTTCATTGTTTGGAATTAATTGGTACATGTCAAGAAACATTATATTTTAGTACTATGTATTGATGATTAATTTTCTCTCAATCAGATTGTCTTCTATTTTTTTCATGTAGTTATTCACTTAGATTTCAGAATCATTCACAAACCTGTTGAATTGCGAAGTATCTTTTTTTTCATAAAAAATCTTTGATGAGAAAACAACTGTGTCATTTTCATTAATTGCTACTCTTTTGACATATTCATCAGCATTTTAGCTCGCCATTTAGCCAAGACATTATTTTTAATTATCTCCAATTAATTGCTTATTATTTTTTGAAATAAAATCTTGCTCTATTTACTAAGGTTCTGCTATTTCCTCTGTTTTTACATCATAAGTTTAAAGGAGTTGCCCTTAGTTTTTTATTTAATTTGGCACTTTTTAGAATCTATTATCGCAAATAACATGAGCTTGTTTTATTAGAATTTCTTAATCCTTTTTAAAATTATCACTTAATTAGTATTGCATTCTCTTTTATATTAATTTAGTTGTTTCGACTAAGTTTTTTTTATAAGATTTTACAAAAATATTGATTAATTTCTTTCAGGTTTAAATAATAAAATACTCTTATTATATAAGTATTAAAACTTAAGAGTTTGCAAGCAATCTAGCATTCTTGGTAAATTTAATAGATATTTTATTTTAGAAATCACCACTTTCAACTAAAAATTTTATCTCTCTATTTTTACTCACTGATGAAACGTTTTATTTGTTTTTTAGCACAAAACATTCTTCATTTAAAATATAGAAAGTTATTTAATAATTTACCTTTCAAATAAAAGTAAAAAATTTGAAATCTTAAAATAGATAAAAATATTTTTAAATTAAACTTCTTTTAGTTCTTTCTTGCAAAAATACAAGATGATTTATCTTTATTTAAAATAGTGTAATCTCATACCATATATTAATAAATACAATAAAAATTATTAACACTATTAAATTCAAAATGATGTCAGTTTAGCGTGAATGAATATTCTTCGTTTAATTTATTAAATAAATGTGATGCTTTTGAAAGATATTAAAATAAATTAATATTTTAATGATTACATACATTATGTTTTACAATAAAAGAGTTTCTAATATTTAGATCTTATATTTTCTTGCAAATAAAAGTTTACTAAATAAAAATTTAAAAATAACATTGCTTCATTACCACACACACAATTCATTAAAAAAATCAGTCATCATGAGTTAGTTTAGTGACTTTAAAGTATTATAATTCATCAGTTTCTGTTTTGATATTTTCTGTAATCATTATCTACGAACCTAATTATTTGTTATTTTCCTATGCAATATTCTAATCAGCAGAAGATTTTTATTTTTCTTTGATAGTTTTTTAAAAAAGGTGATTTTATTATGCGGTTGATTTCTACCCATTCTAATTAGATTATTCTTTAATTTTATTTAATTTTTCTTTCTCTGACAGCTTTACTTTTTCTTTAAGAAAATTTATTTAGCCCAAATTAATATCTTTTTTATGATAATCCGATGCACTATAATTGTGAGTTTGTTTTTATCCAATCGATGATTGATAAAATTAACTTTAAATTCCTTACTTTTTAGTTCTTGTTTTAGAATTTAGTTAATTTGGTGCTATTTACTCATTTTCTAATATATCATACTTTTCTGATTAATTTTTTTCACTTAATTTTTATGGAGAATTCTGAATTTTCTCCCTTTTAAATTTGTAGACTTTATTATTTTCTTATTTTGTCAGAGTATTTTTTTTGTACTATTGGTATTTAGATTCGGGGCAATTTTTTATGTCTATTACTTTACACTTTAACTTTAATTAAAACAAGTATTTTACAAGTAAATATGAAAACGGCACTGATAAAAATGAACTCAGCAGACCATATAACAAAAAGCTATTTCCCAATAACCCTAAAATCCAACTCTACTTTTCTTGCAAAGAGAAATCGATCTATATAGTAATCAAGCAGAAGTCTTTAAAAACTAATATTTCATGCTCATTATAATTTTATATAGAAGTAAAAATTTACTCTTTGCTAAGCATTCCATTTTATAATTGAGTCTAAATCTGTTTTTCGTATTAAGAGCAATCGTAAACAGCACAAGATGCTGTTATTTATTTTAATCCTTTTTATTTATTTTTTTAAACTTCAATGCCATTCTCATTTTCCTGATTCGGAGTATCTAAATTTGAAGAAACTTCATTATTATCTAATTAATCTTCTTATTTATCATCCTCTTATTAATAATTAAATTTTATTTCCACAGACGGGGCGGAGTATTCCAAAGCAAATAAATGTATTTTTTTACTTTCTAAACCAACAAGCAAAGGTTATGAGACGTTTTTATAATTTTCAATGATTAAAAAGTTATGAATCCTAACGCTCTCAGAATTAGTTAAAATTTTATCTTGGGAAAAAAAAAAGTCATTGAAATCAAAAACGGAGGAAGTAGCTTTTGAGCTTTAAGAAAAATTTTAGAATAGAGTTATATAATGAATAGCAAAGTTAGAAATAAAATAAAAATTTGAAGAAGTGAGAAATCCATTTTAATAATTAGCATATCTTTCAGCTATTTCCTTAACCTCAAATACTCTGAAATTTTCAATGTTATAAAAGTATTCTGTTATGATGACTCTAACTGAATTAGATTCTTCGCTCTCAACAACTATAATAGTTTATTCTGAAATAAATATATCAATTACATCTGAAGCTTCAATATACATAGACAATCTTTAAAAATCTTTCCTATTACTGTTATTTGGTAGACCATAAAAAAAAAGCCCATTTCTCTAGTCAACTAGAAGTAAAATATCTTTATATATATACATCATGCTTATTTATAATTAATCATTCTTTAACCCCTTCAACTATTGTAGGAATCTTAATTAGAAATTATTCAAATCAAATTCATAAATATAAATGCTTCCCTGTGAAGCTATAAGAAAATAAGCTTATGTTTATTATTATTGATTATCAAATTAGTAATAAACAACATCATCAATATACTCTTTATCTTAAAAGTAATACAAGTGATTGTTTTAAGAAATACTTTAAATAGGATTGTCTAAGTTTACTTTGTAGATTTTCTTCCCACTTAAAATGAAAACAAAGCTACTGTTTAGCGAATCTATCATTTGAAGTTTTGCTTTATTTTTTATAAAACTTTATTCCAAAAGGTTATTTTAATTGTTAAAGTTGCTTTTTAACATTTTTAGCTCGTATGAACCTCCACTTATTATCTAAAATTAATCATGTTTAGACATAGTTGTCTAATCATACTTTATTTGTAATTTAAGAAATCTAAAATTAGAATCTAAAACTATAATATAATCTCCAATTCTCATCATTTATGATTATTCATCTTTGATTTTATGAAATTCATAACTCGCCAGCAATTCACTTGATGTTAAAAACTCTTCGTTCTCAATTCTTTTATTTATAAAAAAACTACTCACGCATTAGCTTAAGTAAATATAATCCTCTGCCTAAGACGTTATTTTTAAATTTATTTCTTTAACTTATATACTACAGAAAATCATATTAAATGCTAATATTAAAGCAGCAAAAAAAATTAACTTCATTTGCAATGATTTGCTATTTTATTAAATGAATATGGAACAATAAATCTAAATTGTTAAAAATTTAATTTGATATTTAATAACAATTAAATAATCAATTTGATTCTACTTTTTGATTTTATCATTTAACATGAATTAAAATTTCAGATAATTCAGTAAAGGTTAATTAAATGCTAACATAAAAATAATAGATAAAGTCTTAGAACCAAACAGAATCATTAAGTAAATTCTTCTTAATTTATTTCCATTAATTTACCAGAACCTATTTTGCAAAAACTGTATAATTGTAATAATAATAAATATGGTAAGTAGTAATGAGTAATTATCAAAATACATTTAAAATTAATCAATCAAAAAATTCAACCAAATTAATTTTTTCCTAATTGCCTCATTTTAGTTAATTTTATGCTTCATCATCAATTTAGTTACAGATAAGATAAATTCTCTTGAGCTTTTACATCTAAATTAATATCAAATAGCGTAAATATCTCCCTTATCTATCAAACAATATTTAAAACACAACTATTCGCTTACATAAATTCATTATTAAAAATGCAAAATATTTAATTAAATTCTAACTTTTAATTTTTTAAAAAATGTAAATATATATATCTTTATGAGTTTCTTTATTTTTTAAATAATTAAAAAATGTTTACATCCTTTAATTAAAAGTAAGATTAATCAATAGAATAATAAATTTATGAAAAATCAAAAAAAATTAATAAAATATATCCCATTACCTATTATAAATTATCTGTTTTACAAATATTTTAATGATTTAAATATAAATTAGATATAGCTACTCAATAAAAAAATGTATCCCTTATAAGATTTGGATAAACACAAAAGCATTTAAAGTATATAAAAATATTAAATATTAATACAAATTATGATCACAAAAATGTAAGTCTGTCTGAATTAAATATCATTTTTTTTTCAGGTATTTATATTATTAATTTGATATTTTAAATTTATTTTAATAAAATTAGAAAAGAAAGCATTTATTTACTGATAAATGAAATTTTAAATTACATAAGATTATTTGACGTAATTTATTTCATTTTAAAGCTGAGGTTTTGATTTTAGATTACAAAAATTAATAAGATTATATATTTTTTATTTTTATAAGTACTTGAAAATAATAGATAATCAAAGATTTTAGCCTGAAATTAATCTTTTAGATGCATTCAAGATCACTTAATGATTTACACAGAAGTAATCTTTTAGATAGTAAACTTGAGTAGAAAACAGTATTTTTGAATGAAAAGCGAATAATATGTTAGAATTCAGCATAATATTTTAATCTAAGTGGTATATGATTATCTTATGATTAACAAAAATAAATTAAAAGCAAACAAAATTTGCATTTCCAGTGTGATTTTTTGTTATCTAGTAAATTAAATACACCAAAAATTAAGATAAGCTAGATAAAAATAAAGATTTGCTTGCTGAATAGAAATTTAAATATAAACTTGTTCTGATAAATTAGATAGATAAAGTATACATCTCAAGACTTCTTGCTTCCAATAAACATGGATATCCACGTAATTTTTATTTTATGAAATCTTAATTATCTGTTTTATTCTTTACTATTACAAGTAATTAGAGTAACTATTTCATAAGAAAGAAAGATCAAATGAAGAGCATTTATTTCTTTATGATTAGCTGCAGTAAATTAAATTTTTTAAGGAATATGCTGCCAAAGGCAAGATAGATGAAATCAACAAGATTATCTAACATTGTAAATTTAGAAAGTTTTAGAAAGACCATTGTCTGATAGAATTAGGTACTTTTTTAAATCAAATTACAATCATTTCAACATTTAATTACACTTAAATTATCTTATACAAGATGAGAACAATAAATATTGAAAAGGTTTTTTAAAATATTATTTCCTAATAATATAGATATAAAGAGTGAGTATTTTTTCATTATTCTGAGTGGGCAAGTCGGATTTTATATACCAAAGCCCAAGAAGGGAAAAGAAGAAAACAAATAACAAAGACAATTCTCTAAGATGGAGAAACAAAGAGATAATTTATTCCTAGTAAAGATATTTAAAAAAGGAGATAGTTTTGGAGAAATTAGTTTAATTTATGATAGAGGATCTGATGGATCTATGTTTGCGATGGAAGATACTATCTGTCTCTTGTTGAATAAATAAAATTTTTTATAAATTATTGGTGACTAAGAGAAGAATTCCATCACAAAAGAAATAGAATTTCTACAACACCATCCGTTATTTGAAAATTGGAGCTTTAATTTGCTTAGACTGCTATATTTCTTTTCATAAATAATGAATTACAACAAAAATGAGGTAGTGTATCTCGAAGACACGAAACCTACTCATATATATATCATTAAACAAGGTGAATTCGCAGTAATATATTTATTTACTTATGATTTGGCTATTAATTCCATTTCAATTAGAAGCATTATTCTATAACTAAAAAATTAATTATCTATTTATAAAGCTTGAACCCTAGTAAATTAATTGTAATTAATTATTTAGATTTACAGAAACTTCAAAGACCAATCAAAAAAGGTGGATAAAAAGAAAGAAAGCGATCAGGATGAGGACAATAAAAGCGATGAAGAAGTAAACAGTATGGAAGATAATAAAAATGATTCTAATAACAATCTAAAAAGGAAATTCGAGAAACAAAAAAAATATAAAGTAATTTTCTAAATTAATTATTTTTAATCAATTCAAAATTCAATTTTTTTAAGTAATTAATTTATGTGTGGTTCTACATGCATAAAATATTCAGAAAGATTCTAAGTTAATAAATTAATTAATTAATTATCTATCAATCAATTATTTATTTTCTATTCCCAATTTATTTAGACTTTATGGGTTTGAATTATATTTTGAAAATAATTATGTAATACTCCTACCAACTTTACATCTTTGATAGTCTTTTTTTATTAAAGTATAATTTTTTTATTTATTTAAGTTAGCGGTTATGGGAAAAGGTGAACTATTTGGGGAAGAAGACATTTTAATGAAGCAGAATCGTACTTTTAGTGTTGTTTGTGATAGTTACAATGGTAAAAAAAAACATAATATTTTAAAATAAGCTAACTCTTTTATAAATAGGTGCTTAACTTATTATGATAAAGAGAAAGGTATTCAAGCTTAGTGTGATGGCAGATATAGGTAGTGCTACCTTTATAAAATAACGTCTAAAATAAAAAAACTATAATCACTAGCTTAGATTAGAAAGTATTAATACGTTTATAAAGGAATACAAGGATTTTTTTACAGATTCGAATGATAAGAAATAAAATGAATAGTAGAATGGAAATAATTTTTAGTCCAGCAACTAGTCTAGCAACACAAAACAAGAAAACCAAAACAAGGCAAAAAAGAGAAACAGTTAAGATATAACTAATAATGGATAAAATGTTTACCAAAATTAAGGATTTTTATCTCCTCCCAGCACATTGACAGTAGAAAAAAGTAATAGCTAGAATTTCAGCAATTCTTATTAAAACGAAAGGAAAAGAAGCTTTAATTCAAGCACTTAGCAAATAGATAAATCTGAAAAATTGTAAAACCACCAAGACCTCTTTGATCATTTTTCTTAATTTCAAAAAAAAATTTACAAATCTGAGAAAAACAAAATATCAAGCAACGATACTAACAGTGCTTACAAAGATGGTTCTCCTCTACGAGATAGTTAGTAATCAAGCAAAAGAGGCTCTATTTTACAAATTAAATTTCCAAATCAATAAAATCCTACTAGAATGCCCCTAACTTAAGAGAATAGTCCTGAATACAATTTCTTTGGAAATAAAGAAGCTGCTTATAGGCTAAGCATAAATAGTCTTGTCACTCCAAAAAATGTTAATAATCTCAAAAGTAAAATGGATCAGTAAAACATGTAGTTAAACAACATCGAAGAGCTTGCTTAAAGTCAATAATAAAAGCCAATACATTTATTGCTTGAAGGAACAAAATAATCTTCAAGAGATTCTCTAAATTCAAGCTGTTTTTCTAGCTAATATGATATGGGAGTTAAGATGCAAAAGTCTATGAGTCACTAATTATTAATCCCTCCTTAAGATGGTATCATAGCATCAAAAGAAAGAAGAGTTAGCAATTTTTACACAGAAAGCTTAGTTAACTAAAATAATAGAATATTAAAAAAATAGTCTTCTAGCTAGAGAGATTCTTAATCTGTTGATAGCAAAGTTTCAGCTAACTAAAATTAAAGCTCAACAAATTAAAATTAAAGAAACCCAACCAGTTAGGACTTGATTAGCCAAAATGGAAATAGTCCTAATTAATAATAAGAATATTATTCAATCTCAAGATAACCTAATCAACAGCTTCAATACCAAATGTTTAATTAACCAAGCTCATTTTATAATCTAAAGGGGTAACTTTAAAAATAGGATTATCTCCTCAATATTAAAAATCTAAATTAGGAATAAATTGAACCCGAAGAATAAAATTAATATGAAAATGAGATTAAAAATTCTAACAATTTCTAAAATTTCTAAGAAAAAAAAGTCAACCAAATAGGTTCAAAATTTGTTTTGTCTGATTCAACTACTCTTTCTCCTAATAAGTATCCTTTGAATTATAAGATGAGCTCAAGCACTATAGACGTTTTCCACCAAAGTGAATTAACCAACTCTCAAATTAATTAATAAAATTAGCAATAATTTTAATTTAGTAATCCAATAAGTAATGCTACTGATGCCAAGAAAAATGGGAAAAAGATACATCTATAGTTTCTTTTAAATAAACAAAAACCTAATTATTAGAAAGAAAATACAATTTGTTCTTCTATTTCAGCAACTATGCCATCCGTTTCAGCTTAATCATGTGTCTAGATTTGTAGTTTTCCTAAAGAAAATCTTGAATTCAATCACAGTATGAGTACAAATGTAAATAACTACTTTTCTTCTTCTTCTTCTTAAAGGATTTAGAATGTGAGTAATTAGTAATCTGTTTTCACAAACAACTACCTGTCAGTACAAAGCCAACCTCATTTATAAGAAGATTATTTTTAGTAAGAAAATGAAGTCTAAACAGAGAAAGAGAGAGGAGAGCATGATGAAAAGAAAAATCAAGATAAAACTAAAAAAAAGTAAAAATAATTTAGAAATAGCATCTTCACAGATACATTCTAAAAAACCTTTTAACAGAACCTTCATCATATTTAATACAGAATATTACAAAAAAAACATAAAGTAACAGATATTTAGCAAAGTATTGCAAAACACATTTAAGATTAAACTATTAAACACTTTTTAGAAGAGAACACTTTAGTTAAAAGTAAATATGATCACATTAGAAATAAATATTAGCAGTAGTAATAGTAATAACAGTAGCAACAAATCTAGCCTTCAAAATCAGAAACAAAATTTGAAGCTCTAAAACAAATGTTAAAAAATAACTTGCATTACTCTAAGTAAGAAATAGAGTAAGGATTAACTTAAATATAAAGTTTTCCTAGATAAAAAACTGCAAGCAACTATTAAAAGAAAGCTGAATTCCAATACGAAGAATTCTTAAATCAGTAAAATGAGACCTAAAAGCACTCACCAAATATCAAGACTTAACATGAAAAATCTAGATCATCATTTAACAGCAACTTTTAAAATAATCTTAAATCACAGCAACAAAACACATAGCAATAACAATATAAATTTCAGTAAATGCAGTAAACAATTCCAAAATAAAGCTTAGTTTTAGATATTAAATAGTAAGATGATTAAGAAATAAAAAACTTTTCTATTACTCCAAACGATAAAACAGGAACAGTGCATATAAAATCTTTGCAATCCCTCACTTCGATATCCAAAAAAGGTTCATCAAACGTGTTTTCTTTCACAAAAATACCACAAAATAACGAAATTAAATCAAAAGAATCTTTAAAAATGTAATCAATAAAATAATTGGGTACTGAAAATCATACAAAAAAGTTGAGTTTAATAGAATAGAATTTCAATTCACTAACGAATTTTAATATAAAAAATAACATCAAAATTAAAAAAAATATTTAATTTAATTACAAAATACCTTAAAAAACAACCAACTCTTGAATTTCTTCAAAAATTTATAATTTCATTATATGAAAAAAAGTAATTCCAAGTAATTTATAATATATCTACTTATTTATCTTGTTATCCTATCTGATAAATCTTTATCTTAAAATTTTATAAATTTATTTGTTTTATTTTTATTTATTAATATTGAATTTGTTGTTGCCAAATTACGTTTCAAAAATTATATTTTTAATAAATTAAGTTAAAGATATGCAAAAAGCTTTTCTTATGATATTGATTTTAGTTGATTGAACAAAAAAAACTTAGCTTACATCTAAATGATCTTATAGATATAGATTTAGGTTCAGTGCTTTGTAAATATATTTACTAGATAATTTGTACATTTAGATAATTTTTTCATTTAGTACTATAAAATTGATAATAAATTATAAGTCTGGAAATTAGAAATGAAAAAGCGCATATTACTAATGGATTATATCAACCAATTAATAAATTATATCGAAAAATCATCTTTATATTATCAGAAAATTCAAAACTTATCTAAATAATTTATTAATTATAAAATCTTTTGTATTGGTAAATTTATATCAAATAAGAAACATCAAAATGTACACAAAATCTAGCACGAAAAAAGTAGAAGAATAAGAAAATTTCAAAAAGAAGGTTTTAGCTAGCAAGCCAGCAGCAAAGGGGCCAAGCTCTAAAACTTCTCTTAACAATATTGTGCCATCTTAGACCAACTTGAATACTAAGGATTAGAATAAAAATAATAATAATAAAAATGCAAATAATAATGCAGATAATAAAAATGCAAACAACCAAAGTAAAGGCGATTAATAAAGAAAAGATAGCTTAGATAATAAAAATAAAAAAGAGAAAAAGAAGAGAATAGTTTATGTAGATGAAAACAGTGACGATACAGAGGAAGAGATAGTAGTTGTTAAAAGGAAAAAAGAGAAAAGAAATGAATCTCTTGATGATAAATAAAGAGGAAGATCTCCTAGAAATAACTCAATTGATGGAAAAAACTAAAAAGGAAAAGAGGTTGATGCAAAATTAAACAAAGATAAAATAAAAATGAGAACAAGAAGCTAACCTTCTATGAAACCAAAGAAGAAAGTTGAAGAAAAAAAGCCTGAAGTTATTAAAAAACCTAAAGATCCCTACATTCTAGTTACAGAATTTTACTTAGGGCAATATAAAGCACCTATTTGCGGTGCAGATATCTTTGAAATGTTTAATTGGTAAATAAGAAAATATTTTCTATTTTAGTTGTTAAAAGCATTCTTTTTTTAGAACACAGATAAAATTAATAGATTCATAAATTTTTTTAAAGCAATTTAATTTTATTGAATTTATTAATTTATTTTAATAATTTAAAATTTCATGAATAGGAAGGGTCAGTACGCCCATTTAGACATTAACCATGCTTATTTCCATTGGTTGTTCCCTCACTTTTAAGGTCCTTTTGGAAAAGAAAGAGCTATTTTATTCAGATAAAATGCTGTTGTAATAAAACTTTCAATTAAATAAAAAATATTATTTTTGAAAAATAAAATTATAATTTTTGTAAATTTTATTTATATAGATTGGAAAGAGAATTATTCAAAGCTATGAACTTATTCTAGATTTTTATGGGATCAAATTAGATGATGAAGCGACAGGTTAGGTTAGCAGATTAGAAAATTATTTAGAAAGATATAAAGAAACTTTCTTAAGACCATATACTAACCATGAATTCAGAGTAAAAAGAATGCTTTAATTCCTAAATGTAACAGGGTATAGGATATATGCTGTACAATTAGTCAAATTTTTAGAAAAGGAAGTTTATAAATTTGGGAAGAATTTTGTTCCACCACTCAAGTCTTTAGAATTAATTTTCTAGACTGAGTGGAAGCCTTACGGTGAAATTGATGAAAAAGATAAAAAGGCACTGGAATCAGTTGCACAAAAGTGTCTTTTTTCATTTGATGTCCTTACCTAAGAAATTAACTCCCATCTAAAAACTTTACTTTGATATATTAACAATATGTATGCATGTTATATTAGTTTAAAATTATAAAGAGAAAATATCAAAATTTACAATATAATTTCCATTTATTTTTAGATATAAAGTTCATTTAATTAAACAAATTTTAAATATCTAAATATTATCAAGAGTTAAAAGAAATAACTAGTTCTATTTAAGTTCCTTAAGCAACTTCAATTAAAAAGAATTCATCACTAATTTTAAATCTAAAATAAAATTTCTTTTGATATTTAGTATTAACATATAAAGAAATAAAATTCATCTATTTCATTTATTTTTAAATTTCTTTATTTTTTGAATGTTAAAATTATAATTTAATCATAAAATTAATTAAAATATTTCATTTTTGTTAATTTAAAAATATATTTTGAGACAATAATTATTAGCTATTTAAATATATTTTTAAGATGTTATATCAAATAAAAGAAAATTAAAGTAAGACAACTTAAAGTTTTAAAAACAAAATCAGAAAAATTGCCAATTCTTAATATAATTTATTTTAATAAATTAAATTGAAATTTTAAATAAAATATTTTGAAAAATGAACTTAGTTTAGAATTTTAAATTCTAAAAAATTTTATTTATTGTAATAAAAATACAAATTTATAGATAGAATATTAATAAATTTATCATATATGTGTATGTATGTAGGTATTTAATAATCTCATTATTGCTCATCAAAATTAAATGGTACTGCTAACAAACTTTCTATTTCTATTAATTTGTTATTATTTTAGAAAAGTTAAGATATATCTTTTTATTCATATAAAATCTAATAGGCAATGTAAGCATCTATTTGGCATTCAAATGATAAAGTAATCTCTTTTTTATCATTAGATTTATTTATTTTTACGTTTTTAAACAAAAAGCTTTGAACTATTTTCTCTAAGATTAATTTATCCATTTCTTAATTTTTTTCTATTTGCTTTAAAGTTACAGTTGTTCCTATTACAATTCCTAAGCTTTTTTCCTTCGATTTTAAAAGCTTTTTAGTTTTTTTAATATTTAAGTCAAAGAGTTTATGCTACTCAGTCGCAAGAAGCCATCCATTGTAAGCTTAAATTACACTATCACATGAAAATATTTATTTTAATTCATTTTAGTTTTCTTTAGATATGTTATTTATATAGATTAAGGCAATTTATTATTTTTCTTTGGTGTTATAGTCAATTTAAGTATTTTTTTTCTAATATTTAAAATTCATTTTCATAAATTGAAATTACTGTTTGTCTGACATAAAAGGCCCATCTTACTTATGGATAATATTCCAAGCCTTTTTTGCTAGAAGTGAATTTGAGAAGAAGAGGAATATTATATTTTTTTTGGATACTAAAATGTATGGTTTTTCTTCAGATAATGTCGAATTAATAATTTTTAGTGCTTATGCTAATCTGTGCTCAAAACCAAAAACTATTGAAATATAAAACTTATACTATTCCAAATCTTTTTGACTTATTGAATCAATATCTTTTGGAAACTCAATCTTAGTTTTATTAATTTTATCTTCTTCTTCATTTAATTCTTCGTCATTATCATCTTCTTCTATTTCTTTCAACTCTTCTTAATTTTATTTTGGCATAATTGGGTTATCATTATCGTAAATTTGGGACAACTCATCAAATTTATTTTATGAATAATTTAATTTTTAATTATTCTATTAGTTAATAATGTCCTTTTAAGATTCTGCAATTACTTATTCTATACCCTGATATACTTGCTCATATACAACTTTTTTTTTCTTTCCTTTTGTCTTTTACACTAAATGGAAGTCATCATTTTGTGAATTATCTTCATTTGTAGGGTGTTTAAAATCTTTTTATTTTTATTATTTGCTGCTTTTTTAATTTGGATTAATTTCATCTTTTTGGTCATAATCATCTTTTTTTTCAAAGCTGTCATTTCTTTCATATTTATATTCTTTATCATCGTCATCTTTTTACTTCCTTGCACGGTTGTTTCTTTACTATTATTACTATTACTTTTCTAAGTTAGGATTTTAGTTTTATTTACTGCTAGAATTATTTTAACTTTCAACCTATTTAATGAAATTGTTAAGCTCCTTGACTTCAATTTTATTTTAATCTATTTAATCTTTTTTTTATTATTCATTTTAGAATTTATCATTATTTTACTTTTGATTGTCTCGATTTTGATTCTAATTGTTCTAATCTTTGTTATAATTTTAATTATTTTAATCTTTGTGAAAACTTTAATTATTTTAATCTCTGTTATAATCTTAATTATTCTAATCTCTGCTGCTATAAGTTTAACTATTATTATCTCTGTTATAATTTTAATTATTGTAATCTCTGTTATAATTATTCTTATTTTTGTTAAAATTATAATTATTTTTATTATTGTAATTATTTTGGTCTCTATTTTAATTAAAATTATTTTATTCTCTGTTTTAATTATTATTATCATGTTCTTAATTTTAGTTTTAGTCATCATAGTTTTTGTTTGAGTTATTATTGAATTTATTATTTTAGTATTAATTTTTATTGTAGTTAGATTAATTGTTTTATCTCTAAAAATTGTCATTTTAGATGTTTTAATTTTAGAAACTAGCATTTGAATTTTATTATTAGTTCTAAATTTAAATTGTTTCTCTTAACATTTTGATTTGATCTGAATATTATTAATTTAAATGTTTTGATTATTCAATCAACTGTTTCTATTGTTCTATATTTTCTTATAAAGACTAACATCTTTGTTGGAAAATTAACTTTTCAGAATCGTATGAACTCTTATTTTAATCTATCTGCATTTTGAGTAAGAGTACTTCATTATTTTTGCTTTGCAACTCATTATTTTTAATTTGCAACTCATTATTTTTACTTTGCAACTCTTATTTCAGGATCTCTATACGTTATTGAGTAACTTAAATATTTTTATTTTATTCCTCTAGTGACTTAATTGTTTTTTAGGCATTATTAAATTCATTTTAAAGCTTTTAAGTCTTTAGGTTTTCATTTTTAATTTACTATTAGAGCTATTCGATTTTCTATAACTTTTCTTATAATTCTAATTTATGTTCCATTGAATTACTATAATTATTTATCTAATTCTAATTTTGTTTTTAATTATTATTTGAGATTATTTGCTGATTTTATTTATTATTTTATTATTTATCCTAATTTTGGTTTTGCTTTTTAGAACTATTTTGATTTTTATTATTATTCTAAAATAAAGGATTTATTTCTTATTTGTACTTTTGATATATGTTCTGCACTTCGTTTGCTTCACAAAGATAATATTAAGGATCAGGTTCTACGTATTAAATAGGTTCAGACTTTGGTCTACCTTTATAATGTATATTCCTTATCTCATTGATGAATTTTTGTAATTCGTATCTCTAGCAAGAGCCATCATCTCTAAAAGCGCTTTCAAAGCTGTATTTATCATTAGGTTTAGTATATGCATAAAGAGTGTTCAGATCTCCTTGTGCAACCTTTATACGAACGACCCACTTTCCTTAATAAAATGTGCCCCATTTCTTTACAGGTATAAAGTCAACATTTACAAGCTGACTGCAATCTGGCTCTATTTATCTTTTTATTTCTGACACAATATTTTTTAATTCATCAGTATTCTTTCTTGATAAATCAACACCCTGAACTCTAATTTATAAAAATAAATAAAAATTAATAACACCAAAATATAAATATTAATTTATTCTATTTCTAATTTCAAAATAAGTTTAATATTTATAATTTACGTTAAATCAAAATCTCTGATGCCCAAGAATATAGTGCCTCCTTAGCAATTAAGGAACGATGTGATGGTCTTTTTAATGATTTCGCGGTATCTATTTGTAATTAATCGAAAATATTTAGTTAATAAAATTAATTAATGAATGTTATCAAATAATTTACTATTCTTTCTGCAAGCTGTTGAGCTGATAGTTCTTATATTCTGTCTGTCTATCTTCTTTTTGATATATTTGACTAGAATAATTAAAGCTTTAGCACATGCATGGATTCTTTTGAGAGAGATCGTTTGGCATCACTTTCAAGTTATCAATAAATTGCTGCTATAACTATTAGTAAAGCTCTAAAGGGATTTTTTTCATGTATATATCGAATTTGATTCTTATTTCTTCATACATCTAGCAAAGCTCCTTGAGCATATTTGGCATATTTTGTTCATTTTGGTATTTAGATACTAGACTGCTGATCTTTGAGTCAAATTCTATAATATTCTCATGCCAACTTTTAATATTCTTGTGAGTTAGATCTGGCTACTAAGAAAAGAAACCTAATACGTGCTTAGCTCTCTAATAATTGACTTACAAAGGATCACAAACTTGAGAATCTAACAAATCAGAATCACTATACGACTATTAAACAGGTTAATATTAGACCTTATAGTTTTGATTATTCTACATTTAATTTCTATCTATCTATGAATGAATATATATTTCTTTCTTTCTTTCTTTTTAAACTAATAACTATTTTATGGTATTAATTATTTATTATCTCTCTCTATTAATTGATAATAAATTTTTATATTATCAGTATATTCTAATCAATTTGATCAAAAGATACAAAAAACTAAATAAAAATATTTTTTTTTCTTTATTGTGAGACTCCTCCTAATTAAAATAGACAGCTATATTATTTGTCACTAATAATTATTCTAATAAACCGACTCAAGACCAAACAACATCTAAATCTTATCATTTTTACTTTTTTTGATGTATTTTTTTATATTCAACCACATTCAATTATTTTATAAAAACTAATATTGTATTCAAGAGAAAATTAGTAAAATTTTTTATTAATTAAACTCAACTAATCATAAGCCACTACTTTAGCTTGAAAAACACAAAAAATTTAATTTGAAAATAAAAGTATTTTAATTATTCATATTCAATACCCATCACAAATAACAATTCTTATCAGTCGATTGAAAACCTAAAATCCTCTAAATCTTATTATTTTTAAAAAACTTTTTTTATTTAATCCATCTATGTCGTTCGTTCTATTATTTTATAAATATTATTATAAGCCACTACATTACAAAAACCAAAAAAAATATAAAAGGAAAATAAAATTTATTGATTATTAAAAAATAAAACCATTAATTTGTGATATTTATTTTTTATCAATCAAAATAAATTTCTCAACATTTTTATTTTGAAAATCTTTATAAATTTAATAAAGTAGGTTAATTAATTTTTTTATAAATATAAGAAACAAAAGCTCTTTGCTTTTTTCAAAATTTTTGCAGATCATATAAATATATTATTTAAAGCATTTTTATCCATTTTACAAAAGTTTATTAATTATTTTAAAGATATAATATAACAAATAGATATATTTTTATATTTAAAAACTGAAGTATTTTTAACTTAAACATAAATAAAAAATATTTATTTTATGATAGTAATTCATAGATAATTAGATAGAAATATATTTTCAGCTCAAAGATTTTTAATTTTTGATTTCAAATTTTTGTTAAATTGATTTCTTTTGTGGAGAATATTTTGTAATATGTCATCTATGTTGTTATCAGTGCTCATGTTATTTATGAAACCTTTGTATTTTTCTTTATACTCTCTTCTTTTATCATTATAGAAATCATTATTTTATTTATTTTTGAGGATCTTTTATTCCATGCTTTCACTTTCGTCTTCATAATAGTTGCCTTTCCTGCCTTTTGAATTGTCTATTTCGTGTATCTAAAATTCTATTGTTCTGTGATTAGCTGATGAATTCTCAGCAAAACTACTCTTTTACAACTAAATCCCTTTCTTTTATTTTAGAAAACTACTATCATCTCCAAAAGTTTTTTGTTAAAAGTTTAATAAGGTTTAAGAGTTGGCCAATTTAATAGGAGAAGACATTTAACTTCCACCATTATTAAATCCTATTTTGTAATTATCTTCTTAGCTTTGTTATGCTTCAATGTTAGGTAAAAATTAAATATTTCTTTAAGATTTTTCAGAAATTAGAATTTAATTCTAGTTTTAGTTTGCAGGAGTGTCTAATTTCTATGTTTTTGTTGTTAAAGCTAGCATTGATTATTACATTTAAAGCTACTATTACGTTTGTAAAGGTATTAGTTATGTCTAAGATTAGAAGTTTGATATTGGCTCTATTATTTTGGAATTAGGATTACCTTTAAAATTGACTGAAGACTTTTGTAAAATCATACTCTTCATTTACTACTCCTATAATTCCTAGGTTTTAGTGATTGGGTTTTCGCTTTCATTTCTTTTCATGTACTGCAAAGGTTTTGTATATATGTATTTTTTTCTATAACCTGGCCTTTTCTCAAGCTGATACTTCTAATTATTTTCAATTACTTATTAGAGATTTTCTTACACCTTTTGTCTTTAATTTTACTTTTGATAATTTTATTCTTACTCAATGATTTAGTTTTGCCATTCATTCTGCTATTCAATTTACATTTGAAGTGAGCTCGGTAATTAATACATGCTTTCCTAGTTCATTCTCAAAACATAATTAAGATCGAGCATGTCTTTGAACATTTTATCTAGCTTAGGGTGCTTTTGATAATACTCTCTTGGAGGAGGGCGCAGACCAAAATGATCAATTATTGACTTATGAGATTTTTGAGTGTTTTTAGTTTCTTTCTTTTGTTTTCTACTTTGGCTAAACTACTTGAGCTAGCTTAATAAGTTGTCTTCCTTATCATTTACAGTTTCAAAAGCATGACGAATCATCTTCTTCTTGGCATAAGGAAGCGTCCTATTATCGTATGCTAAAACATCAGAAATCGTTGGTGAAATCTAGTTACAGTTTAATTGCAAATTTGCAAAATAATTTTATTCTTCTTTTTGATTATTTTCATCAGCTTTAAGCTATGTTTTATCAAATATTTCTTCAGCTTTTTCTTTCACTAATTTTTTTGCTATTTATTGATTGAATAAGAGTTTTCTCTAAAGTTGTGTTAAGCCTTTCATATCATCAATATATTAAGCGTTAGGATCTACATCTATTTACTCAGGATTAGCATCTGCATGCATTTTTACAGTCATCAGCTAAATAGTTCTCTAAGATCTAGTAGGTAATGATTAAAAAGCCTAATCTCCTTCATTCTACTATATTGAAAGGAGTTAGCTAATTTTCTTCAATTCAGACTCCTCTATCTATTTTATTCTTTTATCTTTAAGCTAGTTCTTTATCTTTGCCTATTTGTCTTAGATTGAGATGTGATTTGTTAAATGGTCTTCCTGTAAATTCAAAACATTTTTTTTTAAAGGCTTAAACTTTTCCTATCTTTAATTTATGTAAAAAAATTATTGAATTTACTGGTTAATTAAAAGCTAAAACTATGAAATGAATATGTTTTATTTTTAGTTAAATTAATAAAATACTTAATAGAAAAAAGTAACTGCTGAAAAAATTATTAACATTTTAAATTTAAAATATCATTTTTTAAATAGAATTTTAAAATTTACACTTATCTTGTGAATTGCTATCCATCGTAAGTATTGATCTCAGGAAAGCTTAGCTAAAAACCAAAGAAGGTTTTATTTTTTAATTTATTTTTAGCTTGCTACTACAAAAGCAAATTCTTTTTATTGACACGTTCATAGTCAAGGAACTTGTTTTAGAAGAAAATCTTATCGATGTTCATTCTAATGAAGAAATCGCTAACAAAAATACCATTAAATTCAAAAACCATAATGTGATAACAATTAAAAACGAAACGGAGATCAAATAGATCCCTCTATTTTGGGAATAGTTGATAGAATAAATAATGATTTATATATCCCAAACAAAATATTATCAAGTTAACTATTTCATCTTTTGGCTGAGGTAAAGTGCTAAACAATTTCACATAGTTTTTGCTTAGTTTTTTCTTCAAACTTTATGATATTTCTTGCTCTTCTTCATACCTAATGCATTCAGGAAAGTTACTCACAAGTATAAAGTAAAATGATAACTTCAAAACCTTTGAAACTCTTTCTGAAGTTATCGATTTTATGAATCTCTCTCTTAACTTTGGGTTCTCTATGCTTTCATTAATAATAAATTTATTTTATTTAATTTTTTAGATCAAAAATACCCTTTCAAAATCCCTGATTGCAGAAATTTTAAAATCTCATTATCACAATTAATCTGAACAGGATAAAGACATTCTTATGATATTGTTATTTCAGCTAAATCATATTTTTCTTCTTCCTAGTTTATCTGCTCTCCCTGTAATTACCCCGCAGAGTTTTATTGCTAAACTACTTCTAATTATTTTTAGCTTTCTTCCATTCAAACTAAACTATTCGATATTTAAATCTTATTCCAGTAATATCTATCCTATTTCTTTAAACAAAGACTTTAATTATTATTTTACTGTTTTAACTTTCTTTACAAAAAAAAAAAAATTCTATGTTTTATATATTTTGTGAAATAGGTTATTTTAAAATAATAATTCCTAAATTTAATATTTAAATTATTAAATAAGTTAAATTCATTTTTATGATAAAGTTCAGCCAAAAATACTAATTATTTTATTAAGAGAATTTATTATTTCAATTATTTTTAGAATATTGTGAGAATAAATTAAAATAAAAAAATATTTTGAAGACTTTGTTGATTTATTTTGCATAAAATATCATATTTTTGCTTTTAAAAGCATCAAATAATTTTGTTAAAATTTAGTAAGCCTTTAAAAACTTTATAGAAAATATATCAGTTAATTTATTAAATTTATTTTTTACTCAAAAATTTAACTTAAATTTAGTTATCAAAATAAAAAGTTTATTAAGGTAATTTTAATGAACTTTTCTCTAAAATGTAAAGAGATAGAGGATAAATTGTCTTCATTGCTTCCAAATTTAAAAGTTAATTTTATTTAATAAAAATAAATTTAAAATAATTCATTTTTTTGTTCAATTTAATTATTTAAACAATTTTTAAAAAATCATCAAATAGATGTTTATGCTTTTTAATTCAATTAATTAAATAAATTAGTTAATTAATAATAAATTTAAGCTAGATTTATAAAATAAAATTTTTAAAAATTAAGTTAAATAGTTCGAGTTTAAATATTTAAATAAATTTAACATTAAAATCTATTTCGTCGTCACTCTGAAAAAGATGATTATATATTTGATTTTTTACTAATTATAATTAAATAAATTTGATTTGATTAATTAGTTAAATTTTATTTATTGAAATTGCTAAATTTTTTAATTTGGAATTCAAAATTTCTTTTCAATTTAAAAGCAATAAATAGATTAATTTCATTATTTTTAAATTATTAATTAATAATAAATTTTATTTTTTATTAATTCAAATTTGAAAATGATTTAATCTCTTTGCCTCAGTTAAATACCAAATTAATTGCCAAGTAGAAGTCAAAAAAGGATTTATATTTGAAAAATATCTGAAAAAGCACTGTAAATAGTTGAAATTTTGTATGGTAACTTATCATTTTGAAAAAAGCAGTTTTATAAAATTAAAAATAAATTTAGATATTATTTCATTTTCATTAATTAATATTTTTAGATATCAACTTTTATATTTTAATTTGGAATTCAATAATTTTTTCTTTAACTATTTAAAAGATATAGATTATTATATTTATTTACATTTTAAATTAATTATATATTTTATTTTATAAATTATTAAAAATTGAAAAAGGAAAAATTTACTGCAAATCATTTTTATTAAAATTTTAAATACATTTTAATTAATTTTTGTAAAAAAGCTTTTTTATCCTTAATATTTGAATCAGCTTTTGTTACTATTGTTTTAGAGTACATCTATTTTTTCATTAGAATTGTTTGAGTTATTAATACTTATTTGCTCATTCTTAAATATTGAGTTTCTGTTGCTGAACCTGCTTTTTTTTCCTTACAATGAAGATTGAGATTCTGTCTATTTTTGTAAACCGAAATAATTAGGGATTATTAGGTTATGCTAATTTGTCTTTGAGTTACAGATTTCTATGCTGCATTTACGATCATATTATTACTTAAAATTGCCTCTGTTTATTTCTTCATCTTAGTTAGCTTATGTGAAAAAATTTTAATTGCTGCATGGAGATAATTAGTCTGTGTTTTCAACAGGAAGAGATAAATTTGTATCTTACCTTTTTCTCAAACTTAATTAAGAAATAAATAATTAATCTGTAATAGAGTTCTTTTTATTATTTTCATTTTTAAGATATTTTAATCTATTTAAAGTGTTATTATTAAGCATTTCTTTGATTAATTTATCTTAACCAGTAAAATTATTTTATTATGAAGCAAATTTATTTTGTTACAACCTTCTAGATGGAGAAAAGGCGAGAGCATTTTTATATTTATTTTTTTAATTCTTGTTAAGCTGTAATTAATTCTATTGAAAAATGATCTCATCATAATTATTGTGAGGGAAATATATTTCAAAAATTTTCATTTTATCAAATTCCTTCATTGATTATTGATTGCTAATATTTTATTATGAAGACATTTTATTATGGTAATTCATATTCTATGTGTGAGTTTGATTTATAAGAATATCCTAAATTTTCTAAAAGTTGTTAGCAAAATTATCTAATTACATACTGAGTCGTTGCTATAATAAATTATTTAACGTAAGCTATTTTTATTTCGCTTAAGATTTTTGCACAGCTACCATACTTTCTTAAGTCGAATTTAAAAAAGGTTCACTATTTTAAATTACATAGCCTGAACTGCTAAATCTTTTCAATTTATGAATAGTTTTTTTCTGTTATGGAGATAAATATTTGTAATTTTCTGTTAAATAATGAGGAATTTTTAATGGAGAATTTTATTTTTATTTCTAATTTATTGGTAATTGTGTTTTATCAAAAATGTTATCTGTTAAATTTATTTTTTAAGAGCCATTTGATGAAACTTTTTATTATCCTTTATCATAATCTTTAAAAATATTAATATCTTAAAGACTTTTATTCTTCATACTCAGGTTCTTTTTAGGTAGTTTGAATTTCACTGACTGAAGGATAGAACTTCTCGGTTTTCGTTTTGATTGTAAAGGTGAAATATTTATTTAATTAGACGATTATGGTTCTTAATTGCTTTCAGTTTAAATAAGTTACTTTGAATTATTATTTCCATCCTAAATCAGATCTAAAGTTTAATTTGAATATTTTTATAAATCCAGATTTTAGATACAATTTAACTCTTACTATTTGTTTTGAGCTCTTTAACTATTCCAATAGTTGCTCTCAAAAGATAATTCATTATTATCAATTTTATTTAATCCATTTATGATAGGTTTATTTTTAATAAGATCTCTTGTGAAAGGCATAGATTTATTCATAATGATAGAGTGGTTTGTTATTTTTTCTTAAAGCTGTGCTTACATTAAATCCTCTGGTTACTCTTCTATATCTGGATTAGTGACAATCTCGTCTGTCTTATTTTATGTATTTATATTTTTATGTATACTCATCGAAAGCATATATTGATTAGATTCCGATTCTTGCTGGTCTTCTTCAATTACTAAACTTTTTGATATTTGTTTAGAAATTTTCTGTTTTTTATCAACTTTTTTGCTTTGAATATAATTTTAAAAGTTTTTTTCTTTCTCAGGAGAGGAAAGTAATTATGATGAGTCTTCTTCATTAGAAGATCCAAAAGAATTTGAACTTCCATTTATTTTTTTATTATTTTAAATGTCCCTGCAACTTTTTTCTTCATCAAAAGAATTAGAACTTGAAATGATTCCACTTTTAGAGATTGAATTATCAGAAGACTCTTAATTATTTGAAAAATCTTCTAATCCGTAAGTATGTATATAAGCAAATAGAACAGATTCTTCCTAAAAAGCTATCCTATCTTAATATCCTTTAACCTATTCAATTCTTCCTAGAGTATTATTGTGCTTTTAAGTTTATCTTTTCATAAAAGTTCTTTCTGTCTAAGTTAAGGAGTTATTGTACTTGAATTAATCCATAAGCTTAAAATAAAAAAAATTAATTTTATATTCTAGATTATTGATTAATAATTTATCATAAAATTAAACTTAATATTTTTACCCTGGTGCTGTTTGGTATATAATGTACCATGGGACATTCTCTTGAACTATGATATGCTTAGTCAGATTGAACATGTTAACAATAAGTACACTTTTTCATAGAATGCTTCCAATTTTTATTAAAAATAATATCGTCTTTAATCAAGCAAAATTTTTCATAATCTGATGGAACTTCCTTTATAATCTCAATAAACTTAGCTCTTTCTATTTTTATTAAAGTTGTAAATTCGAGGCTTCTGACACAAAATTTTCTTTCCATTCCTGTAAAAAATGACATTTCACCTAATATTTTTTATGTTTTTATAAATAAATCTAATCAAACAAAAAACAATTTTCAATAACTAGATTAACTTTATCTTAGGTTTTATTTTTTAATCTAATTACTTAATAATTTCATGATTTACTGTAAATGTTTCCATTATTTTATTAGAAAATTCGAAATAAATAAATAAATAAAGTAAATCAAATTTTAATTAATTACCAAAATATTATCCAGCTTTGAGAGTGTTGCATTCTAAGAATTCTTTTTTAAATAAAATAGATTCACTTGTGTGGTCACGAAAAAGTTAAACGGATCCTTTTTCAATAAAATAAATAGAACATTCTTCTAAATCTCCCTCTAAATATATTATTTCTTCAGGAGTACATCTTTATTCCTAAACGAGCGATACCGTCTTTAGTATAGTTTTAAATGAAAAGTTATCTCTAAAAAATGGAGATTCCACTACAAGAATCTTATTTGCTTCAATCATTAGATTTTCTTTAAGATTGTTAGAAAGTTGGCTAATTATGTTTAATTCCTCTTTAGTGTTTTCAGAAAGGCTTTCATTCCAGTAATATTCAAGATAGTAACGAATTTGGTACTATAATTCAGAAGTTATTTTCTTATTTTTCATATAATTATTGATTACAAATAAATTATTCTTTCTTTGCTTTGATGATTTGTTCATTTCTTAGAAAATACTCCCCACCTGTATGTATATTTTTATTATTTATTAAATAAAATTCATTTAAATATCCTTTCAAACTATTAATATTAATTACTTCACTAATTGAATAAGCAAACACACCGCATGCAGACAGGACAGTTAAAATACTAAAAAGTCTTTCAAAATTACTTTGTGGAGATATATCTCCATAGCCTACCGTAACCATAGTTACTGTGTTAAAATAAAATGCATTTAAATATTATATAAACCATGGTTCATTCATAGTGTTGTTGATGTGAAGCCAGGTTTGATTTTAATCATTTTGAACTTTGGCTATAATAATCCAAACACAAGCCAGTAGATGAATTATATAGATGTTAGTTAAAAATAATTTATTTAACCTCAAAATTTAGCTGATCCTAGGAGAAAAGTGGTATTGCATTTCAATTTTTTTGAGTACTCTTCCAAACTATTTGTATCTCAAGAAAAATATAATAGAGCAAACGTTTAAAACATTAGTATTTTCTGCGTATTTTGAGTTATATTAAAGTGAAAAAAATATTGATATACAAGCAAGAGTAATAGCATCTAAAGCAAATTCTTTTTTACAAAAATAAATTTTTTGTTATTAAAAAAGAAAAATTCATTTGAAAATAGATAAATCAAATTACAATTTTTTAAATAGTTCTGTGCAATTATTATTCTACTTTTAATCTCCTTTCCTTATTAAAAAAGACTAGTGTTGAAATTAAAAATTATATCTATTAACAGCAAGAGACTTATCAACAAATGCACAACCCAAGATGAATCAAAATTTTAAATCTCCTAATTAAATGATATCAATAAAGGAATTGTAATGAAAAAATACCCTAGGCAAACTAACTATAGCTGATCCCATATAAAATTAAATTTAGAAAAAGCAGAAAAAACTGGTATCGTATTTAATAATTTTTAAAAACATTGCTTGATTATCTTATTATTTTTATGAAAACTATTTCTTAAATTTGTTGAAGATTTTTATGTTTATGAGTTTATAAGCATTTTTTAGTTTTTTTTTTAAAGTATGCTTTTATCAGTGTTTTATGTTACTTTTATTTGAGCATTGTCTATATTTTAATAGGCAGATTTATCATTAACAAGATTAAAAAAGATAGGATTTTCATCAAAAACTTTATACTTTTATATTTATGTTAGTTATATCATTTTATTTATGAAAGCCTTAACTTAAAGAGATATTTTAACTTTATTAAACACTTTTCTCAAAACTGATTGATGTCTCAGTTAATTTATAGGTTAATCTTCCTCACTAAACCTTCCAGTTCTACTTTTAATGTATGATAAATGTTTTCTCTCTTGCATTTTACCCATAAAATTGTTAGAATTTATCTATCCGTTTACTTTTTACTAATTCTTTTCAAGATCAAACTAAATCAACCTCTAAGAAAAGGAATCATACGCCTATTAACAATTAGGCATCGAATTCTTTTTTTAATTCTAATTCGTATTTGAATCATTTTATTCAGCAGTATGAATTCCATGATAGTATGAAGTATTTTCCTCTTTAAATAAAGCATTCTATAATTATTAAAATGATTTATTATTACTAGCTATTATTAAATTATCATCTGAAATCATCTCAAATAATTGTTTGTTAATTTATTTTTTTTTTGATTCGATGATTAATTTTCTATCTAAAATAAACTTTTTAATAATTATTACTTTAATATCTTTCTTTTTTTTGAGCTAAATTTTTACAATTTTAGAATCATTCACCAAAAATCCTTATTAACTTTAATTTATTTTAATCAATCCTTACTTCGAAGGTTTTTTAAGTGTTTTCTTAATTTTATGGGAATCATTCAATTTATTATCATTTTTAATAATAAAATATTTAAAATATATTCTAGAAATTATCATAATTATTACTTCGTTAAAATTAAGAAAATTAATTATTTCAAGATAATGTAAAATAATTACATAATTTATTAAATTAGCAAGTATTTTTTCACTCAGTAAGTTAGAAATTTCCTAAATTTTAATTAAATAACTTATTTTAAATTATCAGAAAAATAAACTTAAATAAAATAATAAAATAATACTAGAATTTGTACGGTTTTTAATATTTTTAATTTATAAATTTTAACTTGTGAAATTAATTGTACTTAATTTTAAAATTCAATCAAAACAAAAATATAATTTTAATTACAAAAATAATATTTTTTATTTAAAAATACTTAAATTAAATTTAATAATTAAATTATTATTAACTCTAACAATTAAATTTATTTAATTAATATTAACTTTAAACTTATTTTTTTTAGTAAAATAATTATTGTAGAATATTGCGTAATTTAATAAAATTGTATCAAGAAATAATATGTAAGAATTCATCTTCAAAATAAATTTTATAATAAACATTATATTACTGTAAGAACTCTTAATTAAGCTACATCAAATTTATATCACATATTTTAAATTTTTTCTAAAAAATTGTATTTATTGTAAAAATTGTTAATTAATTAATGATAAAATAAAAAACAAAGTTTACATTAAATGAAAAAATAATCTTTTATAAATAATTTATTAAAAAATCCAAAATACTCATTTATTTGTTGACTTATTTATTTATTTAATTATTATTTTTATATGAAAAAAATAGAATCGTACAATTTCTAAAATTAAAATTTAGATTCTCTAAATAATTTTTGCATATATTTAGTTAGATTCTCTTCTTTTAGTTAATTTCATATATGATCATGTACTTGATCTTTTTAATCTAATTATGCAAAATATGGGTTGTTGTTGTCTTTTTTAAATTTTTAAGAAGCAGAATTTTTAATACCAAATCTACTTTTTTATTTTTCACTATTTAGATTTTCAGATTAAAAATTAGATGAACTGCTACCAACAAAAAAACCGTTTTAAAATGATTTTCCTTCTGAGTCTGTTTCATTTTTTTTAGTAGATGATGATTTAGTTTTGAAATCTTCTTCTAACTATGGTTAATCAGCTAATTTATTTTTAGGTGATGGTTCTTTGTGCTTCTATTTCAAAGACTTACCATCTTATTTTTAGTTTTACCTTACATTTGTGTTACTCATAAGAATTTTAAGTCTATTGATAGAAGATTAACCAAAAATATCTGTTAAAGCTGCATAATTGCTATTACTATTCATATTATTGTTGTTATTGTTACTATTACTGTTGCTATTACTGCTTTATTATTCATTTAGTTAGCTTGAAGAGCTATTAGATTATCCCTATAAGAAACAAGATTTAAAATTTTAATATTATTCTTTGTTTTTAAGTCTTTTTTACTTTAAATATTTATGGTAACAATGACTTAAGACGTAATCATAGTTATTATGAGGGAAATATATTTGATAAGATTTCATTTAATCAAATTATTAAAAGAAATTGTCAATATTTTATTTTGAATTTTTAAAATGCTGATATCTTGTAAAATCATGGTGGCGGTGGTTATGGTTTTATTAACTTAATACATTTTCCTAAAATGAGTTAAAATTTTTCACTAGTGTTTCTATTTATTAACTAAACTATAATAAGTTTTAGTGTTGTTAGTTTTGATAATTTTTATTGTCTGCAATAAATTAATCTTCTAAGCATAATTAATTATTAATAGAGGCTTTTTTGATAAGTTCATTCAAGCCAATGTTTTCGCTATTGGGATTACTCTTAATCATTTAATAAGATTTCTTTAAATATTCAAGGAATCTTAGACTGCTTTGATCTTTGTGATCATGTTTATGACTCTATTTAATTGAGCTAAATGAGCTATCAGTACTTAAATTTTTTTCGCTTTTACGTCTTTCCATATATATCTTCAATAACTCTCTATCTTATTTTATTTCCTACATACTTTTACTGTCTCTACGTTTAAAATTATTTTCATTAAATTATGACTTAGATTATTGCTTATTTTGCATGTGGGAAATTTACTCAGAATCTTTAGACCCTCTTTTACTTTATACATGTTAACTGTTTTTTCTTGATCTATTTTGAAAGGATTCCTCGTTTTCGTTTGAATGGGTTTTTGCTAAAGATGCTCTTTTCTTTCTTAATGCTGCTATATATTGATCGCTTTCATTATTATTTTCGATATCAGAAATTGATGTTTTAGAATGCTTTAAAATATGTTTCTTCTCAATCGATTAACTCATAGGACTGTTGTTACTTATTTAGTTAACTTATTAGAGCAGTTTTTAACTAATTATTTTTTATTCTTGTTTCTTTTCACTTACAGTTTTTGAATTTTCATCATTTTGTATGCATATTATTTCTTGATCATTCAATTTATCTACTTCTTTAGATGCTTAAGAAGGACTTTGTAAATTTTATAGGTTTGGGGAAAGTTCTGTGTCAGATTCTGACTCTGCTGCTTCTTAAATAACAGAGTTTTTCCTATCTTAAGATTACATTTCAGGATATTTTTTAGTGAATGCCTCATTTTGGAAAATGCTATTTAATGAATTTGGGGTGTTAACTTGGCTATTGTTAGATTCAAAGTAGTTAGAATTTTCTGAAATTTCTGAGTCAGAGCTTCTTACATCACTGCTGCTACTAAAGTTACCAGAAATGTTATTTAAATTGTTCCTACTGTTAATTTAGTTTAAATGTTTATCACTAAATTCTTATCCTTCAATTAAGTAATCCTATTCATTCAAATATTCTAATTCGTGAATAATCCCATATTACTCGCTATAAATTTCCAGCAATTAATTTTAACTAGCTACAAAATTTGCTTAATCGCCGCTAGCTTGCTCAATTCTGCCTAAGGTATTATATTTAAATTACCTTTATCTAAAATGTTTTTTCCTTAATTCTTAATTGAATTAGTGTTTGAAACTATCTTATAACTTTAAATAAAATAAAATTATAGTGATTATAAAATATAACACATATCAATCAAATAAAATTGAATTATCCTTGAATTTAATTACTTTAATTAACCAAAAAATATGATTGAAACAAAAATAAATTTAATCATTAATTTAAAATAGATTGCTAATATTTTTAATAATTCAATAAAAAAACTAATTATTTAATTTGAAAATTTTGAAAAGCTTCGTTTTAAATTACTCTTAATTTATTAGGAATATAGTGTAAAACTGGGCACAAAGCTTCAATGTGCTATGCATCAAGAAGTGGCTAATCTCTGCAATAAACACATTTTCTTTGAGTATGTTTAATGTTATTGTTAAATGTTATATCATCTTTAATCATACAAAATCTTTCATAATCTTCTGGATTTTCTTATAGAATTTCTATAAATTTTTTCCTCTCAATTTTAAGAAGCGTTGTAAAATCTAAGCTTCTATAATTATTGACTCTAGATTTCCCTGTAAAAAAACAAACTTCACCTATTTATTTATTTATAAATTTATTTATTTAGCAAGTTAATCAGCTATGAACATAATTTAATTTAATTTACCAAAATATTCTCCTCTTCCTCTCACATTCATTTAATTTTTGGAATCAAAATTTGGATTTTCAAATGTGTGGAAAACTTAAACTTGGCCTTTTTCAATAAAGTAAATTGAATTATCATCGCTTTCTCCTCCTAGAAAGATAATTTCTTCAGGCGTGCATCGCTGCTCAGTAACAATCGATACAGTTTTTAAAAGAGTTTTTAAAGAAAAGTTATCTCTAAAAAGAGGTGATTCTAAAATTAGTCTATTGGCTTCAAGCATTAAGTTTTCTTTTAAATTATTAGAGAGCTAGTTGATTATCATTTATTACTTGTCAGTATTTTCTGAAAAGCTTTCATTCCAATAATATTCTAGATAATGACGAATTTAATATTATAAGTCTATTGTTATTCTTTTTTTCTTCATGTAACTATTAATTATGAACATGTTTACTTTTTACTTTTTGTTCGCTTTGTTCATCTGTTCAAAAATGCTTCCTACCTTTTTAATTTCAACAAATAAATTATTTATTTATTTCATTAAATAAATAAAAAAAGAAATAAATAAATTAGTTGTTTTTGGCAATTAATAAAAAAAATTAAAATTCTTACTTCGCTTATTGAATATGCAAATACACAACAAGCTGAGAGAACAGTAAATATGCTGAACAATCTTTCTAAATCTGTTTAAGGAGAGATATCTCCATATCCAACTGTTACCATAGTAACAGTATTAAAATAAAATGAATTTAAGAACTGAATATACCAAGGTTAGTTGATTAATTCAAATTTTATAAGCCAGCTATTTGTATTATATTACCAATAGGCAATTTATATCCATAAGCAAGACAGCACATGAATGATATAAATATTCATTAACAATAATTTAATAAGTCTCAGAGCTTAGCTAATTTAAGGTGAGAAATGATACTAAATCTCAATCTTTTTTAGTACTCTACTGAATTATTGTAATCGCAAATAAAAAGTCACAAGTAAAATATTTGATATTACTTCTACATGCCACAAATACCTCTATTAGCTTACAATAAAGTAACTAATTAAACATATCAAAGTTATTATGTCAATACAAAACCCTTTTTTATTTAAAAAAATATTTATTATTTATTTTTATCAATGAACTTACCATTTCTTAAATAAAACTTTGCAATTTTGTAATGATCTTTAATTTCTTTGCCTTATTGCATAAGGCTCGTGTTAAAATTAATGAATACATCAATTATCATTAGTACAACTATGAAAAGTTCAACTAAATTAGTACCTATAATGCCTTCGATAGTCATGTTAAATACAATAATTATAGGAATAATTATAAAAAAGAATCCTAAACAAAGAAGTTAAATTTAATCCCAAATAAATTTTTATTTAGACAATGTAGAAATCACAGGAATGCTATTAAGTACCTTAAATAACGATTAAAATGATTCCATATTGATACAAGACAATTATTTATTTTACAAATTTATGAATGAATTTTTCAAATTCTAGGAATTTATTATTTATTCAAATTTTTTATCTCTATTTGTAAGTGAATATATTTCTTTTTAAAAAGCTAAATCAGAATTATAAAATGCAGCTTTATCATTAAGAATATGAAAGAATTCCTTTTTGCCTAAGAACGAGGCTAACTAATTTCTTTTCAATAGAGATATCATCTTGACTGCAAATTTTTTTACCCATAATTAAAGTCTAACTTTCTTAAAAGTATTTCTCATAAATTACTAGTTACGCATTGATTTTTTATCTTCTACCAAATTGTTATAGTTAATTTTTAAGTGACTTCGCTTTTCATTTTTGCTATGCATCAGTCCAAGATGATCTTAATGCTTTTTTCCAAGACCAAATTCTGATTCAAAATGGACAATTTAAGAGAAAGATTCTTGGGATTTTTCATTTTTTGGAGATAAAATCTTGGTTTGCTTAAAATTTGCGCTTTTAGCACTATCACTATTGGTTCTTTTCAAAGTATACTTGTCAAAAAGCTACTCTTCATGCTTATCTAATTCTTTATGACTAACTTTATCATCACTTGTAATCAAGTGCAGTGGTTATGATATATGCCTTTAGCTTCCACTTCCTAAAAATGATTCATTATCGTTGTGCAAATGATCTATTTTATGATATTATTAATCAAATTCAGTGTGCACAAATTCTGTTGTTTACTAATTCATTAAAAAAATTAGCCAAAAATTAAAAAGAGTTATTCTTAAATTTATTATTTAATTAACAATTTAGACTTTCCCCTTATTAATTTAATTTAATTTTTGTTTAATGAGGATTATTTTCTTTTAGTTTTTTTATTATTTTGTATTAATAAAATTTGTTGTCATTAGCTCTATTTTTTTTAATGAATATTATGTAAACCATTTGTTAAATATTTTAGCATTTAACACAATCAACATCATTCATTAAACTTACTTTTATGTGAGGAATGAATCACTAACACTACAGTTTAATTATAAATAAATTCATATCTACTGGTCTAAATATATTTTTACAATTGGTGAATAAACAATTTATTATTTATATATATTTTGTATTTTTTAATGTAGGATTTTTTTCAAAAAAGATCGCTCATAGATTTGAATTATATTTGTTTAATAAATTAAAATATTAAATCTGCAAACAAAATTGTAAAATAATGATTTATCTTTAATTTTAGCTCCAAAAACAAACAACAACAAAAATTAACATATTTGTATCTTCTAATTAGAAGGTTTATATTGTTTATAAAATGATATTTTTTAAATACTTTTATTTTATTGTTAGTATAATTAAATTTATTCATTAAAGTAAATTCAGCCAAAAAATAATTAAATAAAATAAACAATTAAATTTCAATTTGTAGAAAATTTTATTTGATTTTTAATAATTTAATTGCATATATAATTGTTTATTTTAACTCTTAAATTTAAGGCATTTTCTAAAATTAAAATAATTTTAATAAATAATTTAAAAAAATTTAGTGAAAAGATTTTTTGTAAAACTAAAAAATATGTTTTCTCAACAAAAAAAAAATAATAATTTTTTAGTAATTAATCTATTAATAAATTATTAGTTTTTCTAATTAATCATAAAATTCATTTTATCTTTTAAGTGTTATCTATGAAGTATTTTAAAATATAATTTGAGCTATCATTTTCCTAGACACATTTAACTATATATTGAGTGTACTCCTAATTTACTAAAAATTTAACTTCCTCTTTGTAGAATTTGATCAAATCTGCTATTAATCCTAAGCATGTTATTAAAAAGTCTTAACTAGGATTCTTCTCCTCACAGCAAGTAGCTTTAAGAAAGTTGCTAAGTGTTTCAATTACATCAAATACTTTTGTGTTCTTTTCCAAAGATAAATTAATACACTAAAATGACTCAATAAGATTTTAGTTATACTACTCAATGACATCTAATTGAATTTCATCAATCTCAGAAGGTTATAGAGCATATTCACTGGCTTCTTATAAGCCATCTTATAGGGAACTTAATGTTCTATCTAAATAAGGAAGAACTAAGTTATTAGAGTTTAAGAATAAATCTCCAAAGAGTATGATAATTTAGGATCTCACCTATAATTCGTTTTCTTTATTATCAAAATAATCTAATAGTTATTCTAAAATCTCTGTAGAAGGACTAAAAGAATTTTTACAAGAAGTAGAGAGGTCTTAAATAAATTTTAAAGCCGATAATTTTGTTAAAATTGATTAGCTATTCCATCCTTAGATTGCATAAGGCCATAATTAATGTAAATAAGGTAATATATTCTCCTTTAGACTTACTGATACATCACAAAGTATGTCTAATCCTATTTCATTTACTTCAGAATATTATTAAAAATAACTTGCTATCATTTTTATGATCTATTCTGCTAGATTACTATTTAATTGCTCACTAACTAAGACCAGACATTAATAAATAATGTCTAAAATGAAATTAATGCATTCTATTTAATCATTTTGTGATGTTGAAATATATTTGTTGAACTCTTAAATAAAAATTTCTATTATTTCTTATAAAAACTAATAGTCTTTTTCATAATCAAAGTATCCCTAAATCATATCCATAAAATTAATAGATTGATCACTCAATTATCCAAAATCTGTTTCAAAATCTCTTGGCTCGGCACACTCTTCATTTAATAATTTATTTAATAGCGTTTATATTATTTCAATTTCACTTTTTAACTCTTCTTAGCTCATCTACTTTAATATCTAATGAATTTAAAATTTGAAATGTCTTTTTTTTCTATCAATTTAATCTTTTTAATAAAAAATAAATACTAAATGAATGATAATTAAAAGTTCAACTACAGCCAAATTATGATTAAAAACAAAATTTAGTATAGAGTTGAATTATTAGTAAAATAGATATTTAGCTTTTATCATAAATTATGATAGAAAAATCTATTTAAAAAAAACTAAACTGATATTTGAAAATTAAAATTTTGATCAAACCATTTACAAAAATAAAATTCATATAAATTAATATTTTTAATTGTTCATTATGAGAAAGTAATTTTAAGCAATTATTTCTATTTTAGTTAAAATTATTTATTAAATTAGTTAATTTATTTTTGATATTGAAATAATGCAAAAGCTAAGTTAAAAATGCGTTTTTAATATTAATTTATTTTCAATTAAATACTTAAAATAATATTGAAAATTTCAAATAACATAATTAAACCCTTACAATTTTTTAACAAAAGATTATTTTGAAATTATATTATAATTAATAGGTAGAGTGTTAAAAACTCTATCGATTGATATGTTTATTACAATAAAATTACATTATAATCAAAAATATTTGTAATATTATCTATTGAATGATTTTTATTGTCATCTATAAAAACTAATTATCAATATAAAATTATTAAATTGATTGGTATTAAATATATTTATTTTTAAAACATAACATTATAAAAATTAGAATATGAAATTAGTAAATACAAATGTTATCAATGAAATTGAAGCTTATAAATAGTTGATTATTGTAAAATTGATAAAAATATTTAGTTTTATGAATTTTTTTAGCTTTAAAGAAATACCTTTAAATTCAAAAATATAAATATTCAAAGAGAGTAGTTGAAATAATTCAAATTAAAAAAAATTATCTTTTATATTCTAAAGGTTAGTTAAATAAATAAATAAATAATTAAAAAATAAGTTCGTTATTTTTTAAATCAATTGCTCTAAACAAAAATTTTACGAATAATATCTTTATAATCAAAAAATTATTAGTTTGAATAAAATATAGGTAAACATAACAAAAATCAATCAAGCTCTTACTTTTTAACCAAAAGAATGCTGAAAAATAACAACTGCTCTTCATCTTATGCAAAAGTAAGGGCTAATAAGAGTTTGAGCATATAAAATTCAGGGTGTTCTTCAAACGGAAGTCACTACAAAGACATTTCTTCATTCAATTAAAATAAAAGTTCAAGTATATCCTCTAGAAATTCTTAGGATAGCAGCAATAGGAATAAATTTATTTCGAATAATCAACATTAAACCATCTAAGAAGACCATTTCAATAATTTAAATCGCAATTTAGATTTTTCATAAATAAATCTTAAAAACCAATAAAAATAATTAAATTATGGCCATAATGCGTCTGTTTACAGTTAGGAAAATAAAGAAAACTACAATTTAAACTATTCTAACTTAGTAAATAATTAGTCTTCACTCAACTAGCAGCAAGAAACCTTTCGTAAAATTAACTAAAATAGCCAGTAAGCACAACACTCAAGTATTGTCTAACCTTCAAAATAAAAATAGAATATAACCCAATCCAAAAATATTTATTAATAGATAATGAGTAATAATTTTAATTCAGTGGCCAAAAAAAACAAGCAATCAAGTTCTAATTTATAAGCTTAACAATAAAGACAATCATTAGATCTTTCTACTAAACACAATGATGGTTTTTAGGATTTGTAAAAAAAAAGAAGTGAAAGTACCTATTCTAATTACTCACTTGATAGCTCAAACAATTAAAGTTTTTTGATGGCAAGCTCCAAGAATTAAAATAATATTAGCAATAGCAATTCTATTTAGCTTAATAATTGGTTACAGAATAACTAATTAATCTAATTAGATAATATGAAACAAGCACCTGATTCATCAAGTTGCATTAATATTTCTCACCTATTAAATTAGAATATATCATAAAGTAATATTAGCATAAATGAATCTTCTAATTTTATTTCTATCAGTCCTGCTGGCCTCTCTTAATGCGCTCATAAAACTAAATAAGCCTTATCATTTAATGAAAACCCATATATTAATAATAATAATTCACACAATTAAATTAACGAATCTTAGAATCATTTAATATCAAGACAAATTAATTCAGTTTAAAATTCAAAAAATAATTGCAATCAAGCTTAACAGCTAAATTAAAAGTAAATTATCAGCTCTAACAACAGTTAGGTAAAGTAAAACAATAATTAAAAAGCTTATTAAAAGATCCAAATTTCTGCAGATTCCAACAATTAGCTTCAAACATTTTCATCTTCCGAAAATAATAATTAAATTAACAATAATAATAACAACAACTGTGAAGTAAGTTATTAAAATAACAACTTTTGTGCCTCTTAATCTAATCCCAGTACAGGAAATACAATAGAAAATCTGACTCTAATTTAAAAATCAAATGAGCTCAACTAGTTGAAAAAAGATCTTCGTTAGAGTAATAATGAGTTAATGCAGTATAAAAATAGACTAAAAACTATAGAGCAAGAAAATAAAAATTTAAAGTAACAATTCGAATAGGATAAATAACAAAAACATCATTTAGAAGAGTATATTCAAAAAATAAAAGGACTTTAATTTATAGTAGCCTAAGAAAAGAGAATATCTTCAAGGATAATCTAAGAAAACCTCTAAAGAAACGAAAGTATTTCATTAATCTTAACAAATCTTGTTAGTATTATATAAATAATTTAGCAAAAAATAGAAACTCCTAAAGCTTCATGTATACTTACTTATTAATAATTTCAAAAATTTAAATAAATCCTTAATTTTTTTATAAATAAGATGAAAAAATCTTGAGCCAAATAAGCCAAAATTTGAATCCTATTCTGCTTTGTCTTAATCCAATAATCTAAGACATAAATAATTATAACTAAAACATAGTATAATAGGTACAAAATCAGCATGAATCAAGATTTGATCCTATTCATCAAATGAACAAACAACCTTCTCAAAAAGGCAAAAAAGTATTGACAATCAAAGGAACTTAAGGTATTTAAGATTATTTAGTCTGATTTTTACTATAAAAGAGAATAACTTGCTTTTAAAATACTTTTTAAACGCATTAGATTTAACTTTTTTGGAAAATTATCAAAAACAATCAAAAATATTAAAATATTTACCAGCCAGGGTTAGGCAGAATATGAAAATTTCCTATTCAGTCAAATTATTTAATTTATAATTAATTAAAAATTAAAAATTTTTAAACACCCAAAAAAAATATTTAACCTCTCAAACTTGTTCATTTAATTTTCAAAATCAATTTCTATCTATATTTTTGCAGCATTAATGTTTGATAATATTTTCATTAAAATTAAAATGTTATTATTAAATAATAGAGTAACAACAATATCAAAGAAATGGCTCTAACAACAAACTTAATAATAATCATAATTTTAAGAAAAGAGGGATATAATTGGAAGAACCTACTAACATTTTAAGACAAAAAAAGCAATAAAACAGTTAAATTTAATCTTCTAATTCTTTGGGGAGATCCCAATCTTCTATAAATGTTAAGTAGCAACAGTAAAAGATAAGTTTACAGTAATAAAATAGGTCAAATAAGTTGAATGATGATTAATTTGAATAAATTTCTAACGGTACTTAACATTTGTTAAAGTAAAGTTTTAGTAGCATTAATCTTCAAACTCAATCTTTACATATTCCATAGCTAGGAGAACAAAATGAAAATGAAATAGAAGCTATTATTAATAAGCAGTTATTAAATCACAATAACAACCCACTTCAATAGATTCAACTCAAATAAAATATTTAAGATTAAAAAAATAGTATTTAAACAAATAAATAAAAAAATTAGTAAATATCTCTTAATGAATGCTAAAGAATTAACACTAAAGAAAGCATGGATAGCTTTTATTAGTAATGTTTACTAAATAATTCACTAAGAATATCTGAATCTAGTAGAAGCATTACTGCCAATAATGGTGTAAATTAATTGCATTCTCAAGAGCATATTAGCTAGAATATATAATAACTAGCTAATGTCAATTAGTCAGCATAGTAAATTAAGTAACAATACAACTAAGTAACTAGTCACTAAAAGGAATAGTTTAATTTTATAGACAGTTATCCTTTATAATAAGAAAATATATTTGGATAATTTACAGAATGCTCAACAAATTAAGCTGGTTTAAATAAAATTTCTTCTGTAGGAGGATCATTCTTTGATAGCAAATCTTCTTAAATAGAAAATTATAGTTCTAACCATATGCACAGAAATAGTTTAGAATCTTAAAGAAATAACAATATTCCTTATGTTTCACAGGAATTAACAGGAAGTTTTTCAACTCAACAAAATTAAAATTATCTTGTAGGAACGTTTTCTCAACTTCCTTAAGATTGTAGTTCAAAAATGAATGTCGATTCAAACTACTAAAGCGGCTCTTCTGACCCATTCAATCAAGAAATAATAAAAAACAGAAGAAACTCTAATCCTTTTAAAGTGTCTAATTACAATTCTAATTCCTCCAATTATAATTAATCATAAAAATTATTTTCAGACACTCTTAAAGGATTAGGAGAAACTCTAAAAAATTTGTAATCTGACGAAAATTAAAATTTTTGCTAATTGAAAAATGCAGACTAAGAAGTTCAAATCAAAAGTAAAAGCACATTTAGGTCTAATGACGATCAATATTCTGAGTATTAAAACCAATAGCAAAGTTAAATGAAAGATCAAACAAATGAAGAAATTTCTTCAGTAAATGACAGATTAAGCTAAGTTGGAACAGAAAAAAGCAGCACTTAGCTAGAAATTGAAAATTTAAAAAAGAAAATCATGTAAAGATAAAGTAGAAGAAAGCTATAAAATGCACATAACACGTCTGTCTAAGAGATATCACATAACTTAAATAGCCAAAGGGAAATGTCAGCTCCTCCAAAAGACTCTTTGCCTATTCATTGAAAACTGATAAAAATAAATAATTAAATATATAAAAATTTAATTAATTAATTATAAAAAAATGTATAAAAATAAATTTGTAAGTAAGTAGATAATATAGTAAGCAATTAAATAAGTGTTTTGAAATGATTCATTTTACCAAATTATAAATTAATATATTGGATATTATTAAGGATTTATATTGTTCAAAAATTAACATTATTTTAGTCTTTTTTTAAAGTCAAAAAATATTCAAAATTTAATTCAAAGATTCATAATAAATGCTAACTTCTATCAGAATTTGTTGGAATCTTTTATTTGTTAGCAGGATTTAGTTATTTGCAATTAAAATAATTGCGCAAATCTTCTTTATTTTGAATAAGTTAATAATAAAAATAATCATAAGATAGATAGAAAGATTAGAAAAAAATGAACGACAACACAATAATAGATTAGTAAATGATAGAGGAAGAACAATAATTAGATTAAGATACTATTATTGCAGATGCTATAATGGCTGAATAAATATAATTATAGGATGAAAACATTGAATACCAATAATAAAAAATAAATTTAGATCACATACAATTAAAAACTTTTGAATAAATAAACTTATAATAATAGATAGGAATCAGTGCATTATAATATTTAGAAAACTAAGGAAATAATTAGTAAGATTTATTCATAGCTTCTGGAATAAATGAAATTGATAAATTGCTAAGGTAACTTACATATTTAATATTCTCGAAAAGAATGGATTTGTAATCATTTCAATTAAAATAATGTTAGTAAAGGAATTAGGACTGGGATTATTACTGAAATATATGGACCAGATTAATCTTGTAAAACATCACTAGCCTTATAATTCGCACTAAACGTAATGAAAAAATAATTTTAATTTTATTATTACTATAATGAATATTTATTTAAAATAGGCAATTATATCAGAAAAAAGCGATTAAAAAGTTTGTAGTATTTATATTTCAACATCTAAAAAACCTCATCAGATAAGAATAAATTAAATTATAGGTATTCTTTATATTTAGATATATAAAATGAATAAATTATTATAACAATTATTTAATAAACCTTAGATGGAATTAAGCAGAGAAACGAATATAGTGATTAAAAAATAATGAGTTGCTTGGATTAATTCCAAGAGGTGTTCATAACTGAAAATTTTAAGCTAGAAGAATTTATCAATGAGGATTTATAAGAATTCTACAATAAGTATAGCAAAGTTAGGTTAATTGTTATAGATAATATATATGACTTAGCCAGCTAAATTGAAGAATTCAAATTAAAACAATAATTTTTATTTAACTTAGTCAATATTTTCAAAAAAATAGCTCATGAAAAGCAAACAGCTATTATTTTTGTAAATAATGTAGTTGACCAAATAAGTGATCATAATTAAACTAATTTATTTACAAGTACAACTAGTTCAGTACCTGCTTTGGGAAACTACTGGACCCACTTAATCAATGAGCGATTACATTTAAATTTACTCGATTAATATGCTCCCACAGTAAAAACAAAATTAAGAACTTTATCCATTAAATTATCTCCTAGAATCCCTTATGGATTTTTAAAATTTTATCCAGATAATTTTGGCTTTACTATTTCAAATTGAATGGCTCGTTGGCTGGCCAAGTTGACTGATAATTAAAAATCTTAAAATTTAAAATAGATAAATAATTTTATAGCATCTACATCCACATTAAAATAAATATACAAATACTTTATTATTAAATTTTCTTTCCAAATATTTTTTTCAATTTATGTTTTTTCTGTGAAATCAGTAAAATTTATAATTTAAGTTTAAATTTTTTTTTAATGGTGTTTTTTTTTTTTGTAAATTTATGATTTAAGCTTATTAAATAGTTTTTCGATTAATTTATTTCATCATAAATCCATTTGAAAAATATCACATAACTATTGTAAGACAGCCCATTGGTCCAATGGTAGGGCATGAGATTCCGGCTCTCGAGGTCGGGGTTCGATTCCCCGGTGGGTTGATTTTTTTCTTTAAATTTCGAGCTAGTTTATAACCAGGAAAAGTAATCTGAAAAAGAAATTTCCAAAATTTGATTATTATTTATTTGTTAGTTTGCTTGCTTGCTTGTCTACTTTACAGCTTGCTAGAAAACTAATCACAAACTTGAAATAGATTAGAGCTTTACTTACTTCACTACTTGCTGTCACCTTACTCTATATTTTTGTACTTATATGAAATAGCGTCTTCTAAAAGCTTTTAGTTTACTTAAAATTTTGAAAAAACTTGCTCATTAATTAGGACTACAGGTACTTCATTTTTGAATTATTTATACTCTGCTAAGTTATCGATGTTAACAACTCTGAAGGATGCTAGAGGAAATTTTTGTTTCATCTGCTTAAGGAAAGGAACGCTCTACTCACAAAGTGTGCATCCTGTTTTGCTTAGCATTTTAATAACTAAGTTGGACATAAATTTGGAGGCCAAATGCACTTTAATAAATAAGCTGATTTCAGACTGAGTTAATTTATTTTTTAGCTAGTTAAATAGTTAGTATTCTTCGTTCGATATTTTCTTTACCTAGTTTTTAAAATTTACTTTTTTTGGTTGTAAAAATTAATATCCAAACTATTTTATTTATTTATTTTAAATTATAAAAAGGAGTTTTCCTCTCAATTTAATTGATTTTTTTATGCATCTTTTCAAATTTTCAAGTAAATGTTTGCGTCTATGTAATGAGCTTATTGCATCACAAGTTAGAATTTTGTAAGATTTGATGATCTTAAATAAAAATCAAATAAAAAATTTTAACAGACCTAATTATTCTGATAATTATACAAAACACTAATTGCTAACTATATATAAAAATGATAAATAAATTACATAATTAATTTATATTTTATTTTAGAATAATTTTTAATCTTAAAATCTCTAATTTTTTTTTGGCAAATTAATTATTTCATCTTTTTAGGTTTTTATTCTAAATCTTTGCTGTTATGCATGATTTTTTAAAAATGAGTACTTATTTAGCAAATTCATCAGAAGGTAGCTTTCTGGGATCTTCACAGAAAAATTCAGCTACAGTTTTATATTTTGCTTCTAGATCTTTAACTTGCTTTTCTAATTCAGTAATTTCAGGCTATACTTGCAAGTAAAATGGCTCTATTTATTCCTTGATTTTATCTTGTTCGTTAGAAGTCTGCACTTTAATAGATTTTTCCAAGGTTTTAACTCCTCTCTTTAAGTCTGCAATTTCTGAAATTAACTAATTGATTGGTGTTTTAGTGCATTCATCTAAAATTTTCAAGTCTTCATCAACTTTAACTATTTCTTTACCCTTTTACAAAAATACTTGTTGGCATGATAAATAAATAAAAACTAATTTAAATACCTCTTTTTTCTCTATATTGCTTATCATATACATAAGAAGATTCACTTTGCCATCCATTGATTTTACTTCTACCATTTTATCAATATTTGAAAATTTAAAACCCCAGGCACCTCCTTTAAAACCTGTTCCATTCATGTAATTACCAAGAGCAAGAGCATTTTCCAATATAATTGTAATTCTTTGGTCATTTAAAAGAGAGTCTAAAAATTGGGCTATCAATGTGGTTTTAGATGTTAAAAACTCCTTTGTTTCTGGATATAAATTTTTGAATTTTAATGCTTGCAGTCTTTCTTCATACCCATTTACTTTTTCCAAAGCTTTAAAATATCTGTAAATTTAAATTAATACAAGACATAATGAAGAAAATTTTACTTTTCTGCATCACCTAAATTTTCAATTTTTCCATCATAAGATTAAACCATTATCATCTCTTATTCGTTTGGCAAAGAGGCTAGCAACGAAGTAATTAGATTTTAAGTAAGCCTAGTTGGATCACAGCTGATTAACATCTCTGCAATTTGTTCACCTTTTAGTTTGATTTTACCTAGTATAAGTAAAACACTTTACTGCCTTTCCAATGTTAAGAATGTAATTTTTTTCTTTCAAAAAAAATAATTAATAAAAAATTTTCCATCATTTAAAAATATTTACTGATGCTTGCTATTCTGGATTTTACTAAGTTGTATTCTATGCCTTTTATAAAGTAGCTTTCTAACTGAAAGTCTACTTTAAATATTCTTCTTCAAGAGCTATATTTTCTTCTTTAACCTTTTCCCATATTGTACCTTATATGTCTTAAAACTTCAAAGTTTGCCAATTAACTCCTTTCATTGGAATTCCAGGGTTTTTTTTTGGTTTTATTCCTTACTAAACTTAAGGGGCCATTAAACCTGGTAAAATAGGTGCCATAGCTATTGGAGCCCCAGGGATATTTAAACTTGGGGCAGCAGGTGCACCAAAACCTGGTAAAGAAGGTACTGAAGGTATACCTAATTAAGGAACAGGCGGAATTCCTATTCCATTAATTTGTGGTGCAGGAGGAGCACTAAAATTGGGAGCTTATGGTATTCCTGGTATTAGTGGAGCTTGAGGAACTCCAGGTATTTAAGGAGCTTAAGGAATGCCAGGTATTTAAGGAGCTAGAGGAATTCCAGGAATTTAAGGAGCTTAAGGAATGCCAGGTATTTAAGGAGCTTAAGGAATGCCAGGTATTTAAGGAGCTTGAGGTATTCCTGGGATTTATGGGGCTTAAGGAATACCAAATAATTAAGGTGCTTAAGGAATTCCTGCTATTTAAGGAGCCTAAGGAATTCCTGGAATTTAAGAAACCTGAGGGATTCCAGGTATCTAAGGAGCTTAGGGAATTCCTGGTATTTAAGGAGCTTAAGGAATTCCTAAATTTGGAGCTTATGGGACTGCTAATTAAGAAGGATACTAAGAACCAAGTAAAGGAGCTACAGGTATCTAGGGATTTTCAGGAATTGATAATTTATCAATATTTTATTGGTTTTAGTTTGATTTTAATTTATTAATTTATGATTGAAGTAATTAATTTTATTCTTTTAAATCTGATATCTCTTATAAAAATTAGGATTCAACTAATTTAATAACAGATTCTTTTGAGTGATTATTTGCAATAGAGTCTAGCTATTTAGAGGCTGAATCTAATTTTGATAATCTCAAATTCATTATTTAATTTTATTCTAAAATGTTATTTTTATTTTCTTCTGAAACAGATTGCTTTGCTTTTATAGCAGACAAAGTTAAATTCAATTAAGAGATTTCTTTCTCTTTTGATGATTTATATTCTTCATATTTGAAAGTAACACTGCTTAAATTCTCATTCAGCTATTTAATTTTTTCACTTAGTTCTTCATTTTTTTACATTTATTGATTTATTTGATTCTACAACTAGCTTTGTTACTTAGAAAGAGACAACTATTCTAGTGCCTATTATTTTGATTGCTCTAATTCACTCACTTTTGTCTTTTAACAAATAAAATAAATTTAAAATGTTAAGAAAACCAAAAGAATAAATTACTAAAAGCTAAATGTTTTCCTATTTATATTTTGAAATAATTTTTTCCTTTTCTTCTAATTTTTAATTCTCCAGTAACTACCCTTAGAGGAATTGCTGTTTCAAAATATTTTAAGAAACTTGTTCCTACGAATCCTGCTATTTCAGCTTCTGGTTTAGTCTTTCAATCTCTTTTTCAAGTGCTTAAATCTTTTATTGTGTTTACCATAATTGATTTTTTTCTTCAGATTTTTCTTTTCCTATTCCATTTTATCTACCAAAACCTTTTTTCATATCATTATCCTAACTATGATTTTATTCCATTTTTTCCTTTTCTCTCATTTGAATCTCACTCTGCAAATAACGTTAAATTATTTTATTGTTTATTATATAATTAATTATTTTTAATTTAAATTTTACTTTGAATCTCTCTTCGAGCTGTGCTTATTTTTAAGAGCCTTTAACTTTCTCTACATATTCTTCTTCTTATTCTTCTTTAATGACAGAATTATATTACACTTTTTTTTACTAAATGGCTTATAATTCCTTTTGATATTATGCTTCTCTTTCCCTCATACGATTTACCTAATATATATATATTTCCAATAAATTTAACTTTTTGAACCACTAACTAAAATGTAAGGCTTACTGATCTATTTATAATAAAAGCATAATTTAAATATTATGTAAAATAATTTAAGTTTATCTTACTTATCTTGAAGCTAGTGGATTTAGATAAATAAAGTAATTATTTAACTTTAGAAGTCACCTTCATTTTAATCTTTCTTGTAAAAAAATTTATTACAGTTAAACTCTCTTCTTTCAAAATCTGCTACAAAAAATATTTCTTCTCCAGAAACCCCATAATAATCTTCTCTAATAAAATAGCAATCATCGATAATAAATTAACCTTATTAAATATTATTCACAGCTTACTATATTAACATATTTATTAAATCCTAATTATATTAAAAATTATTTTACGACTGTCAATAGATCTAATAGGCCTGAATTTTGAAAGTCATCAATTATTTAGATATTTTTAAAATGATTCTAGAAAGCTTAACACATTGAATTCAAGAAAGAACACATATTCTATGTAAATATTGAGCTTTTTGATTTACTTAGAACTATTGTTAAAGGTGTAAACTTATTTGGATAGTTATTTTTCTGTTATAAAGCCTCAAATCCTTCTAAAATAAACTTTAAAGCTTCTTCACTATACCATGAAATCTGATCCATCAAAATTAACAGCAAGCTATTTATTTCATTCTATTTATAAACAAATATGCAATTAAAATATATATATATTATATAAATTCATTAAAATTAGTAGTAAACTATTTAGTTAAAAATCTATACCTGACCAGGGGTAAGCATTTCAGGAAAAGAATGTACAAGATCTGACTAAATTAATTTATCAAGGAAAATAGTGCTATCTTCGAAAACATCTTTGTAGTCGACTGTAAGTATTTTAAGAATATGTAGAAGAAATAACTTTTTTGCACTATCATGCTTTAAAGATCCATACTATGTAAGAGCAAAAATGATAGCATCAACTCCTCCTGATTGCTCTAAATGATCTAATTTTTAGTTGTATTTGATTTGATAAGATATCCATTCATAAAAAGCAATTATATCCTCAAACTAAGCATTTAACTCCATTTTTTGAATAAAATATTCTGTTATCTCCTCAGAATTCTTTCCATAATTGTTAAAATCGTTTTTAACTTAGATTTTTTCTCTTAGTTGCAAAATAGCTAATTTTTTTTCTTTTGGTCAAAAAATAGTTTTTAATTCTAGTTGGCTTAAGATATATAGCTAATACTTACCTTTTGGTAGAGATTATATGCCTAATTTATCTTTGTCTTTTAATTCTAATAATTTTATAATAGAGTTGAACTCTTAAAGCTAATTTTAAGTTTCCTAATTGAGTTGTGCCATATTTAATTTCTTAAAAAATCAAAATAGTAAATTAATCTGTCAAATATTTATTTATCAAAAACTCAATTATAAATTGTTTCTCTAATTTGTGTAAAATTTAATGTTTGTAAATTTGATATCTTTTCTATCTATCTATTTATTTATGATCATAAAATTTTATTATTTTTTTTCTCAAAACAACTAGATTTGCATTTTTATAATTACTTAAATCAATTTTTTAACATTTTACTTACTTAAATATAAAGGTGAATTAAAAGTAAACAAAATTTTTACGTAAATTTATTGATCTTTTTTAAATAAATATTGACCACAATATTTTTATAATTTTAATCGCTAAAGCTAATTATTCATAAAGAATGTTAAACAAGCTTTAATATTTAATACTATAACTAAAAATTGATTCTATTCTTTAATTAGAAAAATTTTTTTATTAACTAAAACTAATAAGTTTAGGGAGGATATTACTAAATACTAAATTATTTTTGAAATATCTTTAATAAAATGATAATAAAATTGACCTTGCTATTCTACCTAAAAAAATTTTTTTTAGTACCCCCTCTTAATACTAAAAATAAAATGAATATTTAAAAGATTTATTTTAAACATTTTATGAATAAATTACAAAATAAATAAAGTTATTATTTTTATAATTTTCAATTAATCTTGAAATTGAAAACACGGACTGTGTGATCAAGTGAACAAGTAGCAAATTGAAGAATTTTGCTGTTAATGTTAGGCTTATAATTCTTTCTGAATTTAATCCTACTGATTGTATTTGTATGTCCGATAAACTCGTGTGGCTTATCAATCAGATTGAGTTGATTAGTGTTACTTTCGAATTCATATAATTCCATTCCTCCTTCTTCGTAGCCAACAATAATAAGGTATGAGTTTTCATTTTTATATGATATAGGAGCAAATGCTAATGCAGTAATAGTGCTACTTAATACTTTATTAAATATAACCTTTTTATCTAATATTGAGTGAATTTTGATTCTCTTATCTCTTGCACCTGTGGCAATAAATTTCTCATCATGTGAGAAAGCTGCGCTATAAATAATTCTTGTATGGGATTTATCATTATAGTATAGAGCGTAAGGTTCTTTGAAGTTTAATTCCTTTTTAGCTTCGTCAAGATAATTCTTTTTAAATAATGCTAAAGATCTATCTTTGGAAACAGTTGCAAAGTATTCATCACTGGGTGAGAATTCCATCTGGTTAATAGTGAAATTGTGATATTCTAACTTGGAATAAATTTAATAGTTAGTAGGATTCCAGAAAATCACACATGCATTTTCTTTTGTTTAAGATTTTGAGCAACTTGCAATTAATTTGCCATCATTGCTGCAGCTGACACACTTTAATTCATAACCATGTCCATATAACTTATTCAATTCAGGCCATAAGGTATGCTTTATCAAGTAATCTTCAATAGGAGGTTGAGTAAAATCGTGCTATAATTTATTAATTATAATTATTATTTCAATTATTAATATTTTTTTTATTAAAAAAATTATTTTTTACCTTCTAAGAAAAAAGTTCTTCTTCTTTCTTTTTATCTTCAATAGATTAAATTTTATCTGAAATCAAACCACCTTCATCTTCAGGATCTACGTATTTAGAAGGGTCAAAATCTGGTTCAAGTTTAATAGCTTTAATCATAAGACCGAGAACTTGAGCACCACCTAAAATAAGATTTAAAAAGTAAAATTAATTTAAATAATTTGTGAATGATAAAATCATATCAATGATTAAAAAAATTTTATTCAAATATAAAAATAAATGAAAATGAATTAATAATTTACCTTCTTAGGAAACTTGGTATTCAAAGATACCCTTTTCTAACTGCTTTTAATCCAAATATTTCTTTTCTTGATTATCGTCTTAGAAGTATAAATGTAAATCTGTGTTGGACATTTGATTAACTGCATTCACAAAAGCTGCAGGAGGTTCAAATAATCTAACAACTTTTTCGTCAGCTCCGCAAATAAGAGTGTCACAAATATTTTTATTTTCAAGTTAAACAGGATAGCATTTAATGCTATTGATATCGTAACCGTGAATCTTTTAAATAAGGGTTATTTATTAGATTAATTTATTTTACAATTTTAATAAACTTACTTATGCACGAGAAATTTCATGCCAGGATTGAGTTTAAGAAGATTAAGTGATAATTCTTGTTGTTTAATCTAAACCACAAGATACTAAGAAATCTCCTTTAGTGCTCCAATCCAAATCAAATACCTAATTGAAGTGGCCACTAACAGTTGGTTTAGAATCCCAAATTCCCTTTTCTTAATTGTATTCCCATAAGTAAAATGAACCTGTGTATGTGTAAGAAAAAATCTATGTGTAATCAGCATTAAAGGTAGCTTGGAAAAAGGCATACTTGCTTCCTGTTACCTAACCTAATCTGTATGAGGTTAACCAAATATCTATAAATAGAAAAAATATATAATTATTCTATTTTATTTTTCAATAATTTAATTAAAATAAAAATTATAGTGTGGATAAAATGTATTCATTGTTTTTATGATAAAAAGGTTATTTATTGATGAATTATTTTATTACCTGTGTCTTTATCCTTGGTCCATAATATAATGTTAAAATCAAATGATGCAGAGATAAGTGCAGTTTCTCCTTTGTACAAACCCCAGTCAAGACAGACTACTGCTTCACCGTGTCCGCTCAAAACACTTTCTAAAGTGATAAAATACTTCTTATCGCCTAAAACGAATCTTTAAGTTTGCTTATTTTAGAATTCAGAAATTTACTTAATAGTCTCATCTTCTAAGAGCTCACTAAATCTCCATAAACGAACATAAGTATCTTTAGAAGAGCTGGCAATAATCCATTCTTCATGAGTGTCTTTTTTTTGTTTTAAGACCTACAAATCAGTAATTGCATTTTCATGTCCTTTAAGACTAACTTTGTATTCAAACAAAGTACCTCTTTCCATAGTATTTTTACCATCTACTGGAGCTGTATATTTCTTTAAATCAGTGTGATAGATATGAACAGTGAAGTCTAAACCTCCTAAAGCTATCAAAAATTCATCTTTATTAGGATTGTGGCGGATAAGTGCAGTGCATTCTTATGTAAAATGATGTCCAAATGTGATGCTATCCATAATTAAACTTTGATTAGATTCATCGCTTATCTTTATAATATAGACATCACCCATAATATTACCAGCTACGACATATGCAAGATTAGGAGAGTATTCTAAAACAGTGGCAAATGAAACAGAGTGATTGAGATTAAATTTATGCTTAATAGACCAATTTTCCTTGATAAATAGGTTAGAAAGTTTACCTTCCCAAATTATTAAATTGGAATCACTGCTTCCTGAAACAATAAGCTAACGCTCAGAAAAATTATTTATAGTTTTTACAAAGTTAACGCGATCTGAATGTCCACTTAAAGTAAAATAATTAGTAACCTTATTGATATTGTTCACAATAATGCTATTGGAGCAAGCATAAAAGCAAGCTTCCTTAACAGCTTTGCCTAAGGCAAAACATTTATAAAGGGGGTTAACACCTCCTTAAACGCAGCTTAATTCTAATTGACTCATAAAATATTTTTGTTGCTTTTGACTTTTTTTGTTTATTGCTTTTTAAAAACGAAAATTTCTTCTCCCTTTTTTATGCTTAAATTAGCTTCTTAATATTTTTAATAAATGCAAGTTTTACTATATATCTATTTATTTATTTAATGAATATTTAATTAATAGATGACTTTTAAATTTACCCTTATAATAGCATCAAATATAAACAAAAAAAACAAAAAAATCATAAAATAAATTTTGCAGAATGACTATCCATTTACTAATTAATGTCTCCTTTGTATTATAAAATTGGTTTTTTTCTACCAATTTAACAATTTATTGTCAAAATTAATCACTTTAACTCTAAAAATGAGAATTTTCTACTAAATTTTTCCATTTTTTTCCATAGTTGTTAGCTCTTTTTTTGTATTTCTAAATTTTAGTAATGAGTAAATAAAATGAATTAAAAATGCTATGGAATATTCAATAGAGTCTACTTGATATAATTAAGCTTTTTTTGATTGATAGATAGATGAAATTTTTATTTCTTATTTTTTCTAATAAAAACTGATAATTTAATAACAAATTCTTGTTTAGACACTTTATGAATAAGATTTATATCTTTGCTAATAAAATTAAAAAAACTTTTATGATCACCTTTTTGTACTTTTTATTAAAATAATTTTTTTTCAATTTTAAATGCTTTTTCGAACTTAAAATTATTGTGCCTATGAAAAAAAAATACTTACAAATTTTTATTTTAAATTAGTAAAATTTTTAGAAAATTCTTGATTTATTTTCATATAATTTAGACAGGATATAAATAATAGCTTTCTAATAAAAAAACTTCAAAATATTTCTTCCTATTACAAATATAAACTCTTACAGTAATTAATCACTGATTCATTCACTTTGGTAATTCTACTTTTAGTGTTTGAGTTACTCTTTCTGCAATATGTTAGTAGACCTTAGCTGCTACAGAATCTGGATGCTCTTTGACAATTGATTTACCCTTTTCTGTGCAGATTAAGACCTTAGGTTCGAGAGGTACTTTACCTAAGAGATCAATCTTATAATCTTAGCACATTTTAGCAGCACCACCAGTTACAGGAGGGAAAATCTGACTTTCGCACTTGCAGCCAGGACAAATGAAACCACTCATGTTTTCAACAACACCGAGTATATTTGTTTTAGTCTTTTAACAGAAACTCAATTCTTTTCTGACATCTTAAAGACTAACTTCTTAAGGAGTGGTAACTACAATAGCACCATCTCCTTCACCAGGTTACAAGTATTAGACACAGCTGATGTGTTCATCAGAAGTTCCAGGAGGAGTATCGATAATAAGATAATCCAATTCTCCCCAATTAACATCTGTCAAAAATTGTTTAATCAAACCATTCTTACGAGGACCTCTCCAAACAACTGCATCATCTTGATTGCCTAATAAAAATCCTATGGACATAACACCTAAATTATCTTCTACATAAACAGGACTCCAACCATCAGCACTATTATGAACTTCGTGATCAAGTAATCCCAACATTCTAGGAATTGAAGGACCACAAATATCAATATCTAACAAGCCAACTTCATAACCAAGATTTGCTAATTAGAAAGCTAGTTAAGAGGAAACTGTACTCTTACCAACACCACCTTTACCTGAAAGAACTAGAATTTTGTGCTTGACTAATTTCATTCTTCTTTCTACGTCTTTAAGAGCTGGATCAGGTTCGTTTGCTTTTCCAGAAGCACAAATTTGCTGGTTGGGGCATCCTTAGCAAGCAGACATTTTACCTGCTTCTTTATTTTACGTTCCAGGACAACCTTCGTTTGCATTGTCTGGTACAACTTTATTTTCTTCTGTATTTTAACTAGAACATTTAGCTTTATTAGGACAGCCTGCACATGAAGAAGCAGTACCTGCTTATTATGACTGAGTTCCTACACAACCAGTATTAGCATTAACTGGGACGATTTTCTTATCAGCAGTGATATTTGCTTACTTACCAGCAGCACAATCAGGTTGATGAGGACATCCTGAGCAAACTGGTGTTTTACCTGCATTTTAGGCTTATGTTCCAGGGCATTATTCAGGAGCATCAACAGGAACAACTTTGCCATGAACTCCAAGTTTGCCTAAAGCGCAGTTAGGTTAATGAGGGCAAGATACACAAACTTCAGTTTTTCCTGCATTTTATGAATCAACTCCAGGACAGTTTTATGGTGCATTATCTGGAACTAACTTCTTATGCTCTTGAATAGTATTTGATTATCCACTATTACATTTTTATTAATTAGGGCATCCTGAACAAGAGTTTACTTTTCCTGCATCTTGAGAAAGAGTACCAGGACATTAAGTTGGAGCATTATCAGGAACTAATTTGTAATGGACATTTAAAGCTTTTGAAGCACAGTTTGGTTAATGGGGGCATCCTGAACATACTACTGTATGGCCAGCTAAGTTAGATTAAGTGCCTGGACATTAAGATGGTGCTTCTTCAGGAATGATTCTACCATCTAAGTTTGGATTTCCTAAAGCACAGTTGGGTTAATGTGGGCATCCAGAGCAAGGCTCTACCTTTCCTGCTAATTGAGATTTGACTCCTGGACAAGAATCAGGAGCTCCTTCAGGTACAATTCTTTCTTTTTCCATATTTAACACCTATATTTATTATCTATTTACTTATAAATTTAAAATTGTAAATATTTATTTATTAAATTACCTTATACACTGATCTTACTATATTTTTATATGTCTAAATGCTATTCTTCTAATATCTCTCAAATCAAAATCTTTTCTCTTTATTTTAAAAATGAATATTTATATTTTAATTGCTACTATCGTTATTTAGAGTATTTTCACAATAAATTTCCTAAGACATGGATTTTATTCTTAAATCTAGTATGTTCTTTTTAAGCTACGTATTTTTAATTAATATTTAGCTGGCTTGAAATGAGGTCATAGCAAATGACCTCATTCATGATTAAAAAATAAGTATTATAAAATAATTATTTATTTATTTATTTTCAAATCTTAAATTTAATTAATATCAAAAAAATAAATGTAATGAAAAAGATATATTAATTAATATATTTATATAAATGAAATTTTGAAGGGTTTTCTACATCGAAAAAAGCGTGTAACAATTCTATGCATAATAAATGAAGAAATTATATTGAAAATATTTAGTAGAAAGATATATATATATTAAATTTACTTTACTTTAATACTAAGAAATTAATAAAAAATAATTAAAAGATAAATATCTCATCAAAAGAAAAAGTAAACTACTTTCAATATAAATACAAAATGGATAATTTCGATTTCTTACCAGATACTATTAAGGGAAACCTCAGAACTGCTATTTATGGTTTGATCCTCTTCCATATATTTATTTTTACAGTTTGGATTCTTTTGACTATCCCCTCACTATTTAAGCCATCTACTAGCTTCAGTAGCCAAATTGACGATATGATTAAAAAAAATAAAACTAAACATGAATGACAAGCTATTTAGTTGTCTAGATCGATTTTTTTCATACTATATGAAAGCAATATAATTATTTTATTAAAATAAAACAATTTTTTTATGAATAAAAGAATAGATATTATATTTAGGTGGTTATTATTAAAAAAGTAAACTAAAACCTTTGTAGATACATTTATTTTAAGCGATTATTTGTTGTAAATGATTAAATATAAATTATGAATTAATTTAATCATCAGAATTATAAAGTATTTTACTAGTTTGTTTACAAGAGAGTTAGTATAAATAGTTAAATATTTTTTAATCATTGTTTCAATAGGATTTTTAAAAAACCTTTTATTTCAACTTTTTGGGAATATTCTAAGAAACAAACTTAATCAAATAAATATAGAAAGCAAACATATTTTATAAATATCAATAAAAAAATTGAATCTGAATGAGCTAATTTTTTTTGCTTATTGATAAATTGATTTATATTTTAAAGTAAAACATTAACAAAAACATAAATGAAAGGATTAAGATTTTAGAAATTAATTGATGGTACTTAAATCATACTTAAACTTAATATTCTCTTTTTTAATGTAATCTACTGTTTAATTTGTGCTTTCTTTTAATAACACTTCTTTTTTATAATACTATTGGTCTATATTTTTAGTTTTTCTTTAAAACCATTTTTCCATTGCCTATTTAAACAAATGTTAATAAATCAGATATATTAGAATTTTCATCTGCATTCTCAATATTTATTTATGTAGTTTTATCTGAGTCATCTTTTTTTTCCTCTTCTGATTCTTTTTCTTCTTCTTTCTCAGTTTCTCCATCTTCTTTATCTTCCTCTTTCTCAGTTTCTTCATCTTCTTTTTCTTCTTCTTCTTTGTCATCATCTTCTTTTTATTCTTTCTCTTCTTCAGTTTCTTCATCTGAATTTTCACTCTCTTTTGATTCTTCATCTTTTTCTTCTTCATCATTATCAGACTTTTCTTCTTTATCCTCCTCTGATTCTTCATCTTTTTCTTTATCGTCTTCAGAACTTTCTTCTTCAGTTTCAGATTCTGTTTCTTCTTCTTCTTCAGTATCTACATCCTTAGCTTCTGATTATTCACCATCATTTTCTCCGTCAGAGAGGCTAGTTTCTTTATTTTCGTGTGTATCAAAAAATTCTTCTGGAGATTTTAAGTCTGGAAGCTTTTCATCTTCTTCTTCATCAGCTTTCTTTTATTCTTCGAATTTCTTTCTTATTTCTTCTATCCTGGATTCAATCTCATTAATAGTCTATTTAACCTTAGATAACCTTTTCTCTTTTTGTTCAAGCTGCTTTTGTTTCTTTGGATATAAAAATATAATTATAATCTCTTCAAAAATAAGATAAGATGCAAATATAAATAAATTACCTTCTTAAAAATAATTTATTTTTCAGTAGGGGTTTAGTTTTCTTATTCATTTTCTCTTTCTTCTTTTTCCTATTCTATTTCATCATCAATTAGGTTTTATAATTCTTTATTTTCAGCTTACTCTTCTTTTTATTCAGGAGTTAAACTCTTATCAGCATTATCTAAGAATGCCTTTTTGCTTGGACAGATATTTAGGTCTTCATTTTCTTAGTGATACCAGCCTTCAACAGGACATCCATGATTATCACTTGAAATGCATCCTTCAATAAATCTTTTTTTATCATTGCACCAACCACAGTTTAAGTTACTCAAACAACTCTATATAATTAAAAAATAGCTTCATTAAAATTTGTGTTTTATATTTGCTAGGTTTTCAAATCATAGAAAGAGTAACAAAAAACGATAATTTGAAATATTTTTATAAAAATATGTCTATTTTTTATTACATTGCAATCAGTGAACGCAGAGCACTCAGCACCAGCACAATAATTATAATTATAAAAATTACAAGTAATATAAAGTGGACCAATGTTATCACCTTCCACACACTTTTATTCCATATTACACCAACCACATTTAGGGTCTTTAGAGCATTCATTACAGCTAAAATATTGATCACAAACTGAAGATATTTGAGGTAGTTCTTGTTTTAGTTTATCGATTTCTTCTTCTAAAATAATTTATTCATTTTTCAGTTCCTCTAACTGAGATTCCAAAATAATTATTGTCAATTGTTAATTTGATTCTTAACTTTCTTCTACAATCTCTTTAACATCAGTCATTTTTTTACTTAAATGTCTAGCCATTTTATCAACATTTTTAGTTAATTCCTTAGACATCTTTTTCATTTATTTGTGTACATCTTTAGTGATTTCTTTAACACTATCATCTAATTTAGAACTTTGTTCTTTAAGTTATTCATGAACAGGTTCTAGTTCAGTAGCCATGATTTCTTTCATTTTCTCTTCATCTATTACAGTCTTAAGTTCTTCCCTTAATTTTGCGGCTTCTTCTTCTTTTTACTTTCTCAGCTCTTCTTCCTCTTCAATTTACTCAGGTGTTTTACCCCCAGCGGCTGCTGCCTCTTAGTGAGTTTTCATCTTTAAACTAAAGCATTATAAAATCAAGAGCGAAATCAACAGAATAATATAAATACTCTTTTTCATGGTAATTAGTTTTTAGAGTTTCTATGTATTTTTTTTGTTTGATTTGATCTCGTTTCTTAAATATTAATTTGCATCTCAATTGAATTAATCAAAAAATGTATGTATTTTTTTTAGGCTATACGTTTTTCTTATTTTTTTTTTGTTAGTATGAATGATTGATTGTCCATTCATTTATTACAAATTAATGAAAACAATAATGTTTGCATTTATATGTATTTTAAAATTATATGTTTTCAAATATCTATCTCAACTTCAATTACTAAAAATGAATTTTTTTTAATTCATTTTAATAAATAGAATTTGGGAATAAGTTTTTTAAAATAAGTTATATTTAATAATTTTAATTACAATTAAATTATTTTAATTAGTATGATAAATCAGATAAAATCTAAATTATTTAACATTTAGATCACAAACAGTATTATATTAATAAAGTAATTAATTAGGGATGTTAATTTTATGGTAGAAATAAATCTATTCAAATATAATTGTATAAATAAAAAATGGTAAATTGATATTGATAGATCTTTTCATTATTGTACTAGTGTGAATGCTTGATTTTAGTGTATTTTATAGATGTATAATTATTTTTTTTAGATCTTTAATTTAAAGAATTAATAAAAAGATAAAGTTTTTTCGAATCAATCAAAGAAGTATAAAATATGAACTAGGCTTAACTAGTAATAAAATTATTAAATTCTTTTAGCTTAAATATATTAATGGAAAAGACATATTTTTTAAGGATATTTAAGTTTTGATTTGTAAAATACTTTTCAATTAATTTTAAAAAAATTTACTAAGTTAAATGATTTTAGAAATGATTACATTCATATGAAGTGCTTATAATATTAAGTTAAAATTATCAGCTAATTAATTTTTAAATCAAATATCTATGATTATTCCTTATTTTTACAATTTTTTTTAAAATATTTTCTTGCTTATTTCATTTAGAAATAAAATAAATATAAAAAATGAATCAAGTAGCATAAAAATATATGTTTATAAATTATTAATTTGAAGTTTTATATCGTATCTTCTTTAAATGAAAAAAAAAATATATGAATAAATTATTAATATTATGTAAGCGTTTTATAAATTAAAATGAAGAAATTTGCTATATAAAAGAATTTTAAAAAAGGACAGAATTGTTTTGTTTTTGCAAGAAATAGGTCAATATGCAGTATATATAGAAATATGCATTAATAGGAATTTAAAAAAAATAAAAATATTTGTTTTTTAGACTTTAAATAATTTTTGATTGATAATTGATTTTTCAAACTTTATTACCTTTTCAATCTTGCGTGACTATTAATGAATCACGAGTAAGGGAGAAACGAGCGAGTAGAAGTTTGTTTGTACTACTAGTTTATTGTTAAAATCATGACCCTGATTTTTTGTTTGGTTATTATTGCCAGCCAGTCAATATTCAATCGAAAAAAGCTTCTTTTTAAAATTAATAAGAAAGAAGCTTCTTTTTTAATAAGGGAATTGGTTTTTGTGTAGTATTTCTTAATATAGTAGTAGTTATTATCAAAGAGGTAGTAAAGTAAAAAATAATGGTAGTATTTATATAATCTCGAATTAATCAAAAACTGACTATTTTTGGTGCAAATTATTTGATTTGATTTGATTGATTGATTATTAAAAAAAGGAAGGAAGGTTGGTTGTTTAATCAATAACTTGTTTTAATTTGATTTTAACTGAGTTATAGTTAGTTATTGATTATTGAGGTGGAGTGAGTTGCTTCAAATTTTATACTCCATGTCAATATAGTGGTAATCACATAATTATCTTATACCTCTAAGGGTAAGTTCTAGCTGTTTCTTTAAAATTGAGTTTCTGCTTTCGTAGATATTCTTCTTGTGGAGTTCATCTACTTGGTTTTCTATTTAGATTAAGTAAGTATCAATATCAATTGTCTTGAAGAGCTTCTCCCAGCTCTCTATTTCTTTTTTCAGCTTTTGGTTCTAGTCTTCTAGACCTGTCATGCATGAAATGAAGTTAGTAGCACTTGAGGGATCATTGATAAGAACAAGTTTTTTGGAAGGTAAAACATATGGTTGGGAGCTGATGCTTTCTTCCTCATCTACGTTAGGATCTTTTTCTTCAGCGGCTTGCTCTACTTCGCTTTGTTAATCACTAATTTCAGAAGAATTAGTTGAGTGATTTAGATTAGAGTCAGTTTAGCAGATAGCTAGCTAACTTGGTTTACTCAATGAACCATTTAGGATATTGATTTTAATCTGCTACTTCATTATTGTAGACAAATCCTCAATTATAGTCTGATCCTTCTTTTAGATGGTAACTTTAAGAGACTCTATTTCCTTAAGTTATTCAGCTATCTTTTCATTCAACTCAGCTACAACAGCAGCATGATCTTAGTTGAGCTACTAAATAACTTTATCTTTAAATTCAATAGATTCTTTGCGTTTCTTTTCAAGTTGTATTTCACTTTCTAAGAATTCAACGTAGTCCTTTAAGTAGGAGTTTACATCATTCTTGTTGCGCTCCTCGGTGTAGAGCTTTTCTAGTTCAGTATTTTTTTTATTTTTTTATTCTACGAGCTAGTTTAGCTCATTAATTTTTTTAGTGAGTTGCAAGCTTTCCTTTTTGCTATTTTCGATGTTCTATTGTAATTCTGTGTATTTATCCTCTACTTATTTACATTTGTCCTAAGCACATCTTAGATCTCCTCTAGCTTTTTAAAGTTACCTCTCGCTAGCTTTGAGATCCTTTTGTAAGGTATCAATGATTTCTTAGCAATCAATAAGTCTCTTCTCCATCTTACGTTTAGTGGCATTATAGTTTCTCTCTTAGTCGCTCTTATCCTTCAGCAAACTGTCCATTTCTTCTATAAGCACACACATCTCTTAAGTCATATTCTTCTTTTGAACTTCCTATTCCTGCTTTAGCTTTTCCAGTATAGTTTCTGTTTGCTTTAAAATTTCGCCATCAGTGCGAACTATCTCAAAATCCTCCATAATCAGTCAGTCAGTTGAGTATGTGAAACGATATTTTCTTCTTTGTCAAAATTAAATAGTTTTCAGAGAAAGTCACAAACAAGTCTTATGTCAGATTTTTTATTGACTTTTTTTCTATTTTTAATATAATTTTTAATTATAAAGAAAACTGAGTTAATAATTTATCCTTATAATGAACAAAAAATCAGCTGATTTAAATCAGTATTAATCTAATGATTATAAATCAATCAATCAAACAATCGAGATTATAAGGAGTTAAGATTAAATCTGATAAACGAGTCTTTAATTTTCCGATTAATTTTCTACGAAAAAATTTAATAAAATCAAAAAACAATATCAGAAAATGTATATACTAACTCTATCAATTATTTATTTATTTATATATGTCTTAGTATAGATAAGAAATAATTGATTGATTGACTGAAAAAATTTCGTATGAATTATTATTACATATTTCGTTTGATTTTTATAATACATCACTTGCTTAGTTAGTTAACACAATACCGGTTTTGGTTTTTTTAATTGATTTACTTTCTAAAGTTTTTATTGATTGATTGATCTAATTTAGTTTGCTTCCATAAATTAAATTTTAAATTGATTTCATATTATTAGCTATTATTTTTATTAAAATAAACTTTATTTTTCTTTGATCTTACTTTTTATTAATGTTATTTCTTCCATGCAAAAACGTTCTTTGCAAAATTTATTTTGGAATATTAAATTTAATGTTTACTAATAGTGGCAAATAATTCACTGTATGAATTTTCACTATTTTTATGTGATAATATAAAAGATCTAACTATATATGTATATATGATCATATGAAAATATATGTTCTTTCACTGAATCAAAAGTTATAAATTTAGATCGTTAAAGAAATTTGTTAAAAATACACTCAAAAACATGTATGCATGCTAATTACTAGAAAATTGAATATCTTCTATAACTCAATAAATAAAGATTTCAATAATGATAATTATTTATTCTTTGTAGAATTTATCTATTTTTTATATAAATTTGATTCATAATTATACGTTTTTTTTACAATAGTTTTCTTTCAAATCACTTAGCTTGACAATTTTAAGGTAAACCTAAATCACTATTGGGGACATTAGCATTTAATCCCATCCATTATCTCATAGCCTTAACAATAGATAAATCTCTATGTACCCTGGTATATCTATTAGGAGCCCAGGCACCATTTTCAAAGCAATCATATCCACAACTCTATTAAATAATAATTGATTAATTTTTTAATGATATTAATTTACATTACGCAAATAATACTATCAGTATAAAAATATTTCAAATTGTAAGATAAAAAATGTTTGTATGATTAAATTCTAAAGATATTTAATTTAATTAATACAAAAACAACCAAAAAGTTAAAAAATAATTTTTATTAAAATTAGCAATTCAAAAAAATTTAATTACTATTTTTTTATTTTAAAACTATTTTAATTTATTTGTAAGAAAATTTTTAATGAATCTAATAATCAGAATGCTAAATTCAAGATTTTCATAAAAAATATATTTTTTAAGTATTTTCTTGAGTAAATTATGTTTTGTAGTTTTCAAATAAAATTATTTACATTAGGATTATAAGCAGTTTGCTTAGGAACAGAGTGAGTACATTATTATTTGCAAGCATCAGTGGAACAAAGAGCGCAATCACTATTAAATTAATTAAAAAATATTATTAATACTTTTTTTTTACTTTTAATTACCTGTAACCATCAGGGAAACCAAAACCATCGTTGATGAATGAGTATGAAGATAAGACAAGTTTAATCTACCAGTTTCCATCAGTTCTAGTAAATAATTCAACTTCAAAGTGTCTATGGAGATCTTCGTTTCTTTCCTTAACCAAAACAGAACCTTTGTCACCCATATCTCTAGATGATGAACCAGGGAACTGTTTGTAAAATTACAGTAAATTGAAAGCAATTTTATAAATTAATTATATTTTAATTTACTTAATCATCATGGCAATCGTTTTCAACAGCGAATCTTTCAGAAGGAATAACCCAATATCCACAAATAGGGAATTCTTTAGGATAATCACTACTCCATATTTTAATGGAATAGATTTCACTATCAGTCAAACCTTATTGTTTCATCAAATTATTGAAGTTGACAGCGCTATGAAAAAAAAAAAATTAATAATTGATTGAAAAATTGAAATTCTTACTAATCATAATAATTGTTTTGGCATTCTAATAGATCCTTTTCACCACCAATAATAACTTCCAAGTAAGCAATAAAGTCTACAGGGAATTATCCACCCATATTAGCCTTAAATTTAGCAAAAATAGCTGCCAAATTTTCAGGAGAAATGTGCTTGGCAGCATCAATTCTGATACCAGAGAAACCTAAAGACATTAAATCAGTGAAATAATCAGCAATTCTTTATCTGACATTATCCTTTTTTAATTTTCAATTTTTATTCGATCGAAATATTTAAAATTAATTACTTGTTCAGTGTTTAAATCACACAACCCAGATAACCAACCATAGTTTAATATAAAACCATCAGACCATGAGTTAAGAGATCTCTCACAGTGGAAGTCTAAAGGACCATAAGGGACAGCAGGATTTTCGTTACCGGGTCTTTATCCAGTAATATTCCAGGGTTAATAAGCATAACCTTATGTGTAGAAAGGAGATCCAGCTGTGGTATTTTTACCACCCCAATAGTTTGAACCTGAACAATGATCTGGGAAGGCATCATTACCATTACCTAATTTGATAAATTGTTTATTTAATTATTGAGTCTAAATAATTTAAATACTTAAAATTATCAGAGAACAAATAAGAAAATAAATTGTTTTTATGAAAAAAGATAAAATTAGTAATTTTATATTAAAAAGTAAGCAAGTGATATTTTAAATTAATGAAAAATAAGATTTGATTAAAAATAAAAATCAATCATTTGCTTTAAATCTCCTAAATAATAAAAAATACCTGTCATGTGGTTAACAACTGCATCAGCGTAGACTCTGACATTGTACTTTCTGCAAGTATTTATCATAGAGATTAATTCGTCTCTTGTTCCCATACGAGCGTGCTATCTGTAGCTTACAGGCTAGTAAACAAAGTACCACTAATTATAAAAAAATAAAAAAAAATTGTTAGTATAAATTAAAAGAATGTTTTATTTGTGGTGTGAATTAATCAATTGATTTAGATTAAAAGCACTAGTTTTTCTTTGGTTTTCTTTTCTCAAATTACTTAATTCTTTATGGTTAAATTTCAAAATCTTGAAATTAAAATTGAAGTAAATATCAACCACTATTATATACACCTTAAATAAATTATTACGGGATTAAGTTCACCATTTTCGCAACCATCAAAACGGAAGATAGCTTCTTGAGAAGGGAAAACCTTAACTCCCATCCATCCCATCTTGCCCAAAGACTCACATTCTTACTCAACATCTTTGTAGGGCCATCCAAACATTTCAACAATGGCTCCTTTTTGACCATTCTTATAATTGGAGGGTTGGTTGACAGCAGGATGACTCCAGACAAATTGTTAAGGATCAATAACTAAGGTAGCAGTTACCTTTCCATTAGAGTCAACAATTTCAGCTTTCAAAGTTAACTCTGTAATTGATGTATCGACTTTGAAAGAATTAGACTTTTAAGGAGCGTTATTACCAAAAGTGTATTATACTTAAGCATTAGGATCTTTAGTTATAGTGTTGAAATTAACTGTGGCTGAGGTAAGACTCTTATCATAAATAACCTAAGAGTGTCCAACGAGAACATTCATATCTTAATAAGATTCTCTTTTAATTTCATAAGAATTTGTAAACAATAAAAATTATTTTATTTAAGAAATTAATCAACAAAAAGATTACAAACGAATAAAAATTGAAAAGGAAATTATGTATTTATTTATATTTAATTGATAGATAGATTGATAAATACCAAAAATTAAAATTTAATAATAAATTTTTTGTATGTTATTTGTGTAAATCATAAAATAAATTAGTTTAAAAATAGATACTTCCACATAGGATTGCCTCTTGGGGGAGTTTACCAACGTCTGTTTTCCCAATCAGGAGGATTGTCAGTTTATGTTCCGCTCTTGCAACCATTTTCTCCATTGTAGTTGTTGCAGTAATCTTACACTTACAAGTTTTTAGCTCCTGATTCGCTCTTGGTAATGGAATAGGTGTAAACTGCCAATCCTGTTAAGATAGCGATAGAAGTTGCGATTAAAAGTAATTTTTTCATTTTACTTCAAATTGAATCTGATTTTGATTTTTTTTAATTTATTATTTAATTAATTGTTTAGCAGGTTGGATTTTAATTACTGCAATTAGATTTTAAAAATAGTCAAAGTGATGTAAATCAAAAAAGTGATCGAAAAATTCACAGAATTAATTACCTCTAATACGCATACGCACTTTATTAAGTAAAATTCTTAGAAAGTCTGTAAGGTAAATCTTTTTAATTTATTGGCTATAATCAAATTAAGTAAATCTTAACTCTTTTAAAAAAGTTATTTTACTATGTGAAACATTAATGGTAAAAAACATTTCCAATTCTTAAACATAAAATATATGTTTAGTTTGTAAAAATTGAATAAAAATAATGAGTTATTTTTTTTTAATACTCAATTTACACCATAGTTGTTTATTTATTGAAAAATACACTTTCTTATTACTAAATTTATTATTGAATGTAGAAAAAATTAGCTTACAATCAAATTGTTTAATAGAGGCAGCATTCCCGAAATAACCTAGTACTGTAATAAAATTATTCAATAATAAAAAATATCAAAGAATATGATGAAAGAAAAGAGACAATCATTTATAAGTAAAAGATTTAAGCTATCAAAATTGCAAAATTGCCATTTCAATTGCAGATTAGGCAAATGAATGTTCAGAATTAATTAATACACAATTTTTTTCTTACATTTAATGCAAAAATATGCATTATTTTCATAATTACAAAAAAATTATTAAAATAATTAAACTTTTGATCTACTATCGTTTTATTCTGCATATTTCTTTCACTAAAATCTATTTTCATACAATTTGATTCAAGTATCTTTAAACGATTGTTTGTCCAAAAATAAAATTTTACAGGTATTGCAAGAAAGCATAAATAATGTAAAAAATAAACTTTTTTTAAAAGCAAGCAATGTAATAAATATACTTACTTATTTTGATAGCATTAAAATATGTACATTCAAAAACATAGTATTTGTGCATTTAAAAAATTAAACTATTAAATAAATTTATGTATTAAATGAAAATTTTGAAAATTTCAGAGATATTTGCATAAAGTAAACATATTTTATTTATCTAATTGAATCATATTAAGTCTTTATATATGTCATCTCGGTAACTGAAAAGTTTTGAAATTGCACAAAAGTACAAAAAATGTTAAAATAATATTAATTATTCAATTTACAAATGTATCAAACAGAAATAGACGATAGCTATAGTTTGAATCCAACAAGAATAGTTTATCTAAAATCATATTGAAAAAAAAAAGAAGTGATTGAAAAATAATAAAATAATATAACATCAAATATAAAAACAATTTAAATACTATAAATATATATATCCACTAACCAATAAGAACCTAAACTATTTTTTAGTCAATAAATTTTCAAATTCATGCAAAACTATGAAGAAAAGTAGATGAAATAAATATTGATGATTATAAATCCAGGATTTTTAATAAATGTTGAGTTATAAAATCTACAGATTTTATCATATACAAATGACACTAATGAGAAGCTCTCACTGAGTTCGTGTTCTCATAGTATCATTTTTAATGTATTTTTCAATTAAAATTAATTTGTGAATTGTAATATTATTATTAGTTTGCGTTATAAAAAGAAACTTTTCTGTAAAATAAAGATTCAACATATAACTATTTAATTACAAAAAATTTGATTAATATGCAAATATACTTTTAGTTAGGACTGAATATGATACTTTTTTTTCAAAGACAAGTTATCAATAATTTAATATAACAAAAATATATTTTCATTTTAAATTTTTATTATTGTTTGAAAATAAGATATAATAATATAATATTTTGTTTTATGAGCTTACATACTGACAGGATTGGAAGGACATATTATTTAAAAAACAAACTTTGTGTTTATGTTAAGTTAATTTTTATTTTTTTAAAGTAGTCCTATGTACTTTTTATATAGAAAAAATTATTATTAATTTCCTGAATAATTAATTGTTAATTTTTTTTTTTTGAGATAAAATATTAAGCAAAAAAAAAGCACTTTTATAAAATAAAGTAGAACTAAGGAATGAGTTTGAATAATTAAAATAAAATTAGTCACTTTATATTAGTTTAAATATTGTGCTTCGTAACTTAATTTCTTATATTAGCTTTCTTTTATCCAGAGGAAAGATACTTATATCTTTTGTGCTTTAGCATCCCAACTTTGGTTATTTTCATGATATTCTACTACTTTATGTTCTGGAGACCATAATCAAATAGAATCTATACCTATAACTTTATTAATACTTTGCTATTTATTGCCAGCATTTGGATATATTTTGATACTTTTTATGGAATTTATCACAAAACTCTTGATATTAAGCTTTAGGAAGTCTCTCAATGTAAAGTAATTGGAAAGGAAACTGTTGATTTAGGAGGCGTTGAATTTTATTCTATCCTTTACGTCGATTTTGTTTATAATAACTAATAGTTACTAGGCTATAGCTGCTAATCTTCTTTAAGTAAAGAACAAGCTAATTCTAAGATATCTCCAAATGAATTCTATTTTAAGAGAGATAAAATTGCTTGCGATTATTATAGTTAAGATTCTATTGGAGTACTCTAATCCGAAAGCTAAGCAAACGGTTATCAACAGTAACATTTAAAGTCAAACAAGGATATTATTTATTAGAATAGTTAGCCTATTCCAGGATGTTATAATTAATATACTTTTAGTGACGTAAAGCTTCCAAGCTGGTTATGCATTCCTTCGGATTTTCCCTTTTAGACAATGATTGATAGTGAAAAGTGCTACTTAAATTTTTATGGTGATATATCAAAAGCCTAGCAAAATGCCTTAAGTAGAGCTGCTCTTAAAGATGTTTAAGACTTTGCTTTGATTACATATAATCAAATCCCTATTCCAAAATGGACATATTAACCACTTTTAATTTTTGATTTTAACATTTTAATTATTTCTTTGAATTCAATTTACTTTTACATTGTTTTTTTCTTCAAATAAGCCTTGTTACATGTGCTTGGGAAAAAAATATAATTTTAAGAATTAAAGGAAGAAGACTGCTTGTTTTACAACTTATAAAAATAAAAGGAGTAAAGAGTTTTATTAAATTAAGAGAATAAATTTAATGCTCTTTCAGAATTAAATAATACAAATGAAGTAGTTTAGTAATCAAAAAATAAGTTAAATTGTATGATGAAATAAAAATCTCTTTCTTAAAATAAAGATATTCATTAAGATTTAGATAAAAAAATGAAAGAAAATCTAAATTTAGATTAAAATAATTTTGAAAAAGAACAAAAAAACTCTTAATTTTAATAGGATATAGTTAAAAGTCAAAAATAGTAGGAAAATTTAATAACTGATAACTAAATAAACTAATATTTAGCAACTGAAGTAGATTACGTCTAGGAAGATACAAGCTTAAATAGCTCAAAACATGAAAGAGAGTAAGATGAAAGCTTACAACCCTAATTAATAGAATTATAAACATCAAGTGTTTCTTCAAAAAAAACTTGTGAATCAAAGAAAATTAATTATTTTAATTCACCAACTGATACACTAATTTCTTTCACTCCTAGAAGAAAAAAATTGACAGCAGCATAGAGCACTTTTAATTGAAATATAAAATAAAATGCTAATAAATAGCTAATTTTTTTGTTGATAAATAATATAAAAATTCTAAGATTAAAAGCAGTAATTTTATTTTTATAATTTGTTGAATGAGCTAACTAAAAGAAAAAATTTTTTTTCATTAAAATTCATATGATTTAACAAAAAAAATCTTTCAAAGGATTTCTTATTTGTATTTATTAAAAAAAATAAAATAAATCTGAATTTTAAATAAATTTTTTTGATTTAATTAATTAATCAGAATAAAGTAATTTTTATAAATTTAAATTTATATTTTAAATTAAAGTTTTTTGATGTTTTATTATATTACTATTAATTTTATTCATTAAATAAATAAATATTATTTTAAGTTAAATTTTTATTTATTTAAAAAGTTTGGAAATTAATTTTTTAAATTAAAAGAAAAAAATAATTTTTATCTTTAAATGCTGAAATAATTGGACTTAAACTTAAAGAATCTAAAAAAAATATATTATATTATATTATTTATAAAAAGTGAGCAAAATGTTATATCCTTAATATAGTCACAAGTGCTTAATTTTGATAGAATTGATATCAGTGAGTATATCAGAAGATATTTTTGTTGCTATAGACAAATAAATCAAAAACAAAATTTGGCAAGATATAAAAATAAAGAAAATAAATATTTTAAATAAAAAATTTGAGATATAAATAAAAAATGAATAAATAAAGACTCTACACATTATAAAACATTTATTCATCAATTTATTTCAGGATTTTTCAACTTACAAGAAAGAATAATTTTTATTAAGAAAATTTATTAAAATTATAAATAAATTAATATTGATGTCCAACAATAATAAATATACTTTTTAATTACACTTATTATAAAATAACTATTATGAATGAGTTAAATAATATTTATTATTTCAAATTTCAAATTTATAGTTGACATTATGAACTTTTAAAGCTTGTTATAATCCTTCGCAAATTTATTTAGTTTCATATTTAAGTTGAGATTGTCTAAATTCAGTCTTATTTCCATTATGCTTATCAACCTTTTCATTTACTCTGCTTGAGAGAATGTCCCAGAATATGGGGAAATCCAAGTTTTTAAAAAGCTCTTCATAAGTTAGGAGTTCACTTTTTAAGGTTTCTACTTATTCAAATATGTTATTAACAGACTCAATTCTTGAGAACATTAACTTGTTTTAGTCTTTCTTTTTTAATTCTTCTTCTTTCTTTTATTGTTGACTCACAATATCATTGTTTCTTCTGATTAAGGATTGGTTCAATTTATTTTATTCTTGAATTTAAAAGTTAGTTGCATCAATCAATTACTTGAGTTTATTCAATTCCTCTTCATAGTGATGAGCTTTCTCAGTTTATTAAGCACATTTTTTCTAAGATTATTCTATTATTTGCTTGGCGTCATTAAGTTCACTCTTTAACATTTTAATTTCATTTTCTAAACCAGTTATTTAAGCATTTTTTATATCTAAGTTAGATTTTTCATCTTCAAACTTTTTCTATTGCTCTTTGACTTGCTCTTAAAGTAAGCTGTTTTCTTCAGTTAATTATTTAATTCTCTTTTCTTGTTCGAAGTTAATTGTTTCTTTTTCTAAGATACATTTTTAGGCTTATTCTAATTTTTCAGAAACAATTTAACATTCCTTTTGAAGTTAAATAAGTTCTTATGGATTACAGAGGATTTCGTAATCATCATTCTTTGATTCTGAACTTTAGAGCTTATTTGAAGCATCAACAGCAGCAACACCTTCATTTTCATTCTTTTAAACTGAAAGTATTTTACTCACATCATCGTCATAATTTTCTTGACTCATTTCTTTAATTTAGTTTTTATACTTTTTACTTTTTTTAATTAGTTGTCTAATAAATGAATTTTTTAGATTTGAAATACATTATAAATATCATTAGAATTTTTAAGAGCAAATAAATCACTCCAATTTTTTTACAAAATGATTGCTTAATCTGAGCAGAAATATTTTAAATATACTAATAAGCTGATATTGATATTAATTTCATGTTTATTGAGATATCTATATATATCCTTTTCAAAATTAAATCTATCTATTACCCTCTACTAAACTTTTTCATAAAATTCTAAATTTTATCTATATCATCCATCATATATCTAAATATTCTAACTCTAATAGATATTTAAATTTATCATAAAAAAAATATAAAAGTAAAAAAGTAAATTTATTTATTTTAATTGAATCAATTATTTACTTATTTTCTTTCATTCATTTATTAATAAATATTTTTTTTAAATAATTCAATAAACTAACTATCAAAAAAACTATTTTATCTCTTTTTACTTTTAAAAAATAAAAAATATTCAAAATATTTATTTCTTTTTAAATAAGTAATAATTTAAAATATCAAACCATAAATTTTGCTTATTTTAATATTTAAAAAACGATTAAAAAATGATTAATTTTATTTAAAAATTTACAAATTTAACATGATATATTTTATTGTTTTAATTTTTAAATCATAAAATCAAAATTAAAAAAATATTTTTCTTTTTTTTTTAAATTTATTAAAAATTTAATTTTTTAATTTAAAAGCTGCTGAAAAAACTAACACAAATTAATTGATTGATTTAAAAAAATTTTATGTTTAGAATATTTTATAAAATTAAAGTTTCAAATAAAAGAAATATAATTTTTATAGTTTATATTTAAGGGATATAAATTGTATGAATAAAAATAATATTTTTAATCAATATTCAACAGCAAATTTATTAAAACTTCTAAATTAATTAGTAGTATGTTTATTGAGAGTCTTATTTACAAAATTATCGATTATGTAGCCCACACGTTCAGGTTAATCGTAAGGAGCTAAGTGACCAGCAGCATTAATAAGGGCATATATGAACTTATCATATACCTTAATTGATCCAATAACTTCTTAGTTGCCTTATTCATCTGGCATATGGAGATCTTACATAGGTAATGCTGAGAATACTTATTTTCCATACCATTCAAAATTATTAACTGCATAAGAAATACCTGGGGTGTTAACTTAAATATCATAATTACCGTTGTAAATAATAACTGGTAAATTTTATTCAAGAACATTAACAAGGGCAGGAATACCATTAGGAACAAAGACGTCATGCTTTAGAGAGTTAGAAATTTTTGCACTTGTACTGTCATATACATGGTCTTTATCGAATCCAAAGTTTTAAATATAGGTTTAGCAGAAATGTTTAACGTACTAGTCAGGATAAGGACCTATATTATAGTTATAAGGATTTTCTAACTCGGTGAATGCCTTACTCATGAAAGTTTCCATAGCTTCGTCGTAATCGTCTGCGGCTTCTTCGTACATATTTAGATCAAAATGTTGTTTCATTCTTGTTAGAATATTGTTTACTTAGAAATATGTGCTGTATGAAATGAGATTATTTTCAATACCATATTGTCCTAGGAAATAAAGCTAATGCTAAGGGTCTAATAAAGGATCACCAATTGAAATACCTTTAAGAGGAATTTTTACATTTCCTGTAACATCTGTTTAATTGTTTTGTTTAAGAATTTCAGTGGCGATATTAGGGATATACTTTCCGCAATAGCTTTCACCAGTAATAAACAATGGAGACTTATGATATATACTATCACTATAGCAACCAGAAGTATAAAAGTTAAGAAGACCTTTGTAAAATTATTCTGCGACTTAAGTTTCATTAACTGGAAGATATTCGTCTTTAGCAGAACGAGAAAAGCCGACACCAATAGGTTAATCAATAAAAAGAACATTATAGTTTTTAGTCCATGCATTTTCATTCTATTCAACAACCATCTAATTGCTGATATTTAATACTCTGTAAGGGCCATTTTCAAAGAAAGCTCCTTCCATACTGCTTGAACCTGGACCACCTATTCATTTAAAAATATTTTTAACCAAAAAAGATAAAATCTAATAATTTTAACATATGCAAATAAAAACAAAAGAAAGTATTTATTACCATTCAACCAAATGAGAGTTGGTGCAGCTGCAATTTCTTCTGGAGTAGTAGCATTGAACTTTGTGTAAAACAAAAAGCCTAAACCAGTAATATTATCATTAAATCCTACATCTAAGTACCCGGTGTATAAATTATTATTAGGAGCATATACGTCAGTGTATTTATTACATGTATTTTATCTACAACTAGCAACTGCTAGGCAGATTGCAAGCAGCGACAACAGCATTTTTGTATATTTACTCATTTTCACTAATTAATAATATTTTATCATAATTAATTGTTATAATTTTGGATTATATATTAATTAATGTCATTATATAAATTAACAATTACCTAATTAATTAATAATAATATTTATTATTACAAGTAACAGGCTACATTTCATTTATTTTTATCATTAGGAATAATCACGATTACATTTTAATTCTTTTATAATTTTTTTAATTAATTAATTTTATTTATTTTTTTCAGTATACTCCAAATGAATTTACTTTTATTATTATTTATTTAAATTATATTTTTAGAAGCAAAAAAAGCTAGCATGTAAATCTTATAATCCTAATTATCTAATAAATGCTAAATGTTGAATTTATTATAAAAATCCAAAAAATAAGATTAAAACATTATTTAAAGATAAAATTGTATCTAATTTATTAAAATTAAATTCAATTAAAAACTAATGAAGAAATTATTAATTAAATTTTTAAAAATAATAGACAAAACCTAAATTCCTCTACTCGCCTATTTATTAAATTTATATAGTTTTGTTATAAAAAATTAGAAAGCTTATCTACAATTTTGATGAAATTATATTTATTTTTCAAATATGACAATATTTATTATATTGCATGTTAAACAATTGATAATAAGTACCTACAAAATCTCCAAAAAAATAATTTAAAAAAAATTTACTATCAAATCCAACTTAAGCGGGTTAATTTAAAAAATAATGCTTTCAATTTTCTAACAAATTTAGCATAAAAATGTAAAATTAAAAAATTTAAAGAAAAGTAGATTAAATTATAAAAAAAATTTATAATTTTTATTAATTAAAATATGAAAAAATCATTAAATTTATATTTTTTTACTGTTCATATCCCAAACTTTTAATTTTAGTTTTAAAATAAATTGTAAAAACAAACAATGCTTGACTATCATAAAATTTAATAAACATTTATTCTCATTTTTATATTTATAAGATAGAATATTATTTTAAATTATTTATTATTTTAGAAATAATTTTATATTAATTTTGTTAATTCCTAATAGTTAAAAAAATACTTTTCCTATGAATTAAGCATTCATTTTATAGAAATTATTTATTTTTTCGATAGTATTAAACTAGCACCTACTTTTTTTGTATTGATAATAAACCAATAATGATTATATTAATTTTATTAATATTGAAATTTTAAAAATTAATTTTAATTTATTTAAGATAATTAACAGTATTTTGTATTTATAAAAAAAAAAATAATTTTCAAGAGGTGATTATGATTTCTTAAAAACAAATAATTTATGATTATTTAAATTTTGTATTAAGACAAAACAGAAAAAGTAGAAATAACATTTCTAATTATATTTTTGATTTATCCTTTAGAAACATAAAATTTATGAATTTTTTGAAATAAAGTAAGAAATGGACTTATTCTTTGGTAGAAATTAATCTCAAAAATAATAATTAAAGTTTTTAAATAGATTTCAATTTGATTGACATAAAAGTGGTTTAAAAGTGTTTGCAAATTTTTCTTTTAAAGATAGATATATAATTAATAGTAAACTTAATTACAGAGAGGTTCATTGAATAAGTATCGTTTATAATTACTTGAAATACGAGTTAAGGATAACATTAATTAAACATAAAAAACAGAAGAAATTACAAATAATCTAACATTTTTATAAATGGCGCTAGGAAACCTTTACAAAATTCAATAATTTTTATTCACTTAGCTTTTAAGCATGTTAATTGCAATCATATTCTTAACCATTTAGTATTATAAGGAATACAACATTAAATACTTCTTAATTTGCTCTCCTGTTCTTTTTTTATTTATGATAATATATTATTACTCTTTTTGGCGATCATAGGAGTAATAATTGAGATGCTTTGCTCTAATAAATCTCATTCTTCTTCTTTGTTCTGGGGCTAGCTTTTTTGGAATATATTTTGGAGTTTTTAACAAAACTTTAAGCTTTTCTCTATAAAAAGCTTCAAATTGCTAGATCATAGGCAGTATGACAACAATGCTCAGTGGCCAAGAGAAATATTCTATATTATATGTAAATTTTGAAATGGATGGAGTTAATATGATGGGCTATGGCTGCTAATCAAATCTTTACAATGCTGACTTGTTTTAGAAAATAAATCCTAGTGATTTCTATTTTTTCAATTCTAAAATTCCATGCAACAATGAATCTTCTAATAGGCTATTAAATCAATTTAATATAAATTCAAGTGGTGAATTAACAGACTAAATAATAGAAAATACTGAAGATAGTTTTCATGAATATAAAAGGTATCTGGGATAAGACAATGATAACTGTGTAAATTACTATAACTTTAGCGAAGTAAAATTACCTAGTTGGATGTGTATGCCATCTAGTACTTCATATGAAGAAATGATATAATTAAGGACATGTTATATAAGCTCATATTAAAATTATTCGTTTGGATCCAAGGATAAACCTTATTAAAATGCATTAGAAAGAAAACCCCTTTAAAAAGTAAGCTCGTTCATAATTGTTGAGTTCGATGATTTGGCAGTTCCTTTAAAATACATGATTCCATTGATAATATGTACTTTCTACCCTTTTATAATATCTACCAATTTGCCAATGATTTTTATAACTTAATTTTTGATCGATATCTATTTGAAATATAGATTTCTAAAACCAGAATAATAGATAGATCAAAATTTAATTTTGTAATAGAAAATCCAAGAAAAATCTGAAACTGTTTTGCAAAAGTAAATCTCTTTTTAGTCCCCAACAACAATTCCATCTAAGATTTAAAACGAAGAAAGGAATAATTAAACATCTTAAGAATTAAAAAGCATAAAAGTTGAGAATTCTACCAATGAAATCAAACACCATATAAAATCTCTTAGTGGTGAGGAAATTAAATAAATTAAACTTAAATTTTAATAACAAACTTAAAAGGTATCTAAAAATTATCATAAGGCAAATTCTGTAGAAAATTCTAAGGATAATAATTAAAATGATGATATTAATATTGTTGACGAGGAATAAAATAAGCATATTTCTTAATCACAAAATGAAACTAAATAAAATCAAAACTAGTAATAAAAAGTAAATAAATACAAGAATAAAATTAATATTTTCTAGCAAAATGATAGCGATTTAAAAAAAATTCAAATAGAAAATGTGTGATATAAAAATTGATTATAAAACTTACAATTTCAATAATAAAATTTAAATATTTTTCAGTGAACTAACTTAGTATTATCTCACTTAAATACTCCCTCTAACTAATTTTCTACTAAAATTTATTAATCTGATACATTCAATTTAGAATCAAATCATTAAATAGAATAATAACTAGCTAGTTAGTTATGAAAAAATAAATGAAATGCTTATAAATTAAATTTTTGAATATTTGATTAACGTATTATTGTTTTATTTATAAATTCTATTTATTTTAATGAATTAAAAATTACTAATTTTAGCTTCAGTGAATTTTAAATAAGTAAATAAAATCTTATAATTTATTTATTTTTTCATTCATTAGTAATTTTGTTAATATTTAGTAACTTAAAAATCTACAATTATAAGGGCTAGATATTTTAAAAGCTTTGTCTATTTCATAGAATTTAGTTAATCTATTTTTAAAGTATATTTTTTCATCAATTAAATTGGGCTTTAAATATTTTTCTATTTTGTAAATCAAAATATATCAAATTACTTGATATCATAGTGACTATTTGCATTTTTACGATATTTTTATCAAGATGATTAAATATTTATTTTGTTTGTTATTTTAAAAATATTATTTTATTTTCTTTATTTTTAGAATTAAAATTTAAATCTTGATAAACAATTTTATTTTCAATAAAAAAACACAAAATAAATTTAATTTATAAGTTAAAATATTTTCATATTAAATTTGATAAATAAACTGTAGAAAATAATAATAATTTGTTTCAATCAAGATGATTTATACAATTTGAGAACATTAAAAAATGCTAGTAAATATATTATGACAGTGATTGATTATATATTACTAAAATAATTTAAACCTGAAAGATTACTTAAGAGCTAAAAGAAATGTGTGGATTTTTTCACTTCTAAATTTAAGCAAATTTCATTATTATTTAGGTGAAGATTTTTGAAAAATATAGATCCATCAACTACTATGCATTTAGATGTAATTAAAATAAAGATAGATGAATTGTGCAGCTTGAAATTAATCACTCAAATTAAAATAATTAAGCCTACAGATTAGCTTTTTAAAAGTAAAATACAAAAAAACTTATATAAAAAATAAAGAAAAAAAACAAAACAAAACAATACTCACAAATATTATTATTTTATAAAAATTGTCACATTAGTCCTACTTAAGCAAAAGATTCAGAAGAGTTTTAAAGAAGTCTAAATCAATAAGAATGGGAAATCATAAATCAACAGGAGCAGAGTCTGATAAGAAACACAAATCAGGATTGTAATATTTAAAAAAAATAATATGATTTAGTTAGTAGTCTTTCATTTAGTTAGTTAATCAAATCTCTTAAATAAATATTTGATTGCAAGATTAATTGCAATATGCAGCAGTTTTAAGATCAGATTAACAAATTAATAATGATAGCTAATTATAAAATTTTCTGTATATTTTTTTAATCATTGTTACTTTCTAGGATTATAAAAACTTGCACTTGGAGCAAAGACTCTCATTCATTGTATGATTATGAAAGTCAAAAGCAGATAAAAAAAGATGTTATTCCTGTAAGCGGAACATGTAAATTAAATATAGTAATTTAAGTCATGAAAATAAATAAATTTTTTAATAGGTAGCATAGTGAGAGTAGCAGACGAAGTTAAGCAAGATTCATAATCGGAAAACGAATTAGTAATCATTTATTTGATCGAAGCTCATATAATATAAAAATATTATAATTTTTCCATTGTATTTGCAAATTTCTTATGTAATAATAAGTATCGAGAACTCGCTAAATAAATAAGAAATTTGCAATAGGATAGATTAATAAATAATTAAATAAAAATTCCAAGGCAAATAATTAACTCTTTTTTTAATGAAATAACAGTAGAAAGATAATTTGTTTCAGATAAAATAGAATAGAGGCGGATATTACTTTTCACAGGAATGCATGTAATAATAGAATTACGATGGTTTAAATAAAAACTCTGCCTGGATAGTCGTCAGATCTCTACAAAATCTTTCAAAAAATAAGACATAAGTAAATAGAAATTTAATAATTTTTTTATTTATTTTGGAAATGCAATAAATTAATAATCCATCTATTTCTTTGGATTGGTTTTGATTAAATATATTCATAGATCAGTTGATTTATCAAAAAAAAAAAAAATCGATCAATTTAATAAAAAGAAATTTGTTATAAGGATATAAATATTGATTTATTCATTGATCTTTTAGTCAATCAATTAAAAAAGAAAGACTAGACTGATATATTTTAGCTTCTCAATTAAAAAGTAATCTGATTGACTCATAAATTTATTTGTTTATATTAAAAAAGGGATTCTAGCTAAGTGCAAATGACTATATAAAATTAGGAAGAGTCAGATTTAGAGTAAAAGAACTATCAATCAAAAACTAAAATACCACAGACAAAAGCAGCGCTAATGTAATAAATAAATAAATAAATAAATAACATCATTTCCCTTATCTTTTATTATACAATTTTACTTTTTAAGTCAGCTTTCAAAAAAAGACTTTCATCTGGTTTCTTTAATTATATTTATTTACTTATTAAAATTTAATACTTTGAAATGCTCGAATTAATAAATCTTAAATTACTCAACCAATCAACCAATCATTCATTCATTCGTTCTTTTGCTTGTAAATCAGAGACTTTTGAATAAAACTTTTTCTTTTTAGAATTCATTAAAGAGATTAACATAAATTTTTTCTTATCACAAAGCACAAATCAAAAATATTTCTATAGAAATTTTTTGCTAAAAAGTGAGAATAATTGATAATAAGTAATTAAATAATTGAATGAAATCTAAGTTAATATCACAATTTTACTGAGGGATTTTTATTATATTTTAAGGGTTTTTGAATGAATTAGATATAGCTAAAAATAACTGTATGATTTTTATATTTGCCTTACTGGCTAATATATCATTAAAAATTTTGTATATCTCTATTAATTTTTTCGAACTTAATAATTGCTTAACTCTATAATAAAAGAAATCAACTTTCTAATCGAATTTTTTAATATGAAAAGGATACTTCTGATAATAAGGAATACACAGGAGAAAACAAAGAATCTTGTCGTATTTGTTTAGCAGATACTTATACTAAGAAAAACAGATTCATCTAACCATGTAACTGTGCTGGTACTGTTGCTTATGTGCATGAAGAATGTCTCCAGTAATGGTTAAAAAGTAAGATTCACTGTAAGGAGACTTCTATTCATTCATATTACTCTATGAAAAACCTAGAATGTGAATTGTGCAAGTTTAAATATACAGGTTATTAATTAATTAATTTTTATTATTAATTTTAACAAAGCATTTTATATAAAATTATTTTTATTCAATTTAGATGAAAATTCATTCGTGGGAAAAAACTTTGAAAGCGTCCTGATATAAAAACCTAACTGCCCTTATTTAATGCTAGAACTTTTGAGCAAAGAAAAGAGTATTGTAAGAGCAATACAGCTTATAAAATTTGAGAAAGTTTCATAAATAATACTTGTAATTTGGCTTTTAAAATATTTAATTATAATATTTATTTTATCGAATATTAAAGGGACGTGGTAGCGACAGCGATATCAGGATTAGCGATATTAGTGTTTCTAGAGAGCATGCAATTATTAAACTCGAAAACAATAAATTCATTATTGAAGATTAAAAAAGTAAATTTGGAACTCTTATTCTCATTTAAAGACCAATTGAGCTAAGTCCAAGCTTCAATAAAATAGAAGTTTAAATTGGAAGATCTATTTGTTATTTCTAAATCAAGAAGCAATCTAACTTTTTAACAGCCTGCTGCTCGTAAATTATCTTTTATCTTTTTTTAATTTTGTGGAAATAAAATAAATAATGATTTTTATTTGTTTTATCATAGTGGAAAAGGATCTAAAAAGAATGATGTTATAAACAGTACAGTTATCAGCAAAGCAACTTAAGCTGAATTTATGGAAAACGATGCAAGAATAAATGTTTCAAATCAATACATGTAAGATGAAGAATAAAAGAATTAATTTGAGTAAAGTAGTCCTTTGAGACAAAACAGAGTTAATGGAAATGGAGCTATGATTGTCAGTCCTTCTCGTGTTCCTCAGAGAGGTGGTGCTATTGGAACTAGACAGAACTTACCTGATACTATGTAGCATATTTTCGCTACAAACCATTAAATATAACAGCCCCAGACAGTAGAAGATTTGCAAAGAATGGAAGAAATATAAAGAAATATAGAAAACGAAAACAATATTTATAGTAATAATACCCATAATAATATAGAAAATCCAGAGAATGAAAATTAGGAATCGCGAGTAAACTAAGTTCCTACTTTCCTATAAAACAACTAATTTTAAATAAACAACATTTCTGATAAAAAAAAATGAGCTAATTGACAACCTCGCCTATCTACAAACAAATAAGTTGTATTAGCTAATTATTCTTTACTTACTCTTCTACTAAAATTTTAATCTAATAAATAAATTTATATAATCAAAAACAATTTTCTTGATCTGAAGTAAATAGCATGTCCGCCACCTCTAAAAATAATCAAAATAAAAAATACATAAAATTTAAGCAAATTCAAAAAAATTCTTAAAAAAAAGAATGAATGAATGAATGAAGATGGATACAAAGAGCTATCAAAAAAGAAATAACTAATAGAATAATTTATTAAAATCTATAAAATCATAGATCTAATTCCAGTTTTTTTCTTCTACGAAAGTGAAAGTTAGTTTTATAAGATTGATAGAAAGATATTTGTATCTATTAGCATTAAAATAGAATTAAGATCTTCTAAGATATTCTCTATCCCTACCTTATACCTCTCTTTTACTAATATACCTATAATAAATAACATCTACTTATTAATTTATGATACTCCTTTTATTCAAAATTATTAACTAAAATAAAAATTTATTACAGAAATCTTACTTTTAAATTCTAAAAGTTAAGCTTCTAATTACTATTAAATAAATAAATAATATATATTTATCTTGTATTTTGTAAAAATATTTCACTTTTATTGCCATTTCAGTTCATTCTATTTATTCATTTCTATACTTTTTGCTATTAACTTAATAAAATATATTTTATACTATGAAAATTTACTTTGTTAAGTTGAGAGAATTTAATTCTTTTTATAAAAAATCTATCTTGAGATTACTCTAGTATCATCTAAAAATCAAAAATAGCTATTTATAATTTATTGGCGCAATCCTTAAAAGATCGCGGGTATTATGAATCACTAACTCATTCACTGGCTTGCATCGCTTAACTTTGAATTTAGCTTATATATCCGCTATATTTTTACAAATCAAATTTTAATTTATAAAATAAGTGAAAAGTAAATTGAAATTAAAAATAGAAATTTAACAAATAAACAGACTCAGTATAAATGAAAACAAGACATTTTGATATAGTTTTAGCTTAGACTTTAAAAAAATAGGGTATAGGTTATAAGAACAGTTTACCATGGAGACTACCTAATGAGCTTAAAAACTTTAAAAAAATAACTACAGAAACTAAGAACAAAGGCCTATAAAACGCTGTTATCATGGGTAAAAATACTTGGGAAGCACTACCTAAAAAGCAATAACCATTGAAAGATCGCTTAAATATTGTTATTTCCACTACTATGCAAGAGGGGTAAATTGCAGATCATTCCTACGCCTGTAAAAGCTTAGATTCTGCTTTAAACTTTTTAGAATAGTAAAATTAAATATAAGATGCCCTTGTAATTGGAGGAGCTAAACTTTGCCAATAAGCATTAAGCGATCAGAGACTTAGATAGATTCATCTAACAAGAGTAGGTCAGTAGAATTAAATTTATTAAATACTTTCTTTTTATGAACAAAAGAGATAATTAAATAACTTTTCAAAAATATTTAGGTGTCGAAGTTGAGTGCGATGTTTTTATGCAAAAGGACTACTTAAAAAACTTTGATATGATTGAGGTGTCTGAAACTTAAAGCGAAAATAATTTAAATTATGATTTTACTAGGTATTTTAATAAGAATTATAAAGGATAAGTTGACCCTTCTCTCTTTAAGAAAATGTACAAGCCTCATCAAGAATATTAATACTTAGAACTTATCGATGAAATTATAAAGAATGGACATGTTAAAACAGACAGAACTGGAACTGGTACAATTTCTCAGTTTGGCAAGTTGATGAGATTTGACTTATCAAAGAGTTTTCCTCTGCTTACTACCAAAAATGTTTTTTGGAGAGGTGTAGTAGAAGTAATAAATATATTTATTTATTTATTAATTTATAGTTTGATAGATTTAAAAATGAAATTTAGTCTGATTTTTAGTAGAATAAATAAAATAATCTAAATATATAAATTAATAGGAACTTATTTGGTTTATCAAAGGCAGTACAAACAGCAAAATACTTTCAGAAAAAGGAGTTAAAATATGGGACGGTAATGGCAGCAGAGAATTTTTAGATTAATTAGGCTTTAAAAACAGAGAAGAAGGAGATTTAGGTCCTGTTTATGGTTTCTAATGGAGACACTTCGGTGCTGAATATAAAGATATGCATACAAATTATAAAGGTAAAGGTGTCGACCAGCTTCAAGATTTAATTAACACAATAAAGAAAAATCCTGACAGCAGAAGGATGATTATGAATGCCTGGAATGTTAAAGATCTACCATTGATGGCTTTACCTCCTTGTCATGTCATGAGCTAGTTTTATGTAAATGATAATAAACTAAGCTGTATGATGTACTAAAGATCTTGTGATATGGGTTTAGGAATACCATTTAATATAGCCAGTTATGCTTTATTGACTCATATGATAGCTTAAGTCACTAATATGTAAGTTGGAGAGTTTATACATGTTCTAGGTGATGCTCATGTTTACTCTAATCACGTAGATTAACTAAAAATTTAATTAGAAAGAGCTCCATACCCCTTCCCTCTTTTAAAAATTAATAACAACAAGTAATATAACTCTATTGAAGACTTCACTCTTGAAGATTTCGAATTAATTGGATACAACTATCACCCTAAAATATAAATGAAAATGGCTGTCTGAAATGATTAAAGACTTATATATTTTGGATAATCTTACTACTAAAATACTAACTAACTTAAATGGTTATATACAATAAATCTATCTTAATAAGCTATTTTAAATTTTAAATCAATCGTTCAATTCTTTATTTTATAAACTTTCAAATCATTATCAAGCAAATTTTAAATAAATATTTTTTTTTTATATATTGTTGAACTTTTGTTCAGCCTGAATGGCATAGAGCTAAGTAATTGTAAAGTTGAAACATTAAAAATCAAAATTCAATAGAAAATTTGGAAAAAGAATTTTTTATTTAGTTAGAAATAAAACAAATTATTTATATAATTTTTTATAGTTGATTGATATATTTATTTATTTAATTTCATATTTAGAGTGAGCATAATCTTAGGCACTTTAAAAGCTAAGCTCTAATTAATTTTAGATTTTATTTGAATCTTTATATTATAAAAATATTAAATATTATTGTAGAAAATAGAATTTAATTACTGAATAGGCATCTTTATAGATTATAATTTTCTAAACTTTCTGATTTTGTTTGATATATTTATTAAATGATCATAATTTACCTAATTATGTCTATAAATAGAGTAAAAATATCATTTTTTAAGAGTAATAATTTACTATAAGTCAATCTATAATCCAACTAAACTTGGTAATTTACTCAAATTTTCAATAAGTTCTTATACTTAATCATTTCCTAAATGGCAATTACTAATTATTATTTTGTAATGAAAATTAAATATATATAATAAAATCACTAATTAATTTACCTTAAACCTAAATTTAAATATTTTAAACAGCTGAATTGAGTGAGTATAGAAGCTATCGACAAAACACATTCTTTACATCCAATATTATCACTGTTGTTTTATATTTTATAATTTAAATAAAAATCTTATAAAACAATTTAATTAATTTTACTCTAAATTAAATTATAGTTTATTTAATTGATTAAATCTACATAGCTACTCTTTAAAAGCCTGTGCATAACTAGTGCCTATATAATTATACCTATCAATAATTTAATTTTTAGTAATTATAATTAAATAAGAATTTACTATAATTGAAGGGTAAGGTTTCTAATAGACTAAAATTCGGTAAGTCCATTTATGATATTATTCAATGATTTCTAGGAGAGAGAACATTTACTTAATAATATTTAACAGATTAATTTTAAATCTTTTTTAAAAAATTCTACTTTAATGATAAGTTTAATTCAGATAGCTACTTACAGAAATTAACTGTGTTTATTGACAATTCTTAATTAAATTCTATTTTATTTTCACTAATTTAATAAAAAAAATAGCTAAAAATAAAATTTTTAATTAAAATAATTATACTCCAAAACTAGTTCTAGCTTTTTTAAGCTTTAAAATTCACTTAAATATTCAAATACTTAAGATATATCTCCTTCTACTCTATTTTTACTTAATAGAATAATTTTTATATCATAACTCTTAAAAACTAAAATTACCTCAACAAAAACGTTAGATTTTCAAGATATTGATTTTATTTTAGCTTCAAAAAAAAGTATTAAAGCCCTTCTTTGCTTATTTAATTGTTTCTTTAAAAAAATTAAAAGTTTTTATCTAATAAAAGGTGAAATAAAAAAACCTCAATTTGAGATAAAGTATTTCAATTGAATTTAATTATGAAATAGAATCTGTCAGTTTTATAATCCCATTATTTTGTATTTGATTATTCCTAATAGAATTTTGTCAAATAAATTATCAAATAAAAATTAAATTTACTCTAAGTTCAATTTTAAATCAACTATTTAATTCAATTTTGAAAGTTTTTAAGAGTAACAAATTAGTTATTTGTCATTAACTAGGCTATCTCTATTTATATTTTTATTTTTGTTGATTAAATATTTAAATTTAGCTTAAATTTACTAAAGATTTATAAAAACCTATCTTAGATCTTTGCATTCACTCAAGTTTATGCAAAAATTAGAATTTTCCTCATTTAATTTGCTTAGTTAATTTTTATTATTTAAATTTATTAAAATAAAGAATTTATTTTTAAAATTTACCTTTAAAATATTTTTATTTTTTTTAGTTTTTAAAATTTAATTTCTTCCATTAAATTTTAAAGTTAATCATTGCAATCATTATCTCTTTTATAAAAATAAATTTAATATATTAAAGTTTGTTTAATTTAAGCTTTTATTGTATTTACATAAATTCCAATTTGAGTTTAAATAAGTTTGGAATATTAACAAATTATTTGACTAAATTTAAATAGGCATATGAACTAACTTTGCATAAGCTATTTTAAAAATAATATTTCAACACTTTTTAAATAAGATACTTTAATTATTTACGTAACATCTAGTTAAATTTTTTCTAATTTAGAATACGTATTCAAATACAATCCTAGCTACAAAAATATCTTATCTGAAAGCTTAAAATTACTAAATTAATAAAATAGTTTTTTAAAAACTAAAAAGAATTATTTAATAATAAATACATAAATTGAATTTTAAATGTAGTTAAATTTTATAAGTTTTGTAAAGCCTGTAAAATAAATTCAAATCCCTCGACTGACAATTCTAGATTCCTGTAAATTTTTTAATATCAACAAATTTTTAAAAAGAAATAAGTTTATTAAAAAATTACTCAAATCTCAGATAAATCTCTTTTAAACTAGTGCAAAGTTTTAATTTGCTAGATATATTCACATATTTTTCCTATTCTATCAACTTACTTATAAAATAAAGAAAAAATTAAAAATATTATCCAAATTCTTATGAAAATATTTATCTACTATTCATCTATATTTAGTACTTAAACTGACCCAAATTATTCTTCTTCTAACTATTTTTAGCAAATAAAATATTTTTAAATACTCATCTTTATAATTTAACAAGTACTTCTTCAAAATAAATTATATTTTTCATTTCGAAACAATTTTATTTTTATTTTTGTGTTAAACTATTGATTTATTTTTTACTAAGTCCAGGATAATTAATTATTTGAAAATTAATTAAAATAAATTATTAATTTGAAAAGTTACTTTAATATAAAATAAATATGTATTTGTTAAATATAGAATTATTAATTTGAAAAGTTACTTTAATATGAAATAAATAAATATTTTTTAAATATAAAGATATTAAATCAATTTTAATTTTTGTGTTAAAAATTTTTGGTTATTTTCACTAAGTCCAGAATTAATTATTTGAAAATTAATTAAAATAAATTATTAATTTGAAAAGTTACTTTAAAAAATAAATAAATAAATAAATAAATAAATAAATATATATTTCTTAAATAAAAAGATATTGAAACAATTTTAATTTTATTTTAATTTTTAAATAAATTTTTGATTTATTATTTACTAAGTCCACCAGAATTAATTATTTGGAAATTAAAATAAATTATTAATTTGAAAAGTTACTTTAATATAAAATAAATAAATAAGTAAATAAATAAATAAATATATATTTCTTAAATAAAAATTTATTGAAACAATTTTAATTTTTAAATAAATTTTTGATTTATTATTTACTAAGTCCACCAGAATTAATGATTTGGAAATTAAAATAAATTATAAATTTGAAAAGTTACTTTAATATAATATAAAATAAATAAATAAATAAATAAATAAGTAAATAAATAAATATATATTTCTTAAATAAAAAGATATTGAAACAATTTTGATTTTATTTTAATTTTTAAATAAATTTTTGATTTATTGTTTACTAATTCCACCAGAATTAATGATTTGAAAATTAAAATAAATTATAAATTTGAAAAGTTACTATAATATAAATAAATAAATAAATATTTGTTAAATATAAAGATATTAGTTGAATTATTTATAAACAAGCAATTCATTGATTTTATGCTAATTAGTTTAATTAGAGTTATGTAAAAAATTTATTCATTGAAATATATTGAAGGTAGCATATGTTGCAAACTATTTTTTATTTCATACTATTGTTTTATTAATCTGCAGCGGCTGCTGAAAGCTATTACTTTATTTCAAATTCATGAGCAAATTTATTGTCTTGAGTTAATACCCACTTATATTCTTCGAGCTCTCTCCAATCTTTCCATTAAAAGCCTTGTTATTTATGAATTATATTTAGATCATTTAAATGTCTTCTCTTTTACTGCTCTATACACTCTTAAAGTTGTGTGCCATAACTTTCAACTACTCGATTTTTATTAGAAGAATTTTAATTTTAATTCCTCTGTTCCATTATCATATTTGAAATTTTTTCGATTTGTAACTATTAAATTAGTTGGAACTCTTTTGATATTATTAGTTATTGTTCTATCTATGTTAATTAAGTACTGGTTTATTTGTGTTTTTGTACTTCATCTATGATTAACTGCTACTGTGTTTAAACTATTTCAAGTAAGTTATCTATATCTCTCTGATTTATATTAAATAGCATAATTTCAATATAATGCTTATCTTTATGTATGAATTCATACCTTATTTATAGCGTTTGCTGTTTACATCTTATTCATCTGTGAGTTAACATTCTCTATTTTTTTATTGAACTCCTCTTCTTAAACTTGCAAGTTTCTTTCATTATTATAAACTCTCTGCTCAAGCTATTACTGATCTCCTTAAAATACCAAATCATCTTGTTAGTTAGAACCCAATGGCTAATTACCGCCAATTCGTTGTGACACATTTTAAAGCTACATCTGTACTTGCAAAAGACTTTTCTCATTTTTGCTATATTTTTGTTCATAAAACTCTGTCTACTGCTTCAATTCCCTAATTTCTCTTTAAACCTCAGCTATTTCATCCTTATCTGATATTTAATATTTCTCCATGGCACTTGCTTATGTTGTCAATTTTATTTACTTTTCATCTAAAAGCACAGTCAGCTATTTCAATTAATTTTTCATCTCAGTTATTTATTTTTCATACTAAATATTTTATTCTAGCATCTCTCTAATTTATTTCTACATCTATACTATTACTTAGCTACCTTCCTTTAGCACCTTATCTCTTTCTTATTAACTTTTCGCTTATTTACTTGACCCGCAGCAACCCATACTTTTAATTCTAAAATCTAAAATATTAAATTAAAAATTTCACTAGAAATTAAAATTAATTACAAAAATTTTAATAAGAAAAACTACTGATTTTAACAAGTTAAATTTTTAAAATAGATCTATTTCAATGATATTTAGAGATAGATAGATATATATTTGATAAATTATTAATTTTTACATGTAGGGATTTTATAATCTTATTTAAAAAATTAATATTCATGTGATTTCTTCTACTTCAATTGGCCTCAAATTTATTTATTTTTATAACCATATATAGATAAATATATGGAAATGAATAATATTTATTTTATATGATTTACAAAACTAAGCTTTATAATTTTGTTAATTATTTTTATTTTGTCAAGAAATAAATTTTTTGTAGCATCTTTAAATCTGATCGTTCCTATTCATTTGCATGTGTTGTGAAAAATGAAAAAAAAAAAATTCAAAATACTGTAATTATCAATAATTTAATAAGACCTTCAAATTTTTATTATTTTGGTTGGCATTATTGAAAGAATTTTTTGTAAAAGATAAAATAATTCAATATTTATTCCTCCTCATTGGAAGCCTTTACAATAAATAAAAATAATTAGTTCAGTTTTATGTAATTTACTTTATTATAAATATAGTTTTTATTTAATTTTTATAAAATAGTAAATACTAAATTATCTTAACAGAAAATATTTTGTCTTTTAATAAAATAACTTTCAAATTTTTTGAGTTATTTAAAAATGAGAATTACATTTTGAATCATAGATAGGTACAAAGTACTAAATTAATTAAATAGCAGATAACTATATATTTTTTATAATATACATTAAATTTAAAATAAGGTTTCTCTGGTAAGATATGTATTTTATTATATGGTTGGTTTGATATTTCTTGGAAAATTTAAAAATAATTATTAATTAATTAATGAATGAATTGTTCTAATTTATTTCAATAAATTATATTTTTTGATAGATAAATAAATAAATAAAAAATATTTCTAATTTGAACTTTAAATATCTATCTCAGCTTATATTTGAAAATCTATTATTATTGATTGATAGTTTTATGTTAGGAGAATCTTATTCAGATTCACTTGTTTGTTATTTAAACTAAACTCTTCTTTCATCTGATTACCTGGATTTTACACTAAAATTTGATATTTAATCAGGTTAACTTAAAAGCACTTAAGATTTTGTTTAGATTTTTAATTATGGGAGATTTTCATATTCTTCGTAAGATTGATTATTTTTCTCTTAAGGAGTTCCATATTTATTTAAATCTACCTAAGTTGAGGATTTTTTTGCACTTCTTTTAATAGATGCTAGTGCAGATTAATTCAGTTGCATTGAAGGACTATCTTTGATTGTGATTTTTAATGGAGACTAAGGAGAGTAATTATCTAACTTAGCTTTAATATCATTTTATTTTTTTCTTGTTGGAGACTTATCCAAACTTTATTTTGAACCTCCTGTTATTCCAAGCTTATCTTCTACTGTGGAGCTCTATCGCTTTGTCTGTACAAATACACCGAGTATTTTACTACCTTTCTTTTTTAGCTATTTTTTATTTTACTAATCATGCAATTCTATTAATTCGTTCATTTTTTCTTCAAGCTTTTCTTTCAGTTTCTCTACTTTATCTACTGTGCTTATACTCTCAAAATCATTAAAAGGGATTCCCATTTAATCAAAAAACTTTAATAAAAATTAAATTAATTAATTAATTTTATCACAAATATGTTTTATTTAGCAAAATAATACTGATTGGAATAATTATTATATGTTACATTATGTGAATGGAGTTTGGGTCTAGGAGTCATTAAAGCAAGTTTTTCTTCTAATTCATATTTTTCTCTTTTTATTTGAGTGTTTTCAATTTCTAAATTCTCAATTTGCTAAAGGCAGGATTCATATTAGCTTTTTATATTTTCAAATTTGATTTTATATTCTTGAGTTTATTGAATTTGTTCTATGAACTTTTTTTCTTCATCCTCGAATTTTGATTTCCATTTTTCGTTTGATTCTCTCACAATAGAGTTTTCTTTGATAGCTCGTTGCAACTCTTCTTAAATGTTGTTAATCTTTGATTAATTAAGGTGTTATCAATTTATGAGTAAGAAGTAATTTACTTGCAGTTACATTAAATGTGTTTCTTCAGTTTATATTTTTTTAAGCTATTCAATCTCTTGCTTCTGTGATTCTCCTATTGCATAGAGTTTAACTTCACTTTGTTTGATTTAACTTTAATATTAAGATATCTCCTTATCAAGCTTTTTTTAAAAATTTATAGAATTCTAGTTATGTCTTTCGATTTCTTCCATCATAATGTTTATGTATTCAAAATAGGGTTTTATAACTAAATTATCTTGTAGCTTATTTTCAGTCGAAACTTAAATTCTAGATATACATTAAATTACATCCTGCTGAACACAAAATATCATTTCATTAATTATTGAGAAAAATGCTTTCATATCTTCACCATAAATGTTTTCTTATCTTTGTAAAATTAAATTATCGTTCTAATTTATTCTCTATAGCAGAATATATTATAATTAAATATTACTTTTAAAGGATTTCCAGTACTTCTTACAGCAAGAGACAAACAGTTTATGATGGTTTTTTGTTCTTTTAGTATTCTTTTTTAAGCTAGCTTAACATCACCAACAACTTAATCTAAAATTAAATTAAAAAATTAACCATTAAAATTGGTTTAGGTTTTGTATAAAATATTTTATTATTGTATAGAATTGTATGTACTTTATCACTCTTAACTTCCTTCTTCAAGGGACTTTGAAAAAAGACTGCGTGATTCTTTTTATTTGCAACTTAATTATGATGGCTAGAGCTATTTATTTTGAGCGACATATCTATTTAGGGGAGTAGCTAACTGTCATCATAAGTTGATTTTCTTTTGTGCTAAAGTATTTTATCACCTTTACCAATAAAATAAGAAAGATATAAAGTTTTTTAAAGAGGATTATGCTAACTTAAATAATTTGAAAACATTAATGAATACTAAATTATTTATTACCTTGATACTTCTTAAATACTGGGGTCCTAAACTACTAAAATGAGGTAAGTCTATTATTTAGCAAGCCAATGTTATCCCATGCGTCTAAATTTTCTGAAGATTAATTCTATGAAAAGTTTCTTTTGTTACTAAGAGATCTGTGAGTGATTGATTATTTCATTAAAGTTTAATCGAAAATTAATTGATGACTTAAATTTAATTTGTTTAAATATTGTTAATTCAAACTAAATCTTTTGGTTGTGAGCAATCAATCAATCAATCAAATGAATGAATGAATAAATAAATAAATAAATAATTGATTGATTATTTTTGTATTTTTTGTATGGCTTATTAACTATCATAAAATTTAATTATCTGATGGCTATGATAATATTTATAGTAGTTATTAGGCAATGTAATTACTTGTGACATATACTACAATTATATCTGTAGATCAAAAAAGGGCCACAAATTTCAATATTTATTATTTTATTTATTCTTTATCTATTAAATTCCATATTATTTCGAATTGCTATATTTTTAATCATGATTTTTATCTTTATAACTATTCTTCTAACAATTAATAGTTAAATACTTAATTGAAATACCAAATAAAATAATATGGCTAGCCTAAATTATCTATTTTAGTGGAAATAAAACAAAAAACTTTAATTAAAAGGATACCAAATTTCATAAATATTTAAAATACTTGATAACTAATCAAAAAAAAAAAAAAGAAATTATAAATATCCAAAATTTATAATATATAATACTTTAATAACTTAAAAAGTTTCTAAGATTTTATTTATTATCTCATTCATACTCGTATTTAAATAATAAAAAACTTTAGTAGAAAATGTAATTAATAATTACTCAAATACTAATATTAATTACATTTTAGAATTAAAAATAACCTTTTAAATATTTATTATTTATCAGTAAATTTTAATATAATTCAAATTGCTATATTTTTCACTATGATATTTATCTTATCAAGTAATCTTTTAGCAATTAATAGTTAAATACTTAATTGAAAATAATATAATTCAAATTGCTAAATACTTAATTGTAATACTAAATAAAATAATTTGGATTGCTTTTATTCTCATTATTTGAGTGGAAATGAATGAACTAAAAAATTATTAATTAACATGATATCAAATTATCAAATTATTTAAAGTAAGTATTTTAAATAGATGGACTCTTTATTATCAGAGTAATTAATAAAAAAAAAATGAATTTCTAAATATATGATATAATTTGATTGATGTTTTAAAAACTAAAAAGATTTTTAAGATTTTCTTTATCATTTCATATCACATTTAAATATAAAATATTGAGTAGAAAATGTTATAATTACTCAGATACGATTATAATTAATATCTAAAAATAACTATATACTTCAATATTTATCGTTTATCAGTATTTTTCAATGTTATTTCTAATTACTCTCTTTTTCAATAGATTTTTTCCTTTATTTTTTAAATAATTCTTTTGAATGTTCGCTTTAGTTAGATATTTAATTGAAATACCAAATAAAAGTACTACTTACGTACATACATTATCTATTTTATTTAAATGAAAGAAAAATTACCGTAATTAAAAGGATAGCAAAATATCTAAATATTTAAAATACTTTATTTAGATAGAATATTTATTAACCTAATAATCAAAAAAAAAACCAATTAGAATATCAAAAATTAATGATATAGTAATAAGAAAAAGCGTATTTATTTAATAGCTTAAAAGATTTTTTAAGTTCTTCTTTATCATCTCATACTCATATTTAAATTCAAGAAAACAAGACTTATGTAATACATGAAGATATAAAAGATTTAATTCTTGCTTTTGAAAAATGCTCCATTCTTTAAGCAGTGTCAATAAATCTAGATAATAAATTTATTAATGATTAAAGTATGTTAATATTAGGTCAAAGTATAGCAAAATGTATTAACATTTTAAATTTGACGTTAAGCTTAAAAAGTAACTTGATTAAGAAGTTAGGTGCTTTGTATATACTTTCAGATTTATCAAGTTGCTATTTATTATAAACTTTGGTACTTGATCTTAGCGAAAATAAAATTGGTCCTCAAGGTTCTACTAATATAGGGTCTGGCTTGGCAAAGCTTACTAATCTCCAAAATATAAAACTTAATCTAAGATTAAATATAATATATGATGAAGGTTTATCAGGTCTAGCTTCCGGCTTAGAAAAGTGTTATCATCTCTCAAATTTGGAATTAAACCTTAGTTACAACTATATTGGGCAAAAAGGTATATTATCCTTAGATTCTGCTCTTAAGTAATGCTAATTTCTTTCAATTTTATAACTTGATTTGTCTATAAATTCTATTAGTGATTAATGCTTAAAAAATTTGACTAATTCTATGATTAATTATAAAAGACTCCTTACTTTGACAATAAATATAATTGAGAATAAAATAAATTATCAAGATTGTAGCTTTATAAATAATTTAGCAAAATGTACTACTCTATCCTATTTTTAATTAGATTTAGGTTAAGATAATTAATTATTTCAAAAAAAACGAAAATTAAAAATTTATAAAGCAAAAAGACTAGTTTAAATAAAGATTAATTGATTACCATTTATTGATAAACTCAACTTTTTTAATAAGCTAACTATAAATAAATCTGAATTTTTTAGTATTTGATCAATCTATATATTTTATTTTTTTAAACTGCATTTATAAATCATAATTCAAAATATTTTTTTTATTAAATTAGATCTATCTTAAAAATTAAAGATTTTTATTAATTTAATAGCAATTTTTGGACAAGTTTTGCTTTAATTTTCACCAAATAAAGAGTTTATTATTGAAAGTTTTTTTGAGATATATTTCATAAAATGTTTCTTGATTTAGTTGTGCTTGATTATTCTTTTATAATGTAATTAAATTTGTTTTGTAATAGGATACCCCTCGAATTGGAATTGTTCATAAATTTTTTAATTTATTAACGAAAATAAAAGTACTTTGTCTGATAAAAATAAAATTGTATTCTTTAAAAAGTCAATATTACCTCACCTATGCGAGTGCATCTACACAGCTAAAAAAATTCAAATTGTAAACTTCATCAAAAATTATTTAGAACCCTATTTCAGACAAAACAAAGAAATATTTAATTTTTATGATAAATAATATTAATCAAAAAATATTCTTAAGCAGTATAAAATTAATTACAGAATTTTAACATATAATAAAAATAATATAATTGAAAAAAATGTTTTAAATTTAACGAGCTTCTTGTAATTTAAACAATAAATATGTTTATTCAAGATGACTTACTCTAATTTTTTTTATTTTTCGTTCTTGAGGTTTTTTAGAAAAATTTTTTTTGTTTTTATTATCCCAATAACTAATCCAAAAAAAAATTTATGAATTTCCAAAATTTATTTATGATATAATATGGTTGATATTTTAATAACTTAAAAAATTTTTAAGATTTTCTTTATCATCTTATACTCGTATTTAAATGGAAGATATTAAACTTTTATTAGACAATGTAATAATCAATTATTCATATTCGATTATAATTGATATCCAAAAATATCCACATATTTCAATATTTATCATTTATCAGTTATTATTATTTCGTATTGCTCTTTTTGTCAACATAATCTTTATCTTTATAGCAATTCTTTTTGCTGTTGATTCTAATTTCCTACATTATCTATTTTATGAAAATGAAAGAAAAAATACCTTAATTAAAAGGATTGCAAATTTCTAATTATATTTAAAATACTTTATTTAGATAGACTCTTTATTAACTTAATAATCAAACTAAAAAAACAAATTAGAATTTCCAAAATTAATGATATAATAATAAAAAGTGTATTATAGCTTAGGAGATTTTTTAAGTTCTTCTTTATCATCTCATACTCATATTTAAATTCAAGAAAGAAAAACTTATGTAATACATGATAATATAAAAGATTTAGGCCTAGTTTTTGAAAAATGCTCCATTCTTTAAGTAATATCAATAAATCTAGATAGTAAATATGTTAATGATTAAAGTATGTTAATATTAGGCTAAAGTATAGCAAAATGTATTAACATTCTAAATTTGATGTTAAGTGTAAAAAGTAACATGATCAAGGCAAAAGGTGCATTATATCTACTTTCAGGTTTATCAAGTTGCTATTTGTTATAAACTTTGGTACTTGATCTTAGCAATAATAAAATTGGACCTGAAGGTTCTACTAATCTAGGGTCTGGTTTGGCATAGCTTACTAATATCTAAAATTTAAAACTTAATTTAAGATTAAATATAATATATGATGAAGGTTTATCAGGTCTAGCTTCAGGCTTAGAAAAATGCTCTAATCTCTCAAATTTGGAATTAAATCTTAATTACAACTATATTGGGCAAAATGGTGTATAATCTTTAGTTTCTGCTCTTAAGTAATGCTAATGTCTTTCAATTTTATTACTTGATTTGTCTAAAAATTCTATTTGTGTTTAAGGTGCAAAAAAATTGATTAATTCTATGATTGATCATAAAAGACTATTTACTTTGAAAATAAATTTAATTGAGAATAAAATATATTATGGAGATTGTAGTTTTATAAATATTTTAGCAAAATGTACTAAGCTATCCTCTTTGAAATTAAATTTAGGTTTAGTTACAGAAGATATGATTTAATAAATTGTTCAATAATATTAAAGGCTTTAAAAGAAACTAGAAGCAAAACTTTTTAAAACAAAAAGGCTAGTTTAAATAAAGATTAATTGATTATCATCAATAAACTCAACTCTTTTAATAAGCTAACTAAAAATCTGACTTTTTTAGTATTTGATTAATTTAGAGTGAAATGAGTATTTAATTTACAAAAAGCGAAATGTAATATATCTTAATAACATAATAAATAAAGCTAAATAAGCTAAAAACAGCTTTATTTTTGAGTTTTTAGAAAGTTTTATATTCACAAAATGTAAAATATGAAATAATAAAAACAGTGTGTATTCATTCATTCTTATAACATGTCATTTTTTATAAATTTAGAAAAATTTTAATAAAAACTTTAGCTCATTTTTAAAGAGTGCTTAATTTATAAGGGTGAAGTTTGATAGGTTTTACTGTGTATACAAGAATCATTTGAATTTGGACTTTTGCAATCATAGATTATTCTTAAAATCTATTTTTTGACAATAAAATTATTAATCGAAATAAAAATTTTTTTTTAATTTTCTCTTTAATTGTGATTTGTATGTTATTATTTTGAATAGAAGAATTTTTGCTTTGTTAGTATAATAAAAACTTTCTTTCATTTTATGTATCAGTAGAGATTGAAATAAGTTTATATAATAAATTTTTTTCAGCTAGTTAGAGCAATTATTTATTCCTTTACAGATTAATCACTAAAATGATTTATTTTAAATTTAAAATACAATTTAATGTGCAACTGATAAAGTTTGTCTTGAGATATTGGTATATGTTGGTTGTATCGAAATTTGGTTAACTAAATAATTGATTAAAATCAATTACTCTTAATTAATTTCAAAAAATTAAATTTACTAATTGAATTATATCCATTTAAAATTTAGGTTTATTTATAATCAATTCATGACAACTCAAACAAGTATTCAAAATTTTAAGACTTTTCATTCTAGAATATTTAGCGCCTCTACATAGAGGAGAGCATCAGATTAAAATGCTAAGATGTAGTTTAGCTAAGCAGCTATGACTTCAATTTATAAAGGCATTAAGTAAGTATTTATATATCAATTCTTCAAAAATGTTTGATATCAAGAATTTAGATTTATTTTTTGATTTTTTATTATGACTTAATTGGATTAAAAGTAAAAAACTTGTATAAAAAAGAAATAATGATATTAGCTATATCTTAGGTTCTCATAATAGGACTGCAACTTAAGGATTTTTACCTTAGCTCAACAAAACTGAAGAGCCAGTTGATGTCATTGTATTATTAAAGTATTTGCTTTTAGATTTTTAACTATTTTTATTAGGAAATAGATGAAAAGTCTGATCTAAAGAGAAGGTTGGCAGAATTAAGGAGAAAGCATGATATTTTGAAGAACAAAGCCAATAAAAATGAAACAGATATAGAAAAATTAAAGGTAGCTTTATTTGTGAGGGGTTTGAGAGTTAAAGCATTTTTATTAATTATTTAGTTAGAAAATAAAGCTTTAATAGATGAAGAAGATGTATTAAATTCTCAAAAAGAAGGTGTATTCAAAGTAGCATATTATATTTATTCTAAGTTGTTAATACGATAAAGGATGTGAAATTAATGTCATTTAATTTAATAATTTATCATTTAGGAAGAAGAAAGGCTGAGAGAAGAGCAAGAAAACACTACCTTTTTAATGTAAGAAGCTGAGTGGACTAAAAAATCTTATCTTTTTATGAGAGATAGACTAAAAAGAGATAAAATAGTAAATTAACTAAAGTAATAAGCCATAGAAGAAGAATTATCTTGTGTTAGAAAATGCTATTAGCAAGCTGATTACTAATCCTAAATGAGTAAGCAATTTTCCGATAACGCCTAAAGAATTTTGGACGAAATGCTTAAAGTAATTAAAATATTTTACTGTAAAAATAGATATTAATATAAAATATAAATTTAAAGAACGTTGAAAACGAAAAAAATTAAATTGATAGCAAACTTAACAGCTTTAAAAATTAGCTAGTTATGTGGGAAGAAAATGAAAAAAAAAAGTAAATTTAAACATTAAAAAAAGTTACTTTGAGTTAGCTAAATATTAAATTAATTTATTAAAAATTAAAAAGACTTGACAGATCATTTAGGGAGAAGGAGATTGCTGAGCACGCAATTTACGATAAAGATGCTTAGGAAGTAATTTTTTTAAGTTTTGTTTCAATATGTAAAAAATCATTTTATAAAGAAAAAACTAAGAGCTTTATTATTAGTTCATAAGTTTGTAAGTGGAATGCTAAAAGATAAAATGGAAAGAGAAATGCAAAAATTTTAAGTGGTGGAGGAGTCCTTTTAAAAAATTAAAACAGCTACAGGATAAACAGAAATGAAAAATATAGTTACCAAAGTAAGGAAATTAGATTTTAAAATTTGATTCTAATTTGATTAAAAAATATAGTTTATAACCAGAGAATAAACTTATGGAGAGCTTTTAGGCTAGATAGCAAATCATGAAAAGAAAATAGATTATATCAAGAAGAGAAATGAAGGATTAGAAAATCAATTGGTTTATCTTAAATAAGATCTTGTTTCTATGGAAATGCAAATAGCACAAAAAAAGAACAAAGGAGGAAATAAGCATCATGAGGTACATCTCATTAATGATTTATTTATCTTGATGCCTTTTATATTAATATTTTACTTAATAAAAAAGTACCTCAAGCAAATAGATAACATGGATGAAAGGAGAAAACTAGCAGAATTAATGAAAGAAAAACTTCACTAGTTTTGTATAAGAATATTAACAAAATTTGATAAGGTAATAAGATGCTATTGTTTACTATAAAGAAAAATCTGATATATTTTAAAATAAAAAAGGTTAATAAAACTCAGCCTAGAAAATATAGTGAAGAGTTTGGAAAATAGCAGATTAAATAAGCATTTTAGTAAGTCCATAGAGTTGTAATGCAAGAACTGAAAGAATCTGAATAAAACGGTGATATAGACTATATCTTATCAGAATTAGAAAAAACTAAAATTGAAAAAGAAACATAAAAAGAAGATTTCCAACGTAAAAATATTCGTATAAAACCTACTCAAACAGGCAAATTAAACACTTCTCAATCTAGAGATTCATCATCTAATTCTAAGTCTACTCCAAACAATTCTTTCTATGAATCAGATTCTGACAGCAGTAACAAATTAATAAATTAATTACTTAAAAATAATTTATATATATATAATATACTTAAAGATGTAGATGAGAAAAATGAATAAGACTATTTTGATTTCTTAAGGGATGCAAGAAAAAATGAGGATGGTATTATTGCCAAAGTAACATTTAAAACATTTAAATTAATTTTGATAAAATATTTCATTTTTAAAAATAATTGCAAGAAAATTAAACATGAAAAAGAAAAGGAGCAAACCAACAATATGCCTCCACTTAGGTTCTAAAGTCCTCAAAAATAACAATGAAAAACTTTATAAAATCTTAAAAAATAGATAAATAAATAATTAATTAATTAATTAAATTAAACTTAAATTCAATTAATAATGCAAACAAAAAATCAAGTCAAATAACTTCAGCTTTTGTAAATAAATATTATGTGTATAGGAGTTATTTTTTTATTTTTATAAAATTCATTATTAAAATTAAAACAAACTTTAGTTTTTTATGATGATAAATTGCTTTTTCGCTTTTTCAATAACTTAACATTTACAAAATGAATTAGATTTTTAAATTTATAAAAAAACTGACATTTTTAATTTCAAAAAAAAGAATGACTTAGCAATCTATTTAAGAATAAAATAAATTTTTATTAATTAGTTTAAAAAATATCACTTAAAATTACAGCCATCCTTTAAATATAAGCTCTTGTATTTTTTATAAATTAATTAATTAATTTATTCATTCATTCATTTGTTAGTTTATTTTTTTAATTTAAACTTCTTATATACTAATCCTTTTCAATGCTTCTTTATCGTGTTTCGGTTCCATAGTATAGTGGTTAGTACTGGGGACTTTAAATCCCTTGACCTGGGTTCGAATCCCAGTGGGACCTGATTTTTTTATATTTTAATTAGATTGAAATTAAACCAATAGAGTAAAAACAAATATTTTTAAGAGAGATTCATTATGGGAAGTTAAAATATCTTTTTGTTTATTTAATATATGCGATCATTACTTTTTTTAATCAAATTTATACCAGACAATAATTTAATGATATATTTTTAATTTTTTTTGAATTCGTTTAGAAATTTTAACAGACAGTTGTTTGAAGTATATGAATCATTAATTAATTTTATAATTAATTTTTTGCAAAAAAAAGATTTAATTTATTTGATACAATCCTAACTGCGCTTTTCTGAAAAGTAGTATTATACAGGGCTATACGATGGCAAGGGTAGCTGTATTTTATTGCTCTTCATTAGTGTTAGTCGCAGTATACCGTCTCAAGAAAAGGGTAATGAAGAGTTTTTAAAAGAAATAAGTTTTTTATGTATTAAATATCCACATTTAATACTCTTTAATTCATTTTCTAATTTGGGAGGATTTCTAACTGTAAAAAAAATACACAACACCAGATAAGCTATTTTAACCACAGTTTAGAAAGAATCTCATAACTGATTTGAAAAAAACAATCCTATTAATCCCATAATAGCTTTGTTCGCATTTCTAAGACCTAATTCTTGTGAAAGTGGGTGAGCCCCTCGCTGTCCTCGGATTCGCGCCAATAGTTGAATATAATAAAATTAATAAGTTTTTAATGATAAAGTTTTTAAAATCTAAATATTCAACAAAGACAATAAAGTCATTCCTTTATTTTTTTTAAAATGTATAAAAATATTTTTTCAAAGATAAGAGAGTAGTTCATTTTAAAGCAGCAAGTTTAAAAATTGTTTTGAAGTAGATTAAGAGCAGACACAATTTTTAAAAAGATAAAAAGAAAGTTAAAAAAGATAAAAAGAAAGAAAGATAAAAAGTAAAAAGGAAAAAAATCATATAAAAAGAATTAAAAATTTAATTAAAATAATGAAAAAAAATTAAGAAAAAAGAAACCAAAATAGATTAATTAACTAACATATTCATTCACATAAATAATTATAAATTTAAAAGCATTACATAAATAAAATAAAAATATATAAAAAATACTAATATAAATTAAACATACCTATTCTTATAAACATATTAAAATATCTTACTTATTTATCATATTTTCATTCATCATAATTAATTTATGCTGCTTGTATTTTAATTAAGCTTTTCTTATCTGATTAAATTAGTTATTTAATTTAAGTTGGGTTTCTTATTTTTCAGTTAAAATTTATAAATATCTTTAATTCAGCGATTTAGATTTTGAATATCTTTCATTTTGTAATGTAATAGCGAAATTTGTAAAACCACATATTTAACTTTTAAAAATGATTTATCATTTAAAAATTTTTATTTTAAATGTTTTGACATTAATATATATCATTTTAAATTTAGATTCTTTATTTCTCTCAAAGTAGCTAACACTTTAAATGATATGGCTTTATTTAAAAATATAAAAGTAATTCACTTCAAAAATTATTTTAAAATAAAAGTATTCACTTAATATAAATTAATAATTATATCATCTCAAATTTAATTGAAAATTTTAGAAAAAAATTAGAAATTTATTTCAAGGCATAATTTAATAAAAGATGTTGAAATTAATTAATATCTAATTTGTTAGTATTATTTAAGAAAGAATAAAAGCGAATTTGAAATATTATTTATGATAGTTCAAACTTTTAATTAATATTTATGGCAATAACTTAATATTTTATGTATTACAACACTCAAATTTATTTTCTATTATTAAATGATAAAAAAAAATAATTTTACTTATTTTTAAATTAATTTATGATAGATTGAAACAAAAATAAAATAATGCTTAGTTTTATAAGTTTAAGTTAAATAATAGTTAAATTTCTACTTTAGAAATAGGTTTATTTCTTATAAATAATAAGTCAATCTTATGAAATTTTATTGAGAAAATTTCCTTTAAATTATGGAAAGTTTGATGTAAAAAATATAATAGAAAATTGTTAATCATTTGATTATCTTTTTTTATCTATTAAAAAGAATAATTTTCGTGATAGAAAAATTTCATAAAAATATGTCTGTTAATATAAAAAAATAAAATAGAAAATAATTATCAACAATTAAATAAACTTTATTTTGTGAGTTTAACATAAATATTTATTTTTACCTATTATAAAATTAAATAACAAATTATTAATAATTAAATAAGTTTTATATTCATTGTTACCTAAATTTATTACCCATCAAAGCATTATAACATCTAAAACATCCAAAATGGAATGTAGCAAGTACCTTCAGGAGCTATAAATTCCAACAAAACTTAATAGAAAAATTTCATAAAGAGTTTGTGAATTGAAGAGGAAAAATCATTAACAACTATTTTGTAAATACTCTACAAAATTTATCTAAGAATATTAAAAGCTCTTTTGTTTTGATTATATTTCCTTCAATTTACCCATACTTTAATATGGGTGGATGCATAATTAATTTTTAATCAAAAATAAATTAAGGCTTTTGAAAAATAAATAAATAACTATTTTGAGAAAAGAGAGGAAAAAATTTTCAAAAATTAATAAATTAAAACTTTATTAAAGAAAAAAAAAAACTAAGAGAGAAATCTTTAGGATTTAAAAAAATGAAATAAAATTAATAAACTGATTTTTAACAAGTAGGTATTTGTTGATAAAAGATGAAAATATTTTATTGTGCTAAAGTTTTTGATTTCACCTGTTAGAAATAACAAAAAGCCTGCGATTACAATAAGTTTTTAAGATTTATATTGAAAGCACATTCAAATATATCAACTTTTTTCAATAAATACTTATTTGCTAATAAATACAGTGAAACCGCCCCATAGAGCAAGACAATAAGTCTCTATACAGTTTTTCAGGTTTTAAAAGCAACGAATGCAAACTAGATTGAGATTAATAAGTTTTTAATTCTAATGATAAAATAAATTATTTTTATTTATCGTCTAATTGATATCTATTTTGCATTTATCGTTTCTTATCTTTCCCGGATCCCTCTTATTCCCGCTTTTTTATTACCATTTTTGAGGAGGACTAGGTACCAACAATCGAAGAATAATGAAGCAGCAGAATCTCTCACATCAACTTGATTAATTTTTATAAAAAAAAGATATTTTTAAAAAAGAAAAAGAATAAAAAAGAAAGAAAGAAAAAGTACTCAAAAATAATAAAATACAAATGAAATAGAAACAAATAAATAAATAAATTTGATTAATAAAAGAATAAAATAATGAACTAAAAATACAAAACAACATCAATAATAAAAATAATTAACAATTAAAAAGGCAAATAGACAGACAGCTTTAAAACTTCACTTAAATTTTATTTATTTCAGTAATTTAAAAAGCAAAAAATAAATCTATTTATTTATTTGATAAAAAATTAAATAAAATTATTTTTTGCTTTTTTATATTTAAAATTTATATGAATTTTAAAAAGAAAGTAATTATTTTACTTATTTATTAAAATTATTCGAATAAGAAAGATCATTTTTTTTATATTTGATGAATTTGTGTATAAAACTAATCAACTTTACTTACATATATTTATTGCATAATCTAAACTTAAGCTTTTAATTTGTTTCAGCTTTAAATACTCTTAATATAAAGCATAACAATTTAAATATTAATAAATAAAATTAATATATATAAGTATAATAATATTATTGATAATTAAATATTTATAAATCATACTGATATAATTTTATTTTAAATAAAATTAATTAAAATATATTTTTAAAACTTCATAAAAGCTAAAAACTCAATTTTACGTTGTTGAAATGGCTTTTGTTTTTAGCTTACACTCTAATTTTTTTCTTAAATATTACTTTATGATTAGGAAAATATGTTTAAATTTATTCAATCAATAAAAGTAAATAAATAGGAATAAAAAAAATAGATAAATGCTTTTTCCTAATTAAATATTGTTGAATTTTATCAAACTTCTTTTATTTAATACTTAATCTCTATGCTTTAAATGTTTTAAAATGGAAAATACAACTAAAGAAATTTATTCCATAATTAGAATAGTTGAGATTTGAACTAGAAATAAAAACTAATATTAGAAATTTCTTTTATCAAGTAGTAAGTAAGTATAGTAAAAAATAAAAAACTAATTTACATCACACAACTTTTTTTGAATAGAATTTGATTTGTGGAAAATCAAAGTCAAAATTAATTCATTTATTTCTTTTATAAGATTGTGGTAAGAAATGCATCTGTCCAAAATTATTCATCTATCAAAAAGAATCTCTAAACAAATTTACTAGCAACCTTACAACAAATTAATTGTAAAATCAATCTCGTTTGAAAGATAGTTCAAATACTATAAGAAAATAAATTGAAAGCTAATTAATTATTAAAATAATAAAATAAAATAAGTCAAGACAAAAATCAAATAGCAAAAAAAAAATGAAATCTTTATTCTTACTTGGTCTTTTAGTTACTTTAGTTTCTTGCACCGGAAACGTCTACATCAACGAAAAAAGCATTGCTTGCATTTCCTAAATTCCTTTCCCCTAGGAAGCTGTTAATGCCCTTTTATCAACTCCCAACTGCAACTCTTTCTACACTACTCTCACCACTGAAACCTCTTTATTGAAGAAAGTCAACTTCATTACTTTGAGCCTCTGCCTTGCTGAATTAAAGTCTGTCCCTGATGCTGCTGGTCTTGTTATCCACACTATTGTTGATAAGATCCACGAATGCACCAATATTCGTTTATAATCTGGCTCTGAACACAACTTAAGAGGTTGATATCTAAGCTAAAATGATTGATATTATATAAAATAATAGTTAATATTTATAAAAATAATAAAATGTACTTTTACAATTTTTTTGTTTAATTGAGAATGAAAAAATAATTACTTTTATAAATATAAAAATGCATAATTAATTAATTCATTATATTTTATTCATTAGATTAGAATTAAATTCAGATACATCTTTTAAAATTATATTTTTAAAATGAAATTAAAATTAATTTCTTCAAACAAAATAAATTTTATATTTATTTTATAGAAATACAATAAGAAAAAAATTATTTTATATTTTGTATTTTTAAATTGATTTAATCACTAAAATAATGATCATAAAATTAAAAATACTATCAATTGATCAATCATTAATTAAATCTTCTTTATGTTAATCCTACTTAATAAGGATTTCTGGAATTTTAGTTCCCATAAATTTTCAATATATTTCCTAAAACTGAATTTTTCTACCTTAAATTTATTTTATAGCTAAAATAATATTTTTCTAATGACAATTACAAAAATTTGTAAATAAAATTATATTAATGAAATATTATTATTAATTCACTATTGTTAATTTTATTAATTATTTAATAGCTTTGCCTGTAATTCTTATTTTTATTATTTAATCTCTTCTTCAAGGACTTTACTAAACTCTAAAACTTTTTTAATTTCAATAGAAACATAGGCTGCACCTGATAAAAGCAAAATAGTTGAGGGTAGTACATAGATTCCTTTTACTAAATTTTACTATGCTTAAAAATGAATAATAGAAAGAATTAAGGCTGATAAATTGATAATTAACTTATGCTTTTCTTTTTCTTTTACATTTATTTCAGTATCATTAACCTTCTGTACCATTTTCTTAGCTACTTCTTTCATTTCTTCCTCACTTAATGAAAACTTAAAATCTGCAAAAAATTAATCAGAAATATAACAATATAAGAATGCTAATAGGCACATAATAATAAATTCTGGAAGTGTGTACTCTCCAACAGCGACTTCAAATTCTTTTAAAACTTATTTCTCATCTAAATTACCTTTAAAAGCAAAACCAATTTATCCAACTTTAAATTGGAAAATATTATCATTCATTTTTATTTCAATAATTTCATTATTTTGAGCCAATTCTGGCACTTAAAAATCTGTGATGAGATTGTCTTATTTCTGCCCTAAAACAGTAATATTTTCAATCTTATTAATATCATAATAAGATATTTTTATATCTCCTTCAGAAATTTCTTCCAAAGTCTTAACAATATAAATAGAGTTATCAAATACCTCTACAACCTTTTTAGTTTCTTCTGATAATTTGAATGGGTGATTTTAATAAAACTATTTAATTTAAGACAATTTTGACTCATTTTAAGCTAGAAATAAACTTTCGTTTTTCATTTGCTATACATTTTCTAAAAAGTTACCTTACTCATTTTATTACTATTTTAAGCTTTCATAGTATTTAATTATGTTGTCCTTATTTAATGAAATTTACTAACAATTTCCTTCAGCTAGTATTTGTAATAAACTATTTGATAATTTGTAATCATCTAAATAAGCATCGCTATTTGTTAAGACTTAACTCTTTAACTCTTTTACTTCTATTGGAATTTATTCTTATTCTAGATAATTTACATTGTACCAATCTTCCTTTTATTATTTACCAATCGTTTTATATATTTCTACCTTTCTATATAATCCCATATTTTATTGTGAATTAATGCTAAATAATTTATCTTAAATTATTTTAGTGGCATCAAGTTTTAGCTAACCTGAGCAATGAACAATTTAGTTTGGATTTAAATCTTTTGCTGTTATATTCTTAATTCCTTTTAAGTAGTTTTAATATTTACTCCATTTAATAAAAAATGGAATATTCTAATAAAATTTGTATGAAGTTAACCCTAATAAACTAATTCCGATAACATAATTTTGTATTGGGAAGGATAAAAAATCTTATCTAATTATTTTCACTTCCTATTATTTATTTTAAGTATTAATATCCATTTTAATAAATAAATAAATCCACTAATCTTATGGTATTTTTAATTTAATTAATTAAATATATTTATTTCTTTATATTTCTAAAGATTTACTTTTTTATTAATAAAATAAACAAAGATACAATCTTTTAAAGCTTGGCTGGCTATTCATAAATTTAATTTTTTTCTTATATTATTTAGAAATAAGATTTTCCTTATCTAATTTTTGATCAATTTTTATCTGGTATGAAATATACTTAAGGTTAAATTAATAGATTAAATAATAGTATTTGATTTTTTTTAATTTAAAAATTAAAATATTTCTTGATTTATTATTTATTTTATGTATTAAAATCCATTTTAATAAACCCAATAATCTTCTAGTATAATTTAGTTAAATATATTTCTTTTTAATATGTCTAAAGATTTATTTACTTCAAAATTTTTTTATTCAAAATATTAGGTTTTTTTTTATGAAAAATTTATTATTTAGAAATAAGCATTTTTCCTAATCTGATTTTTTATCAAATTTCTTGATATAAATTAACTGAGAATTAAGAGAGAAGATTTTGATATCCCATTCATTTTATTTAGAATAGATTCAAAATTTTATTTATTTAGTAAGAATTATGGTAAGCTAAATAATAGGATAAACTGTATTTGATTTTTTCTACTTATATTTCTTGGATTTATTATTTATTTTGATAAAATCTTTAAAATTTGATCAAATTTTTAAGTGTTAACATTTATTTTTAACTAAAAAAAGATAATTTCCAGCATATATTATTAGCTAAACGAATAAAATAAAGCAAAATAATTTTTATAAAATTAAAAAAAAAAATATTACAAACTATACTGAAAATTTAAAATAAATAGCAGAAAAAATAAATTTCTTTTTTGTGCCTTGAATAAATTTTTTAGATTTATAATGGAAAACTGATTAAAAAGTACTTAGAGGAAGTTTATTTGTAGATTTTTTAAGTATCAAATATAAATTAACAAATTTTTAAATATTCAACTTTACTATCAAAATTAAACCTTATTATAAAAGCCATAAAAAAATTCTTCCTTAATTATGTTTTTAGTTTATTAATTTTTACAGAAATAATATAAATTGTAAAAAAATATGTTTATGTATGTATTAGTACTTAAGCACATTAAATTTTAATTAATTATTAAAAAAATGTTTAGTTTATAAATTCAAAATATATTACAAGATATTTTTAATCCTTTTATTTTAATATTTATGTTAATTATCTATTACATTATTGATAGATACGTAAATATTACTAATATTTATATTTTTATTGGCTTTTTAAGTAAATTATTTATTATTATTAAAAATTTAACCTTTTTACTAGGATTAATTTTTTCATAAATTTCTGTTTAACAATTTTATGTATTAAAATAATATTTTATTTGACCATATAAATTAAAAAAAGGATTGTTAAAAATAAATAAGTAAGCTCTCTAAAAACTGTCTTAATTTATGTAATTATTTACAAAAAAATATGAAACTAATTTATTTGAATTATTAAGAAAATATGAAATTAAATAATTCAAATTTCAATATTTAAATTTAAAATTTATTTAAATAATAAAAACAAAATTGTTCTTTAGAATTCATAAAAAATAATTTATTTCTGTTAAAAATGAAAAAAAGCAATAATTAATGTTTGTTATTCTAATTTATAATAAATATATTTTATCAATTTAAAAATTATTTTATAACTGAAGATTTAATTAGGCTTATAATAGTTTGTTTTATTTATTTATTTTCTTGTAATTTATTTTTTTATTTTGTGGATATTCTATCTTAATTTTATTTTTTATTTTATTTGTTAATTTTATTTATTTATTTATCTATTTGCTTTTTATTTTGTTTTTATTTATTTATTTGTTTGTTTGTTTTTTATTTTATTTTTTCATATTATTTGATTTTTGTTTATTTTTTAATTTTAAATTTATTTTCTTTTTTAAAAATGAGATCTTTGGATTTTTTAAAATGATAGTTAGATGCGAGCTATTTGTCCTTCTGAGCGATGTGTCCTTGTACCTAAATTTTAATTCACTTCGAACCGCTGCCATTAAGTGCTTATGATCTTTATATAAGAATAGATCATCAGCTTTTTACATGCATCTATGTGCAAATCCTATATAAGAGGAGTGGATTCCTAATATATGTGTTTTTAAAAACTTGTGATTTATTCCCACTAAAAACTTGGCAGTTATAATTAAAAAATATCCAAACGGGGCTAAAATGTTGATAACTTCTTATTCTATGATTAAAATATTGCTATAATAGTCAAGAATTAAGATTATCTAACATTAAGACTAAAGTCTAAGTAATGATAATTCAATTTTGATTAATCAATCCATAGACTATAGTCATCATAATTATTATTTTGGTTATTATTGATCTTGTCATTTATAATCCTTTAAAGGATTTGGTTTTTTCAGTTCTGTTAATTCTTGATCATTTTCTGAGCCTCTCTCAATACTAGCAGCAGCAACAACAACTACAACAACAACAAGTACTACTCTTTTCTCTCATTTCTGTGATCTGTCTTTGTGTCTTTCTCTCAATTTTAATTTGATTATTTGTTAATAAGAAAAATATCTTTTTTTTTTAATTAATATTATGTAAATTTAAGATAAATATCTAATCTTTGTTTATTTTAGAAAAATTCAAAATTCGAATTTACCTCCAAAATATTATCAAATAAAAATTAATCAATAATTAATTTTAATCAACGATTTGCGATTATTTGTATGAATGTTTTTGAAATTAATAAATTTATTTTTTTATTTAATCATACCAGCTTTACAACAATAAAAATAAATACTAATTATTCTGAAAATAAAAATGAAAAAAATTTTTTAAATTATTCTAATAAATATTTAATTTTTAAACATCACAATGCAAAATAATTAAATAAGAAATTTATAAATCATTGAAAAAATAAATAAGTATTGATTGCTTTATAGAATTGATTAATTAAAATAAAAATGTTGATTCTTAGTAAATATTGATAAATAAATTATGTTATAAATAAACAATAAATAAATCAGAATGAATACTCTGATATACTTTATTAATTTATTTTTAATATTAAAATTAATTGGTATAAATAAATATTATTTTATTCAATTTTTTGATTCTTCTAAATCAGCTGTGCTTAATATATCTTCCTCCATAGCAATATTAATTTCTACTTCACTTTATTCATTTTAGCTTATTTCTTCTTATTCTTCATTTGTATTTGATTCTAAATTTAATTAAAATTTAATTTTTGTTAAAATCTAAATAGAATATTATTTTTTTTTACATAATTTGGAGAAATCATAAACACCAATATTATTGCTCTTTATACCTTATTTAATTAGGTAATTTATTTTTTATAGATAATCATTTCCTAAACTCAAAAATTCAAGGATGCTAATTTCAACAATTTCAACATCTGGTATACCCTCTAAAATAAGCTATTCGGTTTAACTTTTACCATCCAAAGTTTTTCTATCAAAATTTAAGTTTGTTAAAGCATTCACTTTGACTATTTATTTTCTATTTTTTTAATTTTAAGGCTTATTAGTTCATATTATTTGGATAACTAAAATTATTACGTTGCTGGAATAAATAATGGTACTTCATATTTATCAATTTAAGCTAAAGTAATATAATCTATTCCCATTGCTTAAAGGTATTTTTATATCTATATTTGAAAAAAATATTTTAATTTACAAAAAAAAAAAAATAAAGTAATAGATTACTGTTGGATATTTGTTATGGTAAAAAATGAATTTTGTAGGACTTGCCAATTTTTAATCACCGTAGCACTTAGAAATAAATTTCAAAATTTCTGGGTGAGATTAATGGTACATTGAGTAGTAGAGTGAGCTTAAAATAAAATATTAATTGTTGAAATTTATAGCCATCGAATCAAGGTAATTGCTTGGATTGGATAACTTAACTGAAATATCATTAAGAAGTTCGCCTTATCTATCTTTAGAAATAGATAAAAGCATCAAGGTAGATATATATTCTGAGCTGCTGAATCTCCAGAACTTAAGAGCTTTTTTCAAAAATTCATTTAAGGTATCGCTGTGGAAACCAATTCTGTATAAAGACTCAGTTAACATCAAATAATAGCTCCTGTAAGAAGCCATATTATCAATAATTAATCTGAGTGTTTTATCTATGAAGTCATCTTATCTTATTCTTAAATTACAGAAAGAAATTACACAGAAAATTCTGTCTTCACAAGACATAGTGAAGAAATTTCCTCCTATTTCTTGTAGGATCAATGTTAACAATTGTTGGTCTTTCATATTTAATTCTGCAACTCTTTAATAACAAATAAATAAATAAATAAAAAATTAGAAATAAAAATATTTATAAACTATAATTGAATAATTTACTTTTGTAATATTCTTCTAATATCAGGGAATATCATACGCTTGCAAATTTATGGGAAATATGCAATGAGTTCTTAGATAATTGGTGTGTACAAACCTCCTGTAAAAGGTATTGATGTAAATAAATTAGTGTATACTGAATCGTTGGCACTGCTTATGTTTTCCTTCAACGATTTTACAATGAAATAATGATCTTATTTTAAGTAGTGTGCGGGCATTCTTAAAATAGCAGCTATGCTATTTAAAATCTATTTAATTGCATAAATTTTATTTAAAATAAATTTAAATGAATAAAAAAAGCTTACTTAGGCTGGTTAGTTTGAATTCATTGATGCAAGTAGATTTTTAAAGTAGATATCATATTATTCTCTGTTATTGCTGTAGTATTGAGTGTCGTGCTTTGCTATTAAACTCAAAAGCTTTCCTTTTTGGTTGATGTCGACAATATATTGGTTTTCGAACAAACTTTTAGCATATTCAACCTTTAAATTGTTACTATCAAGTAATCTAATTTGATAAATAAAACCAATATAGGAGTTCAACTCGTTCTTTTTGTTTGAACTGTAGCATATGTCCAAAACCTATGCCATAAATTTATAGAAAGACTCCGAGCGATAACCCAAACTTTCCAATCTCAATAATATTTGATAGATGTTAATCAAACGAATAGAATCAGGTTGTTGCTTCAAGTTCTTGAGAATTTCAAAAATTAGCTTACGGAAAATTGAGTCAAATTTAACAATATCTTGCACAAATCTTGTATTATCCTTTATGCAATTAATAAGCATCTTAGCAGGGAAGATTTTAGAACATTAAAGCACATAAATAAATAAAAACAGTTTTTCTTAGTTGTCATATTAGTCTTAGGCAAAGAACATTTCTAAAAACTATTTGAAAAATAAAATAAAATTTATATTATAAAATATTTCTCAAAATAAATAAAATAATTTTTGTGAAATTTTGCTTGCTATTTTTTAATAACTTATTTTAAAATCTTTATATTTGATAAATATTTTAATATTTGATAATTTAATCACCTTATGAACGAATTAAGATTCAAGTTGTTTATTCTTTAAAAACTAACTAGTCCAAATTTTTCTAACTTCTTTGTATTCTGAAGAACATATCATAGCTTTGCAGATTTAGCCATCTGAATCGTTTTAGCGAGTATTAACATAATTTTAGACAGATTTAGTCATTAGATCTTTTTTGAATTGGTTAAAAATAATTGAAGATTTTAAAGAAACAATGACAGCTAAAGGATCCTTTTCGATGTATTCTTCAAATTATTTTTGAAGCTCGTTAAAGAGGTCAAAATGACGATCTCTGTGATGATAAAGAGAAAGGCAAAGACGTATTTAAATAGGCTTTGAAAGCTTACTAACTATTTCTAATTTTTCTTAAGAATTTTTATTGCCAAAGAAGGACTCTAAAAGGCTATCGAAACTCTATAATAAAAATTATTTTTAAAATTATAAATTTGATAACAAAATAATTACCTCTAAAGGAACTTTCTTTGAAGCTAATTCAATTAATGATATATTAAAATGGTTTTTAATTTAGCTTTCATACTATTTGCAAAGCTCTACAATAATAGAACTATTGGCTCTTATGTATTTATCACAATAATTAATAATTTTATCAATCCTATAATTCAATAATTGTTCATCTTTTTCAGAAATTCTTTTTGTCAATTCCTTTATTAAAATATTCATTTTAGCTACATCGGTTTTCTTTTTTTTATTGAATTAAGTTATAAGCTCTATATAATCTAATAAATAAACTGATTTCATATTATTTGGATGGTGCTTTACAGTTACTATAATCATATCCTTGATTTCTTCTAACAAATCCTAAGGGAAGGAAGAATAAATCAGATACTAATATCCTTGCAAAATATTTAAAACATTTGATTCATTTAAAGAATCCAACTTTTCTTTTAAGTCAACTCTTAAATCATATAACACTTGAGGAATCTTTTTTTATAAATGAAATTAGAATAACAATAAAATAATTAATTTAAAAAATTAATAAACAAAGTTTAAATAAAGCATCAGATATAAAATGAAATTACCTTGTATTTAGGAGGGGTAATTTAAGGCTCGATATAAGCTATGCATTTAAATATCAGACTTTTCTATTGAAGGTCAAGTTATTCGTAAATGTTTGGCAAGAACTTAGTAAGCAAATCAATTAAAATAAGTTCTCTTCCAGAATTAAATCCTTGTTTCAATGATATACTTTACATAAGATTCATGACTATGAAAGGAGTCAATTTAGAAGAATCTTTTTTTATTTCTTAAATTAACTGCTAGCAAATTTCTTCACAATTTCTACCAATATGAGAAACATCAAAGTGAACAGTTGCTAATTATTTTATGTTATACGAATCCTTTTTAACATACTCTACTACTCTATCTATACAATCAGCTATCTTAGTTTCCATATTGTATAATGGAAACTTTAAGTGTTTGGATTTTCTCATCCAAAATATTAAATCAAGTAGCTCTTTTAAATAAAAATAATATTAAATAATTACAACCAATCATATCAATTTAAAAAAACCAAAAATGTTTATTTTTGATTTAATTTTTCTATTAAAATATTTTATATTTTATTTACATGCATTTTAAATAAGCTAGAGAAATCATTTGAGATTTAAAAAATAGATTGTTTATAATAAATAAATGATTAATTACCAACTTCATTAAAACTCTATAAATTGTTTGCTATTTTTCCAGTTAACTATTAATATAGAGGATCTTTGAGAGCCTCAAAATCGGTTTTTGACATATTCTATTTAAATATCCTTGCGAAAGAGCGAGCAGTAGAAGATAAATGTTCAGATTTATAAATATCCTCATTTTCTCTGTAAATCTTCAAGACATCATTAATGCTTTCAGAGGAATTTATAGCTGTAAAGATGCTTTCATAGTTATTAATCTTTTCTAATGTTTAAGGCTAAGCACTAAAATGGAATCTAACTTAATTAAAATTTAATTAAGCTAACCTACTTAAAGTGCATCTTATATTAATCTTATTATTTTTGGAAGTATGGATCATAGTTTGTCTCCAAAATCCAACACGAAAATTGCTAAACATATTTGCTATTTGAAATAATTATTGCTTGTCTATGGCTTTGGACTATATAATTAATTGATTTAATTTTTTTTAATATTTAATGTACTTATTAATTCTGTATTTTGATTAGCTATTAATTAATAATTTATGCATTAATTCATGTACAGAATTATTAAATTGTATTTTATTTTATATCTAATATTAGATTTTTCCAATACATTCTAAAATATCTATTCACATTTAGCCTTTTATAATTCTTTGAATAAGCACATCTACCAAATTTTTTTACTTAGTAGAAGAAATTTTTTATTAACGAAATTTATTTTTACATTTTCTAGAAATTCTAAAATCAAAATTTGTTAAATTGTTACTTTAAAATTATTTTATTTTTGAAGGATTATTGTATACAATTTAACATCTAGAAAATTTATTGGATATTTGATTTTTCCATAGTGATATCAATAATTAAAAAATCAAAAACATTAATTTAGGTAGAGCTAGCAAATTAATTACCAGCCATTTAAGTTTTTTTTCAAAAATTTTTCTAAATTAAACATTTATTATTCAAAACCAGTTTTGAAAAATGGAAATTTTATTAGTAATTTCATACAAAAATAATTTATCAAAACAATTAAAAAAATAGTTTTTTGATGATAATTTATTTTCTAAAACTGGATAAAATCTGAAAAAAATTCAATTTTTATTTTTTCTATAAGCAGGATAAATAAATTATTTTATTGTTTAATTTTTTAATTTACTTTTAAACAATTTAATAAATTATTTTTCATAACATTTTTTTTATTTTTAAGGCTTTTTGAATTAAAATATGAATCAAATAAAAATAGAAAAGGTATTTGATTATGCTTATTAGCAATTTATTAAATTAAAAAATATATTTTGATATATAAAAATGTTGTATTAGCTAGTTTCAAATAGCTAAATAATTATTTTAAATATCCTTAGTTTCTTATATTTTATTATTTAAGAAGAAATTTAATTATCTTTAAAAGGCTTTTAAAGAAACAAAGAATAATTTTATAAACCTAACAAGATAAACAAAACAACAAAATATACTTTAAATAGTAATTAAAATAATTGAAAAAACTTATTCTAATATTATTGTCTTTTATATTATAAGATAGATGATTTATTTGATTAAGTAGAATAATGTCATTAAAAATATTAGAATACGAACGTAAGTAGTTACTGATCAATTAAGAGAATGAGAGAGACTTGATTAAAATGTTATTTATCTTTTATATTTTAGTATTTCTAATACACCCAAATCAATCAATCAATCAATCTATATATTTATTTTAAGGAAGGGTGAGTGGTGTTTTTCTTGAGGTGTAGTTTGATAAATTTTACTCTTTTTATTAGATTTTTGGAAAATGAATATATTTTAATGTAAGAAAGGGCTGAAATATATATGAAAGATATCTGATTTTCTGTTATAATCATGAACTTACTACGTAAGTAATAAGTTTTTATATATTTAGTAGTAGAGAGTTACTTCCTTTTTAATTTAATTTATTTATTTATTTATTAGATTTTTATATTTTTTTATGTTTTTTTTTTTCAATAAATTTTATTTTTGATAGCTAAAATATTATGGAAAAACTCGAAATGCTTGAGGATTAATTAGTTAGCTTTTCAAGTCACTTAGCTGACAAAACAAAAATCATGTTATTTATTTCTTTATATTTTAAGTTTAGGTTTTACTTCCTTTCATAAATATTTATCAATTCAAATTTTTTCATAAAAAAGCAAGTAAGCTTCTTAATCTAAAGCGTCTTTATTACTGCATTCTTAAATGCTTTCGTCATCGCAATAAAACCACTATTAAATATTAAAGAAAAATATTTTTTATTTGACATTAATAAATTTTCTTTTTACCTTATTATCATTTCTCTTATTAAAAGATACGTAATGGCCTATATCTGCGCTTCCTTAATGAATGATGACACCATTCAATGAATATTTGGTGCTTTCATTTCCACTATTTGCATAATATCTAATTTAAAAAATGATTAATTAATAAAAGAAATTTTATTTATTTTTTGAAATTTTACTTGGAAATATCTAGAGTTGAGGGATAGCTTATTTATTATTTAATTTTTGTTTTATAAGGGAACATTTTAAATCTTTTCAAATGAATGACTAAATATTTAGGTATGTTTCCTAGTTGACAAGATTTAATTGCTCTAGATGTTTTTGTGCACTTCTCACATTTATATTCGCCATCAATTTCTTCAGGCTTAAAGAAAAGATCCATGCAACTATTTAAGTCTTTTAGGCTCTTAGACTCTATAGGAAGACTCAAATCTAAGAATGGATCAAATGTACTAGAAATATATTTACACTTTTAACACTAAACTTTAGATATAAGCTGCCCACAAAAGAGTCTATCTACGATACTTGTATGATATTTAAAGTAAAATTTAGATGCTTATTATGAATCTTTGAATTCTGCTGGTCTTTTATTTGGTAAAGGGAAATTTAACTCGTCTTATATCTCACCCAAAACAAATCTTAAATATTCTTAAGCATCATGCTGCTCATTAGGATCAAAATTCTATTACGAGTATTTTTTAAATAAACTAGGGCTAATTATTTGATTGGAATTTGATTTTTAAAATCTCGTCAAAAGATCAGAGTATGCAATTGTAAATTTATGTGGCTTTTAATTAAAATGATTTGAGTAAATAATTGAAAATACTTAAAATGAGATATTTTGCTTTACCTTTTTTGTGATTTGGTCTTTATATTCTAAGTACATCTTGTCAAAAAAGTAAGTATTTAACTCTCCAATTGATAAAATGCTTTACAAACCTTTTATTTATAATTTTTTTAAAGATATTGTAGATTTAAAAGCAATAATTTTTACATGCATTCATGTAGCAATAATTTGAATTATTTTCTAATCTATAAGGTCTAAATAACAGCTTTTTCAACTTAGAAGGATCATTATCATGTATTATATGAGGACCTCCGCCGTACAATTAATAAAGAAAATACCATACTTAATCACTTACAAGCATATAATCTTAATTTAATTAAAGTCCTTCTTTAAGATTTCCATTTGCATCTACCAACATTTAATTATTTATTGGATTTCCTAAGATTATTTTTTTCTTAATATTTTCTGAAAATTCGTTTGCCCACTAAAAGCTAAGAACATTTTATGATAAACAAGTGGTATTTTATATGAAATATGATATTATTTTTTCTTCCTCTTCGGCTCTATTTTTATAAAAATAAACCATTAATTAAAATTAAAATAAGTTATTAAATTTAGATTCATAAAATCACGTTTTTAATTAATATTTTAATTTAATTCATAATATCAATTTATTAGTTTAAAGATATTTGAAAGATAACTTTAATGTCTATTAATATTCTTCCATTTTTTTTATTTAAGCTTATTTAAGCAGTCTAATAAAATAATTTCGAAATATTGTTCAGTTATTTTTAAAAGAAATAGCTTCCTTGAAATTACCTTTTTTTTATGTCTAAAGATTTAATCCATTTTATTTTATTATCAATCATAGCGTATTCTTCTTAGGAATTTGAAATATCATCTTTATTTGTCACAGTGCTCTTTTTTATATAAAAAATATTTTTTTTAAAATATCTTCTTTGAAAGAATATAGTTCAAATATTGATTACATTGAATTAAAAAGAATTTTATATTATTATTAAATACATTAATTTAAAAATTTTTCATTTGAAATTTTCAAATTCTTTTTTATCGAATTCTAAACAAATAATTGTAAAATAAAGCTTTTTATAATTCTAGAATTAAAATTTAAAACTAGATTGTTTTTTTTTAGTGGAGTTTCTATTTAAGGTTGTCGTAGGATTGATTTACTGAGTGATAAAAATATATGATAGGTATTTTTTAAATAATTAAAAAAATATATTGTTTTAATATGATTACACCATTTAGAGAGACTTTTGTGGAATCAAGAGAAGTGTTATCTATATGATTTGATTATTTGTAATTTTTATTTCTTATTTGAGATTATGAAGTTGAAATAGATTCAGTATTATTTTTACTACCAGGATTATTGTTAAAATTGGTTTCTTAGTTTTCTTCTTTTTAAGACACTTTTGATATGTTTTGCGCTTCTAAGTTCATACTAACTTAGCCTTAATTACTACTTTGCCCATTCTTTTTTTTAACTTATGAGCTATTCTATTGACTAAAGCTTGGATTCTTTTTAGAATAATTACTTTGATTTAAATTTCCATTTCGATTGTTTTTATCATCGCCATCAGCAGCGTTGACCGAATTGTCAATATAATTATCCTATATTCTTAATTTACAATATAAAAGTGTTATTTCCTTTACTTAATGTATAATAATTAAAATGTTTAGTAATCCTTTAAAATTTAAAGAGCTGCTAAAATTATATTTTTATCTTTTATTAATGCTTTATTATCATTCATTTTCAAATTTCAATGACAAGTAAATATTCTATACTTTGAATGAGACTATAGCTATGAATTTGATGATTTTTTAGCTTTTTCACTCTCGCCAGAATTAGTATTGTTAAGTTCATTTGACTTTATGTGAACCTCTCTGTTTAAATAATAATAAAAAAAAATATGTTTTGACCGAAGTTCAGTTTTAATTGCATAAAATTCCTAAATACACTGGGCATTTACATAATTTATGTAGATAGATACCCATAAATTTTGCTATTTTCGCGTTTTATTAAACAAGCAAGTGAAGTATTGATTAAATGTTATTATTAATATTACCACTAAAAAATCAAAAAGCGCATATGTATTGTATTATATATATTCGCTTAGAAGAAATCAATAATCAAAAGAGAAGAATTAAAGATAATAACAAATTATAGATTCTTTATTCACTTGTTTGATGATAAAATAACAACTAATTAAAAAATTAAATAAATACTGTGTTTATTTGCTAAGTCCTTTGAGGATAATTTCATTTTTTCTTTCCTCATTACTCCCTTAGATATTTTCTAATGGAGGAATTTGTAAATTTTATTGATTTTGCAGCATTTGCATTCTATTTTGCTCAGCCTGACTATGCTAATGTTTCATTCCTTTATGCCCCTAATAAATATTTATTTATTTATTTATTAATTAATATGAATCTATCTCTTTGAAAAATATTTTTGGCAAACAAATTTATTGAAAGAAATCGCTAATTTTTTACTTCCTTTTATTTCCCAGCTGAAAGGCAGCTAAATAATTTATTAAAAAATCCCATTTTCAGCTATATCCTGTTTTAATGGTTTTCACGTATATAGAAGAATAAGCTCTTTCACTTCTTTATTTTTTATTATTATTTATCTATCTTGTGTCCAATATTAGTCGATTCTTAAGTATTTAATAATTAGAAAAATATGAATAAAAGCTGATTTTTATTAATTTTTTTACATTTAATTAATTACAAAATAATGAGCAATCAATGATTAAATGAATGAATATTAATTAAGAATTAAAAATAATTGATAATGATTAATAATGAATGATTACTAATACTAATAGAACGTGCTAATTGTTTATTCAATATTCAATATAATCAAGTACTTTTTCTATTTATTTAAACTAATTTTAAATTTTTCTATTTTTTGTGCTAATCAAAATTTAATTATTAAAATTAATATTTTTAGTGTAGTTTATTATTCTATCTACATTTCTTTTTTTTGGCAAAACATTACTAACATAGTTATATTTTTAAGGTAAATTAATCTAATTATTTTTTACATAATATGTATGAGCGCTTTAAAAAAAATAACTAATGAATTTATTGTTTCTTGTAAAAATCTTCTCACAAATAAACTTAAAAAAAAAATACGAAAGTCAAAAATTATTTTTTGGTAAACCTTATTTTTCAATTTGAGAGTTTTTAAACGTGATTGAAAATTTTAGCTTTTTTTAATTGAGAGAAGAAACTGAACAATTTTAGAAAAGAAGCTAGATATATTCCAAAGGGATAGATAAATTCAGTCTATAATTAAATTTAAAGTTTTTAAATATATTGAATTTAATAAAGCAAGCAATCACTGGTGATATTTTTATGCTCTAAAATACTAGTATTTATAAAGATAAGATAATAATAAAAAATATTGTATGTTTCATTTTAAAAAAACAAAAATTCATTTTATTTATTACATGTTAAATATAAATACATTACTTCTATTTATAGATATAATTTCTTTACTTCTTTGGTTTACAAAATAAATACAAATTTTACCATAAAATTAGAATAAAAAACTAATAAAATGAAAGAGTTTAAATTTTAAAAAGAGCTTGTAATTTTCACATTAGAATTAAGTAAAACTTTTTCATTTTTAGAGGAGAATTAGGACTAGAATAGCAAGAGAAATTTCAGTATAATGTTTCTTACCATAAAATAAGTTTTTTTTCATCATTATATCGATACATAGATAAAATTAAAATAAGATTGATAGCTAAAATATTTAAAAATATATTAGAAAATTATTTTAAGAAATATTAAATTGAATAAAGACATCACAATAAAAATTTGAATTGTTTAGTATAAAATCAATCTTTTAGTTAATGATTATCTAAATAAACAAAAAATTGTGACAAATCATTTTTTATTAGTTCAAAATTCTTAAAAAATTGTTAATTTTGATTAATTTAATAAATTTTTTTATGGATAAAAAATTAATCTGCTATTATCCCTACTTATTAACTCAAATTGTATAAATATACATAATTCATGTTTTAAGAATTAATTATATTCTTTTTTTAGTCAATCAAGTAAATCTTTTGTTTATTTATTGATTTAATTTATTTAATACCTTTTAAAAAGAAATATTTAAGAAAATATTTTTATAAAAATTAACAAGAAAGTATTTTTCTCTATCAAAATTGTTTATTTTGATTAAATTATGAGTTAAATTAAAAATAATTTATAAAATATATAAAAAATTATTAAAAATTTATCAATAATATTTAAAATAATAATATATTTACCTCTTTACAGTAAAGAACTATCATAAAAATAAGGCCAAAATGAAATGTTAAAAAATAGTACTTTTATATTAAATATTTAAAATAAAAAATATCCTAAAGTTTTAAAAATTTAAGTTATTAATAATAAAATTTTTTGAATGAAATAGTCGAATGATAATAGGTAATAAAACTTATGATATCTTAATTCAATTTTATTAAAATTAATCTGTCAATATTTCTGTATAATTTTTTAAAGATAGATACAAAATAAATAAAAAAATCTATTAATTATTAATATATGGATTCTATGTTTATTAATATATTTGTTCTTTCTTTAAAAAAACAATGGAGATGTTTATGAAAATTTAAGTACAATAAGAATATAATTTTTATGATATCAAAGAACTGCTAAAGTAAAATAAATCTATCATTAGTTCACTCTCTTTTTTCCTATTTTTTTAAATTTTTTTATAGAATTATTTTATTTTTAGATAAAAAAATATTACTAATATTTTGTTTAAATTATTTTCAGCTTTAATAAAAAAAGTAAAAATTTGTTCAATCATAATTATTTTTTTTTAATAAATAAATTGATGAGCTTTAAAATTTTAAAATTAAAAACAAATTTAGGTATTCGTTTTATTTTATAAATAACACAGATAATTAAATATAAAATAAATTTTAATAATTTTTAAAGTTTTTAAAATACATTGAATTATGAGAAACTTAATTGGTTTTTTTATTTATTTATTTTAACATTTATAATTTATTTAATCATAATCATAAAAATCTTTCTAATAAATGGTTCTATTAGGAGCTTTATTTGAGTTCAACATCAAGTAAAATTAAAAAAATACAAAAAGCAACTTTTCTAGATTTGCAAAATATATTGGATAACATTACTGAGCTAAAAATAATGCTATTCGGTTTTATTATAATGATTGATTCAAATTTTAAATTAATTATGAATTCTAAGATATTTATGATTTTATGAAAAAATATGTTTGTTTAACTAATTTATGATAATGCTAATTGTTTTATTTTATTAATAAAGGATTATTTTTTTATAATAGAATATGTATTTTTATTAATGATTAAAGTTTACATCGACAACAAAGAAAACTACAATCAAATAACGCAATAAAAATAAATTTTATTCAATTAGATTTACTGTTTTCAGTGTCTTCTTTACCTAATAATTCTAAGGATTTTTTTACAACTTCTTCAGGATTAGAAATATTATAATTGATAACAATGTTTTTATCTTATCCTCCCATACTTTTTATTGTGTCAATATATTACTATGCCAAATTAAATTGGGCAGCCTTTTAACCTTATTCATTAGAAATAGCTTCGTTTAATTGATTTATTCTTTAGACTATAGCTTCTGCTTTCAATAATATCTCCTAGCTCTTACCTTAGGCACGTAGAATTTTAGATCTTCTATCTGCTTCAGCCATATTAATATCAGAAGTTTTTTGACCTTCAGAAATTAAAATCTCTGCACGCTTTTTTCTTTCAGATTCAGCTTCTAAATTCATAACTTTCTTGATTGATTCTGAAATTTTAATATCCTTGATTTCATAACGCAAGCAATTAACTCCCCAAACTTCAATAGCAGATTGTATTTATTCAAGAATTCTCTAGTTAATTTATCCACGCTCTTCAAATGTTTGATCTAAAGTCAAATTACCGATCTCACTTCTTGTAGTACTTTAAGCTAAAATATTGGCATATCCAAGAGGATCTCTAGCTCCATAAGAGCATTTGACTGGATCTTGAACCTAAAAAAATGTAATTTGAATAGTTAATTATATATTAAAATGTTTGCTTTAAAATAAAAATCATTTCAATCCAAAATTTAAAAAAAAAGTAAAAACTATTAAATAATTGTTCTAATAGTCGATTAAAAATAAATAAATACCTTCAAATATAAAACTCCGTCAACATTAATTATAACATTATCTCTTGTAACAGCATTTTAAGCACTAATTTAAAACGATTGTTCTTTTAATGTATGCTGATAAGCAACTTTTTCTAAAAATGGAATCAAAAAATTAAAACCAGGCATCAAAACTTTGCTGTACTTTCCTAAAAATTCTACGACATATGAGCTTTGTTAAGGAACAAAAACTATAAATGTTTTTTATGTGTTTCCCATTTATTTCAAATTGGCTTAAAAGTAAAAATTATGAAAATTTGCTATATTTGAAGTGAATAGAAGTAAAGCAATAAATTAAATAATTAACTAATTAATTACTTGTCTTGAATCTTTTTTTAAAGAATATATTCGTAATAAATTAATTAATAACACTTATTTAAAAAGAAAGATATGGAATTTTCTTTCTTCCAATAAAATAGATAAACTAAAATCATCTTCTACTCTAAAAATTTTATTTTCTGTTAGATTTTGTTTGCAAAAAAAATATTTTTTCTATAAAATATCATTTTTAATAGCATCCATATCTAAAAATAGTAAACATGTGTTTTTTCTCATAATTCTTTAAGTAAAAGAGCCATCAAACCAAAATCTGAGATTTATTTTCAAAGAAAAAATATTATTTTATTTTAATAATAAATATCAAATTTTAAATGATAATTAAAATAATATAATCAAAAGAAATATAAAAGAGATATCCAATCCTAATAAATAAATGAATGAATTACCTGCTTTATAATTATCAAACAAACAAATAATAATTTCAATTTATTTTGAAATAATTCTCATAAATTTAAAAGTATTTTTAAATTGTTTTAACTTCTAATAGAAAGAAATAAACAAATAAATCAATTATTTATGCTAAAATCAATTAAAAATATTGTATTTATTTATTTATAACAAATATGGAATGTAAAAACTTTGCAAAATATATATTTTTTTTTGTAATTAATATTTTTTTTTATAATTTTTTTTAATCAATTAAAAATATTTTTAAAATTGTTAAATAAATTAACATCAATAAAAGAAAATTTTACAAAGGTATCAAAACCTGATTGATCTATTATTTGAGAGTAGTTTGATTTATTTAAAACTAATATATTAAGTCATTTAAGTACAACTACATTTATAAGCTAAATAAATAAATTAAACAATAAAAAATAAATATTTAAAGCAAAAAAATACTAATGTTAATTTTATAAATTCTCAAGCTTTTATTAATATTTATTAACATTCAACAAGACATAAATCAAAAATGTATGCAAGAATTGATTAAAATTATTTGAGTAGGTAGGTTATTATTTTCTTTGATTTTATTTAGAGATACTTATTTAAATGATTAGTATAAACGCTTCATTTGATTTTGTATTTATATTAAGTAGCAGTTAGTAAAATTTATTATTATTTTTTAAAACTAATTTAATTGTTTTTTTAAAGTATTTTATAATTTTGAAAGAGAATTTGTTAATTTGAAGATGACTTATTTATTTATTTGCTTAATATGTTTTAGTAAAGTAAAAGTGTTTATGATTATTTTTTGTTATTATCAACTCATATAGTTTGGTTATCAATTTGTTACAGACTCTCTTAATATTTATTTCTTCTTTGCAACCAGAGACAATATTTTATTAGGTAGGAAGCGTTATATTATAGAGACATCTGTAGTACTTCTTCAATATTTTCATTAGTTATAAGCTCCTTTATCTTTTGTTAAACTATTATTATCATTTTTTCTATTAAAAATTAATCACAAACCCTCAATACTTCAAAGAGCAAGGATAAGTCTCCGTTTTGCTGTTCTTCAAGCTCTAAATTATTATAATATAAAGACTTCACTATTATTTTAAATATTTGCATTTCTATATTTTTTATTTCGATCACATTTTTATGGGTTTCTTTCATCCCTAGAGTAAACATAGTATTGAAACTCTCACCCATCAAGCTCAATATTACTTTATGAGCATATAATATTTCTCCTATTAAAAATGAATAGATAAATCATTCTAACTTTTATAAAAATTAATAAAACTTTAAAATATACCTTGGAATGAAAATTAGACATCTGAAAATTGTGGATTATTGTAGAATTGTTTAAGATTTTAAAAGAAACCACATCCACTGCTTGTATTTTAATCATCATACTTAATTGTGAGTTCTGGCTTTGGATCAATATCTAAAGCTATATAATTTTTGTAATAATTGGGACCCCAACTGCCACCAATAATGTAGAGCAAATTTTTATAAAGAGTCATCGAATGTCCACTCCTAGGATTTAAATAACTCTCAATAGTTTATCCATTACCGTTGTTATTCATTAAATTGTTTTTATTTTTTATTAATTCTAAATTGTTGACATTCAAATTTGAAGACATTAAACCATTTTAGTTGCTTTTCTAAATATTTTATAAAAACTATTTGTTATTTATGCTGTCTCCAGATTAGTCATTTCCTTCAAATGAGTTATGGGAATCATCACTTTCATTAAGAGTAACTCTACACTGTTGCCATTGATTGCACTTAGGATCAAAAAGCCATAAATCATTAAAACATGTTGAACTAGGTCCACTACCACCAAACATATAAATAATTTCTTCAACACTTATCATTTTCATACCTGCTCTTGCTGGTGGAGCCTATATCCATTCACTCCTTTCAATCTAAGTCCACTCAAGCTTTCTTAAATTCATTTTGTAAAGATCATTTAATCTTTTTTATCCATCCCACCCTCCAAAAATGTAAATAAAATCCCCTATCAAACATGATGCATGATTAGCTCGAGGAGGAGGAGCATTACCTTTAGCTTCAACTTTTTCCCACTTAAAAGTAATAATATCTAACGAATGCAAATCACTAAAATACTATTTTCCATCGCCTCCTCTATAGACAAAGATTTTATTTTCCCAGTGCTCTGCAGTGTGCATATTGCAAGGACCTTATTTTAATAAAATATTTATTTAAACTCAGCTAAGAATTATTTATTTTTGCATATTCTATAAAAATAATATTTAAAAAATTAATATAAAACAAATAATTAATTCTCTTTTGATTAATTCAAATTAGATTTTAAAGATAAATATTGTTTTGTTAATAATTATATTTCAGATGGGCTTTTAGTTTTTATTAACTTAAAAACCAATTTGTATTAAAGTATTTCAGTTATTTAAAGAACTTTTTTCTATTTAATCATTTGTGTATTTATTTATTTATTTATTCTTTATATGTTAAAAAACTTACGATTTTTATTTAAAGTAAGCCAAAAATATTTAATTTACCTGGCTCTTATCCTGAAGTTTCCATTTTTGTCCATTTTAAAAGATCTAAATCTAGAATATAAAGCTGATTACTTGCATGTTATCCCTTTTTATAAGCCATAAATTAGTTGATGGTTGATATTTACAGTAAAAATATTCTAAAATAAATATTCAAATTTTTTAAAAGTAGAAATAGTTTTTATATTTAAAAAAACTCAAATATCAAACTAATCAAATACCTGTCCTATCCAACCACCTATGACATACATTTTATTGTTAACTACTACTGATGTGTGCCCATTTCTTCCTTATGGCAATTCATTAGAGTCATTTGCAAATCTTGGTTATTCCCAAACATTTGTGCGAAGATTTAAGATATGCAATTTATTTAAATTTTTCTATCCATTATAACCTCCAAAAATGTATATTCTTTCTTTGTAATAAATAGCAGAGTGATTTTTAATACTTGGACATTCAGTTTCAAAAGTTGTGAGCATTTTTACATTTGTTTTCCTATTCTACTCTTACTGATAAATGTTTTTATAGATAGACTATTCAGTTTAATCAAAAGAACTCTATAAATGATCCATTTTAAATTCAATTTGTATTTTAATTGATGATATTTCCTTGTATTTAGTATTTCTATTAAATATTAGCTTATTTTAAATCCTATATCAAGTATTTATATAATATCTTTTAAATTATTTAATGTCCTTTGCTAGTTTATTTTCCTAGTTGTTACTGAATATTACTTGGCTGATTTCAATCAACTTTACTAATTAATCTTAGTTATTATTGTTATTATATTATTATTATTATTTTCTGAGGATAAGATAATAAGAAATATACTAATATTTAAAAACTATTGAATGCTTATTCATGAACAAAAAATATATTTTTTGCTTATATTTTTTTCAAAAGCATCGCTTTATAAACTATAGAGATGTTATTTGTAAAATTTACAGACTTATAAATAATCTAAATTTAATCAATTAAGCATATCACCCACCTTCTTTAAAATTTTTAATATTGCAAAGATCATTTTCTTTTAGTGGACTGAGTGGAGATTGAATAGAACTAAGATTAATCTGTAGCTGTTTAACAAAATATTTTGAGAATCAAGCAAAATTTAAATAAGTCTATTTTGAAATTTAAAAAATAGTTAATTATTAAAAAAATATTTAAGTACTTTTTAGAAAAAAGCTGTTAATAGATTGTTTTATTAATAAACCATAAAATATTTTTGTTAATTTAATTTTATGTAAGTTATCATTATTGTTTTTTGTATTTAACTTATGAATTATCTATCGTATTATTATTAAAATATTATTGAACTTATTCGCAACTATTTTTTTTCCTTCAAAATATATATTTTCATAAGAATTAACATATCACTAGACTGACTATTTTTATTTTCTTATCGTTTTGTGTGATATTAGAGAATGAAAAATTATTATTATTATCATAAAATCATCAGAATTTTATTTAAATAAATTAAACTAAAAAAATACTTAATAATTTACTAAAAGAAAAAAAAATAGCAGTTTAGAAATGGATATTCTTAGGTTAGACATCCCCGATAGATTAAGTCTTTTTAAGCTTCCTCCAACTTCTAATTCAAAAGGATAGTATATTTTCATAAATATCGAAAGCGAATAATAATTTATTCTAAAAATTATATTATATTAGCTACTTTGGTGATTGGAAAGAATAAATCTGGGAAGGTGGTTTGAAATTATATGAATCAAATGATAGAATGGTCATTAGATTCTATAAAGATGGAAAGCTACACATTGAATTAATTGTAAGAATTAAAATTTTAACTCTTTTTTGTCATCCATCAAACTGTCCATCAGATTCAGACTAAAAATTATTGCATAAAATATAGGTTCCAGAAAATTATGAAGAAGCAATTGTTAAATGCGAAGATAGCGTAAGAGGGTTTGCAATTAGATTTAACAATCCTAACGGCGGTTATACTTGGATGGGTATTTATATAATTTTCCATAAATTCCAATTCATTTATTCATACTGATAAAAGGTTTGGGTTTCAGAGATAGAAATACTGCATTCGATTTTAGATCTCGTATTATCGATTTTTACGAAAGAAAAACTGATGACTAAAGTATCTAATAAGTTGATGTCAAGCCTTCAGAAGATTTTTCACTAAAAAAAGGAGAAAAAATATCTTTCTCTTTAGGAGGATCAAAGTCTGACTAAAGCTAAAATAAATAACAATAGCAATTGTCTTTGTAAAACTCATTTTATCTATTAATTTATTATTTATATTTATCTTAATATCAGTACAGGAAATTTTATGTTTGATATGCCTAATTCATCTAGTAGTAATCAAAGCCAATCCTAAAATGCGTTTAATAATAACAGCAACAACAATAACAGTAATAATAACAACAATAAAGGAAATAATTGGGATAACTGGAATTTTGGAAGTGGTTTTTCAGATTTTTCAAATTTTGGAAATTCTTAGCCTTAGCAAAATTAGCAACAATAACAATAACAATGGGGTTTTAATGGAAATCAATAGTTTTGGGGATTCGATAATTAGAACAACAACAATAACAATAATAATTTCAACAACAATAACAATAATAACAACGTTTAATAATGGGCGTTTGAAGGCCATCCTTAGTAACAGTAATAGCAGCAATACCAATAACAATAGTATCAACAAAATTAGTAATAACAATATAACTAAAATACATAATAAAACTACTAATATAATCAATAGCAAAATACCAATACTACTCATCAACCTGCAAAAAATGTAGATCTTTTAGATTTAATTTGAGTTTTCTTTAAAATTGAAAAACTAATATAAAATATTTTTTAATTTTTAAGAATTTTAATATTTATTTTAGTATTGATTAAATTTAATGTTTTCTCTTTAAAAACCTAAAAGAAATAATTAAATAAATAAATAAAATAAACACATATGTTTAGACTTTATATGCATTTTATATTAATTTTAATTTTTTAGCGGTAAATTTTATGAATAAGAATATTGATTGATTATTAAATAAATATATAAATAAATAAATACATAACTAGTTAGTATCTTTGATAAAAAAGCATAAAATTTTTACACTTTTTGTCTAATAAATATTAACTAATTAAATATCTATTTTCATAAATTTTTAAATCTAATAATTTTTTCAATTAAAAATTTGTTTGAGGAGTTTAAAAAAAATAAAATAAATTTATAAAATCAAGTGATTTATTTAAAAAAAAGAGATTAAAAATGAATACTTAGCAAAGAATATCTGATTAGACAAAGGAATCTGTTTAAAATACTATTAGAAATTTGCAATAACGTACTGAACATATTGAAAAGTTAATTGAAAAAGGTAATGATGTACTAGTTTTCCAAATTGGCTCTCATAACATTAAATATGGGTTTGCAAGCTAAGAAAATCCTAATAAAATTCGTACATTAATTGCTTACAAAACAAAGAATAATGAATCTTCTTTCACTCATGAAAGCTTTAGAACTTACGATGCATTTGATAAAGAAGTTAATAAATTGGAATAGCTATTAAAAGGATAAAAAAAAATTGGAACTTAAACAAAAGGACCTAAAGGTGGATAAAACAGCGTTGCAGCTTAAAAGCTCAAATAAAGAGTTGAAATCAGTTTAAAAACACTTGAATTTCAAAATAAGATGGAAATTGAAGAAAATGCTGAAAATGATATAACCAAGAGGACTATGTTGTTTGGCGAGGAAGTTTTTATGGTAGAATAACATGATAATTTTATGATTCGTAAACCTATAAAGCACGGGTATTTGAATGTAGGAGAGTACAACGGAGATTTTCATGGACCTATCAACGATATTTAAAATTTAATTGAATACATATTAATTAACAAGCTTAGTCTCACTCGTAAGTAATTCCCTTAATACAAAATAGTATTGTGTATACCTGATGTCTTTTAAAGGTAGCAAATTAAATTATTGGCAAACATGTTTTTGCTTTCTTTAAATTTTAATGCTATTTACATGCACTAAGAAAGTATTCTAGCATGCTTTGGGTATTGCATTGGACAAGCTTGTGTTGTTGATATTGGTGCAGAAAAAATTAATGTTTGCTGTGTTGATGAAGGCTTGATAATTCCTAACACTTTAATGAGAAAAAATTATGGTGGAGACGATATTGATGTTTCTTTAATGAGAATGCTAAATAAGAGAGGCTGCATAGCATTTAAATAAAAGACTAACTACAGAGTCGAATGCAGAAATTATGGTGATATGCATTAAATTGAAAAATTAAAAGAAAAACATGCCAGTTTTGAATAAGCTGAAGATCTTTCCAGTAGAGTTTTTGAAATGCATTGTGTACGTAATGGAATTGAAGAGCTTTTTACAGTTTAGCACAATGAGGCTTTATATATAGCACCCACTATTATTTTCCATGCTGATGTTTTAAATGCACTAACTAAAAACACTTCAAACAGCTATAAAGACATAGATTTTGAATTCTATGACTATCGCTCAAAAAGATTTGAGTACAATGAAGACCCTGAAGATAATTTGGAAGAAGTGACAGGTAAACAATTATTTGCATTTTATTCATTTTTTTGTAAAATTATGTTTTAAAAATAAATCAAAAATAAATAGCTGGTATTGTTTGGGGACAATAAAAAAATCTGATTAACCCTTACTTAGCAGGAGCCCATATCATAGAACAGAGAAAAAAAGATGAGCTGAAGAAAGAATTATTGGCTTAAAATCCTAATTTAAATTAATAGCAAAATTAAAATCCAGAATAAATTGAAGAGCAAAAGAAGCAAGAATTATAGCAACAACAAACCTATAAGCTTACTGAAGACGAATTGCTAAACCCTTACACTATGGTTAATTTAGAAGACATTATTTCTCAATCTATTGCTAACGTGAAAGATCCCGAATTAAGAAAAAAATTAGCTAATCACATTCTTATCATAGGTAAAACTAAAATTAATTTCATAGATAAATATTCTTACTGTATATTAAAATTTATTAAATTCATTATTATTAAGTTTGTTTTAAGAAGATTTCTTAATTTGTTTGTTTGTTTATTTATTTAATATTATTAATTAAGAAATTTTACAAATAAAAAATTATTTTTTTAAATTTAACAAATGAAATTATAATAATTTTATTTTAACAAAAAAAAGGAGGAACTAGTTAGACTTCTAAAATGGTGGAAGAATTAGAAGATAGATTAATAGAAAAAATATCCCAGTATGATTACAATATAGAACGTGTAGAAGTCATTGATTCATTGTCTAAAAAAGAAATGTATCCTTCATATTTGAGTTGGATTGGAGCTACTGTTATACCTAGACTAGATTCTATTAAAGATTTATGGATAAACTAGAATAGATGGCTTGGTCTGTTTGATGACATTGATGATTCCTCTGATGACGAAGTAAGCAATACTGAGGCTATGAGAAAAGAAGAGAGAAAAGATAAATCCAATGAGTATGGTATTAAATATTTAAAGGAAAAAGTACCATTTTAATGGTGAGAAAATGTAGAATTATTAAAGTTGATATATTATAAATTTTAATATATATATATAAGGTGAGCAAAAAAGTAAGTAATTTATTTTCAAAAATTTTACTAAATAATATATATCTGTAATTTTATTTAGCTTCTTTATTACTAAAAAAAGAAACAATTTGATTAGTAAAAGTCTATCAATACATACATATTTAAATTAACTTACGCAGTAAAAAGTTATATCATTTAATTATAAAAAGAAAACAATATTATTTAGCTAAAAATATAAATAATATCATTAAGTTATAAAGAGAAAATGATATCTTAAGATAATGATGAAACAATATTCCTAGTTAATGTTAAATAAAATTTATTTTTATCAAAACTCAACTTCATTAGCATCATCAAAGAATTCATCGTGCTTGAATTGACTTTTTCCTTTTGTATCTTAATGTTTGGCTTCAACTTTGAGGGGAGTTCCAGCATCATCCTCTTCATCTATTTTTGACATTTCATTTTTTTTGATATGCGAAAGGTCTTAAGAATCTTCTTCCTTGCTTTGTTGATATTAAATACTTTATGTTTAACCAACCTAAGGAATATCCTCTAGATTTCTAGGAGTGTCTTATTTACTATCTATTTTTATATTTTAAAATTATTTTTGAATTCACTAACTTTTATTTATTACCTTCTTGGCTATGCAGCTTATTTAAATCAGTTAGTTTTTGCTTGAAAGGAGGATCTTCTCTTATAGAGTCTAAAAAATTATTTTAATTTCCTTTTGCATTATCAGACTTATTCCTATGAATATGATCTTCTTTTGAATTAAGATCTAAAAATTGCTCTTCTAAATGAGGCATTGCAGAAAATTTCTCTCTAGGTGATTTGTAGCCTTGGAAGTAATTGAAAACATATTCTAAATTGACATAATTAACCGATTAGTTGCTTTCATATGAAACCTAGTATATGTAATCTAGCAAAGCTTAATCTAAAGAAGCATCATTAAATTTCATATAAGATTCCAATTTGTTTTTAGAGACATATTAAATATTTTCATGAATAAAATGTTATTTCAACTATTCTTCTTTCTCTGCAACAAACTTTTACAAAATATTAATAATTTAATTAGTAAAATAAGTAAATAAATGGATATAGCTATATGGCAATAAATGTAAAAGAATATTTAATATTAAACATTACTCTTTGAATTTCTTAGAATTACTCAGGATGGGTCTCATGTGAATAAATTGTATAGAAACCTACGAATTTCTTGAACAAATTTTTAACCTATGAAACTTTACAACCTCTGTTCATATTTGGGGTTTCATCATTGAGCATGCTCTCTTCAGTTTGATTTACATGATCTTCAGTGAGATATTTAGATAACACATTCAAATCATCCTCGATTGTTATACAAAATGGCTCACTTTTTAATAAAAATAACTTCATCAAAAATGTTAATTGGCTAGGAAATTAATTCTACTTTCTTAAAGCTATCTTCATATCTTCAAATGTAACATATTGCTTTTATATTAAACCGCCAGTGAAGAGGTACTGTATTAATAAAAATAAATTATTTATTTATTTATTGAGTTTAATCACAAAACTTACTTAGTCTATATCTGAATAATGTATTTTCTTATTTCTCAATCTATATTTAATTTCAACTCCTAATGGAAACAGCTCATTATTAACGTATGTAATTTTTTTTCTTATTTAATTTTAAGAAGGTGTACCAACAAATTCACTTCTATGCTATGGAGTTTCAGGTCCAAAACTATTCATATCTGCACTATTTCCTTAAGCTTAAGTCTTTTAATAAAACAAGAGCTGATAAAAAAAGAAAGAAAGAAAAATTTACCCTAGTTGTTTCCATCTTTTTGTTTCTTTTAATAGGGAAGAGTAAATCATATTTATCCTTGAGTTCTAATAATTCAAGGTGTTCTTTTTCGTATTTTTAGCGAATCTGATCCTTTTCCTTTGTTTCACTGCTTAGCTTTTCCTAATAATCTGTTTGCAAATCCTTAATTTTTTGCTCTAATTCTTAAATTTTCTTTTCCTTTTCTTGAATTTTTGTATTCAAGTTGTTGCAATCTCCAATTTTTTTTTCAAGTTCTACTTTAAATTATCCTTCGCTTAATCCCATATTTTTACGAGAGCTATTTTATTAAGTAGGATCAGTTCCTCTATATCTATCTAGTTCTCTTTCCTAAAATAATATAATTAAACATTAAAAAAAAATTTTCCCATAATTATTTAATTACTTTTTCTAGGATAAGTCTTTTATAATAGGCTTTGTCTTTGGTTTATTTCTAACTTTATCTTTCCATTTCTAAAATTTATTTCTTTTTAAAAAGTAAGTAAGTAAGTCAATTGAATTTTTTAATTTTGCTTCATAAAATCTAACATACTTCTTTTTCGATTAATTTAATTTTAAGTTCTTCGTTAGCGTCCAACATTTTTGAATTTTCACTTTTTAAATTATGTATTTAGTTCATTTAAGAAATAAATTTCTCTTCAACAGATCCGTCTCCTTCATCTCTTTTGTTATATAATAAAGATAATTTAATCATATAAAAAATAAATTGCTTTATTTTTCTTAATAGATTTTTTTATGTAATTAATTACTCATTTTTTGGCTTCAAAGACAAAGATTGCTGTAATAATCGCCTCAAACGTATAGTTTCATCCATATAAGATTTAAGTTCAACCTGATTTAATAAATGAAAATGTATATATAATATTATTTCTTTTGATTAAGCTACCTCTAATTCTGATATTTTAGTTAATTTAACGTTTCTCTTAAGAGTGTTCATCTCTTTTTCCTTTTACTATAGTTAAGCTGTTAAATCAGCAACTTATTTTTTGAGTGTAGGAATAATTGAACTCTATTGTATATAAGTTAAAATTTTATGTAACAAATTTACTTACTGGATAATAATGTTATTAATTTCAAAATATTTATTTACAGTTATTTCTTTTTCTTGAATTATTAATTGTTAAATTTTAATTCAAAAATAATAATAAATTTTTTACTATTTCTTGATTTGAATATAATCCAGTAGATTTATTTGTTTTCTTTTTAATAGAGTTGAGCAGACTTGATGTTTATAAGTTGTCAACTGGTTCACTCTGCTCGTATTTCTTAAGTTCTTGCTATTAAAATTAAATATAAAGATCATTTTTAGTTAAAGGATTATAGATATTTAATTTTTAATATTCTCTTTTTAAAAGTGCACATACATATAAATATTTATATATACCTTTAGTCCATAACAATGAGTTTACAACTTGTGATTTTCAAATCTAAGCTAATTGATTATTTTTTTAGTTGCAATCAACTCTTCATAGAGTCTTTCCTTATCTTAATATATATTCTTTGGAATTGTCTTTGACATATCTTTCGATGAAAAATCTGAAATAGGTCTTTTTAAATCATATAAAAATACTAAACTTAGAAATCTGTAATTTTATTAAATCATTTAATTGAACGTACATTTGCTAGCTAATATTTGGCATTCTTTATTTTTAAGCTGTATTCTACTAATTCTTAGAACCAACAAATCCTAGTTCTTTCTAAGTCTATGCACTTGTGCTAATATTGACCTACCTAATATTTATTCCAATAATTTATTTAGTTAAAATCTAAGGCTAGCTTTCTGTTTTCCTTATTTTTTATTTATAGTTTCATCTTTAAATAATTTAATTTACCTAAAATTAGTTGATGAAGCATTCATTCTGGTATTATAATCAAGATTTTCTTATTGGTTTGCGCCAGTTGTTTGAGGCCTATTAAAGATTGTTGATTATGACTAAGACTAGGACATCTATTGTCCTCTCCTACTCTGGAAAGAAGTAAGAGGTCGTTGATCCATCCTTATAATTTTGATGCTTTTATATACTAAATCTGATATTAATAATCAATCTATTAAGTTTATTTAATTTTTGCTTGTAAAAATATTGACTATATTAATTTATTTTGATATATTAATCAATCTTCCTTAGTAAAGTAATAAATACATACTTTTATGATTTACAACATTATTAATATCTTAGAAGACAGACTTCTTTAAATAATTAAAAGCTAAGACTGTTTTACAATTTTTGAATGAATGAATATATATATACACAAATTCTTATCAAAATATCAAGTACTTTCTTAGCATATCCAGTATATCAAAATGCAACATTTTTAATTAGTTTTAATCAAACAGAACTATTTTTGAAAAACAAAAAAAAAAATGAGCATAAAATAAATTTTAGTATTTTTAAAAATATTTTAAAGATCAAACAAACAAATTAAACATTTTTTAAAAAATTTATTTTTAATCGAAGCATATTAAATAAATTAAAAGAAGATCAAAAATAAATACCACAAACAAATAGATAGATAAATAAATCGATAGATAGATATATACTAATTTGTTGAAGGAATTAAATTATTTTCTATTTACACAAAAATTTTCTTATAAATGATAATTAATATTTATTCTATTTATTTAAAATAATCACTTTTCATTGATTTGCTCATCTACTTCAGTGATTACAGTTAGCTATTTTCTTTTTTGTATTGTGCAATCTCTAACTCTTTGCTATGCATTTTTATTATTTTTAATTCTTCTTAAAAAGCTTTATAGCTTGAAATTATTTTTAAAGACTATTTTGACACTTTAATCATTCTCACATAAATATTAAGTACAAAGATGGATTAAAACTGTTTCTGATTGTTAGTAATCAATATAATTAATTATGTTAATCAGCTTAAGTAAAATTTAGATAGATAAAAATCTGAACTCTGGATGTTTTATTTATATAACTATTTCTTGATATTTATTTATAATGTGTTAGTCCTTAGGTTGGATTGAGTTAATAAAATCTTGCAATTAAGCATAAATTTCAGTATTTTAAGTAAATCTATCAGCTAAATTTTTAGTGAATTCATTGCTATCGCCGCTAAGCCCTTTCTCTAGCAATGTGTTTATCTTTATTAGTAGATAAATTATTACATTTTTTGATCCCTTCAAATATATTTAAAGAAGTTTTGTAACATAAAAGTTTAATTCATCTATTATCGAGGTGCTTAAAAATTAAATTCCAAATAATTAAAATTTATTAATAATAATTGATATAGAAAATAAATATATATTTGTTATATCATATCTAGCAAATGTAAGATTGTAGTTCTACTAATTTTACTAATTTGAATAGTTGGTTCTTTATACAAATCTGTTAAAAGTCTAGTTTAGCTAGAATAAATTATTTTGCAACTGATTTACATCCTCAAAATTACTTATATTATATTAAATTTTAATTATACTTTATATTACCAAATAAATTTTAAACTAATCCTCCTTGCTAAAGTCTAGAGCTGAAGAATTACTCTCAACTAGCTATTTAATCAAATTAAGCATAAAGGAAACATCAAGACAAGGATAATCAAAGTCTATTTTACTTATATAATTTATTATTGAATTAATAGAATTCTATATAGTTTAATTTATTTGCAAGTTTTGCTTCTAATTTGAAATAGAAGAAAGTAGCTATGAGCACATAATATAGTAAATTAATAATTCAAGCATATCGATAATATAAACCTTGAATTCATCAATATTTTACATAATCAAATTGATATTCGAATATATGAATTCATTCAAAATCAAATAGACTTCATTAAGATACGAATTTTCAGACATAACTTTTTGCATTCTTTAGCTTTGAATAAATTTGCTATATTGCTCATTAAAATAATTTATTTGATCATATTTAGTTTCTTCCTTTTCCTCTTCATATTTACAAAATATTATACTATCATTATTCAAATCTTCGATATCTTCAATATCAGCTTGCTTAATTTCCTAAAAGTTATTATTGCAGTTACATGAAAGGCAGCTTCCTCCTCCTAACAACTTTAAATCTTATTAGATTGTCCCATTTTTTTTAATGATATTTTTAAACTGTTTAAATGTATTGCAATTTTATTTTATAGAGAATTTTTAAGTCTTATTTTAACTTTAATTTAAAATTAAAAGCTATTTCTATAATTTGTTAGATTTTGAATCATTTTTATTCCTTTCTAACGCTTATTCAATATGAATAAAACTGACTGGTGTATTTTCTTACATTACAGAGTTTATTTATTTTACCTATATTTCTTTTTTAGCTAAATTCACCTTCTTTACTTACTTACTTACTTACTTACTTACTTACTTACTTACTTACTTACTCTTTCTTTATTTTTTTCTTTAGTTTATTTAATTTTTTAAATTGATAACACTTTTTTTTATAAATTAATTTCTAATAAACTTTTTTGAAAATATTAATTATAAAATTTTGAAAATCTAAAAAAATTTAATAAATTAATTAATTAATATAAATTTATTAATAAAAATAATAAATTTGTTCAGAATGATTACACAATTTTTTCTTTGAAATTCAAATTTTATGTCAAGCAATTTATCTATTTTTTGATAATTGTAAGTAGCTCTATTACTTAATAATTAAAAAAGTAATTTAATAATTAATTTGATTGATGTAAATATTTTTTGATATTTTCTTATTAATAATTTTAAGCTTACATTATTTATTAATACATGAATGAATAAATGACCTATTTAGTAGATCACCACATAGCAAAATTAATTCAATTAATACTCTAAATCAGCTTTTAATTTTTTCGCTCGATAATAATAATATACCATAAAAATTAAAATTTTACACAAAAATTTAACAACCAAAATTTTATTTACATTAATTAATTTATTAATTATAAGATAAAAAAACATAAATAAATAAATAAATCATTCTTAGATTTAACTAGCTGTTTTCTATTTTTGTGATTTATGAAGCACTTAAGATCTTATGTTTTTCTATAAATCTGTTCTTTCTATGTTATTTTATATACCTGTTATTTTAGGATAACCCTATATTGGGCCATCATCGACTTCTTTATCAATATATAATAGACATTAGTTAGTACGATTTTTATCAAAGTACAAAACATCTTTTTCATCTATCAAACAGCTAAAAATAGGCTAATTAGGCATGTGGATGTCAAAAGAATTATCAATAATACCAAAAATGAAAGGAGGAGAAACATAAACACTTTTTTATCTAGATGGCTCCTAGTAAAGAAGCTTTCCTCCTATATAATCAGGTAGCTTAAATGAGAAATTTAAGGAGGAGAAAACTCTATTTTTAGAAAGTACTGAATCAAAATCATCATTTCTAATGTGAGGCTTATTTATAGAAAATTAAGGGAGCCAAATCGTTTTGTAGGTAGGCTCTTTTTGATCACTTTCTTTAAAGAATTCATGGATATAAAGATAAATATCACTAACTTATTTTTCAAAAAAATCATCTGCTTGCAAAAAGAAGAGAGTGTACTTAGTATCTACAGTTTATATTTAAATCATAGGATTTGAAGTAGTTCTAGAGTAGACAAGTGCGCTCACAAGAGGAGTACTATTTGAAGTAGAAGCCATTGAGGAGTCAATTTAATTTGAGTTATTGCTAATTCTAATATATAGTACCTCTTTTTACTACGAATTGGTCATAACTGTATGACATGCATGAGGTAGATTCAATTTTAACGAAAAGGTATTCATGTATATCTTATTGTTAGTATTATCGTCATATTCACACGTTGGCAAAAAAGACATATTTTCCACTGCTATGTTCATTTTTTCAATGCTATCAAATTCTTGATTCACAAATAAGTCAGAGAAAATTTTCTTTTTTCTAATGTTAATTCGCATTGTATAAGCCAAGTTATACAATTATTTTATCTTTTCATGCTAATTCTACTCTGTAAGCTGCTTTAACACATCACTAATATACATCTCCTTGAAAAGATGACTAAGAGCACATAGAAAGCTAAATTTACTACCATTATCTACATACAAACTTTTATTAAATATTTTATTTTCAGGTATTTCTTGCTTGCTGACCATGATAAAGGAGTTAAAAAAGAGCTAGTCAGGTGATTTACCTAGATTCGAATCTCCTAAGAGATTATCATCAATAGGATACTTCTCCTCATCTCTGTTTGATGCAAATACTCTTTGGGTATTATTTTAAAGCTACTTAGTAAAGAAATAGTTAGATGCTATTATCATCTACTCAATCTTTTCTTACAAAGGTATGAGTTAAGGACTAGTGTAGAATTTAGTTTCGATTCTATCAGCTACATCGTGAGTCCAAATGTATTCAGTGAACAAAGAAAATAAACCTTTGAACATATTAATATCAATACAAGAAAAATGATCTATGATCATTATTTTTCTAACCATATTTTTGCTGCTGTTAGTCTTGCTGAGGATTTTATTCTATTATCTAAAAGTTGTCTTACTTGAAAAGAAAGAACTATTAGCATTCTATTAACTATACTGAGATTAGTAAAAAATATTATTTATATCATCATTATCATAAATATCTTCTTCTTCCTCTCCGTTTTTCAAGAAATTCTCATCATCAGACTAAATATTGTTATCTGAACTTTTTTATGGACTATCTTCAAAAAAATCAAAAGGCCCTTTCTGTTGTCCATAGTCAAAGTAAGGATGAACAACTACCAACCCTAATACTTTCATTGTTCTCCTTTCAACAGCTTGTAAAAAATTAAAATTAAGATCGTTCTTTAATTAGTATATTAATGTAAAGGCATCTCTCATAAAAAGACCACTAAAAATTGGATGAATTTTTTTGAAATAATTATGTACAATTTCATTCACTTCTTCCTCTTTAAGGCTTATTGGATTAACTTGGATACTAACTTTAAAGGCATTAGTATTAAAAGGATTTTGCTTTTAGTCAGTAAGAGCTTCTTCTAAATCTTGGTTCTGTATATTTTAAAGTTTTTATTCCTGCTCACGGCGAAGAAAATCATTGTATTCTTGGTTATTTTTTAATTATTTTTCATAATCTTTTTGCTTTTGTTCTGCTTCTAGCTAAGCTTTTTTTTCATCCTTTTGCTTTTGTATTAAAGCCAAAGCAGCCTTTTTAAAGCTGCTTTTTTACTTTTTATCTTAAGTATTTAATCTCACTGCAGTATTAGCATCATTACTATTATTGTTTTGCTCTTCTTACTGTTTATTTAAGATTAAACTTCTAAACATTTTTTCACCCTCAATTTTTTCAAGCTCTTCTTCTTTTGAGTTAAGCAAGTTAGCATTATCTCTTTTAGGATAAATACCTGATTTGTTGTGCTTACCATTTGATTTTTATTTCACAAATTGATAAGAACCTATCTTTTATGGTATTATTGATGACTAAGAGCTATTCTACTATTTTAAATCAGATAAAGTAGCTGACTTTTGTTCTTTTTCTAACTAATCTAACTTTTTAGTAGATTGGCTTTTTTTTAATGGAGAAGCTCCTGTATCTTATTTATTTTAAACATTTGATTTAACCTATTTTTTTTTTTCATTTTGAAGCATTTCTGATCTGGCTTCAGGTAATTGCTCATCTTACATCTTTGAGGAATTAGCATCAGAAAGAACTGTTTATGAGCGAACTTTTTTCAGTTTTGAATTTTAACTATTGCTTTCATCAAGAAAAATTAATGAATCTTTATGTCCGTTAGCATTCTTCGAAGGTGAAAAACTACTCTTCTCATTGCTACTTTCTTCATTTTATTTATTCTTGACAGATTGAGATTTTCTTATTTTCGAATTTGAACTTTAATCATCTAATTCAGGCTAAGAGTTTTTATTTATAACATTATTTTTTTGGTTCGAAAAAAGAGAACTTTTAATCTTGCTTTGATTATCATCTTATTATTATTATAATTTAGATGTTGCTACATAATTAATATCTTTATCCTTATTTAATTTTGTTGGAGACTCAACAGCTTGCTATTCATTTTATGCTTAAGGAGCATTGTTATTTTATAATTTTATTATAGACTAAGATTTAGTATTGCTGTTTTTAGTGTCTTTGTTATCTTTTGTAGTATCACCCTTCTACTGCAATGCTTATTTTATATTGTCATTTTTGGTATTATTTTTTTATTTTTATGATATTATTTAGATTTCTTTTTCTTAGCTTTCTAACTGACCTAATACTATTATATCGTCTATGTTCGAAATAGTTGCAGTTTAATCATCTTAATTTTATGATGATTAATTGGTTTAAATTTGATTGTTTGTTTTCGATATCTCATCATCTAAAGTAAAAAATCTAATTACTTTTTTAACAGGGGCTTCTTACTGCTTATTCGAAGGTGAGATGTTGCTATCTGCTCTATTATCATTTACTTCGTTATAAAAATTAGTTTTAGTATTTGCATTCGTTTAATTGACTGAAAAAACTCTTCTCTTAATTGGGCTAGAAGTATTTGATCTTTTTAGTGCCCTGCTATAAGAAGTATTATTTGCTAGTTTCATATAATAAGGTTCATCTTCGGGTAGAATTTTAGTGTAATAACCTTTTTCATTTAGCTCTTAAAGATTAATGCAACATTCTCTTTCAATCTTTGGTTTTGGTTATTAAGCAGTTTCTTCACAGACTTCTAATTTTTCCAAAGAAATATTTTCATAAAGTTTAGAATCTCTCTTTTTTCTAAGTAGGTAAGTCATTTCAGTATTTTATGTTATGAAATCTCTGGAATGCCTTCTTACATCTAAAACAGATTTTCCTCTTTACTTTTCAGCAGCAGCAGTAGAAAAGCTTTTATTAATAGCTTTATTTTGAGATTATTAATTTAATAAAGGTAGCTAACTATCTTGCTAATTATTTTATACAAGGCTACTATTTAAATTTTTTAGGCTTCCTTTCTTTTTTAAGAACATAATAGTACTCTATGGTTTAAATTTACCATTATCATAACCAGTATTTGTATTACTTGCTATAAGGAATTCCGATTTATTTAATCGATTTGTGTGTTCTTAGGCAGTCTGATTTCCCCTATACATTATTTTAAAATGCTTAGTAAAAGTGCTACGTCCATTTAAGTCAGAATTTTCAGCTTGGTTACTATTTATCTTTGAATTAGATTAGGTGTTTTAATTTATCCTTTATTAGCCATTCTAGGTTTATTTGGCTAAGAATTAATCTAAATCAATTTAACTTTTCTTTATTTTAGTAAAAATAATTTATTTTTTGAAAAGATAAAAAATAAATTGCTAAATTTATTTACTCTGTCACTTTCATATTAAATCTCTTTTATCAACTATTTTTCAACATTAATTATTCTTGTCCTAAGATCTTAGCTGAGATCAAAGCTAGAAATAAATACAGGATTATTAACAGATTTTTCAACAATAAGCTTGGTTGGAAAGACTAAAAAGGGGTCATGCTTAGAAGAAAGAGGTATTTTATGATTAAGGTTAGATTTTTGCAAAAAGGTATTGTCAGAGAATATTTTAAGCAGGTAATTTTCTTCTCCAAAAAAGAAAGTCAAATGATGTTCCATAATCTCAAACTGCTAATTCTGTGCTTAGTTTGATATTATAAATAAATTCTTTCGCCATAAATCTATCTTTTCTATAACTTATATAGTGTATTCTCTAAGCTGAGATATTTTTTAAAAAATCTGTAGAATTTTAGGGTCATTTTCCCACTGCTCAGTAGAATCAAGCTATTCCACAGAGTCTGTTAAAGACCTTAAAATTTTTTCTCTTTCGGTAATTGCCTATTAAACAAGTTAATATGCTGATTATCTAGCCTCAATGAGGTTAATTTCTTTCTTTAGAGTACTGTACATAGTTTGAACATTCTATAATTAAAATGACATTTTATGTTTTTACAAATCAATATAAAATTAAAGTTAACTTATACCTGTTGTTAAATGAAGAGATTGAAATAATCTCTATGAAATTATTCAAATTTAAGTTCATCGAATAAAAAATTTATGCGATTGAACAGTTACTATGCTTTTTATTCGAATTCTTAGTTCTTTTTTACATATGAGTAGAAGTTAGTATCAGATGTATTATGTATCGATTCTAGATCTATATTATTTAGAAGTATATTTCCTTAGCTATCATTTTTGTTTAGCCTTAATTTTTTAACAGGCGAGTTAGATGTTTGCAATCCTTGCCTATTTTTAATGGGAGAAAATGATAATTTCTATTTATATATTCTATCTGTTGCTGAAGCTAGAAAAATTGAATTATTCAGCGTTTCTTTGTTTTTATTATAATCTTAAATGTATTTGTCTAAAAGCTTTGTTTAAGGTATGTATTGAGGTATTTTAGCACCTATATGGTGTCTTTGATCCCACTCTTTCTCCTTTTGCTACTAACTAGCTTGCTATTGCATTTAATCATATAGACTAGATTGTATTTTCGGAAGCATTGACCCTAATACCTCAATGCAACTTTTTTCTAAAATATCTAAAAGATTTATCGAAATATGAGAGGAATTAATTAAGAAGAAGTTAAAAAATTAGCTATTAAAATATTTATAAAATAAATCTGAAAGTTAATATAAAAAAAATATATGGTATTAATTTCATTATAAATTAATTATAAGTAAAAAATAAATTAGCATTCATTCATTCGTCTTCAAAACAAACCATTAATTTTTTTAATAGTAAAAAAACTAATTGCATAAATTTTAGGTTGTTTCAAAATAAAAATTTCATATTTGGATTTAATTTCAAATCTAAATATTTTTCTTGTAATCAAATAATTTTTTTAGTGATTAATGCTTTAATAAATAGCAAATAATAAAATATATTTTTTAATTTGAATATTTTAAAGTCAAATAAATGCATTCTAGACAATTAATTAATTGTTTTCTTTCATAAATAGAAACAAATACAACTGTAATAATGTAGGTAGTTTATATTATATTAGAAACATATATATCTAATTCTGCTAATTAAAATTTTGCTTGTGTATGTATATTCCTACTCTGTTAGTTTTATAAAGTTCACCTAAGCTAACTTAATTGATTTATATTATTAACATAAAAATAGTTTAAAATATTTTAACTGACTTTTGCTAACTAATTCATCATCCTGTATGGTTTTACAATGGATCTACTAATGTTTTATAACCTCCAAGTCTAGCCAATGATGCAATTATCAAAGAAATATTAATAAGTTGCAAAAAGGCATAAATACCAAATAAAATTTTATTCTTTTCATCTCCAAATTTAATTTTTAAACCTATCATGATTACATAGAATAGGAAATGAATCCAAATAATAGCAATTTCATAACCATAAGGTCCATAAAGTAAGGCCATACCTACACAAATTGTATGGAAACCATAATAAGGGTAGAAGAATCTATCGAATTCGTAGTAATTAATCCTATCCACAAGAGCTAACTCTTCCTTTTATTATGTTTAAAATATTTATAAATTATTAATTATAGTGAGCTTAAATTTTTTAATAATTCTCTATTTCTATTTAAAATTTTAGCTGTTTCTATTTATCGTTGTTTTAAGTAATAAAAATGGAAGAAATTTTCCAAAAATAATAAGTCTAAATATGAAATTTTAATATAAAATCTTTTACTTATTTCTAACCTTCTTGGCCACTTGCAACTATAAATAAAAAATATATTTAGATACTTTCAATAGTTTAAAAATTTACTTTGTTTTCCTTCAGCATAGCTTAAACCTTTTCAATAAATAAATTACATTAAAACATTAATACATTCACTTAAACTCAATTTTAAAAATGAGTGAATCTTTTTAGAAAAATTAAAGTTTAAAAGTTAGTTAGTTTGTTTACTTTCTCTGTATTTTCCTCTAATGGTTCCAATAGCAATTATTGCTAGGTATATAAGATAAATTAAGAAAATTTCTGCAACCATTCCCTTTCTGTAAGATTCAACATTATTACCATCAACGTCATAACGGAATGCAGGAATACGCATATTCCAATAATAAGTAGTCATTCTATATTTGTGTTTTGAAATAAATGCTGATTTATCTAAAATGATTTTAAAATTTACTTGGATTATTAAAATAGTTCCTATTTTTTTTTTGAAAAATTATTTAAATTACTTTTTTATTTATTATTTTTTGAAAAAAAATTATTCCTTTTAAATAGAAATTTAATTTATCAAATAAATCTTTTTTTCTTATTCATTTTGTTTGCTTTAGTCTCATTTTTATCAGATAATATATTAAATGCAAATATACTAATACATATATGAATGAATGAATGTAGGCATGCATATATACTACAAACATCAAGAAAGCATACATACATACATACTTTGATTTCATAAATTTAAAAATTCTTTGATTTTTTAAATTAAAATCCTTTGATCCAGCAAGCCTTCTCAGTTTTCACTTATTCTATTCAGTAATTAGAGTATATTAAAAATAAATATTTTTCTTACTAAGGAATTTCTTCAATTATATATTTCGTTTACATTTGAAACAGTTCTGTCTAAATATTAGTATAATTTCAAAATTTAACTTTGTCTATAACTTTAATTTATAAATTTTTGTTAATAATCAATTATCCTAATAAATACTATGATTAAGTCTTTTAAAAATTATTAAAAGAAATTAAGAATATATTTAAGTTTTAAATCATTAATGCTATTTCTATTTATTTACTATTTTGTAAAATTTTTATATTTAATATTTTCAAAAACAATTTTGATTCAATTATTAAGCTTTTACAAATATTTTTAAATCTTAAATTAATATTAATATTGATAATGATATAAATTGTTTGAATTTTTTGTTAAAAACTGGCTGCTAATTTATTTTTAAGACCCCATAAAAAATTAGGCGTTTTTTAGATTTAGATATTGTGTGTAAATACTAATAAGATTTTTTATTCATTTTAGAAAAATAGAATTATTTTTATCATATGTTGACAGAGTAATTGCAATATTTATTGGATGAAAAATATTTTAATTAATGTTTTCTCATTAGTTAATACATGTTCAATCTGCGAGCTTTTAGTAATAATTTTGAGATCTAAATGGAGATTATATTTTATAAGAAATTTAGGATAAAATAGTTTATTTTAAGATAATAAGAAATTTATTTACTTTTATGATAAAAAGAGTCAAATTATTTTTACATGTATTTTTATTTTTTTAATAGAAATAAATTGTTTATTTCTATAATTAAATTTGATAAATAATTTTAAATCAATTTTAAATTGTATGATTGATATTAATTATAAAAGAGGACTTACATTCAGTAAACCATTTTATTTAATAAAAATACTCTGTAAAATTTTTAAAGTTAAGGGTTTTTTTAGTTTATGGTAGCTCTTTATTTTATGTAAGCAAATTCTTAGATACTAGTTATTTAATTTACAGTTGAAATAAATATATTTTTATCCATAAAACCTTATATTTTGGAATTTATTTTTTCATTTTTAGTTTAATATTAATGGACGGATTTTGCTAAGTTGGTGAACTTTGAGAATCAAGTAAGCTTTTTTAGAATTAAAAGATATTTTATCCTTCTAAATTACTAAATTTAGATTCCCAAATTATTAAAATACAAAACAAATTATTTATAAAAAAAGGAAAATAATATTAGTGAAATATTTAAATACTTGTAAAAAAGTTAATAATACTAACGAAAGGTTAAACATACATTTAATTTAATTAATAATTATTTTAAGAATCTCAATAAAAATTCAGATTTAAAATTCCTTAAATGATTTAATTAAACTTCTTGATGAATTAAATATTTTAAAATAATAAATATATTATCTTTTACAATAATATGATAATAGCAAATTCGTTTTTTAATCCTTATTATTTGAATAAAAAATTAATGATTTTAATTTTGAAAATTAAATAAAAAATATTATCCAAATAACAATAGATTAACTAACTGAATTATGTTACTGATGAAATATACATTACATTTTTAACTAGCTATTTGATCAAAAATTTGAGCATGATATTTCTTTTATAGCTAAAATGGATATTATTTGCTTGCAAATTAATCGTATTAAGTGTCAAATTGAATAATATTAAATTGCAATTCCTTATAGCTTAAAGATTTTTGTCAAAATTTATCTTTAATTTATTAAATATTGAAGATCTGCCAATAAACACTTTAATTAAATTAAGATTTATAATTTTTCATAAATTAAAGGAATTTATAAGTTTAAGTGCATTAAAGTTCATTAAAATAAAAAGGATTATTAAAAATGTAGAAGGAAGAATATCATAATGATATTTCTATGTTCGGTAAGCTGATACTGGAAAAGCTAAAGAAATTAAGAATATTTGTTTGGGGAGCATAATCAGTAAATTTCTAATTCAAACCTATTAATCGACAACCTATTTATTTATTTATAAATTATAATAGCTAGGAGCTGAAGTCAGCAAGAATATTACATACTACTCAATAGATGAATTGGTTATTTATGACTAAGAAAAAATAGGATACGAAGATTTATCAGGAAGTACTTTTGGAAAAGAAGAAGATGTATAATAAGGCCTTACACGTGCAGAAGTCTGTTAAAAGTGGCTCAAGAAATTGTAGAATGTAGTTTAAGTGGAGGTTTGTTAACAATTTGTTCTTGAAGAGAGTCTCAAAAATATAGATGTCATTATATTAACTTAAATATTGAATGAAAAGCAAATGATAGACATAAATAATTATTGCAGAGAAAACAATATTGGTTTTATTTTGGTTGGAGTTTATGGTTTGTATTGCTATAGCATGGTTGATTTTGGTAATAATTATAAATTACATGATAGAGATGGAGAAGATACATATCCTTTTATGATTTCTTCCATTTCTAAATCTAACCCAGGAGTAGTCAATTTAGTTAATTAGCATAAGCACAATTTCTAAACAGGTATTTTACATTTTTTTTATGAATTAATTTGAACATTATTAGCTAATAATCATTATTATCATTATTATTATCTACAAATTGAGAGATTAAAATTGATTGCACAATATGTAGTTTATTTTGAATTATTATAGGTGATTTCATTCGTATTACTGAAGTAGATGGAATGTACTAGGTAATTTAATATATTTTTTTATATTTTTATTATTCAAAATTACTAAAAAAGCATTAAAATATAAAATTAAATCTATTAAATAAATTTTAAGTTTGTCAGAAAAGGCAAATTGATTGATTGATTGATTAGTTTTATTTGGAATTATGAATCACACAATTTTTAATCTACTTTTTTAGAATTAATTTACTTAATATTTAACTCTTTTAAATTTATAGGTAAACGGGTAAGAACCACGTCCTGTAAAAGTCATTGATGATTACAGTTTTAGCATTGAAGACACAACTTATTATGCTTAATATTAGAAAGGTGGATTTGCTGAGTTAGTTAAAGTTCCTCACAAGATTAAATTTAGCTCATTAGATTCCCTGATAAATGGCTCTAAACCTTAAATTCTTAATTCAAATTATAAAAATATAAAATTATTGCATATGTTTTGGAGGTGTTTGATTTAATACAAGACGCAATACGACAAGCTTCCTGAGATATTCAACGAAGAAGCTTATGAACAAATTTTCCAAATAGCATAAGCTATTAATGAGTAAAATAAAGAGAAATCTCCTGAATTTTATATAGAAAATATAGATTAAGGTTAGCTAAAGCTTTTAACAAAATATTGTACTGTTTAGATAGCTCCACTTTGCATAGGTTGGGCAGGTCTGATAACCAAAGAAATTTTATCATTCTGTGGCAAATATGAACCTATTCGTTAAATATTCCACATGGATTTCTTTGAACTGAGTCCAAAATATGAAGTTAAGGCTGAATAAGTTGAAAAATATAAAAATACAAGATACTACTAATAGGTAGCCTTAATAGGTTGTCAAGGATAAGAAAAGCTTATAAATTACAAGTATCATTATGACTTTAAATCTATGATATCTATTTTATTATTATTTGATATAAAAAAGAATTGGTATAATGGGAGCAGGTTCAAATGGTTGTGAATTAGCTAGGAATTTAGTTTTAATGGGTGCATGTACTGGAGAAAATGGTCTTTTAGATATATTAGATGCTGATACCTTTAAGACATTCAACCTACACTCACATCAATGGATTACGTATTTAATATTTTACCACCTAACTTTTCTTAAATTCAATTTATATATTTAGAGAAGACGCAGTTGATAAAAGCAAAGTTGAGGTGCTTTCTAAAAATATTTTAAGATTGAATCCTCAAACTAAAATTAGATGCACACAAAAACTTGCAGATAAATCTTCTGAAAATGATTTAGGAGATGACTATTGGAAAAATAGTAATTACATTTTTTAAATAATCATTTCAAATATATAAAAAATAATTTAATTTCTAGTTGATGTAATTTTTAATTGCACTGATAAGAAAACAGCCAAGTAATACCTTTTAGAAAAGTCATTATGGTACGATAAAGTTTTGATCGATTAGTCTCTTGATGCATTAAAGGTAAAATTAATTGAATTTATTTAATATCTAATAGAATATTTTTTTTTTTTAGGGAAGCACCCATTCTATCATACCTCACATTACAGAGATTCCTGATCTATAAAAAGATGACTTCCTTTCTGGAAGGTTTGATTTTGATAAAGACATTATCATGAATTATCCATACCTCTAAATCCATGATATAATTTGGGCAAAAGAAATATTTGAATAACTGTTTGTCGAAAATTTAAGAGAACTTAAATAGTACATTAATCATCCCTAATAATACATCCACTAATACTAAAGTCTTTTTAAATTGAATATGAACTACTAGACAAAAGTAAGTTTTAAATATTTAAAATAATATTTAATTGTTATTAAAAAAAGCTGTTAATAATCCATTGTCTAGTCACAAAAAAGAACAATTTAGAACTAAAAGATATTGTTTAATTATCTAAGGAAATATTTGAGGTAAATTACCCTTATAGAATATTTTTAATTTATATTTTATTTAATAAAGTTATATTTCAATGAGAGAATTTACAGATTAGTTGCCTCACATATCCCAGCAGAAAACTAAGAAGATGAAAAATTCTGGGTTGGTTACAAGAAAATTCCTTAAATAATACAATATAATCCACAAAACTAAATGATAATAAGATTTATATCAATTGTTACTCATTTATATGTAAGTTTATTTTAATTGGAAGTACCAAATGAAAAGTTGACAGAAGATAACATAAAAAAAATATTGCTAATATAATACAGTTCTGCTGAGGACTAATAACAATAGTACTGGAATCTGGTAATAAATATCTTTAGTTTAATTTAATTTAAATAAAATTTTAATTTATTTAATAATTAGTAATCATATGAGCTTAAAGATGAAAAGGATATTGAGAACTTTGAAAAAATTCTTCAGGAATGTGCAAGTAATTAATTAAATTATTGATTTATTAAAAAACATTTTTTTAAAATAAACAACTAATTTATTAGAACCAGCAATGATACCTCAGCTAAAAATAGGAATCTACAACTAAACCTCTGAATACTTTAGAGAAAAATACATAGATTTTCTCGATATATCATCTAATTTGAGGTCTTAATGCTATTAACATGGTAAAGTTCCCAGATATAAAGTTGAAAATATTGCCTTTGAAATGAATAGAAGATCTTTATTCCCTCAATCTATAATTACAAGTATGGCTGCATTAGAGCTTTTTAAATACGCTACAGTAATAATTTTGAATTCATTATTTTTTTATTTATTAAATAATTAAATTTATTTTTTTCTTTAGAGTTTAATATTTAATAATAATTTAAATAGAATCAAGACATATCTGATTACAGAAATATCAAATTTGATCTCACTTAGAATAAATTTGATTTTATTCCTCCTATTAAAGCTAAAATCATTTAAAAGGATCCTAATATTGTTTACATTCCTAAGCGTAATCTTTTTTTAAATTTATTTATTGCATTTTAACAATTTTAATTTAAAATAAAAGCTTTTACTGTTTGGGAAAAAATTATTGTTGATAAACCTGTAAGCATTGAAGAGCTTATTGATTCTTTTTCTAATATGTATAATGTCTCTATCAACTCTATTTATGTTAATAATGTCTAAGTATGGTAGTCTAATCCACTTGAATCAAAAGATAATTTAAAGTAATTAATTAATAAATATAATAAATATTTAAATAAATATTCATTAAAAAGCATTATGAAAATGAATCTCCTTAAAGCATATGAATTCGAATCAGGAACAAAAATGGCTAAAGGAATTAACTAACTGCCAATTATGATTACTGCAAAAACTAAAAATGATTAACCTGCAATGTTCACAACAATCAAATACATTCACTAATACGAATCAGAAAATAATTGAATATTTCTTAATATTAGTGATATTTAAGTTTATATCTATTACTTGTAAACTAAAAATTGTGTATTAAAATTTAACTTAAATAGCCTATAAAATATTTAGTTTTAGCAATTATTTTTACTTAAGTTTTTTATTAGATGTATTCTATTCTCGTTATTAAGTATTTTTAAATTTGTAAAATTATATTAAAAATTTTTTTAATTTTAAAAATTAATAAATTCTATCAAAATATTAAAATAAATTCTAAATAAGAATAATACCTTTTAATTAACTGTTAATAAAAATTTAAATTAATTTTCACTTTTGAAAATTTTAATAGATAAATTTAACATTCAAAATTTTTATTTGTTGATTCTATAATTGAATTTATTTTTTTTGTGTTTGGTAGATTTCCTAAGTTTTGAATAAAATAAATAGTTAAAATATTTATTCTATTTCAATTTATCAAAAAGTTTGCAAAATATGTAAAATCAAACTTAAAAATTCATCAAAGAACAAGAATAACTTATTAATATTGTTTATTATTAATTTTAATTTTTATTTTTAAACATCAGACTTTAATTAATTAATTAATTTTTGAATTGAAATTATTTTAGAAAAAATAATTTATTTATTATATTACTTTGATTTATTTAAAAATTAGCAAAATATCCAAGTATGACTTTTGTTAGTATATTAATTTTAAAGTCATTTTTAAGGGTTTACTAGTTTTCCTAAGAAAATAATCGTTTTTGATGGTATATGAGTTATAGTGAAGAGGAATGGTCTATCACAAATAACTTAAGGAGGTTCTTTAACTTTACTTAGTTAAGATATAATAATTGCAGTTGATGCAGCAGCTTCTGTTCCAATTTCGTCTACTTAAATTGTAGCTGAATGAAAAAGATCTTTTATATATAATTCTTCACATTCAGAAATGCTTTTAAAATCTGCTATGGGTAAAAAGGCTTAACTTAGACCAATTTATTAGAGCACATTTACTATGTTTTCTGATTTTCCATTTATTTTAAATTTCGGAAATCTTAATTTAATTTTAGTTTTTTAGGATTTTTTTAGCGCTTCTTACATTATTTCTAATGTCAAACTTTATTCTAATTATTTTAAACTCAAATCAGGTAAAAATACTTCCATAACAAACTCTTTATTTTTATAAGGAATCTATATATATTAAAATCCATTAAATTTTATATAGTTGTAAATTTCTGTTTTCATCATCATTTTCGTTAGAACTGTGATTTCTAAGTTACTTGGATCAAGGTAAAATTTCATATTTTATGTGTATTAAGCATCAAATTAATATAGCCACTATGCTTTAAGATACAAAGCATTTACCAATATCATATTTGTATTTTAATTCAAAAATCCACTCTAAAGGAGCTCTTTAACATTACCTTTAGTTTAGTCTGATACCTATTCATTAATATAAGCTCTCAAAGCTTCAGGATCTTTAAAGCTAACTTGTTAAAATCCTGATTTAAAGTATAAACTGATAAATTCTTTATACATTTAAGTAAGATTAGAAACTGATGCATATATTTTATTTGCATTTAAAATTGAGAATTCTTAACTTGAATGTTCAAACTGAGAACTGAGACTATTAATATGATAGCAAATTTCTCCAATATTCTTAAAACTTAAAACATTTTAAAACTCCTTCAAAGTCTATCCACCTGAACCTGCAGCCACCATAGATAAAGCTAAATAGATAGAACTAGGAGAAAAGAAAAAATTACTTTCATTGCCTATCTTTTCTAGATAGTTTATACAAAATTTTGAAATTGGATTTTATTTTGCTTCCATTTTTAAGTTTACTTTTATTTTTTCAAATTTTACTCTAAATTCAATAATTATAATTTTAAACTATTTATAATAAATAAGTTAACATCAAATGTATTTGAATTGATGATTAAAAAAAAATAAATCTTAAATTAATGTGAGAAAATTAAAAAAAATTTGAATATAAAAGAATATAAAAAAATCTATCGTAATTTATAAATCTCTAATTTATAAGCAAACATTTATTCAAATATTAAATTTAGATTTTTTTTTTTGAGAAATATTAATATTACAACTGTATTTATCCAGAATTTAGGAAATAAAAGTATTCAAAGAATTACTAAGCTCTTTTAGTATAAATTAATTTTGTTTTTATTTAAAAAATAAATTTTAATATTTTATTATTTTTATCACGAAATAAATTAGTGCAGTATTAAAAGAAGAGTATTTTAATAAAAGCATCCAATCTAAATTTTTTCACAAATTAAAAAAGGATTAAACATTAAAACATTTAATTTATTATTTTGAAATTTAAAATGTTTTTAGTCTGTCTCTCATTATTTGTATCTTTCCTAATTAATGCGAAGTTAAATTCAAAATTTCATAATTTTTTAATCAATTTTTACAAATAATAATTTTTAAAATATGAAAATAAAAAATTATTATTTTGAATTAGTTAAAGCTTTTTATTGTTTTTAATGCATTTAAATTAGATCAATTTACTTAGATAATAAATTTATGTTAAATATATTTGAATAACAAAAGAAACAGCTTATTGTTTTTTAAAGTAAAGTCTCTTCGAATTAATAAAAAAAAAAAATAAAGCAAAATTACTCAATAAAAATAAAAGGGGTTGGGGTTGGGGTTGGGGTTGGGGTTGGGGTTGGGGTTGGGGTTGGGGTTGGGGTTGGGGTTGGGGTTGGGGTTGGGGTTGGGGTTGGGGTTGGGGTTGGGGTTGGGGTTGGGGTTGGGGTTGGGGTTGGGGTTGGGGTTGGGGTTGGGGTTGGGGTTGGGGTTGGGGTTGGGGTTGGGGTTGGGGTTGGGGTTGGGGTTGGGGTTGGGGTTGGGGTTGGGGTTGGGGTTGGGGTTGGGGTTGGGGTTGGGGTTGGGGTTGGGGTTGGGGTTGGGGTTGGGGTTGGGGTTGGGGTTGGGGTTGGGGTTGGGGTTGGG